GGGGGGGGGGGAGGGAAGGCAGTCCTGTATTAAACGTTATAACATGGTATCAGGTGCTACTGTTCTGTCAATCTAAGTGGTCACGCATGATTGATTTCCGTGATGAATCTGAAACCTATCCAATCAGCCCGGTTGACCTTAAGTGTTAATATAAGGTTTGAAGTATAGTTTCGTCTTAGGGACTCGTGACCCATGCTCTCTGATACATCCATTAATCGACTCTACAACTCAAAGCAGCTTCCATACAATCCACCAGAAGTCCCCCCACAACAACCCTAAACAGCCCCACTCGACGCAGCCGGCGTAGGATCGACAGTGCACGTCGGCGCGGTGGTAGGCGGGTCGATGACGGTGGGCGGGGCGGGGCCAGGGCGAGTCTCGGCGCGGACGAGGACGGGGATGACGGCGCCGGTGAGGAGGGAGAAGTCGCGGTGGCCGACGGCGCGCAGGACGGAGCGGATGGAGCCCGAGTGGCTGGTGAGGGAGATGAAGGTGTTGGGGTCGTGGGTGAAGACGTCGTCGAGCAGCGTCTTGAGGCGGGCGACTTGGGCTAAACGATTCTTTTTGTCAGATTCTCTCATCTCTTTTTCTGTTGTTTCAGTTTCTTAGGTTTTTGTGAGACACTTACCGGTCGACGACTCGCGCAGCGTCGCGCTCCACAGCTCGTCGTCCTCGCTGAAGCCAGGCTCGATGGCCCAATCGGGATAGTTCTCTCGGATCCACGTCTTCGAGCTGCGGCGGTCACACGTATGCAGACCCAACGACTCCCTCAGCAGCTCCTTAACAACAGGCTTAAACGGCCTATCCTCCGGCAACTTCTGCTCGAGGCCGCCGAAGGTGTAGTTGGCAGTAGCGAGGCAGCGGGCGAGCGGGGAGACGTAGTAGCTCTGGGGCGCGGGGATGGCGACGTCCGGCTCGAGGGCCGACGCCCAGAAGGCGTTGGCGACGAGGGCCTGGTCGATGCCGACCTGCGTCAGGTGGGCGTCGGCCCAGGTGCTGGTGCCGTTGCCGTCGAGCAGGCTCCAGTAGCAGTCCCAGGCGGGGGTGCCGTAGTAGGCCTCGGCGACGTTGTGGTCGCCCTCGCCGTGCCGGCCCATGACGAGCAGCTTGTACTGCACACTCGTCGACGCGTTGCGGTTCAGCTCGCCGACGTAGTGGGCGAAGCGCTGCCACTGCGTCTTCATGCCGGACGGGTCGAAGGACCCGTCGGTTGGGTAGGTGCGGTTGATGAGGCCGAGATTGACTTTGGTCTACATTCCGGGCGTGAGAAATGACAGACATTTGGGGAGTCAGGTCAGACGCTCTGCATTGGCGAACGTACATAGTCAAAGTTGCTGGGGTCCGTGGCAGGGTCATCTTGGAGGAAGAATCCAGTGACGGTAGTGTAGTTGATGTGCGAAGTATTCGATGCCCCGTAAGGCTGCGTTGCCTCGCCCATGCTGAACAGGAAGGCAAGCAAGACGGTAGAAAAGAAAAGAAAAGGACTGTTTGACATGTTGGCTTGTGGTCCAAAACTGGTTCACGGGACTTGGGGGAACAACAAGACAGGAACGACTGGCGGAGGGCAGCGGGGGACTTATGAGCGACGAGCGAGCACCTACACGACTGTCCTGATATTCCAAGCGAAACCCCACCGACGGAAATTAAGAGCTCTTCGCGGCTCTAGCATGGTAGAATAGGCGGCATGGTAAGGTGCCTGTCAGGGCGGGCGGTGACGGGCGGAGGGCGCGCGGAAGCCAATGGCTCGGGAACGTGATCTCGGCAGTCGGCGCCACAGCCGCATGGGTTCCATCATCTGCGGTGCAATCCCGCCCTCACTGTGCCTTGCAGATCCCTCACGCAGCTGAATTTCTAATATCTTGCTAGGAGGCAGTGAAGTCAGACAACCATCCAAACTCTGCTTCTAATAGTGTATCGCGACTATGCTTCAAGCGCATTCCTTCCTGCAGGAACCATCACGTCATTCGATACTTTTTGACCTCCCGCCTAACGCCTGACATGCTGATATCATGAGAAAGAAGAGTGAAAAAGACCTCAGCAAGAACCCCTTCTAGAGCCGTTTACAAGTTCGCCTGCTCCCTCTCCCTCTCGACCTCGTACAAGAAATCAAAGTAAGCCTTGTCGAAGTGGTGCACGCGCACGTAACCGTCCTCACCACCCGAGCAGTATGCCGTGCCCTTGGGGTGGACCGCAACGTAGTTGAGCGGACCGAAGTGGCCACGCACACGACCGATCTCCTCCTCGAAAATCTTGTGGTAGAAACGCGCCTCGAATTTACCCTGGCGGGCCGAAGTGGTCGTGACATCCATGGCCGCCTGACCACCACCAAGGATAACGTAGTCCTTGACCGGCGTGATGGCCGCGCTGTTCAGCGGCGTATCCGCAACGTACGTGTGGAGGATCTGGAGGTCGTCCGTGGCAATGAGCTGGAAAATGGCTGTTAATATTCATCCTCCAAACAGCTTATGGTGCAGGATGCTACTGACCTTGGCGGTCTTGTCCTTGGAGGCAGTGATGAAGTAGGTCCTGTCGGCAGACCACTGCAGGTCGGTAATCTGCATGTCGATCTCGTGGGCCTCGATGACGTTCAGAAGATCGCCCGTCTGCCATAATGTTAGCATCCCGGACCTTCCGCTTTCTCAGTCTGCCATGCTCACCTTGGCATCGAACTGCGAAACGGTGCCGTCCTCGTGGCCGGCAATGATGTACTTGGCGCCGTAGCTGAAGCCAGCGACCGTGGCCTTGCTCTCCTCGCAGATGATCCGGAGGCGCCTCTCGTTGGTCTGCTCGGCCTCGACGTCGGGGATGATGTCGTAGACGACAATGGTGGAGAGGTGGCCGGAGCGCTTCTCCGTCACGCCGAGCAGCTGGCGGCCGTCGGGCGAGAACTCGACGCGCTTGATGGACGTCTCAAACTCCCAGGTCTTGAGCAGGCGGCCGGTCTTGACCTCCCACAGGCGCATGGTGTTGTCCGCACCGCCCGTCGCGAGCAGGGTCGAGTCCAGGTTCACGTCGACGGTCCATAGCGCACCGACGTGGCCGTGGTAGGTCCCGAGACGCTCGCCGTTGGCGCTGAACCAGGCGCACACGACGTGATCCTTAGAGACGGAGAAGATGATGTCGCCATCGGGGTTGAACCTGGTGGGGGGCGCCGTCAGTTTCGCGGTGCGCGAGCGGGCAGTGTGCGGGTACAAGCGTACTTTACTTGGGTCAAGGCACGTTCCTGCGCGGCGCGTCAGTGTCGGGTCGTATGGACTTGGTCCCGGTGAGCACTTACATGGCCGGAAAGCAAGATGGGTCTCATGGTGGGCGATTGGTGTGGAGTTGTGCTGGAGCTGCTCGCCTTCAAATGTCGACGCCCGCGCCGAAGTGGGTGGGATTTCGCCGTCTGTGCGCACAGCCGGAGTCATCCCGCTCCGCCACCAAAAAATGAACGAGAATGAGTGAGAATGACAGCTCCTGCTGCCTTGAGCTCTTGACTCACTTTCTCCGCATGACTCACGGCGTTCAAGTCATGCAATCTTTGAATTTACACGTAATTTATTTGTACTCTTTTGGCTCTGAATGTACAGAGATCCTGCCGGCTCGCCAACTCTCCGGGTTATCCATGTAAAGTCGCTTATATATACCCATTTCGCCATGCTTAATACCTCTCTAATTTGTATATCATCAAGTTTTCACTCCTCTCAGCTTACAACTTCTCCTTCAGCTGCTGCTTCAACCTCCTCTCAACGGCCTCGAGGTAGCCGTTGGTGGTGACGTACGCATCCCTGTCCTTCTTACCGCAGGCGAGAGCCAGATCCTTGGTCATGATGCCATCAACGTCGACGGTGTCAATGCATGCCTTCTCAAGAGCCTCGGCGAAGGCAACAACATCAGGGGTGCCATCGAGCTCGCCACGCTTGGCCAGACCACGGGTCCAGGCGAAGATGGAGGCAATGGGGTTGGTGCTAGTCTCCTTGCCCTTCTGGTGCTCGCGGTAGTGGCGGGTGACGGTTCCGTGCGCAGCCTCAGACTCGAACGTCTTGCCGTCAGGAGTGATGAGCACCGAGGTCATGAGACCCAGACTGCCGAAGCCCTGGGCAACGATATCAGACTGGACGTCACCGTCGTAGTCTGGAAAAATGTTAGCGCGAGCTGCGCACCACGGAATTTGGAGGACCACTTACTCTTGAGAGCAGCGACGAAGCCACCCTCGCTCTTGACCATCTGGGCGACCATGTCGTCAATGAGACGGTGCTCGTACCAGATCTTCTTGGCATCGAACTCGGTCTTGTAGTCCTTCTCATAGATCTCCTGGAAGATGTCCTTGAAGCGGCCATCGTACTTCTTCAGGATGGTGTTCTTGGTGCTCATGTACAGAGGCATGTTCTTGGAAAGAGCATACTTGAAGCAGGCGTGAGCGAAACCAGAGATGGACTCGGCAGTGTTGTACTGGGTCTGAGCAACACCGCCGCCGTTGGGGAAATCATAGACCTTGATGGTCTCAGGCTCGCCGCCCTTGGGGGTGAAGACCATCTCAAGGGTACCCTCGCCCTCAATGACGCGGTCCTTAGCGCGGTACTGGTCACCGAAAGCGTGGCGACCGATGATGATCGGCTGCTTCCAACCCGGTACAAGACGAGGAATGCGGGGGATCACAATGGGCTCGCGGAACACGGTGCCACCAAGAATGTTCCGGATGGTACCGTTGGGCGACAACCACATCTTCTTGAGCTTGAACTCCTCGACACGCGCCTCATCGGGGGTGATGGTGGCGCACTTCACACCAACCGAGTACTTCTTGATGGCCTCAGCAGCATCAATGGTGACCTGGTCGTTGGTCTCATCACGGTACAGGATTCCCTAATTCCTTATCAGCTACCCCGCCCTTGCCGCTGTAGCTGGGCCTGTACGCACCAGATCGTAGTACTTGAGATCGACATCAAGGTAACTTGAAGCTTGTCAGGAGCTGCGGCGGACACTGCTGAATGTTTAGGCGGTACTCACGGGTGGATGAACTGTATAGGGCAAAATTGTCAGTCCCGATACTCTGCTAGGATGTACGCGGTGGGCCTTACCTTGTCCTTGATGGCCTGCCAGATAATCCTGGTCATCTCATCACCGTCCAGCTCGACGACGGGGTTCTTGACCTGGATCTTCTTGGCGGTGGCCATGGTTCTCGACTGGGAGGCGAAGCGCAGAGCAACTGGGGCAGCAAAGCCGGTCTGGTTGGCGGAGAAGAGAGGCGAGGCGAGGCGGGAGCTCGGGGTGGCGCTGAGAGCGGGACGAGTGGCGCTGAAGGAAGAGAAGGCCCTAGGGTAGCGGGAAGCAGGAGCAGCGCAGCGGAAGGCCTTGGTGGCAGTGCTGGCGGAGAGGGTAGAAGGGCGCATGATGGGCTAAAAAGTGCGCGATGACGGGGGAACGGGCGGCTATTGAACGGTATCCGAAGCAGGGCGCTGCGCACGCGGCAATTGCTCGCAGCGAGGGGCAGATAGCGGGCTCAGGCCTCGGGAAAGGTCTCGCAGGGTGTGGTGGTGTCGGCTTGCGCAAGAGGCTCTTAGCGCGGTCGAGCGGCGGGGAGTGCAATTGGCCGAGGTAGCTGTGCGGCTAAAGAAAGGTCGAGAGCGGATTGTTTACCGGCCGACGACGCGAGGATAAGGCAAGGAATGCGCGGCGCTTGGTGTTTAAGACGAAGTGACGCACCTCATCGCGATACAAAATGTTTAAGCTTCTGACTCTCTTCCGATCCCGGAGCTGTCCTGTCGCCGCACGTCGGCGGAGGTGTCCGCTCCCCGCTCCGCCGCTTGCTTCGCCGCCCTCGGCCTGATCCGCCCCGACTGAACCAACCCACCACGCGACGCCTGGCTCCATTCTCGTCCTGCTCTCACACGACCTCGCGAGCCGTCGTTCTGCGAGTACGCTCATAAGTTTACTTCCGCGCCGGCGACTTTTGCTCGTGAACGTCCAAGCGCCCCTCCGTATCGCTCCCGCCTGATTTTGCCCGATCAGACATCCGGTTTAATTCTTAGCCAGTCGCAAATGACGGACAGGGAAGCAGCCGTTTTACAACCTCAAGTGCGTGCTTCTAGTGCCGTCGGCATCCAATGGCAGGCTCGCATTCGCCAAGGTACCGCCGGATGTGGCCGATCTGTCGGCTGTATAGCCGATAGCTGTCAATGAAATCAGTCATCATACTTCGACCGACCGGTAGAACGGCATTTTACTCATGCGCCAAGTCGTCTCCAAATTACACAGTACTACAACGGTCCAAGTAGGCACAAGATTGAAAAATATAATAGAACGAAAATCGATCTCCAAGCTTGCGCTTGAAGGTCATATTCAATGCAACAAAGTAGACTGTCTATTCTGCAAGCATGACATCAACATGCACGCACCGCTCCATCTAGTTTCCCTGATATATCCAGTAATCTCATGTATAACAAACCAGATAAATGCCCTATTAACCTCTCATGCCGGCACAAGGAAAATAAACTTTTCCAAAACCCGCGTTGATGTCTGACCAATATTTTTTTAAAAAAAGAAATAGAAAATCCAGGCCTATGAATTGACCGAATTCATGGACTTGCGAAGAGCAAAAGCTAGGTTTGATGTCTAAGTCTAACCCCCTCAACGGTTTAAGCTGTGATCTACTTAGGCGGCGCGGAAAAAGGTCCGTCAAGCGAGGTAATCCTATGCACAACTTAATGCTAGGACCATTGATGAGCAGTGGGTTATCCCGGAAGTAATTTGCACCAGCCTTCGTCTCAACCCATTGCATGAAAAGAACATTTCATCGACCAGTAGATGTCAGCTGCCTATTCCGATGATATATAAGGTTCACTAAGGCGTTTAGGGTGCTCTCCACGGGAAAGGTCACGTGAAAGCGCATGCAGAGAAGAGTTGATGTCAATTCGCCTTGAATTCCGACATGACAGAAAGCACGATAACATTAATTCCATTAATACATGGCTTCGAAGAAGGCCAATGATAGCCGCCGCTTATCAATGGGGATGGTTGTGGGATTCGAGCTCCGTAGGAAGCGGCGGAATGACGTAGTGTGACAGCGGCCAAGCTGCATGTGAGCAATGGCTGGGGAGTGCTGGGAAACGTGCTCTCCCCCGCCCAAGCCATCTCCGCTTCTCCCGCACGCCAATGCCCCGCTTGACCCATTTCCCATGGCCTGGATTGGCTTCACGTCTGGGTCCTGCCTGCTTCGGAAAAGTAGTTCACGGCAGGGGACAAAGCAGCAAACCATCCATGCGCAAAGGTCAGATTCCGTACGAGCCATCGCCAAGCATGCCTAATCTTTGGCCTTTTATTCGCTCGTCCCTGACTGGGGAACCGGACTTCCCAGTCTCGACTCCGCTTCCACCCTTGTTCGATGCGCGACGTGTCTTTGGTCACAGCTCTCAGCCCAGCTACAAAAAGTTGGGAATCCGCTGAGCCCCATCATCCTTCAAAATCGGTGCGCCGCACAGAGCCGTATGAAGCAGGACGCCATGAAGCTTAACGCGCTGCTTCTCCTCAGCTCCGTTGGCGCCGCCGCCGCTCGCTATGCCGCCAACTTGAACTACGGCTCTCCTTCAGCCCACCATCCGTTTCTCGGCATCTCCCTGTACAAAGTCGTCCGCCGACATGATACCACTGTCCGATCCATTGATGCGTCTGCTCTGAATTTCACGCATGGCGTCGCCTCTGGCGACCCGTATGCGGAGTCTGTGATTCTTTGGACGCGTATTTCTCCAGAATATGACAATGATAAAAGCAATGGTAGTCCCAGTGCCCCGGTACCAATTGACCATGCCTAATGAGTCCCACAGTCACGGTATCCGGAACGGTGCCGCTTTTCAATCACGATATGCAAGAATATGGTAGCTGAAACCCCGGGGCATTGATTTGGTGAAGAAACTGACAAGTGGGCAAGTGCGAGTCTCCACGGCCCCCGTGTGCGTGAATTACAAAGTGGCAACGGACCGGAAGATGGAGAAAGTCGTCCATTCGGGCCAGGCTTACACCTCCTCAGATATCGACTGGACTATCAAGGTCAGTAATGGTCTGGAACCGTTTGATCGCCAGCTCACGAATTCTAGGTCGAAGCCACAGGTCTGAAGCCGTTTACGCAGTACTACTATCAGTTCACCGTGTGTGACTCGAACAATGCGAGCCCGGTTGGCCGAACCAAGACTGCCCCAGCCCCTGACGATGATGTTTCGGAACTCTCCGTGGCCGTCTATTCGTGCTCGAACTACCGTAAGTCTCTGCATCATTATTCATTGAAAGAAAGAAAGAGAACTGAGCTTGGTTCAGCCTTCGGATACTTCAATGCATTCGGAAACTCGGTGCGAAAGGACTCTGTCGATTATGTCCTACACTTGGGCGACTTTATTTACGAGTACGCTGAAGGCGCATATGGATGGGGCTGGGCCATCGACAGAATTTCCCAGCCTAACAAGGAGATCCGCTCGCTTTACGACTACCGCAGGAGGCATGCATCCTACCGTGCCGATTTCGATGCCATCTTGAGCTTTGCGAGCTATGCATGGATTCCGGTCTGGGATGACCACGGTGAGTTTTTACGCCGAGGCCGAATTGCGCGTTACTGATGACTCCTCTCAGAGGTCGGAGACAATACCTGGCGCGATGGCATGGCAGATCATAACAACACTGAAGATTCTTTTATCCAAGACGGACTGCAGGAAGGCGGTGATGGCTTAACATTCGATCAACGAAAGATGAACGCCGTGCGCGCGGTACGTGACACAGCACCGTTAGTTTGCCGAAACTAGCTGACACACATGGCAAAGTACTTTGAGTGGATGCCCATTCGTCAGGTCGAAATGGATGATAACCTTCGTATCTGGCGGACATTCTCCCTTGGCAATCTCGCGGATATCATCATGCTCGACACTCGGCAATACGACAGATCTGTTACAGATCTCTATTGGAACAACGACTATATCCATGAGATCCAGAACGATGCGGGAAGGTCACTTATGGGAAGCCGCCAAGAGAATTGGTCAGTACTTTTTCGGAGCTCGTTTGGTTCTTCCACAGCTTACATCCGCAGGTTCTACAAGCAGCTCTCAAAGTCGAAGAACCGTGGTGCCACATGGCGCCTAATCGGATCGCAGATTGTCTTCTCGCGCTTGAACCAGTCCACCACTGGTGGTGCTGATGATCCTGTACGTTCAGCCACCCGATGAGTGTGGACGGCCACTGACATGCTCAGTATAACATGGATGCTTGGGATGGCTACCAGGCCAATCGCAACCGCACATTCCAGCACCTCTACAACAATAACATCACCAACAATATTCTCATGGCTGGAGACAGCCACATGTCCTGGGTATCGGATCTGGTGTGGCTGGGCGAGCACGACTACGATCCGAAAACAGGAGCTGGCTCGGTCGGCGTCGAATTCTCTGGCTCCGCAGTCAGCAGTCCTTGCCCGCATGGCCAGAACATTACCATCGATAAAGCCAACAAGAACAGTGCCGCTCTCGTCGCCGGAAACCGTGAACTTCTATGGCAGGACATGTATTACCGTGGATACTACGAGCTGACTCTGAGGTAAGCAAGAGTATTCTCCTCACATGCTCTCTCAAGTTAACAAAGGCCGGGATGCAGCCATGATGCCGTACACGCGAAGTACTTTGGCGTTCCCACGCTTGTTCAGCGTACTCCGTTGGAAGTAAGCTTGGCCAACTTCACAGTCTTGCGGGATGCCAATGCGGTGAAGCGTCCTATCGCCGGTGGGGTCGTTGAAAGCGGGGCATTGAAGTTTGGAGAGGTGATGCAGACTAACTTAACATATAACACGGCAACCGGAAAGTACGCTGTACATAACTTGTCGACATTCGGCTACAACCAGATCATTGACTAGATAGGTCGGTGGGTTAACGTCAGCTTATATGTCTCCTATTCGTTGATAGGAGGAAATGATGTCACTTTTGATCTATGTGATCTGGCACGCCGGATTGGGCAATGATATGGGGTGGAAATTCCCCGCAGAAACCAAACATTCCGGGCAGCGACACGTTCTTTCATCACATGGCCATCCCCTGTCCAGGTAACAGGAATTGCATGCCTGCACGCATCCTGGGGCTATGTGAACCATGCTCGGCAAGGATTCCATTGCGGCAACCTTCGTGTGGTAGTCCAGATAGAAGCAGACTTTTGCCCCTTGCATGAGGCGGCCTGGATAGGCAACTATGGGTACGATATGCGGGGGATCTGCTTACCCCAGACCGGCAGTGATCGATTGCCTACCGGGCGAGAGTCAGTAGAAGATGTGCAGCATCATCCCGAGAGCCTCATCCAGCGAAACCTGGTGAGACAGCATGTACCACGATACAGTGAAACAGTGCCCGACAGCCCATTTTTGGTGGACACGATAGCTGGGGGCAAGTCATACTCGAAGGAGCATTCCAAGCCTTGGCGACAAGTGCGCGGCGACTCTTGTCAGCGTCTTGGAAGACGAGCTTAATCTGCTTGCCGCATCCTCGATAACTTCACGACGTTTGCATCGCCGTGATAGGCGCTCTCGACCTTTCCTGCCATCCACGGCTCGCTTCGATCAGCGCAGCGAAATTCCTATGCCGGCGTACTGCTACCCCGCAACGATGGAAATTGCCGTGGCTGGCCAGATTGCGATATCAACAAACGATCATCGTGGTCACGGGAGGTGGTCAAATAAAGAGAAGCGGGCCGGATCCGGCATTCCGACCGGCAAAGGTTAAAGTCATGTTTCTAGGGAAGGGGCAACGCCACCGCGGGGCTCCCTTCCCTCCCGCAGGCGCCTCATCACTTGCTAACCGCCGCGGGTTAAGCGCCCATCTTTGACGAAAACGTGGGAGTATAGTAGAGAAGCTACCGATCCGGTGCGCTGGAGATATCTTTCCACGAGCGAGATCTGGGGAATTGCTGAAACGGTTGCACTCCCTGTAATTCGTGGGAACGGAGCCGGGAAAAAGGGCTGGGCCCACGAAGGAGTTGACTGCATGAGGCTTCGGCAATCGGGCTCGCCGATTTGCTGCTGAGGTTGCACCTGGTGACGACGCCCGCCGTCTTTTGCATTCTTCCCCGAGGCGCATCACCCCCTTCTCCAGGCCTTTCTGGACCTCAGGTGCAGTGGAAATGCGGGGAAGAGGCGATACAACACTTTTGCTCCTGAGGGCTGAATTTGCATCCTCTGGATTTGGCCTCAGCACCGCCTTGCCGCTTAAACACACCTTTTTCGTGCGACCTGGCGCTGACCTGACTGCTGTGTCCCGGGATTATTGCATGACACGCGAGAAAGTAAGCAGTAGCACCCCCTCAGCTGCTTCTCTCTCCACAGGCTAATGCACCACCGCAAGCGGGCAGGGACAAGGCGGCTCGCCTTAGCCCAAAACCTTCTTCTCAACCACACCCGGACGAACACCTCAGGCCCGCGCCCAGGACGCCACATTTCTGCCACCTGTGCTCGTCATCCAAGACATCCCGACCTGCATCATCCGCCAGCTTCGATAGGAACTGCCCTCGTGACACGCTGAGGATTTCATGATTGGGGCCTCTCGTACCGCTTGCAGGCCGTTAGATATTGCCATTACGCGCGCCGACCAGGGGGTGTCACTCGGGCGCCTGCAGAGGATGCGCCAGGGTAGCAATGCGAATTCTCGTTTTCGGGAAAACAACGATCGCGAACCAAGACCAGACAAGAGAACAAGACTTGCTTTGAAAGCCTTGTCTAGGTCTTGCGCGACTCGCCATGCTTCAGCCATACGAGCTTAACCCGTTCTTCGTCTCACTCAGCCATTTGCTTCCTCTGCAACGGACATGTCTTGGCATATCACAAGGCGGGATAATCAACGTTGCACCGGCCAGCCCCTCAAACTCTGGCCGATGCTGTGACTTTAATCACCATTGTTTGCCCCCAGCCTTGCAGCGGTGAAACCGAATACCGTCCCCCTTGCCCACCAACCATTCTTTCCCTATCAACCCTAAAGCGGGGCCCCCCGTTTTGCTCGTAGTGAGCTGGTGGTGAGTGGCCACCGCGTTTCCGGTTCCTTCCACGGTTCCATTCCATCGAGATATGTGATCGGAACTCAGCTTGCTCACGGCGCTGCTCTGAGAGCACTATATATGGCCTGTGTCGCCTTTGTACTGATCGTCTCTTGGAGTCTGTAGGACCCAGTGAGCTACACAGTTCCCTCTCCGATGCTCAGGTGATACATCATGGAGTCTAAAGAAGAGTAAGATCTTTCTGGAGACATTTCACAACCCACCCAAGTATACTAACCCTTGTCCAGCAAGCGCGACAGTGCTGCAGGTGTTCACAATGAGCACATTCGAAAGCAAAGCGTTGTTCAGCTTACCGAGAACACGAGTGGAGAGTAAGCCGCTGTCGTCCACATATCAGTCGACCGATCAATCACTGACCATCTCCACTACAGAGTCAAGAATCCTCTTGCCGGCATCCCTATTCCGCAGCTCCTGACTGAAGTCGACGAATTCGCCACGAAGAACGAGCTGAAAGACATTCTCCCGCTCCTTCGTAAAGGCGCCCTTGTCGCTCGTGACCCAAATGGCTTCGAGAGCATTGACGAGCTGGACGAGGCGGATAAGGAGGCTATCCGCCATGAACGCACACACAAGTGGGACCATCCCTGGGCTTTGTACTTCACAATCATCTTGAACTCAATTGCAGCCGCCATTCAAGGTCAGTCATTTCCTCTTACCTCGTTCGCATGGAATAGATCGCTTAACTATGTTATACAGGTTGGGATCAGACTGGCTCTAACGGCGCAAATCTTTCTTTCCCTGATGAGTTCGGCATATCGACAAAGGCAGACGTCTGTGGGCCGAAAGGCACTTGTGAGAAGGACGAGTGGATCGTAGGCGTTGTCAATGCAATGCCCTACATAGCCATCTGGCTTTTGTACGTCTCTCCGTCCACCGTGACTCGACTATTCTTAACAAAGCGGCAGTGCGGCATGGATCTCCGATCCTCTGAACGACCTCATCGGCCGTCGTGGAACCATCTTTACCGGCGCTATCTTCTCGCTCGTGGCACCCTTCGGCATGGCTGTGACCCAGAACTGGGGGCAGTTGATCGCTACCCGTGTCTTGCTCGGTATCGGCATGGGTTTGAAGGAAGTCACCGTCCCCGTGTTTTCGGCCGAGACTGCACCAGCTATGGTCCGTGGTGGTCTGGTGATGAGCTGGCAGCTTTGGACGGCTTTTGGCATTTTCTTGGGCACCTGTGCCAACCTTGCGTGAGTTCGAGATCCCATTGATCCAAGGTCAGATACTGACAGACATAGCGTGTACCGTGTCGGAAAGATTGCATGGCGCTTGCAGTTTGGCAGTGCTTTCATCCCGGCTGTTCCACTCGTCATTGGCATTTACTTCTGCCCCGAATCACCTCGTAAGTGAATATTGTTGCTTGCGGAATCACCACTGCTGACAACATGATCAGGCTGGTACTTGAAAAAGAAGAAGTATAGGAACGCGTACAACTCTCTACTCCGTCTCCGCAGGAAACCGCTGCAAGCTGCTCGCGATCTCTACTACATCAACGCTCAGCTTGAGTACGAGGAAGTGCTCGTCAAGGAATCTGGTCTCACGAACGCGAACAACATTGTCACCCGCTTCTTCGAGCTATTTACCATTCCGCGCGTCAGACGTGCTACACAGGCTTCAGGTATTGTCATGATTGCGCAGCAAATGTGTGGTATCAACATCATAGCGTTCTACTCGAGTACCATCTTCGAGCAAGCCGGTGCCGGCACATTCGGGTCACTCATGGCCACCTTTGGATTCGGCCTAGTTAACTTCGTCTTTGCGTGGCCCGCGGTCTGGACGATCGATACGTTCGGTAGACGTGGCTTGCTGCTGTTCACTTTTCCGCAGATGTTCTGGACGCTGCTTGCCGCAGGCATGTGCTTTTACATCCCGAAGGACAACGACGCACATCTCGGCCTCGTCGCTACCTTCATATACCTGTTCGGGGCTGTGTATTCTCCAGGAGAAGGCCCTGTGCCCTTTACTGTAAGTTGTGGTGTTGAGAATACTTTGGATCATCCCTTGTTGACACAATTTCTTCCACAGTATTCGGCCGAGGTTTTCCCCTTAAGCCACCGTGAACTCGGCATGTCATGGGCCGTAGCTACCAATAACTTCTGGGCCAGTATCCTCAGCATTACATTCCCGCGTCTTATCGGCGCCTTCAAGCCGCAAGGCGCGTTCGGCTTCTACGCCGGTCTCAACATCATTGCATTGGTTCTGAGTACGTATTATTTTTCCATTTAACAAGCATGCTTGATCATAAGGCTAGCAGCCTGCCAATTACTTTCAATTCGCTTGGTTTGTCCAGGGTTGGACCCAAGATTGCTACCATCCGTTGTCTCTTTCCCGATTAGGTTTAGCGTATATCGCCTCGCAACATCCATCACCACCACTCGCCGCAATCACCAATCGGCATCCTTTCGCATTCCTTAACATCATTTCGGTGCTCATAGCGTACTCCGCGCTGCCTCACAGTGGTCAATATTGAAAGAAACTTGCTGACAACATACTCGTCTTCCAGTCTTCCTCTTCCTCCCAGAGACCAAGCAGCGCACACTTGAAGAATTAGATTGGGTATTTGCGGTGAGTACACGCAAGCACGCTTCGTACCAGCTCTTCCAGGTGCTCCCGTGGTGGATCAAGCGGTACATGCTGTTCCGAAAGAACCTACCCTCTCCCGAGCTCTACCACTTCGAGAGCGACGAGTATCGCGCCACCACGGGCAGGGGAAGCGACGATGTCGAGGGTAGGAATGTGGCGGCGATGAAGGTGGATTGATTTCACACGCTGCAGGCTCGGTGAGAGGTAGAATTGGGGAAGGATTCATCGTAGTATAACAGACATGGAAGGCTACCGTTGAGGGAGGGATGCCCGTCTACTGTCACTATTGTAGTAAAGCTTATTCGTAGGTGATAAACATATCATTGGACTGATTAATATACCTAAGGTATAGGGCAGTGAGTACTTGAAGCAATCTTTCAGGCGTAAACATGGAATTAACAATTGCACATTCACTTCCGCGCAAATTACAATAGATTCCGCTTCCCACAGTGTAAAAAAATGGTTGTTCTGGGACAAAGTAAGCAGTAGCACGCCCTCAGCTGTCTCGCTCCGCAGTCCCCGCCTTATTAGAAGGAAACAAAAAAGAACCTCTGCAGCCTACTACATCCCTCCCTCAAGGGAACAAAAAGTAGCAGAGCTTTGAGTGAGTGTATGGGCCACAAGGAGAACTCATAGGTCAAGCTCAACGGGCAGCGTATGGCGATTGGCGACCCGGTTAATTATACCTACTGCGAAGCAGCGCCGCACAAATTGCTAACAACTATGGGTAGTAACGGCGACGTATGGAGATAGAACGACCAAGATCCGACCGGCACTACCATCTGTTATTAAATCAGCCTACACATGAATAGTTGACGGTTGATATCAGTCCGCTCACTCAACCTGGCCAGGTAAGTCTTCGTGCTGGACCATGCCAGTATTCGGCCGAGGTTCGTGAACTCGGTATGTCATGGGCCACAGCTACCGATAACTTTGGGGTAGGATTCCGCTTGCTTGATGATCCATGATTACTGCAACCCTTTATTTCCTTCCGTATTGGATTTAGCGCGGTTCGCTTAACAGGGGTACAGTACTACAATTGACATTCCTCGCAGCACTCACCGCCTCACGGTAGGCGGAATTGAAGTCTAGCCATGGGACGTTTACTGACAACGTGTTCGTCTTCCAGTTTTCCTCCCCGAAACCATCGGCCGCGACGAAAGATACTGTCCTGCTGTTGTCTGTAGGTAAGAAGCTATACCAATATGCCCTAGAATCAGGACCGTGAGTAGTTGAAGCAATATAGTTGACAATTATTCGTCCAGACGATAGCTTCTATTGTAAAATTGTCGGTAATTCTTCGCGCAAGCCTTCGGCTACAATACCCCTCTGTACAGACGAGGTCATACAAGAGTGTGACAGAGGATGTTGTAACCAAGACATTCCGAGATGAATCATCACTCACCGATCGATTTCGATTGTTTTCAAGGCGCGCCATTCGGCCAAGCAGCTAGTAATGAGGCTATGGTGGCAAGCGCGGTTGTGTTTCCATATGACTAATTGGAGCACCACGTCTTTCCAGAAATGGAAACGCGCAGGTTCGGCAGTGAATCAGCTTTCACATGGGCCCCGGTCAATACGTCAACCTATCACCTCATCACCGTCTCTTGGCGCGGATCTCCCGCCGACACGTCTGCACCGGCATGGACGCCGGTGCCTTTTCTTTTACGCAATCGGCGCAGAAATCTCTTCATCAGCGTCGTCAAGAAGCGCCTCGCGAGGCTATGATGTCAACAAGAGGCACCATGGCGTCGCTTCTCTATTCTTTGCCATGTCGGCCGAAGGCCGCTCCAACACCGCAGTCTCAAGCTTTCAGACGTCAGGTTCTGCTTACGAGGTCTACGAATCCGTCGAGGGTACATCTGTGCTAGTACCGCTGGCGACCCGCTCCTCCATATGGGTCCTCGAATAGCGGTCAGACAAGGCGGATCTCGCACTTAAGCAGCGTTGGAGCCTCGATGAAGGGTCTGCAGCAGCGAATATGACAAGTCCAGCACTTGCGTCAGTGGGAGACGAGAAAGGAAAGATGGCAATACATCAAGAGCAAGGAAATCACCAACGAGGCGGCATGCGGCTGCAGCTACCCCGTCCGTGCGACCGAGAGGACCAAAACTCCAAGAGCAGGAACGACGTCGAGAAATCTATCCTCCCTAGTCCACCTATGTCTCATTCTGAAAAGAACATTATTACCTGGGACGGTCCGGATGACCCTGAGAATCCTTTTAACTGGCCTTCTTCGAAGAAATGGCGTGTCACGGTTCTCGCATGCTCCATGTACGTCTCTCCCTTTGTTCAGTGCTCTATCAACCACGCCAGTCCTCTTGAATACCCTTGAATCTTCCCTGAACCCTCTCTCCCATCGCCCTCGCAACAATTCTGCACCAAACCCTCCCCATCTCATGATATCGCTCACTCCATCACCCCAAACAATCCAAAACCAACCACCAAACTCACACTTCTTCTCCCCACAGAACCTTCCTCTCCGGCATCTCAGGCACCGCGCTCGCCCCCACCGCCCCACTCCTAACCTCAACCTTCCACCTCGCGCCCGACGCAACCCGCACCATACCGCCGACCTACTACCCCATCTTCGCCTGGACGCTGTCGGCCGGCGTCATCCCGCTGCTCCTCCTCCCACTCATGGAGACGTACTACGGCGTCCGCACGCCCTACCTGCTCTGCGTCCTCACCCTCGCGCTCTCCACCATCCCGCAAGCTCTGGCGCCGGGCGGTGCTGACGGCGGTGCGTACCCCCTCCTCATCGCCATCCGCATCCTGACGGGCGGCGCGGCAGGCGTGCTGCAGAACGTCACGGGCGGCATCGTGGGAGACGTCTGGGCCGGCCCCCGCGCGCGCAGCAAGCCCGTCGCGCTGTACATCTGGGCGCTGGTGGGCGGGTTGATGGCCGGGCCGGTGGTCGGGGGCGGGACGGTGTGGGGAGGCGGCGAAGGAGGAGGAGGAGGCCTCAGCTGGCGCTACGTCTGCTGGGAGCAGCTCGCCATCTACGCCGCGCTGGTACCTCTGGCCTACCTGCTCCTGCCCGAGACGCGCGGCGCCATCATCCTCGTGCGGCGCGCCGCCGCTGTCCGGAAGGCTACGGGGGATCCTAACGTTCGTGCTGAAGGGGAAGAAGAAGCGGGAGGGGGTGGAATGTCGTTGGCAGAGTTGTTAAAAGATGCGGTCGGCCGCCCGCTGCGCATGCTGACGACGGAGCCGCTGGTGGCGTGCAGCACGCTCTGGTCGGCCTTCTGCTTCGGCAATGCGCTGCTCTTCACGCAGAGCATCCCGCGTGTCTACGGCGAGCTGTACGGCTGGGAGAGCTGGCGCGCCGGCGTCGTGCAGGCCGGATTGCTCGTCGGCGTCACGCTCGGCCTGGTCGTCGGCGCGCCGGTGCAGGACGCGCTGTACTACACCACCTCGTCACTTCGCAAAAGGAACCAGCATCAATCATCAGACAGCGAGAACGGGAACAACGAAGAACCAGAACACGACGACGAAGAAGAACACTTCACCCCCGAAGCCCGCCTCTACCTCGCCATCCCGGCCTCCTTCCTCTGCCTATCCGGCGGCCTCTTCCTCTACGCCTGGACCTCGTCTCCGCACATCCACTGGCTCGCGCCGACATCCGGCCTCGTCCTCGTCGGCGCCGGCATCTTCACCGTCGTCACGGCCGCAAGCAACTACGTCGAGGACGCCTACTCGCGCTACGCCGCCAGCGCCCTCGCCGGCGTCGCCTTCGGCGAGAACATGACGGGCGCTTTCCTGCCGCTGGCAGAGCAGCCGCTGTATACTAATCTTGACTTGCGTTGGGCGAGTTGTCTGTTGGCGTTCGTGGCTGTGGCGTTGAGTTTTGCGCCCGTCGTGATGGTTTGGAAGGGGGAGGCGATTAGGAAGAGGAGTCCGTTTATTAAGGAGGCGATGTATGAGACGCAGGGGGAGTTTGTGGGTGCGGAGAGGAATGAGGGGCCGCAGTCTGTTTAGGCGTTGGAGCTGCAGTCTGTAATGACGCTATATTGTACCTTTAGAAGATTAATGGGGTATCGCCTCGTCATGTTCATCTGGCATCGACTTCAGAAATGATATTGGAATTCTCTATGCATATTTAGAAATAGTGACACTTCTGTTGTGAAGTACATCCACAAAAGTGTCACAGGATGTGATTTTGGTAAAGGCTGTCGAGGTCATGCTGGCAAAGAGAACGGGAGTTGTTGTTGTGGGAATGAAGAGGAGGATGAAAGATACGAGAGAAAGTTATATGTGGGGGTGCCGCATCGTGTGGTTCGCGTCCAAAAGATAAAAACCAAGACACCCCTCCCAATGTGATGGAGGCCGCTCCTAATTGTTAGCGAAAACAGATTCCCGCCGATTGGTGCTATATAAGGACTATTTGTATAGTGTAAGAATGTACCTGACGGACCTTCCAATGAGATTTTATCATTGCGCCTTGATACGCCGTGTTTCCAGTTCAGGCGCCAGAACATCACGTAAAAATAGTATAAACTTTCGCTAACCCTTGAGGACATGCATCTTAGCGAATCACCTACCTCATCGAGGCTTCGCAGCTGACCAAACCCACTTTTCTTCTGCCGCCGCAACCTGACATCCTCCATACCACCAGCAAACTCCTTATGACTGAAGCATTCGGTTTCGTTGATTCCTGTTTTTCCATCTCAATGCTCAGCAGCACGCTTTAATCGTACGAGCAGTTTTGTGTCGCCATCACCATATCTCTGCGCTTTCAACCTTGTACAACGAATCCGCTCATTCCGACTATCTTCTGACAATGTGCGTGGTTGAGCTAAACGTATCGCTCTTGCCATGCCGGCACCGCTGGTACAATCTCCTACGGCCATGTTCGCCCACCACAAACCTCAGCAACTGCCCCAACAGGCTCCGCATCGAGGGCTGGGAAACCAAATGCGATTTCTGCCCTCACTGCGCGGGCTGGAACCTCTCAAATGCAGAATTCCGACTTGTCAGCAATGACCGCAGTTCATCTGCTGGCGGCCTTTCTCGCTCGCCTTCCTCCAACTACGGCGGCTCCGCCCGCCGCGCCACCCACTCTCTTTCCCGCACACCGTCACTCGCTTATAGCAGTGTCAGCACTGTTAGCGACAGCTCAATATCCAGCCTTGAGGGGCCGCAAGGCAAAAACAGGGCCATCATCCCGGCCCTTGGACTCTCCGTAGTTGAAGAGAGCGAGAAAGAAAGGCCTAACAGCGCCACACGTTTGGACGCCTATATCCGCAAGAATAACATGCTTCCGAAAATCAATTGCGAGGCAGCGGATGGCGATACCGAAACCCCAGTCGAACAACAAGCAGAGCCATCTTCCGAGACCAACCGTGGCGATACCCAATCTCAGCCCCCACGACATATAGACAGAAATTCTACGGAAGACGTGACCAAAGGCTCTTCTTCTAAGCTCAAATTCAGACCTAAAGCCTTGAGGGGCCGGTCAATCAAATCGTTCTTATCGTCTACAAGGAAAGGAATTTGGCGTAAACCGTTCCGAGGGGGCCGAGCTCGGTCTACAGAAGATACAAAACTCACAGACGTTGCTCACGACGATGCCGGCTGCGTGAGAGAAGAGGCACCTGTGGAGACGGACAATCCGCGCAGTTTCGAGCGGACAACGAACACCAACGAAGATCTGTTGGACGAAACTGAGCTGAACAGCCATACCCATGTGTCAACAACCATTTTGAGTTCACGGGTCGAAGACAAAGGGAATGAAGTAGAAGATGAAGGGAAACCTCAAGTAGATAGGGGAGAAAACAAGAAAGAGAGGGAGGATATTGATATGGGAGCCGATAGGGAGGATAGACAGATGGAAGTAGAGCAGAAGGAGAAGGACACTGAGAACGATATCAAAGATGCAGTACCCGCAAAACTAGTGGTTCATAAGCAAGAGGATGCCGCGCATGAGATCCCTCCTCGAGTTGAAGATGCAAGCAACTCTCGACCGGAATGCACACGGAGTGCTCTTTCAAGGGATGAATTCCCAGACTACTCGAAAATCGTCTCTCAATCACCATCGGCATCAGATACATGCATACCCGCGCCTTCATGCGTAGCGCCCAATCCCTCGCCGTCATTCACCCAAACACCACCTCTCCCATACAAGTCAATACAAGTTTCTTACCCAGCAGTTACCAACTTTTTTGCTGGCATTGGCCTTATAGAGCGACCCATTCAGCCTGGACGCCAGAGGCTCCGTTGGAAATGTGTAAGTTTTTCTATCCCCGCACAAAGACTATCGTCCAGCAATTATGAATACTGAAGTTACTCCAGTGCTGCGGGGAAGAAATATACGATGACTACACCGAACTTCGGCCCGGTGCGATCGAGCGCTTGAAAGGTCGCCTTCCGTGCCTGACTGATTCATCCGGAATTCCCCCCGTAGGCGCAAATACAGCATCTAAGACGTGGCGTACCTTATCATCAGCAATCGGACGGGTATCCAAAGTATTTGGGAGAAGCCGAGAGAAGACACAGACCAGTCCATGTATACCGATGCACAATTCGCCTTCTGTCGGAAACTCATCCTCTGCATCTACCGTCAGTCTGAAGCATAATTTGACGCATCTTCTTCTATGTATGAAGGAGGGCCGGTTCGGAACAAACTTGTATCAAGAAGAGATATGTGGGTTGGACAGTGACAGAAGTCTCTTCGAGTTCCTGCAAACCTGCTACAAAACGCGTCGGGGCAAACTGTCTTCCTTCACATCTCTACGGGCGCCCAATGGCATTAAATTTGTCATGGTATGCCTACTTTCCTAACCCCACTGCCATACATACTGACTTGTATTACACGATAGTTCAACCTGGTCACTGGAAGAACAGTCAGCCTCCGCGGCTGTAGCTCCCAAGGCTGTACCTGTCTACCGCCGCCGGGAAGAGTCGAGCCCGAGGCCGATGCTGATTACCGCTGCAGCCCCGTACCAGCAGACTTGTGCCCTCCAATTGGCCCCGACACGTTGATGCATCTTTTCACTCACCCCGAGTGCTTCGGAGACTCAGCAGAGACCTCAATCCTTGAACAGTTCCCGAAGAAATTGAAAGGAGAGCTAACGGGTCCTGTCATCGGATGGGGTATATACTTTACTGAAAGTTGGAACTGGAACCTGGTTAAAGCAATCTTGCTTTTGTACATGACCGGGAGTTTCGTATTTGGGTTGGCATGGTGGATGGGAAAGGATGATATCCAGGGAGCCTTTGGGGTTGCAGGTTATCTGATCAATGTTGCAACAGTGTTTTTGGCGTATATTGCCGTAGGTAATTTATAGGGAATCACATGCTTAGGTAGCGAAGTTGACGATTTCAAACTCTAAATTTGAGCCAACTAGAATTCCTACCAAAATTTCGTAATTGGTTTCCTGGTGTATATACCCTGATCATTTTCCGTGAAGTTGATTCATCGACCACAAGTCGTCTTCTCTAGACCTTTTTTTCATTTTCCAGAAAAAAGCCTTTGGTTGAAAACGCCTCCGCTAACGCTCCGTTTCATATGCAAAAGAAGCAAAAAAAGTATTCATTTCCCCGTCTCTCTCCTCTCCAAAGAGGGAGGAGGACTTAAGCTCATGATTTTGTTGAAAACCCGAGTATCTCTAAACAGAAGCGCCTGCGCTGAACTGGTCGATTTTATTTGATTTAGGCAGTCTTGGTGTAAGTCTGCTTGGGGAAGGGGTACGAGGGGCCGAGCTCCTGGATGCTGAGCTTGGCGAGCCACTGGCCCATGTCAACGCTGGTCTCGAGGTCCTTGCCCTGGACGACACCGGCGACGAAGCCACCGGCGAAGGCATCACCGGCACCATTGGTGTCGTTGATCAGGTCCTTGTTGATGGCGTGGACGGGGAACTCCTTAACCTCGGCCTCGCCGCCCTCCTTGCCGATAGCGACGACCGTGGGCTCGGTGCCCTGGGTGATGATGACGGTCCTCGGGCGGGCCTTGTTAGCCTTGGGCAGCGCCGCCATGAGCTTGGCGATGCTGGGGATGTCCTTGGTGGCGTGACCGTTGTTCTCGGCCCAGGACAGGGCCTCGGTCTCGTTGCCGATAACGTAGTCCCAGTAGGGAGCGGTCTGGGCGAGCTGGTCCTTGAAGAACTGCGGGATGAAGGGCGCAGAGAGCGAGAGGATGAAGATCTGCAAATATTAGTACCGTGCATCCGACGAATGTTGCGATTGATCGTACCTTGTTCTTCGCGGCGGCCTCCTCAGCCAGGGCCATGATGGCGGGGACGCAGACAGTCAAGTGGTAGCCACCGACATAGTAGACCTTAGCGCCCTCGACAAGGCTCCAGATCTCAGGCTGCTTCAGATGCTCAATCTTGTAGTGGTTGGCGGCAGCCAGGTCGGTGCACATGCTGCGGTTGTGGCCGGTGATGACGACGCCGCAGCGACCGGTGGGCTGCTGCTCATCGTAGCGGTACTCGACGCGGAGGCCGACCTGCTTGACCGTCTCCTTCAGGGTCTCGGCGTACTGGTCCTTGCCGACGCAGCCAATGTAAACGGCGGAGTTGGGAGGGAGGATGTACTGCGGAGGGTTAGTGGGAAAGTCTCCGAAGTCCAAGAGCTAACGCACCTGAGCACCTCTCGCCGTGTTCTGGGCAGCACCGCCAGCGATGAGCTTAGCGTCGTAGTTCTTGAGCAGGTCATCGTACAGGCCCAGGTGCTTCTCCTCGGCGAGGATGGCGTCGTTGGCCTTCAGGCCGTACTTCTCGAGGAGCTTCTCATCGCTGCGCAGAATTGATCATCAGCCATTGAGCGGTTGGCGCATGTGTCGCATCGCTTACCCGACAGCCTGGATGTCGAGGAGAGGGTTCTCCAAGCAGAGGAGCTCGTAGTTGCCGGTGGAAGCCATTGTGTAGTGACGGGGAGTTTGGATGAAATGTGGAGAGTGGCGGATGGTGGGGAGCTTCGAAGAAAACGGAGGGGCTGCAGCCCGAACAAAAAAGCGCCGACGCCCCGCGCCGGTCCATTGAGGTGCTCGAAGCACGGGCGTCGCCTTCGCCATCAGCCCGCGCGGCGCGAGAATGCTCGCCATCTTGATGGGAGAGATTGCGATCGATGTGCGTATAGCTTCAATGCGACCGTAGATAGGTGCTGCCTTTTCAATGTTCGAGCGAGCTTGTCCCGTGATGTCATACGATGCTTCCCGTCTGGATCTCTTCGTGAGTGCCTACAATACCCGCGGCCTTCCAGCGGCCAATGCATGGAAAAATAGTTGCCGGACCATTGTACCTGCATTTCTCGGAGATAGCTCTGCCCAAATACCCCGACCAAGGTGCCACAGCAAACCTACACATCTCGCTTTATTAGTCCGTCTCCGGTGGTCTCACTGCTTCACTTAAAGTTACGAGTGTTTAGATCAATTTGCTAAGTAAAAGCCAAGGCTCGAAGACCAAAGGCACTAGAGAGTGCGTGGAACAGGCAAGGATTTCATCCGCAGTCAATTTAGCTCTCCTTTGCCCAATCCCAAGAAACATACGTTAGCACGGCCGAAACCTGCCGCCTGAGAGGCGACAAAGCAGAGCCTGCCGATGAGCGCGCCGCGGGAGGCTGGCGACATGGTGGATCGCACCGACCGCTGCACGAGTTGCTCCGGTGCTGATCTCAAATCGCCGTTGGTGATGAGTGACCACGCGGCATTTTACCGAGCACCCACTTCAGAACTCGGTTGAACGGACGAGCGGTTCATTCCTACTGTGGTGTCAAAACAAGGTGTGGTTTCCGAATGACTCCAGCTACATCTGTAGCGCAAGTCTTCTCTCCATCAGCCGCCTTGTCCATTCGGTGGAGTGTGCGCGAATGATCCGCGGCTGTGGCTCAGATCCGTCCCCCATATGCCACTACCGCTACCCCACAGGTCATTGCCAAAGGGCAAGGGACTCGCATTCCGGTCGTGAGGGTACGGGCTCAAGTTCGGATCATGGGGAGGCCCCTGACCCTGACCCATGAAACCACTGCCAGATCCGGGATGAAAGTTGCCATGGAACTGAAAGCTGCTCGATAAAGGACTATCATAAGGCGCAGTGAACGGATCCACCATTGATCCAGAACGGCCTTGTAGGACAGGTCCCTGGCCCCAAGAAAAAGTATTCATGGAGTTGCTAAGAGATGCGTGGCGGGAGTGACCAATGCTGCGACGGCCCAAAGCTGAGCTGGTCACGTTCAGGCCTGGAGGAACCGCGGGAGCTGTTTGCAGGGGCGACTCGTAATTCTTGTTCCAGATATCAGATGTATTCGGCAGAGACGGAAGTGATGGCAGATTCCGCACGGCAGGGGACGCAGTAGAGTTACGGTGAACCTCGGGAGTGCACGACGCTTGGCTGTAGTTCCGGACCATGTTGACGTAGTCTCCAACAGTCACAGGAGTGATGCCGTAAGAATGATCGTTGATCAAAGCTGTATCCTCGAAAGTCTGCTCGGGCGGCGTTGGAGGTATGTTCTCATCTTCCTCAGGCAGCGGATCCAATCCGTCTTCAGGGCCGAGAAGTTCATCCACCATGCGATTCATCGCAGCATCCTTGGAGATGGCAACAGATGCAGTCTCTGACGGCGCAACACCGTGAGAGATTTGATCGTCAGGGACAGGGACATTGGGCTCTCCGCGGGGAATTTCGGCCGGAAGTTCTACGGGGGCGACAGGCTCGGCCTTCTTGTCTGGGCTGGGCATGGTTTGAGACGGAATACCAGCTTCTTGGTAAACGAAACGCGTTCCAACGAGAGTCAGAGGTGCAGTCTAATTACGAATTAACATCTTCACGCCTTTTGTTTCTGGTTCTCACCAACCTGGTCTTGCGTCAACTGGAGACCATCGACAAGAAAATCGCGGATGCGCATCAGCATCTCCACATTAGGATGATTCCGCTCCAAACCTTCGTCGGACCATTTTGGCTTCAGCTCCTGACCGAGGTACCACATTTTTTTCGTTCTTTCGCTCGTTAGTGGCTGGAATGCGATCGTATCAACATCTTCCTCCAGCATATACTGCTCCATGGGGAGGTGACCGGGTTCGAAGGCCGAGACAAGCAAAGTCAATGTCTCAGCATAGGCTTTCCACATCTCTTGTACCTCCACCTTGGAGACCGATCCTTCAAAGCCTTCAATGTCGGCTGAGAGGATATGCCAGGTGTTCATGAACCAGGCGCTGTACAGGCGGAGTCCAGGGAGAATTCGGCGCGCGACTGCGGTAACCTTGTCGGCCAGCTGCTGGGATTGGTCATCCTCGCTTCCGTTGACATCTTCTCCGGTCAGGAATTCGAGCTCCGGTTGGAGGATCTGAAGCAAAACAAAGAAAGTTTTGACGTTCAAGCGAAGAAAGTAAAAGTAAGAGCGCAAATTGTGTGGCTCCATGCAGCCATCTGTAGCGATCAGTAAATGGTCAAGCTCATTGCAAAATATAAACTTACTCTGCAGCTGCTCGGATGCAAAATGCTCGGCTGCCACGTTGACCATGACGAATTTCTGCAAGAGTCCGTCCAAAGACCTCTCCTTCAGCTCCACTGCCAGTTGGCTCAGGACCTCATTCTCCAATTCGTCATGGCCAGCAAACTCTTCCCCCTTGTAACACTTGCTATGCAAACGTACGAACCAAGAAATCAGGGCGCGGTTGGTACCATTTCCTTCGCGGTTGGCTTGTCTGCCGATAAGCTCACCCTTTTCCCAAGAGTTGATGACTTTCTTGAACTCCACTTCCAAATTCTTCTTTGCCATAGGATGCGGTTGTTTCGTTGAAAGGGAGCGATACAGGTGGTATGTTGCGCGGAAGTGACTGCCGTCTGCAAGCGCAACGACTGCTTGCTGGTTGTGCGATATGCCAGAGTCGGGGTCGATCGAGGTTGCGAGACCATAGTATCCAACAGCGTAACTCCAGTTGCGGTCCTTTTCTTGTCTCTGAAGCTCACGGTAGCGTGAGAGATCGCCGAGCTGAATGATGCTGAGGTAGAGCGACGTCTTGACTTGACGCTTCATCTCCGCGGGAACATGTCGGACGGGAGTTTCGCGGGAGACTGAACACGATTAGTGTCATACGACATGATGACTGCAGCAGACAACGCACTGTCGTTCTTCCATGTTCTTGGAATGTCGCTCTTCCATGTCCTTGCAATGTCGCGTAGTTCGGGAATCCCTCCATAAGTGCGGTCCAAGCGAAGAACGAATTGGCGGTAGAAGCGCTGGCTGGCTTTGATGAACTCGAGGTATTGCTTCGTGACGAGACGTGTTTCAACGGCTCTGCTCTTGCCTTCCTTGTTCAACTGTTGGCGCGTCAGCACTGCATACGAGCCAAAAAGTGGATCCAGGCGCATACCAAGCTCAGCTGCTTGCGGAAGTTGGCATTGACCTTGCTGTGGACACCCCACAGCTGGGTTTCGATCTTGTGCTCGACGGCATATTGGAAATCGGCGAATATGATATTTTCGCAGGCGACGCGGAAGCTGGGCTCCGATTAGCACCGGCACGGAAACAGAGAGCGGACGGCGCACTCGGAGAGAATAGAGGTTATCTCTGCATGGCGGCTGCTTTGGTGGGCGAGCTTGGCGTTCAACTCCTGCTCAATATTATGAGCGAGCCTGTGACCAGTGTTCAGCAACATGGCTTTCGGCGTGGTAGTGATGGAGGGCGGCGCACGTCGCGGCTTGCTCGGCGGATGGGGCCATGCCTCGGGCGGTGGGGGTAGCTCATATATAAGACCTTGCGGTCGGCCACCGTTGGTCAAAAGTTAAAGGGACGGAACTGCGGGCGTGAGTGGGAGCCGTCACAATCCATGCCGCTTTCTCCCTGGAGCACGCAACAGCAGGCAGCGGCGGGGCGAAGAGAGGCGAAGCGGCAGAGCGGGCGCAGAAAAAGTAGCGGGCGGCGGCGGGGCGGGTGGGACAGCGGGGGCGTGGCGGCGGAGGAGTAGGAGGAGCTGCGCTGGGGGAGAGCAGCAGCGGCAGCTTTGACTGCGAGAGGAGCCGCGGCGCGGGCGTTGGGTCACGGACGTTGGTGAGCGGCGGAAGATGAATGACTGGAGGAAGCTCCACAAGCGAACCATGAGCCGCGCCGGCCTGCCGGGGCCAGCACCAAGCACCAAGCACCACATCATCGCTCCGCAAACATTCGCTGCCACCAATACAGCTTTTGCAGCCCGCCCGGCGCTTGCTGTTCGCAATCGAGCGCCCCTCTCCCAGCCACCGCCGTATCCTGTTTGTCGCCCAGCTGCAGCGCCGCCGCATTTGCATTCTGCCTGCCTGCCCTGCCATCCGAAACACCATTAATCTTACCCAACGGTCGCACTGCGCCGCGCTATTGACAGGGTCCCGCGGCACCGCCTAGCTCATTTACTCAGGTATTCCTGCCGATATGGCCAAGCGCTCGCGCGCCGAGTCCGCTTCGCCTGAGCCACAGCCAGACGCACCGCCCACAGACCCTACCGCCTCTGAGCCCGCCCTGCCGCATGTCGTCAAGTATGTCCATGTCGACTCTGCCGACACTTCCGCCTCGGCGCCTGTCGTCATGAGGTGTCAGCTGCCGGGCCACAGGCCGCTCGACTTCGCCACCTATGAAGAGTACGACGTCCACTACCGCAAGACCCACCTGAACCGCTGTTCAGAGTGCAAGAAGAACTTCCCCTCAGACTTGATTTTGGACCTGCATTTCGCTGAGATCCATGATCCTTTCAATGAGGCTCGGAAGGCAAGGGGGGAGAAGATCGTAAGTCGTAATTTCCAGGAATCTCCTAGCGTTTATTAACCCTCTCCCAAGTACGCTTGCTTCGCCGAAGGCTGCGACAAGAAGTGCTCCGAACCGCATAAACGTAGGATGCACATGGTGTCAAAGCACCATTTCCCAGAGGTGTGTTTGAGATACTCGCCCTTTCATGGCTTTCATTTGACTGAGACATCGTCAGGACTACGACTTCGCCATAATCAAGGATGGCATCGATGGTCGCAGCTCCATGCTTCGTAGCAGCAGGAACGACATCTACACCCGCAACCCGAAGAAGAAGGCGGCCGAAAAGGCAAGAGCAAAGACCGAGAAGACCAAGGCTGATGAAGATAATGCCCCAAAGACTCAGACTCACATCATCTTCGACGAAGATGGCAGCACGCCGCAAATTTCTAAGCAAGAGCCAGAGCAGAAGCAAGACCACCCGGATGCAATGGAAGTGGTTAACCCAACTAGCGAAGCACCATCTACTGCAATTGCCTCTCAGGACATAGAGATGGGGTCCCTGGAGAGTGAGCACCCGAGTGGCTTGGCGGCCTCTAAGCACGCTACGGACCTCCCTCCCCCAACCGTCAAAGGCCCTCAAAAAAAGGGCAAGAAAAAGCAGAACAAGAAGAAGGATGACCAGGACAGCAACATCAAAGGCACAGACAGTACGCGTGAAGGTACTGAACCTTCATCCGAAGCTGTTGATGAAGCCACTGATCCTATGGAAGGACTCACAAAATCCATGTCCTCACTAAAATTCGTACCGCCTAGCATTCGCTTTGGCAGAGGCGGTAGAGGGAGGGGCCGAGGAGGCTTTGCTAAAAGCTGAGTATTGCGTCAGGTCATGCTACCTCAAAGCTCAACAGTTCGTCACAGGTCGTCTCACAGATTCAGCTCCAGTAATCTCTCTGCATGCTTCGACGTTGCAATTCATTATTAACGTTGGTTGTACAGAGACCTTGGTTTCAAAGCTTCACGGCATGTTTTAGACTCGTGGCACGCAACACGAAAAACGTTCAGCCCGCTTTGAGAGACAGAGCAACGTCAATTACGACTCTTCTTGTAGAGGCGCAGAACAACATGCGCTCCGTGAGGTAATCTCTTGTTCAATTCGCGCGAGCCTGACAAGGCAACCTTTCTTGAAAATCACGTCTTCCCAAAACAGAGTCAATTTCTTTCTCATTGGTGACTTCCACTCTAGACGGAAGCAAAATAATCTACCTGAAATGTATTAAAAGCCTTCCTTTTGCCATGCTATGCATTGTTTGATCTCCCCCAAAAGAACTCCATGCTTTTCCTACCAGCCCGCAGAAATGCAAATGACAACTTCATGTGCTCCAGACAGCCAACCATGCTTTTGATCCACTTGTTCCCTCCGATGAAACCTGTCCAATGAGCATGGATCCCTATGAATGCCCCCTGGCCCCACCCGCTCGTAAATCGTCGCGGCCTTAACCACCTGCAGCAAATTGGCTCTTCGCCCTCAGCGCCTTGCCATACTTCCACAGCACCAACGGCGCAGGCAGACCCAGCACGATACCAACGAGGCCGAGCAAAGTGTTCCCCCAGCCGTCACCGAGGGCCTGGTACATGTACGGTGCAAAGAGCGGGAAGCCGAAGCCGGCCAAGCTACGCAGGACGGTGGCGGCGCTGATGGCGCTGGCGGCGAAGCGCGTGTAGGCGTCGACGAGGTACGTCTGGATGCACTGGAAGGCGACGATGACGCCGGCGGCGAAGATGGCGGCGCCGATGTTGGGCATGATCCAGTGGACCTGGGCCTGGGCGCTCCAGCCGTACCAGAACAGGCCGACGGGCACTAGCAGCGCGCCGGGCACCATGAGCGGGACGCGGAACTCGGGCAGGCCGACGCCGCCGTTACGGTGCTTGAAGCGCACGTAGATCTTGTCGTTGAGGCGCGCCGCGACCTGCACGCCGATGAAGAAGCCGACGGCCAGCGAGATGTAGTTGAGGCCGCCGATGCCGACGGATTCGCCGTAGGTGGTGGTCCAGAGCGAGGGGAAGGTGGAGAGGACGAGGTACATGAGGCCGTACAGGAAGGCCATGTACACGGCCAGGAACTGGATGATGGGTTGCGTGAAGAGCAGGCGGAAGGGCCGGATGAGAGCGATGCCCAGCACCTTGGAGATGGTCTTGTCCGAATCGAACTCGGAGCGCAGGGCCTCGTTGCCCGTCTCCTTGCGCAGCCGCGCAGCCTTCCACTTCAGCAGGACGGGCGCGTACGTCTCTTGGAGGTAGAAGAAGCCGAACACTTGAATGACGGCGTCCACAATGGAAGTTGCCCAGAAGACCCATCGCCAGGTTGTGTTCTCGGCAATGAAGCCGCCAGCGATAGGGCCGGCTGCGGGTCCGATGAGAGGCGCCAGACTGTATACACTGATGGCCTTTCCACGCTGCTCGGGCAAGAACATGTCTGAAAGGGTACCACCGCCAATGGCCAAGGGCGCGGAGCCTCCGAGGCCAGAGAGGAATCGGAAAGCCATCATTTGGCCCTTGGTCTGCGCAAAACCGCATCCGATGTTCCATGCCAGGTAAAATGCGTTCGCAAGCTGCAAAACGAGGACTCGACCGTAAACCTCCGAGAGGGGCCCGAGAATTAGAGGGCCAACGGCGTATGCGAGAACGAAAAGCGACAGCATGAGAGCCTCTTCGATTTCCTGGTTGACGCCGAGCTCCTTCGCGATAGCAGGTAGAGCCGGTGCGACCATGGATGAGGAGACGGGCGAGATGAAGGTGAAAGAGGAGACAACCAGACAAGCAGCCCACTTGCGACGGAGGGACCAGTTCTTCGGATTGGCGGGATCTTCAGGCCCTTCCCAGCTGACAACATTAGGGTCTTTTGGAGGAGCGGATTCTTTAGCCTGTTCTTTGGCGAATTCACCCTTCTCGACGTCCCTCACGTCGGGAATACCATCTCGAACTTCCGGGATCTCGATACTTCCATCGTCGTCTTGGTCGTTGCCCTTTTTCTCGGAGTCAGAGTCATCGGGAGTGCGGTGAGAAGAGGTACCGGGGCGGTGAGTTGATGGGTAGTCCTGGGCCGATTCATCAGCAGCACGGTAGATGCTGTGGTCGTCGAGGTGTTGAGCCGAGTAGACGCGCTCTAAGTTTTCGGAGCCGGATGGGCGACTCCTAGTGCGGGAGAGCGACAAGCGGCGGGGGTCCTCATCGGCCATGATTGCTTGGCACGCAAAGCTTCGGCGTAGGGCTGAAAAGCTTAGCAGGTGTCAATCACTCGCCAAAGATATGGGGAGTGGTATTCCTGGCTCTGAGAAGAGACAGGGGCGGCATGTCGTCAGAAAGAGAGGTCGGCAGCGTATATACAAGGGCAGATTATGCAAACAGGAGCCTCGGAAAGGCGCAGAGCCGACGGGCTGCACATTTTTTTCACGGCAAAGAGGCAAGTGCATTCGTGTAGGGCTCCAAAGGAACGGGGAACGGAAACTCCGTGCGCTCCCGGCACCGCCCCTCGGTCCACGACACAACGCCGTCCGTGGCTGCTTGTTTGTACACCACCACACGGACTCTTACAACATCAGCGGCTGTTCCCGCCTCTTGCACATTGATTCAAAAATATGGCCCTTTGTTGGTTTCATGCGCCTCAAAACACTGAACAAAAGAAAGTCGATTCGGCAAATCTGAATGACGTACAGAGACTAACTAGCCAGTTTAGGACTAGCGTTCAATGATCAATGGAGTTAAGCTATCCCCACCACCGAGACACCGCGACTTTGAATGGCGAACTCCGTTCAGGAGTATTTTGTGCACTCGGTCCTCTGCAATGCGGTGTGAGAGCTGACTACGGCGTGAATAGGCCGCCAAACCGTGATGTTGTACCGCTGTAACACACCTCGCGCAATCCTTTCCTTTTCTGTACTCGATATAATCGCATCTGCTTCTTCCCGTATGTGAGTACAGTCATCTGCGGTGAATCCTCCGGCCCCACGTAACAGGGACATTCAGCCAGTTTGGATCTCCATGACCGCCTGACTGACCGACGGATCCTGATCCTTGTCGTCCAATGGAACGTTTCGAGACCCAATCGGTTGCCTTATCTTATCGCCAGAAACCTCAAATCAATCGTCGGTGATTATGCTGTCTTTCATGCAGCCTTTCGTATCGGTGTCATGGAATCCTTTTTCCAGCCGTGTTATTCGTATTAACCAATGAGCGTTGCATCCAGGATGGTCAACATCCTCCGAGTGAGAAGGCCAATGCAGGCCTACTTCCAGAAGCAGCTCAACTTATCGCCCTTGCCAATGACCAGGAAGAGCCTCTGTCCTTGCGTCGACTGTGCCGTCTTCTTCTCGATCTCCCCCGAAAGCTTTGCGAACTCCTCGACGTGACGTTGAAACTTCAGCACGACCAGCTGCTTCTCGCGTTGCTGGTTCTCCACATTCTCCGAGTCATTCGACAGCATCTTGGACGCATCCGTCTTTCCATGGAACCTCAGGACAAGTCTGTTGCGGAAGCGGGCTCCGGACTTGTCGCTGGTCGTCTTGCGCTGCTGGGGCTTCGGCGTGTCATCTCCCATATCGGCCTTCTTCTTCTCCACACGACCGCTCTTCACGGCGCGAACTGTCTTGGTCCTCATCTTGACCGGTGGCGCGTTGCGCACGTGTAGTATGCTGAGCTTGCGAAGTTTTTCCTGGACGTTGCGGTAGCAGGCTTCCTGGCGATGGCGCAGAAGCTCTTCGTCAGTGAGGCAGGCGAGCGTGGTGCAGGGCGAGATGATGCTGGTGTTGTCGTCGTGGAAGGCGCCGACGGCGGGCTGGCGCAGGGAGCAGGTGTTGCAGCCGTGCTCGAAGCACGGTGTCGCGAGAGTGATCTTGTCTTTGCCGTAGCTGAAGCGGTAGAGGGGTTTGCGGCAGTTGGTGCGTCGGGTGGTGATGGGGGAGGAGGTGACGGGTAGCAGCTCGGATGGGGGAAAGTGTGCGCAGAACGTCGTCATGGCGGCGGGTCACGGTGCGATTCACGCGCTACAATGCTATTACGTTTGCTATTGTGAGTGAGCAGCTGGGAGTGTCACGTTATTATTGTCGCCGGCGAACAGTGCAGGTGAAGCTACCAGAGCTTGCAAGTGAGGTTTGAACAAACGTCGAAGTGAGGAACATAAGTGAGGAAGTTTCTACAATCAAGTAGAGGTGAGAGCACAAAGCCTTTATCTTGCCACGCTCTGTCTATTGTTGGAAGCTTGTTGTGGGAACAAAGCGCATTAAATTTAGGCGCCCGGGACCGTCCAATATGCTCAGAAAGAACTTCATGATGGTCTTTCAGACAATAAGACATCTGCGGGGATAACATCCATGAAAGCTGTGCGTGCGTCATCTGCGATATGGAAAGTGTTTGCTAGGCAGCCGGCGGGCCCATGGGTGAAAATGGTCCTGCGAGCCTGTGCGGCAGTGACGAGGTCCACCACAGGGCTGTCAAAGCAATATAGACGGAACAGTAGGAAGCAAAGTGGTCTCTGGGAATATGTCGAGCAAGATTCTCATAGGTATATAAATGATCAAGTTAGGCCGTACTGTTACCTTCGGGTAAAACACGCACTACGTGGTGCAGTGGTATGTTCAATGATTTGAACGAAAAGAACAGGCTAACTGCACTTGGTCCCCATTAGGCAATGAATTCGGGCTCAAAACAAAAACAACTCCACCAAAACTCCACAAAAAAACCTCCTCTGAAGGTTTCTGTTATGAAGTCCTACCCGAAAAATTGGCTATAAAGCCCGGGCAAGTTGACTAGTGATTACAGTTTTGCCTTTTCTTTTTTTAGGATATAGTTGCTGCTCTAGGCGTGTTTTGAATGAGAGCGGTCTTTGTTGCGATGTACCGGTGGACGGGTAATGTTTTATGATTAGGAGACGTCACGGATAGCATTTACCTTTGAGACTCGTATGAGACGGTAGAGGCGAGGCACACATAGTCAGAAGTGCGATTTCCATAAACGATGAATAACTGAGTGATTGCTATGCTATGGACGCTCGATAACGCCAATGCACCCAGCAATTCTCCTCCCCACCTATATTTTTCTCTTTCACCAACCTCACGGACCTATACCACTCTCCCTCACGGGCACATCCGCCCATGCCCATCCTTCTCTTCCGCCGCCTCACACGGCCTTCCATCCAACTGCTCCACAATCCTCGCCCTCTCATCCTCCATCTCCATCGCCAGAATCCGCTCATACGCCCCAGCCACAACGCCCTCCTCCCCCTCCAACAGCTCTGCCGCATTGCGCTCCAACAACCCCACGAACGCCCTTCTCTTCCGCTCCGCCTCCGCCTCGACCACCTCATCCACACAGATGGCGCACGTGAACGGCTCGTCGACGACGAACGGCAGGAGCGGCGGCAGCGGCGTCGCCGGCGTCAAAGGGGATGCAATGTGGTGGTCATTTCTGCTGTTGGTAGTAGCGACGAAGACGTGCGCGCAGTTGGAGCCGCAGGGCGTCAGGAAGGGCGTGCGCACGACGTGGGCGCACGGCGCGAGGCGGTGGTGCGTCGAGAGCGGCGCGGCGCAGATCTGCGGCGGCCAGGGAACGGCGGAAGGCGGGCAGGTCCACGGCGACGACGGCGGCGGCGGTGCTACCGTCACGGTCGGGATTGCGGTTGCGTCGTCGCCGACTTTTTCGGTGGGTTCTGGAGTGGTGGGATTGGTGGAAGCGGAGGACGAGGTGCAGGTGTAGGGAGAGGAAGTGAAGTCGGAGCCCTTTGGAGGAACGTCGGTGAGTAGGTGAAGTGTTGGGCGCGGGCGGAGGACGTTGGCGATGCTTGGGATCAGTGGGGTGTGGAATTTGATAGTGGAGGACTCGTTGAAAAGTTCGGGGTTGTGGCGGAGGACGGTGAAGGTGTGGGTGCTTTTCTTCTTGATAGAAGCGAGTTTGGCGATTATCGATGGCATGCTGCGCAAGTCAAGCTCTCTGATGATGGTCGCTTTGGGGTCAGGGTACTTAGTGAACTGTAGAAGAATTGACTTCTTATTGGTAATACTGGATTGAAGAGCGGCTTGAGCAAGATGCCAGGCGTACCGTTTTATCTGAGAGTGATTGAAGGTCCATTGTTTGCATTGTTCTCCCCACTCAATCGCAACTTTCTTTCAACGCCTTTGACAAAAGTTTGTTCAAAGCCACCTACGTGCATTGTAATGATCAAACTCCTCGGCTGAATTCAAACTGCGAGATTTTTGATCGTCTGGTTGGGTATCTACGTAACAAGGGTCTTCATTTATACTATTTTGGGTGTATCATGACATCTGGTAGCCAATCCCAACGAACTCGACGTTATCACCCAACACAAACTCTAGTGTTCCAAACAAGCGACCGAGAAGCAATATCTGCAAGTATATGTAGTGTGTTGCATTGCACGAAGAAGCATTGATCTGGCCATTTCGAGATGCAGTCGCTATCGACGTCTCCCGGTCAGATGCTGATCGACCTGCCATCCATTTTTTACTATTACACGGCCCTCACCATCTCTGACCCGTGGGGCGAGGAGTTCGATTCGGAAGAGATGGTGGGATGTGCCAATTGTGTAAAGCCCTGTGTATCCTGCAGACAGCACCCCAACAGCAGTCGACTGCACCACCTTGACTGCAACCACATTGTTGAGACCCGGTATTCTGAGGATTGTGGTAAGAACTGCATGAAGTTTACCGCTGCGCTCAATAGTGGCCCTGAAACAGGCGAATTGCTTCCACCGCTGCCATGCACGACATGCGCAGAGGCCAACATCGACTGGGATAAGATCGACTTCAAACAAGTCCTAGTATCGGATCCAGAATCGCCGACAGAATACTCTGAGCATTTTCTACTTAGTAGAATCACCGGCATCAAAACACAGCTAGTGCTCAGGCGGGCAGCATTCGAAGCGAAAGTGAATGGATGGCGGCTTTGCGAAATGATTTTTCACCCGGAAGACACCATGGATTGGGAAGAATGGTTTAAGGGCACAAATATAGGGGCTGGAACTTTCCTTCAGACCAAAGGTCTGATCCCACGACCTGTGCAGCATTTATTGCCTGCGTTTCCAAAGCTTGAGCTTCCAAAGTGGTTCGATCAGACCGGATATATTCCAATGACTGAAGAACCAAGGATTACCCGCGGATCCACCAACTCAGGAAAGTCGACTCTACACATATGGGCCCCAACGGCGCCAAGGTATGCCATAGCGGAGCGAATGGCCGAGATCATTGAGCAACCAGACGAGGGTCAAGCCAATTCGCCGCAGGCTCTAGCAAGCAGAAGCACTCTACGTTTTAAGAAAAAGAGGAAGGTGCATGAGATTATATCGCGCGCCGGGTCAAGGAGAACTGCATCTTTGAGACACCGGGCATCCCAGGGCCAGCTACTAGACAATCCAGGCAACAGGGCCAAGAAGAGAAGACGACTCAGCAACAAACATCCCAAAAACGAGGAGAATACGCCATCCTGGGCTTTCCCTGAAGGGTGGACCGAGGTGGATGCCACGCAGGAGATACTTCCAGTGCCGTTGCGCCGACCACGAGCGCAGCGATCTGATACATTTATGAATGCCGTCGAATTGGATATATTGCCAAAGTCCTTGACCTATACTGGAAGGTTTCCTCGCACCGAGGCTCTGAACCGAGAGGACGTGGCTCGAGGTATCGGCAATACTTTAGTCGGTCCATCGGCCAGAGGAATTCGTCGCGAGGTATACAATCGCAGGGCGTCTATCTCAGCTTTCCCTCCAAGCACGGGCATTTCTAGTGGTTTCATGGGGGAGCGTGCTGGTGCTGATATCGATTTTCCTTTGACTCTCGAGACCCTCGTACGCAGATCCTTGCAGATGGAATGGGAGCCCAGTTACAGAACTAATCGCACCCATAACGTGGTCCCGTCGCACCCGGGCAAGCGATCCTTGGGTGGCGGCCAACCGCTCGCGAGGCCAGAAACCCCATCTGGAAAGAAGAATATATTAGAAAAGGTGTGGGGTTTCTGTAAGAAGATTTTTCGATTCTTTTTGAACATGTTTTATCGTTTTGGTTCATTCTGTGCGAGGGTTACGCCCATCAACTTTCCACTTGGAAGGATTTAATCCGCGAGTGCACCGGCACTCGAGCCTGTTCGAAACCGCAATCATTAGATCGTTTGGGGGAAGGTCTCGTGCCTGCGATTGGTATTGCAATAGAGTTAATTACAATAGAATTATCCTCGATGAAGATTGAATGAGAGGGTATGTACAGTACAATAGCAAATTCGTGAGAATTCCGGGCCTCCTCTCCTACAAATTCGACAGGAGCATTCAAGGAGGCGGGGCCAGATCCAGGCCCTCAACAGTGAACTTGAAAGCATCATGGCGAGCGTAGGAACCAGCAACATCGATATCAAGGCGGCCCCTTTCGCACTCCTCAAAGTCCACCTCGACCGCCAGAACATCTTCTTCAATTTCCCAAGAAGGCCCAGCCAGAACCTCGCCGTACGGGCCAACGATGCAAGAGCCACCTCTGCAGACGAATTCCTCGTCGGCAGCAGAAGAGGAAGACTGAAGCGCTGGGAGAGTGGGCCTCACGTCATCATCTTCAGAAATGGCGGATGAGTTAGGACCGTGGCCATTGACCTCCTTGGTGGGGATGCAGATCTCGTGGCCCTCCTCCTCAATCGTTAGCGTGGACCTCCTACGCCCAGACTTGAGCTTCGGCTCCACCACGTGGCCCTGCTCTTTCTTCTGTCCCTGTGGATCCCGAACCCAGGCGGGCAGGTGCTTCCTTTTGACGCACTGGTTGGAGGAGAGAACATAAGCCCTGCTTTCATTTGCGACAGTCCTCATGAGCGGCAACCACGTATCCCTTGCGTCGGCCGTCGGTGCCAAGTACAGATTGACGTTCTGCGAATAGATGGCAAAGCGCGTCAGCGGCATGAAGTTCTCCCAGCAGATGGCGGCGGCAAAAGTCAACTTGACGCCCTTTATCGTTGCCGTCACGGCCTTGAGCGTCTTCGCCTGACCCTGAGCCCAGATCAAGCGCTCACTGCCGGTGGGCATGAGCTTCCTGCGCTTGCCGATGGCACCACGCTGCGGGCACACGTAGATGACGGAGCAATACAGGCTGCCGCCGCTGCGCTCAACCAGGCCCGTCACCACGAAGACGCCCGTCTCGCGCGCGATGCGCTCCAGCTCCTCGCGCGTGCCGTCACCGCGGTACTTAGCGCCCCGCGCTACCGGCAGCCGACGCTCCACCCAGTCGTCGCCCGCATCCAGCGGCGTGTCGCCCAGATCGACGGCGTCGTTGAAGTAGGCCAGGAACTGCTCGCGTCCGACCGGGTCGCGTGCGCCGACACAGGCCCCGAAGCTGCACGTCCGCGGGTAGCCGCCCAGGTACGCTTCCGGGAAGAGGATCAGGTCGACGCCCTGCGCTGCGGCTTTGCGCGTCATCTGCTCAAGCGCCCGGACTGTCTCAGCAGTGGTGTCCAGGGTGCGCGCTTGCGCAACGGCGAGCTTGAGGGTTTTGGGCATGGTGGGATTGAGAAGGCGAGAGGAAAGGTCAAGGCGGCTGTCAATGTGTGGAATGAAGGATTGAAGATCCCAAGGGACTGAAGAAAAGGAGAAAAAAGGGCGTAAGAGTCATCGTTGCTCAGAAGTGGAGTGAAGCTGAATGCGGGGACTTGTGGTAGCGAATGGAGCTATCGGAGCTATCCGAAATCGGCAGCCTCGGCATCTCCGGCATCAGTCACGTCATTTAGTCACGAACAAAGCACATCTGTACGTCGGCCTTGCCATGCATACTGTCGTCTTCTTTGTCTTCTCTTGCCGGTCTAGGCGACGGGTCCCACTGCCCGAGAAGCCGTGGTCTCAAGATCCTTACCAGAATATAATAGCTCAATCCGAAATGGTCTCCTGCTACAATGTCTAGTAAATCAGCAAAAACCTTTGCAATTGTGTAGTCGAATTGATTTGCATTTCATGAGTCTACCAAACAACACTCTGCCATCGAACCAAGCTTGCCGATCATGTCAGTCATCCATTCATCCGCCGCCCACTTATATCAGTCATGTCCGAAAACCTTGGATTCTGCATCTCTACTTAGCAGACTTTGTGTTCCTTGAAAGCAGTCTTATCTTCTCTTGGGTTTGATCAGCTCATTGAAAGTCTGCTCCACGCCTCTCTTAACCTCTCTGTAGCTGACCACCAGGACGTTCTGCTCGTCCCTGCTCACCAACGAAATCTTCTCGTCGCTGCCCACGTCGAGCTTGTTAAGACAGTTGATCACATGTCCGAGATCGACAACAGGCTGCCCATTTGCATCCACCTGGTGGAAGACGTAGTCTCTGAAAAGTTTAAGATAGTATCGCTCTCCCGTCTCAGACCATTGAGGATTGTTCTCAAACTCCGGGCGCTCGTTGATAAAGTTGAGCTTCGCCACCAGACGGACCAGGCGGCCGTTCTCGAGCTCGCGTCCCAGGTTGGAGGTCAGGGTGTCCTCAGCGTGGAATGTATTATCAAGAAGAATGGTCATCTTGTCAGAAATGGACCGTATGAATGTAGAAATGTCTTTGGACGGCACTCCCGGCGTTTGCATGCCCTGTGCCGCTGGCGGCGGGCTCAGGAGCCAAGAAACACACTCGATGAGGTCCTTACTGTAGCTTCGCGAAAGTATGTCCAATGCCTTCTGCACATTGACAGGGTTGATTGAGTTGTTGCTTGCTATTGTGATAATGAGGCGCCCAAATTGTTGGAAATCCTCTTGCTGAAGCTCCTGCACAGGGCGAATGTTATCAAAGTTGAGCAGATCGAGGATCGCACAGCTGTTCAGACGGATTCGATTTTTCGATGTAACCAGGACTTTGCTTGGATGAATTAATCTTGCCGCCAGGTTGTTGTTGTGGATTGCTTTCAGCGCAGACGCGATCTGTACGACGTATCCCCAGATGACCGCTTCCGGCACAGTGTGCGGATTGGCACGGTTGTGGTATCCGCGAGGAGCAACATTAAGATGCTGCTCCGAAAGCGTCTTGGACAGGGGGTGATAGTCGGTTACGAAGATAAGTGAACTATCACCGAATGCGCGGGTAGTGAATGCATCATGGATAGCCACAATACTTCCGTTATCAATGCGTTTCCAAGGTCTCACGGAGAAGATGGCTTGCTCGCTGGTCAAGCGATACCCTTCGAGCCTCCGGAGGGTGTAGGTGAGCCCATCTTTGCTCGACATGGCCTTGTAGACCCAAGTGGGATAGCCAAAAAGTGAAGCATTTTTCTGGTTGTTGGTGTCCAAAGGAACAAGAGAGTGGAAGTGATCTACGGCACTGGGAAGAGAAGAGTTGGGAAGAATTTGGCGGGTTGCTTCCGACTTGCGCTGCAAGTCCTCTCGAAGATGGTCAGGAATGAAGAAGTCGTGCGTAGTCTTTTGATAAGCCAGTAGGTTCTCGGGGTGGGGGCCCATAGGAGCGTAAAGGTGATATTGGATAGGTTGGGTAAAGCCAGCAGTGTTCTGGAAGAATGCGGCTCCGCTCATGGCGGCCGCTTCTTGAGTATACGGATTGAGTTGGGCGGCATGGTTGGCAGGACTCATGCCACCTATGGCAGAGGACGCCGCGAAGGTATCGTACGGGTTCAAGGCAGCAGCTTGGACAGCACTGTCGCCCTGGAAGCTGTTAGGTATCTGGAAACATTCTCAACCAGGCTGCACCATGGACAGTGTAGTATGACATGAGGCAACGATAAGAGGCAATTTGTCAGGTGTCAAAAGTGCGCCACGCGGCCTGCAGGGCAGCATTGCACGCTGGCGATCTCGGGCACCGGCTGAAACGTGCTCAGGAGATGCATGCACGCTGGTTCAAAGCACAACGCAGCGAACGAGGGCGGAGGACAATGGCCAAAGTGCACTTTGAAGACGCACTCACCTGAACATCAAAACCTTGGGGCACGAACTCCTGGAAGTCGTGCCCGTGCCACTCCGGTGTCGGTTCCTTCGCATGGACGGCAAGGCTCGCCTTGACCTGCGACTTGGGGGTAAAGACGGCGGCATTCGCAGCCTTGGGCGATATGGTAGTGGCGCGGGGCGAGGAGGTGACGCCGTTGGTGGATGGTTGGAGAGGGGTAAAAGATGGGGAGTCGACGTTGAAGCGCTTCTTCGCGTTGTCGGCCTGCTGCTGGGCTATCTTGGAGGGATCGTGCTGGAAGACGCAGCCATTGTGCTCGTGGCGGCAATGGCCGTAGATAGTGACATTCCGGCAGAGAATGTTGCTCTTGGGGTTGTAGTCTGGCGGGGCACGGTCAGCGAGGAACGGGGGCGGGTCGTCGCTCGGGGCAGTACCACGTCCTTTGTTAGGTCTCGGCGAAGCGACTGCCCGGCGGCTGTCACCCGGGCTTCCTCCAATTGCTGCCATCAGCGCAAGAGGAGTGCATGCAGCATGGTCGGGCAGGCGCGCGGGATGGGGAGGCTACGAGTCGAGCGAGCGGGAGCGGCGGCCTCCTTCGGCGGCGGAGGCTGGGCCGGGGTGGCTGTGGCAGAGTTGTCGCGGGCCGGACGAACAAAGCCCATCCATCGGGGAGCAGGGCGCGGGCAGGAGGGTTGAGCGTCGAACGCCTTGAGCGCGTCGGCGGGCTGCACGGTGGGCGAAGGTGCGCTGATGCCAGAGCAGCGCCCCCAGCCGCGCGCTGTCGCCCGCTTACCCGCTGTGATCGGAAGCTTCGAACACCCCCGGTCACCGCCTCCGGCCTGCCGTCATATCAGCTTAGCGTGCCCGCAATCCTCAAGCAGCCACCTTATCCACTGCGCTCTCCCGCAACCTTCGCAGCACTCTTGCACGCCTGCGCATTCTGGGCCTCGCTGCTGCTGCCCCGCGCGGTCCCAGCCTGCCCTCGCCTGCGCCATGGCCGAGCCCAACATCGACATCGGCCAGCTGTCCGAGGACCAACAGCTGGCACTCCAGCAGTTTACCGCCGTCACCGACCAGAGTGTTGAGCAGGCGATCCCGCTGCTGCAACGCTGCCAATGGAACGTCCAGGTACGTCCGCGGAGCCCTCCGCACCTCCGCAGCCTCTCTTTGTTAACTTGACGCAAGATCGCAATATCCAGGTTCTTTGATGGCGAACCCGCCGAGCCCGTCATTCCAGAGGAGTCGATACCCGCGCCACAGGACCCGCGCCGCAGAGAAACGCTTGCCAACGGCTTTGGCAGTTCGTCTCGCTCTTCGTCCGCAGGCAGGCGGGCCTTAGAACCGGCGCCGCGCGTTGTTCCGCAACCAGAGAGCCAGGTCACCCACCAGGCGCCCTTGCTACTCTCCGTCATCATCTTCCCCTTCCGCTTCGCCTACGGCATCGTATCGCGCTTCTTCAACCTCTTCTCCTACCTATTCCCATTCCTTCCGCGCCTTTTCGCAAGTCGAGCCGCCTCGCAAGGACGCAGGAGAGATACCAGCGGGCGTCGTTCCCTCAGCCCTCGAGACACGGCTGCCAGGTTCATACGGGAGTTTGAGGAGGAATACGGGAGTCATGAGCTGCCTTTCTTTGAGGGAGGTTATGCGCAGGCGTTTGATCTGGCCAAGAAGGACCTCAAGTTCCTTCTGGTCATCTTGATCTCGCCGGAGCATGACGACACCACATCGCATGTGCAGGAGACATTGTTGGCCCCAGAGGTGGTGAACTTCTTGAAGGACCCGCAAAACAACATAATCGTTTGGGCTGGAAATGTCCAAGACGCCGAGGCATACCAGGTGTCCAATGCACTGAACTGCACCAAGCTCCCGTTTGCTGGACTCATAGTGCACACCCCCTCGGTTTCGTCTACGGCAATGTCCGTCGTCGCCCGCATTGTTGGCCCAACCCCGCCGTCCACTTTCATGTCCAGACTCCAGACTGCCGTTGCCCAAAACGCAGAACCATTGAACCGGGTCCGGGCTACGCGAGCGGAACAGCAGGCGGCGAGAAATATCCGCCAAGCTCAAGACACCGCATATGAGAGATCACTTGCGCAAGATAGAGAGAGGGCAAGACAGAAGCGAGAAGCAGAGGAGGCCAGAAAGCGCGCCGAGCAGGAGGAGCGCGAGAGGCAAGAAGCGAAGGAAAGAGAGGCACGCAACCTTGAGCAATGGAGGAAATGGAGGGTACAGTCCATCGCTTCGGAACCAGACAACGACGTCAAGGATGTCGTCAGAATTAGTCTGCGTATGCCGTCTGGCGACAGAGTCGTGCGGAAGTTTGCGCCGGATACTTCGATCGAAGAACTCTACGCTTTCGTTGAGTGCTACGACTTGCTCCAAGACGACGCAGCGGAAGCTGGAGCGGAGAAACCCCCGTCGTACAATCACGAGTACAAGTTCGTTCTCGTCTCACCTATGCCGCGCGAAGAGTTCGGGTTGGAGAAGGGTGGGACTGTTAGGGAACGCATCGGCCGCAGCGGCAACCTGATTGTCGAAAGGACAGACCTCGAGGACAGCGAAGAAGAAGAGGAGTAAGATATGTTTGATAATTGGGAAGCATTGGAACGGAGTCAACTAGCGATTGATATTGGGGCCGGAAGCGGGCGGCTGTTTCTCATCGTGGCTCACTGTGGCGTCAAACGGTAAATACATGGCGTAGGAATCCCATAAGAGCCCCTGCAATAAAGCCACTTTAGACTTGTTCTCCCACCGGCGATCCGACCCTGGTCTGCTTTGTTTCTTGGTCCAACGGCTGTTTCCCGTCTCCGGTGGATCGATCATCTCTTTAGCGCATCTGGTTACTCGCACCGGTATGCGGGGCATAGTCCACGAGCCCGGTTCGCGCACCCGACATGCGACTCGTGGAAAAACTTCCCGAATGACTCCGGAGCCTTTTGGACCGACCACGCTGTCTTCTGCATGTCGTTAGCGTGGAGGAGTTGTTCACCAAGGCGACCGCCGAGATGGTGGGCGGCGCCCCATCCGCGGAGCCTTACCCCAGAAATCTCCGCATTCAATGCCGAAGACAAGGATTGACCATTTACCCGGCCTCCACACCTCGTCATTCATCTTTCAAAACTAGCTGAAGCGGTCAGCCCACCGCGTCGCTCTCGTGTTTAACGTGCGGTACCTGCATCGCGCACGCCTGATAGCGGCGCGTCTGCCGAGCCGCATCCCCTCTCATCATGTCGTGCAAATTTCCGCTCCTGTACTATTTAGAATCGTACCCCTCTCTCGCTATGTAGCTCTCTGCTGCACTCGCTGTGTCTGTCGTTGCTGTCTGCCACCATGCTGAGCTCGCTCCCTGTGGGCCTTTTGGGCCTAGCCGTTCTCTTGCCATCCACTCATGCTCGCATTCCACGCCTACCGCGCCAGTCCTCGGCTGCTCCATTCATCAATGCTACGGCCACGAATGTCAGCAGTGTGGCGCTGTCGATTAACACCAAGGACACGTCCCTTCGGAATACCACAGCTCCATACTTGTATGGTCTGATGTTCGAGGACATCAACCACTCGGGCGATGGCGGTATTTACGCCGAGCTGCTCACTAACAGGGCCTTCCAGGGTTTGTGATGAATTGGAAAAGCGATTGAGCCCCTTACTAACGCCTGCTAGGTTCGAACATTGTCCCTGGTGCAGTGGATGGCCTCGCCGGCAATGTTATCATCTCCAGCGAGAACCCGGTCGTCCCCTATGGACCGGTCCTAACAGGATGGGCTCCGATTGGAGATGTGCGGCTGACACTGGACGTGCTTCATCCGCTTTCTGAAGCTCTTCCCACCGTCCTCCAGGTCGACATTCCAGCGAACGCGACTGGAGAGGTCGGTATCCTGAACTACGGATGGTGGGGAATGGACGTTTCGCCTCAGACATACAACGCTTCCTTCTACGTCTTGGCGAACGAGCCGCGATACATGAACAACCAGACTACGTTCACAGTGTCGTTGCGGTCGAATCTCACAGGAGAGACGTTTGTCTCAGAGCAGATTGGCCCCGTGAAGGTCTCTACTTTCGATTACACCCAACTGAACGCTTCGATCGTCAATACTGTCACGGCTCCCAACTCGAACAACACCTTCGCCCTTACCATGGATGCTTCTGAGGTCGCTGGTCAGACTTTGTACTTCGGTCTCTTTTCGCTCTTCCCCGAAACCTTCAAGGACCGTCCGAACGGGTTGCGGAAGGACATTGCGCAAGCTTTTTACGACATGAAGCCACGCTTCCTGCGTTTCCCTGGTGGTAACAACCTCGAGGGAGTCTCTGTGGACAAGCGCTGGAAGTGGTGGAAGACGATTGGCCCGCTCAAAGACCGTCCTGGCCGGCCCGGCAACTGGAACTATTTCAATACTGATGGACTTGGTCTCTTGGAATACCTTGAATGGTGCGAGGATATGGAGATTGAGCCTGTGCTAGGCGTCTATGCTGGTTTCTCGCTTGATGTCTGGGGCCAATCCGGCACGGACTGGCCACAGGAGAGAATGCCCGAGGTTCTCCAGGAGGCCATTGACGAGCTTGAGTTCTGCATGGGTGATACCTCGACCAAGTGGGGCGCCAAGCGCGCAGAATATGGGCACCCGGAGCCTTTCAACATCAAATACGTGGAGATCGGCAACGAGGATTGGTTCTCCACCACCTATCCTCGCAGGTTCACGTTCCTGTATGATGGCTTGAAAGCTGCGTACCCGAACATCACCTACATCTCTACGGCGTACAACGAGCACCCCGACTACACCATCGATATTCCCGCCGGGGCCTACTGGGATACTCACCACTATGAAGTAATTTCTCTCATTGTCTCACAATTCTGCCCATTTGATTAACCTGTCTTTTGTAGGAACCAAGCTACTTCCTGCGGAACTTCGATTTCTACGACAACTGGCAAACCGACACCCAGAACGAAGACGTGGGTGTGTTGCTTGGGGAGTTCAGCGTTTACCAGCTCGACACGCCCGATGGTATCGTCAACTTCTCCAATCCGGCCGATGTTCACGTCTTCTACCCGCGCATGATCTCTGCGATTTCGGAGGGTGTCTACGCGCTAGGTGGTGAGCGCAACCCGAACACTGTCAAGCTTAGCAGCTACGCGCCCAGCCTTCAGAACCGCAACTGGTACAACTGGACTCCCAACATGATCAGCTACGACGCAGACCCCAGCAAGACGGTTCTCAGCACCAGTTACTGGCAGCAACTGCTGTTCGCCCACTATCGTGGGACGCAGACTCTGCCTGTCACCAACACTGAGGGCGACTTCAACCCGGTTTACTGGCAGAGCAGTATTGAAGAAGATACTGGTTCGATCTATCTGAAGGTTCGTTTACAGCATTTTGCAAATATTCACCGCTCTCTCCCTATGATTCGAAGTGCGACTACATGGATCAACATCAGACTAACACGCAGAACTCTAGGTCATCAATGCCGGCAACCAGACCATGCCTCTCAGCGTTATGATTGACGCTGCATACAGCAAGGTGAATGGTACCATCATGCAAAATGATGATATCAACGGCTTCAACTTTGTGAACAACCGGACGGCAATCATGCCCCGCCCGCTGGGTGCCAACGGCACTGAGGTGCCTGCCATATCTTCTGATGGAAGCTTCATCTGGACCGTGCCCATTCACTCTATCACTGTGCTGCAATTCGACCTGTGAGTTCGAAGCCGGTCTGACGGGATGATGCGAACTCAGGCCTAGATTTAACCAAGTGAAGAAGCATGATAGACCTAGAATTAAAGTATAATGCAAATCCATGTAATATTCAAGAACTATGTACGAAATATGCGAAGGGTGAATAGTATATGCTATGCTCGCTATGATTCATTTGCGGCTTTGTAATTGGCTTTCATATGTCCGCAGAGTGAAGACGACTAACCATCCCTCCAAAAAAACAAAGGGCATGAAGGAAGCAAGCGGTCATCTGCGCTTAATTTTTCCAGAAGCCATGTGCTTATGCTTACAGTCATGCACTCAAATGCACACGTGTCTTAACCACCAGCTTTGCAGCTGCCCGTGCTTTCTTCAATTAATTACCAGTTATCGCCTTTAAATTCCCCTTGCATCAAACGCACAATTCAGCGAAATCTCCTTAGACAAAAAGCCATTCATGTTATGTGGACTCACATCAGATCACAACACTGTCGTGTGAGGCGGGTGAGGTGAGTTGCGTTATCCGAGCGCAATGTCATCAGCATTGCGTGTATATGGATCTGAAGCGATAATAACCTATCAAACATTTTGAAGTATAGCATATGTTCATGATGATGCTAAGGCGCATTCGAACCTCAAGTCGAGGGCACATATTGTCAAATAAAGAGGAGTTACTTTTTATACATATGCTCTGAATGAGCTTGAGGTATCTGAGGGCTTGATCTCAGCAAACCTGCTCCTTACGGCTTCTATACAAATCAGTCACGGCATAGCATTGCTAGGATACACGGACTCGGCTCATGCCTCGTCCTTCGTCGTGGTCTCGTAGCGCTTGCCCCTAAACGCCCAGATACCCCAGTTGCCGCAGCTGATGTCCTGCGGGTCGAGGTCGTTGAGATCCCATCTCAAGCTCCTGAACCTGTTCTCGCCGGGCTCGAGCAGGATGTCGACCTCGCCACCCATCTTCTCCTGAACCCACTTCAAATCGCGCTGCATGTCGAACTCGGTGTAACCGGAAACGATGATAGGCACCTTGGTCTCGAGCAACATCGGTAGCGTCTCCTCCCATTCTGCAGAGCTGGCAGGGTGACCCAGACCCGGGTGGAAGAGCATGAAGCAGTCAAAGTACGGGTCGTAAGGGTAAAAGTGGCCGGCGCGGTGCAGGGTGTGGTAGTACTCCACATAGGTGCTGATCTTGAGCGAGTGTGCAATGCGGTCCTCGACGACGGCGCCGAATGGGTTGGAAGGCGTGCGGTCTGGCAGAGGGAACTCGTCATCGCGGTTCGCCATCGACTCGGGTCCAATGAAGTTCAAATGGAACGAAACACGCGGGAACATGTGTGCCAGTTGGATCCAGACTTCACGTGGAAGAGAGGATTCAGCCCGCGCACCAACGACAAAGACGCGAACCGGAGGCGGGTTGGGACGGAGACCCTTGATGTCTCCACCAGCGCCAGAGCGTGGAGGGTGAAGAGTGTAGCGAAGCGCTGTAAGAGTCAGCAAGGTCCCTAGTATTTACGTGCTAACTCAACCAATAATTCACTTACCAGACAAGGACTTGAGACCCTCGACGGTCAGTCTGCCCCCGCTCTTGGCGTTGTAGGGTGAGAGCTCGTGCAGGACGCTGCCAATAGTGACTGGGTAGGTCAAGAGCCTTGTGGCCTGACGCAGACTACGGTCGTCGTTAATGGCCTGGTGCTCTCGCGAATAGAGATATGTATCCCAATTGGTGAAGTTGACCAGCGCTTCCTCCATCTGCATTCCCGGGTACTCGAACTCCGGAAAGAAGCGGCCAGACCGTAGATCATGGTCGTCCTCGTTGATCTCCCGCAGAATGTCACAAATCTCCAAGTGACGTTCATAGTCATCCGCAAAATGTTCCTCACTGCAGCTCACAGGAATGCCACAGTCTGGGCACTCATATCGCACATGGGCCGGCGGGAGGGTGCCGTGGACGGCCTTCTGCGCCTCAGGGTCTTCGGGATCATTCGCAATACGGGTCTGGCGATGGCTGTGGTGCGGGCAGTAGGCATGCTGCTTCATGAATGCGGCGCGACGGCGGATCTCGGGCGAGGGCGAACTGGAGAAGGAATGGAAAAGGTTGTTCGGTTTCAGCAGCACGCTACGAGCTTGGCTGGCGGTGGTAGTGGCGTTCTCAAGGCCCGGAGGCGAAGGCGGCATGCGGTGGGCTTCATTGTTGGCGGCCTGGCTCTGAGTTCCCAGTGCGCGCCTTGCGGTGGTGGGCTGTTGTGGCAGCACTGAAGCGCGAGTGCTATTCCATCGCCGGGCGCCGGCCTGCAATTGCGGGACGGAAGAGGGCCGATGCGGGCGCAGGCCGCGCTGAATTGAGGCCAGGCATTTCTGGCACGTGTAGCGGGAGCGCATGGCGGGCAGGCGGGCAAGGCGGTCGGCGGCGCTGGAGATGGGTTGTGTTAGAACGCATGAGGTGATGTATTCCTGCGCACCGCGGGCCGCCGGCCAATCACAGCCCGCCGCCGGAATTTCGACCTAGAGCTTGAAGCTCCGCCGCAGCAACCCAGCCAACACCACACCCCGCGCCCTCCACTTCTCGCCACCGCCCTCGTCGTCGCGTCGCCTCAGCCTCGAGCTTCTTTCGCGCTCCGATCGCCTTTGGAGAACTCGACCCTGCGCTCTGCTCGAGGCCGCTAGGCCGACAGCATCTTCCGCCATGGCGACCACATCCAACCTGTTCATGTACTCTTTGACCATTCAGCCGCCCACCGCTGTGCACCAGGCTATTCTCGGTCAATTCGCTGGCACCAAGGAGCAGCAGATCGTCTCCGCCTGCGGCTCGCGTCTGATCCTACAACGCGCTGACGCGCAGACTCAGCGCATCACGACCATCCTCACTCATAATGTCTTTGGCATTATCCGCGCCCTCGCCGCCTTCAGGCTGGCTGGCTCTTCCAAAGGTATGTTCTAGCTAGCACGCTTTATTCAGGGCTCTATAGTGATTCTCCAAGTCCGCGACCAGCAACATCGCATCGCGCACCCTCAGCCTACCTGAATGCGACGCCCGCGGGGAGATAGAGAAGACGGGAATCTTTGGTTGAAGAATAGTGCTAAATTCTGCCACCTGGAAAACAGACTACATCATCGTCGCCTCCGACTCTGGCCGCATCGCCGTCCTCGAATACAATCCCAAGAAGAACATCTTCGTCCAGCTGAAGCTCGAGACTTTTGGAAAGTCAGGCGTCCGCCGCGTGGTTCCAGGCCAGTACCTCGCCACCGATCCCAAGGGACGCGCGGCTATGATCGCGTCAGTCGAGAAGAACAAGCTTGTCTACGTGCTAAACCGCGATTCCAACGCCAATCTCACCATTTCTTCTCCGCTTGAAGCCCACAGGCCGCAGACTTTCGTGTTTTCGCTTATCGGTCTTGACGTGGGATATGAGAACCCGATCTTCGCCGCGCTGGAGATTGACTATGACGACGTGGACCAGGATCCTACCGGTGAGGTCGCGGCAAGCAAGCAGAAGGAACTGGTCTACTACGAGCTGGACCTTGGCCTGAATCACGTCGTGCGCAAGTGGTCCGACACCGTGGACAGGACCGCAAACATGCTCTTCCAGGTTCCGGGAGGTCAAGATGGCCCCAGCGGTGTCCTCGTCTGTGGTGAGGAGACCATCACCTACCGGCATATCAACCAGGAAGCCTTCCGTGTCCCCATTCCACGCCGCAAGGGAGCCACAGAGAACCCGCAACGGAAACGCTATATCACCGCGGGCGTTATGCACAAGATGCGTGGCGCTTTCTTTTTCTTGCTGCAGTCCGAGGACGGCGACCTATTCAAGGTCACTATCGACATGGTCGAGGATGAGCAAGGCCAGCCCACGGGCGATGTCAACAGGCTCAGGATCAAGTACTTTGATACTGTCCCCAGAGCTACCAGTCTTTGCATTCTGAAGAGCGGTTACCTGTTCATCACGACAGAATCTGGAAACCACATTTTCTTCCAATTCGAGAAGCTGGGTGATGATGACGAGGAGATAGAGTTCGTCAGCGATGACTTCAGCCCAGAGCCGGACGCACCGTATGAGCCTGTTTTCTTCCACCCAAGGGGTGCTGAGAATATCAGTCTAGCTCAGCACGTTCCGAGCATGAACCCAACTCTCGCATGCAAGGTCGCAAATCTTACAGATGATGACGCGCCGCAGATTTACGCTGTTTGCGGAACCGGAGCGCGCAGCTCTTTCAAATCTCTGAAGCACGGGCTGGAGGTTTCTGAGATTGTCGAATCAGAGCTTCCCAGTGTCCCCGAGGCGGTTTGGACTACGAAAATCCAGAGGGAGGATGAGTACGATGCCTACATCATTCTCTCTTTCTCTAATGGCACCCTTGTTCTCAGCATCGGCGAGACTGTGGAAGAAGTGACGGATACCGGATTCTTATCATCGACCCGCACACTTGCCGTTCAGCAACTTGGCGAGGATGCCCTCATCCAGGTTCACCCAAGGGGTATTCGCCATATTCAAGCAGGAGGCCGTATTAACGAATGGCCCGCACCACAGCACAGGACTATTGTTGCTGCCACGACAAACGAACGTCAAGTTGCCGTTGCGCTCAGCTCCGGCGAGATCGTCTACTTCGAGATGGACACCGACGGATCTCTAGCCGAGTATGATGAAAAGAAGGAGATGAGCGGCACTGTTACGTGCCTTAGTCTCGGCGAAGTGCCCGAGGGCAGGGTCCGCAGCTCTTTCCTTGCAGTGGGATGTGATGATTCCACTGTCCGTATCCTCAGCTTGGATCCGGAATCCACTCTTGAGAACAAGTCGGTCCAGGCGTTGACCTCCGCACCTTCGGCGCTGAACATCATGGCAATGGCTGATTCCTCTTCTGGCGGCTCCACCCTTTATCTACACATCGGCCTGTACTCTGGAGTGTACCTGCGGACCGTCATCGACGAAATTACTGGCGAGCTGACTGACACTCGCACTCGTTTCTTGGGCGCCAAGCCCGTCAAGCTATTCAGGGTCACTGTCCAAGATCAGAGCGCAATTCTTGCAACCAGCTCTCGTTCCTGGCTGGGCTACTCTGATCAGCAAACCAAGGCATTTACTCTCACCCCTCTGGCGTATGCTCCGTTGGAGTGGGGCTGGAGTTTCAACAGCGAACAGTGCACCCAAGGCATGGTCGGTATTCAGGGACAACATCTCCGGTAAGTTCAAATCAACCAGCACTGATCTATTCTGCAGTGACGACTTTCTTCATGCTACGCTATTTGAGGATTGTCTTGCGGAAGAAGTTATTCTATTTGACTGAATAACTGTTACTCGGTTCGTCACTGTCCACCGTAAAGAAGATACTAACATTACCTGCTTAGGATTTTCACCATTGAGAATCTCTCTACCAACCTTCTTTTCGAGAACATTCCTTTGATGTACACGCCTCGCAACCTTGTCCGCCACCCTACGGAGGCTCTTTTCTACGTGATCGAGGCCGACAACAATACTTTGGCGACAAGCACCCGTAAGCAGCTGCTTAACGATCCCGCAACCGTCAACGGTGACGCAAAAGAACTCGATCCGGAGCACTTCGGATATCCCCAAGGCAATGGCCACTGGGCTTCGGCAATCCAAATAGTTGACCCTATCGAGAGGAAAGAGGTGGTCCACACGCTCGAGCTGGAGGAAAACGAATCAGCAGTCAGCATCTGCCTTGCTCCATTCACATCTCAAAACGACGAAACATTCCTGGTGGTCGGCACTGCTAAGGATTTGATCGTGGCACCTAGGTCGTACGCCTGCGGTTTTGTTCACATCTACCGTCTGCTGGATAACGGTCGGGAGCTCGAGTTCATCCACAAAACGAAGGTGGATGCGCCTCCTATGGCTCTTCTGCCATTCCAGGGCAAGCTCCTTGTGGCAGTCAATGCTGATCTCCGGCTCTACGATCTCGGTCTTCGCCAGCTGCTGCGAAAGGCTCAAGCTCTCAACGTTGTTCCGAACATTCTCATCGGTCTGCAAACGCAAGGAAGCCGCATCGTCTGCTCGGACGTGCAGGAGTCGGTGACATACGTTGTGTACAAGCACGTTGAGAACCGGTTGATTCCGTTCTGCGACGACAACATTCACCGGTGGACTACGTGCACGACTATGGTCGATTACGAGACAACGGCTGGCGGTGACAAGTTCGGTAACATCTGGCTTGTCCGCTGCCCGCCCAAGACGTCGGAAGAGGCGGACGAAGAGGGCTCAGGCCTGCATCTCGTCAATGAGAGGCCTTACCTTCAAGGTACGCCCAACCGCCTCGACCTCCTGGCCCATTTCTACACTCAAGACATCCCCACATCGATTCAAAAGACGGCTCTGGTTGCGGGTGGTCGCGAGCTTCTCCTGTGGAGCGGTCTCCAGGGTACGATTGGAATCTTCATTCCTTTCGTCAGCCGTGAAGATGTGGACTTCTTCCAGAGCCTGGAGCAGCAACTGCGCAGCGAGGATCCGCCAATTGCAGGCAGGGACCACCTAGCTTTCCGCAGCTACTACGTTCCCGTCAAGGGTGTCATCGACGGCGACCTGTGTGAGCGGTTCCTGCGGCTGCCCAGGGATAAGAAGGAGACGATCGCGGCTGAGCTGGACCGTAGTGTGCGTGAAGTGGAGAGGAAGATTGGCGATCAGAGGACGCGCTTTGCATACTAAGCGGTGTCGATGGGCGGTTTGGCTTAGTGAGTGGGTGAGTTCTTGGGAACGGTTTCTTCCGGCTTGGTGGTGCTCACGGATAGGGGCTCTTTTACTGTGATTAGCTTTTCAGAAGATGGCGAAAAGTAACGACGATTTCAGCCTATGCAGCGAGCATGGCATATGTAGTCTGAAGAAAAAACTTTTGACGACTGTTCTGGGTGCTGATTCGTGCCACAGTGTCAACGTAATGTAAGACAGTTTCAGCACTGCGGAGCAAGTAGAGTTCACGTGGTAGGACGAAAGTTGTATATTGATCTTCCTGTATCACAATGGCTTTTATCTATTATAAGCCCGATGACGCGAAGGCGAATGGCTTGCAGCCTTCCTCCCGTTTGCCTCATGGATGCCTAACCAATCAGCGTTCCAGACGCAAGAGTCCAAGAACTTGGTCCTCTCAGCCGCAACCGCCCCCGCTTTACGCGCCCTCTTCACACCCGCCAAGCATATCCTCCCCCGGCCGTCGCATTCCTTTCAGCTCCTTATTGTCAGCATTATTGCCACCCGATCCGTCAGCCTCGTGATAGGTCGGTAGGCAATGGCTTGGCCTATAGTGTATAATGCCGTCGCACAGGCACAACCTTTGGCTGGTCTTTCCCCGCGCACTTGTGAGAGAGAACCAAACTGATGGATTAGCAATAGGCTTGTTGTGTCACCACACCGCGAGCTCAACCATCCACGGTTTTCCTCGGCATTCAAGCCCATTTTTGGAGGAGGCTGCCTGCTCAAGCCCCCAACTTCCACCCACCCCCCTGCCTGTGGGGATCGTCGGCACATCCGCCCCACCCCGGACCTGCAAGGCAGAGCAGAGCAAGCAAGCACAGCCCTCCCTAGGGCTTAGCTTACCCGCTGCTCGCCTTTCTTCTCTTGCATTCTGCAGACGATGCAGCAGCAGCGGCAGCTACTGCGCGTGCATTATTGCTGCGGCCCCCTCCCCTGGCACATTCCTGCTCAGCCCTAGCGGCATGAGGAAAAAATGGGCGAGCCGCCAATAGTACGGCTGCTTTCGGGCAACCGTGTACGATGGACGGCGCTGCTGCCATTGGCCGAGACATCTTTCCTACTACGAGGTGTGGGGGGATGTGATGACAGAGGTTTACTGTGCGTAGTTTTTTTTCGGCCCATGCTGTGGCGCCCGACGCTGGTGGCCTTCTACCCGGTCACCTGGTGCCAAGACGACCATTGTGTTCACCTCAGCTCGTCTAAGAAGGGGAAGGCTTGGGTTCTCTGTGGAAGAGTGGCGGAGCGGACGATCTGCAGGGCCTGCGGCTGGTTGGTGGTGGTGGTGTGCCGTGCGGGATATAAGGTTGGTGTTTGCTCGTGCTTGCTTGTCTTGCACTGTTGGGTGTTGTGATTTCATTGTTTTTGGTGCTTCTCTTTGTTGTTACAACGAGGCTCGAGTCACATTGTTCTCTTGTGCGAGGGAAGCTGCGCGCCTGCCTTCTGCCTAACGACGTATTTAAGCCTCGAAACTCGCGACGAGTAGCTCGGCCGGTCAAAGAAGCAAGACGCTCTATTGTTTGCCCAGCGGCTCTCGAAGTGCAAACATGGCGAACGGAGATCCTTTGACGTTGAAAAGGCCGAAGAAGTTGATAATTTGCTGCGATGGTGAGTACTGCTCCCAGGATCCTTTTACTGTTTGCCTTCGAATCGCGACCAGAAGCTCTTTTCCCTTTTCATCCTCCCACGAGCTTTCAGATCACACCTTGTTCCCCGCGCGTATATACAATCTATCCGAACTTTCGATGAGATGGTTCTTGTGTCGCTTGAAGTTAGCATATCCCTCGATCTCTTTGTTCTCCAGACCCGACACTTCACTGTTAAATCTTCTTATGCGCGATTTTCTAACAGAAAACAGGAACATGGATTGTATGTCCAGAATTAGACTCTCCCATCTATCAGTGACTGACGTCCGTCAAGGACAGCAACAACAGCAAGCTCGAGAACAACGGCTCCCACGCTCATCCCAAATTGGAGGTGCAGGACCCGTCCAATGTGACGCGCATTGGCCGGGCGCTCCCGGTCTCGGACTCGCAGCAGCGGCCACAGATTGTCTTCTACCAGGCGGGCGTCGGCACGGGGCCCAACCTGGTTGAAAAGCTCGTGGGCGGCGGCACGGGGAGCGGGCTGTCGGAGAACGTGTGCGAGGCGTACGGCTTCCTGGCCAACAATTACCAGCCCGGTGATGCTGTCTACCTAACGGGCTTCTCGCGCGGCGCCTTCACGGCCCGCAGCATCGCGGCGCTGATCGACGCCGTCGGACTGTTGACGAAGACGGCCATGCGGCACTTCTTCCGCGTGTTTGAGGACTTTGAGCGTGCGGGCCAAGAAGGCCATGAGACTTCCATCACGCAGGAGATCCGGGACTTCAAAATTGAGATGCCCTCCGCAAAGAAGCCGTTGATCGAGAGGCGGAAAGAGTATCTTGCACAGTATCTCAAGGAACTAATGCGGCTGGACAAGACACGGGAAATTCCTATTCAAGCAATCGGGGTCTGGGACACCGTCGGTAAGCATTCATCACTTCCTTTTCCCTTCATCCTTCCTTCAGCCATCTGGTCCCCCATTCGCTTACAGGTTCCTTGCCAACTCTACTCTTGCACACCAACTGATAGCCACTTAGGCGCCCTCGGTATTCCCACTATCGCGCACCTCCAACGTCTCGGCCTCCCTTCCTTCCTAGCCGATCCGCTCATGGTCCCCAACCCCTATCGCTTCACCGACACGACCATCGGCAAGAACGTCCGCTTCGCCTTCCAGGCGCTCGCGCTCGACGAGGAGCGTACCAGCTTCATGCCGACGGTCTGGGAGCAGCCCGACGCCGCTGACGACGACGACAACAACAACAACAACAACAACAACAACAACAACAGCAACAGCACAACCGTCCTGAAGCAAGTCTGGTTCCCAGGCACGCACGCCAACGTCGGCGGCAGCGAGTCGGACAGCGGGCTGGCAGACGTGTCGCTGGCCTGGATGATGAGCGAGCTGGAAAAAGCCGGGCTCGAGTTCGACGAGAGCTACCTGGCCGACCAGTGGCGCCAGAACCGCTTCGAGTACGCCGAGCGCGAGGCGGACCGCAAGCTCATCTCGCACGCGTCGTCGTTCTTCCACCACCCCGTCTCCACCCTCGCCTCCGCCACCTCCACCACCCTCCTCCGCCTCCTCCGCTCCCCGCTCTCCTTCCTCCCGGCCACCGTCGGCTCCCACCACGACGAAAAGGACGACGAGCAGGTGGACAGCGAGGAGGCACGCGCCCTCCGCGCCGCCGCCCGCGACGAATCCGAACCCCACTGGGCCCTGACCCGCCTCGACGACTCGGCCGCCAACGTCACGGCGCTGGGCGGCCTCGCGCCACGCACGCCGCGCGCCCACCGCCGCGTCGACTACGCGACGGGCAAGCAGACGAGCGAGATCCTGCAGGGCACGCGCGAGCGCGTGCATGCGAGCGTGCGGGTGCGGGTGCAGGCGCGCGGCAGGGGGTACGATGGGCATGGCGTGTATCGCGCTGAGGCGTTGAGGAGGAATGGGTGGGTGCTGGAGAGGGGGGAGGGGGATCAGGGGGGGCAGCAGGGGCGGTGGAGGTGGGTTAATAAGGATGGCGGGAAGGAGGTCAGAGGGAAGGTATTGGAGGAGGATGAGTTAGGAAGGTTCGAGGTTATGTTGTTGAGGGAGGATGCGGATGTTGCGGCGTGGGTGCTCGGTAAGGGGGAGGGGAGGGCGAGGGTGGGTTCGTTTTCTTCGTCGTCGTCGGCTAGCGGGTCGCTGTGAAGGATGATGGTTGATGAGTTATGTTTCTTCGTCAATATGCTTTTTTGTTATCTTTTTCTCCAGTATGTATTTATTCGGAGTTCGCAGGAGGTTATAAATTTTAGCATTGCAGTCATAAAGCCCATATAACTTAGATTGTCAGACTTTTGAATTGATAGTATGGTGACGTGTTTGACGGGGCTATGCCAGTGAAAGAATGTAAGCGAGAATGGCACCAATGATGATATGTGTATACAGATAAGTATGCAGCCGAAGGCTAGCGCGGAGAATATCAGGATTCTCGAATCTAGGATAACTGTACTTCAGGTATATGAATTGAAAAGTAAAACAACACATAGGTAGTTGAAGCTATCGTCCGGAGTGTCGAATTTAAAATTTTACATGCACGTCCGGACGATAGCTTCAACTACCCATAGCATACAGATTTCAAACACGAAGAGTTATTCTTTCTTTTTAGCGCGCCTTCCAGAGGTGACGAGACGTTGGGGAAGTGCGCGTGTTGCGTCTACCGCATAGAGCAGGACCTCTCCCAAACGCGCCTACCTTTCAACTTTGCAACAGGCAGGCCGCTACCTCAACCCGGCGCGAGCTTTCAGCGTCACCAGCGGGTAAGTCTCTCTAGTTTGACGTATGCTCCCACTCGCCCTCCACAAAGACTGCGAGCATCTGACTCACATTGGCCCAGGCATCGTTCCTATACACTTCGCCGCCGCGTCTATGAAGTCCTCCACGCACCGCCGTAAAATGAACGACTACACTGAAGACGACGATGACAACGACTTATTTGAGCACAATGACCGCCACAAGAAGAGCAACAAGGCCAATAACCCCGACACGCAGATTCCTTCAGTGGAATGCTCCGTTGCCTTCGATTTTGAGCTTGAAGAGGATTTCGACGAAGAGGAGCTTTGGCAGGAGGTTGGACCACTGAAGAGGAAGAAACGGTATAAGACGACCAAGCTGATGGCGACCGAATACTTCCGGTTGTCCCCAAGAACCACATTGCAGCTACCGTCACTTCTCGAACAGGAGGTCTTTCAAAGCCAGCTCCGCGAAGACCTGTTCTTCATTCAGGTCGTTCTGTCGCGCCTATATCGACGGTATTGTCGTCTTTAGCCGCACCAAGCAGGAACACAAGGAGCACATCCGGAGCGTGCTTAAACAGATGGATCTGCTCGGAATCAGCCTCGCCCCTACCAAGACTTTTGTCGGCTACCCTTGCACCACTTTACTCGGGCAGAGGGTCTTCTCCTTTGGCCTTGGTACCGCTCAGGAAAAGGTTCAAGCCATTCTCGATATGCCTTTTCCTGAGACTCTGAAGGACCTAGAGCATTGGTTGGGCATGACAGGCTACATCAGCAGCCGCATTCCATATTACGCTGAGATGGTCAAACCGCTCCAAGATCAGAAGACCTTTCTTCCCCCGACGGCAGGTAACGCCTTTTGTGACTGGGTCGTACGAATGTTTTTCTGGTCATCCATCTCCCTCTATCTCGTTTTCCCGATCCGAGACATGTTGCTTTTCTTTCCTTACATGTAGCACTCTCATTGTAGCTAGAGGATGGCCAATTCCCTTTGTTTGATATTTCATCTCGCAATTCGAGGCACTTCATTGCTTAATTGATAGTTTCACTAAGGTAGCTACTTACCAGCTCACTATACTAAGCCACCTATCTACATGAGAAAGATGACGTGGTCTTGAAGTGTTCGTGTGGGTGGCTGAGAAAAGGGGTTCAGGCTGCGGCATACTACGACAGGGCGCGACAGGTTGCGACAGGGTGGGGCAGGTTGCCGAGGGTTCCTTTCCGTTCGTCCGATTATAGGGATGGAACCTGCGGAGAGAGACATCTATGATACGACACAGCATCTGATTCACTTTCTCGAAAGAGATCTATTCTTGTTCAAATCGTAATCATACAAAGGCAGCACAAGGGTATGTGTGCACGACAATACTCCAACCCAATGCCAGTCCCATGCTATATAAAAAACAGAAGGCAGATATATAATCAACGCTTAAGCCTCCACCGCGTGTTTCGAGTCCGGATCGATCTTGTTGTCACCTTCCAGGCTGCCAGTCGGGCCAACCTTGGTCGACTCGATAACCTCCAAGCCCTCGTCGATCTTGGGGCCACGGAAGTTCTTCCTGCCATCGAAGATCCACGTGATACCACTAATGATGATGACGATGGCAAAGACAACGATGCAGTAGTTCATGTTGGAGCCAGTGACGGGGAGCTCGGGCGGGAAGACGAACAGGACGGTGGTGACGATAACATAGGCGACGCCAATCTGTTAGGAACATCGTTAGTTGACTTCTAGACTTATTAAGGAGTGAAGGGGGAGTTCTTACCAAGTTGGCAACCCACGCGAACGGTTCCGGCAGGGTCCAACTCCGGGGCGGCAGCATCTTGCGTCCGCGCATGCAGTTGATAGCGATAGGAAGTCCGTACGAAATACCAAGAGCCACGACGGAGGCAGCGGTGATGGCGTTGAAGGCGCTGCTGGAGCCAAGGAAGATGCATCCGAAGACGATGACCCAGCCAGTGCTGAAAATCAAAGCATTGAGCGGGATGTCGAGGCCTTGATGGACCTTGGCAAGTTGACGGGAGAAGGGAAGACCCCCGTCTCTAGCAAATGCATAGCACATGCGAGAGGAGGTGGTCATGATGGAAGTGGTGGCGAAGAGCATGCAGACCAGGGGGAAGATGAGCAAGCAGATGGCACCAGCGTGGGAGTTGGTGGCGTTGAAGAGAATCTGCAGCAGCGGACCAGCCGGGGAAGAGATAACATCGTCGATATTGCCAGCAACGAACAAGAGGCTAACAAGGAAGATGAAGCCGGTGAAGGTGCCAATGGCGACGCAGTAAACCATGATCTTAGGGCCCTCGACGGCGGCGTTGGGGATTTCCTCGATCATGTGAGCGACGGCATCGTAGCCAGTGAGACCCAGACCACCCTGCAGCAGGCCAAGGAGCCAGGCAATGCCATCAGGCCAGCCAGTCTCGTTGATGAACTCGCGGAAGACGAAGTCGCCAGAGGAGTAGTTGGGAGAGGCGCAGGCCAGGATGGTGATGCAGATGACAGCAAAGCCTACAATGGACCAAGAGATGGCAGCCTTGTTGACGTAGGGCAGAGCCGAGTTGGCAAAGGCGTTGAGGCAGAAGGCGAGGACGTTGTAGGCGATGTAGATGAGGAATTGGTGCCAGGCCTGGGGCTCGTAGTTGGGGTTCTCAAGAGAGATGACGCCAACGACAAGCTGGCTGCCCAGCAGACCTCCGGTGCAGACGAGGGCGATCCAGCCAAAGGTATTGATCCATCCCGTGACCCAGCTCAGGGCAGGCACCCAGGCCTTCCAGCTGATGACAGCAACCCAGTGGTACTGACCGCCGGCGGTCGGGTAGGCGGAGAGAAACTCTGCAAGCGAGGCGGCCAGGCAGAGGTTGCAGACGCCGGCAGTAATCAAACCCCAGACGACGCTAGTAGGCCCGCCGGACGGCAGGGCAAGAGAGAGCGAGGTCGAAAGAGCGGTCCAGGAATTGAGAATTGCGAAGGCGAGGCCCAGCATAGACAAGAAGGAGAACTGACGCTTCAGCTCGCCCTTGTGGCCGAGGGCCTCGAGCTGGAGCTCATCGGCGGTGAGTTCAGCGGAGCGGGCCATGGTGTCGAGAGGGTGGATGAGGAGAGGAATGGAGGGCGACAGAAGACCTTTAGGCCGTGAAGACGGTGGCAAGTAAATACCTGTTAGGGCAGCCGCGCCCTACGAGTCGCCGGCGCTGATAGGCCCCCGCGTTCGGCGGTATGGGCGCTGTTTGTGCCTGGAGCTAGCGGATTTGTATCTGGGCCTTAGTGATCAAATTAGAAAGCTGTTACCAAACCCCTTCGGCCAGGGGCCAATCAGACGTGTGCAGGCTCCGCAGAGTTGCCGCTTCGAGCAACGCGCGGCTGGAAGGTCGCGGAGAGGCGAGGGCGAGGACGGCCGTCGATTGCGGAGAGAGGGCACGGGATGCATCGAGGCCGTCTGGGGACAGGCTTTTCTGGGGCAGCGGCTCGCTGACTTCATGCTGCGCTCTGGAGGCGAGGTCACCTGCGGTCAGCAGCGGCGCGGCCGGGTCGGCCAAATTCGCTGGCTTCTTAGCTGCCGTCATGATCGCCCGGGCTAGCCGTCTTGTCAACAGCCGCTTGGCTCCGACGCATATCAAGCGCCGCTCGTGGGATGGGCCCTGGCAGCAGGGCGGTAGGGCTGCAGTTATGGGTTATCAGCTTGGCGGAGCGGGCCTTTTCGCTTCCTGTCGCGAGGCGGAGCGGCGCGCAGTGTTGACGCGGCTTGCCGTCACGTAACGAGCTGACAAGACAAGGCGACAAGGCGCACTCAAGCTTTTCGTCCAAGCACACTTGTGTGGCGTCCACGTGACATGACGCGGGCCACCGGGCTTGTCTCCGTCCAAAGTGCCGACGCACGCCAAGCAAGCTCCAAGAAGCCCGCAGGGTCTGCCCGCCGTGTCGCGGTAGGGCTCCTCTCCAACTTCACCTCAACACCTGCGTTGCTTGGCGCTGCTGCTGCGGGTTTGCCCACGACTGCGACATCGCTGCGCGCTCGTGATCCACCCCGGCTTTCTTCCTCGGTTGGGCGGCCGGCGCGTTTCCCTATAATGTTTTCCGCTAAGCAGCAGCCCCTGAAACAGGCTATTATCATGCATGAAGAGGTTGAACTGCTGGGCTCCCCTCGCAGCAGCTGGGACGAGCCGTACCCAGATGGCCACCAAGGTAAGTTGTTTGCTCGGCTCGGCGGCGACGACGCGGATTTTCAAATGCTGCCGTCTCGCTTGGGCCAATCGCCTCGGTGCGCCCTGCAACGTGCTGCGCGGTGCCGGCAACTTCAGTGCCTGAATCGGAGCTCTTAGATCAACACCTGCCCCTCGTGGGTAGTGTAACCGGTGTCCGTCGCTTGTTTCACGACCCGAGTGACCGGGTTGGACGCATTATAAAATGCCTTACTCCGACGAAACAGAATTTGCGCTCCACGACCTTCGGGCCTCGCACTCTCACTATGTCTGCCGTCGTGCTTCTCGTCCTTGGGTAGGCAGAAAACCATACAAGCAAAGAACGCGGTTACTAACCGCTCCATGCAGCGCGGCCGTCTGGGCCAATGCCGCCTCCAACACGACTACTGCAGACAACTCGACCTCGTGCGACACTGTCCTGCGCGGCTACCAGTGCTCCCCCGAAATCTCTCACTTCTGGGGCCAGTACTCGCCTTACTTCGAGGTCCCGTCTGAGATTTCGGCCGACATTCCCGACCAGTGCAAGGTCACCTTCGCCCAGGTCTTGTCTCGTCATGGCGCCCGCGACCCCACTGCCAGCAAGACCAAGGCGTACAATGCCACCATCCAGAAGATCCAGGCGAACTCGTATTCCTTCGAGGGCAATGCTGCCTTCTTGCAGAACGTCGAGTATACTCTCGGTGCTGACGAGCTCACCACATTTGGCGAGCAGGAGCTGTACCACTCTGGAATCAAGTTCTACAAGAGATACGCTTCTCTTGCCCGCTCCCAGCACATGTTCGTCCGCGCTTCTGGCGAATCTCGTGTCATCGCCAGTGGCCAGTTCTTTACCGACGGTTTCCACCAGGCCATGGTTGACGACAAGTCGAATCTCACTGGAGACTATCCCTACGACATGCTCATCATCAGCGAGGACGAAACTGCCAACAACACCATGAGCCACGCCATCTGCACCAACTTCGAGAATGAGGACGACGACATCATCGACGCCCGTGGCCAGGCCCCGTGGAATGAGATCTGGCTGCCTCCGATCGCCAACCGCATCAACGACCAACTGCCGGGCGCCAACCTCTCCCAAGCCGAAGTCACCTATCTTATGGACCTGTGTCCCTTCTACACCGTTGCTGACCCCGAGGGAAAGCTCTCCGACTTCTGCGAGCTGTTCTTCGAGGACGAGTGGAAGCAGTATGACTACTACCAGAACCTGGGCAAGTATTACCACTACGGTGCTGGTGATCCTCTTGGCCCTACCCAGGGTGTTGGATACGTCAACGAGCTCATTGCGCGTCTGACCAACACTCCCGTTGAGGACCACACCTCTACGAACAGCACCCTGGACTCAGACCCTGCGACTTTCCCAATCGGCCCGGGCCACGTTCTGTTCGCTGACTTCTCTCACGACAACGACATGACGGCCATCTTCTTCGCTCTTGGTCTTTACAACGACACGGAGCCTCTCAACAACACTCAGGTGCAGACTGCCGAGGAGAGCGGCGGCTGGAGCACTTCGTGGACGGTGCCATTTGCCGCTAGGTTGTACGTCGAGAAGCTTTCCTGCAGCGGTGAGACGGACGAGTACGTGAGATTCCTCGTCAACGATCGGGTCATTCCGCTCAGTTGCGCCGATTCCGACGGTAAATGCAAGCTAGACGCATTTATCGACACTTTGGATTTCGCCAAGTCAGGCGGAAACTGGTCCGCCTGCTTTGACTAGGCTTCAGGCCCCGGTGTGGTAGAGAAGATAAACGCCAAAATCAATCATTATCTGCCTGACTTATTTCCCCTACGAGAATCTAAAGAAGTATGAGTGACTTGGGAAAAGAAGCGCGCGCCGATTGACCACCAAGAATACAATGTTCTGGCCACTGTCACAACAGGTAGGTTCTTGTGGGATATATCCGGACGGTTGATTAATTGGGCTCAACAGACGGGAACCAAGGATTACATGATTACCGCTAGCGGCGGTTTGCGGCGAGACGCTCGAAACCCGTCAATGAGGACATCTAGACCCCGGCTAGCTTGATCCTCACATCAGCCTTGGCAGCATAAGGCGTTTTTGATCTTACATGTATTCCGAATGGAGACTCACCACCGACCGGAGAGCGGGGATTATACGCGTATTGTTGCACGATAATCGGGTCCAAAGAGAAGGGCTATAAATGACGGCTACCTTCGACCCCCACCCCAGTCTCAGGCGCTACTACGATCTCACAAAAACTCCCCCGCCAAGCAACAGTCCACCCCTTCCATATCAACCATGTCGAAAGGAAAGATCATGATAACCGGAGCGACCGGCTACATCGGCTCCGCGATCCTTGTCGCGGCTCTGCGCTCAGGTTACACGGCAAACGTCGTGGTCCGCAGCGAGGCCAAGCGCGAGCAGGTCGCGACCGCGCCAGCCCTACTCGCCGCCGCTCCAGGCAACGACGTCAACGCCGTGTGCCAATTCTTCACGGTTCCCGACCTCGCGGCGAAGGGCGCGCTGGACGCGGCGACGCGCGGGTGCGACTACGTGATCCACGCGGCGTCGCCCATCCCGTTCGTCGAGTGCGCGCCCGAGGAGCAGCGCGCCACCATCCTCGAGCCGGCCGTGGCGTGCACTTTGTCGGCGCTGGAGAGCGCAAAGGCAGCAGGCGGAACAGTCAAGCGCGTCGTGTGCACGTCTTCCATCGGCGCCTTCGTGGAACCCGCCATGCTGGGGTCCGAGTGGGCGCCGCCGGCGGCAGGCCAGAACGTCTACGTCAACGAGGCCTCGCTGCAGCCGGACCGCGAGCCGCCCTTCGTGGACATGGCGACGGCGTACTGCGCGAGCAAGACGGCCGCGCTGCGCCGCAGCCTCGAGTGGATGGAGCGCGAGGGCGCGCAAAACGTCGGCTTCGACCTCGTCGCGCTCGGCCCGGCCTACGTGTGCGGCCGCCACCCGCTCGCCGCTTCTACCAAGGACCTGTGGGCCACGAGCAACTGGCGCTTCTTGCGTCTGTTCGCTGCAGGCAAGCCCGAGCCCGGCGCCGTCGCGCCGCCGCCTGAGGCGGCTTGCGGCACGCACATCGACGACGTGGTTGACTTGCACCTGATGGCCCTGGACCGCGAGAAGATCAAGACGAAGGCTGAGGGCGAGCCCGGTGCGGGCACCGAGTTTTTCACGACCGGCGTCGACATGCGCTGGGAGGATGTGAACGAGCTGACGGCGAAGCTGTTCCCGAAGGAGGTCGAGGCGGGCATCTTGCCGAATGGTGGGTACGCGGGGACGTACAAGGAGTTGAAATTTTACAGCGACAAGGTCGAGAAGGCGTTCGGGATCAAGTTGAAAGGGCTGGAAGAGATGGTGGGCAGTCTCGTGCCGCAGTACCTGGAACTATTGGAGAAAGAGAAATAGGTGGATAGATGCTGAGGAAGGAGGGGGCATGAAAGGTTGGGCGATCTTGCTCGTCCTCTACTTTTTTTTGGTACTCTTTTGAGTTAGCTGCAGGCAATGCTTGAAAGACTGAAGCGTGTCCCGATTGGGATGAGACAAACATAACGCGTCACGCCAGTACTTTATGTTTTTTATGAAAGTTTTTGCTGCCCGTATAAGCTTCCCAGAATTGTGTTGGTGAAAATACGCGCAGTTCGCTGGATAGCCTCGTTGTTGATCGAGGGAACAAGCGGCATAATATAGTGCGCTCTGGAAAATTGAGCCCTGATGTGGAGCAATAGAGCACTGAACCATTAGCAGGCGGGAATTATTGAGGCTCTTAGTGGAACCAACGGTAAGTCTTATCGGCTTCGTTCTTACTCGATTTGTGAAACACTGAGCCATGCGATGCTTAAGGTTCCGAGACAGGCTAGCGGACCCATTTCAGTTGCAAATCGCCGATATGGCCAAGGTGATCGCGCCGCGGGATCAGTCGACCCGGGCGTCCGGGAGGTAATGCTATATCCGCAAAGGGAATCTGCATCTGGAAAAGCCGGAAATGCCAGCAGCAGCGCCAAGGGGCGTGTTGTTGTCGTCTGTGGGGCGTCTGCGGCGATCAGGCTACAACTCATCGCCCTCTCAAGCCATTCATCAGCCGCCTCCCGCTCGCAGCCTGGGGTTGCCAGGCCTACTTTCCTCTTGAGTCAAGGTCACAACAATCCCCTTCACTCCCCCCGGCCGACACATCAGCGAATGCCGCCGCCGCCACCATGAAGGGCCGCTTGTCGAGGACCTCGTCTACGTGCACCCTCGCTCGCGCGTCGTTCTCGTCGTCGTCGACGGCGTCGCAGCCGTCGGACGTTGATTCGCTCCACGCGCTGCTGCCGTCGCCGTCTCCTCGCGCGGCGCAACTGGAGCGCGACGCCTTAGAACTGGCCTGGTGCTCAACCGTAGCCGCCTACCCCAAGCTCACCAGCGGCCTGCCCGCTCCCACCAGACCCGTCGAGCCGCCCGCCGACAGGCTGGTCGCCCTGTCGGACACGGCAGAATGCTTTTTCAAAAAAATCCAAGAAGCTCGCTTACAACAGCCACCCCGGACGCCCACCATTTCGCACTCGCACTGCGCCGGTCTGTGGCCGTCGCTGCTGCCCGCCAGCCTCCTTTGGTTTGTCGTCTACGGCAAGCGTCAGCTGCCCGCCGGCACCGTTCCCTCGTGGTCCTGGGCCTCCATCACCGGCGGCTACGTCTCTTGGGACGCCCTCTGGCCGCGAAGCGAGGTGCCATGGCCGCTCTGCCAGGCCCCCGCTCAGACGGCAGCTCTCGCTCACGACGCCCAGCAGCATCAGCATCAGCACCAGCGGGGGTTCCCGCGCCTGGACGGCAAGCTGCGGATCCTGCGGACCCAGTCCAACGAGGACGACAACGCCAGCAAGCGTAACGAGCCCTTCGCCGGCATCTCCAACAAGGGCGTCATCACGCTGCGCTGCACCCTCTGCCCCGTCCTGGCCGTCGCCGACGCCGTCGACAGCGACCGCAACATGATCGGCGGCCGCGTCTTCCAGGGCTGCATCATCGACGACGCCCGCGCGCGCAAGGCCGTCCGGAACGGGCTCGAGCTGCCCGAGCGCGACTGGGTCGCGACGCAGCTGCGCGTGTGGGAGGACCTCGGCTGGCGGAACGACCAGCTGAAACTGCTGTTCGACCTGAGGCTCTCGCCCGCCGAGTTCGCCGCCCTCAAGTACGAGGTCCTGTACTGCGTCAAGTTCTACGAGTACGCCCCCAGCTCCGTCGCCTGGGGCCACCACGACGGCCTGCTGTTGAGGCGCAGAGCGGGCACGACGAACGACGAGTACGAGCGGGTGGGCCTGTGGAAGTGCACCCGGAACGCCATGTTCGATGACAAATATCAAATCATCAATCTGGTCTGAGGGAAACGGAACTCTCGAAAGAGGGAGGAAAGAAAAGGGACGATTCATGTGTAATGACTTGCGTATATATATAGATATCAGAGACAAAGCTGACTTCACGGTATGTTATTGTCCAAATGAAGATACATAGCTAATTTTTCCCATCAGTCCCAGCCATTTCCTGGACCTGTCAAAACAGCCTTTCTGTTTCTTCATTTGATATCGGCACTCTTCACGATCGTGCCGAAAGCATCTCCCAGCTCAGCGAGGACCCACTACAACGCACGACCCGTTAGCTTTTACTCATCCACGGAACCAAATTGCATCACCAAGCGCCAAAAAAAAGCAAAAAAAGACGCAAAATTATGCACGAAAAAGACACAAGGCATAAAAAGATGAAAGAAAAGCAAACCCCCCTAACCCACTCACCTTGGTAACCTCCTGCCCGCTCCCGCCGGGGATGTCCCTATCTCCGACGGCATCCTCGACGACGACGACCTGCAACCCGCGCTGGTCCGCCTCGCGCGCCGTCGTGCTCACGCACACATGCGCCATGTACCCGACCAGCACGACCTTGGTCTTGCCGGTGCTCTTGACAAAATCGCCCAGCCCCGTCTCGGCGAAGGCGCCCGGGAACTTTTTCGAGATGACGACCTCGCGGCCGCCGCTCTCGGCCGTGCTGCGCGGCGCGAGTTCCGCAAACTCCTCGGCCAGCGCCGTGCCCGGCGTGAAGACGGGCGTGCCGTCAGGCACGACGTGCACAACGTGCGCGATGTGGCCGTTCGACGCGCTGCGGTAGCGCTGCAGCAGCGAGGCGATGGCGGCCCGCGAGCGCTCGACGTCGCGCACGGCCAGCGCGCCGGATGCGTACTCGTTTTGCGCGTCGATGATGATTAGGATCGAGTCGCTGGGTGTCGCCACCGTGGGCGGGATGCCGGCGAGGTCGCGGAAGGATTTGGCCATTTTTTTTTGTTTTTTCTGTTTCTATACTTTGTTTTCTGTTTTCCCTTTTACTTTGGATTTGTTGGTTTTAATGAGGGGGATCAGGGGCCTTTTTTTGTTGTATCGTTGGTAGACTCTTGTCGTCTCTGATAGTAGAGAGGAAGGCAGGTTGTGGTGTTGGGTGTGAAATCCGACGAGCTTTTAATCGAAGTGCCACAAAGGGAACAAAAACAGCGCGCGGCTGGGCCGTGTGTGGATTTGTGATCGGAGGAGAGAGTGAGTTATTATTTGAATCACTCCTTCGGAAAACGTCTATGTAGTCATGCGTTAGGCCACGCCAGGGGTCCCGCACTTGGTAGTATTTGGATAGTTCGTACTACCCGGTGGGAGGCGGGCGTTTTCTTGCTACCTAATGGCGTTATGTGGGCTCCTTTGCTATTACCCCGCTGCGGGGCTAGTAGTTGTCGGGGTAGCCCGCCCTTTGGGCACGTCATGGATGGAGCACAATTGCTAAGCACCCGTCTTGGCTCGACGGATTAGTTATCGGAGGAAAACTCCCGTTCCTCGCACCGTAATCGGAGGGTTCTCTAGCTAGCCCTCATGGAGTATCTGAACTAGCAAAGCTGTTCGATGACAGGTGCATCGTAATTCGGGTTGCATGAGGTGATGTTTCTACCTGAGCATCTAGTGCTAGTCATATTCTGGACGCGAGAATTTGGCGCAAGGGCGAGTGAGGGCGGGTCGACGAATCAAACGCATTTGCGCCGAGAGCTAGTGAAGCCGAAAATAAGCTACCGCTAGACCTTAAATCATCTACAATCAAGTATCAGTTCGCAGCTGATACGCGAGGGCTTTGCAGGAAGTTCATTTTCAATTCCCGTACGAGACTGCCGAAAGGTGGGTTGTGTGCTCATTGCTATGAACTATTGAAAAGACCATAGGAACTTTTTCTCGTTTTCATCATCCATGTTCTAGAACGGATTTACTAATTCAAAGGCGTTTGTGAGACATAGAGAGGGCGAGGAGAAGACATTAAGCGATTACCAAGAAGCAATCGAATGAGGACCACGCGAACTTGAATAAGACAGAAAAAAGATGTGCAGAAGGGAGGGGTGCAGATAGAAACGAAGGGGAATAAGAAGACAAGCACGCAGTCTGTTAATACAATCGCCGTGGCTCTGCTAAAAATATGGGCACCAAGGCATGATATACCAATAGCCCCACAACCCTTACTTCCCGCTTGAACGTAGAGGTCACGTCCTTGGCATTACGGGGCTTAGAAAATGTCTTCACAGCCTTCCCAGCTGCCCTCGCCATTGGCAACCTTTTCTCTCATCTTCCAGTATTCACCATTGAACTTCCAGTACTCCTCGCCAGTCACCTCATCTCTGGCCTTGGAGAACCAATGCGGCTCGAATTCCTCGCCTGCCGCCTCGCGTTCCCTACGCTTCGCACGCTGCTTCTCTTCCACGCGGTTCTTCTCCGTAGCAGCGAAATCATATTCTCCGTCCTCCATAGCGCGCTGATCGGGCCTCAAACGGGTATCAGTAGGTGCAAGGATCGGCTTAAGGCGATCCGGAAGGTCATTGAGAGTAAGGACGAAAGGAGTGAGGTTGAAAGGAATGCCCGTCGGCCGTTCGTGGCACTGCCAAATAAGAGTCGCTTGCTTGTCTTTCTGACCGACGTTGTCACCGTCTTCATAGCCGGGTGTGAGGCGAGCGTAAATCTTGTCGTTCCAGCGGCCACCAATGCTCCAACGAGTCTGGCCATCACTGCCGACGACCTTTCCGGCAACCTGATAGGCGGACGATGCCTTCCAGCCGCGAGGCTTGAAGTCAAGGAGACAAACTTCACCGGTCGTGTGGTTCTTGATCTCCATCAGACCGTAATTGTCGACAGTGGGGTTGCCGGTAATGATTCCAATGACCGAAGATGTAACCTTCTTCCATGTGTACAGCTCTTCGCCACCGGAAGCGGGACGCAGGCGCAGGAACCAGGTGCCGAGAGGGTTGATATCGAAGGACTTGCCGTAAAACTTGGACCTGACAGCCGATTCTCCCTGGAGAGAGATTAGAAGGAGGTTCACATATGGTAAGAGGAAAAATCATCGCTTACATAGTAATCCCACTTCGCCGATTCAGCCCACGCGGCACCAATCGGTGGGTGATGGCTGACTTGCTCAACAAAGAAACGGAACCCCTTGTCCGGGCGGCAGTACTCGAAAGTCTCTCCCAGCAGCGGATTAAACGGCTTGGCGACACGTCCGATGGTGGAGGCATACTCACTCGCCGCAAATGCGGCAACGTAGACCATGCGCTCGCAAGAGTCCATCCGCTCAGCGGCGATATCGAGCAGATCAACATACTCCATATCTTCAGCCACACGCTGCAGCAGAGAAGTCGGCTCATTGAACGACACGGGCAAGGTCATCTTCGTCATATCCTTGCCGATCATGGATTTCAAGATACCCTGACAGCTGTTAGCAATGACTCGAGATCCGTATAGAAAGGTCATATACCCATAGCGAAATCTTAGGCCGGTTGTCCTCGTCCAACTTAAGACGCGTGCGCACCGGGTCTTCATAACCCTTGAAAGATGGTATGATCTCGGCCGATTTAGCTTCTCGAAGATCCATAGTAGGCGGCTTCTCATCTCCTTCGTAGGCTGGCGGCGACGTAACAGGTAGCGTCTCCACAATCTCGACCTCTCCTTCCTGAATAGCGTCGAAGAACTCCTCGTCATCCGACTCCGAGTCCGAAAGTTGAGCGAGCTCAGCCAGGTTCGGCCTTGTGACACTGTTGTTGCGGCTGCGCGTAGCCTTCTCCTCGGCAGGCTCTTCGACTTCAGCGATTGCTTCCGTGTCAGCAATAGCGCTCTTGACCTTGGAAGGCTCCCCAGTTTGGAGCCCTTGCAGCGCATCACGGAGCGCCTTCTTCGTTCGCTTCCGCTTGTCTTCAGACTCGCCAATCCTGTTCTCGAGTTCTTCCTGCTCCCTTGCTACCTTTGCCATGCTCTCCTCCCACATGCGACGGACATTGGCCTCTCTGTCAAGCCTATATTGCCAGTATGCATCTCTATCCCGCGCGATGCGGAACAGATCACCAACAAGGCCCTTAAGACTGCTAACGGCTGCCTCGTATGATGCGAATGCCTGGGCGGCAGCGGGATCTGAAATTGCCATTGAAGGATTTTTGGCCTTTTCCGCCTGCAGTGCTGCAGACACTTGGGCAAGGAGGTCCAGCTGCAGTTTGACCGACTGAGCAGTGATGTTGAAGGCGTCCTTGCTCACAGGTTTTGCTTGGTCGCTGCTGACGTCGTCGCCATAGTCATCATCATCATCCAGGTCGCCCCCAATCGACTTACCAGTACGGCTCCGGCTCTCATATCGGCTAGCATCTTCTCCGCCCAAGCTGGCATCATAGGCGCTGTTGCCAAGATCGTCGTCCTCGGTGGTACTCGGCCCAGTGCGCGAGCCGGTTTGTGGAACACCCAATGCTCCGCTGCCGGTCGGGCTGAGCACCGAGTTTCTACCATTCGGTTTCGAGCTTACAACGCTCATCGCATCACTCTCTTTGGTGGCCTGTTCGGTCTTTGCTTGACGAAGCGCTTCGGTTTCGCGAGTTTGTCGCTTTTCCTCCTCGCGCGCTTCGTCCTTGCTCCATTGGATAGCATTGTTCAGCGCCCAAAACCATCGCTTGGCTTCCACCTGATGGTTCGCCTTCAAGTGATATTTTACAGACGATTTCCCGTGGATTTCGAAGCGGAGCTTGTCCTGTGGATCCATGTGGAGTTTGGCGATCCTCATATTGATTGCCCCACGGCACGCAGATCCAATGTCGTCTACAAATTATCAGTCCTGGATTTGCGCAGAATGAGAGTCTTGGTAAGCTCACCTTGGTGCTTGTAGTAGCTCAGAACCCCGTCTTCGAGAACAAACCACCTCAACTTGTAACCACCGGTGTAATTCGTCCACTTCTTTAAATAGCCTTTCATCTCGCGACTTTCCTTGGAGCCCAGTGCAACCTCTGCCGAAGCGGGTCCAGCCGCCTGGGCAGCGGCACCCAAGATTGTCCTCTCCTGGATGCCACGCTGGGCAGCAGCAGCGGCAGGGGACTTCTTCAAGATTGCCTTGGTCTTGTCGTCTTTGGTTACCTCATGAGGAAGTTTACCTTTCCGATCTCGTCGGAAGGGGTCTGCGCCGTTCAGGAGGAGGAGTTGGCACAGCTGAGTGTCCTTCTTCCTGGCTGCCTCATGAAGCAAGGTGCCTCCCGTCTCGATGGTCGAAGGGTCCGTCGCAAGCTCTGGACCGTTGACATCCAAGGTAGTTTGCACGCGCGGGTCTGTCAGCACAGCCTCCAAAGACTTGTAGTCTCCCTGCAACGCCAGCTCCTGGATCTTCTTGACATTGGTGTCAATGAAAATCGACCGCGTCAACTGCAGTTGCTGGAAAATATCAGGCGTGCGCGCCAGGTCGAGCGGAGTTTGGCCGTGATAGTTTGTCAGAGAGTCATTGATACCACTCTGGTCAAGCAACATCTTCACAACTGGCGCGCGACCAAGTTGAGCAGCTAGGTGGAGAGGTGTGTTGCCATCCCTGTCCCTGCCGTTCAAATCGATGCCCGCGCCGACATTGGAAAGGACAAATTCAATGACAGGCAGCTCGGCGCATTGGATTGCGAGGTGTAGTATTGTAGTGCCCTCCAACCGTGCCGTGGACAAGGACGATACCGACGAGGTGCTCTGTCTTGCGCCGCCCTGCGTAGAAGCCTCCTCCCTTATCGCTTTGGAAATTGCAGCAGTGTCGCCATTGCGCAGGGCCTCGAAGATGCGGAACAGGCGAACGGACTGCTCAATGGAGGCGCCCTTGGCAGTTGGGGAAGAGGGCGACTGCGCAGCGTATGGAGGGGCCAAGACCTCGGAGGAGGTCGCGTTGGAATTGGACATGGTAGTGGACAGGTGCGGGCGATGGCGGGGGCCCTGGATGCTCGATCGCGAGGCGTGCACAGAGGCGGCGGGCGGCGAGGTAATAGAGGTCTGCGAGGAGGCGGGGTTTGAGGCTTGGTCGTCGGTGTCGGAATTCACGGCAGCATCCTGCTTGGACGAGACGCGGTGCAGGAGCGACCTGACCGAGGACTTGTTCCTCTTGTGCTGGTGGGCGCTAGAGCTGGAGTGATGTCAGACGTCAGCGGCTGTGGGCGGCAGTGCTCGGGGCTTGGAAAGTACGTGTCCGCGTGGATGTTTCACAGCACGCTGCCACAATCGACGGGCGGGTTACCTCTCCATGGCCTCTGTCTGGATTCAAGGCGGCGGGACAAGAATGCGGCGACAGGGGTAGCGGTAGCGCGGCAGGCGTAGCGCGTCTTCTGAGCTCGTTTGCGGCGCGCATCAATCCGGGGCAGCTGAATGCGCGCAGTCTGGACTCGCAGCTGAACGAGGGGCCGGTTGCACGCTCTGAGGGAAGGTCGCCAGCGCGAGCGCAGTGGTGTAGGGAGCACACGCATTGGCGACTCTAGCATTGGCACTCTCTCGGACCCCTGTCACTGACGCAGTGGCTCCCCCCGGCGGCCTGCTTTGCCCGTACGTGGCTAGAAGCACTGCGGTTGCCACAAGTGAGACAACTGCGATTGCGCCGCAGCCCAATCCGCGAATTGCGCCGTTCATGCCTCCCCACCTATCGCTACCCTCTAGCTTCCTCTGTGGCACCATCATCTGTCGTGAACGCTGCTAGCCCACCGGACCCTGGCGCCCTTACCTGCCAGCACCTCATCTTCGTCTTTTATCCAGAATATAGCCGCAGCTTTTACCTAGTCTACACACACGTACTGTACTACTAATACACAGATCTAGCCCCTCTATTCTTATCCATTGACCAGGAGCACGACGCTGCCAAGCTGTCGCCGCAGATCCTCCTTGTCAACGTCGTGCGTGTCCTCGACTTCTCCCCACATGCCCGTTTGCCAGGTAACCTCCAGGCTACTGGCCTCAGCTGCCTCCTCAATTCCGAACCGGCTTCCGTCAGGCTGGTTGTCGCGGGTGTGGGCAAACTCGGGGCTCCATTCGGCCATCAGACGAGCAGCTACCAGCAAGCTCTTGCTTGCCAGAACACCGCGCTCCATGCCGGCCAGCTCCCATGCCGGCAGGGTAGACAACCACCCCTTAATGACCTCGACCGTGTTCGGCGGCTGCGGCACGGGCATGATGCTATCAGGTGCCAGAATAGGCGTGATGTCCACACCCGGCCACAGCTTGGTGGTGAGGAAGTTGATAATGGGCTGCGCCGTCTTGATCTGCACCTGGCGCAAATTCTCCGTACCCTCGCTTAAGTCCCTCGCCTCATGAATGTTGTGTTCCGGTGCCCAGCAGAGAAGCGTATCGGTGGTGAGGTAGTTCATAAGCATCTTCACGATACTCTCCCGGATGTTTGAATCGCCCGCCGCATCTTCTGTTTGTATATCGATCGCGCGCGACGTCAGGGAGGTGAGAGGGATGTAGTGTTGCTTAAGGGCCTGCTGTGCATTGAGCAAGAGATCCCATTCCAGCGCAATTGCAGCGGCGAGCTGTTGCTTGTTTGGGGGGATGGTAAGAATATTTTTTGAAGCCGTCCGGACGGGTCGCGAATCGAGAAGAACCTGATGGCCGTCTACCACACGCACTTTCAGCCATTGCCATGCGTTCGATGATCGGGTGTGCGCCTACCTGGTGTCTGCTTGACGTGCACATCACGCCAGAAGCGCTTCTTTAGCGCACTTGCAGGCTTCGAGGGGTTTGCCTTCGCATTGCGGCTTTCTTGGAACAGTTCGGCCTGCTGGCGTTTGCGCGCAATCCGATCTTCGGCGGTCGAGGCAGCGGGCTTCGGCGGCCCCGGCGGCGGACCTGGGGCAGTGGGATGCGGCAGTGGAGTGGCAGGCTTGGGAGCGGAGCTGTGCAGACAACGGGACGCAGCCGTGTAGCGCCCCGAAGGACGAAAAACGCGTGGGCCGGCGCGGGCAATGGCAGAGAGGGGCCGCATTGTGTGGGTGGCGCGGGGACCGGAGGTGCTGTGTTGACGGCGCGCTGGAAATTCAGAGGGGATGGCCTGTGCAGTGCTTGGATCAGAAGATCAGCCCTGGAGTCGGAACGGGTGGCCGGTTGCAGGCTGCATGATGCGGAGGAGAGGCTGCGGGCTCGGGGCGATCAGGACTCGGGAGGCGTTGAGCGTGGCCGACTCCGCTTTTGGCTGCGAGGCTGGCCGTGACCACTGCCAATGGCGAGCGCAAACCTCGCCCGCCTGTCCTGCGCACCAGGGCACCATGCTTTTCCCAGTTCCCAGCCCCAGAGCTGCGCCGTCGATTGTCGCTTCCGCCACGCATACCGGGCGCGGATCCTGCGCGCGAGCTCATTAGCTGCCTGCTGACCCATTCCGTGCGCACCCTCACCCGCCATTGCGCCAACAGCTCGCGGGCCCGTAGCGCGGACCGCTGCGCTTGATACTCCTACTAAAGCCCCAGCACGCGCATTCCTCCCGCCCGCTTGAGCCGCACCATCTGCTCCCTTTGCGGCCACATGCCGTTGCAGCGCTCTGCAGACCTTAGCCTCGCGAGACCCTTCGCCCCCGCATGGCCGCAATGGCCCCAGACCCTTCAACCGGCCAAACTCTGCCGCAGCCGAAGGCCATCCGCTTCGTCACCAACCATGACGGTCCCTACGCGAAGAGACGGAGAATAAACTCGGCCTGTTTGACCTGCCGCCGCCGCAAGACGCGCTGTTCGGGCGAGCGCCCCGCCTGCGAAACCTGCCTCAAGAACAACCACACCTGCGGGGGATATGGTCCGGACACAGACCAACCAAAGGATAGCTCAGCGTCCACCGACAATGCCGAGCGGCGGACAAGTGCTGTATCGAACGTTGACAGGAGATCGTCTTTGGCCTCACCTCGCGGACCGCAGCCAAAGCAGCAGCAGCAGCCACGGCAGGTCGAAAATGTGGGGATTGCAGGTCCTTCGTTTGCCTACGGCGCGTCGACCGACTCCCCCATCATAGACCCCGCCTTGGAGGCCAGTACAAATGGTCCCGCGAGCACTGGCGGAGACGAAGGGAGCCAGGCTTCGAGTACGTCGTCCACGCCATGCCCGCAATCCCTTGTGTAACTAACGCATGAACAGGCCGTTTCTCGCTAAGCTTGAGCATTCGAAATCGCATGCCTTACTTCCGCTACTTCGGCCCGACGGCGATCATGCCAGGGTTCAAGCAGATGGTGGTCAAGGTGAAAGGCAAGCAGCACAGTACAGCAGGAACATCGACGACTGATGGTAAGTCCAATACTCGGCACCCCAGGTCCATGCACTCAAAGGACAGTCAAGGCCTACAATCCCCTCCTGCAACTGCAGCTTCGCTCGGCCGTGTGACTTCCCAACAATCCACCACCGAAACCCCCGCTCCACTCGAGCTCGCCATATACGACGCTTCGCCAGTTCCCCCACCGCCGTTGATCACGCATCTGTGCAAGACCTTCTTCGCCCACCTCGGTTGCAACTTCCCTTTCTTGCAGGAAGTACGGTTTATGCGCGATCTGGAGGAGAAGCAAGTGGACGCCATCCTGGTCGACTCGGTCTGTGCGCTAGCTGCACGCTTCTCCACTGATCCCATGCTGGTCGGCACGCGCCAGTCCGATGGAGACGCGGAACAAGCGGAAACGTCTCCATCCGAGTATGGTCAGCAGTTTGCTTTGCGAGCCAAATCCGCAATCGCCGACACTTTTGCCTGTCCCAGTGTGGCCGTCGTTCAGGCTGCTTTGCTGCTCGCGTACGACGAATTCGGCGGAAGCCGTGACTCTGGCCTGTGGATGTACCTTGGGATCGCCATCCGAATGGCTCAAGATCTCGGTATGCAGACGCTTCAAGGGTTGAGATACGAAGGAAGAGACGGGCCAACCCCCGAGAGTGTCAAAAACGGGTCCTCTAAGAGAAGAGATAGTACGAACCGCTCGCGGACTACAGCATCGTCGCCAGAAGGAACCGATCCCGACGCCATCGAGGAGCAGAGAGCCGTGGAGAGAGAGCGCATTGATACATTCTGGGCCGTATTCTTCCTGGATCGGGTCGTCTCATCTGGAACGGGACGACCAGTCTCTCTGAGGGATAGTGACATCGAAATTTCGTTCCCTTCTCTCGATTCCAAGGACGAAACCACTGACTGGCCTGTTCCTTTCCCTGCGCTGATCCGAGTAATCCATCTCTATGGACGTGTTACTGACCTTTTGAATGGGATCAAAGAAGTCTCGCACGTTACGCCCGACGTTATCAAACGCCTTGCGTCCATGGAGACTCTTCTGACCGATATCTATCAGAATCTATCGTCACGTTTGCATTTTAACGTTCTAAACTTTCAGCATTACCTCCGGAACGGCCAAGGGACGAATTTCATCCTGCTTCACTTTTGGTTCCACACCCTTATTGTTCTCTTGCATCAACCAACGCTCCTGAAAACATTTGAAGGGGGCATCCAACAGCTTCTCCCGAACAGCCATGAGCTGTCTATGTCATCAGCAAAGACAATTGCAGATATTCTCGCTTTCGCGGAATTAGCTGACGCAAAAGCGGGTCTTGGTAACCCGTTTACCAGGTATGATCAAATCGGCAGTTCCAAATTCTGCAACTAACAGGATACAGCCAACCAATCTACATTGCTGCTTGCGCTTTCCTCAAGGAGACTGCTATGCAGTCCGCCTCGTCGAATCCGCATTCAAGGCAGGGGTCTCCACCGCCAAACAACCGAGGCAAGGAGAATAGTAGAGAAAGTAGTGCACAGAGAGTGACCGCCTCCGATGATTTCCGTAACCGATCAGATCTCAGGGATGGAAGGGCTCAAGCGGCTGCAGTGGAGAAGCAGATGGCTAAACATAGCCTGCTGGCATCTGCCGCTAACCAAAACTACCAGCGCTGCTATCGAGCCCTGCAATCCCTTGAGACATATTGGGCTGGGGTCAAGTATATTTTGACTGTCTTAGACCAAAAGGCTAAGGGTGTTGTGGACCCACTTCTCTATACCAGAGAAGAGATGGAGTGTGCATTGGAGGTTCCTCGACCGGAACCTTCTTTCGACACACCTGGTTGGCGGCGCAAGCTATCTTGGGGAGCGTACATTGGGCCTCAGAATCACTCTGAGAAAGACCAAGGTCCAGTGGCGGCGCTTAAGAGCAGCCGCGGGGCAAACTTTGGTATTCCTGGGTCTCCTATGGCAGATGCAGGTATGTAGTGATTTCAAAATCAGGGTTGGAGCGCAGATATTGACGAACCTCGCATTAGCCATTGGCTGGTCCCTTACTGGAACCATGAACTCACCAAGCACGAGCTTAGCTGTTCTATACCCTACCGAGAATCGAGACGGTGGCTCCCGCCGCCCGCAAGACGGCATAGACACGTCCATCTCGTCAGTAATGGCGCAGGGTCCGACGTCGCCGCAGCAACAGCGCAACATCCTCACACAACAAGGCTCCAATATGGCCACGACGCCACTGCCCCGCTATCCCAACAACACTCAGATCTTCGCCCAGCCCAACGCTCCCACGAGCATGCAACCCCCGCCCCCGCCAGGCGGTTCCTCAGCCTACTTGTCCGATCCCGCCCTAGTGTCAGACGCCGACCTCCTGCTCAACCTCCACTCCCCGTACTCCACCGCGTCTTCGCCCGCCGGCCGCGCGCCCGCGGGCGCTACCGCATCCGCCGTCAACCCGCACTCCCCAACGGGCCCGTACCCGTCCCAAGTATCTCACAGCATGGGCGGCGCCGCGGGTATGACCGCGCCCGGGCAACCGGCCCACAGCGGCGGCTCGGTGTTATTTGGAGACATGATGATCGAGAGCCAGGATATAGACATGAGCGCCTTAGGTGACAATATGATGACGTGGTTGGAGTGGCTGCCTCACGAAATGGTAACGTTTTTCGATCAGACCACGGGTACGGTGACGGCAGCAGACGGGAGTCTGGGACCTGCGCCGGGACAGACACCTGGCCAGAGCGAGAGGCGAGACGGATGAAAAACAAAAAGGGTAAAAAAAATTAATGGTGTGGATATGACGTTTTTTGTTACGAGGCCATGACCATGTTTTGTGGAAAACGACCCCAAAATAAGAAAAGCGAGGTGTATAGGTCTGTTGCTTGATTTGTGGATGTACGGGTTAGCGGGTTGGATATCGTTGATGTTGGAAAGGTTGTCTCATTTCCACGTTTCCGTATGATTCCCTCATATTTTCAATGTCCCCTTTGTTCGTCTCAAATTCTTCCATGTCTAAATCATTGTACTTTATACTGAAGAGCAGCAGTATGACTTTTGCTCGCAAATAGCATAAATTGAGTGCCGTAGTGGGTCACCAAAGAACCAGGCTTCTCAGAGTTGCCTCGCCAGAGACAAACCATACTACGTAATTAGTCCAAGCTGATATGAGCTTGCATTCAAATAGATTGAATGTATTCGGACGTATATTCAAGCTCCTACGTGGGTGAACGGAAGAGAGGCGAGTAGCATGGATTCCGCCCCATCCGTCAGTCTTGAAAATATGAATGTTCTTTATTAAAACTGAATACATGGGTGCTTCTGACCGGGATCAGAATACCCCAAAGTCATTACTGGCTACGTGAATGGAGGTGTCGAGGTGGTGAAAAACAAAAAACGCCATCGCTATGCAAGAAGAGTGGAAAGAATCAGATCTGGATCGCGCATCATTTCAGTTGCCTCGACCATTGTGAATCCATGGGGCTCAGTTTCCCTCTTCCTTTTTTCTCCTTCGGTGTCGTGATCAAACTTAGCTCCTCCACAAACGTAAGTGATGAGAATAGCAGAGGGATAAAGTAATCGAGTATGGAAAAAATATTCCCAAGGGCTTTTTTCAGTGCGGGTGAGCACACCTGCTCTAGCCCATGCCACCGCCTTGGCCACGGCCCATGCCGCCTTGCCAGCCCATACCCATGCCCATATTGCCGCCCATGCCCATGTTGCCACCCATCATGTTCTGCTGTTGCTGTTGCTGCTGCTGGGCCTGGCGTTGGGCGAGGATCTGCTGCTGGCGCATGAGGCGGGCCATGTACGCCTGCTGGTTCTGTGGCTGGCCGCCGTCGGCGCCGCCGCCTTGCTGGGCTGCGGCGGCTTGCTGCTGCTGGAGGCGCATCTGCATCTGCTGCATCTGCTGCATGGTCATGCCTCCGCCACCCATGGCGCCCATTCCGTTCATGCCCGCCGGCAGACCGGCAACGCCGGCACCCATGCTCATCTGGCCGCCACTCATGGAGACGCCCATGCCCATGCCACCCATGTTCATCTGGCCCATGCCGCCTCCCATGCCCATGGCGTTCTGGCCACCTTGTTGCTGGTGCTGGTTAGCTTGGTTCTGAGCCTGCTGCTGTTGGACGACCAGTTGCCAGGCCTGCATAATTTGTCCGCTGCGGATCATTTGCTGGAGCTGAGGGGGTATGTTGCCGCCGTAGTGAGCTGCGATGCGCTTGACGATCATCTGCGAGCGCTGGCGGTGGAACTGCTGCTGCTGTTCCGGTGTCATATTTGCCATCGCGTTCATGCCCATGTTTGCGCCCATCATGCCTTGCTGACCAGGAGGACGCTGTTGGCCTTGTTGCTGGCCAGGGGTTGGAGAGGCGGACTGGGCCATCTGCTGTCGCATTTGTTGAGCTAGCTGAGCATTGTATGGCGTAGGTGTACCATTGTTGGAACCCTGGTTGCTGTGTTGGGCCATTTGCGCTTGGGCCTGCGCTTGGGCTTGGGCTTGGGCTTGTAGGTGCTGCTGGCGCAGAATTTGCATCTGCTCTGGAGTCATGTTTTGAGGTGAGCCGGCCATACCCTGCTGTTGCTGCTGCTGTACTAGTTGGTTGCGACGCATTTGATGGATGCGCAGCATCTGCTCGTGCGTCAGGTTCGGTGCCATCTGTCCACCTCCAGGCATCATAGGCGTGCCCTGCATGGCTCCGACTGGGCTGCCGTGTTGGTTGACGCGACCAGGCTGTGGTGTCATGTGGCGAGTAACCGGGACGGCTGTGTTCATCTGAGGCGTGTTCATTGGCATTTGGGGAGTTCCATGGGCGCTTCCTGGGTGTTGGCTGCTGTGTTGGCGGCTCATTTGTCGGGCCATGTTCTGTGGACCTGCAGAGTGAGGTACGGCAGAAGGCGGGCGTGGCGGGCTGCCTGCTTGGCTTGAAGTAGTCGGAGCCATCGGCACACCGCCCATAGCGTGGTTTGCGACGGCATTCGCGTTCATTACCGGCGATGCCTGCATAGGAGTTTGCTGGCGAACCATTGGCGAATTCTGTTGTGCTTGGCTGAACTGCGTGTGAAGAGGCGTTCCGATAGAGTTGCCAGCCTGAGCTTGGGCTTGTTGACGCCGCATTTGTTCTGCTTGCATGGCTTGCTGTTGCTGCTGCCGTTGCGCCACCAAGAGCCTGTTCTGCTCAGCCTGTTGATTTGCCTCGGCCTCTCTCCTACGTATTGCTTCTGCATTCGCCTGCTGCTCCCGCTTGAGCTGGGCCTGGCGAGCTTCCTCCTCCTTCTTGATGCGTTCATTTTCTTCGTGGGCAATCTTGATGTTTTCCAAAGTCTTGAACCGAGAGAAGCGAGGCTCGAAGGCGGCAGCTCCACTGCGCATGCCTTCGCCTTCGCCATTCATCTGCCCAGCACCCGAAGCAGGCGCAGCACTGTCGCCAAAGAGCATGAAGTTCTGATCGGCCGCAAACTGTGCCTCATCAGCCGCCAACTCAGCCGTCGTCCGCTTCCTCGTCTTAGGTGCTGGCGGGGCATTCTTGTGCATGGAGTGTGTGGTGGCCTCAATTATATCCTGGCTTTCCAGCAAGCTATGAACAGGTTCGAGGAAGAGTGCAGGAGCAGTCGCGTTGATCACCTCGGCTTCAAAATCGTGCACGTTGGTTTCATCCAAAAGCATCTTCTGTCGTTTAGGTGCCGGGGCACGAGCTGTAGATGGTGTAGGAGGCATTGATGTCATTGGCGTAGGCGGATGCGCCGAGAGGGGAGTGGCTGCTGCCCTGGACTGTTGTCTTCTTGCTGCGGCTAGATCGGGCATTGGGGTGTTTGCCAACAGTTCCAGTTCTGTCTGATTGGACAGTGACGTTGGAAATAACACCTTGGTGCAGACTCTTGGGATTTTGTTTGCTGCTTTCGTGTCATCGGCCGTTTGACCCTCGCTTTTTGGCTTATTTTCGCCTGCGGATGAGCTTGGGCGATTTGCCTGCTCGGATTTCGGGGGCGGAGACTCGTCAGAAGAGGACTTCGGAGGCGAAGGATAGGGCACCCATGGCGACGGAGTCAAATACTCGTTCCAGTTATGGATAGAGAATTGAGCATTCTTCCCTTCTTTAGAAGTGCTGTTCGTGGTCCCCGCCTGTGTTTTGGCATCGGCGGAGCGATGATCGACCAATTGGACGATGAGGCAGCCGTCGTAGAACTGCACGCCAGCGCGCAGCATCTCCTCCAACATGAAGTGCGGTACTGTTCCATCCCGAATATGTTGTAGCAGAGGGCGCATGGGAGAATTGTACGGGAAGTTGCCATCTTGCAGCTCGAAGCGAAAGTGGTGCTGGTGGAGATGGACAATCAACGAAGGCGGCGAGCCTTTGAATTTCTTCAATATGTACTGCTCATTTATTACTGATATCTTATTAGCACTATGCGGAGCGATGACAGCTGCCTAATCATACCGAGGGGCTTTTCCACAACTTTGTCCGCCGCGGCTGCCTCTTCAGCATCACCTTGTGCATTTCTAGTACTGCTGCGTAATTGGGAGGGGCGTTGGGATTCGCGGCGCTGGCGCAGCGCCTGCATAGGCCGAACCGGACCGACAGTCGACATGGTAAGTCGGCGGGGTTGTAGTCGTACACTCGTAGAGTAAGCGACAAAGAATCACGGCGTGAGATGCGATGATCTTAACACCGGCGCAGATCTCAGGAGCTCGCGGAGCGGCGAGCGAGCCGGCGGTCAGTCGCAGATGCTGTCGCGACAGCAAGTAGGCGAAGCGCGCCGAGCGAGATATGCGGTCCGCGATGCGCGATGGGCGGTCCGGGATGCGGGCGGGTGGTGGAGATGATGTCGGGGGTCGGGGAAGCCATGCGGCTCCGCGACGCGTGAGCGTTAAGGCCAGGGCGGAAATGACGCCCGCCCCGGTCTTGGCACCTTCCGCTCGTGTCCCACCCGGCGGGCGTTCCTGGTTGCTGCAAGGAACAAAGGCGCATCCACCTATGATGCAATTGCCCTCCCCGCACTCTCTCCTCAACAACACACTCTGCTCACCATGGCCGAAATCGCTGCTGGAGCTGTCGTTGCTGAACAGGTCGTGTCAACCACTATTGAAGGCGGCGCTGTCGCTGGGTATGCTATTGCCAAGAAGACGTTGCCGCTGAAGGCTACCTTCACGCGCATAGCCGTGTCGTAAGTCGCCACATTCTCACATACTGGCGACTCTAACAAAGACCGTGTAAAGCGATCTGATCCGCCGCCACTCTCACACTGTCAGTGTGGTAAAAGGAAAAGCGTACATCTTCGGCGGCTTTACTCCCGATGGCACCCTTGCTGGCAACGAATTCCACCAGTTGACCTTGTCTTCCAAGGAGAAGACCGATTACAAGTGTATCCCAGCCCTGCCTGAGGATGATGCTTCTTCTGTTCCCCCACCTCGTGCAGGCCATTCTGCTTCAGTGTTCGGGAAGAACATCATCATCTACGGTGGACTTGATGAGGCAGGAAACTCGGTGGAGGATGGCTCCAAGCTATGGTCCTTCAACACCGACACTCTCAAGTGGACTCTCCGAACCTCACAAGGCCCCAAGGACTGCCAGTTCTACCATGGATCTATTGTTCATGGCAACAACCTCCTACTCTATGGAGGTTACAGCAGGCCAGCTGGCACAAATGACTTACGTTCTCTCCCAAGCCTCAGCTCAGTTGACGTCACAACTGGTGTCTGGCAGGCTTACGAGGACCAGGCATTATCGCCTGTTGGTACGCCTGCGGGCCTTGCATTCTCTCAAGATAAGGTCTTCACCGTCGGCATCGATTCGAAGTTCCAGGCTCCAGTCCACTACTACGATCTCCAAGCCGCCACCACCGATGCTCGTTGGGATACCATCCCTGTACCTTCAAACCCTCTCGTTCCTGGTCCTGACACCTCTAGAGACGGCGCTGGTGTGATCACTATCTCAACTGGACAGGGACGCAAATACCTGCTTTACCTGTTCGGTCAGAAGCACGGTGATGGCCAGCCCACTAGCTTCCCGCCCAAATCCCAGGAGTTATTCAGCGATGCCTGGACCTTCCAGCTTCCTTCCACCAACACTTCTCTTGCGAGTGCCAAGGATGCAGCGAGGCTCAAGCTTGGGATGGACTCTGGTGAGGATAGTTGGGCCGAGGTTGAGCTGAAGCTGCATAAAGAGGAGTTCGCACATGAGGGTAAGGTCCATCCCGGGCCCAGGTCATTCTTCGCAGCCTCGAATTTCGATGATAAATCAGTGATTCTATGGGGTGGCCTGAACCCTAAGCAAGAAGTTGAGGGTGATGGCTGGATCATCAAGATGGAGTGAGTGAGGATCGATTGCAGGAGATGGCTCGAGAGAGCTGTATGTACTATATCACACTATTGGGTTATGGGCATTGGGGTATTCCAGCACTGACCGTGATAAAGTCACGGTGACGAGATAGAGGTGCATGAAGTCATGATTCTGATTAAGCATTTCCTTTTCAAAGCGTTTTTGCGACTAACTTTTCCTAATTTTACTTCTGATTGACTTCTTGAAGTGACTTCCTCTAACCACCTTCTAGCGCAGAGAATCCCCAGTGGCGTTACTCGATAAAGTCATTCATGGGGTCATCATCTCCAAACGCATCATCACCTTCATCTTCATCCAAGTCTCCACCAAAGCGCTTGAACTTCTCGTCCTTCCATTCCTCTGCGAGACTATTAGCAAATGTCGTGATCTGAATTGGAGATTCCAGGAAACTTACTGCCCCATTCAACGACGTGACCCTCTTGGACCTCGCAGTCCTTCAGAATGGTCTTTTCGTCTGACTTCGCTGGGCCACCCTCGATCTTACATCTCCTACCCAGAATGCAGCCGGTGAGCTGGCAGTTCTCACCGACCTCAGCACCGTCCATCAACAAGCACCTCTGCAGACGCGCTCCGGTGGCGATCTTGCAGTTTGCGCCTATGACCGACTCCTTGATGTTGCATTTCTCTTCGATGATGACGTTCTCGGCGATGAGGCTGTTTTCGGCCTCAACACGGCATTTCTTAGGCACACTGTCGGGGTGCGCAACCTTGGCCGGGTGAGCGAAAGGCGAGGCCGCATTTTTGCCAACTTCCTCGATCGAAGGTAGCTTAGCCAGACGTAGCGAGACGTTCAGAAGAAGGGCTGCTGTGTCAACGCGGCGGATGAATGGCGCAGATGGCTCGGTCGGCTGGACGTAGGCAAGGATGGAAGGGACTTCAAGCTTGGGCTCAACATCGTGTGCGGTGACTTGAAGGGACGGGCCATCGGGGTCTGATACTCTTGAGGCGAAAATAGGCTGCGCGTCGCCAGAGCTGGCTTTGCTCTGGAATGTGCTGCTAAGACCTGCAATGTCAATGTCCTCTTGGAGAATGCCGCTGGCAGCCATTACATCGTCGCCGTCCTCGCTTTCTGAAGGGCGCAGAATCTCTTTCAGGCCGAGCTTCTCGCCCAACCCAGATTGCCAGCCAGCCTTTGCCCACCATCCCAGAGCATCGCTAAGCGAATCAAACTTCTCGTTCTTCTTGATCATGTCCAGCACCCAGTACGGGAAGAAATAAACGTGAGAGTCCCGCGTTGTCGTCAGCATCCTAACCCTCCCGTGCTTCTTGAGGAGCGTGTGTCTGATGGGGAAATTCCTGTTCTCCTCGGTGATGTCGTTCAGCACATCTGTGGGAATCGAGTAGACCAAATTGGCCAGGCTCGGACGTAGTGACCCAGAGTGTGGCGGCACAATGGACTTGGGCAGCGGAGTTGTTGCAATGAAATCCGTCTCTTCGCCTTTCACGGCGTGCTCGCCCTTGGTCTGATACCACACGCCGAGACCGCCCCTCCTCCCGCTCTTTTCGCCTCCAGTACTCATAGGAATGAAGCGGTTGTTCTCCCTGCCTCCTGTAGCTCCGCCAAGACCGCCCTGCTCGATCATCCAGGACTCCAGTAAGCTTGCGCCGTCGAGTTCGCACACCAGGTCACAAGGCAGGACAATGAAGTCTCCCTCAATGATATCCTGGACCTCCTTTATCCTAAAGAGTTCACCGGTTCCAGTAGTTTGCGTCAGGTCTTCCGGGGCAAGGACATCAGGCTTCGGGGAAGGCAACGAGGTCAAATGCGGGTTCTGCGAGAGGGCGGCTTCAAGAGCTTCGGCTGATTCCGGCGGAGTAATCAGAGTAATGTCTGCGGAGCATTCCTTGTCAGATACCCTCAGTCCAGCTCACACCCATATAATTACATACTCGTGATTCCCATGCGGTAGCACCACTCCAGCGGATACCAGACCATGGGGCGATTGGCGATAGGGACCAGTGCCTTGGGGAAGTCCTTTGGGCTGGAGGTGAAAGTGTCCAGAGAAACGCCAGGTCCGCAGAGAATCAGCGCCTGGAAGCCCGGCGCGGGCATACTTGCGTGGGGCATGGTGTAGAGTCACAGCCCCGCGGCTGGGAATTCGTATGCTGATGCGGTCTTCTCCGAAGCAGATGTAGATGCGTCGAGGTGGGTTCCTTCGCCAAAGGAAATGCTCCAGCTGGGCAAGCAATGTCGGCGGCGGCCAATGTGGGGAGGTTGCTGGGTTGCGGGCGCGGTGTTCGGCGTGAAGCTCAAAAAATACGGCTGTGACGCATCGGCTCGCGACCGGCGCGGCGTAGGTAGATCGGCCGTGCACGGTTGTGTACCAACCGACTGCCCAACCGACCTTTGCCGTTTTTGAGCCTATCTGGGCCTGTTTCCCGGCCACGTAATTAGGTACTAGCGTTTCCCCAGGCCGAGGTGCTGACCAGCCTCCACAAACAACAAGCAGGTGCCATCTCGAAGCTCTCCGCCTAACTGCCCGCCCAGCCACCTCCGGGCCTGCTAAGCTTTTGCGAAGTCTGAAAGCTGTGTCGCAAAAGCCTCTTCCAACCCACGATCGCGTGTGCAAAATAATGTGAGGAGCGATCATGTCATTCTCCTACGACCGCTACGACCGCCGACAACAGAGCTCGCGTCGATCCACGTTCGGATACTGGGTCCCTCTGGTCATCACTGTCACCATCGCCACTGCAGGCGTCGCAGCATGGGTTTGGAGCGAACGCAAGGACGGCGACGACGATGACGACGCAGACCTTAGCTATGGCGAGGAAGAGCGCACATACCGTCCGCCGCCGCCGCCGGGCTATGCGGAGGATACATACTCGGAGTCGGTTGGTGTCACCAGAGAACAAGATGAGGGCTTTATGGCGCGCATGTCGGGGGCCATTCGTCGCACGCCCAGCCCGCAGCAAGTGTTCGACAATGCAAGCAGAAGACTCGCGGCCGGTGTAGCTGCGGCCGGCACTGCGTTTGGCGCCGCGCTCGGCTCTATCCGCGAGGAAGACCGCGAGGACTATGGTGACCATTCCAGATGGTCTGAAGAAGCTGCACGCCGCAACGTCGAGGCCCAGTCGTCGCAGAGTTCTGCGGCGGTTGGTACGCATACCGCTGCCTTCAACGCCGCGCTTCAACCTCCCGCCCAGCCCCCGCGGCCAGGCGCAAGGAAGAAGACTGTCGTAGTTGTTGTCTCTGCGGACTCTGTCATAGGCGATGATGACCATGCCCCATACCAAGAGCATGCGGTAAGCTATTTACATTCCTCGTCTAGAATTGCCTATCTAACTTCTGTAGTCCATACTTTCGCACCTGCCGCCAACAAACTTCGCGACGACCAATCTTTTCGTCCTCATTTATGCGCCATCACTCAAGCCCCGGTCCAGTTCCAGTAATCAATCAGGCTCCCTCGGTTCTTCGTACGCCGCCATCCCTACGCCTGCCCAGACCCCTGGTGATGACATGTCGTCTCTTGACCCGCATCCCTATGGCAGCGGCCAGAACACGCCGAAGTCTGGGAATACCCCATCCATGTCAGCTTCGACTTCTGAATCTGCGCTTTACAACAGTATCTATGCGCGTGCGCTACGCTTGGTCAAAGACCGCACGATGGTCATGCCGTTTACGACACCGAGTGGACACGTGCACATGCTGCGCCATCTGGCACCTGACCTGGTCTACGTGACCGAAGATCTCTCAGGCACCCAAGGGGAATATGTCGAACAGATCAGGAACTGGGTTGGCCAGGTCATGGTCGTTGTCGGCACTGGCGGTGTCGGTCTTGGCCTTGTGGATACCGAGGATGAGGGCGAAGGCACCGGGAGAGTTCAGGAGAAGAAGTGGTGGGAGACCACTACGATGGTCGGACTGGGCAAAGGCGTAGAGGTTGTGGATGGGGCAAGGCTGCTTGATGATTTCGAACGACGGGTCGGCGGCAAAGAATGATTGAACGGGATCTGAGAAACCATTTCTGGTATATATGGTTTAACGACGTTATGGCGCTTGAGGCTGTGGGTATAACTCCCCGCATTGTTCTATCCTACTTTGGAAATTCAGAACGGTAGCGCACTGTTGGTTGGTTGAAGAGCTCCTGCCGAAGCCTCTATACAATGGAACGTGAGACTGAGAAGAGCGGATATCGGTGAAGTGATCGCCCTCCTATATTTCCTTCTGAAAAGCCAGAGATGATGTTTAGCGAACGGAGTCGAAGGCAAAGTAGGAAGTGACGTTAAATGGATGTCGCGGCCTTGAAGGAAGACCGGGCTGTAGGGCTGGAGTGGCAAAGGAATGAGTGAGAACCTAAAAATGGCAAGCCTTGGAGTAAATTGCCTTGCTTAAGCGTCTCCTGATGACTTTGCAAGAAATTACATCCTTTCAACGAGGAAGAGAAAGGAATTCCTCTAAGTATACCATGCTGTTTCCTTTGATCTTCTAAGATATTTGAATATTAACAGCCACGTTGGGTTTGGTACACCCTGAGTAGTAATCTTTTAGAGTGAAATGCTCTGGTGGCGCATTTTAGGAAGGCCAAAGCGATTGGACCTGAACGACCCCACTTCGTGCGGTGCCCCACTTGTGGGAGGAAGCCGATTTGCAAGGCACAAGTCTCTTCTGATCTTCTGCTCACCGCGGCGCTGAAATCCGATAGCCAAGACTCACCGCCGGCCTATCTGCGATTGGCCCGCCAACAGCTTCCCTCTCTGCCAATAATGTGGCTAGGTTGATAAGCTGCCGAACATGCCCACGTAGGGCGTGCATCCTCTCCGCCACCCCTCCGGACTGGACCACCTTTAAGTCTCGAACATCCGCCCAGGGCGTGCTCGCGTCTCCACCCGCTAACATCACTCAAGCAATTTCTCATATCCTGCTGCGAATAGTCCAGCTTATCTCACTTCTGTCATTATCTTTCATTGTAGCCACCCATCATGGCACCATCGGCAATTGAGGAGAAGAAGGAGGATGCTGTCGTTCCTTTCAAGCCTCACGGCAAGGAGGACATGACGCCTCTGCAGGCCATCTCGCAGGGTGTCTCCCTCCCCGGCATCCCCCTCTACTCGGAAATCGATAAGCAACGCCACTTCATCCTTTCTCACATGGCGTGCGCCTTCCGCGTCTTTGCTCGCAAGGGCTTTACTGAGGGAATGTCTGGTCACATTTCCGTGCGAGACCCCGAGGTAAATTGAGTCCTTTTATCAAGTATCACTGTATAGATGGATGACTAACGCCCTAATAGAACCCTCACACCTTCTGGACCAACCCTCTGGGCAAGCACTTCGGTCAGCTTAAGGCGTCGGACATGATCTTGGTCGACTACGACGGCAAGGCCATTGGCGGAAACATGTCGCGGCCGGCCAACGCAGCAGGATTTCTGATCCACAGTGCGGTGCACAAGGCGCGGCCAGATGCCAACGCAGCCTGCCACACGCACTCCAAGGCCGGTAAAGCATGGAGCGCGTTCGCACGGCCTCTCGAGATGCTCAACCAGGACGTGTGCTACTTCTATGGCGACGCCCAGGCCGTTTACAAGGATTGCGGCGGCATCGTCTTCTCCGAGGAAGAGGGCAAGCGCCTGGCAGGTGCTTTGGGCCCCAACGGCAAGGGCATGATTCTCAGGAACCACGGTCTGTTGACTGTCGGCCACACGGTCGATGAGGCGGCTTACTTGTACTGCTTGATGGAGAGGAGCTGCGAGGTCCAGCTCATGGTCGAGGCGGCGGCCGCAAACGGCGTACCCAAGGTTCTCGTGCCGGATGACGCCGCGCAATACACATTCAAGATGGGTTCGGACAGGGAGTCGCTGTACTGGGAGTTCCAGCCGGACTTCGAGTACGAGGAGGAGCAGTGCAAAGGCGAGTTTTACAACTGAGGCATATCGGGATTGGCTGCCTTTGAAAAAATAATCTCGGACGATTCTTACGAAACTTCATGTATTTCACTCTTGATCAAAGAAAGACATTTCGTCTGATCGGCAGGTGACAAGCCAGCTGCCGCTTGGTATTCTTGCTGATGCCGTGGTTGTCCCCAGCGACGTGTCCGCTGCGGTCCTGTGCGCATACGGTGTGAGGAATCTGCCCTGCACAAATTAAAGTACCGGGGCGCTGGGAGCTCACGCGAACCACAGGCGCAAGCACACGCCCACAGGAGTCTTTTCGTGCGACGCGCTCTCCAACGCATGGCGTGACAGGGGCTGGATCATGTATAAATGCTATTCGGATGCATGCTGAGCTTCAGTCAAGACATTCGAGTCCAGGCTTGCAATTTGTGGGGTCATTTGACGGAGGCGCGCGGGTGTTTGTGACCAGAGACAAAAGAGGTCAGGCCGGAGATTTGGTACGGACGCGTAGTTGGGCACAGATCGCTAGCGCCTATGAAGCATCAGCATGACCGACGTCATGCCCATGGAAGGTCTCTTCCGATGCCGCACTGGTAAACAATATTGCCCTCTCGCCATGCTCGGCCGCTGAATTCAACAACGCAGCGCGCAGCACAACATGCCGGGCCTCGTTCGCAAGCTGCTTATCTTTGCCGCCGTCGATGGCCTCATCTTGCAGCCTGCCCCGCCGCGCAACCATCCCCCGGCCACCCAGCAGGCCATCAAGATCGACTACAAGGGCACCATCCAACCACTGCTTAGGGACCGCCGGGACGAGGAGACTACCCCGCAGGCCCTGGAAGCACATGGAATTGTTGGTGAGATCCTGCCTTATCGCGCATCGCGAAGGCCCGCTGCTGATCGTTTGCGCCAGGCCTGCTACAAGCTGCCAAATCCACCTTCCTGATCGCTATTTCCCGTCGCGAGCTCGTCGCCCAGGTTCGCGGAAGAGCCATCTACGTTATCACCGATGTCGCCCTCATTCCTCTTGCCTCGCAAGCCGAGGCGAACAATGCGATCACACAGGCGCGCGAGAGCGTAAAGCGCTACAGGGGCTCGGATGCCAGCGGCGACGATTCTGAGTCCGAATCGGACACGGACACAGACACAGACACCGAGTCGGATCACTTCACGGTTGACGAGTCGCTACCGGATATGTCGCCGCAGGAAGCTGAGAAGGATGCGACTACTGCGACGGCGAAGAACCGAAGGACAAGCGTTGCTGAGGACGTCATCGGGCGGAAGGGCGTGTACGGGAGATTTGCCCAGAAATGGTTCTCCAAGAAGGGCTGGAGTGCGGAGGGTCGGCGCATGCAGGGAATGAGCAGCGACGAGGATGTGTCCAAACAACCCAAGTCCAGGTCTCCGGCACCCGCACCCCAGGACGATCCAGCAGCCGCAGCTGCGACTGCTGCGGCCCCCGTTTCGCCGCCTGCTTCCGGGTCTGATGCTGCCATGAAGCCTACCCAGGATGTGTCCGAGAACCTGCCCCAGCCCGCGAACAATAACACCGGAACGCTGTTGCCCAAGATTCTCAGGACCACCAAGCTTTACTTTAGTAGCAGAAGCTTTTTCTTTTCTTACGACCTCGATCTCTCGAGAAGTTGGGGGAATCAGACGGAAGCACATTCTTCGCTCCCACTGTTCAAGCTCTACGATTCCTTGGTAGGATTTTACCTCACATCGCGGCGAAGAAATCTTTGCTAACAGATAACAGTTCTTCTGGAACAAGAACATAATTGAGCCGTTCATAGAAGCCGGCCAGTACAGCTTTGTGCTGCCTGTGATCCAGGGCTTTGTAGGACAGAGGGTGTTCTCTGTTGATGTGGCTGCAGAGTCGTCCGGATCCACCGTAGTGGGTGCAGCGTCGGAGCCAGAGGAAGTCGTTGCTGCTCAGGAGAGCGCCGCTGCGAAGCGATCTACCTCTCCTCCGCCGCCGTCAAGATCTAACACCAAGTCGGGCCTGTCTCACCCTCAAGTGACACCGCTCTCTGTTCACAGTTCCACTAAGAAGGACTACGTGATAACACTGATCTCCCGCAGATCTGTCATGCGCGCAGGCTTGCGATATCTCCGTCGCGGCGTCGACGAGGACGGTCATGCGGCTAACAGTGTAGAGACGGAGCAGATACTTGCGCCACAATCGTGGGATTCGACGGACGGCAAGATATATTCGTTTGTGCAATTCAGAGGCTCCATACCTCTTTTCTTTTCGCAGTCTCCCTATAGTCTGAAGCCGATCCCCCAGCTCTGGGGCTCCCCGGAGACAAACGCGACGGCTTTCAAACTCCATTTTTCTCAGCTTGCTGCCAGGTACGGTGGTATCCAGGCTGCCTCGCTGGTAGACAAGCACGGAACGGAGCAGAAGATAGGCGCGGCGTACGAGGAATATGCCAACGCCCTCAATGAGGACGGTGGAATCGATGGTCGAGGCATGCTGCTTGGCTTCGAGTGGTTTGACTTCCACAGTGTCTGCCGGGGAATGAAGTTCGAAAACGTTGCTTTGCTCATGAATTCACTCGCAAAGAACATGAAGAACTACGGATGGACTGTCGAGGATCGCGGACAAATAGTCCAAATGCAGAGTGGTATTCTCCGCACCAATTGCATGGACTGCCTGGATCGCACCAACGTCGTGCAATCCGCCTGTGCGCGTGAGGCTCTCGAGAGGCAACTCGCGGACCAGAATGTCAGCATCGACCTCCAGCACGACCCTCGGACTTCTTGGTTCAACACTCTATGGGCAGACAATGGCGATGCTATCTCGAAGCAGTACGCCGGAACCGCAGCGCTCAAGGGTGACTTCACCCGGACGAGGAAGCGCAACATTGCCGGAGCGCTGACCGACTTTGGCCTCACTCTTTCGCGCTACTACAACAACATCGTCAACGACTACTTCGCCCAGGCCGTCATCGATTACCTCCTTGGCCGCGCCACCGAGGACATCTTCGCCGATTTCGAGGATGACATGAAAGCCCAGGACTACGCCATTGACCTGCGTAAGGTTCGCCAACTGGCCATCTCCCGCTGCGCCGAGCTGGTCATCGAAGACCCGCAAGAGGACTTCCTCCACGGCTGGACCTTGTCATGCCCTGCCAAATCCAGCTCCCTCCGTGCTCTTCCGTTCGAGGAATGCGTTCTTCTACTCACCGAGAGGGCCCTGTATTTCTGCCGCTTTGACTGGGGCACGGAGAAGGTGCGCGAATTCGAGCGCATAGAGCTGGAGGATGTGAAGGGCTTGGCCAAGGGCACGTACATCACAAGTACACTAGCACCACGCCACATGGACGAGGCCAAGAACGTAGGCTTCGTTGTGGAGTATGTTCATGTAGGTCCGAACCTGGTGCGGGTGAACACGAGAAGTCTGGCGACCGAAAAGAGCGAGTCTGAGGCGCAAGCTGAGGCGGAGGCAAATCCTGAGTCGGAGGCAAAGCCCGAAGCCGAGGCAAAGCTGGAAGCGGTGAAGAAGGATGCAGATGAAGAGCTGAGAGAGCAGACCAAGGAACAGAGTGAAAGTGGCAAGGCACAAGCATCATCTGAAGCCGAAGACCAGCGCAGTAATGAGGACGCGTCAGCTGCGAAAGAAACCAACCAGATCCTGCCGCTTCCGCTGAAAAAGAAGACGACCACGATGAAAACGGACCCGTCTCTTCCTCCTGGCGCTGAGAAGCGCTTTCTCGCATTCAAAGCACTGCCGCCAAAATCGAGCTTCGCTACCACAGGTGGCAGTAACGAAGCCGATGCCGAACCACCCAGTGAGCGTGAGCTCGTAAGCATGATTTGCGAGGAGATCAAGCGCGCAAAAATGCAGCGAGCCAAGTTCCATCAAGAATCAGAAATTGGCAGAGACAGGGATGCAACGGCGAAGGGCAAAGATGTTGACAGAGAGGACGACGCCTTGCAGATCGAGGACAGGGATATCGTCTCGCTTGCAGACGCGAAGAAGAGTACTGGATTGATGGAGCAGATCGGGTATTCGTTGAAGAAGCTTGTGTGGGCTTGATTCTGTACTTTTGCATGATTGCGGAGTGTGCCTTGTATTCTTGGTCTTCTTTAGAGACCGTTGTTTCTGTTTCTTTGATATATCCATTTTCAAGCGCTTTCTTATTGTTCTTTCGCACCCTTGGGTCGTTCTACCGTTTATCCTGCCTTTCCTACGCCACGAGCATCATAGAGATGATAAGACGGCTGTTTTCCATTTAATAACTTACACAGAATAATACTCGACGTTCAAGGAACAACCGCGCATACCCAATGACAGAATTCTTCTACAGTAATTCCGGATATCCATTTACAAATATTGGTATCGAACCCTAGCGCTCTCAAGAGAAGCAAACAATAAACATCTTCCCCTTCCCCTCAATCCTCTCGCATACCGACATTTACACAGCCCGGATTCTTCCCCACATTCTCACTTTCTCATTTTATTTTTTTCACCTGCCCTGCCCGGCATCCTTGACGCCCTTCGCGATGCGAGCGCTGCCGTCCTCGATGCCGGTCGCCGCGTCGGCCACGCCGCGGGCAACGGGCCTGCCGGCGCTGCCGGTGGCGCCCTCGAGCGTCTCGCCGATGCCGCGGCCAGCGGCACCCACGACGCCGCCGACCGTGTTGGTGAGCCCGCCGACCGTGTTGCCGATGGTGCTGGTGACGAACTTGATGCCCGAGGACACGCCTGATTCGTTGTTGCCGATGGGCATATTTGCGGTAGAGGGGGGGGGGGTTTCTTTGGTAGTGGTGGTTGTGGTGTTTGGCGCTTTGTTTGAGGTCTGTGGACCCTTTGAGGATGAGAGATGTGGGTGGAGGTTCTTGTGTGTTTGTTTTTTGCTCGGAGGATTTATATCCTGCAGATGGTCGAGATCACATCAGGGAAGAAGTAGGAGGAGGGTATATATACAGTTATACACAGCCACAGGCGTACGCCCCAGGTGTTGGTGAAAGGGCTGAAAAACAGGTTAGTTTAAAGCCCTTGCGAGACCCTGGAACGTGTGACGTGTGACGTCAGCCGACAGAATAAGTGGCGCAAAAGCGTCGATATGACTGGCGGGTACAAACATGAACACTTCGAAGTCGTCGCTTAAGGTCATTTCTATTCTCCTACTGGCTGGTACTTGGCTGCGTGAAACGTGGCTCTCATCCAGACTGTGAGATCTCGAGGAATTGTGCAGAAGCAATCAAATCCCATGCCGCGCCTGCATGAAACTTAGCTCCGGGTTCCCAGGCTTGGGTTTCTCCGCCCGTTTCCACGCCACAGCCTTCCAGAAATTAGAGATAACGTTGTCCTCTGAAGCCTTCATACCATTTTGTGCGATACCGACTCCCTGCTCAACATCATTCACAATTTCTTCGAACTTCTTCCATTCACCAGCTTCGGCAAGCTTCACAACGACCTGCTGAAGCGCAGGCCAGCCAGGAGTAAGGCCTTCGTTGGACATGCGCTTGAGGAAGGCCAACATTTTCGGGATGTCGCCGACAGCGGCGTAGCGCTCAATCATTCGGTCGTAGAAGATAGTGTCGACAACGACGCCAGACACTTTGATTTGCTTCCACAGCTGCTCGATGGCCTCAAACTCATAGTGCGCGAAGTAGTGCGCCATGAGGACAGTGAAAATATGCGGTGGGATGTCAACTTTCTTTGCGACCATGTAGTCAAGGACTGCCCTCGCGGCTGCTTCATTGCCGTGTCTCCTGAGCAAGCCGTCGACCAATGTCGAATAGATATGTGGTGTGGCTGTGAGTCCGTGGGCCTCGAGGTTCCGAAGGACGCCCATGACCTTCTCGTTTTGCTCCTTCGGTGACATGTTGGCTGTGGTCTCGCTGCGAAAGATTGAGTTGAGAATAATAGCAAATGTCGCGGCATCCGGCTGTATATTGGCTTTGTCCATTTGCTGGAGCAGCTTCATGGCTTCTTCGCCGTTGCCAGTGCTAAGAGACATGGCAATCAAAGAATTATAAGTGAAAACATCAGGAGCAATGCCGAAGCTCCGAGCCCACGCCAGAATACGAGCTAGATATTGCTGGTTCTGGCCTTGAGATTGCGCTATGGCGGTGATGGTTCCATTCAGGATGACCGTGCTGGGTTTTGCGGGGAGCATGGCCGGGTCTGGCTCCGCTTGTGACTTTTTCCGTTTCGAGGGAGATTTCAGACGCTTGTATGCGTCTACCCATATCTTCCCCATCTCGTCGAGAGCCTCAAGGCCATACGTGAATTTACGTGAACGCATTATTCCTGAGATGCGCGCAGACCAGGCATGAACATCCGGCTGAACACCAGAACTGAGCATTCTCGCCCACATCTGCTCCAATCCTTCGAAATCTTTTGCCCTTCCACAGCCATTGATCATCGCCGTCCAGGTCTTGATTGTTGGCTTGGTTCCGCTTTCAACCATCTGATTCCAAACCTTTATGGCTTGATCCGGCAACTTCATTGCCATGAGGGCTTCAAGGGTCAAGTCGTACAACGCTGGTGGCACCTGTGGGGCCTTGGTCTCGTTATTCTGCCGAGACAATGCCTCGCAAGCTTCCACCCAGAGGTCATATATTACGAACCGTTTGTCCTGGGAATAGGCACGAGCGATGCGCCCATAATAAAAATCTTCGAGTGATTGGCCTGGAGGCCGGGTCTCCTCCTCAATGCCAGCCGAGGGTCCGGAAGAGCTAGCCGAGTGTGCGGCAGAGCCAATGATCTTCATACACTTGCTTACAGAGTTCAGGACTCGATTCGATAATGCAGTTATCGCTTCGGAAGGTACTTGGGCGGTCCCCAAGAGCCTAAGCATATCATTTGGCGAATCGTCGTACTGCTTCACCGGAAGACGTATTGATCCAGGGATGAGATGCGCGACGAAAACAATAAAGGGTTCAGAATCTGACACGATTTCTTCGTCCAAAATCAATTTGATGTTGTCTCGTGTGAGAATGTCGAAGGTGATCAGTGCCGAGTATGCAATGCGATTCATGAATTTTGCTTCCATGGCCGGAATGAATTGATTGAGCCGGGTACCAAAAAAACGCAACGGCCTTGTTATTTGGCGCACCGTAGCCCAAGGAGGCAAGGATGACCACATGGGGGCGGGGGACTGCACTCCGGTGGATCCTTCAGCGTTACTGCAAGTCTTGAGAAGTAGGTCCCATATCCTGATGATCTGGGCCATCATCTCAGCGGCCGACCTCCGGGAAGTTTCCGTCGCTCCGGGGTGCAACTTCTTCAGCGCGCGTGTGTTCAGAGACCAAAGAATCGGATGCCAGAACTCTGGTTTCATGATACCCAGATAAACATACTTTTGTGCGAGCTCGATTGGAGTTGGTAGTGATGCGTCCGACTTCCCAGCGTACCAGTCCCGCAGAAGATCCCATTGTAATCTATTGAATTGTTCTCCCGAGACCAATTCACGAACGTCCAGCAGAGAAGGAGACTTCAGAGGTGGACAGTCTGGACTGGTGTAATGACGCTCAAAGTATTCCCAAGCATCTTTGGTTGTCTTTGCCGGGTTCTCAAGTATTTTGCGCAGCTCTGAGGCAACTGGAACTGTCTGAGAGGCTTTCGGCTGGGGCGCCTGGGCGCGTTGAGGCTGGAGGGTTTGTGGAAGTTCGTCGGGGCCTTGGTCGATCGCATGGGGGCGTGAGTAGCGATTGGACGTCCCAATGACGCCAAATAGGTTTGAAAGCGCATCGGCGCGGGGCGAATTCGAGGAGGAAGGAGTCTTGGTTTTCGATTGCTGAGCGTCTTTGGAGTTTTCTGGGATCGGCGTATTTTCCTTGGCCGGGGTTTGGCGGGGATTGTTGGAGTTGAAGGAGATGAATGTTGCTCTAGAAGTGTGTGGGAGGCGACGTAGATGTCGGGCTACGTTGTGGCGGCAGCTTGGACAAACATACGGGGCGCTCATGGTCCGATCGAGTGGCGGGGCGCATCAATTGAAGCGAAAGTATGGAGGAGAGCTCCAGGCTCGCGCAAACCTGGGCCGGCCAGCGGCGGTCGGCGGCCCGGCCTCGGCGCGACGCCAGGCCGAGGCGGGCCATCACGGTGTGACGCAGCGCTTAAGAGCTTCTACGCTGCTACTCTCCGCCAGCACCGCCGCGCTCCACTACCCGCGAAAATGACGACTCTTACCCCTCGCCCGCCCTACTCTCAGCAGGAGATTGAGCAGCTTTATCCTAAACATCTCCAGCTTCAGCTCGTCCAAGTGGTATGCACTTCCCACCGCCAATTGCGCCAGTTGTTGCTGATCGCTATTGGGACCACAGCTTCTCCGCCATGGTCAGTTTTCGAAATAACCAAAGAAGAACTTCTGCGCCTAACTATGTACAGGCGAACGTAGTCCTGTCTCTCCCCGTTTCCGCAATGTAGGCAACCATGGCCCCTCATTTTCCCTCGGTACATGCATACTAATGTAATGTTGCACAGGCTGGACTGCCACCGCGTACGCGACCAGATGAATACTCAACTACCTTAAAATTCCTAACAAAGCACAGACTGGCCATACTGCAACGCGGCACGACGCCTGACGAGCGTCATCATGAGCACCAAGGACGCATCACAGTGGGATGAGCTCAAATGGCGCAGAAGACTGGAAACATTCGGCGTGGATGACGGTCCTGTGATAGCTTCGGGCCCGAAAGGCGAGTTCGATGCCATCTGGTAGGTTGCTCAGGTCCATATCGTGCATAATTTGGCTGATAGCTTGGAGCCAGCCTGGTGAGCTGACGGACAAGGGTCGAGAAACGACCCTCGCTCTGGGCCAGAGGCTCAGGCACCTCTACGTTGACCAGCTTGGTTTCATGCCTCGGTTGGTATCCGATGCCGACATGGTCTACTTGAGAGCAACGCCAATCCCGAGAGCTTTGGAATCGGTCCAGCAAGCATTCTGGGGTTTCTACCCTCTGTCCGCTCGAACTGCCGACTTTCCTCCGCCCACCATCATCACTCGTTCGCCGGCCGACGAGACTTTGTACCCCAACGATGGGAATTGTCGCCGCTTCGCCCAGTTGAGTCGCGCCTTCGCCCAGAGGGCTGCCGACCGCTGGAACGACACGGCAGACATGGACTATCTGAACAAAAAGATATCAAAGTGGATGCCCGAAAACTCCAAACGCGTCGCTATCGACTCGCACCCTCGCCTTTCGGGTATCATGGACACAGTAAATGGAACCCTGGCCCACGACGAGCGGGTGCGCCTGCCGAGCGAGTTCTACGATCCCAAAGTTCGTCAAATCATCGATAAGGCCGTGGTCGAGGAATGGTATGCTGGCTACTGGGAGTCGAAAGAATACCGCACGCTTGGAATCGGTGGCCTGATGGGCGACATTGTGAGCCGCATGACCGGGAACGTCGAGCAGAGCGGTTGGGACGGTGTTGTTGAGGTGGGCGGCGAAGACGGTGCCCTGGGCAAAGGCAGGGGAGGTGAGAAGAAAATCAAGCTCGCCATGTCCGGCTGCCACGACACCACTCTCGCGGCCATCCTCTCCAGCTTGGGTGCTTTCGAAAATGAACAGTGGCCGCCATTCACGAGCCACATCGCCATCGAACTGTTCCGCAAGCAGGCCCAGGGCATTGTCCCTCCCGGCAGCACTTCCACGCTTGGAAGTCAAAGACTGCCGGAAAAGTCTCAGGGCTGGTTCGCCTCGCTGTTTGGCAGCACGAAGGATGTCCAGCACAATGGCGCACCGCGGCCTGAAGGAATTGCGCGCAAGAGAATGGAGGAGTTGACGACGCAGCAGAAGGAATCGCTCAAGGGCTATTATGTGCGCGTGCGGTACAACGACAAAATTATGCAGGTGCCCGGCTGCAAAGCGGCAGGTAAACACCTTGAGGGGGACGCGTCGTTCTGCACTTTGGTACGTATTGAACCCAACTTGATCACATTTGTTGGATTTATCACTCACAAGCGCTTTGCAGGAGGCGTTCAAGTCTATTGTCGACAAGTACACCCCTGAGAGCTGGAAGGGTGCTTGTGCTAGCAACCTCGGACAGCCTGCTTTCCCCACCAAGCCTGAGCCTGCGGGCTACGAGGAGTAGACGCGCTCACTAATGATTGAAATGACCATGTGACAGGGGAAGCGCTTCATAGACCAGTGCACAGTGCACGGTAGACATCTCGGTATCACAAAGCACAGCGTTGAGTACAACCTTGATTTATCAAAGAGCAGGCACCAAAGGGTATAGAACGTGATAGGCCAGTATGGCACAGATAACGCAGGACGTACGTGGCGTATGTCTATTGGCGACTGTATGTATGCACACGTCGCAAAATCTCCCACAAACATTTCATCAGATAAGTGTATAAAATATTTACACCAAGAAGCGGAATCCCCTGTCTGCAGCCTGGCCCGGAACGGCGTTGATGGCACCCTCGACGTGCTCGCCCCGGTCCAGCTTCTTGTTCAGACGCACCAGGATGAAGCGCAGTATGGTCGCGCAGATGGCGGCCAAACCGAGCATGGCGCAGTCTACGGAGAAGGCGATGACTGGAAAGTGAAAGTCAGCATGCTAATTCATGCCAGCACGAGGCTTGAGAGAGCCAAAGAAGGAGTAGTGGGGGGAGACTCACCATAGCCCGGCGGGTTGATGTACAGGTACGAGGTCCAAATGGACGAGCTGTTGGACACAGCGTTGATGAAGGCGAGGGCGGCGGCACGTTTGGCGGGTGGGCGCGGAATCGTGTTGGAGATCCAGGCCAGCACGACGACGTAGCCGGTGTAGACGCCGGACACCATCAGCATCATGGCGACGTAGCGCGGCGCAGTGGAATGCGTCGCGGCGGCGAGGATGAAAGACGCGATGCCCAGACAGATGGGGAGCACGACATGGAAGTAGCGTTCGCCGGTTTTGTCGGCGTGCCTGTCGGGGTTTCGTAAGTTTTTTGGCGGCAGCGAATGGTGTGGAGGTGTTAAGGGGGAGCTTACCATGCGTTCAAGGCCGTAGTGATGACGGCCAGGCAGTACGGAGGCGCAGTCAGAAGTAGCGTCTCAACCTGGCCATAGCCAATCGTCTCGACAACAGACGGGAAGAATGTGGTGACGCTGCCGGCGCTGACAATTCCGAAGAGAAGTCCCATGAGGACCCACATCTTGACGTCCATGCACGCCAGCTTGAAGCCAGTCCACAGGCTCTGGTCCTCAGTTCCCGTCCAATCATCCATACCAATGTCTTCCTGCAGGCGCCAGACAGCCAGCTGGCGCTCCTGCTCGGTGAGCCACTTGGTGGTACGCGGGAAGTTGGGAAGAATGAAGAAGCCAAAGGAGGCGATGAAGATGGTGGCGGCACCCTCGATGATGAACAGCCACCTCCAGGCGCGTAGGCCGCGGTCGCCGTCCATATTGCCCCTGATGCCGGCAGCAATCAGACCGGAGAAGGCGCCGGAAATGAGAGCGCCGGAGTAGAGGATGGCAGTGCGCAGGCCCAGCTCCTTGCGAGTGTACCACGACGAGAGGAAGAACAGGCAGCCCGGGAAGTAGGCAGCCTCGACGAAGCCCAGGAAAAAGCGACATGCGACGAGGCCGCCGAAGTTTTGACAGGCTGCGGTGGCAGTGGAGATGACGCCCCAAACGATCATGCAGGCAGGAAGGTAGATGGCGGGCAGGCCAATCTTGTTCAGGTACAGGTTGGAAGGGACCTGCATAAGGAGGTAACCGACGAACAGAATGCTGACGGATGTCAGGTATTGACTCTCGCTCAGATTGAGGTCCTCCTCCATGCCGGACAGGCGAGCTGCGGCAATGTTGTTGCGATCAATGTAGTTGAGAATGTACCTGGTACGCGGTCAGTCTATTTTTTGTGCAGCCATTGCGCGGCACGTACATGATGATAACCATTGGCATCAGACGCAGGTCGATTTTGCGGCGCAGCTTCTTCTCCATTTCGGCCCTCTCCTCGGGCGACAGGTCGCGCACCAAAGGCGGCGCCTCTCTCTTCGGGATGTGCATGTGCTGGCCGAATTCTTCCTGGTCGATGTGCTCGACATCGCGCTTCTCGTCCAGGGCGATTTCGGGGGTAGACGTCGCCATGGTTGGGGTGATGTGTGAGTGACAGGGCGCGCTCTCCACAAAAAACCTGGGGAAGCAAGCGACCTTAAAGACCTGATCTAATGGGTGGGTCCAGCAGCATGGGGTCGGCGGCGTGTTGAGATGAGCCGCGTTCATTCACCGAGCTTGTCTGGCCAAGGACGGGCGATGTAACCGGCCCAGGCTTAGAAACCAATGGAGCGCTTCCCCGCAGTGGTGGCGGGCGTGAGCACAGCGCTCGTCCCACTCTCCGCCCGCCCTCGCACACCTCCATGGGGAAATCGGCCCGGCAGCGCGCGTCAGTCTGGGGTATCTGAGCCTGGGCATTCTTCTACCTGTGAGCTTGCCGACGCCCTCCCGCCCCCAAGCCTTTGCAAAGCCCGACACCCGCGCCATTAAATGAGTGCCGACCGCGTGCAGAGCCGCTGCGACGGGTCAAAAGACATTTGGTTACACGGCTGCGTTGATTCTGCTGCTCTCCTTGCACCCTCGCGTCGGGAGAGAATCAACCGAGAGCTTCCCTTCTGTTGGACGAAAGCGCAGCCTCCGCCTGCCGCTCAAATCCACCCGACGAATCATGATGCACTTCGGACGAGGGCGGAGGCCTCCATGCGCTCCCCATCTCCTAATCTCCGCTCAATCACCACATTCCTCCCCGATGCTCCGCTTCTTGCCGTCTGCTGACAGACCTGCGCTCTTGGCACCGGCCTCCACCGACGCCAATGGCTTGAGTCTCCTCCGCTCTCCACAATATCCATCCAACGCCGCCATTCCCGCAACCTGGCGTAGCCACACCTAGTATTTACGCCGTTGCCAACCCCCAGAGCCAAGCGGCCTTATTCCCAGTTCAGCCGCGGCCAGAAGACCGCCAGTACCGCAGTCGATCGGCCAAATCACCGCCTCTCTCCATTCTTGACCTGGTCGCCAAGTTTGTCTGACGAGAGATGCTCGCTCGAATGATACCCAAGACGCGTTAGGACGCTTTTGTCCCATCACCGACCGGATGGTAAAGTACCCGGCTTCCTCAACAACCCTCGTGTTCGGATATGCACGTTATCCGATGGCATGGTGCTGATGAGTATTCCGCGCATCTCATCCCAGTCTCCCGACGTCCTGGTCGCGTTGACGCGTCCTCGGTCTGTTCAGCAATGCTTGGCGCACAAGCCTCAAGTCGCTTGAAATACCGTCGAAGGGCACCGCCTAATTCTTTCCACAGCATTCTCTAACTTTATGCCTAGTTTCAACACTCTGACCCGTTACGAGTGTTAGATACTATTAGAAGCTCGCCGTTCGTGTGATATGTGCATCCGATCAATGGTGTCAGGGGAAGCATGTCTCAGCTTTTGGCAGAAAGAGTACGCAAAAGGCCTTTGGATTGTCCTTATCGGACTGAAGAGCTACGGCGATCTAGCGAATGTGCAGAGACAGGTCATCGCGTAGCGAGGAACAGGCACTTCATTTCAGTTGACCCATCCGCCTGCCGCAACCGAAGACTGATGAGGTTCGACTTTCATGGCCTATATGACCTCTTTCACCGCTTCTCCTGCTATCTTGGCGACAAAGTGGGGTTATCTTGCGAGATTATACGAGAGAAGAAAGAAGAATAGCCAGAAATCGGTGCGGCCGACTGATGGTTCAAGCTACCAAGAAAGCAAGAACAGCCAATCAGAAGCAGAGGAAAAAGAAAAACTCACCAGACGTTGATGAATATCGAAATTTTCCAAGATTTACTGCAAGTAGCCACGTGGGAAATCTGCTGATACACTCGGTGGCTTGTGTGGCACTCCTGTCTTCTGCATCTCAGCGCCACCAGTGAGATCAGCGCTGAAAAGGAATAGCACGATCTAAATCTGCATTGCCCCGGTAAGTTCGACCCCGAACAGGAGAATCACGGGTAGGCCGAGTACAAACAGTCGGATGATGCTCGGCTCTTGAGACATTGTTTCGACTCAGCCCAGCTTGCAGACTGTGCGGCTCTCCGTTTCAAACACGTCCACCCCCGTTCAATTTCGCACCTACGTTTCGAAACAGAAAATTCAACGGATAGACGGCTACGCGGAGCCACTACCGCTATCAAAGTGCGGCTGCCTCGACGAACCATAGCCGGTGCTTTTCATGCAAGTAATTATCTAGCGTCGTATTGCCGCGTGGCAATTGGCCGCCGCTTGTGTCGCGCGTCCTGATGGATGCATCCAGAACGCGCTATCAAAACCACTATGCTTCAGCCATTTTTGTTTGCTTCAATGTCTTCTTCGCCACCGGATGGTCTCCTGGGCGCAGCAATGCTTCGAAACATGCGCCTCAGGCCTATCCATCCTGCACAGAGATCTCCTGCTCAACTACTATTTAGAGAAAATGAAGAGAAAAAAAAATAGGTCCGTTGTATCCACCCTGTAACTGCTTTTTGTAGCTCTTAATCGTGGCTTTTGGTCACCAGCCGGTCTCTGCTTCAGATCCTCCCCTAGTCCGCGTATGCACTCTCATTAGCGTCCACAAATGTTCCCCACCTTCCGCATACGACTCGTCTGGTCTTACTTTTTTTGCAGTGTTTTCAGCCTCCGGATTCCAGAAGCAGACTCCGCGAATCATTCGGGTTCCCACTCGACGTTTTGCCATCGGTGGCCTTGTTTCCGATATCGCTTGGGTCGGCCTACTTACGCGGTCACTCGATGTGATTTCTTCATAAGAACCAAGGAGGACGCCCAGCCAGGTCGAAGCTTAAATTCGGCAGAACTTTATTTCACCTTCCCTACTCCTTGTTGGCACGCAAGATGACGCTGCTCAAGAACCTGTTGGCTGTACTGGCACTAGTGTCTCTCGCTTCGGCGAAGTGCTCTGACCCTCCGGTCCGAAAAGAATGGTGAGTGAACATCACTCGGCTTGCCGAAACCGGCCCGCACATATTTGCAACCCGAAAGGACGCAAACTTCTCTCTCGGAGCCTTGGTGTTGGGTTCAGCTTCGCTGTCGTAGCGAATATCGTGCCCGGCATTTCTACGTGAATGGCGTGCCCACTCTGCTGCTAAAGGAAAGCAAGAGTTCCGGAGAGCTAATGGTATATCGTTGTAGGAGAAAACTATCCGATAACGAGAAAAGGTCCTACATCGACGCAGTCAAGTGTCTCCAGACCAAGAGCGCGAGGACGACATCGTACTTTTCCGGTGCCCGTACGCGATACGACGACTTTGTAGCGCTACACATCAACGCAACTGATTACGTTCACTTTGTCGTATGTACATCATTGCGATCGTATAACGCTGGGCGCTAATCTTACTTCTGTCAGGGACACTTTCAAGCGTACGTCGGCGGCTTGCGTTTATGAGATAAATTACTCACCAGAGCGCGCAGCTGGCATCGTTACTATGTTGCTTCCTATGAATCAGCTCTCCGCAACGAGTGCGGTTGGACGGGTGGACAGCCGTAAGTGAAAAGCCAGCGAAGTGGAAAATGTGGAAGGTTGCTAACTTGGCATTAGATACTGGGGTCAGTCACTCCTCCGCTTCTTTTTTCTGTCGCAGATTCGGAATTGACAATCTCCTGCAGACTGGACCCTGGATGCCACAGAAGAGGACTTCCTAAAGGCGCCGGTCTTCGATCCAGTTACGGGTTTCGGCGGAAACGGATACTACATTGACAGTAGCAACGACACCAGCGTGCGACTGCACATCCCTGGCAAAACAGGCGGCGGTACGTCCAAAAGCAGTCGCGTGGGGTGAGCAGGAAACTGACGTGGCTTCAAGGTTGCGTCACCGACGGTCCGTTCCGAAACTACACGGTCAACATGGGCCCCAACAGTACGTTTTGATGCGGATTGTGGCAGGTCAGGGCTGACAGACGCAGACTCGACGGCGTACAACCCTCGTTGCCTCACGCGGGACATTAGCCCCTGGCTTGCTTCGCAAAAGCTGAACATGACGATGGTGGACAGGGCGCTTGCCGGAGAGACGTTCCAGGAATTCGACATTGTGACAGAAGGCCAAGTCAATGTCGACGGCTTGACGTACCATGGCGGCGGTCACCTTGGCGTCGGTGGAGAACTGGGCGCCATTGGTGATTTGTACAATAGCCCGTCGGATGTAAGCAGCCGCCTCGGGTCTGGATCATTCCGTATGCTGACCAGCTTGCAGCCTCTTTTCTTCTTCCATCATGCCAACATGGATCGCATCTGGTGGACGTGGGAAAAGCGAGGTGCGTCATGTATAGCGGCAGGCAGTGTTCCAGTGCTGACAAAAGTAGATTTCGCGACACGCGTCAAGGACATATCCGGACCAGACACGCAATTTGCCTACCCGTTCAATTTCTACGGCGACGTTGCGTATCAGAACATTACACTGGACTATCAGATGCACGTCGGGCACGCATCGAACTCGAGCTGGGTGAGAGTGGGCGATGTAATGGATATCCAAGATGGCGTGCTCTGCTACGAGTACGACGAGCTGTACTGAGCGAGATGGTTAGGCGAGGGTTCCATAACAGTGGATATACTAAGCTGTTGTATAGGCAGTAATACCGTGAGAGACACGTTGTGGCTTGCTTGTCAAATGTCTTGCGAAAACGGTTGTGCGACGAAGCACACTCGCACGGCGCCGGTGAGCTGCGCAGCTGTACTACATGTCCTTTTAGGTCCAACGGAATTCTGCATGTGAGAGAGCGCTGACTGAAGAGGGACAGCACAGCAGCTAAGCACGTGGGGGGCGAGACGACCAAACTACCTAATCGGCTCTCCGTCCGGGATTCTCGGCCCCGCTTTACCAACTACGTCAGCACTACTCTGCCCATCACAATGGCTCATCGCGGCTTGTCCCGCACACGCAGCATTGCGGGGTCTGCCACCCATGTTACTTCGTCTGAGACGTACTACTGCGTCTAGCGCTTCACTGCGGCTGATTGACATTGCACCCCGGCCGCCTATCTAGCATTCACCCTGACCTGTTGAGCATGTCAAGCTTTCATGCCTGCTCAAATCCAGAAAAGCATTGTTGACAACGAGCCGCAATCTCGAATGAATCATCTACCCTCAACATGATGCACGGCCATTTTCATTTAAGCTACACGATACTTTACGGCTAGTCGCTGCCTTCTTCGGTGGCCTTGATCCACTTGTGGTACCGCATGGCGATTGGCCTGCCGTACACAGCACATCCTGCCCAGCCTCGCTCACAATGTCTCAAATGCATCTGGCCGATTCGTCCAGCTGGCAAGCGCTTATAAGCGCGTCGAGCCTGTCTTTCAAGCACCATCCTTTCACCCCTCCGCTATCATGGGGTTAACCACGGCTTCGATTCTGGCTTTGGGCCTCCTCGCCTTGTTAGCCTCCGCAGCCGACCCACCAACTGTCGACCTAGGCTATGTTACGTACACGGGATTCACGAATGAGACGGCCCAGATCAACTACTTCTACGGCATCCCATATGCCCAGCCGCCTCTAGACAGCCTTCGCTGGCGGGCGCCACGCCCGATCGAGGCTTCAAATAACTTTACCGGTCAGACTGTAAATGCGACGTCGTCTCCACCCATATGCTATCAGGCAGTCCCAATATCGCTGGTTGAAGCCGAAGGCAGCGTTTTTGCCCCGGCCTTTGGCCCGGAGTACTATTTTCAGGACCTTCCGCAGTCAGAAGATTGCTTGTTTCTCAACGTAAAAGCTCCGCAAAATCCTACGGGAGACTCGCTACCGGTGTTTGTGATGCTCCGTACGTACCAGCTGTAAGCCAGATTTTGGGAGACTAACATCCTGCACAGATGGCGGAGGATATACAGTGGGCTCTCCAGAACTCGTCTCACCGGGTGACGCAATCGTGCATAAAGCCAATGGTCTGTCCTGCTGCCAAGAGCTGAAAGACTCGCTGCTGACACACCGCAGGAAGTCTAATCTTTGTCGAGGTTCAGTACAGGCTCGGATTGTTTGGATTTCTCGCTGGATCTGACATTAAAGAGAGGGGTGATCTGAATGCTGGCCTGCTTGATCAGAGAGCTGCTCTTGACTGGGTGCAGCGGCATATCAAAGCCTTTGGCGGCGATTCTAGCCGGGTGACAATCTGGGGCGGATCTGCCGGAGGCGGTAGTGTCACCTTGCAGCTCACCGCCGGTGGCGCTTTCGATCAGCCTCCATTCTCCGCTGCCATTCCCGAATACCCGTGGTGGACCCCGTTTTTGAGCGAAAGTGGGCAGGAGCGTCAGTACCGTACCACGCTTCAATTGGGCAACTGCTCAGATTTGGCCTGTCTTCGGAAACTGGAGTCGTCGGACCTGCAATTAATCAACCAACGCGTGTCGAACATCACGTATCCGTCGCCGGGCTATGGCTTTGGCACTTTCAACTATGGCCCAGTTGTTGACGGCAAGTTCATCCGCCAGCTTCCAGGCGATGAATTCAAACAAGGAAACTTCCACAAAGTGCCCGTTCTTCTCGACCGCGACGCGTACGAAGGGTACATTTTTTCGAACCAGACTGCCACCACCCTAAGCGAAACCATCACGGATGCCATGAACCTGTTTCCTGCAGCTGGGCCGTCGTTCTTTAGCCGTCTCAACCAGCTCTACCCACAGAGCGCGTACAATTCGACATTTTTCCAACGGCAAACCTGGTTCGGGGACTTCATCATCAACTGTCCTACGTACTACATGGCGACGGCGTTCACGGACCAGGCCTTCAACACGTCGGCCGTCTTCAAGCTCGTCTTCTCGGCTGGGTCGCAGCTGCACGGCGCCACAGGCCCGTTTCTAACATCGAAATCTATCAATTTTCCGAGTGCGAACAATGCGACGCTTGCAGACATCATGTCATCGTATTGGATCAGCTTCGCGACTACATTTGACCCTAACCCGCTACGGGATCCGCGTGCACCGTATTGGCCCTCTTATTCGAGTGGCGGGAACGGCAGTATTGCGGACGGAGAGAGCGTTGGATTTAGCGTCCTGCAGGTAAATGATAAGTCAATAGACGTGCAGGAAGACCCTGACAATTCGGCGGCGTGTAGCTTTTTCAGCTCACAGAACCGCGTTGTCTTAAACTAACGGGGGAGGATGCTCACGAGAGATTTGAGCTGACTTGTTGGACAGCAGCGTCTATTTTATTTGTTGCTTATTCTCTTCTTTGTTATCTTACATGTATACCCGCTCTTAATGGATATCAAAATCTCACGCAAAGGTTACAAAGCTTGCCCCCACATGCAGAGGTGCCACAAAGTGGAGAAGAGCGGCGACGCTACCCTGTTCGGAGCCATGCAAGATTCCCCGCGATGCACCCAGGGAAGGAACCGGGATAAGCATTTCGGCCCCAATGTTTGAGGAACACGGAACCCCTCGCGTCCAGCAACAGCTAAATAAGAGCTGGACTCCTCTCATTGCTTACTTTCTCTAAAGTTTCCTCTTCGCTACTTTTGTGTTACGCCGCGCGCTATTCTCACATCGATCAGCAGCCATGGGGAGTATAAACGAAGACATCTCTGTCATGGTGATTGGAGCTGGTATTGGTTGCTTGACCACCCTTTGGCTCGTTCTCATGACTGACTTGGGCTTCATCCAGGCTCCGGTGGCCGGCTGATAGCTCAAGGGTTGCGGAAGGTAAGTGTACTCAAGTTGTAACACTACTAAATTAGTAGGAGTCCCTTTTAGGCAGGAGCATAAAGATATAGAAACTTACGCCACATTTTTACTTTCACGACTATAGACCGGCATCCCTTGCACCGTTTTCGAACAAGACGAAAGCCTGGACCAGCGGTCGCGCGACTGGGACTTTGGCATCTACTGGGCGCAGACGCCGCTGGAGTCCTGCCTGCCGGCCGACGTGCGGGAGCGCATCATCAACGCCCAGGTCGACAACATTATGCCGTCCGACGATGCCTCTTTCCCCATGTTCAACGGCGCGACGGGAGAGGTGCTCAACGTGGTGCCGACGCCCAATTACCTGCGGCTGCGGAGGCGGGAGTTCGCGAGGGTCATGGGGAGGGGCATCGATATCCGCGTAGGTAGTCCGACTCCCCTTCGCGCTTTCCATTTTCAATCATGCCCGTCTGCTCCATTGCTCTGCACCCCCTGTTAAATGCGTGCAACATGTTCATTTCGATTTCTCGACGCTCATGTCGCTTTGCTGCTGTCACTTTTCATCGATCAGCTGAAAGCTGACGACGTAACCACTGGTTCGTTTGAACCCTAAAAGTATAATAAGCGCCTAGCCAGCATCGACACGACGTCCGGGCCCGGCGTGACGGCGACCTTCGAGGACGGCACGCAGCACACGGCGACGGTCCTCGTCGGGGCCGAAGGCGCGCACTCGCCGACGCGGGAGTACCTGCTCGGGCCCGTCGAGGGCAAGCTGCTGGACTCGCCTTTCGTCAACTCCATGTTGGTGTCCACCCTCCCGGCCGACAGGGCGCGCGACCTGCTGAACCAGCACCATCGCATCTGCGCCCTGTACCATCCCAACGGCACCTTTATGTGGATGGGCGGTAAGTGTTTTCTTCTTTTGCACCCTCTCGAAGGAGAAAAAAAAATAGGCAGGAGACATCAGGCTAATACGAGAGAATGCGATAATACAGTCCACGACGCGAACGGCAAGAAGGACCCGGGCGAGATCGAGTTCGTCTTCATGTGCGGGTGGAAGCACGAGGGCCCGCTGGACTTCCTGTCGGACAGCAAGACCATCATCCGCGACATCAAGCGGCGCGCGAAGCCCTTTGCGCAGCCCTTCCGAGCCATCGCCGAGGGCATCGACGAAAACCGCAAGGCCTGGTCCAACTACCTGCCCTACTGGCCGACGCGCAGCTGGGACGACTCGCCGGCCCGCGGCAAGGTCACGCTCGCCGGCGATGCGGCGCATCCCATGACGCCTCGTAAGTGCTGGGAAAGGGATGCACGGCTTCTTCCTTTTTTTTTTCCCTCCCTCCCTTCCTCCCTTCCTCCCTCCCTCCCTCCCTCTCTCTAGCTCCAGCCTAACCCCCTTCCTCTCTCCTTTTTCCCTTTTTTTTGCCCTCCCGACCTTCGCTCTTTTCTCGGGACCCTTTTTCCATCTTTTCCACTAACAAGGGCGGCCAAAAACTTAGACCGCGGCCAAGGCCTCAACAACGCCATCCTCGACTGCGACCAATTCGTCAAGCAGGTCGAAGCCATGCCCGAGCGCACCGCCGCGGCGCTGCACGACGCCGTGAAGCGCTACGAGGCCGAGATGGTGCCGCGCGGCAACGAGGCGGCCCTGAGCAACCTCGAGAACTCGCACATGGTCCACGACTTCGACCGCCTGATGCGCTCGCCGCTCGTGCGCAGCGGCGTTAGGCAGAGCGTTGAGGAGCAGCAGAATGCTGCTGCTGCCGCGGCGGCGGCGGATGGTGGTAAGGCGGAGATGGTGGATGTTAGTGCTAGTGGTGGGGAAGTGAGGAGCGTGGTGGGGGAGATGTTGAAGACTTGATCGAGGTTAGATGGGGATAGGTGGGGATGTGGGTGGGGAATTGGGGTTAGATGGGCGTTTAGCACTGTCTGTGGATTGGGATGCCTCGCTTGTGGTTTAAAGGAGTAGTGGTAAGACGGTCGTTTCTTATGACTTTCTGCGGGCAGATTCAACCTTCACTTAGAGCAGCAATCAAATTGTGAAGAAAATTTCGGCGTATTTCCATGATTGATTAAAGATATTTCTACTCGGGTCTTCTACTTCTCTTTTCCCCTCTTTCAGGGGATTTGTACGCTCTTCTTTCTCTTTTTTTTTTTCAAAAAAAAAAATAAAGGAAATTTTTCAAATTCTAAGGGGGACGTTTCAAAACTTACCAGCGCACTAAGATACCATACACTGTTCCGAATGGAATCCTCAGAGAATTGGGGCAATCACGTCGACGCGACTAACGCAGTCGATAAAGAGATGAGCAGCAACCATTCTTGCGCTCATGGCCGCAGCAGGCGCAGCCAACGTTGTTTTTCTCTGGAGTTTCGCTTCCGCACTTGCAGCAGATCATGACCGGTGGCGGTGGCATGTTGAAGGCGGTAGTTGGGTTAGAAGACCTTTTAAGAGAGATGTAGGGCTGTGTGGATGGTAGTCTGAAAGTGAAGAGTGAAGAAGTTGGTGTGAGTTCGAAGACACTTGTTGATGATGATCCGATTAGTGTCTGCTTTTTATGTAGATTTTTGCCTCGTCTTGTTAAAGACATTTGAAAGTGTTCAAATGTGGACAAGGGCATTGTGGAGGTCTGTTGAAAGTGGGACGTTGTTTTGGGGTGCCAACAATGAGTGCATAAGAGAACAAAGAATTTGGTGTAGATGCAGTGAGCAGCAAAGGCTTCCGGCGAGCAGTGCTCACGAGTGGAGCTCGTGTTGGTTTATTTGTCAGAACCAATTTCCGAGATGTTGTGCGGGAAGCAGCAGCTTCAAAATAGCTTGACGGTTGCATCACCTGACACATCGGACCGGACCGCTTACCGAAGTGTCCGGGCTGAACGGCTGCGCTAGAGCTGGCGCGGCGTCAAGCTTAGACTGCGGCTTGCCGTAGCGGCGGGCAGGTCGAGGGAATACTGTGAAGTTGTGAGTTGGAGCCGGGGATTGATCGGAGAAGCCCCCAACTCATGTATGATCAGGGATTGCAGTATCCCCAGGTTGCAGTGGATACCGAGTCAAGAGGCCGGGGATCACTGACAATGGAAGGCAGGCATTGTGGAGATGGTGCGGTTCCGCTTCAACATCATGGCGTCCTTCATCCTCGGGCAAACGGATGGTGAGTTCACGAGTCAAATCCAGGGCTTGCTGTTCTCATATGGGAAATGGCTGCCAGAATCGAGGAGGTAATGAGAGAAAGATCAACGAGGAGAAGTCATCAGGCAAACCATAGGGCCCGGCAATGGGGGTAAGATCGTCTTCCAAAGCCACGGTATCGGAGCAGCACTGAGTTAAGCCATTGGCGCTGCCGGGGCATGTGAAAAGCGACGTCACGGGTGTGGCTGGAGCGAGGCAGGCATCAAGGCAGGGAGAGGGAGAGAGGGTGCGAAGTCAGATGTTCTGGAGTCATTGTGAGAGAAGAGTGGGACTCTGCGTGATCCTGGCGCCAGTTGTGGCCCTCGCTTTCCTTTGCGCCGACTTTCCGCCAGCTCCGCACGCAACCGCACCTCGCTGCACCTCGGCTGCGCCTCAACAACGGAATGCACCCGTGGAGCGGCACGTGTCGTGCTGGTGGCGCAGGGTCCCGACACCGTGATGGCAGCTGGCCAACAAGGTGCCGCGCTGAGATCCGGGGTTTGAGGTCAGATTTTAGCCTTGGCCCCCAGATGCCCCACTTCTTCCCCCGCTGGCCAACCGAATAGCCTGATATGGCGTGCGGCCCTGATGATTAGAGCGTCCTTACGTTGGCAGCAATTGTGCCATTTAAGGCGACGTTTGTCTCTTAGCTTCAATTCCTCACATTCCACGCCTTTCTTCCACCCTCCATTTGCCCCAAGGAATTCACCATGGCACAGACCCAATGCCCCTCCATGTACACCCACATGGGTTCTCTGACGCCTTACACCGATATCCCTGCGCTCCGCATTGTCAATGGCTACTTGAATGCACTGGACAGCCTCGACTTTGAAGCCCATGACGGAGGCGTTTTCTTCGCCGACGACGCGGCATTCTTCGACACCACAAACAACACGTACCGTTCGTCTGACTCAATCTGGACCGGCATCAAATCACGCTTCGGCGACTTCGAGTTCATGCACCACCAAACATGCCTGGCCCGAGTTTTTGGTCCAGATGTGCGCTCTCTCAAAGAAGGCGAGAGGCACGTCATCAGCGTGCAGGCAGTCATGCTTTGCAGGTTGAAGGGCTGGGAGGAGGAGAGGATCGTCGAGATCCCACGCATGTTTGAATTCATCGTCGGCACTGTCGAGGAGCCTGCATCTGAGGAAATGCCCGACGAAGGCATTGAGGCCGAAGAACAAGATAACCGTCTGAAGAGAGGCTACCAGGGTCTTCACATCTACGAAGGAAAGGTGTGGTGGGATTCTGGAGTTCTTGCCAAAGCCATCGAAGAGAAGAAGAAAGAGGACGAGCGCCACAGGTTCCGCCGCATCATGACCTTGAACAATGGATTTCTCGGTCAGAGACCTGGCAGGTGAATTCAAAAGTAAGTACTTACTCGTGTCATGGGTAGTTGAAGCTATCATCCGGACGAGAGTGTCGATTTTTTTTTCTGTAATGGCCTCGCGCTAACATCAGCACAGTACGTTGAAGGCACAGCCACTGCAAACGGAATCACATGTAATACGCGCGAGCATTCGAGAAGTGTGGCGGTGCGCTGCGGGTGTGACATCACTGGAGAGACAAACACGCCACACTGTGCCCTACAAAACGCGAGACCCTTACTGCGCCAAACTCCGTTCCTCTCTCCTTCCAGACCCAACCTAAAGAAAAAATGGCAGACCAGCCGCCATCCTACGAGGCCGCAACAAGCACTACCGGCTCCTCTGCCGCTTCACAACACGGCGCCCGGAATGGCATTCCAGCACAACACCGGCGCAGCATGGAAGACGAGGCGCGTCCCTTGCCTGCCGGCTGGATCCGACAATACGACTCCAAGACCGAGCACCAGTTCTTCGTCGACACTCGCGCCGATCCGCCGCGTTCCATATGGCACCACCCTTACGACGACGAGCAGTACCTCTCCACCCTCTCACCCGACGAGCGCGAGGAAATCACCCGCCTGCACCGCAGCATAAGCCTACAAGACATCGCCGCCGAGAGCAGCGACGACGACGAGCACCACAAAAAAGGAGTGGGAGCGGGAGCGGCGGCGGCGGCACCAGCAGCAGCCACTACAGGATCAAACGAAGAAGTCCACGGCCTGCACAAGCTGGGCCGGCGCATCAAGGACCGCATCACGCACACGAACCACCAGCAGCGCGTCGCCGACCGCCAGCAGCGCGCCGAGCAGGAGCGCCAGGCCTACGCCGCCCACCTCGCCGCCCGCCGCGCCCTCTCGCGCGCCATCCAGACCGGCCAGCCGCAGTTCCTGTGCAAGGACCGCGACGGCCGCGACGTCTACGTCGTCCCGCCTCCGGACGTCTTCCACCAGCAGCCTTTCCCCTCCGGCGCCTACGGCTACAACCCTTACGCCAACGGGCCCTACAACGACCCCAACGCCAGGTTCTTGCGCCCCGACACGCCGTATTATAGACCCAACGGATACGGCTATGGTGGTGGATACGGGTTCCCGCTTCTGGGCGGCTTCTTGGGTGGTGCCTTGTTGGGAAGCTTGTTGTTTTAAGATGGCTCGGATTGAGAGGTCCAGGTAGACGGCTTATGAGGCACGGCTTATGAAATTGATACCCCTTCTCTTTGACGATATGTGCCGTCCTGAATATTTTTCAGTGCATATTTTATCTGGTGATTGATGTTAGGATTGAGCTGCAACCTGTTGAGCTTTTGTGCGTGAAAGCATGGCTATACATGTGGGCAAAATCTTCTTACTTTTAACGCTGTAGGTTGCTGAGACGGTGACTAGACAAGATATGATGCCCTTTATACAAATTTCTAGCGCAAAATCACCAATTTTCCGTGTCACACATGCAGTTATGAGCCAGCCATTTTACAATGCCAAATTCTACATATTCCACACATCTCAAGCAGAACCGTATCGCTCTGTTTAAAATCCGATTTAGGAAACGCCCAGTCAGAGATATCAGGCAGAGAGTACGGCCAGTAAGTTAGAGCTTTCGACCAACGATCTGCTAGCACGGAGTGTAATCCTTAGCATAAAACGCTAATCTTTTTTCCCCACTTCCCCGCGATGCGGGGGAGAGAGATGCGTCTTCCCGCCCATAGCTCAACCAAGCGTACCGGGCTGACTGGCCGCGCCGCTCAGCAGAGTAACCAAAGAATAAAAAAAGGCAGGCTGGCGTCGAGAGATAAGAGGTCCAGAAATGCAATGCTTGCGGGCAGGAATAATCAGACCAAGCACCCAACTCTCTCTCTCTAATAAAACATTGCATCATCACTAAAGACTCCACGTAATGGATTGCCGCCAGCAACCAAGCACGGCCTCCGCGACAAAAGAAGGAGAAAGAAAGAGGAGAAAAAAGGACCACGTGCTTCCACTCGCGCAATGCGCCGGCCAGATTCCGCCACGCACTGGTTGCGTCACGAGCCAGAGCTTTCCCGAGACTTCCGCCTTTCCCGTTCCGGTCGAACACTCGGTCCCGTTACACGCGTCGGAGCTCGACGGCTGCCCCATAAGCAGGGCCGGAATGAGCTGGATTTGTCAAGGAAGACCGGGGGGTGTATGAGCGGAACGAGAAAGAGATGGAGGGGAAACGGCACACGCAGGCACACACACATGCACACAGCTTAGCAAAGGTGGTCAGAAGCGCGTGAGCATGAACGCTGCTTTGAAATTACCCACGGACTTTACCCCTCTAAATGTGGACTGGTCGCATCGGACATGGCCGAAGGCTGCTGTTCCAGCGCGAAGGAGGAGAAGGAGGAGGGGTGTGCTGGTGCCTTCGGTAGGAGCGGAGACAGTGAGAGTGAGCAGCAGCAGCGAAGAAAAAAGCGGGCGAGAAATCATCGACAAGAAAAACGGATCTGCGAGAGCCGCGCATATGCACATCGATCACACCGCAGCTGCTGCACGGCAAGAGCGGACCTCGCTACCGTCTTTTCGTTTCTTTTTCGCCTGGTCTCGCCTTCTCAGCCCTTACTTTGTTACTGTGAGACCTCTGCCGTATCAGCATTCTTTTTTTCCCATCCGCGAGCAAATAATCGGACCGGAATGGAAGGAAGGCCGAAGAAGGCTGTCGATTTTGCCAGGAATTTTGCTTTATCATCTCGGCTGTTTTGGATGGGCTGGATGACTCCTCGCCTGGGTACGATCCATGCGTCAGGCAACAAACGAAGTCCGGGGTACTCTAGCGTCGAGCAGTAGTAGGAAAAAAGCACGGACTGGCAGAAAAACCCACGGCCATTGGCCCACCGCGCCTGGGAGGATGAGCTGGTCACGAGGAATTGCGTGATACGTGGCGATCGCTAACAGGCGTGATTGGGCGGTTAAAGATTCCCGTTTTCGGCCTGGCGCAGTGCTCCATCGATGAGCTGGTGGTCTTTGAACTGGCCTGCTCTCAGCTCTCGATTGCATGCGTATGCATGCGTGTCATGCACGATGCGCCAGGCAGCACGATGGATTCACCCGCCGTATGCAGACGAGCAAAGAGATAGTAACAGGACAAAAGGGGGACTAAAGGTGATGATAAGATGTTCCATCCTGGACTCTCGATTGATGACGTGTGGCTTCGTCGTTGGGCGCGTCTTAGATCATGAAGGAGGGTTAACGTGCCGGATGCTGCTCCGACGCAAGGCTCGCCGTAAAGCACGTTCGTAGACGTCTTTTAACTCCTTTCTCCTTGACCATTACTCACGGCCGCCACAATTCTCACCGTGTGGTCGGCACCCATGTAGACACCATCTCCAATGCCTTCCATTGTAATTGAACTATATTCACCAAAGTCTAAAGCTTGCTGCTGTACGTGGAAAACGATTCTCCAACGTTATGATAATGTCTCCAACCCACATTTGCCACTTATCACCATGTGGAGTACCGAGTCGTACCGCATGTTCTCCTTATCGTCCGCTGCACTCTTTCCCTTAGGCCAACCTGTCACCAGACCGTCATTTCCACTTCGCGTTTGACGTTCCATCTCCTGGCATCCATTACGTACGCGGCGACGCAATGCTTCCCCGATCCTCTTGGCGAAAAGTATGCAGCCCACGTCTCGACGGCTCGGGCACCAATTGCAATGCAACGTTGCCGCATATCAATCGTCCTCTGTCAGGAGAACTTCTCCATATTCGTTTCAACTTTGCTCCGCATTTATGGGTGATCTGCCAATCGACGATTGACCGCCGTCGTGGAACGCCTTGCTATCGGGCTGGTGTTGATCCTTGCCTTGTCACCCCTTGCTCAAGCACAATCGACCGCTTATCTTCTCGTCACGGCAAGCATGAGTGTGAAACGGCCTTGTTCAATATCATTGATCATTCAGTTTGTTAGAACCCATGCTACGTAGCTAAATTGCGACTATCATGAAAAACCCATTGGAAGCGAAGAAAACAAACAGAAGAAAAAGCTACGCGAAGCTCCTCGATGCGCAGCCATGTATATGCTCCTCAAATACTCGGCATAGCAATGGAAAAAGCAAGCACGTTCACCGGAAACTCATCCCAACGCCTCGCTAAAAAGCTCAAGCAAGCAGTCAAACGAATGAGCCAGGTGCGAAATCTTGCTCCAAACAGTGGGGGTATGGTATCATAACGAGCCAATGTTCGGCCTGGCGCGCTTGCGAGCGGGCGGAACAGAACTTTTGGTTTCTTGCGGCAGAGATTGCCCACGTTGACAAATTTGAGTGGCTTTCTACTGACCCTTGGCCGCAGCAAGGCCATGAGGATGCTGCGTCATGTAAGGCTTGCCGTAAGCGTCGACAGGCGGGTAGCGGGCGCGGAGCTCGAGATCGTCCAAGGGAATTGTCGATCGGATGTACTTCTGCGAGGCCAGGTCTTGTGGCTGGTAGTCCCATGACTCAAAGCGGCCCTTCTTCAGTGCATTCCAGCACAGCCTGCGCATGCGCTGCGATTGGAGCACGTCGTCATGGATCTTCTGCAGATCCCACCTGCGGCTCGCCTCTTCGGCGAAGGCGGCTGCAGCCTTCTTGTACTCCGGCTCCTCCGAGTCGGCAACGTTGTGAAGCTCCTGAGGGTCCTTCTCCAGATCGAACAGCTGCGGAAGATCGACCAGGCTGCACGTGTACTTCCACTTGCCCCTGCGAATCATCATGACGGGCGAAATGGTGCCCTCGCCCATGTACTCGCCGATGACCTCGTCCCTGGTGCGGTGTCCGCAGAGGGCCGGGTACAGGCTCTCACCGTCAATGCTGAGGCCCGAGTCCATGCGTCCTCCTGACAAATCAACCAGAGTGGGGAGCAGATCCATGGTCGATACGGACTCCTTGACGCGGCGGGGAGTGAAACGTGGCGGATAGTTGATGATAAGCGGCACGCGTGCGCTATTCTCATGCCAAGACATCTTGTACCAGAGTCCACGCTCGCCCAGCATGTCTCCGTGGTCGCCGCTAAAAACCACAATCGTGTTCTTGTCAAGCTTGCAATCCTTGAGAACCTTGACTAGCTTGCCGACCTGATCGTCAACGTAGCTGCAGGACCCGTAGTACGCACGGCGAGCCCGGCGGATCGCCTCCTCAGGCACCGGGTTGTCCCACAGGTCGATACACTTCATCAAGCGCTGAGAGTGCGAGTCCTGGCTGTCCTGATCGATGGTGACCTTGGGCAGCGGGATGTCGACGTCCTCGTATCGGTCCCAGTAGTCTTCGGTGATAGCGTAGGGGTCATGTGGGTGAGTCAGAGATACCGTCAAGCAGAAGGGCCGCTCCTTATCGCCCTTACGCACGTGATCGTACAGATACTGCGTCGACTTGTACATGACTTCCTCGTCGTAGTCGAGCTGGTTGGAGCGCACGCACGGCCCGGCCTGCAGGACCGAGGACATGTTGTGGAACCACTCCTGGCGTTCGTCGGGCTTGTCCCAGTTCACAGACCAGCCAAAATCACCGGGGTAGATGTCCGACGTCAGACGGTTCTCGAAGCCGTGCAGCTGATCGGGTCCGATGAAGTGCATCTTACCGGCTAGCGTCGTCTCGTAGCCCTCGCGGCGCAGGTAGTGCGCAAAAGTGGGCACGTCGGCGTTCAGATGCGAGGCGTTGTCGTAGGACTTGATCTTGTGCGGGAGCTGGCCGGTGACCATGACAAAGCGGGAAGGGGCACAAAGGGGAGAATTGCAGTAGGCGCTGTCAAAGACAACACCCGTCTCGGCCAGCTTGTCCAGGTGAGGCGTCTTGATGGGAGAATTGGGGTCGTGCATCTTCAGCAGCGGGGCGGACATTTGGTCGGCCATGATGTACAGGATGTTGGGCTTCACGGGGAACTGGTCACCCGCGGGAGGCAGGTAGCCCGTCTCCTGCGGGCCGTTGGGAGGCGTGTCCGGGAGAGAAGCGTGGGGAGCCATGGCGGAGAGAGGGGAGCGTGCGGAGACAAAGAACAGGCGGCTCGCGAGGACTATATAGGCCTCGAGCAATGGGCAGCTGCAGCGTCTGACACGTCAGCAGGGAGGGAGGGCCGTCCTTTCTCTGCCAAGTCACGCGGCAAAGATAGCGGGCAGGAGTGTGCGAGGCGTGAAAGATCGGCGGCGGATTCGAGCCGAAACAAGCAGGACGAAGATGCCGTGGCGAGCGGGACGAAGGCGGGCGGTGGTGGACTTTTTTATACGGGGGCGCGCTAAAGCCATAGGGCGGTGAGGTCCCAGCGCCAGAAATTGCGTGATGGACGCGGCTCCTCCGCGCAATCCTAACAGACCCTGGGCGGGCCTAGCGGCTCCTGTGTCAGAGTGAGGTAGCGGCCGAGCACGTCAGCTCTGGTGCAAATGGCAGAATTGCCAATGGGGAGCGGCTGCTCGTCCCGGGGGGCCTCGCTGCGTGTGTGTGCAACGACGACGCGGCCGGCGGCGCATGCAGAGTGCCGCAATCTCGGGGATCATTGCGAGCGGTGACTGGGTGCGCGCGCACGTGAGCGCATCCCTAATCGGACGACAGTCAAGGCCAAGCGCGCCGGCGGGCGGGCGGACGGGGCAGGTCGGGGCGTTGCGAGACAAAAGGCAAAAAGGACATGCCACATCGGCCGATACGTCGTGCATTTATACTGCCTCGCTGTCATGCTGCTCGTCACCCGGCACGCCATCTACGCAAGCGATTGCGAGAGTGTGTTTGAGTCGGGTGCCTGCAAAAATCGCCCCAACGCCGCCACTTGCATGCCAAGCTTCCGAGCCGCAGCCTCCCTCCTGAATCCTCCCGCTTCCACCGCAGCTTCTGGAAGCCACCCTCTCTCCTGGTCCGAACACCACAACACCCTGGCCCTCCCTGACGTCGACCGTCGGTGTTGATGATCGCCGTGCGCGTGGAGCTTTGGTGGGGTGCGTCTCCACCGTGCAGGGGGCGCCCGCCGGCCTGGAAAGCTCTCCGCAACAGCACAGAATCACGGCACCGGGCATTGGCCCAATCCACGCTTTTGTCATTTTATGCTACATGCACTAACATCGTGCTCTAGCTCAATGTATGCCTAGCTGCTTCAACCCTTCAGCTTGGATCCCGCAGGGACAGCTTCCGCCCGTCCCATGTCAAAACCAGGATCCAGCCAAGGAGATCGCCAAGAAGAACCTATACCCGAAGATCTCTCGACAAAAAGAAACCAGAATTAAAGAAATGCTGACCGGCGCCCAGAGCCTAAAGACAGCTGCCAATTACCGTAGCGAAGCTTCGCGCTTAGTTGTGCGATCAAACGCCAAGCCTCCGGAGTCAGATCTCAGGAGAGCGAGCTGCACTGGTGTGCGCCTGAGGAGGCTCCGACAGAGGACTCGGTGTCATGCTGCCGTGCGTGCACGCCTCCGTGCAGGTGTGCTCGCTCGCACCTCCCGAGTCACTGCTCGTATCCAGGTCATTAACGTAGCTGTATCTTCAATCAGTTAGGTGATCTCACCAGGGGAGTCTGCATGCCCGCGCCTAATCACTCACCGAAGCCAAGTGTTGTAGAAGATATCGTCCTTGATGACATTGTAGGCATCGTCGAAGACGGACAGGTTGAAACCCTTCGGGATGGCATCGTACTCATCGTAGTCATCATCACCGCCAACGTAATGCAGCCTAGTCCTGTCGAAGCCCTCCGTTCCCAGAATCGGCGACATGGGCTCATCCTTTTCCCAAGGCGCAACTTGCTGTTGAATTGAGAAGAAGCTGCTGGTCCCTTCTCCAGGCAGGTCATGCGCCAGCACGTCAGTGAAGTACTGGGAGATGGTCCTGTAAGTAGCGTCGCCGATGTTGACCGTCACCTTGGATGTTGTCGGGTTGATGAAAGTAAAGAAGATGACCGCCGCATCTTCATAACGGTGACGTTCCTGGGTCTGAGTCATCATTTGGTTGTGCCTGCTCGGGCCGCTCCAGATGTTCTTCCAGTTGCGGACGTAGACAAGGAAATTGATGTCAGCTGCCGTGAAGTTGCGGTTGGCTGCCCAAACCAACAGTGGCTGAATGTTGTTCTCCAGTGCATTCTCGAAGGCTGCCATGGAAGTCATGGCTTTGTTGAACCTCCGGTTGAGATCGGGGGAAGAACCTAGGTTTGTGTGTTCACCCTCTCCCTCTACGTCTGCCATGTACACAGGCGTCCGGCAGAAATCAAGAATGGGGAAGACGAAGGTGCCCATCTGCATCGTCACGATTCCAGGAATGAACCTGAAAACTGGTCAGCGGCATTTCTACAAGGTCTCAACGGGAGCCAGCTTACCATCCGGAATGAGGGAACCAGCGATTAATGGCGATGACGGTCGGATTGTTCGAATACAAAAACGCCATCCAAAGCGGAGTTCCGGGCATCCTGACCAGTCAGCCGCGAGTTCGAGATTCTTGACACCAAGGTTTACATACCCGGCAATGAGATTAACGAATGTCTGCAGCGACCAATAGTGGGAGTCTCGAATGTTCCTGGCGTACCAGAGGGTGTACGGGCCCCAAACCCAGCAAATAAGGAGCTGTGAGATGGCCGTCGGCACCCTATCCGTTGTCAGCTCGTACTCAGAAAGGGACGGCTTATTCCATACGTACCATTCTCCATGCGGTCCGCGGTGACAGTTGGCCTTTCCTGACCACTCTCCAAAGAGTCCGTAACTCTCGTGGAAATTGATGGATCCAAGGTACATGAAGGTGCAAGCGAAGATAGTGGAAGCCCAGGTAGCGTAAACGAAGACGCGCGTTTTGGTGACAAAATCCATGTTTTTGTGGTACCTCAAGAAGGCACGTGGGTGCATAAACCAGATGGGAGCTCGGCCTTTCTTGTTGCGCTTTGGCATCACCAGAAGCTCTTGCTGGGTCTGGTAGTAGAATATGATCCGCGAATTAGAAACTATAGCCGATTAGAATAATGTACAGACTGGCTAATATGGAATGGCGGTACTTACTCTGATAGAGTCCCAGACCAACCGGGAAGATCAGAGCCATAGTCCAGAATTCGGCCGAGCATTTGTACCAGAACCTGAGGGGATAGGCCAGGAAGATCAGGCTGAGGTAGACGTGCAATGCAAGGACGGATGAGCAGGTCAACCAGTAACCGCGAATACGAGCCGTGTGCGCGAAGCGCTGAAAGAAAAGAAGCGTCATGCCAAGGGCCATGATGAAGGTGTAAGCGACGGCGACGCCAATCCAGACCTTCGAAGGATCATCGATACGATGGCCATGGTTACCGAAGACCGACTGCTCAAATCCTAAAGCCGTGTCGTATGACGACGGAGTTGGGGTCGGCTTCTGTAGCGACAGATTAGCGAGAGCTTCCCAGGCCATGTCTTTCGCCTGTTTGCAGAAGACAAGTTGTTGATGACTTCGGTGGCGCGAGCTAGGTGAGACGGTGCTAGATGCACTGGCGGGCTCTGGAGGGCAGGAATTGGCTTACAAGGTGCCAATGATGGTCATCCGCGTCATACTCCATCATTACAGAAGTTCTTGCTTGGAGTAGCAGGAGGCAACTGGCGAAGGGAACCAATGGTGTGGCGCCGACTGAGCGTGGTGAAGCTCATGCAGGCGCCGGGTGCAACAGGAAGGGTCGATGCGAGGGCGGAGGTGAGGAGGGTTGGAGCGGCGAAGAGCCTGGCGGGCGTAGAAGGAAGGTGCGGGCCATAAACATTACGTCACGTGCTGGGTCGCAGGCTGCGAAGAGCCGACAGGGTCCCCGCAGCTGTGAATTCCGCGCTCATGCCTATGTCCGCCGGTTACTTGCTATTAACACTGAATGTCTCGAGCTTTCTCGGCGCACCGCTTTTATGGCGCTGCAGTGGCTCATTACCTGGCTCATCTTCAGTATTCTCGCTGTGTCACTGCCTCGAGCATCCGATTTCAGGCTATGGTCTGCCCACTTGAACCACGAAGCCAAATATCACGTCGCGTATGCGATCTTTTCAACTATGATCGCCAGCAAGGATACTGCGCCAAACTTTGGCCCGAGCGAGGCTTGGTTCGCAGGGCTGACAAGGGCCTGGCACTCACAAACGTACCCCGCATCTCGCCACGGCGGGGGCGAGATTCACTCCGGTCATGCAAAGTCATAAATCTCCAATTACATATTTATATACAAGAGTTTCACGCAGTGTTGTACAAAAAAAAACACAACTCAGCTTCGCAAAACGCAACCAACAAATGAAACAATCGTCTCTACAGATTGTCCGCCGGTCCTTGCTCCCCACTGAATGGAGGGAAAAAATCAAACCCACTATTCTTCCCAGCATAGTCATGACTACCTTTGATACTAAATATATGAGTGGACAATGTTACAAAGTTTCAATCCTAAGAACGGACGATGTCAATTCTTGTCGTTCTGGAGCCGCTCCACTAGGAATGATATGATGTGTTGAACGTTCATCCACGCATGATATTACAATCTCGAAGGTGTTGGAGCTCGGCGTCGAATATTCGTTGTTAGACCCTGCGTGCGTGTAGTATTTAAGTAATGGAGAAGATGATACCTATGTATGCTCAAGTCTTGCGCTACTTTGGACTTGGTCTCGCCATGATTTAGTCCATGAGTTGAAGCATACGACAGTAGCGTGCGGTACTTTAAAACAACGGCGTTCAGCTATGAACCACGGCCCACACTGCATAGGTGAGAATCATTAGCAACGGCCCGAACCTTAAACTTTTTAATTTGCCGATCCCCACTGATATGTACCGATAGGCCATTGGAAGCACGGCCGATACCGCATGACATGAGAGGAGCCTGCTAAATGAAAGACCCACACGTTCAAAATATTCGATCTCGATGACCCCGCAAAACCCACATCCCCGGCCCAACAATCGGGTCCGATGCGTCGGCAGCAATATCCGAATGCGACGGGCATTCCCGTTGCTTGGTCCTCAAACGGCACCACTCCGAGTGCTCTGTGTCCTTCGAAATGGAGACGCTGCAACCGTTTGATCGGCGATCAAGGAATGCGGGGGATGTACAGTCGAGAAGAACGCTTTGCCAAGTTCGGCAATTCGCGGATGCGGGGGTTGGTACGGAGTCTTTTCCGATGCAAAACTTGCGAGTCAGTGGGGACGTCCAGCTTTGCACCAGTACACCAGGTGTGGAGTTAGTATGAGTCTTTTGAGACGCGTAAAACACAGGCTGCGCAAATCAAACATGAATGTGTCGGATAATAGTCTATTGAACCGCACCAGCAGCTAAACAATCACCCGTCTACGGAATGATTTGATAGCTTGTAATTATTGGAGTGGCAATACATCGCGACCGTGATATTCTGTAAGAAAAGTCTGCAACAGAAGCGAAAGCAATTAAGGGGAATATTTAAATCGTGCCATCGTAATCAAGTTAGTGCCTAATTCCTCCGGTAAGGAACTTGCACACTGGCATATTTCTTGCACCCGTCTCCTTCCGCAAGCCCTACTCCCGTAGTTTCAGTGTTGACCACATGCCAATGTGCTGAATTCCTTCTTCGTCCCACTCTCCCATCTCCTCATCCTTGACAAAGCCAAACCGGCTGTAGAACCTCTCGAGCTGGATTTGTGCGTGCACCAGGGCGAGACCATTCCAGGACTCGAGATCCACGTCTCGACCCTCGGCCTTTGCCAGTTCCACTTCCTCAGGACGTGGTGGGCTTAGGATCTGGTAGCTGTTCTGCGCAGCCCAGTCCAAGGCGGTGCGCATCAACAGTGCAGCCAGTCCTAGCTTGCGGTATGCTGGCAGAACGGCCAGACGACCCAACTTGATGTATGGTTCAGAGGCGCGAGAGCCATTAGCCTGCATACCGGTGGCAGGAGCGTGCAGAGAATTGTCAAGCTTGTGGTGGTCAGAGGGCGCGGGGTGCGGCGGGTGAGGCGGTGGGACAAGGCGAATGGTGCCAACGGCGACGCGGTTGGCCGTGGGATCGCTCTGACGACGCTCTTCCTGTGGCGAAGGGGATTCGGAGTCGTTGTGCGTGCCGTTGGACAGAGGCGAGGCGCTGTTGCTACCGTTGCCATTGGAGCTGCTTGACGTCCCGACCGAAGCATACACGACCCAGTGGAAGCAACGCGGGTCATCGTCGTCAAACTCGTTCTCCAAAGGCACGCCCTGCTCCTCGACGAAGACACGCTCGCGAACGGTCATGGCATCCTTGAAAGTTGTGGGGATGTCGCGGGCAGGCTGGTCGGCAGCCAGCTTGGTGGGGTCGTACGAGGCGGACAGCGACGCGGTTGGCGGCAGGAGGGATATGAACTGCGACATGGTTGCAGGAAGTAGAGCGGTGGTGCCGGGAATGGTGTGTTCGGCCTCAGCGCTGGCAATGAGGGGTTGTCGGTGAAGGCAGGGTGCCGGGGATGAAAAGTTGTCGCGGGCGTGCACAGATTGTTTATGGTCGGCGGGTGGCAGTTCACACAGGAGGTTGAAGTGGGGCGAGCAACTACCGGTGTCGATGCGATGGTTTTGCGGCAGGCAGATGGATTTATGCGACAAGCGGTATGCAGAAGGCGCGCATGGAATCGAGGCGGTGCAGCAGGTGCGGAGACCCTGGCGACTGGCATGTTTCTGGGACGAAGCCGCGCCAGCCTCAAGCTCATTGGGCTGAGCCAAAGCGATCCGCGCGCCGCTGGAAGCCGGCAAGCAACGTGGGCAGCTCGCAGGGCGCGGAGTGGCGGCGATTGGCAGCCCAGGCGCAGCACCGCGTGTATGCACGTCAGCCGTGGTGGTGAAGGTGTGCGGCGAACACACGCACAGTGACGTCGCTCTGTTGTTTCGGCTGCCGCCGGTCATGCTGGCGCAAGAGCAGAGACCCTGATATGCAACCACGCTGAAACGCTGGGCAGAGACTGGAGTGCCAAGACGGCGCAACCGCAGATGCTTCCCTTGTAGGCTGCCGATTTCACGGTAGACCCCTCATCGGCTCTGCAGGTGCTGCCGTCGTTCGTCGCTGCAGCATCTCGCCACCCGGGGCGACCACAATGTGGCTTGCCCCGAGACAACGCGCCCGCATGACGCTACTGTGCAAGTAACCCCTCCACTTCTGTCCCAAAGCGGCAATGCAGGTCCAGATATTCAGCCTCACCCGCAAAAGTCACGAGCCAATGCAGGAACAGAGATCGAAGATGCTGCTCCATTATTTCCCGTCCGCCGCATCCTCGCAACGCTTTCCCCTGCCAATGTGACGCGGCGGTCACACACTCATCTATTGGTCGCATCAGGCGACACATCGACTATGTCACTTTCTCCCGGTCACACGAATAAACCAATCTAATTCGCCGCGCAATCAACCGAGACAAAATGGCACACCTCGCTCCGTGGACTACAGCCTAGCAAGGTCTTTCTCCCTCGCCATGTGTGCTGAGATATTTCGCGAGAGCCAATTCGCAATTCCTGTGATAAATCCCGCATTAGCACAACTTCACAAACGAGTTTGCGAGACAATACGCACCCATCACGGTTACCATCGGGTTGACACCACTGGCGCTAGGGAAGACGCTGGCATCTGCAACGTACAACCCCTCGGTCCCCCAGACTTTGCCTTCAGGGTCTACGACGCTCGTCTTCGGCGATGTACCCATGCGGCAGGTTCCCATCTGATGCGCGCTCATGAACAACGTCTCTGGGTGAGGCAAGTTCACTCTTCTGATCTCCTTCAGCCACTCCTGGAACCTTTCGTTGTTGATTCCCTCGACATCCTCCTCCCCGGTTTCCATCCGTTTGAAAGACGGGCAACCAGAGACCGTCGTGATTATCTCGCTCGCACCGGCGGCGTACTGGAGTTTAGCAAGACCAATCACTCCCTCCAGGATGCTCTTCCTGTCGAACCAGGACAACGGGTACGAGACGCGACAGCGTCCATCGATGGGATCTGGATATACCCGTCCAGTATCACGATCGCGAGCCAGAGAAATGTAGCCCACCATGTGCTTCATGCGAGGCACAAAGTCCTTGTATTCCAGCCCGCCTATCCATGGCGCAATTGTGAGCCAGACGGACGGCATCATGTTGACGGCCTCCAACTTGGCACCGTGGCCTTTTCCATCAATATTTTCGAACTCGTTGACGACTGCAGTCAAGATTCCTCCTTCCCATGGGTTCGTGCGCTCCTTGTGTACGGCACCCACGAACGACACGGGGTGCAAATGGAGATTTCGCCCAATATTCGGGTTTTTGAGACCGGACCGGAGGAGAAGGAGAGGGCTCTGCATCGTGCCGCCGGAGACTACTACGCGCTTTGCCCTGATGATCACGTCCCTCCGGACTGTCGGAGCGCCGGCCACACCTCCGTGCTCGTCGCGGGACACCCATGTACCGCGAACACCTACCGCAGTGGTCTTTCCTTTCTTCTTTTCGAACAGGATCTTCTTGATCTCAAGGCCTTCGATGAATTTGGCACCGGCGCGTGCAGCATCTGGGAGAAAGGATACGTGTGGACCTTGCTTCTCACACGATGCACAGCCCATGCTGCAATATCCACAATAGTGCTCCGCGCCTCCACTATTCTGGGGCACAGCCTTGTGAGACCACCCGAGCTTCCGTGCGCCTTCCAAAAGATGATGATTGGTCGAATTGTGCTTGATAGGGTCAGTAGCAACGCCCATTCTTTCGCAAACAGCATCCAAAGATTTCTGGAATTCGGCTGATGTGAAGAAAGGAAGGCCGCCATCTGCCCATTCCTGGCGGACGTACCCCTGGGTTTGCAATGAAGCTGACCAGTTCACAAATCCGCCCCCTCCGAATGTTTGACCTGATCCGTGTCAGTCTGCCGGAAGGCAAACCCGTTTGCAACTGAGCACGGAGTGGGTAGGCTTACCTGCAGCTACGCTTATTGTGCTTTCGTCAGATATGGTAAACCCACCGTTCATGAAAAGGTGGTCAAATCCCTCCGTTTCCTTCATCGGAAGGTGCTCAGGGGACCAATAGTACGACTTCTCCGCCACAATGACGCGATGGCCGGCTTCTGCAAAGTTCTTTGCGCATACTCCCGCTCCGCATCCGCTGCCTACGATGACGACGTCCGTCTCGATTATCTCCGGTTGATTTCCAGGAGGCATCTGGATGAATTCGAACTCGAACCCTTTGCCAACAGAGCCATGGACAGGAACGCGAGGAAATCCCAGGATACGCCCTAGGGTCACACTAGACTTTGCCCAATTTTGTTTGATCAAGGAAGTGAGCATCTTATTCAACTGCCGAAACATCGGCGTCCTTGCTGTTCTCCAGCTCTGGAGAATCGCTATGCGAATGTTGACGGGCTGTTCCGCAAAGGGCGTCGAGTAGCCTGTCATCACCAGCGCGCCTGGACGCGTGCTGGAATTCGATTAGTTCGGCGTATTTAACAGTAGCACCCTAGACTAACTTCAGGATGTCGAAAACCCCCAAGAACTGCTTCCTGACATCCACCGGAATGTACTGGGCCATCAGGCGGCGAATGTTCTCTCGAAAGGCTGGACTCGCCGACGGCATTTCGGCGAGATACTGTGCGGGCAGCTCTGGGGCGACATCTGGACCGGCCAGCTGCTTCACATTGGCGAGCGTGGTAGCGTATTCATTCGCACCGACTGCGAGCTGCGTCGCTGGGTCGGCAGTAGCAGACGGCGCTATGGACGGCACCACAGCATCGGCAAAGGCAAGGAGCGTAGCCCACTGCGCAGGCGATAGTGGATCATCCCCAGACTGTGGCAACAGGCTCTCCTTGACCGTAACGGAGTCTACCGGAGGAGCCATCGGGGCAGGGAGCGGCAATCGGAATGCAACGGAGAAAGAGCAGGCACGCTGAGCTGACGCTGAAAGCGACAAGCAACGACAAGCAACGGGACGAAGACAGGAGGACACTGGCTGGAGATGTGGCGCGCCCGACGTGCAGCACTCCGCTGCAGGGTCGCTATGTAAGGGGCCCGCGCCGCATATTCCCCGCCTTTACACGAGGCAGCGCGAGGTGTGGTTGGAGAGGACACGACAGATACCGAGGCGCCTTACCGCGCACGTCTTCCAGAACACGTACCAGAAGACGCCGGCGTGTTTGCAGGAGCGCAGGAGGAGCTTGGCATGTTTGCCGCTGGGCCGCCGTGCTTCCCGCTACCAGCTAGGGCGTAGGCGAACGCGCACGTGCGGCAGCTGGACGAGGCGGCGCAACGGGCCAATCAGAAGCGGGCGATAAGAGCAATGAGGTAAAAGCAACACGGTCAGCGATGCAGGGGTTTCGCCGGCGCAGACGCAAGCCAAGCGGGCGACGGGCGCGGAGCGGCTGGGGTCGCCGGCAGCCTGATTGCACGCGGGATTGCCGCTGCTTGCCACCGCTGGCCGGCGGCAGCGGGCCAAAGGGGTGTGAAGAACGGCGCAGCGGCGCGCGCTACACGGTGGTGGAGGGCGAGCCCGCCAGCGACGGTACGCACGCACCCGCGCTGCCCGGGTGTTATGGCCGGCGCAGCTGCTGGAAGCAGATCCAGCGCGGTGGGCGGAGAGATATGCGATGGACACGCTTGCCCAATCCAGCGCCGTCTTTAGTGATTGCGGTGTCCGTGCGCGCTCGGGTCCGCGCTCGGCGACGCTTCGTGGATGGGGCCCGTGGCTAACGGCAACGGCTTCGAGGGCATCGTCAGCCTCCCTTCACGGCGCGACGGCACTATTCTGCGACCCTCGTCCCTCTTATTAGTATCGCCGCCATGCCGTGCCGCTCTGCCTGCGTTCCATAGACGACCGACAGCGCTGCTGCTTTTGCTCCTCCCACAGTCCTGCTTGTGCTACCAGAGGCTCCCTGCTGCCCCATCCCCGTCCAATCGCCCGCCTCCTCTATATCGTATCGCCCTCTTATCGTCGCATCCGCTCCAGCGTGCTGCGCCGATCAGCCAACTCGCTCCCGTCCCCAGCAAACAAGCCTCAGCTATCTCTCACCGAGTCAAGGGTCTGCAGACCGCTTTCTGGCCTCGCATCCTACTTGAGTACCCCAGGCTCTCGCTCGCTGCGCCGGTTCAGACCACAACACACCACGCACGCGACCACCACCAGGCACTTTTGACCACACCCGCAACCACGCTCCCACATACCAACGGGCCTTGCCATCTCTCTCTGCCGCTTCTCCGACCGACATCAGCCACTCCGACCCTCTCACCACCGCATTTCTTTCAACACCGACACGATGGCTACCGGGATTCCGACCGCGACGAATTTCGTCCCCAACGCCTTCCAGCAGCAGCAGTACCCGTACAGGGGCGGCGTGCAGTACAACCCCTACTCCCCTACGCACTCCGGTACTGCGACACCCACGAACGTCTCTCCCACGCAAATACCACACCACATGCACACGCGCCAGCTGCGCCCCCCGAAGTGCCCCATGTATGTCCCAGCCGCTCTGAGGCCTACGGAAAGGCCACAGCGCTCCTCGCCTCCCAAGGGCAGCGACATGTCCTCGCCGATCGAGAGCCCGTTGGCCGGGCTTGACCGAAGGGGGACCGCGGATAGCTTCGGCTCAACATACTCGGAGATTCAGAGGATCGCAAGTGACGAGGGGACCACCGTAGGACCGGTGACTGGACCGCCATCGAGAAACCACTGGAAGGTAAGTGATTTTAGTGCTGCCTGCTAGGCCGTTGGGGTCTCGATGACTCTTACCGCCGTCATCCTGACGTTGCCGCTTGGGTGCGGTGTGCCGCTGCTCCGGCCACCTGGAGCAGTGGAAGAGACCGATGCGCGTGGAAAAGACAAGGGCACAAGTTGATTGTATATGAGTCGGTTGCGACACATACCTTGATGGCTGCGCCATTATTGTGCGCAGTTTGCTCTTTCCATTGCGCCATCGCCTTGCGAGCTTGTTCGCGGTACGGGCTTTCCCGCTTTCCGCTAGCAGCGCGCATATGCAAGTCTCAAGCACCACATCCCTTGCGGCACCCTGCTGCCTGCACGTACGCGTAGTTTCTTCCCTCGATGCATTTGCTAACTGCAAGTATAGTCGAACGACGAGACGCAAACATGCAACGCCTTCGGCTGCGGGCGAATCTTCTCCATGTTCTGCAGGCGACACCACTGCCGGCGCTGCGGAGACATCTTCTGCTACGAGCACAGCTCGCATGAGATCAAGCTCGACCAAGATGCGCTGTTCCACCCCAGCGGGACGCCATCGCGTGCGTGCGACAGCTGCTGGTCCGCGTACCGGCAGTGGGAGGCGGCACGCAAGAGCCGAACCAACTCCGCAAGCTCTCAGGGCAGCGGCAGCACAGTTGGAGGGTTTGCACAGACGCGTGCAGAGCCTCAGGGTCTGCAGCTTCCCCAGCCACGCGGCGTGGCGCAGGCCCATGCGCAAACCCACAAGGTCGGCAGCTATGTGGGCAGCGTGCCCCGCGATTGGAATTGGAGCACGTTCTAGTGGGCGGGCCTTACCGATTCTCTCTCGTAATGGCCGACCTGGATGCGACCCCAAGGCTTCGTTTTAATTACCAACGTCGTAATACGGCCGAGCTTGATCCGGCTCCCTTGACCAGCGAGCGCGAGGCTTGCATAGTCGCCGGCGACCTCGACCGCGCACCCTCTCTGGCAATTGGCCACACGACGTCTCTCGCCTGCGGCGGGTCTTCTCTTTTCCTCGGAGCTCCCAAGCACCGCCCCTTCTTCCAATAGCCGCGGGTCTCGCATAATGATTTGCTTTCGATTGCTTCGTTTGAGCGCATCATTTCTCAGCAACGCCATCCTAGACTCGCTTTTCATAGACCGCTTTGGGATTCTGCTACCGGCCGTTGATACCACTTTCTTGCCACGGCCGACGACTTGTTTTCAGAGTACGAACTGCTTCCGAATGGAGCATAGGTGTTGTGGGGCGTTTGTTCACCGGTCTTTCTTGTTTTTTCTATCGTGTACTCTGTCTGATCTACTAGCACTTGGCGTTGAGGGTGATATATTTTTTTTTGCTTGCAGGTCATGGGACTTGTCGTGTACGAGCAACGGTGGTGCCAATGGGTAATGAGAACTGTATCAATTACTCCTAGAAATCCGAACGACATGCTTCAAACACCACGACTAGCTCTTGTCACATGCATAAAGGCTGCAGTAGCGGGTGATCTCTTTGTCTCAGGCCCCAGCCGCCTCGCTTTGCGGCTCGGGCGCTCAGGGCAGCAGCTTTTGCCGAGGGCGCAGCATGAGCCAAGCATGGGCGCTTTCCGCGTCCGTCGACATCCGGGGGGCGCTGAGAATTCCCGTCCAGGTGGCATGTTTTGGACAGCCGCGCCTCATCAGTAACGGACCGCGACCTGTGCGGGCGGTCGGCTATTGCGGCCGAGACCCTTGCAACACATCTCCGAAATGGAGGGCGGCCTACTTTTAGGATATTGAAGATCTGCCGCAGGCGGCCGGTCCAAGGGCCGCACGACCGAGCTGCGCGCGAGAGACGCGTGCGCTAAAGCAACCGCGTTTCAACAGCTTCGCGACGGAAGCGCCGGATTAATTGCCATTTGCCCGGCGCTTCGATGGGGACTGGAGCACGAGTAGCGGGAGCCCGTGGGGTGGGGAATGGTGGGATGGAGCTTTGCTTCTTCACGCGCGAGCTGCAGGCCAGGTGAGGGGCGCACAGCAGCTGTGAGAGAGGGGCACACGGAGCTAAGGTGGTGAGGGGCAGCGGTCGCGAGTCAGGTTCGCCTCAACCACATGTGATTTCGCCTGAGAGATGAACATCGTCGGTGTGGAGAACGGCTGGATGAGAGTTTCTCCACGGAAGGATGCCAGCCTATCGGCGTCGGGGTTTTGCTGCGAGCAATCGGGCGCACGGGTGGCTAATCGCTGGCGCTCGGACCGTGGGTTGCGTGGTCCGTGACGAAGCCTGTCGGCGCGTACGATGAGTGGGCGATCGGAACGAGCACAGCTTCAAACAACAGCTACTCTATTTGCCGGAGGTGGCAGTTGCTCTCGTGGCCACTGGCGAGGGAGCTTGGACTCTCTCTTGCGGTGGTCTGTGGGCGCATTGCTCTGCTCCACGTTTCCTCTTGCCTGCACCCTCATCACACTTTTTTCTACTGTTTCTCTCTTTTCCCTCTCCATGTCCCACTCAATCTAATTATCTTCGCAGAAGGCCCGTCTTGTCCGACTCGGGTCCCTGTCTCAAACTCTCTCCGCTTCGAAAGACGCAAGGCAAGCAAACGGCCCTTTTCCAGGCCAACCTAATCCAAAAAAGAGGCTCAGAACGGCCACCGTTGCACAGCCGCAGGCGCTTCTTGTTGTTTCTCCACGAAAGTCAGAAGAAACACCGAGATAGGCGCCTGGCCAACGCAGACCGCTTCGCGCCAACAGCCTCAGGGTTCACCGCCAATGCAGCTAAAATCCAAAACATGCGGGACGCTGTGGGCTGGATGACTTAGCGGTCAACCATGGTGAAGCTGGGGAATCCCTGCGGACTTGTTGTTTCCAGAAGCTCTTCCCATCCTGGCCCAAGCGTGCCGACACGCTTTCTTCCTGTGCGGCTCGACACCCAGACCACTTCTTGCCTCAAGCCACTGACGAAGAGGGAGGGATCAGGGAACAAGAGTGAGCCTTGGGAAAGAAGGCGGGAGAAGCCTTTCAGAAGCTCTATCGCCGCTTGTGGTCTTTGCTCCCACTTCCTCTTCCGGCCCATAGGTGCCGGCTGAACGCCGGGCCATAGGGCGTTCCATGGATGAGATGCCTTGCTGTGGTGCGCTTCGTCGCTCGCCTCACCATCATGGAATGCCCACGCTCTGGCGGTCAAGATGCCTGATCGCGCCTCTTTAGCGCCAGGTACGTGGCTACATGGCAGCTTCCGGAGGCAAGACCCTGTGATGGGTTGGCGGGTGTGCCTGGTGCGGTGAACCCTTTTTCATTTCGCCTTGCCCTTTTTTTTTTCTCGCCCGGTAAGGCGGACGCCAGCGTTGAAGTCGGATCTTTATCCGGCACTTCTCTTCGACCTCGTGGTCATCAGTAGGCGACGATGAACCGTCCACGATGAGCGGCATCATGAAGGAAAGGATCACACGTAATGGTCATTCGCTTGTCATGTCATCTCATGATCGACGAAGTATCTTCGAAACCGGGAAACTGAGTTACCGACACGACGTCACAAACCGAACGATGTTGCGAAACACGGCGCTCCTACGCATCAGTTCCCACGTAGGTACCCATGCTCTCTCATCAGTCGAGAAAGACTGGGACGTGGTAGGCGGCCTATCCACGAGACAAGGCAGAACTTCGGCCTTCCTCTCCGTTCCTTCATCTCCGATCGCTGGAAACCTCCTTTTTCCCACCCTTCCAACCTCCCCAAATATCCTCCGATGACGTGCCCCGGTGGCAGCTGCTGGCGATAGCTCCCTCGCGCGGACCGTGATCGCATGCTCTTTCCGGGCGTTAGGCGCAGATCGGATGAGGTCACCGAGACTCGGCTTTGGGCACGAATTCACACCTGCGCCCGGCCGGGAGGAAGGCCGGACACGAGCTGAGCGGCTGCTGCTGGCAACGGCCGAGAGCGTCGTCGGATAAGCGGTCTGATGAAACAGACTCTGCCGAAGGTTTGCAGCAACGTCATGCTCAGTCAGCGGGGGTCCGTGGGGGCAGGCGTGTCGACCATCGGCGTCTCTTCTGCTGCGGAAGGTCGATCGCTCGCTAGCAATACCGCTTTTTTTTTTTTTTTGGCATTGACCGACATGGTGGACTGGCGGCAGTTAGTCTCTTGCTTGGTGGTGGCTTTTTGGCGCGCCGGAGGAAGCTCTTAGGGCAATCGCAGCGACTGATTGGCTTGCGTGCGTCCGCGCCATTGACGCTGCCTTGCCCTGCTACCTATCCATCGCCATCAGCTGCCAACATTGAGAGGTTCCTGATGTCCCCGCCATTTTCCTATCGCCCGTGGTTGACGTGCCTCTCGTGGGGGATGCGCTGTGAGAGCTGCATTTCCCCGGAGAAACTGACCGCCTTCTTCCCCTCCACGGACCCCTCATCCCTGCTCATCCCACGTCGCGCTCGAAGTATACACTGTTGCGGCTGATGGTAGAGAAGTGTTCGATGACCCGAGCAGATTTTCACTAATATGGACTAGCTTCAAAAGGAGTCTCAGCGCGTAACTGACGATCAGCTGAGTAGGAAGACGCGTGTGACAACAAACAATCACCATAGCAACCGACTAGGCTTTTCTCAGGATTTAGAGTAGTAAAGTGTGGTGATATTGTGTCTAGAATATATCAAAGCAATTAACTTGCTATAACCCCGTCTTGTGCGTGACTCTTCGTAAATTACTTTTTTTTCTCACTGTGATGGTGGGAGGTCAAAACAAGCATGCGCTATGCACTCCCTAGCCAATGACGAGAATGATGTTGTGCATACAAAGCACGACCGGAGGCGGGGCGCTGTGGGAAGCGGCATTGCTGCCAGATGGGGCTCGAAGGACCGGATAAGAGATCTCGACAATGCCCTGGGCATTTTTGCCACCGATACGAAGATATAAACTTTGGGGGTTGACCGCTTGAGTGGCGATGAACGCTTATTGGAAGGCGGTAAGCGGCTGTCTTGAGTTTCGGCTGCGTTCCAATTCGCTAGGCTGCTTCATAGGCTCTTCGCTCTGGTTGGATCATTTGCGTTGGTATAGTCTTGTAGTTGCCAGAGTTGTAATGATAGAGACGATAGTAAACGATATTGTGAAATTATTGAGTAGCGAAAATTGCTGAGGCTCTATTGAAGCCTGTCATGTTCTCCATGCCGTTTTCCATGATCAAACGGACGAAGAAGTTCATATCCGTCTATAATTCTGCGGGAGGGAAAAGATAGTGTCCAGCGGTTTCTATCTAGCCGCCAGCGATAAAGGGAACTCCTATTGAATTTTTTTGTCCCTGAAAAATCAAACGCCATAGACCCATGGAAGAGAGGTGGAAGAAGTTGGGAGTCACTGACAATATCAGGCCCAGGAAAGAAACACTGAAGAGTATAAAAAAAAAGAAGAAAAGAAAGGGAGAGCAAAAGAGGCACAGCTGACTCTTTATCAGTGGAGGGAGAACGTCAGCCCGTCTAAACCATATTTATGCAGATGTTTTCCCTCGCCAGAACGCCGCTCCCGATGCAAGCATAGCAGGGACATCAAGTATACATCATTATCGGCTCGACCGGGGTCAGCTCCAGGGCGACCATGATGGACTTCTCCATGCGCTGGTCGTAGGGGCGGAAGGCGGTCCTGGCCTCGCCGCTGCCGCCCTTGTTGACCTGGAACTCGTTGGGCAGGTTGTGGGTCAGGGTGGCTATGTGCTCGCGCGGGACGCGGTGGACGCAGACCAGCTTGATGTCGACGCCGGGGGGCACGCGCTCCTCGAGGTTGAGGCAGATCTCGCGCAGGGCGGGGTCGTCGAGCCAGCGGTAGAAGGACTCGATGATGTCGATGGCGCGCGGCGACCAGAAGTTGCTGCGGTAGAAGACCCACAGCGACTTGAGGCGTGGGAAGTCGGCGGCCAGGCTGCGCGAGGGCGAGGTGCTGCTGAGATAGGCCGACCACAGGCGCACGTCGCGGTCCCGGATGCGCAGGCACACCGACGTCACCAGGCGCGCGTACTCGGGCGAGAATATGTGGACGAACATGTTGGCGTCTGAGGGGTGTGTGAACATCAGGCGGTTCGACGAGTACAGGATCGGCGCGGCTTCGTGGTAGACGGTGCGGCTGGTGGTGAGCAGCTGAGTCGCGATGCCGGGCTGGCTCGCCGTGGCGGGCGGCCACCAGATGGTTGTATGTGAGCGCAGGGCATGCTCGTAGATGCGTTCGCGCAGTTCGGGCGGCAGGCGGTGCAGCGTGCTCGGAAGAGGCTCGTAAGGCGGCGGTGGTGCGTCGTTGGCGGGGGCTGCGTCGGCCATGGCGATATCAACCGGCGGCGGCGGCGGCGTGTCCAGAGTCGCGGGTTTGAGAGAGGGCGAACTAGATGCTGAGCTAGACATGGCGGACGTGTGGCCAGACAAGACCGAGAGACGGAGGGGGCGAGAGCGCGCGGCGCATGTTTCTGGAGCGAGGCGAGACGGATGCGATGTGGAGAATCAGCAAGGCGCTGAATGGTGGTTGAGCTCCCCATCAGCTCGGATGCGCCGTCGCCGTCTGCGCAACATCAAATTCCGCGACACCATCATGCAGTCGGTTGCATTGCGCAAGTTGCAAGGAAATGGCGCCCCCAGTCCGGCGGCTGTAACTGCGGGTCTCTTGCACCTCGGCTATGTGCACGCGACGCCATAAATCCATTCGTCGCGCCGTCCGCTACCTCATTCCGTGACAGTTTACCACCATGTCTCCACCACCGACAGTCCAAGGAAATGTCGGCCGCCTGGAGGACATACCCTGGGCTGCCGCTCTCCTCGCCGATGAAAATTTCGTGTTTGCTCCCACAACTACGCGAATACCCAAGGACTCTGGAGAAGATTCATTCATGGCCGAGACGCTCAATACCGAGAGGACCGTACGCAGCTGGGTTACCCAGCACACTCTACCTCAAGACAACACCCGTTTTCCAATCAGCGAAGCACGCGCCTTCATCGACGTCGGCGACGGTCTGAATGGCTATCCTGCCACCATGCATGGTGGCATGATCGCTGCCCTTATGGACGAACTCACTGGCTTAATCCTTAATGTCAACAACGATCACCAAAATCACTTATCGGGCGCCAACAATCCTCTGAATGTCATGACAGCCTATCTCAATGTGTCTTACAAAAAGCCATTGCCCGTTCCTGGTGTTATTCTCGGCACCTCTAAGATAGAAAAGGTCGATGGAAGGAAGTTTTACCTGCGTGCGACCCTGGAAGACGGAAATGGCCAGGTTTATGCTGTTGGCGAGGCGCTGTTTATTGAACTGAAGTCCAAAATCTGAAAGACAAGATCGATGTCACTTTAAGAGTTACGATACATCCCGGTTCACGGCGGCAACATGTCGTCTGCACCAATCAGCACCGCGGCTATACGAAGACTGTCATGACTTGGACGTGACTCGTTAAATTCAATAATACGACTTTGCATGGACCGAACCGTCGGAATCGCCCAAGCATGCTAATAACAAAAGAAAGGTTCATTGCCCGGCCATTCCTCCATTGAGATAGACAACCAGACTTTGGGATATCGTTACATCTGTTGCATACAAGCCAGCCCAACGCCATACATATTTCAGGAACCAGCCTCTACATCTCAGTGCCTAAGCTCCGTGGAATTTTGCACCCGTACTGTATAGTTAACCGTGCGGATGATGCCATCCTCCGGTGGAAATACCGGAGTAAGGGGCATGTCGCTCTCTCCATCATTACTCGATTTGGTGCTTTCCGGGGGTCCAACAATTCTCTCTTCGCTGTCCCAGCCGTCAGGGACACCCAACGACATGTTCTGTATTCTGTATTCTCTCTCCTTATCCGTGCAGCTGTTTTGGTGGTCCATGAGGCTTGGTCGCCGCTGCTCTCTCGAATTCAGGGGAATAGATCGGGAGTTGTACTTGGAGGAATAGCTTTTCTTCTTGCTGTACGATTTGGACCTTCCCGAGGAAAGAAAATTCGGCATCACTCGTCTCGTCAATCCATTCATTGCCGGCGCGCAAGCTGCGATGATGGCCAAGTTTATCTCGACTCCGGAGATGGTGTAGCCAATGCCGTAACTGCGATCTTTGTTCTTCGGGCTGAAGCGGTGGACGTAGATGCCAAAGCGGGCAACACTGACGGCGGCGACGCTAAAAGCCAGATGTAATCAGTGACCACGTTCACCCGAGTGCGAATAGGGGCACACGTACACCCATCCAATCGACAGGATTGCCCACACGACAACCTTCTTCTGTTTCCGCATCTGCAGGTCCTTGACCATGATCATGGGAATGATCAGAATCAACACATCCGTCAGGACCGCCAATCCCGCAGCGGCAAGGAAGAATCCAGCTTGGTCAATGCAATGGCCACCTTTGATTTCCTTTCCATTCAGCATTCCATCTTCATCGGCACCGGCGGCCTTCTGTGCTGCCAAATCCATGGCAGGGTAATCGATGGTATAGCGCCATGGCGTACATTGGAAAAGGTCGGCAAAGAAGGTGCTGACCATGAGAAGGACGTTGAAGACGAAAAGACCCTTCAACGACCAATCGACTCGGCGGCGTTTGTCGTCGATGCGAAGCAGGAACAGGATCACGGACATCTTGACGATGGACAGGATTGGATGATACAGCAACTGATTCGCAAGGTTGTAGCGCTGTCCAAGAATCTGTCTTTCAATCGACATCTCGGGTATGTCGGCGACATGATATCCTTGCATCGTCACCTTGGTATCTGGGACGGTGGTCAGCATGTGTGCTAGCTGTTGCGGGTTAACTGCCGACACGGTCTCAATGGCTACGTTCCAGACCGTGTCTCAATGCGTGCACCACGAGGTTGGGAGGCTCTGCACTCACACATCCATACTGCGTATGTTTGGCCCACGGCCAGCACCTGCTCAAGAAATCAGCATTCGTTCTTCGAAGCAGCGTGTCGGACAGCCACTAACCCAGGCAATAAGGATCACAATGTCATCTGTGGGAGCGGTCAGTTCGATAGTTCTCTCCTTTGACCGGCGATCCGTCGCCCCGCTCGCGCCGACGACGCGGATACGCTGGCCGAAGCTTATAAAGACATACCTGTTCCCAATAGTCGAGAAAGATGCTTCGACACAATCCTCATCCATACGACTATGGTGGCAAGGATGGGAAAGATGAGGATGACGACATAGGCAGAAGTGTGCGCCCTCTTGGATTCAGCCAGGCTGGAGGAGTCACTCATCCTCGACGAAGCATCGCCGGGCGCAGGCGGGGCGGGAGCAGATCAGAAAGGTGAGGGTACGAAAGATCGGCGACCAGAATATGCGACCGGCGTGGATGTTGGCGGGATGAAGAAGCAGAATAGTTCATGCCCAACTGCACAGATGCATAACTACGTGCGCGTCTTGCTGCGATCTCTGTCACGTAAGAAACCTCCCATTTCCTCAGCGCGATGAACGAAGGCGCACACTCCGCGTTCCCTGACTCTCATCGGCTGTTTCTCATGGACCGAATAGGCTATTCTGAGGGCGATCAGCAGGCTAAGCGAGGCTTGCTCGTATTAGGAGCAGTCGGCGTATGACAAGGCTCCCAGCATCGACGCGCAAAGAAGGGGGCCTCTGCTGAACTGATTCACGCCAGCTGAGTCGAAGCGCCGGAGCCATCGCCGGCGAGAGTGGAGCAGCTAACACCGGACCAACCATTGAGCAGGCAGATAAACAGGCCCGATCGCCATCGCACCCCCCACCGGCCATCTCGAAGCAATTTTCAGCGCGGGACGGGGACAGCATACAGAAATCGGCAACAGTCCGGGCCGGAGGGCTTGGCTGCTCAGTCGGAGCGGGACATGGACGGTGCACGCGGGTGGAAGTGGGGGCGGCTGGTTTTGGAGATCCCAGGATTGTCCTGGCCCCTCCTGGGGTTCGCCGTGCCGCCAGCGAAGAGGATAAATTGACGTCGTCCCGGGCCATAAACTCGGTGAGCAATGGCGCGGCGGCCCACCAGAAGAACCGTTCGCCGAAACATCGAACACATGGTAGCCGCTCAGCCTCACCCGCAGCCCGGCCCTGCCAGCCGCCTGGTGCCGTCTGCTAGGCCGTGAGCGGCAGTGATCTGTCCCGGACCAATGCATTGTCCCTCGGGCGATTCATGCTTGGGCAAGACAACGCGTAAATCCTCCCCGGTTGCATCCATTCCGGCATGCCGGCGCGTTGCAGCTCGCGGAGAAATCCTGATGAGGGTGGTCTGCTGTTGTTAGTCCTTCATCCAAGATTACTACCAACGCTCTTGCGGCACGGCAGGCCCCGCCTCATCTATTTGCATAGCCTGGGCAGCCCGAATTGCTCTCTCTTCGTGGTAAGGGGCGTAGCATCATAAGGTTGCGATGTTCCGGGCATTTTAGTCTTTTTCTCTCTTTCTTTCTCGTGGCTGCAGCCAACACCAACGGGACCCGCTTCCCTGCTTTAACTGTCGTTCGTTTACCCTTTTCGATCCGCCACCACGTGGACGAAGAAGCGTGCATCCCCTGTCGCGAGCTGTTTCCTTCGCGTATCGGATCCTCGCACACACGTCACAGCATGATGAGCCCTCGTCTTTCCCTTTTGGGCTGCGCACTGCTTGCCGCCAGCCCTGCCGTCAACGCAGCTGTTGATCTCTTCGAGTGGGAGAAGGTCCAACTCCACGAGTCTGCTCTGGCCTCGCGCAGCGTCCCGACCCGCCGCGCCGCCAATGCTTCCTGCAAGGTCTTCCCTGGCGATGCTGCTTGGCCGTCAGAGAACCAGTGGGCCGCGCTCAACGAGACGCTCGAGGGCGCGCTGATCAAGTCCGTGCCGCACGCCAGCGTCTGCTACGAGGGACCGTACTACGACGAGGCCGCATGTACTACCATCACGGCCAACTGGACCAATTCCTACCTTCAGTAAGCCGTGGCCCCCTGTGCCTCATCTTGCAGGCCATTTCCTTGTCGAAGGAAAGTATAATTGACAATACCTTTTTCAGCGATGACGATCCGATTGAGATGCTTAGCCCTGTGTACCAGGGCCTCACGTGCCAGCCGCCGACACTTTACGAAGACGGCATCAACTCGGGCAATTGCACGCTGGGCGGCTTTCCGGAGTACGCCGTTGCGGCCACCAACGTGAAGCAAGTCCAGGCCGCCGTTAAGTTCGCCGGCGAGGCCGGTATCAGGTTTGTCATCAAGAACACTGGCCACGATTTCTCCGGTAAATCCGGCGGCGCCGGAGCCCTGTCAGTCTGGACCAAGAACCTCAAGGGTATCACCTACGAGGAGAACTATGTCGATGAAGGCACGGGTTATTCTGGCCCCGCCTTCAAGGCTGGTACCGGCGTGCGCGCTTGGGAGATTTACGAGGCTGCTGCTGCCAAGGGCAAGGTTGTCGTTGGTGGCGAGGGCCAGGTAAGCTTGTACAATCCAGACGCGTGCAACAAACACTGACACCGGATGCAGACGGTTGGTGTGATGGGCGGCTACATCCAGGGCGGCGGGCACTCGCCCCTGAGCTCCATCTACGGCATGGGTGCGGATCAGGTTCTCTCGATGGAGGTGGTCCTGGCGAACGGCACGTTCGTCACTGCCTCGGCCAATGAGAACGCCGACCTCTTCTGGGCGCTCAAGGGCGGCGGCGGCGCGACCTATGGCATTGTGACGTCGCTGGTCGTCAAGGCCTGGCCTGATATGCCGGTTACCGGCTCCAAGTTCTCCTGGACGTCGGCCAACATCACCAACGAGACGTTCTGGGCGGGCGTGCGCGCCTACCTCGACTACTTCCCGGAAAATGCGGACGAGAAGCAGACGTACAGCTACTGGTTCATCATCCAGCTGGGCGGCGGCGTCAAGCAGTTCCTGATGCAGCCATTCTTCGCGCCAAACAAGACGCTCGAGGAGACGGAGGCCATACTGGCGCCGTGGTTTGCCGACCTTGCCGCGTTGGGCATCACCTTCACGCCGCGCACGACGCACTACGATGGCTTCTACGACGCGTGGAAGGCCGAGTTCCCGCTGGAAGTGGTGCAGAAGACGCACGTAGCCACCGGTTCCCGCCTCTTCCCGCGCAGTTCCTGGGATGACGAGAGCACGCTCAACGCCACCTTCGACGCTATCCGGGCGTCGTCGGATGCCGGCAACACCATCATTGCCTTCAACATGGCGCCCAAGCTGCACGAGTCCAATGCCGAGAACAGCGTCAACCCGGCGTGGCGCAACACGCTGATGCACGCGCTGCAGAGCGTCAACTGGCAGAACAACAGCACCCGCGACGAGATCATGGAGCGCCGCACTTGGTTCAACGACGTCGCCATGCAGCGCTGGATCGACGTCAGCCCCGGCGCCGGCTGCTACCTGGGTGAGAGCAACCGCATGGAGAGCGGCTGGAAGCAGTCGTTCTACGGCGAGTACTATGACCGTCTGCTCGAGATCAAGAAGCAAGTCGACCCGGACGACGTCTTCTGGGCCGCGACGGCCGTCGGCAGCGACGCGTGGGCCGTCGACAGCGTCGACGGGCTGCCGAACGAGAACGGCCGGCTGTGCAGGACAGGTGCGTGACGTGAGGAAAAAGCATCAGGATAGCCTTCTCTTCGTTAATAAGTAAATATTCCCCATGAGCTCTGCAAGGATTGCATCGCGTCTCGTTATCAGTTGCCCTCGGACCAATAGGACTTGTATCGGCAAGGCACCCAGCGGAGCGGTTCTCTGCTCCTTCCGCCCCCGGTCGATTAGGTACGACGTAAGAACCAAAAGCAATATACGGCAGAGACACCGGAACCTTTCCCGATGCTGAAACAGTGATGCGAGCTTAGAGGAGAGTGTTTGGTCCAGGAGGAACGGCTCGCGTCAGCCAGAGACGAGCAGACAGAGGCTGGACCAACAACATGGGACACAAACAGGGGATACGTAGTCGCGGAGGTACGGCAAGGGCTCGCGTGGCTGGCTAGCTTTCCGCTGTTGATGGGAACTTCGTCATAAACCCGCACCGGTGCAACCAACGACGGTTGACTACCGGCAGCCGGCGCGATATCTCCGCTTCCAACGGCTCCCCATGGCGGGGAGCGCTCCGTGACGTCGACGGGGAGAGACAGGCCGAGCTGGGACGTCATTGTGGTGAAGCAGAGGCGGTCGCTGATTCTCCACCGGACGGAGGTTGGTCTTCTTCTGCAGCCTTCTGCATGCCGCCGGGATGCGAACCAAACGTCGAGCAGGCGGAAGCGCGGGCCAGGCACAGGCCGGCGTGATCTTCGATTCTTTGCCTCACTGCACCGGTGCCAAGGCGGGCCAGGCTCAGAGCAGCTCCCTCGTGTGCAGCGCAGCGCAGCGCATGGGCTTGGGTGGTGCAAGACCGGCGCTCCCGTCAGCCGTACCTGAGCAGGGGCAGCACGACTTCCAGACACAGGGCGCGCAGGATCGTGTCTGGGATGCAGCTGAGAGCCGGGCGGGGCGCGGGTTCAGGCTCAGATGGCGCAGCCCTGGGCCGCGGGCTCGGGCTGGCTCCCCGTGTCTCTGTGCGACTTGCGATCTGGCGATGGCCTTGTCTTGTCGAGCGCCACGCTCCGGCGGCGCGGCCACGTGCAACTGCCTGCCGGATTGGGGTGTTGTTGAAGGCTGCCGCGCGTTGCCGATGGCTGCTTGATGGCGACAGCGACAGCGCGCGTGAGTGAGGCGCCCCGGCCCCTCGGCCTGCCAAAGCTCCTCCACGCGACGCTCTCGATCGCAGCCAAACCCCTCCACACCAGCCTTGATTGGCGTCCGCGCTGTGGCGCCCAAGCCGCAGGATTTGCAAGCAACCTCTGCTATTCTACTGTTCAAAATTAAACCGCACCCCCGCCGCGCCGCATTCGCCCCCGAGCATCTGCGCATGTCACACCCGCCGCTCTCGGTCACCGGCCACTTGTCGCCTGAGCCTTAAATTCTGCTGCTATACCTTCATCGCCATTTAACTCCCCTCCTGCCCCTCGGAACGCCGGCCTTTGATGCGTTCCTCCTGCAGACGGACCCCTCCTCTTGATGAAGCGCCTGGCATGTAACTCCGTTAATGTCCTCCCCCACCCCGCACCCGAAATCTAGCCTGCTGGCGAGGCAGCAGCGGCGACCACCAAAGCAAAAGATTCAATCAAAAACTCGAGCCGCTGCCGCCGCCGCCACCTGTTCCGGATCACTCTTGACAGACAGCTGCCGCCAATCGCAACAGGAAGATGGCCTTATCATCACCAAAGCCTCACGTCCGTACGGCGACCAGAGCCAATCCCCTCTCCTCCGCCTCCCCTCGGAGATCCGCCTCTTGATCTACTCTTACCTCCTCCCGCACGCCCACGACATCACTTTCCATCCCTTAACACGCAAGCACCCGACCACCGGCGCTCCCACGGCCTCCCACGCTGTGCAGATTCCCGGTGTCTGGGCCAGCATCGGCATCTGGACGGCACTGCTCCGTACGTGCCGCCAACTGCACGACGAGGGCGCCGACGCCCTGTACGGCGGCAATGCCTTCCACTTCGCCCTGACGAGCCGCGAGCGCGTGTGGGCCTTCAACCCGCTCAGCCCGTCTCCTCCGCCGACCGCGAGCGCCGGGGACGATGGCCTCATCTCGTCCCCGACGGCCGACCGCGGCGAAGGAGAGGGCGAGGGCGGCCTGAACGCGCTGAACGCGCCGTATGCACGGGGCCTGCCCATCAACACGCTCAAGACGGCCGGCATCTCCACCGAGGCCCTCCGCCGCATCCGTTGCCTCAGCCTCCGCATCGAGGAGGACCTCGCCCGCCCGGAGCCCTACCGCCGCGTGCAGGCCTGGCTGCGCGAGTTCGTCGACAAGCTCGCCGACCCTTCCTGCTGCCTTCAGGAGCTGCGCGTCGATCTCGTCACCGGCTCGTTCCGGTACGCCGGCTTCCCGAGCTTCACGAACAGCGTCTTCTGGGAGTTTGTGCCCGAGAAGAACGACGCCGTGGCCCGCCAGTGGCAGTTCGTGCTGGAACCGTTGGCCGGGCTCAGGGGCGTGAGGCAGGTCGAAGTGAAAGGCCATATGAGCGAGGTGTTTGCGAGCAAGTTGACCCGCAGAATGATGGACGTTGGCGAGCCGGAAGTGGGCAGCGACGAGATGGAAGGAATCGAATACGGGACGCAGGTGGTGCAGAGCGGGAACAGAGCGATGACGAGGAGCATGCGGAAGTTCTACGAGCCGGAGCTCGACTGGCAGCTGGAAGGGGAGTGAAAGAGAACAGGAGATGAGACGGAATTTCGAGGCTTAGACCAGGCAATGCCATGGCAGCTCAGGTGTCGCCATTTTGGAGTTTGAGGAACAAAAACACCCTAGATGTGAGTCGGCGACGACCTTGTTCTTATTTTCGTTCTGTCCATGGCTCTATACCCAAATCCCTTCATCTGTCAATTGTTTATTCATATTTCATCTAATGGAGCCTTCGTCAATTCGATGCTGATGATGGCCACTTCTACAGAAGAACAAAATGTACCCCAGTCATCGACGACGATCGCGCATCATGATGCTCTGTGATTCTGAAGAGTTGATCGGAGATATCTACCGCAGAGATCTCCACGATCAGCCACGTTATCGAGCTATTGCATCCACCATCGAATATATGGACGACAGATGCATAGCACCGAGTCTAAAGAACCGCCGAGGATGTATCAGAGCTCGTGGAGTTGCCAGCGCGATACGCCGGTCGTCGATACCCCGCCACGCCAAGGCCTATAGATCCGGAAATGACTCCGCCTTCTTCTTCATCACCAGCGGCACCGCGATGCATCCCGTGGATATCTCGTAAACAAAGAACGGATGTTACTACAGCCTGACCAAACATCCCCGTGCAAGAGTGCATCGGATACAGCGATTTTAGCCGATGGGAAGGATGGGGGAATGCTTTGAGGTTGGTGATGGATGGTTTCGCCCTAAAGTGGAAGACAAGGCGGATACCGACGCTACGTTCGGCGGCCCCACTCGGCATGGTTCAAATAGTTTGTGCGGCTGGGGTGGCGTCAAGCGGTTGGCTGCTGGCAGCTGGCAGCTGGCAGTAGTGCTGGGAGCAAAAATTATTGTCCGTTCCATGAAGCGACTAGTGAGTAATGGGAAGTCTTGGCGTGGATTAGGTTGGCTCTTGCAGGCACCTTTCTGATGTCATTGCCTGTCCTGCGTTTCTCATTTGTCACGAGGAAATGAAAGAGTCGCTGCTCTCTCGCTTGATCTGGGGATCGCGCGTGCTGATAGTTCTGTGAAACTATTCCAAGATCCATCCAAGGATACGATCGACCGGACAGACAGAAATCCGTGTCCCAAAATTGCAGCTCTTCTAGATCCTTCTTAGAGTAGCGCATTAAATGATCGACGGCCTTCTTTCTTTGTCTTCCTCTCTTCTTTTCCAAGGAACCACAACGCCGAAGAAGGGTATCATCGAGATTTCGTCTCTAGCCTCGCCGAGGATGTAACGCTTCGTCAATCCAGCTCCTGTTCCGCGGCTCTCTCCGCCCGTAGCGCCTCCTTCAGCTCTTCGCCGAAAAGCAAGTTGAAAATAACGCAGAAATAGACCTCACCGGTGATCCTGTCCTTGAAGACCCACCGGAGCTGGTGCGTCTTCTCGTCAATGTACTTGAGCACACCAAGCGAGAAGCCCGGTAGCTTCAACGCGAATTCTGCATGGCTTGTCAGCTCCATTGTCCCACGCCTTTGTCCTCAATGCACATGCAAAAAAAGAAGAGCTCCGAGTCACACAAGAGGTGGAGAGATCCGTTTATGCACGCCCACTTACTGTCGAAATCCAGATACGGGTTGAAGAAATCCCCTTGGTACAACCTGCCCTTCTCGAACACAAGGCCTTCCCTATTCTTCTTCTCAACAAACCACTTCCTCCTCTTCGCCGCCTCTGCCGGGCATCCCCACGCCTCTCGCACATCCGCCCCATCCCCGTCCGCCCCTTCCTCCAGCACCCCAACCCCCTTCGCAACCACGTCCTCCCCCGCCCCAGCCACCTTCTCCCCGACCCTCAGCGCGAACCAGCAGCTCAACGCCGGCGCGTACACCCACGGCTCGTCGGCGTAAGCGTCAACCTCGATGCTGGGATCGACGAAGCGCTTGACGATGCCGACGGCGACGTTGAAGCCGGGCGGCAGGCGGTCGCGCACGGGGCGCGCGCAGTCCGGGCCCCAGACGGCGCCGGCGGCGTCGAGGTCGCGCTTGGGCACGAACGAGAAGGAGATGCTGTAGCGGTCGCGCGCGTGCTGCGGCGACGCAAAGTAGGCGCTGGACGGCGGGCACGCCGAGGGCAGGCCCGAGAAGTCGCGGATGCGCACCGCCACCCGCGCCGTGACGTGCTCGTTGGAGACGAGCACCGTGTGCGGCGTGTTGACGTGCACCGTCGTGTGCGTCGACGCGTCGTAGGACGGCCCCGCCGTGACGTGGAGCTTGTACTTGTTGTGCAGCGCTTCCGGGTCCGCTGTTGTTGCTGGGGCCGTGGAGGCCGTGGTGGTGCTGGTGGACGAGGAGCTGCTACGCGGGGTTGTGGTCGAGGAGCTCGTCGTTGGTGGGCGTTGTTGCGGGGATACGTCGCTCGCCCTGTCTGTGAAGCTGGAATGAGCTTCTGAGAGGGCTGCGTCAGAGCTAATATTAGAAGGCGTGGCGGCCGTCTCTGCGACGGTGGCCTTGGGCCTGCCCTTTGAGAAGGGCGATGCCTTGGAGAAGGCGTCTTTCAATCGTGATGCCATGGCAAGTTGTTTAGAGGAGGTGAATTGTGAAGAAGGTGGGTAGAATATAAGGTTAATTCCCCGGGTAGGAACAGGCACATGCGAGTAAGTATATACGAGGGGGGAGGCTAGGCCCAGTTCGGTCTCGAACACTCGCACAGCCTACCTCCTCTCGACGCGTTCAACAGCGCGCATTGCTGACGGCCAACGTCAGCCTTCACATGGGGTTCGTTGCGCGTCAAGTCTGGAGCACAAGTTGCGTCATGATATATTCCGCAGCGCGGGCCAATCCACGTCCCCGCATATCAGATGCAGGCAGCCAATCAGAGCGCCACCTGTTCCGTACAAGCCCCGACAGGAGGGTATCAACATTGAACCTAACTCCCTACCCACTTTCCTGACACCCTGCAAATCATGAGTAGTTGCCCCGCTTGCCGCCGCGCTTCTGTCTATCCAGGTGTCCCTTGAGGCTTTTGCGGACATCCGTAAGGCTGCGCTTGTTTTTCGTCTTGGCCTTGCCAAGCGTCATCATGAAGTTCTTCTGCCGTTGCTTCTCCTTGTTCGTCGTACTCTTGCCCTCTGCAGCCTTCTTCTCCTTGCGTTTTGCCGTTGTCGACTGGTGCTTGTCTGGCTTGTCGGCCCTAGCCCTGGCAATCTTTTCCTCCTTCGTCTGCCGATGCGACAGCATTGCGAGGCCTTCGATTTCCTCGGCCGTTAGCGGATCGTCCGAGTGTTTCGCTGCAGCATTTGCGCGGCGGTGCGCTGGGAGGTGGGAGTTGACCTGAGCTTGCAACCGCAGCTCCTGGAGTTTCTGCAAATCGGCTGGCGTCAAGATGCGCGTTGTCGCGAGCTTCAATGCGGCCTCTTCCTTCTCCTTTGCTGCCCTTGCCTCGGCCTCAGGATCCTTTGCAGCACTCTCCTCTGCATCGGATTCCTTCTTCGCCTTCTTCGCCGGCGGCTTCTCGTCTTCGCTGTCGCTGATTACGATGTCCTCGCCGTCCTGCTCAACGTTTATCCAGCCACCAGAGTCGTCGCTATCCGTATCCGACTCGACCTCCCAGTTGTTCCAATCTTCATCCTCAGCCTCATTCTCGTCATCGGGACCGTCCGGATCAAGTCCCTTCTCGATTCTCTTCTTTCGTCGCTCCTCTTCCTTCCACTTCTCGAGGAGCTCCAATCCCTCAATGCCTCCCCCAACTTCAACCTCACCGTACCGCCTCTCCTTACGTTCACCAGACCGCAAGCCCATTGCAGCTTCCTTGCCACGGTCCCGTTTCTTAAGCATCTCTGCACCAACTTCTCGGTAAAGGCTCAGAAGACCCTTGGCTGCCATCATGACGCCTTTGTCCTTGCTTTTACGGTACATGACCAAGTCTTGCAGTAGAGTGTCATTCATTGCGAGAGGTTGGCGCACGCAGATTTCACGGATCGCGTTTAGGCCTGCCGAGGCGACTTCTGCTGCCGCTGCCTCGGAAACGAATTCGTTTGCGATCTTGGTGACAAGGGGCTCCAGCGCGTCGGGCGGCACTAACGAATGGGTCGCTTGAGCAAGGGCGGCGAGGAATGATGTGACCGAGGGTTGCTTTGGAGTGAGGAATCTAGGAGAGGTTAGCTGCAACCGACTGTTTAGGGACATAGGAGGGCGTACTTCAGGAAGTAAGAGTAAAGGCTGATGATGGTCAACTGATGCAGGCCTACAAGACGAGTGACAAGGTTGAGGACGAGAAGCTTTTGCTCCAGATTCAACTTCGATTTCGAGTTCTGAAGATGTCTGTTGAACAGCGCCTCGGCAAAACCTTGCGGGTCATGTAAAAGGTGCAGCGCGGAAAAGTTAAGTGGGTGAGGAGCCTTCTTCTTGCGCTCTTTCTGCATGTATTGTCAGTAGCAAGCATTACCAAGCTGTTGGAAATTCCGCGTACCTTTTTCACCATGGCTGCAGCCTTTTTAAGTTCCCTGTCCTTCTTTTTCGTCTTCTTGTTAATTCCGATCTGGTGCTTCAATTTTCCCATGTTAATATCCTCGTCGCTACTCTCATCCTCTGCCGCTTCTTCGCGCTCCTTGTCGCCGCCCAGAAAAAAGCGGACGCCGCCGATGATGACCTTCTCGTTCTCCGACAGGGAAGCCTCCTTCATGATCTCGACCGCCTTGGCGTCTGTCCAAATTTGCCTTTTCCAGAGCTCGCGTGTGATCTTCACAGCCCACAAGCCCTTCGGAGAAGCACGGTCGGATGTGAGGAGGTTGAAAAGAACAGTCTGCATCGTTCTATTCAGGCGATGGTTCGTGGATTTCGCGTTGGACGAGCGCAGGTCAGAAAGGATCTTCGAGAAGAGCAGGCTGCGGAAGGTCTTGCTGGGAGTGGAAACGAGGATGGGAAAGAGAGTGTTAAGCAAACTGCTCAGACATTAGCCAGCGCTCGCAATGCATCACGAGGAGGCCATACCGTGGTGAGTCGATTACATCTTTGTTCCGGAGGAGCACCAGGCTTCCAACAAGCTTGTCCCGCAGCTCAGTCTCCAGAACAGCGTGATGCGTGGTGAGGAGGTTGGTCAGATCATCGGGAAGGGTAGCGGTCAGCTTTGGGTAGCAGTCGGCGCAGTGCGAGACGAAGTCGACGTGATCGCGCAAGGAGACCAGCCCGTTCTCGTCACGCGACGTGGGATCCTGCATAAAGACGTCGCGAAAGACCTCATATTGGTTGTACTGGCGGCGGAAGTCGTCCTCGTACGAGCTAAGGCTTCGTCAGCTTGTTGCGGGCTCGCTGCGGCGGAGACGCGGGTACCTTGGATCGCGGCGGACTTTGTGTTGTAGGTTGGCCCTGCGTGGTTGTCAGCGAATGTAGCTGTATGCGGGAGTCAGACGCTGGAACATACAAGTCAGCCTCAACCTTCTCGAGCGCACCAACCTTACGCTTTCCCATCTCGGCGGAAGACCTGGACTTTGTGCAGTGTCGCGACTGAGAGGCGCGCGGGCAGCGGAACTTTTTTTGGAGGCTCTGTTTCTGCCGCCAGTTGCCGCCCGCACCCGCGATCGCCGCAGGGATTCTGACTCGTCTTGCGCCTCGGCAACCAACCTTCTACTTGTTCTCATCGCACGCTCGTCATTCCATCACTTCCATTGAACTCGGGTATCTTAAAATATAGTACTGTCCCTACCATGTTTCGCGCCCAAGCCCAGTCCAACCCGCAAACTCCAGTACAGCCAGCGCAAAAGAAAATCCCACCATCACGCTGATAACGACGATGCCATTGCCTCCCGGGTATATCCTCGAGCCCTCGCCACTGCCTTCCGGAGGACTATCACTTTCAATGACTGTCGCGGCGACCTTCAGTGTCAAGACGATGCCCATCAGTACCCAGAATATCGCATTCTCTATGCGCGCCATCCTCGTCTTCCATTGCAATCTATTCGCCAAGACTGCAACGAAGCCCACGTAGCTGAATGGCAACAGACCAATGCCGATGTCCTTGCTCGATAACTGAGCTATCTCGATGGATACCAGTGCAACCATGGCGGCTACGATGAGATAATAGAGCGCGGTGAGAATACGCGTATGGACTGCTGGCCGTGGCGCTAGTTCAGCGTCCACATAGTGGGCACGCTCATTCTCTATCGGTTTGGTTGGTTTGAGAATCGAGGAGGCTCGCCGTTGACGTGTTGGGTTCATCCGCTGAGGAAGGAGCGCAAGAAGGAGAAGCACAAAGGCCCATGTCGGTAGTGGAACGACAATGGTATCGAGAAAACAGCTCGTTGGCAGGTTTTCATGGATTGTTGAGCGTGGACCAAAGCCTTCGAGGCGATTGCGGCAGAGCGACATGGCTGGGTTTCTCGATTAGGACGCAGTTGACAACGAGCGGCTCGCTGGTGGCAAGGGCGCAATCGCGCTGAGGAAATGGGAGAGATCTCGTAAACGCATGAGCAGCGAACGATTTATGGGAACGGTAAGAAAAGTTTTGGTGCGCGGGTTTGGAATGCGCACTAAAATGGGCGGTGCAGGAGAGGGCTATTCTCTCGTGAGCGGTAAGTGAGGAGCACCAACACCGTTGCTTTAGGGTTGGCGCGGGCGCTGGACCGCGCAATGAACCCAATCTTGGCCGCGCCTGCGTTCGTGGCTTATTTCTTGACATATGGTCAAATGGCTCAAAGGGCATTTTGTAGGGTTGGCAGGTATGTGCCCCCCATCACGCTTCTCCGCAATGTCATCCCTGGATACCCCAATTGCAAGTAAGGACGCCAGCACCCTGCGTTTCATCTATCATTCCGCCCGGAAGCAACCTCTTTGAGTCGTATCTTAGCCCAGATCCTGCACCGTTATCTCCAACTCACGCAGTCGTAAACTCTCAGTTTTCGTAGCCTTCACAGCCCCGCCTTGTCGCCATTCGAGACTACATGAGCTTTCGAGGGGCCGCAGTGGACCGACTCAAAATTCACACCACTTGCCGCTTCCTGTGCGACAGGTGCTTTTAGGGTTCTGTTTTTCGGCCCAATCCTTGATTTTGGCTCACCGCTACCAAGTCATGCTCAGGCCGCGAAGATAATGCGATTGATTAACTCCTGCGTATCAATGAGCACCAGATCACGGAATCATCGGCAATGCCAGCACGGGAGAGGGCTCACCAGGCTTCTTTAATCATATTTAAAAGGTAAACGCAGCCTTGGGGTGGAGTAGACTTGACTTTGTACAAGGAACTCGATTTAGAAGTCTGTTGCGGACATCAAACGAGATTGCAGGCAATGTCTCATGCCCAAACAGCGTTCACCGCAAATTCAGAAACTCTGCTATGGTAAAAATCTTGCTATTACACATGTGCAACATCGATATTTGGCTTGACTGCCTGATCTGCACGAGCCGAATGCGGTTCAGAGGAGCTGCACCATAGCCCATTTGAACTATTGTTGAAGGGCCAATAATCACTAGCGTACCAGACTGTTGCCAGCACCGACGTCTTCACCTTGACCAGTTCCCTTTGCTGTGAACTTTGAATCATTAGGTCCGAGAATTGGCCAAGTCTTTTGTAGCTAGCATTCCTATCTTTAGAGGTCTGAAACTGCGTAGTTCATGGAATACAAGGCTGTGTTGAGGGTCTCATCTCCTTTTAGATGGCCGCGAAAACAGCCGACACCAACCACAGGACATATGCACTCCAACCAAAACGGCACTTGCACAGACTCTCGAGGGAAAGTGCATATGCATAACGAACTTGAGCCGTCTCTTACTGCACAAGCTTTCCACATCAGCAACCCAAAGCTTCTCATGGTTCCCCAAGAAGCTTGCCATCATTGATTGGATCAGAGGACGAATACCGTCACCCAACGAGAAGCGTTCGCGAATGAAGACCAAAACCGGAGTTGAGGGCAAAATTGTGGCCCGGCATCTCCGACAAGTCCGTCCATCCCCACCTTTGAGACGACACATCAAGCAAAGGACCAGCCACAGAGTGTATAAAGTCACCACCATAAATGCAAGACCCAATCTCCTCGGGAAGAGAAGAAGAGCACGGAACTCTGAAAGAAGCGAGACAATATAGTGGGCAGGATAAAATATCATTTGGATCCCGCGAATGCAGCCGCTTTGCACAACGACGCCGGCGTAGCAAGATCCCGCAGTCTTCATCGAACTCCAGCAAAAAATGGCCTCTGCAACAACATTCCAGCCCCACGATGGCCCTGTCATCCTGACCCTGTCGGACGCGGAACTCTCCACCGGCACCCTCAGCACGCACACGCTGCAACGCGCGCTCTCCGCCCTGCACTCGGACGGCCTCGTCGCCCTCTCCAACGCCGTCTCGCCCGCCCACCTCGGCGCCCTCAACGAGCGCATGCAGCAAGACGCGGCGCGCCTCCTCGCCCAGCCGCGCGGCAGCGTGCACAGCAACTTTGGCGCCGCGACGGGCAACATCCAGCAAGAGCCGCCGACGACGCCCGCCCTCGTCTTCTCCGACGTCGTCGCCAACCCCTTCGCCACCCAGATCACCGAATGCGTCCTCGGCCCGCGGCCCGTGCTGCGCTTTTACTCGGCCAACACGGCCGCGAAGGCGGAGGCGAGGCAGCCGGTGCACGTGGACCTGGAGTTTGCGGATTATCCGAGGGACCTCGCGTTCGGGTATTGCATTAACGCTTACTTGGACGACGTGGGGCTCGAGAATGGGGCCACGGAGGTGTGGCTGGGGAGTCATTTGGTGAGCATGATGGAGAATCGGGAGTGCGTGGATGTGATTGATGAGAGGCTGGTGAGTTTAACTCGGCTTCCCGTCCATCCTATTTACTTCTACGAGAGATTAAGATAGTAGCTGATGAACTTGCAGGTCGAGGAAAGAAGGAAAGTCAGGCCACCGGTGAGGACTTGCTTGCCAAAGGGGGCGCTAGTGATTAGGGACTTCAGGCTCTGGCATGCAGGGATGCCGAATTTGACGGACGTGCCGAGGCTCATGTTGGTCACAATCCATTTTGCGAAATGGTGGCGGAGCAAGCTGAAGATCAAGTTGGAGGAAGGGTCGAAGGGAAAGATTGAGTGGGGTGGCTTGGAGCCAGCTGTGGAGTGGGTGGAGAGTGGGTATGATTATTTGAAAGGGGCGCATGATTTCACATTTGCGCAAGATGTAGAGTAGATAACAGGGGCCGACCCCAGCCTGTTAGTTTCTTTTAGCCGATGCCCATGTGGTGAGGGGTGGTGGTGTGAACTCAAAATATACGAATGGGGCACTTCACCCTTACAATTGCACCATTCCCCCAACTATCAGAGTGTCGAAGAGCGCTGACTGACTGCAGTTGCTGGATGTTCAACCGCCGTTGGCAGTTCGAACGACCTGCATGGTAAAGAGAACCGCATACCCTCAAGGGCTAGCTTCAATAGCCACATGACGTGAAGCGCTCTTACAAAACCCAAGGTTGCCAGTATCGCACTGCTTCTGTCGTTCCAGTCATTTCCAGAAGGTCCCCCTCTCCTTTCTGCATGCGGATGCTGCCCCCCGCTAAATTTTTCTTTGCGGTGAACATGCCAAACCAAGAAGCGCCGCAAAGACGGTTGTCGAGGCAGCAACTTTGGCAATGCTTGCGGGTACTGAAACTTTCCAGCCTGACTTCGGACCGGCGGTGACTGAGTCAATTTAGGCAGCCAAGGAAGCAAATGCGATGGCGTACCAGGTAATGTATGAGTCTTAGGAAGGTTCCTTACTCAGCGTTTCTGTGGTAATGCTGAGGCGGAGAGACTGAAGAGGACCGGCCTTTTACCTACGTATATATGGTTTCCTGCTTCCGCTGCTCATAGCATGGATGTAAGTTTTGTCTGAGACGCCTTATCTGCATAGCTTCGAACCTGTACTGGTACGTGTATTCCGTCCCCCTGAGTGCCGCCTTCCACCACGATAACGGTAGACGCAGCCACCGCCATTCATCAGCCGAGCCTCCAAAAAGTCCCTGCGAAGAACGCCAATTTGTGCTTCGTAGGCCGTGGGCGAGCACTTATACGGCCGAATTGTGGGGATGCGTGGGGCTGTGCGTCGAGCCTCGGCGATTTGATGGCAATAAGCTCAAAATCCGAGGTCGCGGGGAACTGTTCAGTCATCGTCAACTATAATATGTAGCAGTCGGCCCCGACGCGTTCATCAAACACGCACGCTACTAGCAAACATGTCTGAGATCGTCGTTACCGCCATCATTACGCCCAAGGCTGGCCAGCCGGCCGATCAGGTGTGCCCCGCTTCTCCACGAGCCGTGACCCTCTTGCTCACTAGCTTTCTCAGATCGAGAAGAGTCTCACCGACCACGCTGCGTGGGTGCAGCAGAATGAGCCAGGGACCCTTCGCTATGCGCTGCACAAGTCTATTGGTGACGGCCCGACTGTTTTCACCATGATCGAAGCGTATGTTTGGCGCTTCGCGAGACATTCGACAGATGGCTTACCCGGCGACATCAGGTACAAGGACAAGGCCGCTCTTGACGCGCACTCGAAATCGCCCAGGTTCAAGGAGTTGGCTCCTCAGCTTCTTGCCATCGCGGACATGCAACTCTTTGTGTCGCAACCGGTTGGTGGCTTTCAGGCCAGGACTTCGGAGAGCTCCAAGATCTAAGTAACCAGTTGAAATTATCAATAATGCAGCGCATGGTCTAAATGCAAATTTCACCCTGAACTCCTTCCATGAGTGCTATTCTGCCGCGAGCATGCTTACTATTTCCAATAGTAGGAAAACATGTCGAGACCCATGTACTTGTCAGAGTACATCTTGCCCTTGTCCTCCCCAGCAGCTCCGGCGCAAACGATCAAGGGCAGGAAATGCTCTGCTCCTCCTCTCGGATGCATATCATACGCCCCAGGGAATTTTCTCCACTCGTCGAGCTTCTTTCGTCTCTCTTCAGGATTTTCCTCGGCCACTGCCCCGTTGACGGCCCTGCTCCACGCTTCATTCCGACTCTTGAACGACGGTTGTTGTGTCATGCCCGAGAACATGGCGCGTAAATTATGGAGGGACGGAAAGCCCGAGCCGAGGATAGCGACGTTGGAATCACGAAGCTTGGACAGAGCCTGTCCCATGCGGAAGTGTTCGGTTGGGTCCTCCGACCTCAAGACGGACATTTGGACGATGGGAACGTCGGCCTTTGGATTTATAAGAAGCATGGGAATGAAGACGCCATGGTCCCAGCCTGCGGGCGGTCAGTCACACTACGATGGCAGCTTGCAGGCGTAGATGGGCACCTCTGTCTTCATCAAACTCGGGTTTCAAGCCCTCGGCCTTCAAGGCTTCAGCAACCTCGCTCGCGACATCGGGTGCACCCGGTGCGTCGTACTTCAACTTGTAACTCTCGGGAGGGAACCCGTAGTAGTCGTAGAGGAGCGGGTGTCTCTGGCCATTGGAGATTGTAGGGTTGCGCTCCGACCAGTGGGCAGTGACGAGAACAATGGCACGAGGCTGCTCAGGGGTGCCCAGCTTCAGGATCGCAGGAACTCGTTCGCGCATCGACTTGACGAGCTTTTCGTGCTCGGGGTCGCCGAGGATGGGCATTGGGCCGCCACCGTGAGAGACACAAATGACCGGAGCGCGGGGCATGTTGACGGAGGTCTGGTTAGCGGCGAAATGGAAAGGCTGCTGGGTTTCGGTTGCGGCGGCGGTAGGCAGTATCGCCCTTTTGAGAGTTGCGAGGAGTGAGGCCATGAGGACGAGCGGAACGGAGGACTTCATATGGAGAGATCAGGGCGGGCGTGGGCGCCTCTTCAGGTGGCGGGATGGTGCCATTCTGAGGCGGCGGAACATGGTGTAATGCGTGCGGACTGCAGTTGTGCGGAGGGCGAGATATCGTAAGCTGGTGTTTGGGCTGGCGGGCGGAATTAATTCCACAACAGGAGGCTGATTTCTCGGACGCAGTTTTTGCCGGTTCCGACCCGGCCGAGAGCCCGGCACCCGCTTGGGAGGCAGGTGGTCACCCACCACGGCTTCCGTCCTCATTCTTCTTCATCAGCTCGGGCCTGAACACCCATCCTTCCCGTCAAGATGCTCATGTCTACGCCACACGCTCTGAATCCCTTTGGTTCGCCGTTTGCTCCAGGACAACGCCGGCTCAGCCCCATACTACGGACCCAGCTCCTTCACCCGAGGCGCATGTCAGTCAGGGCAAACATAACCCGTCGTCTAGTTTCGAGCGAGTATAGATCCGATTCCAACTTCACAAAAGAGGTACCCGGCATCAGACCAGCGCCAGCCGAGGGGATTGACGGTGCCGCCTTTTCCAGTGCTTGTCATTGGACGGACATGGCGCCGCCGCCTTTGATTTGTCGGACCCGCGCTACGATCATCCACCTCCGCACCTCGCTCACAGCTCCGCCGGCAAGCAAGAGCTGAGGTAGCCAATGTTTGTGGGCATGCAGCTTACTGGCCTGCCTCGTATGCCCGTTCCTAAAATCACTACGCCTTGGCCTCAGTTCCGTCGAACCGGCGGAGAGAAAGGCGACGTCCTGCACCTAGTTCCTGGCCTGCAAAGCCACGAAAGCCCTGCTTCTCCAGCTGGCTCAACGCTTCCCGGCAGTCGGCCCGTCGGATGTCATGCTATTTCACCAGTTATGCGGACAGGGAGCTGGGCTGAAAGCTTGGCGACCGCTCATACGATCGATCGATGAGAAGCTTATGCTGCGAATCTTTGGAGGAAGCGACCAACTCCGCGACTCGCAGCTTCGCCATACTTTTGGCGGTTTCGCATTCCGCCTAGTCCCGCGGTTGATCATTAGTCTGTTGAGCAAGAGAGGTGTGCAGCTTCCTTGCGTAAAGCCCCGCTAGGCCGTCAGCCACGATGATGAAATCAAAACCTTACGCCGTCCGCCCTGAATGCTATTCACTTTCCCCCCTACAGCCGCTCTTTTCATCCGCCCATGCTGTCCGAACCAGCACGCGTTCCGCTGCTGTCTTTCTTGTTGTATTTGCCAAAGAACCGGATGCAAGAAGCCCATCTCCTTCCTGCTTTGACGTGCACAGCATGGTGGCCTCCGATGACCTGCAAGGCCTTTTAAAGCGCGATTCCGCCTTTCTTCCCGAAGTGTGGGCATGGTTTGGAATCGGCGTCACTGTGATTATCTTACGATTTGTGGTCAGGATAAGGATGGTTGGCTTTCGAGGGTTCGCAGGCGATGACTATGTAACAATAATCGTAAGTCATCTGTTGAACATCGCCATGTCTTCTCTGACGGATCCAGACGCTCGCCATGTATACTTGCGATGCCGCGTTTGTGGATATATGCTGTGGGTCCACACCACCTCCCTGCGCATTTGCGTGTTGACCTGGAGATTCAGATGAGAACGGAACAAACGTGGACGTGCCTCCAGCCTCAATACCAGGCCTAACGGATGCGCAACGGGCCCGGCTAAGGTACGGATCAAAGATGCAACTTGCTGCATGGTATTCCTACACGGCCCTTATTTGGTGCATGAAAGTAAGTGACTTGAGACTGGTACAAGGGCAGCACGGTTCAGGACAACTACACTTGTGATGGTGGGACGAGGTTGAGCCGTGCTAAGTGCTCGCTGGCAGTAACGTGATGAGCACGCTTAATCCGCTTAATTTCATCACGCCGCCGACACCACCTATTCTCATTTCTGAGGTAGCCTTACCGGAGGAGACGTGTTGTTCATGTTCCAGTCAAGACACCGTTCTCACCTGCACTCCAACATGCTAATTCTGCCAACAGGCTACGATGCTCTTTTTCTAGTGAGTGGGTTCGGTTTGATGACGAGCACACAATTTTGACATTTTACAGCAAACGCCTGACATTTGGGCTTTGGCAACACAGAGCCTTGAAGTACTTGGCCTGGTTTACTGCTGCGTCGTACTTGGCTGTCGTGCTGACGATATCTCTTGGATGCCGACCGTACGGAAGACGCTCCGTTCCCCCTTAGAGGCGCTCTCTAACCGGCGTTCCAGATATCACCTGAACTGGCAGGTGAAGCCTCTCCCACCGAGCCAATGCACGCTCAAGAAGCAGAACTTCCTCGTAACGGCGGTGCTCAGTAAGGCCGAGTGTTTGTGCAAGAGGGTTCGCCTTTGCTGACTGGGGCCAGACGTCATTACAGATGCGGCGATTCTCTGCATACCACTGCCAATGCTCAGGCAGCTGAAAGTTCCTCTTTCCCGAAAAGTCATGATAGCCCTGCTGCTGTGCTCTGGGTTATTCATCATCACGGCGGCCATCATCCGCGCAGCAGTCACACTGGGATCGTCGCCATCAGGCACAACGATCAACCGCTGGGGTGTTCGAGAAACAATTATTGGGATTCTCTCGATCAACGCGCCCATCCTGCGGCCGCTGTTAACGCGCAACTTCTGGACAGGCAAGAACGTGAGCGACAGTCTGGCAGAGGCGACACCGGCAGAGAATGAGCAAAGGCATCGGAAACGCGTGTTCGGAAGCAAGAGCAGCAGATCCGACAACACTGGCAGTAGCTACACGCCCAAAAAACTATCCAAGTCGGACAGCGCTGCTTTCGGGGTTGACACCAACGTGCCGGGGTACTCGGTGACGGATGGCAACAACTCGTCGCAGGAGATAATCATGCAGCGGGACGAAGAGGCGGGCATTGAACTGGCGCCGGTCTCGGAGAGGCACAGCGAGGAGGCGGGCGGCGGGCTGCAGGTGCCCGAGAACGCGGTGGTGCAGCCGCTTGACAACGTTGTGTACGTGGAGCGGTCTTACGCAGTCAGGACGTCGGACGCTCAGCATGCTAGCATGGCGGTGCCGCAGGAGCGGTGGCGCGAGGTGGGCCAGAGGGCGAGGACGAGGACGGACATTAGCGCGGTGCCGTCTCCGGATCCAAGATAGGTGTTCTGTATAGAAGCAATGCACAGCTAGTTGGGGCGCGGCCACGACATCGGGCCAGGCGTGGCGGTCGGAGCAACACCGGCCTTTTTCTGGGCAGTCGCCGTCTTGCTGGCTTCACCATCCGGGAAACCAGTCACAGCCCTCTCGATGCGGAATCCAATTGCCTGCGTGTCGTGTCGCAATGCCAAGCAGAAATGCATCCACCAAGACAAACCGCCCTGTGACCGCTGCCGCGCCGCCGGCCGCGCTGACCAATGCCGCTTCCCGCCGCCCGGCACCTCCGCCATCCACCGGCAGTCGAAGCGCCGCCGCCAGACCTCTGATTTTTCCAATTCCATCCAGGAGAATGGCGCGCCCTCGGCTCGGCCTCAGCCCGCCTACGCCCACGACGGCTCTGCTGCCGTGCGCGCCCTGTTCCCCGCCGGCCTCGACACCTCGCTGCAGGACGTCGACGGCTTCCAGTTGATGACGGATGAGATCAAGAACAGCTATCTGCGCTGCTCCTACAAGTGGAGCTTCCACCACACCCCGACCTTCCTGGCCCGCGTCAACGACAAGACCCTCGACCCGTGGGTTGTGTGGGCCATCCTGGCGCTTGCGGTAAGGTAGGTTTCACGTGCCTGCGAGAAAACCCAGACCCATCCTCACCGTGACGCCCGCAGGTTCAGCCGCCACGCCCCGGGGCCCTACGCCACCCCGACTGACGCCAGCAAAGCTTTCGCCGCCCATGCTCGCCACATCCTGCAGCCTGAGATCGAGACGCCCAGTCTCTCGCGCATCCAGGCCCTGCTGATGCTGACCGGCCACGACTGGGGTGCCGGAAATGGCAGACGAGCTTGGTTCTACCTGGGCATGGCCATCCGCATGGTCCAGATCCTCAATCTTTGCGAGGAGCTCGCGCTTTCTCCCAATGCCGTGCTGAGCCCCCAGGACTTCATTGCTGCCGAAGAACGCCGCCGCACCGCCTGGACCTGCTTCCTGATGGACAGCCTGTTGAGCGGTGGCAAGGGACGCAAGCGCTCTCTGTCCGCCGCAGACATGCGGATTCAGCTGCCGTGTGAGACCGACATGTATGTATTTGGTGAAGCCGTACGATGCCCCAGGGTCGACGGCTCCTTCAGTCCCTTTTCCGCCATGCTTCCTCTCGGGAACCTCGGCATCATTGGGTTCAGTCTCAGAATTGCCGATGTGTGGGGTGCCGTGGCGTCGTGGGCTTGCTCCAACATCATGGATGAAGAGCTACCATGGGGCCCAACTTCCAGGTTCCAGCAGCTCTCTACCTCTCTTCGCGCCTGGTCGCAATCCCTCCCAACCAGGCTCCGATATAGCATCTGGACTCTGGAGGCTCATAATGCGCTTGAACAGGGCCAAGGCTTCATCTACATGCATTGCATTCACTTCATGAGCTTGATGTTCCTGCACCGAGCCTACCTGCCCATGCTCGGTCCTGGCCAGGATTTCCAAACCAACGGCGCTGACTCGCGCGAGAGCTCCGACTGGACCGAGTGGCGCAAGACTTCGAGAAGGGAGTTGTTCGAAGTGGCCACCACTGTATGCGATATGGTTGACAAGATTCAGTCTTTCGGGTTCTACTTTGTCCGTGGGCTCGTTCCCTGGATCGGCTTCACAATTTACACTGCTGTGGGTGTCATCGTCTACCGGAACAGCTTCCACTTCGATGAAGTAGACGGCGTTATGACCATGGCCAAGAGCAAGGAGCAGATTGTCCGGGGCTGCACATTCCTCAAAGAGATGAAGGAGCAGTGGCCCATGGCCCAGCAATGGGTATGCTATCTTACGTGTTGATCAAAGGTTCCATGTGCTCACAGTTTATTAGTTTGAGACCATCAAACGCATGCAAGCCTGCTACCGCAGAGCCCGGGTTGAGGGTGGCAGCAGCATTCCAGACGCGGAGCAGCGGACTATTCGTAGCGCAATGATCGACTATGGCGCCCTTCAACCATCACCCGTTCAGACCGACGAAGAAGGCAACACCCAAACAGTGCCAAGTTCAAATGTATGTCTTCGCCCACAGGATAGCCCACTGTATCATAATCTTGCTGACCCCACCAAGCCCCCTGATGCAAGCGTCCTTACCAGAGCCGAACCTGCAGGAACCACGAACCCCGTGGATCAGGTCATCACTGATGATGCTTTCCTCACTCAGGACTGGACGAATGTGGATCTCAATATCTCCGACGCCGATCTTGATGCCATGTTCATGAACGCGACCCAGGAATTCTGGGCGAGCTTCCCTGGTGAAGTGGGATACTTTGACGTTTAGCTGGTTGAGAACACTTTCACAACTATTTCACACAATTTTCGCACCGACAACCAGCAGTCGAAGCACGGATATCCCACACGGGCAGTCTGTGAAACTCGCCACTCATTTTCTAATTAATCACCAAGACAACGATAGCAGGGAACAGGCGTTCAGGTGTTGTGGTTCAGTAAGCGGTTCAACAGGTTCTCTTCAGGCGCCGCAGCCGAACCGAAAGAGAAAGGAAAACTATTCCCCACAATGGCCCAAATGCTCTGCTAACCGGCGTGACTTGCCTTTATGTATGGATGAGACCCACATGGAATTCTATGAATCGGACTCGAACTAAATTTCGTCCGGAGGCACCGCGATGGGGCGCTAAGACCCTGTCTTTTTTTTTTTTTTTTTGAAATGCGAATTCTTTGCAAGTATCCTGTCTGAGCTCAACAATCTAACATCTTACACAATGGGCTGCATTTATGGAGGGCCGCTACAAATTTGACTCCCCCTCAAAAACCCACTTATCTATCTTATCACCACTATTAAATCACCACCAACGTATCCATCACTACTACTATTACTAACCACGTCATTGCTACCTACGCTATTACTACTTATATAATAACTACCCACGATAAGTGTAATTACTCCTAGTGACGTAAGTGTAAGCACGCTTATAACAGCGCGAAAATGCTGTTTACAGGTAATATCTCTAGAGGGGAGTCAAAATCTAGATTTAGGGGAGTCAAATTCTAGAAACAGAAAAGTCAAATTTGTAGGCGTCTTTATAAGGAGCGGACTACGCTAAACCATCTGTAGATTTCCCAGTTAGGCTAGCTACTCAGCGTTGCTAAGAGTCTTAAAAACAACGTTCAACCTCTTATTCCATGGTCCCCTCCATTATCAGCGTCAGTTGCGAAAATAAAAGACTACCAAAGTCTAGTTCTCCATTCAACAGGGTCCAGCCTGCAAATGGGCCCTGTTTAAGGGTCTTGAAATTTTGTTCAACAGAAGACAAGTCTCAGATAACCTCAACATTGTCCGATAATATATATAAATAGCCACATTTCCCATGAGTTTTCAGTTACCATAAACCACTTCATCGCCCTCCGAACATGAAGATCTCCAACCTCATCACTGGCATTGCCCTCCTCACCGCCCCGGCGGCGCTGGCGGCTCCAACCGAACAGCAGGACCAAGCCGCCGCTGCTCAGTCCAACTATCAGGATCTTTTGGAATCTATCTTTGACAACTTGCCGCTGGATGCGGTCCCCGACGATGGACCGGTACCGGAATGGACTCCTGTTGAGGGTCTCAATGGCCGTATTCTCGGATGGGTCATCGTTGACGACGACCCGTATGTTCGCTTCAATCTGCAATATTCCCCTGATTGCCTTCTAAGACGTATCTAGGACTATGGAAGACTATTGCAGGAGATATCTCAAACAACACAGGGTCCAGCCTGGCAATGTCGCCGCGTATGTCCACTTTGATTCCAAGTATTCTTGACATAGCAGACTAAGACGTCTTTAGTTACACTTGGCCCTACTGCAAGGCGCTGATTCAGCGCATAGACCAGGGCACGGAGCCCAAGGTCAAGATGGAGTACATTCTTGCTTTCCCGAACAATGCTTATCTTCCTGCTCAGGGCAAGGCTCCTGCTCAGGGCAAGGCTTCTGTTCAGGGCAAGGCTCCTGTTCAGGACAAGGCCTCCGCCTAAGGTAAGCCATCAGACGAGGGCAAGGCTTCAGCTCAGAACAATTCTCCTACTCAGGGCAAGTTTTCGGCTCAGGACAAGGGTTTAGATTACTAGAAAGAACCACAGCTCTATTGGGGGTTCTTCAAGATGTTACTAGTACTCTATACCACTTAAGTATCGTTTCAAAACTCGGAACTGCTTCTTTAGTGTTGAAACCATGATGAATTGACTAAGGGGCACGTGATTAACACAGACTATTTACACTCAGATGTGGGACTAAGCCCGATAAAGCTATCTATTCTGGGTAAATACCACGTGCGTCTCTTCGTACTTGAACATGTTCAAGCAAGATTAACAGACTTGTATTGCGTCCTTAGGCGCCACCATCTTCGTTCAGCCCGCAAGCTCTGACCAAGCATCACTAAAGCGCTTGAGGGTCAGCTTGACGAACTCGTGTATGGATAAACGACCGGGGCGAAATTATGGGAAGAATGACGCGGGAGCTGAAGACCAACCTGATCGTCAAAGGATTCTTCCCGACTCATGCGTTGGTGAGGCGCAGCAATAAATGCGTGAGTCAGGTGAGAAGTTGTTCTGAATCAGTATGGTTAAAGGAACTTCTCAGGCCCCAAATGCAGGCAAGTGTTAGACAGTAAGCATACCACATGATACCTGGAAGCCGGGAGCGTGGGCGAGTTCAGGGCATTGAAAAGCGAGGCTGCTTATCTTGCCTGGTCGTTGTTTTTTTCTTTTTTTTTAAACTTGGCCCGTCCGTTTACCGCAGCAGGCATGCAGGCTTGCTCCAGCCTGCAAGAGTGGAGAATTCTGGGGGCTGTGGTGCCGGATATACGTAATTACCAACCCGCTGTTGATCCTACGGTCATTTCCGTGAGGCTCAATGGAAAATAATCGCAGAATACCAGCTGTAGCCCGCATCGCACGTTCGCCAGCCACTGTCGCAAGGCGCAGCTGAAGAATGAGCGATATTTGCTGATTAAGCGCCCCTAGGTTAAGGCCGTTTCAATATTTAAGCTGAAATCCGTCTCGTGGTATGGTCACGGGAAGCGCGTGGGGGCGAAAAGCCGAGGTGGTGGTGGGTAAGATTCGCGAAGATCTCTCTTCCATTGGTGTTCGATAAATGTGTGATAGACGAGTTCACAAACTACTGACTCGTAGAGAAACACGCCATTCAACGGAAGAGAAGCTGAGAGGGTGGGCGCCATAGCGGAAAATCCGGAGCTTCGCATCCGAATCCTATCACACCCTCCTCCCACAAATATCAGTAAATCACCCGATAAAGCCCTCAGCCACATGTGGGGCATGTAGCTGCCTGTTGGGCTCCGGTAGAAAACCACGGCGGCTCGGAAAAAAAAAAGAACACCAACCGCGAGACCTCGCTAGAGCACAATATCGCAAAGGACTGGCCCTGTAATTGGACGACCCGCCCGTGGAAGGAGTTTGATCACAGCTGAGGGCGGTACAACACGAGGCGTAAAGGTGAGGCGGCTCATGGGCGTGTGGAAATATTGTCCAATAGGAGACCTCATGTCCAGTAGACTAGAGAAGAGAGCATCCGGTCCGGGCTGCCGAAAAGCTGAGTGCTTGAGCCTTTGGTTCGATCGTGGTAAATCTATCCAGGGGTGTGTAGCGTTGGCGCTAAGGCAAGGGCGAATGCGAATAGCTCTCATCAGGCAGACAGAGCTGAATCCCTTGGGGTCTCTGATTCCTTGGATATAAATGATCGTGGTCGGTATAGCATACTCGGCGTCGTTAGAACAACCCGCAGCACCTTGTCTCTAATCTTCTCCCCCACAATATCAAAGCTTGAAACCTTCATTCCAATATCCTCCGCCCAAAATATACGCACACGCAATGGCAGAGGCACCGATAAAGACGATCATCTTCGACATCGGCGACGTGCTTTGCAGCTGGGCCCCGCCGAGAACGCCTACCGTTGACCCAAAGCTCTTCAAGGAGTTCCACAACTCGCAGACTTGGTATGAATACGACTGCGGCAAGATCGGCGAAGATGAATGCTTTGCGCGGCTGGCCGCTCAAGGCGGGGTTTCCGCTGCGGATGTAGCGGTTGCCTTTGACTTGGCGAGGAACTCACTGGAGCAGAACGACGGTGTAGTTGCAGCAATTCGAGAATTAAGAGCGGCGCACCCAAGTCTCCGCGTTTACGCTATGTCCAACATCTCTCGGCCGGACTGGGAGTTCCTCCGACGGAGGCCATTCGGATGGGACGTCTTTGATCGAATCTTCACGTCTTGCGAAGCCGGAATGCGTAAGCCCGAGCTCCGCTTCTACCACCACGTGCTCAAGGAGGCGGAAACGGTGCCCCACGAGGCTGTCTTTGTGGATGATCAGACGGACAACATTGTGGCCGCTCAGTCCCTAGGCTTCCGGGAGACCATCCTTTTTGATGATGCAGCGAACGTGCGAAGAAAGCTTTTGAACCTCCTCGACAATCCGGCTCAAAGAGGTAGAGAATGGATAAGTGGGAATTTCGAGAAGGTCTGTTCGGAGACGGAAAGGGGGGACACCATCCACGACAATTTCTCACAGCTTCTTACCTACGAGGCGATGAAGGACACGTTAGCAGCCAAGAAGTCTTTCTCTGTTTTGACCATGTTGCTGACTGGGTGATTACAGAAGCCTTCTGAACCTTAAGCACTTCGACCGCACGTGGAACTATTTTGCAGGTTAGCGAAGCCTTAGTCGCAGATGAAGAGGGGTGACTGACTCCACAGAAGCTCCGTCCGGGGGATCGCAAGCAACATTTGATGACGTGGATACGACGTCCTACGCATTCAATGTGCTACCGCTTGATAATAGCGTAGCGCATTCAATCATGGATGATATGATCTCGTCCGAGCAGCTAACAGTTGACGGTATCGTCAAGGTGAGCATCAGAAGGGAGCGACGGCATACGGAGTGCTGAGCAAATTCCCACAGGTATATTTCGGCAAGCCGAATAATCGGACAGACCCAGCGGTGTGCGTCAACGTTGTCCGGATGTATTATAAGTTCGGGCGCGGCAACGAGTCAGCCCTCCAGCCGACAAAGGATTGGATCCAGAACGTGCTTTTCTTCCGAGGGTACACCAATGGGACGCGTTACTACCACCAACCGGACGTGTATCTTTATTTTTTTGCTCGGCTTTTGGTTGAAAATCCCAAATCAGACATGTTCCGCAACACGGCGGCGTTGCTGCGGGAGCGGCTCAAGGAACGCGTCAATATTCCTGCAGATTCGTTGGGATTGGCGATGCGGGTACTGGCGTGCCACTACATGGGTATTCAGGACGAAATGGACCTCAGGCGGCTGCTCAGTATGCAGCAGGAGGACGGGTCGTTTGGGCTGGGGTGGCTGTGCAACTACGGCACTACTCAGCTGAAAGTGGGTAACAGAATGCTTACGACGGCACTGGCGGTCGCGGCCGTGGAGGCAGTAGCTGGCAGTGGTTGGATGACGAAGCAGAGGACGGAACGTGACAATGTCAAGATGATGCAGCAGAGTGGAACACGGATCCTGGCGCAGTACGACAACATGATATCAGTCTAACGCAGTAGGATAGCTCTTCGTCGCGAACAATCTCTACCACTTACAAATCTCTCTTTTCCAGTGAGCTGGAGCATACCAGTCTATGATCATTAGAGAATCGCTTATGTGACGTTTGGGCGAGGTCACGGATAGTTTGACCAATGGGGGTTGCCTCTTAAATCGGGGCTGATCTGTCAGAATTCCACCTTACTGCAAAGTGAGTAATTAGATTTGCAGTAGAAAATGCTAATTGGGATTTATGCTGTTCCCAAGAGATAGATGGCGATACTTCACTTGCGGTTGAGTGCTGCATTTCACGAAGTACGTCTCGTTTGCCTCAGGCCTCCAGCAACCCCTTAGGCAGAATTCTGCGGCATGAAGCTTAGCTTCGACTAGCCTTAACGTTGCTCTCATGGTCATACATTTAGTAGGCAAGCTCTCTGGATTAGTATGGACATATGGAAGCGGTTACGCATCGTGGCGGGAGACGACTGCAACTGTGAAGTGATATTCCGTAATCTATATTCTGAGGAACTCCCAGTAGAGACTCACGTATCTTAGCGCTGGTTTCTCACAGGGTAAATCTCTCAAAGAAGTCCATGATCAAGGGCGTAGCATCATAACACGTCTGACGACCATCATCCGCATTCGGATATGTGTCGGGCCAGGTGTGCCCCAAGTTGGACGCATTGTAGTGCTGCACGACGCCGTCGCCCCAGGTATGCTTCCATGCCTCGGGGAAGTCGGTGCCTGCACATACGTCGGTCGTCTTGTTCTCCTGTGCATCAAATCCGTTGCGCGTAGCCCAGTCGTTCATGTATTCCGGGATGTTCGCCGTCTCGCCGCGTTTCGAGGTGCCATTGTAGCCTATCTGGCCGTCGGCGAAGCCGTGGAATTCCAGAATCGGGATGGGCGTTCGGCCAGGTTTGCAGGGAGGCATTTCGCCCTCAGGCGCACCGAGCACGCCCTTGTAAATGGCCGGACTCACGGGAGCAAAGGCGGCAATCTGGAGGGAAGCATCGGGATCGCAGGCGAGCAGAGTGGTAAAGCCGGCACCGTTGGATTTGCCGGTAGCGTAGACGCGCGCGGGATCGATGCAGTAAGTCGAGCTCAGATTCGCAATGAGCTCGGTGGTGAATTGTATATCGTTGTTCACGGTCTCGTTGGCGGAAATGTCTCCGAGCCATTGGTGGGTGCCAGCGGCGGTCTCAATGCAAGTCAGCATGCCGGTACTATCTCACAGAAGCCGGAGCACTCACAGGCACGCCTTGCGGGTAGACGGCAATGGCATCGGGGTTGTTAGATTTGTTCGAGAATTGCGAGAGCTCCTCCTGAAACTTCATGTCCTTGCCGCGGCCATGGTAAGAGAGAATGAGCGGTACGGGGTTGTTTGCGTCGTAGTTGTCGGGCAAATGAATGCGATACTGGCGCTCGACGCCGGCAATAACAATGGTCGTGTTGGTCGACACACCAGGTTCGATACCGCGTGGAAGCTCGTTTCCGCATCCGGGTGGGAGTGTTGCTCGAGTCGCAGGGTTCCCTGTCGCGGATGCAGCGCCAAGGGAGGAGATGACGGCGAGCAGGGTCGGTAGCATGGCGCAGCGCTGCTCTGTAATCAAGCTCGGGAACGAGGAGCTGCTGAGGGTATGTACAAGCTTTCTCCGGGTCGCTCCTGCTTTTATCGCCGACAAGCAGCGCCGGAGCTATCCACGCTTGAGTACATGGCCGAAGTATCTGATGTCAACGGCGTTGGCTTTCTCGCAGGGCTGCGGCTGAGGCGGCGGGGGCTTAATTTTAGTGCATCATCCGTGAATGTCGACGACACCGATCGCATAAGAGCTCGTCCGGTCAATAGCTCCGCTCTCCTCTCGAACCGGCAGGCAATGCGGCCGGCCGCGCCTAATGAAGCCATGATCGTCGCCAATTCTCAAATTCAAGATGGGAGGTGGGCAGGGGCAGAGTTGTCTAGCGCTCTGCTAAAATCTGACTGCCGGGGTCGATTGGCCAGCGGCTGACGCACACGACCCATCGTGTTGGTTACACATTAGGTGCGTTGTGCAGCAATTGGAAGCTCACTCAGCGTATAATACTCCTTCGAATCCTTCCCGCCCTGTTCACCTTCATGCTCCGTGAGCCACACCAGCCATTGCCATGCGACCTCACCCAAGCAGCAAGTCGAAGAGACGAACTCAGAAGACCTGAGGTGATCCGCGCGGGCATACATACCACTTCCAACTAACAATCGCCATGCGGATAGCGCCGTGGCCGTGCACTTGTACTCTCTTGCTCTCGACACTTGCCGCAGCCCAAGGTACTAGCAACAAAGACGACACCCGGAATTGCTTCTACCCGAACGGCATCCAGTCCAGTGGCAGCCCATGCTTCCCCGACCAAGCCGTTTCTCCATGCTGCGGCCCGGGCTTCATCTGTCTTTCCAACGGTCTCTGCCAGCCGGGACCAGACACTCGCCGTTCCTATCAATACACCGTCTACCGCTCGTCCTGTACAGACCGGACATGGAACTCGACCGATTGCCCACAAGTCTGTCTCGGATGTAAGTCGCTCGCTCACACATGGCCATGTCATGGAACTGACAGAAGTGCCTCCCCCAGCTTCCGACACACTGGACGCTGGCCAAGGCCTGGCAACGTGCGGCACTGGCGGCTCCTACTGTTGCGGCAGGGGATATGACTGCTGCAGCAACGCAACCAATATTTTCACTTACGGAACTGCCGAAGTCGTCACCACCATACCGTACCTCAGCTCCTCCACCGCCTCGGCAACCGCATCTGCGACCACCACGGCGTCCTCGTCCTCCTCGGGTAATGCTGTTGCGATAGGTGTAGGCGTCGGCGTGGGTGTGGGAGGCTTCGCCATTCTTCTAGCCACCATAATAGCCTTCCTTATTTTCCGCCGTCGAAGGCGAGAACGACGAAAGGATGGCGGCTCTGGACCGAGCAACGATGAGGAACGCAACACACCTCACGGCTCTGAGCTGCCAACGCGAGAGACAAAGGATGACGGCGGCGCCAACAGCAGCGTAACGTCGCCGCCGCCGACATACCAGTCTGATTCGCATCTTCACAGCCCTCTGAATAGTCCGGGCGGCGAGATGGTGCCTGGCGCGCCTCTAAATCCGGCCGAGTTCCCCTCTGGACCAGAGCGGGAAAGGTATGAAATGGAGGGTCAACAACACGCAGAATGGAAACGAATGGAGATGCGTAGCGATGGACAAAGACATGAGTTGGCGGGATAGAGCTTCTGTCTGATGCCAGCTGATAGGAAGAACGATGTTATGAGGCGATGAACACGTGTAAATATCCCGTATTTTTTTGTACAAGCCATCAAGGGCAATCCGGGGCGTGTAGTAGAATTCCAGAAACACTGTCGAATCAGCATTTGGCTGCGCTGGACTGGCCCGCATCTACCAGGCAAGGCTGAATTGGTCCACGGGGTGGAAGGTCAGTGAAGCAAGACGCTCGGGGCCAAACGTCTGAACTTGGCGTTTGATGGGGAATAGTATGTTCACTCACTTGATGGATTCATCTGACATGCGGGTAAAGCGCAGCGCTATATCCAAGTAGACTGCGAATTCAGAAAAGTTGTTTACTGTTGTTTGTATAATAAGAGCGTCTTTTTTTTTTCTCTGCCGTACATATTTAGACCGAAGAAAGGATGGATGCTGCTATTAGCTCTTGCAAGCAACAGTATGGCCGGGTGAGCAATGTACAATCGTCGACTTTTGTCCTCTTTGGTCGTCATGCATCTCTCCGCCTTTTCCGCCATAGCCATGTATCGTCTCTCAACAATCATAAAGCTACTGCTGCAACGATATCGTCGTGTATGCGCGAGGATCTCTGCTTGGCGGAATGCCATAGTTCACCCGTAGCAAACTTGATACGCCTGTTCGCGTTTGTTCCGCCGGCTGGCATCAGCCGCTCTTCCTTGATCCCGACGAAGGAACTTGATCAGCTCATTTCTTGGCAATGCGCTCTTCGTACGCGGCCCAAGCCTCCTTCCTGTAACGCTCGGCCTCTTCGGCCCTGTTATCCGCCTCGATGATACCACGGCCGACAATAACAACATCAGAGCCCTGCTCGTAGACGATCTGGCGAGGGCTAGTGTACTGCTGGCCTTTGCCGTCGCCCATCTTGCCCTCCTGGCCCTTGGGGGGAATCTTGACCCCAGGAGTCATGGTGAGGAAGTTGTCTCCAGGCTCCGTGTTCAGAGAGCGCTGAGCGATGAAACCCATGACGAAATCCTTATGCTCGCGTGCAATCTTGACGCACTGCTCAGTGTAGGAACCGGTCATGAGATTGCCCGCAGAGCTCATCTCGGCGAGCAGCAGCAGCGCGCGCAGGAATGGCGTGCTGCCCAGCCTTTCCAAGATCTCGTGGGCGTCGTCATGGTGGCCCTCGTCCTCGATGATGGGAGTGGGCTGGGGGCTGATGCTCTGAGAGATGGTCGTCGAGATGGACACGACACTCTGCTTGCGGTCGTCAGCGGGGTTTCCGTGCTCGTCAACCTCAAGATGGCTCTGATCGGCGTGATGCGCAGGAGAGGCAGAGTCCGAAGGGTCGGCGCTGATCTCGGTCTGCACGGACTGGTTGAAGGTGGCAATGGCGGTCGAAGCGGCGTCCTTGAGGGAGGAGACAATGGCAGGGCCCGGGAAAATGTGAGCGTTGGTGATCTCTGCCCAGCGGGCAATGGCGAGCGGGCCGCCGGTGTACTGCTTCTGGACCGTCTCTGAGCAAGACAAACAAACGTCAGCCTTTTCAAGATGGCGCGTCACGACGCGTCGCCATTACCTCCGATATCGCCAAACTTGCGGTCCTCGAAGACCAGGAACTTCTTGCGCTTCGCGATGTCACGCAGCTGCTTGACGGTGCGGTCGCTGAAGTCGTTGATGATGTCGGCGTGCGTCTTGAGCAGGCATATCGAGTCGCCGACCTCCTCGGCCAGGCTGAGCAGGGCCTGGGTGGTCGTCACATCGGCGGACAGGCACAGGTTGGTGCGCTTGATGGCGATAAGGCGCAGCAGGTAGGCCGTCAGGGGCGAGGTGTCGGGCAACAGAGCTCGCTCGATGTAGGACTGGGTCCAGGTGGGGTGGTGAGGAGGCATGGCGGCGGCAGGTGGTTGGCGGGGTAGGCGTGCGAGAAGCGGAATCGGACGGGTTAGAAGTCGCGGCGGGGCTCAGAGGTATATGAGCGATCAGGGACCGTCGCGCAGCGTGCAGGTTGTCGGGGTCGACGAGGTGGTACAGGCGCACTGGGGAATCTGCGCGCTGTGCCTCAAGAAATTCATGCTGCGGATGTTTAGTGGCTGCCGGCCGCGGGCAGGGATGCTGCCCCACCTGCAGCCCGTTTGGCGATCCATTCATCAGAAGTCGGTGTCGCCCAGCCCCGACTCCATCGCCGCAGCACCCGCGCGCCAGTCACAGATGGCCGTTTCATCGGCCAGTGCGCGGTGTCTGAGATTGCGAGCGCGATAGTGAGGCTTGCTGCTGCCAGCGCGCCCCACGGATGGGCTGATTCTCCAGGATGCCTCGGCCGGCCCGATACTGCCTCCTATCGCGCTCGGATGGTGGCGGCGTGCTATATCCAGCCCGCGCCCGCGGCCATTGGCCACCCAGCTACAACACCCCGCCTCTGGCGGCAGCTTGGCCTCGACACGAGCTTTCAGCTCTCCCCGCTTCTGGAAGCCATCGATGACGGGGAAGACCCTTGACCGCCGAAACTCACTGCTGCTTTCGTTGCGAGACGACCTCGACCTATGAACAAAAACGGTGCATGTTGCAACAGTCTAGACCTCGTCCGGGCCGAAACGGCTGGCGACCAGGTCGGCAAGCCGGCGCGCGTCGCCCTGAATCATGTTTCGGCACTGCATGTCTCGTTGATCATCTGCGGAGTCTGGAGTTCGCTTCCCAAGCGCGGAGCGGCTGTCTGGTTCCTAGATCCCGTCCTGAGTCGTGTAGTGTGCTACCCCGTCGTTTGAGGAAGCGATTGTCGCGAATATCTCCGCCTCAGGGTCGTCCCGGGTGCGCTGAAGCCAAGGCGGCTCGGTCCGTGACGTCTGCTGCGACCTCCCAGACTTGCCTGCGGCCGAAATACCCAAGATGGAACCGTTGGGTGGCAAATTGCCCCGCTGAAGAGCATTGCAGACATTATGACTCGTGGCATCGTCACGCTCACGCACACGCGAAGCTTATTGCATCCAGGCCTGCCCGTGAGGACCTGCCGCATCAGCATCTTGTGGATGGCAATGACTCGAGGTGCTACCTATAGGATTTGTGTCGGCAGGAGCTTGTTTGTTCTCCTTGCATGTCCTGAGATAAAGGATCCGCTAAGAAGACCGTCCCAGCGCTAGAGCTACTCCTTTGCATTGTCTCTCGGCCTTGCTGATGGGTATTTCACCGATAAGACGAAAGCATACCGTCCCGAGGAAGGAATGCCAGCACCAGTACCTTCTGATGTAGAACGCTCAGACCCAATCCAAAACTCCCAATCCCACGTGACTTCATCTTTAATGGTCAGGACAAGCTCAGACCTCTTCGACGTCGATGTCTTCTAGTGAAATACTACTATCAGTGCCCATGACAATAATAATGCAAGTATACAAGGCACGGCAGGCTTACCATCCTCACCATGCTCCTCCACCTCGTCCTCTTCGTCCCGCCTTTCCTTCTTCACCTTCACGGCGCCGGCGTCATCTTCGCCGCCCTTGGCACGAGACTTGATCTTGTTCTTCTTCTTGGACGGACTCTCGTCAGTGGCGGCCGCATCCTCCTCTTCGTTATCGAAGAAGCTGTCCGAGGTCGATGTCATGGTCGCGGCAGAGCGCTTCTTGCCGGCGCGGGAGGTCTTCTTGGCTGGAGTTCCAGGTGAGCCATTGCCGCTGACTACAGCGTTACCGGTACCAGGGACGCGGGCATCGAGCTTGCGCCGGATGGCGCGCATGGCGTTGCTGGCGGAGCCCGGGTGCGACATGCCGGCCAGGCGTGCCATGACTTGGTAGTCGATCTGTGAAAGCATGGGCCAGATTTTAGCATCATGTCTGATGGCCGAAGCCAAAAGGTGAGGCGGTGAAACGAAACCGTAGAAAAGGGGAAAAATTAAAGTTAAGAGTGAGGCGCGGTGTGGGCAATTTCGGACGTCGAGAAGCGAACGCGGGGTGACAAACCTCGGGGGGTGTCTTCATGGCTTGGAAGGCGCAGGCCATGAGCTGTACTTCGCGCTCTGAGAAGCCGCTCATGTTTGTTGTGTTGACGGTGAAGCTGTGAAGGGTATAGTAGCGCGAGTAGCGCTGTCGGAAGTACCGTCGGGATGGGTGGGACGTGGTGTGGAGGGACGGTGGAGTAAGGTTGTGGAGCAGTAAGAAGGTTGCAACCGCACCTTCCAAAAGAAAAATTCGAGAGGAGGGTCTTGGTCCGTGTGCTTGAAAGGGTTTCAAGATATCTACCCCGCATCGCGAGTAACTGCTGGTCGTGTGGTGATCTGGCATGGCTCGTTATTTGATACAACCACAGCGCCGATTCCGTGAGCTGCTCTGTATCTTTTTACGTTGTCGTACGCAACTTGATGCACTTATCCGAAGAGCATGCTTCCCACTTCTCTAAATGCAACAAAATCAGTGGAATGCCATGCCTCTCCATTCGAGCTGTGGCAAAGGAGGGTTTATCATTAACATCGATTTTGACTCCTTGCAAAATTCACTTCATCCGCTTCCTTAAGTGACCTCCGCCTGTAAACCAAATATAGCCTCCCGAAAACGAAGGGGTTTGCATCCTCGTCTACCTAATCAGCTCATCACTTCCTTCGGTGAACGTACGCATGATCTCGTCACCCGCTTTTGTCGTGAAATTCAACCCCACGCACGAAGAGCGACCATCTCCGATGACATCATTTGGTCTGGAGGCAGTTCGGTATTAAAAGAGACATCCGTAAACAGGTTAAAAATGAAAGTAAGCAAAACCATCAAAGTTTAATAGTAAAGAGCTTGGGGGTATGTAGAAAAAACAACAAACATGAAGACATCAAACACCGGGACAACCTCAAGAGTTAATGGCTCAACTCCAGATTCATCCCGATGTTTTCGGTCATGGACTCGATCGCGTTCATCGAATTTCCTGTGCGCATCTTCCTCCTCTCCCAGAACGCCCGAATAATTTTTGCTACTTCATCTGAATTTGGCAGTGCACCTGCCCATAACCTCACCCTGGCAAACCAGTTCAGCATTGAACTCACTGCCATCGAGCGTGAGGTAGATATCAAAGTACACGCGGTAGAAGGTGCCTTGGGGCGTGTCCATCCGCTCGAAATCCTTTTCCAGATTCTTGCGTGACAGATCCGAAGTAAGCGTGACGACTTCCTTGATGCCTGTACACATTGATTAGTTCGTGGTTCTTCCAGTTGACGCGCGGAAACATGGGGTTAGGATTCTTTGGATGGTACTTACGAGGATCTTTGGTGTACTCGGGGCAGACATCATCGTCGCAAGCGTAAAGAATATCTTCGTACATGAGGGTCGCGCCAGGAGCCACCTGCCGGAAGAAAGAAACCTTGACAGGTTCGCCAATCTTTACTCGCTGACCCTTTTGCACGAAGATTTGACGAGTGAATTTGCACCGATCCTTGCCATCAAGCGACGGAACACGGTACTGCTCGGGATGGTGACCCTCCTTGAATGGCTGCAGGGTTGCCATGAGGTAGTGTCTTCGAGCAACACGATGCGTGATGATGCGCTCGGTAATGCCAGCAGTGACGGCACCTTTGACGATTGCTGCCACCGAGTCCATAGGACGCACAACCTTGGATTGGAATTGGGGAGGCACATGGAGCTTGATCTGCTGGAAGAGATATTCCGATGCACCAAAACCACCGACGACCAGCACGTTCTGTGAACTGAGTTAGTATGGTTGCACGCACGAGAGGATGCGCGACGGGGAAACATACCTGAAGGTTCCTGTTCTGCGCCTGGATGGCGATGATTTGGTTCCGCACGAGCTCCAAGATTCTGTTCACTACAGGTTCGAAGCACTGCAGAATCTCCTCGTTCGTGAAGGTCATATAGCCCTCCTCGATACCAGCCTCAGGAAACTCGGCCTCGATACCGACATCAACAGCCCATTTTTGACCGTTGTTTCTGAAATCTGCCTTGATTCTGTTCTCGAAGTCCATGATGCATTTGGCATACACCTTGCCTGCAGTCTTGGAGCCATCGGGAAGCTTCATCTTCCTGATCTTGGCGCGCAGGATGTTGCTGAAGTTCCGGTTCAGCGCTGTGGAACCGCACGAGTCACCCGAGCCTGCCGTGCACTCCGCGACAGAGAAAGGCTGCTCCTCCTCAACCTCATAGGCGATCAGATCCACAGTACCACCACCACAGTCGACAATCAGAACTGCGTCATGCACCTTGAGATTCAGCAAACCGGTCTTGGAGCAAAACATTGCTGCTGCTTCGGGCTCAGTAATCAGCGTCAGCCTATTATCGTTTTCATCCCGAAGGAACCCAGCCTGAATCGCGGCGGCCCTCGTCGCAGCTTTGCCGGCATCGTTCCAGATGGCCGGCACGGTGAGATAGTAGCGGATGTTGCGCTCCTCGCGGTTGAAGACTTCGCCAAGGGTCTTCTGCAACTGGTTGCGCATTGCCTGGCGCAAGTGGAAAAGGTAGTCGGCCGCAACATCGATCTCGGACTTGCCTGGCGGAAGCGGCGGCAGGTTGATTGGATCGATGTAGGTGTTACCAGAGAGCATTAGCTGAAGCTTGAACCACTCCACCTTCTGCACACCGGGCTTGGGATAGCCGGTGGGGGCCAAAGCGTCGGCAATGTCTGGCCCCCACCCTACCACCTTCTGATACTGATCATAATACAGCACGGTGGGAATCTAGAAGCGGTCAGAACCACGCAATTTCTCCAGGGCGCGGAAAGACCCACCTTTTGCTTTGTCTGATTTCCTGCACCGGGCCATTCTGTGATGATGTCTTCCTTCGCCTCGGTGTTGGTAGCGAAAGCGAAAGCAACGCCAGAAAACGTAGTGCCCTGCACGCACGCGGCGTTAGTGGTAGTGTCGCGGCGGGCTAGCAGCAAGCCAACTTACAAAATCAATGCCGACAATCAGCTGAGCCTTGCTCCGTCCTGCGCCCTCGACCTCGACGGCCTGCGGACGCGCATATGCCTGAGGGCCTGCCGGCGGCGGGTTCCCGTATCCACCGTAGCCTGGCTGCTGGGCCTGCGGGGGATAGCCCGGCGGACCGGCAGGCGGCGGCTGGCCGTACATCTGGCCCTGGGGCGGGTAGTGGCCTTGGGCGGTGTTGATGGGTGGGGGCGGCATCGGACTCGAGGTGCGCGGCGGGTGGGTGCCGGCAGCCAGGTGCTGCTGGCCGGGCGGCGCGTAGGTGTACGAGGGCGGGCGACCGAGCGGGTTGTTGGGATTCATGGGGAGCGACGTGTTGGACGAGCTGGCGTTGGAGGGCGGGGATAGCGAGCTGGTGCTGCCCGGGGGCGGGGTCGGCGTGGTGTTTTGGGCCGCAACGTTGTTGGAGGATCGCCGTCTCGAGCCGCTTACGAGGTTTTTGAAGCGAGCGTTCATGGACGACATGAAGGAAGAGGAGGGGGGTCGGGCGGGAGAGAAGGTGGGCGAAGAGGGAAAGAAAAGTGAGCGAGGGGCGGGCGCTGAGGCGGGAGTAAGCTGGCAGGCAGAGGTGGTGCTGGCTGCTGCTGCTGCGGCTGAGTGATGTGCACAGTTAGCGGAAGTCAGCCTTGGGACATGGGTTCGCCGGCGGCAATACGGGACTGGCTAGGCTGGCTGCGAGGGCGCGGCCAAGAGCGGGCCGGGTGGTACGCTGCGATGCTTTGTCTGGAGGGCTGAGCGGCAATAAAGCGGCCTGCGGTGGCAGGTGAGCAGCAGGACGGCGGGACAGCGGAGCAGCAGGCGAGGGGGCGGTGTTGCAAGAGACGGGACAAGGCTGTCCTCTTGAATCCTTTGCGCAGAGGTGAGCGATGCGGCGGTGTCAGCGCGCTGAGCCACGGCGCGCGCACGCTCGACATGGCCGGCGGTGATCGCTCTCACATGCTTGGCGCCGCACCCCGGGCCTGCCCAGCGTCCATTGCTTTGCATTGGGCTCTGCTGCTCCATTGTGCAGTCGTGCAGACCGCCGCCCGCCGCTATCCTACATGCTTGCGTCCATTGCGCCCGCGCTGCGTTTGCTGCGCTGCCGGCCGACCGACCAACAACAGGTGGGGCAGCCCTCAACCTCGAGGCCCGTCCACACAAGGCCGGCGGCGTGCCGCAGCACGCGCCGTCCCTCTGCCTCTGCCAGCACCATGGCCGCCTGATCCCGCTTTACCTAACCATCGCTGTGGCCTTTGCACTGACAAATCGCTCCGCTCGCAAATCCCTCTGTTCTGTGCTGCCTGACCGCAACATCCCTGCAGCAAGCCACCAACACCAGCGCCATACCGACTGTCCTGCCAAGGATGCATGCCCATCAATTTCGCTCGCTTGTGTGTAACGCCAGACGCCAAACGCCCTTCTGGCTTCCCTTACGCCCTCAGAAACACTCCGAGTCTCTCAGCGGCTCCATCAGGTGTCTCTTGCCGTGGAAGGTGTCTTCCAGGACTGTACTATCGGCCGAGTCCTCATACGACGTCGACTCCTCGAGCGCTGGAATTGGCGTGCGGCCCGTCAGAATGTTATACAGCGAGTCCTCGCTTTCGTCTGTACTGCCAGGCGTGCAAGGACGGCTGTTCGAATGGTTGGATTTCAAAACAGCGTCTTTGCCTTCTGGCCACACAGTCACAAAGCCATGAAGATCGCCAAAAATCAAAGAGGGTTGCTTATCTGCACCATCCCGCAGCCATCGACCCTCCAGCTTGCCGGCAGACCTCTGGAACGGCATATGCACTACCCTTGCGCCCTCTTTCTCTAGATCCCACAGATGAATGACTGCATCATCTTGCGCGCATTGAATCAGAAGAAGCGTCGGGATGCTGGGGTGCCAATTGAGACTCTTGACTGGTGCATGCTGGATCAGGACTGTCCGCGCTGTAAGCCCCGTCAAGTCCCACAACCAGACGCAAGTTGGCATTGAGTCGTCTCTGGTGGCGAGAAGGTCCCCGCTGGTGTTAAAGGCGAGTATAGATATGCCTGTCTTCGAGGCTATCTCTGTCTGAGCGGGCTGAGCGACGGGCGGCGAGACTGGCTGTGGTACCAATGCATACGCGCGCGTCGAGGACACTAGTTCCTGCCAAACCTCGCCTGTCGAGAGCTGCACGACAGACGTGTGATCCAGAAACACGGCCGGAGAAAACTAGGAGACGTGTCAGTGCAGTTGAATGATTGGGTGATGTATTGCGACCTACTGTTCGTGTGCTGAGCAGCGTTACCCTCTGGTTGTACCCACCAACTGCGAGATAGTCTCCTCTTGGACTCCACTCGATGCTTTTGATGCCTAGTCCACGGATTCCTTCGTCGTCATCTCCACTGTACGTCCTGTATAGCTGTCCATCCGCCGTATACACAAACAGCTTGAACCCTGTGCTTGCTGCATCCCAAACAACAAGCCACCTTCCGTCAGGACTCCATTGAATGCCTTGGGCATCGCTGCTTGGCAATGCGATTGTTTCCAGTAGGAAGTAAGTGCCGGGTGCATGCAGAGTGAGAACATCTTGTGGTCCAGGCCTAGATAGAAGAGCAAAGACCGAGTTGCGGGGTCGGTATCCAAATCCTTTTGAGTCTCGGTAGTATTTGGGATCCTTGATTTCCACGCTGCGGCCGGTCTTCAGACACCATACGGTGACCCGGGCCCCAAAGTCGGAAAACACAAGAACCTCGTTCTGTGAGCAACCAAATTCCACGTTCGATATCTTTCCCATGCCACCGCTGCCATTATCAATAACCGCTTTCCAGCGAGTGTCGGCAATGTCCCAGACGCGAACAGTGCGCTCGTCGGCGAATAGAACGCGAAGGCTCTGATTGCTGCTGCGTTGCGGCCATCGTACGATGGGAGGGTTCTTGGCTGAGTATTCGGTGGACAAAGGTATGTTGCGGATAATAGATAGCGACGAGGCTGCGCGGATTTGCAAACGATTGCCAGCCACGGCGGCCACGAACGCGCCGTCGGGAGAAGCGACTGGATGCAAGGACGCTGGGAAGGCATCAGTGCTGCTTATTTTGAGCGGGAGCATGGGGTCTGGGCACCTTTGGCCTGCTGAGATACCTGTGGCGGATCCATGTTGTGGTGGTCGGCGGCGATTGTTTACGGATTTCCGCTGTTGGCCCGACACCGAACCAACCTCCACCGGCGATGCGCTGAAGTCGTTGCCGCCATACATCGTCACTTTGCGACCCGCCAAGTACACATCTGAGTATCGCCACCAGCACCATGGCCTCAAACGAGGTCGGCGACAGATCCTACGCGCCATTCCGCTGCTCATTTCCCAAGCGCGCGATCTGCCTCACCCATGGCACACCGAGTCGCAGATAGCTCGAGTCCTCTGCAGTACGGACTAATGACGTTCATTGTCCCTACACAGACAGTGAATCAGATGACCAAACGTAGATGTGAGTTTCCAGCTCGTGCAGGTTTGCCTGGACTAGACTCAACTACCCACGCAGGCAGAACGCTGACTTTCCAGTGAGAGAGTTTTGGGCACGCTGACATTCATGCATCAACCCTTCTACTTTCCACCCACCAACCGCCGTGCAACGGCACACAAACAGCTTGTACATCAATTGCAATGGCTCACTCAGTGCGAGAGGGCTCCGAAAAAAGAAGTCTTGCGTCCATTACGCTTGAAGCTCATGAATGCGCGCATGCCTAAGGCCAAGATGCCCCTCGCGGCATCGCCGCCGTTCATCTGCCCGGTCCAAACTCGTCCTGATTTTTCGAGGGAAGGGTCGCACCGCGCGACCCACCCGCTCTCGCCGTCCAGTCGCTGTAGAGATGACGTGCTGAGGTCATGGCTCCAGACGTGACTTCTCTGCGTGGAAGCAGCCCCCCTTTGACCTTACCACCGCGTCTTCCGCAGCGCGGGCGGGTCGCGGCGGCAAGTCTGCGTGAGAAGGAACGCTGCGTCTAGCGCGTCCAATGAGCTGGCGGATGACGTTCGAGGACGCAGAGCTGCTGCCGTATGGAGCTGCGACGGCTGCCGCTCTAGCTTCGGACTCGAGGAGGGGCGTCATCACTTCTCCAAAAGGAAGCAGCAGCCTCACGACGCTGCCTCAACATGACCGCGCCGCGCAGGTGCGAGATTAAGACTGCAGTTGCGCCCATCCCTGGGTGCCGCCTATTTAAGTCTGTCTTCTCCCAGCTCTGAACCATTTCTTCTCCATCCCACTCTTCTCCCACAGCATTCATCGAGAAGCATCATCACGCAGCTTCGTCTATTCATTGCTCGACTTGCTCTTGCTCAGCTCTTCATCACTTCTGCTCTCAAGCACTTCTGCTCTCCAGCACTTCTGCTCTCCAGCACTTCTGCTCTTCAGCACTTCCGCACCTCTCCAGCTCTCTCACGCAACTCCACCTGTTCCACTTCGCCAGCTCTTTGCTGCCTCACTGCAATCATGCGTTTCTCTGACGTCATGCTCTCTGCGAGCTTTGTCGGCCTCGCAGCTGCGGAGCCTTTGCCAACTCGGTAAGTCATTGCCTAACCCGTCTACCCATCGATTGCCTTACCCTCCTCCCATCGATTGCCTTACCCTCCCCCCATCGATTACCTTACCCTTCCCCATGCATCCACAACATACTGACAGCCAACCCAGTCCCGCGTACCACCTCTGCTCGCCTGGCCATGACGGCGTGCACTGCATCCCCCTCGATCGCTCTCCTTCGACGACTACCTCTTGGTCAACCACTACCTCAACGTTTACCGCCGGCCCGGTGACGACGACGACGGAGACCATCCCCGTTCCGATCGGCACAGTCTACATCTACGAGCCGACCAGTGCCGCCTCCCGCAGATACAGCGTGCCCGGACTGTTCATGCTGCCACACCGCATCTTGGGACTGATGGCCGGCGCGCAACGAGCCGCTGCAGACAAAGCCACCAAGACAGTTGAGAAGTTGAGCACCCGGTGGACGACGCAGACGGCTCATGCCTTTTACCCTGTCACGACTGAAACCAGACCGGCGGCCACGGAAGTCGTTGAGGCTTCTCCGTCGACTTCAACCAAGACGAAGACAGTTCATGCCTTTTACCCTGTCACGACTGAAGTCACACCGGCGACCACGGAAGTCTTGATGCCTTCTCCGTCGACTTCAACCAAGACCGTGATAGGAATCGACTTCGAACGGGGAACCAAGTTCGTACTGTCTCCTGCGGATGAACTCTCCGTCGAGACTGTGCCATCAACAGCCATGATCCCTTCGGCTGGACCTGTGGCCACTCCTCTTGTCCCGGTCAAGACTGAGACCTTTTGGGGTACCAAGACTGAGACCGCTTGGGAGGGCATCCGCGTCCCTGGAACCATCGTCAGCCCTGAACCCACGGTCACGTCGACTAACATTGTCGAGTCAACTACCACAACGACACAGAGCTGGCCCTACACCAAGACGACGAATGTCGGAACTGTCACTCTGACATCCAATTCTGGGGCCACTCGAACTGCACAGCCACCTAAGGTCTTCAGTCTCCTTGGGTCTTTGCTCAAGAAGTGAGAAATGGTGATGGATTCATGGTGGGGATGTGTTTGAAACTGGCTCCTATGCATTCATGAAGTCTTGCAGCTTTACTCCTATCATCACTCGTAACACAGAAACAAATTGAAAACCTCTTACCCTATCAAAGTGTTCTTCGTGACCCATGACTCATCCAACCTTTGCTCAGCCGCTGAATCAGATCGCACTCTTGTATTCTATGTGATGTTCCAGTGTTCACGTGAGCAGTTGAAGCAGATATCCAGACGCAGCTGTGAATCTTGACGCCTTACTTACGTCAGCATTTGAGGCATCCATCCAGACGTGCATGCCGCTTTAACCCACTGCTCATGTGGGTTAGCATGCACACAAACGTTGAACTAATAAGCAGGGCAAGTATGTTCCATTGCGGCCCAATTTTCTTTGTACATGGTTGATGTAGAGGAGTTATACAGCCGAAGGCTAGAATTCATTGTCTACTTCCAGCTCATGTCATGTGTGGCTGAAGCAATTGTCTGGACAGTAGCTCACTGCACACATGCTGTTACTTCAAAAATATCGCCAAGGCACAGTAGCCCCTTGTTCTGAGGCCATGCTATTCTTCGCGCTAGCTTTCGGCTGCAATATCCATCGGCACTACAGTGTGGGGTTCCCATAAGGCTGCCGGACGTAACCTGACACCTTATGCCCCGACCGGAGCGGGCTGATGGAAGCGGAAGGTACGTTCCGCTGGGAGGGGCCCCTGGCAGCGGGGCTCTATCTGCTTGTGCGAACCGCTGCTTCAAGTTGACCCGCCCGCAGGAAGACGAGTGAAGGGGAAGAGAGGGGAAAAAAGGTGCGTGACGAGGGATTCGTGCGTAAAGGGCTGAGCCTTGCGTCGCGCAAAGGAGCTGATAGTCAGGCGCTCGTTTGGAGGAAAGAGGGAATGACTCGCCCGCAATAGCGCGAGGTTGTGAGGCCGAGAAGGAGGACGTAACAAAAAGTGGCGTCGTCGCTATCTGGCATCTTCGAAATAATGGTTGCTGCGTCTGTGCCTTGTACAATAGGTAGGAGTAATGGGATGGCAATGCGTCAGGGCATCATGAGGGAAGATGGGTGGGGGGCATCCGCGGCAAGACAGGGTGCGTGTCACGGTCTTAGAACACTCGATGGCGAAAGCAGGGTGCAGCATGACTTGAGGAGCGGGTGAGGGCATCGATGCTCTGCAGGTAGAGGCCAGTGCTTTTTTTTTTTCCTGCGGGCGGGCACTGTGCGCAAGACAAGGCGAAACGGCGGTACTCCGACTTCCACATGGGTCTTGTCTCGTCAGGTCTGTTCGTCGTGCTACCTAAGGAAGAGGCCATTTGCACATCGTGAATCGCACGCGCGCGAGCGCGCCTCATGTCCAGTGTATAGAAGCCGCGTTTAAGTCTGCGGCAGATCTAGATCAACCCAGCGCCGTCCCGCGCGCCCTGCAGGCAGACTAGAGCGCGAATGCTCGAGGGGGGTTGCTTGCTAGTAGTAGAAGCTCGTCATGGCTGGGCAGGGACAGGGTGTGGTTGATGAGAAGGCGAAATAGCCGTCGGCGCTAGAAGGCGATGGCTATCGCCGCCATGACCGCCGCCATGGCTATTCCCGCCGGCGTCTGGCACCACACGTTGCTAAGAAAAAGAGCCAGTGCAATCAATTCAGTCAGGCAATTAATCGACAGTCGAACCATGGCAATATCTCCTCAAACAAGCCTCCGTCGCAATAAAGGAAGGACGGTGATTAGCGGGCGTCAGCCACACGCCCAACGGCCACTGAGCACCATCACCAGCAGCAGCGGCAGCAACAGCACTAGCTTCAACAGTGATGAGCGGGCGGATGTGACGAACCCCAGCCCGGCGTTCTTGGCCCTTGTGCTGGGGTACTTTTGGATCGTGCTTGATCACTCAATTCTCTCTCCCTGTCTCTCGCTTGTCGCTTAGCCCTGTCGGTTCTTTTACCACCAGCTGGCTCCTTCTCTTTCTCTTTCCCCTTTCTGATCTCTGCCCTAGGGAGGACGTGCGCGGGTTCCTCTATTTTTTTTGGCCTTTGCAACTTCACCTGTTTCTCGGGGGCTTGGCCAGCGACTGTCGCAGTACACTACACAAGTCATTCGTGAAAGCTAATCGGCCTATATTGGCCGAGTGAGCGACTCAGGCACTAGCAATCCACCATGACGATTAGCCCCGGTTGGGCGAAAAGCGCCCCCCCCGTACTGCAACTGCCGCACCGCCCACCGTTGGATGACTGCGGGCGGAGGGGGCGGATGGAGCGGACGGGGCGGTGCGCCCTTCGGAATACCCGGATTAACGGGCGGCGTTTTTCGCTGGCTGTCCGCTTCATTTTCTCAGAGGGTGGAGTGCGCAGTGGGGAAATAGAGGGGTATCGCTCATCAATACTGGGTGGCAGTGTCTCTCGAGTGTCCGTGACCCGTCTCTGGCCGACTCATGCCAGTGCTCTCGCCTGCGATTGACACAGCAAAGACTGAGTCGAGCAGTCAATGCTGTGGAACGAGCAGTCGGATCCTCGACTCTGTGCGCTGCGGTGCATTGGCAGCAGTCTGCAGAAAGAGGGGTAGGAGCAGACGCACGCGGGCAGATTGCGGCGTGTGTGAGAGAGTGGCACCAGAGCGAACGGCGCCGATATGGGCGTCGCCGACAGTGAGCGGTGACAGTAGGGCTAGCTAGCTCGCCGGAGCCCTAAGAGAGGTGGTGCAGGCTGAGGAAGGGGCGCGTGGAAAGCACTGGCTCTCGCTGCGGGCGGTGATGAGGGATCGGTGACGAGGGGCGAGACACACGGGACATGCGGCAGGGCTGTGAGGGCACTGCTGGACTGCAGCGCATGATGAGCATGCATTCCGGCGGCGCCGTCTGCTACTACGCATGGCCTGTTGTTTCAAGGTGGCCAGCCAGTGTCGACATTGCGAAATAGCTGGCCCTCCCGCACGCCAATTTCTGCTCCCCCGCGTTCGCGGCTTCTGCCTGCGCCAAATTTCCCTGTCTCAAGACTCGTCTCTTCAGAATGTCTTTGCTTTTGGCGGCGATGCGCGTGATAGTGGTTCTGCCGGCGCTTGCCAGAGGTATTTGCCGTGCACCTGAGCTGATCCAAATCATTTGCCGATAACCTAGCAGTTGCACGCCTTGCGCAGCTAGATGGAACTGCCATGATCTATTGGATTGGCAGCACCATCGCAAGCCCCCGAATGCCGTCCGAGTGCCGAGTGCAGCGCTGTCGACGGTAGTTCCTGGTATCTGCGCGGTGGTGTTGGCGGAAGCGCAATCCACGGGCTCTGGCCTTTCCGCAGGCAATCGGCCCTAGTGCTGAGAGGCTAAGCGGATCTCCCCAGGCATGAGCGTCGGGCCAAAATTTCAAATGCACTTGTCCCCACGCCGGTGAAGTGCAAGATTGCCCAATTTTAGAGGTGACGAGATGCAAGAGTTATGAGATGTGGGTTCGCCATCCCCTCACTTCGCGCTAGATGCCGGTGGTGTGTGCTTGTTCTAATTTTGTTGCTGCCAGCACCGCGGATACCCGCCCGTCCTGCCGGGCATGAGTAAGGATGAAAAGTAGGGAGGCATCCATCATGTTCCATCATGCCGTCGTCTGGTGGGCCTTCTCGGCCGTCGCTAAGGCGAGAGCGAAGGCACAGAAAAATTCCAGTCCATGCACGTGGTCTTGCAGGGGTGCACGCTGTAACATAGCCTGGCCGCACTGGTAGGGGGAGGAGGTGGGGATCAGCATGGAGGAGCAGCAGCAGCGAAAAGCGCCGAATTTAGCAGCGAAGCGGGCTGGAGGACGGCGCTGCGACGGCCACCGCAATGCGAGCCCGCAGCGTCCGGAGACGGAGATTCTTCCGGGCCGGCTCATCTCTGACCGGAGGGCCAAGGAAGGAAGGGGGAGGCACGCTTCGACGAGCCTTGCCAGAAGCCACCATGGGGCCGCCGTTGTTGAGGTGGAATGGGGACGCACTCCGCGATCTTCTCCGTTTCACCCACAGCCCAGTTCCGAATGCGTCCCGCCGCAGCGGCCACGGTCTCCACCATCACCGCCGGCGAGCCCGTGGCCGCGGATGCCTCTGCCAGAACTGGAATTCCCCCTTTCGGCCGGGGCGAGTGCTGCGGAAAGCAGGACGAGGGGGCGGCACTGCCACGCGAATGGGATCCATCTGCCGTCCGACACGCCCCGTCCCCTGGTCAGTGGGAGGGCGGCGCGAGATCGGGGATACGGTAGGGCAGAGCCTACGGCCGTCGATACGACAGGGCTGTAGGGCAAAGGGGGCGTGGAGCGTGTGTTGAGGACGTGAGGGTGATGTGCGCTCATCACCTCCCAAGGGGGGGATGGACACAGATGGGTGAGTACGAGAGGCCTTTGGTAGCGCGGATGCTAGAGCGTCCGGTGGGAGTAGCCGGTGGGATACGGTAGGGCAAGCGCGGGATGCGCGATGCGGGCGTGCGGCGGTGGAGTGGACGGTAGGGCGACGGCGGGCATGCAAAGACAATTGCTCGTCGGCGTCGGGCGGCGCCTGATGAGCGGGCGGGTTCGACTCGGTCGGCCATTTGACTCGCGGAGGTCTCAGGTGAGGTCGTCGGGCGGCAGAGGCCAGCACGGAGCCTTTGGGGAGTGTCGAGAAAAGCCGGCACAGGGCTGAAGGATCGGCACGACTGTGCCCGCGCACACACGGAGAAATCCTCGCTTCGGGGGGGCAGGGCGGAGAGCGAAAATGCTTGTGCGCGGGAGCGAGGGTCAGAGACAGAGAGCCGGCCAATTTCCGTGCCGCTGATTGATCAATGTCTGGAGACGAGGTCAACGCGAGTCCGACCGCACCGTGGTGATCACTTGCGCCATGAGACGCCAGCGCGCTAGGCGCCTGCTCCAGACCAGAGAAACACCATCATCGATTCGACGCTTTTCCGCGGGGCTGGCGCTGCTGAGGGCCGTTGCGTGCATGGGGCAGCGCGCGGGTGGTGTGCGGCGTCGCGGGCAGCGCTGGCGGGATGCTCGCAGCAAGCGGACGGGACAGGATTGCTCGGACCGAAACAGAAGTCCCGCAAAATGCCGAGGCAGTGCTCCGGGAACGCCGCGGGGCAGAGGGCTGAAAGGCGGTGATGGGGGTGGATCGCTTACCCGTTTAAGGCATCGTGAGGTGCCCGCTCTGGTGTTGAGGCTGTGCCGCGGCGCGCGGTCCGTGAGCGCTTCACGGTTTTTTTCCCTTTTCATTTCACGACGTTTCGTTACGGCGATGCACTACGCCCGTACCGGGCAGCAGGGAGACCGCGGCAAGGGCAGGGTTGCGCCGGGGGGCCACCGTCTCCGCCCGGAGCAGCCCGCTCTTGCGCGAGAATAGGCCCGGGCGCCGGTCGGCTGCCTGCTGAACAGGGTAGCGCGCCTCCGACGACGCTCAGTGGCCGGCCGCCAAGTGCCCCAGGCACACCACCACCCCCAACGACCATTTTTTTTCTGCCCGGGATGATTGACCATCAGTGGCCCCGGCGCCTCGGTCCCAGCGCGGTGGCCTGTGTGTGGCGGAGCATTAAGGCCAGGCTAATAAGCGGCGAGGCGCAGCCCGCGTTGCGTGAGAAAAACACACTGCAACAACATGCCTGGGCGGCGAGGTAGCAGTATGATCGACGGCCGGTGCAAGCATGTTTGCCGGGTACAACGGCATGGTGCGACTTTCGAGAGTGCTGCGCTCCAGTGCTCCAGCGCCGCCGGAGCTCTCTCCAAACGTAGCGGCGGCAGCTGGCGGCAGTGCTCATCTGCCTCCCGCAGCGCCGCTGACTTCATACCGCTGGCCCCCCATTTCACCACGTCTGCTCGCTAATTTTGGGCGCTGAGCCGCGTTTTGGGAACCCTGTCGAACAATCGTCCCAGCCTTCCTGTTCGGGAAGGACCTGGCGATTGCAGCACGCTTGACGTACCTGACTTCTCTCTGCCAACGGCCTGCCATCAGCCCATCTTTGCCTACAGCTGAAACGGCCACACGGTAGGCCCCAAACCGGAGTGCCTTGCGGCGGGTGTCGGCCCAGCGTGACCAAGCCGCACCTTGTTTTGAGGGGGGGCGTTGTGTAACTGGCAGCTTTTGCCTTGCGCTAGCGAAGCGGCGTTGCTGGGCATCCTCAAGGAGTGGGAGAGGTCGCGCGATGGTGACTAAACGTGCTCATCAGTGGCTCCCGTTGCCATCGCCGCCGCCGCTGCTGCTGCTGCTGCCGCTCCGCTCTGCTCGCTCTCGCTTTGTCCCACATCTCCGCCGCCGCTCCTCGTTTGTTGACTGATCCGACCCGCACCATCCACAGCCGACGGGTTGATCGACTGGCGCGCGCGGGCAGATCTTGTCTGCCTCAGGCTACTCTTCCGACGAGACACGAAGAATGCTGGCGGCGGCTGCCGTGTCACGTCGCGTGCGCTGTAAGGGCGAGCAGCCGCGGCCGTCTTCGTGGCAGCTGCCCGTCATCGCACGGCAGGTGGTGAGACGAAGATGCTGATGCGCATACCGGGGCCGGCGGGGGCCTGGCGGCGTGTGAGTGGGCAGCGCGACACTGCGACCACATGGCGAGCCGGTTGTGCTTGGGTTCCTTGCGCTGCGGGCTGAGCTTAAGTCGTCTGCATGTGCTGTCCCGCGCGCGGCTTTTGTTTTGCTCAAAGCATGTGTGCGCGCGCACTCTCCCACCGGTGCTGCCCATGTGCGCCGCCCGGCTGTCGCGCAACCACCTACCAGTGGTGCTGCACGCCGAACTTTCCAGAGCATCTTAGCCCAAAGTCTATTTCTTCCTACCGCGTTGCCAGCAATCGTCGCGACCACGGCTGCTTTGGGCTTGGGGCTTCTCCACGCCGGCCTCTGATTGGTGACGCGTGGCCTCTTCGACACTGCCTACTAGCCCGACCTGTCTGTGAGCGCCCTAACCGTGTCAATGCAAATCACACTAGTACAGACGACATAAGGTTATCCTTGAGAATTCGATATTGACATTGCCAAAGCTCGTGGCTTCGGCTCTCTCCTAGCCCTATCTCGACAAGGTACCTCGCCCTCCGTCCCCTGCGGACTCGTGGGAAATAGACATTCGGTAGTGAGAAATCAACCCTTCTTCTGAGCTCCCGATAGCGCCGCAGCTATGCAAGTCTGAAAACAGAAACTGAAACACTCGCCATGCGTGCCCAACCTGCGCGCTGTTCCCCGGGCCTGCGCCTTTTTGCGCGGCTCCAACTTCGGAAAACGGATGCCATTATTCCCTACGCCAAAACTTTCGCCAAATGCCCAAAAATGCAAACATGTGTGCTTCGCTTCGCTCGCTAGAAAATGAAAATGGTTGCATGGTCGATGATGTCCGTCGGCGTTGCGTTCGCCGTTTCGCAGGATTCCTTCGATCCATCCGATGGTGCGGACACTTGAGGTCGAATCAGGAGCTCGTCCAAGTGCAAATGCGACTTATGAGACTGCAAGCATGATCGTCATGTCGTAAAAGCGGTGAGATGATCGTAGACACGCGCTGGCTCGCCCGGTGGTGCGTGGTGGCCGTGCGCCATGAGGGCGGTTGACTGCGTTGACGATGTTTGAGCTTGTGATCGTCGAAGGTTGGTTTGCGACGCTCTGTGTGCTCTCACATCGTATCTCCTCGGCCTTTGCCTTTGAAGTTCGAGTCGTGGGTGTCGAACTTAATTGTAGGCTGAGAGTGGTGGTGTTGGTGGTGATGCTGGTGAGACTGATCCCTGGAAGAAACGAATTCGATTCAGCCTCGTCCTTTTGTCTCTAGGTCCATACCGTCGGAGTGGCCACGAACCCGCCGGTATATCCAAGTCCCATCCCACCACCAAAGTTAAACATATTGTCTTCGTGCGCATAGCTGATGGGCGGGGCTGCTGGCGATCCGAGCGGCGACGAGTAGGCGCTACTCGGCCTGTAATCTATCGCGGACCTAGGGACCTCCAAGTACGGCGACCGAGCCTCCATGATTCCAGGAGCTTGCACGTGAAGAGGGGAAGGAGCGAAGGCGGGGCTCAGGCTCTGCCCATAGCCGTACTCCTGAATCTGCGTCTCGAGGTCGAGGTTGAGGGTGTCCAGACCGTAAGGATCTTGCTTGATCTGCAGATCGTCCGTCTGCTGGCGAGACCATTCCCGACGCGTCCGATACGCTGAGGCGGTATCCCTGGGGAAATCCATCAAGTAGACGGCGGTCTGCACAGCCTGTGCGTAGCCCTGGGTTGCTTGCAAGGTATTCACGTAGCGAATAATCTCCTCCAAGGGCAAAAGGGCGTTGTCCGCGCAGAAAGCGGCACCAATGTCCGGGAAAATCGGCTCGATCGCGACCGCAGCGGCGTAGAAGAACGAGAGCACGAGCAGAACGTTGATGTCCCCACTCCTGGCAGACAACAGAGAGATAGGCACCCAGAAAAGCCACTTTCTTAGAGCGTAAAGCTGCTGGAACTGATCCTCTGGCGTCTGCGGCGGGTTCGATATTCTCAGGCGCTCGATGTAGCCCTTCAGCTGCTCCAACCACTTGCACTCCTGGTCGTAGTTTGCCAAGTAGGGTTGTAACCGCTGGATGTTGCTGTGAACCAACTGCAGAGTCGCGAGATGATCGCGGCGGGCGTCAGGCGCGACGAAGGAACCGGCCGAGTTCATGAATGATTGAGAAACTGTTGCTCCTTGCTCAGCGATGTAGTCTGCAAATGCCGACTCGTGTCTCCAAGGCTGCATAGCATTGACGATCTGTGGAACCAGTGTTAGCGGGCCAAATGCGCTCGGTATGGTTTCACTGCGCCCGAGTCGCAGGAGAGGAAGTCCTACCGTCTTGATTCCAGTCATGAGCGATGCCCATCCACGCCTGAAACAGATCGTCAGCACCAAAGTCTTGCTAGGGCCGCCTCTGCGCGGGGGTTAAAAAAAAAACTCACCAGTCCGTGGCCTGCCATGACAGGAGGAGCGAAGAAGCCAACACAGCGTCGGAGTTGGCCCTGGAGAAGTTGCCAATGGCCTCGTGGAGGCCCTTGAGCGCGATGCCACCGTGGGCAATGGCCAGATTCCGCGTCTCGGTGGACTGCGAAATCCAGGCCAAGTGCGAAGCGGAGAAAGCCAGGATGGAGTGCATGACGAAAGGATATGAAGACGCGATGCTCAAAAACCTGCAAGGCTCGTAAGCTAGTGCACTGGCGAATACGAGGGCGGCTCCAGCTAGTGAAGGAGCAGGCCCACTTACTTGGGCATGTTCTCCGCCCAGACGGTGAGCTTGGAGGTCCTGCCGCGGAACATCTCGTTGGAGATGGACGACAGATGGTGGATTAGACGGAGATCCGTCTTGGAGTAGTTGCGCCACTGCGGCTGGGGATAGACGTTGAGCTCCGGGAAGGGGAATTCGCCGGTGGACTGCCAGATGTTGATTGTCGCCTCGATCTCAGGGGTCCACAGAAGGTTGGGCTGCTGCGGTCCCTTGGGGCTGTCTGGCGCGGCCGAGGCCGGGTTGTCGTTGTAGTCGCAACGGACCTGGTGCTTGGTGCAATTGCGACTGGAACGAGGGTCAGCAGACGTGCTCGCGGCACTCGAGCGGCGGGGAGGGGAAGGCGTACCATTGCGGGAAGGTTTCGTCGCAGCGAATGTGCCGCTTCTTGCAGGTCTTGCAGCCTTTCCGCGACTTGGTGTGGCTGCGGCGCGAAGGACCACCACCGGGGCCAGCCATTGCGACTCGAGCTTCGTGCGGATGGTCGAGGGGGAGCGTGAGGGTTTTTCTGCGCCTCGGGACAGCGGCACGAGGCGGGGTTGCGGGCCTTCAAATCCCCGCGCGGGTGCAGGCGGGCGTGAAGCTGGGCAGCGGCGACGCCGTGATGGTACTGTCGCGCTGACCGCGGTGTCGAGGGCTTACTCAGGCGGGAGGCAGGACAGGTGAGCGAAGGTGAGGTGTAGCGACGGTGCGGTCTGCGAACGAGGTAAGGCTGATATGCACCGTTGGCGTGCTAACGAATGTGACGGCGGAAAGCCAAAGCGAGCGTCTGAGTTGGTTCCCTGCAGCGAGTCCGCCGGGCACAGCTGAGAACCAGGCTACTCTTATGGCTTGTGCGAGGTTCCGCTGGCGGCCCATGATGGCAGCTCAGTGATCAGACTGAGTGAGAGGTGCCGAGCGCAGGGACTGGCATGCATGTCCACAAATAGAACCGGCTACTGCTGAAATTGCCTAGTCAGCAAGTGCTCAAGCTCCCGTTAGTTAACCTTCTCCACGAGTTGCTGGCCAGGGAACGTGATCAGATGCGGTCGTGTCATGTATGATGGCATAGCCCCCCGCTGTAACGCTTGGGTGTTAAGCTCACCAGACGGATCCAGGCACACGGTCCGTTTCGGGCGGACGTCGAATGGCGAGCAGGGCGCCGGCCCAAACGGGCGAGCGCGCGGTGTTGGCCGCCTGCGCGTGCGCTTGGCTGCCCGGCGCGCGCTGCCCTCGGCCCTCGATGCCCCCGGCGCTGGATGGCTTGCATGAAGCAGACCGCCACATTCGCCGGCGCCCGAGCGCTGCTGTGCTGAGCACGATCGGGAGCAGCGAATGAGACAGGCTGCGAGGGACTGCCGCAACGGGCAAGGCGGAGGATCGAGCGCAGCTGCCACAGGGTCCGCTGGAGGTCCGCTAGATCGCGTGCGGCAGCTGCAGTGCCGGCTATATTTAGACCGCGATGCCCGCCGGCCGCGAGCTGAGCAGCCTCCACGCGCCGCCGCCGCCTGCTGCTGCTGCCTCTGCGGCGTGCGCCCTGCTCTCGCCGGGCGCTGCTGGATGAGCTGGCGGCGCGACGGGCGGGCCTGCGCGCCCTCACTCGCGCTGAGGCGCACCCGATTCGTGCATATTGGCTGCTGGCCCCTGCGCGCGTACTGCAATAACTTTCACGTCGCGTCAGTAACAAAACGGCCGCGCCCAGCGCCAGGCGGAGCGAAGGCAGATCGCCGGCCCCACCGCGCGCGATGCGAGAGACCGGCGGTGGAGCGGCGGCAGCGGGCGGCGACGTGAAACTGGGCGGCGCTGGGCGAAGCGAAGCAGCCGGGGGCGCGCCTGAGTCGAGTCGCCGGCACAGCGAGAGCCCCGAGTGCAGCGCTGCTGCGACGCGGGCTGGATGCTGGCGCGCGCGCCGGGGCAGCTTAGGGCGCTGGCCCTCGCGGCGCGCCTCGGCAGGCCGGCGTCCGTCCGTAAGGCTGAGCGATGACGTTCAGTCCGGCGGGTAATCAGCGGCGACGCTTGCTGCCCGCGCCCGGCGAGGGAGCGCAGCAGCGCAACGTCGTATCCCCCCCTCGGAGCCCAGCAGGTAGTATTGACGGCGCGTGCATGCGCGCCCGCGGCGGCCACGGCTTCTTAACAGTCGATCGCCACGCGCAAGAATCTGATAACGCGCTAAATATAGCGCTCAGCCTGCCCTGCTGACCCGCCAAGCCCGCTGCAGCACGCTCCAATATCGCCAGGCCAAGGGGCTGCCCGGTGGCCGCACCCGTGACCGCACCGCGCCTGCTGCGTCGGTTGAATCGTTGCGCCTGGGCGCCTTGGCGTCGTTCGATGAAACCGCTGCCAGACTCAGTCGCCCGTTGAGCAGCCGTCTCCCCGAGTCATCCTCGAGCTGGCGCGTAGTCGTGTGCCTGTGTACCGTTTGGCACGCCGCTGCAACGGCTGCGCAATATTTTTAGCGCGGCGCTGCGCGAATGATCTGGCCTGCATGGGCTTCCATTGCTTCCATGGGATTTTGGGCAAGCCACTCGCCCGAACTCTGGGAACCGCCTGGGGTCGGGTAGACGGGATACGAGCCCGACCGCGCCCTCTGAGCCTGCGTGCTAAGCGACCGACCACCGCTGCGAGCATCCCGGCGCGGCGCGCGTGCGGGTATCAAATGCTGAGCGAGCCCTTGCTCACCACCACACCGGACACTCAGGGGCCAGGGACCCGAGTGCGCACGGTGGATTACATAAGATTCTATCCCTCCCTCGCCGGTGAAGGATGTTGAAGCAAATGTCCGGGCGGCGAGGATGCAAGTCTCACACTATAGACATAGGGCTCCGACTGCAAACAGGGTGCCGTGCGTTGGGCGAGACACGTTTGGGAAGGTCAATTTCTTTTGCGACCTGCTGTGGGGGGGCCCGCCGCATTGAAGAGCCGTCAGCCGCATCATTGTTCAGCCAGGCTGCCCATGCTGCTGCTGAAGCAGGGCTGACGCTGCCGGTCGGTCCTCTTGGTGGTCGAACCACCTCCAACATACACCGGAACCGCCGGACGCCATTCAGAGACCACGATGAAACCTCTTCAGCTTTCTGGAACGCCCAAACGTTCTGTTCGTCTTCGCGCCGGTCTTAACCAATCCCGCTAAGTGATGGCAACCCCGGAGAAGAACAGCTACCTACAGCTACCTATTCGGAGAACGCCTCGCAATGTTCCGTGGCAAGGAAACGACTTCATGGCCCATGGAAACGCTACGCTACGTGTCTGCCAGCTACTGCGTGCCGGCCATCCCGCCGATGCCCTGATGGAGTATACGCAAAAAAAAGCCGCTCAAACAACAATGTCTATATATATCATCATCGCCGTCCGCCGCCGACGAATCAATGTGCAACTACTCAAGCCGCATCTGCACTGCCCCCATCCTCCCTGTACCCAGCACGTCCAAATCCATCCTGTGTGTTATCCCTATCCTTATTGGGTCCTTGTTTCTGCTCTACACTGCCGCCTCTCCCCTGTCAGACAGGGACACAGGGGCGCAGGAGAATAATTCTCTTCACAAGTGATACGTCTGCCTCAGCGCCTGCTCCTTGTCGGCCGGCAGATGGTGCAGAAATGCATCGAAATCCGGAATCATGTTTTTGTACTGCATGAGGGCCTGGCCAAGCATTAGTGAAACTTCATGATAGATCTGGCGTAAATTTACCCTCGAGAACGGTTCTGCCGGCCCGTCTGGATTGGGTGTGCAGAGGAACTCGCTCGGCGCTGACGCCATCTCCGCAAAGAAGTCCAGCAAGCATTGCTCCATGGCCTGCGGGTTGTGCAGGACGATGTTGATGAATCCATTCAGTGCGTGTCCTTTTTCATCGGTCCAGTCGACGTGTTTTATGGCATTGATGAAGTAGGGCGCAAACGTTCCCAAATGCGGCGCAAGCGCCTGAGCATTACCGATGCCCAGTCTCCCGAGGGCAATGGCGGCATTTTCGTTCAACGACATCGGAACCTTGCCATTGAAGAGAATTGTTGCAAGCTTCTGAAGGAGTCGCTCGACGTAGGGCGCCATGCCTTCTCTCTGGCGCATTGCTATCTCTCCAACAGACCAGCAAGCATTGTTGACGACAGAGAATCCGTTATCTTCCACGCTAGCCACGGTGTGGTCCAGGTCAAGCTGTGCTATCAGGATCTCAAGGATCGACGGAAGGAACGCCTGGAGTTGAGGAAAGACGTAGATCGCACAGTCACCAAGTAGGGCGTAGGCAGACTGACGCACGTCATTATTCACGTCCTTCATGCAATAAGCCAATAGCTCGAACATGTTTGGCTGAGATGTCGCCACCAGTTCTGTGCTCTTCGGCTCCTCGAGGGATTGGATGATTGCGCTCAAAAGATCAAGACTGGTGACCAGAAAGTCCTTGTCTGGCTCATCGAGACCTGGGTTGGCGGTAGCTTGGAAATATTCCTCCAGGTTTTGATGTACGATGTTGATACATCTTGTGAAAATCGGTTTGGCGTAGGGGGCAAAGAGGTCGCCGAGGGCAGTAGCCACATAAGACAGACACTCTAGCAACGGGAACATCTCCCTTGAGTGGTCTGAAACCTTGTTCCAGCGTTGGATGAGGGCCGGCATGAGGAGGTTGACGAGTTCAGGAGCCTTCAGTGCCGGACCGACGTGCTCCGCCAAAGTCTGAACACAGTCGTACAGGATGAACATGTTGCGGTCTTTGTACCTAGCGAAGCATTCAACGAATTGCTTGACGATCACCGTGCAGTACGGAGTCAGTTGAGCATTTGCCTTTTCTTCCAGGTTGGCAAAAGCAGACGCCGCAGCTTCTTGCACACGCTTGTTGGGATCCAGCATTCTCTTTAGAATTCCATCCATCATCGGCTCGAAGTATTCCCTCTGGCCAGATGGATCAAGGTGTGCCGCCCAGGAGGAATACCGTCCGAGCGACCAGCAGGTGATTTGGCGTACGACAGGCTCCTTGTCCTGCAGTAAAGAAATGAGGTACCGAGTGAGCTCCGGAAGGTGGGGTTGAACGACATCCATGCAGCCATCGGCAATGGCTCCAAGTGCCAAGACCGCAGCCTCGCGGTTTGGCCATTCGGCGTGAACAAGATTCTCCTTGAGATAAGGAAGGGTAACCTCGAAAACGGGCTGGTGGAAGACCGAAGCGAGGACGTCCAGAGCAGCAGCCGAGCATTTCCTCAGGTTCCATTGGTCTTCGGGATCCAAGCCGTCCTCATCATCATCGTCATCGTCAAAGTCCTCGAGCTCGCCATCGCTCAAGTCATCATCACCAAAGGATTTTGGAACTGCGCTCTTGTCGGGATCCGCCGTATCTCCATTTGCCGTGGTAAACCGGTTGGCCTTGGAACTAGCAAAGGTAGGCTTGATATCTTGCTCGCGATCCTCTTGTTCGGCATCATCCCTCTCGCCTTCAAGTCGGAGAATATCATCCTCGCTATAAACCATGCTCTCAAGGAGCACGGGGACGATCTTGGGAAGGTAAGGGCCAAGCGAGTTCCGGAGGTTATCATCTTCACCCACACACAACCAGAACTCAGCGGCGTCAAGTGCGAGCTCCGAGTCCTCCACGGAGCGTTGCTGCGTAACCATATAGTCCACAAGACCCTCCATGTGCGGAACAATCCTCTCGGGACTGATCTCGGCGATGTGAACAAAGGCGCGGCAGACATGCTTCCGTACCTCACCGCTGTTGTCACTGGCAAGGCGGAAGAGGGCCAGGAGAAGAGCGTCGAGGCTGTTGACGACAGCGGATTGCTTGTCAGGGACGAAGACATTGATGGCTGCCAAAGCATTGGCGCGGACCTTGGGCCGTTGGCTGTTGGTAAAGTCCAGTAGCTTGGGGAAGATGAAATCCAGCGGACGTTGGCCCTGATAGTCTCGGTCCAGGGCGCGCCTGTTGTCCTCGCATATCTTGAGTAACGCGCCCATGGCGCCCTCTTGAGTCTCCGGTGAAACAGAGCCGCTCTGGTTGGAAACCAATGAAATGAGCTCTGCAAGAATCTGGGGCCACCCAAGGATGCCGCCCTGTCGCACAACCTCGGTGATCACGTTCCCTGCATAGTTCCGCATCTGTTCACTGGGATCTTGAAGTGCGTTCAGGATGGTTGAGCGGATGAATGCCTTGCTGTCATCGGGGATCGACTTGTAGTGTGTCTTGATATCGTTCTTCAACATGATTGCCGCAGCACTTCTTGCCATGGTGTAGTATTCGGGAGTAAGATCGATGCCAGCCGGGGGCTGGGAGCTGGTGAAGAGGCAGACGAGGTAGTTCTCGATGTCGGGGGCGCGCTTGGCTTGCGCGAGCATCTAGAGGCGCGATGAAGGGTCAGCGGACGGCAACGCGACACGGGGCGGCAACAGGGCAAACTCGGAAAGGAGTTGAGGTTACTCACGAGCTCCGCATTCTTTTGCGCATTCTGGTCATGGCCGCTGAGTGAGTCCTTGAGACACAGAGCGAGCTGCCGCAGCGGCTCCTGCTGGGGTTCCCAAGACATTGTTCAGGTGTGTGGTGTCCGCGATTCCGAATCTCGCACGGTTGCTTAACACCGGAGGGGTAGCGTTGAATGATCCGCGGGGTAGGTCCGAGAGTCGAGATATAAAGCTTCACGCACCAGCAATAGTAGCTGAAAAGTCCAGCTTCTGGCGCGCATCCTCTCATTAGCTTGCGTTCAGAAGATGTAAAAAAAAATTTAAATAACATCCGAAGAGGCGGCGGGTACCAGTGCGACGCAAGAGAGATCATACCTTGGATGTCCTACTGTGCAACGAACATCTTTTCGAGAAACACAATTTTAGAACCTGGCTTTTTCAAATCGTTGTCGGCGTTTCCGTTTGACCGGCCGTGGAGCTTGCGGCTGGCCTGGGCGGCAGTGTGCAGAGCGGGCAGGCGTCGTTGAGGCACGAGCGGACGGCGCTGCGGCGGTTGTGTAACTGTGGGCGGGCGGGCGACCGACGATGACAGAGGCGAGCGAAGAACGAGCCGTGGGGCCCGGCGTCGGAGTGGAGCAGCGTGTTTCTCAGGACGAGTGTTGGCGGTGCGGTGGTGCGGGCTCGACAAAGACGTCGTCCAGCCAAGGCGGGCAAAGCAAGGGCGAAGTGGCCGCGCTACCAGAAATTTTGGCGCCTGGGAAGCTCGACGCGAGCACACACGTTGCTATTTGGCAGCCCACGCACGCGTTTGCTGCACGAGCGATGGACGTCTTATAACTTGCGCGAGCGCTGCCGCCGCTCTCACTGTTGCTGCTGCTGCTGCTGCTGCTGCTGCCGCCGCCGCCTCTCCTCCCGCCCGCCCTGTGCGGTGAGCGCGCGCCAGACCCCGGCAACCCGCCCTTGCCAGCGACCGCTCCGCTGCGTTCCAGCGCCCGCCCCAACACCGACATCGAAATAAGCTTGGGGCCACGGCAGAGGCACGGCGCGTGCGCTGCCGGTATTGGCGATGCTTGTACCCTAGTGCCGTTGGCTGAGGGTACACACGCTCTGCTACGGCGTCCGTCTGTTTGTTCTAGCCGGCCTAGCATCACTTCGCTATCCGGCGGCCTGCTCTGCGGCAGCAGATGGCATCGGTCCCTAACCATAAGCCTGCTGTCACAGCCGCCTAGCCTAATCATCCGGTCGAAAGGAGTTCGCCCAAGATGAAACGTGCTTCACGGATGCTTCGTCCGCGCCGAGCGGGATGGTGTGCTGTCCTGAAAAAAAGGCCAAGTGATGCTGGATGCGAACTTCACTTCATCAAGAACCCGCCAACAATGACTTCGCTTCGCCGGGTATGATGTTACGCGCTGCCCTCACTTGGCATGTCTGTTGCAGTCATACTACGACAACGATGCAAACACCCGCCGGCTAGCCCAGGCCACGCGAGCGACTCCTGAAAGGCGTCACACCGAGGCCCACTTCGGATGCAGGAACGCCGTAGGGATTTCTAAGATTCCCTGGTGCTGGGAGTGTGTCTGAGTATGAGAACAGCACCGAACCGTCGCGCATTCTTTTCATTTTGACCATTCCGCGCACTCCCGGAAATAGCTTCATGAGTACAACACCGCCTGGTGGCTGTGTTGTTTGCTTCTTGACAGGTTATAAACAACAACGGCATCGTCCGGATGCCCCTTCTTGTGTTCCTCGGCCACAATCACAAAACAGGCGGCTGAGATGTCCGGTCTCAGAGGACGGGCCGTCTGACGCATGACAGTGTTTCCTAAACAGGAAACTTTGCAGTTCGCGGCTGGATGTCGGGGTGATGCCCAGCCCAAGGCGGCGTGTTGCGTGTGGAGATTTGCACAGGGTTCATGGCGAATGCGGACCGGCAATGCTGTTGTACTGCGCTGACCATTTTCGCGGCGCAAGGCGAAACACCTCTAGTCGCTAGACGGCGGCTCTGCGCCCGACTTTGGCCGTCGGCATGGGGGCGGCGCGTGTAGTGGAGTGCGCGCGGCCGAGCAGAGGCGCGATCAGCGGCGGTGAGTTTGAGCTGCGTCGCGCTGCAAGATTGACGAGTGGACTGTAGGTATCTGACGGCCGTGGAGGCCCTGACATGGCGATGCATATTTAGCTACATGGGTGTGGCGTGCCATTGGGTGCGAGTCAGGTTGGCTGGGGAATGAGACGGCGGCACCGGCGCTGGCCCTGATACATTGTCGCACGTCCGCGGCGGCGGCGCGACAGCTTCAAGCATGGTCGACCAGCGCGTGTTGATGCGAGGGTCGCCCATTGAAGAAGCGCGCACGTGAGTGCTGGAACAGCCTAGTCGTTCCGAATTCCGCGCGTGCGGCTGAGCGGCGGTCAAGTGTTGGTGTTGGCAGTGTACCGGGTGGAGGTGGCAAGGCGTCTCGAACTCGCTTCGTCGTCGCATGCAAACGGAAGGGCGGGCCAGCGACAGCTCATGCGACGCTTCTCTGGACCAGACAACACCGTCTGCCGCCTTGTCACCACCGATCTCCGAGCTAACGCCTGCCATCTGCTGGAATCTTCTTCACCCTCTCACGATCTCGACAACGCCGCCTGCTGTCGATCTCGTGCCACTCGCTTGTCCTCTTGCGCGCGCTGACCCTGCCCCCGACGTCACATCTCTTCACTCCCGGCACCTGGTCCCCAGCAGCGGGGCGGACGTGCGGCACGACCGGAGTCACCCAACACCACCAGCGATCGCTCCTCACCACCAGCGCTTCCATCACCACAGCCGCCGCTCTACGCACGACCGGAGTAAGCGTCGCCACGATGCGGCTGCCCGACGCCGAGTTCCTTGCCGCGGTGCCCACCACCTTATCGACCCATGCCGCCCACTCACACCCGACCGCTGCCTCGTCGCCGCTGTTCCTCGCATCGCACCTCGAAGCAATGCAGGCGCCGCACGGCGGTGCCCCGAACACGCTGAACATCGACAGGATGAGTTCGACGGGGAAGGGGATCTTGGTGGGCATGATATCCGCCTTCGGCTCAGCCGCCTTTGTCGCCGTGGTTTTCGCAATCATCTACTTCTTCAGATACACCCAGCAAGGCAGGATTTTCTTGGATCGCATAGGCAGACCCGGAGAGTACGATGACGAGCAGGCCTTTCTTAAGGAGGAGGCCGAGGCGCTTGAGGAGATGGACGATCTGCAGCGCACCGAATACATGCGAGCGAAGGGTATGTCCACCCTGCCTTCTCACGCCATCAGGATGTGGACTGGCTATTACGCTGAGGTTACTAACTGAGGTCAACAGCGTTCATTCAAGCCAACCCTCCCGAGTCGGTGCAGACAGACATCTCGCTGTCGCAGTTCTTGGCGATCCAGGAGAAGGGTGTTTCAGCCTGGGAGTTTGAACCGGAACTGGAAATTGCAAACTGCTTTGTCGAGGGCCGCACGGAAGTCGAGTTCTTCGACTCGGAGTGCAGCGTGCAGAGTAATCTCCCGATTCCGAAGCAGAATGAGGTGTACTACTGGGAGGCAAAGGTCTACGATAAGCCTGAGAATACGACGATCAGCATTGGCCTCACTACCAAGCCTTATCCCCTCTTCCGTCTTCCAGGTAAGTTCGACGTATGAGCCTTCAACGGACGGCTTTAACTCCGGACCAGGCTTCCACAAGACTTCTATCGCGTACACGTCCCACGGCTCCCGGCGGTTCAACCAGCCCTTTACCCCCACTCCCTACGGCCCTTCTTACGTCCAGGGTGATGTTATAGGGGTTGGGTACAGGCCCCGCACGGGAACGATCTTTTTCACTCGCAACGGCAAAAAGCTCGAAGACGTCGCCCACGGTCTCAAGTCGCAGAACTTCTTTCCTACTGTCGGTGCTAATGGCCCGTGCCAGGTGCACGTGAATTTCGGACAGATGGGGTTTGTCTTCATCGAAGCGAACGTGAAGAAATGGGGTCTTGCACCCATGAACGGCTCGTTGGCACCACCGCCGCCGTACGGCAGTGAGCAGGGCAGCATTCTTTTGGAGGGTGGAAGAGAAGGCATCAGAGAAGGCATGGGGTACCTCGCAGCCGGTTACGCCCATGCAAGGAGAAGCAGCCAGCAGATGCGACTTGGAAGGAACCAGCCCACCAGCCCCGGTCCGCAACGATCTCCCACAGATATTTCCCTGGCCCAGCTCAGCCTGGTCGATTCCAACGAAGGAGATATAGGTGAAGGCACCAGCAATGCTGCTGGAGACTCGTTCTCGCCGTACGGCCAGGTTCCGCAAAGCTTGGCAATCCCTGTTGCTGAACCCCCGCCGGAATATGAATCTCCCCACGGAAGCCCTAGCACCCAAGCCAGCCACGACGGTGGCGTACCCCTGTTGGGACACAGGACTGAAGAACCCCCGATACCCACGTACGATGCTGCAATTGCGGATTCCCAAGCGGAGAGCAGGGGAAGGAGTGATACCCGTGGCTCGCGCTCATGACTTTGACGACAACAACCGGAACAACAACAACACTTGTACATTTGTTTGCACTGCGCTCGTTTGCTTTTGAGGCGGCCATGGAGAACCGGCGTTTTCATTTTTCTGATTTCTTAGCATTGCTGCGGTCGCGGCTGGAGGCTTGTCTGATACAGGAGTATTCCTGCTTTGAGTTTGGCAAAAGGAATTGTGTTTCAAAGGTGTCCAAAGGCGTGAGATACCACAGGAGGGAAAGGTTGGCAGTTTGTGCAGAGATTCAAGCTGACAGCAAACATGCTCATGACCGCTGGATAGATGTCATTGGTGTTTTTGGATCGAGTTTTTTTTCTCGCTCGCACTCATCTCCCGGGAACTCCTTCCCTCTGCTTCGCTCCATTCCTTTTCTCCCTTTCCTCTCGTCACAGCACATACCTAAAATAAAGGTTTTCCCTGTCTGTCAGATCCTTGAAAGCAAGTTTGTCTCTTTCTTCTTCGTCGATTGCTTGTGCATCTCGCCGCCTGTTTTCTCTGCGCAGAACAAGGTACAGAATCGCAGCGGCTACTATGACTATGCAGTAACTTTGGCCATCCCAGCCACGTCAGCACTCAAGAAAGTGGCTCAGATCAGAATCTCGCCAACTGGGGTAAGGGGGGAGGGGGTCGAAGAGAGGGCAGTCGTCCAACTTACCAGATGATCAAGCCCAACCACAATTCCGGGTAATGTCTATCCTTGGTCTGGCTCTTGACGAGCTGGGGCCCGACGATGTTGCCGACGCAGTAGGCGACGAAGACAGCGGCGGCGACGGTGCTCTTCTTGGTGGCACCGGCGACGTTGGAGATGGCGATCGTAATGACCAGGCTGACGACGGCGCCGAAGGTTCCGATGATGGAATAGCCGGCGACCGGGGTGGCGGCGCGGTGCGTCCAGGCGGAGCGCCAGATCATGGCGCAGCCGGCCATGACGGGGAGGCAGTTGAGCACGAGCAGGACGAGGCGCAGGTTACGGAAGCGGGACGACAGCCAGCCGGACAGCAGGATGGCGGCGAGGCAGACGCCGCCGAGGGGGAACTGCAGCAGGATAGCCTCGAGCGGCGAGTAGCCGAAGGTGCTGACGATCAGGGGGCCGAAGCCGGACACGGCGCCGTTGACGGTGTAGGCGGCGGCCATGATGACGAAGACGAGCGGCGTCTTGACGTCCCGCAGCAGCGCCTCGACGACCTGGCGGCCCTTGACGGCCGTGCAGCGCGTCCCCGTCGCGCCGCGCCGCAGCCGCTCGACGGCGACGCGCCGCTCCTCGGCTCGGCGCAGGAACCATGCGGTGGCGGGCGAGTCGGGCACCAGGGCCCAGCACCAGGCGCCGAAGAGGATGGTGGCGGCGCCGGCAGCGAGGTAGAGGTACTGCCAGCGCTCGAGCGGCGTGTGGCTGTCGTCGATGCTGCCGAAGCCGTAGTTGAGGGCGGCGCCGACGATGGTGAAGAGGCCGGTCGAGGCGAACCAGATGCTCTGCCGCAGGGCCTGCTCGCGCTGCGCGTAGAACGAGGACACGATGCACGTGAAGCCCGTGGGCACGACCGACTCGAGGAAGCCGAGGAAGAAGCGCTGCACGTACAGGCCGCGGTAGGTCGTCACCCCCGCGGTGCTCATGCACACGACGCCCCAGAGCACGATGACGGCGCCCAGGGTGCGGTTCTGCTGCGGCAGCCGTTGCAGGATGAAGGTGAGGGGATAGAGCCCCGCTAGCATCCCGAAGTAGAAGAGCGACGTCGCCCAGCTCAGCCGCGTCGAGTCGGTCGTGGCTGGCTGGCCTGGACCGGTCGACGGGTGTGTGACGGTGAGTTGGAGCGTCTTGGACATGCCCAGCAGGGCGGCGGACCCCAGGATTGCTTTGTCATAGTAGACGAGACCGTAGCCTTGGGGAGGGAGATGGTTAGCAGGGTTTCCGTAGCATTCACCGAACAGTGTTGCAATGGTGAGATTGCGGGGCAACCATGTCAATGGTGGTGGTGGTGGTAACGCCAGACGTGAAGGCAGATACACAACATCTGCCTGGCTAGCAGAATCGGGCAATACGATCTACAGGGTTTCGTGTTCAATGATTCGAAGGTGGACCACGAAGTGAAAAAGCAAGGCACGCTCCCGCCGCAATTGGACGTCATATCACCGCCTGTACCAAGGGCATTCTCGTCTCCTTCAATTCGTCGACGGGGACGTACCTATGATCATGGTTGGCATCAGGAACCAATCGATCTTGCGCAGCACCCGCGCCTCGACCCGCGGGTCGTATTCCTGCGCCCGCTCCCCAACCACCGTCAGCCCGACATCCTTGTCCTTGTCGAAGGCCGCCGCCGGTTGCGGTCCAGCCGCCGCGCCGGAAGTCGCCGCCGCCGGACCGTGTGATCGCCCGCATGCTCTGCTGCCGCTGCCGCCGCCGCCGCCGCCGTCACCCGCAGCCGCTGCGGAGGAAGACGAAGACGATGAGATGGACGCGCGTAGTGCGGTGCCGTGGCTGCGGTTCCGATCTTGGCCCTGCTGCTGGTGCTGACCGGCGCTGCTGCTGCTGCTGATGCGGCGGGCATTGTGTTCATCACCGCTGCCGCCGCCGCCAGGTCCGGTGGCGACTGCGGAAGCGGGTGCGGCAGCCTCTGCGGCAGCGGAAGCCTCTAAGCTTGCGGATTTCTCCATATGCTGCTCGTGATGAAAGAGGATGTGACGGAACGAGAGCAAGCGCAGACCGGGATTGGGAAGGGGGGGAACCAAAAAAAAGAAAAGAATTCAGACAAGGGGGCAACGTGATGAGATACAAGATAGGTGTTTCTATCTAAGCGCGTGCGGGTAAGAAGGATTCCTTGTCTCCTGCGATATCGCTCCGATCCGGGTTGAAGTTTTTTTTTTTCCGTTTTGGCCGCGGCAATGACCGGTTTGGGACCGATCACTATCATCTGACTATATCGCCATTCCGAGTGGTGGGCTCTCTTCCTGCAAGCCTTCAAGGAGCGTGGGAAGAAAAACCCCGCAGGCTACAGGGATAGTGGCGTGTTGAGGCGTTTTCTGGGTCATCGAAAAATGTCGTTGCCGCATATCCGTCCTGCATCGGGCCGGTGGTGAGTCTTACGTGCATACACCGGATGAACCGTGTCACCGGGACCTTTTATTTTTTTTTTTTGGGCCGAGCATGGTTGTTCAAATATTCAGATCTACTTTGTCTTCGGTTTGCCCAATACCAACCGCCGGAGAAGAATTAGTGTGATGACAGATCTCGGCCCAACCCTTCTGCCGAAAGTCAATCTCCATCCTGCAGCTTTTCGTCATAGAGCAGCCGAATTAGGCCAGCCGCGATAACCTGAGCCTGAGTAGTGGTAGAACATTGACATCCACTGCGGGTCCTGCAAAGCATCATCTCAACAAGCTGAGGCCGGCAGGTGGGGTTGCAGGAAAGAAACGATATCTGCACAAACGCTTCGAGTGATCATGTAGTGAGAATGTGAAAAAGAATGCATTTGTTGATTAACCATGAGACCTTTTCTCGAAACGCCGCCAGCAAGTGCCATAATACTCATGAATAATTACCGCCACGATGCATACAAACATTACAGTCTGCCGCCTCCAGGACGAATCCCTCTTTGTCATGCCCAATACAAACCAATCAGAAATATTCACTTTTTCCTCCACAATACTTACCCAGACCTTATGATAGCATCTGCTCGCTCCCGCGGCTATTCCTCCTCGTCTCTAGCATAGTCGATGACCCCCGACTACCCGACCTCGATTCGAGCACATAGCCCGACCCCCGACTGACCGTCCTCGACTCCAGCATCTGGCTCGACCCATGACTGCCCCTCCTCGTGGGCTCCAGCAGATGTGATGAGCCCCTACTGCCTCTTGCCGCCGCATCGTGAAGCATGTTCGATGAACCTCGGCTGGTCCGCCTCTGCTCCACCATCGTCATCTCGGCGTGCTCTCCACGCATCTCGGCCTCGAGATCCGACCGGCTGACCTGCCTCCGCTGGTGCTTTGCCGCCACCGCCGATGGCATGACGCCAACCTGAGCCAAGCGTCCCTGCCGCTTTTGTTCCTGCGCCTGTTCCTTTTGTTGCTGCTGCTGTTGCTTCTGCTGGCGTCTCTCACTCGGCGACATCAGCGGCGCCATGCCGTACCAAGCGATAGCCACCATTCCCAACGCGGCGGAGATGCAGCTGAAGACGAGCGCGACGATGCCTCTCGCGGTGAAGCCTGAAGGGAGCGGTGCCGGGCTCTTATTTTCACCGGACAAATCAAGGTAGTTGATGGTATTCCCGGCGGCGTTTCCTGCGGTGGGTGTGTCGGCAGCGAGGCAGGCACGCCAATGATCAGGAGGAATGTTGTTGCTAAGTGAGGATTGTAGATCAAGTGGGGCCTCGACCATCGTGGCGACGAGACCTGAAGCGACGTGCCTATAGTCGGGGGAGGTAGTCAGCAAACGCAGCACGCGGGAGTGACGGAACCTTACCATTCGATATGACAGTGAAAAAGCCAGACGCCAGGATTGTCGGCCTTGAACCTCAATACGATGTTGCCGTTTGGGTGAACGAGGAAAGTATCACGGCGCATGGGCTTAGATGGGAAAGTCTCATTTCCAACGTAGGAGCCGGCCTCCTCTTGAGAGCGAGCCACTGCTTGGAAAGCGTGGCCGTGCAAATGGAAGGGATGCTTGCCGGAATCATTATTGTTCAGAATGATCTCGACAACCTCATCCTTGCCCAAGACGAAAGAATTCGTGTTGGTGCCATAGATGACGGGGTCGGTAGCGTTGTCCCCAGTGGACAGCACGGTGTAGAGCGTCGGGACCTTTGGCTCGACGTACGTCACATTATTGAAGAAGGCGCTGGATGGGTGAGTATTATTTCATGCTTGGGAGGGTCTTCGGGCACTTACTAGTTTGCTCCATCCCCGAGGTTATCCATCTTCATGTCTAGCGTTATGGAATGATCTACACGGTCGTACAACGCCATACCGTCCTGCGGCACGAGCGAAAAATCATCGAAGGGATCGTACTCGCCGATCTGCAGAGGCGGAAGGTTTGCGTTTCTGTTGTCGTAGACAAGCCATCCGGTGACGTTGTTGTTGAGGGTTGAAGGAACAGTATCAAAAAGATCCTGCAACTAGTCAGTGGTGATATACGTCGATAGTGTCGCTACTCGTACCTCATCCATGCTTCCAACAAAGGCGTAATTGGAGTTGGTGTCGTTCTTGGCTGTGATTATCACGCTGTAACGTTGAGCGGCAGTGATGTAGAGTCTTTCGGCATCTGCAGGCTCTGTGTAGATGCCATCGACTTCGACAATACTCATCGTATGTCCCTCGAACCAAACGTACTGCGCAGCGAAAGCCCCAATGTTGATCAGACGGAACATGTACCTTCTTCCTGGAGTCATGTGGAAGGTGAGGTTCTGGGTATCATTCATCAATGCTGCATTGGGAACCGGCTCTGCTCCAGTGGGATTGGTGACACTGATGAAGCCTTTTAAAAGAGTCGGCATACGGTCATGGTACCAGTCAGAGAAGGTCAAGATGACCTCCTCGTCATAGTCATCCTTGAACGGACTATCAGGATCTCTGACAATGAAAGGTCCACGAAAGCCGTCAGGGTATTGTCCACGGTTGTGAGAGTGATACCTGAACTAAGGTCAGTACCAATGCTTGCGGATGCTGACAGTCACTCACCAGTAGGTCCCGGGCTGGTCAACCTATAAATGTCGTCAGTGAAAGTTCCCGCCCAGTCGAGGACAGGATCGTACGGTAAAGTTATAAGTGAAGGAGCTTCCAGGCGGGATTTCGCATTGGGTGACCCCAGTCGGGCCATCCATGTGATTCGTGCCGTTCATGTAGATACCATGGAAATGCAAGCTGGTACTCTCGGACTCGAGTTGGTTGTTGACGTTGACGATGACACGGTCGCCCTTGGTGACGTCGATGGCGGGGGGAGGCCACTGGCCATTGATGCCGATGGTGTCGCGACGATGAGCTGCATCAGGATTGGCCGCGACCCAGGTCACGTTGAAATCATAGGTAACTGTAGCGGCGCTGCTGCACAGTGCAGCAGCAAGCAGGAGGAGCAAAGAACAGGGCATGGCTGGGTATGGAGGGAGCCTCGTCGCGATTACCCCTCATATAGCGAGATGGGGTAGCGGCAGCGGGGCAGATTGGCGGGCGGATGGAAGGCGCTAGGGGCGCCGGGGATGCAAAGTCCAGACGGATGGAGGAAGAGTGTGGTGTGGATCGGGGCGAAGGGAGGTCAGAGACGGGCGGTGGTTGATCGATTAGATCTGATGGGGATTGCACAACGGCGGGTGATACGGCAGCTCACTGCTGTGTCAGACGGTCCAGGCAGGGACCAGGCAGGCCAAGGTGCCCAGAGAGCTGGCTGAAGCTTAATGGACAAATGCCGCAGAGGTAGTGGGTGGGCCTATGGGACGGGCAGGATCAGATAAGGAGCATTGATATGCGGGCCAGGCGGCCTGGCGGACGCGGGCGGCGGTGTGGGCAAGTTAGCGGGAGCCGGCCTGAAGAATGTCGATTCCAGCCGGGGAAAAACAAACGAAGGCGGGTGGCTGGTGGCGAGGCCAAGCGCTTGTGATACGACGAGCGATATCCGGCGTTCCAAAAGCTTCGTATGCGACCGCTATTATAGAATGCTGATCGAGCACTGACGCAACCTGACCCTGCATGCATTGCCAATCGTGCAGGAATGAGTGGGGACGAGATATTGGGGATTGCACCCATATTGCGGGTCGGCTGATCCAAAGGCGTGCGGTGAAGCAAGCAACAGTCAAGGTTGGGGAGGAGGCAAGCGGGTGCGGAGGTGGACACGGGCTGCCCTCGGCCAGTGCGCTAATGCACCGACCTCCACAACTGGCTTGACCCTTGCGGCATGCTGTCTCAAACACACGCCATGGCTTTTAAGAACCGCCTCCTCTTTTTATCAAGCCCAGGTAATCGCTATCTGATCCGCCCGAGCCTCCCTTTCCCTCAATTTTGACCCAATTGCTCGTGCAGCCACAATGGTGAATGTGTTTGCCGTGCCCGGTTAGTCCGCCGCTGGAGGAGGGCCGCCCATCTGCTGACGACTCTGCAGTCTTCTTCATTTGCATGCGCGAATGCCTCGAGACGAGCATCATCGTCTCTGTCCTGCTGTCGTTCCTCAAGCAGACGCTGGGCTCGGAGCATGACCCCCAAACGTACAAGCGTTTGGTCAAGCAGGTGAGTCGCATTTTTATCTCATGCCCATGGGCCCGAGCTGAACGGACTGCAGGTGTGGAGTGGAGTGGGAGCCGGCCTATTCATCTGCCTCATCATCGGCGGCGGTTTCATTGGCGCTTTCTACGGCGCCGGACAGGACTATTTTGCCAAGACCGAAGACCTATGGGAAGGCATCTTCAGTCTGATCGCCACCGTCATCATCACTGCCATGGGCGCGGCCCTCCTTAGGGTGTCCAAACTGCAGGACAAATGGCGCCGCAAGCTCGCAAAAGCCCTCGAGGCCAGGGAGAGCATCAAGACGGTGAATAAAGGCCGTGTGAAGGTTTGGGCTGAGAAGTACGCCATGTTCCTTCTTCCCTTCGTGACCGTCCTGCGCGAAGGACTTGAGGCGGTCGTTTTCATTGGCGGCGTCAGTCTCGGGATGCCAGCCGAAAGTTTCCCACTGGCTGTCGTCGCCGGCTTGGCTGCAGGCATCGTAATCGGCTACCTCATCTACAAGTGAGTCCATGACCTCGGCGACCGCGTAAGCTTGCTCACACAGCCATACAGGGGAGGCAACTTTGCATCGCTGCAAATCTTCCTCGTCATCTCTACCTGCTTCTTGTACCTGGTCGCAGCCGGCCTGTTTTCCAAGGCGGTGTGGAGTCTCGAGATGCACCGCGTAAGCAAGCCCTTCTCCGCGTGGATTCGTATGATTCGTATTGACTTTGCTCAGTGGAGCCAGCTTACCGGAGGCGACGCAGCGGAGACCGGATCTGGCCCCGGCTCATACGACATCCGGCAGAGCGTGTGGCATGTGAACTGCTGCAACCCGGAGATCAACGGAGGCGGCGGCTGGGGGATCTTCAACAGCATCCTAGGCTGGCAGAATTCGGCGACGTACGGATCAGTCATCTCGTACAACCTCTACTGGGTATTTGTGATGGTGACGTTCATCATCATGCGCCATGTCGAGAAGGGCGGGCGCGTGCCGTTCGTGAAGAGCAAGCCAACTCCGCCGCGGGACAACGAAAGTGAGCCGGGAGTGCGAGACAGCACCGCGTTCGGCAAGGCCAGTGCTGGCGGGGAGGGAGCACCGGCATCGACCAATGTGCGAGAAATCCACGAGCACGGAACGCGTGATTCCTATAGAATCTCGTCGCATTCCCGACTGTCGGTCTTGACCGCTGATCTCCGCCAACACTAGCCGGTCGGTGCGCTGATCATGGGTGATGTTAACGTTCTTCATGAGTCTTTCATCGTAACGAATTGGCTGTTTAATGTATATGTGAGAAATACTGTATTGGCGTGAGGTCTGTTGATGTCTCACCTTTTCTGCGAGCCGCTCTTCATGTCCAGGCCAGAATGTGGCTCTGCATAAGCAGAGTGAGCACGTGGTGCTGAGGCAGTGGTGGCATGAGTGGGCGGTGGTGCGGGGCAGTGCACTGTTGGAAGGCAGACGTGCGGTCGAGTCCGGGTGTGCCTTATCAGCCTTATCGCCTTACGCTACTACGGCAGGCCGAGGTTCTACCAGGCCAGTCGGTGACGTGAGTCGTTTTCTGCTCCAGGCTCCTTGCCTCTACAATTCTGCCTTTTGCTCTTCTGCTCAGAGTTTTTCCACCATGAACTGGCCGTATCCTTGAGTCGTCTCGTGCAACGCCTCCGATCTCGCTCTGCTAGTGCCCTCACTTCACCTACATCCTCAACCATGACCCGCGAGTCGCTCTTTGGCGCGCCTCCTGCCTCGCCCGCAGCTCCGACTGTGAACAACAAGGAGGATGCACAAGCCGAGGCAGGCCCCACGGTCGTCTCCGATAGTGGTGACTTGCTCCTGCGTGTGAAAGAGGATGACGACCAAGAAGGATTCTTGTACCGCGTCGAATCCAATCGCCTCCGTGAAGCTTCTTCATATTTTGAGAAGCTTCTCAGCGGTGGTTTTAGCGAGGCTGCTAACGTTGCCGTTCACCATGAACGTCTCCGCAAGCAGTACTCGACCATGGCAGACGTTCCTCTTGACGAGCTGCCCGAAGTCACCATCGTGGACATTGGGAGAACCTCCAAGGTCAGCACCATCAAGCTTATAACGGCCGACTTCCTTCGAGCTCTCCACAAGCAGCCTCTCGGAAACGGAAAGGATGCTCCCCCCGTCACGAATATGGCCAATCTCGCAATCGTCGCCGACCGTTTTGACGCCCTGGACACGTTCTCGCAGTTTGTACACCAGAGGAAATACTTGCAGATGATAGACGCAAAGACAAAGGGAAAGACTGCCGCAAGCTTACCAGAGGAGCGGGTGCGGCAAAAGCTCTTAATTGGCGCGCTGTTGAACTACCCGCCGTGGACCAAGCTGTACAGTAAACGGCTGATATTGGGCGGTTCCGAGCGATGGAACAACGAAGCCATCGAGGAGTCTGGAGGTGCGCTATGGTGGGACATCTCAACTGGCATTGAAGGTAAGAAGTTACTCGACAAGGGCGCACCCTAGGCACACTCATGGCTGTTCCCAAGGCTCTGGATTGTAGCCCCCTGCCCGTTCCACATTTCGATCCGCTGACGCCTTGTAGACGAGCTTGTCTTTCGCCGCCAATGCATTTTGGACACGATAAACTCACTACAAAACCATTTCATCAAGATGTATACCTCAGGCCAACGACAGTGCAGGCTCGGCTATGACTCGTCAGCCCAGTGTGATGTCTATCAACTTGGAGAGATGATTCGCTTTTTTACTCGTGTGGGTACATTGCGGCTTGACTCCGCCATTTGTGGCTCCGACGCGACAGACGACTACCAAGGCGACATTTCTCGGCTGATGGATTCTTTGCGCCAATGTCCCTCGTACCAAATCGATACCAACCACTCTCACTGCGGCCTGCGGACTAAGATCATCCCGCTTCTAGACCACATACAAAGCTGCCTTGGTGGTAATGGCACACAGTATGACTGTGGGATCTGTGGCGAATGTTGGCGTGAGCGTAGAACGGAATACGCCTGGTCGCGGGCAAAGCGACCCGTATTGTGGAGCATACGCTCTGCTGCTCCGCGGCCAGGCCCTAGAGAGCCGCATACAAAGGAGAATTGCCTGCGACGTCATGCGGCGATTCGAGACATGTTCATGGCTGCTGAACGCGACTGGTCCGCAGCTGACAACCTGGCGGCACGGCCGTTTGGGACATGGTCAGTTGACCGGAAAAGCGCATAAAGAGGCGGCAGTGTAGCTGACCCGGCTGCGGGCAGATGTTCTCACCTTTTTCCTTTTTCTTGTCAATTCTGGGTTCGCACAGCGTGTTAGAAAGGTAGATATCAGGTGGCTTGCATGGGTTCGCCGTAGGGCTGGACCCACCCATCGGCACTGAGTTCCGAACGTGCTACACCAAGATGAGGATTTAGACGACAGGGGCGAAATTGGCAATAAATGAGTGGCTGAGCTCAGCCGAAAGCGGTGGGGCTGTGTCGCCTAAGGCAGAATTGTGTGAGACCAGATTCGCTTGCTGAGCCCCCAAGGCTGCCATCCCAGAGGCGGGGCAGCGAAAGGCTGAACAAACACCACACCCCACCTACACTTCGCCCCCCTCGGGATAGGAGGCTGAGAGCATATGCGTGCTACGATTACACAGTGTGACTAAAGCGAAGGCCTACATCGGGGCACACTCAAGGCAGACAGTTATCAACACCAAGAGCCAATTTGAAACGTATAAAGACCACACGTTGGTATGTTGTTTGGTTCACCATACCACGGAAGGGCGCCCTCACCTGACATCACAATTTTTCAATCATTGCCGCTTGCCGTGTTTGCCCGCGTGCCCCTTCCGCTTATTTAAGCTTTGCAGTATGACCACTTCAACCGTTTTCCACCTGCTCCACGACAACTGTGCGCAAACATCACATTCCGTTCGCCGATCATCCACCATGGACCGCAGAGAATCCATTCTCGGAAGCTTAAAACACAGATTCTCTCGAGGAAGCGCAAAGGACGCATCTGCATCCGCACCTTCACGCACTAGGAGTTTCAAGTCTGTCATGTCGGGAAGCCAGAGACAGACAAACGACAATCCCTATGCTCAGTCTGCACCTCCAACACGCCGTCCAGGTGCGCATCTTCACACTCCCTCTGCTGAACACGACAGCTGACTGAAAGCCCAGATCGCCCTGGAATGAACGCCTTGACAACCCCCGCCACTGAGCCGCCACCCGCTTATTCGGCAACGCCGCAGGGCGGCAACACCACAGCCGCCACCGCCCCTATGATGCCCAACTCCGCCGCACCCGCGGCGATCCCGGCCGATGATCGCTACGCCTTCCTCAGCTCATTCGACACCGTCTTCTTGATTGACGACTCCGGCAGCATGGCGGGCCGCTCCTGGCGCGAGACGGGCAAGGCGCTCGAGACCATCACGCCCATCTGCACCGGACACGATGCCGACGGAATTGACATTTTCTTCCTTAACCACCCGGATAACCCCTATCACCACAACGTCACGCTGCCGTCAACCGTCACCGAGATCTTTACTACCGTGCGCCCCCAAGGCGGCACGCCCACTGGCCAGCGCCTCAACCAGATCCTTAAGCCTTACCTTCAGCGCGTTACTGCTGACCAAGATAATACGAAGCCGCTAAACATCATTGTCATCACGGACGGTGAGCCTAGCGACGATGTCGAGAGCGTTATCATCAATGCCGCGAAGAAGCTAGACAAGTGTGACGCTCCCGCATGGCAAGTTGGCATCCAGTTTTTCCAAGTCGGTCGCGAGCCGGGCGCGAAGGAGCATTTGAAGCAGCTGGATGACGAACTGGCTGAGCTGGCCGGCGAGGAGGACCTCAGGGATATTGTCGACACTGTGCCGTTTACAGGCCAAGACGATGCCGAGTTGACTGCTGAAGGAATCCTGAAGGTTGTACTAGGTGCTGTCAACCGCCGTTTGGATCGCAAGAGATCGAAAGACTTGCACAGGTGACGGGAGAAGTTCTCAAACTTTTACAAAAACTTCTTGATACTTCCGGTTAGATTTTTTCTAGGGCCTGCCCCAGGAGCTCTTCTTTTCTTATATGTAAATTTTTTTACCTCCTCCTTTGGGAGCTCCTTTGGGGGTTTTGACAGCATGATACCTTCCAGGATCGATCCATTGAGCTGGATCCACTTCTTTGAATTTGAGTTCCAGTCTTGGAATACGGTTAGTGTTTATTACGTAGATTTCTTGGGCAGAGGTAATAAATTTTCATCTCAATCAGATTTTCTTCTCTGGATGACGCATTCAGAATGCTTGCCACGGCCCGCTGCCATATATGTGGTGTGGATACTCATGGAGCATAGCAGAACTATTGCCGCGTAGGACATAAACTTTTCCGGTAAGCACTGGGATTTCAAAACGCCCTCGATTATTCACTTACGAGGATTATGCTCAATTCAACGCCGAATGCATTACCACAGTATTCATTGGTGAAGGTGCCAAGCAAGATAAGGACCAATTGGGCTAGGCGCAAGTACTGACTTAGTAAGCGTGTTGTGGCCCACATGGTCTACGCGCCTCGCGTCCGGCTCGACAAAACTTCTTCAACTCCGCGTGTTCATCGACTGCGCCGCACACGCCTCGCCACCGTTCGGCATGTGTTCTCCGCCTTTATGCTTTCCTCCTTGACTCCGCGACTGCCGTCATGGAGCCTGCCTCGTCGAGAGCTCTCGGGATTGCCCATGTCATTGCTAACATCCTGCACCAATCAAAGGACCATCAGCTTCTCGGCCGAGGCAGTATTGCTTCGCTGTGCAGATATGTCTCTGTGAACAAGCTGTGGGCCGATGAGGTGACTGAGATGATATGGGCGGAGCTCTCCACCCTTGAGCCGCTTGAATGCGTTAAGGCCGAGCGCCGGCAGTACTACGCAGGGAAAATTCGGACGCTGAGAGTCACCTTGGATCCGCGTTCGCCTCCAGCCACGGCGTGCCTTTCGGCTCTGGAGCTACCGCGCCTAAGAGAGGTGGAATTGATGTTCCATTACGACGCGACTCTCCAGCACATTCCGCCAGTCTTAACGCCCAGGCTTCGCTCCGTCGCGGTGAATTGCTCTCATCGGTGCCTGTCGCGGGCTACTGAATATGCCATTCAAGCCATCATAGTAAGTGCGCTATTCCAATTGATTTTCAATGCATCATTTCCTCGCTGTCGGCCTGTTCACTTCTGAAAAAGCAATTGATATTGTGGCTATTGCTTGTATGGAATCGTTCCTGCAACGTGACTGCCCTGGGTCGGCTTGTCGTCCCTTTGTACGCTGATCGCATAATACAGGTGCGATGCAAGCATCTCGAGACATTCAAGTACACCGGACCGTCGCATCATCTTGTGCCGGAAAGACTGTTGGATCTCTTCATGAGTCAGCAGTCAACTCTCTCAGAGATCCGGATCCACATGGCAGACTCACTCACCCACAATGGGTTTTCTGAGGACCTTGTTACTTATCTCGCCGAACAATCCGTGGTTCGGAACATACGCGCCCCGCAGTTCAGACTTCACGCTCCACACAATTTCACCATTACTGATCCTTTCCAAGCATTGGAGATGCTTGACATCAAAGCTGATTACAACTCATTGTATGCCATCAGTGCTTCTCTCCCTGAACTAAGGACGCTTCAGATCAACTTGGTCCGTTGCCAGACTCTCGCATCTGAACCTTTGGCTCCCATTCTTTCCCGCCTGGCCACGAGTACCAAACTTGAAGTTCTGAAGATCGAACGGCGTTCCCAACCACGCGGAGGCAATTCGGAGATCCAGACTCCAGTGACCCTTTCAGGCACCGCTTTTGCAGAGTTTGCCGAAAGCTGCCGAAATTTGCGCAAATTTTGCCTTGAGATCCAGCCTGGCATGGTCGCTGAAGACTTCAACGCCTCGCATCTCCGGCAGGCAGCATCATCTCTTCAATATCTTCAAGAGGTTGGGCTGTTCTTGACGCCTGAGTCTAGCTGGTTAGCAGCTACAGCTGTTTCCATATTCGGGGAGTCTTGCCCGGACCTGGAGTGTTGCCATATCCTGGGAGAGTTCACCGTCCTTGACATTGACTGGGAGACTGAGATAATATTCCCAAAGCTTCGAAGGCTCAGCCTGAACCAAATCAGGGGATACCAAACGAACTGGTCTCTTGACATATTGGATTCCAAGCTTCGGAGAAAGTTTCCTCGCCTCGAGCTGTTACAAGTAATGAAGGCCTTTCCAGGCCCGCTCTCCGCCGGCGCTTCATATCTCTACGATGTGCCACAGGTGCCTCGTAGCGATCCCTCCAGTTGAGAGCGGCCCCATGGATGGCAGTTGTCTCGTGCCTCGCTCGGTCTTCAGCCTTCAATCTGGAGATCTTGAGCTGGATACACAATTGTGTAAGAGACAAGAGCAAACTTCGACGATCTTTGAGTACGGAAACGCCGGGACTTGTCCAGCGGCGAACTCGTAATTAATCAGTCGGAACATGCCCTTTCTTGGTTTTAGAACCTTCGTTCTGGCAACTTTCTGATCGTTGCTCGGTGCAAGTTGTTCATGTGTAACCATTTTTGTGTGGCTTGGATTGTTATACCATGGCATTTTTGAGATGCAGCTACACCATTGGATCCAAGCGTGCCTTTTGTTTTTTCAGACCTTAGATTACAGTCGATAGACTAATCTCTCCAGAATTTTTCAAGAATTTCTACAAATGCTGGTGTGTTTTGTGAAGACAAGCCAGTGTGCGACCGAGAATATGATAATGACAGAGCAAAACCACTTGCTTAAGGATAACTCGCTTTTGTCGTCTGATGAGTGGATCCAGTGAATGGTGAATTTCAGTCAGCAACGAATTAAATAGATAAGTAAGCAGGTCGCCTTCGGACAGGCGATGGACAGATCTGGGAACAGATACACGCCCGTAACACGATCGAGTTGGAGCTCAAGTGGCATAGGCGTAGAAGCTTGTCAGACTAGGGCGTCGTGGCCCGCAACCGCGGCCATGGGTTGCAATTCCAGGTAGCTGATCCCTGTCGCAAAGGAATACGGGCTCATTCATGGTCGGTGCGGACGTGTCACATCGTCGCCGCCGTTGAGCGCAAAGCGGAATTCCTGACGACCTGGTTGCGCGACCTGAGACAAGGCTCTGCGATGCGATGGTCAGCGCCGGTTATCGTGCTGTCGTTTTTCTTATTCGTACATCAATGAGCGTTCTGAGTGGCTAAGGCTGAGACAAGGTTCGCTTGCTGAGCCCCCGAGGCAGCCGTCGCAGGGGCGGCGCAGTGAAAGGCTGAACAAACACCCGGGGATCGTATCCTTTTGTCATTAGATCTATCTTGTTGCTGACCGCATTTGCCCACCTGCCCCTTCCACTTATTTAAGCACTCGACGCATGTCCATTGTCACCAATGCTTCAACGCGGGCCACACTCTTTTTCCGCACTCATCCGATCCAAACGCGCGACGGACTCAAGCAAGGCCACTCCACCAATCAACTTCCACCAATGGCAACCTGGTCTAACGAAGCCATCATTACCCTCATCGCTCTCATCCTCCTTGTCGTCCAGATGGTCACACATGCCATCCACTTCTTTTACAACCATCGCCAGCGCACCAGATCCTTCGATGGTCAGTTGCTCAGCACTGTTGAGGAAATGACCCTTTGATTAACTGCTTACCTCCACAGTCTTTGAAACCCACGATCGCTTCTTGATATACTTCGCATGGGATGGTCAAGGTCGATGGGTGTTGAATGTCGAGGAACGGTCCATGTCACCGTGACACGGTAAGCCTTACAGTCACTTGAGAAGTAGTTACCATGTATTAATGAGAGCTAGAGCTGTCTTAGAGGGTACGGGAAGCAGTGAGGAAGTGGTATCTGTAATAGTACGTCAATATTGCTGGGTATACTCAAGTGTTGTCACGGCTCTTGGAAGCATATATTATGTAAGTACCGGCTTCCTTCTCCCCGCTCCCCCAACGCGATGGCGATGCGAAATGTTAATGATGCAAACATAGCTAATCAATCAATTACCTAAACGCCCATGCCAAGTGCCCTCCCATCCCATGCAGTCACTCATAACGGTTCATCCCCAAACCCGCCCCCTATCTCCTCCATCGCCTTCACCTCTTCTCGATCTTCCTTCAAAACCCCGCCGCCCTTCCCGCCCTCCTCTTCTTCCTCCTCACCAGCCGCCCCCTCATCCACCACCTCATCCACCGTCTCCTCCAAGCTCTGGCGCTTGAACATGCCCGAAAACCGCACGATCGTCGGCCTCCTCGCCCTCCGACTCACGGCCGAGCCGCCGCCTTCATCCGGAGTCCAAGTAGGCATGCGCGAATCGAAGGCGCCCAGGCTGCTGCTCCTCCGCCTCCTGCTGGGCCCGCTGATGCTGCTGCCGCCGCTGCTGCTGCTCGTGCTGGCGCTGCTGCTCGACAGGCGCTGCGACTCGCGGCGGGCCACGTCCTCGGTGCTCGTGGCGCTGCTCTCCGACATCTCCCTCAGCACGCTGCGGATCTCGTGCACGGAGGAAGGGGACGAAGTGCCCGCCGCGTCGTCGCCGAGGGGCCAGCTCTTCCTCGCGCCGGTACCACCGGGACGAACACTGCTACTACTACCACCGTCGTCGCTTTCTTCGCCCGCGGCCTGCTGTGCGATGAACCGCGCCACATCTATCCCGCCCGGCGGAATCCGCAGCATGTAATCGTCGCTCCTGCTCCTCTGCGCCCTGGCCCCGCCGCTGCTGCTGCTGCCACTACCGCTACCACTACCACCACCACCACCACTCTGGGACTGCGACCCACCACCACCTCTACCGGCAGCAACAGCAGCCCCTTCGCCGCCGTAGCCGCCCTGGTATCCCGAACTGCTTTCGTACGCCATGGGCTCCTCGAGCACCATGTCCGGGTACTCTGGCTCCGCGCAGTCGTCCCACACCTCGTTGAGCGCGGCCAGCAGCAGCCGCGGGTCCGCGCTCTCGGCCTGGCGGTCAAAGGCCTCGTACACGGCGCGGTCGCGCCGCTGGTGGTGCCGCGACTTCTCCCTCTTCAGCCTGCCCGTCGACAGCTGACGCAGGTCATCCTTGGCTGAATATGGATCCCCGGCCGGCGTTCCCCAGTGGACCTGACGCAGGATGGGGTTGCTGCTGCTTCCGCTGCTCTTTTCCGGCGGCGCCGGCGGCATGTAGCTGGATTGTGCGGTTGACGAAGGAGGCAACGGAGTGATGGGGGGAGGGGAAGAGACGACTGGTTGTTTGTCGAAGGGGAAGGATGAGGGTTCGCCGTTGTCGTAGTCGGCCAGGACGGAGCCGAAGGGAGACTCCGGGATGTCGCTGTCTTGGGCGCCGTCGGAAAATATGCGCGTGAAGGACTTGGCAATGCTGCCTTTGGCATCGCGGCCGCCAAATTGCGGTCGTGCAAAGTCTTTGACACTTGTTTTGACACCATTGTCGGGTGGATGCTGCGACGCCTTCTTGGACGTGGCTTCTCCTTGTGATTTCTTTGCACGTGAGTCGGTGCTGACATTTGAGCGGGACTTGCGAAGATTCTGGGGGACGGTGAGGCTGCGGGCTTGTGGTTGTTTCTCGCGCTCTTGCTTGACTGCCGGGCCAGTCTTCGCACGTGGTGATTGCGCTGGCTGGAAGAAAGATGTACGCGATAATGGTGGGCTCTCTGGGGATCCTGGCAGTACTGGATCTCGCATAAGGCAGTAATCACCTACAAAAGAGGGAATTTCTGTCTTTGGGGACATGGGAGGGGACTGTATTGTAATACCTGGTTTCTCGGAGAGGACAGGTACAGCTGGTGGAGTTTCGGGTATTTTGGCGGGAATGCCCGTCAGAATTCCCTCGCGGACTTTGTGGAGCATCTCTCTTCTCACCCTCTTGTATTCCATATAGTCGTCTGTTTCTTCGGCTGTCGGATGCTTCAAAGCCGACATTTGCGAGTATTCGTCCTCGAGGCCGCGGTCACGTTCCAATTCGATCTCCCAAATTAGGTTAAAGCCGTCATTTTCGGCAGGACTGATAGGTTTGATGGTCCATCCCGTGGTTTTGTGCCTTCATCTGTTAGTGGCCTTGCTACGGGGATCCGTCAAGGGGCAGAACGTACAAGCCTTCGTATCGCATACCACTCCTCGGAGCCCAAAGCGAGTTGAGGGTGTGAGACCTGAGCACTCTGATTGGATACCTGGATTTGAAATCGGCAGCCGTCATCCGGAACCGACCCGGGTCGTTCGGCTTGCAGCGATACTTGAATTTGTCTGGCGTCTCGGTGTACACCTCATCATTTCCTTCCATGACCACAGCATAGGCGCCACGCTTATCGGCACAGATACCACCACCGGTGCAATTGAGGTCTATGATACCGGCATGAAAGGCAAAGGTGCCGTTGATCCACCAGCTGCAAGCCATCGCTGTCAGCACCAATTGGCGGGTCTCATAGCGGAAACTCACTCTCCAGGCCTGAAGCCGAGGGAACCATGCTGCATGCCTCTGTCCGGACTCATGTAGCTGGGGTCTTGCTGCGACCAGAGCTTCACGAGAGCCTGAAATTACGTCAGTGTAGGTCTTCGGAGTCCGGAATAGTAAGCGTACGTCGCGGGTAAGCTCGCTCCCGGTACAGACGCCATAGAGCCTCCCATCCGGCTTGAACAGCCTGGGCCGGATGTCGCTCAATTTGCCATACTTCTTCGTCCACACGTCAATGATCTTATCGCATTCTTCGGCCAGTCTCTTCGGCCAGCGCGTCGCCTTCCCGGCCACTTCAAGCACGGCGACATGTATGCGCGAGTAGCGGAGCACGGATATCGAAAGATCAGCGTCCTGGAGACCAAGGAAGAGCTCATGCAAGGTGAGCACGTCGTCCGGTTGCATGCAGTCCGGGCCATCGCGGGAGATGCGCGGATCAAGATCATCGCGGATCCAAGAAGCACGCTGGCGGAGGAATTCCTTGGAGAAGTTGGGCGGCATGTGGGAGGGCTGTGGGATTGAGGGCTGGGCGGCTGAAGATTATCAAAGGAAAAGAGGCTTCATGTGTTTTGATGAGGAGAGGTGAGTCGTCATGACAGGCCCTCGGCGCCAAGTCCTTTGTTGCTGCCGAATTGGGCAAGTTCAGTGGCCATGATGGTCATGGTCATGGCCTGAGAGTCAACCGGGTAAAAGTCGCCCAGGGAAAGCGCGGCGCGCTGCTTTGTATGTAGTTTTTGCGTAGGTGGTGCGGAGAGACCTCCGTGGAACCTGCCACTTGGTGTCTTGGAGGCAGGACTCCTTGCTTCCCTCCGCCGCATGTTCCATTGGCCATTCCGCCATTACCGCCAGTCAGCGCTTTTGTGCTGCGGCTCATCAGCATTACAGTCGGGAGTGGGAATGAGCAGCCGCTGACCGTCTGCAAGATCAGGGTTCCCGCGAGGTGGTGCCGTGGCGGGAAAGTCGAATGCAAGAGGCCTGGAGGCATTGCCGGCGGGAAAGAAGCCCATGAGAATGTGCATTGTTGCTAAGAGGACGAGTGCCTTGGAATATAAATTTAGTGCCTGCCCGTCGGTGCTTGTAGAGTCCCACAGAGATATTGCCATGAATATCAACTCGGCAATGATGGCGGTAAGGAGTTTGGCGTAGGGATCCATGTTCAGAAACTCGGTGGGCTGGTTGATTCAAACGGGCGGTGCTGAGTGAAATGAGTCTGTCGGGGGTTCCTTTGTGATCGGAATGTACGGGTGCATCCGCCACCCCAAACCTGCAAACAGCACAAAGCCTCTATTTTGAGATCCGCGCCTGCAACGTGTGAAGTTCTCGACTCCACCCTCGCGCGATTGCGAAGACGGCGAGCAAGCCGTCCATGACCAAGAATTCAGCAGAGACGACATGCAGCACTCATTCTCATCCAACGCTGCCGAAACCGGGTCCAGAGCGATTGACGAAGCCATCAGCAGTAACCATCTTCAAGCAAGAAGGGGCGTGCGGCGGGCTGGGGAGCAAGGTCGCCACATCACGCGAACAGGGAGGCGCAAGGGGTTCTTCACGCAGCGGCTTACGGGATAGAAAACAGCGTAACGGCTGCGTCGATCACAGGGCCCCTGAGGCTCCAATAAGTGTGTTTAATTGTGGCTCAAGTGGAGAGCCGGATGGCAAGTCGACAGAGTGCGGAAGAATGGCGTGCTGGACAAGCGCGTTTTGGATCGGCCTGATGCCTGCCGCCGATCTCCCGCGCCCCTCCTCCCCGGCCGCCTGCACAGCATCCCCAGACGACCCCGTCCCTCGGTCTCGATGACGTGCGAGCCTCCCCTAGCCTTGCGCCATCCCGGCTCGTGTCGTTTCGTACATTCGACTCCAAGTGCCAGACCAAACCAGGCCTCAACACCACCTCTCTGCCCCACACCTTCCTTATCGCCTACATCAAGCAGCCCATCTCCGACAGTACCAAGCTCTCTCTCTTGACCAAATAGTCTCAATCGTCATCTGAAAAATCAGGCTGTTTTATTGCGGAGGACATTGGTTTCTCTGAAGGCACGATGAATGATTGCAGCAAAAAGCCTGGGGAGAGCGGCCTCTCTGCTCGCAAAACTGACCACCGTACTGCCATATTCTCCGTCTTGTTAACAGAAGTCCAAACATGGAGCAATTCATAGACACCCGTTGGCGCACTCAACGCAGACACCGCTGGAGAAGATAAATTGCAGCTTTCTAAGCTCTTCACCCCACTCTTCATATCTTGCAAGCACGCCCCGATAACCCACGGGCCTTTTGAATCGTCAAATCGGCGCTTACCCTTGCAGAGGCGAGCCATCGATGAACAAGGTCAAGCTCGCAATCATGGATGGTGGGCTGTGGCGGCCAACCGCAGCGAGGCCAATTCATGCCTTACGAAGCTGATTTGGTGTACCACGAAGCAACGTCCGTATCTCCTCATTGGCTAAGAACTTGCATTGGGAATCGTTTTATATTGTTTGACTAGCAGCGACGGACCAGGATTACAAGGAATGTCTACACAAGAAGCCCAAACCTTTGAGCCCTGTTGTTCTGGAGCATGGGCTTCTTTGGAAAACACACATGCTGCTGATCCATACGCCATCCCCTTCTAGGAAGTATGGATGTGTCAACGTCAACTCCCATCGTGAGATGGATATTGACAAGCCCAGACCATATCCATTCCGTCCCATCTCGTATATCATTCATTCGCCAGTATCGCGCGACTCGTGGGATCTGAGGTTCATGGAGACCGGCCAGAGCACAATGCGTCGACTGGAATGTACCTACAGAGACTACGGCTGGTCAGCATATTGGCCCATGCAGTATATTTGCAGAAGGTGAAAATAGATGACAGTATCAGACAAAGGTGAAAGATGGTAAGGTTGTTTCTCCATTGGCGCGAGGCCGTCGGTTGAACTATGCATTTAGGTTTGAACATCATGAAGTGTGGATTGTGAAAGTACGAGAGAAAGACGCTGACGAACCTTGCGCGAGCATCCAACGTGTGGTGCGTCCTGTGTTAGCACTTAACGGTCGGTCTAGTTGCAGCCTGACAAGCGCCGCATTTGCGCGTGGTCAGATGTAAGACCGCCAAGCCATGGCGTAGCAGGTTGCGGAAATGGATCGCATGCGAACTGAGTGGCCTGTCTGGCCGATGAAGTTGTTGAAGTTTGGATTCTCGGCGTGGGCGTCAGCTGGAAGAAAACTTCCGGCAAGCGAGAGTGCCGCTCTGCCCGGCGTATCCCCGTGATGCCTCAGGCACACAAATATCCGCTACCTCTACCCATGCACCCTCTAAGGGTCAGGGTCTTCGCTTTGCATTTTGCAAAAACAAGTATTGTAGCGTACTACATCACAGGTGCTCCACTCTGCCTACGTGGTCGGGCGACGCGTGAGAAGTCTCGGTACAAAGGCCTCCGTTCCCACGCCAGCAATGCCACCCATCTACCCCGCGCTGATCCTCAGTATCCCGAGCAGGACTGACAGAGCTTTCTCTAAGGTATCACCGCCATCCGGAAGGACTGACGCGCTCCACCCTTTGACTCACAATAGTCCTTGGCTGTATTCAAGTCGAGGTTGTAGTATTATAGCAGCAGGAATTTCGATTGAATCTGCTGGGAGAAGGGGGTGTAAGACGAACGACCATCTTGCCGTTCCAGCCGATCAGGGACAGCGAGCTCCACCTTTATTGCTGGAATTGGGGCAATCGCTTCGATAGGCATAGCTCCACTCGCATCCTTCAACAACTGGGGCCTGCTGTGATTGAACTCCGGATTGTCGGCCTTCATCACATCGAGTCTGGCATACCAACTTAGCCGACATCGGCTGTCTGCTATTGCGCCGTACCACCATGGCACCACTGATGGATGATTGGAAGGTGTTGTAAGGCTGTGTACCTGTCTGTCCGCACAGACCAGATGGTGGGTTCTTTTCAGTACCGCTACCGAGAAGCTTCCGATGCTGATACTAGCATTCGCGCCGCTTTGCAAGCACATGTATGAGTGTAGGATTGATGGCTGAAGTTAAGCATCGCATCCGTCATGAATGCAGCTTCGGATGTAAAATTGGTCATGGTTGAAAGGGTCTACGGATGCAATGGTGTAGCATGTGAGGATAGCTAGAGAGAAACGAAAGCCGACAGCTGCAGGCCTTGGCTCTGTCTCGGGACTTCCGCATGGAGCCGATTGGGAAAGTGCTGAACATGTGCAGACGGCAGGTGTACCGACAGCTGATCCGAGGAAAAGCGTGCGGTATAGTTTACCGGTGTGGCTCCAGACAGGGGTGGCGGAGCAACATTCAGAGTCAGAACAGGGTCCAGACGTCACGATGAGTGGGCAGTGGAGAAATCTGATGATCCGAGTCCTTTGATTTCGGCATGAATTTCCTATCCGATGCGAACAGATTCTGGAATTGGACATGCACTTGCTTTCGTTCCTGGCAAGATCCAGGCGGTCGGCTATGATATGTCACGTACGCGCACCCGAAAAGAAGCGTGCGGGACGCCGATCGCCAGACGAAACCCACGTCGGATGAGCCCGCGTCTGGAGATCCTCAGGCGCCCTGCTTCCGTAACGCAGACCCGTTCGCAGCTGCTGTTGGGTTTTGCTTTTTTCGCCGCGCCTCCGAGACACGGGCCCGCCAATCAGCAGCGGGTACTTTTCCAATTGGTTTTTTGCCGCGGCACGGTCGCTTCGACCCTCTCCACAGGCCCATGCTCGATGAGGACTGACGCGGGCGCAATTGCATGTGTCTCGTAACGGCGTGGCAGCTTGGTTGGGCGAAGGGCGCCATCAGAGTTTTCCATGTTGTTAAATCTGGGGACTTGCCGGCGCACGCACTTGCCGGCGCGCAGAGCGGGAGCGAGGGCTTCAGGGCCCGCTGTAAATCCCTCTATGCAAGCCTATCTGTTGTACGACGTTGGGAGTGCCCCGCTCTCAACGGTGGGCGTAAACTCCGAAGCAGTGTTCACGGGAGGGTTCATCGTCGGCGAGTTCCTGAACGGCAGGCTCGTGAGTGGCGGGCTCGCTGGTGGCCTGGCGGGCAGTTCCCTGAACCTCAGACATTAAGTGGGCTGGGCGAGCTTCTGGGCGCGGCAGCTGAGGTGGCGCTTGAAGGCGCACGGAACGGGAATAGAGGTGCGCGAGATAAGTGGGAAAGGAAGAGCAGCGGACGTATCAAGGGCGCTGAGCGGAGCATGGTGGTGAAGCTGCAGCATCTCGGGCAAGGCCTGAAGCGGGCTGGACGTGGGGCCGCGGTTGCCCTTGGGCCGGTGACGTGTGGAGGCCAGGAAGCCCCTAGCACGCCGTCTTTGTAGCCTGGGGCAGCAGCGGCAGCGCTGTGAGATCACCCGCGATCCAGCAATCACGCAATGCTCTGCGTGGAAACAGCCACACCTCTCCACAAACCGCTGGCATGTGCCCGCTGCAGCCTTATCTGACGCATCTGACTCCAGGACCGGCGGGGTATACCGCAGCGCGCTGCTGCCGTGCCCTGCCTTGTGCCCTGCCACCGGAGGACTAACACCCTAGCGCATTCCGCATATCCACACTTACGCCTGCGCCGCTTGCGCCCCTTACGACTGCTTGGTTTTGATCACTCGATTCGTGCAAAGTTACTCGCCTGCTCCCCTGATTAGCTGCTGCATCCCGGTCGACCACCATATATATTCAGTCCGGTCTGCACGCCTTCCCACACCATCTAGCCGGCTGCAGACACCATGTCGAACAAGCCAATCTTTGCAGCAACCCACCCGCGGGCATGCTCGACGGCCTTTGAGCGCGTTTGTTTCCCTTCCGCCGCGTCCTGTGCGCCTCACTGACACCTCACGATGCGCAGGTCTTCATGACGTGCCGGGACACGCTGCAGTGCGTGCATGAGCCGTTCGGTGATGCCTTCTACTTCGGCCCCGAAAGGCTCAGCGAGCGCTACGAGGACGACGCCAAGGCGAGAGAGGAGAGCGGCTTCGCAGACAGCACCTACAAGACCATCTTCGAGCGAATCGAGCGTGAGAACACTGAGGTTGGATCCCTTCCCCCGAGCTGCGGCCATCTTTTCCTTTGGCTACGTCATTTCTCTCTTTCCCGCGTGCCGACTTCAGAAGTCGCGAGAAGAAAAAGAAAAAATATACTATTTTCTCATCAACTGCTACCATGCCTCAACGGTGTGCGATCATGATACTACTTCCTGCAGAAGCGAGAAGGCCGCAGTTCAACCTGCGCGCCGACAGCACGTTTCCTTGCGCGGCCCCGCGAGAGCCCGCACTTCGTCACTGCCAAATCTCAACAAGTACTTACCCGGATGACAGGGCAAGCGGATCTTCATCAAAGACATTACGCACTACCTGGTGCCGCCGGAGCACAAGCCAGCGTCGATTGCGTCATCTCTCGTGCAGTACAAGCGTGGCGTCGGCACTGACGGCCCCCAGCCCACCGCTCACGAACGCGTTGACAGCGCCCACGGCAGCGACACTGCTTCCAAGGACGACGTCAACGGAGCGCCGAATGGGGTGAGCCATGAGGCGAGGATCGAGGGACACGAGGCCACCAAGCCTCCGTACCCGTACCCAACGCTGGTCGAGGCGGGCAACCCGACCGTCGTGCCGACGGAGCTGCTCGCCAAGTTCCACTGGACCTTCCTGATCCGCCACCCGCGCAACAGCATTCCCTCGTACTACCGTTGCACCATCCCGCCGCTCGACGACATCACCGGCTTCCACAACTTCATGCCCTCCGAGGCCGGCTACGACGAGCTCCGCCGCACCTTCGACTACCTCAAGTCCATCGGCCTCGTCGGCCCCAAGATCGCCGGCCAGGAGACCAACGGCGAGGTCAACGGCACCGTCAAGCCTCCCTTCGGCGCCGAGCCCGTCGAGATCTGTGTCATCGACGCCGATGACCTCCTCGACAACCCCGCCGGCATCATCAAGCGCTACTGCGAGAGCGTCGGCATCGAGTACACCCCGGACATGTTGACCTGGGACAACGATGAGGATCATCGCATCGCCAAGGAGAGATTCGAGAAGTGGAAGGGCTTCCACGAGGATGCCATCGAATCGAGGGATCTCAAGCCTCGCGCCCAGGTGAGTTGATTGGCTGTTTCTTCCAATCAGACCCTTCCTGAAACTCCTTTCTCCTTTGTCTTCCGTCTATCAGTTCGACTGTAACATTGCTTTACGTGGACTCGAGGATGTGAATGCCGGCGATAAGAGATTGGACTTCCAGCGATTGCGGTTCTGCATGAGAAGGAACAGCCTGCTTCGTTCCACCCTTATTATTCCCTTCGAACAGACATATTAACATCGCTGATCAAAAAGAAAAAGATTCCGAAGCCCGACGACGAACTTTACGCCGAATGGGTCAAGAAATTTGGAGAGGAGGGAGCCAAGGTCATCAAGGAGACTGTCGACAAGAACGTTGCCGACTACGAATACCTCAAGCAGTTTGCTATGAAGGTATAAATGCGGCAGTTCGACCCTGCCCGTTTGTCGGCTGCAACGGATACAAGCGGCTCGACGCTACATTCATGAGTAATGACCTGCTTTCTGATCGTTCTTGATGGGATACCTCTGGCTTGTTCCTACAGTCTTCTTCTGTTACGAAATTGAATACTTGGCTTCGACGGCTGTTGGATTGGCAAATTGAAGATCGCTGAATATCACTGGATGGAGGATTATGCCTTCTCTTCGTACCATGATTTTATCCTTTCGGTTCAAGTTTTTGCGCAGCTCGTACAGTGACACTCGTTTAACTATCTATGATCGCTTCAGCGTCTCCACATGGCAACTGAGTGCAATATTTCAACATTGAAGCCCAGTTATCACAGTGCAGGTGCGCATCTTCCGTCTAGACTCGCTCAGTTCGGTATGGATACCAGCCTTTGTAGAGAATATCGTAACATGCCACTACTGAGGCATATTATCAACGTCAAGGCGGGTTCATATATTCCCTTGGTCTCACGAGCTCTAAACACTGAAGCAGACTTATGAAAACGCGCTAACTGAAGATACAACCTCAGATCAATACATTTACTTTCTCTTTCGTCGAACACAACCATCGACCACACTTTTACACGTTTTTTCGTCTAAGTCCCATAGCTTTCGCGCGCATCTCAATATCTGGCCTACCAGCCATTGTCACTTCCATCAAATAGGCCGGTTAGCGCAATGGTAGAGCGTACCCTTCCTAATCTTATCCACCGGCCGCTGGTCTCCGGCGTGCTGCCCTCCGAATGGATAGATTGTAGGCTTCGTGCCGACAAGGGTGAGGTTGCGGGTTCGGTAAGTTTGAAGAGTTTGATTCCAATGCGCGTTGATCTTCTAACATCTTTCCAGAATCCCGTACTGGTCGTTTCTCCATTTTCTTTTTTTTAAAAAAACTCATATTAGCTGTTAACTTTCCGCAAAGACGACACGATATTTTGTTTTACCTATCTTATGTGAAAGAGAGCAGGCAGCTTACTGAAAAGCAGTTTCTAAAATTGCGTGTGACTTGCACACTATAATATCAGCATCTTAAGTTGAAGTATGCTGAAAAGATCTTCTGCTCGGCCTTAATATCTAGTCCGTTTTTTTCAGCGCGGAGTCTTCCTCGCATTCAAATATGCGTTCTACAACGCAAATTTGCAGCAGTGGGTCTCTAACTACCATCAAGCTTTTCGATGGAGTCTACTGGTTTGAGTCGCCTGTCAGTGAGTACACGAGATACGTAAAAACGATCGCTTGGATCGATAGGCGGCGAAATAACCACAGCTCTGATGCAACTCTTCACTGAGTGTCCCTTCAGTGGTACATCTCTAGATTCGAAAAGGAGCGTGTAAAGCCCTTCACTGAAAGAACAACCGTTCCCTTTGATACTCTCGTCCCCATTTACAAACGCCATAGCGATAGCCTTGCTCAAGGTACCACTTTCAGAATTTTTGGATCAAGGTCTGTATTACTGTCCTTTCGCTACAGGCTACAGGTTTCCAGAGTTTGACAGGAAGCTCCCGCTTTATAAGCTCCAAGGTAAGCTTCGTCGCGCCGACGAGGCTCCATCATCCTTCTCGCTCTTCAGTTATGCGTCTCCGAGAGAGTCGTGAAAATGTAAACGAGGTGGCTTGGGCGTACCTGCTGATTGGGCAGGCTGAGAAAATGTTTATCGGAGACCTCTCCTTCCCGTCGTTAGCATCTAGCTTGCGGCATGGATGGCGTGCTCTGCGGCGGTCATGATGGAAGACTCTCTCACTCTCTCGGCGGAACCTCAAATCCATTGCGCTTAACTGTGGCGTCTTCAGTGCCCATACACTTCCATACGCGCCTTCTCCTTGGCCTCGGGGTCAAAATCGTCTGGCATCCTCCATCACTGGACAATCCGAGCTGGTTGGAGCAAGCTTTCTGTCCGTTCATTTGCTATCTGTACTTTCTTTAAGATGACGGGGCAAGTCGATTCCAGTGGTAGTGACAATACCGGGGTAGGAATTTCTCCGTAGCGGATATTTTCGCATATCTGGGTGAGGATAGACTGGCACTACTTTCCTGAGAATATGACGGAGCACCAATCTTAGTCTCCGTCAGAGAGACCCAGACCGTTTTTGCGGCACAAAATTTGCATTTTATTGAAGTTCTTGAAAAAGAAAGTAGGGATAGCAATGAAAAATAGTGTTTTGTAGTAGGGAGAAACAATCAACAAATTTAAGCGCACGTTAAGCACTAAAGCATAAAGGAGCCATAAAGGAGCAGAACATTTTCATCGCTTCACCAAGTATAATAATAATCTTCAAATATGACTGTTCGTCCATAGGAAGAAATCATGCGGCTGGTGTGAGAACATGGGTTGTTCTCACGTTGCTCGACTTATGAGTAGAGCCTTTCGTGATATGGCAGCTCGGTGATCATAAGCTTTTCACCATCCTAGAATCTCAGCAGGTGCATGGAGGCATACACTAATTGTCATTTCTCGGCAATGGGGTGCTCTCTCGAAGCCAATCAGCAAACCTACCGCTAAAGTGAACTAAGTGTCGGTGTTGAAATTGTGAGCAGAGGACAAAGGCGAAGGTCGAAAGGCCTAGACATTTCGAGGAGAGCAGTGTTGCTAGTGAAAATTAACTTTTGGTGTCCGGAGCCGTCGTCGCTGTAGGCGACGCACGGATTCGTTCCCCACATGGAGTGGTGCTCAACGCTCCGCATGTGTTTGAGAGTACGACTCATGATTCCTATTGCGACTGCTACCGAAGCGTGTGTGGTGGGCGAACGCACTGGTCCTGCCCAAAGCGGAAATGCCCCTCGTCTATTGCGCTGATCACGACTTGGGCGAGCGAATCGGCGCCCTGATCAACCCATCACCAAACCTCGGTAGCGAAATTCAAGTTGGGTGCTTGTGACACGGCGAAGGTGCAGCATGGCGGGGCTTGGAGCGGTTTGCGCGATGGCCTTCGGTCGGCCGGAAGCTCTTGGATGCACCGGGGATTTTTCTGTTTCCCACGAAGGTCGTCAATATGAAGCAGGGAAGAGGAGGAGAACGCAAGGGCCAGGCAAGAAAGCATTTAGCCTATTGGTGCGGAGTCGGAAGCGGATCGCCTGCAGCGTCGGTAGAGGTAAGGTACTCAGCCCACCAAAGGATCATCTGGGTGATCTGTTTCATGCCCTCTGCTATTTAGGATACGGCGCAAGCAGCGGGCGCGTGCTGCAGCTCGAATTCATGTCTGTCAGTTTTTTCTCTTTTTTGTTAAATTGTCGTAGACTTAGTGTTGGTGGCAATTGGGATCCAACGGGCAGAAGGATCTAGCGCCGGCACCGGAGGCGAGGCTGCGACAGGTCCGGACGACGACAACATAATATGTGAGCCATGTCAGCATGATGTTTACTCATATTCGGCTGAAGATTATTGCAGCACGGCTTTGCCGATCTCAATAGGAAGCGAGCGCAGCGTCAATGCAGGCCAGCAAAAGAGATTGTTTCAGGGCCGGCGACGACTGCCGAGACGTGGCGATGTCTATTTGGGCAGTTGCTGGCTGGCTGTTGGCCTTGTGGGATCGTGGCTGGTCTTGAAGACTGAAGCTGCTCGGTCCTACTCAGGGCGCCGGTCAAGGCTGCAGAGGCTGTTACGGCATCGTCGCCCTTTTCCTGGGAGTGATCTGCAAGACGCACTAGCCTCGTCACCAACGGGGCGGCGTCATTTCCCCTATGGAGAAGCTGCCATGTGCGCCACCTCCGACTGAGCTTATTTTCAAGCGAACGAGACCGCGTAGGCCGCCTCGCTTCTGAGCTGCAAAAAGATGAAATAGGGACGCGCCGCTCTAGTTTGCACCTATGCAGCCAAGATTAAGTCATGCTCCCTTAACACCACGCCGGAGATCATAGCTGAGCAATGGCGTGACGCCGACTGTCTAGACAAGCTACTGCTCCACTGCGCCAGTGTTTCTTCACACGGAGCTGATGATCCAGGGTTTGATGCGGCCAAGGGGGCAGCCGCTAAAATAGCTGTGACCGTCCAATCGGTATGCCCAGCATCGTGAGAGGCTCTCCGGACCAACGATTGGTTATTTCCGAAACTACAAATCCTTGAGGCTAGTTTCGATAAAGCTTTGACGGCTGTCCAGTGAGCGTCACTCGCACGTGTAGTAGTGGATCAGCCGCAGATCTGCGCCGAGGGCCAATTGCTGGATGCAGTATGGTCTAGGAGGCTCTTTGCATCGGGGACCCTTCTTCATGCGGGCCACACTTGCAGACTACAATACTAAAAGCCACCCCGGATCCCGCGAATCCTGAGCCACATTTTCGGTAACCTGCCCCGCGCAATATATCTCGACGCCTCCCCGCCGCCACTTCCTTCCTCTCCACCATCGAGCCATGCCTGGTGGCGTGGTGCCTCCACTGGAGCTGGTGCTCCAATGGCAGACCGACGCCTATCCGCACGGCATTCGCGCCCCGCCTACCCTGACCATCATCAGTTGCGTTTTCTGCGCCCTCTCGCTGGCCATTGTCGGATTCCGCCTGTACGACCGCGCTTTCATCAGGCATAATGCCGGTCTGGACGACACTCTCATTGCTGTGGCTTTGGTACGCCGCCCACCATGCCCCTTGTCCACTCCATGCACTGACTCGTGACTGTAGCTTCCGCAAATGGGGCTTTGCGCTACCATCTGCCTTGGTAAGGGTCGAAGCATCCTCAGGGCTCTGAGGCTACTTGCTGACATGTGCTTGCAGCTGAACAGTTCTACGGCTTCGACCGCCATGCCTGGGACATCACGCCAGATATGGCACCACGCAGCAGGAAGGTCACGCTGGCCATATCCTTGCTCTATATTTCCAGTACGACCTTGACCAAGATCTCGATTCTGCTCTTCTACCGCCGATTGGGCAAGATCCGTCAGTGGTTCAAGTGGACCATCTGGGCAAACATGGCCTTCATCATTGCCTACGCAGTCACGTTCATCATTGCCCTACCCTTGGAATGCTCGCCAGTGAATGCCTTCTGGGACAAGGTCAACCCGCTTTGGGCCATGAAGCACGAGTACACGTGTGTCAACGAAGGCGCAGGAAATATCGCCAACGGTGCCATCAGCGCCTTCCAGGACTTCGTCGCCTGTATCCTGCCCATGGCCATCTTCTGGGACCTCCGCATCTCCAACCGCGCCAAGATGGCCCTCGGCTTCGTCTTCAGTCTCGGAATAATGTAAGCATTGAACACACGCCCACCCAAGCGGATTAGATTTTTAACCGGAACAGCACCTGCATCTGCGGCATCCTCCGCACCATCCAGCTCCACCGCATCTTCTTCAAGACGTACGACACGACGTGGGACGCGCGCTGGGCCTTCGCGCTGACGCTGGTCGAGTCGTCGCTGGGGCTGATCTGCGCCTCGATCCCGGCGCTCAAGGGCAGCCTGTCGCGCATCTTCTCGTCCTTCATCAAGCCGCTCAAGTCGTCGGCCAACCGCAACAGCCGCATGCTCAACCGCCGCCGCTGGACCCAGAACCCCTTCTTCTTCGCCAGCCTCAAGCGCTCCTCGCAGATGTACAACGTCAACTGGAGCGGCGAGACGCACACCAACCGCCGCCCGGACGGCGGCATCGCCGCGCCCCAGAACACCTACGTCGAGGTGCCCATCTTTTCGCCCACTTCGCCCACCTACGCCGACTCGGTGCCCTGCACCCCCTGCACACCAACCACGCCCAACACACACCACTCCGGGTCCGAGTTTGAGTTGGCACCGAAGAACAAGATGGAGGTGTGAAAGAGATTGGAGAGGAGAATAAATCTCGATGCAACCCCTCTTCACGCGCCTGAAGAAGGGAAACTCCATGGACGCCATGCGGGTTCCTGGCACATCTTACATGCACACCTTCCCTCCTTGCTAGAGGAGACGTGGTGTCGGAGAGGATGGCGAGGCGGTTCGCATCACGCCCTAGCCGCTCGCTCGGCCTTGAGATTCGCTTACCAGAGGAACAACCAAGGCCCATCATCACAAAAAAAAGGTCCACTTGGCCCATTTCTCCTTGACGAAGAAACGCCGCATGATCAGAAAACATGGAACCTATTATTATTAATCCGAGAAAAGGTCAGGAACCTCTCTTGTCGCGTCGGCAAAAAGAAGCAAGAAAGAAGACGAGTCTGTGGCTGGCCCACGACAAATGTCTCGCGGTTGAAGAACCCGAAAAGACAGCTGCCGTGGACCCTCAGGGCACAGGAATTTGGATTGCAAGCTGGACAGCAGCGTGCTCATCGGCGTTTTTAGCGCTACGCATCCTTCATTTGGATCAGTTCGACGTTGAAATCCACTGAGAAGTCCAAGTCGAATTGTCCTGGAGGTGATATCTGCAGCAGGAGGCCCGCAGATGGGGGAGTGTTGTTGACGAAGTCCAGGGTACTTTAGTGGACCCTAGAAAGAAGGACGAGCAGGTGGATGCCGTAGCCACTCTACACGACCCAGTGTTTTTTTTTTTTACTCTTTGGGGCCAGGAAGCGCGACTTCTGTACAATTTGAGCGGTACCAACGTGTTGGGTTATTTCTGTCGGTCAATAGTCATGACAATGTATGAACTATGTAATGTATAATTGCGGGGTGAGAGCTGTTGTGCAACAAAATTGAAAAGAGAAACCAGCCCAAGACTGTGTTAATAGCGTTAATTTCAAATATATGTCAGTAGATACAATAAGTATTTGGTTTGAACAAGACTTTAACTGGACTTGAATATCTTTCGGAAAACGCGGGAGGAAAATCGACGTACCTCCCGAAGAGGATATCTTAGCACTAAAAGAGAGAAGAATGCGTCGAACAACACAAAGACCGCCCAACGACGCAGTTCCGACTGTTCACAACTCCGATTCAATGCTGCCGCCAACTTGTGAGAGAAGCCCCAACTCGAAGGGAAACAATAATGGTACAAGATGATGCAGCACGAGATAGTACTACATGAATAGTAACGAAGGAACACACCTATAGGAAGCAGATCTCCTTCATGAAAGGAATCCTCTTCGTCCGTTCCTTGCGGCCTCTCCCGTATATGCGTCGAGTCTAACGGCATGCATGACGACTTCAACCCGAGGCTCTCCGTCAAAACGCGTGGGTTGAACTCGTAGTCTCCAATGGCTTCTCGAGAGAACCCAGTCTAAAGCCATGTCCTCGAATAACGCGGTGTTGTCGTCGGTCTTTGGCTTCTTCAGGCGCAAAAGCAGGCTCGATTGCGGATCCAGAATTTGACCAGTCTCACGGTCCCGCCTGTCGACTGAGACTGGCAAACCGTCCAGGTCTATCGAACAATTGGCGCCGATAGCAATTTTGACTCTATCACCGCTTACGCCAGAGTTTGCTGGGCTTGCAGGTTGAGCAGCTACGCCGCCGCCTGTTTGCAGCATCATAAGACCAAGTGGTTGAGTCGCGGGTAGGCCCATTTTGCTGGCGATGACTTGGAAAAGGCTGGAGATCCGAGCTTTCGTATTGTCGTAGAAGGTGGCACGCATTGATTGTATGTCGATTCGCGCCGATTCGCCGGAGATCTCCAGTATGAGTTCGTGTGCAGAATCATCCGCGTACGGTCGTGCGTACGTGACCCATCCAGCGCGAGTACTTCCACCTACGCTGGGTGGCGGTCCTGCAGCCGGAGTTGCAGCAGCGCTCGAGGTAGAGTCTGCGCCTGAGATTGAATCCAAGTCAGGCAAAAATGAGATGCCCGACTGCCGGATATCCTCTAGGCGCATAAGAATTTCCGACTTCTCGCGTGCAAGGTTGTAGGTGATTTCGCACGGAAGGAGGCGTTGTTCAAGGCCTTTGAAATGGAAATACCGTGCATCTCTGATCAAATCTGCCCGATGGCCTTCGTCACGGATTTGCAGGGGATAGCCTTGCAATAAGCGCAAGAGATCCTCAAAGGTCTGTGCGGAGCGGTTTGGTACAGATGGTGGAAGAATCGATGGTGGCCGAAGGAGGGTCTGGCGATCCAGTCCCGGGAAAACCTCTTGAGGAGTCGTGAAAAAATGCGCGAAACCCAATGAAAAGAAATTCGGCGAGTCTCCAGGACCAGAAAAGAGATCACGGGGTATCTGAAAGTCACGTCCACCAATCTGAATGAAGATTTCCGACTTGAAAAGCTGTTGGGTTAAACGAGGCACTGCGAAAATCAGCATCTACTGCCGGTACAAGCGACAGGCTCGAGACTTACGGCTGTAGAACTGAGCATCAGCAAACAAGCGGACGAAATGCTCTCCATCGCGCGGTCTGACGTAGTAGCCCTGAAGATGGAGGGAAATGTCCCTGAAAGTGGCTGGATCGCGGTCGATGTACAACGTCTTCACGTCACCTGCCCTTCCGCTGGGGTTGTTGTACAGCTGCTCCGCAAAGAAATGCGAGAAATACGAGGGTGCTCTGGCAGCCTTAGTAACCATTCGCGCAAAGGGTTGAATTCAGCACCCAACCTACCATCTGAAGAAATCGAGGCACCCGAGAGCCGGAACAGTTCGTTTCCAATCTGAATGGGAAAGACCTTGCCGGCAGGTAAGATTGCTGAATAGTTATTTGAGAGCTCAGCAATCTTGCGCGGCCGCGTGGCCATTGGCTGTGCGGTGTTGGACGCATTTGCGGAGCCAACGGGCGTAGAACGGCCTACCGGCTGGGCGGCGGCGGTGGGCGTTGGTTTGGCGGCATTGCCCAGGGCGTCCGGGGATCCATCGTTCGCAAAGGTTGCGCCTTGGGTGAGAGTAGGGCTCTCGTCTGCGATAGAGGAAGAGCGCGAAGTTGCGGTACGTTTGGCGGCGGGCTCCTGGATGGCATCATGGCCAAACGGCACGGCGGCGGCAGAGCCAATAGAGGCCGACTCGGAACGGTCCTTTCGCTTCATGGCCGGGTGGGCCGAGACAGAGGCGGAGCCGGGTGCCGTCGGCGGGAGGAAGGCAAAAGGAAAGGCGGGGAAAGGATTACTCGCATCCAGGAAAGGAGAGGCGGCTGAGGGCGTAAGCCGAGGGCTGGCGCTGTGGGAGAAGGCGTGGGGAAAGCTGAAATCCTGGGCGGGCGGCTCGTACTGGGCTTTGGCAAGCTCGCCCTGGGGCTCATAGAAGTCGGCGACGTCGGTGAAGTCGATGGCGTTTTCCCAATCCCAAAACTCAGAGACGGTGGCCGTTGGTGGGGGCTGTTCAGAGCAGGGTGTCGGGGCGGCGGGCGCGGGCACGGGAGCGCGCAGCTGGGCCTGGCAGCTGCTGCGCGGAGTCGCAAAGCCCGAGGAGCTGGTGGGCGTTGCTACCTGGCTCGAGGACTGGGCATTGCGTCGGGGTGGGTTTGCAGGGTCTTGGTCGGCGCTGAGGGCGAGGTGAGGGAAGCCTGACATGCCGCCCGCCGCGTCGCTTAATCTTCGTTGCCGACCACGATTCCAACTTTCTCACAGCAGCGCCCAAGGGCCTTGAATTTAGTCGCGCGGGACTGCTGACAGTGTTCCTGAGCGTAGGGGCTGGTTCCGGGCGCGCTCAACGCCTCTCAGCAATGGTACCCTTGGCTGAGCCGGATTTGGATGATCTCGTTGAGTATTAGGGCGGGTGAAGCGTCCCATACACTCAGCCAGACCCTCTCTCCTGCGGCTGCTATATATCCGCGCCGACATCACGATGTGGCGACGCCAGCGCGCCCAAGATCCGCGCGCAGGCCATTGTCTTGGTGTTAAGATCTGCCTAGCATGAAGCTGCGGCGCCTTGTCAGCAACTCGGCCGGCGGAGGTTGCGGCATCATATGGTTCGTCGAGCCGTGACGCACGTAAGCCGCCTCTGACTGGCTCTGTTCTTGAAGACTTGCTGCAGGGGTCCCGGCATCCCGTGTGCCGTGGCGCTCTCGGCCGCCGCTCTTCGCTACTTCGCATGTCCGCCGTCCGCCAGATCCCGCTTGTGTCCGACGCGCCGGGCCACGGTCCTTCCGTTCATAGGCGGTTCGGACGGCAACGGGCTCACACTGCACTAACTTTATCGCAACACCATCCAAGATCTCCCGAAAAGCCTCTGCTGCAGGAACCAGCTCCTACACCGCCGGTGACGCCGTGCCGTCCGCGACTTTTGCCACCCTCCTGCACGACCACGCTTAAGAATCGCCTACGAAATAGCTCAGTAATCCACTTCGAGCACCTTCCCTTGGGTTACAAATTCACCTGCTGCATGCCATTACTACTTTGATGTTATACTACGTCCAGTCATTCCCCACGATCGAGTCATTCTCTCCCCTAAACCTTAAGCGTTGAAGATGTTTGGATCGTAATCCTTCCCAGTCACCTCCTTGATTTTCTCATTTGCCTTCTTGAACGCTTCCCTCTCATGCAAGCGGTCCAAATAGGCCGCGAGCTTGGGATACTTGTCCTTGGTCAGGCCTGCACGAAGGGTCGCTGCCTCCAACGGATAACTCATCAAAATGTCAGCAGCAGTGATGTCTTTGCCACAGAGGTAATCGCCTCCAGACGTGGCAATCTGCTCCTCCAAGAAGCTAAGGTGCGTCTTGAAGTTCGGTTCCAGGAAGCCACCTTCGACCTTGCCCGCGATTCCCTTGGTGATTGGCTTGATAAAGAAAGGTACAGGTGCCGTTTTGATCACTTTAAAGAATTAGCAACGGACCGCCCAAGCCGGGGAGGGGCCATACTGTAGAGAAGCAACGAGAAGACCATCAGCGGCATGATGCTGCCCTCTGCATAGTGCATCAGGAAGCGGTACCGAAGCCAGGCCTCAGTCTCGCCACCGATCTGGCCTTCCTTGCCTTCGACATAACGCGCTGGGATCAGCCATTTGCCAAAGTACTCGGTGAGGTACTCGGTGATGGCGCCCGATTCCGCAAGCATGATCTCTTTGTCGGCGCCTGCAGCCTGGATACCCAAAACAGGAGATTTGCCGAGAGGATGCACTTCCTTCAACTCGGCAGGCGCAAGCTTGTCCTTGGTCCGTTTGAAGACCTTGAGCTCATAGTCGACTTTCAATTCTTCAAGCAGCCAAAGTACACGATGAGACCGGGACTTGTCAAGCCTTCAAAGGGTTAATCTAGAGAAAAGGGAAACCATCATGCTGTTCAAGGAAAGACATGACACTGCTGTACTGACCAGTAGAGGGTGATCTTTGCATTCTGCTGATCGGCTGCCATTGTGGTGTGGTTGAAAGTTGAAGTATGATGGCTTCCAGAAGTGGAAAACAAGCGCTGAGAAATTGGGCCCAGACTGGGTTGCGATGGAAATTTAAGATGAAGACCAGCGGATATACGATTGCCGGCGCTAGCAGCAAAGTACCTAGGCACAGAGGCCCTTCCCCAGATAAGGATGCTCTTTTGAAGCATCACATGCAGCTCTTTCCAATTGAGTCACTAGTTAGGTATATTGGCCGCAAGATCGTGATGGATGGTGTGGAGAACATGAGATGGATCGAAGCTAGGTAGGGACGGGATGGTGGTATTGCGGCTGCACGTGACTCGCGAGTGCCGGGCGACCAAGGCCAATCGAGGGCCGCGAATTACAGCAGGAGCACGACCGCAACACCTCAAGCTTGCTGGCCGCGACATCACCCACCATGGCAGGCGACCACCACGGTACGTTACTGGCTTGCGCATGCGCTGCGTCGCCCTAGCTTTCGTAACCGCATTGAGCTGACATTGTGTGCTGCCGCAGTTCTCCACGAAGACCCGGCGTTGGTCAAGTATGCCAGTACGACACCCTCCCGCACCCCCGCCGCCTGAACGCGTGCCCGTCCTTCGCTGCAGCTAGCATTGACGACCCTGCAGACATCGCTCCCAACCGCTACAAGTACTTCCGTTGGACCCCCAAGACCGCTTGGCTTTCGTTCTGGGTCGCTATTGCTGTGCCGAGCGTCGTCGGACTCATTGCCTACAAGAGTGATGTGAGTTGAATCTGCCACGGCTATTTCTGAAGGGGAGCGTTGTATATGGCGGGACAGGTGGTTTCTGGCCGGTTCGCGCGGAGAATGGGGAAAAGAGCGTGTGAGCGGGGTGGGCCTTGGAGCTCCCGCGCATTTGCGAAGAAGGGTTGTCAGGACACAACGTGGATCAAGGCTGACTCTGTGGTGTAGGGCAAGTACGAGCTCCGTGGCAAGCGCAGAGGAGATGTCATCAAGGAGTTCTAAGCAAGATACCATGAACAATCACATCCGGCTGTAAATCGCCCTGTCGAAACCGAGTTCGCAACCACTGGTAGACTGTTCTCAACGTGAGAAACACAGCGTGCACATCTCAGGCCAAGAATACCTAATAAGAAGGACATCCGTACTCTCAAGGAAGCAATGATTCCCGAGAGGGAAAGTATAGCGGTCATAGAACAAAGGATCACGAGGACCTGTCCACACTCAATTTGTGACAACAAGTTATTCGTGAGCTATCAACCACAACCCCACGCGTAGAGCGGCCATGGCAATGCAGCTGCTTGAGGCGTAGCCAGTAAGCATAAGTGAAGTCATGCGACCAAATAACAGCTACTTTTAGTCATCATGACGGACAATTTCCGGCCGGATGGTCCTGGACGAGCAAGCTATAACCTCGGGTCGCGGATGACAAAGCATCGTTGGCGGAGCTGGGTGGTCGTAATTACGCCGGAGCGAATCGGGCGATTCAGACAGCGGCACATGCTGAGACGAAAGGCTACTCAGGTACGACACGCCTTTGTCCCTGGGTGCGCATTTCCGAAAGCAACCAGGCAAGCAATGCGGGGCAAGCCAATGAGCATGGGGAGTCAAGGGCGGAAAAAGGCAAAAATCTCAGTGTCGAACGAAACAGCGGAAGATGCAGGCGTGCGCACGCTGAAATCGGCAACCTGATCCGCTCGGGAAGCCATGACAATAGAGCCGACGCCCCCACTCGTAGAGGAAAGGCTGGCCACCTCCGCCCGGGCGGACGCTCTGCATCCTAACCGCCTGACAAATCTACAAGACCACCACCATGGCCCGGCCGACACGCGCGACCCTTCTTCCCATGGCGCCTCAGGCTTTGCAGAATTGCGCGACATGGCGAGCACCGCGCTCCGGGACGTTGACACCGTGATTGTGGGTAAGTGTCGGCCCGCACCCGCCCACCAGGTCGTCTTTGTGGCTCTGCGGCCTCGAAACCACGCTTGTCGGCTGACGCAATGGACCTGCTTTCTTGCGAATTGCAGGCAACGGCCCCTCGGCATTGATCCTGTCTTATATCCTCCATGGCCACATTCCGTACTACGCCCGGCCGCACCACGATCCGCTGCTCCGCACGAAGCTCGAATCCCGTCGCAACCTGCTCGATCTGACGCCGGATCTCTACGCTCACTTCCAGTCATCGCTCCGCTATTCGACCCAGGCCTTGCCGATCAATACCCTGCTTGACACCCTGATCCGCCCAAATGCCGACACTGAGATTGATCCCGAGTCTTGTGTCGACTGGCGCTATGAGCCGGACAAAGCCGTGTCACACCTAGCTTTGGGGAACCCTCCTCATGCCGGAGGCCAGTGGACCGACAATCCAGTATCAGCGAGCAATGATATTGGCACGCTGAGTTATGCTGAGATGCTCTCTTTGCCCGGATACTCCTTTGCGGACCATTGGAAGGCTCTGAATGGGGAACCGTTGCCGCACTTCTTGCGCCCTACTCGGAAGCAGGTAGCCGCGTACTACAAGGCGTACCCTCATGCTGTCGGTATTGCAGAGTCTATCCTGAATGGCGCTCAGGTATCCGGTGTCTCAAGGACGCCGGACGGCTTCTACATCGGCTCCCATGGCATCCGATGCAAACACCTCGTGCTCGCGTCGGGGATCTTTTCAGTCAACATCCCACCGCCGCCGCTTCTGTCCCCTCTGCGCAGTGTACACAATGTGACGAAACCGCTCTTGGTGATAGGCTCCGGCTTTTCCGCTGCGGACGTCATTATTTCGACGCCGCCGCACCGCAATGTCATTCACATGTTTAACTGGTCACCGGAGGACAGACCCTCTCCCCTACGCGGTTGCCACCACCAGGCCTATCCTGAATACGCCGGTATTTATCGACAGATGAAACTTGCCGCGCTTTCCTCTTCAAAGTCCAAAGCGGCTGCGTCTCCCTTGATGAGGAAGAAAAACAATCCTTTCTTCGCCCGCCGGGACTGGGCAAGTGTCTACGAAGGTCTGGCCAACGCTACCATTGTGGACGTCACCTCGATTGACGATTTCGTCAAAATCACAATACGCCTAGAGTCCGGTGACATTATTGAACGTGCTGTTGGCGGGATTGAATATGCGGTGGGAAGACGCGGTTCGCTCGAATACCTTGACGAGCCGCTACGTTCAGAGGTCATCGGCCCCACTACTGGTGGATATGAAGAGAAGGATGAGCCGCTGCCAGGGTTGATTTCCGGTCGCACCCTGCGTGATAAGGCCGAGGAGGACTTGGAAATCGCGCCTTCTGTCTTCCTGATCGGCAGCCTGACAGGCGATTCACTAGTGCGGCATGCTTTCGGTGCATGTGCCTATGCTGGTGGTAGGATCCTAGATGCGAAGCACGAGTTCGCAGGGGACAACGGCTGCGCGGCGTCCGCTGCGAAGACAAAGATACCCACTCCGCCCAGGAGCCCTGTCCACAAAGGCGTCAATGGACACTCGCGCAATGGGAGTAGTCCAAAAATCAGGCCAAATGGCGTCAGTCATCAAGACCTCCACCTGGACCGGAGAAAGCTGCCGAGGGCAATGGTGCTGCAGGATGCGGAGAAGCAGTAAGCGGGTTGCAGGAGCACCTGTTGATATAAAAGCTTTGGTTCTTTTAGGTTTGGCACAGGAGTTCAGATGGGATAGATGATTTTGCTCAAACGCTTGATTACCCTTGCATCGGTGGGTACCTGATTTTTGTAGAGAGACATGATAGAATCTATTCGATCAGATCAGAACTACAAGACTCCCAAATCTGTGGCTTTGGTATTTAAGTTGGAATGGTACCAAACTGTCACTTTTAGCTTTGCACATCTTTGTGTCATGCATCCACCTTCGGACGTCTTGCGCATAGGCGACCCGGAAGCGGACAGCATGCTAGGGAATATTACAACTGCCGTGGCATCTGCCAGTGACGCAAGTTTGTGCTAGAGTCATTAGATCCCGTTCCGCCAACTAGCGGCGCTCAAGGTCCTTTAACCTTTCCGTCCACCGTTAACCTGGTCCGAGAACATCCGCAGTGATGCATCTAGAGCGATGCTTAAATTATGCATGAGGAGCTCGAACTGATTCACGCAGCCGACTATCGAATCGTACGTTGTGGGCTTAGAAAAGAGGCTTGAAATGAGCCACTGCGGGCGCGTTTGCCGGATCGACAGCGGAGCATAGCCGTATCCGGCGATGACGGCGCAGCTGAAAGCCGGGAAGCCTGACATGGGTGGGATCCGCCCGGCGCGGGCTGCGAGGCATCAGATGGCGCGCCGACGCGTTTCCGGTCTCGAAGACATTACAGTCGCATTTTTCTTCGTGTGAAACGGTCGGACAACATGGAGCCTTCAGTGCTTGATGAGCACGCCACGTGCTCGCACGGATTACTTCGGCAAGAGATCGGCTTCTGGAGCCCGTGCCCTTCGCCTCGATGACGGAACCACTATACTTCATCCAGCGAGACAATACTCGACTGAACGACGCGCCTAACGAGCAACGAAGCACAATTTAACGATCCCTTTAACGAATCATGGCCCGCGCTACGATTAACGACCTCATCACATCCAAGCTCCCAGCCTTGTTTGGCTGCGACGGCTTCCTCCCGCTCGCCGCAGATTGCTACTCTGCCTCACCTCCTAATCGCCGTCCTACCATGGAACCCGCCAACCTCGTCGCGTCCGCGGCCTCCGCGATGGCAGAATCAGCTACGGCAGCGGCAGTAGCTCTCGAGCCGGCCGCCGAGGTGCCCATCCAGCTCAACGCGACGAAGATCCCACACCCCTCACACCCCTACTATCCCCTCGAGGTCGACATTACGGGATACTTGGCCAATGCCTACACGGTGCCACAATTGCTTGCGTCTTTTGCGGCTGGGTGCGCCGTGGTCTTCCTGGTCACATATCTGGTCGCGAAGAAGATCAGGCCGACGTTGCGCGGATCTGAGCTATTGCAGATACTGTGGTTTGTGTTGAGTTAGTGCCATTCCATACGAACAAATACCGGAGCGCTGCTAACGTTCTGTGACAGGTGGCTGCATACACTTCTTCTTCGAAGGCAAGATACACCGGCCGCGACCCCCCAAATCGAGCGCAACCTAACGGATACAAATCAGGCTTCTATGTGTATAATTTCAGGAGACTCGGTAGCTCGCAACACTTATTCGGGGAATTATGGAAGGAGTACGCGCTTTCGGATTCGCGTTATCTGACGCAGGATCCATTTGTGCTGTGCATGGAGACAATCACTGCTGTAAGTGAGCCGCGCATGCAAACTGGAAAAGCAGACTCACTGAAGCTTTGAAGGTGTGCTGGGGACCCCTCTCCTTCGTCGTCGCGCACATGATCACCACCGAGCACCCGCTTCGGTACCCTCTGCAGGCGATCGTATCTCTTGGCCAGTTGTACGGCGATGTCCTGTATTACGCGACCGCCATGTTCGACCATTTTATAAGGAACCTGAACTATACTCGGCCAGAGTCCTACTACTTTTGGTTCTACTTTGTGTTCATGAACGCATTTTGGATCGTAATTCCGATCGGTGAGGATATCTGGCGTTTTATAGACATGCACCGAACATACTGACATGCGCTAGTCTTGATTGCGAACAGCCTCAGAGCGTCGGGCAGAGCTTTTAGAGCGGTTGCGCGGGTGGAGAAGTGCCTCAATGCGTCGCCGGTGAGCCCGAAGAGGAAGAAGGAATTGTAGAAACATTATTATAGTTGAAGACTGCAAGGTTATTTTGGGTTCTAAATATAAATATATCTTTAATCGCATTGGAGAATTCGGCTCAGCCCCTTCAAATGATGTGTCGCACCCGCTTTTCTGGTAGCACGATGACGCACTGCAGTATTATTCACGGGGGAAATGACGACAATGGAAGTCAATTGGCGCGCCCCTGCAACCTATAAATCAAGAAACCCAAGACACGAGGCGCCAAGTCGCGTAGATGAGGCGACTATTCGGTCGCAAGAACTCAGAGGAGTAGTGAGCAACAGATGATACCTCGAAATGTCCTGACCACTGCTGCGGAAAGAGGGAGAACAATGCTGAGCCCGTGCATGGCGTTGTAGATCCGTCGATAGCTGCTGCTGATCAGCCGCCGAGGCCTCAGCGCCCAAAACAAGACGACGATACTTACCGACGGGGTGCGGAACGTGGACGCTGCACGCGACTGGGCGCCGCGTGGCTGCTGGCGCGTGGACAGCTTGGCCCCTCACGCAGAAGCAAAGAAGGCTTTCGAAGCGGGCGGCACGGTGCGGCGGTGAGGCGTTGGGCTCTGGTAGGCTGCGCACGGTCGAGGCAGGTCGTGCGAGACAGATCTTCACAAGCATGGGCCGCTGGCTAGAGCTATCGGGCGCAAACAACAACGCGGTGGCCAGGCTGTAAACATAACCGGGCCCAGCGTCAACAACAACCTTCCAGCCACAAGCAAGCCCCGACCGGGAACCGACGCCTGCACACCCTGTTTCAGCACCTCTCCAGGAAGCTCGGGCGCCATCATCGATTCGCGCAGGCCTGCAGCGCCCTTACAAGCGTCCCAGTCCCACAATTTGCACCACGCAACTTGCTTGCAGCAAACCAACAAACCGCGATCCGAGCTAGCTGCGACTGCAGCCACTTGCCGCTTCCTTCCCGCCTGTCTATGGGACTTTCGCTGCGCGCGGGCTGCCCGGCTCTCTAAACATCCATCCGACGCGGTATCCAGGCCCATGTGGCCTGCTGCAAGGTAAGGACGCCCACCGCCAGCTCCGGCCCTGTCAGCACCCGCACACCATCTTCTCCGGTCACAAGCCAGAAAACCACCCCGCCCCCCAAGACCAGCCTTCCTCCCCGCAGTCTTCACTTCGCGCAATCCTGAAAGCTAACTCGAAGCGCGCACCACCCTACAGTCACCCATGACCGCGCCAGTGACTCCCAAGAACAAATCCGCAACGCCCACCGACAAGAAGCAAGCCAAGTCCCCGTTTGTCCTGGGCAAGGGCCCCGGTCCCATCGATAATGCGAAGATAAAAGCGAAGATCGAGAAATGGCAAGCTGCGGGCGGCGGTTCCATCACTATCGTCGAGCCTGCCGCGCCGGATTCCGATAAAGCCGCTCCGGCAACGCCCAAGGAAGCACCAACACCGAAGGGAGCAGCAACACCTAAGGGAACAGCCACACCTAAGGGAACGGCTACGCCTAAGGGAGCGGCTACGCCCAAGGGATCAACAACGCCGAAGGGAGCAGCAATGCCTAAGGAAGCCGCAACGCCTAAGGAAGCGGATAAGGATGAGGGAGCTAAAGAGGCGGCCGAGCCGGATCCCGTTGTTGCTGCTGACGCGGCTGACGTCGAGGCGAAAGAGAAGGATCAGCCCGTCATGAAGGCTCCCGCGAAGGTTCCCGCGAAGTCGCCCTCGCCTATCAAGAAGAAGGGCAATGAGCTTGATCAGGAGATGCAGGCTGCGGTCACGCCGAAAAAGCGCGTCATCAGCGACAGCCACTGGCGCAAGAACCGGTCGCCTCCAAAGGAAAACAGGCCAACCGGCTGGGTGCGCCCGGCTGTCAAGAAAGTCCAGGTGCCGAAGCCGGAGGAGAAGAAGGAGGAACCTAAGAAAAGCCCACCCAAGATACCGATCCTGCCCAGACCTGTTTATGCGCCGGACGGTACCAGAGTTGCTGCCGTGCGGAGACGACGCAAGTCAACCGCGTCGTCGAAGAGCAGTGACGAAGACGAGCCACCGGCGCAGCCCCCAGCACCTCGAGCGGGCGGAAGGGTAGACAACTTCGTTCCCCGAGCACTATCGTATGAGCCACCTTCGAGCGGTAACCGCGTGAGAGACGCCATCAGAAAACACGAGGCGCTGGCTCGTGGAGAAGTCTTTGAGGACGTGCCTCCGAAGAGAAGGTCTATCCGCAAGACGAAGAGTGTCTACGGCGACGAGGAGAGAAAGCGCGACCGAAGTCCAGGAGCAGTATCAGCGCCCGGCGGTCGTTCAGAAGACGAGCTCCGGAGAAGACGAAGGATGAGGAGGCGGCCCACCGAGTCCAGAGACGACGTTTCAAGCATGCCCCTAGACGGGGACCAAACTGCGGAGAGGAGGAGGAGCCGGCGGAAATCCCACAGGGCGCTTTCTCCTGGACCTGCTGACAAGCCAACCGCTACTCAGTCTGCACCCGTCACGCCTCAACCCAGCACGCCGACTTTACCCGGCAGCGCAGAGACGCCGAGCGAGAAGATATTCGGGAGCCGAGTAGAAGCATGGCTATCTGCTACACCGGATCCTTTTGTCGAAGGAGAGAAAGATAAGGAGCGGAGAAGAACCTCGAGGCGTTCGTCGTCAAGTACGGAAGGGTCGACAGTGCTGTCGTCGACGATAATTTCCGAGGATAAGCGTGGTCAGAGGGACTCCGAGAAGCCTTTTGAATCGCCGTCTTCACGTCATGGCAGCACCAGGAGGAGATCGTCGCGTAGAAGCCACGATGGCCAGGACGAGCCGGTCTTGTCGGATGATAAGCCCAGGTCATCATCGCTTACTCCTTCACAAGAGGACAGGAACCTCATCACTGTTGAGTACGACGAATCTACTACAACAGCCTCCAATACGTCATCCCTTAAGCGAAGGCCAGCACGGCGCAAATCAGAATCATCATCAAAGGCTCGTCCTTCCCTGTTGCCAGCAACCATTCCAGAGGATGAAGCCGTTTCATCAGTTGCAACATCGTCGGTTGATCCGTCGGCTGCTGATCTCCCGGACCTGACTCCCCGTCCTCGCAATTCCGTGAAGCGCGAGTTCCCGACAACTGGCAGGAAGCTTTCAACGATTGCCTCAATGGACACGCTCGACTCCAAGCGGAAGACTTCACGCACGGTCTCTCAGGGGTCTGACAATACAATTACCCCAGATGATGCCATTAAAGATGATCTTCCGGCCGACGATTCCGGAAAACCTGCAGATACTCTCTCGATCATGACTGGAATGACTGGCATGTCCACCCGGAGCAGAAACAGTACAAGGCGGCGGCTCGCAAACCACGCTGACCTTATGTCGGTCCTCTCGATGCCGGAACGTAAGAACTCGAAGAGCAAGAGCATAGTCTCTGCACGCAGCATTCGGACGAACAAAAGCAGACTGGCCACCGCAACCATCGGCGATTTGATGAGAGAGCTGCAGTCGGACGAAGTCAAGTACATCCGCGAGCTGAGGACGCTCGTTGACGGAGTTATCCCGGTGCTTCTAACCTGTGTGCTGTCAAAATCGGAATCTGCTGTAACAGCCGGCCTCTTTAGCAAGACAGGAACTGGAGGGGAGAGTGCAAAGATAACGAAACCTATCGTCGAGATGGGCGTTGCACTGGAGAGGCTGAAGACCTTGCACAAGCGCATTCCGAAAGAGGATCCAGAGGCTCTCCTCTCATGGGCACAAAGTGCATCAAGAGTATACACCGATTACGTCAAGTCTTGGAGGCTGGGCTTCCAGGATGTCGTCGTGAACCTTGCTCCTGCAAGTGAGGAGGATAAACCCGAAAAGAATGATGACGATCAAGCAGACGCAGAGTCGACCATTGATGAGGGGATGCCGCGCAATGACGAGGGCTATATTGTTGATGGCGATGGCGAAAGAGTTGACGTAGCCTTCCTTCTCAAACGCCCTCTCGTGCGCCTCAAGTACCTCTCCAAAACCCTTAAGGGCATCAACATCCTCAAGCCATCCGACCGGGCGAACGATCTTGCCGCCAGATACCAAGACCTGGTCACCCAGGCAAGGAAAAGATCAAACGAGGAAAGAGCCCGACTGGAGGATGAAGCCGCTGCCAGCATAGACCCTACAAGAGCAAGAGATCCGCGCAGTCTGGCTCCTCTATCTGGTGTCAGCATCGACGCGACTCGATGCGTGCGCGCAAGAGATTATTTCGATATGACGCTGCTGCATTCGAGCGGACAAGAGGTTGACTGCAGGGTTGAGCTGCTCATCCGCGATGACGCACCTGGACGTGGAAGCGGCGGAGACCTCTTACTTTGCGAAGTTGACAATACCGGTCGCTGGCTCTTCTTCCCGCCTATTCAAATTGGCCGCGTCTCAGCCCGCAATGGCGACCTCAAGGGCGAGATTGTTGTCATGATCCGTGGTAACAGCTCTAGTGGAGAAGAATGGCGTGAACTGATTACTCTGCGCACCAACGATGAGGAGGTGGGCTTTGAGTGGGTCCAGATGCTGGGACTCGTACCCGTCCCTCACAAGGTATCGAGGGGGCTGAGCTTCCGCGAGAAGCCAGCTGCACGTCCGACAAGCAGCCACGGGTCGTCCTCGCTGTTATCGGCTGTCACTGGATCCACTCCTCCAATCAAGAGCAGAACTCCCAGCCCTCGCGAAATCGAAATACCAATGGGAGAAAGAGCGGGCGAGTCGTCCAAGAGATGGAGCCGCGCGACTCCGGACAAGTCGAGGCCTGTTTCGCCAGAAACAGCTGCAAGTTCCGTGCTCAGCAGCGAACTGGGCACTCTTGGCGCCAAAGAAGGCTCTGACGTGGTGTCATCTCATGCAGCGGATCAGGAAGATCTTACGCCACGCAAGACGCGTCTCCCACCCCTGCAGATTTCGTCCACCAGTTGGACCGATGCGATGGCTGCGGCTGAGAGCCCAACCACTCCCACCTTGAAACGGTCAAAGGCCAAGAGATATTCGCGAGGCGATCCCCGACAGCCCAGGACCCCTAAGGATTCGAGCTCGGATCAAGCACCGCCGACCCCAGAAGAGCAGACGTCACGACCAACGTTGCAGTCCGAAGTTTCCTACGCCACCACTATGTCCTCGTCCCAGACTGAGAGCTCGTTTACATCAAGTTCGTACATCAGCGGGTCCACGGAAAGAGGTGGGAAGAGCAACTACACCGTGTGGTATCCTCCGTCAGAACCGGAAGATCTCAGCGACTATTCCGATGAGGATGACGATTATGATGATGCGCCGCTACCTCAGCGGGGACTCACAAAACGGCCTCCAACCCAGAGGCGTACATCTTCTGTTCCTTCGATGGACCTTCCGTCTATTCCGAAACTCCGCAAATCCAGCCAGCCGGAGACGCCGACAAGGGACGAAATGCGCGCAGAGTCTCTTCCAATTCACACTCCATCTTCAGCTTCAGGAAAACTTCAGAAGAAATCCAGAGCCTTGGCTGAGGACGAACTACTGCCAGAAACGGGAGACGTTCCGCCTCCACCCCCACCGCATCGCTCCGTCAGTCCAACACCGCAACTGAAGGTGTCGCCGATGCCAGACTTCAGGCCACCTGCCCCCGGGTTCCGGCAGCACAGACGTACCTCGTCTCCGCTCAAGCATGAATACCAGCCTTCAACATGCACTGAGTCTTCTGAGGATAGCGAATTGTCCCTCTCGGATGACGTCGGCTCCTCCTACTCTGAGTCGTCTGAAGATGATCTTGAGGCCGATGATGTCGCACCCCTTGGTCCATTGCCTCCAATGAATCAGAATCATCAATTCCCTGACCCTTCGCCGCCGCAGTCAGAATATGCGCCTGCGACGTCTACTTTGGCGCCTTCTCAATCTGCGTCCCAGGGCCCATACAGGGCTGTTCCCCCGACTTCTGCTAAGCCGACCAAGCTTGTTGCGAACCTCTTCGCCTGGTCTGACAGTGGCATGTGGGATCTCCTTCATCCCGATGAATGCAGCATAGTCATCACTCCGGGCTTGATTGAAGTCTTTGAGATGAGTCCTGAGCATTCCCAGGATACTGTCACCGAAGAAGAGAGGAGCAGAATGCCACTTGTTGCTCTGGAACTTACACCTCTTGTGCCTCTGAGGCGCGGAACAGCTCTTGACATCTCTATTCGCTCCCCGCCGACCCCTAATTCCAGGATTCATACGAGCTCCCACATCATGCTCCGTTCGCGCTCTTCTGAGGAGTGCGAGACTCTGTACAACATGATCAACAAGTCGCGCATTAACAATCCGACTTACATAGCTCTTCAAAATGCCCGCGGTCCGTACGCCGAGGACACCTGGGCCGCCGCTATGGACCGCCGTAATGCTGAGCGCACTGAAGGAAGCACCACTGGAGGCAGCAGCTGGTGGGGTAGTCTGGGCCGCAGGAACAGTTACCGTGCCAAATCTACTCGTGCGCTTAGCACCTCGGCAGGCACGGGCAGCAGCGTCAACACTATCGGCAGCGCATTCTCGGCCCTCAAGCGCTTCGGCGCTGGTGGGAAACTCTTTAACGGTAGAGGCAGCCTGTACTCGTCCAACCAGGACAGCCGTAGCCGAAGCACAGATTCGCTGAGTGGTGAAGTCGAGATCAACCCCGGCACCTCGCCAACCATGCCGAACAAGGACGATCCAACGCTTGATGCCCAGGGCATGCCGCTTGGCATTATGAACACGAAGATCAGATTGTACGCGCGCGAATCTCAACAGAAATGGCGCGACATGGGTGCGGCGAGATTGTCCATTATGCGCCCATCGCCGCCGGCTTCCCCTGGTGCCAACCCATACGTCAGGCAAGGCCAGGGCCCTCCCGGCCAGCGGAATCCGGAGGCGGAGAAGCGCATCGTTGTGCTTGGAAAAACGAAGGGCGAGACGCTGCTCGATGTAACGCTGAGCGAGAGCTGCTTCGAAAGAGTTGCGCGCACAGGTATTGCGGTCAGTGTCTGGGAGGATACGGTAGGCACGAATGCGGAACTTGGAGGTATTCCGGCTATTGGAGGTGTGTCCGCGACGAAGGCAAGGGTGTATATGATTCAGGTGAGTGGCAATTTCTACTGACGTCGTGCGACTGAGAACGCGTGTGATTGTTAACAGCTTTTAGATGAAATCTGAGCGCGAGTGCGCGTACTGCTTCTCCCTGCTCGGAAAGCTGCGGTACTAAGACGATGACAAACAACCACAGGGCATGGCCTTGTTCCTTGCCTCACCCGAGCGCCGCACCCAACTCCGCGCTATACACCCCTGGCATCTGGATACTTGCGATGCCTACAGCCCAATTCTCTGCAGAACAACAGTATACGACACGAGTTTCTTCTTACATTATAGACTTTCTGCCAAGATGCTAGCCAGGGACTTGCCCCTAATGCTCGCAGTGTGCCATCCTGGTTTGCCCCGAGGACTTTTTTTCTTCCTTCCACTTTCGGCATAACAGAGTTGCATGTCTTTTGTTTCTTCCTTCATCTTTGCATAGCGACAGGGATGGCTCCATTTCATCTTCCCGGCTTCCTTTACACATAGATCTCCTTTCATTGCACACTGAGCCTTTCCAGCGAGTATGGGGTGTTGGTGATTGTCGGCATCGGACGACTTGTGTTTATCCATTGATTTGAGCATGGCGATGGGTTTTACGGGCACAAAGGATATACACGAAGAATGGGACACGCACAGGGGAATGGGGCGGCGTTCCGATAGCTTGATGGCGGTTTGATTTGATTTGTTTTTCTTGGTTTTTTTGCTCTTTCCAACAAGATATCCAATTGCCTTTTTTCTTCCTGATTGTACCACATGAATTGTCTCTTCTACTCTGCCTTTGAGAAGTGCGCTTTCTTCCCTTATGTGCGAGCGTTGTGCTTGCCACATCTTTCCTTCGCTGCTTTGAGGCCTACTTTGCTTTAATGCTGCGGCAATGCGTTTTCATTTTTCTGATGGTAATGCGCTTGCTCTGGAGTGGTGGTAATCTTAGTAGCTGTTCGCGGTGGACTTAATGAAATTGAGAGGCTGCAACCTCGTTGCAAGCACCTCATTCCGACGGGGTACTAATTTCGACGCGACGTTCGACGAGAAACTTTTTGATCTTATTACTATGTTCGTTGTTGGTCCGTATGCAAGCACTTGGCAGTAAAAGAAATGTGAGGTCATGATCATTTCAGGCGATGGGGCGCCAATGATTGGTTGGGACAAGAATCGGCTGCATTTGTTTGATGACGGTTCATTTTGCTGCGACGTTCGATGGTGCATTTGATTTGACGTTATTTTCTTCTGAGAGGCCGCTCCGTGGAATGAAAGTCTTCGATTTAGCTTGATGTTATCTTAAATCTGCATACGTTGTGGGGTTACTGGGTGATTGGCTGTCGTGGCGCGCGCTCTTTGATGAGGGGCGTGAGGGGCAATCTTGTCGCGACGTTCGACGGAAGACGGGATTTTCTTCGCCACCCGCTCGCTCATTTCGTTGCGACGTTTGAAGGAAGCGGCATGAGAGAATTTGCAATCCGGTCAATCTTGCGGAAGTAAAGAGGAGTCATCAGACTGGAGGGATAACGATAGTCGGACGTTGCCAGGGTAGGGCTGAGTTTTTTTTAATTTCGTCGCCGGGGCCAACGATCACCGCTCGTTATTCGCTGCGCGGGGGCAGATCAGAATCACTCTATCTAAGAAACTTTATTGACGGAAATCTCGCTTTCCGGTCGTAGTCGATCGTGGTGCGCAGCCCTACGGGCGATACGAGATTGTTCATTATCTACGTCGTCGGAAGATGTTGGGGTGCTGAGGAGATAGGAAGAAGAGGGCATCGAATATGACGATCAATCAATATAAGTAAGTACATACAAGTATTCATCTCTTTTTTCTTTTTGGGTCGACTAGACACGTCTCATAACGACAACGCTTCTATCTGGGCTCGTAATACGGGTATTCTATGTCCGCAAACTAACGCATATCTGCAACTGTGGCAGAGGGCTAAACCAGCGGTAATCTCTGGCGGCTGTTCAGCTTTCCTCGAATCGGGGACATGGAGACCCGGTGACCCGGTGAGCAGCTGAGAAATATCGAATATTGGAGGAGCTAATACGAAGCATTTTTCAAGCGATAATCGGAATGTGTTGGCAAGCTTAAAGAGAATTCTATTTTTTCCAACGAATGGCGGCAATTTCATGCAAGCAAAGCATAAGCTTGTTGGAACAAGTATGCCCTTGTAAATTGTGCTACTGACGGTATCCATACGAGTGGTTCTACTATTGCTAATTTTTGGAGGCAGATGCAAGAGGCAATTGAGCGGGCGGGCGCAGAGGTTTCCGGATTGACGCGCCGATGTGGTGATCGGGTTGTACGGGCAAACGTGGATCCTGTTGTACATGGTGTATTGACGTCGTGATTGAACACGCGTGCCCGCTAGCAGTGCATATTTGATTTTCGCGACTCCCAATGCGAGGATTGCACACGGGTGGTGTGAGACGTTGATTCTGTACTGTGGCTGGCAGACGCAGGGTGAGCAGGTGGTATCAAACAGGGGGGAAGTTTGCAGGCGGATCTGAATGGAATCCTGGATCGAAGCTCGGTTCTCGGCTGATGCGACGAGGCGATGAAGCGGCGAGGAGAGACAGTTCGAGATGGACCCTGGAGCAAGGGTCTGTGGAGCACGGCAGGTTGCAGCGGTACGGCGCCATTCGGATGAATGATTCGGGCTAGCCTTACGGCCAATCCGTTATCGCGTCCGGCCAGCCATTCCCCATTGTGGCAAGAAAGCGCTCGGAGGTGGGCTCCTCGCTTCGCTGCATGCAGGTACCCTGGACCGAGTCGCTACAGACGACTTCTTGCGCGAACTTCTGGACCGGTCCGAGGCCTTGCATTGGCGATGCTGCACGTGGAGCACGATGAGGTCGCAGCGTGCCACGGATTCTGGCTGGCTGACACGCCCTTGCCTTGAGTCAGCGAGGCGAGTGCTGCACTGCGAGGAAGCGAAGGCGCGTGCTAGCGGGCACAGCCGCCATTGGGTCGGAGTATGCGATGGTGGGAGGGCGGCGGGCGTGGTTCGTGAGCATTCGGGAGTGGGCTGCAAAGGCGAGTGGTGGCCGGGGTGATACTGCCGGACGCGGTGGTTTAGGAGGAATCTGCACTGTGCAACGCCGGACCAGCAAATTCTCGCTCAACATTGGGGCGATGGAAGGCGACATTTTTCTTTTTCGATACTCAACCGTGCACAGGCGTCATCCATCAATCTCTTCGGCATAGGGCTCGCTAGGCGCTCTGGTTTCAGGATGTCGGCCAGGGGCGCGGACGTGACTCGGAAAGCCTGACAAAACCCACTGTGACGTCGCGAGCGGGTGGTCCGGCAGGCCTGAGGTGCCAGCACACGCAGCGACGAAAAGCAGGCCGGGAGTTCGCCACGCGAGCGGGGTCTGCCGGGCGTCTGGCGAGCTTAAACTGGCGATGCTGAGGAAAAAAAGAACAAGATCCAAGTTTGATCGGCGGCAGCGGGTGACTTGCGCGCGGCCTGGTCGTGCATGCCGAGCGCGCTGCCATTGGCCGCCGGATGCGCTGCGCCCAGCGTGCCGGGAGCTCCCATGGCCGGTCTGGGAAATGAAACGCGCTGGGGTTGGGGCCGACGTCAAACGTTCAGCTTGCAAGTCCGAAGCCAGCGAAGGGAGACCCTCGTGGCCGGCAGCAGCTCACTGCCGGCGCGTGGTCGCGGTGGGGCGGGGGAAATGAGCAGCCTCAGCTGGAGAGCTGCCGGCTCCTACGATGCTGATCTGCCTGCCCTCAACCATGGCACCTCGACGCTCGCCCACGCCCTCCAATCTCTCCCTCCCAGCTGCATCGACCCCGCCGCGTGGTTGGCTGCGCGACCGCGAGGTCAGAAGCCAAAATATCCTGCTGCCGCCCGGTTCGAGGGTTGGCTAGCGGCTCCACCTCCCGCCGTCTCCAAGCACGCACAAGACGCTGGCCTGTCATTTCATTCCAACCACGCCAAATGGTCCATGCGTGGCCTGGCACCCGCCGCATCCTCCGCTACCTGCTGCTCTCCCGTCATTTTTATTTATACAGCCTGAGCCCGCCCCTGGTCGCCAACCCCTTCCGTCCGGGCTGCCCTACGTGCTAACCCGCGGCTGAACCAACTCACTGGCCCAATCACCTGCCGACTCTCCGCCCTCTAGTCAGCCGCTGGCCAGCTGAGACGCACTACAAGCAACCCCCTCACAGCTAGATCGTATCAATGGCGCAAGCCCCGGCCCCAGCATTCGCCGGCTCCGCGTTGATTTAGGACGAGCTGCCCCTCCGCTCAGCTTCTCTCCCCAGGAGAGTGCGAAGATGGGGGACCACACCACACTCTTCACCTTCAGGATGTACGTCGCCCCTCCGCCCTCATCTGAACCCCCGGCTCATTCTGCTGCAGTGACGTCCCCTCTGGTACCCGGTCAGTTGAGCTGCTGGGGTCATGGGACAACTTCACCCATTCCTACCGCATGGAGCGGGACCAGAGGAAGAGCTCTCGCCAATGGTGTGGTATCTTCACCTTCAAGGACATCATTTGCGATGGCGAGCCGCAAGGTCGCCCTGAAAAGAGGGAAGGCGGTTTGAAAATGGGCGGCACCTATTGGTACTACGTGAGTCTTCAGCCTTACCACTCTTGCTGCGCCTTACTCACCATGCAGTATATGCTGGACGGCGTCTACGAATACCACGATGAATCCAAGCCCTTCACCACAACCTGCCCTCTGCTGCTGGGCGAATGTGTCAACATTCTCGAAGTGCCGTACGAAGAGAGATCAGATGACTTCGATCCAGACTTTCCGCCCGCACCCGTTCTGACCCCAGCATTCACCATGGACCCCAATGCCCGTTTCAGCACCCCACGCCCCAATAAGTTCGAAGCTCTTTCCAGAAAACCATCTGTGCCTCCACCATCGCCATTCTTTCCCTCTCCCGTCACTCCCTCCTGCGAAGATTCTTGTCGATCCTCCCTTGCCCCTACTTCCGACCAGAGCTGTCGTAGCTTCACCTCCGCCGGTGCCGTCTCTCACCGAACCAGCTATAGTCGCCATGGCCACTTTGATCTGTCTTCTAGCTCTCATGGTTATGTCCGGCCAAAGACTGCAGGTGGCGCGACCACTGCCCAGCAAGCACGCCACCTCAATCTTCGTAGTAACAGGCCAGCATCCGTTGGGCGATCTGACCCGGCGACTTCGCAAGATAGGAAACCTGGATTTTGGCGCAATGATTCCGGTATCGCGGGACATGGTCTGAGCGGAGGCAGGGACAACAGTGGGTCAAAAAGCGACGTGGCGGCGAAAGTGGGACTTGCAGAACAGCAAAGTGGACAACAACCTGAGCGGAGACACACGGGGGCCCCAGCAGTCGACTTCGAAGAGGACGTGCTATCAGACTCCGGTGCTACATTGGCGTGCTGGCAGCACAGGGAATGTCTTATCCGGAAGCGGAATGGCCTCGCCGAGACTGGAGCGCAGGAAAGACTCATACAGGAGGCATACCAGGCTGTGGATACTTGGATCGAGCACACGACGATCGCATTGCTGGGTGGAGAATTCCCCTGGGATATCAAGGACATTTCTACGCCGGAGATAAGCCCAACGAGGTCCGAGTTTACCGACATCCTGGACAGCAGCATGATGCTTGAAAGAGGAGGCTATTGGTCATCGTATGAGGATGAGCTTCGTTCTAGCGATGATTCTTCTAGCTTTAGCAAGGTCGGCAGGCTGCCCTGTGTTGAAGAAGAAGCAGTTGAAGAAGCATCAACCCTCGAATTCGATGAACCTCTCCATCGATGTTTTTCCGAAACGGAGAGATACATTGAGGATTTCGAGCTACCTCCGGTGCTTACTCTCGATTCAGGGATTGAGGACATCGCCCAGACACTAGCCACACCGGGACAAGCGCAAGAGGAGGACTGTGGAGTACTGACAGTGGAGCCCCAGGGCAGCTTCCTGAACATGGACCGCTTCACAGATAGCTTTAAGCTTCCTCCGCTCAACACTCAAATCAGTGTGAGTGGCAGCTCATTGCTTGACGATGTTTCGCAGTCGGCTGTTACCAGCACTACGGTTGACCTTCCGCAATTGGAAGACTCGGCTATGCACTCGCCTACGTGCAGCAGCCCCTGCACCGCCTCATCGGCGCGGGCTGAATCTTTCCAATTTTGGGCCGACCAGGACGGAGAGGAGGATGAGGTGGAGGAGTCGTATCTCGACTATTCATCATCAGCAACAAGCCCTGGATTGCTGCCTACTATCTCTCACACTCGGACGAATTCGTGGTTCAGCAACAGCGGATTCCAGGGCTATAGCCTACCCGAGGACGAGTACTCGTCGCAGGCAACTCTGACTAAAATCTCAACGCAGGCCACGATGGTCATGTCCGAACCGCCGCCGCTTTCGGTAAGACGGCACAGCACCTTGCGCGTGAACTCGGAGCTCGAGAGCATGGACGAGCTTTTAAACGACTTCAGCTACCTCGGCGAGGCAGTCATCGGATGACTGTCGTACACGTCGGTCAATGCGGCTTCTTTCGTAAAAATTTCGGGGGCGTCACTTCGCTTTCATTGCATCTGAGCAGGCGCTGTTTCTACGGACGATCATTTTTGCGTTTCATTCAACCTTTCCTTGTGTCTATTTCAGGACTCTGTTGAGATTCCATCAAAGCGTGCCGTATTTTCCTTTTTGTATTTTCCCCTACCCAACGATCGAAAAGAGGCTTCAGCACGGCGTTGGGTTACAAGGTGTGCGAATGTACACAAGCTTGCATGCGAAACAGCGGTAAAAATAGAGGAACATATGGTGGGGAACGGATGCACACGAGGCACAACACGGTATGTTGCGACAGCTGGGCTGCGCCATGAGGCGCCGAGTAGATATCAATGAAGATAGAGGTCACACGCGCCACAGACAGTGACGTAGAGGCTTGGCGGGGGAGGCCAAGAATAGCGGACAGAGGGCGGGCGAGGGCTGCGCAGGACGCGCGCCTCAGCTTGCGTATTGGGCCCCAGACTTCTTATCCCGCGCAGTCACGCTGCAATTGAAGCGCGCGAGACCAAGCGGGAGCCAAGCCTCGTTGCACGTTCTTGTACACGCGTCCATCCAATGTTGCGTCAACGACAGCGCCAGAGAGGGGGGCTGTGCTGAGCGGTGGGTGTGGGGGAGCTATTTGGCCTAGCAGCTAGACACGGTTGAAAAGCACACTGGAGCCCAGATCTAGCAGCAGCCTTACCGTTCTCAAGAAGAAATCATCCGACGAGCCGCGGTTACAAGTGCTGGTGCTGTTGCCTAGGTCGACGCTCCCAAGGGTCCCGAAGCGCGCTACGCTATCCTACGCAATTACCGGCGCGGCACGCCAGCGACCGGACCCTGTCACCGCGACCCTCTTTTCCGCATAAACCGCCATCCACCACCGGGGGGAAAGGAAGCTGCCCACAGCTCCCCCTGCACGACTCGGCCTTCGATTGCTCCCTCTTCGACTGCTGCGAGCCAGCTTCCTACAAGCTCGCCGCCCCGAAACTCTCGCGTCACCACGGTGCCTCCGACAACTCACCCCCGGCCGAGCAGGACCGCCATGGTGCTGAAGAAGGTACAAGGCCTGCTTAGCAGGCGCCCTGGCACCAGTGAGCTTCCCCGCTGTTCTTCTGTCTAGAGCGCCTGCTGACGGCTGGCGATAGGCGCATCTGATGACAATACCCCCACGTACGATCAGGATTCGCCAGAGGGAATCGCTGCGAGGGGCGTGGTACGTCAAACATATCGCCGTGAGCTTCTGCAGAAGTGCTGATTCAGATGTACAGCGGCTGTTTTGCGAGTCTGGCGGCCCAAATAACTCTGTAAGTTTGAGCTCTCCGTGTCATGGCCTCCCTCGGGCCGCCGCTGATCACTATTCTTCCATAGAACGAAGAGATCCAGTACCTCCCGGAAATCGTAACCGCCGCCGAGTCCTCACCCGTGGCCGCCGAGGCTTGCGCCTACCAGATCCGCAAGTTCTTGTCCAAGGACAACTACTCAAAGCCTCATGTGCAGTATAACTCGATCATGCTGATCCGCATCCTTACCGATAACCCCGGTCCCACCTTCACCCGCAATATCGACTCCAAATTCGTCAGCACCGTCAAAGACCTCCTCCGCAATGGACGGGATCCCAGCGTCCAGCAGATCCTGCGGGAGACGCTGTTTTCGCTGGAGAGGGACAAGGCCTATGACACCAATTTGAATCCGCTGTTTCACATGTGGCGCAAGGAGTACGTTCATGGCAATGGCGGCGGCAACGGTCCTCGCACGCTCAATGCCCCGCCGTTTGACCCCAGCCAAACGCGGCCATCAGGAAACGGCGACGGCCAGAGCAGCCGGCGCTCGCGTGGTCTCCCCTCGCCTTCAGAGCTGGCAGCACGGATCGAAGAGGCGCGGACAAGCGCGAAGCTTCTACTGCAGCTAATCCAGAGCACCCCCCCGGAGGAGCTTGGAAGCAACGACCTGGTCAAGGAATTCGGCGAGCGATGCCAGCAGGCGCAGCGCAGCATTCAAAACTACATCAACACGGCTACCGAGGACTCGACGCAGGCTGATGACGAGACGATGCTCACGCTGATTGAGACGAACGAGCAGCTGTCGCTCGCGCTGACCAAGCATCAGCGCGCTTATCTGGCTGCTCGACGCACCAACTCCTCCAGCAACTTGCACAACAACGGTGTGACCTCTTCTTCCACTCCGACGCCAACTCCGCCACCTCCTGCTGCTGCTGTCGTCCCTCCTCCCGCCGCAACGCCTCCTCTCTCCCCCGAACAGACCTACGCGCCCCCGCCTAACCCACCTCCGCACCTGCAGCAGTCGCTCGCCGCCCGCGAGAGCCGCGACTCTCCCGAAGCAGATGATCCTTTCTCGGACTCTCATGCTGCTAATCAGCCGCACCCGCTGGAGCCCCAGCACTACGGTACTTCTGGAATCAGGCCAGGCAACGATTTCCAGAGCACGCCGAGCTATCTGCACAGGCAGGAGAGTGCGGATGTGAACAGGACGATGCATGGGGCGGCGACGGGTCCAGAGCCGGAGGTGCCAGATGTGAGCCCGGTGGAGGAGAGAAGAGTAGTGTACAGGTACTAGAGTGGAAATTGTACGAGGGATGGAGACTGGTCAGTCAGAAGATTGTAGGTTATTCGGCGTGGTTCCATGGAGAAGAGTGTGAAGCAGTGGGCTTGGAGACTTTCTTATTCTTAGTCCTTCATCTTTCTTTTTCTTCCCAATGACTTTGGAGGCACACGAGATACCACACGCTTGCTTGTTGGATAAAATGCGATCATGCTATTCTTTCTTCGTTATCCCCGCTGTCGATTGTTCCGTCTTACATCTTCTACGAAGTCTACATTGCAAGTGATCTCACGTGAAATAGAACGTTAGTGGTCTCCATCTGACTCCACAAACCCGCTGATCCTCACGGAGACCTCCCCAAATCCCTCATCAGATTCCGCAGGCTCATAATCATGGGCGGCAACTCATCCTTCCCTGAATTCGGATAATTGCCCTCCAGCACCTGCGCGCCCACACGCATGACCTGGCTTGGCTGGATCTCGACAAATCCTCCTCTTCCGTCACGACTGCTACTCCCACCTTCTTCCTGTTCCTGTTCCTGCTGCTGCTGCTGCTGCTGCTGCCGCCGCCGCAGCCGCCGTGTTCTCCCGTCAGCCTCCTCCTCCTCTCCTGCACGTTCTCGATGCCAGTCGAAGCCCAGCACCGGCGTCCCGACGCCGTGCGCCAGAAACGCCTCCTGCTCCCGGCCCTTGGCGCCATCCAGCCGCACCGGGACCGTACCATGCGCGCCCACGCTGTCCGCGGCACCCGCGGCACCCGCGCTGCCACCTACTACGAGGTCTGTATGCATGCTATGCACCACCCCACCACCACGACCACCACCAGTCCCGTCCGTCATCGTCGTCGTCACCGCCCCCGCCGATGCCGTCATCCTCTCCCTCAGCACGGCCCACACCCACAGCGTCAGGGCGGCGTAGTAGACGGCGATGGCATCGGCGCCGCGCAGCTGGTACGGCGGGACGCTGCGGGCGGCGCGGAGGACCTGGCCGGCGTGCCAGACGGCGGTGCGGGAGGCGCGCGTGGTGGGCCATGATGATGATGAGAAGTCGGAGTTGGAGGAGTTGGGATCGTTGTTGTTATTGTTGACGAGCATACTCGCGCACGCGCGGCGCGCCTCGGCCTCGCCGTACTTGCCGGCGAAGCGCTGCATGTCGTCGAGCGAGGCGTGCAGGTGCATTTGGAGGAACTCGGCGAGGAGGGTGAGGACGGCGGGGGCGCGGGGGTGGGTGGTTTGGAGGGTTTGGAGGAGGGTGGAGCTGTGGGGAAGGGGAGAGGGGGTCAGTCGAGAAGTGTGGGAGAAGAGAGTATTGTTGAGACGTACAGCTCTTGCCGCCGGCTTTGGAGCCAGAGGTGGGCGGTGGGATCGTCGTGGGATGAGCTCTCTTGCGTGATGGATGCTTGTTTCCGGTAGTCCCAGACCATTGCCCCGACACCGTGGACGAAGATTGAGGTCGCCCTGTCGAAGTCGGCATCGCCGGATAGGGTGTTGAGGCGGTCGGGCTTTATGAGGATGTCTCTTAGTGAGTTGAAGACCGGGTCAGGGGCCCGGACTTTAGAGAGGTGAATGGCTCTCCAGGCAGACGGGGACGGCGCGAGCCAGATATCTCTTTCCGCGGGAAACGGGACACTGAACTCTGAATAGGAGGTCAGTGGATTGCGGGTCATAGTAAATGCTACCAGAATGTCGTGTTCGAATAAATGGTAGACGAGCCTGTGCACCGGTCAGTAAGATGGTTGGATCTAATCCTAGACCACTGACCGTTTGTACGATTCTTGTTCCACCCATTGCCTCCACTTTTGTTCCAGCGTGGCATCATCATCGTCGGGTGATGGGATGATACGTTTGTAGAAAGACTTGTTGAATGCGCCGGCCTTTCTCAAAGCCTGATATCCAATGATTAGTACATGCAGTAATGATTTATGGAGGCAACGGACCGTGCAAAGAGGTTGCAAGTTGCTTTCGGCAATCTCCATCTGTCTCTTATAGCCGCACCAAATGCCGATATCAATCCATATCATGTAGGCTTGAAGATACTGTAAGTCCCGAAGGACGCTGTTGTCCTTCTCAACCTAACGAAGTCAGCAAGCCTGCGAGTACTAGAAGTTGTACTTTGGACTCACTAAATTACTTAGGGCCACCCTGACTATTTCCTGAAGCAAACCCCCTGTTTTACCGACAGCCATGATACCAAAGCAGACACATCCAGCTGCAATAAGGGCAGTGAGAAGCTCTGCCCTCGTGGTCTGGGAAACATGAGTATGCGGATGGATCCAAGCGTCGGTCTCCAATTTCTTTGCTATTCCATTCTTGATCAAGATATCCAAGAATTTGGCGGACGGGAACGATGGAATAGATACTTTTGATCCGACGGTCTGGATCACGAGCTGAAGGATTCGATCCCTGGTCTGCTGGCTGAGTTTATCCTGGATGATAAGATCGACGGAATAGGGCCAGTGGGGAGATGCAGCAACGTCGACGTTGTCGCTCTCGAGGGGCATTCGCGGATGATCACTGAATGCATTCTGGGCGGATGATGGTTTCCAAAACCTAAAACTATCAGAGCCGAACAGTAAAGTCCAGCTTTAGTGTGTACATACCAAGGAGATCTTTCGAAAGCCTCGCGCCGCGAAGCTGTCTCTTCAGCATCTTGGCCTATTTCGGGCCCGTCATTCTGGTCTGTCTGCTGTCTCGTCTCGGCGGTCTCGAGACCCTCGAAGAAGGAAGGAAAACCGGCATCGAAGTCGAATTCCAGGGTTTCGATATCGTCAAGCACAAGATCCGTGGTCTGCATGAAGTCTAGAACATCGTAAGGCAAATGCGGTGGGGGCAAAATGTCCATCCTGTGTGCCTCAGGCGCCATCATGTGATCGAAGTAGTTGGGCAGGCCCACTGAAGCATTGGGAATGGGCAGTTCAGTCACAGAGCTTATATTCGCTGGTGGTGAAAAGCTTTCATTTGGTAAGATGGTGGAGCATTGGCTCTGTCGCCGTTGATCGGTTAATGCTGGCGTCGAGAGCTCGCAAGTGGATTGAGGACTAGGGAGACCGGCTGACTCGTTCTCCGGCGCAGCGCTGCTGAAGCAAAATGAAGACTGCCTGTCTACGCATTTTTCATTTTGAATTCGACAACGCTACAGTCATCAGTTTCACCATTCACGTGGCTATTTTGAGACTTACCTTGCAGGGTCTTTCCTCGTCACACTTTGCTTTTGCTGCAGCACAAGGCTCGCAAGCTCTGCTTACACGGTCAACTCGCCTTCTTTGGGGAGGTTTGCCTTCCAAGGCATTTTTGGCGTGAGCGGCCTGGTGTCGTTGCAGAATATCCCTGGGGCGCGTCAGAAACCCGGCGCCGATCATCGGAAACGGCCAGTTTAGATTACCGTCGATTAAAGCCTTTGGAGCATTCAGGACATCGGAAAGTGCGCGCATTCTGATCTGGTAGATAGTGAGCCAGAGATGAAACTGCTTGGGCATAGTTAAACTGACGAGAATTTACATGACGGCTGAGATGGTCAGCGCGTTCGTAGGTCCTGTTGCAGAAAGGGCAGGAATGCATCTGTGTGGTATGCTTTGCAATGGGTTCGTGCCGGTTGGTCGTTGTGCTTCGGAAAGAGAGTGTGGAGAGGAGTGGAACTGCGGGGGCCTAGGTATATGCATCGGAATGTGGGGGGTAGAATCTGGGGAAGCGGGGAATCTATCCGCGTACCCCTCCCCGCACGGGCTATCAACACTCATCACATAGCCGATTCGACAACGTGTTGGTGGGTCCTCGGAGCTAAATGCATCGGGAAGTCTATTGACGGGAACATGATAGGCGTTGAGTTGCGGTATGAACGAAGGGAAGGCACAGCTAACTAGCTCAATCAGGGAAGGCGCGACCCTTCACAACCCTTTCCTTCTCAATGACACATGGTCGGCTTCGTGGGGTCGGCAGCCTGCGCCCATTTACCAGTAAACGCCCGAATACGCTTGCCCGTGAAGAAAACAACGATGCCCAGCACGCCAAACACGGCCGTCAACCCGGCGTATGTCCCGAACGAGCCGTCATACCCATCCGTCTCAATGAACTTGGCTACGCCGTAGCTCGTCCCGAAGCTAACGAAGCCGCGCAACGCGCAAATGACGACCAGCAGCGGGCCTCCCCTTGCCGGGTATGAGTCGAGCAGGTACGTGATGGCAGCAATGTTGGCGCCGACGAAGCAGAAGTAGTAGGCGGCGTTGGCGAAGACGAGGGCGAACCAGTGGTAGCGGTCCGGGTGCTGGCACGCCTCGCCGTAGATGGTGGCCGCGAGCACCCCCACGCACACGGGCACCACCAGCGGAAGCAGCCGGTTCTCTGGCTCATGGATGCCGCCGTTACGCCGCGCCCGCCACTTGATTATCTTGTCCGATCCCGTGCCCAGCGCTGGAAGTGCCACCAGCGCCGTCACGATCTGCCCCGCGTTGACGTACGATGCCGCCGACGATGACCAGTTGTATGGCGGCGCTTCGATCACTGCTGCGTACGTCGTTCCGATGGCGATGTTGACTCCGATCGTCAACCCGTTGAGGCAAAAGGCCCAGAAGACGTTCGGGAAGAAGAGCACTTGCACCATCGCCTGTATATGCGTCAGTTACTGCTGGTATAAGAATGAGCGGCACTGACCTTCAGCGTGTAGTACGCCTGCTTCCAATCTGCAGGCCCGACGAAGAGCCGCATATCAGAAAGTACAGTACGGGGTTGATGGTTGATCAGGTCGAGCGGAGGCCGTGTCGATGTTGTGACTGGAGCGAGCACTTCTCCTGATCCATCTCCACTTGCCGATGTCCATTGCACCATATCATTTGCTTGGTAGGCGCTGAGAGGCCGCTCGTACCTCGTCTCCGGAACGAAGAATATCGACAGGATGAACTGGAGCACTGTCACTCCTGCCCCCAGGATGTACCAGTATCGCGGAGTTATGGCACCAGCAATAGGCGATGCGCAGAGAACGAGGACAGCGCTGAGGATGGTTTGAGTTGCCGACTGCAGCATCAGCGTGTGACTTCTCTCGTGAAGAAAGTGGATTTCCTGTTGACGTCCGTCAGTTTCATCAAGGTTGGCATCTCTTATCGATTTTCATACCTGGACCATAAGAGGAACGAGCGCCTCACTTTGACCGGCCGCCAGCCCGAGAACGAGCCGTGCTGAGAAGTGCCAGGTATAATCCTTCGCAAACGCACACAACACAGCTGAGAAGATGAGCAAAAGGGTGGAGAACATGAAAACAGGACGTCGACCAATCGCCAGAGCGATAGGGACAGAGATGATGTTTCCAATCCCCATGAACATTGAAGGGTAAGTCATCAGAGCGGTAATGTCTGCATAGTCGGCACCGGCAGCAGAGTAGCCAGGGATGTAGAAGCTGAGCAAGCCGCCAAATCCGGATACCATAGATAAGCCGATGGAGGAGACTGTCGGATTCATCAGCCGTATACCCGTGGACACTGGGGCGAAGGGCACTCACAGACGGAGACCAGCATGACGAAGATGAACTTGCGCCATGGAGACAGGTTCAACGGATCTACTTCTCATCAGGTCGCTTACAGCCTTTCGGGTCATCGAAACTCTAACCACGTGGATCCGAACTCGGTGTTGGAATTAGGCACGTTGCAGACTCCTCTGCCAACCTGACCGTGCCCGTCACATCTGAGACTTCCTTCGGCTTGGTGTAGCTGTCGACAATTTCGCGGTGTTCCACGGCGCTTTTCTTCGAGTCATCCATGTTGATGGAATGGCGTTTATCTCGTGGTAAGGAAAGAGGTGAATGGAAAGCAGTAAGGCGAGGTTGGTGTCAACAAGACGATGATCGCTCTGGGAGAGGGGGTTATATGGTACCTCGCCTCTGCAACTTCTTAATGCCGGCATTACTACCGCTACTAGACGATTGGCCGGACGTGGAGGCGTGGCTGTTCCCCAGATTGTGTTGTTGTTTTGGGGGTGGCTCAGTGGAATTGCGGGGGCGGGATCTGTGGGCAGGCGCTGGATTGGCCCAGACTTGGTGGAGTAGCTGTGGCGCCCAGTCCACCAAGCCTCGGAAAGCAACCGCACGGCAACTTCCACGTCGGAAAGAGGCTGGCGCCGAGGTGAGTACGGTGCTCTCGATATTGATATTCATGCTCGATGGGGTTATACAGGGTCTTCTTCTGTCTAACCACATGGAGTAGGTTCTGGAGTTACGCCCAACCAATGCGCTTCACTTTAGAGGTACCTCAGAGGCGCTAATCAACTTCATCAGAGATATTTACTACCAAAACTGTCTAGACATTCACACTTTCACGAAGGGCAAAATGACTTTGCTCGGGTGCTCCGGACCCAAGTGAATTCTGTGCGCTCCCTTGTTCTTCTCATGTTCTGGCCTTGGAGCAGAATATGACTTGAACTCTGCCAGGCTGGGGTATTGTCCACCCACCTGCGATTATGCGGCGTTAGCGTAACTCCTTTGCAATAATTTTGGTGAGTACTTACTGCAATATTCACTGACTCGCCCGCCTCAAAATCTATGCTCACATTCCAGATGCCGATCTCCAGCTTGACAATCTCTCCAGGCGGGATCTTCTCCTCGACTTCATGTGGATGAAAGGGGAATTGCGGGTGAATGCTTTTACTCTCGTCGATCTTCCGGTGAGAAGCCCTCAGCTGCCCTACACTGCCTTGGTGTAGGTTCAAGCTGGCACGCTGTTTCTCGGGAATCTCGTCAATACACTTGACCGGTGTGGCCTCTACCGGGAAGTTGAGATGCATCAAGACGTTGCCATCCTTGTCTTTTTTCCGAATGATGACAAACACACACATATCATCCTTATCTGGACATGACATGTGTAGCTCGGCCTTCGGGAGACCAAGCAGCCTTGCGCGCTCGGTGAAGGTGTAGTCGAACTCGGCCACACTGCCGAACTTCTCGGAATTGTACTCTTGTACCGCTGCCTCCTTCTGTTGCTCACTGCCTAGCTTACCACCACTCTGAAGATACAGTTCGCGGTATTCCGTGTTCGGGACAGGATAGTCGTCAAGGACGATATCATCGATGGCTTTCCTGTCACCGAACTGCAGCACCGACCACCGCACCTTTGGCGTCTTCTCCCATCCATTTTCCAAGCCCTTGAGGTAACGGTCGAAGAACACAGCCAATTCCTCATTGCTCTCGTGCACGCTGTAGAGCTCGAACCACTCCTGGTAGGGGCTCCACTTGAGCCACTTCCGCTCATCGGGCATCTCCAGCCACGCGCGGACGCTCCCCATGGTGTGGATGCCAGAGACGTCGCTGCCGCAAATAAACGCCGGAGTCCGGATCTTGGTCATATCGATGCGCTTGTCCTTCCAGTACACATTGGCGGTTGGGCACCGGCGATACATCTCGGCGAAGTCCTCAACGCCGGAGCCGCCCTTGATGATCTCCTTGGTGATGAGGTCAAAGTTGCTCATGCTGAAGATGCCGCCGCGCACGAACTGCTCGCGGAAGAGATCACCCATTCCCTCCCACGGCGCGATAGCCTTCAGGCTAGGCGGGTTCAGGGCGGCGACGAACCACTGGCTGATGGCGAGGGCGCTGTTGCCAGCCATGCCGACGGCGCCGTTGCACCAGTCCAGCCGCGCGACGGCCTCTACGACGTCGTAGCCGTCCTCGGCGTCCTGGCTGCCCATGACGGGGATCTGGCCGTCCGAGTTGCCCGTGCCGCGGCCGTCGACGCTGACCAGGGCGTACCCCTTGGCGCACCACCGCGCCGGGTCGAGCCCTTCGAACTTTTCGAGGCCCGACAGGTCAGCCCGCCGCACGCAGCAGTGCCACACGGTCATGGGTAGCATCGACAGCGCAGAGTACTTCTTGCCGTAGCACGACCAGGCCAGGATGGCGGGCACTTTTTCCGGTGCGTCGGCCGGCCGGTACACGTCGACGTAGAGGCGGCATCCGTCGCGCACCACGATCTCGACGTCGTGGTCGATGCGGATGGGCGTCGTGAGTGGCCGTGTGTCTGGTGCCAGCTGCCAGCCTGCAGGGAGCACTTCGGTCTTTCCCGGATTGAAGCCTTGGTAGTTGTTTTGGCCCACCTCGGGCAGGCCGATTGGTTTGTAGGCGATTTGGATGGGGATGGGCATGACGGTGTTTTCTGGTTCGGCTTTTCTTTTCTTTTTCCTAAGCTCTTTCTTTTTTTTTTTTTTGCTGCCGAAAAAGGGACAAGAAGCTTGGGGGGTCTGGAAAGAGCAAAGTAAGAGGGAATGGTAAGTCAAAAAACGAAATCACGGATTCTGGAGAACATTTGAACACATCCCACGTTTCCGGGCTGTGGAGAGGCTCAGCAATGCTCGGAAGCGCATTGTGCCGAGTCGGGATGGATTTCCAGGGTCGGCGCCCGCACTGCCGTGGGAACTGTGGCTGATGTGGTTGCGGAAAGAGCGCGGGACTGTGGGGGATCGACAGCGCACCCCGCAATGGCTCTACGCGTTTTGGCCTGGGAACCCTGCTCCACACCCGCAATCCCTACGGAAGACCCACAGTCCCTACGGAAGTGCGTTGAGCATGAGCAAAGTTGGTGATGCAGTATTTATTCGATTCCGAAGACCACCTCCATTTCCAGCTCCAACCACCGATCCCCTTTACTTCTGCATATCATTCATCTCCGCACCAAAGATTCGAACATGGGCAGCTACGATTACTCGTCAAAGAATCTACTCGAGCACGACGGCACGGCTTACGGCGATTGGCGCGATGACTTCCACCGAGATGGAATCGCCATCATCAAAAACGTAATCACCCCCGAAAAGGCCGAGTACTACCGCCAGAAGCAGATCGAGTGGCTCCAGTCGTTCGGACTCGGCTTCGACCCCAATGACAAGAGCACCTGGACTCAGGACCATCTACCTGTCAGCTTCAAGGGCGGCATGTACTTTGCCTACTCGGTCACACACGAGAAGTTCATGTGGGAGGCGCGAACGCAAGTTTACCTTTCGACACACTCGTGAGGACCATTTAGTTGACAAGAACAACCAGGGAACCCAAGATCCAGCAGATCTTCACCGACCTCTGGGGCACCGACGAGCTGCTTTGCTCCTTCGACGGTATGAACATCACGCTTCCGAAGCAAAAGGACCTGACCTGGTCGCCATGGCCGCACTGCGACCAGAACCCGCAACGCAAGGGCATGCAGTGCGTGCAAGGCCTCCTCAACTACGCCCCCAACGGGCCGCAGGACGGCGGCCTCATGCTCATGAAGGGCTCCTCCAAGCTCTTCGACACTTTCTTCCGCGAAACGCGCCAGCAGGCAGCACACGAGGACGCGCCGCCGCCCGAGGAGGACTTCAAAGACCTGTTCATCTTCACCGAGGAGGACGTCAAGTGGTTCGAGGACCGCGGCTGCGAGCTCATCAAGACGTGCTTGGACCCGGGCGACTTCGTGCTTTGGGACAGCAGGACTATGCACTACGCCAAACACCCCGAGGGCGACGTCATCCGCTCGGCCCAGTACATCTGCATGACGCCCGCAAAGTTTGCGAAGAAAGAGGACCTGGAGCTGAAGGCCCAGATGTTCAAGACTCATCAAGGGACGACGCATTGGCCGCATTGGTGAGTTAATGACTTCCGAATCGTACGGACGAATGACTGACTTGTTGTGTTACTTGCAGCAACATCCGCAAGCAGGGCCCGCCTATGAGGAATGGAAAAGTAGATTCGTTGGACAGGTCGGCGCCTATCGATCCGCCCGAGATCACAGACCGGATCCTGCAGCTTGCGGCAGTGAAGGCCTACTGATTGTGATTTAGTGACTATTTAGTTCAATGGAAGATCGATCACGAACTGCCATGCTTTGTATTTTATCTTTCAGATATGAGCGTGAATGAGTGAAGACCCGCCACATTAATGCTGCTATCACAAGGACCGGAACCCAGGTTAATTAACACTGCGTTAGAAGTTTATCATAAAGAATAAACCCGCATTATTTTTTCTCGTTCACAAATGATGTGATATGGTGGGGTGCAAAACCATAATTGAGCTCTCTGTGCACCGCGAATGGCGTGTCACTTTTTCCTATATAGGTAGCGCATGTTCGGAAGTGACTGAAGTTAACGATATAATTAAGGTGTTTTACTTTTGGTCAAAAGTTTCAGCAAAGTCGAGTTCTTATCACCTTCTGGGGAATCTACGAGTCAGTCACAGAGCTCTCCCTGCAACCACTGACTTGGAGCTATTAACCCAAAGCACCCGCTCCACCAACCTTCCACCAACCTCCACGAGCATCGCTGACCAAGAATTCACCGTCCACGATGCCGCTCAACAATCAATCTCTCAAGAAGATCCTCGGGGCGGTAAGTTCACGCTCTCCCACCCTTTCTCGCCGCCTCTGCTTCCCCCGCCCGCCCTCGACGGTCCGCTACGCTCGTGTCAGCCCCGTGGCTACCATCGTAGGCGGCGCGGCTGCGGTGACGGGCGCGGCAGCATACCTCCTCCAGCCCACCGCGTTCAAAGAAGAGAATGCTGCGATCTTTGTGCCACAGATCAGCTCCCTGAAGAAGGACGGCGGCAGCAGCAACATCCAAAGCCCCGTCCGTGCACTCAACCTCGCCGACGCGAACGAGGTGTTACGTCGCGAACAGAGCTCGAAGCTCTTCGACGCCGGAAATGGGCAGCGCGGACGCTGCGACGTCGTCCGCGTGCCCAGCAACAGCCCCGTCGAAGACGAGTTCGTCGTGGGCACCCAAGTAGGACCTGGAAGGAGCCAGTGGACCTTCTGGGGCGTCTTTGACGGACATGCGTAAGTATCACTCTTCTTAATTGTGGACTCTTTAGCAGATTGCTGAACTTTACAATTAGAGGCTGGGCCACCTCGGTCCTCCTGAGAGAAAACCTTATATCCATGGTATCAGATCACCTGGAGGAGCTCCCTGCAAACGCACCCTCGCCAGAGATCTCATCCGCCATCATCAAGGCCTTCATTTCCGTCGACGACAGCATAAACGCCGCCGCCCTCGCCGCCATGAACGGTCCCGACGCCCAACCTGGCTCCGCGGAGGTCCTCTCCGCCATCGCCCCCGCCATTGCCGGATCATGCGCCTTGCTCGCCGCCTACGACCCCCGCTCCACCACTCTCCGTGTCGCCTGCACCGGTGACTCGCGCGCCGTGCTGGGCCGCGTCGACGCCGACAGCGCAAAGCCAAAGTACACGGCCGTCCCGCTCTCCAAGGACCAGACCGGCAAGAACGACGACGAGTACGCTCGCCTGACGGCCGCCCACCCGGGCGAGGAGGAGACCATGATCAACCGCGAATCCGGCCGCATACTCGGCCTGGCCGTGACACGTGCCTTCGGTGACCACCGTTGGAAGTGGCGCGAGAGCGACATCACCGAGGCCCAGCAGCGGTACTGGTCGTCTGGCCCGCGGCCCAACTCCAGGACGCCTCCCTACCTGACCGCCGAGCCCGTCATCGAAGAAACCCGCATCAACGTCGGCGTCAAGGCGGGATCAACATCAACCGGAGGTGGTGCCAACAACCAGCAGCAGCAACCGCAGCAACCGCAGCGCGGCGACTTCCTCATCCTCGCCAGCGACGGCTTCTGGGACCACATCTCCAACGAAGACGCCGTCGAGTGCGTCGCGCGCTGGATCGCCGCCAAGAAGGCCAACAACCTGCGCGGCACGCCGCCGAGCCTGCTCAAGGACAAGGCGCCCAAGCGCAACGAGCACTGGTGGCTCGACGAGGGCCGCTACGTCGAGTGGCGCGCCACCCCCGAGTACTTCGTCGTCGAGGACGACAACGCCGCCACCCACCTCGTCCGCAACGCCTTTGGCGGCTCTCGCAGGAACCTGTTTTGCGGCGTCATGAGCGCCTATCCGCCCATCAGCAGGAACGTCAGGGACGACACCACCGTGCAGGTCGTATTCTTCGGAGACGTTTGAAAAGCAGTTGGAAGGATATAACTTTGAAAAATGAGGGGGGGGGGAAAGTCATGTATGTGTGGGCGGCGTTTGGACGTAGACTCTATGAGCACGATGGGCTGGTTTGGCTGCTGCTGCTGTATGAGGGATTCTCGTCGGACGGAAAAGTAGAAAAGATGACCGGATCTTTGACGCGAAGGTTGAGTTCGGACTGCTGCTCTGCGGAAGTCTTCTGGAAACGCGTTGGACTCAAACAGCTGTTTCGACCGATGATTACTCCTGAAGAAGCTTCAAATACAGGCGGAATTATACAGCTTAGCGTGGGAATGATTCAAATAGATGGAAAATACCGCAGACCCGTAATGGACAGCAGAATGAAGAAACTGGGAATTGCTACTGAATGAAGCAAGGAAAAGAGCTGCTGCCATTTTATCTCCATAGAACGCCGTCGCTGTGGTCTCGTTGATGCTAATAGGTAGCTCGGATAAGGGTAAGGATCCCCCCCTTCGCCGAAGGCATCACTCCAAATTTAGGAAGGAAAAAAATAAAAAATAAGAGGTAAATCAATCCAGGTCGTCAAATGACCAACCGTCCCGCTGCCTGGAGGTCGCTACACCATCGTTATCTCCGCTTCCCGCAGGAGGGGCAACCGAAGACGACGAGCTGGCTTCCCCGACATCGACCGCCCTTCCCTTGCCCTTGTCGACCTTGTCCGAATCCGCAGCTGCAGGAACGTCGTTTCCAGAGCTCTCCTGCTTGCTTGCATCATCGGCTACCGCGCTCTCACCTTCTCTCGCTCTCGACTCCTGAGCCTGAGATTGGGCTTGAGCTGCGGCTGCGGCTGCGGCTGCGGCCTCGGCTTCGGCCTCAGCCGCCTCGCGGCGCTCGGCTTCCTCCCTATCCTGTGCATCTCTCCGTGCTTGCGCCTCAGCCTCTTCCCTCGCAGCGACCATCCTTTCACCGAGACCGGGCCACAGGCTCGCCACGAACAACGCCAGAGAGCGCTCGACCCCCCTGAGCCTCTCCCTGAACCACGTTCTCCGCTGTTGCTGATGCTCCTGCAGTAGCCTGTGCGCTACTTCTTCCGGCGAGGGCTCTCTTCTTCTCCTGCGGCGGGCTGGAGGGCCGATATCAACAGCTGGTTCCTCATTCGCCTGGTCTCGCGCAGCACGCTGCTGCTGAGGTGGTGGCGGATGTGGGATGCCCACCAGGTTCTCAAAGTAGCGCCGGAAGCGATCCCAGTGGTTGCCGAGCACACGCTCGCGCAGGATGCCCGCCTGGAAAATGTAGATAGCGAGGCCACAGAGTGAGAGCATGAAAGTACGTTGCCAGCCCGCGCCACTGAAGAACCACAGCATACCGAATATCCGCAACAGAAGCCAAAAATGCGTCGCAATCGCGGCGATCGGCAATTGGTTAGCCTCCTGTTGTTGCTGAAGGACTTGTTGTTGTAGCTGAGGCTGCATTCCGGCCAAAAAGGGATTTTGGACAGGATGCTGGTGCTGATTCTCACGAGCAGCTTCTCCAGCGGGAGGAAACACATCTGCCTGTGCACCAGGAGCAGCGGCATGCTGCTGCGGTTCCATAGGGTGGACAGATCTATCTGTGTGACTAGCGCGTGTGGGTGCCATGAGGCGAGCGACATCACTGAGTGCACGCTGATAGGCCAAGTTCTGTGTCAGTGCATCTCCGAAGGAGGAGCCAGGCGTAGTGAATGTTCCATTTGGCGAATACACGATCGCGTGAGGTCCATTGGGGGAAGATAGCAAAAATACATCGTTTGTATTCGCAGCCTCAGAGCTCGTACCTGTCCTGGTGTTGTTTGCAGCAGCCAGAAGATTACTTGTCCGGGTGGCAGAAGCTAAGCCAAATGCGTCCCTCATGCTTTGAGTCTCTTGCCGTCTGGCTGAGATGTGGTCGCCGAGGGTACGTATAAGACGGCGAGTAGCACTGCGCATGTTTTCATTGTCCATCTGCAACGAGACAAGCTCACGGCTGCGGGAGTACAGTGGATTGGCGACAAGCGTTTGCAGCAATTGGTCCATAGTGTTGAGATAAATGTTCAAGCGCTCAATCTCGATGGCAGCGCGCTGGAATTGCGCTGGGGGCATGCTCCACACCTCATCCCTGGAAACGTTCGGCGGCGCAAGAATATTGTTTATGACTGCAACCTGCTGCTGAGCAGCTTCCAGGTTGCTGTGCACCTGATCCAACATTCTTCGGGAATCCATAGCACTCATTGGATCCGGAAATCTGATCGGTGGCCTGGGATCGATAACCATGGGAAGCTGAGGAAGCCCGAAAGCAGGCTGTTGCTGAGGAAGTATGAATGGGCCATTATTCACCGAAAAGCTCCACCGCTCGCCGTTTGGACCGATCCCACCCTGTGTTATCGTGACGCGACCTGGTTGCGCTTGGGGTTGCGGCAGGTTCGTGGGAGCTGGCTGAGATACGGACCGGGAGTGCCCTCCAGGAGCCTGGCCATTGCTGCCGTCAGCAGGCTGGGTTCCCTCTTGCGGCCTGCGCTGATTCATGTTCATTTGCATCTGTTGCATTTGACGCAGGGCGGCTTGGTGTGCGACATTCATATGCTCCATGAATGCCGCTCCGGTAATGGGCACACCCTGTTGTACATTTGGGGCCGCGAAGGTGGCAATGCCTGGGCCGGGAGCACGATCGACACGCGGTGGCTGTGATTGCGGACGATTGAAAACCGTTGAGCGGGCATTGGGAGCGTTGTTCACGGGAGGGGCTTGGCGGAAAGGGTTGGTTGGCGGAGCAGTGGAAGACCGCGAAGTGTGAGCTTCGCTGAGGACCATGTGGAGGTTGTACACACGTCCCTGTTGAACCTGTACGATGATGTCAACATTTATAAGAGACCAAAAGTCGCTCAAGGAAAACAACCTCTCCGAACACTGCTCCTAGGCTGGTTTCGTTCAACACTACTCTTCCCAGGTAGATAATCCGCATGCGGTCCGGGGCTGGGTGCGACGGCAACGCATCTTTAATCTTGATTTTGAGCTCGCCGATTGTCAGGGCAGTGGACAAGGCAGCGAAAGTGATGCCGCCGTCAGCTTCGGGCGACGGCGACAGGACGCGCACATCAACCGTCTGGTCCGCCATGTCCAAAGTTCACAGCGCCAGGGTCTCGCAGCTCCGGTGGTTGGCGGCAGCTTTGACGCAGAGCTCCGAATAGGTGGCGGGAAGACGTGAGTACAGGCGCTTACGCGCGAACTCTGGTCGCGTGGTCGGTCAGAAGCCGGTGGCTCTGGCAAACAGCATCTGGGACATGAGCGGCAGCAGAAGGTGAGGCCAGAGTGGAAGTGGTGCTCTGAGGAAGGTGCCAGAAACGCCAGGTAGCGTAGATCGGCCTTAGCTGCACCTGCAGGGTCGCACAAGCGAGCTCACGCAAGCCGACTCCCCGGCGCTGCGGGCCACCACAGCGTCATCGCTGCCAATCTGCGCGCTTTCACCTCCGCCACTTCTTTGCACGCCGCCGCAATTGCTCTCCACCATATGCCACGATAAGATGGCGTCTTCGGGGATAGGGCTCGCCCGACCGTCCCATCGTCTCCAACTCGCCGTACGCGCCCACCCGCTGCGCCCGCGCACCGCCGCTCCATGTTCTTCACCGTGCACTTCCCGCTTTGGCTCCCCCGGCAGGACCTTTGCTGCATCCGCACGCCGCTTTGGATCCAGCCAACGCCAGAACAAAGATTCCTTCCGCTCGAGACTTGGTGAGGCCCTTAGGAACACGAAGATCGAATGGAAGCCCATCCCCATCGCGCTGGGCGTTGGCTTCTTAGGCGTTTTTCAGTTCTATCGCATCCAACGTGATGCGAAGACCCAGCCAGGTGACGATGATAGCTCCTACGCAGACAGTGAGAATGGAGATGGAGAAAGGCCACCGAAGAGGAAGAGAATCCGGCCCAGCGGTCCATGGTATGTTCCGGCTCGCTGTCTGCAGTAACTACGCTGACGCGGCGACAGGCAAGTTCAAGTCATGTCTACCCTGCCACTCAAGGCCCTTTCGCGCCTCTGGGGTCGCTTCAACGAACTCGATATTCCGTATTACCTCAGAGTCCCTGGCTTCAGGCTATATTCCTTCATTTTCGGCGTAAACCTCGACGAGATGGAAGAGCAAGACCTGCACAAATACCCAAACTTGGCCAAATTTTTCTATCGCGCACTCAAGCCTGGCGTGAGGCCGATTGATCCCAACCCAAATGCTATGGTGTCTCCCGCGGATGGCAAGGTCGTGCAATTCGGAACTATCGACAATGGCGAGGTTGAGCAGGTCAAAGGCGTGACGTACAGCCTGGATGCTCTGCTGGGGAGCTCTCCTCCTAGCAGGCGTAATTCAGATGCCGGATCTGACGTTTCCTCTTCCGCGCCATCACCGCATCCAAGTCCTGAGCGCACAACCGACGGACACCAGGAAATTATCAAAGCCGACGAGGAGTTTGCGAGGGTCAATGGTATCTCGTACACCTTGCCGAACCTCTTTTCGGGCCCACCGAAGGGAAAAAGAGGCGAAATTATCGATCAGTCCACCCCTCACAGCCCATCTACCGAAGCTGAGGTCCGCGCGGACCTTGAGTTAGGTAAGCGACCCTGGTGGAGTCCTATGACCACGCACCAACCCACGGCTCTCTATTACTGCGTGATATATCTTGCCCCTGGTGACTACCATCGATTCCACTCTCCCGTAAGCTGGGTAGCCGAGTCTCGGCGTCACTTTGCTGGCGAGCTGTATAGCGTCTCTCCATACCTGGTGCGTACACTGCCGGGTCTATTTACACTGAACGAACGAGTCGCTATTCTTGGGAGATGGCGCTGGGGCTTCTTTTCGTATGTCCCTGTCGGTGCCACCAACGTTGGATCCATCGTCATCAACTTCGATCGCGAACTGCGCACCAACAGCCTGACCACGGATACGGCTGCCGACCGTGCGGCAGCAGAGGCACAGAAGCGCGGCGAAGCATACTCTGGCTATGCCGAGGCAACGTACTACGGGGCTAGCTCCGTGCTCGGGGGCCATGCCCTGAAGAAGGGAGAAGAGATGGGTGGTTTCCAGCTGGGCAGCACGATTGTGCTCGTATTCGAGGCACCCAAGCCTCAGAGAAAATCAAGTCTTGATGAAGGGTTCACTGGCACAAAAGGAGGCTGGCATTGGACCATCGAGAAGGGCCAGAAGCTCAAGGTTGGGCAGGCGATAGGCTACGTGAGAACCGACTAGGTCCGGTCCCTGCAGGAAAGAAAGAGGGGAAATCGTTCTGTACCATGTAATCAGGAATTTCTTTGGTTTGTGTTTGTACAACTGTATCATGATTTTCGGAGATTAAGATGGTGGCTAAAATATTTTAGAGAGACTGCTCGTCCTTGAAGTGGCCCATCGGATCAGCATGCGCGTACCGGCAATTAACGCCTTGTGTTGGAAATTTCGGATTTTAAAAATGAAGGAGGATCTAAGGATTTTCAGCTGCAGATCCGGACGCATCCGCTCACAAGGTGTTTGATGAGATTTGTAAGGTTAGTAGTGGCCAGTGATCCCCCGCCCGCTCCTATAAGGTTGTGGGAATTGCGTAGGCAACTGACTGCTTGCCAATAGACGAGACTGAACGAAGCACAACTCATTATCCTTGACAGGTTGTCTCCACATGGAGCCACCATGTCTCAGTTCGATGCATTGGAAAGTCGGGACGAGGATGCCGGCGAAGCTGGGGAATGCTGACATTCAAGGGGTCTGTGGAACAAGACCAGCGGCAAACCGGTGGCTGCATGTCAGATGACTGTGGAGTCTGCGACACCACGTTGAAAAGATTTTCCTCGCAGGAGAGACGTTGGGTCTCGACAGGTGTACCAGTCCTTCCTGCTGCACCCCAAGCTTTTCCAGATGGCACAACACAAATCTCCTTGGTTAGCAGCGTGACATCCGCCCCTTGGACGTGCCACAGCAGGCCTTGTGCCCGGTAAGCAGCCGCCACGCGCGGGCGGTCCCTGGCATGGGGTTTGATTAGAGGTGTTGTTGAGGTGGAGGCCAACACTGCACGGTATATGACGGCAATATATGGGCCGGCGCAGCTGCTTTTGAGCCGCAATAAAGGATTTCGAATGACGACTGCAACAATCAAAGCGCAACAAGGATTGATAACGGCATGTGGAGTGAAAGGTCGGTGAGGCGTTTTGTGCTCCCCCAGCGTGCAGGTGGACAGCGGAAGTTGAAACGCTGCTCTGCACGGCGCCAACGAATCAAGGCCAAGGTTTGCAACAGGATAGTTGCCCGAAGCAGCACGTGTGCAACGTTACGCGCAACCGGGTCTGGAGCCTTTGCACGACAGCCAAACGATGGCGATCGCGAATGCATCGGGGCGGCTTGCAGCATGCGGATGGCGCACATCTTTTCTCTATTGTATCTCCCTTTGCGCTGCGTTTAAGCGGAAGCTGCCAGACCCAGGATAATAACAGCTCTATTTTTGGGCAGCGGACCCCCGTCGCCGTCGGCCGAGTGCCTCATTGCGGTAGGGAAGATCACGGGTCACTGCTCGGATAGCGCCCGTGGCAGTCTTCAAAACTCGAACATCACCTCAGCGCGCAATACGGATCGCAGGGCCGGCGGGGTGGCAGGAGTTGTGTCATTACGAACAGAAACAACAGGAGGGGCCCTGGCATGGCGCCAAGCTTCCTACAGCAGGTCATGGAGCGCAGGGCGGGTTGGGCAGGCAGCGCAGGCTCTTCAGGCGGGTGTTGCGCGCGCATTGGCTCGCGGCGGCAAGTTGGGAGGAAGAGGAGGGGCGCCACGAAAGCAATTTCAGCAAGCGCCGCCCCCAAAATTGTCATGGACACCCCTTTGAGTACACAGGCTACACTGCGCCAGCAGGCCAGGGCGCGCTCCCGCTGCGAATGGCGGCGCGCAACGGGCGACGGTGCAGCCGCCTCCAGATATTCGTGCGGGCGGTCATTGGCACCCGGGGCCTTATCTCACCGGGCTTGGCTTCGGCTCGGGCAGCGCGGTGCGGCGCTGGCAGGGAGGGCCTGAGGGTGGCCGAGATGCTCGCGATGCGACCAGCCGAGAGCGTGTTAGCGATAGCCCAGGGCCAGGGTGAGGGCCAGGGTCCGGCGTCTTGTGAAGGCGGCGGAATGCGTGTGCGCCCAGGTCGTGTGCCCGCCCGCCGCCCGTCGTTGCTGCTGCATTGCATGTGCATCCTCGTCGGCCGCTTGCTTTTCTGTGGCGCCCCGCGACTTGACATTTCACCCTCCAGCGCCCGCGATCTTCTTAGTCGCGCTGTTCCTGCCCTCCAGCTCACCGTTCCAGCGACGCCACAGAACCGCAAACTGCCGCTCCTGGCGCGTCTGGCCACGCTCAGCCCTTCCGCCACTCATCGTATACACTACCGAGCAGGAATGCCACAAGTACTTGCGCCGCCCGCCTGAATCCCGCATATCTGAGCTCAACAGAATTCCGCCTGCTGATCGCCATCTTCACTCTAAAACACTTATTCGGAAGCATGCCTCACTCAGTACACACTCGCACTCCATCCAACATGTCCCGCGAAAGAACCTCCACCTCCACCATGTCCTCCTCTGCCGACCAGTTCCCCAAGCCTGTAGGCGCGACTCTGCTCGTTCCGCCCGCGGACCGCGATCAGTTCTCCCCGGCCCAGTCCAGTTTTTCCTTTGAAGAAATTCCCCCCACGTCTCCCCGTGGCTTTGCTGAAGCCGACTCGCTGGTGGACCGGAAAGGCATTACCCGCAACCTCGAATGGGGCGCGCCGGGTGAGAAGAAGGACCCGGAAGCCGTCAGTGGCCTTAGCCGCAGCCACAACTCCAAGAGGACCCAGTATTTCGAAGGCCAATTCAACGAACGAGACACCACCGGCCCCGCTCGTGACCGCATCAGCAAAGACAGCCCCATCGTTGCTGAAATCAAGACCAACGTAATTGTATGTATGCACCATCTTTGGCCAATCAGCAGAGTGCTAATACGTATTATAGATCAAGGATGAGTACACTCTTGTCACGGACCTTTCCTACCAGATGTCACAGCGCTTCCAGCGCCCCGAGCACTGCATCATGGTCAGCCTGGATCACTCGGCCTGCCTCTTGCTCGGTGGCTCGTTCGAACCAGCTTACATTCTTACCATCACTGCACTCCCCTCTCAGCTTCAGCCCGTCACGAACAAGCGCAACGCAGCCATGCTGCAGACCTTCCTCCGCGACATCCTCGGTGTTCCAGCGGACCGGGGCATTGTCAAGTTCCAAGCCATTGAAGAGGCCAACCTGGCTACCGATGGTCGCACCGTGCTCGGTGAAATCGAGCGCGAAGAAAGGAGGCAGGCAGAGGAAAATGGTGGCTTGAAGCGTGCCGTGACCAAAGCGTCCAGGAGGTCTAGCCTGAAACCCAAGAAGAGCTTGACTCTGTCGCGCAAAGGTTCTACCAGGTCTGGCCGCGTGATCACTCCGCCCATCCCCAGCCCGGGGCCTTTCGATTCGGTCACTGCCATCGCCGAATACGAGGAGAATGACGAGGTTTCTCCCATGGACAGCAAGCTGAATGGCCATTCAACGAGAAGATCCAAGCCATCCCTCATGAAGTCGACGCCCAACCTCCTAGCCCCACCGATTCCCGAGGAGAAGGCAATGCCAAGGATTGGCAAGAGGAAGAGCTTTATTGCCATCTTCAGAAGATGAGCTGAGCATGTTCCAGTTTCACTGATTCCGGAAAGTTTCTGGATCAAGCACGTAGAGGTCTTCGGGCGTCCCTGAGTTTTGACAGGTCCATGAGAGGGGGTGTCTTACGAGACGGTGGCACAAAGTGGCTGCATAGCATCTGTGGCGTTTCTGGTTCCGAGTTTCGTTTATGTGGGATCCCTCGGATGTCTCTTGTTAGCATTGCTTTCGACAAGCATGGCAGCGCAGCATATACCCTTTCCTATTTTCGTTTTCATTTTTCCTCCAAAACCAAACATCGGCTGATGACCGCTCTTAATCCCGCCTCATAGACCGTCAAATAATTGCATTCTTCGAGCTACCGCTGTGGCTGGGTGACGCTGCCGGCTTGCCCTTGTCAGCTTCGCGGCGGGCCTTTCGCCAGTAAAAGCCATATGATGTAATGGCGACCCCCGCCAAGTGAAATTAAGCTACATATGAATTTGTAGACGATCCACCCTGCACCATTGCTCCACAATATTATGGTTGCCCTAAAAGCGGCATCTGTTAGTGCCCGCTGGTTAGCGCACACGTGCTGTCGTGTTCGGTCGAACGCGTCAGAACCGCGCTTTCTCCACACCAGCAACACGCGTCCCACCACATCACCCAAGAACATCATGCCGCCCGTCAGAACGACCGGCAAGAACACCGCTTTCAAGCCACCGCGGCGGATCAGCGACAAGTCGAATACCAGCGACTCTAGTGCTTCAAAGGCCCCGGCTCCTCGCGCGCCGGCCGCCGCTGCTAGCAGACCTCCAGCTTCCGCGTCGCGCGCGCCAGCTTTCAAGCCTGCAACCACACTCATTTCGTCGGACACAGAGCTCGACGACATCGAGAAAGATGACGAGGAACTCGAAGATACTGCGCATCGTCGCCGTTCAACCAATACGGCCGTCGGAAACGATGCGTCGACCTCAAACGCCGTCGTTGTGCCGCCCGCGTCGCAGAACTCGATGGGCGGTGAAGATCAGCCCCCGATCCCACCGAAACTCCTCAACAGGTTACTACACGAGGGCTTCCAAGACGAGGAAATGCGGATAGGGAAAGAAGCAATGGCGGTGGCAAACAAGTACGTCGAGACGTTCGTGCGCGAGGCGCTCGCGCGGGCCATGTACGAGCGGGAGGAGGCAGACCGCGACGAAGGCGGAGCAGGCGATGGCTTCTTGCAGGTGGGTTGCCTTTGCTCGGAACGAGAACGGATAGCCGCGCAATGTTGCTGATTGGGAGCTGACTGCTGACTCTACTGCGCTTCTCTCCCTTTCAGGTTGAGGATCTCGAGAAGCTCGCACCGCAGCTCCTGCTGGACTTTTGAGTCTACCAATGGCGCCATGCCAATGCAATTGGTACCATACGAGGACACACTATTCGCGGACTACTCATGCATCCGACCGAATTTTGGAAGAGTGGCCCACGGGATCAAGGACTATGCTTTTTTACCAGAGGCAAAGGACCGGCCCGTGATACGACAGGGGGGTTTTGGCGCCTGTCATATGGTCCTTTGGCCTTGCGAATCGATGCTTTTTTTTCTGAGGCTGCGGTAGCCACAGCCAAGAAGGGGAAATGAGGCGGTGACATGACAACTGCGGCGGCTGCAACGCTACCAAACAATTTAGGTTATGGCGGTTCGACAAGAACAGTGGCCAAGCTCATTGGCCAATAAGAAATAATCCGGGATCCGGCCGGCTGTAGCGCTTTCCGGACGGAAGTGTGGGTGTGGGCGTCTGGGGCTGCCGCATATCTGAGATCCGCGACACAACTGAGACCTCGCTTGTCAAGCCTCACCCCCGACCACGACCAACGCCATGCAATCATCCAAAAGCCAAGCCTTTCTCTTCGGACGCCCTTCTCCGCGATGACTCCGTAGACCGAAAAAATGGAAAGCGCTCACTGCTTCCAAAGTTTCTTTTGCGCAAGTCTCAAGAGTGGCGCTGCATAGCCACCGAACTGTCGCACTCGGCGTCAGCAGCTCTCGGGTCCCGCGATACGCCAAGATGCTCGAGAGAAGCTCGTTGGGTGGTAACGGCGTCTTATTTTTACCTTGGCTTTAAGATAACTCTAAAGGTTTGATCGGCCCAGCCGTTGCCGATCCTTTAGCGCGCATCAACACCCGCCCATGGCATTTACTGCGAGGCTGAAGCACCACTGTACCTCAAGACGTCGCAGCACGTGTGCGTGGGGTAGCCGTCTGAGACGCAGTGGCTCACGCCTGCGCCTCTTGGGATATTCATGCGATTCAAATAATGGAGACGTCCTTCCGAACAGCCGTTCAGTTCCTTATCTAGTGTTTTCTTTCCCTCAAACTGTGTCCAGGCCGTGCCTTTTTCATTCTTCGTTGCTCATTCTCTCGAAGACTGTTTTCCTCCGCCAGCATTTCTGTTTCCTTCATTTGACGACTACGTTCTCTTCCTAATACCATTCATTCTCACTGGCCAGGCCCAGTCGACGAACAGCGCAAGCCGCTTCTCTCTTCTAATAATCTACGATCCAAACCCCGCGAGTCGGACACGCTACCACAGCACCCTCAGGAAAGATGCATTTCTCAACCCTTTTCACCAGCACACTCCTTCTCACCGCCGATGGCGCGCTGGCATACTTCAAGCCTCGACCCGACATGGCACTTGCGGTGCCCCGCGCCGCTCTCCCCCATGGCAACCAGAACTATAACGTTTTTGGCCGCCGTTCCGTAACCTTCGGCAAGCGTACCGAACACCTCAAGGACTGGGCCGCCTGGGAGACCCCCGCCGCCGCCGCAGCAGAGACTCCAGGCGCAACGTGGGCGGCGGCAGCGGCCGCGGCAGCCACTCCCGGCGCAGGACAGACGGGCGGCGCGACGCCAGGCCCGGGCGACAAGGTGCAGGTGGTGCAGGTGGGCGGCTCGAACGGGTCACTGACGTTCGAGCCTGCCGACATCAAGGCCGAAATGGGCAGCTTCGTGCAGTTCCAGTTCAACCCCATGAACCACTCGGTTGTGCAATCGACCTTCGACGCCCCGTGCATGCCCATGTCCATCAGCATGCCCAACGCCAGCGCCAACGCCTTCTTCTCCGGCTTCATGCCCGCGGCTCTAGCCAACACCGCTTCCGCGGCAAGCAACGGAACTTCGGCCGCCTCGTCGGGATCCACGGTCGGCGGCAAGCTGACGTACACCATCAAGGTCTCGGACGCGAAGCCCATCTGGTTCTATTGCTCCCAGGGCAAGCACTGCCAGGCCGGCATGGTCGGCGCCATCAACGCGTGAGTTTCTCCCCTCCACTCCCCTCCCCTCCCCCCCTTCCCAAAACCCCACCAAAACTGACTTCTCTCTCCCCTCACAGCGCCTCCACCGGCCAAAAGACGCTCGCCGGCTACAAGCAACTCGCCGCCGCCGCCGCCGAGAACCTGTCGCCGGGCCAGATCCCGTCGGCACAGTCGGGCAACGGCACCGCCTCCGGCAGCAGCAGCAGCAGCGACGGCTCGTCGTCGTCATCGTCCTCAGGTTCTTCCGGCAGCTCCAGCGGCTCGTCCGGCGCCGAGGCGGGCGCCGCCGCGTCCGGTACCGACAGCAGCCTCCCCGCCCAGCAGACGACCAACGCCGGCCCCCGCGTCGCCGGCGACGTCGCGTCGTCGTCGGCCCTCTCGGCCATCGTGGCGTTGGGCGTTGCAGCTATGGCGCTGCTGTAAGGGAGGAATGCCACCGTGTGTGTGTGTGTGTGTGTGTGTGTGGCGTGTATGATTGGTATGAGTTGAGATGGTTTGTCGGGATGGTCGCCGTTGTTGAAAATCAATGTGTCCAACAACTGTTGTTGTAACGGACGTGGGAGTTTCACGGGTGTCCCGTCTTTCCCCCCTTTTTTTCATTCTACATGAGCTGGACCTCTACTAGTCTAGAAGATGACGTCTCCCACACCTGGGAGGTCTCTTCCTATGTCTTCCCTTTTGCTTTTTCCTTTTTCCCTCTTCTTGCTACAAACAAGAATACCCCGGTCGGAATGAATGTGGTCTGTTTTTGTAGAGAAACGGCGGAGGTCAATAATGAGAATGAGCTTTAAAGTATTAAAAGAACGAATGAAAAGAACTATCCGCACATACACTTGTTCCTTCCTCTTATTAGCAGCTTACACAGAATCCCGTGGTGCTATCTCTCATGCCAGACTTGAACGTATTCGCCATCACATTTGGTCTCTGGTTTTGCGTTTCTAGAATTTTGCATTGGACTACATAAGATCTCGCTCCATTTGTAGTGCCATGCCTCTTTCCTCGCTGTGCTTGTACCCTTTAGTTTCGTTTTTTTTTTCTTCTTCAAGAGTGTTTCTCCCCCATATGTAATCGTAAGCTCCTTTGTCAATTCCGTTTCGCCGATCGCTATGCCATTGATTTATCCCGAACGGAAAGGGAAGAAGGCCCAATAAACCACCTTCAATCAGGGTATCATCGCTCGTGAGAATGCCACATACCTTCCCTAGTACTCGCCGACAGGTTCCTAAAGCCCACGAATGCTGCAGCGGGAATTGTCAGAAGTGATAAAAAAAGAAATAAGTTGAAGCCGTCATCGACTTTGCTCTTTTGCTATTAGAATGATTTCGTAGTCTGAGTGAAAAACCCAGAAAGGGGCAAAGCACAGAAGTAGCCGGATACTCAATGACCAGCGGCACGAATGACTGCAGAGAAGCGTCCAGTACCACCCGGACGAAGACCGTCCAAAGACGCTGCGAACCTGGCGTCTTCATCCTGCCAGCCGATAGTAGCTCCCCAAATGATCTGAAGAGCGTTGGACTCTGTCTGGGGAATGTGCTGGATGATAGAACCGAGCCACAGGTCGAACACCCTGGACATGTGTGGCTCAAGGGCCTGGCGGCGCGATCGAAAGTAAGCAGCCACGTCTTCACGATTCGGTACGACAGGGGCGTAGAAGAATTCCGGGTCCAAATCGGATATATTCCACGAAAGGTGTTCGAGGGCGCTATGGCCACATGACACCAGTTCAATCTCCTTCAGAGTTCCAGGGCTGGTGGAGCCCCTGCTCTCCTTGCCCAGAAGACGAAAGTTCGGACCAGGCGAGATTGCATCGAGTACGCGCGGCCAGGACCACTCCCTGAATGGCCAGTCGAGCGCGAGTTGATCTGCAGGAGCGTTTCTTACATAGACTTTGGAAGTCATAGCTGGCATTGCTCCACCAAGCGAACGAGGGAGGACCTGCAACGAGATCGAGTTGAGAGTAAGCTTCCGAAGCTCAAGCCTTTGATGAGCCGCGGCAATACGCTCCAGAGCATTTGCTGTCATCCAGCAGTTAGAGATCGTCAGATGCTGGACGTGCGGGAAGACGACGATATCATCCATCATGAAAGGTGATGGCACCGGCGCATCAACGGTGAACGGAGCTGGTAGGAGGTGCCTGTTTCTTCCAAACAATCCAATCGCCTGTTCACCGCCACTTGCCCAGCCAATGTGCAAGTTCTTGATGCTCTCTCGTCCTGCGATCTGATCCATCAACAAGCCTTTGAATGGGGAGGTTGCCCCCGACATTTCGACTGAATCATAGCGCAGCACACGAAAGCGGTCTTGTCTCACAACACCGATTTCCCCCATGACCATGATTTTGAGGTTTTCTAGGCAGGGCAAAGCCTCCCAGAAATCGGCTCGGTTGAAATCTTCGATGGTACGTCCAGGCAAACATGCCAAGTTCAGGGTCTTGACTGCCCTGCATGTCTTTGAGTCGATCACCCCGATTATGTAGGCGTCTACCAACGAATCTTGAGCCCATCGGGTCTTCCTAAGCGCGGCAATCTGTTCTTGCGTGAGGCTAGCCGGTAGGACCGGATACGACGAGCACGATTGAGAGTGATTAGCGTCGCGCGCGGTCATGAGAAGTCCGTTGGAAGAGCGTAATCCACTCTGCTCGCCATCCGGTACAGTAGCCTCCATCAGAGTCTGGCGATCAACGTACTGTAACTCGTTCGGAATTCCACTGTAGGTGATGGGATCACGTGGGGCTGGATGGTCAGCGCATTCTAGTTTGTAAAGACGAGACGCAGCAAGTTCGCGAAGCTGGTCACGGGCAGCGTATTGCGACTTGACGAAATTCCAAAGCTCACGTTGAGCTTGTGTGTTTCTCGAAGGTAGTGCATGGGCTCCGGGAAACAGCTCGATACGGTCACGGACCATCTGAGAACGTATTGACTTGTCTGGGCCCGGAAGCCAGCCAAGACCGCTGTTGATCGATAGTGCAAGCTCCCTCAAGTTGTCCATTTCGGCAAAGGCTTCCTTCATGCCTATAACCTCTTCCACCGCGGATATTGGTGTGTCATCATGTCTGCTGGGGTCAGTTGGCCAGTAGTAGGTACCCCAGTACGACTTGGTGAGCATTTGCTCCGCCAGCTTTGGCAAGATGACTAAACGTGCTTAACAAAGTTAATGATCGATTGTCCGGGCGGACACAAGAGGACGTACCTTCATTGATTTCGTAGCTGATACCAAACTTCTGCACGAGGTGGCCATGAGTCTTGAAGACATCAATTGCCATGCTCTTGCCCTTTCCTTTGCCGGCGTGTGCCTTCAGTTCAGCTCGAAGTTCCTCGCCAAACATGCCAGAATGGAAAGGTATGACGATGGTCTTGAACAAAGCACCAGTTGCACGAATGCACATCATTCGAGATGTCAATCGGAGAGACTTCAAGTCATCCTGTGATAGGTATCCTGCAATCTCGTCGAACATTTCCTGGGGAAGTCTGCCAATGACTTGGGTCACAGGAGGATTGAGCATGGGTGGAGCGCGGGCATGAGGAATTCCCCGACTGTCCGCCCAACTATCGAAAGCGATAAGCGATGCATGCTCCAAAGAGTCCGCATGGTGGCTTTCAAGAAGAGGATAGGCGGTGAATTTAGCAGGTGTTTTGTGATCGGCGAGGGGCTCCAGCAAAACGTTGGTGATTGTTTGGTCTTCCGGCACTGTATAAGCCAAGAGCGTGCGGGGTGTCATCTTGAATACAGCCTCGGGGACTGTGACGTTCCTGCGCACGGCCTGTGAGCTGTCCGGATGCAGAAGAGGAAAGGCTGGCTGGATCGCATGGGGGCTGATGCCCATGTAGCTCATTTGGAAGGTCGGTGGCCTATTCTTAAGGAATTCGGTGAACAAGTCCAGGTCGTACGAGCCGGCGGGTTGCGAGCTAGTGCCAGAGCCTGACGACGAAGAGGCACCAGAAGGCGAGTCGCTCTCCGACGGCACATTGTCTGCAGAGCTGTCGCCCAACAGCGGATTCGCAGTGCCCGCGGAAGGAATTGCAGAGGACGTGCCAGAAGGCGTGGAGTATGCCGGGCGGGCACTCACTGGTCAAGCGGGTTAGAGATCATGGGCTTGCGGTGGTGTCGAGGTGAGCGGGACTCACTTTGGTTGGCTGCCATGGCTTCACCGTGCGCCTGAAGCTGGCGCAGCGGCTGAGCGTTTGGACGAGCGAATGCTTGGTCTTTTCGGCGGTTTCAAGGCGCAAAGAGCGGAGGCCACGGGGTGGTGCCGGCAGAGAAGCGCGCGCCTTGGAATCGACGCGTGCCGAGCTGCAGTTCGGCGCAAGAATGATTGTGTTTGGGCGACGGAGGGGAGCTGCAGCTGGAGGCTGCCATATGCTCCCGCTGCGCGCGACGGGAAGCCTAACCACTTTGGGACGGCGGCGTAAGGCTGAGCCCCACCGCCCACGCCAAAGCCCAGCCAGGAGCGTTGGGGGCACAAGTTATTACTTCGTTCCCAATGCTAACAGATGCTACGCCTCCCGTCGCCCTAATGGTATCTTCCATGCGCATATTCCCATGGTTGGCATCAGCAAATCTTGATGCCACAGCACTCGATGCTTCCGCCGTGCACAGCCGCCCTCCTTCCGAAGTACATCTGCAGTACCTCTCGCACAAACTCCTTGTCCGATTCGCTCCAAGCATCCAATCCCATCCTACTGACGTCCTCGCCATGCACCACCACCGAATCGCCTCCATCTTCTTGCTCTTCGTCGTGGTCCTCGTCGTCCGCTGCATCAACGATGTCGCCTAGGGTGCTGAAGATCTCTGCCGTCAGACGGTGGAAGTAAGCAATGATGGCCGTGTGGGGTGCCGTTGCCCCTTGGTACCATGTCTGCGCCATTGCATCGTCAGAGCTGCGGAGCGACGCGTGCGAGATTGTCATAAAGTCGGAGAGGTCACCCAGCAACGCCCGATCGCGATCTGCTTCTTCAGACAGCGACGCGTCCTTCTCGCCTGCCGACGCCCACCACATGAAACCCGAGTAAGCAAGCGCCGCCCACGTCGGGGGCTCGATCAAGTTGTCTGCGTAGATCTCTTCATCGCCGTCATTGCTCTCAGGTCGTGGCGATGCGCCGAGTAATGCCACATTGTCATCGTCGTCGTCTTCATCGTCTTCTTGCTCCTCGGTCCGCGGGATATCGACAGACTGCCGCTGCGTTTTGCGAAGCTCCGCGTGTAGAATGCGGTACCGCCTGAGGTCTCGTTGAGTCGCCTTAATCTCTTTGCCTGCCGCCGTCTTTATCCTTGGCCATCGCTTTTCTTCTGTCGAAGATTCAACCTGCGCTGGCAGTTCGACCGTGACATCAAAGAGGCTCGTCTTCATGGCCAGGATTTCATCCGTGGTACAAGCTGCCCAGCCAGGAGACCAGTTACCTTCCTCTAAAGGCTCATTTGAAAGCTTCGCAGACTCGTGTTTGGAAGCATCCTCCTGCAATTTGGGGATGTCATGAATTCCAACTGTGAATAAGCTTCGTAGTCGTTGCAAAGGTTCAGATCCTGGAGGAAGAACATCGGTGACGGAGGAAGGGATGGTCGAAAGTATCGAGAGGTCATACACTGCCCGGAACAGTCAGTTCTGGGACTTATTCAAGCGCGTAGGAAAAGAGTTTTACCAAACTCGCAAGCCAACCGAACCGGCGGCGGCGTGATGAACAAGACGCGCTTCCTCAGCAACGCCAACCGAAGGAGAGGAAATACCAAAGGACCGAAAGTGTCTATGTACTTGATTATGGATAGGGCCGGATGGGCAACGTCCAAAGTTTCGTGCGTAGGATGGAACGCAGTTACGTTGGATAGCCCTCGACTTCTCGCATAAGTCTTCTTCTTTCTAAGTAGTGACGGCGGAGGGCGCGAAACAGTCGAAGAAGCCTCGGAGGACTCAAGCTCCGGGGTGTTGGCGCTGCTTTCTGCAGAATTGGCGGTCCAATACTGCTCCAGGGGCTCTGTCTTTGTTGTGTCATGCGCTAGTAGCCTGCGGCTGCGTTAGCACTGCTGGTACGGCCCGGCAAGGAGGGCAAATGTACCTGGAGAGCTCTCTGAGTCTTTGGGCATGTAACCAGCTCCGTCCAAGGCGACCTTGACTGAGAGGAACCAGAATGCCCACAGCGACCAAATGCGCATTGCGCTCCGCCTCGGACGCCGGGTCGTTGACGAATGCGCTGAGCCCTACGTACTGGTCATGCACGAAGTATCTTGCGATTCGCAGTCAGCGCCTAGTTCCATTCTCTTCCAGCCATCCACACGTACATCAGGTCTTCTTTGACACTATGGAGGCCCGAGGGCAACGACTTGAATTCTACGGCTCCATCGAGTTCGACTGCGGCGCAATCAGCATGCGGTCATTTGGGAACCGGTGAGCGGGCACGTACGGTCGGGTAGGGAGCGCTTCCAAGTGATCGTGTAGCTGAGGCACGCTATTAGCTTTGAAGGCTGCCTGGGCTAGGGAGATGAAGAGCGGCACACTCACCCGACCTTCAGGTCGAACTTGATCAAGAAGAGGGCGGCAAGAGACGGCAGGTCTTCGGATGGCGCATGGCCATTGGTTGCGGTCGCGTTAGTCGCGGACATGGCTTCCGGGCCTCATGGCACGCGCAAGAACGTCGGGAGGGGGAGTCGGGGAAGGTGTTGGTTCCGTCGCGGCTCTCCGTGTCGCGTCATGCCGCGGGCGGGAACCTTGATGGATGTCGTTGCCGCCTTACCTTAGCGCCCGAACACAGCCCCGAGCCTCGCGAGGGTCCACGGTTCGCTTCCTTCTCGTCAACGTGCAGGCACACGAGGCACAGCTACTCACCCGCTCCGTCGGAACGAGGCGACGAAATGATAGCGGTTCCCGCATAATTGCCGCTCGGACAGAAGAGTACCACGCACCTGCCTTGTCTGGCCACGCAGGCGAACCCCATTCTTCGCGCAACGCCCAAAACCATCCAATGCTCACATAAGCCATGAGCAATTCTTGGGAGCTCACACTGGGGTCGTCGTATTCAAACGCGGACAACGTTTCTGCGAGCCAATCGCGATGTTATCCCGTTTTGTGGTCACCAAAGCGACAACCGAATACATCCTCGACTTCGGTTCATCTTGTCCTTGGTGCATGTACCAGCTGTACATCGTATATCACCAGTCGCTCTAGTGCTGAAACGTAACAGTGGGCTTTCCACATACCGACCTGTATACGCAACGCATTTGGCTACATACGATGCGCATACATGTGACGCAGAATGGCACCTGTAGGACTCGGACAAGCTAAGCACTGCTTCTATGATATCTGCAAAGTGAAACGTCAATCTCACAATATTCCTTCTGTGATCTTGTTTGAGTGATGCTTATGTTGTAACGCATGCCAATTGTCTCCGTCGGGTTATGACCTCGGCAACCCCATACTCTGACGAAGGCGGTCCGTATACACGAGTCACTGAGCAGCTGGCACCGACCCCTGCGGGATTCTTTCCAAAGACCTGTTCTTAATGCTCCGAGGCTGCTTATATCAGAACCCCGCTTGATCGTCTCTCAATTCCAACATCTTCGTGCGCTGACAGTCTCAAATTGGCTGCGACGTTCTTCCACACACCCTATCAGCGAAATCTGACCATAGAGCCAAGGCGGAGTCCTGACAACGCCCGCCACTAAAACGCGCGGAAAAGGCCCGCGACCGATCTCCCGGCAGTATCCGATACCCGCAAAGCCAATTGCATCCGGCAGTGTGCCGCCAGTCGTACGAGAGGGCGGGGCAATCCAGCGGACGGACCGGGTGGGATACCAAGCTTCTAGCATGTTGCGGACACCTGGTTGGAGCTACCTTCGACAGACCTATAAATCGGACGATGGAATAAGATATCCGTCAGATCCAGACATCTCCGATTTTGTCTCGAATTCCTCCCTCTGTTTCGACCAGGAAGAACACCAACCAAAATGACGACCGGTGGCTGCCTCTGCGGAAACCTGAAGTACTCCTTCGACGGAGAACCCGTCGGTATTGTGAGTTGCCCCTGCATACAGACTTTTACCCCGCAGCCCTTTCGTCCACATCATCTCTTGATCAATCCATCCATGGTAGACCCTAGCTCTTTTACTTTCCACAACAAACTCACACCTTCGTCCCCAAACTTACAGGCCGCCTGCCATTGCATCCCCTGCCGCCGCAGCTCCAACTCGACGCATTCGACCAACCTCCTCGTCCCCACACCGGCCTTCAAGTCGCTCGGTGGCACGCCCAAGACCTGGTCCCGCGTGGGCGACTCGGGCAAGACGGTGACGAACAACTTCTGTCCTGAGTGCGGCGTGCTCTGCTGGGTGACGTGTGAGGCCATCACGGACCTCCTGATCGTCAAGGCTGGCACCGTGGACGACCTGTCGCTCGTTGAGACCAAGTACAAACCCAAAGTTGAGATCTACTGCCGGAACAAATTCTCCTGGTTGCCGGACATCGAGGGTGCGCTGAAGTTCGACGGCCCAATGAGCGGTTGAGCGGAGATGGTGGTGAAATATTTGACGTGCAAGGAAGTGTGGGAGGGTCAGGAGGGAACAATGAGTTGAATGTCAATCGGTGACGAGGCGGGTGAAGTGTGGATAAGCTACGGGTGTAGTGTTCAGAGGTATTGACTAATCAATGCCATGGAAGACATCAAGGTAGTTGTGGTTGAAAGATCGGCGCTGTTGTGAATCAGGCATAGCGCTCCGGTATGGCGTGCTCGTCCATGCCACTTCTAACTCCCCTCATCGAACGTGTTAACATCAAATGAGTACCATGAGTTCCTGTGAAACTTTACTAACGCTGTGGGTATCTCGACTTTGATGGCCATGATATACTACCCCGCAATCTCTTCTCCGCGCCCCCCGCCTCCTCCGTCTTGCTCTACCCTCGCTCCCAGCGCTTCCACCTTCTCAATTACTTCCGCGCTCGTCCGAAGGTTGTTAGCCCCACTCAGCGCGCGGGCGATGCTCGTCTCGTTCTTTTCTCTTACAAGCCTCCTCAACGCGCTAATCAAAAAGCCTGAAAAAATCTCAATCGACCAGCTATCAGGGATCATGCCCAACACCTGCTGCACATCAAACCAACCCCCAAATCTCTCCAGCAATTCTCCCGTGCGCTCTACGCGGTCGGTGATGTCCTCGATACGCAGGAACTCATGCAACAAGTATTCAAACAAGCGTGCCTGCTCAGCGTGCGTGGGAAGCTCGTCTGCGGGGATTCCGCGAGTGCCCGGTGGCCGGTAGATGCTAGAGCCGCCGAGAAGGCAGTAGCTGATGGCCGTGTCGAAGTCGCCGAGACCGTGTGTGAGAAGGCGAATTGCCTGTTCGTGACGGCCTTGTCGGCCATTTAGAATAATCATCTCTGGGACGAGCTCCTGTTCATAAGGGGCGAGGCGCGTGAGGATGTCGGCAACGACGTAAGAAGATGCTGCATCTTGCCCCGTTCCTAAGAGCTGAAGGAGGCGTAGCCGGCTATCCCACCACTCAGCATCCAGAGCATTCTCTGTGATGAATTGTCGGTAAGTTGGTTTCGGTGGTCGCAACGCTCTGTAGGTTTCGTAAGTCTGCAAGAGCGTGGCCTTTGACTCTTCAGATCGTTTCAGCTCGGCAACCACAATGTCCAAATAGTAGGAAATGAGGTCGTTGGCGTATTGTGTTTGCTGCCATTGTTAGCTGTTTGTCGTCTGGCATCACAAGATTTCAGGCTTACCTTCTTCCCATACACAAGATATTCCAGGTATTCTTTGACTGCAGCAGGTGCCTTTTCCTTGAGTAATGCAACGGCCTCCTCGTGCTTGAACTTGACCCGGCTGCCCTCGTCCGCAAAAACTTGAACTCCCAGCTTGGGATTACGATTGGCAAGCCATGTTCCGTACTCTTCGACCATTGCCTGGTCCCTAATCCTGCCTAGGTACTTGCGGAATTCCTGCTCCGCGTCGAGGAAGTCACCCCCAAGGTTGGGCTCGCCGTCCAGGATGCGCCTCCATGTCCCCAGGACATTTGCTGCCTGTTTGCGGCTTTGGTACAAGCGACTCAAGACATAGAGTCGTTTGTGTTCTTCAAGCAGCTCAATTGCCCGATCCCAGCAATCCACACCGTTATCGACCAGCGCGTTGAGTTCTGCGCGAACGGATCCGGGTGTCGCGGGTCCCACCTGGCCTTGACTGTCCAACAGTAGAAGGATTTTCAGGAGCGCTGCATCCACTGTTTGGAATACTTCATCTTCGTCTGCAACGCTGCCGAACCCTTTCTTGCGTCTCCACATCAGAAGGTATCTCTTCGTGAGTTGGAGCAGGTTATCACCAAATGGTCCGGCAGGATCGGTCGGGAATTTGGAAGGGTTCTGCTGGGCCAAGAACTTCTCAACCACATCCTTGAGGCCTCCCTGGACCCATATCCCCTTCTCACCCTGAATGACTTCGCCGTTGAGCATCGGCAACAAAGCGAGAATGATGCGGGGATCAATCTCTCCCTCACCAAGAGCCTCCTCAGAAGTGCGCTTGTTGATTTCGTAAGCGAAAGTACCCGATTCGGTACGGAGAATGAGATCCATGAAGAGTAGTAAAGACGCCTTCTGGCGAATGTAGGTGAAACCCAGGAATTCGGCTTCGTTGCGAGGTTCAAGGCCGCGGATGCTGTTCAAGAGATACACCACATCCTCAAAATTAGGCTCAATCTGACTGCTACCTGGGGTAGAGGATTGAGCGAGCTTAAGTTTTGCATCGAGCTGCACGATGAGAGGATTTCGCACCACCCACCACACCTCGTTGTTGTTCCACAAAACGTTATGTGACTTGAATTTGCAGAGGCGGCTGGTGAAGGCGACTTCATCTCGCTCCTTATCAGCCTCGACCTTCTGGTCGAGATCGATCTGTTCAGATGCAGAGACAGATATGGATCCGCCTCTTCTCCTTGCACGCAAATGAAGACGCCTCAAGGAGAGGATGTCACTGATTTCCGACAAGTTTACCTCAGTTTCAGACGTGACAGTCCTAATACCAAGTGCTTGGCTGCTGTAACGTGTGTGATGGACTTCTTCACCGAGGCTACTTGAGAGCATGCTCAGATTCAACCACTCTTTCGAAGCAATGCCCTCACCAGGGTCGACGTCCCAACGCTGAATCTCAATGCCGCTGACCATACCATGCTCGGTTTTGCGTTTGATGACAGCTAATATGTAGCCCTCCTCGGGTTGTTCAGCGGACGGCATGGAGGCGGCTATGGACGTCGCCAGATCTACCTCTATGCCTGAACCGTCGATTATGAGTGCCTCAGGGTAGCTTTCGAATTCAAGCGTTCCACGGACCACATCGCCATCAAGATTGACAAACATGCCAACGCCGGGCTCATCTGGTGTGGTCCCCGTGGTAAGGAGGAATTCCGAAGGAGTCGGGGATACTATATGAGGCTTCAAAGTTGTAAACGCCTTCTTCTGAACGGACGGTGACGGGCGCCCAGCTGCACTAGTCTCTGCCGCAGCCTCGACCTCGGCGGGGGTTGGAGGAAGTGCTTTGTCAGGAGTTGCAGTACGGGGTGCTGGACTCCCTTCGCGCGCGGTTCCACCTTCAGGCGTTCGAGCAGGACTTGGAGAAAAGGACCTCCCCAGGAAGTCGGGGGCATCGAAACCGTACCTCCCGCCAACAATGCCGCTCAACGGCCTGGGATTAGGACTCGCGAACCTCTCGCCAGTGCCGGAAACGTTCCAGCTCGTGCTACGACCGTGGCCGCGCTCATCTGTGGGTCTGGGTATGTTGCTACTTGAAGATACGCTCCTGGAAACACTGTGCTCATGCATGGATATGTCCTGGGAAGCGCCTCCGACAGTGGAGGCAGCATCTTCATCCAGAGACGAAATGGGGAAGAGCGGGATCTTTTGTTGATGGACTACGTCCAAAAGCGCATAAGAGTGGGTGTCGGCGACACAGGCAAAATCATCGCGGCGTGACGTCGCCAAGCAGCCGCCGAACTCAATATTCCGTATCCTGCGAGGCTCCTCGGCGATTCTGACGAGCTGAATGCGGCTGCGCAGGCACATCATTATCACGGCCCCCTGCTCCGAGTCATTTTCGGGGGAGCCGTTGAGGTCGACGCCGCCGACCCATACACAGCTTATCGGCTTCTGCGAAGCAAAGGCCGGGCTCAGCTCGGGCAGCGTGTAGAAAGTCAGGGCATTGTTGCAGAGGATGCACGCTTTGTTGACCTTCGGAAGGAGCAGTATCTGCTGGACCCCGGCGCTGGACTGTTGTGTGAAGGCTGGCTGCAGGCGTGAGGCGATGATGAAGCTCGGCTGGCCGAGTGGATCATTGGGCTCAGGTGGGATGAGGACGAAATGGAGGATCTCGGCGGCAGAGGTGCCTATATACAAGTTTTCGTCTGGCCTGAAGTGTCAGTACTGGCGGCGGAGCGAGATGCGCGGGCAACGCACCCCAGAACTCGACGCAGGTAATGCGGACATCCTGGTCATTGCCGTCGGCGGAGAGCGGTATGTCGGAGAGCAGCTTGCGCAAGGTGTAGGAGCCGGTCTGGATGTGGCTGCCGGGGCGCGGGCTGGTGGGGCTCGCGGTAGCTTGCATGGTGCGCGTGCATTGCAATTGCCATCGCTAGGGCGCACGCGTGGCCATGGTGCAGATGGAGTGGTGGTGCTTGGGACTGGCGGAGCGGCGGGCGCGGTGCAGGTGCCTGGCAGATCGGCGTGCTCGAGCTTCGTGGACCGCGCACGATGACACCTCTCCCGTTCCACCCTCTCTGGACTTGCAAAACCCGCGCTCCACCCACGGATTGATGCCTCGCCGCGCGGGTCCCCGAAAATACTGCTACTGAGCCCCCGCACCCTGCGCTTCTGCCCCGTCCTCGCTATCGGTGAGCTATGGATGCTGCCGCGACGCCTACCGACCCTCCGAGCTCTGCGCCGCAGAGCAAGCTCGAAAAGCCCGATGCTACCGTAAACGAGAACAAGTTCCAGCAGGCCATTGCCGCGTGGCGAAGTGCGCTTCTCGCCCCCCTGTCCGGCTTGGATTGAGTCTGACTGCCGTGCCCAGATGTGAATCTTGCCGAGTTGATGCCTGCGCTGGATTCGGCCGCCGAGGAACTCGTTGAACACCAGCGCGATGCTGTCACCCAGCGCAAGGATCTCGCTCAGAAGACCAAGGACTTCAGGAAGCTCGATGACCAGAGCAAGCTTGCTGAGATCAAGGGATTGCTGAAATGTCTGTCCATTGCTCTCTTATGTGAACCAGCTGCTGAACCTGCGCAGCCTACCAGAACTTTATCGACGTCCTGACGAACCAGTCGAAGTCAATCAACGCTGCCTTTTTCAAGGCCTATACCCCGCTCTCTGAAGCGCCAGACCCGTATCCGCTCCTCGAGGCCTCCGTCGATTCACTCGTGACCGCCGAAGAGACCGTCCCCAAGCTTACCGAGGACAATGAGCGGCTGCAGAAGACAGTCTCGCAGCTGACAACTCAACTAGAGAGTACAGAGAAGAAGCTTGAGGACGAGCTCAGCGCAAGAAAGAGTTTGGAAGAGACACGGGATGCTAAGATCAAAGATGTCGAGGCATCATGGTCTGCCGTCCTTACAGAGAAGCAAGACAACTGGGAAGCTAAAGAAAAATCGCTGGAGGAGAAAGTCGAGAATCAGGATCGGCTCTTGAAGGAGCTCAAGGCCAGCTACGAGGTTTCGCAGCGTCTGGGCAAGGGCGAAGACGACGAAGACGACAAGGGACGTAGTGGGGCTACAGCCGCTGAGCTTGAGATCGTGAGCTCCGAGCTAGATAGGGCGAACACACGTCTTGCGGAGGTTGAGGCGAGAAACGAGCAGCTTCGGCTCGAACTCGCCCAATCTGCTTCGAGCGCAAACACTCAGGCCGCCGTACCAGTTGAAGACGACCCGACTTTCAGGAGGCTGCAATCCGAGAACCAGTCTCTCTTGCGGAAACTCGATGCTGCACGTTACGAGAAGGACTCTGCGAGGAGGAATCAAGAGGCGGAGGCGCGAAAGCTGGAGAAGGAACTGGCGTCCTTGAAGCAAGATCGGGATGCTCTGCGGGAGAAGGTGAATAGCTGGGGAGACTACGAGAACGTTAAGCGCGAACTCGAGGTTTTGAAGGTAAGCAAGGTTCCAGCACCGGTCAGTGAGTGGTACTGAAGTTCTCTAGTCGATCGAGTTCGCAACTGGAGAAGATGACGATGCAGACGCTGCAGCCGACACTGCGGCTGAGGGGGGAACGAGCTCTCAAAGTAAAGGAGAGACTCTGGAACAGCTCCTGCTTGCACGAAACAAGAAGCTTAGTGATGAGCTGACAGTACTTCGCGTATCCCACCAAGATCTCCAGTCGCGGTTGGAGCAGCTACAGGAAGAGCTGTCCAACACCAACATGGAGTTGGAAAAGTCGCAGAACCTAGCACAGACGCTGGAGAATGATCTCATGAAGGTGCAGCAGGAAGCTTCAAACGCTTTTGATTCCTCGGCAATGTCTGTTGCAGGAACATACACATCGAGGTACCCCCAATCATCTTTTCCAGGAAGAAAGGGAGGGCGTACATCTCCAACTTCATCCATTATCTCTGGATTCAATCCTAGGGATGGCAGCCCGAACACGCTAGAGGCCATCAGGTCGGGCGAGCCTGTGGGAGGCGGCTCTGGAATCCTCCCTATGGTCACGGCTCAAAGAGACCGCTTCAAGAAGAAGAACGCCGAGCTCGAAGCCGAACTGCAGAAGGCTTACCAGAATGTCTCTTCGCTGAGGTCCGAGGTCGCCTCCTTGCAGAAGGACAACCTGAACCTGTACGAAAAGACTCGCTATGTGTCGACGTACAATCGTGGCCACGCGTCGGCCTACTCATCGAGCACAAACCCATCAACTATCCAGGTGACCTCGGACGCGTCATCAAACCTGGATCGTTACCGCTCGGCATACGAGCAGAACATTTCACCATTTGCGGCTTTCCGCGGACGCGAATCCGCACGCGCGTTCAAGCGCATGAGCCTTCCCGAGCGGTTCGTGTTTCGAATCACCAAAATGGTGCTTGCGACGAGGACTAGCAGAAACATGTTCGCGGCATATTGCGTGGTGCTGCACCTCCTGGTGTTCTGGATGCTCTTGTCGGGGGCCTCGGGCCCGGTCGAGGAGACGATTAGCTTGAGCAACAGCGGTTCGGCGGCGGCTGCTGGCGCTGCTGCTGCTGGACCGCTCGCCGGTGGCGATGGCCATGAGAAAGGTAATTGGCAACAAGAAGGGTTCCAGGATACGTAAATGGGAGGTGTTGTACCAAGAGAGGAAGCTGAAGACCACTGCCAATTTACGCAGCCGCGCAAGCAATACACCCACTGACCTGCTCCGACACGTGCAATGCCTCATCGACGAACAGGAGCTCGTCTTCGAAGCAATGGCAGCGCAATGATGAGGAATACTCGCAGGCGCTCACCAAGCCACTCGGCAGGAGAGATGAGGCGCTGGCAGACATTAATTCTTGTATAATTAGTAGCGTGGTAGGCTGAACAACGGCGGCAAGGTCGTAGGCGGCTACCAGGCATGGCGCCATGTTTGACGAAAGACAGCAAATTTCTTCAACGTCAAATTTCTTTCATGGCCATTTTTGGTTACACGGCAAGCCTTCCAGAATCATGATGGTGGGGAAGCCGGGGGGACAGGCGGCTAGAGAGCCGACCAATGGGTATCGGCGAGGACAAGAGCGCATGTGTTTTCCCGGCATCCTTGCGGAGCTGGGCGGAACCGGTAGATCATTCATGCTCGGCATCGGCAATCTAATTGTGTCTAAATCTCTGGGCATCAGTCTTGTGAGTCGGAGGATCCACACAGAGATATCCAGAGTCGTCATGGGAACGTTGAAGCCCCGCTCCAGATCGTGCTGACTAGAGAAGGAATCCTACAGCCACATCTTACTGCATGCTTTCGCCCTACACAGAGCAATCGGAAATAATCCGCAGATCCCACGAGCCATAAGCCTGACTAGCAGAAAAAACTTTTTGTTGGTGGCTTCGAGGCCACCTGCTAATTCGCATCCGTCGCTCTTTGGACAGAACGAAGTGGTGTTTTCTATCGCAGTTTGCGCGATGAACATGATTCAAAAGCCACCTCTGACCTCACGTCCACCTTGGCTGCACAGCATGGTCTCCTCCACCCTATGGAAAAAAATTGACCGGCACCCGCCAACATGACCGACTTTTCCATCAGCATCCACCTACAAGCCAAGGACGGAACCCGGCCAATGACGAAAAGATGAACACGCGGCCTTCGCTAATCCGCCTCGCCATGAATACACCTGTCCGCTTGCCGCCCTTGTTTATCATGGCGGCGAAGAGCCCAAGGCGTGCAGGCGCCGGCCAACACTGTTGCCGAGCCCAGGCGTAATCGCCGAGACAGCAGGACGAGGGCGGGTATGTAAGCCACAAAGCGTGGCAAGAAGCGGGGAAGAAGACGGTACAGGTGGGTGGCGCACATTGGTTGAGCTTTCAATTTCCGTGTTAGCCTTCGAAGCGAGGCGGGCCACCAGTAATTTGTGGCGGATCCGGCTACAAATGCCATGGTTTCCATTCGAATATCTCTGTAAGAAAGGATGTGAGAGGAGGGCCCAACTCTCTTGAGAGGAATCCTTCGTGCTTTGCAATACTTCCGGAATCAACCGCATACATACAGGAAGGCTGTCATGTAGTCATCAGCCAGCAGAACGGAATCGGCACGGTTGACGTATCCGACAAAATAGATGAGGTCCACCACGGCGGCAAGATGCATCCATGTTCTTGTCCTTTAGAAGCTAGCCAACCAATTTACTCCACACCAGCCGAACAGATGCAGCGCGAGCTAGCAAGGGCCGTGGATATGCAAGCAAGCGGCGAGGGTGCGTTGCGGCGCGCGAGCACAGGGCAAAACAGACGTCTTTCCACCAGTCGCTCTGGACGCCGGCTTCTCCACTGAAACGCGCAAGCATGCCTCGAGGATCTGCTGTAGGGATCTGATTGGCACTGCGTCGCCCGTTCGTCCAACACAGCAGATGCACATGCGACCAAGCGAGGCCAAATGGCAGCTAATTAGTCCGCGACTAGTCCTGGAACGGGAAATTATGGGGCTCAACGGGCTTGAAGTGCTACAAATAGCCGTTGGATTGCGGCATTTACCTGTAAATTGCAGTGGGGAAATTTAGGTCGGCTGCTGCTGACCCCGGTCGCAGACGGCGCGTAGACGCTTAGAAAACAGGCCACGGGCGGCGGATGATTGGACGCCGACTGCCCGGCTGCCAACAGATCCCAAGATGGCGCTCTCCCGGATTTACGACGCGACTCGACGTGGTACAGGCGGCTCTGCACCCTGTGGCCGGGGTGGCCGTCGTTTAGATTGCTGGCTGCGCGGTCGGCTAGCAGAGTCGCTCAGGCGGACGTGAGCAGTAGCGGGCCCTAACGACAGGACATGCCAAAAGCGGAACGAGTACAGTCCGCAACAGCGTCTTCTCAGCACTCCGCCAGCGTCGTCAAGCCCCGCCATTGTGGCTGGTACTGGGAGGATTCTCACGCGAGCGTGCGGAAGAGGAAGAAGCCGAGAAGCAGCGGCGCCCAAGAATAGCCCTCCTCAGAGGCGGGAGCTAGGAAAGCTTGGCTCAGATCCTCGCCGCCCCAGAACCGCCAATTGCGCAAGGACCATCCCAGAGCCGCTCGACGGCAGCCCCAGGCCAATCACGCGTCAGCCCACCCCGGCCGTCCTATTTCGAGGTACACCCTACGCGCTGCCCACATTTCAGATGGCTGACAGGGCCCCCGGCCACGTTGTACCGGCGCATGCTTTGCATATAAGAAATTCAACGTCCCGAGCATCATGGTCCATTGAAAGCACGACAGCCTCAACCCGAAGAAACGATCTCGACTCCACTCCACGACACTACCGCCCGGGACGTGGTTCGCTGCTTTATCTATTCCTGCTTCTACTACTGCAGCCTTTGCCCGCGACGCCTCTTCTCCAAAGCAACCATCTATTCTCCGCCAAACAACCACCAGCCATGCATTTCTCGCCCGCAGTAGCACTCCTCGTCGCTCTGACGCCCTCCTACATCCTCGCCGCACCCACCAAGCAGAACATCCAACGGCGAGATGACACGGCCTCCGAGGACCAGGGCGGCTCCAACTACATCACCAGCACAATATCGAACGTCTGGCGCCAGGCCGGCAACTGCGACCTGAGCTCTGTCACCATGCCTCTCGGTAAGCTCCACCTCCGCATCTCACGTACATCCGCTTGGCTCCCGCAACTGCCTATCCCTACCCCAGTTCCAACATGACACTAAGAAGCAGCCACGCTGACCTCACTTGTCCCCAACAGACCAGGCCCCTAGCCCATCGCCACTCCCCTCCCCGTCCGAAGGCCTTATCCTCTCACACGTCGCCGTCGGTCGGGGCACGCAGAACTACACGTGCTCTGGCGCCTCTGCGTCATCGGCACCCACGGCCAAGGGCGCCGTCGCCACCCTCTTCAACGCGACCTGCCAAGCCGCGCGTACCCCAGACCTGCTCTACGACACGCCGTCGATCGCGCTGGCCTACGACATCCCCTCGGCCCAGACGGCCCTGGCCGCCTACGACATCCTCCTGTCGGGCCACCACTTCTTCACCGACGACACGACCCCCTTCTTCGACCTCGACACCGACCAGCACAGCTACGGCACCGTCGCCTGCAAGAAGGACTCGGCCGCCAACGCTCCCGCTCTCAACTCGAGCTCGTCCGTCAAGTCCAACTACGCCGCCGGCACCCAGGGCACCGACAACGGTGACGTTCCGTGGCTCAAGCTCGACGCCGTCCAGGACAGCACTGGCTACACCTGGAAGGAGGTCTACCGCCTCAACACTGCCGGCGGCCAGCCCCCCAAGACCTGCGAGGGCATCGACGGTGACTTCACTGTCGAGTACGCCGCCACTTACTGGTTCTGGACCGAGCCTGGCAAGGACGGCTACTTGAACGGCGCCGTCGCCGGCACGCCTGATGGCATGTGAGGGGAGAAAAATGAAAAATGAGAGATGTTGGGATGAGACATGAGAAACGAAGTGTCTTCGATTCTTATTAAATTCTTCTTGGGAAATACCTTCTTGACAGTCGTTCAAGCCTTCCGAAGCACTTCCGGCGTTTTTCAGGCGGGCTTCAGTCCGAAAGGATACCTCTGGGCTACTTTGTTTTTACTTCTCTTCTTCTTCGGCGTTAGATACCTATAACTTTGGGAAGGGTTTTTGCTTTCTTCTGATTCTTTTTTTTTTTTGAGAGAATACGTTCGTTGGCTTGGGCAAACAGCTTAGATAAGCGTTCTGGACCCGAAAGGGCAACATGACATGAGAGGAGTTGGAGACAAGAAAGGAATCTCGGGGGAGTAGAAAATGGTAATTTGGTGCGGCAAATAAAAAATTGGAAACAATATTCTCAAAATTTTGCTTCAATCCTCATGATTCCATGACCAGTGTTGACGTGGAATGGAAACGGCACTGACTCTCTAAGCGCCCGCATGAGGACACAGTTATTCTGACCGGAAAGTACGTGGACCTTGTCAGAGGAAGAAACGTAGAACGTTTCGACCAAGTCGAGGCCGTTGTTCGAAGCGCCTTCGGTTTTCCGCTCGGACATGTCAGGCCCGTATCAACTATCTCCGCGAGTGCAGCAAGAGCATGTTTGAAAACATAAGGGTGGGGCCGGCCGCAAGCGCTAACCGATACCCAAGTATAGCAACCTTGAGATGTGAGCAGTAACAGATTCGAGAGATCAGGCGCCATGCTGACGTTGCAATCATCCTTTGGTTCGGTCATGTGCCTATACAGACCAAGGCCCACAAGGGGGAAACAACAATCACCGGCTGTAGTGCTTTTATCCAGGGCAAAATCCCCGATGCGCGTAAGCTGGGTTGCATCGCCTAAGCGCCGAGCGGCTTTGGTTGTGTTGTCCGCAAGGTACGCCTATGCACGTATTCGGGTGGTTCAAGTCAACCGAGGATGGGTACGTGCTGAAGTCATGGTTGGTGGCGAAGACGCTTCAACGCAAGCACCGATGTAATGCTGATCTGACAGGCCATCGGGCAAGATTGAGATGGTGTGTTCATCTCCAAGAGACGCGAGTCCTTTGCTCTCAAACGCCGTGTCTCAAGTGAAGTGGCATCAGCCACCTCACACCTCCCGCCTCTTGTCACGGCTTCGCACGCTTCTGGTCCGAGTCACGCTGACCCTCTCCTCAGATGCATGCTCAGCCTTGGCTTGGATTTGAGCTGCCGCTACCTTTCTCGGCCAGTCTCGACAGATGTCGATGCGTTCTCGTGGATAGAAGAACTCCAAGAGAACAAAGATAAGGTAGTCGATGATAACGCAAAGGCAGAAGAGCTTACCAGCCCAAATACCACAGCCATAGTATCGTTTTAGCCGATCGATAAGCGCGAAGCTCTGAACGCCGGCGCGACCACGCGTGGCCCCCCATCCGCTACTGGAATAGCCATAGAATTCCTCCTCACTAAGGACACCGGAGATGCCGTTGTAAACTCTTTCGGTGCGCTCCGCTACGTCGGTCCAAGAATACATCATCTTGACTTGTTCGTGGAACCGCGTCGTATGGATCCTGTTGGCACGGAGAGCCGTGATTGCTCTTCCAGTAGCATCCACGAGATCGTCCTCTTCCGGCTTGGCGAATGTTGTCATATGTGCAGGGAGTACTTCCGGTATGCCACCAACACGAGTGCAGACAACATAAAGGCCGCAACTAGCGGCTTCCACGATAACGGTGCCGAACGCTTCTGTCAAGCTGGGGTGGAGATAGATGTGGCCACGGATCATGACATCCCGGACTTCTTCGTGCCGGACCGGTCCCAGGAGTTCAACCCGATCTTGTAGCACATTCCGTTCCAGCATTTGCTCAAGGTCGATGGCTTTGGGTCCTGAACCGGCGATGATGAACTTGACATTTGGGTGCGCTGCCAAAATCCTCGGAATGGCTGCGATGAGTAAATCTGTGCCCTTGTTGTAGAACAGGCGCGAGATAACCACGATAGTTATGGTGTCGTTGGGGCCGATGGTCTGGTTCGCGAGTGAAGACCGACGGTCCGGAGAAGCAACGGAACCATCCTCTAGTTCCTTGTACCCTTTTGGTCGGAAGTTTTCGGCAACCACGGCATTGGGAATGACTGACACCATAAGCGGATCCAGTGAAGCTCGAAGGACAGTGTTTTCCTTGCTGCATCTGTATTAGCTAGTTGCGAGCAGAACCCTTGTTCTCAAGATGGCATACCAAGTATGGCTAACGCAGATGACGTGGTCAACGTCGCTCAAAGTGAATTTCAGCAGCTTGTTGGTCAAGATGCTCGCAGCATCAGCGAAGCCAAAAAGAGAGTGGTCCGTAAAAACAGTCCTTAACCCCATTGTCCTCGCATGCAGGATGGCTTCATGGCACAGGCTACTGAGACTGGCATGACCGTGTACTATCTCGATCTTCTCCCGGATAACGATGTTGCGGAAGATGGGAAAGAACGAGAAGACGGTTGGAAATGTTGTTTCGCGGTAGATCACGAAAAACGGCACATGATAAACTTTCAGCCCGTTGGTAAGGTACCGTACGCCCCGACGACCCTCGTAACCGTGTGTGATAATTATGACTTTATGGCCCCGGTCTATGAGCTTCTACGGAGAAGAATCAGCGGAGAGGATTCGAGGTAAGGCGCGTTGTTTGCATACGGTCGATAGCTGGTAAATGTGACTCTCAACACCGCCTGCAGTCCCGTTAGAGTGGCGCTACGCGACCGGAGTGAGGTGACATACCAGGTTGGGGGAAGAAGAAATCGCTGATCATCCTGCGAGTTGTTAGCCAACGCGCGCGCAGCGAACAAGGAGTACGAACGCAATATTATACGGCATCTTGATGGTTTTCTTCCGTTACAAGCGGTAACAGAAAGCCGCAGAGACCAAATATGCATCGCAAAATGGATTGAGATTGGCAGACAGCCTGGGGGCGGGGCAGCTACGAGAGCTGGAGCGCAGAAGAGGAAGCTTGGGGATGGTGAGGGTAGCTCCGTGTCGGCGGGCGCACATTGGAGCTCCGGCCGCCGCGGGCGTGCCAAGCTTTCTGCGACTGCCGGCGCGGTGGGTCTGGACGAGGGTCCGCTCCGACAATTATTTTGGCTCAAGACCTTCTCTCTTCATCAACGCCAATCACAGAGCGATGCCGGGCCCCTTCTACGCCCGCTACGTGCCTCCGAAAGCGACGACCGCCTCCTCGCCGGTCACCCCGAAAAAAGCCTCCCCACCCCCACCATCGTCGCCCGACCTTGCGCCAGAAAAGAGAGAGAAACGGTCGAACAAGCGGAAGAGAATCGACGCCAATGACGCCGCCGGCGATGCGGATGATGCTGCGCTCAAAAAGCACAGATCGGTGCTGTCCAAGTTTGCGAACTCTACCAAGATAGCCGAAAGGTTGAAGGCCAGAGAGCAGCCGGACGAGGAAAACGAACTTGACGAGGAACCAGAACTGCACGGCAAGTTACGACTCTCAAGCATTACAAATGCTGGCGCTAACATCTGGCAGACTTGGTGCCTCTGCCTCAGCCCGAGTCCGTCCCCGAAGGCCCATACGAACCCAAGTTCTCGTCGCTACCGTCCTGGCTCACCGACCCTGTTACTGCCCCGACAAACGCAACGAAGCCTTTCGACGAGCTCAATATCGACCCTAGATTAGTCCGCCACCTCAAAAGCAAGGGTTACAATGAGGCCTTCGCAGTCCAGTCAGCTGTATTGCCTCTGCTACTCCCCGGTGCGCCGGCCAGGGTGGCGGATGTATGCGTATCGGCTGCGACAGGTTCTGGAAAGACACTGGCGTACCTGCTGCCTATGATCGAGAACATGCGACACAGGGTTGTTACCAAGCTGCGCGGTATTGTTGTCGTGCCCACGCGCGAGCTAGTAAGCCAGGTACGCGAAGCGGCCGAGCTTTGCGCTGTTGGCAGCGGCTTGAAAATCGGAACAGCAATGGGCAACCACGCATTTTCCGCCGAGCAGGATATGCTTGTCAAAAAGGGAAAGAAATACGACCCCGAGGCATGGAGAAAGCTGTACGCGAAGGCTGAAGACTGGCTTCTTCATGGCTGGAGCCAAGACAGCGATCACGCGGAAGACGTCCTGGACCTACTACCCGGCCACATCCCACAATACGAGTCTAAGGTCGACATTCTGATCTGTACTCCTGGCCGACTTGTCGAGCACGTACAAAATACGAAAGGGTTCCACCTGGATGATGTGGACTGGCTGGTGATCGATGAAGCAGATCGGCTACTCGATCAAAGCTTCCAAGGATGGGCAGAGACAGTGATGAGGGCTCTTGAGAAAGAAAAGACGATTGAAGAAATGAGTGCCAGGGAGAGAATCTTCTCGAGCATGTGGTATGCTCCTCAGAAGAGATTGGTCAAGAAGGTGATCTTATCCGCTACCATGACACGAGATTTGAACAAGCTCAGTGCTCTCAAACTGCGGAGACCAACCCTTGTGATCGCCGAGGGAACCGAAGGGTCGGGCGGACAAATAGCTCAAGGAGAAGTGTACGATATGCCATCGACATTGGACGAATGCACGATTCCTGTCGGAGACGGCAGTCAAAAACCTCTGTTTCTTCTGCATCTTCTGCAGACTCAAATTCTCTGGGACTTTGAGGCGCCTGCAGTACAAAACAGCGCACAGATGGATGACCGGGCGGAATCCGAAAGCTCGGACTCATCCTCAGATACGGATTCATCCTCCGGGTCTTCAGATGATTCCTCGTCGGTTTCATCGGAGTCGGAAGATTCAGATTCAGATGCGTCTGAATCGGAGGATTCATCAGACTCGGAATCGTCAGAATCTTCCGAGTCCGCATCTTCGGCGTCAGGCGCCATCGGTGAAGAGACAACAGCAGCTCCCGCCACGGAGACCAGCAACATTGCAGCAGAACCGGTCTCCAATGTTTTGATTTTCACGCACAACAACGAAAACGCGAACCGTCTTTCCCGACTTCTTTCTCTTCTCTGTCCTTCATACAGCGGCGTCATCGGGACACTTACTAAGTCATCAACAACGGCAGCCTCCCGCAGGATTCTGCGCGCTTTCCGAGCCAATAAACTACGCATCTTGATTGCGTCGGACCGTGCATCCCGAGGTCTCGATCTACCCAACCTTGCACACATAGTGAACTATGACATTCCCACCAGTGTCACAAGCTACGTGCATAGGGCAGGTCGGACCGCCAGAGCGGGTGCGTACGGCGTTGCTTGGACGTTTTTGACAAAGTCGGAGGCTGGCTGGTTCTGGAACGTCGTGGCCAGAGGAGAAGGCATCAGAAGAGGGGGAAGGAAGGTGAACAGGATGAAACTTGAAGATGCAGTGACTCCGGAGAGGACGAGCGAATATGAGCGGGCTTTGGAGATGTTGAAAGAGGAAGTGCGTGGCGGAGAGGATAACTGACCAATACCACAACGTCTTGCTTGTTCCACAGGCCTCAAGAGGTAGATTTTGACGCACTTTCCTTGCAGTAACAAGGTAGCAGGAAAGCCGAGCTCCGCCACCCAGTGTCGTATTACATTGATCCAGTCATAGAAGATACCAAAACCCTTAATGTCGTTTAAACTCTGTCGGCTTGTCCGTTGTTTGCTTCAGGCAACGAGCATCACATGTGACATTGGAGAAGGTCAAGTGCATAGCTTCCCGAACGCAAGAGGTAAGAGGTTCCAGTAGCTTCGTCACCAACTGGGGCCTAAACCTCATGTGGCAGGACACAATCGTGAAATCGTAGGGCCGAGTCATGGAATCATGCGGACCAGTCCTGGTGTGATCGGATCGCCGGGTACTGGCCAGTGGGACTGTCGCCATCGGTGAGCGATCATTACTCTCCAGCTCTGCAGCAAACAAGAGGTTCAGGAAGCGGCTAGTCCCTATTCGCGGGCCGACGGACGGATATGACCGACAAACGGTTCACCTTTTTAGGCGCCGGAAGGAATGTCGCACCTCGTGTCCGCACGGACTTGGCGGCGGAGCGAATGGGAGGGCGCAGGCAGTGCTTGCGGCGGCGGAGCGCAGATGTGCTGGCGGACGGCATGTGTCCGCCAAGAGCTGTCTCGGCGAGGGCGAGATTCAAGGACGCTCGAAAGCCGGGGGGTTACCAAGTTCCGAGTTGGTTTTGCCAGGGACCAGGCACGGAAAGCCAGTCCCACTCGGCGAAACAGCTAGTGGAGCTGTTGGCAGCGTTGGTTTGTGGTGACACAACACAGGCAGGAGCACGAGGTTATCCACTATTTCAACTCGGCAGCTGAGGCGAAGGGTCCATGAGGAACTAGACCCTTGTCACACAGCTCAGTGATAGCTTAACATCGCAACGGGTCTGTAACTGTCCAGAAAGAAGTTGTGGTACTACTGGCTAACCTCTCCAGAGGCACTGCACTGCGGAGTGTGGCGTCGGCATGGGTGTCATGCGGCCAAGCACCCCAGCGCTGGCGCGGCAAGCTTGCAAGAGCTTGAGCAGAGGCAGTGGCGGAGCTTGTGTTGTTCTCCGCTATCACGACTCCACGATGCGCTATCGACCTGCCGCAACGGGCAAGGAAGCGCAGTCATGGGTAGTTCGGCGAGCGGCACGGCAGTGTGCGGGCGCTGGTTGGCTGGGCTCGAGATTAAAGATTGGCTACTTATGCGGGCGTCGAAGGCTGCGGAAGATCGACACAACCCAAAGGCAACAAACTTCGAATCAACGACGCTCCTCACCGCAGCACACGCATGGCGCCATTCGTGCAGCCCCCCTCGGCCTTGAGGCTTAGCCTTATCAGAACACCACGCGCGACCGGACAGACGGCTTCTGCATGGCACTCGCTGGCGGCCTGAGCCAATTTGGTCTCAATCAATGCGATGCGCCAGGCTCGATTGGCACGCCCTCGAGATGAAGGGAATTCGTCGCTGCGCCTCAGGCCGAGTGGCACAGAGCCGCACGGGGGGCGCGACTTGGGTGCTGGCGGTGCGCTGGCCGGCTGGACCGCCGGCTGGGCTGTGTGCGCCCACGGCGGCGTGGTCACCGCTCTCTGGGCACGACGTCAACGACGGCGGATATCGATTAGGCATCGCAGGCTAGCAGCTGCCAACTCCCCACACAGCCAGGCACACAACCACCAAGGCGCCCATGGCCCACCGCGGCGTCTCTTGGCAGCTGGGCGGCGGATCGCTGCAGTCTTTGGCAATGCTTAGCAGCATCCCCTATCGCGGCACCCGCTCCAATCCAGCGCCGCGCACGCTGTTTCTGTGTCTGACGCGCCTGATACAGTCGCTTGCGCCGCGCTGGGCATTTCCTTTGACGCCCCAATCGGATGAAACATCTGACAGGACCCTATCGTCAACGCGCGCCGGGCCCTCACGAGACTAGGCCGATCTTCCTCCTAATGTCCGACGCCGGCCGTGGCCGATTCCCACCGTGGAGCCGCCTGTTTGAAACAGGCAGTTGGCCTGCCGCGCCTGCCCCGCGGCCCTGCAGTCCGTCGGCGCGAATAATGGTCTGCCTGAGTCGTGGCCGCCACCGCCGTGAAGCTGTTCCCGCGGTGCCACCCATGTCGCCTGCGGCCTGCAGACGCGCGCATCGGAGCGGAGCTATAGCCCGATGCAGCATGCCTCTCGAAAGCTCAACGTGCTTCCGCAGCACAAGGGCGTGCGCCGAAGTGTTTCCTGGGGTCAGCCAGTGCTGCTGCTCCACTGTCCGTGAGTGGCTGTCTGCTGTGATTGTGGATCTCGTCGATCTTCGGGGTTCGACTGAGCAGCTTGGGCTCAGGGTGTATAAAGATGGTCGTCATCCGCTCCCCTTGGCCAGCATCGCTCTCCGTACCTCGCAGTTCTCTCTTCAGTCACGATGCCTTCTCTCCGGTCTGTGACCGCCCTGGCGGCGCTCTGCAGCTCTACCCTGGCCAGCCCAGTCGCCCTCGAGTCTCTCCAGAAGCGTGACTTCTTCTCCTTCACCCAGGTCCTGAGGGGCACCTACAGGAAGAATGGCCCCATCCAGATGGCCAAGGTCTACAACAAGTACAAGGGCACTGCTCCGTCCGACGTCCAGTCTGCCGCGGCTGCTGCCGTCACTGGCACTGTTGTTGCCACGCCCGAGGACGATTACGACTCGCTCTACCTCTGCCCCGTCACCGTCGGCGGCACCGAGCTCCAGCTCGACTTCGACACTGTATGTATGCCCAGCCGTTGCGGTGAAGATGCCAGGCTAACATGTGGTGGCAGGGTTCTGCTGATCTGTGAGTACCACAATTTCCCTAAGCAGCACGACCACAACCCGCCAATCACGTCATCCCCTGTTTTCTCCCCGTTTCACAAACACCGCCCCATCATGTCCATGCGCGACCAGGGAGTCGTCCAAGGGTGACAGTCCTAGCCGACCCGTGCAGAGTTCATGCGCGCGGGCGCGGATCGGGACTGGCACCAGCGCCGCCAAGCGACGTTTCAACCGCCCCGGCCCGCTTGGACCGCCTTGTTTTGGCTTGATTTCTCTTGTCCTTCTGGGCAATTGTCCCCATTCTCCACTGCGTTTCAACCTGCGTCTGCAGTGGCGTGCAAGCGCCAGCTCGGCGTTGATGAAACAGTCTTCGCAAGCATGCACGCGGCCTCTAGCTCGCGCTGCACGTCCGACCATGGTACGAGTGCGGCAGTGGACGTGGATGACGACTGCGCCTGTGCAGCATGGGGAAGACGAGGGCGTCTAGGCCTGAAGGCTTCGTCGTCCCTTCATCCAACCCAAACGTCCCTGATCCACTCGTTACCTCAGGACTAGGCGCGATTCAAACGCCCGGCGGGGCTAGGCTGGCTGGTGGGGCTGCGCGTGGTGGCGGAGACGTGTGCTTCGTCACCGGCACATGCATCGCCATTTTCGGCCTGCAGGCTGAAACACCTTTCCCCATTTCGACCCCCAGCAAACATTCTCGCCACACCACCGTTCCTGCCGTGTCTCGGCAGCTCCAGCAACCTACTGGATGTCGTCATCTTGTCATGCAGCAAGCTAATTGTTTCGTAGTTGGGTCTTCTCCACCCTGATGGCCTCCAACGAGCAGACCGGCCACGCCGTCTACAACCCCTCCAAGTCGGGTACCGAGATGCAAGGCTCCACGTGGGACATCTCTTACGGCGATGGCTCTGGTGCTTCGGGTAAAGTCTACGCCGACAAGGTGGTTGTGGGTGGTGTGACTGCCACCTCCCAGGCCGTCGAGGCCGCCACCTCCGTCTCCACCTCCTTCACCCAGGACGTCGACAGCGATGGCCTGCTCGGCCTTGCTTTCTCTAGCATCAACACTGTTGAGCCGCAGTCGCAGAAGACGTTCTTCGACACTGTTGGCTCGTCTCTTGCCAAGAAGTTGTTCGCCGTCACCCTGAAGAAGGGTGAAGAAGGCAGTATGTTTTCTCTCCCCTTTCTTCACCACCATAGCATACTAACTCCCCCTCGGGCTACGACTTCGGTTATATAGATGAGAACAAATACACGGGTGATATCGTGTATGTTGACGTTGATACGTCCAACGGCTTCTGGCAGTTCAAGCCCGATGGCTTTGCAGTTGGTTCTGGCGAGACCCAGACCGCCGAAATCGACGCCATCGCCGACACTGGCACTACTCTTCTCTACCTGCCCACCGACGTCGTCAGTGCCTACTACGAGAAGGTCGAGAATGCGCAGTACAGCTCCAGCTACGGCGGCTACATCTTCCCCTGCTCCGCCACCCTGCCTGACTTCTCCCTCATCATTGGCGGCGCCAAGCGCACCGTTCCTGGCGACTACGTCAACTACACGCCCGCTGGCAGCGGCACCTGCTTCGGTGGTATCCAGCGTGACACGGGCATCGGCTTCTCCATCATCGGCGACATTTTCCTCAAGAGCCAGTACGTCATCCACGACGCCACCACCACGACTCCTCGCCTCGGCTGGGCTCAGCAGCCCTCGTCGAACTCGTCGTCGTCGAACACCTCCTCGGGCATCTTCTAAGCCCCTGATTGTACGGTCAGCAGCGGCGGTGCCGTTGCTGGGGGAAGGGGGGTTAGAGAGTAGTTTCTTTTCAAGTTTCTGGTCAGAGGGTTATCGCGGGAGAGGGAAAACAAAAATATGAGATGACCTAGAGAGATCTGTGAGGCTCCGGAGAGCTGTCGAGAGACTCGTGCGAGAATAAGCGTAGTAATGATGACTTTACCTCGGATAAGAGGACAACTTAATGGATCTGGTATTGCTTTCACACTGTGCGTTCCCCAGCAGTGGGTTACAAATACGTTATTTATTGAGAACAAGTGGATAATACTTACATCTCGTGGGTAGTTGAAGCTATCGTCCGGACGAAGACGTAGAATTAATAATTAGACAAAAACGTCCGGACGTTAGCTTCAGCTGCCCATGATTTGTCTATTTTTAGCAGAAAGCAGCAGTATAAAATCGCACCAATGCTACTGTTTCATGATAGAGCGACAGTTGGACGAGTAAAGAGATATTCAACCAACTTCAACAGAATTTTTTTAGTTGTTAATCATTTCCCGACTTCATACGACGATGAAAGTGACAAATGCTCGTTCCTATAATAAACACCAGCTATCGGTACGAGTTACCTGCCACATCCGCGAGAAGACGCTTAACCTATACCGTCCACCTACCATTCTTGGGCAATCACTCTATCTAGAACTGGGGACGCAGCACCATTAATAGAACACGATAATAGACGCTACCGGTACGGGCCGAGCCTCTCAGAGTCATGCACATGCAGAGCCGATGAAGATCAAAGAATTTAATATGCATTGTGTTATCGATGCGTTCCCGACATCTGATGTGTGTCTCGCCGACGTAGATCCTATTTAGCCCATGCTCGCAAGCCAGGCATGCATGAAGCGGCATGATTTAGCAAGCGCCAGGGGCCACTCCAATCCCAGATATAATTCTCCGGAAGGTGAATATTCAGCGCTTGGCTCTTGCTACCATGCAAACCGCCGAGAAAGAAAGAAAAGGAAGGATCACCTTAATTAGGTGGAGCTCTACAGATCGCTGTGGCGTCTTAAAGTCTTCCCTTGTCCTCTCTTCCTCTTATGTGACGCCTGCAATGCAATCTCATGGGAAAGTAAGGCATTGGTCCCCGCGAGACCGTGTCCTTCTCAAGCCTTACCCTTCTTCTTGTCCTTCTTGTTCTTCTTTCCGCCAGCGCCACTGTCACTGGCATTGCCTGAGCCTGGCATCTCGCCTTGCATCTCAGCCATCATGTCCTTGAACAAGTTCTCGCTAACGCCACCGCCGCTAAGGGCGGGGGAATGCAGCGGCACGATGGGGTTGATCTTCCATCCGCGAGGGACGGCCGGCGGCTTGAGCTCCTTGGGCGGGGGCACTCCCGCAATACGAAGGCGCATTGGCGCATCTTCAGTTGTCGGGTGCTCCTTGAGGTAAGCAGCAACAAGATTGTAGAGATGATGCTCTGGGCTAGTGTCAGTCTCAAGTTCTAGAGTGAGCGTGCAGTACCACAGCCGAATCCAGCAATATGGGAAGCACAATAATGACAGAAAACTTACTGTTCTGAACTTTAGGATGAACCGGCACACCCCCCTCCTTCTTTATCAAAACCCTCACCCTGCCCGGATTACTCCAGTCCTTGGGGTGCGTCTTGCCCGGCTCGAACACGACCTGGGTCAGACCCAGCGCCGCGACAGCGTCCACCATTTCGCGCGCCAGCGGGCTCGGCACGGCTAGCTCCTTGCTGACGCGACGGCCCTCAGCCCTCGTGCGCGACGCGTCGAAGTAGACCGGGTAGATGCACTGCCAGTTCTTCGACTTCTCCTGCATCTCGGCTTGCGCCGCGCGCTGGGCCGCGGCGTTCGGGTTGTTGGCGCTGGCGGCGAATGGGGACTGCGGCTGCAGCTGGGGATCGAAGCCGGAAGGACCAGCGGCGCCCATCATGCTGCGGGCGAAGGCTTGCGGGTCGAAGTCGGAGGGATCCATCTCCTCCGGCTCGCTGTCGGAGATTTCCTCAACGCGCGCGTGGTGTGACATGGTGTGCAAATTGACTGTCCAGCCTCGAGGCAGGTAATTGGGCCAGTGGTGTCGAGAGGAGAGCTTGTTGGCGTGCGGATGGGAATTTCACAGATGGTGTTCACTTGAGAGACAGAGCTGGCCTTCCCCCACGCCGCTGACCGCCTTCGGGCTTGGCGCTGGACGGGAGCGTCATCGCGGAGGCGGCGCCTGTATTGATCCGGCCTTCGGCCTGTCGTCGGCAACGGAGAATCCACGTGCGTGCACGGAGCACCGATATCGCTTTCCCGTCGCTCTTCGCCTCTCGGAGACAGCCTGCGCCGCTGTTGATCCTAATGGGCGCTCACGACTCGTCGAGACGTTCTCGGCACATTGAGCCTTCAGCCGGAGCTAACAACGGCAAGTGAGAGGCCTTGAGGCGGTCTGACGTCGGCAGCACAGACGACCTGCAAATCCAATATTTGCCCGTGCGCGCAGGGAAAGCACTGGACACACGCAGGTACCGTTGGTCAGGGTCGTCGGGGAGATCTTGAGCACGCTGGTGTCAGGAGTGCCGGATTTACCGAGCTTCGGGATGCCGAGCGGAGGCACGGGTTGAGGTCTCAGGCCGTTTCATGGGTCGTGCATGAAGTCGTCATGCTGAGTTGCTGGGCCGGTTCTTGACATGACATCACAAACTTGTGCATATGCGTGAAGGGCGAGTGTGGGGAAATCGAAGCTCAGTGCCCAGGTTTGAAGTGATCCTACATGAATTGGGTGAGTAGGCGGATGAACGAGAATGAACGCTCAATTCTCCGTCCTGACTAATCACGGACTTGGTAGAACTGCTCATTGTCTTTCCAGAGGCTATCAAACTGAGACAATGGTATGGAATGCCAACAAATCCCCTCGCTACGATGCATGTCTTAGAGCATCGTTGGCTGACCCGGGCAGTACCCCTTCATCAAACATGGTTGCGCCATTGAATGCACTAAGCCCTACCGTTGCCGGCCGGTCCGGTGGCCGGTTCATGTATGTTCGGCATGCCGAACGGTCTGACTCACTAATTACCGCCCCCGCAGCCACCACAGTGTTTCGACTACTCTATTGAGCAGATATCTTCACTTAATAGTGGTTCGCAAGAGTGGGGAGGGCGAGGTGCTTCAGATAAGAAAACACGTATAAGAAGCTTCCATCTCTCCCCACATTGATTGACACTGGACCACTACACTAGACCATCAAATGGTCCCATTGTTTTTGGCATTCCTGCTCAACTTCAACTCTTCTGCCAGTTCAACTTCTCTTGCGATACTCCTTCCACAATGCTGCCTCCATCTCGGTCCAACCATCAGGATGCCGAGGCTGCAAAGAGCTCCGGCATTCTCCACCGCAATCTGAAGCAACTCCCTCTCAAGGTTGTTGGAGCTTCGGGAAACTACCTCGCTCTTTCCAATGGCCAGCAGATTTTAGATGCTACCGGTGGCGCTGCTGTTTCATGCCTGGGTCATGGAGACAAGCGTGTTCAAGATGCCGTCATGCGACAAATGAATGAAGCGGCTTATTGCCATTCGTTATTCTTCAGCACTGCTGCTGCTGAGGCTTTGGGCGAAGAGTTGGTTTTGGGATCCAACAGAGAAATGGCTAAGGCCTTCATTGTCAGCTCAGGTATGTCTGACTCTAATTTTTCGCCTTACATCAATTGCTTGCAAACATTTGCACAACATTGGTGCCGCACTCCTGCAAGGATTGAATAAGCATTGTGGGCGTGAGAGCCGAAAATGCACCGCACCAATACCTTACTTTTGTTACGCTACATTAGGCCTTTGATTCTTCTCATTTGATCTCCGCAATCCGCAGTTGTGGGAAATTCAAGAAAATATTATCCCAGAGTATGCCCGCTGACAAACATCGTGCAGGATCCGAAGCCATTGAAGCAGCAATGAAGCTTGCCCGTCAATACCATCTAGAGATCTCGCCTCCCCAGCCTCAACGCACCAAGTTCATCGCCAGAAAGGAATCGTATCATGGCACGACACTTGGTTCGTTGTCTCTGGGTGGGCACGTTAGTCGGAGAGCGCTGTTTGAGCCCATGCTGCTAGAGAACATCTCTCGTGTTTCCGCTTGCAACGCATATCGCGGTAAAGCAGACGGTGAGGGAGACGAAGAATATGTTGCTAGGCTAGCAACAGAGCTGGATGAGGAGTTCCAGCGTCTCGGCCCTGATACTGTGTGTGCTTTCGTGGCGGAGCCGGTTGTTGGTGCGGTACGTTTTGAACACCCTCCCTCTCCTTTTTCCCGGTTACCTCTTGATGAGTACTCCTCCATGGAAGAGCATGAGAAAGAAAATGGGAGTTTTGGGATTGCATCTTCAATGTTCCCAATTCCACAAAGTCGTATGTTATGCTCCAGAGGCATCTCGCAAAATGATGAGAACTCCACCGTCATCGCTGATAGAGGGTGTCTTGGCAAGTGTGGTACTCTTTTTCGGGCAGGAGTTACTAGATCAAGATTCGATGCTCCTCGCCCGCATTTCCAACTCATTCAGCCAGTGGAGGTGTACCATCATCATTCATGCAAAAGCTTTTTGCGACCAACCAAACAATCGCCATGCGAAGATTTAATTGCTGACAAAAACGCCTATAGGCTCTCGGCTGCGTCCCTTCCGTGCCCGGTTACTTCAAGGCTGTCAAGGCCGTCTGCGATAAGTACGGGGCGCTGCTCATCATGGACGAGATCATGAGCGGCATGGGCCGCACCGGTACGCTTCATGCTTGGCAGCAGGAAGGCGTGGTCCCCGACATTCAGACCATCGGAAAGGGCCTAGGCGGCGGCTACGCTCCCGTCGCAGGCGTGCTAATCAACCACCGTGTGGTGGGCGCGCTGGAGAAGGGCACCGGCAGCTTTTCTCATGGCCAGACATACCAGGGCCACCCATTGGCTTGCGCGGCGGCGGCAGAGGTGCAGCGCATCATTCGGGAGGATCATCTGTGCGAGAATGTCAGGGCTATGGGGGGCTATCTAGAGGAGTTACTCAAAAAGAAACTCGAGACTCATCCAAATGTTGGCAACATTCGAGGCCGCGGGCTTTTCTGGGGAGTAAGTGCAACTTTAGGACCTGACGCGAGCCGATAGCTGACATTAGGATCAGATCGAATTTGTGAAGGACAAGGCCACGAAAGAGCCGTTCGACCCGAGACTTGGCGTAGCAATGGGCGTTCATGAAAAAGGTTCGTTGCCGCAAGATTCATCGTCCATGCAGACAGACACTAATGACCTTTCTAGGAATGGAGCCCAAGTACAGCATCTCGATTTACCCAGGCACCGGCACAGTGGACGGCAAATCCGGCGACCACGTGTTGTTAGCCCCCGCATATAACGTGACAAAGGCTGATGTGGAGAAAATCGTGGACTTAACGACTGCAGTCATCACTGAGTTTTTCGCGGAGCTTTGAGGCGTCGATGCTTTGCGGAGCTATTCAAGAAGACGTCACGGTGTAAACAGCTACATTTGCCACTAGACAGACGGGTGAAATGGAGCGCTCGAGCTTTTTGATGCGAATTAGCAACGAGGATGCTGATCGGCATAGAGCGGGGAATGCATTGCGCAGCAGATGACTCTGCATGGCGACCTTCCTGGTTGGAAAAAAACCGCCGTTGCAAGCAGGTGGCGCTACATCATCCAACCGCGAGGATCATCGCACACGAGCTGCAAGTGCAAATATCCGACGAATGTGAGATATGGAGAGATGGCCGTGGATGGTAGCGTCAGCAGGTGTCACAACGGAGTCGCCATCAGGCAACAGTGGAGTCTTGGATTGGATCGACCGGTCTTTGTAAGATGCTTCAGACATCAGCCGCTATGGAGCGTTTGAGAAGTGAAAGCCGTAAAGATTTAACGACCGCGCTCGCGATGACAGTATGTATACCCGGCTAGGCAGCCTAAAAAAACGGACATTGGACTCTTCAACTCCTTGTGACCATCACGCCACCGTCATCGTAATACTTACGAGACCCGAGGAAACAGAAGGCCAGTGCGAATGTTGTCCCATGCAAAGCGCAGGCTGGCAGAAGGAATGTGCGGAATCTGTGGTGAGAAGTGTGGTAGGCCATGCGAATTAGCTGATGACGAACGGGGACGGGGCCCATTTTGCGGACCCCTTGCGTTCGACGTCAGTGTTGAAGTGAATTAAAGTATCAAAGTCCCGGACGTCTCCTCGCCGACAGCCCCTGCTTCGGCACAGGCACGCAGCCGTGGATCCTACGGCCGACGTTGCTTTATCTTATTCGACATTATTAGGAGTGAGGGCGATCTGCTTCGCTTGGCAGCGCGTTTCGCTTCCTGGTGCACGTTGAAGAGGCCAAGCCTCGACGTTCAGTGTGGCTCGCCCGCCGCGGCCAGATTTAGGGGCACCGGCAGCGCCCTTTTTAAGCAGCGAAGATTGGCTTGATTTCCGGGTGCTTTAGGCCAGCCCTTTGGAGGGCGGCTAGCGGGCTAGTGACAGGCGACGCGGCCCAGGGCGGCGGATACGGCGGGGCAAAAGAATGAGCAGCCCCTGGCAGACGACGGCGGAGAGCGTGTTGAGAGCGATTGTGGTGTGCACAACTCAGCGACACGGGCAGAAAAGTGGTCAGGGTTGCGGGTCGTTTCTTTTGTCGTCGGTGGCTGAAGAAAAGAGGAGACGCCCCCGGCTCAGCCTGGACGACGCACCAACGCCAACACCATCTTCGCCACAGCTGATGCGGCGCCTGTGGGGGATTTCCCGCCGCGGCGGCGGCACGTAGCTTCGTATCCTCTCGAAATTGAGGAATGGGCCTTACGAATGCCGCGGGCGATCAGGCAGATAGAGCGTTGGCGAGATCCGAGCGCGCGTAGATGGCGGCTGCGGGCGGCGCGACTCGGGCGGCGAGGTGCAACTGCAGTCAATCTCACCCTGCGGTTTCAGGAGATCTCCTGTGACGCTGTTGCGCGGCGTCCAAACCGTCGGCGTGCCGCTTCATTTCGGACGACGTCAAGTGGGTGCGGTGCCTGGCGCGGGTGCGAGTGAGACAGGCACCGGGCTGGTCAGCCGTCAGCTGCCAGCGGCCAGGTGTGCAGGGCGAGAGCGAGCGCGGAGAAGCTTCAAGCGAGGCTGGATGGAGCCGTGGGCGTTCCGGCGCCGCTTGGGGCGGCAGTCTGAGCACGCAGCAGCCTCCATCGCCAATCCGCCGGCCCAGCCCCGGGCCCAGCACACAATGCGTGCGCGGCGCAGCTGGGCGCAGCCGCCGGAGAGCTCCTTCAGACTGAGGTGGGCGAGCGTGTCTTTTGTGGTGCAGGGCTGTGAGGGCGCAGGCGTGCGGCCCGCGGCGCGTCCTCAACAGTGCATGATCGCTTGCGCCACCGCAGCGCGTGGGTGACGGCGCTTTTGCGAACGGAGTGCTGGACCGCAGGCCCATGGCCCAGTGATCGAATTACCAAAGCAACGCACGTCCACCTGCGCCGGCCAGGCATTTCTGGCCAGCTGCGAATCAGCGCGCATGCCTGCAAAAGAGGAGTGCAATTCGCGCTAACCCGCACCGAGTCCACCTCACTCTGTGCCTCCATCGTGCCCAGTCGCCGGCTCTGACCTCAATATCGCTCGCCCCAAAGCAAGCCCACCACCACGCCGCTTCCTCCGCACACCGCTTTGGATCATGCTCTGACGTCCTCGGCCCCCGCTGAAGAGCTTTCAGTGCCAGATCCAACCCGCCTCGTCCGTCATTTCCCGCCGTTTCCCCGTCATTGCCTCTTCCACTTCCGACCGGGCGGCCTTCGCAGCAAAGGCGCATTTTCGCTCCCGCTGCGCGCTGCCTGCAGCCTCGACACGCCCGTCCTCTGCCTCGATCGCCCGCCGCTGCGTTGACTGGTGCTTGCTCTAGCCCGGTGAACGCCTTTTTGCCAGTTTCACTTCGGCTGCCGTCACGCTCCACGACTTCGGTCCTCGCACCGGCCTGGCCATGTCGACCCCTTCGACAGCGACCGCGGCCCTCCCTCCTCACCAGCACCACCAGTACTATCCACCACATCACCAGTCGTGGCAGCCCCAGGTGTCCCAGCATGTAAATGGCTCGTCGCGTCTGACCAACTCGCACTACAACAACGCCTACCCCAGCCAGGATCTGCGAAGGACGGCCACGGTCAACGCCCGCCAGCCGCCGCAGCAAGCGGAGTCGTACCCCACCCACTACACCGCCGACCAGCAGCAATTGCCCAGCATGCCCGCCCGGAGGCGGAACCACAAGCCCGACTGGAACGAGTTCTACAAGAACGGCCTTCCCAAGGAAGTCATCGTGATTGATGACGACACCCCGGAGCCCCAGCCGCCTCAGTCCTCCAGGGCTGTCGCCGCAGCTGCCGCCGATCGCCACGCCGACAAGAAGCGCAAGACCGCGACTTCGACTGCCTACGATCCCGTCTACCACCAAAACACGTCATACTCCACAACCGAGACGCCCATCTACGGCGGCACGCCTTCGAACCACACCATCTCCACCGACCGCACCGCCTCGGCCATACACACTACTGCGTCGACGTCGCTGGGGTCGACGATCAGCAATGGACCATACGCAGCTCAGTTGGACGATGGTGTGGTCGGCCAGAAGCGGAAGCGCACCACGCGCAGGACCACGCTGGATGAGGCCAAGGAAGCGAAGCGACGAGAGACTGAGCAGCAGCAAGAACACTGGACCACCTACGTCCCGCCCAAGCAGCCTCCCATCAAGGCCAAGGATGTCTACGTCAAGGTCGTCCCCGATGTGAGTTCCTCTTGGTCTCTTTGCCCACGAATGCTCGCTGACGTATTGCCAGAAGTACCGCCCGAACGAGAAGGTCGATGATGAGGACGGGCACTACGTTGTCCACCCCGATGCAGACATCACCGAGAAGTGTACGTGCTTTGTTCTCTCCACGCCACCGTATCATTGCTGACTTGTCGCAGACCAAATAGTGAAGCTGCTCGGCCAGGGCACTTTCGGCAAGGTCGTCGAGGCTTTTGACAAGAAGAAGGGCAACAAGGTCGCCATCAAGGTCATCCGATCGGTCCAAAAATACCGCGACGCATCTCGCATCGAGCTTAGAGTCTTGTCGACGCTCGCCTCGAACGACCCGCACAACAGGAACAAGTGCATCCACCTGCGCGATTGCTTCGACTTTCGGAATCACATCTGCATTGTCACCGACCTTTACGGCCAGAGCGTGTTTGACTTCCTCAAGTCGAACCAATTTGTGCCTTTCCCCAGTACTCATATCCAGACTTTTGCGCATCAACTTCTCACCAGCGTTGCTTGTAGGTCGATCCTGTTTTTTTGCTTTTTCTGATACTTGTCGCGCTAACTGGGCAAAGTTCTTCACGATTTGCACCTCATTCACACCGATCTGAAGCCGGAGAACATCCTGCTTGTCAACAATGCATACCAGACCTTCACATACAACCGGACAATACCGTCTTCCTCGACCGCCACTGCTCGTTCGGCTCGCCACAGGAAGGTTTTACTAAACCCTGAGATTCGCCTGATCGACTTTGGCTCAGCCACTTTCGACGACGAATACCACTCTTCGGTTGTTTCGACGCGCCACTATCGCGCGCCTGAGATCATCCTCAACCTTGGATGGAGTTATCCCTGTGATATTTGGAGTATTGGTTGTATTCTAGTTGAGTTCTTCACTGGAGATGCTCTGTTTCAGACTCACGACAATTTGGAGCATCTCGCGATGATGGAGGCTGTTTGTGGTGGCAAGTTGGATAAGCACTTGATCAGGCAGGTCCTGGCTAAGGACAGGGGACAGTCCCGCAACCCCGCTTCACAGTAAGTTGTCGCCGGGTCGTGATTTTTGGAGATGCATGGTCGCTAATGCTCCAGAAATAGGTACTTCAAGGGCCAAAAGCTCGACTATCCCAACACAGATACTCCCAAGGCTTCCCGGAAGTATGTCAAAGCAATGAAGCGGCTGCAGGTAATTATTCCCTCGATTTTCTCTCGATCCGACCGTTGCTAACATGCGCTGTTTAGGACACCATCCCGCCTCACAACGAATTCAATCTGCAGTTCCTCGACCTCCTCAAGAGGATCTTCGTGTATGATCCATCGAAGCGGATTACAGCCAAGGAGGCTCTCAACCACCCCTGGTTCACCCAGAGGATCGAGGACGACGGCACCGAGGCACTCAAGATCCGAAAGAAGCAGGAGCGGGTAAGGGCCGAGAAGGCCAGGCAGGAGAGGGAGAACGGTTACCGGTGACCAACTCTCGCGGAAGGTCACATCACACGACGTCTCGACACAAAATTTTCTCTTGTGCAAGCTCTTTCAGACCTGGTCGAAGGCTTTTGCCTCGACGATACCACAATGACGACCTTTTCTTTATGAAAGGAGCATGGGCGGGCTTACAATCATCTGGTCGGCTCTGGAGTTTCATATGGATTCTGTTGCAGGGTTTCTTTTTTCTTTGCATAACTTTCTTCGTTCAGACACACAAAGGGAGCTGGCTATATCCACATACAGTACGCCCTCGAAAATATCGAGAGTGCGTCTAATCTCTCCGGCGTGCCTTGGGTTAAGGAACCGGGTTTTTGAAGGGATCTTAGATGGGACGGGAAGCGAAGGCGCTAGAGCATCCACGGACAGGCATTGCGGGGGAGGCGATTGATTCGGATCCGCGGAGGTCTGTTGTATCCATAGATATAATCTCCTGCACAATCGAGTTTCGTGCGCCTCCATCACGATGTACACTGCGGCACCTGACACGCGTCACCGGGTGCGGATGATTGACTGGTGGTCTGAGATCTGCGGAGATTCCCTGCAGGGCGAGAGTAATTGGGGTGTTCCCGGCCATCTTGCCATGATTCGCGTGCCCGCAGCCTAGGGCGGTGAAAAGGCTTGGCGGTGACGCGGGCACCGCGCGCGCCATGCGGGTAAACACTCGGTCAAGCAACACCACACCTAGCACGCGTATGTGCGCCAACCAACGTCACGCGTCCGCCTATGCAGCACCAAGTCCAAGATGGCGCAGACGAAGCAGATCGAGACCTCGCTCCTCACCGAGCACTTTCGCTACACGCCGCTCGTAAGAGTTCCGCTTGCGCAAATGCCTGCACCATTGCGGCAAAAACAAGCCGAATGCTGACTTCTGGTGCAAGACCCTCATTGACCAGATAATCAACATGATCAACGAGCTGATCAACCGCGCGGTCGATGCGGTTGAGGCCGGCCTGCTCGAGACACCACCCTCGCGCCTTGGCTTCGCTGCCAGAGCGGCCGCGGAGAACACTATACCAGACACCGACGGCGAAGGAAACCCGCTTTTTCCAGACGCAAGAAAAGAGATTGAAGAAGGCGTGCACCAACTAGAAACGCTACTGGAAGCTACGGTCGATAAGAACTTTGACAAGCTGGAAATCTATTTGCTGAGAAATGTTCTCACCGTGCCTGAGGACCTGGTGCCGTGGGTGAGGCTGGCGCATTATCAGGTACGTTAGGTGTGACTATCGACGGTGTCTACTGTATAAGTAAGCCAACATCTGTTTCATCCCAGGACCTTCAACTACCGAACACCTCAACCTCGTCCTCAACCCCGCTGCCGACCCCCGAATCCGTCCAAGCCCTACGTCGGAAAGTTCAAGAAACCAACAAACTACATACCGCCCTTCTCGCGGAAAAGGCACGCAATGAGGCCTTGCTTACGCAGCTACGCGGTCTATTAGGAGGCAATACAGGCATGAAGACCGAGCCGGCGTCCTCGCCGCAGCACACCAGCGACGGCCCCGCCCCAACAGCTGCCCAGAACCCTTCGCTCGCTTTCCTGGCATCGGCACCGGCGGCGCAGAACTTGGGCATCTCTCTCCCCACCGATGGGACTGCTGCGCTGCCTAGGCACGAGCCGCTGAGGCAGAACACGGCGTTCGCGCTAAGCCAGCTCCCGGCGCTGCGGCAGATCCTGCAGAATTTAAGGCCGAAGATCGCGGCGCTGGGCACGGCGGGTGGCGCTGGGCCCGAGTCGGAATTCGCGAAGCAGCGGAGCGAATACGTGGAGAAGCGGACGAAGAGGATAATGGAGAGGAAGGGTATGGATGTTGGGAGTGGTGAGGGTAGCTCGGAGGGTCTGGGGAGAAGAATGCTGCCGGAGGAGGTGAAGGGCATGGAGGCGGTAGCGGGGCTCGTTGGAGAAAAGACGGAAGGGGGCGAGAATGGGGAGCAGATGCAGGAGTAAAGCGGGAGATGCATGGCATTGAGCGTTACGAATTTTCAGAGGACCTACTTGCATGGAGCTGGGAGTTTCGGCGTTGGCATCAAATGATACCCATATGAGCGGCAGGTAAGGCTCCATGTACTGTCTGCGTAAGAACAAACACTGATGTTTTTTTTTTGTTGAAGCGATACTAATCGGTACTTGGTTGGGGATGTAACGATATCTTTGAAAACATTTTGAGTAATGGATATGGCTACAATCTCCGGAAGCCGTTGTTTGGATGTGGCGTTGCCAGGAATCTATAGTCGACCAAATTGAGCGGTAGCGAGTAATGTGGCAGTAATATCAAATTGTCAATGGACAGAGATATATTAGGGCTTCGGGGTTTAAGTTGCAACGAGCGCCTAGAGTGGAAGGATCCACGCGCTACGCAGCAGGCAAGTCTTCTCTGCCTACGAAACGTGGCCTGACGCACAGCTGGAACAAGTGTTGCCGGTACAGTTGTCAGGCAGCGAGGACAACGAGACCCCGGGCATGATCACAACACGTGGTCCGGATTGCCCGACTCCAGCGGCGAGAAGACGCTGCTGCAACGTGCCCACGGGCGGTAGCTGTCTTGGGCGTAGCTCGGCGGTCGCAGATTGTTGGTGGTGGGTCGCGGCCGTGGGGAAGGGCAGCAGGCGAGGCGCGCCGAGATGAAATCATGCAGTTCTTTCCACGACATTCTGCCGGGAGGCGGGTGCGCGCGCCGCTGCGGGGAAAGCAGACAAGCTGGACGCAGTCGCCATGATGCCAGGTGTGCGCTCCGGGCAGCGCGTGAATGGCTTGAAAGACGGTGGTTGCCGGATTGGGAACCGGATGATCACCGAGCAAAACCAAGATTCCGGCATTTGGGCGGGCGTCATAATGCATGCATGCGTGCGATGCGCCAGTGGAGGGAAGTCCCTGCAGGCCGGGCACGGGCGGCGGCGGCGCTGGGCTGCGGCGCGCGGGCACCTAGTGTGTAGCGATAACGCCTGTTTCCATGACCAGACACAGCCAGCCTACACCAAGCTCTTTAATCGCTAGCTGCGCTGCTCCCCTTTATCCGAACGTCTCATCACTTTGACGGGCCTTGCAGCCAATTCTCGTCCCACCCGGCGCGGCCTGCACGCTCCACACCGCCTGCCCTTCACGTGCGGATAGCCAGACTTCCAGAGCCCAGTCCAGGCGCGCCATCTTCCTCTTGAGCGAGACTTTCCGCGCCGACGCTCTTTTTCCTCACCCCCAGCCCGTCCGCCGCTTCGCCTCCTTCCGCCTCTTTGCTCCTTGTCGCTTGCCGCGCGCTGCCAGGGTCTCCCGTCGTGACAAGCACACGCTCCGCCGCCTTCGTTGCCCGATCTGCCGTGCTAAAAGCAAACAGCCATGTCGTCCGAGCCCGCAAAGCAGGCCAATGACAGCGCGCTGAAGCCTCCAGCAGACAGCTCTGGAAATGGTGGCATCAGTCCCGCCGTGGCACCACGAAGTCCTGCTCCAAAAGGTGAGTCCTTCGACTTCTTTTCTGTTCCGCCTCTTCCGCTGCCACGCAACTTCTGTATTTAATTTCACGATTGCTCGTTGCGAGGGTTGGGCGGTAAGGTGCCGGGGTGCGTCTTCTCTGCTCCCCTGCACGGCTGATAGCCGAACAATGGAGGCTCCATGCAGGCTCGTTCGTGAATCGATTGCGGCAGGAAGTGGTGTCACAGCATCGCGCTGCGGCTTTCCGGAGAGCGGCCCCTGGTTTCGGTCACGCAATGGAAAGAAGAGAAAGCGCGAGTGGTCGCGCGACACCATTGGGGAAGGAGCGCTTATCTTGGTTTATCTCCGACTTTGGCGACGCGTCTCCCAAGTACAAGACATGACTACTTCCGCAATCCCAACTGAGCAATTGCCCACCAACAAATATTCCTGCTGCCTGCCGCCCTGTTCTTGCCTTCTTCCCACTCCCTGCCCCTTTGCCGGCTTACCAGCGCTTCTGCCTTGCGGCAGAGATGGCTTTCTTCCTCCGGATTCGAAACAGGATAGCCCGTATTAACACTCCACCAGTTGTCACCATTGCCGACCCGGAAATTTCGCCAATCCTCGAGCCTGCTCACTCGAAGGATGTGGATGATGATGGCACCTTGACGCTTGAGCGCACTCCCTCAAAACAGCAGCATCGCATCAAGATTGGCAAGCGCCTCTCTGGTCGGCCTCTGTCCGACCGCAACGCCTCATCCGGCCAAAGCTTAGCCGAAAGTGCTCTATCTGACATCCTTGCCGAGGATAGCGCTCATTCGTCACACCGTGGCCATGGCCACCATGCTCAACAATTGATGGCCCAAGTCAGCGCCTGGTTGAAGCAGGAGAAGGCAAGAAGAGCAGCCCGCAAAGCCAGTAAACGAGCCCCTCCTCCTGAATCATCAGAGTCTGGCATTCCAGAAAAATCACTCAGTGAATCTGCCGACGTACAAACCGACGGCGCAGCCGAAAACGAGGTGCGGCGGCCTTCTGATGCGTCCGAGGGCTCGGTTGCTTTGGACGCACTCGAGCACATTCTTGAGAAGGGCATTTCTGCCATCAGCCATGAGGGCCGCAAGATGCCTCATCGGATTGGTCGCAAGCTGAGACGCCAGTCGACAGCCGGCTCGTCTGACACCGAATACCAAGATGGTGACGTGCTTGTTCCAAGCTGTGATGTCGTCCTTGACAACACCCGCACTCTCGCCTATTCTGGAGGTGGTATTGACGAAGACGACGAAGATGATCAATTGACTCCCGGAACGAGGAAGGTCAAGGAGAAGCAGGCGTGGGCGACGTTCAAATATGAGATTGTTCGGCTTGCGCACACCCTACGCTTGAAGGGATGGCGCAGAGTTCCTATGGACAGAAGCAGCGATATTGAGGTCGAGAGGCTTAGCGGAGCTCTCACAAACGCTGTCTACGTTGTTTCTCCTCCGAAAGACCTTCCACCTAGGCAAGGAGAAGAGGGTGATATCCACCCGCGCCCCCGTAATCCTCCTCCGTAAGTTCAACCTCGACGTGATAAATGGGTCTGCGCTGATTACCACTGCAGGAAACTACTTCTCCGCGTCTACGGCCCCCAGGTCGAGCATCTCATTGACCGAGAATCTGAACTTCAGATCTTGCGCAGGCTGGCTCGCAAGAAGATCGGCCCGCGCCTCCTCGGTACTTTTTCTAACGGTCGCTTTGAGGAGTTCTTCCACGCCCGCACGCTCACTCCCAGGGACCTCCGCAACCCGGACACCTCTGTTCAGATTGCCAAACGCATGCGGGAGCTGCACGAGGGTATCGATTTGCTCCCTCAAGAGCGCGAAGATGGGCCTTTCATATGGAAGAACTGGGACAAATGGGTTGATCGTTGCGAGTACATTTCGAAATGGCTTGATGCAGAAGTTTCGAAGTTGCAAGCAGGCTCCAAGCAAAGTGAGGATATCGGATCGCTGGCCGAACTTGGGTTTGTCTGCGGCGTTCCCTGGGATATGTTCCGGCAGACGGTGGACAAGTATCGGAACTGGTTGAATGAACAGTACGGAGGAACCAAAGAACTCAATGAGCGGCTAGTCTTCGCTCACAACGACGTAAGTGTCCAATCGTGAGTGGGAACATACAGGTGCTGATCCTATGTTTTCAGACACAATACGGAAACATCCTCCGACTTATTCCTCCAGGAGACTCTCCGTTGCTTCTTCCTGCCAACGAGCACAAGCAGCTTGTAGTCATCGACTTCGAGTACGCGAACGCCAATACTCCTGGATTGGAGTTCGCCAATCATTTCGTAGGTGATTCAGTTGCACCTTTTAGTTCTTGTACTAACAGCTAGCAGACCGAATGGTGCTACAATTACCACGACGAGAAGGCGCCTCATGCCGTCAACACGAATGCATATCCTACACCTGCCGAACAACATCGCTTCATTCGATCCTACATCACCCACCGCCCTTTCCAGCCTTCTCACAGCAGCGATTCTTCCACGACGCCCAGCAACGCCCGACCCCCTACGTTGACTCACAGTTCTTCCATCTCAGCATTCATGCTAGATTCGCGGGCTCCACCTCAGCAGCTCCAAGAGCAAGAAGAGCGTGAAGAAGCTGAGATTGAGAAGGAGGTCAAGCGCCTCATGGGCGAAACGCGCCTCTGGCGTCTCGCTAATTCTGCGCAATGGGTCGCGTGGGGAATAGTCCAAGCTAAGCTCCCCGGCCTCCCCGACTTCGACAGCGAGACGAAAAAGAACACCGCCGTGAATGGCGCAATTCCTGAGGAAGAGCAGGACTACATGAATCCGCAGTCCGACCAGGGTGTGGGCGTGACGGACCCACCTTCAGAGGACCTTCAGGACAAGAAGGCGGAGGAGGGTGCGGATCTGGGAGATGCTGGCAGCTCGTCGGGCACGGCAGAGGAAGAGGAGTTTGATTACCTGGGATACGCAAACGATCGCGCGATGTTTTTCTGGGGTGATGCGGTGAGGCTAGGCATCGTCAAGGACGATGAACTACCAGAGGAGTTGAGGCAGAGGCTCAAGGTTGTGGACTATTAGGATGGGATATGGCCATGTTATATTCTGAAGCTGAGAGAAGGACGACCGCGATGACAACAAGGCATAAGGCGATTATCTAAAGCTGTCTTTAGGGTTGCTGAGTTTCTGAAGAATGGCTGGGCAAGATGAATGCGCAGTGGCGAAAGGCTGGTAATAGCATTACATAGCAACGAGCTACGAACAGACATAATATACATTATGAAAACCCAAATCAAACGGGTCCGGATGGAAGAGTGTTTTCGCTGAAGTGCAGGGAAAGGAGAGATGTAAATGTGATGTTCTTCTGTCTACGTGCATATCGTGAGCAACAGCATCCCATGGCCTTGCAAATCAAAATGATTTACTGCAAGCATGCGCCATCAGCGCTATACCGCACGGTGCGGTAGAAAAGAATATGCCTGTGGGTGTGGTAGGAAGTCTAAATATGATAAGTGCAAATTTCCTTCCAACAAAATCGATAAGTGGTCGGATCGATCGGTACCAAAAAGTATTGCGGAGGTCACTTATGGTCATCAGGCGTTGCCTAATTGGGAATCACTTCCTAATTGGGTCAGCTGCAAACTGGGCAGAAGGTTTTCAAGCGATGACACCCCTAGTTGAAAAGACATAGGTGGACGTCAGGTCGCCTTGGCCAATATCGCCTCCGGGTCCTTTGAGAAACGGAAGCTATTGACGAGGCTTGACCGATACGACGTATGAGCTTTCCTTTTTGCCTTTTTTTTACTTCATCACTTCGATTCTCGGTCCTCTAATTCGAACACAGACTATCCCACCAAGAAATTAGTTGAGGGCAGGCTCTTACTTTTGGCTGAGATATCGTTAGTAGTCGCAACGCTTAATTACCACTATCCATTCATAATTCTTGCTTATCACCATTGTCCGTCTGCACGGAGCAATATGATAGCTGCGAAGGCATTATTCGAGGTAAGCTCAATAATAATGGAGGAAAGGTTTCCCTTCGGGTAGTGTTTGATTAAGACACATTTCAATTTACCAATAGATCGTTAGTTCATAATAGGGCGCACATATCCTTTCTCTTGCAGTCCGAAATAACGTCTTTCATCTGTCGCTCCATATGACCAGATTTGCTCCTTCTCTTCTAGGATCAAGAGTGCCAGATGGGCCTATCACCCGATGACGCCGATGATTTCTCCTCAACTCATCCGCGTCCAATATCCTCCCCTCAGCGTCAATGGTGAACGGCCGGCCCAGCTCTAGATCCGGTTCGAACGACAATACCATCGTCGCTTCGACATCATCGTTCTCCCTTCGCTCCCACACATGCTGCTGCTGCTGCTGCTGCTGCTCATATTCGGACCACCGGTCCGCCGTTGGCGGTGAGTTTAGCGCGGGCGGCGGCCACTCCCACCCACCGCTGCCGACGCTGCCACTGTTGCTGGCCACGCTGTCACGCTCCGGAATAACAGACAGAGGCCGCGCACTCGTGAATGATGCCATGGCACTCCTCAGAAGAGATGGCGGGGGCGGTGGAGGTGGCGGGGGCGGAGGCGGAAGCGGTGGAAGAGGCTGGGATGGCGGTGAAGGTGGTGGTGAGAATGACGACGATGGAAGCTGCTGGCGATGCTCTAGAAGCTCGCGTGACGTCTCGCGGGACAGGTCGTTCAGCTCCACGTCCTCGGTAGAGTACTCGCTGCTGCAGTGATGCCGCGTGATGCTGTCGCTGCGGGCGATGGCGTCGTCGTCGTCGTCGTCGTCGCCGGAGCCGTCGTTGGCCCCGTCGAGCTTCTCCCAACACTCGGGGCCCGGCCATGCTCTGCTGCCTCCTGCACCGCTTCCGCTGATGGATGATGAATTGCGGCTGGGGAAGGAGCGGGGCTGCAGCCTGTGGACATGGTCGTCGTGAACGTCGACGGGGGCGCGGCCGTCCGGTCTGATGCCACCACTGGCTGCGCCGCTGCTTGTGCTGGTGCCGTTTTGGTTTGTAGCGCGCTTTCGGCGTCGTGCGGACGAGGAGCCAAGTGAGCCGGAGGTGAAGCTGCGGACGGTGGCGAGCCAACGCTTGAACAGCGGGCGGAGAGTTGCGAGAGACCCGGCCGTGATTCCCGCGCCGCATTCGATGCCCGACCATATAGCTATCATCGCCGCATTCCCTACAACGTCAAGGGTTAGCTTTCGGGTTCGCTCATTAGTGGATGTGTTCCAAGAGAGTGGGCGTACAGAAAAAGTCGGTTGGACTGACTAAACCTCCAATGTACTTGAGACGGATGGTGGAGCAGACGCAGCCGATGGTGCCAACAGAGAGAATGAAGAGAACAGAGAGCTTGGAATGTAGGTCCATATTGGCCTGCACCACAATCTGGATTGGGATGAGCGCATATATCCAGTCCGCCGCGGCACCCAGAGAGGCGGCCACGTATGCAAGCGCATTTTGAACGTGCCGCGGCGCACATTGGTCGTAGACGTAGCGTATCAAGTAATCCTTCGGATTGCCACAGAGGAAGATGAGGAAGAAGAAAAAGAAGATGCTTGTGAGAGCGATAAGAATCATTACGACGTACACCATGGCTCGTTGCCACGGTTTGATGACTATTCGTAGGAAGAAGATACCCAAGGACAGCTTAACCATCATAGCCGTGAGTACGTAGAATGTTTCTGAGACTATTATCCACTGGGCCGTGTTAGACGGGTTTGCACCATGAGGGCGTGGTGGACTTACGTGCATCGCGGTTCCGATAACACTGGTGTGCGTACCTCCTCCATACTGATACGCGATGACAATGATTGAAATGGCCCATACATTAAAGAAGATCTAAAGCTCACATTAGTCGGTCTCGTTGAGAATGCTAAAGCGTTCCATCGTACCAACGCAACCACCATCAGGGCATCATCCCACCCGAAGCTTTTGATTATGCAGGTCCGAACGTAGCATCGTGCACCAACAGCGAGGTAAGTGAGCACGAGGAAAACGATGCAGACAGCAAGCTCGGCAGGGGCCTTGGACTCGGTCTCCGAGAACGGATGATACGCCATCTGTGCCGTGGGTTCGGGCTGTGAGGAGGCTCAGAGTTGCTGTCGTCGCCACTCGCGCGGTTGTTCCACAAGGCGTCCTGCAGTGCTATAACGGACTCGGCATAGAGGGTGATGGCAACCGTTGAGAAGTTGTGGTACTATGGCAAGAAACTTCAGTTCAGCGTAGGGGCAGGTCAGGCAGATGGATTCCAAGTACAGAATTGGCATCGAGTAGGCGGTTGGGTAAGCAGTGAAGCAATGATCGTCGTGCAATGGAAGTGTATTGACAAGACATCGGGCCCTGGTCTTGAAGCACCCATGGGATGAACCAAACCGAGGATCGAGGGAAGAGGTCGCACGGGGCCTAAGTAGTCAGATATTAAATCTACAGAGGAGAGCAAAAAGCGAGTTGTATGATGCCGACGGAGCGAGTTTGGGCCACGGTCTCGATTGGCTCCCCTCGCTGGTGATCCACGTTGCGGCGCGGCACACAGGCTTGCCGAGTGCTTTTTCGGGGGCAGTGTCACCAGTGCTGTAGGATGCCAGAAAAGAACAGGGAAGAGAGTTAGCAAGCTGCAGGGGGCTGGGCCTCGACAGCAGGCCCGAACACGGGAAAGGTGGAGGCATGCTGCGAGATCTGTGGCTGTCTTCATCTCAAACACGTCCTGGCAGACGGCCCGTTGGACCCAAGGCGCGATTCGCATATCGTCTCACACGTCGGGTTCCTGAGCGGAGGTTGCAGGGGCACGGCGTTGGTGTATGCCCGCGTCGTCGCACCACCAGCCGCGTGCTGCGGGCAGTATTGGATGAACGCATGCGTATCGGGATCGTGCTCTTCACGTCAGTCAAGCTTGAAGATTTGGCTCTGCCGCAGCCTGTCACCGCTGGAGCTCGTTGGCGTTGCTTTTTTGGGTGCCGGGGCGGCGGGCCACACGGAATGCAGGCCGGCAGTTTGATCGCCTCCAAGACTGAGCCGAGCCGCGAAGCTGGCAGGGGCGACTCGCGAGGTGCTGCTTTGAGAAGTGGGTGCAGGCCGAGGCGGAGAGCGGGAAAGAGCGGGCTGCCGAGCCTAGGTACTTAGCGCCCGCCCGCCAAAACAAAACACCGACATGCCATCTCCAAATCGACCCAACCCCGCGGTCCTCCTGCGCTGATCCGGTCACGAGACTCCAATGCCACCCGCTACGCGTCGCCGCCACCAGCCTCAGCCTGAGCCCGAAGCGCCCCTCGATCCACCCTCCGACCTCGATGATGTAAGCCATGATGATCCTGCCAGCGGCTATATGGAGTCTGTTATGGCCGACATCTACGCGGAAGCCGAAGACGACGAAGACGAGGCCCCACCAGGTCGGTACACACCTTTGCGCTCTTTGATTTTACTTTCCTACCTTGTCGCAGATGAAAAATGACACCTCTTTTTTTCCCATTTGTTGGCTCCACCCACTTCCCTTCTGGTCTTAATACCCATGTCTTCTCCACGCGGTGCATCTGCTTTCGCCAACCGCCTCTGCCGATGCCATCCCTCACATTACGAAATCTGCCGCAGGCAAACCTAGATCCCCAGCTACAAGGGCCAGCCCAGGACATGGCCGTAAATCCAGACCAGCCTTGCAACAAAGCGAACCACTGGGCTTGAATTTCCCGGCCGTGAGACTTGCTGCTTGCTATCAAAAAAAAAAAATCAAATAGCCCTCTGACTCTCGGGACATTCTTGATATTGCTCCTGGGCTGTGGCGCTTTCATCTTGCAGCAAATTGGTGCCCAGAAGACCGGGACCACGATGCATACGGCGTCAAAGCTCACCCAAGATCTCTTTGCAGCAACCCTTGTCATTGGCGCTGCTCCTCTTCCCTGTGTTTCACGGTGATTCATCCGGCGACATGGACCGTCCGACTAACCACCCTTCCAGAATCTCCGACTGAGCCGAGCACGCCACCATTGCCACCAAACTTGAAGGAGATCTCGTCACTCGCATCATGGACTGTGTCAAGCAGTAAGCCAGGCTGCGGCGTACCCCAGCTGCGATCCTCCGCAACGTCGCTCTTCTGGCAATCGGACGGCCCTCAGCCGCACTATCTCAACATTCACTTTTTCAAGGTCGTCGAGATCGTGGCGATGCGCATCTACCTCGATTTCGACCAGGATGAGAGCTACACACCCACCAAGATCGCATTCTTAGCTGGCATGGGCGAAATGGACCTACAGGAGTGGGGCGTCATGTCCTTTGTTGAGCCGCGAGGCTGGGTGAATGTCGACTTCGAAGGTGTTGGAGCCGTCGACGGGTCCGATGATGATGTCTCGGGCTCCGAAGATGAGCTTGGCGATGATGAAGGTGAGGACGAAACGGGGCGCAGGAGAAGGAAGCTTCCGGTCCTCCGAGCGATGTTGGTCCAGGTGAAGATCCTAGAGAACCACCAGAACGGGAAGGATACGCATCTGAGGGGGTTGCAAATATTCGCCAGAGATAAGGCGTTTAAAGAAAGACGAGCCAACACTACCGGGCTATCAGCAAACACCATAGTAAAAGCCGAGGCTGCGGTAAGCAAGAAGAAGAAAAAGAAGCCCAGGGACATGCCCGAGCCAGACTTTGCCATAGCGGAGTTGAGGTAGAGATCACGCTTGCAGCGCCTGGGAATTGTACGATATGGAGGCAAAGCACCGATGTGGCCAAAATGAGGAAACCTGGATCTATTACAGGAGGACATTGCAGCCGACGGCTAGCGTGAATTTATTTTTCGCTCATACCATGGGTGGTTGATGCTATCGTCCGGACTTGAATGTATAATTATTAATTCCACATGTTCATCTAGATGATAGCTTCAACTACCCATACATATTATTTTTTTTCATTATGAGGGGAAAAGAAGTAAGGCATACTTACGCTATGTTCTCTGGCTCTGCTATTCTTCGCGCTAGCCATCGGCTACAGTGCCCCTCTGTAGGTTGCATCGGATAAGATAAATTGGCAGTGGCTGATCTATTACTGGTCTTAGAAAAAGGACGTAGGTATAATTGGCATGCGTATCACTTGGCCCCTGACAATCGAAGTTCTCTCCCTTCTGGTCAGTCAGACACAGCATGGTGCTGCTGTCTTGAACCGGCAACGACTTACGAGAGCCTTGCGGTTCACCGCCAAGAAGCACTGCCGCCACATCCCTGTCGCTGCCGCGAGAGCCGTCGTCATCCCGCGTGCCCAACCCGCTCAAACAACCAACTACAACAACATGAACAAATTCACAGAGATCGCCAAGGGCGGCTGGCACCCTGAGAAGAACAGCAAACCCTCCTACTCCCAGGAACCGGGACTCAAGGACAAAGCCGTACGTTCCCTCTCCTGCACTGCCCCACAGCGCCGTTCATGACGTACCGGCTAACTTCGGGCGCGCACTACAGAAAGGATGGGTTGGCATGGGCAATAAGGACCCTTATGCGGAGCAGCGTAACCACCAGTCACGGCCACTATCCTCCCTCAGAGATCCCGCGTCCTTCGCACCACCTCCGAAACACCAGGGCTACTATGGCGGGCAAGCCAACTCGCCGAGCGGAGCGGCCGGCCTGATCACTGCGCCTACTCCTGCAAACAGCGGCCAGGCTCAGGTCTCACATCAAAGGCAGATCGCAGCTCGGGAGGAAGAGGAAGACAGACCGCCGCCAGGTCCTTATCGTGTTAACACAACTGGGTTATCCACCGCACATCTGCCCAAACCTCCCGTGAGGCGGCCTGGGCAAGAGACACCGGAGACAGCTTCGCCCGCCAGGACGACGCCTGCGCCCCCTCCGGCACCGTCTCAGAAACCAAAGTTGCCGCCGCGCCTTCCCCCTCGACAAAACTCGCACCCGGATATCCATGCCCCGCTTCCGCCGCCAACGTACCAAGAAAGTGTTCAGAGCACCCCGGCACAGCCAAGTCAAGGTATACTCAACCAGGGAGCAATCAATAGACTAGGCCACGCTGGGGTCAACGTTTCTGGCTTTGGAATCGGTCGAACTGCTTCACCTCCTGTTCCTCCCCGCAATGGCTCCCCCGCGACCCCTCCGGTGCCTGCGCGTACTGCGTCCCCTGCCCAGCAGAACCAACTTGGCGGGCTCCAGTCACGCTTCGCAAAACTGAGCACTGGCTCTTCTCAACCAGCTGCTCCTGAAGGGGGGACCACGTTTGCGCAGAAGCAGGCTGCATTTAATACGGCCAGAAGCTTTCACAAGGACCCTACGTCTGTCTCGGTGAGCGACTTGCGCAGTGCAGCTTCAACAGCCAACAACTTCCGCGAGAGACATGGAGAGCAGGTGGCGGCGGGGTGGCAGAAGGCCAACGGGTTGAACCAGAAATACGGCGTGATGGACAGGGTCAACGGCATGGCATCTGGCAGCGCAGGCGCATCATCGGCGAGCGCGATGCTAGGCCCCGTGGGGAAGAAGCCTCCGCCTCCACCTCCGCCGAAGAAGAAGGGTTCGGCAGATAACAGTGCATCTCCACCGCCGCCTGTCCCATTGGCCAGCAAGCCCAGGCCATCTTGAACATGCTCATATTCCTAGGTATTATTTTCAGCGGAGGTCTTGATTAGACAGCCGGGGGGATTTATCGAGCGCTGTGGTGAATTCGAGGCGCAGCATGGAGAAGGGGCGCGATCATGTGCGCGTCGGAAGGGTCTGAAGGGTCAGGCACAAGCAAAGGAAATTTCGGACGATAGGCAAAGTTCGGCCGTAGATTATTGTTGAGGAGCACGACGGCAGTCTCGGCTTGCGACGCTACTGGTCCTCGTGGGCGCGGTGGCGGGCAACGAAAGAATGGACCTATCAAGGGGCGCAAAACTGCCGAGGCTTTGCAGGAGGCATCGTGAATCAGGCCCTTGGCGGTGGGTAGGCCACTCGCTTGTGCGAGGATGTGCGCAGCGAGGGGCGCACGGTGGCTGTCGCGTCTAGTCGCGCACGCGAGCACGATGGCGACCTCCAGCGCTGGCGCTGCGCTGCGAACACTGCGAGGCGGTTGGAACGGCGAGGGAGCTGAGGGAGCAAAAGCTAGGACGGCGGGAGTGCTTGTTCTTAAACCCTTGAATCTACAAATGGAAAAAACGTCGCGTTTGGCCAGCGCCGCCTGCCCGATCAGGCTCCGACCCCCGGCCTGATATTGTTGGGGCTCGGCTGGTTGGCAACGTCATGCATGCTCTGTATTTTTACACATGCGCGCGCCCGAAAGGTGCTTTTTGTATCCCAACACGCCCACCAATTGCTTCTCGAAACTCGAAGGCATTGGCTGCTCCAATACAAGTCAGCCCGTCAGCTTGCGCTGCATTCATCCCACGTCGTCCTGCTGCATGAAGGCCTGTTGAGATCAGACAAAGCGTCCAGGGCTCCCGTCGCTCCCCACCGTTCCCAGACCTTATCCCGGTTCAGATTACCTGCCACTCACGAGCACCATGTCGGGCGCTACCTTCCACGTCGAGCTACCCTCGCGCGACCTGTTCAAATTCCCCCCGGACTGGGCCCCGCCCGCGCTCGCGCCGCCGCAGCCTACTGGCACTCTCAGAGCTCCCTTTAGCATCAGCGCCGAGACGTATAATGCGCTCCTGTCCGCCAAGGTCCCCGCGACTATTGCGACCGTCTACGCGATCACTGTCACCCTGCTCAACCGCTACAACAAGAGCCGCGGCAACAAGCCGTGGGCCATCAGCAAGACCCGCATCTTCTACGCTTTCGTCATCCTCCACAATGTGTTTCTGGCCGTGTACTCGGGCGTCACCAACGTTGCCATGGCGAGGGCCCTCTACCGTCTGACTCCTGGCCTGAATGCCGGTTTGGTCGAGAATGTGGACGCATACTGCAAGATTCATGGGCCCCGCGGACTCGGAAATGCTGTTACCTTCAACAACACTAGCGAGGCCTGGGAGGTGAAGAACACCCAGATTCTGCTGGGCGCAAATGGTCAGCCTGATCCTACCGACGTTGGCAGGATGTGGAACGAGGGTCTTGCATTCTGGGGCTGGTGGTTCTACTTGTCCAAGTTCTACGAGGTGCTTGACACGGTCATCATTCTGGCGAAGGGCAAGCGCAGCTCCACTCTGCAGACCTACCACCACGCCGGCGCCATGCTCTGCATGTGGGCTGGTATCCGCTTCATGTCGGCTCCTATCTGGATGTTCGTCTTCATCAACTCGGGCATTCACGCGCTCATGGTAAGTTTTAACCCACTGAACCGTGCTGTGGAATTCGGATAATGATGTTAGTATCACGGCCAGTACACATACTACACCGTCTCCGCTCTCGGTGTCCGCGTCCCGCAGCCGATCAAGCGTACCTTGACCACCATGCAAATTGCACAATTCGTTATTGGCGCAAATTTCGCGGCTCTCCACCTCTTCGTGTCGTACACCGTTCCAGTCTCGACTCCTTACACTCTCGTCCACACTGTGACGTCTGCGGCTGCTGAGGCTGCTTCCGCTGTGTCTTCCTCTGCCACCTCTGTCGCCGCTGTTGCTGGTGCCACCGGCCTTGGCTCTGTGATCAAGAAGATGCTCCTCCGCGCAGCTGGCGAGGAGGGACTGGCAGAGAATGTGCGTGACGACTCTGGCAACATTTTCGGAGCGGAGGCCGGCAATACTGCTGCGACCCGCGAAGAGATCAAGTGGAGGGACGAGTACGTCCGGGTGCCCTGCATTGACACCACTGGCCAATCATTCGCAATTTGGTTAAACGTCATCTACCTGATGCCTCTGACGTAAGTTGCTCCCATACTGTGCAGATAAATTGTCCTAACTTGAACACAGCGCGCTCTTCGTCCGCTTCTTCATCCGTTCCTACATCAAGCGCACCAGCCAGGCCTCCAAGGTCAACGCCACTTCGAAGGCGGCCAAGGACGCGACTCACGGCATTGAGCGCGAGATGCACGCTACGAACGGTTCTGCGAATGGGAAGCCTCACCAGAATGGATCCGCTAAGCAGGAAAACGGCGGTCTCAGCACCACCAACCCCAACAAGAACGAAAAGAGCTACGCCGATATGGTCAAGCCCTAAATGACATGCTCACAAAGTCTTGTCTTCCGAGGAGTAAGGCTGTTTCGAAGCGTACCTGTAGGCTAATAAGAACGGCTCGACCGGAACGTAAGCGCCCGGGAAGCCTTTCAGAAGCTCTCGCAGCTATATCCACACCTTCCCCATTATCCACCTCCAGCTTCTTAGACTTCCTCCTCTTTGTATAGCTAGATAGCGCTCGTTGTGTGTTGATACCACTGATCGCTTTTGCTTTTTCATTTCTACGTGCTTTCCAAAGTTTTTTTTGGAAATGGTTAACCCCGTTGGTGGGGGGAAAGAACACAGAGGAGTTCATTTCGGGTTGTGTTTCAAGCGAGAATCTTTCCTTCTTATGGAACGTTAAGGGCTGGTCACTATTCGGTAGTTCTGCCGAAAGGGTGCGGGATTTGTGGCGTGAGAGAGAAGATGAGTTGGGCGAAAAGGGAGTATAGGACACCAAAAATGGGGCGGGAACGTGTAAGATCAAAAGGGAATGAAAAAGGGAAGGGGCAGAATCGTAGCTGACACGAGAGGCAAATACATTTCATTCAAAGTTCAAAAGGATGCATGACCTTTTCGATGAGGTGTTTGTTGACCGTTCGAGATTGAGACACAACAGCGATGACCCGTGCGTGCGATGTCGGACGTCCATGTACTCGTCACCTGAGAGAAAGATCCCGTGTGCTCATCTAAACTTTGATCGGTGACCGTACGAGTTACTTTCTGCTTTTCCTACATCTCTTCAAATCTGCCTCTTTTTGTGCCATGATATCATTTATTTTTGTCCAACGCTATTTTATTGTATCTCCAAAGATATGAACTGTTCCAGATCAAGTTTCTGTCAGATCTGCCCCTTGATTTGCCCATTATTACTTTCTTTTACTTTCACTTCCTGAGAAGCTGGGTCAGCTCAGCGACGACCGCATCACCCATCTCCTTGGTGCTAGCGGTGCCCTTGATGTCGGCGGTGCGGACGCCCTTGTCAAGAACATTCTTGACGGCAAGGTCGACGGCAGCGGCGAGCTCGGGCTGGCAGAGGGAGTACTTGAGCATCATGCTGACGGACAGAATGGTGGCGATGGGGTTGACAATGCCCTTGCCGGAGATGTCGGGGGCGGAACCTTGTTCAATGCATGTCAGCAACCAAAGCTAAAATACTAGTTTGGGTTAGTCGTTTGCACGTACCGTGGATGGGCTCGTAAATGCCGTTGACGGGCGTCTTGCCGTCGGGAATGGCGCCGACACTGGCGCTGGGGAGGAGGCCCAAGCTGCCGGGGATGACGCTAGCCTCATCGCTGATGATGTCGCCAAACAGATTGCTGGTGACGATGACACCGTTGAGGGCGCGGGGGTTCTTGACCATGAGCATGGCGGCCGAGTCGATGAGGTGGTGGCCGAAGGTGAGTTGAGGGAACTCCTTCTCCATGACCTCGGTGAAGACCTTGCGCCACAGGCGGCTAGTTGCCAGCACGTTGGCCTTGTCCAGACTCCAGACGGGGGCGGGAGGGTTCTCCTGCAGGGCGAGGTTGGCGGCCAGGCGGGTGACGCGCTCGATCTCCTCGCGCGAGTAGGGCTCCGTGTCGAGAGCGTGGCCGCTGCCGTCGTCCTCCTTGCGATCGCCGAAGTAGATTCCGCCAGTCAGTTCGCGGATGATGTTGAAGTTGGTGCCGCGGCACACTTCGGCCTTGAGCGGCGAGTACTCGACGAGCGACTCAGAGGCGAAGAAGCAGGGACGCAGGTTGCCGAAGGTGCCCATCTCCTTGCGGAGCTTGAGGATGCCCTGCTCGGGGCGGACCTTGCCGGTACCCCATTTCTAAATAAGACGAGTGGTATCAGATCATGGTGCTTCGTAAACGTGTGGGTGGGTGGACTAACGGGACCGCCAATGGCACCGAGCAGGACGGCATCGGCGTTCTTCGCAGCGGTCAGGGCCTCCTCGGTAAGGGGCTCGCCGGTGGCATCGATGGAGGCCTAGTACGTGTTCGCGTCAGGAGAATGCCAGTAGCCAAGGTGTGGAGGGAAGTGCGTACGCCGCCGAGAAGGTGGTGCTGGAAGTTGAACTTGACGTCGGGCCTCTCCTTCTGGATAACCTCGAGGATCTGGGAGTGTCAGCGGAAGCTCTGGATAGAGTTGGAAAGTTGGTGTCACCTTAATGCCCTCAGCGGTAACCTGTCATAGACTTGTGAGCTCGCATGATAGTGACGGTGGCAGCAAGGTGCTTACTTCGGGACCGCAGTGGTCACCTAAAGGCCAATTAGTGCATGCGCGCGCAGTCTATAGGGCGGAGACTAACCTGCAAAGACTACGATGTTGAACGACGGCATAGCGGGAGCTTGGAGGGCTGTGGGTGGTGTTGGGAGAGTCTCGAAATATTCAGTCGCGGGGTGGAGAGACGAGCGTCAAGCTCCGGTCTCGGCGGCGGGCAATGCGCGGGGCAGCCCAGCGGGCAGCACGACTCGCTTCACCCTTCATCACCCTCTTATTATTCATCGACTTCGGCTAACCCCGGTTCGCGACCTTCAATGGCCGCCTCTCCCTCTCCATCTGCCTCTCGTTTGAAGATTTTCGAAGATTTTCGCCTCCTCCGCTTCCTCCGCAATGGCTAAGCGCCAGGCTGCAAGCTGCCCCCGCTGATGTCAGAAGGCAGGGGTGCACTGGCGTTTGCCGCACCAGCCCCAAGCACCGCCGCACGTCGGCCGGTCGGCGACAGCATTGGAGCGGTTGCTGCCTGAGTGCTAGTCCATGAGACTGGTTCCACGGACTGAACCATGATCGTGGTCGCGTCGCAGCAGAGTCTCGTACCGTCCGCCCGCCCGCCCGCCCGTCTACCACAGCAGCACTGCAGCACTGCAGTGGACCAGAGTGCTGCTAAGTTAGGCATGTAAGCTGCAACACCCGCCTTGCGGCTATGGCGCAACTATTTTACGACCACCTGTCGGCAAAAAGGACGGATTCGACATAGTCGGGTCGATGCTGACGATCGTCCGGGCTGCCGTGGGGGCCGCAAATGGCTCTTTCTTGCGGCCCGCTCCCTCCAGCCTAGGGCTCGACTCACTGATGGCGTCGGCGGCTGGCGTTTGTTGCTATTTGAGCGCCGGTCGCATTGCTCACGGCACTTTGTCCGGCCTCGCCCACAGACACTGTTCGAGTGCTCGTCAGCTGCGGGGACGCCGCCGTGCAGGCCATCTTCCCATTCACCATGCCCTACTTTGGGCCCGACGCGCCTGCAGACCGGGTCTGACGCGCCGCGCGCTCACTGGTCACACCGAGTTTCGCTCAGGCAGAAGACCTGAGATGGAGCCTTTTTGGCAAGAGGTGTGGCGGAGCTCGCGAGCGGTGATGGATGTTGCGGCAGTGCAGCCGATATTGTGGCACTTCTCAGCCTCAGCAGTTGGGGGCTGCCTGGCCGCGCCTGACCGGCCAGGCACGCAATAAGCATCACCGTCTGCTGATTTAAATCGTTCCTGCCTGTGCGTTGCCGCTGGCCTTTGCTTCCCTTGTCCGCGCGAGATTGTGTTGGTTGCAGTTTTGGCCCCATCGCGCCCTCATAGGGCAGAACGTCCCCAGCGCCCGCCCTGGGCCTATCCTCTTTTCCTTCACCGCCGAGGCAAGGCCGGGTTCCTGCCTAATTCTGTGCCGCTACCCTTGAAAGTGGACTCTATCCAACATTTGGAAGACCCGGCAATGGTCCAGCCTAGGACACCAACTTCTGTCGCCGGAGGAAGGCCGAGTACATCTACCGCCATGGATATCCCACATCAGAATTCCACAATCCTCCCCTCGGATAGGCGCGCCACTGAGCTCTCCACTGCGTCCAGCGCAATGTCTTTTGGATCCATTCCTTCCGGTACCTGGGACGTCAGCTTCCACGGCAGCTGCCCCAGGTGCCACCATTGGCACAACAAGATGACTCTCAGGCTTTCCCGCCTTCCTGGCGTTTACAATGGCGTCAGATGCGAGAAATGCTCCTACAAGTGGTTTGGCCTTGGCGGCAACTCCACCCACACCTCTCTCGTCTCTCAACAGACCAGAACGTTGACCTTTGCCAGCGACCTTTCCGGCTACGCCAGCACTACCTCCCCCGGAGATGCTACAGCCGGAACTTCTGCCTTGGTTACAAGGCTACATTCCATGGGCGCCCTTGCTAGCCCCTTCATCACGAACTGCTCGGTTCCTCAGATGCCGGAAAACGACCAAGAGGGAGAGGCCAGGCCGCCGTCTCGATTTCGTGCCTACATATCTCCCTCTTCGGGGCGCGACGCTAGCTCCTTGTTATCCAAACACTCGTCCAGAAGTAGCCGGGGCAGGAGAGAGCAAGCCCAACCGCCCGAACAAGTTGATCCTGCCCCTGGCCCAGGACAAGCTCAAAGGGACACTGGGAAAGACAGCCCCAAAATCCGGGGCCTCACAACCAGGATCAAGGGGAAGTTGAAGGCCGTGCTCTTCCGTCTTCGCCAAGTGAAGGCCATAAGACGCGCGCGCCGCCGAGCCAGCTGCCACTCGGTCGAAACCAGCCGGGCTACTACCACTGAGAACAGCCGTCCACTTTCAGTCAGCACGAAGCAATCACGGCATACCAATCGTCAGGCATTGCCAAGCCAACACAATCAAACGCCAGCATTATCCCCCCAAAGCCCTGCTGAGGTGGCACCTGGACCATTGTTGCGTCGCCAAAGTGCACCCGAACCCGAACTGCAGCCCCGCAGCCTTAGATCTGACGTCCACGGCGAAGATTCCTACCAAAAGCCCTTCTCACTTGAGAAGCGGCCTAGGGATCCGGAGCGTGATGAGCATATCCAAGAGATTAGGCGAGCAAAAACGATAGCAGCGCAACGAAGCAGATGCGAGTGCCCCGTAGACTGCTACTGCAAGAGGCCGACAAGCTCCCTAATTCCGGACAACCCACTCACGGATAGGGCTTCTCTCGTGGGCCTTGATCTTGCACAGCCCCAAGGCCCATACATCTCTCGACACTCGACAGATTTAGCAGGGATAGGCAGCCACTTTCTGAGTCACTACCCCAACATCAGCGAGACTGGATTCTCGATGAGTAGCGCTGGCTCAGTCCGTGGAAGGAGTCAGAGCCGACGTGGCCGGGATCCTGTCTGGCGACGTAGCAATGCAACTTGGAGCAGTCAGACAACAACCGCTTACGCGGACAGTGATGCGGGATCCTCTACCGCCACTCGAAGTTCTTTCCCGCGCTCCGACCTACTGCATATCTCGAACCCTTTGCGAGCCCGCATCCCTTCACCATTGGCGTCACCGACGAACCCACATGGTTTCCTCGACGGTGAGGACGATCACGTCCCACGGCGATCAGAATCAGTCTCATCCGCCGATGAGGAGTTCCATTTTTCTGAGCGTAGCCCCGATGGGATCCCTTCCGTCTCTCCCATACAAGAAGCTGCTAGCGGAGGCAGCGCACGAGTCTCGACGATCTCGATGAGTAACGATTACGACCATGAAGACGAAAGTTTTAGAGTATCTGTGGATACTCACCACTCGAGCAGGAGTCAGCTTCATGGTCCTCTAAACTCACATCCGGTCATGTAGAAGCTCTTCACGATCATATCTGTACAGCGCAACCCTTTGATGATTTGATCATGTCACGCTTCGGGGTTAAGGTTCTGAATTACGAAATCACGTTTGGCATTTCTCCCCGTTTTACTTTTTCTATTTTCTAAAGGGTTCGATATGCAGGTCAGGAGTTTTTGGACTATCCATGGCTTGTACTTTGGGAGCACACGCAGAGATACCCTCTTTTCAATGTACGCACCAATCATTTCGGATGTCAGGTTTCGACTTTGGTAGACCATACGGAAAACATTTGCAGGCAATTTCCTCATCATTGAACGTGCTATTCATGACGTAATTCATGCACTTCCTGCAGCGTAGTCTTGGAGATTACGTTTCTTAAAATAATTCCCGCAGTCGTCCCTTGCAGAGGCCGAGAGGTAGAAGAGCGGAACCAGTCGAGGGAAGCGATTTCTTCAGACTGGCATTTCAATGGTGGTGAATCCTCAGGATCCTCGAATCTGCGGCTTACCTTTTTTTTTTTTTTTTCAAAAACGCTAGCCTTCGGCTACAACACCCATCTGTATGCAGTAAAATTTAGAACAGTGGGGATGCACAAGCGACAAGCGCAAGCGCGATACGTATGACCCAACCAGCATTGACTTATAAATTGCAGATGTTCACGAAGGCGTTCGAAGCTGGACTAAGAATAGACCTGCTTGATAGAAGAGGCCGCATGCTGCGGTCGACAGGGAGAGCCGAGAGTGGCATGGTATGATTGGATGTGCGGGTGATGACAAAGGATTCGTCACCAGGAAGGATCTCGAGGGAAATCTACGTCCACCGTATGAGGGCGTGCTATCTGCGCCTCTGTGCAATCTTCCGGGTGCGGTAAGACAGTAGCACAAAGAATCGTCTCATCGGTGTTCTCGCCCATTGGAGAATCGTGTTTTGTCTCTGAATAAAAAAAACATGTTCGTGTAGAATCACGGGCATAGTAAGGGAGGCTGAAGCTCATCTGATCCACTGACTTTTCCCCTTGACCTGTGAAACCCCAAGACATGATCTTCTGGCCTGTGTCAATTGTGGGTATTCAACGCCAGACAATTGCGGGCCAATCAGGTACAGGGCAATCACCTTACTTGTTCGGGGAAGGCGGGGAACGCGCTGCACGGTCGCGCGCCGTGAGACGCGACTGACTCTTGCCCGCCCGCCAGAGCACGGCCGCTAAGCCAGCCTCCCCTCGCGCTCCTCTAATCTTTAACCCCCTCCTCCACAAGCTGTCCACAGCATTCCAACTGCACACAATCTCCCCTCTCAGTGTTGCACAATCCCTTCCGCAACTTGCGCTACCGATTCCGCCGTAAAAAACCCACCGCGCCCTCAGCAAATTCCACAGACACCATCCGCTGCATCTCGGCCTCACATCATGTCGGCGCATCGCAACAAGCGGCCTTTCCAGCCGTCAATTACCTCCTACTTTGCCCGCGCCGACCGTTCCGACGCCGATGCTTCTCCCTCGCTCGCGCGCAATCAACCTCAGCACCAGGGCCTCGCCCCCGTCCCTGTCAACGTCCAGGCCTCGCTCCTGAACGTCGGCATGCGCGTGCGCAAGTCCGTCCCCGAAGGCTACAAGACACACAAGACACTTCCTCCCACCGCCACCGCAAGCGCGCTGTCACTCCATGAGCACAAGCAACAAGCGACCTTCGCTCCTGCTCCGTCGAACAGTCGCCCGACCGAGCTCCTGCCCTTTTGCGGCATCCACAAGACGGGCGGTTACGACGTCCAGCAGCCGCACCCATCCTACTCCCACCACGATGCTGGTGGTAGCGCGAACGTAGCGCACGCTGTCGACGCCCATGCGATTGCGTTCTCAGCTGAGGATTTCGGCCTCTCGAGTCAGGAGTCCAACGCCTCGACGCTCTCGACCGACTCGCTGCCCACCAACAAGCGTCGCTTCGAAGACGAAGATGATACTGCCGAGCACGAGCTTGTTTCAAACATGGGCAACAACGGCTGGGATGGCGCCAGGCCCCTCTTCCCTTCGCTGAACACTAGCCTGGCTGTGCCTGCTGGCGGCGACACGGACGACCTGCAAATCTCGCCGCGAACGGTCTATCCGGTGAGCCACACAATCATGCCCAACTTGGGTGGGTCAGTGAGGCCGCTCGCGAGGCCGAAGTCAAGGAAGAGGAACGATGGGCTCGTTGGCGGTGGTGCTGGCCGCCGGCAGGCGGTTAACGAAGATGACTTTGAAGAAGCGGATTTCTTGAGGCCTCCATCATCAGAGTCATGGGGAAACAATGCGGAGGTGGAGATGGGTGGAGTCTGATAGACAAGTTTCGCCGGGTGTTGTTAAGTCATGCTCTCGGGATGCTTCACGGCGTGAAATCATTGTATTATGACAGGCTTGGTCAGGAAAGAGCCAGTATTTTGATTGGGTCTTTGAGCGCAGCATTGGTGTTTTTTTGGCGTTTGATGACCCTGCATATTAACGGGTACAGTGGAAAAATTCTGCATGGTTCGAGACGGTACTTGGGACTTGTACGGACAGTACAGAAAGGCGGTATATCCATTGATTATGCGGGTACTCTATGCCCGCCGGAAGAGCATTATCAGGTAGCAATGAAAGAGAATGAACGGTAAACATGTAGGCTCGTGAAAGTGACACGCTCTGCCGAGTAAATGTGTATAACCTCACCAGGGGGTTGACTTGCTTCTCGTCTAGATGCCTCTCACTCTTTCTTCCCATTTCTCCTCCATGATTATCGTCCTACGCCATCTTGTAAATCTCGGTATCGAACTTGACAGGGAACAATTCTCGGCCGCCGGCATCCTTGCGCGTCCAGACGCTCAGGCTCAGCTCGCCGCAGGTGAACTCGCCGAAGCCGTCGGCGTCGATGGTGACCTCGGCGTCCCTGTCGCCGTCGCGGGCCCAGCCCAGGACGTCGGTCCACACCTGGCCCTCGGTGCCGTCGCCGACGAACATGCGGCGCGTGCCAGGCCCGGCGTTGGACATGACGACGGCGCAGCCGCCCTCGCCGCGGTCCCACGTCCCGCGGCGCACCCAGCCGACGCAAGTAACAGCGTTGTCACCACCGTCACCGCCATCGAAGTAGTCCTCACAGGCGCCGTAGGCGTAGAGCTGGCGGGCCTTGATCAGGTCGGGCAGCTTGCCGGAGCAGGCGGGCGGGGCGGGCTGGTCGAAGGGCGTGTCGGGCCCCGGGAGGAGGCCGTAGAGGTCGCCGTAGAAGGGGCAGGGGTAGCCGTCGGGCCGCAGCAGGATGAGGGCGTAGGCGAGCGGCTTGAAGAAGTCGGCGACGGGCGTCTCGACCGTCTGGCCCGGCTGCGTGTCGTGGTTGGCCACGACGGTGACGGCGTTGACGGGCTCGGCCTGGACGAGCGTGTTGTCGAAGATCTTGCGCAGGTCGAACGACTCGGTTTGGCCCGCTTGATGAAAGTTGTATAGCAGCGGCGCGTCGAACAGGGCGAACTTGTGGTTCATTTTGTCCAGCCAGGCCGTTAGGGTCGAGGTTTCGCCTACCCAGAATTCACCGACGAGGAAGATTTCGGGGCCGCATTCGGTGTGGAGCGTCTCGACCCATTCGTTGGTGAAGCGCTCTGAGAAGTGTTGGACCGCATCCAGGCGGAAGCCTTTGAGGCCCAAGGTCTTGGTGACCCAGACGCCCCAGCTGTGGTTGCGTTGGTTAATATGGTGGTTCATTTTTTTTTTAGGTAGGGGATTTATCTTACTTCTTCACATCAGTAATGACCTCAGGATGGGAGTAGTCAAGGTCGGCAAACATCATATAGTCTGGGTAAGTTGGTTAGCATCGTCTCGGCTTGAAGTGAGAGGGGAAACTGACCCGCATTTCCCTGCTCCTTGTCAACACTGCTACTCCAACCCTTCCCCTCGCCCTGAATCTTGTAGATCGCCTGCTTTTCGTTCGCGGCATTGTAATCCGTCCCGGTAAAGTGCTCCCAACGGTACTTTTGCGCCGAATATTTATCCCCGCGTCCAGGGAAGTCGAAGCCCAGCCAACCCTCAATCTCATATGGTTCGCTGATCTCCTTTGTCCGATCATTTGGGTCAACCTCAATGGCCATGCATTTCTCTTTCTGATCGGCCCCCGCCTTGTGGTTTAGCACTGCATCCCAGTACAGGCCGATACCGACTTCGGATGCCTTAGCAGACAGCTCCTTCAGCTCGTCAAAGCTGCCCCATTTGGTGCGCGTGCTGCCCTTTTGATCGAATTCACCCAGATCCCAGAGATCATAGATGTCGTAGCCATTACCCTCCGGGGACGAGGCTGGCAAGAAAGACAAGGACGGTTAGTCTCATCCAGATGTAGAAACTGGGCGATCCTGAAGTTACCTTTGCAAGCCGGGGGGATCCAGATGTTCGATATGCCAATCTGCTTGAGCGAAGGCAGTGCAGCAGTCAATCTCTTCCAATGCTTCCCATCTGCAGGGACGTTCCATTCGAACGCCTGAAATAAAACGCTGTTCTCAGGCGTGGGCTTGCGCTCTTCGTCTGTTGATCCCGTCAGAGCATGTCTTCTCATGAAGGGGAAAAAATACCTTTGTTGTCCCCCATGCTTTTGTTCTGATGAGATACTTTGCTTCTACAGACCGACAAAGTGGAGGATCGCAAGGAAATCAATCAGGAGGTGAAAGACGCGCCATATGTAGGCGTAGTTTGAAGCCTGCTTTGGAAATATTTCTAGCTGCAGAGGTTACGTAGTTGTAACGTCGGCCAGGTTCAACAAGCATCCAAAGCTTGCTCCGGCCCTGTAGGATCCTAGCAGTGACTTGCAGAGAACTGCCCCACCTAGAACGCCCGCATATTCACATGTGGGGCGAACCTGTTCGTCGACAGACCACGCGTCGATAAGAACTGCCCATGGGAACGCCATTGACGTGGGGGCAGCCTAGCGAATGGCCTCGGCCCTGGCCTAGCGTAACTATGCCCCAGCTCTGCCTCAGGAAAATAACATACGTATGTAGCTGAAGCTATCGTCCGGATGTGTATGTAGAATTTTTAATTCGACATTCTCGTCCGGACGATAGCTTCAACTACCCATGACATGAGCAAAAAAAAAAAAAAGGAAGAAAGAAACAAATCCACGCCAGCCTTCGGCTGCAATACCCTTCTGTCGCATCGGGGGCGATTCCGTTGCCCTTCATCCGAAAAGGTCCCTGGACGGTGATTCTCCACAATAGCATCTCACAAACAAGCGGACAGACGAGCCAGAATTGCGTCAGAACTCTTTCCCATCTAATACCCTAGCTAATTAATGAAGCGGGCTATGTTACAGTTCCGAGTCTTTATCCTCTTCCGGCCCGGACACGTCTAATCTATAACACGACGGCCCCTCTTCCAAGGCTAGTCAAGACGAGAGAACGATCCGGAAAATGCTCATAAAACAGCCAGCGCAAACGACAAAAAAAAATAGCATGTTTTGCCGCCGTCCGGTTTCACCCAGGCGACGGACTCTATTCCTCCACTTTCCGCATCTTCTCCATCTAATCCCTTTTCTCTACAATATTATCCCCCGTTTATTTGCTGGGACTGATCTCAACTCCACCAACGGCACCGAGCGCCTTCTTGATATCGCCATAGATGGCGAACTGACCAGCAGTAAGAGTACCACTAAGGCTTGGTTAGCGTATGTAGTAAGTAGGACGAACAAGGGGTACGTACACCATGAACAGACGAGCACCAATACCGGCGTACGAGCCGCGGAGGCCGAGCTCCTTGGCAATCTTGATCAGACGGGAGGTGGTACCCTCACCAGGGGCGCCCTTGGTCTTGTTGATCTTGGAGAGCATGGTGTCGGCGGGCTGGGAGACGATGGCGGCAGCGAAACCAGCAATCAGACCGGAGCCAAGGTTGACGGCAGTCTGAGCGGGGTTGGACAGGGTGCTCTTGTCAACGCGCTGGTAGATGGCCTCGGAGACCTTCTCGTAGACGACGAACTTGGCCATGGTGTAAGGAACCCTATAAATATCTTAGCGGGCGTCCTTGTGGAAAAATGGGGTCTGGTGAAATACGTACTGCTTGAAGAGAATGGGACCGAAACCAGAGTAGAAAGCGCCAACACCCTCGCTCTTCAGGATCTTGGTGAAACCGCCGATAAGACCGTTAGCGAAGGAGGGGTCAGAGACGAGACGGATACGGGTAGCCTCAAGAGGGCAGAGAGCGATATCGGCGAAGAACTCGGCGGCGGCGGACGAAGCGAGGTAGACAGCGGTACGGTTGTTGGCAGCGGTCTCGTAGCCGAGAGCGTTGATGGACTGCTGCTTGAAGAACTCGTAACCACCGAACTTGAAGGCACCCTGGAGGAAGTAACCAGCGAAGGTAGGGCCGACACCGGTCCAGACAGCGCCGAAGCCCTTCTCGCCAATGATCTGCTTGAAGCCGCCGATGAGACCGCGGTTGTACTTGATGGGGTCAAGCTGGATCGAGGTCTTGACGCTGTACAGATAGAGCGGTCAGCACCGGGCACGCGGAAGAGGGCGTCTGGAAAGGCAGCGGCGCGCAACGAGGCGGCGCGGGCACGCAGCAATGCCATCAGACGGGGCGAGAGGAGGCAACTTACACATCGACGGGGGTCAGGGCACCGTGGGTGACGGAGCAGCAGACAGCGCCGGCGAAGGCGAAGCGGGAGTACAGCTGGAGGCCGCTGAGCTGGCCGGGCTTAGCAGCCTCGGCCTTCGCCTTGATCTCGTCAATCTTAGAGGCCATTGTGAGAGTCGCGACGGAGGAGGGAGCGACGACGCGGTGGAGTGGAGATGGGGAAGTGGACGGGGAGAGAGAATCGAAGACTTGTCGACGTTTCTTTAGGGATGCCGCTCAAAGCTTTCCGCTGCGCCAGGGTCAAAGCGTCGGCCTGGCGGCAAAACTCGCCCAGATTCCCGGATAAACCCGAGGGCCAGCGCGGCGAAAGATTGTGGCCGGTCAGCTGCCTGCGGACGGGGGCGGCAGGCGGCTGCGAGTTTTGCCGCGACGCGCAGATAGGTCGGTCTAAACCCCGTTCCGTACGTTGGGACCCTCCCCTGCCACCTGCCTCAAACCCGCTCGACATCATCGCCCGGAGAGCCTCTTGCACCGCTGCTGTTGCCGTTTCTGAACCATTGCGGCTGTCAGGAAGCACAACTTTAGGAGGGCAGCCGCGCAGAGCATGGTGCAAAACTTTTTCCGCGCTGACGTGCTTCCGACCTGCCATCCGGATTCGACGCGCCTTTGCCGACGCGCCCAGGAGATCCGCCGCCTTACGTCATGCCGGCCCGCGGTGCGGATGAGATCGGACCGCCCAGCCCCCATTCCAAGCTTTGCTGTTCTCATGCACCTTGGTCGCTCGAGAAACCGCTCTGCCGGTGACTAACAGAGAATCGCTAATTGGAGCTCAACGAATCCGCTTATCATTGCAATTGCTCGGAGGCTTTTATGTTTATCTAGATGCTCGGACCCTTTTACCGTACATTTACGTCCACGGAAGCGCTTCTACTCCTGCGTCTCCTGGTTACGCTAACAACTACAGAGCGGTATTGCAGCCGAAGGCTAGCGTGAAGGCTAGCAGGATTCTCAGCTGAATTTCTTTTTTCTTTTTTCAAAAAAGAAAAAGTCATATGGATAGTTGAAGTTATTGTCCGGATGTGAATTTGTGACTTTTAATTCGACATTCACATCCGGACAACCGGACAGTAGCTTCAACTACCCGTCACATGAGCGAAAAATTAAATTCACACTAGCCTTCAGCTACGATACCTCTGTACGCTGCCACGACCTCGTTTCAGGATTTGGACGACGTCCGTTGCGAGAACCACCAGCTACTGAAACATTCTTTAGCAGTTCTACATGCTACCTGTTACTGGAAGTCCAACGCCAACCGCGCATCCTTTAAGGCGCTTATCGTGTCCACGGTCGCCACGATCATCTTTTCGAGGTCCTCTTCAATATTTTCCACGAACCTCCTGGTCGAGTTCACCACTGCTCTTGCCGCCTCCAACTCGGTTTTACCTTCAAACATATAATCCAGAGCCTTTGGGTGTTGAAGACGACGTCGCATCTCCTCGTCACGAGCACTTTCGTCCTTGACGTCTGTCGCCATTAGCCTGCGCACTCGCGTATGGACCCTCAGCATGCTCTCTTCGGATAGATCCAGCAAAGATTCAGTCGTCTCTGTCTGGTTCTCAAGCACGTCGAGGCGGCTGTTAGCAGCTTCCGCGAGACTTTCTGTTCTACACGTAGCCTCCGAGACCAGGGCCTGAACCGTGTCCGTGCGAGCATTGAGCTCAGCCTTCTGTATGTCATGAAAGGCTTGCAAATCCAGCAGGTCCTGGATTTTGTTTGTGTAGTCAAACCCCGACAATTTCTTCCAGTCTTCCAATGTCATCACCTTGCACTCTTGCCACATCTTCTTATTTGCCGCCCGTTCAATCTTGTGGTTCTTAGCCCGTATCATTTCCCACTCCGCTTCACTCCAAAGCTGGCCGCTCATGATCCTACGGTGCTGCTCTTTGGCATCATCTTCCTTTTGCCTTTGCAACTCTTGACCAGCGGTAGTTTCGAGCTTCCGTATCCACCGATCGCTCAAACTCGCTAGCAGCCATCTTTTGTCGTCTTCCTCGGCCATGCCGCCGGATGCAGGTTGATCTGTTGCCTTTACTGTATGATTGTACTGCACGAGGTCTGCAAGCAAAGTCCTGTACTGGATAATTCGGCACTCCCCTGGAGACAATCCTTCAGCAGTTGCGCTCTCCAGTCTTGGTTGCAACTCGCGCTTTGTCCACCGTTCTCCAGGCTTGGGAATTCTCTGCTTGAGTACTTCGGCTAAGCTGGACCTAGGCGGGTCCTTGAAGCTGTCCACGATGTGCCCAAGTTCAGGCATCCTCGCGGCTACGGACGCTGATTCTGAATTCTGTGCAAAGTTATCGTGGGTTTGGTGAGCTGCGTTATTGCGGACGTTAATGTATTTATCGCCTTCGGCTTTGTCAAGATGCTAAGAAATTGCACCACGTGGCCTTCTATGACCGCTGCATGTGCTGCCGTCGTGTCATAAGCGCGGATGCGTAGCTAAAAGCGGAGACCACGTGGAGACAGGCTTGACAGGTACTTGGAGAATGCGGGGTCTTTTGGGCATGGACCGCCAGTTACATGACTTCGTGACGTACATCACCCGCTTAGTTGCGGATCCTCCCGCATAGCGCAGATCGGGTCAGCCCTTGCCTATTCAAGATGATTCATCATCCCACAAGAGGTGTAGCTTCCAGATCTCAGATCTCGTCGAATTCGCAATGATGATATCACAAGCGCGAAGCTGGCTCCTTTCAATGACGCACCTGCACATGCTACCAAGCATATAAACTCTACTACATACTCGGCCGTCTCTACACATAACCATCAGCTCCGGTCAAACAACGCTACATTTTACCATTTGACATTCCAATTCGCAAATATGTCCGGCTATTCCAAGAACCAATTTGACGGCGACCAAAGCGCCAGGACTATGGAGGCTGGCGCCTCTGCGTACGCTTCTCCAAAACATCAGTCATTTAAAGTCCGCAAATGCTGATCCCAAATCTCCAGCGCCCACAAGAACATCGATCTCAATGAGGGTATCCATGAAGAGTCTCAGATCAGAAGCGTAAGTCTTCACATCTCGTCACATAGAGAGTCCCATTACTGATTTGAAACAACCAAAAAGGAGCCTGTGGGTGCCAAGACGTCTGGAGCTGGTACTTCGATGTTCAGCTCAGAGGGCTCCATTGGGAAGCAGTTTACAAGTAGGTACTCCGTTATAATATTCGACAGTGTCCAATTGCTGCATCTAGCAAAATCCCGCGGCTGACTGTTCATCAACAATAACAGCTCAAGGAGCCATTGGTGGCACTGCACAGAAACTTGGAGGTCCTTTCGATGCGCAGGGCGCCATTGGAAAGCAATTTACGGATAAAGGATCGATTGGCGGTACGGTGCAGGAGCACTTGGGCAAGGGCGAGTCCAACAGCATCAGGAAGTAAATTGTTCGTCTGGGATGATTATGAGAAATGTATTATCATGACATGAATGCGAATTGCTTCTTCAGAATAGCATGTCAAATGCACTGTGCAAATATTACTTAATGGGGGTGCGCTCGTGTGGTTGTTTCAGCCCACCGTAATCTCTAATAATTTCTGCGTTTCCGCGCGTCTGGCCCGCCCGTACCTCCGCGGCGCGGCGCGTCACCCAAAGCTGGTTCCACTTTCACTTTCTTATTCACGACTTTACCACTTCCGCACCTCCACCTGTTCCCACCACTAGATCTGTCAACCAATTCAACATGGCAGACGATACCCTCCTCGCTCTCCAAGACTCCGACTACAACTCCGCCTCGGACGAAGAATTCGATCCCACCACCGCCGAAGAGGCCGCCGCCGACGATGCCTCCATCTCAAGTTCCGATGATGAGGGCGAGGCCAAGAAAAGTGCGAAGCCCGCAAAGAAGAGCGGTAAGCGTAAGCGCGGCGCGGGCGACGATGATGACGAGCTCGACTCGGGTGACGAGGCCACCATCGCGGCCGCACGGCGGCGGCATCAGCAGCAGCGTGCCGGCAACAAGAAGCAGCGCCAGGAGGCGGAGGGCGATGACGACGTAGAGCTGCTGAGCGACGATGGTGGCGAAGGAGGTCTGGTCAAGACGCGCGCGCAGCGGCGGGCGGAGAAGAAGGAGAGGAGGCCACTGGCGCGCGTGGACGGCGCGACCGCGGATGTAGATGCGATCTGGGCGGCGTTGAGCACGGCTCCGGTGGGGAAGACAAATGATGAGGAGGCGAAGGGGGACGAGGGAATGAGAGACGAAGAAGCAGGAAAAGGGCAGGAGAAAGCCCAGGATGCTATGCGCTCGGAAGAGGTCGAAGAGGAGATGATTATGATCAAGCGGACGTACGACTTTGCCGGCGACCGCATAACAGAAGAACGCCAAGTGCCTAAGTCTTCGGCGGAAGCGAAGCTATACCTCGCCCAGCAGCAAGAGAAGCTGGATAAGCAATTATCTTCTAGCAAAAAGGCGACAGAGTCCTCCGCAACGCCCGACACGGACGGAAAAGACATCACGGAAGGAGAAGGAGAGCAGGAGACGGACAAGCCTGCCGTACGTCGACCACTTCACCGCCCCTCACGTTTCGATCCGAACCCCACTGCCGAAGTAAAAGGACTGTCACCGGAGAAACAGCTGACCTGGGCGCGTCGTCGCGCGCTCCTTGATCCCACTGCTACCACGGTCCTCCCTGCATTTACCACTGCAGGCGCTCAAGATACGAATGCGGCAGCCGCTGCAGCCAAGAAGAGCAGAGAGAAGGCACAGAAGCTCAATACGGTGGATAAGAGTAGGCTTGATTGGGCAGGCTATGTCGATAAAGAGGGCATTGCGGACGAGCTGGACGAGTACGGACGCGCTAAGGAGGGCTACCTTGGTCGTATGGATTTCTTGAACCGGGTGGACGAAAGAAGGGAGGAGGAGAGGCGGGCTGCGAAGGCCGCATTGAGGACCTAGAGTGGACCATGATCACGATACCCAGTGTTTTTTTTTCTGCACTATTACTGAATTGCGCATTGCAACAGACGATACAACAATCGCGTAGGAAAGTTTCTGATACCTCTTAAGTCTAGAAACGAACATCCTTTTCCAAGTTGATAAAGCTATTTCCTGTGTAGCCGAAATTCTTGTTAAACCCTCGCGAGCATCATCAGAACGAAGACTGATTACTTCGATCTACCTTGCTCCAAATGCTGCAAGAGCCCAGACAACCCTAATTGGGCATTTTTATCATCCTTGATCCGTCGAGTGCTGCGTGCTCAGCCACTCATGATCGTATCCACTGTTGTATCTCCCTCCCCTTCCTTGCCGCTGTCGTAGTCCAGATCGTAGATCTTGTAATGCTTGAGATCATCGCCCAGAACGCATACGACGCGTCTATCCTTGCGGCCATTGACATCGATCTTGATCGGCGTGAAGCGCTCGCTCGAGGGGAACACGTGTTTCACAAATGGTGCCCAGCAATCAGGCGTGTCCAAGTCCCAAATTTGGCGGGAATCGTCTGGTAAAGGCATGCCATCAGGCAGAGAATAAGCGCTAGCGGGCTGGAACATAGGCTCCGATGAGTGATGAAGGGTACTGGGGGTCTGCTCGGTAGCGTAGGAGGAATATGGGAGGGAAAGGAGATAAGAGGAGTCTGGTTTGTGTCAGCAGAGTTTGGAACGACCGGATTTGCGGGGGCTGACCATCTCTACGAAGGAGGACCATGAAGGTGTTGTCGTCGACGAATTTGACATCCTTGATTTCGCAGCCACGGAACTGGATGGTAACAGCTTGCATGGAGCGGACAGAATGCTCAATATCATTGAATATGTCGCAATGGACAATGCGATGGAGCCGTACTAAAGATGATTAGCTCAAGTAGTTATCAGAAAAACCATTCACCTTACCCTCACTCTTAGCATGTTGAGGAACAAGAACCAAATAGGTCGAGATATCAGAGGTATCCTCTAATTTCTATGAAGATGTCAGCGATACTCGGTGTTATCGAGTAAACATTGCACATACCTCGAAGACCATCCTCACATCTCTGGCTTCAGAAAGAGCTCCATTTTCCAATACCACGCCACAATCCATGGTGCTATTTTTTGCTTGCCAAGCCGTCATCTGTGCGAAAAGCTCTCGGCATTGTGACTGTAAAATCTCTTGAAGAGTCCAAGCACACAAACTTCCATTTGGGATCGACCCATCTTGACGATGGGTGCTCATGTTCAGCTTTACGTGCTCATATGCCAAAAGTTCGGGTCTGGGGTCGACTATATCCGCTTGGCGTCTCAAGAAAGGTGCGAGCTTGCTCTTGGTCAGAGCACCAGGAATGTAGGCAAGCAGCAGGCCATGATCAAGACCAGGATCTCTGTCTGCTGCCTCTTCTGCAGACTGTGAAGAGGGATCGGTTGCCTGCGTGTCGATCTCGTAACGGAGCCATTTAGAGAATGCGGTGAACTGACGCCGCTCTTCTCCAGCGTAGATCAATACATTGTGTGCAAGAAGACGAAGACAGCGAAGGGTATCGAGGATATTGCTAAGTTCCTCTGGGGGGACATTGATGATTTTACTAGACCCCGTGTAGCGAGCAAGACCACGAAGCATGCTCACCACAATGCTTGTTCGGTCGAGAGCAGGTATGATATTTTCGTGGGTTATTTCTAATACCTTGGTGTAGCCCTGGCTAGCAGCTTGATCCCATCTTTTGTGACCCTACTAAAGTGTTAGCAATTGGTACCAAAAATTGCGAACGTTTTTTTACATGCATTTTCTGCCAGCTCATCAACCAACCACTCCTTGATAGTGGGAGGACAGTGTCCCGTTACAGCCAGATGGTAAAGGTTTGAGATGAGGTCGCCCTCTCCCTTTTCCTCCAGTGTCTCGCTGATGTTCCGCATAAACCTCGAAGGCAGGTCCCGGGCATTATGGAAGTATGCGATGATGGTTCGAAGGCATGATTGCAGATACTGCAGGAGGTTTTGTAGTTGAGCAGTTTTGGATGCGATGAGGTGGAGGTATATTCCGTTCGAGGGGATGAATCGAAGCGTGAGAGGAACGAGGGCGACTCGTGGCTGCTCCCATGATTCGCTTTTCATTTCTATGAGTGATAGATGGCTGCAGGAATATGGATGCGAGGCGTGAAGGAGTGGCGTCTGATTGATTAAAGACCATTCAGAAGGTATCCGCATGCCGCCAATCTCCAAGGAATCATATATGGTAGGGCTAACAGCTCCGTTGTCGCAACCTATGAGTAGTACATCTACAGCATTACTGTCCCGCATGTGCTGTGAATGGAATATTGCGTCAATGGACTGCTGAGAGCTGAACGCGTCCGTCGACTTCGCCTTTGCCATCATTTGGAAGGGATTTGCCGGCGGAGCTGGGATGAGCGGAAGCTTTGGAAGAGCGTCTTGCACATCTATCAGCGCGATCTGGTCAGGAAGGTCCGGCGAAATTCCCAACTTGGCCAAATCTGGTTGCCGTTCGAGGAAATCGTCGAGCGTAACCTCTTCTTTCTTTTGGTCCCAATCCTCGGTCGTATCAAGCAGCATGCCGCTAGGAGCCCAGGCCCCAGTGCGCTCTTTCACAGCGGCAACATCGATGAAGTTGACACCCCATGCGAGTGAAGAGATGCGTGGCGTAGACTCGTCATCAGCAGCGAAGCTCGCAGCCTCGCGACGAACCTGTTTGACTGTCTTTCCTGTTTCGGACGAAACAATGTCGACGGAGCCATCGTCCCACGCGATGGCAATATGCTGGCCTGAATGGGTTGTGTGTCAGCGCCTGGGGGGATCACGTGCTGAGCAATATCCCGCCCAGCTAGGAGGAAAAAGGTCTATACCATTGAATTTCCAGCATATCGAATCGACCTTGCTCTCGAAGGTCTTGCGCTTGAGGCCAAATGCCCGTTGGCCGTTCAATCTGTAGACGTCCAGTGTCTCTTCTTGGGTGATCACGGCGACCAAGTCCATCGTCGGGCAGTAAGATATGAGGCGCGGGTGAACAGGCTGCGGCAGGGCCTTCTCGGCCTGCAGCATCAGCGATGGCGCCTCCGAGGGCTCCATTGTGAGCTGTAGGCCGTGAGGCGAGTTTGGTGGTGGGAGTTGCGAAAAGAAGTCACCATGGACGGCGCGGAGGAAAGCCGAGAAGTCGCGTCGCTTGCCCGGAAAACGCGTCGCTCGCACCTGCACCGAGCTGTGTTATGCGCTCACCTAGCACTGCGGACTCAACCAACTTCACGCATCATGGCTGCTACGTCACAACGCACGAGCTGCACAGATCTCGGATTAAATGAGGTTCAAATTACGGAGGCTCAACTTTTCAGTAGCTCCACTCTGGATTTTTCACTGTCGATCCACGACACCAGATCATCTATCAGAAAACTAAACCAGCTTTGTTTCCCCACAAAAAGCGTCCGTGGACCTGATCTAGACCCACGCCCTCGCCCCGGACTCCCGCCCTTCGTGACTGCAAGCATGCACACATCAATCATTAAACGACCTCGTAGTTCTCTGCAACCGACTTGATGTCCTTGGAGAAGGAGATGTCCTGGTTCTCGTTCAGCAGGGTGACAGTCGAGACCTATCTAAGAGTCAGCCGGCGAGTCATATTGATCAAGTTGTACGATGGACTTACGTCGATTTCCACGAATGGCTTCGATTTGGCGAAGTGTACCCTCATGGGGAAGAACTCAGCATCGCTGTCGGCTTGGGCCTCAAATTCGAAGCTTCCAGTTGAGTTATCAGCGTCCACCGTGCCGATGTTCCATTCCAGACTATCTCCCGAAACCTCGTATACTGCGTCGAAACTCGACACCGACGGCTCGCTTGTGCTATACGGGATCGTCACGGTGACATCCTTCAGCGTGTCCCCACCGGTCAATTCATACTCGATGGTAACGCTCCACGTGTTGTTTTCCGCTTCGCTGACCCACACCGTGAAGTTGATCGGCGGGTCATCGATCTCGCCGGGCTTCGCAGCCAACCTCCACTTCAGAACACCAACCGCCATATTCACAGGGAAGCCTTTGGATGCGTCCGCCAATTGAATGATCTTGTCGTTCCGGAACGAGGGCTTGTCGACCTTAGGATGCGCGGAGAGCTGGGCTCCGCGGGTGTTACCCATGTCAAGGTCCAACCTGACCTGGGTAAGCGCTGAGTCGCTAATGCGCAACTGCAGATCGCCCTTGATTTCGAAGTGCTCAAGCGACCCTTCTTTGCTGAGCCTAGCGGTAATGGTCTCGGCAAGAGTGATGTGGACGCTCTCACGGTCACCTGAAAGAGATGCGCGCGCAGGCGCCGAGGGAGCGGTAGCAGGCGTGGGAGTGCTGGAAACCAAAGGCGCCGACGCTTCGGCATCCGCGCCCAGATCGGCGCGAACAGCGTCGAACATATTGGTGGTCTTCGACTTCTTGCCCAGCTGCATGCCCTTGCCTCTGACCGCCATAGGCTTCTTGGTCTCGTTCTTGGCCGCATTGTAGCTGTCGTAGGTATCGGGCACGGTGGTGGGGACGCTGGGCGTATAGGTGGGGTACGAGGGAGTACGAGGGACACCACCAGCACGACCTGTACGGGACATCTCCTTGCGCTGCATCTCCAGTTGCTTGGCCTTCCGCTTGCGCTCCTCGCTGGCCTCGAGCTCCTTGTTGCGAGCAATAATCTCCTGGATCCGCTCCTCGTGAGACTCCATGTCCAAGAAAGTCTTGATCTGGCTCAATGTCAGGTTCTCCCTGTATCCGAGGGTGACGAGCTCGTCGAAGGCGCTGAGCAGCTCGAAGGCATTGCGCAGGATCTCGCGCTCGTCGAGGCTCTTGCATATGCTGGACACAACCTGGGCAAACAGGTGGAGCGAGTCGATGTCCTGGAGAATATTGGACTGGCGGTTCGTGATCAAGACCATGTAGAGCTCGTCAAGGGGTTGGTAGACGTAGCGGACGTTGTCCTGCTCGACGGTGGTGTGTTGGGTTCCCGAGTCGGCGAGCTTGGGGAAAGAAGCCAGAAGAGCCTCAATGCGGGAGCGCTGCATCTCACGGAACTGGCGCGAGAGAACGGCCTTGCCGCCGCGCGTGCATATCGATGCTGCTAGGACAACCTAGGAGGAGAGCGTCAGGTAAGGCCTGGACGTGAGAATGGGACAATCTTTACCATGATGACACAAGGGAAGCTCCGCAAAGCAGAGAAGTACTAGGCGGGGGTATTGCTTGCGGCCGCGGGGGTTCAAGAAGGAATCGTAGTTTGGACCGCGCCTTCAACACCTGGCTTCTTGTGGTGTTCCTCCGAGCCCGGGTCGCCAAGGAAGGAGCGCCCGTGCGCGCTTACTCAGGCATGCGCACCGCGTTCGCCCACTCATTTCCCTTGTTGCCTCCAGCTCTTTCGCCAACGCGCCCCCGCAAGCTCCTTGCCTCACTTGCGATCCTCCAGGCTACCACCACTGCCTCACCCATCACACACGCTGCTGGGCGGTGTTTCGCAGTTAAACGCCCGCTCGCGTCACTTCCGGACCTTTCGCCAGTCACGATCCGCTCGGAGCGCGCCTATGTTCGCCGCGTCCTCTCCACTTCCCCTACTAATTCACAGCACCGCAACCCTACAACTGTCTTGAACCAAGACTACACCGAAGCACCTCTTCCACACACGAGCCCCACCCGCCCGTACTCTTTGTGAGGCCGGTCGGTCATGGCCATGACTACCACCAACCAAACCCTTCCGGGTCTCCAAGTGACCGCACCTGATGAGGACATGGAGATCTCAGACTACGAGCGAAACGCCGACGATATCGACATCGACATCGATCTTACTGTCGATCCTAGTCATCATGAAGACGAGAACATGGATGACGATCGCTCTGAACACGACAATAGAGACGATGTCATGCTCGATGGCGATGGAAACGACGATGAGGACGGTATGATGCAAGACAACATGTCTGTCCCTGACGAGCACCTGACCGATGCGAGTGACGTTGGTTACGTCGATATCGAGGTCAAAGAGGCGCCGCAGGAGCAATCTGCCGCAGAACACGTTGATGTAGAAGTGCAAGATAGTGGCCAGGCCGAGGATTTCATCGACTACGATGACACTGCCACCGCGCAGGTTCAGCCAGCACCGCAGGCTGAACAACCGCCTGCCGATCATTCTGTCGCAGAACAAAGCCAACTTCCTGGTAGCGAGGAGCCTGGTAATCAGGAAACCAATGTCCAAGCACAAAATCCCGAAGCCTCTACTTTCCCTGAACCTTCGGCTCCGGATCGAGCTTCTGTCTCAGCTGAAGCTGCAGTCGATGAGACTACTTTGGTGAATCCTCGTATCGAAGACTCGGTTGCAATCCCAAGTGGTGCTGCTCAAGATACCGAAGAGTCACATGCTTCCGGCGAACCCGTTGACGCGCACCCGGAAACTACCCCTGCCGAGCCGACGCCTGATTCTCCAACTGCCACTGTGCCTCAAGATGGAACTCATCTTCCTACAGAAATATCAGAAAAGCAAAGCCAGGCAAAGGAGAGCCCTCACGATGGCCACGAGGAAAGAGTCGAAACTGGCCCAGATTTCGCTGAGCAGCAGACAGAGCCCGAGCAATCGGCTCAACAATCTGAAGAAGCTCTTGATTTCTCGCACCTACCCTTCGATCCCAAAGCCGAAGCAGGGGATCAATCCCCTCATACTGCATCCTCCCTGCATCCCGTTGTAGTTGTGTATCAGGGAGATGAGATTTCCCTTTTCCCTCCTCATGGTAGTGATACCTCCGATAGCTTCTATTTTCTCCATGATGAGTCCTTGGTGAACGAGAGTATTCGTTCCCTTCTCCAGGCCTGCAGGCAAGTTCTGGGTGAGACAATGCGAGACGAGGATGAGTTGGAGATCGATATTGCGGAACTTGGGCTTTGCGTGAGTGAAGTAAGTTATTCTTCTTCGCATGAGACACTTCTGAGACAAACGCTGACGTTTTCAGGATTCTGATAATGCTGCCAATACCAGCTTCGCCCAAGTCCTCGACGTTTATCTTCAACTCCACCAACTTGACGGACATCAAAGCCCTGGCCCTCTTTACATGACACTAAATACTAAGACTAGGTTTTCAGCGCGTTTGGATGCCTTGCTTGCGGCCATTGCCGATGGCAGGGGCATGTCACAACTGTCGTTCCTTGAGGATGTTACGGAAGAAGATGCGTACGCCGGATCCGATGACGCACCAGAAGAGCAGAGGTCGTTGAAGCAGGCTGATGATCGATATGAAGAGCATGCCGATAACTCTGTTCCGGAGCATGCGTCCGAGCCCGGAGGGCTTGAACACGAGGGCTCCCACGGAGAAGTGCATACGACGGGTGAACGAGCACCCGAGCCTGGCTCGACCGATGTCGAACAATCCCGGACTCAGGCAGAGGATGTCTTGGGTGTGGCATCCCAAGAGCAATGGTCCACCTTGCAACAAAACCAAGACTCAGTATCGACTCATCAACACGAGCCTCAAGGCTATGTGTCACCAGCGCCTGAGGACTTGCCCGAATACGAATCGTCAGATGAAGGAAACGACCCAGGAGCACAAGAGAAGGAGGATAGCCTTGAAAAAGGCGCAAAGGCAGATGCCTCTGAGCCTGATCACTCACGCGAAAATGATCAGATTAACTATGATGATGGTGAATACGCAGAGGAAGCTAGGGACGATGCGTCTCTCCGCTCTTCCACCCTGCAGGGCGATCATACTCCGGCGGCTGTCGACGAGGGTGTATCCCAGCGTGAAAATAACGCTGGCGCTACATTGGCAGGCGTTGATGATGCGCTACACAACGAACCCCACGGCGAAAACGGAGAAGATGTCCCTGCGATACGGCAAGACGAAACCTCGAACCGTAATGGCTCCGATACGCAGTTCGTCGAATCTACTGTCGCCGTGGAAGAGAATCAGGAGTTTGAGCAGTCCGATGGCCAGGGCGGGCTAGAGAATGCAGAGGAAACTCTGGAGCAGGAATTGGAGCGCGAGCTCAATGACCAATCTGGATCATTCGATTTACAAGAGGGCGCCCAGGGAATGCCTGGTGAGGAGCACTACCCGACAAACTATGAAGAAGGCGAAGAGTACGGATTTGAACAGGATGAAAATACCCAAGAGACACAAGATGGCGAGGGATCATACGAGGAGTTTGTCGTCGTTGAAGCAGAAGATGTTCACGAAAGCTTGGGTGCGCCCAACGGTGGCCAAGCTGCTGACGATCAGAGATGGTCTCATGGCGATGGGTTCGATGACGCCGAGGCCGAGCAGACTGCGGAGAATAATCCGGATGAGACTCATTCAGGGCTTGAACAAGGCTTGGAAGACGATCATGCTGGACAAGCTCAACCAAAGGCTCACGCATCGGATGAAGATGAACTGGACACGATTGATTACGATGACGAGGAGCTTTCGCGGCCCGCGTCAGCGCAGCAAGATGAGGCTGCGGTTCCGTCCCCATCTTCCGCCAAGCGGGGCTGGGAAGAGCTTGGACAGGACGATGATGACCAGGCCGACGAGCAAGGTGTGTGGAACAGGTGTCCCATTTCGTGGCGTCAGACTAACAACGGTCCAGCGCCAAAGAAAGTCAAGTCCGAATGATCTCACAGTCGACCGTTGCCAAGGCTGAGAACCGCTCCGCCCCGGAGCGCTATTTTCCCTTGTGAAAGCCGACACGGATCCCCAATTTCTCACTCATCGTTCACAGCATGATGTCGCAACATAACCCTCCACAGCATCTCACTTACCTTACAGCGGTGACTGAAACACCGCATCGACACCTCGGAACGGAAGGCGACAATGACCGAGCGCGCTTGGGCCAGCTATCTACGCCTGCTCACACGATACGATACGGATCTAAATGTAGCAGTATTACGGATGGCCATCGGATCCCAATGACGACGAATTCTCGGCAACTACTTTTTTCGGAATAGCAGGTAATGGACTAACTTCTAGGGTCGAACCAAGCAGTAAGTGTTGAGGCTCTCTACTAACCCACCCACACCCTCGAAATTTTTTTTTCGGTCGTGCTCTTCTTTTCAGCAGCTTTTTCTACTTCTTTCAAATTTCCGCATCTCACACGAGGTTCGCGTGGCTACGGCGCCCGAGCTTTTTAGGAAGGATTCTGGCGGGGGAGGCGTTGTGGCGCAGGTTTTACGGGCGGAGGGTTATATAGCAGAGGGCTCAGGCTGGCAGATACCCTGGATTAGGGGCGTCATTTCCTGTTAGGGCGCGATTGTAAGATTGAACGATGGCCAAAAAGGGGAGGGGAGGCGGATCGGGCGCGGAGTTCATAGCAACAGTCTGTTCTGCATCTCAGCAATGTGCACAGCCTTCCGCGAAAATCACCCAGGACGTGATTAGCGCGAGTAATCATTGGCGCGTTTCGTGTCGGCCTGTGAGGAACGCGTGGCCACTCCACAAGGACCTGAAACCAGGGCGGACAAGAATAGATTTGCGGACACCCCAGTCGCGGCCGGCCAGGCTTGGGCCTGGAGCGGCGCGGCGGAAGGCAGCTGCAACGCTTGCATCTGAGCCAGGCCTTAGGTAAAACTCGTGACGGGCGTCTCCTGACGACTGCATATCGGGCGTGCGTGGCCGCACAGTGCTCAGGCTGTCGCAGAGTCGCCTTTTGTCTGTCGCTTCCACTTCCTCGCAGGGCCCCATTTGCCGCTCGCTCCTTGCGCATCACGTCGCACCTCCAGGCACGCCGGCCACACAGACCACATACGCAACGCCGTCCGTTTCCAGCATCTGCGCGCCAGCCTCATTACTGTCACGGTTGCCCGGCCTTGCCCCAGCCCACCAGACTTGCTCGGTACCGACTCCCAACAACCACCGTTCACAACCAGCTGCCCTGCATCCCACTCGGCCAGCTGGCTCCATTGTGCACTGCCGCCCACACCACACTGACGACCGAGGCGCCGCGACGATCACGGGCTCCGCGGACCATCCACCACGCGCCGCCTCTTCCCAGCCGCCGCATCGGCTCTGAGAGCACCCAGCCAGGTCGCAGGACCTGACACGCCGTCGCCATGATCGAGGACAAGTGCGTCGCCCACTCTACGCCATGCCTTGCGCAAGTCGCAGCGCAGCGCTGAAGGCAGCAGTGCGCTTCGCCAGCGCCGCGCTGCCGCAGCGGAGACAAGTCTGCTGACTGGGTATTTTTGCTTGCAGATACATCGGCCTTATGTTGGCCGTTTCTTCGTCATTAGCAATTGGTAGGCAGCCTGCGCCCGTATATCCCCTCTGCAGGTCGAGGCTAATCAAGGAGTCCAGGCACGAGCTTCGTCCTCACGAAAAAGGTACGTTGCGCAACCACATTTTTCCCTGCGAACGCCCTCTTCTCGACGTCGCGACGACCGTACATACCAGACAGAGGCTGACGACACGGCGGAAAGGGCTTGAATCAAGCAGGAGAGCAGCATGGCTTCGACGGAGAGGGCTTTGCCTATCTCCGGAGCTCCACATGGTGGGGAGGCATCATTACAAGTGAGAACATCTACACCTGCTGGCAGGGCCCGGTACTGACCAAAGAAGTGGTCCTTGGCGAAATCGCGAACTTTGCTGCCTATGCCTTTGCGCCCGCTATATTGGTGACGCCGCTGGGTGCACTCAGTGTACTGATTGGGTAAGCCTGGGCAGAACATGCTTGAAAGATGGCTTCGGCTTATAACTCTCCACAGCGCCGTTTTGGGAGTCTATTTTCTCAATGAGAAGCTCGGCATTCTGGGCAAGATTGGGTGCGCTACCTGCCTTATTGGATCCGTCATAATCGTACTCCATGCTCCCCCGGACAAGGAAGTGCAGACCGTCGATGAGATTCTGCACTTCGCCATCCAGCCTGGTAAGAATACAAAGAGGTAGTATGTATGGGCCCACGTTTATCTGACTCAATCTGCACAGGTTTCATGTTCTACTGCATACTGGTCATGGGCTTCTCCATCTTCATGATTTATAAGGTCGCGCCCAAATATGGACGCAAGAACCCGCTGATCTACCTTTCGATCTGTTCGACGGTTGGCTCGCTCTCAGTCATGGCGGTCAAGGCTTTCGGTATTGCTTTGAAGCTCACGTTTGCGGGCAAGAACCAGTTCACACATCCCAGCACATACGCTTTTGCGATCGTTGTGGTTGTGTGTGTTCTAACCCAGATGAACTATTTCAACAAGGCACTCAGCCAGTTCTCCACGAACATGTACGTCTTGCATGAGTTGACATGTCTAGTCCAACGCGTCCTGGAACGCAGCCACTTACTGACTTGCGCTTTCATCATAGTGTGAATCCATTATATTACGTTACTTTTACGACCTTCACGCTCGTTGCCTCGTTTATTCTTTTCCGCGGCTTCAACACAACGGAGGCGGTCAACACCATCTCCCTCATATGCGGCTTCTTGGTCATTTTTTCGGGCGTCTACCTCCTCAACCTCTCGAGAACCGATCCCGACGGCACTTCTGCCCTGGCAAACTCCTTCGGCGATGCAGTTCCCACGGATGGCATTGCAACGTTCCAGACACGTCGGTCAATGCAGTCAAGGCGCAGCGATGATTCGGGCTTTGCGGGTCGGGGAAGCCTCGGCGACCGTGAACGCCTTATGCGGTCATATGATCACCGGGATTTTGATCTGGAGGATGGTCAGGCGTTCGGGCTCGGCGATCTCGCCGACGATAGCGACGAGGATGACGGCAGCGGCCGGAAGAGGACGAGTTTCGAAGACCCGAGGCTAGGAAGCGCCAGAAATTCCCGATCCGGACGTTCCACGCCATCAGGAAGCGGCAGGAGAGGTACTCCCGTACAACTCGAGAAAGGCTCAGTAAGGCCAAGCAAAAAGAGCATGGATCGGTGAATAGAGTTCTCATGAGGATTGAGAAATGCCTCGTTCTCCATTAACATTATCTCGATATCCCTCCACCATATGTCCCGGGCTGTCGCCTCTGCTAGCTCGCGTGACATTCTTGGGTAGTAGGGGAAGGTGGTCGGCGTTGCGTGTATCAGTTTTTGTATTCAAATTCTTCACATCATCGATTTCCAACAAGGGAGCACTCGCTCCCGATGGACTGGGCCCTTTCTTTTTTTTTTTCACGTTCAACGAAATTACCAACGAGGTCAATGTTTCCATGCCTTATTGATTGAGGCATTTCCATGACCTCGTATACTTTTTTTTTCCCCGGCCAAGGTCATCTTTTCTCACTTGTACTTCTTCTACCGAGATCACCGTTTTCACCCTATATGTAGACTCCCCCTTCGTCTCTTTTCTTTTTCCTTTCCCGTGTTTTGCTGCATCGTGTGGTCCAGGACGGATCCGGCCAATTGGGTGGATAAAGTTGATTCGCCGCAAACGATTTCCGGTTTGGTACAAAAATGAGCACGCTTAGAGGCGTCGCCAGAGGCTTAGCAAGCAGTCTACCGCAAGGGCAAGCTGCCTGCACGTTCCATCTTTCGGCTCGTCCATCCATCCTCGTCCGACCAGCGAAACTCCACAGAGGACTGCCTGCCGGTCATGGGATTGACGGGTGGTTGTTGGATTGTTTAGACTCAGCATTCATCTTCGGCCGGTTTTATGGGATTTGTGTATTAGAAGGGGTGGGCATCAAGCATGGAGAGAACCAAGCAAGAAAGAGTCACGGGGATAACGGGAACAGAGCGCTGTCATTGATCAGGACGGAAATGGCACAAGAACTGGATTTATGTGCTTCCTTCGGCAGGTTCGAGGGCTCGCACAAGAGATACAGTAAAAGAATGGAAAAAAGTTTTAAAGAAAACGCAGTTGGATGTTATTTCGGTAACATGGCTTGTCGTGATGTTAACGACATCTGTCCCCTCGCACCACGCCAGTGGATCTCGGCCTGTGCTGCGCTTCTACAGAGGGGTATTGCAGCCGAAGGCTAGCGCGAAGAATAGCAGGGGGTGACCACGGGCCCCCAGCATAGGTGGGGTTTCACGACATTCGTGAAGAATTATTCGACTCGTGTGGGCAGTTGGCGCTATCGTTCGGACGTAAATGTGGAATTAGCAATTACACATTTACGTCCGGACGATAGCGCCAACTGCCCACAGCATGAGCGAAAAAGAATTAACGTTAGCCTTCGGCAGCAATAGCATTCTGTACAGTCTCCCTTCTGCCTCCTACTGTCTCCTGTTGAGCGGTAAGACTAAGAGAGCACACGCCATTTGTCGGCGCTCCTATCCGGACCCCTCTTAAATCCTCCTGTGAATATCCTTGGCACTGCTGGAATCCGTCGATAACACACATGGTGCTCGGGCCCGTCTCCACCACGCCTCAACCCTCGTCTGGCACCTCTGTACCCACAACCTCCACCCCGGGCCGGCCCCTGACAACCAGCCTTACCCCTGTTCCCGAATGTGCACAGACGAAGTAAGGCGATTATTAGCGACACTATCACTCATGTTCCCGTGGCTTTGGAAGCATTCGGCGCTACTTGAACGCTTGGACAAAGTCGATGTTGTTGCACGGTTAGGTGGATAAGATGCACGGGGCGGTACATTAAGGAAAAACATAGAGCGGCTTAATTTGGCGACATAAAGAGCTTTTGGAATTAATGTCAGGTACGATCGTACCTGGATCCCAAGGACCTGGCTCGCAACAGACGCACGTTCGACGACGCGTTTCAGCGCTGGGGGGTGGATCCACTTCTTCTGATACGTCGCCGCTGTTACGGAACAGAGATGCTGTAGCCAATCCGAGCCGTCGCGAATAGGGCAGGGGTACTTGGCGGTTTGAACGTGAAGCTGCTGGCGGAGGCGGTCAGCTGAGGTTGTCGCATGGCTGGTTCACTGAGTACCGCAGCAGTCGAGATTGCGGAGCTCCACCCGAAGCGTTGACTCTGGGTGTGAATTCGCTGAGGATGTCTGTACGCTGGCTTTGACTACGTTGGCATACTACTGCAGCAAACCCACTGCATTCCTTGAGCTGCCAGCGTCAGTGTGCAAGTTGGCTGGCTTGGTTGGTGTTTTACACTTGTAGGTACATCGCGCAGCATAATCTCCTTAGCGTCTAGATATAGTATTGTATTTCGTGACTGCGATATTTGCCTAGATGACTAGACCAGGCTAGGAATATAATTGATAGTGTTGTTGTTGGTATTGGTGTTGAAAACCAAGCTGTGCACAGGCGGGCAGATTTCTACGGATATTAAGCAAACACGAGCTCTGATTATAGCTGACCGCCTTAGCAAGCTCATGAGTCGTAGAAGCTCGACAGTATTTCGCGAAGTGATCCATGGCACGTGGAAGATAAGATGCGATGCAGCTCGGAGGCCAGAGCTCCAGACCCCTGCAGCCATGACGTCGACGTGAGGTTCCGCGTGTTGTGCCCCGCGTGGCCGGCATGGACCGAACCTGGCACACTCCCAGCATGTCTCACAACCGCCCTGCCCCTCGAGCTTCCGCGTGGCATGCTCGTTCTCCTCGACATCCTCAGACCCCACCATGGCTACCCTAAAGATCCACGGCGGCAGCGCCTTTCTGAACTGGCGAGCTACCACTCCGCGCCTATATGTGACGGCTGAGAGCGACGACTTCGACGACCTCACCCTGCAGGCATGGCGTGATGAAGGCTTCGAGGTGAATTACCTGCCGTTTGGTGACGGCGGTAAGCAGTATGTCAAGACGCTGCATTCACTCAAAGATAGTCTTGGTGTAGGCGGCACCTATGCTATAGTAGGTATATCTCCAGACTCCCCCGGCGTCTTGTCCAGTCGCCTAGCTAAGCTCTACTCTTGCAGCCTTCGGTGACGCCGCCTCCGTCTGCCTCGAGACGTTTATTCGCCAAGACCTGAAGCTCAGCGCTCTCGTCGCCTACTATCCCTCGTCAATCCCCGACCCTCAGACGCAGTTCATGCCCTCGTTACGCGTCATGGTCCACCTTGCCGGAACCCAAATCGGCGTGAACAAGAACACGGAAATATTGGGTCTTCAAGGCAAGAGAAGGACCATCACCAAGAAGATAACGCCTGGAATCGGCACCGGCGGCATGCAAAAGCTGAAGTACCCGTGTTTTACCTACCAAGGCGTCGAGCCTGGGTTTGCCGAACACGACCTGGAAGAGTACGACAAGGTCGCCGACGCCGTTGCATGGAGCCGCTCTCTTGACACCGTCCGACGAGGCTTCTCTGCCGAGCTGGACATCGAAACTGTCTGGGAAGAGAACGAGGAGCGTGAGTCAATATCCTATCCACAAGCAGACAAGAGCTCACGTGAATAGACAAATTCCGCACGCCCAACACAGAGAAGCTTCTCAACACCATGACCGACCTCCACACGCCTCACGTCACCTACACGCCGACCATGACCGGCGCCAAGGGCAAAGAGGACCTCGCCCGCTTCTACGACGAATACTTCCTGCCGTCAATCAGTCCACGCGCGAATCCGCCCACCGGCTTGAAAACGCGCCTGATTTCCCGGACCATCGGCGTCGACCGCATCGTCGACGAGTTGCTCGTCAGCTTCAAGCACGCCCAGCCCATGCCGTGGATCCTGCCTGGCATACCGCCCACTGGACTGCCTGTCGAAATTGTGCTGGTCAACATCGTGGCGCTGCGCGGTGGGAAGCTGTTCAGCGAGCACGTCTACTGGGACCAGGCGGCCGTGCTGGTCCAGGTGGGGCTTCTGGACATTGAGGACGTACCGGAGAAGTGGCAGCAGAAGGGTGTGAAGGAGCTGCCAGTTGTTGGGGAGGAGAGCGCGAGAAAAGTGGTGGATGAGGATAGGGAGCCCTGGAATGAGCTGATTGCGGATTGGTAATGCTGCATTTTCACTCTGTCTGGTTGTGGATGACTTCACGTAGATACTCCATACGTTCATGTTTAATGAAGTGTGTTTTGGTAGTCTTCTGCTGCTGCTGCTTTGATCTGCCTACGGGTTCCCTACCCAACCTATCTGCTAGCTGGACTTGCGTCTTTTTTTTTTTTTTACCAATTACTATTTGGATCCCTTCCTTTAGGCACGAAGTGTCGGTTTAGATTGTACCAGCAGCCTGCCTCTCTGATGAGGCTTTGCCTTCACATGATGGCGCATCCGAGACCACCGCTCGAAATGGGTCCAGAGCTGCCGCCGCCTCCAGTACCGCTCTGCGTCTCGCCAATGCCATCTAGCTGCGGGATACCGAAAGCAGGGTAACGCTTCTGCTGCTGCTGCTGCTGCTGCTGACCAGTATCGCCGCTGCTGCTATCGCCTTCCTCCGTCTTCTTCGAGTTCAAGGCATTCCAGCCACTGCCGCCGCCGCCGTTGGTGTTGTTGCTGCTAGATGCCCTGGCGGGCCACTCGAGTCCGGGTTCAGCGAAGCCGGGCATGTTGTCCTGATCTTGCCCTGGTTCCGGGTTTGCCGCTACTCCTGAGGTGCTGCTGCTTTGCTGGCAGTCGTCGGCAGAATTGTTGCTGCTCGCGGCATTCGGGAAGACGGTGGTGGTGGTGTCGGTGGCAATCTCGGGGATCGCGGCGCCGACGTAGAGGTCGCGGAGGCAGGGGATGCAGAGGGAGGCGTGGACGGTGACGTTGGAGTCGTCGTCCTCCTCCTCAGGTTCGTAATAGCCACCGGCTAGAGGGTGCTTTCCGAATGCGGTGCCGGGGCCACGGTAGTCGGGCTTGTAGTTGCTACTGCTGCTGCTAATGCCGTTGCTGGTGGAGGTGGCGAAGGAGGATGTCTTGTGAGCCGAGCGGATGAAGACCGGGATGAAATCGTCGTCGGTGACCTGGATGCCTGGCGTGATGAGGAGGCCACCTCCGTCGGGGCGAGTCAGAGCTGAAGGGTTGACGGACTCGAGGCTGAGATAGGCGGTGCCAGCAGTGGTGATGGAGCGCGAGGGAAGCGGGCAGCGTGGGTGTGCGCAGACGATAGAAGGGCGGAAGCGGGGAGAGTGACGCGAGTCGCGGAGGATGAAGAGTGAGGCTGCTATGGGATTAGTCAGTTCATTCTTTGCCTTTGTACCTCTCAACAGGTATTGTTGGGGTTGACTTGCCCTCCAGGCTATAGATGATCTTCCTGATGGTAGCGTTGACGAGGAGGTGCGTCTGCCAGGCGTCGCTGACGGGCAGTGACTGGTTCAAAGCCTCGGTGGTCTGTACGATGGCGGCATGTTCGCGGCGCTTGAGGATGATACGCCAGATTCTGGCTTGGGTGTCGAAGATGTTGTCAGGTTGCGCAACTTCGCCGCTGTCTCGACTGGAGCTGTCCTGGTTGTCTTCGTCAGTGTCGTCATCGTCCTCAACACTGTCGGCTTCGGTCTCAGCTTCGGTAGAGCCATCGTCTTCCTGCAAGCCTTTAGCTTTGGCTTCGGGTCGGTATTTAACCTTTTTGATGAGGAACTGGCTGACGTAGTTGTCAATTTGCTCGTCGTTGCTCTGTACACCTTCAAGAGGGCCGTTGTAGGAGATCGGATGGCTCGAGAGGAAATAAACCTCGTCGACGCCATTGCTTGTGTCTACGATGGCGTTGCCATCGGGTCCGATTTCGATGTCGGGTGACAGGGACGGGTAGCGCGGTGATGGGTCAAGGAAGCGGTCGAGCGCGCTGCGGCGCTTTCTGTCCGTCATCGTGGCTGTTCGGTGAGGTGGGTGGAGCGGGGGAGAGAAGGTGTGAACGGTACGAGTAGAATATTTGAAGGAGGCTTACTCCATGCTTGGTGAGGATCACCCACGTCAGCCCAAGTGAAGTGAAAGTGGGAGTGAAAGTGAAAGTGAAAGATTAGGTGTCGAGTGTGAGGCACGTTGACAATGAAGTGAGACTTTTACGAGACCTGCTCTAATCTAGAATATGCCAGCCAAAGGACATGATTTTCACAGCATTTGCGAGAAATTATTCGACTTGTGTGGGTGTTTGAAGCTATCATCCGGACGAAAATGTCGAATTAACAACTCTACATTCACGTCCGGACGATGGCTTCAGCCACCCATATATGCTGTTTTTTATGACAAAAAAAAAGGGAGAGAGAAACGAAACAAATATCTTGTATCGTGGGTAGTTGAAGCTATCGTCTGGATGAAAATGTCTAATTGATAATTGTACATTCTTGTCCGGACGATAGCTTCAACTGCATACATAAGTCGACTAATTCCTCACAAGTGTCGGTAAAAAAAAATATACTTGTCTTCTGGAGGGCGTAGTTTCCCCCTGTTCCAAGGCCCTGCTATTCTTCAAATAAGCCTTCGGCTGCAATACCACTCTGCAATATGATGGCGCATTAGTCAGCCTCACTCTCGCAGCATAGATCCGTTACAGCTTAGTAAAAAGCGGTGTGATAGAAGCAAAAGCAGCAGAGTGGTATAGAGATCAGAAACAAAGAGAGCGTGGTCTATAAATGTGCGGACTACTCCGATTCATACGAATTTCCCGATTAGGCAAATCCTCGCAAAGTGTCAGAGGTCATGCGCAGATCCAGACCCTCAACCGAGGCATCGATCGTCAGTGGCAGAGATGCGAGTTCGCAGGATTGCAGATCTCTGGTGTGCGCTGTGCTACGTAGCATGGTTGCGAAAGGCGGTGAGGGATGCGGAAGGCACAGGCTGGGCGAGAGACGAGCAGCGAGATGCCGCAGCGGCCTGTTGCACGGCACGGCACGGCAGCGGCAGCGAGGAATAATGACGAGAGAAGTTGCCCTGGTGGGCCTGGCGCGGTTGGGTGCGGATGGGAAAGGCGCCAGTGTCAGACGAGGGTCTCCAGACCGTCCAAGGGTCCAGCGCACGCCGGGTCCGATCACTCCCCGAAGTCTACTTGGTCGTTGTTTTTCATTTCCGACGCGCTCCGTCGCCACCAGTTCTCAGGAGAAATAAACACCAGTCCAGGCCAAATAAAAGCCTTCTAGACGCGTCTTTCGCGTTCTTCCCCCCTGCGCTTCCCCGTGGTTGCTCCCTTTGCCCTCCGCAAAGATCTCCGACGACTTCGCGATCCTCCGCAGCGCACCACCCACCATGCCTGGCCGCACCCTCCCGACCATCACCCAGGCCGAAGTCCAGGCCCATAACTCGGCTGAGTCGTGCTATGTCACCATCGGCTCCAAGGTCTTCGACATCACCTCCTTCGTCGAGGACCACCCCGGCGGCGGCGACCTGATCCTCGAATACGGCGGCAAGGATATAACGGACATACTGGCGGATGAGGTCTCGCACACACATTCGGATTCGGCCTACGAGATCCTCGACGAGCACCTGGTTGGCTTCGTCGCCAACGAGAAGGTGCTGGATGCTGCCACCAAGAGCAACCATCCCGACGGCATTGTGCCGCTGCCGCCTACCAAGGAAGGGCTGCAGGAGTTGAACGCCAATGGCGGCTCCAAGTACGTCTTCGCTGCTACCGGAATGTCGTCGGCCGAAGACTTGAGCAAGGAGACGGACTTCAACTCCGATTACAAGCAGCACAAGTTCTTGGATCTCAGCAAGCCGCTTCTTCCACAGGTCTGGTTTGGCGGTTTCTCCAAGGAATTCTATTTGGAGCAGGTCCACCGGCCAAGGCACTACAAGGGCGGGAAATCAGCTCCGTTGTTTGGCAACTTCCTCGAGCCTTTGAGCCTGACGGCGTGGTGGGTCGTTCCCACGGTTTGGCTCCCTCCTGTCTCGTACGGAGTCTACGTGGCTAGCCAGCAACTACCTTTCACTCAGCTTGGCTCGTACTTCGTCGGGGGACTCTTCATCTGGACCCTGGTCGAGTACATTCTGCACCGCTTCCTCTTCCATCTGGATGGGTACGCTCCCTTTCTCCGTGCTGGTGACCACGACTGACAATTGGCAGTTATCTTCCCGACAACCGCGTCGGCATCACGCTTCACTTCCTCCTTCACGGCATCCACCACTACTTGCCCATGGACAAGTACCGGCTCGTGATGCCTCCGACCCTCTTTTTGGTCCTTGCGAGCCCCTTCTGGAAGCTGGCTCACGCCGTCTTCTTCTACAACTGGTATGCCGCAACTGCCGTGTACTGCGGCGGCATCTTCGGCTACATTTGCTATGACCTGACCCACTACTTCCTGCACCACCGCAAGTGAGTATGCCCCGTAAATCAGCCGATCGCATTAGCTAATGCCCCGTCAGCCTTCCCGCCTACTACCGCGAGCTCAAGAAGTATCACTTGGAGCACCACTTCGCCGACTACCAGAACGGCTTCGGCGTCACCAGCAAGTTTTGGGACCGTGTGTTCAACACGGAGCTGGCGCTGCCGCCGCCCAAGGTTGTCAAGACTGCCTAGAGTGCTTGGATATGCTTCGAGCTGTACATGTAGTTGCTGTACTGTACTTGTAATGACGATGCTTGCGGAGGACTTGGGAGCGGGCGGCCTGCATGTCTTATGATTACGTCCTTATGCCGCACAACCCTTATACATACAGATAATCTTAATTGCGCCCCTGGGCAACCTGTGGCATGATGCATGTGGTAGGTGCAGGCGATCGCTGCAGGATCGGCCGGGGGGAGGCAGCCGCGACGCGGACGGCAACCCGGGGGCACGTGACGCGATCGCTTCGACCAAAGTTTAACCTGTCCCGGCGTCTCGCCAGCCACCCATCCTCTCCCTCCACCGCCCTCCTCGGCAGCACAATCCTTGCCTGACGCGATTGTGCTTCAGACTGCGCCCTTCTGTCCCGGCCTTGCCCATATACAGCAGCTTCTGCGCAGAATTGCCGCCACAGCACCCACCACCAGCTAGTCACAGTTACAGGGTGTGTCCGCCTCGCGCCTCGACACCCCCGATCCGACGTCGCGTGCTAATCCACGCCCCTCCAGTGATCTTCCTCACTCCGCACGTTTAGCTTGACAGCGTTCCAACTCCGCCATGTCAGGTTTAGACGTTGAGGCTCTCCTCGACTCTACAGCCAACGCCAGCGCGGCGGAGTCTAGGGACACGCCCCGCTCCACTGACAACGATGACCGCCTCAAGAACGAGAGAAGCGAGCGCCGCGAGCGCGACCGTGCCAGAGACGGGTCCCGCGAACGTGATCGCAAGCGCCGTGACCGCAGCCGCGATCGCCCCCGTCGCGACCTGGATGACGATGTTGAGATGCGGAGCCCGAGAAGCGACAGGGGCAGCGCCACCGGCAGCCTGAGGAGCAGGCGCCGCAGCAGAAGCCGCGACTCTGACAGACGCCACCGTCGTGCCCGAGACTCGATTGACCGTGACGACAGCTACCGCTCCGGCGGCGACTACTACCGTGGCAGCGGCCGTGCCCGCTCGAGATCCCGTTCGCCCTACCCCGACGATGATAGGCACTACCGTCCCTCTGGACGCTCCGGCCGCCGCGATGACGACCGTGAACGCGACCGCGACCGTGAACGTGAACGTGACCGTGGTCGCGACCGTGAAAGGGACCGTGGCTACGCTGGTGCCCGCGGTGGACGCCGCCGCTCCCCTTCAGCCAAGCGCTCCTCCAGCCCGCCCCTGACCGAGGATGAACGTGACCGTCGTACTGTTTTCGTCCAGCAGCTTGCAGCTCGTTTGAGGACCAAGGATCTAATTGCTTTCTTCGAGAAGGTTGGCCCCGTCAAGGAGGCGCAGATCGTGAAGGATCGTGTCAGTGGCCGCTCCAAGGGGTACGTTCAATGCTCAATCGTCTCTACGCGTTCTTGCTAATGTGGCCTCGCAGAGTCGGATACGTCGAGTTCAAGAACGAGGAGTCTGTCCCGCAAGCCATTCAGCTCACCGGCCAGAAACTAATGGGTATTCCCATCATCGCCCAGCTCACGGAAGCTGAGAAGAACCGTCAAGCCCGCACTGGAGATGGAAACAGTGGCAACAACAATGGCGTACCCTTCCACAGGTTGTATGTCGGCAACATTCACTTCAGTATCACTGAGAGCGACTTGCAGAATGTGTTTGAGCCCTTCGGAGAGTTGGAATTCGTGCAACTGCAGAAGGAGGACACCGGTCGTAGCCGTGGCTATGGCTTCGTGCAGTAAGTCGACTGAGACAGAGGATCTCAAGGGCATAACTAACTAAGATAGGTTCCGCGATCCCGCTCAGGCTAAGGAAGCTCTTGAGAAGATGAACGGTTTCGACTTGGCTGGACGTCCCATCCGTGTTGGCTTGGGCAACGATAAGTTCACTCCCGAGTCTACCGCCAATCTTCTTCAGCGCTTCAACGGCCAAGGCCAACCCAATTTCCAGGGTTCTGCTTTCTCGGGCTCTGGTGGCCGTGGCGCTCATGCCGGAGGTTCCGGTGGCACTTTCGACCGTGCTGGAGGCCGTGACAACGACAAGGGTGCCGGTGGCGCCAGCGCGCTTGACGATACTGATGTTGCGGGCGTAAACTTCAACAACTACAGCAGGGATGCCCTCATGAGGAAGCTTGCGCGTACTGACGAACCTGCTGATACCAATGGTGCCGACAAACAGAAGATTATCAAGCCCGCCGTGCAGGCGGCTCGCCCTCTCCCGGTCACCGTCAACCAGGCTAGCCGCTGCGTCGTGCTGAAGAACATGTTCGATCCCGAAGAGTAAGCTTGCCGCCCCTTAGTGTAGATTGAAAAGCTAATTCATTGTTAGGGAAGAGGGAGAGTCCTGGATGAGGGAGCTCGAGGATGACGTCAAAGAGGAGTGCCAGAACAAGTATGGCACGGTCGTTCACATTGCTCTAGATCCAAACACCCAAGGCGACATCTACGTCAAGTTCGAAACCGTCCAGGGCGGCGAGAATGCCATCAAGGGCCTCAACGGCAGGTTCTTCGGCGGACGCCAGATCACAGCTCAGCCCGTCGTCGATGCCGTTTACCGTAGCCTTTTCTCCAAGGCAGTCTAAGGCAACACAACCGGAACACTTTTGGTGTCGGGCTATGGTATATATGGGAGTTCGGTGGGTATGTGTCTTTCCTGGATAGCGGCTTCCCTGGGTTCGTGTCAATAGCATTTCCTCACGGTTTGCGCCGCTGCCAAAGCACAGCGCAATCTGAGGTTAAGATACTGGTTCACATGCATTCCATGCCGTACTGTGCTCTAATATGGTTATCACTTCAACAGGCGCTTCGCCCCGCACACTGAGCCGTTTACTACTCCGCCCCTCTGAGAAGCATGCCCGCCACTCCGCAGCCTTCTGCGACGTTAGCGTTCATGGCCTGACTTGAACGTCGCTCGAAACGCCCAATTCTACCGACTGTCGTGGGAATAGAGATCCCCTGCCTCTGCTGACTCGCTAGCAGATGACGTCATCTTTAGTGCTCAATCGGAAAATCCTCACGCCCTCCCTTCTATGCCATCACCTTCTTCACCCTCAACCCCCCTGTCTTATACTTTGCTTATTGATGCGTCTCAGGTCTACACCTTCGCATTTCATCCTTGGAGTACTGCATTTATGCACTCCGGCCTTGATTAGTTCGTTTAACTTGCACAAAAAGTCATAGATATATGCAGTTTGTAATATAAAAAAGTTTCAATGTAAACCGAATTAACTCTTCCTGCTTTCTGAGGCATCAATTACTCGACTGTGTTACCGGCGTTAGCATATGAGATTAAGCTTAGAAAGAAGGATTAATGCTTGGATTGAATACATTTATTTCGGCTTCTTCAAATGTGACTCCCCCGCATCAAGTCGCCTGGTGATATTAAACAGCGTTTTCGCGCTGCTATTAGCGTACCTACGCTTACGCTACTAGTAGTACTTACGCTTGTCGTGGGTAGTAATGGCGCGGATGGTAATGGTAATAGTGGTGAATATGTTGGTGGCGCGATGGTGGTGGCGAATGCATTGTTGGTTAGTAATTTTGTAGTGGTAACTTAAGAGTTAAAGTTGCTTAGCAAGTTAATAGTACTCTTAGATAGGGTTTAGAATCTCTGTAATTCAGACGTGAAAAGATAGGTAAGTGGGTTCTCGAGGGGGAGTCAAATCTGTGGGCGCCTTTACTTCAACCTGACGAAGTATCTGGGAAATTCTACAATATTCGCCTCTCTTCGTTTGCTATTTGCTGTTTGTTAGCTACTGACGTGTATATATTCTGCGCTGCCCCACAGATAGCTTATGGATCATTCTGCGCATTCGTTACGGGAAGAGCGTGGATTTGTTTTTGCTCATATCACGGGTAGTTGGAGCCATCGTCCGGACGTAAATGTATAATTGTTAATTCGACACTTTCATCCGGGCGATAGCTTCACCTACCCATGACATGGAACATTTTTCTATTTGTTAATAAAAAAAACGCCGGGGCAGGCATTGAAACACGGGCGACACGGTGAAGTGTCCATGTTCCAACGACAGCATGTAGACTCTGATTTCTTATGCCAATTTTCACCCAGCCCGCCCTACCTCACTTCGCCTAACGGCAGAAGAGGTGCCTTCTGCTTTTGGACAGCACGTGCCCGGTTGCATGGTCGGATAGGCGACGCGTCGATAAATACTGCCCATGTCGCAGTGACCTCTTCCTCTCTCTTCACCTCCGTCAACGTCACTCGAAGCCAGTCAAGATCTTCCACCTAACGAGCTTCGGACGTCGGTCTTCTTCCTCATTGGCATTTCCCTCCCTCGCAATATTAACCGGTCTGCAGCTCCCTACCAGTGCGCCTGGGGCTCGCACCTTGCGCCGCAGCTCATACGGGTGCTGTCCAACGTCGCGATTGGAAGCCTTCACCAGAGTCAAAGGCTGCTAAGCTTTGCCTCCAGTGACTCAAGAGCAGTTTCCGCCTGTCACAAGGTCCGCAGTGACACCGCGACAACACCACGCCAAGCATCGCAGAGGACAGTGTACAAAGCAAGCGCGTCTCCATTGCTCTCTTGCGCCAACCGGTCGCAAGCTCACCAGCGAGCCCCGCGACCCAGTCGTCGGCAGGCGCTTTACTTCGCAAGCCAGCGTCTTTTTATGCGCTTCGCACAAGATCCTCACTTCGTCACCCAACATTCGCGAACAGCCTCGCAGTAGGAGACTCACTTCCCTTCGCGGTAATTGGACCTTGAGGTAGTAAACAAAGCCTCGAGAAATTCACTTGGTAAACTTTTCTTTTTTTTTTCTCTTGGCCTACGATCCATGAACAAGCTAACCTGATAAAGCCCACCATGGCTCCAGATACTCCCTACCCGCCGTCGCCCAGCAGTCCGACAATTTCCACTCCCACGCACTCAACACTCCGCACGTCTGCGAGTGCCGAATACGTGTCGCTGGCACAGCTTCAGCAAACTTTGGAAGAGCACTCCAGGCACGGGATTTCGCACCACAGGAGCTATTCTTCCCTCCCGGCTTCCCTCAAATTAGAGCTCGGAGTTACCAACTCGAGGCCTATTACACCTGAAAACGGAGGCGTTTCCCTAGAAGGCACTCCTGAGCTCCCGTCATCCACGTTCCACGACTTCGACGACGACATGGATGCCATGCCGCAGGCAAACACTGGAGGCGGTGGCCTCGAAATGACTCTGGTGGCAGACAACGCGCCCGCCCAACTTACGCACAGGCTCAATATTGTAGATGTCCAGCTTGCCGAGAAGTCGGCGCAATTGGAGGAGAAGATGCGCGAGTATCAAGAGCTCAAGGCAGAGTACAGGGAGCTCAAACAGGAATACAAGGACATCAAGCAGGAGTACAAGGACATCAAGCAGGAATACAAGGAGTTCAAGGAGCAGAGTAAGCAGGAGTACGGCGAGCTGATGGACGTTGTCCACCACATGAGGGAAGACTTCCGCAAGGCCAATGAGGATCGCCGTATGCTTCAGGCGCACAACCTCACGCTGCAGAATGAGATCCTGTTGCTCCAAGGGGACATGCGCTTCGTATTGCGCAATCAAGAGCCTACACCTGCCTCGACCGGCAAGAAGTTGACCCCTCAGGCCAAGCTCTCGGTCTCGACGGATGTTGATATCACTCCGACTCCCAGCAAGGCCATTCTTGCAAAGACTTCTCCTGCGCACAGTGGCTTGGTTCCAGTCTCAGATTCGGCAAGCACTCCCTCTTCGCGCCCTAAGGCAAGCAATTCGTTCAACCCTGGTTTCGGAACTCATGGACCGCTCAACACAAGCCCAGCACTCCGCGAGCGCGCTTCGTTCTATCAGCCCAGCCGCTTCGACGACCCTTTCCAGCAATCTCCGGTCCAGACCCCGCTGTCTAGCAAGTCTTCTATGGTGTCTTTGTCTTCGGCCTCGCACCCATCTTCTGAGAACCTGCATGCCACTCCTTCCAAGTCCCGCCCGACTTCCAAGGCGCTCAGCTCCACCAACTGGAGACAGCCTCGCTCGCAGCCCTCGCAGCCTCAGCTGGCAAGCCACCCCCAGTCTCCCGAGCGTGCCGACCTCCTCCTCCAGGACGCCCGCAACCAGTACACGCAGCTGCTGGCCAAGATCGAGACATGGGCCGACGTCTTCTGCGGCACCATCCACACCTCTGTCCGCTCCAAGGAGCAGCGCGCCGCGGAAATGGTCAAGACGCTGGGCTCGCTCGTGGGCAACTTCGACCTGGAGAAGATCTTCAACAAGCTCGAGTTCCGCACGCTGCTCGTCACGGCCTACGCCAACCGCCGCGTCTTCGAGCGCCTCTTCGCCGACGACGTCGTCCTCGAGCGCTTCGGCGCCGAGACCGTCGCCCGCCTGCTCGAACTCAACGAGCTCGAGGCCGACACGCCGCCGCGCGACCCGGCCCGGCACCGCGAGATCGCGTCCGACAAGGCTCAGCTCATGCGCGCTGCTTTCTCCGCTCCGGGCGCCTGGCGCGCTGCTGAGGCGAAGGCGACGGCTGCGGACTTGTGCAACGTTCTCAGCCCCATCATCCCCATCTCCGAGCGCGCTAGCGGCGTGAGGCAGATGGAGGGCTTGGTCGAGGAGGCGATTCGTGTGGTTGGTGCTCTGCGTGGCATCCCGGCTCGCTCCTGGCACTTGGCTTTCGACGCGGCTGGCTCGAGGGTCAGCCTGGCTACCATGAGCGTGCGCGGCTCCGTCGAGTCTCGTCAGAGTGGTGGTGGTGGTGGTGGTGGTGGTGGTGCTTCTTTGGAGGAGGACCACGCTGTGATGCTGGGCGTCACGCCGCACCTGGTGTCCAAGCTGTGGACGCCCGGTGGGGTGGCGCCCGAGGAGCTCGTGAAGGCAGAGGTGCTCACTCACCCCGTCGGCAGGAGCTTCTTCGCCCAGCACTAGTGCTGAAGCGTTTTGCTGCCGAGTTTCGAGTTAGTCTGGCTTTCGGGAAATTTCCCTTTTACTTCTTCTCCATAGGATAGGAGAAACTCTGGGTAGATACGATACAATTGAGAGAGAGAAATTTCTGCTCTGATTCTTGTTTGTGGCTTGTGAATTGATACTCCTTGCGACACTAGTACGGCATCTTTTGAGGGGCCTACCTCTACCATGCCCGCTTTAGGAAATCCGCGGGCTTATGAATGTATCCCGATTCTTGTTCAGATGACCACTGGCACTGCTAGTACCGTGATTACGATGCTGTCGCTGGCGCCTTCACATATGAGGGCATGCATGGCGGAGAAGAAATGCGGGAACTAGGCAGAATCAAACCAAAGACATAATGTCTTGCGTAAGTTAATACCTTAGGAATCGTTCATGGGAAGCTATGCAAAACCTGCGGGGCTTTGTCAAAAGACACACCTTGAAGAAACTCTTCATTGCTTGAAGTGTTGATATGTGGGGGCTTACGAATGTTTTCTTCTAATCAAGCACGACCATCCCGCACACAGCTTGACTGCTCGATGCTTGACTCCACAATTATAACATGGCCTGGGAGGCTCTCCTGATCTTCCGATGCCGTCGATTCATGTTTCTGCAGTCGGCTCCCGCCCATGGCCCTATTCGTGAGGTGAATCTCGTCCTCCTCCTCCACCAGTTTCAACGCCCCGTCTCCGCTCCCAAACCCGAACCTCGAACCACCGTAGCTAGAGCCTCTCTGCCCTGCATGGCCACCGGACCTCCACGGCGTATCGCTGCTCCCCGAGCGCTGACCGGTGCGGTCCGAACTGTGGCTGCGTTCCGCCGACGACATTCTCTCACGGAGACTTCTGAATAGCGGACGGAGATTGGGTAGGCACGCCGAGAGAATTCCGATAGACGGCTCGACGGACGACCAGATGAACACTGGTCCCATCAGCCATGTGACGTCGACCGTCTTGATGAAGACTGCAAGGTAGTATATCCGGACTATGCTAGCAATGCAGACGCTGCATGGTAGTGATATCAGCAAAGAAATACGTACACCTTGCGCACTGTGGGCTGAATGAATGGAAAGGAATAGGGGTCACTTACAAACTTCCAAGCAGCATGATTCCGCACACAGCCGCCTTTTTCCTTGTCGACATCTGAAGCTTGAGGATCTGCGGTATAGGGATCGTCAGGATAATGACGTCGTTGACCATGTTGATAATACCGAGAGCAAGATAGAAGGTGTTGACATCGATGCAGTGCCCCTCGGCTCCGTGGAATTGGTTCCAGTAGTATGTGATCGGGCTGCAGCAGTTTCCCATAGTGACCCAGATGATGATGGGGTAGGCGCTGGAAAGGAATCCTCCCACGAGGAGGGAAATTTTGAACGCCAGGTCGTTGCTAGTAAAGACTCGGTGGTAGAAGAAGAGGATTGATATCTTGATTGACGAGACTGTCGCCGCGTAGACGAAGGTGTAGCCGTAGAGGATCTAAGGACAGGGGTAAGCGGGTTAGGATTCTAAGGCTCAAGCCGACGTACCTGTATAATCAACACAAGGCTAGACATTTCCACTGTCCAGATGTGTTTGCCGGCGCCGTAGTGTCCTCCTTGTGCTGCATCAGCAAAGATATGTACTCATTTTTACGACACAAACAACCTACCTGCTATGCTCAGGCCAGCCGTTGCGTACACGAAAATCTAACTCACAGTCAGCCATTCCGCCAATTTGGACACTGACCATCTAGCATACCAACGACGCAAGGATGATGTAGTCATCCGCTTTCAAGCCTACATGCTGGAACTTTCTAGCCATCAACCTGAGGGCCACGGCAATTGAAGCAATCAGGATTAGGATGATGACGGCCGCATTGTCCGCGCGAGTGCGGCTCTCTGCTAGATCGACATTGTCAGGCGGATCACCAAAGGCCACGAGGATCAACGGGTCCATTGTCAGCCTGCATGGGAGTCAGCCACGAAGTTTCCCAGGGAGAGGGAGGTCTGCTGGGGGATGCTGCACCGTGCGGCACCCTCGCATTTTTGTCGAGATCCTATGGCCCCCAGGACCTTGTGGCGATGTCGACCGCGTCCGCGGGCCTCAGTATGTGTTAGGTACACGGAGCATAAGATAGTCGTAGCATAGCATGGATCGCGCTTGAACGGCATGGGTAATTGCCCAAAAAGGGAGGTGTCCCGTTGGGGTGGTTCCAGTTGCTCGGATACTCGCACCAACGCAAGTCAGCTCCTCCTTTAAGCACCACTTCTTCGTGGTGTCGCAGAATGCAGTGTTGTGAACTCGGTCAGCTATTAGTCTTCTTGATTTTCTCATTCCACATTGCACAGAGCAATCTTTCGCAGGTGACTAGGGCAATGTCGGATGTCTTGGGGCCCCTGCGAGTGCTGTGCCGCAAGAAAGATTCTAGCACCAACAACGAACCCAGTCGCCCCACAACTAATCGTCCCATACCTACATCACGGAAATGTGCTGTGATAAAAAGCCCTCCTGCCCGGAATCGGCTTTCTCTCTTACCGAGGGATATTGCAGCCGTAGGCCAGCGTTTGTTTTTTGCACATATCATGAGTAGTTGAAGCTATCGTCCGGACGCAAATGTCGAATTAACAATTATACATGCACATCCGGACGACGGCTTTGACTGCCCCTGTAAGTCGAATAATTCCTCACAAATGTTAAAAATCACTCATCCTGGAGAGCCGTTGTTACCCCCTGTTCCAAGGCCCTGCAGTTCTTCGCACCTGCCTTCGGCTGTAGTGCCCCGGTGTATGCGGCGTGGAACCGCACCCCCCACCTCCGCGGGCTGTTGGGAGGAGTAAAGAAGCGGTATATATTTGTGCCTATTTATCATTAAGATTAACTGCAGTCTTTCTTCCAACTCCTTGCCTATTTATCTTCGTTAGAATCAAGCCAAACGCGTGCAATGGGTTCACTGCAGGACGACAGCGTACCGGACCTCACGCCACTCGAGCGTATAGGCCCAAAGGGGTACCTCCGCTATGTCTTCCCCTTCCAGCTCCCGGATAACTACGACATGGAGGAAGCAGCCCGAGTGCTAAGAGCGGGATACAGCGCCACCAAAAAGCAACTTCCAGTTCTCGCGTGCGAGGCGGTGCTGGACACGGAATGGAACCAAGCGGGCGTGATGAAGCTGAAGAAGATGGCAGACGGAGAGATCGAAGACATCGTCGTGAGGGATCTCCGGGGGCCCAGGGCCTTTCCGATGGGGTATGCGGAGCTGAAGGAGAAGGGGTTCCCGGTGGCGGCGTTCGAGGCGGACGTCGTGTGTCGGCGGAGCGTGTGGCCGACGGCCGGAGAGAGGCTTCCCATCTCGTTGGTGCAAGCGAACTTTATCTCTGGCGGATTGATCCTCTCATGGTGCATCCTGCACATGGTCGGCGACGGGAAAACCTTCTACACGTGGACGCAGGTGTGGGCGAGGGAGTGCCAGCGCGCCCAGCGCGCCGACCTGCCGCCGGTGGACCTTCCTGCCGCCCTGTTCGACGACAGGGAACTGCTCATGAAGAGCAGCGGCCGCAACGCCGGGCGCTTGGAAGACCACCCGGAGTACACGCTGCTCCCCTTCACGCCGCCGGGCGCGCCGCCCAAGATGATGGCGACCAACCACCGCGGCCAGGTCTTCTACCTCTCCAAGGCCGCCCTCGAGGCACTCAAGGCCGAAGCGTCGCCGGCGAATTCCACGCAGTCCTCGGCGCAGAAGTGGATCTCGACGAACGATGCCGTGTCAGCGCTGCTGTGGCGCACCGTCATGGCCGTGCAGTTCCCGCTGGACCGGCTTGAGGGCGACCCCGTGTCGGTCTTCAACATCGCCATCGACGGCCGGCTGCGTACGAATCCGCCAGTGCACGAACGGACACTGGGCTGCTTCCTCGAGTATGTGGGAATCAAACTACCGATCCGGCGGATGCTGAAATCCTTGAACCTGGCGGATATCGCCGTCGAGATTCGGAAGGCGATCCAGAAGGCGGATAAAGACTTCACCGACGATGTGACTGCCTTGATTGAGAAGTTGGACGATGTCGATCGGCTGGTGCCGACGGCCTTTTTGGACGTTCCGGGATTCAATTGCGTGCAAAGCTCTTGGATCAATTTTGCACTGTACGACCTTGATTGGGGCAACGCCTTGGGTGGCCGGATTGAGGCCGTCAGGTCGCCAGACGTTGGTGTGCTGAATGGCCTCCAGGTGGTGCTCCCGGTTCTGCCAGACGGCGGTCTAGAGATCTTGATGGGCGTGGAGGAAAGCTGCCTCCATAGGTTGATGCATGACCCGCTGTGGACACGGTATGCGGAGGCAAGGTGAAGCGTAGAAATCGTGTAGAGGGATCGAGTATAGCCCACAGATTATACAGAGCCTTAGATTATTCGACATATGTGGGTAGCTGAAGCTATCGTCCGGACGTGTATGTAGAAATTTTAATTCCACATTCAAATCCGTATGATAGCTTCAAATACCCATACATGTTCTTTTCCGTCGTGAAAAAAAGAGGAAGGAAGAGCTGAAGCATACTTACGTTATGTTCCAAAGCCCTGCCATTCTTTGAGCTAGCTATTGGCTGCTGCACCCCTCTGTAGAACCGCTGTCAATCGGGTAGACGGATCGAGGACAGCCCACGAGTGGTGGATGTCAATACAAAGAATAGCAGAACCTTGGTTTATTCGACTTATGGGGGTAGCTGAGGCTATCGTCCGGACGTAAATGTACAATTATTAATTAGACATTCACGTCCAGACGATAGCTTCAACTACCCGCGTAAGTCGAATTAGAAATTATACACGTACGTTCAGATGATAGCTCTAACTGCCCACGATATGAGAAATTTTCTTCTTCTTTTTTTTTCCCCATAAAAACCAGCATATGTAGGTAGTTGAAGCCATCGTCCGGACATGGATGTACAATTATTAATTCGACATTTGAATCCGGACGATAGCTTCAACTACCTGCGATATGAGACATTTTCCTTTTTCTTCCCCCCCTTTTTTTTTTCAAAAAAACCAGCATATGTGGGTAGTTGAAGCTATCGTCCGGACGTGAATGTAAAGTTATTAATTCGACATTTTCGTCCGGACGATAGCTTCAGCTACCCACGATATGAGACATTTTCCTTCTTTTTTTCTTCTTCTCATAAACGCCAACATATGTGGGTAGTTGAAGCTATCGTCCGGACGTGAATGTACAATAAATAATTAGACATTCTCGTCCGGACGATAGCTTCAACTACCCACATAAGTCGAATAATTTCTCGCAAATGTTGTGAAAATCATATCCTTTTGACATAGAGAAATTGGGTCCTCTGCGTTCACCTTCAGGTAGGCTGCGTCACGGAGGTGGTTCGACTAGTCCCCATGACCAGAAATTGCGGCCCACTGGCTCCACTAGGTATACGACGGTGCCGTGATCCTTGATTTGGACGGCGTCCAAAGTCGGTACGGCGCTGGATAGGCTTTGTGGTTGACGCGCTGCAGATTTGGCCGTTGAGGTGTGGTGGCTCTAAGCTCGCCCAATCGTCATTGTGCAGATGCGATTACCTGGGGATCCGCCCGTGTCTTGGGCGAATTACCACGGGTGCCGGTGGCTTATGGCGGCGGGCTTGGCTCGTCTGATCTCTCGCGAGGAGCGCCACCATCTCGAGGCGTCCGGGGACGAGTCGCGGCATGGCGTGAGGGCAGAGGCGCTGTTGCGGGCGGGCTGGGGTGTGGGGGAAGTGCGGGCGAACGCGGGACGACACAAGCAGGCATTTCTCCGTCTCTCCGCCGCCATCATCGTCACTCCAAGCCGCCTCCAATGCTGCCGATAAGCCTCCCGCTGGCGCTCCGCCTCTAGGCACCATGCTGCTCTCGGTCCTCGTCGACAAAGCATGTGCACACCATCAATTCGCATCGTCAGAGCCGGCGCCAGGCCCTCTACGCTGAAACCTCCCTCATGCCGCCACCGAGCTCGCTGCTTCCACGACTACTTCGTCACCCATCTCCCCTCGTCGTCGCTGCATCCTGACCAGCTCTCCTCCGCCGGCCCGGGCCACAAGCTTCCCCGCGACAAGTCAACCCCCCACACCCAAGGCGACGACAGCAGGCTGCCTGCCGCTGCTCCGCCCTTCAAAGGCGCCCGCGAGACCACCGTTGTGCGCATCCCTCTGCGCAGCGCAAAGCACCACTTCGGCGTCTCCGTGTCGCGCGGCCAGCGTCCCTACAACGAAGATGCCTTCCAGGCCGGCACCATCGAGATCCCAGCCTTCGCAAAGAGGCAGCCCATTTCGTTGACCCGCAGCAAAAGGAAGCTGTCCGAGAACACATCGGCAGACAGCGCCAGCGGGGACCCGCAGGTCTTCTATTTCGGCATCTTTGATGGCCATGGTGGCAACGAGTGCAGCGACTTCTTGCGGGAGCGCCTGCACGAGTACCTGGAGGACAGCACCCGGCTGTTCGAACTCAAGAGCAGCCTCCCCCAAAAAACCAGCCTTAGCGACCCCGACACCTCAGAAGGCACTCCGCCCACCAGCCGCGAGAGCCTCGAAGCCATCGACACCCACACGCCTCCAGGCACCGAGCCCGCGAGAATACCAGACACCGCGAGCGGGGAGGCACCGCCGAGCGGGAGAAGTGACACAACCCCGCCCCCAGACGGAGCCAAACCGGTGAAGCAGTCAGAGAACGTACCAAAGGCACTGCAACTCGAGCGGGAGATTGTCGTTTCATGGCGCGAGCTTGTTGGTGGCTACTTCAAGCGCTTCAAGCCCGACTTCTTCTCCACATCAGCCGGCGGCAAGGGCCATACACTGGAAAGAGAAGTGGTCCAGCACCGCCAATTGCAACACACAAACATCTCGGATGATGTCAGCGAAGGAGTCGGCATCGAAACGGTGCTGACCTACGCCTTTCTGAAAGCCGACTTCGATTTCGTTTCGGCACAGGTCAACAAAGCCGACGAGGACCTCGTGGAAGCAGACCGCGCAATCAACGACGAAGACATCCTGGAACGCCCATCTCATGCTGGCAAGAGGATCGGCGGACCGAAGCGTTTCAAGGGAGGCAGCACGTGCAGCATTGCTCTGATCTCTACCCCAACGCCAGCACCCTATTGGACCCCCGGCTCTGCATCCACCATAGTCACGGCGCACGTAGGAGACACGCGCATCATCCTCTGCAATACGGCGACGGGCCAGCCAATCCCATTGACGTCCAACCACCACCCATCGCTGCCGTCAGAAGAACAACGGCTGCGAAGATACGCGGCAGCGTTCGCAACGGACTCATTTGGAGAAGAGCGCATCTTTGGCCTCGCCAATACGCGCGCCTTTGGCGACATGCACTCGAAGCGCGTGGGCGTCTCTGCCGAGCCAGAGATCCGGCGGATCGAGCTTGCGCCGGCAGAGTACTCGTTCATGGTCATGGTCTCGGACGGCGTGTCCGGCACGCTCAGCGACCAGGAGATCGTGGACATCGTGAAGGATGCGCGGACGCCGGAGCAGGGGGCGCGCGATGTAGTCAGCTTCGCAACCGAAGTGTCGCGCGATGGCGATAACGCAACGGCTCTCGTGGTGCGCCTCGGGGGATGGGAACGGCGAAGTGAGGGAGGGCTTGGCAGTCTCGGCACCAAAGAGCTGCGCGACTGGAGAAGGAAGGAAGCGGAGGATCCACGCAGCGGACGCAGGTAATGTAGATACGTGGGCGCAAACGGTTGGACTGGGGCTGGCGGGGAGAGCACAGGGACACGCTGGAGGCGGGGAAAGCGCACGTATGTAATGGCTAGAGCCGCACGACATGTGTATACAAATAGCGCAGGCACCGCACCACGCTGCAGAGCCGCGTAGGGCAGCGCTGGTGGGCGCGCTCGGGCTGCTGGGCGGCGCCGGCCAGGCTGGCTGCGTGCTCGCACCCAGGGCGTGGAAAATGACGAGCCGGGGGTTCTTCGGAGCGGATCGTTGCCCCTCTAACACTGCATGATTTGCTTCTCGACGGCGCCTGCCAGACACAACAATCCATTCCACCTGCTCCTCTCTCCCTCGCGTTTGCTCGGCTGTTCTCATACGCCGTCCTCCTACGGGCTGTTTTCTTTGTCCGCATCCTCGCTCTCTTCCCGTGCCGGCTTGCCTGGTGCCAAAGCGCAACAAGGCAACCTTTCACGTGTTTTGATTTCGCTTGCTCATCTCTACGCAACGACGCCCAAACCACCACCAACAAGGCGCCGCACCCGCAGGCACGCCCGCCGCTCAGCACTCTAGACCGCCCTCCATCCCCAAGCTCCCGCCTAGTTCCAATCTTAGCGCGCCAGCATGGACGTCAACCAGGTGCTTGAGGGGACGCTGTCTCCAGGTACGTTGCGCTGAGCCTGGTACCTCAACCCAAACATCCGCCACTGACTGCTGCGAACAGACGCCACGATCCGTACCAATGCCGAGCAGCAGCTCACCCAGGCCGCTGAGGCCGACTTCGTACGTTTCCGCCCGCCTGCGGCCTTCCCGCCCTGTGCCCCGCCTGAGACGAGCAATTTTGCTGACCGCGTGGAATCCAGTCCGGCTACCTCACCACCCTCGCTACAGAACTCGCCAACGAGCAGGCGCAACCGCACATCCGGACCGCCGCCGCCCTAGCCCTCAAGAACGCCTTCTCCGCGCGCGAGTACACCAGGTTACGGGAGGTCCAGGCACGGTGGGTGGGCCAGCCTGAGGCGATCAGGACCCAGGTGAAGAACCTTGCTCTGCAGACCCTGGCCTCCAGCGATGGCCGTGCAGGAGGCTCCGCCGCACAGTTCATCGCCGCCATCGCCGCCATCGAGATCCCCCAGAACATGTGGCCGGAGTTGATGCCCGCCCTGGTGGACAATGTGGGCAAGGGCGCGGATCACCAGAAGCAGGCATCGCTGACGACGATCGGCTTTATCTGCGACACCGATGAGAGCGAGCTCCGCGAAAGCCTTGCACACCACTCCAATGCTATTCTCACCGCCGTCGTTCAGGGTGCACGGAAGGAGGAAACCAACCCCGATGTGCGAAATGCCGCCATTTCTGCACTCAGCGACTCCCTCGAATTCGTGCGCACCAACTTCGAGAACGAGGGTGAGCGGAACTACATTATGCAGGTCATCTGCGAAGCCACCCAGGCCGAGGACACCCGTATCCAGCAGGGCGCATACGGCTGCTTGAACAGGATCATGGGCCTGTACTACGACAAGATGAGCTTCTACATGGAGAAGGCCCTGTTCGGCCTTACCATCCAGGGCATGAAGAGCGACGAGGAGGATGTTGCTAAGCTCGCCATTGAGTTCTGGTGCACCGTTTGCGAGGAGGAAATTTCAATTGAGGATGACAACGCTCAGGTGAGAAGCAATTGCTCGACTGTCACGCTAGTGTATAAGAAGACTAACTCCGAGGAAAAGGCCAACGCAGAGGGCTCAACCGAGCTCCGCGAGTACTTCAACTTCGCTCGTGTTGCAACCCAGGAGGTCGTCCCTGTTCTTCTCGAGCTCCTGTCCAAGCAGGATGAAGATGCCGACGATAACGAGTACAACGTCTCCCGTGCCTCCTACCAGTGTCTCCAGCTCTGGGCGCAGACCGTCGGTAGCGCAGTTGTGCCGCATGTTCTTACTTTTGTTGAGAAGAACTTGCGTGCAGAGGACTGGCACTTCCGTGACGCTGCTGTCTCCGCTTTCGGTGCTATCATGGAGGGCCCCGAGGAGAAGATGCTGGACCCTCTGGTCAAGCAGGCTCTGCCGGTCCTGATCGGCATGATGGAGGACCCTATCATTCACGTCAGGGACTCAACTGCCTACGCCTTGGGCCGTATTTGCGAAACTTGCGCCGAGTCGATCGATGCCGCTACCCACCTCCAACCCCTCATTTCCTCCCTCTTCGCCGGTCTTGCAAGCCACCCCAAGATGGCTTCTTCCTGCTGCTGGGCGCTCATGAACCTTGCAGACCGCTTCGCCGGTGCACCTGGCTGCCAGACTAATGCTCTGTCTGCTCACTTCCAGGCTAGCGTAACGCACCTTCTGCAGGTCACCGAGAGGTATGCTCTTCCCAGACATGATATAAGTATATCCGAGCTAACAGACGTGTAGGGCCGATGCCGACAACCAGCTGCGCACTGCCGCGTACGAGGTCCTGAACTCATTTGTCATGAACTCTGCCAACGACAGCCTTGGTATGGTCGGCCACCTGTCCAACGTCATCCTGGAGCGCCTGGAGAAGACTGTTCCCATGCAACAACAAGTTGTCAGCATTGAGGATAAGATGACCCTTGAAGAGATGCAAACCAGCTTGACCAGCGTCGTCATGGTAAGGATATCGTTACTGTTACACATAAAGAATCAACTGACGTCGTCTGCAGGCAATCGTCCAGAGACTCGAGGTTGAGATCAAGCCCCAGGCTGATCGCATCATGCAGGTTCTCCTGCAGCTGCTTTCGACTACCGGTGGCAAGTCCAGTGTGCCCGACGCTGTTCTAGCCGCCATCGGCTCGCTCGCCAATGCCCTGGAGGAGGACTTCCTGAAGTACATGGAGGCCTTCTCGCCCTACCTGTACAACGCCCTTGGTAACCAGGAGGAGCCCGCCATCTGCTCTATGGCTATCGGTCTTGTTAGCGACATTACTCGTTCTCTCAACGAGAAGGTTCAGCCTTACTGCGATGCCTTTATGAACTACCTCCTTAACAACCTGAGGAGCCCTACTCTTGGCAACCAGTTCAAGCCTGCTATCCTGCAGTGCTTCGGCGATATCGCTCACGCCATCGGCGGCCACTTCGAGACTTACCTTTCGGTTGTTGCTCAGGTCTTGATCCAGGCTTCGCAGGTCAACTTTAATCAGGACACCTCGTTCGAGATGCTCGACTACGTTGTTTCGCTCCGTGAGGGCATCATGGATGCTTGGGACGGTGCTATCATGTCCATGAAACTTGGTGGCAAGCGTATGTTATATTCCACAACCTTTTTACTTCCAAGGGATGCACTGCTAACTTATCACAGAGAGCCTTCTTGTGCCCTACGTTGAGCCCATCTTCGCTCTCCTTCACACTGTTCACACTGATGCCAACCGCACTGAGGCATTGATGCGTTCTTCTATGGGTGTCATTGGGTACGTCTCTGTAAAAATGTGACTGGGTGATCTGAGCTGACGTAAACTAGTGACCTTGCTGACACCTTCCCGAATGGCGAATTTGCCGAGCTGTTCCGTTCTGAGTGGATCATGGCTATGGCCAGGGAGACCAAGGCCAACAAGGACTTCTCGCCGCGCACAATCGACACTGCCCGCTGGGCCCGCGAGCAGATCAAGCGTCAAATCGGTACGTCACACAACTTCCATGCCCCAGCTGCGCAACGGGTCCCCTTCAATAGCCGCCAGGCTGTTGTTGAGGTAGAAGGGACGATCTGGGAAAATTGCAATGATATTCTACCATTTACTAGGTGTCATACTAACATATTTGATCCAAACAGGCGGCGCTTCCGGTCAGATGGCTTGAACGGCATGATCACGAGCTCAAACCGGGAATCCTGCATGACACTGCAGCTAAACAAGCAGCAGATGTCCCAATGCCAAGATTCCCGAACCACCGACATTGGAGAAGAGCGGCGAAAGTCCGACGTCTGTGAAGAGTCGAAGCGCATGGCAGTCGTTCAAGCCGGCTCGACGTGCGGCCACGTTCGAATAGCGATGCGGATGAACTCTCCCGGACGGATGGCGACTACGGCACTAGTCAAGTCGATTGGCATGCGTCTCATCTCTTCTCACCGAGTCAGTCTTCGATGTATTCGCAGACGCCCCCTCCACACCGATACATGCACTCACCCCCAACACACATACCACAAGCACCCGCCCGAAGCCCTTGCTCACGTTCAAGCACGCACTTACGGAATCCCCCATTCACCACACTCGAAAGAAGTCATGTATGCCCCTGGATCATGTAAGGAGGATTTGGCGAACAAAGAGTCGGATCACTCCACCTCTCCCCCTAGCCTTTTCTATTTCATACACACCTTAGTCATCGAATTATGATTCCCCAAGACACCCTCAAAATCATGTAGTCCCCGAGCTTTCCCTTCATGTACCCCATTTTCTCTCCGGCGTCCGTAATCATCAGACTGGGAGAACTGTGTTTGCTTCTCGTTTTGGTGGTCCGGATTTTTCTTCCCTCGCCCACGCAGCCTGGATACTATTATTTTACCGCCTCTACTCAACCGATTTCAACCGGGTTGAGAGGTCTTTCCGGGCTTTCTCCTTCCGTCGTCCACGTTGTAAGCCGGTATTGCAAGATACGGCGGTTATGAGATGGAGGTCTCCACCGGAACTGTGCTCACGCCCGTCTTTCTTGACCTCTTTTTTCTCCCAAGACGATGACGAATTCGCTTTTCGGAAAATGGGATGGATGATGGATGGATGGATGTGCACACACACGAACACGCTTTGACTTTGTGGGGAAACGCACCAAGAGATCAAGCATTGCTTGACCGGATAGAAGTTAGCGGAGCTTAGCGGAGTGAATTGCAAGTACATACTTCAAATATGTCTCCCCTCCAACCTGTCTCGTGGCACGCAGTTGACCTTGGTGGTGAGCGGATGATGACTATGACGGGTGCAATCCTGAGGTTAATTGACGGATGCGGTGCGAATGGAACCCGATTTGACGATCACCCAAATCACGAGCAAATAGGAAAATAACGAGTCGTATGAAAGGGAATGACGTATGGCGAGGACAGTCAATCCCGCAGTTATCCGGTGTGCGCTGTCTTTCTTGGGCGACGTAAGTGCGTTTTGGGTCGGTGAGACAACAAACGCCATCGCATGCATGATGTTGTGTACCCTCAAACTTTTCTTTCCAGTGGAAAAAACTTGGGTCACCCGTTTTTCTCATTCTTTCCTCCTTTGAGACTGAGTTTACCCAGCGGAGCGGACACCTGCGTCATACGCGGCGTGAAAGATGCGGTTAGTGCATTTGGTAACGAGGAGGCAAACAGACATGTGTATGTACACAGTTCTGTAAGGGTGTGTGGAGTTATGAAGACAAGAGAATTTGTTTGGGCAGGATGCAGCAGATTCGTTTGCTATTGGCGAGTACTGACTACAGTATTTCGTGTGTCCATGATACGACATTCATGCCCCATGCAACAAGTCCTGTGCCTCGATGTTTGAATAGGCGAGAAACGACATCCAACCAAAATGGCTGACCGAGTGGAGCAGGGTTCATCGTCGAGGATCACAAGCAGATGGCTGAGGCGATCATCCACCAAGATGTCCGTCATCTCCTTTATGACTAACTATTTGCCTTTCTTCTTTTGCAACCCACGCAAGACCCCTGCTTCTTTAAAACGATTCTCAGCTCTGCAGCGATGCGCCACAGCTTTCCCGGGGTTAGTATTGGGGCATTACACATCCCAGACGGACGGAATGTGGGGGAGACTTCTAAAGCGGTGACTAGCGGCGGTCCTGAGCGATATTGGTTGCAGACAGGAGAGAATATGCGCAGGACTTTCGCCTTCCTGACGGTGTTTTGACTGCTTTGACCTTGATGGTATGGTAGGGAAACGAGAACACCAAAAGGAAAAAAAAAAAAAAAGAGAGAGAGAGAGAAAGCAAATGTACGGGGAGGGATGCATCGTGCAGAAATTAGTACTACCGTGGTCGAGTCGGAGGAGGATTAATCTATCTTGAAACGGAGGGATGTGAAAGGATGGCAGCTGTCATCATCAGCACAAAAGTCAGGCACGCTCAGAGACGCGATTCGGCGCTCTTCATCAGCTCTACTATATTCGGAATGTTACACACAAAAGGGAGGTTGGCATTACTTGTGGAAAAAGAGAAGGGGAGTAGTGGGATTTGACTCAAAAGGACAGGGTTGGGTGTTTGTTTGGGGCGGACGACGGTAATGCAAAACGAGACAGCCGGAGCTGGGGTCTGTTCCGGCGACGGAGAGAAGGGCGAAGAAAATGTTTGAGAGCGGTGGGCGGGAGGGGATGGTTGGCGGAGCGAGGTTGCCGGCGGACTCGGCCTCTTTTTTGGCTGCATAGGCGGGCGCTTGCAGCCTGGCTTCTCGCTCCTTCACCGGAGTCTGTACAACACGACGTGACGGCTGCGGGCGGGGCTTGGTGACGGACGTGCCGTGGGCAGCGGCAAAGGCACTGGCCGGCGCCGCGTCGACTTGTGCACTGTGAAACACGAGCCGCCATCACCATCCCCGTCCCGGCCGTTTGCCGCCCGCGCCTCCGCCGCGAAACGCCAGGGCCGGGAGACACGGCGAGAGAAAAAAATCGCTTCCCTCCAGCTGGGTCTCGCTGTGAACCCATCACGTAGATCTGGGGAGCACCCGGGAAATGCTTAATACCCAGGTGATGCGCCGCTAGCCATGCCCGACTTCCTTCTTTGTCTCGCCCTTGCTCCTTCCTCCCCACACTTTGCATCTTCCTCTTCTTTTCTGCGAGGCGTGCCTCGAACCTTCCTGTTTACGCGGTCGACCCGCTGGACTTCTTACCTTCCTTTCGTTAGATTTTCTCTTCTTTAGACCTGCCGTTCCTTTGCGCAGAATTTCCAAAAGCACTCAACCTTCTTCTGCAAAGTTGCCCGCCATGCTCGCCGCCTCTCACTTGCTCCTTGCCCTCGCAGGCTTGACTGCTGTGCAGGCCCACATGCAGCTCGAGTATCCGCCGCCCTTCAACGCAAGTAACAACCCGCACCGCACCACCGAAGCCGACAACATCTACGTCTATCCTATGGGTTGCTGTGGCAGGGAGGACACAAAGGCCATCTGTCGCGGCTATCTCGACCTTCTCGGTACTCCCGACGGTGCTCCAGTCGCTACCTGGGCTGCTGGCTCCAAGGTCACCTGGAACATCACTGGTGACCCCAAGTTCACTCTAAACGATCTTGGTGGTAGGTGCCCATCCTCATTCTGCAGTTTCTGCAGCTGACGAGCCTTTCTGCTAGGAACTCACTATGGCGGCTCTTGTCAAGTTGCCTTCTCCGTCGACAAAGGCAAGACTTTCAAGGTTGCTGCTTCATATGAGGGTAACTGTCCGCACCGCAATTCCGGGCTCGAATCCGGCCAAGACTTCGAAATGACTGTTCCTCGGGAGATGCCTACTGGCGAAGCTCTCTTCGCCTGGACTTGGATCAACCGCGAGCAGGTCAGTCACTGTACTGTGCCACTAGATCTACACGTAATTGACTGCCATATAGGAGTTCACCATGAACTGTGCTGCCGTGACAATCACCAACGACGACGATGACGGTGATAGTGGCACCTCTTCTTCCACTTCCCCTTCTTCCGCTCCAGCTACCTCTGCTGCCTATGGGCCCTCAACCCCAATCCCTGTCCAATCAACTCCTCAGCCTGTACCCACACCCTCTTCCTCCTCGGGCCCGACAGTCAACGGTTCCCCTAAGCAGTTCTCGCTTGAATGGTGCAGCTGCGACTGCGAAACTGCCTCAACAAGCACCGACGAAGAAGATGCCTATGAAGCCAGTGGCTGCTCCTGCAAATGCTGGAAGAAGCCTCAATCTATCTCCAAGCGCGCCACTGACTCCTCTCACCTATCACGCCACCTCCATCGCCGCGTCGCATCCAACTTCGAAGCCAGCAGGCAGCAGCGCCGCTCACTGGCCGAGCAGCACCAGGGAGTCGATGCCACGCTTAAGCTGAAGGAGAAGCGTGCAGCTGCCTGGGCCGCGCGTGCTGATCTATTCATCCCCGATCCCATCTGGCATGACTGCAAGCTGCCGTTGACGAGTGCTGAGCTTAAGTATCCAAGTCCTGGTGACGAGCTCGTCGAAGGCGACGGCGAGTATCCGCTTGAGCTGCCGGCGACGGCAGATTGCGTGAGCGATCAGTCAGGCTGAATCTGGCCAGCCCTTGACTTTTCCGCACCTCAGTCGCTCCTACAACCTTTGGTGTCTGCTTTCTCACGATTTCCATACCGGGAAATTTTCTTTCAGCGTTCAGCCCCTTTGATATGCATGTACATTCTCCCTTCGTCGACGTTTTTCGCCGCGGAGAGGTTGCACTGCGCAGCCATTACATTTTGATTGTTTTCTGTTCTTCTTCAATATGATTAGCATGTACACGACAGAGAGATATGATTAGCATGACCTTGGAGTTTTGTTACCGTTTTCTTTTCTTACTCTGCATTGTACCCGATTGGCTCCGTTTCTTCGCTTCATTGTCCTTCCAAAGAATACTTGGACATATTTCTCCTTCTAGATGAGGAATCGCTAAGCGTTATACTTGTCAACGCCGCCTGTAGCGCGTGACTTGTAGTTGAACAAAAATCAAAAAGATTTTGTACTAAGTGGCTGTAACTTTGTGGGATATCACTGTGTGATCCGCTGAACATTTTGAGGCAACAGATCGCTCACTCCTTTCTACGTCATCTCCTTAAACATGTGGATGCATTTACGGAGTCACAAGTACACGCATATGGCGTTCAGCAAAGACCCCGCAAATTTCCACCCCACCCTCGTGTATGCGGTTGCCAATTTCAATTTCAAATTTCACGACGCTCTTTTTATCCCATGAAAGTTCGTTGTGGGGTCAAACGAGATGTTGTGTGTTGGAAACGGGTACGAGGAGCTAACATCACTTGCCACACTGTTGTCCATGAACTTAGAATCTTGCATCATTATTGCCGCTTCAAGACGGAAATCACACGATAGTGAAATCTCAAACAAATCTCGCATATCTTGCCACGTTTTGCTCATGCCAGTTTGCATTGGAGAATCGCAGAAGGAAGACTATAAGCTTATTTTCCACACTCCATTACGTTGCATTTGAAATCCGTTTTGTTTTTCCGTAGAAAAAATCAATACATTTCTACACTTAGACTTCAAAGATATATCACCTTCCCTAGGAGATGTAAAATAGTATGAAAATTTATGCCTGGCTACATGCATGATAAATCCTTGCTGAGAAAGATTTCCATCCCTTTGCCTTACTACAGAACTCAAAAATTTCACCAACCACCAACGCCGAAGCTCTCTTCTCTAGGCTCAGAAAAAAAGAAAATTGGTACCCAATGCCAATGCTAATGCCCCTCCGTAAAGAAATGCCTGAGAACTTTTTTTTCTGTTGAATCGTAAGTCATCCCATCGTCATCGCTCAATCGCTTCAATTACTCCTCCTTGTAGCAGCAAAAAAATACTGGGACTGGTGGTCCCTTTACAACTTCTCAAACTTTCTCTTCGTCCCCCTTTTTTCATCTCTATTCCCGCTAACGGCGGCGTGTGGGATGATGATTTCAATCATCGTACAGGTCCATTCCGCCGTCAGCGTCCTCCAACTCCTCGATCGCATCGTCATCGTCGTACATGTCCTCGTCTTCCGAGCCCTCGCTGTCGGTGTGGTTGGGCAGGACCTGGACGTGTCCGTTCTCGAGGACGACCCTGGCCGTCTCGCCGTCACGGATGGCGCCGCGCAGGATGAGCACGGCGAGGCGGTTGAGGACCTCCTTCTCGATGAGGCGGGCGAGCGGGCGGGCGCCGTAGGCCGGACTGTAGCCGGCGGAGCCCAGGTAGTCGCGTACTTCCATCGACATGTCGATGTTGACGTTGCGGCCGTTCTGGGCCAGGCGCTTCTGCACCTCGGAGACGCGCAGGTCAACGATCTTGCGGATCTCGCGCTTGGTGAGGCGGTTGAAGATGACGAGCGAGCTGATGCGGTTGAGGAACTCGGGCAGGAAGTAGTTGCGCAGCGCGCCCATGACCATTTCCTTGGTGGTCGGGTCGATGCGGCCGTCGGGCGCGTTGGGCCGGGCGAGGTACTCGGCGCCCAGGTTGGATGTCATGACGACGATGCAGTTGCGCGCGTCGACGATGCGGCCTTGGCCGTCGGTGATGCGGCCGTCGTCCATGAGCTGAAGGAGCACCGTCAGGACTTCCTTGGCCGCCTTCTCGACCTCGTCGAAGAGCAGGATGGAGAAGGGCCGGCGCCGGAGTGCCTCGGTCAGCTGGCCGCCTGCATCGTGACCGACGTAGCCGGGCGGTGCGCCGATCATACGCGACAGCGAGTGCCGCTCCTGGTACTCGGACATATCGAAGCGGATCATGGCCTTCGGGTCATCGAAGAGGAATTCGGCGAGGGCCTTGGTGAGCAGCGTCTTACCGGTACCGGAAGGACCGCAGAAGAGGAAGCTGGGCGGCTGGTTCGGATTGGCGAGACCAGACCGCTGCAGACGGATGGCGTTGGCGACCGAGGTGACGGCCTCCTTCTGGCCGACGACGACTTTGCCGAGATGCCTCTCCATGTTGAGCAGCTTATCCTTCTCCGTGGTCTTGAGACGGGTGACGGGGATGCCAGTCCAGCGGGCGACAATTTCTTGGATCTGATCTGGCCCGACGGCATCGGTGAGCAGAGACTGCCCGTCATTGTCTGATTTGTACATCTCAGCGTCGGCCTTCGCTTTGGCCTTCTCCAGGCTGGCAATACGTTGCTCGACATCAGGAATGGCGTAGTATTGGAGATCCGAAGCAGTCGATAGGTCGCCGATACGTTCAGCTTCTGCGCGCTTGACCTTGAGTTGGTCGAGTTTGATCTTGGCTTCCTGGATGTCCCTGCCGCGCTCCTTTTCCTTCTCGTACTTCTCGCGCAGCGGCTTCAGCTCCTCCTCAACGTTGGCGGCTTCAGCCTTCGCTTCGCGGAGACGAGCCTGGGCAGCCTCGTCCTTCTCGCGTTCGAGGGCGTGAATTTCGATTTGAAGCTGGCGGAGCTTCCGTTCCAAGTTGTCGAGAGCTTCGGGCTGAGACTCGCGAGTCACGCGGACGGCTGCTGCGGCCTCGTCAATAAGGTCGACAGCGGAGTCGGGCAGACGGCGCTGAGTGAGATAGCGCGCAGCAAGTGATGCGGCGCTGACGATTGCTCCATCAAGGATCGTAACACCGTGATGAGTTTCGTATCTCTCCTTCAGACCACGAAGGATGGAGACGGTCTCGGGAATGGTTGGCTCCTTGACTAGAACTTGTTGGAAACGACGCTCGAATGCCTGGTCCTTCTCAATGTACTTCCTGTACTCGCCAAGAGTGGTTGCACCGATACAGTGCAGCTGGCCTCTAGCGAGCATAGGCTTGAGCAGGTTTGCGGCATCCATTCCACCCTCGCCGCTGGATCCAGCGCCCATGAGCAGATGGATCTCATCGACGAAGAGCACGATCATTTCTTTAGAGTCTTCAATCTCCTTCAAGACACCCTTCATGCGTTCCTCAAACTCTCCGCGGTACTTGCTGCCGGCAACCAGAGCGCCGACGTCAAGCGAAAGCAGCTTGCAGGCAGCCAAATTGGCGGGCACATCTGCGTTGACAATTCGGAGAGCCAGGCCTTCAACGACGGTCGTCTTACCGACACCAGGCTCACCGATGAGGACGGGGTTGTTCTTGGTGCGTCTCGAAAGGATGCGGATCACTCGCCTGATCTCCTCCTCACGGCCAATGACAGGATCGATCTTGCCTTCTCTTGCCATTGACGTCATGTCGATGGTGAACTTCTTGAGGTTCTCGTTCTCCTCTTCCGAATCGGCCGTCTTGGAGTCGACGCGCCTCGAGCCTCTGATCTGCTGGATTGCCTGGTCGACTAGGTCCGGCTTGGGGATGTTGGCCTCGGCGAGACATCTTTGGATGGTGCTATCCTGGACCAGCGACTGGATAAGGTGATCGACGGCGACATAGCTGTCCTTCTGGGTCTTTTGCAGCTTTCCTGCGGCCTGTAGGACTTTGGAGAAGGACGGCGACAGCGAGATGTGGTCGGGCGGCGGGTCTTGGCTAGGCAAGCGCACTAGGGCTTTCTTCAGCGCTCTGTCCAGCAGCTGAGGATCGCCGTGAGCGCGCTCGACGACTTGCTTGAAGAGCGGTGTGGGGTCGCCGGGGCCATTTTGCTGGTCCTTGGACATGTCCGGCGGCGGGTCGATGAGGGCGACGGCGAGATGGAGGGGTAATAGTTGCGAGTGAGAGTATTGTTGTGCGAGTTCTTGGGCGTCGTTCAGAGCCTTGGAGGCCCTGTCGGTGAATTGCATGCCAGAAGTCATTGTGAGTGTGGGGTATCAAACAGTAGAAACAAAGAGAGAAAAGTGTGCGGTTGTTTGTGTTGTGTTGTTTGAAACTTGATTGTGTGAAGTCAGGCAGCAGCTAGGTAGAGGGGTCATTTATGTTTGGGCGGCTGCGACTGCCAGAAGAAACTGGGCAGCGGGCGAGGCTTCTCGAAGTGATTGGACAGAGCTCGAGGGTGCCAGCATCATCCCGCGTGAGAGCGAAGCTTCCCGACGCTTCCAAGCCCTTCGGCGCCGAACCGGCGATCCCGAGACGTCATTGCGGCTTACATAAGGTGATCGTTGCTTATCGATATGCTTGATGCGGCTTAGCGTTTCCGCGCCCCGCGCCTGTCATAGCTCGCGGGCCGGGGTAGCTCTGCGCCAATCTCACGATACTAGCGCCGCCGAAGGGACGAGAACACCATATCTGCAGTGCGGATCCCCTAAACCCTATTGCTATGACGCATGGTTGCTGGGTTTCTGAGTAGTGGCGCGCACGGTCACCAAGTGGGGAACTGGAGAATACTCGAGCATCAATGACCAGATTGTTGCTTCCACGCTGTCGTTGCAACATTTTGCCATGCCACCCACCCGCCGGAATCCGCCGGCCTCTAGATCGCTATGCACTCATCCTCACGATGCTATTATGATTTACAAAAGAGAAAGTGCCCGGAGCACTTGGGGGGTATACTGCTGCTGGGGACTGGGGAGGATAACGAACGTGGGGAAATCTCGGGCTTTGTTGCGTGTTTCGAAAGAGAAAGAAATCTCCAGGAGCATCGGAAAGTGAAATGCCATTCTCCTTGGCCCCGCAATGTTCCACACTTATCCTTGCCTTTGCTTGTAGGCTAGCGGCGATGCTGCCTTGTGCGACCCCCTGTACGGATCGCGCACTCTTCCGCCTCGGACCACTGGTGTAGATCCCGTGCAAAACACACAGACGTATACTGACGGCAGTAGCTCAGCTTTGGGCGGAAGCCCCATGCAGCGTGCATGCTGCCACTTGGCGCAGGACTCGCATTGGATCATGAGTTGGCCGTCCCAGCCTGTCGACTGGCACACGCACCGGGTGCCCTCGCTCGACTCACTGCTTCGCTCCGTACCCGGAGTGAAAGCCGATCCTTCCGTTGCCTTGCTGCTGGGCGTCGAACTATCAAGAAACGGATCGGCCAGAGTGCCAAGCCCGAGATTCATCTTCGACACGTCCGCCGATGCTCTCCACCGCTGGTTGTGTGCTTCAAGCATCCTAGCATTAGCTGCGCTGGTCGTCTCTGATGTGCGAGTTAGCAACTTCGTCCTCTGGAACATCAATTCACTGACCCTGTCGTTTGTGCTTGGCGTCCGCCACCACCTTCTTCAACGCATCCTGAGCGCCTCCGTTATTGCCATGCCCAACCTCGCTCGCTGGTTTATCTTCTTTCCGTAGATAGCCCCCAAACGGACTGCTGATGCTGCTTCTTCTGGAGTCGTCACGAGGTTTTCTAGGCGTTGATTCCGTCGATAGTCTTCCCAACCTCTTCGAAAGATTGTCCGTGAACGAGAAAGACCGCGGGTTCTTCACCGAGTGTGGCCTTGCCGTTAGACTCGGAGTCCTCCCGTGCTTCGAAGCAGACCGCGGCAGCCCGGAAGGCACGCTGAAAGACGTGCTCCTGCTGGCTACGTAGCTTTCTCGGTCGGATTCGGAATCGCTATCGTCATCCCACAGTCCCGAATAACGGGTACGATGATCGACATGTTTCTTGTCTTCATCCCCATCTCGCACAGTTTCAGTTCTGGCTCGTCCAGACTCATCGACAATCAGACGTGTCTTCGGCCGTGGGAGCACATGTTCAGAGATTGCGGGGAGGGTCGATTGATTTGCCCGTTTCAAAGGTGAGGTTTTTCGCACAGGCGGCACGGCGCTGCTGGAATTGCCGAATGGAGTTTCACTAGGGAGAGCAGTTTTTCTCACGAATCCGGCATGCGTGTTACTTCTCTGGAGGCTAGGCTTGGAGCATGCCGCCGTGGAAACGGAAGAGGAGGCAGTACTTGTGCGGGAATGCGGCCCGCTCAGTTTCCGGGACACTTCCTTCTGCCTCTCACATTCCCTGACCTGATGCTCGTAGGGTTGTCTCCTCTCGAGTGTGGGCGCCTTCTGCGGACGCTGAGGCGAAACCCAAGTATTGCCCAAATCCGACGAGCTTCCACTAAAACTAAACAACATACTAGGGTCAACTCCCGACGTGGTCGGGACGAAAGGATCGTCCAGTATGGCCGCTCCGCTGCCCGTGATATTCTGCAGGTCGGAGGAAGTTGTTGCCAGCATGGATGGCGTTTGCGTCCAAGCATCGTCCGCCACAGCCATCGAGGCCGAATCGACACGGCTCGTGTTTGTCGGCGTAAGGCTCGGCCATTGGAACATGTTGTGGCTATTTCCAGCTGCGAAACCAAAGGGATCATCTTGGGCAGGCGCGGTATCGAAATGCATCATTTCCCCCGAGCTGCTTGGATTGAAGAAAATCCCTGCACGAGAGGGCCCGGGAGCCGTAGATGGGCCCGCATTGCTAAAGCGCGTCATCTCCGGGGTGAATTGCATGTTGGGAAAGATGGGAACGTTCGAATCCTGACCGAAATGGCTGCCAGGAATGGCTGGGGCGGAGTCTCTCCTGGAGTAGATGGTTGAGGGCGTGTTGAAGCTTAGCGGCTGGCCGTCCTGACCCCGTTTCCTCGACGACGATGCGTCCCTGGTGGGAGGGGGCGTCTGCATCTGAGAGGGATCCATGCTGCTTGCGGCCAGGGATTGTGTTGGTCTGATATTACTCTGGCCGGATTTCAACGGAGTAGGACTGGAGGCCAACCGGCGGGAGGGCTCAACCGGAGGCAGCGGCAGGTTCGGGTTCGGCGAATAGTGATTAATGTGGAATTCAGGGTCTTCGGGATCCTGGCTCTTGTGGCTGTAGGAGCTCAAGGGCCGATCACGCTCTCTCGTGCGTGGGAACAGTGGCGTCTGGGAGGGAGTCTGTTGCACATTTGCTCGCGGTGTCGACCAAGCTTCTAGAAAGTGGGACGGAAAAGAGTCCGTTCGGGGCGTTTGGAGAGACGCATCGGGGAATGTGGCGGACTTGGGCGTCGAGCTGGGGCTTGGTAAACGCCAATCTGTGACTCTGTCGACGACAGGCATGGTCAGCAGGTGGGTCGACTAAATAGAGAGCACGACGACGGGGCAGCTAGGCGGCAGCCAGGCAGCAGCAGCGGGGAGGGCGAATAAAGCTGCAACGAAGGAGCGGCTGGCGTAGAGATGAAAAATCGAGGGTCACACCAAAAAAGACGAGCAGGTCGGATACGGAAAGGCCTACCCGGACATGTGCTGCTGATCCAGATTCATGACAGAGACACCCTGCAAAGCTCCCCTCCAGCCTTCGGTCTGCTTCGTGTGTCGGGGCCCTGGGCGTGAGGGGCTGGCTCGGAGACGCAAGCGGGCGAGTCGCGTGGGCAAATATTTGTCGACCGAAGATCAGACGAGCGTCGAGCAGACCCGCAGGCGGGCAATTGGGAGGGCGGCCACGGGCGGCAGTCCGCTACAGCAAGCTGGCGTCGCGCATCAAGCGGGAGACGGGAGCGGCGGGCGTCGTGGAGCTGCGAGTCGCGGGCGGGAGCTGCTGCGCTGCGCAGCGGCGAGGCGTACGGCTGTCTCTGGTGACGTTGGAGCGCCCTGCCCCAGGAGTAAGTGAGGGCGGCCCTGTGGAGGGCCAAAATTAAGCGTCGAGCCCTGGGCAGGACGGGTGCTGGAGCTGGGGCTGGGGCGATAAGAGGCGAGGGCCGGGGCTTCAGGCGGACGGGGCGTGCATGCTGGCTGGCGGGGACGCTGAGGTTCACCTCAGAGTAAGGACGGCCATGAGAGCTGCTGTTCCTGGCGATGAAGAAAGGCACGGCAGCATGTCCTGTGCCACACATGCCTGGCCGGCCCCGATCTGCGGATCCACGCCGCTGCCCGTCTCTATTTCTACAAACACCCAGCGCTCCCGCCCAAACCCACCCGCGCGGCGCCGCTGCTGCCTCTGCGGTGGGGGCTCCGCCGGGCCCCCCTGCTGCACCGACTGGCCGCGGCGCCCGCCAGCTCAGCACCTCCGCGCCATGTTGCAGCAATTGACGAATCAAGGCCGCCGTCGCCCGTTGACTCAGCGCCGCAGATCCGGGCCTCCGCGTCCAACAGCGCCCGTTTCCCCTGGCGACGACTCAAATCGCCCGTGTCGCAAGTCGTATGCTACCGCTGCTGTGCGCCCTAGGCATCGCCTGGGCCTGCAAGGTACGCCGCCCGGATATTGCATTCCACTCTCTCGCGCCGCCTCGTGAGACCACGACGCTCCCGAAAGAGCCCGGGACTTTAGGAACCACTTCCGCCAACCTTAAATCCATGGAGAACGCCGCCGCTGCCTGCCGCAACTTCGGCTCAAGATCCCGTCGACGAGAAGAATTCACACTGCCCAGAGCCAAGTTCATGCGCATTCCGCCATTGAATCAATCACCCCGGGGACCGACGTTTCTCACTTCAGCTCACGCCTCATCGAAACCTCTACTACTCAAGAGCAACGGCCCGCCTCAATCACTGGCATGTATCTCTCGGGATTTCTAAACGTACCATGATTTAATAATAAGCCCTTTGGATGTCTGATTCCACAAAGGCGACTAAGAAAGCTTGCCCAACCTGACTATAGTTCGTTCGATTCAGGAAAATTTGAAAACAGAAAAGGGACCAGCCCCCCGTTCCCAAGATTCGGCAGTCTCGAGAGCCATGGACGGGATAAAGTCCATGGTGCTCCAAAAGTGACGCTAGAAAAGGCTAGTGTGCTTTTGTTATCAGATTTTCAACCCTGGAATATGGTGTAATCCATGTCTTCGTCCAGGATATTCGGGATCCGCACCATCACGTTTTCGAATGCGTGGACGTCAAATGAAGCATTCGCATCCATCATCGCTTCGTTGAGATGGTTCTCAAACAGCGCGTCGTCCGGTAGCGTGGTTGACGACGGCCCCGGCGTGGACTGCTGGTTGGAAGTGACAATATGCGAGAGCGATTCGTGCAGTTGTATAAATCTGTTGAGATAATTGCGGCCCTTGGCTACGTGCTGTAGTAATCGCGTGCACGCCATTGATAATGCCTGATGATCGGCAGAGTAACGCTGCGAAGATTTCCTGAAATGATGTCAGGAATAGACCTGGTAATGGATATCGTTCCTCGCTCACCATGCACAGTATATCCACACCAGCCCGGCCATCAGTATGTCGTGAAACGTCCGCCATGAGGGGCACAAGCGTGATCTCTCCATCAATTCCGTCCAGCTCATCAATGCGAGCCTGCTCGCCTCTGCGCAAGACTCAATGGCTTCTGATGACGGCTCTGGAAATGAAGGCGAAGGACGATTGCAGGTGAGCGTTGTAAGAGAAAACCAGATCTGCATCTCCAATGATTCAGGTTCATTCAAGTTTGCTATATGTTCAGCTTCAGCCCGCTAAAGCACCGTTAGCTGAGCACATTCATAATGCGAGACGGCACATACCCAAGATGCTAGTCGCTTCCGCAGACTATTTGCCAGGTGCTGCATGGTATCAGCCGCCATTGACAGCCGTGGTCTTGCGATGTAGACTGATTCAAGAATATCCCCACCAATTGCGTGGAGCTGGAACATCAGGGTGGCCGGCACGACGCCTTGAGTATGGAAGAATCGTGCAATGGCTTCCTCATCTGGATGCAAGACATCGTCCTGGATACTCTGTGGAAATGCTGCGTCAATAGCTTGGTTGCGCAAGGAGAGAGGTCTCCCCATGGAGACGGCGATCATCCTGCTCTGTGTAAGTCGAGTTATTTGAAGATTGACTTAGCGTTAAGCCCGATGTGGAGCGGATTTGAAACAAGGCGAACAGGCATGTCTGACTTAAGTTAGGCAGACACCCACATGGATCACCTACCCCAGAGAAAATCACCAACATACCTTTCTAAACCGTAAGTGCACCACCAGGTGCGGTTTCTGAGCTCAAGGTCTACAACTCCGAACTCCCAGTTTGGACTGTTGCGATGGCACCCCAGCTCAATAGCAATGCTCATGGTCAATCGACTAATTTGCCAGAGATTCAGGCTATCCGCCGGATTCCCAGAGCGCATCATCCACAGCATCAAGAGCAGTAAAGAGTGCAATGTCCGTAGCTGTGGGTCTTCTAATGTCACATCGTAATAACGAAGGGCAGTCGCCAAATAGCTATCTGCGGAAAACAAGAGGCTCAAACGTGGCACCTCCGGGGCGTCTTGTGCCTCAACAGAAGCTATTGCTAGTATGATGAATACAGCGAACTTTTGGAAATTATCGCACGTCTGGGGTGTATCGTATATGTTGGTGAACCAGTGCCGAAGCGAGGGGAGGTGCAAGAAAGGCCACCACGTATGTATGCGGGATATGAATATGGCCAACAGTGTCTTCGCAGTGGCTTTAGATGGTAGGCATGCCTGCGTCGCGGTTGGTTCGAAGCTTCTTTGGAGCATAGTTACGGACGGTCGCACATCCTGGAACGGAATGTTGGTGGGCCCAATCCTAAGGTTTTTGAGGAGAATCTTGGTGAAGGTGCTGCCCGCAGCACTACCAACTGCTCCTGTCAGCCTGGGGGACGAAAATAAAAAGGAGGGCAGACACAAATGTAGGCTCGGTCGTGCGATCGCTTTGACAATCGTTATCGCTACGTACCGTATCTGTGAGAAGAGCCGTCCAGCGCGCCCAAAGCCAGGTTTCCTACTTCCTCAGCCACAAAGTCACCAGTGCCTCGCTCCGTCCTGGGAATCTCCGCCTGCAGTAGCTGCGTCTCCACATCGTGGCTGTGTCCAGTCTCCAGCGGTTCGCCGTGGAGTCGCTCGCTCGTCGAGGTAGTGTGGAGCTGTGCCACTTGCTGTTGGAGCGTCTCGACCTGCTCCTGAAGGTGGCGCACCGTAGCGTATGAGAAGGTGACGCACGTGGTTATGTTGCACTCGGCGTCAGACCGCCTACACGCACCGCATTGTGGAATGACGCCGTCGCACTTGACCTTGCGTAGGTGGCATCTAGCGCACGCGCGGAACGACGTGGGAACAACAGGGACTGGTTGAGCCATGGCAATCGCAAGCGTCCAGTCAACATTAGCTTTGAGGGTGAATGGTCAACCAGCAGAGGAGACTTGCGAATCCCGGAAGATAGAGCAGAAGCGTTTGTGATGGGGCTTCCTAGAGGGATCTAGGTAGCGCTGCCACCAGAAGTGGTCAGCAAGCATCAGAATTTCGAAATGACGCTCGGAAGCCCCTCGCAGCGGGAACGCACTTATACCTACGGAGGTAAATCCGGAGCCATCGGATCATCCACGTCTGAATTGTGCCGTTTCGGGCATAAGGGGAAACAAGGGGTACGCAGTGCCTAAACCAGGAAAGCAGTTTGCCATATTACGAGCAGCTTGCCATGTAGCATTGAGCAAACCTCACTGTGTATTGTTAAGCGGGGAGCCAGACAACGCAAAGCAACAAATGTATGCACCTGAGGCGTAGGCTTCCTCAGTGCTGTGATAGGTACCAGTTGTTCTCGTCAAGGATGATATGTGCATAGGTACGGCCAGGCTGTCGCAAGGAGCCCGCCTGTTAGGGGTTCAAAGGCTGTATGTATTGTGAACTTTTCCACACTTCTCGTCATTTTGCTTGACCGCCTCCCTCTAGTGGCCTCTGTTGTCGCCAGTTCCGAAGCTCGGCTACTGTCGCTTGATCATGCTGCGATAATTGAGCGAGTCATGGGCGTTTACGTTCATATACCCCAAAGCAATACAGCAAGTCTATCTTGTATGATAAAAATTCATAGGTTACCCGACATGGTGCCAGCAGCTCATGCTCGGTATCTAAGGCCTCGTTGAATCGCCCTGGATTAGTTGAAAATGGATGCCTTTGCCAAATTTTGGGAGTGCACCTTGTCTCTGCGTTCAAGAAGTACGTGCCTGGCCATACAACATTGAGCATTCAAACGTAAAAAAATGCAAGAAGGGAAGGATACTTGATCGAACAATTGACACTCACGCCCTCTCCGTGATGGTGATGAAGAAAGGCTGCGACGTGGTTTCAGCATGGAAACACGATTCGGCCTTGGCTTCATGAGAGTCAAATTACCCACAGGATATATTGAATTGTTCGCGCTATTCGTTGTGCTGGTATCGACGTGACTGAGCTTGAAGAAGAAACTGGCGATGCCCGAGGGTCGTCAGTCCTCGTCATGAATGACAATGCCGATTTCGTCGGGGTTGGAGGCTTCGGCGGAGCCGTTGGCTGCAGGATCCACAGGATCATCGCTCTCTGAATTACGTCGCTTGAGGCCGTGTCCCAGCTCCTTCTCGCCGTTCTCGGTGCCGTTTGTTGCATTGCAGGCTCCATCTGCATCTCCGTTCTCGACCTTCTTCTGCTGCTTCCGCGCCTTCGCCTTGTCCCGCCTTGCCTTGTTCTTGCTGGTCTTGGCTTCATCCTTTTTGCGCATCTCGGCCATCTTCTCATCGAACTCCTTGTTCTGTTGCTCGCGCTTCGTCTCTTCATCCATCAACCTCAGCCTCTCGTACTCCCGCCGCCGCGAGGCCTTGTAGACGTGGAACTCGCCGGAGCCAGCGCCGGCCGAGGAACCTTGGACGTTGGCAACAATTTCGGGGGGCGGCGGGAGGTTCTTGCTCCGGGGGCCTGTCGGAATGGCGATCTCGCGGTCGGGATGCTTGAACAGGGCGTCGAGCTGGCTTGCTTGGGCAGATCTCGGCGACAGGGCGCGCTTCTTGGTCGGGCGGTGGGTCCGCGGGTCGGCGCTTGTGGGAATGGACTCGGGAATCGGTTCAGACATGGCGGCGAAGGTCAGGTGAGGCTGGCGCAAGGTTGCAAGAAAGTGGGCGCAGGGCAGTCAGCGGGCGGCCTAGGTGTTAGCCGGTGGAGGTTGCGGTGGCGCAGGGTGCAGCGACGATGTCGGCGACTCTGGCGAACGTAGCGCAGCGCGTGATCGCGTGGTGGCGAGAAAGGCGCGGGGAGCCGATTTGTAACAGGCGCGGGCAGATTTGTTGGTGGTGAGGGCGACGCGGGCGGATTGGGTCTGGGTGCCTGTGCTTGTGCTCAGTGCGCCGCCCGCTGCGGGCTGCCCGCCCGACTGTGTCCGATGGTCCGGGTAGGGAATGCGCGAGCCACCCGCCATGCATCGCGCCTTCCGTCCGACAGTTTTCAAACACTGAAACGTCTACCTGCAGCCAAGCCATTCTTGCCCCAAAACCCGTCTTGTTGGGCGCCCCTCGACGAGCCCACTCCCTCTGCCTCCTCCACCAGCGTTGCACGCCAGAAAACGCCAGGCAGCGAAGATGGGCAAGCCACGGGCAAGTATATCACCATACGCTGAGCACTTGGAGACCCCTGTGCTAACAGCCTCAGATGATTATATTGATCCGCCACGCTCAGAGCGAGGGCAACAAGAACCGCGACATCCACCAGTTCATCCCCGATCACCGCGTGAAGCTTACCCCGGATGGCTGGCAGCAGGTCAGCTTAGCACTCTAGCTATCCATGAGTGCCATGCCCGGCTTACGCCCCATTAGGCTGAAGATGCAGGGACCCGCCTCCGCTCGCTACTGAGACCCGACGACACCCTCCAATTCTTTACCTCGCCCTACCGCCGCACGCGCGAAACCACCGAAGGCATCCTCCGCACGCTTACCTCGGACGAGCATACACCCTCCCCCTTTCCACGTCACAAGATTAAGGTCTTCGAGGAGCCCAGGCTGCGGGAGCAGGACTTTGGAAATTTCCAGCCATGTTCGGCTGAAATGGAGAGGATGTGGCAGGAGCGCGCCGACTACGGCCACTTCTTCTACCGCATCCCCAACGGAGAGAGCGCCGCAGATGCATACGACCGCGTCAGCGGCTTCAACGAGAGCTTGTGGAGACTGTTTGGCGAGGAGGACTTCCCTAGCGTATGCGTTTTGGTTACGCATGGCCTGATGACCAGAGTGTTCCTCATGAAGTGGTACGTATTATGTGGATGTAGTGATTTCAGGAGCTACTACAGCAGAACCGTTGGGGCATCATCCTTCCAGTTATCCCCAGGAACACTGCGCCGATTTTGCTGTACTCAATGCTCCAGATCACCGAATATCTTTGTCACTCTCCTTTGGATGCTACAGTCCAAGGTGAATGAAATGCTGATCTCGACACAGGTACCACTGGTCTGTCGAGTACTTCGAGGACCTCCGCAACATTAACCACTGCGAATTCATCATCATGAAGCAGAATCTGGACAACGGCAAATATATCCTAGAGAATGAATTGCGCACGTGGTCAGACCTGAAGCGCCGTACTGCCGCAGCCCACGGAAATTCAACCAATGGCTCGTCAGCAACGACTACAGGGCCTCCACCCCCGCTTTACTCGGATTCTCCCACGCTGGCAGCTCGCCAATGGGGCGGATGTGTTCATGGCTGTAATCATGACAAGATTAACTTTCCCCGGCGCACACGGCGTCAGAACACTGCGGACTTGGACAAGCTCGCAGCATTACCCGGGCCTGCCGTCGCGGAGCCAGAGTCAGAACTGCCAGATAACCCAGCAGGGGCTCATGAAGGAAATGGTGCTCCTGCATCTTCGGACGTGGATGATACACCTACATCATCTGACGCTGACAGCACGAAGCAAAATCCCGCCCCTCGTGCTGTATTACGGCTCCATCCCGGGCGTGACTTTGGCGGGTCACGGTCAGGCGCCGGCACCCCAGCGGAGGGATTCTCAGATGAAAGCGATTACTTCTCTTCTGCCCTTCGGAAGGGCAGCACGCACAGAGAGCGGTCCAAAGTGAGAAGACGGCATGAGAAGACGTGGAAGGAAGAGAGTGGAATGGGTACGGGGGCAAGAGCAGATGCGCTCGGCGACGGAGACAGCGGTGACGAAGCTGGCGATGACGAAGCAGAACTTACCGGAGGTGACAACGCCACAGACGAAGAAAGGGAAGAACTAGTGGAAGCAGCCAAGCTGAAAAGCCGCAAGGGGTTCGGTGAAATCTACTAATTCTACAGGAAGACCAGAAATTGCAAAGCGTAAAGGTCACCAAGATGGCTGGCAGGTATGAACAGACAGGTCCGATCAAGTCTCAGTCCCACTCCGTGGATCTCCGGGCTTTGAGGACGATAGATGATTCCCACGACAGCAATGAAATTCTCTTGGAAACACCACGACGGGTCTGTGAAAGTTGAGATTGTGTGCCCAGGGGAGCACGAATGAAAAGCAACACCAGTACACCGGGCAGCTGTGGTGTGCTGGAACAACGCCGTTGAACAAATACGTGAAGAGATAGTGCCCACAACGCCACGCTGAAGTGCCAATAATACCCAGAAGTCAGTCTCAGACAGCACTCCGTGCCACGCAGCCGGTCAAGAGCTCCGGCGCCCGCCGGTCTTGACGGGGATGGGCCTATTCACGAAGGGCTCGGTGTCGTCGCCGCTGCGCTCTGCCTGGCGCTCCTCGTATTCACGGGACGCCTCCTTGATGTCCTCTATTTGGGCCTGGGAAGAGTCAGAAGCCGGAGTGGGTTGCAGAAGTGGAGAGGCCTACTTTGGTCAGAGGCGGGCCGGCAGTGGTAACGAGAAAGCCATCGCGGCCCTGGCAGCAGCTCGTTAGCACTCGGCAGCTTCAGCATTGCGCTCCGCCAGCTCTCACTTGGTGCGTGAAGGGCCTGACTATGGCATCCGGGCCGCAGTGGTAGCGGATCTCGCCCTGGATGACGGCCCTCGAGATGCCGTAGCCCGGGACGAAGTAGTTGTTTAAGGAGGCTGCCATTCCGGGCATGTTGGAGTCGAGGCGTGGAGGAGTAGACGATTGGCAGCGCTATGAGACGGAACGGGAATGGCGCGGCAGGACAGCCTGTAGAGAGTGCAGTCGCTTGCGATGGCTCGCAGAGTCGCCCACGTCCTCCCGAATCAGGGCTCGCTGCTTAAATACCAGCGAGGCCAAGTCCACTTTTCGCAAATGAACGCCGGGCGTCGTGGGCCATTGGCCTATGGCCGCAATGCAGCAGTGCCGCTGGTCAGGCTCTCGCCTCATTTCTGGCGCCCTATCTGCCCAACCGCCGGCCGGCTCGGGCACCAAAACCGCCCCGTAGCACTCGCGCCGCATCAAAGCAAGCTCCGTCCTCCCGCGCCGTCAGCATCGTCGACCACCTCAGCGCTGCGCTGGCGGGCCAGGCTGGCACGCAGCGCAGACAGCATTAAAACGGGAGTTTGCCACCGCAAATCCCCAGCTGCATCGTTTGCTGTTCCTAGCATCGTCTCTTCTTCAGGCCTCCGGACCGCATCTTGCGGCCAAGCATTCCAGCATCCTAGCTCCGGCGATCATGCAGGATACCAGCAGGACTCAGCGGCAACTTATCGATGCGCTGCGCGCCATCCTCGTGCCACTGGGCAGCCGCTGTCCTGAGCACCGTCGGCCGTTGGATCTGAGACGGTGTGCCGCCTTCCTTTTTGCTGTGCCGGATCTCGAGCCCGCGGGCACACGCCAAACCCGGTACATGGCGGCAGAGCGGGCGTGGATGTCCCCTTCACCACCCATGCTCGCGTAGGGCACTGGTGCGTGCTCCTCCACCCTCGATCAAGCCTAGCCCGCCGCAGGTCCGCGATGCCCACGATCTTGCGTCCCTTCTCCGCATCGCACAGACAAAGCAAACAGGCGGGTCCACGTTGACCAAGCTTCTGCCCCCTTCCACGGCCAGTCACCTGCTCCTCGCCCGCCCCCATCAGCATCCGCGCCGTGGAAGCCGCCGACATCACCACATGCTTGCTGCAGCGGACCCCTCGGACCCAGCCAAGCCGCTGTTAGACGAAGCTCACCGCCCGCTGGGCAAACCAACGTCTGACATGGCCGCCTTCCTGCGGGCCTGACGACAGCAGCGATGGCCCGCAGTGCCGGCAAGCAGGGCCCGTCGGTACGAACGCCATTGGACACCTGCTCGCCGCGCGAGTAAGCCTCACCAAGATATCGCAAGCGCCTGTTGCAGCTTAAACCACCTGTTCCTTCTGACAGGACGCCTTGGGTCATTCTCACGCCCCTTTCAACCGCCGATCCTACACCCCTCACCGTGTCCCACTAGCCGAGAAATCTAGGGTGCTGCAAGCTCAGGTGTCATGCAGCTCACACTTCATCAGCACATCACGGGTGCCCCAACTTTAACCGTTTAGATCCCATGCTCTTTCCACGGCGTTCCCGGACTGCCACTACCGAAGCCGCGCCGTTGGCCACCGCACTCTTCTGTCTCGCACTTGGCTTGTGAACCCTTACACCAGGATACGTGGAGGATGGAACAAGTGACGTTTGTTATCACAAAGCCCTCGAGTCTGCCCGGGCCCCCCGACCATCGTGTCTGCCCACCTTCTGGATTTGTTTCAGGCACTTGCCTCACCCAACGTCCCTGGACCGTCTGCTTTCTTTTGCTAGGGAGGAGTGAGGCTCGGAAGTGAGGAAACAGCCAAGCGAAAGCAAGGAAGTTTGGGGTGACGAGGCGACGAGGATTGTGGCGGGGAGGGGTTTCGCGATGTGATGGTTGGCTGCAATGCATGCATTGGCCTGGCGCCCGACTGGCCGGCCGCCGTTTGCTGCGTTGCATTCCAATTGCAGCCCGGACTGCAGCGCGCAAGCACAGCCGATACGTATGTATGCGTGCGCTGGCATGATCTGACGCTTCCTGTTTAGCTTTCCACTGGGGGTTCATTGAACTCCTTACACCTACTCGCGCTTCTCTCCGCGTGTGATGTCAGCTCCTCTGCGTTGCGTGACTTGGTTGGGCAACCGCACGTCAGCGTCGACCATCCTCGAGCCCAACATGTCGCGAACCGATCGTTGCAGCTCTTGCTTTTGCATACGCGCACCTGCAAGCTCGGTCCGTCCTCGATGCCGTCTTTTCCCGTGTTTCGTGGACTGAAGTCGTGTCCGTTATTCTTTTAATTACACCCACCAGGAGCATCTCTCCTGCGAAGACTGAAGTGGAACCAACGCTTCTGTGAGGTTGGGCTGAAGAGTGGGGGTCTCGAGTCAGAAAAGGTAATACACGTCGCAGTTCAATAACACTTTCAAACTGCTTCTGCAGCTGCTTTCCGTAAGTGATTCAAAGTCTAGGCGAAGTAGTCCATATCAAATCCATTTTTCTCCCCGATAATCCTGTCCCCGCGGTTGTCCCGAGTTCCACTAGAATTCATAAAGGATCGCTCCTATGAAGAATCTCAGCTTCTGGCCATCTTTGAAAGAGTGCCTAATTGATCTATTCGTACAGGAAACCAGGCGTTTGGCATGGCAACCCCCCGTGTATTACGTTGGCACACAAGGTGTTACTCGAGCAGTCCGCTTCCTTCGCAATGGCATTGCGTACGAACACGAACAAAAGCAATTACCTACCCTTAAACCCGTGATACAGATGGTCTAGGACGTGGGGGCCTTAGAAGACGTCGGGCTGCTATCCGGGGCAGCGCTGCACTGCAAGCCACTTCAGGCTCTGGCGCTTAAATCGACTGACGTTTCTTTGTTTTTCAAGTGGCGTCCTCGCTAGTAGCTGACGCGTGTGATGTAGTAAGTTAAGAATTCATTTCTAACCAAGGCTCGACTAGTGCTAACAGTTCACATCCAGGCCCCATACTTTCACATGAGTGCTTCTTCTACGACACCAACTAAGTTATTACAGGCTAGCCCTGCGCGCCACGCGGATGTCTCTCATTTAGCGCACGCTCAGATTGCTGCCTGTCGCCTTCGATGACCACGCGTTTGATTCCGTAGTCATCACGCGATGAAAACGAGCCCACACGGAAAATGACGCTGCTGAGCAGGCATGCAGGTGCGTCACTAGCTATGACAGGTCCTAGATTCGCTCAACAAGTGTACACATTACCCTTGATGTCGCCATAGAGTATTCAGCATCTGGAGTTGAAGGAAACTCGTTGCAGAGAACTCGGCTTCAACAACACCTTTGACCCAGCATGCGCAACCGCCGTTCGCAAATGACCTCGTCTAGTACGGTTCTTGGTATCACAAGAATCGGTGCTGGGAGCGATGCCGGCTGTAGAATGACAACAATATGAGAGGTTAAAGACGGATATTGAGCTGGCAGTTGGCCGACATCGAGACAACGCATTCCAACGCGATCCAGTGTCACCTACTTAAAAGATGACCACCCAGTGGATTCAGTGCTTTCATCGGTTTTTGAGTCGCACCTGTTCCTGGAACGTGTATCCCGAGCCATGCACTATAACCTATTCGCCCTTCTATGTGTAGGAGCGTTACTTGCCGGAATTGCAGTGGCAATACCTGCCGCTGCCTTCATCCAAGGCGTGAGTAGTTGAATGAAATCCTATTTATTCTCCAATATCCTCACATTATTACTCACAAATCTTCCCAGTCTTACATGTGCAAGAGTGTGTTCTGGAGTAACGAAACAAAAACACCCAGGTTCCAGTGCCAGTGGCTTCAGTATCTTGGCCCCCGCTGTATCCACCTGTGGGGCGTAACAAATCGGGAGAAGTGGTACGTTCAAGCATCCCAACACGTTATCAACCTCGCCATCTCTCGTATGTCAACGTCTATTTCATACCGTGAAACTAATGAATGGATTCTTTCGCATCAGGTACCGCCAAATATCGTCATACGGCCCCGACCCGGGTCTACTTTGCACAATATACGAGTAGGTCTTCACCAAGTCTACGCCTTGCTCTGCTATTCGCCGAGGGACGATACTGACACATTCTGGCTTCGATTCAGGGGCGACAACTGCACGGGGTGCAACTGGACGCTACAATATCCCGGCATAGATGATCTAAGGCTGATAGGATGGAATGACCGCGTTGCAAGCTATTCTTGCATAGATAATCCTGATTGAATGGCATATTACGACCCCATGCCCCTCTTTCATGCCGCAGATCCATACAACAGGTTTTACAGCCCCCAGAGAGTGGGATATAAGTGGAAACCGTCAAAGCACTTTTCCCCTTCTATCATCTCAATGCCAGCGGGCTCGTAACAGCGTGAGCCGACGATCCTGGATCTTGCCTGATTCTACAGTCAAGTATCAGTGATGCCTAGCGCCCACACGTCATATCACGGACAGAATACCGAAATGGTTTTCCTTGTGGGACTGAAACATATCCTCCGACGCTGCATGATGGTCCCTCGGGATAATGTTGTCGATCCACGTTTCGGCTAACGACGGTCGCTCGGTGCAAAAAGGGGTCGGTGCTTCCTCAACACCAAGCTAGCAAAAAAGCAAAAACGTACAACAGCCGGGATTCCCCAATGGTCACCCACTTGAGTACTAATCGGCCGGTTCGCAGCTTAAGTACGGCTGAGCGGACGGGAAGCCCTGCATTCTGCGACCTATGGTCGTACGTGAGGGAGGGAGCTGCGAGTTGCACTTATGTTTCCAGTCACCGGTCAGCCGCCAGGCTGTCGACTGGAAACTCGTGATGGACTGGTCAGCATGTGCACAAGATGCAATCTAGGAGTCTTCGGGTCCTGATCTGTGTTTGTGTGTCGTAAGCCTTGCTTTTTTGCGACCTATGGTCGTACATGCTGCCGTCCTCAGCATGTCTTGTGCAATAAGCTCTCTCGGAAGACAACACATGGAAAATTACATTTCCGCGAGGGAGAGAAGTGCAAACGCCACAGTGGGAGTCAGTTCCTGCTGCTTGATTATGCTCCAGCAGGCATGATCCTGGTTGTCGAGGTATTTTGTCTGCCCTTCAGCTTCTAATTTTCGTAAGTGGGCGCCTGCGGAATGTAGATTGTCACTGCAGCAGGGCAACAAAAATCGGGGTTCCTTACTGCACTGAATCGCCGTTGTTCGTGATAGTGTGGGGTCAGGCCACAGTGATTGGCCACGATCAAGAACTGCAGACGAGCTTCATGGGCCGGCAATCGGCTGCCCCGGAGCTGAACGTGAGGCGAGCAGCCCCGACCGCCTCACGAATTGACGCCTCAGGGGAACGCTTTCTCAGGGACCAGATCAGCCGATAGGGTCGGTGATCGTGATGTGCTCGCTTCGACGGGGAAGCGGCCAATTTGTCAAGCCCGACGACTGCTGCATGTCTTTCGACGGTGGCAATTGAACGTGTGCCACACAGGCACACCACGGCTTGTATTTCCGCTTCAGGAAATGGCGGGCCGGACCGCGGAACCCTGATCAATGCCAAAGTGCCCGGGGGGTGCGTCTCAACAGCGAACGCCGAACCCCTCCCGTCGTGATCCTCACTGGGCAGACATCGGCGCGATGAGGCAGGGCAGGTCGTTGGACGATTAACAGATGTCTGCAGCCCAATCGTGTAACAGAACGTCTGACAGCCGCCTCGCCAGCCCACCAATTAATGCACGTAATTGCGGCTAGAACGGCCTTTTCCACCTCTAGCTGCAAGTACCTGCATGCAGGAACAAGCCCTTCGGATGTCCGCCTATTGTCGACGCCGGCAGTTGGCAGTAAGCATGCAAGCCTCGTGCGGCGCATAGCATTCCATGTGTTGGGCTTTCATGCGGCAAGCAGTCTCGGCCCAATGTTGCACAAAAGATGGCAAGAGAATGCGTCGCCCTGCGTCGCACTGTCCCACTTGTTCCTGCGATAACAATATCCTTTATTACATCCTGTTCTCCTAATTCTGGTTAGCTTCATTTGACAAAATATTTGATCAAATAATGTCAGCGGATAATTCTACCCAGAAGTGAAGAGCAGTGAAAAGGCCCCATTTGGAAGGTCAAAGGTGAACCCCAAGATTAATTCATTACTCGTAGATATACCAACGGCATTACAGGTTCATATCCCTTTTCAACGTTACCATCTTCATCAGCCCGATCATTAAATTGTGAGGGTGGCATTCAGCCTCAAATCCCTGCTGCTAGCCCCGACCCACACGGGGTACTCGCCAGTCTGGAGCTCCCACTGCTGAGCCTCAACATTCCACACGCTGAGATCCCTGCGCGTCAGCGGGAAGGTCGCCGTGACCTTCTGGCCAGGCTCGGTCGCCACGCGGTCGAAACCACGGAGCTGGCGGACGGGGCTGTTCGGAATGCCGACGTACAGCTGCGCGACTTCGTGGGCGGTGTAGTTTCCAATGTTCTCGATCTCGGCGGTGACGTTGAAGAGAACATCCCAGAGGGCTGGGTGGCCTCCTTGAACGACGGCAGCCTCAGGCGGGAACGCATCGGTGTTGCCGTCCAGAGCATTGACTTCAACGTTGGAGTACTCGAACTCGGAGTAAGAAAGGCCGAAGCCAAACTCGAAGCGCGGCTCAATTCCGTCCTTGTCGAAGGCTCTGTAGTCGATGTAAACGCCCTCAGTAAAGTCCGACTGCGGGAACCAGCTCTCATCGACGGTGTGGTTTAGGAGATGACCGTAGTCCTCTTCCTTCTTCGCGACAGTGTAAGTAAGCTTGCCGCTGGGGCTGACATCACCGTACAGGATATCAACAAGGCTGTGGCCGCTTTCCTGGCCGGGGAGACCAGCAAAGATTACAGCCGTGATGTTCTCATGCTCGATCCAGGAATCGACAAGACGAACGCCGGCAGAGTGAACAACAACGACCGTGTTTGAACAGTTCGTAGCCACGTTGTTGACCAGATTGTCGCTGAACTCATCCGTAAGAGACGGGCGGTCGAAGGACTCAGATGCATAGGCGTTGATGAACACGAGGCAGACCTGAGCGGTTGCAGAGACGTGGGGGTTGACATCCCAGAAGTTCCAGCGAAGGATACCATGGTCTTGGACAACACGATCCTGAATGGCCTTGAAAGGAGAGACCACATATGGCGGGGAAGCGCCACCAGAGCCGCCACCAGTAATTAGAGTGCCGTTGAAAGTGTTCCAGCCGTAGTTGACCTCATAGCCACCACCGTAGCGAGCCACATTCTCCCACGGCACAGCCTTGACCTCGGCATCGTAGCCGTAGACAGCAACAAACTTGGGGCTCTTAAGTGGTAGAGTGTTGTTCACGTTCTTGACAAGAACGTGGCCTGCGGTTCCGACCTCACGGATCACCTTGTCATGCTCTCCACGAACATCGACAATTGGGTGTTGAACAGTGTCAGGGAAAACACCGACTTCGGGGTAGTCCTCATCTTGGCCAAGGAAATACCAGGCAGCCAGGACACGGGTGGCCATGTCATCCAGACGCTCGGCAGTGACGGATCCATTGTTAACAGCCTGGGTCAGGTTGGCGCCCCAGTAACCGCCATCAGGCATGACAACGTCAAGACCAGCGTTGGCCGAGGCGATGCCAGTGTGTTGGGCTTGCCAGTCACTAACCACGAATCCCTCGAAACCCATCTCGGTCTTGAGGATTCCGTTCAGCAGCTTGGAGTTCTGGCAAGCGTACGAGTTGTTTGCGCGCTGGTAGGAGCACATGACCGACGCAGCACCAGCCTTCAGAGCATCATAGAAGGGCCAAGCGTAGAGCTCGTGAATAGTCTTGTCGTCCACGTTAGAGGACATGGCATGTCCTTCCGGCTCGGGACCAGAGTTGCCATTGGAAGGCATGACATTAGATTGGTTGGGCATGCGGCGATACTCTTGCTCGTTCAGCAGAAAATGCTATGTCGGGATTAGCAAGTCGTGAGCATTCAGAAGAAAAGAAGACGCACCTTTGCAACGGCGATGACGCCGGCGTCTTGCATGGCTCTGGTAACCTCGTGCATGCCGACACCAGCCAGATACGGGTCGTTGCTGAGGCCTTCCCAGTTACGGCCACCGCGGGCAATCCTTCCAAGAGGTCCGGCAACCGGACCAAGGGCAACATTGATGCCTTTGTCGTGGTACTCTTCGCCAATAGCCTTGCCGTAAGCATACATGAGGTCCCTATCCCAGGTGGTTGCAAGATGCAGCTGCGAAGGGAATGCCGAGACAAAGTCGGTACCGCGGACGCCATCAGGGGCATCGGCGAAGCAGAAGGGCTCAATTCCTAGGCGGGTAATCGCACCCGTGTTGCCCACGCAGCTCCCGGTGTAGCCACGGGTGAGGTTGGACTTCTCATCCAGCGTCAGCTGGGCAACCAGAGCACGGGCTTTCTCATAGGCGGTGGCCCAGGCCGTGGAAGTGTTACCGGATCCCTGAGCTGGAGGTAGTTTAGCTTACTGCCTCTATCGGCAGGGGGGGTCACATACGAGAGGGGTAAACGGGCGGGCTCTGGCCGTAGAATTGGAGCTCCGAGGGCTGGTTGGCCCAAGTATAGTTCTCGGCAGCGCATGCCGGAGCAGCAGCGGCCAGGACGGAGGCGACGGCGTAGGTGGCAGACCTCATGGTGCGTCTTTGGGAGAAGCTGGAGTTGGCGGACTTCCCTTGGAGCTCTCAATTGCGGCAGCGGTCCTGCTGGCATTTTATAGCGGAGTGAGCCGTCCGGACGTATGTTCTCACGACATCGTGCCGATGGGGTGCTTGGCAAGATGGCTCCTACTCTGACCATAACATGGAGTCAACAGCCGCAGTAGGCCCGACTACAAGGAGGGGATTCAACGCAAGGTGCGGGAGAACGCCGGGGAATGCGGAGATGGTGACGAGAAGAAGCGATCAAGCCGACAGAAAACTGTCTAGCGCGCGGGTCGGTCTCGCGGTGTTGAAGCGTTTTGCCGACGATGCCGAAGGAAACAGCGGAGCTTCGTCTCCTTGGCAGACGCAGGTGGAAAGTTGGGGGTGGTGACATTGGCGTGATTCGCTGCGGCAGTTGCGACTTCCGGCTTCGGCTGCGAGTCGTGCGCCGGCCGACTTCATCCCACTCCATGTCACTCATCGTCAGATGGAAGGAAGGTCAACGCGCATCAATAGTGCCATCGCACGCGAGCATGATAACGACAAAGGACAACAGAGCAAGCATCGCTGCAGTGCCCAAGGCAACAGACGGTCTGCCACTGACACAGGCGGCAGCGTGGCCAGATGTCTTTCTCCACGTCGTGGACCTCATCGCGCCCTGATCTGCCCACACCCCGGCCCCGGAGCCCCGCTCTGGCTATTCGTCGGCAGCGGGGCGCTTGCATTGCCCAGCTCGGCCTCCTCTCATCCCGGGAGCCCGCCGGTCTTTCCACTCCCGCTCTGCGCCATGCTCGCCGGCGCCGCGTCTTTGCTGAGGTTCAGGTTTTCGCCCTTGAAGTGGACGTGGCCGTCGCCGACAAAGCCGGCCTTGGCCACGTCGTCGCACTTGCTGTGTGCCGTCGTTCAGCCTTGCGCTCGACGCCGCAGGCTCTGGATGCTGCATACCTTTGGCCCGATATCCGCTCGAGCTTTGCGTCGAACTCGCGGAACCTGGTTGGGCTGTTGTTCTTGACTTGATCCATGCTGATTGGCCGAGACTGCCGCTGACGTCAAGGACCCTGGTTTTGGCAGGAACGGGCAGTCGCAGAGGGGGAGAGGAAGTTGCAGAACAGCGCGCGACAAGGCAGCAGAAAAACGCTTATATCTCGCTGGAAACCTGCGTGTGCGACATTTTTGCTACTGGCCGTGCGACCACCTGCGATGACGTCTGGCCACGAGCTAAAGAGCGACCCCAAAAGAAACTCTTACTAACCCCGTCGCGGCTTTATTGCCATTTGCCAGAAACTCGCTCAAAACACATCCCCTTTCCATCTGCATCTACATGAGACATCTATTTCATTTGTTCTGGTCCCTTCCAGCTCTACATGTATCCGTGAAACCTGCCGTTTACTGTTTTGGGGATCTCGTGATGGGTCTCAGCCAATCACATCGCGCGGCTCGCTCAGGCCGCAACCAAAAAAACCGATCAGACATTATCATGCCGAACCAGTCCTCTCGAGCTTTCGTTGCCTTCCGGGCCGGCCAAAAATCCGCCTTCCCTTCAAGCGCGACAGAAAAGGCCCCCAAGTTTGACAATGGACCATTTCGGCCCCCATCTTCATTCCAGCACTAGATGGCCGTTTAAGCCCCGCATGGCGTTTGGCTAGACATTCGAAGGATTCAGCTGCGCGACCGCCACATCTGCTGTGCACCACCCGACAGGCCAGTGAAATAGCCTGGCGACAGATGACCCATTCCGCTCCGCGCTCCGCCAGGGCCTATCTCTGAATACGAGCCCAAAGGCTGCTTGGCAAGGCGGCCTTGGGCCTGTCAAGACTTCTCTTTTGTCTCTGGGCGGCTGAATCCATTCTCCACTCTGGATGAATCTGCAGAAACCCTTCATTTCCCACGTGTCTCTCTGTTTTCATTCAGTGGAGTCACGACGAAAATTGGACAGCAGAGTCTAACAGCACAGCGAAATTGTGCTACATAGCAATATGAGCTCACCCACACCGACGACTATCACAGAGTGAAGTGAACTTTCGGTCCCTTCTCCGGCCGGCTAACAAGCGACGCACCCACCTCAGCCGGACCGGTCTGTCTCGACCAGGCTCCTGCCGCTGCACCATTTTCGCTTTCGCGCGCCCAATTCAGCCTAGAACAGCTGATCCCCTTAACCATAAACTCAATAAGCATATCTTGGCTCCACACAGACCCCTTCGCCAGAGCTGTGCTGTACAACCCGCCAGAACGCCTTTTGCGCCCCTTCACACCCAGCTGCACGGGCGGCATAGAAATTACGGTTAAAAATAGCCTTGTCGGTGAATTGGATGTGAAACTTTCCCTCTATGGTATTGTCACTTGCAGCTCGCTTCGCCAATGGCGTTCTTCCGGGGTCTCGCGTAGACCGCCTCGGCGGATGGAAGCATGGACTGTGGCTGGCAGGCAGCAATCAGGGAGGAACTGGCGTTGGGGAAGGATTCCGCCGGCGGAGATTGACTTGTCAATCAGCTGCCAAGAACTAGATGGAGGCAGCTATTTTTCCTTGAGGCCGGGCTCATCATATAAGGTTGGCTCTATCCCCCAAATCACGGCTGTACTTCTTTCACCCGACTCATTTGATACCCATATCGTCCTCACGTCACCATGCGCTTCTCTGCCTCTTTTGTTGTCTGCTTTGCCGCGACCACGTCTCTTGTCGCGGCTAAGGAGTGGACGAAAACCGAAGTGACTCCCAACGAGTCTCTGCTTCTTGCAAGGCAAAGCTTTGATTCATGCACTGGCCTCAGCTGTGCCAGCTGCTTTGGCGCTGGCAACATCGTTTGTGCTGGCAACTCCTGTTTCAATCCGGACGCTGGCGAGCAGTGCTGTTCTGACGGAAGTAAGACCCCTAACCTCACTACCATCGCTCTTCCTGTATTAATCCATTTGCCCGGCAGGCTACTGCGTTGGTCCGGACACCAGCTGCTGCACGAACGGTCCTGGCGTGACGGGCGGCCCTGAGGACGACACGCCCACTGCCACGTCCGACTTCGCTCCCTCCGCCACCTCTGCAGTCGCGAGCGCTACTGCAACATCTTCTGATTCAGGGGATGACGAGTGGGACTGCTCCGCTTCTGATTCTGGCGAAGAGTGCTGCCAACGCGGCGGCGATGAGTACCACTGGTGCTGGGGCTTCTTCCCCACGAACTACTGCTATCGTCCCTCGCTCGGCGAGGTCTGCTGCACCGATGGAAGCAGCTGCACTGGCGGTGCTGACTGCTGCTCGGAATACGTGAGTTCAGCTTTATCACTGAAGCAGTCTGAGTGGATATGATACTGACGATCGAGCAGGGCGCTGTGGCAACGACCCCCAACCCAGCGGACAGCGCTCCATCCACCACCGCCGCTTTTAGCAGCACAAGATCCACGAGCTCTTTCTCTTCCGGTGCCACTTCTTCCGGATTTGATTTGACAAGTGGTCCTGTTTCGACCACTAGCAGCCGCTCCAATCTCTTCAGCACCGGAAGTGCAACCGCCACAACTACCGGACCGCTCCAGGTTACTGCAGTTGGAGGTGCAGCGCGTGCACAAGACATGTTCGCCGCCATTGGTGTTGTCGGAGCTGGTCTCGCTCTCCTATGAACGCGTGTTCGGGAACATTTGTTTTAGCCAAGGAGAGAGTGGGTTACATATGCAAGGAAGGATCTTGGGCCTGGAAATTGTGTGCCCGGATGGAGATATCCGTAATGATGTAGGATTTAATGCTATAACGATGTTACCCATGCAAAGTCTAGGAAAATTTGGATTGATTTGAACTCGTTGGAGGTGAATCATAATATTTGGTGGTGGTATTCGAGATGGAAAACTCGTAGATAGCCTTCAGCGTGAGCCCAGATCATGATGTGCAAAGTTATGTGGAAAGACCGCCCACAGCGAGGCGGCCAGTCTTCTGGGGAAAATGCCGCCTATGACGCCATGCTCAGGGATGTTCTGGCGCAGAGTGCGCAAGAAGAGGACTTGTCGTTTGGGGAATACCTGGTGTTGACCAGGAGCTTATGAGATTAGTCACCAGGCTGCAGCGGTGTTGCGGAAGAACGACGTGTTGGGCTGCCGACGTCACAGAGAAGGAACGCGTCTCACCGCGACGCGCTCTAACGCCCCACCAAACACCCATGCCTCCACCTCCACCCGTCGTATGTTACCTTCTTACGTCCAGCATCCAGGTTTGCTAATCCCGTAGACGCCCTCGCCACATCGCTTCGTCGCTCGGCGCGACAAGAACAAGGCACCGTCGCAGGCCATTTCTCGGTTGTCCGCCGCTCACGCTCCAACGCCGCAGTCACGAGCTCTTACTCCGGCCCAGCAAGATGTAACGCCTTCGCAACAGTTCAATCCGACGCCTCGCTTCTCAATTGCTCCTTCGCGTCCAAGCTTTCCTCCGCTTTTACCCTCAACTCCACACACCACACGCCCAGACACACTGTCGCGCGCAGATCACATCACCGACGGTGCAGACACCCCTAGTGTATCCCGTTACCCGCGCCCTAGACTTAGCAAGGTCGAAAGCATTCATGATGACTTTCAGGAGGATTCCGAAGACCGTGCAGGACAAGATGGAGAGGAGATGCTTTATGACGCCGTGACAGAGGAAGATACGCTCTTGGTCGCGAGGCCGGACGAGGACCTTACCCATGGTCAGGAAGAACAGACCGCGCCACCTTCAGACTCCATGCTCGCAAAACCTCGAAATACGGAAGAACAGCCGTCAAAACGCCGTCGCCTCACGCCCGGCCCGCATCTGACGCCAGAGCGCAGCACGAGGGCAGCGGAGCCAGTGAAAATGGATGCAGGTGCTCCTATCCTTGAAAGCCCATCTCAGAACAGCAAAATCCCTCGCTTTCGTACTCCCGGCTATGGTCCTGCATTCCCTACTATCGCCACAGATCCCGCCCCCTCACAACCCATAGGCTCTCGTCACCGTAATCCATTTTTGCTACGTTCGGCCAAAGCAGATGTAGCAGGTTCGGCCTCGGGCGCCGGTATCACCCCATTACCGGAGCACTTCTCGCCGCATCGCAGGTCCCAGAAATTTCTACCAGGCGGTATGGCCGACGTGGTGCGTGCTTGGGTTTTGAGTGTGGGCCAGTCAGGCTTCCAAACAGAAACAACAAGCATTCAATCAGGACAGCGAGCTAGTCAACCCCCAAAGTTTCACGTCACTGGAATTGTGGAGGAGAGACCTGGCGATCGATTGAAACTGGTTTCTGGCCGGGAAAGTGCCCATTCTCGCCCGTCTCTGGTTCAAGGTGAAGCGGGTTCAACTGCGCGCGCAATGCTTGTTGGGCCGGCGAAGGGTAACTCACGGAGCCCGAACGTTGGAGATCAAGTAACTGTGCTTTCTCCCAACTGGGATATCGAAGTTGGTCAGAGCAAGGAAAATTGGTTAGTCGCTGTAGATTGGCGATTAACTTGACGATAAAGTTCTCTACTCATCCCTGAAACGTGATTTTCTAGCAATACTGACGTATATCTCAGATCATGCTTAATCAAAAGATGAAGACACACTTTGACCTCGCTTTCTCATGCAATGCAGTGAGTTCCTAGATTTCCGTCTTGTACTATATAATTCATTCCCGCAACTCCTCTGTTATCCGCCGGTGTTAGCACTGGCATAGTCCAGTGGTAACATCGGCGGATCCCTACCGAAGGGCTATGTGTTCGAACCATCTCCTCTGCGATCCTATCACCATATATCGCCACTCAGTAATCGCAAAAAATCCTTCGAGGATGCCCTACGGTCGGGCTGAGAAGGGTTTCTGCGGGCTCTCCACCGGGAGAGCCTGTAGTTTTGCTCACTGACTCCTTTTTTTATTTAATTCCTTTTGATCTCTTCATTTTCGAACGCTTTCTTAACATTAACTTGCAATACTGACTGTGGGTTGTGGCCAGGGAGCCGATGATGGTAGCGAGAGAATATTTTTTCTTTGGTTGAGTCGTAACAGCACCAGCGATTCGGGGCATCACGAACGCTGAGGACTACATTCGCTAAGTCCAACAGCGGGATTTTCTTACCCCTCTGACCAGGCGCCTGAAGCACTGCTTGCTCTCTATTGTGCCACTTCATGCGCGTTGCGTCGCAGTCATGAATGCTGGCATTCTTTGAGCAGGAGGCGTTGTGCTACGTAACACCATATGCGCAGGCATGACCTCACTCTCTTCTGGCTTCACATGCCTTCTGATCGCTCCAGAAGAACCTTAGCTCCTCCACAAGAAAGTTGTTCTTCGATGTAACTCGTCGATGTCAGTTTCTGCTGTTCCGCACTTCAATTTGGCTCATCTCCTCCGCGTCACCAGCATGTTCAGCAATCTCCGACAGGTACACAAAGTCCCACGTCAGCACGTTAGCGTCCAACTTGTGCACCTCATCTCAAATCTCGGACGAAGACTCGACAGTGCGTGGCCTATTTAACAGGAGGATAATCTCTGGTACCATCTGTCCACCGCCAGTTCTCAATATACTGCTTGTATTCGCAGAATCATTCGCTGTTCCGCTGTCCAAATCGAGGCCCGTCTTTTGGCCTAAACTTAGAACATGCATCCCGTTACTATTATTTCTGTCTTGTTGTTCATGGAATCAACGGTTGCTGCGCCTTCGGGTGTCGAGCGCGGGCTTATCCGATGGAATATGCTGCTCGGACGTGTACAGTGCACTCCTCTGTAGTCCTGCAAGCTTGTATCTGACCTGTCTACTCAGGCTGTAAGTCTAGATGATTTCCGTAATCCAGGAGGTCCCCAATAATATCTTCAAACGACTCACGGCACGAAAACAGTGCGTAAGTATCTTAACTCGTTGAGCCCAAGTTTTTCAACTACTTGCTTACCTCTCCTGCCCAGCCAGCTAGATGCATGTCAAACTGTCCGCAGTGTTGCGACAACTTAAACTGCCCGGAACTTTGCGTAAGTATTCGATACTAGCACTTCTACGTATGATTGCAGCTGACTTTAGCATGGTTGCAGTGTTGAACGTGGGGTTCGCTTTTGTCTACAAGCTTGCGTCAAACATTATTATTGAATCTTTCTGGTCGTCGAGTTAGTTCAACACATCTGTTCAAAAGAGAAATGTTCGAAATGGAAACTTACGCTGATGACAATATTACGATGGCGATTTTCTGGTACTGACGTGGGCCGCGTTAGCCTTGGCTTGCGGAGCTCTGGCTCTCTTCCGCTTTGCGACTGCCGAGGGTAAGTAAGTGACAACAAGCGTGCGGAATTTAAGGAGAGATCGTCTTAATTTCAAGGGCTTGGGGCCACTACTTTTTAAATCAGCCATGGCAGCCGAATTTCCTCAGCCACGAACGCCCCCTCTGTTTGAAAGTATTCGAACATCCGGATAGACGAGGCACATGACAAGCCACCGGGATGCTTCCGCCGCATGGTTTCGGCTACCGATGGACGGTAAGGCAAACTGACTCGAAGCACGGTTCTGCAATGCAGCCGACAGGTTGCCACCGACTTCCCCCACACCCTGCCGCAGGAGCGGCCAAGGCGTGTGGGGAAAGGCGCGCGGGATCTTTCCGTCCCGCAGGTCCCTCCAGTGCGGAAGCTCGTCCCCCCTCGAAGAGCCGGCACAGAGATATGGCGTAATGATTCGACGGGCGTGTTGCCAAGCACGAGACGTAGCAAGCCACCAGTGCGGGGACCCCGGATTTGCGCACAACCCCAATCCACACATTGGCACAACCCGCCTCTAATCCTCGGCGACCTGCTTGTGATCGGAGCTCGAGGCCGGATGCTGGGATCACACGGCCTTTTTGCCGTGGCATCGCCTGGTTTAAATGTTCCGACACCCGAATGATAATGGTTGGCATGTCGTGCTGCATGGCCTGCCTTCCCCCTCCTGGCATTTGAACCTTTCACACCTTCCCCATTGCCCCTTCCCTAACGCCCTTTCACAATACCAGCGATGGATGTGACAGCTGTTCCCGAGAAGCCGCATGCGCAACATCTCGAAAAAGTCGATCTTGATGAGCGCAGTAGCGGCAGTGATACTGCGGCTAGCAGGCGCCCACACATGCACATCGACCCGGCTGCGGAGAAAAAAATCATACGCAAATGCGACTACCGCGTCGTGCCTCCGTTGACTACTTTGTTCCTACTGGCTTTCCTTGACCGGACGAACATCGGTCAGCACGCCATTCACTTTTCAGAGGTAACCGATCACTGACGCTCGCCCGTTCTTGTTCAGGCAATGCGCGGATTCAAGGCTTGACTGAGGAGCTGAACATGACGGGCAACGACTACAACGTCGCGCTACTGGTCTTCTTCGTGCCGTACATCCTCTTCGAAATCCCATCCAACCTTATCCTCAAGAGAGTTGCGCCGTCCACCTGGCTGAGCTTGATCATGATCCTATGGGGAATCTGCACCATGGGTCAGGGACTGGTTAATAACTTCGGGGGTTTAGTCGCCATGCGCGTCCTCGTCGGGCTCTTCGAAGCCGGCCTCTTCCCAGGTACGCTCCTCCGTCTATGCCCGTGTCAAAATTCTTATATTGTTATCTAGGCTGCGTGTACATGTTAGGCATGTATTACAAGAGATACGAACTTCAGTGGCGCCTGTCGCTGTTCTTCTCCGCCAGCATCCTGGCTGGAGGTTTTGGAGGTGTAGGTTCCCTCATCGCTGACTGCCCTGGGCGAAGTGCTGATGATTATGTGTCCAGCTTCTCGCCTACGCTCTAGCGAAGATGGATGGCGTCGGCGGATATGGAGGCTGGCGATGGTAACAGGCACAGCTCTTTTTTTTTTCTCATCCTTTTCTAACGCTGTGTTGGTCCAGGATCTTCATCATCGAAGGCCTCGCAACCGTGGCCATCGGTTTCGTTTCGAAATGGTGGGTGCCAGACTGGCCGGAGACCGCCACCTTCTTGAACGAGGAGGAGCGCGCGATTCTGACCGCGCGCCTCGCCAACGACCAAGGCGAATGCCGCATGGACCGGCTGGACAAGAACGCCCTCAAGCGCAGCTTCGGTGACTGGAAGATGTATGTCGCGGTCATCATGTACTTCGGCATTGTGAACAACGGGTAAGTCACTCCATCCACGCTCGACGCGCAGATCAATCGTTAACAACGCCTTCTTCCCACAGCTACGCCACCTCCTTCTTCATCCCGACCATCATCAAAGAGATGGGCTACACCAGCTCGCGCGCCCAAGTCCTCTCCATCCCCATCTTCGTCGTCGCCACCGTCGTCGCGCTCATCATCGCCGTCTGCACCGACAAGCTGCAGCACCGGTACGGCTTCTGCCTGCTCGGCGTCGTCGTCGCCTCGGTCGGCTACGTGCTCCTGCTCTGCCAGGACCACATCTCCGTCGGCGTCAAGTACTTCGCCCTCTTCGTCATCGTCAGCGGCGGCTACATCACCCAGCCCGTCACCCTCACCTGGATCTCCAACTGCATGAGCGGCCACTACAAGCGCTCCATCGCCGCCGCCATGCAGGTCGGCTTCGGCAACTGCGGCGGCATCGTCGCCTCCAACATCTACATCACCTCCGAGGCCCCGCGCTATCGGACCGGCTACGGCACGTCTCTGGGGTTGCTGTGGGTTTGCGCCATCATGTGTACCGTTTTGTTCTTCGGCGTGACGAGGGAGAACAGGAAGAGGGACCGGGGTGAGCGGGACTATCGCTTGGAGAACGACACAGACAAGGATAATTTGGGCGATGATCACCCGCACTTTAGGTTTGCTACATAGCGTATGGTTAGCAGCAGGAAAGATTGGATAGAATTGATTAGGTAATTCATGTGCCGAATAGAAGGGCCCTTCTCCATTGGCAAATGCCGCCGTATTTCGTGCTCTATCCACCCTGCATATACAATCACCATACCTTCTATCCGTATGCTTTTGTACACTGAGAAGCAGACATTTCTCGGTCTGCGAGGAAAGACTATAAACATACATCTGTACTTGTTTTTATCCTCATTCATCAGCCCATTAATACCCGTTGAAGCCCATAGCGCCAATCATTAGCCACAGTATCGGGCAAGAAACAGAAAACTTGAACAATGCTGTATGAATCACAACCAGAAAACAGCGCCTGCAAGGACACCGGCGAGACCGATGCCCATGCCTTTCACCTCTTTGGCAGGGCTGGCGGCACCCGTCGAGGTAGCGCTAGCAGAAGCGGCAGTGCCGGTAGCAGTCGCCGCAGTACCTGCAGTGATGCTGCTTTGGACGGCTGAGTCGTACGTCTGTCCAAGCGTGGGAAGCGAAACGGCACCGTTAACCTCCCAGACGCCGGAGGTATAGCTTGGGCAAGCAGGTGCGGTCAGACTAGGAGAGTAGGCAGATTTCTTGACACCGGTGGGAGTCAAAGTGGCCCACTGCTTCTTCAGGTTTGAGAAGTCTGGGCTGACGGGAGTTGGGGTACCGGAGCGCGGATAACCGTCCGGAGGAGCGCCAGAGGCAGTAGCGTCGACCTTGTCGCCGTAGCTGACGATTCCGTAGTCATTAGCCTCTTCGATCCACTCGTAGATGATGGAACCGCTCCAGGTGTCAGCCATCTTGTCGCCGAAGATTGCGGCCTGGTCGCTGAAGGTACGCGGCCTGACGGTGTTGCAACCAGTCTCAGAAAAGAAGATTGGAATGTTGTAATCGGATGCGTTCTTCTGGAGCTCCGAGTAGCCGGACAGAGTGTAGGTAGAGTCGCCGCACCACTCGTACGCATTCAGAGCGTAGAAGTCGATGTTCTCAGAAGTGTTGGTGCTGCAGGCAAGGTAGTTTTGGAGCATGGGGCGAAGAGAGGCAATGTCGGCAGCAGAATATCCAACGGGAATTTCGCGGTAGCTCTTGCTGTTGCGGTAGGCCTTGAGATCACGGGCAGCTTCCTTGACATACGGAGCAGCGACAGAGCCATTGCCGGTGGTCAGAACCTCATTGCCGACGAAGAAGCCAGCAGTGTTGTCGTACTGCTGGAACTCATCCATGACCTTCTGGAAAGCAGAGAGCTGACTCTCGTTCCAGTGAGGGTTGGTCTGCTCGATCTGGGTGTCGAAGGTGTCGAGGTCAAGCCAGAGGTAGATTCCCTTGTCGGCGAAGATGTCCATACACTTCTGGTGGTCACCAGTGGGGTCGACATGGTACACGCGGATCGAATTGGCGCCCAGATCCTCCATGAGGTCGGCATCGAGCTGGCACTGGGTGGAATTGATCAATGGGTCGTCAGGAATAAGCTGGTAAGCAACACCTGTGGGGCTGTTAAAACACGTAAAGCAAAGCATGGCATGGCGTGACAGGGGGGAGCATGCACGAACCCTTGACGTAGAACTGGTCGCCATCGCTGGTGAAGAACTTGGAGCCCTTGACGGAAATCGTAGCGATGGCATGGGCAGAGACTGCCAAACTAGCGACAAGGGCGCCGGTGAAGAGCTGCATGGTTGCGTGATAGCGAGAGTGGAAAAGCGAGTGTTGCGGTACGGACGCGAGCTGGCGGCCGAGACGCAGAGGTTATAGGCGGCGAGGTGGACAAAGAAAGAACAGCAGCGTTTAAACGAAAGCACGGCAGGAATGGAGGTGGACGCGAGGGAGGCGCGGGAAAGAAAACAGAAGCGGCGGCTAGGGACGCGCGGATTTTCAACATGGAGCTACATTTCCAAGGCAGAGACATCATAGCTCTCTATCGCCGCTTCCACTTGTTTCATCGGTGCCGGCTTAGCCAGCGCGATAAGCCGGCCGCCATTCCCCTACCAGGTTAGTGGGGCGTCAAGCGTTGGAGCTTAGCCTCCTTCGCCGTGAGCGAGATTGCCCGCTCTCCACACCATGCCAGCGCAGCGCCAAGTCCTGCATGGCCGATTCGAGAGAGACATGAGCCTGTTGCGTTCAGGAGGAATACCCTCTGCCGCTCGATTGCTGGTAGAAAATTGATTGAGAAGAAAAAAAAAACCCTTCCGCATCGTGTCTCTGAAGGGCCGACTGCTCTTGTAGAATGCATATCGTTGCAGGCTCATAAAGCTGATGTTCGCTCACCAGGCGTGACCCCAATGGGGTTCCTGCTTCTGACTAAGAGAGACGAAGACTGATCACACAAGCCTCTGCAGGCAACCGCATTGGTATCTCGACCTGAGATATGGTTTCATCAGTATTGCAACGGGTTTCATCCGTGAACACGGCGCTCGGACTCCATCAGGCACGCCATGCCCATGACAATGGTCATCCAAAACAAAACATCAGACAACTTACGGGCTTCCGTTGCACATGATCTGTAGTACTGCAAGCTTGAATTCTGACCAATAGCCAGTATGGCACGCTTGCATCGCGACTGGTGGGCGATCAGGGCGGAGTGGTGTGTCGAGTGGAGGTGGTGCATCAGTCCGGGGTCGGACGGGGAAAGACCGGCGACTTGCGGGCGCAAACATCGCGTCTCCGCCGCCGCCCAACGCGTCCATCCCAGTCGCAATCCCGCGCGGCCATGAGCGCTCCCCCCACCGATGCCGCAATCCACTCAAGAGCGCGTCGAGCACGCGCTGTCGAAGCTCCTTGAGCACCTGCTGCCCCAGTATCCCGACGAAGATGAAGACACGGCCGACCAGCGTTTCGACAACGCTTTCAACTATTCGCTGGACGCTCTGGATAGGCACGACTCACCACTGCCCCTCCCGAGCAAAGCTGACTGTCTTGCAGCGCTGGAGAACCAGGCGTAGCCTCCGATGTCAACCATGCCGCCGACCTCATCAAGAAGAAATGTAGGCCGCATCTGCCGTCGCCGCGTTGGTTTCTTAAGCTCACACAGCTCCAGTGGTGCGCGAGAACAGCTCTCCCGAGAAGGCACTGCGCTTCACCAACCTCTATTCGCGGCTGCTCATGCAGCCTGTCCTGAACCAAAAATGGGCCATGCTTTACTTCCTCTTCCAGCTCTCCGACTCCGACATTCCCGTCCTGCCGCCTGGTGTTCGCTCTCCGCCCCGCTCCCCCGAACACGCTCCGACTTTCCAGCCTCTGGCCGAGTCTGACCCTACATCACCTTCCCGATTCGCAAGGGACTACGGCGAAGCTCAATATGCGGACAATCCAACATTCAACGAGGCGTTCGCGAATGCAGGTCTCCAGCGACTTCCGCCTGCGGAGGATATGCAAGCTGCCAGGGCGTCGATTCAGGATAGGCCAAAGACCGCCGACAGACCAAAGACAGCGGACAGGAAGATGCGAGAAGCGCGGCGGGAAGAAGAGCCTGTGCCAGAGACTCCGGTGTTGAAGAAACACACCTCTCTTACTTCATATGAACCGTCGGAGCCAGCTCTCTTGCGCGACTTGCCCTTTACTCTGCAAGGCCTTTCCTCGACCAACCTTGTCTTTGCTGATCCTTCCGTTCTCAAGTTCCCTACAACTCTCCCAGCTCCTCTGGTCAGCCTGCTTCATACTCTGGCGGAACCATCGCTTTTGTATCGTAAGCTTTCGCAATTCGTGGAGTCTTCCGATGGCGGTTTGGTTACACAAAGTCTACGTTCGGCTTTAGCAATCGAGCTCCGCTCATATCTTGGTCTCGTCGCCACGCTCGAAGGCCAAATACGGAGGGCACTAGCAATGTTGGACGACTCACAACCAAGACAAGGCATCGGAAAAGCCGGGGTCACTCTCAAACGATGCGTTATCTGGACAAGAGAAGCTACCATGGGCCTAAGGCTTATGAGCTTGATCGTGGAGGAGTCGAGTGGTAAGACACGTCCTGTACGTTGAAAGACATTTTGGCTAACACAACAGTAGGCAAAAAAGGCGGCGAACTCATTTCCTTGATCCATTCCTTTTCTCTTTCACACGGCGACCCGTTTGTGGTTGCCTTCGCAGAGCGACTCCTGGCTCATGTGACACGACCTTTCTACGACATGCTACGACAATGGATTTACGACGGAGAGTTATCAGATCCCTTCCTCGAGTTTTTCGTCTCTGAACAACACGAGGATCCTAATGACGAGAATGCCGGCAAGGGCGGTGCCACAAGCGTGTGGGAGGACAAGTACAAGCTGAACGAGAAAATGATCCCGTCGATTGTATCTGGAGAGTTTGCAAGCAAGGTGTTCCTCATCGGCAAAACGCTAAACTTCATTCGATACGGCTGTGGTGATGCGGCTTGGGTAGAAAGCTACTCCAAGGATTCCTCCCGGGAGCTCCGTTATGGCGATACCACTGCGCTTGAGAGAAACATTGGAGAGGCCTACAAAACGACCATGGCACGTCTCATACACCTCATGGCCGACAAGTTCAAGCTGTTCGAGCATCTGCAAGCGCTGAAGAAATACATCCTTCTGGGAGCCGGTGACTTCATTGCGGTACTCATGGAGTCGCTCTCATCAAATTTGGACCAGCCTGCCAATACGCAGTACCGCCATACTTTGACAGCTCAGCTTGAGCATGCGGTACGGAACTCGAATGCTCAGTACGATTCGCCTGAGGTCCTCCGCAGACTGGACTCTCGTATGCTCGAGCTCAGTCATGGAGAAATCGGCTGGGATGTTTTTACCTTGGAATACAAAATCGATGCGCCGGTCGATGTTATTGTTACCCCATATGGCAGTAAACAGTATCTCAAGGTCTTCAACTTCCTGTGGCGTGTCAAGCGGGTTGAATTTGCCCTCGGTAGCACATGGCGACGGTGCATGACTGCAGCGCGTCAGTTTCTCGGGGCCGTTGAGGACAAAGTCGGCAAGGACTGGAAGATCGCCCGCTGTGCGGTGGCTGAGATGATCCACTTCATCAACCAGCTCCAGTACTACATACTTTTCGAGGTCATCGAATCATCGTGGAACGAGCTGCAAGCCAGCATGCGCAAACCCGAGAGCACACTGGATGATTTGATTCAAGCACATGCCCGATATCTTACCAACATCACACGCAAAGGTCTTCTCGGGTCGGAACGTATGGACTTCACTGGCCAGCTGCATGAGCTCCTCAAGATCATGCTCGCTTACAAGGGCGCGGTCGACGGTTTGTATTCATTCTCGACGGCCGAATTTGCACGCCGCCAGGAGCGCGCAGCCAAGATCGAGACGCGCACAGCGGCAGGTAAATGGGGTCTCAGCGAGAGAGACTCGGCAAATCCTTCGCCCACGTCGTTTTCAGCGAACGTACGCCCTTCGTCTATGCGCAAAGACGACGACAACTCCCCTTTCCCACCGCCATTATTATCTGGAAACGCCGGGTCTGAGGACGATGTGCTAGAAGGCTTGCGCAACAGGTTGGGCGTGCTTAGCAGAGACTTCAAGGCACGCGTGAACATTCTACTTGGTGATTTATACCATCAGCCCGACGCAGACATGCGCTGGCTGGCCATGGTCATGAATTTCAACGAAGTGTATCAGCCTTCGCGGAGAAAGCGAGGAGCCAGTTCGCGAAGGAAAGAGGGTGGGGAGAAGGAGGCGAAGATATCGGGCCCGAAGTCAGCGGAGGGCAGCTTCAAGGAAGACGATAAGAAGGGTTGAGCAGTTGGATGAAATTTTGCATTTACGCTGGTGTTGAGGTAAGGCGCAATAATCACGAGCGCGATAGCCAACGAGCTCGCTCCATGTTATTCACGGGTTTAGTCAATTGCAAGAGGACATGGGTTCCAGACTGGAGCGGCTGCTTCCGTCGTACTAAGCGAGAAGAGAAAATGGAGTCGGTCGCTAAGCCTTGATCTATCGGAAGGTGCCGTGAGAGCTCCATGCTCGGGCACTCGTTGACCAAGCGGTGCGAAAGGAATCAGTCTGGACTTGGATCACAGGGAAGGCAGAAGGACGATGAGCATCGTGAAGTGACGTATGCAAACGAGTTGGCGAGAATCGAAGGACGTCAGAAACGGCCTGCTGATCTGTTCTGGACCCCATCCTCTGTGCCACCGGTTCGGACCTCCTCCGCGGCCCCCAGCCTCAGCATTCCGCACCCCCCTACCTTTGCATCCATCCCCTCACCTGGTTTTGCCGTCCCGCGTGCAGCGGCTGCGCTAGCAACAAGCCATCACGTCTGCCGCCTAGCGCCGACCCTACCGCCAGGTTCCGAAGGGGGGAAAGGATGGCCATCCCCGGGAAGCGCCCGCGGCCGGATGACGCGTCCAGGGCAGCCCTGTCATGCTCCTCATAGCTATTGTTCACCGCACGTCCAACCACATGTGCCAGCGGTTTTCGTCACCAGCACAGTTTTTGCTTTTATCTATGCTTTGTGTTGTTTTGCAGGATGATGATATCCCGTCATCCTTGGCGTCAACCCGAGATGCAGGGACAAAAAACTGATATTGGACGAGGCTTAGAATAGTCAAGCTCCCTCCCTCTCTCCCATTGGACCTTCGTCGCCGTGCTCGATAACTGCATTAGCGTTCCGCGCTCGCGAGTGGCTGAGGGAAGAAAAATAAAAGAAAGTGCACCCCGGACAAGCTGAACAGTTACCTCTTTTGGTGAGGGGTAGGGCTGGAAGAAGGGGTGAGAAGTGAACGACCCAACAATCACAAGCGAAAAGCTGTGCGTCGCTTGGCTGGCAGTCAGAAAGTGAGTACAATAGCGTCATCGTCTGACAGCCGCGCCCAGCGAGGGGGGGAAAAAAGAAGCCTCTATCTACCCGACCCTTTTTTGGGCTCACTATCAGCTCCGGTCCGGTTCGAGATAGTCGCCTCCTTTCCTGCGCATCCCCCGCTTGTTCTTTTTTTCTTTTCCTTGGGGGCCAGCTTCTGCAGCCCAATGAATATTCCGATGCTAAATATACGGTGCTTGACAAAGCTTCGACGAAGCAAAGAGCACCTGGAGGCCTTGCTGATGGAAGAGACATCAATATTTCCCGGGGTTCGAAAGAGATACGAGATAATTCAGTAGCTCCTCGGGCCGATGGGGCGGGGAGGCGGTCGATGGCGGCGGTCGCCCAGGTTCCCTCCCTTTTTTCTCATGCGGTAACCTTGGTTCGGCAAAGAACAGGGCGTGGGGCCCTTGTGATCTTCGGATTATCCGAGCGGAACTATCTCGCTTGGCCATGTGGCTGCACGGACGGTATGCCGTGCCTCGTTTATCCGGGGGGAATGGGGGCGGTTCGGCCGGTCAGAAGAGCGCTCCGCACACTGCTGCTATTGCCCTCTTTCCTTTCGTTCCTTTTTTTTTTTTCGCTCTGACTCGGTAGTGCCGTGGTCCCGTCCAATCTTTAATTCTTCAGATTCGATAGACTTCCGGGGACCCGTCGGGCTGAGAGATTGTCATTGACCGCCCGGCTCGCCCAAAGCCTCAATAAATCAGTAGTTTCTATCGCCTCGCTTCCCGACCCCCCGTATAGGCTTTAGGCCCTGCGGATCCTGTAGATCGAAGCATAATAGAGCCTACTATTATCAATCCTGTGCAGATCTCTGCGCGGCTGACAGGCACCATTCCTTCAGCTTCATTGATCAGCCGCGGCCCCACAGCCCTATGGCGCACATGAGATAAGCAGCAGATGATCGCCTTGAAAGGAGCCTGACAGCGGGTGATATTTTGGAAAGCCAAGCATCAGGAGCATTAGCAGCGACCCACGTTCCCTAGCCGTCAGTCTTTTCTTCTCTCCTCCTTTAACGTTTAGCGACCTGGAATCCTTCAAGATACCGCAGGCGCAAGATAGGTGTAGATCGCTTAGTAGCATGCTCTACTTTGTATTCGATGCTCGGCGCAGCAGACAGGGAAATCTTTCCCCCATTTTCTCTCTCAATTTTTTTTTCATTCCAGCGGCTAAGAATCGTCGGCCGAGAAGGAAATAAAGGGGACGGGAATAAAGCTGTCACGTCCGGGTAGGGCGGTGTGATCCAGGGCTGTAATGCGGATCTCGCTTTCCCATACATGCCTTTTTCGGCGATTTTTTTTTTCTTGAAGGAGCAACAAAACCACATAGTGTAGAGACGGACGAAAGTGCGGTAGTCAGGAGGTGGAACCATAGCGTCTCCGGGGTAATGCGCTATTAACGGGGAAGAAAAGAAAAAATGAGGCAAAGCAAAAAGAAAGAGCAGGCCTATCAGGGGCGGCGGAACGAACAGGGTTTGGCATGTACTACTGCTGATCTCCCGTAGGTGGGATGAAATCATCGAGATACTACAACGACAACTGCTATCCTGCACAGTTGCCAACGTTCCATGGATGTTCCACGGCCTTTCCCTGGGCGGAAAGTCGATGCAGGAGCGTTCTGGGACGCGCCGGGGCCGTTTACTCTAGCATCCGCCAAGGACCGTCGCTTTTGTGATCGAGGGAGCCTGATTACGGATCCAGCCAACGGGCGAATGGTTAGCGCTCAAGCGGTGGCTCGTGCAGCGTCCGGCGTGAAGTGTAGACGACGCGAGGAAAAGAAAAAAGGCTAGCTAAAAGCCCGCGACTAGCGCTACCGGCGTGCAGCACGTGGGTCGAATCTTCTCGGTTCGCGGTGACGTTAGCTGCTCCCCAAACGCGCTACTGGAGCGCATTGCCCGTTGACGGCAAAGCAGGCAAGGAGAGTCGTCCGCAGCACGTCAACGCGCTCCGGCATGACCGCGACGGCGTGTGGGGTGCATAAGCCCCCGGGCACGCCGAGCTCGCCGTTGAGCGAAGTCACGCAACCTGTAGAGTCATGAGGGCTGTGGCGTCGAAAAGGCCGGTGCAAAGCAGTCTAGAATCGGAGGGGGCTTTTCTGCTTGCCCGACGATGTGGTAACGGACACGCTGCCGATCACTCATCAAAGGTCAGGCCAAACGGTCCGAAGATAGGGCTTACGGAATGCGTCAGAGGTCTCGTTGGAGGTCAGTGTTCGGCAATTGGCTCGGCCAAGCTGGCAGAAAGCTAGTCCATAACTGTTGGTACATGATTGACTAAGTCGCTATTGAACTAAAATACCAATATTGCTGCGTAGGTATGCTAGGGGAACAGAGCTTTTGGCATGTGGCCGATCTACAGTCCACCGCCTTGGCAACGAGAGAATCGCTGGAACGCTAAGAATACGACAGGGGTATTGTGCTGAGAGTGAAAACGTTGAGAGGGTCTCCAGGACATCCAATCGGCGGGAATGGTCTAGGCGGAAGAAGCTATGCTATGGGGAAGTGCTTTGCAGCCAACGTCATGTCGATCGTCTCGCGTCGTGAGGCACCCGGCCTCGAAGGAATTGGCGTCGAATGGTATCCGTGGGTCGCCCGCCTTCTAGAACAAGTACTGCTGCATGATGGCGAGCTCAGGGTCCTCGTTGAGCCATTTCCCTTGCTGAAGGTCCTGGGCCCGGAGGCTGTACTCGACATATTCGTCCGTGATGTTCGCAAGCTCCTGCACCGCTGCGTTAGCCCAGTCCTCGAATCGAGCCGCCGTGCATGCTCACCGATTGCAGCGAAGCGTCGACGTTCTGCAGCCCCGCAGGATCCGCGCTCTCCCCCCGCAAGATGGCGTTGCGCGAGTTGATCCAACGCATGGCTGCCGTTGCGCGCAGGTAGATTCTCTGGCAGCGGAAGCGGCGTAGACTGGCATCCAGGAGCACGCTGGACGGCCGAGTTAGCGTCGGGAGTGGCGGGGGATTTGAAAGAGAGGGCGCCGTACGCTTTGAGGAGCACCTTCTGCTGCTCCACATCCTCACCGGGCGAGGGATTGGCGTTGAACGGGGCATTGAGGACTGCCTGGGCCTCGGCATGGCACTGGCGGACGAGGGTGTATCCTTCGAGATAGAATTCTTCTGGTGACGGCGATACCCGGATCTGTGCTATGTAGTGCTGCAGATTCCGGAAGTCGGTCATGATCTCCGCAATGCGAATGGCTCTGGCATCATTGACTAGATTCTGCGTCAGTATAGAGACGGCGAGGTAGGAGCGGATGAGACGTACGTCCGTCGGCCATGGTGCTAAAGAATTACAATTACGGGCAAAGAGCAGGCGGGAGAATGGAAAGAAGTAGTGGGCTTGGGGGATCAACAAAAGACTAACCGTCCACGCGGACGTTATAAAAAAGAGAGCTCGTCCATGGCACTACGTGAGTTGACAGAGCCGGCGAAGGAAGGTTCGACCCAGGTAACGGCCGACGCCTTCGGTTTGCAAGAAGGGTCCGGCTCATGGCTCCTCCCGCTGCCTGTGCGCGTGCCGAGCATGGCACGGCAGTGGAGCCTGTGGCTCTCAGCGCGGCTCGGAAGCCAGCTGGGCGAGTTCAGCAACGCAGGGGAGGGGGGGTTGGGCCGGATCGGCGCGGCCATGACGAAGGATGGGAATCTTCACAGCACGAAAAGAGGTCGAAGCTGAAAGTGATGCGCAGACGAGAGTCAGTGGGCAGTGGATCGCTTGCAGTCGAAGTCAGCTTCGCAAGCGCCACGCCCAGCCGCCACGGCCCAAGGCAGCTAATGCCACCGAGACGTCGCCCCGTTGCGACCGCTCACGTTATCGCTGAAGAGCTCCGCGCTGCAGTGGATTGGCTGGCCCGCGCAAAATTAGCAGCAGGCTCTCGCTTCCGCAGCGCCGTGCTGCCCTGGCGCCCATCAGCCGGCCACCACGCGCGCGTGCGGAGGCCCGCCACATGGCGGCTGTGTTTCTGTGAGCTGCTCCAATACGGGCATGTGCTGAGCAAAAAGGGACGAGTCCGAGCTGAATGCGTGCTGCTTGGCCGAAAGAGAGCTACCGATACGTACAAGACCCCCGTCGCGGCTGAACCGCCCTGCACGGATGATGCGCGCTCGCCGTCGCACCAGATTCCCGACGATGCAACCCCTGCTCAAGCCCACGAGGCGCTATCGGCACCACCACACTGCGCCTCCTCAACGCTTGTAATGTCATGTCTCGCTCAGTCCTTGTCCGCAATCGCCTGTAACCGCTCATCGATCTCGTCCTCGCTGAGCACGCGGAACTCGGGGTCGGTTCCCGCCTGCCCGTCAGCCCGTGGGCCACCCACGATTCCGATCTCCAGCTCGCCCTTCTTGAAGTCGACGCTCAGCACCTGGCTTAGCGTCGAAATGCCCAGCTCCACCACCTCCTTCCAGTCGCCCTCGGCTGCCTCGCGGTTCTTCAGCTTCTTCTCGAGGAAGTTCAGCGCCTCCTGCGTCTTCGGGCCGGATGCCGTTGCCTTGTAGCCCACGTAGTAGCCTGCGGGGTCGCACTTGTACAGCTGAGGACCAAATTCCGAGTCCACCGAGATCAGCGTCATAGCGACTCCGAGCGGTCGCATGTAAGCCTAATGCACCGCCACACATCAGCTCCACCTCCACAAATTTTCTTTCACCGCTCGCGAACCATTGCAAATGTTGCCACGTGTGGGGGGGCTCGAGCACTCCTTCAGCCGCAAGTGGAGCTGCTGTCTCCAGCCGTCCACGGACGACAGAAGTCGCCACTGCACACGCACGCCGCCGTCCACGCGCCACTACAAAGCCTGCAACTCCGGACCGAACTTACCTTCTGAGTGTAGACCTGGCTGATGTTTGCTATCCGCTTAGCAAGCACGTCGCAGGGCATCTCGTAGCCATACTTGTAGCGGAACTCAGCCGCCTCGCCCTGCGCGCGGATGACCGATGCCCGGGCATCGGCGATGGAGCCCGTCATGACGCAACCGACCGAAGGCGAGATCTTGAAGACGTACGAGACGGACGAGGGCTCAATGAGCTTATCCTGCACGTGGCGTGGTCAGCACGGCAGTCAGACACGTGGGAGCCGATTACATACGGGGACCTTCTTCTGGGTCAGGACAACGGCGCAGTCCTTGCCCCTCACTCCGATCGACGTGATGTTCGCCGCAGTAATGGCCTTGAATGCATATTCTGTGACGCTCCATCAGCCGTGTGCCTTTGTTTCTTGGGATGCGACGACAACGTACCGACTTGGTACAGACGACCCTGGTCGGAGAAGATGGTAATGTGTCGGTCGTAGCCTGCGCTTCCTGTTGGACGGTCGTGGGTCAGCTCGGGGAGCTCTCGCTGGAGCGGACGGAGAGCGACGCACCAGACATGGCGGGCTTTATGTGAAGCGGGTGCTCGGCTCAGCTGCAGTGATGAAAGGTCTAGAAGGTGGGCGGCGGCAAATGCGGGCTGCGATGGCGGTTGCGGAGGGAGGGTGGTTGATGGAGCTATCGAGCTATGTCAACGCGTTGCTGTCGGAGCCTGCGAGAGCCGCCTCGAGCTCGGACCAGCCCAGCGCCGCGCCCAGGATCGCCGCCCGCCGCTCCGGCCAATCAGCGCCCCCGTGGGAATTTTTCGACATGGCCCAGCACGACCGCACCAGCTGAGAAAACTCAATCTGCCGCCGTCCCACTCTCCTCCGCTTCTCTCTACAGGTCACTCACCATGGTGGCCACTCCAGACTCCTCCCGCGTGCCTGCGTGGAAAAAGCTAGGCCTCAAGCTAAAGCACGCAAATGACGAAAGTCCAGCTGCACACTCCCCTTCCTCTTCCAAAAAGAGAGTTCGTGATGAGGAAGGCGCCGGCAAAAGCGAGTTGAACGACCAATCAACCGGAGCACCTTCGAAGAAATCAAAGAAGAGGAAGACCGCGCCAGCTGAGGAACCCACTTCGCCTTCCGACGAGCCCTCCAAAAAGGAAAAGAAGGAAAAGAAAAAGAAATCCAAGGAGACAGTGCTTGCCACACCGGTCAAGTCTCTCCAGCGGAAGAAGTCCGTGAGCTTCACTCCCGACACTAAGAAATCCGACGGTGATAGCGGCCAACAGCTGTTCCGCGCCTGGGTCAAGTCTCAAGATGGATCCTCGACTGAAGACGGCATTGTCCCGAGTACCGAATCAGCAGTCGAGGACTCTCCGGCCGACGAATCGAAGCCGGAGCCTTCGAAAAAGGACCTGAAGAAGGCGAAGAAGGACCAGCGCAATGCCGCCAGAGCCGCCGAGGCCGCTCAACAGGAGAAGCAAGCCCTGCCTTACGTCTCCTACTTGCAGCAATACCATTCAGACCGCTCAAACTGGAAGTTCAACAAGAAGCACCAAGTCGATCTTCTCAAGAACCTCTTCAACCTTTTTCGCGTCCCAGCATCCTACGACCCGGCCGTTGAGGCATACATTGCCGGCCTCAAAGGCGCTGGTGCGCGCTATCGCCTAAAGGAGCAGGCTGAGGGAATTCTAAAGGAGGCGTCCAATGAGTCCAAGGACGATCCTGCCAAGCGCCACCGTGCCGAAGAGGTGCTGAAGGCTCTTGGCCATGTGGATGAGCCGCCTGCCGTGGTCAGCAAAACAATTCAACCGCCGAAGGAGGCCGAGGCTCCTGAGGACAGCAACAAGAAGCGCGCGCGCCCTCGTAAATCGCGTACCGTGGACGTCAGCAGCAGCAGCGAGGATGACAGCTCTAGTGATGAGAGCTCGGTTGTGTCAAGCAGCTCAGAGGAGCCCAGCTCCGACTCTGACTCGAGTTCCAGCTCTGATTCCGATTCCGATTCTGACGCGGATTCCGACTCTGACTCCGACTCTGATAGTTCAAGCAGCGATGATTCGGATTCAGGGCCGCAGACTCAGGCTCGCAAGAAGAGCAAGAAAGATGACAGTAGCGACACCAGCGACACCAGTAGCGACAGCGACTGAGGTGCGACAGGCGCACGAGAATCAATCCGTCTGATCGGACTCACAAGCAGCATAGCCTGACGCCACGGCTCCGGAAGTGCAAAAACGCACAGAGTTCGCAACGGAAGTGCTGATCTCAGACAGTGGGATGTTTAATGTTGCGGAGTACTCCTACGGTGCTCGGGGCTGATGATGCACTGCAAAGCTGAATCGGTGGAAATGAGACCGCCCGCACCTGTGTGAAGAACTATAGGAGGAGGTTGCAGATGTAGGTTTCTCTTTACGGGTATGCGGGTGCGTGTGATATGCAGGTGCAAGAGTCAGCCTTCGAAGGCTTTATTTTCACCCGAGAACAGGTCTCGGATGGCGTTGGACAGACAATCAGAAGCAATATATTGCCACTATCGGCGCCACAAGATCGGGAGTAACCCCGGAAAATAGATTGCGCGAGAATAACTGCATGCACGATTGAGGAAAAGGTACATGGTGCCAAATGCTTGTATTTGCCAAAGTACGCGTGTAATTTTCATCGCGAAGGTATTTATTTACCTCATTCTATCGTCATACCGTGTGACTCGCAAACAAAGATCCAAAAACAAAACCGTACCAGAAACCAAAGACCTTTATCGTGTTCCTCTCGAAAGTCTTACATAAAGCCAGTGACTACTTTTTTTTCAGCACTGCTGACTCTTTCTAACCCGTAAACCCCCAAGTCTAACATCATCTACCAAATAGTGAAATAGCTCGCGAAACGCCTGTAAATTCCCTGCCTGTAGTATGCGTCCAACTCCGCGATGTCGTCGTCGCTCAGCGGCCGGCGGTCAGACATCAAGTCTACCGTCTTGACGTCGCGGATCTTGGTGCGGAAGATGACCTTGTAGCCGACGTAGCTAGTAAGGATAAGGATCAGGCCCAGCACGTATTGGAAGAACGACTCGACCGACAGGCCACCGCCGTCAACGGGGTACAGGCCGACGTAGATGCAGGCGGCGGTGAGCAGCGCGCAGCCGAGTGCCAGCCAGCCCAGCGTGAAGTAATAACAAGTCGCCTTCCAGGCGTAGATTTGGTCGAAAAGCGGGTCGTTCTGAGCCTTCAGGGCGGCGCGGAAGCGCCAGGACACGATGACGAGAATAATCCAGACGGAGAAGAAAGAGGAGGACGTGATGGACGTGAACCACGTGAAGATGGTGACACCACCGCCTGTTAAGAGTTAGTCGCTGTGATTTTTATCCTGCTGTGAACTGGTACTTACTGCTCAGGTTGATGTAGGTCAGGATGACTGCGACGACACTCGTCACAGCAAGACTCCACCGCGGACGGCCCCTGGCATCGACAGTCGCCATGAATTTCGGAATCAGACCCTGCGCAGCCAGTGACCGCAGGGTACGCGACGCAATGTAAATACTCTCGCAAGCAATGGCAGTCACACCGACGACAATAACGCCGTTAAGGAAGTGAGGGAGACCGGTGATACCGGCGTCCTGCATGGCAATGATGAAGGGCGACGCAGCAGCACCCGAAGAACCGTACAGACGATCGTCGTCGGACGGAACGAGGAGCGAAATCCACATGATGGACATCATGTAGATGACAAACATGCGACCAGTGACCATCTTGCAAGCGCGACCCATGGAAAGACGGGGGAAGAATGCTTCACCACCCATGATTCCGATGAAGACTTGGTCACCGTAAGCCCAGCATGCCAACATCATGCACTGGCCAATACCCTAAGGCGGAGGAGTCAGCAGGCTGTCCCTTTTGGATTTGGCATCAAAGTTTACCGCAAAGCCGTTCTTGAATACCACAGAGTTCCTCCACGTTTCTCCCGTGTGGACGAAGCCCTTCGGACCGCCGCCGGCCATGATTGCGACCGAGGACCAGAAAATAGTCAAGAAGGCAACGACCTTGACCAGGGACGTGACGTATTCAAACCAAGCAAAAGCCTTGCTGGGCAAGAAGAACAGACCGAAGACAATGACGAGGAAGATGGACACTGATCGAATTCATGAGAAGCCATTCACACTTCCAACCAGCACAGATTAAACTTACACCAGACAGCATCGTGCACGCTGCCCTCAGCCCAGTAGTTGATCAGAACGGTGAACATGGTGGCCTCAGCCGCGCACACGGCAGTCCATCCGAGCCACTCGGCAAAGCCGGCGGCGAAGGCCAGGGCCGGGTCAACCCAACGGTCCGCGTACTCGAACAGGTTACCGGATACGGGAAAGGCGATGGTCATCTCGGTGAGCAGCTGCAACACACACCAAACCAGGATGGCGACGAAACCGTAGCCGAAAACGAAGCCACCGGGGCCGCCGGTAGACAGACCACGGCCGGTGGTAATGAACAGTCCGCTACCAATAGAACCTCCGAGAGCGATGACCTGCATACGCCGGGGCGAGAAAATGCCCTTGTAGGCAGCCTGGGCCGTCTGCGGGATCCGGATCACATCGCCTCCCTCCTTCTCGTCGATGGCGAACGCGGGTAGCGAGTCCTGGGATCCCTTGGTGGGAAGGGTCCCCGCTTCGGCGTGCGGGGAAGACATAGTTGGTGTTGGCCGGGACGCGAGAAAGACCGGAGTGAAAATTTTTGGGATGTGTGGCGGCCGTTGAGGACTGGAATCGACGACGACGGCGAAGAGAGGGTAGTAGGTACAAGAAGAAACGTCTTATAGATGGGAAACGTAAGATGTGCCGCTAGGACCTTTGACTTTTTGGGGATGGATCAGTCAGTGCAACGATACGGACCGACCGTCTTCGTCGCCTCCCCCAGGCCGCCCTGGCTGGACGGTTGAAGCCATCGGATTGACAGTGCACCCCCACATCGATCTGGGGCTCCAGATAGGGTCCTCGATAATCCCCCGCATGCAGCAAGGCAAGAACCACTCTTCTCTCCTGACATTGGGCTTCCTGTCGTCGTTCAAAGCGTTCAACTTTTGCGTAACAGCAACTGACCTGACGCACCCAGGGAGGCGTGCGGTGGTGAGCTAACAAAATTTTGCGCCGCGGCACGGACCGGTCGTCATGGGTTCCTGAATAAATGTGGGCTCATTTGCGGGGTCTAGTGTCGGCTTCCGTCGGCCCTCAGCATGAATGACGGAATTCAACTGCTAAAACGCCTCCGATATTCGCAGCCGCAAGCCAGGATCACCGCCGCGGCCGCACCACCACAGGGCTGAGCAATTGCCGGATGTGTCCGTTTTGGGACGTCAACTCTACCACGACCACACCCACACGAAACTTCAGGCGCCGTTCGTGGCCGGAAAACACGCAAATCCCCCCAAATCACGCGGACACGTCAACGGCAACCGTCTCTGCGATTTGCCGACCTTCTGTACGAGCTACAACATGCCGGGACCTCAAACCAGCCAATGCTGTCAGACCTGCATTGGGTTGGCGCTAATCATTGGCCGCAGCACGACAGTACCGCTTCGCGGATGAGACGCCTAATGGAAAGGCCACCTCCGCCACACGCGATTCCTTTGGTCACGATTAGTGCCTTGTCTGTGATTCGCAGGCAAAGGCGAGAGCATGGACTTCGATGAGGTAAAGGACCCGTGGCGTGCTTGTGCTCGAGATAGTCCCAGCCCTCCGGTACTCCGTGTGTGTGTGTGTGTGTGTGTGTGTGTGTGTGTGTAATTTCGTTGTTACTATCTGTGAGCGTCGCTGATGAAGCGACCGACCAGCCCACGGGGGGTATCTAGCAGCGTCATAGCCGCGCGGCGTTGGGTCCTCCTCTTCCCTCCTGCCAATGAAAAGAAAACCCTGTTTCATCTTGTTATCTTTTTTGGGAACTCCAGACACCTGATGCTTGTTGAGGAAGCACTTTTTTCTGATCCGGAGCCCAGGACCCCTTTACCGATGACCGACGTTGAAGGCGTTACATGAGAACATTATACAAAGAAATGCCGAGACGAGCTAAGTCACGCACTGTTAAGAGTGCGGACATCGAGCCGCACACGCTGACGAAGAGGCGGCAGGCTATGCACGCGAAACAGGCTTAGAACAGGCCATCGATCTCGCCCGTCTCCGAGTCGACGTCGACATTCAGGTAGCCGGGCGCGGTGGGCAGACCGGGAATCGTCTGGATGTCGGCGGCAAGAGCGTACCTGCGGGGCCGATTAGTCACGGTTACCATTCAGGGGTTTGGGCTCGGATGGGGCTTACAGATATCCGGCACCAGCCGCCATGCGGACGTCACGGATGGGGACGGTGAAGCCTTCCGGTGCACCCTTCAGGGCAGGGTCATGGGACAGACTGTACTGCGTCTTGGCAACGCAGATGGGAAGGTTGCCGAGGCCCTGCTTGACGTACGTGTCGACCTTCTTCTGGGCAAGCTCACTGAACTCGACCTTCTCAGCGCCGTACATGATCTTACCAATCCGCTCGATGCGCTCCTGAACCGACCCCTCGAGATCGTACAGCAGCTTGAAGTCCTTGGGCTTCTCGCTGGCCGCGATGACGCCCTTAGCCAGCTCGATGGCACCCTTACCACCCTCGGCCCAGTGGTTCGACTTGATAGCGTCCTCGGCACCAGCAGCCAAAGCCTCCTCCCTGATGACGGCAATCTCGGCATCCGTGTCCGTCTCAAACTGGTTGATGGCAACAACAACGGGGACACCGAACTGCTTGGCGTTCTGGATGTGCTTCTTGAGGTTGACACAGCCCTTGCGGAGAACCTCGACGTTCTCGGTGCGGTAGACCTCAGGCAGCTGAGCGCCAGGAGTGATATCTGGCCCGCCGCCGTGAACCTTGAGGGCACGGACCGTGGCGACGATGACAACAACGTCAGGGACAAGGCCGGAAGAGCGGCACTTGATGTTGAAGAAACGCTCACCGCCCATGGTGAAGTCGAAGCCGGCCTCGGTAACAACAAAGCCAGTCTTGCTGTTGTGGTCCTCGTCGGGCTCGGTACCGGCCAGCTTGAGTGCAAGCTTGTCGGCCAGGACAGATGAAGCGCCGATCGAGATGTTGGCGAAAGGACCAGCGTGGACGAACACGGGGGTACCCTCCAGGGTTTGCATGAGGTTGGGCTTGATGGCGTCCTTCATCAAAGCGGTAAGGGCACCACCGGCGCCGATGTCATCGGCAGTGACGGGCTCGCCGCTGCGAGAGCTGGCAACGACCATGCGGCCCAGACGCTCACGCATGTCGGCAAGGTCGTTGCTGAGAGCAAGCACAGCCATACACTCACTGGCAACAGAAATATCGAAACCAGTCTCGCGGGTCTGGCCCTTCTCAGTGCCCGCAGTGCCAACAGTGACACCACGCAAGTGCCTGTCATTCACATCGAGCACACGCCTCCAGGTGATGGTCTCAGGGTCAATGTCAAGCCTGGCAAAGCGGCGAATCTCCTCCTCGGTCAGCTCATCGGGGTTGGTCTTGTTGATACCGAGCTTCTTCAGACGACGGAACATAACAGGGGCAAACTCCCTCTTGCCCTTCTTGGCAGGTACCAGACGCCTGTAGAGAGGGCCGTCCTTCTGGGTGTTCTCGTGAAACATCCTGGTTTCAATAGCTGCGGCAAGCAGGTTGTTGGCGGCAGTGATAGCATGGATGTCACCAGTAAGATGCATGTTGAACTCATCCATGGGAATGACCTGGCTGTAGCCACCACCAGCCGCGCCACCCTTGATACCGAATGTCGGGCCCTGGCTGGGCTGGCGGACATTGGCGAAGGACACACGGCCGAGATGCGCGGCCAGCGCCTGAGTCAGACCCATAGTGGTGGTGGATTTGCCCTCGCCGAGAGGAGTGGGCGTGATGCCCGTGACAACAACATAGCGGCCGTCGCGGCGGTGCTCGAGACGCTTCAGAAGCGTCAGGTCGACCTTGGCCTTGTATGCGCCGTACGGCTCAAGCTCATGCTTGGCAATGCCGATCTCCTCGGCAACCTTGGTGATCAGCTTGGGCTGCTGCGCGCGAGAGATGGCAATATCCGAAGGGACAGGCTGCAGCAGCTTGAGGGGAAGAGGGGTCACATGGCGGGCCTTCTGCTCCTCGAAGTAGTGGTTCGCGGAATCAACAACGTTCTGGAGCAGCATGGCAACCGTCATAGGGCCGACACCGCCGGGGACCGGAGTAATGTGGGAGGCGACTTCGGCGGCGGCGTCGAAGTCGACGTCACCAACCAGGCGCTGGCCAGACTTCTTGGACGCATCGGGAATGTAGTTGGTGCCAACGTCAACGACAACGGCGCCAGGCTTGATCCAGTCGCCCTTGACGAAGCCAGCCTTGCCAATGGCAGCCACAATAATGTCGGCGGTTTTGACGATCTCGGGGAGATCCTTGGTCTTGGAGTGGCAGACGGTAACGGTAGCGTCGGCGTTTTTCAGCAGATAGCTCACGGGGCTGCCGACAATGTCACTCCGGCCGATAACAACGGCATTCTTGCCCTTGATGTCCACGCCGGTGCTCTCGAGCAGGACCATGACGCCCTTGGGCGTGCACGGCGTAAAGAGAGGACGGCCGCCGCGCTTGGCGAGCTCGCCGATATTCGGCACACCGAATCCATCCACATCCTTCTCGTCGGCGACGGCAGAGGTGATGTTGTACTCGGAGATGTGCTTCGGCACGGGCAGCTGGACGAGGATACCGTGGATGGCGGGGTCGTTGTTGAACTGGGTGATCTTGTGCAGGAGCTCGGCCTCGGAAATGTCCTCGGGGAACTTCTCGAGCTTGCAGTCAATGCCAGACTATGCAGCAGTCAGCGTGGGAAGAGCTGGTGGTGTGGTGGGGCGGTGGTCGGACCTCTTCGGCGGCCTTCAACTTCATGCGCACATAGGTGCCTGGACTGGTCAATTGAAGCTCGAGCGGCGGCTGGCGACGGTTACTTACTGGAGTCAGAGCGGTCGCCGACTGTTTGAAGCTGTTAGCAGGCAGAAAAGTGGTGCGGGGCAGGCGGGACGCACCCTGGATGATGCGCAGGGCAGGGCGGTAGCGGGGATTGCTGCTCTGCTTCTCGCGAATCTCTTCGTGCAGGCGCTCGCGAATGCTCTTGGCAATGGCATTGCCGTCAATCTTTGCCGCGACCATGGTGACTGGGCTGGAGTGGAAAGAGCGGGAGGCGGCGACGAGCGACAGCGGTGGTGTGCTCAGTGCCAGAGATTTGAAGGTGGAGCGCGGGCGCGAAAGAGCGAAAAAGTTCGGCGGGGGCCGCACATGCAACACTCGGCGGAAGGGGAGTTTGGTGACCGGCATGACGACTGGCTTCCCGATGGCGGGATTTTTAGGTTCGAAAGGGACAGCGCGTGTTGAACGACTGAAGGAGGTACTCTCGCTCCTCAACTGAAGTTTCCAGATGAGTCAATTTCTATGTGTTTTCGAAATTCTAACAACTCCCGGGTCGCTAAGCCGGAGCTTGGATCCCCGACGCAACACGCTCTCCCACCAGCGGGCCCAGACATCCCGCCGCGGAGAGCCACGCCTGGCGGAGGGCGTTGCGACGGCGGGCTACAGCACCACAGACCATCCTCTTCCCGCGCCAGCTCGACGAGATTTTCTCGCCGTCGCCCGCCGCCACCCTCGCCGCGCCGGCCGGCGCTCAGAATTTTCTGCACCACCGCTTTCGGCGCGTTGGAGCTTTTCGGCGCTGCTGCAGCCCGCTAGGACCCCGAGCCCGCTCGCAGCCGCTGCCCTGCATGGAACGGGCCCGCGCTGGACTCGAAACAGTCCTCCGTCTGCAAGCCCCTCACTGGAGCGAAACTCCCCGAGCAACTATACATTCCGCCGGAACCCGGCTACAAATGCAAACGTTAAGCCACCCCGCAATGGCCAAAGCCGGACGCTTGATGACCTGTTTTCCTTTTCTTTCCGACGCACCCAAGTTGCACTGATTGTGTATGCATGTACAGGTTCAAGTCAGTTGCTGCCAACGGCCACGCGTCCAGCACCATCTCAACTGCATTTAGGCCCTCGGTTAGTCCTCCTGAGACAGGCTCAATCTATGTATACCGCTGCGTGCAAAAAGGCCCTGGTATGATTGGCTAGCAAGCGAAGATCAAGCCGCAGTGGGGAAGAGATCTCACTACAACAGGGGTCTCTCCCATTTGCTGAGCCACCTGTTCGTTCTTCACGCGCTCAGAACTCATCCGTGTTGCGACAAGACCGAGATATTCTATGCATCCACTCTCGTACGCATGCTTCAATTGCTCGTCGTCTCCACCGTCATCAATCACACAACCATGGCGCACGTCTTACTGCTTCTAAGAATGAGGCGTCGTGCTGAGGCAGTGACTCAAGGAATTGCCAAGTTCTGCTGCCTTTAGCGGCGTAAGCCGTGCATCGCGCACAGTTGCATGGCACAGTTCTGCCCCATATCAAAATGATTCACGCCTGGAATCAACAGGTTCTGTCGGGTTTGCCAATATGGGTATCTCAATAACGCTGTGTGCTCGAGATGGGAAGATGGCGTTCAAGGCTGGAGAGACGGGGATCTAGCCACAATTGTCTCACGCCCCGCAATCCCGCCCCGCAACTTCGCGACCGTTGGGCTTGACATCAGCCACGCCGCCTGCAACTTTAAATTCGAGTACCACCATTGGTGGCTTGTATGAGCACCCTTCATGCAATGCCGTTCAACACGTTGCTACTTTGGGGGCCACATAGGCCGTGAGTGCATGCTGACATGGAGGTCAAGCTACTTATTTGGCTATGCATCCCCTCTTCTAACTTTCCGCGTTCTCCCGTTTCATTGACGCCCCGCAATTGCTCAAACCCGCACGCGAGCAGTGACCATGGTCGCCCAATTTTGTGAGGTTGCTGTCGGGCTGTTGTCCCTCTATCTTGTCGCCGGTGCAATATACCGCCTGTATCTTAGTCCGCTGGCCAAATTCCCCGGCCCAAAGCTTGCCGCACTCACGCTTTGGTACGAGTTCTATTTCGATGTCATACTTCGTGGACAATTTACTTTCCACATTCAGGAGTTGCACAAAAGATACGGTACAGAACCTGACACAGGCTACTCCCTCTCCGCTTCAAACTCTTCCGACTCCTACCGTTATCCGGATCTGCCCTCCTTAACGCTTCCTTCCGATTTCACCCATATTTCTCCTCAATGTCCTCGAATCCCCTCACTAACCCCTCCTTTCCCCGCTCTCCATCCAAGACAATTGTGCTAATGACAGATAGGCCCGATCGTCCGTATCAATCCGTACGAGCTCCACGTCAGCGATCCGGATTTCTACGATGAGCTCTATCGTGGCGCTGGCAAAAGAATCGAAAAATGGCCGTGGTCAGCAGCCATGTTTGGCAATGACACGAGCATGATCGCCACCGTGTCGCATGAGCACCACCGCGCTCGGCGGGCACCGCTGAATTCATTCTTCTCTAAGCAGTCGGTGTATAGCTTGGAGCCCATGATCCGCAACGCTGTCTCACTGTTGTGCGGTCGCTTTGAGGAGTTTCAAAAATCCAAGGAGCCTGTCATCCTTGACAATGCATTCTCGGCGTTGACGACCGATATAATCACTGAATATAGCTTCGCAAAGAGTGCGGGTCAACTTCTGAAGCCGAACTTTTCACCAGAGTATGCACACTCATTGTTGACCACATCTGAATTCACCCTCCTGAATAAACAGTTCCCTTTCGTTCTGCGTCTGCTGCGGAGATTTCCCGATTGGCTGGCTGTGAGATTGGAACCGAACACTGCTGCGCTGATTGAATTCCAACGGGTATGCTCCTAACTGAGTAACACAAGTTGCTGATCTGGATGCTGATCGTACTCACAGGGCATTGAAGAGCAGATCGTTCCCATTTTGGAAGGACGCAGCATCGAAAGCAAAACGAGCACGAAACAACCAACTATCTTTCATGAATTTCTCCGGAGCGATCTTCCCGACTCCGAGAAGCAGTTGCATCGCCTTATTGATGAGGGGCAGACTGTCGTCGCCGCTGGCGCAATTACTACGGCTCATTACCTTTCGGTGACAAGCTACCACATTCTGGCAAACCCCCACGTTATGCAAAGGCTTCGGGAAGAGCTCCAACCTCTAATGACGAGTCAGTCTGAAACACCGTCTCTTCGTCATCTAGAGCAGCTACCATACCTAAAAGCAGTCATCAACGAGGGTTTCCGCATATCCTATGGTATCACTGCACGCCTTGCGCGAGTCTCCCCCGATGCACCGCTGAGGTACAAGGACTGGTTAATCCCTGCTGGAATACCAGTGGCCATGACTTCCATCTTGCTTCACGATAACGAAGATCTCTTTCCCGAACCGAAAGTATTCCGTCCGGAGCGCTGGCTGCAGCCGGGCGCGCAGCGGCTGGAGAAGTATCTGGTAAACTTCAGCAAGGGAAGCCGAGCGTGTCTGGGCCAGAACCTCGCGAGAGCTGAAATCCCCTTGACGCTAGCAGCAGTTTTTGGTGGACGTTTTGACTTCGAGTTGTTTGAGACGGACCGAAGCGATGTAGATTTGAAGCACGACTTCTTCAACCCCTGTTCGAAACTGGACTCCAAGGGTGTGAGAGTCACTGTCAATTAAAAGTATCAGCCGCAGTATCTCTAAAGAAGAAATTCAATGAGGGAATATACCTCACGCAGCAATACTTATGCCGAGAATTGAATGTAGCCAACAAACAATGGAAGAGTCGCAGTTTTGAGGTTTACCTGCAAGCCGTTTAGTTTATCTCCGTGTCTTATTCGAGCGACACTCCCAAAGCGTCATGGATTTCACCCTCTCTTTTCCGTAGCAATCACAAAGTTTCGTTAATTACTGTCAATTGAGAAGACGAATCGTTCCGTGTCATCTCCCTGGCCCTTCATTAGGCGACTATCATTGTTGATGACGGTAGAGGCTGGTTCTCCCACTTCCCATAATTGTAAGGTCTCGTTACCTTGCAACATATTGATGATTATTGGGTAATTCCAAGCGCAAAAGCAGAAAGTATATTCACAGCTATCGAACGTCCGACCACCGATGGCCGTAATGGCTACAAATGAGCCGCATTGCAGCGGGGCAAACGAGTGAGGCGCCAGCTCCAGTGACCTATTCAGTCATACGAGCACTTATTCTGGCCGCACTGCTGTTGCGGAATAGGCGATACCCGCCTCGTCCACAGTTCGCGATGTTCTGCAGTTGGGTGCGTGAAGATGGAAGCAGCGTGTGGGAGCAGGCAGCGGGCTTGCAAAGCAAGCGCAGAGTGCTCTCTGCACAGTGCCGTAAAAGAGCTTCAGTTAGGGCGCTCTGCGACCTGTCGACGTCATAGGCCTTCGCAGCGGGAAGTCGCGACTGCCCCCCGCGGCTGCCCTTTTTGGGAGCATTGTTTTGCGACAGGGTCTTGCGCATATATTCGCCGTTCTCGCCAGCGCTCCTCCGACACCTCAACAACAACCTTGCCGGACCGTTGTGCAAGGTTGCGATTGCGCTCACGGCGACTCTCAGCGAGATACACGGCAGGAATCGACAAGCGTCTGTTCTATATCCTCTCGGTAAGTCCAGCGCTCCTCCGCAATGCATCACGCCTGCGTCTCGCGACTTCTTCGAGACACCTCTGCTTCGAATCGACACTTTCAGCTCAGCCAGCCCAAGTTGGTGAGAGCTTGAGTGCGCGCCGCTGTTGCCAATCTTACCATGCCTGCCTTTCACCTCTCACTATCCACCTCCATTTCGTCCTCACCTACAAGGACACGACGTCTGACTAGACTTCGCTAACAAGTCCTTCAGCACAGCTTCTGACTCGCATCAAAAGATCCTGACAACCTCATCGTCATGTCTTGGAACGGCGGCGACGGTAAGTTCACGACGTCAAGCCAGGGCTCTGAGCATCGAGTCTCAGAGCCGTGCCTCGCACCGGCTATCTCACCGTCGCTTCTTGACTTGGGCTGACAGCTGATACCAGTAGCTGCCGAAGGTGGCGACTGGAAGGCCAGTGCTGGCGATAATGCCTTTTCCGAAGACTGGGGCGGCGGTGCTGCTACCAATGGCACCACGAACGGCAACGCTTCCTTCGGCGACGGCAGCGGCGGCGGTAACGAATTTGGCGCTGGCGGCGACTTCGGTTCTGGAGACGGCTTTGGTGGCGGTGGTGACGGTGAAGGTGGCGCTGCTCCCGGTGGTGCCTGTCGCAAGTAAGTCTTACCATTTTCTCTATTGCAAGGCGATGTCTGACATCTCGCAGTTGCGGTGAAGAGGGCCATTTCGCTCGCGAGTGCCCCCAGCCAAAGAAGATGACAGGCGAGTGTTTCAACTGCGGAGAGGTTGGGTAAGTCACGCCACACAGCTTTCGAATAATCCTTCAAAGTATTGACTTTTGAGTTAGCCATAACAAAGCCGACTGCCCCAACCCCAAGGTTGAACGCCCCTTCGATGGACAATGCAAGAACTGTCTGAAGGAGGGCCACAGGACTTCTGACTGCACCGAGCCCCGCGAAATGGGCTACCTCTACAAGACGGTTCCCGACATGACCGGCGAGGAGGCTTGGGCCATGGTGGTCGAGGCTGACAAGACCAGGGATCTTGATGACTTCAGGGAGGCCCTGAAGGCCTACCTGAAGGCCCTCAAGTCGAAGTCGATCCCCATCGACCTATCTCAGATTGAGAAGACCCTCCGCGATGACAAGATGAACGTCTTCCTCATCGCCCTCGAGAAGGATATCTCGGACGTGATGACAATCGTGAGCCCCGATGGCAAGCTGAACTGCGATTACGTCTTGGGGTTCTACTTCTCCGACAAGCCAAGGCGCAAGAATGCCGTCGAAGGATGGCCTGCTGATCCGGAGGACAACCTCAAGCGCTTGGAGAACGCGGGCTTTGTCGAGGACCGCCGAGTCCCGAAGTGCGATAACTGCGGCGGTACGTCTACTAGTGGTTTACCATATTTCTTGACTCTACTGACTTAGCCATCACAGAGCTGGGCCACACTCGCAAAGGTTGCAAAGAAGAGCGTGAGGAGCCTGCGGGCCGTCCCGAAGTCAAGTGCATGGTCTGCCAGGAGGTCGGCCACCGTGCCCGTGACTGCAAGCAGGAGCGTCCTGACCCGTACGCCTGTCGCAACTGCAAGAAACATGGCCACAGCTCTCGCGACTGCCCGGAACCTCGTTCTGCCGAGGGAGTTGAATGCCGCAGGTGCCATGAGAGTAAGCCACGCCGAACCTCCCTTCTCTATCCTTGCTCTCGCTAACCCATTGTAGTGGGTCACTTCTCCAACGAGTGCCCCAATGCCCCTAAGATGGAATGCCGCAACTGCGGCGAGGAGGGCCACAAGGCCTCGGAGTGCGACAAGCCCCGCGTCATCAAGTGCCGCAACTGTGGCGAAGAGGGCCACATGTCCAAGGAGTGCGATAAGCCGCGCGATCCATCCACGGTGACTTGCCGCAACTGTGACGAGGTCGGTCACTTCTCCAAGGAATGCCCCAAGCCTAAGGACTGGTCGCGTGTCAAGTGCCCCATCTGCGAGGAGATGGGTCACGGCCCCAAGAAGTGCCCAAGGGCCAACGAGCCGGGCGGCGGTTTCGACAACGGCGGTGGATCCGGCTTCGGCGGAGGAGGTGGCGGATTCAATACCAATGGCTTCGACAGCGCTGCTGACAGTGGCGGTGGAGGAGGCTGGAACACGGGTGGCGAGGTCACGAATGATGGCGGCTGGTAAGCTGCTTCACACGACCATGGTGACACTGCAAATGATGGAGTTAAATGGGTGTAAAGTGGGACAGGATACAGACATTACTTCTAACTGGACATGGTAGATTAGGGCCTGTCCAATTGCAAAACAACGAGGTAGCTCACTCTGCCATACAATGCAAGAGTAAAGCATTTATACCGGAGCCCCTGCGGCTCACTTACTCGACGTGATGACAGCCAGTGGAGGTTGAACCGCTACTATCGGAGGAGTGACTGAGTCACCTCGTTACGGAGCTCCGGCCAAAAGGGCTTGGCTGTGTCTCTGGGTGTTGGCTCAAAGCTTTCAAGTGGACTTGGATAGCTTATCTTACAGCGAAGGAAGTAAAAGTTTGAGGTAGTCGATAAGGGGTAAGTTCACAGTGATTCGTTTGACTCTGTCCGGGGAAACAAATACGGAAATCCGCAGAGGACAAGCCGGGTAGCATCCGTGGAAGCAGGAGCGTCACTAATGAATCCGCTGCCTGATCTGGACCCGGAGCGAGTAAAAGGCAACGCCATCAAATTCTGCATCGGCGCTCGACTCCGGGGCCGGAATACCCAAATTAAGGGTTAGAGGTTGGGACAGCCGTACTGCAGGCAAGCCTCGCGCGAGCTCTGACCAACTGCTCTCACCGACCCCATGGGGAAACTGTGGCTGGCAGGGCCCAGACCAACGGTGCGGCAAACAGCACGAAACCACGCAGACGGTGTAAGCGATGGCGAGCTGGTGGCGATCAACTCGTTAGCTTACGATTAATAAAGTCGTCAGCCAGCAGAGTGAAGGGCGACCGAGAAAGATGGGCGTTGCCCCCCCAGGATGACAAATGAAATTCTCAGGTACGTATATCCTCTCAGCTGTCCTCCTTCAACATGATGGCGCACCTGTCATGTGCTGACTTTTGACGGTTTCCGCAGCGGGCAGCGAGAGCTGGAGAAGCCGCACTTCCTGCGGACCCGGTTCCATTTTCCCCTCGTCTGACATGGCGGCGCGTGGTGTTGGCAGAGAGTGTCGTCGGCCTTGGTCGGTATTTCCATTTTCGGAAATCCCGGGAGCCCATTGCCTCTTCGTTCAGAGCGTTCAGGCGTTCCGTAGGGTGGCTTGTTCTTTCGCACACATATTATTGTGGGTGTGCGAAACGCGCTTCACAAAGCTAGCGAACGGGATGGCAAGACGGCAGCAGAAAAGCTGCCGACGGCCGGCGGCCGGGCGGTAAAGGCGTGGCCCCTTGCACTGCATGCTCGCTTCCCCTCTGGTCCCAACGGTCTTGGGTATAGCGCAGCGATGAATCGTAGGGCCCGGCAGGGATTCCAGGAGCAAAACGCGTCATGAACGGGAGCCGGAGATGAGACCCGAGAGGATTTAACGGGGAATAATATCTGGAGAGAGGACGCACAACAACAGCAATGAGCAACAAACGAGGCAGGTACTTTTAGATGGTGTCTGTGCTGACGAAGGATTCGCGTGATGGCAAACGTGTGTCCGAAACAGGAAAGCGAGGGAAATGCCGCATCTGCAGTTGACATGCGGTGATTGTATCAAGCGGTTCTTTCAGGGCCTGGCTATTGTCTGCTTGATTTCCGACTGGGTAGTGCCTGGACTTTGATTGACGATTATCGTATCGAAATGCCAAGCTCAGCCCTGCAAGGGTCGGAGACGTCTTTTATAGCATTGAAGTACTCGTCGAGTCCAGAACTCGGATGCGGGCCAATCCCCCGAGTTCCTTTACGTTTCAACCTTCTATTTCATCTGATACGACTGTACGGTCAGTATCAACGTTCTATGTGATTTGCGGGGCGTGGCACGCAAGACAGCCCTGCTGACAGGTGATCACAGCGGATGGTTGGTGTCTATGCCCAACCGCAGCAAGAAAGCCGCGGACTATGACGACGTCAGAAGCTGTTTGAGGCACTGGGGAGCGCCACCATCTCAAAAGACGGGCACCCGCCCACTCGTACTCGGCCGCTTCCAGCATGCATGCGGCTTTTGCGCCGCGTGTTGGGGCTGCACGTTGCCGACGCCGCCCGCGTGCATCGCCGGGTGTGGGGCTGGTCCGAGTCTTGGCCTCACGATTACAGTGGAGTTCATAATCAACAGAGCAGCTGGGATGCAACGCTAGACAGGCAACCTCCGGGGCAACAACGGCCGGGCGCCGGGGCGGTCAGCGCGGCAGCGACATTCCGGTTTTTGCTCGCGGGCCGTTGTGCAAAGGCCGGTGCCGCGAGTCATCTTGGGCAATCGATTATGTATTCGCGTGGCCGCTGCCCGGGGATGAGGTCAGATCAGCACGGCAGGCGGCAGGGGCTTTTCTCTGCTCGAGGGCGGCTCGGGCGAGCGTGCGTGTGGGGAAGAGCAGCCGTCCGTGGAGCCGCAATGGCAAACGGCAAGCGCATGTCAGCACAGCAATGACGGAGGTGAGAGACGGGCACACGAGCGGAGCAGGCCCCCGGATGTGCCAAAGTGGGAAAGCCGGGGCACCGCTCCCCCAGCGCGCAATCGGACCGCGCGACGAACCCTGCGAGGGGAGTCCCCCACGATCGTCGCTCCCCATTCCCACGCCTGGACTCCCGGGGTTGCTGCGACTGCGGGCGCCCCGCCCAATGAGCGTCGACGTCACTGCGTCGGAGTCCGCCTGCACCGTCTTAGCGGCGCAACCATGGCCATGCTTCCTTGCCTGCAACCTGACCGCCAACGCCCGGCATTGACTCTGCCGGCATATAAATCTTTCTGCTGCCCCGGCTTTTCGCCGCCGAGCGTCTCAGGTCTGTGATTTTTTTCCCATCTCACCCCGGCTGAGAGCAGAGAGCCTGCTGGTCAAGGCCGAACGGAAAAAAGAACAACAACCCACAGAGCCCGCGGCTCAATTGCTCGCCATGGTCTCCGGCTCGCGCTTTTTCGGCCTTCGCGGCACGAAGCTCAATGTGGCCGTCGGTGTCATCGCCGGCCTCGATTTCCTGTAGGTAGTACCGTGCCATGCTTCCTCGCCGACGGCGCTGACAACGTCTACAGCCTTTTCGGTTATGACCAGGGTGTCATGGGAGGACTGCTCACGCTTGGATCCTTCCTCAAAACTTTTCCCGAAATGGACGTAAACTCTGGAACTACTGAGGCCGAGAGAAACCACATTTCGACCATCCAGGGAATCTCAGTGGCCTCCTACAACGTTGGTGAGTAAAACGGCAGAACAGACAAAGACAGCAATTGACTGGCCCACAGGTTGCTTTTGTGGCGCCGTTGCCTGTATCTGGGTCGGTAACATGCTGGGGAGAAGATGGACCATTTTTGTGGGCTCCGCTATCATGGTTGTTGGCGCTGCTCTCCAGTGCTCTGCTTTTGGCCTTGCACACTTCATCATTGGCCGTATCATTACCGGAGTGGGCAACGGCCTGAACACCTCGACTGTCCCGACATGGCAATCAGAAACCTCCAAGTCCCATCGCCGTGGCCAGCTGGTCATGATTGAGGGTGCTCTGATCACCGGTGGCATTTGCATCAGCTACTGGCTCGACTTTGGTTTCTCCTATCTCGAGCCGAGCACCATCAGCTGGCGCTTCCCCATTGGATTCCAGATCTTTTTCGCCCTTATCATCCTGCTCTTCATCCTCTCCCTCCCTGAGTCCCCGCGCTGGCTCATTCTCAAGGGCCGCGAGGAAGAAGCTATGGAAGTTCTCTGTGCCCTCAATGACACCAACGAGGACGACCAGTACATCCAGAGCGAGTTCCTTGCCATCAAGGACACGGTTCTCGAAATGGCAAAGGGCAGCTTCTCTGACCTTTTCACCATGGGCAAGGACCGCCATCTGCACCGCACCGTTCTGGCCTACGTCAACCAAATGTTCCAGCAGATCTCAGGAATCAATCTGATCACGTACTAGTAAGTTTGGAAACTGCTATGAATGGTGGTGGGTTACTGATGTTAATAGTGCCGCCAACATCTACGAGAATTACGTTGGTCTCAGCCCCTTCATCTCGCGTATTCTGGCCGCATGCAATGGTACCGAGTACTTCTTGGTCTCCTGGATCCCTGTCTTCATCATCGAGAAGTTTGGACGCCGCTCGCTCATGCTCTTCGGCGCCGTTGGCATGTCGTTGTCCATGGTCGTCCTTGCTATTGCAAACTCGATAAACGAAGGCAAGAGTGCCGATGAGCGTAACACCGCCGCCGGTATCGTGGCTGCCGCTTTCCTTTTCGTCTTCAACTCGTTCTTCGCCGTCGGCTGGCTTGGAATGACTTGGCTGTGAGTTTCGACATCACTTCTGTTGAGAAACATTATTGCTGACTATGCTCGAGATATCCCGCCGAAATCGTGCCCCTTCGCATTCGTGCCCCGGCCAATGCCCTAGCTACCAGTGCCAACGTATGTTTTATTCCCTGACGCTATCTATGCTCTTACTAACGTAAATCAGTGGGCCTTCAACTTCATGGTCGTCATGATCACCCCCGTCGCTTTCTCATCCATCGGCTATCAGACTTACATCATCTTCGCCGTCATGTAAGCCCATCCTCCAGCAAGAAGAAAAAAAAGAAAAAAAAAACGCTAACATGGAAATCTCCACCAGCAACGCCTTCATCGTCCCCGTCACCTATTTCTTCTACCCCGAGACGGCGTACCGCTCGCTCGAGGAGATGGACACCATCTTTCACAAGACGACGTCCGTCTTCGACGTCGTCAAGGTCGCGCGCGAGCTGCCCCGCCGCTTCGGCAAGAACGGCGAGCTGCTCATCGACTACAACGACACAGAAGAGGCCGCTGCGCACGGCGGTGCCCGCAGGCGGTCCAGCGCTGGCGCCGGCGCTACCGGTGGTGTGCATGGCAGCGGTGCGGGCTTCGGCATCTCGAATGTGGGTGACAAGGTGAGGACGAAGAATGTCGAGAATGTGGATACGCCCAGTGGCGGCGGGGAGTCGTCAGTGGATGAGAAAGGTGTGGAGAAATGAGTTGTTTTTTGAACGAACAAAGTAGAACGGAGGAAGAAAGATGGTGTTGGACTTGAAGAGAAAGTGTGGAAGATGATGATACCTCGGAGGCCGTCGGGCCTCCCTCATTGCTGAAGACTATTTTTTTTCTTCTTCTTTTCTTGTTAATGGTTGGGCTTTTTGGGAGCACTCCTGTCTTGAGACGGAAAGGAAAAGATAATAGTACAAAAAGAGATACCTCAGTCGCTTCCAACTGCCGGCACAGACAGGGAGAGGCGAAGAATAATCAACACTATTTTCTTTCAAATTACTCTATTTCTCCTCTAATCATCTATTTCAACACTCCTACAGCGCTCCATCATGTTACGTGTCTACGGAGAACGGCTAGTGATCCGCGTTCCCCCAATCTTCGTAAGAGCTTTCAAGAAAGTCTAGGAGTCGACGTCATGACGCTCACGAACAACATCACAATCTCTTCTATACATACCCACCCGTGTGCACCATCAAAATGAGGTCTCCACGATATCCTTTCCCTCACCACTTCCCCAGCAACTTCCCGAACCCCCTCTGCCTCTCCTCCCTAACAGCCGCCCTGTCCACCACACCATCATCCCCCCTCTCCTGCACGCCCTCCCGCCCCTCCCTCTTCGCCCTCCCCGCGCTCAGCCTCACGGCCACCCACATGACGGCCGAAGCCAGCACGCTGGCGCAGAGGATGCCGATCATGACGAGGTTGCTGCGGCGGTACTTGTGCTTGGGGTCGTTTGCGTCGGCGGGCCAGCCGGTATAGAGGGCGTACGTGGTGAGGATGGAGCCGAGGTTGCCCAGGCCCGAGACGAGGGCCGATGCGGCGGCCACGCCCACCTCGCCGTGCCGCGGCTGGAAGATCTCGTTGGTCCACGCCATCGTCAGGGGCACCGTCGGTCCGAGGCCGAAGCCAACCCTGCGGTTCGGATCGGGAGCGTTAGCGTTTTCTTGTCTTCTTTCCCTATTCGGGGAAAGGCTTGACGGTCGATCCACCATGTGGCCTTGATGACGGGCAGCGGGATGGGCAAGCGGGATCTTGGTGGAACGGTGACGTGCAGCGAGCATGGGTCGTGCTGGTGGGGCGGGATTGGTCATGGTGTGGGGAAGCGGGGACAGCAAGGCGGGGGAGGAACGTGTGGAGAGGTGGAGCGGAGAACAGAGAGAGCAAAGATGTGCATGATTTGGCAAAATCCAGCGTGGGGCGGAGGGTGGCCTTACATAAGAAGTCCGCCGTAGCGGGCCCACGGGTAGGGCTGGGCGGGTGCGAATGTAGTGACGAGAAGGCCAGCAATTTGGATCAGAACCGCAACCGCAAAGAAGGGCGCGCGGTAGTGGTGGAAACGATCGGATAGAGGCGTGACGAGGAGAATGGCGATGAGGTCCATCTGCACTAGGTCAATTTGATATCATCACCCTTGAGACGGGGAAACTCACAATCCAGATGGGTGCAGTCAGTAGAGATAAATCCACGCCACTCAGGCTGGGGTTGATGCCCTTGATGATGACGCTGGCGTACAATTGGGTACCAATGCCAACACCAACGACGCCGAAGTACATGATCGTGAGTGGCCAGAGGCGCCAGTCGATGAACACATGCCAAAGGTCCTTGAGCGTCCAGGCTTTGTTGTGATAGACTCTTTTAAGATCCTCGTAATGGATGATAGCATCTTCGCCCGAGAGAGCCGGCTTGCTCTGAGGAATCCACTTCTTCCATCCTGTCCGGTCCCTCACTTCGCCGGGAGGAAGTGGCCGATCTGGCAGCCACCAAAGCAAGGTGATGCCGACAGCGATGGTGATGATTCCGTAGACGAGGAACATCCATTGGAAGCCGACGAGACCGCGCTCACCATCCATCTCTTGAAATCCGGCGGAAACGAGGCCAACAACAGCGGCCGAGAGCTGAGCAGCAGTGTAGTAACGACCAATGCGCTTACCAGTTCGCGAAGGTGGGTAGAAAAGCGTGAGGTAATAGGACATTCCAGGCCACATGCCCGCAATAACAATTCCAAGCAGCAGTCTCAAGAGGCTTCGGGGAGTCAGAACAAACCATGATCCAGGTCCAGCAAGGGAACTTACTAAAAGCTCCATTGAGCCTTCACGGCCGCCATACATGCTCCGATGACGCCAACACCAATGACAATCCTGCTCATCCAAATATGCGGGCTGAGCTTCGACATGATCAGATTAGAGGGGAGATCAAAAATGACATAGCAAACGTAGAACAGCGCCAGGCCAGTAGAGACCTCTTTGGCGGTCAGGTGCATTTGCGATGCAAGGTCATGGCCGACGTCGCTGTTCATCGTCTGGGCGAGACCGACATTGGAACGGATGGCGGAGCAGAGGAAATAGAGGACCCAGAATGCTGCGGTCGAGCGTGAGTGGGTATATCTTGGGGAGAATTGAATAGCGTCTTAATTACCAGGCAAAATGCGACGGTCCAGCTTCCTGGGCGAAAACTGTCAGTACTCAGGTCAAATTGCTCCACCAAATTTTGAACTCACTTGTACACGCGCTCGATGCGGTCCACGTCAATGAGCTCCGGTTCCGAGCCAATCTCGCGGTCTTCTTGAAAGCCCTCTTGTTTACCCACCGGCCCCGCATGATCTGGGGCGACATCCCTGCTGTCAATCTGGTCTCCAGCCATGATAGCCTGCTGGTAGCCGCTGAAGCGCGTGACAAAAGCACAGAAAGCTCACACAAAAGGCAGGCACAAGGCGGCGAGTGGACGGATAGATGACTGTGTCACATGGCGGCGATGCGGATGGAAAAAGTGATTGGCGCTAACTCCGAAATCGGAAAGCAGCTGGCACAGCTCCTTGGGGCAAAAGATGAGTGTCCCTGCGATGCAATTCTTGGGAGGTCCCCACTTGATCTGATTTGTTGAGCCGCCGATAACCATGTGGGACCCGGCCGTCAGCTTGTCCAGCTCCCCGAGTAACGGCTGCCTGTCGACATGCAAGGCAGTTGCGGTGGTCATGGCTGGGGAACTACCGATGGCAACAATCGCGGCGAACGATGATGGGAGCGAAGAGGGGTTTGAAGGGTGGCGGGCCCGATTTCCGAAGAGGAGAGCTCTCTCAATTGGGCCGAGCTTCAGCGCGTCATAGCTAGCTCCGCGCGGAAAAGTCGTCTTCAAATCGCAAACCCACCATTCTCTCATCGCGTCCGCCCAACAATTCGACTTCGACTCTCGCGCCAGAATGATCCTCTTGCGCTCTTCACGGCCAATTGCCCGTGCTTTCGGCCAGCCGTTGCGCTGCGCCGCCCGAGCCGTCTCCACGCTCCCAAACAACCCTCACATCGTAAGCAGTCTTGCATGATCCCAAGCCATCATCATTCCCTGGCTAAGTCTCCCGTCTCCCCAGTACGTCCACACCGACCCGATAACATCGACGCACACCCTCACCCTCACGCCGACGACACCGCCCGTCCGCTCGCTCGCGCTCGGCACCACGTCCTCCCTGCCGCCCACGCCCAACAGCTTCCGCGAAAACCACGCCTTCCACGGCATCCTGCAGTCGGTGCTGGCGGCGCACGCCGTGCACGACCCGGCCGTGCAGTCGCAGGCGGCGGCGTACGCGTCGCAGGCGGGCAGCATGCTGGGCGGCGGCGGCATCGTCTTCCCAGCGAACCACCCCTCGCAGCAGTACAGCAGCAACAAGCAGGCCGGCAAGCGCTCGCGGCCCTCGTCGGGCCCCGCGAGCGTGGGCAAGACTGCCTCGTACGCCGCGTCTGCCGGAGGCGCGGGCGGCGCCAGCGCCCAGGGTGGCAGCGGCGGCGGCGGCCGTGGCGGCTGGGTGCACGTCAGCGACCAGCGCAACCCGCCCGACTACGGCCGCATCGCCTGGCCAGAGGACATCTTCGGCAGCGTCGAGGTCGACGGCTGCGGCCAGTTTGTCTCCGGCAACGGCAACTACCAGGAGAGCGGCACGTACCGCATGTGTACTAACGAAGGCTTCCTGGGATTGAGCCCTTACCTACGCGAGAAGGTCGTCGAGAAGTTGAAGGTGTTGGAGGAGCAGGAGAAGGGGAAATGAGAGCCATGAGGCGGTGTGTTAATGAACAGGTGTGTTTGTGAAAAACAAAATGATGTGATAGTCTGTTGTACAAAATGATACCCTCCAAACTTTAACACTCGTATATCACGAGTATGTTCGAACTGTAGATCATGCTGTAATATCAAAGTTTGATGATGCTTTAAGAAAAACAATAAAACAGATGAAATGAATTACGAACTAAAATATTGATAAAAGTAACTACTAAAAACTATATTATACAATGCTATTAACTCACGTCAACTTGTCACCAAGACTCGCGGAGCTTTCCATAGGACGAAAGATAATTATGCAGTGCATCAAACAAGCTGGAAGTGAAACAAAACAGTCAAGGAAAAGCGAGCAGCGCGAAGCCGTCCCCCCTTCATCCTGCCCCTTTCTTTCCATCGCGAGATAACAAATTCTTTCCAAATGAACCAGTCTTTCCTAGCCGTCTAACCCATCGTAGCGAATGTCCATGCCCTTCATCAACATGCTCCCATATCGGCAATTTCCCCTCAGAATCCATTATCATACACTGAAAGCACTGGTGTGCGGCAGGCGCATACCAGTGGCTAGTCGTTCGTTTGCGCAAGCTGGATGATGAGCCTGCTTGCCACATCCAAGAAGGGGAACGGACTGGTTGCCCTCTTCTCTTCGCTCGCTCGTCCTGCGCCGATGACCTCAAGGCGTTGTCTTATCTCCACTTTCTCCACGTGCTCTCCGTTCTCTCCCTCACCAGCTGCAGTGGGCGGCTCCTCGCCATCGGCAAGCTTCCGCCACTCTTCCTGGCCGTCCTTGCTCTGGAGGCGCATCTCCCGGATGAGGTGTGGAATCAGGCGTTCGTAGCCCGCACACTTGAAGTCGACAAGGAAGAAGCCCGGCTCAATGTTGTACAGTTGAATGGTGAGATACACGTAGCATGCGTCATCGGCGTCAGGCCAGCGGGCAGTTTCTCCGGCGACTGAAGCTGCGGCCGAAGTTCCTCGGCTACTGCTCTGAGGAATCGAGCCAGAGTGCGAGTGATCGTCATGGTGGATTGAGGGCGAAGTAAGGCTGGAGCTGCGGCTGCGTACCTGGGGGTGCTCGTGGAGATCAACACGCGACGAGTGCGTGGATGATGGATGATTCAAGCCAGGCGGAAACATGCCTTCCTTACGGAAACGTGCGTTGATAACCCATGGGTCCTCTGGGATGCCGTAGCCAAAATCGTTCCACGGTCCATGATTTTTGCGTGCACGGCCGCGTTCACGAGAACCGTCACCTCGCGCCTGTCCATTGGCGTCTGCCATCTCATCCGCGACATCCAGCTCGGAGCTTGAGTCGATAACACCGCCTTCCTGCAATCTCTGGGCCAGGGAATCCGTGGAGCCACCGCGTGAACCTGATCTGCTACGACCTGGAGATTCGTCACTGCTGCTGTTTCCACCACCGGGCCGCCTGAAAGTTGGGACTTCCCAGTCCGCTCCCATGGCACGCAGTGCCTTGTAGATGGCCAACATAGCCTCGGCCGGCTGATTCCTGCTCCGGATACCAAATTGCCATTTGATCGGCTTGTTTTTCTTCTTCTGAACTTCCGTAATAGGAGTCATTGCCTCGGGGCGCATCCCAGACCGTTCCATATCTGCTCGAGATCGCGCATGAGGCTTGAGGCGTCTTGCGGTAGCAGCCTTCTCTTGCGCAGATTGCTCCTTGGGCGACCCAATGGGTTCTGGGGAAGTATTTGGCTTCGGATGGCCCTTCATATACGCGCGATGGAAGTCAGGAAGGCTGCTCGGGAGGATAGCAATGGTGCTGACGGGGCTGCGGTGCTCGTTAATGCTCGTGGCGTTGCTTGCGTTCGATCCGTGCCGCTGTCTCTCGGTGTTTATGGGCCCCGAGGGCACTGGCGCGCCTAGCTGTGAGTTCAAAGGTGTTCCAATGGCTCTAGGGTCATAGTTGGGCGGTGAGGTGGCAAGGAATGGCTGCAAGCTCTTTTCCTGTGATAGCAGGGCTACAAAAACCGAATCAATTAGCGAGCTAAACCATGGAGATGCTCTCCAAAGGGCATCAACTTACGATTTGTCTTCATGATCTGATTTTCTCGAACAATGAGGTACGCATCCTTGATCGCACTTGGCTCGTCCTTGGCCAAAGCTTCCTGGACATCCTCTTTTGCGTAACCCATTGTCTTCCCGAGCTTTCCGACTACCGTGTCGTGCAATTGTTGAACCACAGGCGCTGGGCGGGCAGGACCCAATTTGTTCGGGTCAATGGCCTTGGTGGGATCAACGCCGGTGTCAAAGAACTCCTCGGCGGGTAGCTGCAGGTACGGCGCCAGATCCCTGTTGAACCACGGGTCTTGCCTGATCTCGGCAATGGTGATGCGGTGCACCGGGTTGACGACGAGCATTTTCTTGATCAAGCGGACGGCTCCGGAGGATAGGTAGTTCGGGATCGTGTAGCTGCCTTGGGCGATCTTCTTGAACAGGGAGGGGATATAGTCGTCATCGAAGGGCAGCCTGCCTACAAGCAAAACGTACAGAATCACGCCACAACTCCACACATCGACCTCAGGGCCGGCGTACAGCTTTCCCGAGATAACCTCGGGCGCGGCGTAGTTGGGGCTGCCACAGCTAGTCTTGAGGAAATTGCCGTCAGTCATGATGTTGCTAAGACCAAAATCGGCGATCTTGACGTTAAGGTTCTCGTCTAGCAGAAGGTTCTCGGGCTTGAGATCACGGTGGACGATTTTGTGGCGGTGACAGTACTCGACGGCGCACACTATTTGCTGGAAGAACTTGCGGGCTTTGTCTTCGCTCATCTTGCCGTGGGCAACAATGTGGTCGAAGAGCTCGATTCCAGCGTACTCGAGCACCATGATGATCTCGCTTGGGGTGGTTATGACGGTGTAGCTAGATCCGGGATAAGTCATCGACGGCAGAACGGGGGCGCGATCGGCACTCACAGCTTGATGATGTGCGGGTGTCTGAGAAGCTGAAGGTACTGGATCTCTCGTTCAATGCGGCCGGCCATGTCGCGCGTAATCAGCTTCTTGCGCGCGATGATCTTGAGCGCAACCTTCTGGCCGCTGACGACATGGACGGCCAGCTTGACCTTGCCGAACGAGCCCTCCCCCAGTGTCTTGACGATCTGGTACTGGCCCAGGCGCTGGTTGACCTTGGTTATCGAGGCGCTGTCGGCGCGCCCCGACGGGCGCGGAGCATGGGGTGCATCCGAGGGCCGCTGGTTGTTGGAGCTCCGGCGCGCGGTCGGGGTGGAAATGGACAGCGAGAGGTCCTCGTCCTCGAAGGCGGAGCTCATGGCGGGCATGGTGGCAGTCAGGCGGCAGGGCCGCGGCAGGCGTGGGGCCTACGGGCGGCGCGAGGGGAGCGAGAGGCGAGACTGCAGTCGAAGGCGGACGTTAGCAGGTCGGAGCTCAGCCGGGGCAATTGTGGGGTTGGGGTAATCGTACACGCTCCTCGCTGGCAGCAGGTCGTGCGATGGGTGTGCAGCAATCTCACGGCGTCGGGCTTCGCAAAGCGGGCTCGGTCGGGGGCCTGAAATTAGCACTGCAGCGGGCGCGCAGGGCGAGGCGATGCGGGGGGTTGTTGGGCGATGCAGGTGCTGGCTGCTCAGGGCACGAGTAGGGTAGGGCTACAGCGCTGGGAACGAAAGAGCGGCAAAGATGGGCGCATGAAGGCAGAGCTGGTATGACGTTGAGCACCCGGACGCCGTGGGAGAGGGGCGGCGGTCGGGGTGGCTCTCGCCGGCGGCTTACGGAGGAAGTGACGAGGGTCTTGTAGGTGCGTGAATGCGGTTGCAGCGGCTGGGCGGGAGTCCTGTCTGGTCTTGCAAGATGTGGAGGCGAGGGGCAGGAAGATCGCCCACACGCGCTGCCAAAAGCCTGATGATATGTCATTCACCGCGCCGCCAGCCTGCAAGCAATGCGACCACTCGGCGCACGAGTGCCTCTGCTGCCCCTGCGCGCCCTGCCGCGAGCGATGCTTTCGAAGCACCGCGCCGCATCCAGCAACAAGTGAGGCCGCAACGCACCAGCATCTTATCAGCGCCGTGCATGCTGACTCGTGGTGCCGCTGTGTCGGTTCGCGATGATGGTTTGCCTCTGATACTGCTGACGCCATGACCCGTGTCTTCAAGACCCCCCAATATATCTCTGCCGCGCCGAAGACACCCTTCCGGACCCGACCATCTGATTGTGGCCAGCGGCTCCACTTACAGCACACACTTAAATCCTCCGTCGTGCGCGCGCCCCACCGCCCCCATCTGCCGCTCCTTGTCTACTGCCGCCTCCGCCTGCTCCTTTCTTGCGCCATCGTCCGCGCCAGGCACATATTCTGTGAGCCTTGGCCTGTCCTAAAGAGGCAAACCATGGCGAGCAGGTCTGAGCCACGTTGCTGCTGCTAGGTAGCAATTGCGGCAGAGCGCTTCTCACCGGGTCCAGACCACTGTGGCACGTTAGCTTGGCCATCAACAATAGGCCGTGCACGCAGGGAGAGCTGCAATTGCATGCCGGTGCTCGCCTTATTGACACTCTGCTACATGACTAGGGCCGTGAGCATTTCGCGGAAGTAAAAGACAACCGAGACTAATACAATGTCATACGAATCAGGGGTAGCAGGAAGAGAGCCAACTCTCCTGATGGCATATCCTCCACTGCTAAAACAGCGAGACTTCCAAATAAGCCATCTTGCAGGCATCGCCTCAATGATGTGCCAAGCGAGTGGTATGAACTCATCATTCGAGCAAGAGGTCAAGAAAACTTCAAAAGGTGGCACAATCAAGAGCCAGATCCGTTGCCTTTACCATGTCTCATAGTTGGAAGGCAGGCACACTGTTTATCCCCGCTAGATCTGACAACGAGGACCCGCAGCCAACTACTGTGGAGCATAAAGTTTATCTCCTCGGTGGCCTGAATGCATTTTGTGAAGCCGGCAGGCAACGGTCGCTACCCGGAAATGCAAAACAGCTGGCCGGGACATGTAACCGTGTAGGATGCATATGAAAGTGGAACACAGAGGGAGAAAGGCTACGTGCGACTCTGGTTGTAAGCACCCTCAGACCGTATTGTATTCGGACTTCAAACGTAGAGAGGGTTCTAGGCTCCTTCGCAAGGGATATCACACGCTTCGTCTGTTGGTTATTGAAGCAGATATCTGGGCGTATTGTAAGATCTCGAACTTACATAGAACAACCTAGGCGTTGAGTTCAAGCACTAGTCCGGATAGAGTTCGTCGTCCCTCGTGGTGGCCTTTTCTTTTTGGACACTGAAAATCCCACTCCACATGGCGAGGTGATCGCTACAGGTATTCAACTACAGAGTTGCTTGATTCACTGCCAATTACCACCTTGCACCAAATAGAACGTATATAGTATCCGAACAGCTAATAGGGCCTCGAAGTGCACCGAGAAAATTCTCGTATGTGTAGCGCTTGATTCTAGGACTACTAGCGCGAAGAATACCAGGTCTTCGGGCCGGGAGAGGACTGCACTCACCCTAGCAATATTGTAGGTTAGGCTCACTGTACACCGCTGTTATTGGCCTCTTTAGGCTCCTTGGCCTAGTAAAAACTATTTCACTCTAGTAATTACGTCCTTCACCCTATCGTTTGAGGGCTATTGGGATATGCACTGTTAACCAGTCTGCAAGAAGCACTGGGATCGCTATTCCGTTAAACAATTAAGATTCTGATATAAGGCAGATTTTCTGTAACCCGGGCTCGCCCGTCGGCCGGGGCATTGTGGTAAGCCAAAGTAGCTTTGCAAGACGCCGCTAGCATTTTTTTAGGCAAGCTGTGGACCGACTGTTCCAGACTTACTTGACCGCAACAACCGGGGAATTGTAGGCCGTGGCACGAAAGTATTCTCTAGTTTTTGCTCAACTGTTGTGAAAGCTTCTGGCGCCAGTTGCGCAATTTCGACCTCTTCTGCAAGCGCCTAGGTAAGTTAGATGCCTCCAGCAGTGCTCTTTAATATATCCGTCATGCAGACTTCTGTACATGTGTTTTTTAGGAAACACCATCGAAGACTGGTGGATAACTTGGGATAATCGAAGGATAAATGTAAAGCTCCTGTTTCAAAACGGGGTTTAGTCGTGCCACCAAGTAGCTCGTCAAAACGTCACTTGGGGAGAAGATCGGATATTATAGAACACTATAGTATGTTCGAAAGGTGTGGCCATGGCAAGGCAAGTTGCACTGCTGGTTTCTTTCACTCGCTTGCGTTTCCCATCCTGTGCACAGCATGCAACTTGGCAAAGATTCTGCCGGAGGAGCAGCCAATATTGGCTCCTCTTTTTTTTCTCTACAGCATCGGAAAAGAAAGGAACGGCGGCCAATCGCGTGCAGCATTGGCTGACAAGACCAGGTATCCAGGGCCGGGGAATAGCACGAACGGCAAAGCTTGTGTGCTGGGGGAAAAGCAACTTGGCAGAGACGGGATCATTGTATACGTTACCTTGCAGGCAAAAATGCCGCTGCACCGTTGAGCTGCCAATCGCTACACGGGTGGTCAATATATGGGCGGACCACGGCAGCCGTCCTGCAGGCGGTGCATGATGCATGGGCTGATGCTTTTTGGCCCTTCAACGCCTTCTGCAGGCACGGCCAGCCAATAAGCAGCGCGTCTGCACATGTGAAAGGTCCTGTCGTTGCGGGTTGCGGTCGGTGTTTCCACGTTACAAAGCGCCTCTGTCGCGGCGCCTGACACCGGGCCTGCCATTGCTGCAGCTGATGTTTCGGGACGATGTGCGCATTGATTGGCGACCCGAGGAGGGTGTGCTGCGGGACGCGAGGGCTCCATGTCGACGGATCGCGGAGCGCTAACCGGACGGGGCCACGACTGGGGAGCGTGCAGGCGAGGTGTGATGTCTCTAGGCGCGCGTGCCCAGCCGCTGGCGACGGAGCGCGGCCCAATGGGCGTGAGCTGAGCGGACAGTAAGCTGGTGAGCTGTCCGCGGGCTGGCGCAAGCCTAGCAGCGGCGCTCAGCTGGCCGCAACGGGCGGGAGTTGGGCTTAGACAAGCGGGAAACGGCCCTTGCGAGGAACAGGAGCCACGGCGCTGCCAAAGCGCCGCCTTGATGTGCGAAGCGCTTGGACTGATTGACGTCGATCGCCCCGGTGATGAGGCGTCGCCAACAACCCAGCCATCTTACCAGCCTCCACGCCCGACAACACATCGCCTCACCCCGGCCGGCCTCGCTGCAGCTGGCCACTCCCAGAGCCGCATCTGGCATTGCTCGTTTGCGCCCGCCCGCTCCTCGCAGCCTGTTCCTCGTCTCTACCAGCGGCCCGCCCGCCCTCTCACCTTCTGCACCTGCATCTTCCTCGTGCTGTGCATGGCTCAGCGCTGACCTCGCCCTCTTCCTCAGCATTCCAGGCCCGCGTTCTGCGTGCGACGCAGCCACGCCCGCCCGCGAATAGCTGGCCACATTCCCACGTAGCACAGGTTCGCGAAATCTCAGCTTCGAGCGACCGTGAAGCAACACCTGCCAACCTGTCCGTACCTCGCTCACCCATTCGAACGCCGATCCGTGGCATCCTTCTGCCTCAGGCTACCCTCGGCCTATTGGCCCCCTCTCCCTCTTGTTTCGTCTACTGCGAAGTCCTGTCCCCTCTCCAATCGCCTCTCTTCACCTCCGCCGCCCAGCTCGCCGCACCCAATGTTCTAGTGCGGACCCAACCGCTGTAGGACACTCACTTCGAAATGGGTGTGGATACCCAGCGTCCGCCCCTTCCGGCGCCCACCGAAACTTCATTCGCCGACGATAGTAGCTTTCGCGCTGACGACCTTGCCACCGACGTGTCCCGCCGGACCGACCGCTCACACTATTCCATACCTGACGACGGCAGCCCCGTCACCATCGCCACCAAGACCAAGGACAAGCTCGGCCACGGTCGACAGCAGTCCCAGACCTCTCTCCTCATCGAGTACTTCGAGGCGGGAAAAGCTGGCGACAAAGTCCGTTCCCGCCCCAGTGTCAGAGTAAGAGTCACACCTTCATCCAAGCACGGACGGTCCAGGAGTGGCCACGACCACGTCGAAATCACCCAGACGGACAGAGATCGGAAACCTTCGTACACGCGCAGGATCTCGCTGCCTTCGACAAAGAGCGGAGAGCCCAAGCTTGGAGAAGCGAGTGAAGTGTCACTTTCTTCAGAGTCAAACCTGAGCGGCATGCCCCCCGTAGAAGTGGAGGTGCTCCACAACGGGAGCGACCTCTCCCGATCCGAGCTTTCTCAGGGCCGCTTCGTCCCCGCCGGTTCTGATATCTCATCAATGCCTCCGGATAGCATGGTTGATGGTCCGCCTGCAATTGTTCCTCCAACGCTTAGTCGCCGAAGGAGCCGGAGCTTGGATCGCGAGGAGAAGACCATGTCAGAGGACAGCGGCAAGCTCAAGGCACCATCCCGACGCAGGAGCCGCAGCTTGAGCAGAGAGCGTGCCATGACTCAAAAGATTATTGGAAAGCTCACCAAGGAACAAGCCGAGTCCGGCAAGCTGAAGCATCGCCGCGAGAAGAGTTCCAGTCGGGAGGTACTAGAAGAAGGGAAGCCATCCTCCCGGCGCAAGCCCTCTCGCTCGCGTCGCGAAGAAGCTCTGATCAGCGGCACCGAATCGAGCTTGCTCGCCTCTGAAGTCAGCCGTAGATCTGGCGACACGCAGTCTATTCGCTCAGGCATGTCCACCACTTCTTCTATCAATAACCCTAAATTGCTTGCGACCGTCGAGGATGCTATCAAACGACTCATCCTCCCCGAGATCAATGCCCTCAAGGAAACGCAGGGCCGCGATAAGCGCGATCGTTTCGATCGGGAGTCCTTGTATTCGAGCGGCTCTCGTGGAGAATTGAAGAGAACCGTCTCCAAATCGTCAAGCGCACCGAATGTCAAGGTCGTTCTCAATCGTGACGAGAAAGATCCGGGTATTGTACTCTCCGGCGACTCGGTACGGAGTAAGAGGTCAAGGAGACCAAGCCGAGACTCTGGCTCGGAAATGAGCTACGACAGGTTCGGATCTGAGTCCACGGTTCGGGAAGACGAGCGGCTGCACAAGAAAAAGAGCAAGGACAAGCGCATGAAGGATGCTGCCATTGCTGGCGCTGTCGGTGCTGGCCTCACCGCAGCGGCTCTGAAGCACCATGATTCCGAGGCCAGTCTAGACACGAAAGAACGGAGGAAGAAACGCAGCAAGAGTAGGAGCCGATCCGCGAGCATTTCTGAGAGCTACGTTGAGGACAGCCCCAGTGAGCTAGTGCCACCTCTGCCTATGCAGAGTGAGATGCCTGGCTCTGAACTGACGCGCGATTCGATTCTCTCTGCCGAAACTGAACGGCCTGCCTCTTCAAGAGGTGCAACTCCTATTCGTGAGGTATCACGAGGAACTCCCCGTCCGGTCATGTCTCCTGCACCATCTACACCCACCAGGACTCCTGCAGCTCTGCGTCGCGGACCCAACAGCAGCAGCTCTCTTGGAGGACTCAGTTCGAAGAGTGATAGGGAAATGTCAACCAGAGCAAAGGCTGCTGCAGCGCTTGCAGCAGCAGGAGTGGGCGGTGTTGCTGCTGCATCAGTGCGCAGCAGCTCGAGGACCCCCACCCATGAGTTCCGTCAAAGCGAGCTTAGCTACGAAGATCGGAAGGAAAATCTCACGCCTCAAGGCCCTCGCTCAGCTCGGAGCGCTGCTTCGATATCATCTGCTGGCCGTGAAGCATCCAAGAAGCTTTCAGAGCTCTCATTAAATTCTGCTGCCAACTCTCCCAGTACTAACGCCGCGCGGTCACGGAGAAAGTCCGATGGTGTCGCGTCTGGCAGGAGGTCTGACGTCTCGGAAATTGACATCGTCCACGATTCGGAGCTCTCATACAACGATGGCACTGCGACTCCACGAAGGCAGGAAGATGCTGAGAGGTTCTTCGATCATGAAAGTGAACAAAACGACGCTCTTCGGGCTGAAATGGACATTAAGCGCTTGACCGGCTACACCGATGACAGTCTACGCAGCTCCGATCATCTCAACTACCATCGATTGACCAATTACACAGACGACAGCCTGGATCGCAACTACCGTGATGGAATGGGTGCAGATTCGGACGTTCACGATGTTGGCGGCAGAGCAGACTTCGTCGCCACACCAGCTGCAGTTGAGTCCGCTGTGGCTTCCTTGGTCGATCCCTCCACCGTTAGCACCAGCGTACGCTCATCCCATAGAGACTCTCAGCTTGGGTCGAACCAGCTTGAATTCATTCATATGCATATGGAGGAGCCGCATCAATCGTCTGGCGAGGTTACTGTCACTGGCCAGCCTGAAAACAGCGGGGATCGATGGGCTGCTCTCCGGGACCAAGCAAAGAGGATCGATCAGTATGGAGTAGAAGATTCCCCCCCTCAGAGTGAGGTGGATTCGTACCGATCCGAGGAACCAATCCAAATGACGCATAATGCGATGCCTTTTGGCGAGCCCATGCCGGAAATCGGACACGGATTGGACAACGAATCTGAGGTCACCACGAATCCTTCCGAAATACAGGGACCTGCACGCACCCCCGACCGTTGGCCCTACGAGCCCACCCCTCCCATGTCTTCAAATGGATTGCGCGCTGGAGAGGCCTTGGCTGTTGGAGGTGCTGCTGCAGCTGCTGCGCACATTCTCCAAGATGACCACGGAAGCCCGGTGTCACAAGATCGTCATTTCCAACCGATGGTGGAAGACGATTACGAGGACTATGGGGAGCCTTACCCCCAACATGAGGAGAGCTTCCCTCAGCAACACATGGGCCCCAATAGCCCAGGAAATTGGAAGGACGAGGGTTACATCTCGGCTGCGCAACCTGGCTACACTCCTGAGCCTCAAATGGACAACTCCAGGTTTTTCGAAGACAGTGGCCTGCCAGATATGTCGGGTGACCTGGGTGAAGACGACCCATTTGCGGTGGGCGGTAATCCCATGCATGCACGCAATTTCAGCGGAAATTCGCACGGCATGTCTTCGCCTCTGTATGACAGCGCCACTGGCAAGGGAATTGATCGAATCCAGTCGAAGGACATAGTGGCTCTCATGGACCACCTCACCGTTCGGGACGCCCAAAGAAACGCGCGTGACACGGAAATCCTGGTCACGCTCGTTCGCAGTGCTGCCGACATGCGGAATTCTTTTGAGGAAATGAAAAAATTCATCGCCGAGCAGGACAAGATGATCATGGGCAACTCCGATCGGGATGCTGAAGTGGTCGTTCAAAGGCTTCTTCAGGGACCACGGCCGCAGCCACCCAGCACGACTCGCTTGCGCGGGCGGTCTTCTGAGGAAGTTGACGATCTTCCGACGAAGCGCAAGAACGTTTTCAGGAGAGCTCTCAAGGGCCTTAGCATGAAGAACACGAATGAGCTGTCAAGGATTGAAGACATGCTTATGCAACTCCTCGATGAGGTCGAAGGGCTCAGGGATACCCAGAACTTCGGGCCGCGGCCATTGATGATGCCGAGCAGCCAGGGCCAGAGTATGACGTCCTACGAGAACTTGCGTGCTGCTGGCGATCCGGGATATGAACCGGAAGGTCGAGCTAATACCGCATCTACGCCCAACCAATCCGGGACCTTTTCGAACCCCTCCTCTCGTCAAGTGGGCCGCCATTCAGGATATGACGGACGCCGTGGATCCGAGAATCGTATCAGCACGGTGTTGGAAGGGGACGAGGAATTGGACGAGCACGAGGCGCACATCTTGAACCACCAATTCGAGAACAACGAGCGCTTATTGACGCCAACGGAGGAAGTAAGACGCACCAACTCCATGCCGCAGGAGATAACTCCACCAGGACAACGCGGATTCGATGAATCACCACCTAGCCAGGAAGCCAACTCCAAGGCTAAGGCGAAGCACAAGTCTAACAGCTCATCTCTTTTCGGCATTCCGAAAATCTCGCGTTGGTCCAAAACGACTGCTTCTACCGAGAAAGAGAGTGTGCGTAACGGCAAGAAGGGGAGGCCGTACTCGCAGGCGTCTCGTTCGGGGTCTAACCTCAACATCAATGACTATGGCGACTACGAGCTTCAAGATGACGATCGAATCCGGTCGAGCACTTCTCTCAACGGCTACCAGCGTGGACATTCATTCGACCAGGTTCGGTCGCCTTCTCCTCTCATTCCGGATGATGATGATCTGGATGGACCAAAGTACCAAGCCCACAGGAACTCCCTGAACCTGGAACACCCCCAGCCACGCCCTGGGCCGACCCATCGCCACCAGACGCATCTGGAATCGCAAGCCATCAACTTTGATGACCCGCATTCTCCCGACTTTGATCAATGGGGCTCGGCCCCGAGCCTTGCTCTGAACAGAAACCGCTTTGGCGGGAACAACGGGCACATGTCCCCTCTCTCCGATGGTGGCTACTCAAACCACTCTGCCTCAGAGCAGGTAAACGGCCGGCAAAGGGACGATGGCCCTCTCGTGCCACAAGTTCAGCAGCCACCTCAGCAGCAACGCAGCCTGCCATTTGGCGCCAAACAGATGTACAGCAGCCCATTGAGCTCAGGCCAGCTTCTGTCTCCTCTTCCACCCATTGAGGAAGTTCGGTACAGCTTGGAGACGGACAGGCACAGCCTGACGCCCTCCCCAAACCCTTCAAGCACGATGCAGGTGCGGAGCCCGGGGCGGAAGATCACCGGCCCAAGGCCTATGGGATCCAAAAGCCCACGCCCCATGGAGCATTCGGATACCGTAGTTAGAAGGAAGCCTGTGGGTGACCGGAGCCCTTGTAAGTAGAGACTCCTTCACATAAATCTTTGTCATCGACTAACCTCCAGAGAAGCCCTCGAATCATACCGCGATAGCCTCGACAGCTTCGACCGAGATACTTTCTAAGTGTTGAAAGCTTGCTCGATCCCCTTTGCTGTCGGCATCCCTTTTCGGTCTTCCAGAGCACCCTTCACTACCGCTACGAGGTATTCGTGCTCTGGAGGAGTTCCATTCTACATATGCCTCCGGTCTCTCTCAAGCCCCTAGACCCTGAGGTCCATCGACCCGTCAAGCAATGTTCGAGGCTTTCGAGTCTAAGCGAACACCATACTCCTAAAACACACTTCCCCTTCATACATTCAATCTTGCGAATCACAATCGCACAAAAATCAAAAGAAAAAAAAGAAATATTGGCTTGGATTAACAGAATTGCGATTCAGTACAGCTTTGAGCTCAAATGATACCCCAATGAGCTGCTTTGATGACGTTACGACTATGACAATGACACGGCTGGGAGATGGGAATGGCAAAGAAATACGATCGGATCAAAGCACAGTCAAGCAAGCGAGTGACAACAAGCGAGGAGAACCACAATGGTTCCATTGTTTTCCAGATTCTCTCCCCCTTTCAGATTTAATTTTCCTTTGTGTTTGTTCTTCTGAGTTTTTTTTTTTTTGGTTTTTTCGCACTTGTTTCGGACGGATTTCAGTTGAGCTTTCGATTCTTCTTTTCCTTTCTCGAGCAGGCTCCCTTCTTCTTGTGAAAAAGTTTCAAATGGAGAAGCAATTTAGGGCGGTTTCGCAGTATTGGTTGAGATAGGAGTATTGCTTCTAGCGACGATCCAGACGTAGCCTTTGCCGGACAGAGGCTTTTGAGGAGGATGTAATGTATCCTAGAGGAATATTGATTGCTTTGTGGGTTTCAGAGTTGTCTACGTGCTCGTGTGTATATGTTGAAGTGTGGATGGCAACCCTGAGAGTTGCAATCACAGCGCTAGCAAAACTCATGGGCAAACGGACAAGGAAGGCCTGCTTTCGCTATGCTACTACCTATTGTATGGTGAGATGCCCCGGCGTTCCACACGCGACGATCACAGGCGTGGGGGAGGGGTGCAAAGGTGATGGCCGTTTCATTTCGACCATGGGTGTTTTCTTGCTGGAAGGATCATTAGACCAGCTCTTTTGAACGGGCCGTTTCATCCCACACACGACCGTGTCAACGGAGGAGACGATGATGCTGGCAACTGATGGAAGAGAAGGGGGGTGCGGCGTTATTGTCGGCCGTAAAATTACATTCTTTGGATGGTTCATGGGTGCAAAGGACGTGAGCGACCGGGATTTGATCGGCTTCTTCTCACGCCGGTCCCTCCGCATTAACAAGTCTAATGAATCGAAAAAAAAGGAGTTGGGGTTCACAAGGACAGAAAAACATGGTGCCATGATTCAAGCGGATGGGATATACTTGCAGTTCATAATTTTGATAATGATTCGGGTATCGACAGTACCTGGGTATATGTAACTGAAGGGGAAGAAAAGCCTTGCATGATGCCGTCGTCGTACTCCGCAGAGAAGCACGGGGCTCATGGTAGCGGTAGCTGAGCTATACGGCTCGAATAGAGCAAACAGAATAAAAAAAGAAAGATCAGCCTATTGACGCCTCAGCCCCCGACCCGACCATATTGTATCCCTGAGTTTGTTTCTTCGTGTCTTCGTCGTAAATGTGCCAGAACTCCGTCCTGCGCCGAAATAGCAATATGCAACCCTGCCATTTGTACATCCCTTCCCTCACGGTTGAACTCCGATGCCGGACCGATAAAAGCCTTTTCCCCTCATATCACTCGAAACCCGAGAGGCGAGGAGCATGAGGGGTTAAGAAAAAAAAGAGAGAAAGAAAGGAAGAAGATCAAGGAAGATCATGCATTTCACTTTCCCTGCTCAGCAGCGCCAGCGCCCACCTCACGCCCGGGCGTGAAGCACTCCGCGCTCAGCACCAGCACAGCAGGCAGCACAGCGGCGGCGTGCACGCTATTAGTCCTGCTCCTGCTCCTCCCGGCGCCGGCCATGCGCTTCTTCAGGCTGCTGCCCTTCCGGGCCGCGGCGACCATGGCGTCCTCGTCGAAGTCGTCGTCGCCGTAGTCCAGGCTCGTGCGGCTGCCGCTCGACGTCGACGACGAGCGCGAGCGGAAGGAGAAGAGGGAGCGCGAGCGCGGGCGGCTGCGCGTCCGCGGCACCGTCTCGTCGTCGACCGGGTTGGCCATGGCCGAGGGCTGGTTGGTGTAGGCTAGTGAGGTCGAGGAAGCGGAAGACGAGTTGGAGGTAGGGTTAGTCAAGGCAGAAGACGAAGAGTAGTAGCGGCTGTGCTTGGCCCAGGCGCGCGGCGGCAGCGGCGGCGCGGCGGTGGCAGGCGGCAGAGCGGGGACGTGGATGGTTTCGACGGTTTGGTAGGTCGGGGATGCGGGGGTCTTGGTGGTGTCGGTGGTGGTGGTTTGGTGTTGCTCGAGGACCTCGTCGATGGAGGGGATGCCATCCATTGCGATAGTTGCGGAGCCCATGGTTATGGTGTTGTGGGAGTGCGGAGGACCGAGAAGCAAGCAGCAAATGGCAACAGATTATAAATAGTGTTGATTATGTGAATTGACTCGAATGTTCCTGATGACTGTCTCTGTTGGAGTGGGAGTACAAAGGATGCGACTTTCGATTGGAGAGTTAAGGAAACAGAACGGAAAGCCGAACGGCACAGCCCATCTTATAACCAATACTTGCCGACACGCCATGGTCCGCAAAAAAATCAATCAAGATGATCATCGGGCAGAGGAGATTGAACCAACGCGGCTGAGTTGGGCTGAGTGCTCACCGTTCGACGGACGTGCGCTCGCAGAAACCCGGTCTAATAAGCGCTAGTCTGGCACACAAAGAGCTGCCTACGTACCGGGCTGATGACTTGACCCACCGGCTGCTGCGCTGCGCTGCGCTGCCCACGGGGCCCTGAGGCAACAGTCAGCGACGGGCCATGACGCCGTCACGCAGCCGCGGCAAGCGGCCGAATCGAGCAAGCAGTGAGGAGGATGGGGATGGCGCAGTGCCGAAGGATTCATGGCGAAGGCGGCTGTTGCGCGTGGGGGCGGAGCGTTCCATCACGCGAGGCGCAGCGCTGGCGACTGACACCGCCAGCCGCGCAGCGTTTTCTCGAAAAAAGATGCGAAAACGAGGGCGCATCAAATACCACCGCGCTGCCCAAGCGCGACGTGAGGTGGAGCCGCATGCGGCGGGTCGGTCGGCCGGTACGGCAGTTCGGCAGGGCTGAGCCGCGTCGCCAGCGCTGCGGACGAGTCGATGACATCAACCGCCCGTCTTCTTAAGAAAGAGCTTGCGCCGGCGTGCGAGGAGCTCCTCACACACGCGATGCCTCGAACGGTTTGACGCAGCGACGCCGTCGTCCTTGTCCCCGCTGATCGACTCCCTGCACGCCGCACCACTTGCCCGGATAGGCCCCCGCCGCTTGCCACGCATGAACCTCGAGTCACCGTTTGCGAATTCGTGTGTGAGGAAGGATATCATTCAGCCGCTGGGCCACGACGGCACGCTGTCTCTGGCGCCTGGTGCTCCCAACGGTGCGACCGCCTAGGCCGCTTTCCGTCCACCCTAACTACAAAAAGCAAACGAGGCTTTCCAATCAAAATCAAACAGCCAATCTTTTCGCCCTGGGCCCTTGCGCCCAAAAAAAGACATAAGTTACTGTGGGGTAGTAGTGCGGTAAATCCATGTCGCTAGGCCCTCCCAAAGCTGAACAATAAATCGTAAGAAACTGCTTGCTGTAGTCGCGCGGCCATCCATGGCCAAATGGGGAATAATAAGTAAGCACCTCAAGTGCGCTGCGTGCTCCGAAAGAAATCGCTCCCAGGCCCGCGGGTTTCAAATAGCTCGTCCAAATCTCCATCATTCTGAAACGTGAAAAAAAGCCATTTTCAGCCTCAGGAACCCGTGTGAGCGAGCCAGCCTCTTGAGATTTTCCAGAAGCGAAAACGGAAGGCGCCGCGCCTGGTGGCTGCCCGGCGCCGAGAAGTGTAGCAGATAGATGAATGCTCCTGATTTGCCGGCGCTCCCGGTGGAAATGATGCCATCAACAAGGTCCAAGTCATGCCCTTCATTCTTTCACTGCGTTTTCATCCCCGAACGGGCTCCGTGCTCGCGCGTTTCCAAGACCGCCCGTCACGTCCTTGCTTGCCCGCTTGGTCGCTTCTTCGATGACCGTCTCCAGGTTGTCTGTCCTGTTGCTGTCCGAAAATGGGCTTTGCGTCACCCCGGGCGTGTCCTGGATGTCTGTGACATTGCTATCGCGGGCCCCAGCCCTGCTCCTGCTGTCGTCCTCGTCGTCTGACGAATCGTCATCCATGTGGCTCTTGAACTCGGGTCCTGACGCTGCTGAGTCCGTGATCGAAACCTCCGTCAATGGCCGCATCTTGATCGGTATCCTGTCGGGCGTCGGGGATTTCTCTCTCGTTGACGATTCTTCCGACGAAGATCCACTCGCGGCGGCCAGGCTAACCTCGTTTGCCAATGATGTCTTTGACTTCTTTCCCTTGGTGATGGTGAGGGCCTTCGGCTTGCCAATCTGGACGCTCTTTACTGAACCTTGCGGGCTGGGACCGGCCTTGTCCGACGAGTGAGGCATCTGAATCTTGAATCCACCCTTCGGACTTCTGCCCTCGGCTTGCTCATAATTGATTGAGGGAACAGGGGGCGTCTCAGATCCCGGGGTTTCAGACGGGGTGCCGGAGCTGTTTGACTTGACGCTGACGACGGCGGCCTTACCACGAACGATGGTTTGCGCGGGAAGAGGCGAGACGATGGCGTTGTTGCGGTAGATGGTGGTGGCGACACTGCTGCGGGCCAAACTGGGCGAGATGCTTGAACGGCCGGCGGACAATCCAGAGTAGGTCGAGTCGCGCAGATCACCGGGGACAAAGAAGTGCTGCTCCGAGTAAGGGCTCGTGGCACCAGAGTGGGCGCTTGGAATCGGAGGCACCGGGGGAACAAGAGTGCCTGGGGACGGAGCACCAGAGCGGTTCGTGACACCTGGAATGTAGGCGATTTGAATGATGTTCGACGCTCGGGTCAGGACGGTGGAGGCCATGGAAGCGACGGTGTGCGTGGATGCCCGTGCGTCTCGTCTCATAGTGAAGTCATTCTGGCCCTTCTCCTGCTCGACGTCCATGTGGGACCAGTGATCGGACTCGTCGTATTGCCTTCTCTTGCCCTTGTAGTAGAACTTCCAGACCAAGAAGGTGATGATGAGGAGCACGGCAACGCCGCCGACGACACCTCCAGCGATGGCGCCAACATTGGTGCCGCCCGACTTCTTCTCGGTGCCTGGTGAGCCGTCCATCTTGACGCACACTGCCGAGGCGCACTGGGTGCATGACGACAGGAGCTGCGAGCAGTATTCGCCGTCATTGCACGTGGGACACGACGGCGTCTCATCGGGACATTGGACGCAGCGACGGAAGATGGTGCGCAGCGTGTGCTCGATGGCTGGGCGGTTGTCAGCAAAGACGGCGGCGGCAGGAGCGGCAGACAAACCTTGGTTGGTGGCCATGGTTGCGGCGAAAGCGAGAGACGGAACGAGGAATGGGCAGCGACGACGGGGCTGCGCTCAAGGCGGCAGCCAGCGGGAGAGAATATCTATGGTGTGCGTCGACCAGCGAACGGCGGGCGTGAGAAGGGGAGACGGAGGTTTGCTGATAGCACCCGACGCGCGGCAGCGATCAGCAGAGGCAGGAGGGATTCCGGGGCTTTATTCAGGGCGCGTCGAGCAAAGAAGGGAATGAAGGAGGAGTAACGAGTGACAGGGTACCACAAGGCCAGCGGTGAGGTTGGTTATGGATGGGGAGCGCTTGGGGTGGAGAAGAGAGCAGCAGACGGGGCGGGAGCCAGGCACGCCCGACTCAGCGCTCGATGTGCCGGGTGGACGCGCAGTCTCGACCCACGCGCACGCCCTCCGGATCGGCGCACGCCTTTCATCAACCCGCCTTGGCGCCCTGTCCAGCGACAAACACGCTGCGCTGTTTCAACCGAGCCGCATGCGCCGACGGCAGCCCGCGCGCTGCATGCAAGCTTCTTCCTTTCAGCCTAATCAATCACCTCCTCGACGCCGCGGCGCACAAGGCCCCCGATCGGGGCTAGCCGCCAGCTATTTTTGCTGGCGCCCGCCTGCTGCCCGCGACTGGCCGCGCGCTGCGGTGCCTGGTGACGACGCCGCGCAGGCACCGCCCAACGGCGAGCCGCCGTCTTGTTCCTGGCGCGTCGGTGGCCTGACCCTGCACGCTGAGATTAATGATGAATCGCAGAGCCGGACGGAGCTCTCCACCTCCACACACGCTGACCGGCTTCGCCACAGCCCGCGCCTTGTGCGTGCGCCGTGAGATTGCAAGGACACCTCTGCAGCGAGCCCACTCCCCACAGGCCGGCCGTTTCAGTGCGACAGGCCTCTTCCACGCTCAACACCCTCGCGCGCGCGCGCCCGCGACCCTCATCAGCACTCTCGCCCGCTGGGCCGCAAACATGTTTCGCCGCGTCGACCCGGCCTCGAGCTGGTGCTGACGGTGCCGCGCCGTCCCTTGCCTTCTCCTGATGTGTTCGCCATTTACCGGCGGATTAACCGAAAGGATGCCCTGGCCTTTAATGAGCCAATATTCCGCTCCGTTTCCGGGCTGCCATTGCCTCAGGCACGCACATCGCTCTCCACATCTCCGCTGCCATTGGCCTCGCCTCTGTTGTACCAAGGTGTAGATCATTGGCAATGCCACCAACCGCATTTTCCCCGTTCGGGCTGGATCTCCAGAAGAATGTTCCGTTCTTCAGGGTCCAATGTCTATCTTGCAATGCAGGCACGCGGTCTCGCCTCTTCCAATACGCAAACAAGGGCGAAGATTGCCGATTCGATAGGCTGAGGATCGCAAGGGGACAATCACCATGCGGGGGAAACCTACATGATATGCCGAGGCACCACTCGCAAGCATGCCGTTCTACCTCCAACCACATCCCTTCCTCATTCATCAATGCATATGCGGCCGAATGACACTTGCATGCCCCATCGGCGCGAAGCTTGTGCTGTCGATCTGATGCCTCGGGCATAAGGGATTGGCTAGCGTTCGCCACGATGATGATTTCCCTGCACATCGATACCTCCCTGCGAGAGGCCACCCATGCAATGTGGATCATCAATCGCGCGAAACTCCATCGAGTCGAGGTCTAGACTCGGCCGTGTCTAAGACAAAGAAACTTTCATCACAGCACACAACTCTCCATTGTCTTTTTCTTCTTGGACCTGAACGGCCGAACGTTGAGACATGCCCCAAGGATGGTGCCCTGGAAAGCCAAATATTTCAACCAACAGCGTCGTGAATTTTGATCAATTCACGCCTTGAGGAGCCAAGTGTTTGATTTTCTCCACCGCAGTCGAACTTTCTTCGAGTTTCACACCCCAAAGGCTCATCAGGAAAAGTCAGCTTTTGACCCGGCAAGTTCCGAGGTCGATGTTCTAAAGTTAAATGCCCTCCTCCCTTAACCCTTTCAGCCTTATCAAGTATACGTCAGCCATGGCATACCTTTGTTATCCAAGGGTTACGCGTATCACTGCCCACATCGCTTGAGATACTCAAGCTGCGCCTCTCGGTGAGCTCCTTTCCTTTGAGGTGGGAAATGGGCTGTGTGCACAAGGAACAGAAGACGCCATCGCCGGCGCGTGCCGGAGCAGCACAATTTCTGGAGAATGACAAAGACTTTGCCGAATTTGTTGGATCATCGCCTGCTTGACGGCTCAGTTCCAGAGCAAATAAGTAATGCCCGAGTTCCTGCTACCGCGTACGGGCTCCGCGCAGCCGGCTACATGCGTTCGGCCGATATCATTTTTCATCTCATCTCTCGGAAGCTGTGTTGCGAGCCAATAAACGCGGTAATCTCTCCGCCAAGCGTATTTGAAAGACTACATTTGGAATCCGGAGCCGACCAAAAGTGGAAAATGGAGACGCTCGCAACGAACACCAAGCCTCACATATGTCAAAGCGAAACAGCGTCTCCCTGCAGAAAAGTCGTAGCGATGCAGCCTTGGTACTACCCTATACTTCCAGCCCACATTCTCCTTCATCCTAACACGTGCACGCATCGCGATTGCTGAAGCCACAGCTTATGAACTGACTTGATGAGAGCAGCCGCAAAGTGGTCAGCGCGTTAGTTAGCCCCCTTCCATCATGCTCGCAAAGGCCGTGCTTTCTCGCTCGGCGCCGTCGATGAGACAAGGCAGGAGGTGTCGATCTTGCAAGAAACGCAACACTGAGCGCATGAACCGCATACTAATACTATATTCGGCTGCAACTCAGCCTTAATCGCTCGCTTTCCGTCAAAGCTGGCGCTTAAGCATAAGCGAGCGTGGGCCGCGTCTTATGATTTTTTCTCCCCTCCGCGCTTCTTCTACGACGTTGCAACTCCGATCCACATTCAGGATACTCTCTAACCAGGGGAAGGGTTCACCGCGCTTGTCGCTTCGGATTTCCAAGATGTTACCTTCCCGCCTTCGAGAACGTGGGTCTTACGTCGGCGTATGACTTGTCCAGGTCTGTGATTGATGCAGAGAGAAGGCCTGACATCGGCAAGTTTTTTTAAACTTTTTTTCCAAAAAAAAAAAAAAAAGGGCTCTACCATCAATCCTCGTCTATAAAGACGTTCTCTTTCGAAGTAGGATGTCCGACACAGGCCGCGCAAGCTGCAGCAAATGCTCATGACGCAGTTCAGAAACTTGGGTCTCGATGAGCCTGACACGGCAGCGGGAACGGGTAATAGGCCAGTCATGCATGTGACAGCTTTTGACCCATGAGCTATGAGGTGACGCAGGTGCTTCCGAGCATGTGGCCATGAATTTCTAAAATTCTTGGATGGAATAGTAGCAGATGCAGGCGTCTGTCGTCCTTTTTCGGTAGGTTTTACTATGGTAGCTTCTGTAGTACGGGAGAGAACCGTGATGGAGACTTCTGAAGACATACATCGTAGAAGTATTCACGTCTTTTGATCACGTGGTGATTAAGTAGATGAAAGATCGCCTTTCTTATAAATCTAATTTCTACTTTGTTCGGGAAACCACGCTCTAATTCGAATGCGTGAAGGTATGAGTACTAATTTCTCGAATCCACTTAATTATGAGTTTATATGTGGCAATTTCTTACAATATTCGAAGTCACACACAACCAATGCAGTAGTATTTCTAATTACCTAGTAATGACACTCTTTTCTATCAATCTCTCAATACAATCTTCCTCAACAGCTACCTACACATTTGGCTATTTGCCACAAGTAACAATAATCTGCTTAGTCTAATACAAGCATTTTGGCTGTATCGCAACAATGTCTTGGACGCAACCAAAGACTTCTTCCACAGCTAAACTCTCGGATACTGATCTCTCTATTTGGCGTCTTGACCTTCATTGGCCGCCTCTACCGGCCCAGTCAAAGCAACAAGAAAACCCGTTTTGCCGATTCACTCCCGCTGAGCAGTTTGCATACAAACTCATTCAGGACGTTGTTGATGACTCAGCACGTATTCTAAGCGCTCACCGTCCGCACGCATTCACACGCCCACACGTTGCTTCCACTCCCACCACGTCATCCCGACTGACATCGAGAGCTCCCGTCCTGTAGATCCATGTCAGCCCTACCCGCCTTCCCCACCAGACATTCCGCTCACCGCCGACCGGGACCAAAACGCAAATATGTGCATTAGGCACGGTTAATGTGGGTAGTAGTTACCTGGACCCGACCCAAGGTTTTATGAAGGGACCAGGAGATGCATGCATGCTCAGTAACTCTGAGACCTGGTCGGTTGGGGAATGGGAATTCTCTAGCCCGGACGAGAAAAAAGAGCAATTTACCCAACCAATTTTCCCCTCCGTACCGTTTCCCTTTGATCAGTTGTGGTTCTGAGAGGTGATTGGAGGAACTTGTGCTGATGCTCGAGAATGCTCAGCCGCTCCCAGACAAGGCATAGCCCCCTTTCGGGTAGTCGAGGGCTAGAACCCTTGGCGCAATTGGGTGGCAAAGATCGCGGATGTTAGAATACGACGATGTACGACATTAATCGAGACTACGAGAGCTTGCAGATCTGGGCAGTCAATCAAAGCAATCCGAGCGTTTGAGAGGGGTAAGCGAGATGACTCCGTACTGCTAGGCATGTTGGAAACAGCAGTCGTCTAACCCAGTGGTCTAATTCATCTATTTTGGGGGGTTTTGTTTTTCCTTCATTCTGAAGAGAAAAGCAAGCCAAGCAAACAATGACCATGCAAGCAGCAATACCGCTGATAACCCAACTAGGAAAAGAAAAGCAAGGGGACCTTTTCAAACCGTTGTTAAGCCGTCATCCAGTCGTTGTCCGCTGTAAAAACGCCCGCTAATAAACCAGCAAGTCTGCACTCGGCCCTGTCCATCGGCGCCGATCGGCACGCTCTCGGGTGCGTGAACGACCATACAGGCCGCTCAGCTGCAGCTGCAGAGCAGCAGGGTATCCTCCAGCCTCACCAGCCTCCTCGCACATCCGTCCGGCACAGACAGGAGAGTGCTCCTTCAAGAAAAGAGTACCATGGGGTGGCACGCGCTTATTTCTTCTTGTTGGGAAACTTGGGCTCGCCGATCTTGTCACCCCGAAGAATGACATTGAGCACGCGCTCCATGGTGCCGAGCAGCTTCTGGTCGGGTGCAGCTTTGCCGCTCTCGAACGCGGCGATGATGGTGGGCGTCGAGTTGCACTTGGTGGCCAGGTCCTTCTGAGTCATGGTGCCGCCCTTGTCGTTCTTCGCCTCGGAGCGCGCCTTCTTGATGGCATCGCCAACCTGGGTACCGACGGTCTTGGGCTTCACAATGTCGTCGGAGCGGTCGACCTTAGTCAAGTGCTGGCCCTCAACGGCGGAGCGCTGCAATTGTCGAGTTAGCATGCGTTACACCAGGGCTGTGCGCGCGCGCAGCTGATGCGCAAGGTGGCAGGATCCGGATTACTTACGGTGTTGGCGGTGCCGTACTTCTTCTCGGCGGTGACGTTGCCTGACCTCTGGGCAGCGTTGAGAGCGCTCTTGCCACGCACGACGGTCTCGCGAGGGGCAGAGGCGCCGCCGCGGACGCGGCTGCCAATCTTGGTGACGTTATCCCAGTCGTCAGACATTGTTGGAGCGTTGATGGAGATATGTGAGTTGTAAGAGCGCGGCAGAGGCCTTGGGCGGTAGGATGTTGTTCGGGTGATGAGAAGTGGAGTTAAGCAGGAAAAGCGGCTTTTATGAGGGTGTGAATGAACGCACGCCGGCGGGCGCGCTTGACGTCTTGTGGGGGGTGGTGAGTCGCCGCCCGACTTAGTCAGCCCGCTAACCGCTTGCAGCCGTGTTTCCATGGGTTTCCAGCTCTCGGCCTGCGCTCCGTGGCCACCCCCAGGCTACCGGTGTCCCGGAGAGGAAGTGGCTTCATCACCGCCACCACCGACCCATCAATCACTGTGAGCCATCACCAATCCAGCCCCAGTATTGGTGGCTTAGACCTGCCATTGCAACTCGCGCCTGCAAGGCACTCATTATGTTTGCCAGACGCCAACTGTATTAATAAATTGGATATCCTAAACGCTATTCTCAAACTCGCTAATACCCTCGATCGTTGAAGTGCTTCGTTTGACCCGTAACCGTGGCCTCTACTGACCTTTGTTTTGTGGTTGTTTTCCTCGTGGTGTTGTAGGCTCATTCGCAAAGCCAAATGTGCGTCGGCCGCGGAGGCCAAGAAAATTTGATGCGAGAACGCACCGCTTTCCTTCGACGTTCATATGACCCGGTGCTCAACGACCAACCCGCCATACTGGTTTGACAGGAGACTCATCGACTGCAGAAAACCAGCGCTGATGCTTTAGAAACCGAGAGCCTCTGTGGCCTTGGTGAACGTGTCCCACGGTGTCAGAGCACCCAAAGCCCGCCTCATGTGCGCGTTCAGCATTTGCAAGCCGTACACATAGCTGGCATTGACCCAACCAAAGCTATACGCAAGTCAGCAAACTGTCATAAGAACATCCGATATACTTGAGTACTCACCCTTCACGAGGAACTCCTTTGAAGTCGCTGCCTTGGTTGCCGTACTCTGCCTCGACTCTGTGCGGGTCAATCGGTCTGGTGACGTCGTACTTCTCCACGACCACGCCGTTGAAATCGACGAAGGCCTTGGTGACCATGTAACACCACTTGTACGCAAGGCGCTGGGCTTCGTACTCATAGCCAAAACGTAAGAGACCCACCCATGCAAGCATCTGTTGAGGTGCCCATCCAAATGGATAGTCCCACTGACGGTTGGGGCGCTCCAGGCCGACCTCGCCACGGGACTTTTCTGTGCCTGATGCGAGGCCGCCAAATTCTTCAAGCTTCGGAAGAGCCTTAGCGACCAAGGCAGCTGCTTGGCGTGGAGTGGCAACACCAGCCCACATGGGCCAAAACGTCGTCGCACTCTCGTAGCCAGTCTGCTTCTTCTCAACCGTATGGTAGTCGAAAAACATGCCCTCCTCTTCGTTCCACATCAGCTTCTCCATGACAGCCTTTCTCTTCTTTGCACGGCGGTCCCAGACAGCCGAAGTCTCGATGTGACCGGGTTCCTGCCCGGCAACACAGAACTCGGCAGGGATAGCAAGACGATCACCGAAGTGAGCGCGGATTGTGCGAGCAATATCCGTCTCGTACTTGTAGAGCAGCGAGTTCAAGTCGACAGTTGCGAGATCGCCTGCAACGCGTTCCAGACGGTACGACGTGTCGTGGCCAGATTCACGGACAGCACGATCGTGCATAAAGTACACGTCGAGTTCGGGCTCAAGGATCTTGCGATGGTTGTAGGCTTTGACGAACTCGTCGAAAGTCATGTTATGCTTCTTCGCATATGGCTCCAGAATGTGAACGAAATGAGTGGCCTCGGTCTCCGGAGGCACGCCAATGCCGCCCGGGCGATACCTCGACAGACCGGTTTCCTCGTCATAGCGCGGTGCTGCCGTCCACACGCTGTAGTACTCTTTGATAGCCGCCATGATAGAGGCTTTCAGGAAATCCTGTGATCCGGGCTCGTGTTTAATGCGATCATAAACACGGAGGCACATATCCGTAAGGAAAGGAGGTTGCGAACGGCCGAGGTAGTAGGTCCGGTTGCCGTTGAGGATCTTGCCGTAGTGTTTGATGCAGAAGCAGAAATTCTCAACCATGGCTTTAACCAGGTCAACCCTGTCGTTCACCAGCAGGCCAAGAGACTCCATGTAGCTGTCCCAGCCGTAGAGCTCGTTGAACCTGCCACCAGGAACAACAAAAGGCTTGCCGCGGAAATCCTTCTCGCCGTTCTCGTTGATGTATTCCTCCATATCCAAGGCAAGGAGGCCGGGAGCATCGTTGAGATCTCTCACATACTCATCGTTCGTGCAGTCTTCAGCAAGGTAAATGACCTCTAGCTTCTCATCCGGGTGCTCCTTTGCATGCTTGAGGTAGTATTCATACTGCTCGGGAGCACCACGAGGGACGTAAATCCTTGGGTGCGGGTTGTCCGTCCAATCCTTGGGATCGCGGGCAATGCGGGAGATGTTTGAAGAGTCGGTTCGGCGAGTGAGGTTGTTCCAGAAAGTGTCTCGAATCAGACGGGAGAGGCGATTGACCGGGTTCTCGTTGAGGCGCGCCTCGTCGAGGATAATCGTCTTGCGACCATAGTCTTTCGCGAGCGTGAGCTCCTGCAGGAGGTTGGCGAGCATGTAGGTCCCACGGACGTCAAAGCGATTGAGTCCATTGGAAGCAGCGGTGCCGACCGAAAGTACCTGGAGCTCGCTGTCAGCCTGGAGCTTGTCCCCACCTGCGTTTGTACATACCTTCGGGCCCGCATCCTCAATGGTGATTTGGCAGTTTTGGTCGGTGTCCTCGCGCTCAAGAAGAGTCTGCAATGTTTCCTCGACGGAGATTAGGAACTTGCGGGGGTTGGAGGCGTGCTCATCTAGAGACCATTGGCGTTAGCACGAGTGTGGATAAACGGATTGAGCAGGGCTCACCGTGGCTTGACCTGCGGCCTGGCTGCTTCATGCCAGCTGCCACGGCAACATTTTGCCTTCCGGTGTCGAAGACCTGACAAAGCGTATCAGCTCCCATTCACCAAGGCTGACAGGGGCATGCACGTACACCCGAGTAGGTGCGAGTCTTGCTCTTCGGCTTGTGAGAGTTGCCATAGTAGATTTGTGCCGCAGACAGGGGGTCGATGTCGTTGGTAGAGGTGCGCTGGTGACGGGGACCCGATTGCTGCGAGCTCATTGCACGCTGGTAGAGCGAGGAGGATTGTGGGGAAGTAGAGCGGCGGGATTGGAGGGCGGCAGGCTTTTAGACAGCTACTGGCGGCAGGGGCTTGTCGTGGTACAAGCTGGTACGGAGCTTGAGAAGGATAGGCTCGTGTCGGCGGTCACGCGTGCGAGTCGTGGGTCGTGGGGCACGGAAGCTTAGGAGATTCTAGGCTAAGACTGCTGCGTAGGTGAGGTGATTTATATCAAGAGACTGGCAGGCGACGGGCGGAAGTGCAATGGAGCGAAGTGCGAAATGGCGGGATAAGGGTCCGCGGGAAGTCTTGTACCTCTGCTCTGCACTGCAGGCGCGGCAACGTAATGGAGGGGCAGCTACGGCCGCGTTCCGTCGGCGATCGGACTTGCCACAAGCTGGAGAAAGAGCGCGCATGCTTTGTTGCGGCGGCTCTCCAACTGCACGACGCCGCCTCCAACATGCAGCTGCCCATCCCGTCATTCCCCGCACGCTGCGACGCTGCAACGGCGGGCGACGGCAGCAGCAGCGGGCGCGGGCGCAGGCCTACAATCCCTTCGCTCCCGTCCAGCGGCCAATTCTCTCGGGTAGGCCAATGAGAGCGTCATTGTTTTTGAGGGTCCAGGATACGTCATACCAGCGTTCTGCCGTGTTCTCTGCACAACCCTCCACCGCACTGCACCCGACATGTGCCGCCGAATCTGACGGCTTATCTGCAAGGCTCAGCACATGGAGCTGCAAACGGCGGTGTGGCACGCACGCTGAGTATGCCTGTGTGCGACCTCAGGTTCTTTTCACAGCTGGCATGCGCCGCCGCCCTGGTTGAGACACATCCACAATGCTCGCACCTGCTGCCCTTCCTGACATGCTCGGCAAAGCGGGGAAGAAGACGGCCTACGCCGTCGAGCTTTTTGACACGCGCCGTAACAGCCGCGAAGTTCAGTGATACCCGTCTCTGCAGCCGGCCATCAGATTTCCGTGCGTGGCTAGCCCACCACTCGCTTCGGCAGCCCATACGAGCAAGGTGATTCGCTCTCCGGGGAACCAGGGATGCATTTCCTCTGCTCTCCTAGCCGGGTTCGAATAGGCACACGCGCTGGTATGCATGCGAGTTTCCAGGGCTCTCAAGCATGGTTGCACATCTGGACCCATATTCTTTGATTGGTCCATGTTCAGGACTGGATAAGCACTCAGCCTTCCTAATTGCATCCAGGTATGGACTTGCTGCCAAGTGATATTTCTGCGGCTCCTGTCGTTCCCCGCATTGTACGACCCGAGCAGACGTCGTGTGATTGACAGCTCCGCACGTTATGGGTGGTGCACCCTTGCCAAAATCTTTCGGCGTATCGAGTCGAGGGCATGTGAATATTGCTCTTCAGAGATCGCAAAATCGTATGGAGCAAGGGCTTGAGCTCTAGCATCCCATGTCCTGGCCTCTCACATGAAGGATGCAATGCCTGCACTTCAGCGGAAATATACACGTTCCCGACATCGCCCGAGAAATTTATGATGATCTAGAAAGCATTCCCTATGTCTCACAGACTAGGCGAGGTTTCACGAGCCACGGCCATGGGAGTAGCTACGGCATGACGGTTCCTGAGTATTTGACTGGCTTATCCCTGGATGAATCGGCGCGACGATTCGGAGTACCCGTCGAGCACAATGGCGCTGGCTGCGGGCACGTCCGCCACTAAACTTTGCCATTCCCGTCTTTCCGCGTCTCACGGAGTTTCTCGGGGACCATTGAGCCACGCCCATACCCACGGATCTTTATCACCATGATCGACTTGTGCAATATCAGCATTAACATGTTGTCTGGGGGGGCTTATGAGAACTCGTGTACGACTCAACTGTGTCTCCCGTCGAACCGTTCTGGAACAAACCAAACCTCTCACCAGACACCCCAAAACTAACTCAGATACAAATATCAAACAGTTTTATTGCGAAGCTGGAATTCTGGAGCATAATATTGCAAGAAATTTAAAGCCGTTAGTAGCCACGAGCTGTTGGACACTCTCGTATGCGCAGGTACGATAAATAACAGGAAGACGCTGAAGTAAGGAAATGTTTGCTCAGGGCAGATTCATAATCCAATCCCTTCTTTACGTTGATCAGACATTCGCAATCTTTCCATCTCTCATCAACCCGGGGCAGAAGGGCTCCGCCGCAGGCTTCTCATCAATCGGAAGCGCATTTAGAAAGCCCCACTTGCTCCTCTCCTTCCACCCTTTCTTCTTCCAGTCGGTGATTGTTCCATTGGGAAACCAATCAACCACGTCTATGAGACCCTCATCGTGCGCGATGCAGACGAATACGTTGGGATCGGCGTCGAAAGCTTTCAGTCGATTGATCGATTGCTGCGCAGCAGGAGGATCAATGTACCAGCTTCCTTCCTTGAACGTCACTTCGTAATACGGCTCGGTGCGCGCGTGCTTCTGGTCCGGGTGGCAGGCTGTGAATATCGAACATGGACACGACATGGGGAAGCGCTTCCTGTCCAGGGGGACATCGTCTGGGATGGTCTCCGGCATGGGTGCGTAAATAGTGGGTCTGTAGGATCCGCCGAAGTGGCAAACGTCGCCTCCCATGAACACAAAAGTGTCAGGGGTCGTACGGGCAAGAGCTGAGATGTGGCCTACGGCATGGCCGGGGGCATTGAGGACGTAAAAAGAGCCGTCTCCGAAGAAGTCGTACGCCTCGAAGCCTCCGATGGTGAAGTCTGACGAGAAGTTCGCCTCGCGCACGGTGCGACCCTCAAAATCAGAGTCGAGCATCACACCGTTCGGATTCGTTGGATAGCCAGGCATGAATTGCTCCTTAAATCCTGGACCAAAGACAAGCTCTGCGGATTTGGGGAAAAGCGATGGATCGCCCGTGTGGTCGAAGTGCCAATGCGAGATCACGATGGAGCTGATGCGCTTCAGATCCACCCCCCCTTCCGTAAGTATCTCAGTGATGTTCTTTGTCACGTCCAGTCCAAGGATGAGCTTCTTGATGGACGCGACTACCGCCGGAGAGAAGTTCCACCAGTCTTTTCTACACCCTAGATCGAAGAGGATCTCTTTTCCTGAAGGGTGCCGGATATGGAACGCATATGTTGGCATATTGATTGCCTCATGGCCCTTCAATACAGGCTTGACGAAGCCATCGGCAGGACAAACTAAGTCGGTGGAGGTATTGATGATGCTGACGTCCACACTTGTGGAGGACGCAGGGATGTTGAGGGAGGGGTAAGCTTGAGGCTGAATATTACCGCTTTGGGACATATTGCTGCTCTCTTTTTTTCCAAGGGAAATGGAGGGGCAAGTTTTGCGTTTCTGTGACACCTTTGTGCACTCACTTTAGATTTGGATATCGGCGCCATTTATACCTGGTGGTCCCTCGTGTCCGGATCTACAGTCTCCGATCGTACAGCGTGGGGAAGTGCGGGGAAGGATACGTCAAGTACATTGTGAGCAGCCTTGGTTGCGGGCGATCTCCCGGTTGAGCGGCTGCGCTGATCAATGAAGGGCCGAAGCTGACAAGAAATCTTATTAGCAAGCCGCTGCTCCAGCAAACATAAACAATGCTGAACGGAATTACTAATACAGAAATAGGCATTGAGATAGAACAAGTTCTCCAATAAGAACCGTCACATGCCAGCCCTGTGCACATCACTACGATGGTGCAAGCACAGTCGAAATACTGCGAAGAATTCAGGTAGGAAGATAATGGTTGTAATAGTTGCGCATCGTACGTCGACCTGCATCGAGTTTGTCGATTTGCGAACGCACGTGGTGCCTTATCACAGGTGACCATGGCTTCTAAGGCGTGCTCTATGGGGGGTTTGAGTCTTCACTCATGCTGTGGACGCCTTTTGCGAATGCTCCAAGCTCGCTTGCATGGGCCGAAAGAGAAAGCTATTACAGCTGCTGGCTAGGCCGCTTAACGACGATAGGGTCGATCGAGTCTGTTTCTCAAATTTTACTATTTCAACAACTCTGCGAAAGCGATCTATAATTCACATCGGCATTGTTGGGTGTGATCCTGAATGGTAGGTTTCCGGGCAGACGTCTCAAAGTGGCAACAAATGCAGCGAAATATGAGGGCTGATCAAGACTATTTTTCGTATGATGAAAGATCATTGCGGTATAGTATTCTAGAGGGAGGGGGGAAAGAGGAGAAAAATATAGCACAGCCCGCATTTGCCCCCGGTATACATAGATTGCTGATGTTGTTTACAGATAGACGTAAGGCACGCCACTCGCGAGACATGCGTTCGTGCGCGGGAATGCGGAGAGACGGCTGGAAGCGGTCGCTCAGAGCCTGAAACGCGCTGCGATGTCGGACCTGGCCCGCCTACCGAAGACCCCGTCGAGTTAAGCTGCCGAGCAGCGCTGGGCTGCGAAAAGGCCGGGCGCGCAGGTCAAAGTGGTGAGCGATCGGGGTTAGTAATGACGACAAAGGCATAGGCTGGTCGGGTGCGCCATGGGTGCTGCCGCAGATACTGCCGTGGATCGCAGACAGCAGCCTCGATTCGGACGGGAGGTTGCGCGCTGCCAGGCAGGATGGCGCACGCAGGCTGCTCGCCGCACAAAGCGGCTCTGGCCGTGCAGTTTTGCAGTCTGGGCGTGGGGTGGATCGGGTGGTGTTGCGAAAGGAAAAGCGGGAGTGGTGCCAACCGCCGGAAGCTCGACCCAATCATCCCCGCGCTGGGAATTTTTCAACAATGACCACCATGATATGCGCCTCCTCTGCCAGACACCCATCCGCCCTCTGCGCCCCTTCCAATAGTTCGATTCCCTGAGCGAGCGCCCAGCGCACCCGACCGCACCCTCGCCCCGCCAACGCTGCTTCTGTTCAGCTGTCGCCCGCCGGCCTTTCTCCCGAGCCCAGCGTGAACGAGTCTCTTCCTATCCACACGCTCGCCGTCGTCCTCAGCTCGCTCTCCTCGCCCCCCAGCGCGCCATCATGGTCCGCAACCTCGTAATCCTGGGCGGCAGCAGCCACCCTCAGCTCACCGAGACCATCTGCAACCATCTGGGCATCCCGCCCGCCCAGATCCTCTTGAGCAAATTTGCCGTGGGCGAGACGCGTGTGGAAATCCAAGAGTCGGTGCGCGGCAAGGATGTCTTCATCATTCAGTCGGGTGGAGGCAAGGTCAATGACCACCTCATGGAGGTATACTGAATGCTGCGCACTCGGGCATTGCTGGACCACTGACGCCGCACTCCAGCTCCTTATTACTATCTCTGCCTGCAAGACTGCCTCGGCCAGGCGCGTCACCGCAGTCTTGCCCCTCTTCCCATACTCTCGCCAGAGCGACATCCCATACGAGAAGCGCGGCGCCCCGCTTGCGAAGGGCCCGAGCAACGCCAACCGCCCGGCAAACTACAGCTTCGACAGCGTGCCTGCGACCCCGGCCCCTGGTCGCCCTGAGAGCGTCAGCTTGCCTGGTGGCCAGGACGGCTTGAACAAGCAGCTGAGCCGTCTACAGATGGACGAACGCCGCAACGGCGCCCCCGACGGCAGCCCAACTAAGGGAGAGAGTAAGGATGGGCCCGGTCAACCGAGTGCCGAGGATGAGGCTGACAAGCCAGACTGCGTCGCTCGCGAGCGTGGCACCTCGAATGCGTCTGCCAACGGAATTAATGGCGTTAACGGAGTCGTGTCACAACCGCCCAAGTTTGAGCCCCAGCGCGGCTACAAGCAGTGGGTTGCCCAAGCAGGAACACTGGGTACGTTGACAAGTTGCTCAGCCTGCCCGCCGACAATGCTGACACCGACGTAGTCGCGGACCTGTTGACCTGTGCTGGTGCTGACCATGTCATCACCATGGACCTGCACGACCCCCAATACCAGGGCTTCTTCGACATTCCCGTTGATAACCTTTACGGCCGCCATCTTTTGCGCAAGTACATCCAGTACCACATTCCCGACTATCGGGAGGCTGTCGTTGTCAGTCCGGATGCTGGTGGAGCTAAGCGGGCAACTGCCATTGCTGATGCCCTTGGCATGCCTTTTGCGCTGATCCACAAGGGTTAGAACTGTAGTGGTGTTTTGCAATTCTTTCGCTGACTCTTGTTGTAGAGAGACGCCCTACCCAGATCACTGACCGGCAGAATGCAACGATGATGCTTGTTGGTGATGTTGCCGAGCGAACTGCGATTCTCGTGGACGACTTGGCCGACACATCAAACACCATCACCAGGGCCGCAAAACTGCTTAAGAAGGAGGGCGCAACAAAGGTCTATGCACTCGTCACTCATGGTATCCTCAGTGGCGATGCTATTGACCGCATCAACGCCAGCGCAATCGATAAGGTAGGCCGAATTCAGCCCAGGACCATCGGAAATGATGCATAGCTGACCGTCCCAGCTTGTCGTCACCAACAGTGTTGATCAGACGGAGCACCTCGAGCACTGCAGCAAGCTTGAGGTCCTCGAGATTGGAAAGTAAGTCGTACTCCGACACAGCCGCAGCAGAGCTTCGCTAACGTATTGCAGTGTTTTCGCGGAGGTATGCTTGTTTTGCCGTATGGTGATGTTCAATACTAATGTGACTAGGCAATTCGCCGCGTGCACCATGGCGAGAGTATCAGTGTGCTTTTCAACTACGATTAAGCGGATTGCCGGCGATCTTAGAACCAGGAACGGGCGCGAGCCGGGACTGCTTGTACAACGTTGTTCTGCATGACCCGAGGCGTTTTGGGGGGATTTGAAATTTGATGCTCTAAATTTGCCTTGATTGGACGGTAAGCTCTTTATTGATAGTCTCAACTTCTAGGTTTGGTTTGTGTACAAGGCTTCTACAAGAGATGACGCAGCTTTATCTTGCGGCCAGCTGTCCGCGCCAGGTAGCATAACCAATCTCCGAAAACGTGTTTTACTTGCTCTCGCATTTGGATTTACGGGAGCACCGACCGAGGTAGGCTTTGCTAGATGCAGCGAATAGATTGATAGAAGCTAGAACTTGTCGCCCTGAAAGTGGATAGTCGTAGAAGGAGAAGTGCTTTCCCTCGTCTTTCCTTGCATGCAATTATCTCTTGACGAGTTGTCGCGAGATCTGATCCAACTGACATGCAATGGCTCGAAACAGTCATACTAAGCACACGAGGATGGAGCGAACAGTGCAGAAGGCTTTGGTCTGGGCAAAGCGCCTGCTGTTCATGTAGCGTTTGAAGTCGGTTGGTCCGGTTGTGAGGTCGTTGGACCTGGCCCCTCGGCTCGACTGTGGTCTCGAGCGCGTATCTGAATGCCTGGGACTGGATTGCGTCACTGCGCCAGGTCCTTCATCTACACAAGCGCATAGCAGCTCATCTTGTAACGGCGGCGCAGGGACTATCCGCAAGCCAGAGAGCAGTTTCCGGCAATTTGCAGCGCGTAGACTATGTGTCAGACATAGCCACTGTCTTCCGTCTTCTAGTTCGTTCAGACAGACTCGACGTAGTTGACCTCCCATAGCAACGCGTTGCCGGGCTGGCGTGCCTGCCCGCTCGAGGCAACTGACCACCACCCGCGCACCCACAACAAAAAGAACATTCACCGGCGTCTCGCCTCCTCCGCATCCTTTCCATCATCACTCTCTCGACCGCACAACGCGCATCGCTGTGATCGCTTGGCTACCCAGATCTCGCTTGCACCCAGGTAGGTTACTTATTTCGGTTGGCGCGCCAAGTGAAATCCCTGCTTGGTCGGACTTTAGCGAGGCATGGGCCCGGACAACTTTTGAACGTCGCGTTGACGTTCGCTCCGCAGCGTTTCGAGAACCCCATCACTACCAACCCCACGCCTCATCGTCGCGACCGCGCAGCACGTCCAAATCGACTTTTGCGACCGCTCGGACCGCCGTAGTGCACACGCGACGCGTCGCGACCGGCCGCAAGTCGCTCTGCGCACCTCCTGTTCGCGCGCGCGTCCCCGCACACCACCCGCCTCCTGCGCGCGTCCTACCCACCCTTACTTCGACCTTTTCATCACCCGCTTGGCATTCGTCGCGGTCCTTGCACCATGGCACGCGCGACCCGCAACTCCAAGGCCGCCCCGGCTGTCTCCAGCCCGCCTGCCCGTCGCACGCGCTCCAAGCTCAAGGAGAAAGACGCGACTTCCAACAACAACAACCCTACTTCATCATCATCTCAGCCCGCCGACAACGCGGTCCCCCCCATTGACCCGACTCCCGCCGCTGCCCAGAAGGCACCAACCGCCAAAAAGACAACTGGCAAGACCAAGCCTTCCGCCGCGGCCAAGGCATCTGACAAGGCTTCCGTCCCGACATCCACGACTGCGGCCTCGTCATCCAAGGCTTCGCTCCCCGCAACCACGGCTTCGGCCACCCACAACAACACCACATCCGAAGACTCAGACAACACCGCGCCGGCACGAAAGGCTACGGGTAAGCGTTCGAGGCGTCAGCCCACCGTCGATCGCAACGCGAAGAACAAAGTCACCAAGTCACGCGCGCGCAAGCCTGCCACGAAGACTTCCGCTACCGCGAAGAAGGCCCTCGAGCAGCACGTTGAAGAAGAGGACGCCGCCGCAACCCCCGCTCGCCCGGCACCCGCTCGCCGCACTCGTGCGGCTCTGAGAGCCGGCATCGCATCTCCCCTTGCTCCAGTGTCTGAGAACATCAACACCAAGACTCGCCAGACCCGCTCCAAGAAGAACCTTAAAGATGCCACCCCTCTGAGCATCATTGAAAACGAGAACGATCCCAAGGATCCTGACGATTGGTTCGCCGAAGTCCAGCAGGAACCTCGTATCTATCGCGATCCCGGCGCAAGCATGGAAGAAATCTCTGAACGCGAGGATACCGCCATGGCGGAGAATGATGATATCGTGGAACATGACACTGCAAGCTCCGATGCGGATGAAGCCATGGGCGGCGACGTCGAAATGGTCGCTGAGGAGACTGAGCATGACGCTTCGGAGACCGAGGAAGACATGGCTGATGACGAAGTGGAGCGTCCTCAAACACCCGAAGCGGCGCCTCTGCAACTGGAAGCCCCCACTACCGCGCGTTCCTTCGGCTTTACCAACCTTTTCTTCAACCCGTTCTCGACCGTGAAGAAGCTCTTGACCCGCACCCCAGCAGCTATGGAGTCTCAGTCACCTGTGGCGATGTCCCCGGAATCTCCGACCATTGCTTCGCCCAGTAATGCCGCGCAGGAGCGAAGGACTCGTAACAGGAACGCTCGCTACACTCCACGTGAGACTAACGCCGATAAGAGGCATGGCATCGCGGAGAAAAACCAGGAACGCCAGCGCATTAACCAGCTTGAGGCCCAGCTGCGTGAGAGGGAACGCGAAATCGAGGAAATGCGCCGCCAGACCGAGCTGCAGAAGCTGAAGGAGCAGAAGGAAGCGGAGCAGATTCCGGGTCAGAAGCGGCGCCGCTCCAGCCCGACCGTCATCCCCGCTCGTCGTCCTGGTGAGAAGGGTAGCTTCGGAATGGTCGACGAGTACTTCAACTACGAGGAACCAACCCCCGACGCCCGCGTGAAGAGGCGCCGAACCAAGATGCCGTCTCCGGCCGATGACTCGAGTGATGACGAGTATGACTTCGTTCACCTTCCCATGGACCACACGCCTCCGAGCTTGAAGCGCCCGCGCAATGGCTACCGCATGGCTGTTATAAAGGACGGTTACGAAGACCCGCTGCAGGCCAACCACGATCTCCGCGTCATGCACCAGGAGAACAGCTTCAGCAAGAGCCCGCTTCGCGACAGCCTTGGCACGGGCAACAAGACTTCTCCTCACATCAAGAAGTCATCGCCATCGACCATCTACAATGGGTCTCTCATGGCCATGCCTGGAGATCCTGGCTACAAGCCTGAGAACGTATTCAGGAAGTCGGAGCAGCAACTCCAACAGCAAAGTTCTCCCAAGAAGGATGGCAAGATGGATTCTGCCGAGCTCAAGGCTCGGGCCGAGGAAATCGTCAAGAAGGAGAAGAATGGTGAAAGCATCACCGACGAAGAGCGTCAGCTCTTGGAGAAGGCCCAGCGCAAGTTTGGCCACATTGCAGGCAGCGGCAGCTTCAGTGCCCCAGAGTATGATAGCGACGACTCTTCGATCATGTCCGACGACTTGGAGGAGCCCATCTCGCCTGAGCGCAACCCCCCGGTCTCCACTCCTCCTTCTGCCAAGGCCTCCGCCGCTGAGCCTACCAACAAGTCGGACAACATGAAGCCTCCCCCGCCTCCTGTGCCGGCCCATGCCCAGCTCCCTCAAAGCAAGCCTGCCACCAACGACAATGCCATTCCCAAGGCGCTGGCTGCGGTTTCCGGTGCTACTCCGAAGGCAGGTCACAGCGCTGCCCTGGCACGCCAGCGCGAGCTAGCCGAGAAGCACAAGCCCAAGACGGGATCGCGTCTCCAGTACGTCAGCGGTGTTTCGTCGTCTCCGGGTGCTCCGTCGAGCCCTGATGTCGAGAACAACATGGAGTCGTCCCTCATCACGCAGGGCATGAGCACGCCGGCCGGCAACGTCGACGCCGAGTCGTTCAGCATTTACGACTCACTCGCCGAGGAGGCTAAGGAGAAGTACGGTTCCTTGGAGGAGGCCTTCTTCTTGATGGCGAAGGCCGAAGATGAGAATGAGAGGAAGGAGCGTGACGAGAAGGAGTTTGCGGAGTACGACCGTCAGGTCCAGCAGCTTCGCGCTCGTGGCTTCTAAACCTCTCACCAATTGCATGTATTTTACGGAGTTTACGGGGTTTACGGATGGGAAAACAGCAATCACGAGGAACGGTTCCTACTCTGCATGGCGACGGCGAAAATTCAGAAAAAGTTAATACCGGCAGGTTTGGCATTGGGTTTGGTTTTCTTTTTGCTTCTATTCTTTTTCTTTATTTTTGGTGGACAGTCCTGCTGTTTAACCCAGCTGCGGCTCTTGTCCCTTCTTTTGTTTTTACTTTCGGGCTCTTGGTGCCCGGAAGCGCCTCGCTCCTTCTCTCTCCCCAAACCGATCGGTATCTTCGTCCCTTTCTTTTCCCCCGGAAGGTCAAGACCGGATCCGAGACCAACCTAACCGCCTTTCTCACGAGATCTTTCTAGCACAGCACCTTTCTACCGCGTCTGACGTCTGAAGTTGAGCCCGCACCAAGGTGACGCTGTCGCTCATTGAGTGGACTTGCGCAGCCTTGTGTGGGTAAGATGGAAGATGGAAGTTTGGCACTTCGGATGCACCCTCCCTGCTCCGTTCGATGAAGTTAGCTCCCCCCGCCGACGATCGCTGTTACCTGGCCGTGCTTGACCCCTCTTGGGGTCGCTGGCAGGTGTACTTTGCGCTGTCGGGTCCGGCTGGAGCTAACGAGTTCGTTGAGCTGGAGGTTGTGCGTCCCAGTGCAGCGGATGGAAAGGGCTGGGCTATTGAGACTCTGGGGACTGGCGGGGCGGAAGGAGCTCGAGGATGGAGGCGACTGGAAGGGGGGAAAGAGAGGTGTTCGAGGCTCTGCTGATTGTGCTGGGGGGAAGATGGAGGCAGGGGCGTGGAAGGGCACCAATCCCAATCTTGTAGATAACCTGGAAATGTACGCGGTTAGCGTAATGTGCTTGGTGCCTTTGTGATCAACACCCAAAGCTGTATCGTGACAACCCGATGAGGAAACTTGTAATGCCTGGTCGGGCGGCGAATTCTCGACGATGCGCTGCGAATTGAGGTTCAACAACGGTGCATGGAGAAAAGATGGCGTAGATCGGTTTTGTAGTTCATGTACACAGTAGACGTCGGCAAAGGCACCGGGGGTACCGGGGTCATTCACGAGACGTGTCGGCTGGCATTCTAGAACAGGCTAGCGTTGTCAAATTTAGCCGCCTCGTGGCAAGGCCGCCCTATCAACTCCCTATTGTAAGCAACCTCACCGCTCACGGCTCCTATCGTGAAGTTCCGCTCTGGCGTACTTTGCAGGCATGCGCAGCCACACCCTTGACGCAATGAGCGCAGAATGCGGCAGGCGCAGCTATTGGCTGCAGTCTGTTATTTGACAAGCCGTCCGTTTAGGACTATTGCCCAGTACAAGAGATGCTAATTTTGAATTGTACCTATACGGCGCTAATCGGCCTCGGCCTCTAGGCTCGGTTGTTCTCGGTTTTTTTTTTCTTTTCCATTCATAGTTCCCCTTTCTCCTTTGTACAGCATCACCTACAGCGCCTGTTGAAAGAAAGACAAATTATCCGATGAGCTATCCAGGTCACTGCCTACCTCCCACCAGCAGCCTGCCTCCTGTACGGTCGCTGCACACACTCAGCGAGCAGCAAATCTCATCGGCCTTGGGCAACCTGCACTATATCTACTGCCCGCTTCGCCTGCCCCGAGCGTTCAAACCCCATGGGGAGCCGAAGAGACTACTGAGCGTCCCACCCACGCCTGCCGATTCTGGTTACGCCTCAAACAACGAGGACGACGACGAAGAAGATGCCCTCGCCAGCCTCCGTGCGGATGCGTTCGAGCGCAACTTCACGGTGCGCTGGCTGACGGCCTTCATCGCGCGGGCCGAAGAGCTGGACTCGATTGACGAAGATACGCGGATGAAGCTAATTGACGAGGCTGCCTTTGTGCTCGCCTCCTTCAATGACGACGTGAAAGAGGACGACGATGCGGACGACGGCATCACTCGCAACTTCTCGTTTTCCTTGGCTCCTCTCCCGGCCCCCGCGCCGAGCGAGATCGAAGTGCGCCTGAACGACGCTCCGCTCTCCGGCACCGATCACACCGACGTCGGCCTGCAGAGCTGGGGCGCTTCCATCGTCCTTTCCGACATGATGTGCGCCTCGCCCGCGCGCTTCGGCCTGGAGCCGTCCCAGCTCGGCCCTTCGCCCACCATCGTCGAGCTGGGAGCAGGGACCGGCCTGGTCAGCCTCATGCTCGCGAAACTGCTGCCGCACCTCTACGCCGGACAGCAACAATCGACGCCGACCATCGTCGCCACCGACTACCACCCGGCCGTGCTGGAGAACCTCAAGGCCAACATAGCCACAAACTTCCCAGCTTCTTCGTCCCCTTCCTCCCGGTCCTCCTCCCCCTCCTCCTCCTCCTCTCAACTAAACGACGACGAGACGCCCGCGCCGGTGCAGACCCGCCTCCTCGACTGGTCCGACCCCTCGCCAGCGCTCTCGCAGGCGCCCCTCGACGTGCCCGCCCGCCTCCTCGTCGCCGCCGACGTCGTCTACGCGCCCGAGCACGCCGTGTGGCTGCGCGACTGCGCCGGCCGCATGCTGGACTGCTCCTCGGCCGGCAGCAGCGTCTTCTGGCTCATCGCCACCGCGCGCCCCAAGTCCAACCGCTTCGCCCCGCTCGTCGACACGGTCGAGGCCGCCTTCGCCGACCCCGACGCGTGTCCGCGGTCCGCCGACGGCGGCGGCAGCGGGGCGAGGAGGCTGGGTATCTTGGGCGTCGAGAGGCTGGAGAAGAGGAGCGGCGTGGGGCGGGGGGATGAGGGGTATTATAAGTTGTATAGGATTGGGTGGATGTAGAGATTTTTTTTTTGTCTTTTGACTCACCCCCTTTTTGTTTCGTTACTTAGAGATTAGAAAGAAAGAGGGGTAGACGCGAGGGATAGAGAAAGTAGAGCTTGGATAGATTTAGACCACATAGAGCTACAATAGGGGATAGAGGATCAATATCGGCATCATGCCACGATATGAAATAGAAGGATAGAATCAGTCTTCAATTGAGCTATTGACATATTGAGGTTCTCCCAAGGGCATCTTGCACTATCCCTGCGTGTTGCTACTACCACAAGTAATACGTTCGCTGTTGTAAAAAACCATCTTATGTCTGCATACTATCTGTCCATTCAGTAATATCACAATCGGAATATCTGCAGAGAGTCACTTCAAACTTTGGTGCGGGTGCTAATCACATTGTCGAAGGCAATCATTCCTCACGTTCAGTATGTACGTCAAAGTCTCCGTGAGCCCTTTACCATTACTCATGAACAAGAACATCATATTTACATGACCCCAAGCAGCTCTCTCTCCATCAGCTCCCCCCAGAAATCTCATACATTTTTTTACTTAAACAACGCACTCCCAGCCCTCAGCATCCGAACCATCGCCGGTGCCCTTGTAGACGTTCCTGGCAGGGTACTTGCAATGGGCGCGCGTGTACTCGACACCGAGATCCTCGGTGCCGTTGACCCACTTGGTGCCGACGATCTTCTCGGGCGCGACGCCCTCTTCGACCCAGCGCACCATGGCCATGAGGACGTTGTGGTCGGGGTCGAGGCTGGCGAGGGTGTCGAGGCCGTTACCGATGGCGAAGGCGCCGTCGCCGCCGCTGCAGTGGCCCATGCCGGAGATGCGGAAGAAGCGGTAGAACTCGTCCAGCTCGGCCGAGTTGAGCCCCATGGTGCGCGAGACGTGGTTGTAGTAGCGCGGGCTGTTGTCCGACGAGATGATGGCGTCCATCAGGCCGTGGTAGTGCAGCAGCTTGCCGCCCTTGGCGTGGAAGGCGCTCAGATCGTCCCACGTCTGGATGTTGCCCGGGTTCTGGGCTGCGGCCGTGGCCATGTCTGCGGGAGAGAGCGTGGCCGGATCCCACGACGGGTCACGGTAGACGGCGTAGCGGAACCAGTCGGTCGTATAGATGAAGTCATTGCCGCCGTACAGGATGTTGGCGGCGAGGATCTCGCTGCCGGGCTGCATGCGCGGGTAGACGAGGGAGCCATCGACGCCGTAGAGAGGCGAGAAGATCTGGCGGACGGCATCGGCCTGGGGGCCGGTCAAACAGCTCGAGGTGTCGGTGGCGTTGGAGGCGCAAAGGAGAGCCTCGGGGCGGTACTGGCAGAGATCTGGGTCCTCAATGATGCCGTCAACAACGCCGTCAAGGCCGTCACACTGTGTCTTGTTAGCTCATTCTCCTCAACTATACGAGCCATGACTGACCTGGTCAAGGATGTCCTCGTGGATCTTCGTCCACAAAGGCGTGGGAACAAAGCGGTCGGTGTCATTTCCTCCAAGTATAGTGTAGAAATGGCCGCTCCACGAAGTCAGATTGACGAAGGAGAAGGCAGGGGCACCAGCAACAACGCCATCGAAGTCGTCAGGGAAGCTTTGGGCCGACTTGAAACCTTGACGACCGCCGGTAGAGCAGCCCAGGTAGTAAGACTTGGTGTAGTCCTTCCCGTAAAAGGCGTTCGAAATCTTCTTGCCAACAACAACACCAGTGTGGACAGAGCGCCAGGCAAAGTCGAGGACGACGTCATCGTTCTCGCCAAAGGCAATGCCACGGGTGCCATTGTGACCGTTGTTACCACTGACAGTGGCAAATCCAAGGTCGGCAGCATAGGCCATGTCCTCGTACTGGATGCAGCCAGACACACCGCCATTGCCGGTGCTCAAGAAGCGGCCGGTCCAGTTGGCAGGAAGCCAGGCTTCGACGCTAATCTCGCTTTGGTTGGTGGTAGGGACGCGCAGAGCCACGCGACACAAGTCATTTTGGACGACTTGGGCAGGACGTCCACAGCTAGGGAGGCAAGTCAGAATATCATTGGGCGATAGCTGATGGAGCTCAATTACCTCGGATCGTTGTCGGGGAAAGTAATGTTGGTGCCGCCAGCGACAAAATCAGAGAACCAGACAGTAGCATTGGGCAGGACCGAAGAGAGGTCGAGCGACGAGCACTGTTGAGCGAATGACGAGTTCTGGGCGTTGGCTCCAGCGGTAAGGGCCATGGCCCAGGCGGCGCCCTCGGAGAGCCTCATGACGGCTTGGTCGACTAGTGCCTGCGAGCAAGGTAGACGAGTCGTCAGCCAAGGAAGAAGAGAGAATAGGAGCTTATTGGCGTAGGCAAAGAAGGAAAGAGGAGCAGAGCATGGTATAAATAAGGTCCCTGAAGATCGCTTTTCCGGTACTTCTCCATGGTTCATGCAGTATGGCTAGCAAGTGCCGAACAGATTGACCGGGAGGCCCCGCGCAGCAACAGGGCTTGGGGCTAGTGCATACCATGACCGATCGGGATGCGTGATCCGGCGAAAGCCAAGCTGCGTGAGTGGTTGTTTCGCAACTTGGCAGGGGCACCTTCCCTCGTTGGACGTTGAAACTGAGTCGTGGGGCAACCCCGCAAAAGCCCCGGCGGTCTTTAGCAAACGAAGCGCGCTGCGGAGAAGCCGGGGAAGTGTACGCCGCGTGACGTGCATGCGTAAGCGTACAGCCGCCTGCTTGCTTTCCGGCCGCCTCCTTCTTGCCAGCAGAGATGCAATGGCGGGACGGGCACAGGGCTTCCTTGGCCTGCAGTATCCGGGAATTCTTCGGAGCAGATCTGACTCGAAACGGTGCCTGTTTTGACGGCTCTGCCTTCCGGAGTATAGGAACGTGCAATATACCGAAGCTTGGTCCGCTGTGTGCCTGGATGAAGGGTGATCGAATAGACGGGTGGATCCGTACGCTGACTCTGCTGCCGATTGCCGGTCTCGCAAATGGCGTCAGGAGTTTTAGGCTGCCTCACTGGCAAAGACATCTTCCCCAGAGTGGTCAAATCACGCATATCATGCTCCACTTCAGGCATTAAACGCGATAATGTGCCGAGGCGCCCAGCTTTATAAGCGGTAGGCACGGCACGGCTTGTTTCCGCTCTCCTTCCGCTCACCTCACTTTCTTTTTTTTTTTTTCCGCCTTCCAGATCACTTACGACCCTGCTCTCTCATTCATTCGAGCTTCCTATAGGGTGACATGTCCTGATTGACTCTCGTATCGCTAGACGTGGCCCCTGAATAGAATGTCCCAACGACTTGGGAAGGTCGATCGCGAACTGTTCGTTACACCGCCCGTTTGAATGAATATCCCACGGATTTATGCCGGTCGAGGAGGAATCGGGGCACAAGTCTCCATGAAGGACAACTCATCCGTTGGAGCATGGCCATGCCTATCGTGTTGTGTCATGGCTTTACACACTCCAAACGCCGATTGCGGACAGGGCGGAAATTCGGGCAGGCGAGCTCATTTTATTTCCCCGTCCTCAAGAGCCGTCCACGCATGGCACAGGGATTCGCGTGAGCTGTCGAGAAGCGCATAATCATAGGCCGGATTTTGTGAGGAGACGTTCGAAATGTGCCAAAAGCTTGCGGGTCCTGAAGTTGTCCGCTGTCCAAACCATCCTCGATGAAAAGGTGGTGCACTGTGTATGCACAACGGGCCATGTGCCGTGAAAACTTTCTTGCAGCGCCGAACTTCTCTGAAGAGGCTCGAAAGTAGTCAGATCCATTTACAGTGTGATTTGGAAGGTCACTCGAAGAGGACGCTCGTTGGAAGGGGGACGACCTGCTGCTGGCATCCTTGTGAAGAGCAAGAACCCTGAGCTCATGTAGCGTCAGCCATCGATGAGCCGCTGATTTCAAGCCAGACTAGGTCCTAGTGCTCGGCTACCTTTGTTGTTCACACCCCATATCGGGAGCGATTTGCGCCGTTAAAAACAGAAACAAGACGCTGAGATGTCGAAGGGCCGAATGGGTTTCCACGCGCTGCATTCGATCTGAACCTGAAACAATCGTAATCATATCGCCGTGTCTGCGCGACAGAGTCTTGGGATCGAAACACGCCATGGTGGAATGCCGTGGGAAGCAGAAACAGGCCAATGCGCGGCGGAGCGAGAGTAGAGTTGGCGATGACGAAAGGAGGCCTGCCTAAGGTTTGGGCGGCGGACCCACTCAGCCGCCGCGCCGTTTCACGACTCTGCCTCCTCCCGCAGCATCTTGTAGCGCGTGCGCATCTCGCACTGTGGCGCCTCTTCGACATGAAGCTTATTGTCACTCAGTTGGTCGCCCATTCTTGTCCCATTCTTGGCGCACACCAACCCGCCGCTCGTACTGGGCAGCGCCCAGTGGATCACCTGCTCAGCCACTGGGGCCGCTTCGGTGCCGACAAGCTGATCATGAGCGCGCCCCGCGCGCCGGCTCATTAAGGTCCCCGTGTGCCCCCGCCGCCGCAACCTTCGTGATTCTGGCCTCTCGCCTTCTCCACGAGTAAGAAAAGAGCCGCACCCAGACCTGCCAGACATACACAACACCCTTGCCCAATACGAGGCCTGCTATCGTACAAATTGCCAATAGCCAACCGCCTAAAATGCCCAGACACGGCCTCCACCTCGCTTCTCCGTACGCAATCTTCTCAAGCCCTTGCTCGCCCGCTGTCGACTGACCAAACTCCAGGACCGAGGATGATGCCGGCTGCACGTGTTTTGGAGCATTCCCTACCCCTGCCAGCACGCTGTCGAGCGTCCGTGTAACAGAAGATGAAATCCTCCCTGCATCCCTTTTCGTGCCGCTTGGCCGCCCGGAATCCGCTGCAGCCGATCCCGAGAAGGCGCTCCCGTGGGTGTCGGAGTGCGCCGTCCATCTGCAGCTGCTCGAGGCCTTTTCCGTCATGAAAGCAAAATGCTTGAAGTCGAAAAAGCTCACCCGCTCGCTCGGCCTGAGCAAGTACTTTGCCTTGGCCTTGGCCAACAGCGAGAAGCGAGACCAACTCTCTCGCGCCAAGTGGGACACGTTCGTTTCTCTTGCTGTCATTCGATTTAAGAAGTGGTGGGATGTGCTCCCTGAGATTCTGCGTGAAACGAACGAGGGCAAATCCAAGCCGGAGATGACCCTGAGAACCTTCCCTCCGCTTGATGTGCTCATGATCTGGATAACCCAATTATTCTCGCCCGACCACTATAGGAACATGTGCCAGGACTCAATTAAGGAGTGGGACGTTTCTGCCATGGAGTTTCCCTGGGAACTGCTGCATTCCATCATCGATCCTTATGACAGCACCTACAACCTTCCCAAAGAAGCTGAGCGCTATTTTCACGAGAAGACCGGCCTCGATGCAGACCTCTACGCGCATTTGACCGATGTCAGTGCGCACGACCGCCTCTCACGGATGTACCTTCACCGCTTCGCCCTGTCCCAGCTTCCCGGAGCCAAGAAGTTCAACACGAAGGAGCTGGATGCCCGGCCCAGCGATTTCTCGCAGCTCATGCGCGACTATGCCATGTGGAACTTCGCCATCAAGACGCTCAAGCCAGTGGTCCAGAGCCAGGAGAACTTCTGGGACAAGATGAACCAAGCCGGCTGGCTGCGCAGTCCTCACCCTGCCTTTACGCTCACACGAGCGATAGCACGCTACCGCCAGTTTCTGCAGCTGCGAAACCTGCATCCGAACTCTGGTGAGCTGCTGCCGACGAGCGCCATCGAGCTGGCCTGGAGGACGCACCAGTGCTCGCCGACGAGGTACGCCGTATCCACAACCGAGATTGCCGGTCGCTTTATCAACTACGACGACGGTATGGCCAAGTACGCTGCCGTGACGGGCGGCTTCGCCAAAGCCGAGAAACTGTACAAGCAAGAGTTCGGACAGGACTACGACCCGTGCATGTGTTGGAGCTGCGAGGCCGAGCTCGCAGAGAAGCAAGCAGTCGACTCTAACGACGACGAGAACATGCGCAGGGCGGAAGCCAAGGTTGGGCGAGCGCTGGAGGTGGAGAGAGCAAGGAAAGCAGGTAAAATTGTCCGCGCATGAGTATCACATTTCGTTTTCGCATAAGACCTTTCGATATACCCACGACATCCGCACCCGTGTTTGAAAATTGTAGATTCCCCGGCGTCAAGGTTGCTTTCTGCCTGTAAAGTCTTGGGAGCGCGAAATAGATATAGATCCGTACCAATGAAAAGCTCATACCACCTCCCCCCCGCCCAATATTCCACACTGGAACCTGCACGCAACCTTCAGAGCTCCATGAAATTCGGCACCCTTGCCAAAAGGCCCGAAATTTCATTATCACTCACGATGAACTCCCACCACCCCTCCGGCTTTTCCCACGCGTCGGCACCCTCACCACCAATCTTCCGTCCCGCCTCACCACCACCACCACCACCACCACCACCCCCCACCGTACCCGTAGGCGCCCTCCTGTACGCATAAACATTCTCCCACTCCCACCCCTCCGTCTCGGAGCCCGCACGCGGCCTGATCCGCCACGTCGCCCAGCACAAGGCGCTGCCCTCGCTCACGGGCTCGACCCGGTGCCGCGCGAGGAAGATGTCGTAGCCCAGCCCGCACCGGTCGAAGCGCTCCAGGTGCGTCGCGATGCCGGGCACCCACGCGTCCGCCGACGGGAGGCTGGCGCGGTGGCTGAGCGTGTAGGCCGTGCACCCGGCGCCGTAGTGCGCGCCCAGCGCCGCCGCGATGAGCGGGATGTTGGTTGACTTCGTCGCCGACGTGCTGGGATCGGCGAGGTGCATCGCCCGCGCGTAGCTGGCGAGGAAGGCCGTTGCGGCGGTGGCGATGGGGGTGTGGGGAGCAGTGGTGGTAGTGGTGGTGGTGAATGAGGCGGCGGGGGCGGTAGTGCTTTCGTCCATATTGCCGAGGGGTTTGGTTTGTAGAGTTTGGGGTGACTTGAAGGCTGGAGGGAGTGAGTTGGAGTCTTGCTTTTGCGGATTGGTGATGGGTGGGGTGGCGCGTAGTGATGTATCAAAATATGTAGAAAGTGAACCTTTGGTTGATGTCCGTCAGACGGAGAGAATCTGCTGCAGAGCATAGGTATTCTAGTTGCCTGGTGAATTACCCCGCGCGAGAGCTTATGTGGGGCTAAGTAAATTGGCATCTCACATCCGGAATAGAGCTTACTGAGCGCTCCCTGTTATCGCAAGGATAGACGCCATTTGGTCAGATGAACAGTGGCTTAGACCCTTTTCTGGTATAGATGGCGGCCCCTGTTGGTCGTTGCTCAAGATCAAAATCTTGATTTTCGATTCCATATATTTCTATGCAGCTGATCGTGAAGAGGGATACCTGGAAAGTGAGATAAAAGAGCTGAATGGAGATAGTGTCTCGTTCTTTTCCAAGTTTATGGAGGTAACATGAATCAAAAGTGTTCTGCGACGCAGAAGTCTGGTCAAGCAGTATTTTGAGAATCGAAGGGGCGAGAGGTATGACGACATAGATTCTGTAGTGTTTAAGGTTTTATACGCGGTATCTGAAGGACACCAAAAACCTTATCTCTTCCGAGTATCATGTGCAAATAAGGGAACAAGTAAAATGAAATACAACATACCTGGAATTCAGGATTCAAACAATGCACTGCCATGTGGTATGCCGTCTGTTGACAGAAGGGTATGCCAAACGTCCTGATGTATCCAAACGTCTCCTGATCCTACATAATCACACATCCGCCAGCGCTCAGCCCACCTTTTTCTGTCGTGGTTTTTGCTGCCGTCTTGGCAATATCTTCCAGAACTTGTGTGCATAGCTCTCCCGTCAACGCGCTACATTCGGCGTACCTATCCACACGCATCATCTGCGCGATGCCCAAGCCTTCCTGGGGCATAACGCTGGGACCCTTCCCGTCCGAACCCTCTCTTGTTTTCTCCTCCTCGGTCCACTCTCTCCTCAGATCCCGCTTTAGGCCCAGAACCATGACCGGAATTTGCTCGCCGATGTTGTACATCTCGTTGACCAGCGGCGCCCAGTGTACTTTGAGCGAGTTCAGCGTATCGCGGCGCGAGATATCGTACGCAAGGATTATGAAGTCTGGCTGCAAGAGGGTATAGTTTGTGGGTGACGCGGTGTCGAAGAATTCATAGCGGTAGTGTCTCGCGTAGAGACGGATGTTGAAGGAGAAGGGCTGGTCGAGATCGCGGAGGACCGGGAGAGAGTACGGAGGGGGCGCAGCATCGGGCGATTGTTCGGCGGGGACATTGCGGCCCAGCGTTAGCCGTCTGTTGGTGTTGCGCGTAGGCATGGCCGTTAGTCGTAGCGAAGGATTGAAGGTGCGGCGTGGACGACGTACGAGAGGAATGTCGACTTACCGACCTCTGCATCACCAAGGAGAAGAATAGTGACAGTCGGCACGTCGAGGTCCATACTGGGGACACAGAGGGATGTTGCGGAGAGTTGTGTTGCGGAGCGACGATTCACGATACATACGATAAGAGATAAGAAGCGCAGGGTCCAAGGATCTGCCGCCGCTCGCTGTTGACCGCGTACACAGTACTCGCCTCTTAAATTATCCACACGTGTACTTTTTTGATCTAATCAATTTTCTTGGTACATGTCTCTCCGCGGTAGATCATTCTTATTATTGCAATGCTCGGTGTGTTCATAGTCGGGGTGTCGGGGAAATGAATGAAACGCAAACTACGATTCCTTAAGCTCTGCCCAGGCTTGAGAAAAGAAAATGCTCATATGAGTGGAAGCGCACTATCCTAGATAGAGACCCCACTCAGTAAAGTGGACCGCATGTGTGGTTGGGCGGTTGTTTAGGTGCTTGATGAATGCGCATGACCGCCTCGGTGGAAAAATGGTTGATCCAGCGCCGCGAGCTCGGGCTGCTGGCGCAGCTCCCCGGCATTGACGACAACAGCTTGCAGGTCCATCACCAGGTTTCTCGCAGCCGATCACCAACATGGAGGGTCTATTCTACAACGTCGCGAACGGGTATTTCGTCCCTTCTTGCACCTGAGATGATAAGACTGACCGAAGCATAGCTACATCGAGGGTATCGTGCGTGGATACCGCAACCAGCTGTTGACCAGCCAGAACTACAGCAACCTGACCCAGTGCGAGACGATCGACGGTACTGACGGCCCCTCGAAAGCTTTGATGCCTCTTGCTGATCCAACGTAGATGTCAAGCTTCAGCTCTCTCCCGCATATGGCGATTTCCTCGCTTCTCTCCCTCCCAACCCTTCCACATCCGCGCTCGCCAGCAAGACTACCGAGAAGCTCGTTTCCGAGTTCCGCTACATCCAGGCCAATGCCACCGGCTCGTTGTCCAAGTTCATGGACTACCTGACCTACGGTTACATGATCGACAACGTTGCGTTGCTGATTACCGGCACCCTGCACGAGCGCGATACTAGGGAACTGCTAGAGAGATGTCACCCGCTTGGATGGTTTGAAACCATGCCCGTGCTTTGCGTCGCGACCAACATCGAGGAGTTGTACAACTCTGTCCTCATCGAGACGCCGCTGGCGCCCTATTTCAAGGGCTCGCTGAGCCACCAGGACCTCGACGAGTTGAACATTGAAATCATCCGTAATACTCTATACAAGAACTACTTGGAGGACTTCCACAACTGGGTGAACACCCACGAGGAAATTGCCGGCAGCCCTACCGCTGAGGTCATGAGTGAAGTCCTGCAGTTCGAGGCCGACAGGCGCGCCATCAACATCACGCTGAACTCGTTCGGTACCGACCTGTCCAAGGCAGACAGGAAGAAGCTGTACCCCAACTTTGGACGCCTATACCCCGAGGGCACTCTGATGCTCTCTCGCGCGGATGATGTCGAGGGAGTTAGGATTGCCGTTGAAGGTATTTCGGATTACAAGACTTTCTTTGACCAGACTGGCCTGAGCGGCGGTGGGTCTGGCGTGGGCAACATGGCTGGTGGTTCCGCGTCCGAAGGCCGTAGTTTGGAAGATCTCTTCTACCAGAAGGAGATGGAGATCTCCAAGCTGGCTTTCACGAGGCAGTTCACTCACTCTGTCGTCTACTCTTGGGTGAAGCTCAAGGAGCAGGTACATTCCCACTCCCGCCAGCTTTGATGATTAGAAGCTAACGTCTGTGCAGGAAATCCGGAACATTACTTGGATAGCAGAGTGCATTGCGCAGAACCAGAAGGAGAGGATTGGAAACTACATCAGTGTCTTCTGATTCTCAAGCACTCGGAGGCTGTGTAGTCTTACTTTGTTGAAACTAAATATCCTGCGGACAGCGACCCGGCGTTTTGGGCTTGTAGATATGGGCTTATTGTTATGGCAACCTTTTTCAATCGTGCTTGTCATCGCGAGGTCGGACCGTACAACAGACCACGCGAGCATCTTCCTCGAAGAGCTTCGCAAGGCCTACTGGTGACCTAGCTGATTCTATGAAGCTGTCATGCCTGTAGTGGGCTGATTTCCGTCTCACGGTTCCGGCTCTCGCGTTCATCGTTCATCAAGTCCAGACGGATCCTCAGCTGCACTCTTCCCACGTGGGTAGCTGAAACAGATGCCCAGATGCATGTGTAAGGTGGAGTCCTCTTCATATACTGGTAGTTGACGGAAATATTTGGATACAGATATCGATTCAAACACTTGTTGTTTAGTTGCTCACAGTAGATATACGGACATTGGAATTCAGTTGCCCACGTGAGTAGGGTGCAATATCTGGGGAGCATTCGGGGAAGTCAAATTCCTTTGCGACCCGCTGCAACAGAACAAACCTGGGTTTCAAAGCGCTCGTGTCTTCGGTTTCCCGTCACAGTGCGCTGCGGAGAATTTTCCTCTTTCAATTCCCTGGGCCAACCGCCACGCTTCCTTGACGCATCCGAGTGCAGACGTAGACTTCCAGATCACGGCCTTTGGCTGCCACGTCGATAGGCCATGCTATTTCTCGCGGAATTGTTTTGGGCAGGCCAAATTCAGCAGCAGCAGCTGGCGCGCTCAGCACGGCGTTCCTTCCTTTTGCTGCTGCCAATGCTCGCTTTCCAGGGTTCAGTCGTACCTTCCTCACAACACCCCCTCCCTCTACTTCTTCTCTTCTTTCGCTCACGACACTTCGCTCTTTCACTCCACCTTCTTTCTACCCCCGGTCGTGTTCCTCCCCCTCATTTCGTCCTGCTTCTCGGCTCTTGCCTTGAACTCTGCCCTCACTACCATGAATGGCCTTTTCCACCCCAGCCGGCTCCTGCAACTTCAGGGGCCCGATGATATAGAGGAAGCACCGCCTCAGCCTGTACGCCGCGTCGTCACCGGAAGCAACGGTGAGCTGCTGGGCGCGCGCCAGGCTCACCGACGCTTCCCCGACGACTCACCTGCTCAGCCAGAGCCAGCATTATCGTACAGCAGCACCCCGTTCGACGACTCTGGGACTCAGACAACAAGGTTGCACGTATCCTACGACGACCTGTACTCACATGGCAGCATGATTAACCAGAAGCCTCTGCCCAACCGTCCCGCTCGCCTTTTCCAAAGCCTTTCCAACAGCGACGATCCGGAGCTGCTGGGATACCTCGCTCGCCGGCACATCACTGTTGGCTTCCTGCATGAAATCGACCTGCTCCTACGTAACAATCCCGAGCTCTACCATTACTCGTCTGAGTGGGCTGAAACCTTCAACTCTCGCCGGCCCCTCGACGCGTACAAGTTCTTTCTGAAGGGCTACACGAAGCCTGCTCGTTATGTTCCAGGCTATCTTCCGGATGTACAGCTCTTTACGCTTCCACAGTGCTACATCCCGGTGAGATTGGACGTCACCTATGACGAAGAGTTGGCGGACTTCTTCGACGGAGTACCGTATCGCCATGACATCCTGCAAGAGATCGATCGTATCGTCGACGGCTTTTGCTACCAGATCCAGTGTGGCATGTTTGTGAAGGCTTCTGACCGCCGACTCGTAGTGTATGCCCTTTGGGGCAACCCAATCGACGCTTACAAGTATTACGAGTACAACTACCAGACTACCTGGTTGAAACACAGGCACCTCCCGGAGCATATTGAACTGGACAAGGTTCCCAAGGGTGACAATTACACCCTTCCTGTTGCCTCCGTCATAGGCCCCGACGAGGGCCATCGCTCTCATCAAGCTACCAGGATGAGGATGGCCAGAGCCCATGACCACGGGATTGATGTTTTGGAGGTCTTAATCCAGGACTTTGTGTGTCGGCTTGCGCAGAAAGGTCATCGTCGAAATCATATCGAGAAGATGAAGCGAAAGGCTCAGGATGCTCTTAATGAAGAGCGCAAGGCACCTCAAGGCCTGGATATCGTTGATATGATCATGGGCATGGCCGACTCTGAGCCTCGACTACCAAGAGACGTTGTGGTCACTTACACGATGACGCAAGGAGGTCTCTTCACCATACCAAGCAGTGGGATGTTTGGCAACGTTGAAGTCAAAATCGAACCTCCACCAACCCAGAGTCAGCCAAAGGAACGATCCGTACCGCAGACGCGCCAAATGGAAGTGAGTCTTGAGAAGCGCAAGAATGCTTACCGGGCCGCTAGAATCCGCTTCAAGAGGAGCAAGAAGGTGGAACTGTGGTCCCTCCACAGTGGATGTATCCAAGAGCAGCAACAGGCCACGAAGGAGCGTATCGCAGCCGGGCGCAACTTCGTAAACTGTGTTGTGTCGTTGAACAAGAAAACCAAACAGCTAACTTCAGCCGATACCGACTACCTGAAAAGGCTGATGGTGTCCGGTGCCGAGCAGCCTTCCCCGGATGATCTTCTAGCGCGCTACGGAAACTTGGTCCATTGAAGGTTGGAGCCTCGTAAGTTGATCTTCAGTGTAAACCCATCTCATCTGAGCATATCGTGTTCTACTTACGCGGGTAGTCGGATCCCAACAATCATGCGAATGCTGACTACATGATCCTCAGATCTGTCATGCGCTTCGTAATGCTCATGCTGGCCGGTGTATCTCATTCCGCTCCAGCATGGCATCTGTATCGTTGAGGATCTCCCAATAGCACCAAGGGCGCATCGTGGATTCTTAGGCGGAAATCACTTTTCTTATTTCCTCATGTTTATTTCACCGCAGGAACGGGGCCTCTTTCACCATGTTTGCAGAACGTCTTTGCATTGTTGACGCTCTTCAAGAACCCCGCTGCATGCCTCTTTCCCGACTGTTCTTCTTGATGTCCACCCTGCAATTTGCTCTTCATTCTACTTCCACTAACTCATGTACATCGTTATGGACTCCTGGGTATCATGATGGGATGGCACTTCACGAGTCTGGCTAGCAGGATCCCAATATCAAAGTCTGAAACCAGAGCCAACTTGCATGTGTTGAGACGTTTAATCGCCAGTATCGAGCTCACTATTTAACAAGTCAGTGTATCCTTGGTCGAGTAACAGACATATTGGGGGCTTACAGGTCCAGTTGCACTCCATTGCTGACGCCGTAGTCCTCCAGAGTCAGCTGGTCCTTGAACGGACGTTCTCCTTGCCTCTTCAGCATAATCTCATGTGGTTGGCGGCCGATGCGCGCGGCAACTTGGGCCTTGAATAGTTCTGAAAAATCAATGTTAACAAACCAAATTCATCCAAGGGTCACGGGTCTCAAAGGTTACGTACTGATCGGATCAGAAGCCAGGCATGGAATTTGAGCCTTCGTACCCAGCCGATCATTAACGGTCACAATGATCATAGGCTCCTGTGTCGGCGCGACCTTTGGCTGAGGCTTCTTCTCCTTCCTTCCCTCCTTACGCGGACCAGCGGCAGCCCCTCCACCAAACTTGTCCGCTACGCCCAGCCTGTCGTCTTCCACCTCGCGTCTCTTCTCCTCGCGCCTTCGATCCCTCCTCTCGCGGTCGCGCGGACTCCTGCTGCGACGGCGGTAGTCTCCCCTATCGCGATCTCCCCTGCTGTCGTCACGCCTGTCGCGGCGGTCATCGTCGTCATAGCGGCGTCGCGGCGGGCTACGGTTGGCTCGGTATCCGCGCTGTAGCTTGTCGTCGCCGGCGCCGCCACGATCACGGTCGCGCTCCTCTTCGAATACGGCGCGCGATGGCTTCTCCTTCCAGCGGAAGCCGCCGCCACCGGTCTTGCGGGGACGGTCGCGGTCGCGGTCGCGGGATCGGTTGCGGGGACGGTCCTCCTCCCGCTCGCGGGTGGGCGATGGGGAGGGCATCGCGGGCGGTGGGTTACGGTTCCGTTACTCCGGGCTTGGCTTGGGGTGCGTTTGAGTTATGGAAAAATAGATGGGTGCATGTGTGAATGGCGGGTTGTTTTTGTTTTGAGATCGCAGCTGCGGTGACAGAGCTTCGAAAGCTCGGACGTCACTTTGCGCAGGAAAAACAGGCAGGGATCGCTGGCTGTGGAGCTGCCTCCATAGGGCTGAGAGCTGTCGCGTTGATCTTCAACTGCAGAACTCCCTGCGCCCTACTTTTATTTACTTTCACCATTGTCTCTCGCAACCTACACCACCTCCGATCGCTTAAAAGTACGCTGCACTACGGCTTTCGCCGCTGAAAGGTACTTGGAGGTGAATAGTCATGATCCTCCTCACCAACAGCGCCCCACCCAAGCTCCACGTCTCGCGCCCGACGTCGACCACCGTCTGCTTCACCGTCTCCACACGGCCGTCCGCCGACACGGTCCCCAAAAAGGCGCTGCTATACTCCTCGCACGCCGTCCGCCTCGGCCTCGGCGTTCTGATCCTCGCGCTCTTCTGGACCAAGTGGCGGAGCTACTTCCCGCTACCGGATAACGATGACGATGCTGCTAGTAGTGGTGGCAGTGTCGACTGGGAGAGGGCTCTGCTGACGAACCGTGTGGGGGTCATGGTAGCGTGGGCGGCGGAGGGCATGGATTGGAGGGCGCTGGTTGTTGGGGGGTTGGCCGGGCTGTGGGGAGTTGTGAGGAGGGGATATACCGGTATGGTTTCACAAACGGAGGGACGAATGGAGAGAGGAAGCCGGTGTGCTAATACTTTTTTTTTTCAGAGGAATCGCTGCTCGTGCTGAGAGGCCTCGGCGTGCAGACGTCTAGTTCGTCACCGACGTACCTTTCGACGGCGACGACCAGATTCATTCCGACGGCATCGATACAGGATATCTTCATCCACGAGGCGTTCAAGGGATTTGAGGTCAGGTTCTATTTGTGTATTGTGGTGGAGGGAGAAGAGGATACAGTGGTAGTGTTCCCGGTATGTGGCATTCCTCGGTTTGGGCCAGGGCGGCATCGGTGCTCCACAACATACTGAAGCTTAGCTAACTTTGCGCACAGAACCTCCTCCCGAAGCGTCAGATACTCGAGGAAGTGTGGCGTGGTACGAAGGCATGCTTATACGAGCCGAAATCTTGAGCAATGGCATCATGATCGACATCAAAGCTTCAGAAACTCGAGCTAGTGACACTACGACATTGCCGTGCTATGTGCAATTACAGCCGGCTTGACAGCTTGCGGAGAGCAGGGTATCGGCTCGTTGGTGTCTGGTGAGTTTGAATCACGAGAACCGCAGAAGTCGTCTGACATGGCGTGAATTCACCAGTCTCTTAATTTCTCCGACAGTGAAATTGAAAAATTGTGCCGATTGGCGAGGCCACAGATACCTCGAACTCCTGATTCAACTCCGGGACCCTTCTCAAGACGGTGTCATTGCGATTGCTCACCTTGGCGCCACAAAAACTTCTGTCAACACTCGGCCGTATCCTTCCAGCAGCCTACTGTTTCGGTAGTTGCTGATCGGGCAAACAGTTGCAAGTATGACTGGCTCTCTACCAAGTACAGACCCACAGCTGGTCTCTCCGTCTTGTCTTCATTGACCGTGGCAAATCGAGCTAGGATGTTTCAGGGCCAGAATCACGCTTCCACTGCTTCTCCAAACTTCTACCGAGATCGTTGGCGAGGCACGGGGAAGGCGGCACGGGGTTTCAGTCGGTGGAAATTGTCAGACTACAGTTGATCTTCAAACATGTCCCGACTCCGCGGATACCGGCCTTCCGCCACAGCGTCACCGCACTGATGAGTGCACGGTTAGAGAACCAGGGTTGGATCCAACGAGAGGGAGACGGGCCTACGTTCCCGAATGAGCATAGAACTGTCACAAGACTACAGGGAAGAAGACCCTGATGACAGGGCTGAGCAGCCCAGAACGCCAGGACCAAGCAACCGTGCGTGAAGAAACTAAGATGAAAGCCAAGCTAGACGCACCCTGTGTGCCGCGTACAGGGAGAGACTGTAGCTAGGCGTCATTGATGCAATACCTAGACAGCTTCGCACAGCCACTCATGGTTTGAATACGAAATATTGACATTTCTCAAGGCACTTGTGGCATCAAGCCCCCTGCCCGGCACATGCAACGGATCCCGAGATCCTGCCGAGCGCGTCATTGCATCCCGAATTTTTTCGTTGCATTTACCAGTTTCACCCCTCAGCCCTGCGCGAGGAGCATGAAGCGCGCCCTGTCACGCTTCGTCCAGACCCCGATTTGCCCCTCGTCCAAGCGCCCGTTAAGCAATTCCGCCACTCACTACGCACGAGCGAAACAGCGTCATATTGCAGGGACGCGGATCGTCGCGCCCGCCGCCGCCGCAATGACCGCACCGCTGACCATGAACACCACCGCCTGGACCGACGACGAGTTTGTTGCCCGCCGTGCCGAGATTGAGCAACGCCTTGCGCGCGTGACGGAGCTGGAGCACAAGCTCGCGCAGCAGAACGCCACCTACACCAGCCCTACGGCGTCACAGCCGACGACTACGCCTGCGCCTACGAAGCCCGCCCCCCCTGCCGGGCCCGCAAAGAAGCCCCGCGGCGCCCCCAAACCGTTTGATCCTTCCAAGTACACGACTCGCCTAGTCGCCCTGAAGTTTGCGTACCTTGGAAGCAATTACAACGGCTATGAGCACCATGCGAACAACACCACGCCACTGCCGACGATCGAAGAGGAGCTGTGGAAGGCGCTGAAGAAAACGAGGTTGATTCTGCCAACGCCAAAGGCTGGGTTGAAGGAGGATGACATCAACTGGGAGGGCTGCGAGTACAGCAAGTGCGGGAGGACTGACAGAGGCGTTAGTGCCTTCGGCCAGGTCATCGGCATCCGGGTGCGCAGCAACCGCCCGAAACCCAAGCCCAAGAAGAAGCTGAAGCTGGAGGATGGCACAGCGGCACAGGAAGGGAGCGCGGACGCTATGGAAGGCGTCGAGACGGGAGCAGCTGGCGCGCCGGAGGAGGTGGAGGAGTACGAGGACCCGCCGTTTGACGACATCAAGGACGAAATGCCCTACTGCCGTGTCCTGAACAACGTGCTTCCGCCCGATATCCGCGTGCTAGCTTGGTGCCCCAGTCCGGGCGAGGGTTTCTCGGCCAGGTTCAACTGCAAGGAGCGCCGCTACAAGTACTTCTTCACGAACCCGGCCTTCGCGCCGACCCCCGGCCCTGCAGGCGTGTACAACGGCGGGGAGAGGAGCATGCGCGAGGGCTGGCTCGATATCGCAGCTATGCGCGAGGCTGCGAGCTACCTTGAGGGCCTCCACGACTTCCGCAACTTCTGCAAGGTCGACCCGGCCAAGCAGATTACCAACTTCGAGCGTCGCATATTCCACACCTCCATCGACCGCTGGAATGGCGGGTCCGGTTTCGCCAAGTATGCACAGAACCCCCAGTTTCAGATTCCCGGCCTCGGAGCCGAAGACCGTGGAGCCGTCGTCCTCGGCGGCGGCGACGATCACGACGAGAACGGGCCGGGCCTCTTCACCTTCAACGTTCACGGCTCGGCCTTCCTTTGGCATCAGGTCCGGCACCTCATCGCCGTGTTGTTCCTGGTCGGGCAGGGTCTGGAGAAGCCGACGATCGTCAAGGAGCTGCTCGACGTCCAGAAGAACCCGACGAAGCCAAAGTACGAGATGGCCACCGACACGCCGCTCGTCCTGTGGGATTGCGTCTTCCCCGCTGAGCAGGAAGGACATCCCGAACAGAGCCAGCCGGACGCGCTGAACTGGATCTACGTGGGCGACGAGAGGGCATTCAAGGGGCCGAGAGGCAATGGCTTGGAGGAGAAGTTCGGTCACGGCGGTGTGATCCCAGATTTGTGGGAGGTATGGCACAGAAGGAGGATCGATGAGGTTTTGGCGGGCAGTCTTCTGGATCTGGTGGCGGCTCAGGGACCGCAGGACGGCAGTGAGGAGGGCACGGTGGTGAAGACGGGGAAGGGTTTAAGGTGAGTTTCTCGCGATTTTCCTTCTCCTACGCCCTGTGATTGATCATTATTATACATTGGCTGACACGCTTTCAACAGGAGCTCGAGACTGTTTGACGGCGGAGATACCCCAAGGCTCATGGGGCAATATGTCCCGGTCATGAAGAAGGAGCGGATGGAACCTGTTGATGTTATCAACGCTCGGTATCTTGAGCGAAAGGGCTTGGATAAGAAGGCTGTTGCTGCAAGGCAGGAGGATGCTGATGAGTAGTGGATGTTGCCTGTATTTCACTGCCACAGGTTTGTCACTTGAGAGGAGATACCCACTTCACTGCACATCTTGCTTCGAGCTAAAAACTATATCAATAAAGTTAAATGTATTTTAAGAAGAAAAAGAAAGAGAATATAGAACTAGATATCCGTATAAACAGATGATCAATCACGCATCCAGCCGAACTTGTAGCACCTAATGCTGCTGACCTGGTCGTTCATGTCCTTATCGGCCAATCTGTTGACTCCCGGCCAGGTGACTGTGAGCGATCTGCCCGTGCACGAGCTATCTGTCCACACGTCACACCGGTCTGTTCTAGATGTCGGGAAAATGGATGACAGCTTGTCGTTCCAGTATGGCGGCAGATTATAGCATTGGTTGGCCATGAATGAAAATGACGCGCACGGTGCCGTGTGCATGCTGTGCTCGCAGTACGTCGCGCTCGCTTGCTCGGCACGCTTGCTGTTAAGCGCAACGGTATTGTCGTTAACTGATCCGGTGGTCAGGTTAGCGAGAACGGGGCTCTCGAAGACCTCTGGGGGGAATTTTGGTGGAGCGGCAAGGGTCATGGTGGCAGCGGCAGTGGCCGCCAGAAACGCAGTCGTAAGTTGCATTATTACTTGGCGTTGGAGATTTGTGTCTATGAAAGCTGGAAAATTGAAAAAACCTACGAAATAGGGATGCTGCTTCTCCTTTTAAGTTTTATGATTGGAAATGTGGAGATGGCTATATCCATGATCAGCACTTGCAGATCCAGCCATGGCCTTTACAACAAATGTTTGAACAATAGAATGTTCTCTATCTGTGCTTTAAATAGAATCATCTTCGATGTTGGCCTCCCTTTTCTTTGTTGCTCTTCAAAGCACAAGTGAGCCTGTCTTGTTCACTCGTCGAAAAGGAAGGATTGTGACAACGTGAGAACAAAGGCAAAGAAAAAATCTTTCATCGTATTTCAAAGAGCGTATTGGGTATCGATCGGAATGAATAGTTGGCTATACGGGCACCTTCTCTGCAGGTTATCATCGAGTGAGATGCGGCTCTTGCTTTGCAGCTAAGACATGTAGTCAGGTGCAGTCACGCATCAGATTACTCCGACTCATAACACGGAAATGAGTTTGCGTAGGTAGTCTTGGACCTGACATGTCTGGTAGCTTTCATCATGCCGACATCACGAGCCTTGTCTGTGCGGAATAGCATCTGTCCTACGTAGATAGCCCGAGGTGTATATGCCGACAGCCATCCGAACCCGTCTAGCAAACTTGGCAAACTTTTGTGAAAGGCTTGAGCTTTGACGGCTAAGAGGTGGGAGAGGGCTCGCAAGAATGTGTCTTCCCGTGTGACCTTGTTTGCTCGTGCTTGGGCAAGCCATGAAGACGGTCGAGCCACGCTGAAATTTGATTAATTCGGCGCTGAAGAAAAGGGCCTTCTCTCCCCGGCACCGGGGCGCTGGGAAGTCTGCCGAGCGGGGACAGGGCAGTCTGGAAATTAGTACGTGAGATCGCGTGCCCGATTCGTTTCGGGATGGTCGTGCCGATAAAGCTTATCTGGATAGTGGTCAGTCGGAGGGGAGCAGCCAACGAGCAGGGAGCGATGCAGGCTGCCGATGATCGACAGGTAGCAGAGGCTTCTGACAGGTGAAACGACGATCAGAGATGACTTTTCATGCAGCAGGGCGAAGCTTGTACTGGAACACTGCCGGACAATGGGGACTTCTTTTCTGGCTGGTGTTGAATGATTCTTACGTCCGCACGGAGACGACCACTGCTCGCCTGCGGTTACCCCGTCTGTCGCAGCAGCAAGCGAAGGGGTCTCGGACGGTTGGGCAGCACCGTCAGTGTACGAGGGTGGTGTAGATCTCGCACCGGTGACGTAAAATTGGGTGCCAGGAAGAGCAAGAGCTGCAGTGGCGTATGAAACGACATGAGAGACTAGATCGAACTCTCCTTCACAGAAAGCCGGACCTGTGGAGAAGAAGCTCGAGCTCCGAAGCGCGATCTGCCTGTCGATAAAGCTGCGGCAGACGGATGTGCGCGGAGGGGGGGTCCAATCGCAGTGGGTCCGCAGCATCGGCTACGGTGGATCACGTCCATCGCGACTGACTAGCAGTGTACATGCACGACCAGGAAGCGAGACAGGCGGGCGCTGCGTCAATGGCTGTTGGGCCAGCAGGCGAGAGGCAGCGTCTCCGGGGCCGGCGACAACGGCGCGCGGGGGTGATCTCATGGCGGGCTCTAGCACGGCTCGTTTCACGGGGCAGCGAGGTCGCCGCAAGCGGGCGAGACAGAAGACAAAGACCGCAGCCTGGGCGGCGGCGCGGCTCAGGGCTGGCGGGCGGGCGGGCGCTCGTTGGCTGCGGGCTGCGGGTTGATTGAGTCACCGGGCTGAGGCTGGCTTGGAGCGGCGGCAGGATGCTAGGCTGAGGGCGTGGATAGAGAGCTATGAACACCGCGCTGCCCGAGTCGCGGAAGCTAGCGGGAGAGGTTTGGGTTCAGGAGCAGACAGGGGCAGAGCAGTCTCTCGCCTCAGGAGGCCCGGCCTGCACGAATCGCCGGCGCTCTGTCGTGCAGTGGGCGGCGTGATAAAGTTGTTCGCCGGCGTCTTCTCGAAGACACCCAGAAGGCCGCAGAAGGCGCTGCGTGCGCAAAAGCCCCCGCACGCGCCCTGCCCGGCCAGGCCGCTCCCAGCGCCCTCACGCTGCCCCTTTCACGCCTGCGCGACAGCTCTGGCCGCCGTGTCATTATTCTGCGATTGCGCCTAAGCCGCGCATCAGTCAGCGCTCAAGAACCGCGTCCCGGACCTCGTGCGTGCTGAGCCAGCACCCCGGCTCGCGCTCAGATCGCTGCTGCCCTGGGCTTGCGCTGCTTTTGTTCATCGCGCGCCCGCTTCCCCCATCACACACTCCCATCGCTCCCATCCTGACCTGACCCTGCAAACGCTGCTCCCAACCCCATTCCTGCCCTCTCGCTCCCAAGCTGCCGTCCTCTCCATCGCGCAGCCCACGCAGCGTCCCTCCTGCCGCCTCCCGCCTCTGCCCGCCGGGCGCCCCGCGACCATTGGCCGCAGCTGAGTTACCTTACGTCAAAGCCCAAGCACCACCTCAACCCTGGCCCCAGCAGCAGCGACCCCTCTCTTCCCGTCGACCAGCCCGCCTCGCACACCACCACGTCAATGTCGCTGCCGCCCGACTACTCCAACGAGATCAGCGCGCTCGATCGCGAAGTCCTCAAGCACCAGCCCCAGGACATCCTGCAGTTTTGCGCCAACTTCTTCCTGCGCCGCCTCGAGTCGCAGCGCGCCGAGTTCCTGCTGAGCCAGGAGCATTCCGCGCGCGCCAAACTCGGCGGAGGCCTGACGGCGGAGAACAGCTTCCCGGGCAGCAATCCCTTCAGAAGCACCTCGCCCGCCCGCTCCAGCACCCCGCTGGGCATGCAGAGCGTTGAGGAGGAGGACGAGAACGACCTCGTGGCCTCGCCTACTGCTTCGTCATTCCCCCGCTCCATCAACAGCAACATGGACCAGGGCCCCACCGCCGTGCAGCAGGACTCGGGCTCGACGTTTGGCAACTTTGGCAACTTCGGCAGCAACTTCGGCAGCGGCTTCGGCCAGGGCGGCTTCATGATGTCGACGAGCCCGACGCCCTCCAACTCCGGCTTTTCCGCAATGGAGAGCCAAAGCTTCCCGAACAATTACAACATGGGCCGCCGCACGTCCGTGTCCGCCGAGTCGCTCAACCCCACCTCTGCCCTGCACGAGAACTGGTCGCCGCCCTACCACCCCAAGACCGCCGACCAGCAGCAGCGCCTGCGGAACGCCGTGGCCGGCAACTTCCTCTTCTCCCACCTCGATGACGAACAAACCTTGCAGGTCCTGGGCGCTCTCCAGGAGAAGCCCATCCCGACCAAGGGCATCAAGGTCATCGTGCAGGGGGATGTGGGCGACTACTTCTACGTGGTCGAGTCCGGTCACTTCGACTACTACGTGAGCGACACCGGAAAGCTCGAGGCCGGCCCCGATGGAGCCGGCCACAAGGTTGGCAGCGCCGGCCCGGGCGCCTCCTTCGGCGAGCTGGCCCTCATGTACAACGCGCCCCGCGCTGCCACCGTCATCTCCTCGGAGCCGTCGACCCTGTGGGCTCTTGACCGTGTCACCTTCCGCCGCATTCTGATGGACAGCGCCTTCCAACGGAGACGCATGTACGAAGGCTTCCTCGAGGAGGTCCCGCTCCTCTCGTCGCTCACGTCGTACGAACGCTCCAAGATCGCCGACGCCCTCGAGACCAAGAAGTACCCCGCCGGCACAACCATCATAGAGGAGGGTGACGTGGGCGAGTCGTTCTACATTCTGGAGTCCGGCGATGCTCAGGTTTACAAGCGTGGCTTTGACAAGCCCGTCAAGCGCTACACGAAGGGCGACTACTTTGGTGAGCTGGCCCTGCTCAACGACGCCCCCCGTGCGGCGTCTGTCGTCAGCGCGACGGAGATCAAGGTTGCAACGCTCGGCAAGGACGGATTCCAGAGGTTGTTGGGTCCCGTGGAGGGCATCATGCGTAGGAATGATCCGAGCAAGCTTCCCATCGTCTTCGACGAGGCGGATTCGCTGTCAGAACATCACTTCACATCGGAGCCAATGACGACGTCGGCATAATCAAAATTCAAAAAATCGGGGGATCTCAGGAATTTGTCGAGGAATTCGTCGGACACAAACAATGACAACAACGAAGAAGGGCCACGATCGGTACGGCAGGACACAAATGGTACATCCGGAGCTCTCAGTCTCGCGCTCGCGGTATCGAGCAAGGAGTTGTGACGAATTAAACAGGAGAACGACAAAGGAGGCACATTGGCACTGGTTGGGGGGAACATCTTTCGGCTAGGCTCTGGAAGGAGGGAATCGGAGAATGGAGACGGATGCGGAAGGCTTGGTGTTGTGTATTGTTTTGAAATGGCGTTTTCCACTGCTGCTACTGCTAGGCCTATCACCTAAATTCCGCTCGCTCGACGCGAGGAGCTAACTTCTTTACTTTTTTTTTTTCCCCCACATCTGTAGCGGTCTAGTAGGGACCCATAATGGCATGCTCGGCGTTCAAATTTTGGAAGGAAGTGCGCGACCCTTATCAAAGTGAGATTGGCGCCGACGAGGGTGACGCGTTTGGGAGATATCGACCAATAACGCCTCGGGATTATGCTTGAATCTGACAAGCCCCGGTCGTCCGACTACCAAACGGGGGATTCTTCGATATCTTGCAGCCGATGGCTATCTATGTGCCACGCTTGTGCAGCGGTACCTCGCAGAAATTACTGGAGCCTTTTTAATCTTCCCACAACGCCACTATAACGCCATGCACACTCGCCCCGGGAATGCATATACTGAAGCATGCCGACTAACCGGGGGATTCCCTTTTTTATCGTCACACCTAACCTTACTGATCCGCATGATCCGTGTCAATGGCCGGATTTTTACCTATTGCTACGCTTGCGCCATGGCCCTCTTCCTCTCCAGGATCTCGCGCCGCAAGCCTTCGGCTGCAGCCTCGGTTTCGACGACCCTCTTGACGCCGGTACGCCAGCCCTCCTCGAGCAAGGCCAGCTCCGGCGCGGCGGCACCCTGGGCGTGGCGGCGGGCAGCCTCGACGGCCTCGACGTCGTCCTTGGCCTGGGCCAGGTCGGCCTCCAGCGCACGCAGGACGGCCTCGAGCTGCGAGTTGGAGACGAGCCAGGCGTTCTTGCCGTAGCGCTCGAGCAGCGACAGGTTCGTCAGCCGCTGCGACAGGAAGGTCGACGAGGTGTAGGCAGCACGCAGCGTCGCGCGCCAGGCAGCGGCGTCCGAAGCATCGTCGGGAGCGTCGAGGGCCTCGTAGCGCGACAAGTCGACGCCCGAGCCGGGCTCTTTGTCGGTGCCGGCAGCCAGGCGTGCGTGTTCAGCGGTTATGAGGGCCGGGAACGAGGGCTCATACGAGCCAGGAAGGGATGGGTGGAGAGCAGTGGAGGCGGAAGGGTCGAGCTCGGCGGCGATGAGGGTTTGGGCGGCAGCGCGGTCGGTGTCGGTGAGCGGAAGGTCGACGTCTGGTTCCGGTTCGGTTAGCAGATAGAGTATAGATAGGTGGAGAGCGTGGGCTATGCATGCGGGCGGCCCTAAACAGAGACGTCGGCTGATAGGCAGGTAGGGGGGTGCGGTGTGTGGTACGCACATGGTAGTGAGTCGTGCGACTCGTGAATGAGAGGCATTGCCGGGGGTTTCGGGGGGGCGTTGGTTGCTAGAGGCAAGATAGCAGGCGCGGAGCAGCAGGCGGTAGGCGCAGAATGGGGAATATTATAGCGACGTGGAGGGCTTAGCAGCAGCGGGCGGCGGGCGGAGAGGTGGGCTGGAGGAGCGGATGGCGCAGCTGGATGGAGCAGGTGGAGGAAGTATATTAACGCGGCACGCGTAGAATTGAAAGAGAGCGACCAGGGTGGTGGTGGATGCGAAGCTTTCCAGCCGACCGATTTGCGTGCAGGGTTTCGGCCAAGCGGCGCGCAGCTGCGGTCCGCCGTGCCTTGACCCACGCGCTCCCCTCCGGCACCAACGTCATCCGCCGCCCAATCAGCGCGCTCCGCGAATACCTCCCAGCCAGGCCTGCCCTCCACAGCCCGCAATGCTCTACCCAAACAAGAAAACGAGTCACGGAGCACCTCGCTCAACGCTATCACACGCCCGTTCAGGGGCTGTCCTCAATCTGCTGTATATGAACGCCCCCATCCCGCCGTCGCCATGGCTCCCAAGGCGGGTACATCTCCTCCGCCACACCAGCCGCCCGACTCCGGGTGTCAGGATTTCCTGAGAATGGCTCGCATCCACATCACTTTCGCTTTGATTGCTGCCACTGTTTCGTTGTTTTTCGTCTTCGAGCTTGTTTCGGTATTTGGCGTCCCTACCGTCGACTACTGGCACTGGAAGCAGCCCAGCACCTGGAAGAGCAGCGAAGATGCTCAGACACACGTTTGGGAGCTGAAGGAAGCTGCCGAGGCGGCTGCAGCCAGCGGCGATGAGTACCTGATTGGCGTGGGAAAGGCGGACATTACTGGGTAACATTGTTGCTGTCGTCTTGAAGTGTGCAAACCAGTCGCTGATCGTCCGCTACAGTCCTGTTGTTGAGCTCAACCTCATGGGTTACGCCAACTCCAGCCAGATCGGTACCGGCCTGCGCCAGCGCATCTATTCGCGCGCTTTCATCGTCGCCAGCGTCGAAAACCCCGACGAGCGCTTCGTCTATCTCGTGCTTGACACCCAGTCTGGAGACCTCGCTGTTCGAAACGGTATACTGGAAGGACTGGCGAGCATGGGCGACAATTATACCATGTATAGTCAGGCGAACGTAGCTGTGACTGGCACGCATTCGCATTCGGGCCCCGGCGCATGGTTGAACTACCTGCTGCCGCAGATAACCAGCCTTGGATTTGACAAGCAAAGCTACCAGGCCATCGTCGATGGTGCCTTGCTATCGATCCAACGCGCTCAGGAAAGCCTCACAACCGGAACGCTGAGCGTTGGCACGACGGACATCGCGGATGCCAACATCAATCGCAGCCTGTGGGCCTACCTTGCGAACCCGGAAGAGGAGCGCGCCAAGTACACGGATAACGTGGATAAGACATTGACGCTTCTGCGCTTCCAGCGGGCCAGCGACGGCAAGAACATTGGCATCCTGACTTGGTTCGCTGTCCATGGTACATCTCTGCTCGGTAACCAGACGCTCATTGCCGGTGACAACAAGGGTGTTGCTGCCTACCTTTTCGAGCAGGAGATGGCAAGCAATGCCAACGCGGCAGAGGGTTTCGTCGCTGGTTTCTCGCAGGCAAACGTCGGTGACACGTCTCCAAACGTCGAGGGCGCCTGGTGTGAGGATGGCAGCGGCGAGGAATGCACGCTTGAGACCAGTACTTGTGGTGGCAGGAGCCAGCCGTGCCACGGCAGAGGCCCAGCATGGGGCTTGAACGACGGAGGGGCCAAGAGCTGCTATGAAATCGGTCGCAGGCAGTATTCAGGTGCCCTGGACCTTTACTCATCATTCGACTCTAGCAGCACCGCGATTTCCGGCTCAATTGCATCGTTCCACTCTTTCCACGACATGTCAAACTTCACGTTTACTCTATCCAACGGTAGTACCGTAAAAACTTGCTCGGCAGCCATGGGCAACTCTTTCGCGGCCGGAACCACCGACGGTCCTGGTGCTTTCGACTTCACCCAGAATGACACTGGAGCTCCAAACAACCCCTTTTGGAACGCTGTTGGCAGTCTCATCCACATACCTAGTGCTGAGCAAAGAGCATGCCAGCAGCCGAAGCCCATCCTTCTTGATGTCGGAGCAAGCACTGTGCCGTACCAATGGGCACCGAACATTGTTCATATCCAGACTCTCCGCGTGGGTCAATTGTTCATAATCGTCAGCCCTGGCGAAGCGACAACAATGTCCGGAAGGCGCTGGCGCGAGGCCGTGGCCAACGAAGTCACGTCTTCTGACCTGTTGGCCAGTGAAGGCAGTCTGGATCCCATAGTCGTTCTCGGCGGCCCAGCAAATACCTATTCTCACTATATCGCAACGCCCGAGGAATACAGCGTCCAGCGCTACGAGGGTGCATCGACCCTACATGGTCCGCACTCACTCGATGCATATATCAACCGCACACTTACATACCTGCCATATCTCGCTCCTGGCGCGGAGGGTGCACCACCTGCCGGTCCCACTCCTCCGGACAATCGCGACAAAAGCGTGTCCTTCATCAGTGGCGTCGTGTACGACGCCCCTGGAATTGGCAAGAGTTACGGAGACGTCGTCACGGACGTCAGCTCTACATACTCGGCTGGCGATATTGTCAAGGCTACCTTCGTCGGTGCAAACCCTCGGAATAACCTGCGTCTCGAGGGAACCTTCGCCGCTATCGAGAAACAGAACGGCGATTCTTGGACACAAGTACTGGACGACAAAGATTGGGAAATTGTGTACGAATGGGTCCGAAAATCCTCGATCCTCGGCACAAGCGAAGTCACCATCACGTGGGAGACCAATGAGGATACAGCCTCTGGGACGTACAGAATCAAGTACTATGGTGATTCGAAGGCTGTTGGCGGTGCCATTACAGCGTTCAATGGCACCAGTGGGACATTTACGATCTCCTAAAGTATGGCATACATGTTGATTCCCTGTTTCGGTATTTAATTGTACGAAGACGAGTGTTGAGAAAGAAACGTACAATTGGTAGGTTAATGTTAACTATTAATTTCTTTTAACAATGCGTGTCTTTGATGCCACCGATGTGGCGTTTACCAAGTAATTTCTAACACGTGCTGGCGGTGACGGCGGCTCAATCGGGAAGACAAAGAGGCATGCCGAATAAAGACATCTACGCCTAGAGTCTCACCCTTATCCTCTGTCTTGCACTTACATGGAGAGCTCTTCATCTATGAATGTTTGCCTCCTGTTTAAAATTTTGAACAGAACCACCGTCACTCAAAGGAAAACTACTCGCAACATTCGCTACAGCCTGAGAGACTTTAACGAAGGGCAATAATATTTGGAAAAGATGCCTCGCGCAACGCGCTCATCCAGCAGAAAAGCGCAGCAGACGAAGAAGAAAAAGCTTCCAGCAGCTGCTACTCCGACGAGATCCTCCATCACGTCCGTTACCGCGCCTTTGCACAAGACCACAAGATCAACCCGCTCCCCCTCCCCTTCCATCTCAGTTACCAGCGACGATGAAAGGAAAGGGGGTGATATCTCCAGTGGCGCCTTAGCACCAGAAATTTCAGACCTCTCCGAGATCGACAGCATCTTCGCCGATCTCGACGACGACAACGATGACGGAACCGGCAGTAAGACCGCACAACGCACGTCCTCATCCGACCCTGCTCCCACCACCACCACCAAGACCGAGGACAACGATAATAACAAAGAGTCAAAGGAACAAACCGGGGAAGAAGTAGTCGAAGAAGTGGTCGACGAAGCGGTCGACGAAGCGGTCGACGAAGCGGTCGAAGAAGCTGTGGAAGAAGAAGAAGAGGGACAAGACCTCGCCGCCGTCTTCGCGCACCTCGCGCCCACAGCCGGTACTTTGACGACATTGCAGACGCAGCTAGAAGCCGCGCTCGCGGCCATTGCGGCGGGCGAGGCCAGCGAGGCCGATGCGGTCGAGGAGAATTTGGTAGGATTTTGTGAGGAGGTAGAGAAGCTAGGGGCTGTCCACGAGGCTGCGACTGAGTGGTTTGAGAGGAGTCGTGATGGGGGCGAAGCGTTTTGGAACGCAAATGGTGGTTCGGAGGGGGAGGAGCAGAGTCGGGGCCAGCAGGATTGGGATTTCGAGGGGGAGAGGAGGAAGTGGGGTGTTTTGGTTGAGGGGGTGGTGGGGACGGTCAAGGGGTGGGGGTTGGAGGGGGGAGAGAGCGATGGTGTGGAGGACGAGGAGTGGGTTGGGGATGGTGGGGATGAGGACGAGGACGATGAGTGGATAGAGGGAGAGGAGAAGGCGAAGAGGAAGAGAGGGAGAGGGAGAAGTAAGAACAGGGCGAAGTCGGATAAGGTGGGAGTTGGTAGAGCGAGAAAGAAGGAAGGCAGTAGGCCAACGAAGCGACAGAAGATGGAGGAAACATCGGAGACAAAGAGCGTGCGTGGGCGCAAAGAAGAGGCGCAGAAACTACAGGATACGACAGTGCCTGACGAAAAGAACGAAATGCCCAGAAATATGGATGCTCCCGTCGCGGGGGAGAAGAAGCAAGACGGTAAGGAAGTAAATGCAGACAACTGGGAAGAGTTCGAGATTGACTGGGACATTTGACATCAGAGTGGACTCGGACGGGTATGTAGTTTCGGACTATTTGTTAATTAGAAGGCTTCGTGATTTGACTTTATGCTGTACTCGACTAGCAAACGAAGGATTCATGCACTGTTGATCAAATTGCTCTGAAGGGAGATGACTTCTCCGATTTGGTCCTTGCTCAGCTGACTGAAAGTGGTGTGACATGTCGCACAGCGAAAAAGAAACAGCCTCCCGAGTTCCGTCCATGAGCTATATATGCTCTTCTGTAGCAAACCAAATCGCGTCGGCGGAAATGTCACTTGTGGGGCAGCCGGGAATAAGCTCAACCGCTGCTCTTTTGTTTCATGTCGTTACCGTCTTTGAGAATGTTTAGTCACTTCTTGAAGATGTCACCCCCTTGATTTAAGAGCAGTCTGTCTTGAGGCTTAGCTGCACGGAAGCCTGTTCATTGTCGCAGGATGTAACTGCTGAGAATAAGGTGCCGCTGCATGCCTGTTCGAAAATGTGTATTCTAATGGCCTCAATCGTCAATTTTACCTCGTTCCAGTTCTTCAGAATATCCACTTTGATCTTGTCCTTCCGGAGGCATGAGGAGTTGCCTTAGAAAAAGACATCGTGATCAACACTGTAATTCCTCTGACTATCAAGGTAAAAATCTTGTAAGGGTTGTCTCTATGAGCGTTTTAGCGATCCTCTGGTGGATTCAGTCCGACGATCGGGCCGCCCGTGCAACCTCGTATTTCTTTTGTAGTACTTACGCCTACCGAAAGAACTACAAAAACTGCCGTTGACCTCTTTGATTGGTCAATTCCAAATCAGACTGATTAGACACAGTTGTGCTGGTGACTCCAAGTGGGACCAGGCCTTAAGAGCGCAACTCTGGGACCATTCGCTGGATCATTTCATCTGTCATGGGAAACTTCTCTTTCTTAACAAGCAGTGAGACTCTTCTATTAACTGTAGAATAAAATGCTTTGATAATAAATCAAGACGCGGTCGCGTGGTTATAGTGAAAACTTTTTTGATGCTGTGATGGCGATCAGTGGATAAGTGAGGTGTAACCTACTGGACAGGCATTATCATCTTCTTAACGAGACAACCGTTTTCCGCAATAGGATACTGTACCTGACGTGGCACCGCCATGTCATTGTGCTTTCCAATATATCAAGAACAGGAAGGAGTTACCACGACAACAAACATGAAATCACCAGCGGAAGGATAGAGACTGGAGTATCAAACTTCCGAAGGCCACGAATGTCCCATCATAATGGAATGCATGATATTAGTCCTTCCGCGTCATACGAGGGACACTGCACTCCCGTGACAAGCGAAGCAAAGAACTGGACGAAGATATGAAGATAGACAGGTGTAGTATCCAAGTACTCTGCATATAGTATCTCCAATAAGGCAAATTCATAACGTTTACCCTTTCACATCTTTCCATACTACTTCTACTTAATTAATTAATAAATTCTCTTTCTAGAGGTCAACCATATTAAAAAAAAATATCGCATATTCATTACAAATTCATCCCTTCAAAGCATGTGCCGGCCGCAGTGCTACGTGGATCATCACAGTACTCCCAGCGCGATTTGTTGAGTTTCCGTTTCTCATGGAGCACAGAGAACGCGATGTAAGGCATTGTAGGCCCATTGCCATGAGGGATTAAACTTCTGGTTTTTTCTCAGAGACAATAAGAATGCGTGCCGCGCGCAGCAGTAAGAAGGCAAGACATTCGGAGAACACAGCAAGAAACAGATCAACAGACCTTCACTTCATCCATACTATTTCACCTTCAACCCATACCCTTTTCCAAGGAAACCAACAAACATGTCTGGTGAAGGATACAGCCGCTACGCCTGCGCGTACTGGGATTCCCACGGCTGCCGCAACTACGTCTGGCAGAAGGGTGATGCTTGCGGCACCTGCCAGGTACGTGAATACCGAACCAGTTAATACCCGCACAATTCAGTCTTCCCCTTGTCCTTCACACGCCACGCTTCTTTCAACGTCAAGCCTTTTGTGAGGGTAGTGGCGGATACTTATCACAGACAGTCTCTCGGCCGCCCCTCCAAGCGTTAAAATGGCGGATCAGCAGCTCTTGCCTCCTTCCTGAGGCGTCTTCGACAAGAGTACACGGATTTTCTGTAAGCAGAGGACGCGGTGGACAACCAAAACCAGGAGGAACAGGTGAAATTGAGCAGGAACATGGATGAATGGGTAGAGAGTAGACAGAAAAGGCTTTGAATCAAATGCTGGCCATAAAACCTGATGCCCTTGACCAATGTCTCGTTCTTCACTGTGACGGTGTTCAACAATGCTCCGGACCAAAGCAATACGAGCATGACAATATAAAGTCGGACTTCACAAACTGACATTGCTATATACTCATACCTGCTAAAGACATTACGTTCCGTCTAGATGTTTTGGACCATAATCATGATACGTGCAAGTGGTATCTCAAGGAGTGCGTGTTCATGTCATCAGTTCCCACAGGAAAACCCAAAACCAGGGCCGTACCCATTCATCCAAATGCCTATGTGCACCACTTTCCGTCTATATATTGAGAAGGAAACAAAAGAAAAAAAAAGGAAATATCTTCAGGAACCCGCCGGGGATTCCTGGTGCCCCCCCACAAGCGCTATTTTTGTGGAGATTTTACCACGTGAACAGCATCAAGTTCGGGTTTAGGGCGATAGGGAGAAGCAGATGCGCACCAACGATGGTGCACAGCGGCCAGATGGCGACAAAGGTCTTGACCTGCCAGAGCGGGGGGAAGACGTAGGCGCCGCAGATCATGAGGGCGATGCAAGCGATGCAGAAGATGAAGGTGTACTTGAAGCGCTTGAGCACACGCGGAATCTCCTCGAAGAAGGAGATGTTCTCGGCCTCCTTGGCTGTTGCGCCCCACGACATGTCGATGGAGAACATGTGGCAGAGGATGGCTTGCGAGACGTGCAGGGACAAGCCACCCAAGAAGCAAGTCATAAGTGGCACCCACTTGAAGCATTCGAACCACGCGGGAAGGAGCGCCTTTTCCTCGGTGCGGTAACGGAGAATTCCGAGAGAGACATTGCCGAGGGCATTAAAGACGACGACAATACCGAAGTAGATCTCGAACGAGGAGGTGTAGTAGTGGTCGTAGTAGCCATTGAACCAGCCAATAATGAAGTAGTTGAGGAGGGTGAGGATCCAAGCAGAGCCAATGGCGTAGTAAGTACCGATGTAGGCCATAATGGTGAGCTTCGAGGGCAGCGGCATGCTGGACACAATGAACCTGCGGAAGAGCTTGGTGAAAGGACCGCGTACAGGCCAATAGCGAAGCGGGTGGAAGATCAGTTCGCTACAGCCGTACGCGTACTTTTCCCAACGGGCCAATTCATCATAGACAGTAAGAGACACACCCTCCTTATAGCCGTCACCCTTGTACGCACCGAGGCGGATGGTATAGCCTTCGGTTTGCAAGCGGAGAGCCATGTCGAAATCCTCAGATACGGTCGCCTCGCTCCAGTACTTCTCGCGGTGGTCGTCCTTGCAGTCATAAGCGATGTTCTGGACCGCAGACCAACGCAACCAAGCGTTATGCCCGACAAAGGGAGCAACGTCACCGCCGGCGACCGAGTAGCGAATTTGCGTATAGATCAGATTGGTGAAGTAGGTGATACCGCGCTCGAAGAAGCTATCGGTAACGTTCATAACACCGGAAGAGTACTGGATGATGCCGACCTGTGGAGATTGCTCCATTTCGCTGACGGCGTCGATGAAGCAGTCCTTGGGGACACGGGTATCGGAGTCAATCAACAGAATGTAGTCACCGACGCGGATGTTGCCGTCAGCCCAAGTGCGACCTTCGTCTTCGGCGACGACCTCGGCAAGTGCATTGCGGTAGGCGGCAGCTTCGTCGTCTTGAGTCCAGGTATCGGAGCGATGTAGAGGGAGCAGCTTCTCTTCGACGCGGTTGGAGACCCAGAGGGCATAGTTCATGTTGGAGGCCTTCTTGAACTTGCCGCGACGGAGGAAAACCTCTTCGCCTTCAGCAGGCTTAGGGTTGTGTTTCGGACGAGCAACCCAACCAATGTTGTGTTCGTCATAGTAATCACGACGCGCCTGGGCCTCCTCCTCTGAGATCAACTGCATGCCGTCGTCGTTAATGAAGATGTTAGCAGTACCGCCTTGCATCTCGTAAGTGGAGATGGCAGCCTTGATGGAGCGGATGGTGGGCTCAATAACCGAGTGAAGGCCTTCCTTGTAGACGGGACACTGGATAGTCACATGGGGGAGAACACCAGTGTCACGGTTCAGTCGGCGAGGGGCGATTCCAGAGTAGTACTTGCTGTTTTCGTTGACCTGGCCGATGGGACCAATGATTTGTGCGACGTTGCCAACGAGAGCCTGGAAGAAGAACTGCAAGCGGGTCAGTCGGAGAGAGGGGCAAGGAGCATGCAGGAAGCACGTACCAAAGACAGCCAGACCTGTGGAATCACCACGGCGGCGAACGCGAGGCGAATGTAGTCGCCATCGACCTGCAGCTGGACAGCGATTTCACGCCAGCCAGAACCAATGGCAGCGCAAGTGACGATCATAGTGCATGCGGTGATCAGCGCTTGGATCAACACGGTCTTACGGGGCTTCTCCTCGGCGGCTTCTAGGTCCTCAAGCTCATAGACCTCGTAGGAGGCCTCCTTTTTCTCGTCGTCACCGTCTTCGCCCTCCTGCCATATCATGTCCATAAGGGCAGATTCGATGTTCTTGATACGCTCGAGCAGCTTTTTCGGCTGGTCTTCCCACACGACAAGAATTCCACGGTCGGCAATGAAGGCAGCGAACTGATGCTTCTGGCAACGCGGCAGGTACGATATATCGGGAAGCACCTGGACTCGTAGACCCTTCTGGATTTCGACATACGGTAGGTTGTTGTTATGGAGCAGAATCTTGATGACGCGGGTGTTGACAGTCATTGCGACCTGTGTGGCGGATATCAGAACGGCTTCCAATCAAGTCAATAGCGGCAAACTTACGCGAACGTTGAGCTGCTCGACGGCCTTCAAGAAGCCATTCGGCTCTTCTGCCAGCTCGGCAGGGCAGCATGCATACGAGCCGCGAGCCTTCTTCAAGACAACACCCTCCTCATACTCGCCGGCGCACCACAGCTTTTCCTCCTGCTGAGAGTGCAGCCAGTTAACCATGACATCGCATTTGATTTCACTCAACTGGTCCATGCCTGAGTTCCGGTAAAGGGAGTTCGGGCGGGAGCCATATGGAGAGGAACCGCTCGAGCCTGCAAGATAGGCAGGCCGAGGGGAGTCAAGCGGTGGCAGGCTGTCAGGGCGGGCCTCGACGGCCTTCTCGTTGGACACGTCTGGCTTGGCGGCATTCTTCTTCTTGTCTTCGCCCTTGCGGGGGGCGAAGTAAGACTTGAGACCCATTGGTAAAAACGAGAGAGTCACAGGCTGGTGTATGACTGCCCGTGGTCAAGGATTAAGCATCCAAGAAACGAGAGATGGAGGGCGCCGAGAAGCGAAAGGCGGCGGGTGAAGCAGTGGAAAGGCTGGGAGACGGCATAATGATATATTGGAGGGCGGAAAAGGATTGCTGCCGGGGTTGTAGGGCGGACAGCGGCTCAATGGCTCGACCGACACCCATGTTCGCGCAGCTTGGCCCAAAAGAGGAAGTGTGGCACAGGGCATGATTTGCATCTGGCCCACGCTATCGGCGGCCCCCAAGAGCCTTGAAAAAAAGCTAAAACACCAGGCAGATTGCGGACATCGCCGCCCGTATCTGCACGATAGCAATCCTTGCTGGCGTTCTGGAAGTGTCGCACTACCGAATCGATAGAAGCTGCACACGGTGGGGCGAGCGCACAGCTGCTCGAGCTGAAGCCGCTGTCGGCTAGTGGAGTCGAGAGCGAGAGAGCTCAGGACTTGGGTGGAGATGGAGTCGAGCAGCAGGCATCGGGAATCCTCTCAGGCGGCGCCATGTCGCGGACAGAGTGGTGGTGATGAAGGAGCGACTGGGCGTGGGTGAGCGACGGAGCGGCAGAGTTGCTATTCTTAGGGCTGCAGACCGTGTTGTTATCACGGCTAATGGTGGTTGCAAGCGATGCCCTGGCAGGCAGGCCAATGGCGAGATGGCACCCCTGGGAGTGAGGTCGAGGGCGGGTTCGCTAACGGCAGGCAGCCTTTAGCGCGGAGCGGAAACCAGGCCGGAGCGGCTGGCTTGAGTGGCGCTGGCTGCTGATCCTCCAGTCCTCGCGCCAAGAAACGCAGTTCCCTCACACCGTTGCACTGGTGCAGCTGCCTGGATCCTGCTCGTTTACGTCGGTACTGCTTGCAGCACCCCCGATCGCGCCACGCGCCCTGTTCGACCCGCCGTGCGGGGGCAGAGGCAGTCGGAGGAGAGCCGTCGCACCTGTGGCTCCCGCTGAAGACGGCAGCATGCTCAACGACCGTCTGGCAGTGGGGTCTGGCAGGCGTGGATACGAGTTGGCGCTCAAAGCGGGCAGGCGCCGTATGCAGCCACGGAGGTCGCGACCATCGCGGATTGCCCAACTTCCGGCCCGCACAATCGTCGCGGGAGACACAAATGAAACTCGACGAAGCCTCGCCCCGGCTACTGCGGCACCTTCGTGCCCTTCAATCCTTCGCCATCAACCCCGAGTCAGCTAATTACAGAGGCCCGCCCAGATTCTGCCAGGTACCGGTCCAGATACCTGCAGAACGCCCACTGCCCTTTTCAGCCTCATTGCTGTCCGTCTCGGTGTGTGGCTGCCTGATGCCACGTTCTTCAACGCTTGATAGGGACCCGCGGCCCCGGGTGCTGCACTGCAGACTTCCGATAAGACCGCGTTGCACACCGCGGCATGTGCTGGCAGACATCAGACCATTGCCCATTTCACTCCGTAGTACGAACAGCCCACATGTTTGGCTGACATGACATGGAGGGAAAGCATTTGGTGTGTGGGAGCGGGGCTCAGGCCAGCTCCACTACCCTACGTCACATTTCTCACCCCGCCTCGTACAACATATTCGACACACTCGTCGCTTGTGGGGAGCCTTTGCCCCCGAATATTTATCCAGATCTCGAAATCACTAGCACCATGGTGTGTGTATGCCGAGATTAACACTGCCGCTGCCAATGACCGGGCCTGTCCAGAGGAAAACATGTGAGTTTCGAGCAAGCAAACATTGGATACCGGTAGCGAGAGGAATTAGTAGAAAGAAAAAAAATAAACTAGTTACTATAGATCCGCAATTTGCGGGGTTATGACTCCTCTCACAATTAGGCTGCCGTAGGCAGCAAGACTACGCCACACCCGCTTTAGTATTTAAGGATCTCTACTCAACTAAAAGCACTCAGCCCCTTCACCAGCCTTCTGATACCAATAGAACTACTGCACAACACGTCCTCCATGGCTCCCCGGCACCAGCACGTCTGTGGGTTCTACTACTCAACATATCAAACCGGCACCCAGAGACACTACCTCCCACAGCTCGGGCTCAAGTCACACACAACCATCCTCTCGAAAACTTCTCGAACACTTCTTACCCAGACTTTCATCAACCCTGACCAGACAAAGGCCATCAAGAACGTGCGCTACACGTTCCCACTTTACGATGGAGTTTCTGTCGTTGCTTTCACCTGTCGCGTCAATGGCCGGCTTATCAAGGGCCAAGTCAAGGAAAGGGAGAAGGCAAAGGCCGACTTCAACAAAGCAGTTGAGCATGGCCAGGTCGCTGGTCTGATGGAGCAGCTTCCTAATGCCGCCGATGTTTTCTCCACAACAGTGGGCAACATCCCCCCAGGCGCCACCATCACCACCGAAATTACCTACCTTGGTGAGTTGAAACACGACGCAGAAGTCGACGGCATCCGCTTTACCATACCCACCGCAATCGCCCCTCGTTACGGCAGCTACCCGGGTGAGCTGCTCGACAAGCCAGACTCAACCCATGCCCATGCCAGCTCTGGCATGGAGATTGTCGTCGACGCAATCTTCGATGACGGCTCGCCCATCAAACAACTACGCTCCCCAACCCACCCCATCGCTGTCTCTATGGGGACCACTTCGGCAGCTCCCGACAAAGAGCCCACTATGACGAGGGCATCCGCAACCCTGAGTCTCGGCACAGCAGAGCTCTCTGCAGACTTCGTCATTCAGGTGGTTGCGAAGGACACGGGCAATCCCACTGCAATCCTTGAGACGCATCCGCGCATCCCTTGCCAGCGCGCTCTCATGACAACCCTGGTACCCAAATTCTCGCTACCGTCAATTCGCCCGGAAATTGTCTTCGTCTGCGACCGCAGCGGTAGCATGGGAAGCGACTCCAAGATACCCACAGCCGTCCAAGCCCTCAAGGTCTTCTTGAAGAGCTTACCCGTCGGCGTGAAATTCAACATCTGCTCCTTTGGCAGCCATTTCGACTTCCTCTGGCCAAGAAGTCAATCTTATAGCCAGGCGTCCCTCGAAGAAGCCATCAGACATGTCGAGAGTTTCGATGCCAACTACGGCGGCACGCAAATCTTCGAGCCGCTGAAAGCAACCATCGAGAATCGCTACAACGACATGGAGCTCGAGGTCTTGCTCCTCACCGACGGCGAGGTCTGGGACCAGGAGACCATCTTCAAGTATCTGAACACCGAGATTCACGAAAAGAAGCAGCCAATCCGTGTCTTCACCCTAGGAGTGGGGCCTGATGCAAGCTCGGCTCTTGTTGAAGGTGTCGCAAGAGCAGGCAACGGCTTCTCTCAGGCCGTCGGAAACAATGAGAAGATGGACAATAAGATTGTGCGCATGTTGAAGGGCGCTCTTTCCCCACACGTCACCGACTATAGTCTGGAAGTCAAGTACACGGACGAGAAAGAGATCGATGCCGACGACGGCTTCGAACTTGTCGAGAAAGTCACCGACAGCCTTCGTGTTAACCTCAATCTGCAAGATGAGGGATCCAAGCGCGATGCTCCGAGTGGCATCGACTCTGGGGGCGTCAATTCTAATGCTCCACAGCAGGATCCGAAAAATCCAATCTCACTGTTTGATCCCTCGGTAGACCTCGACGCCCCAGACGCTCAAAATACGTCCAGCGATGGTCAAGATCGCTACGCGCATCTTCCTCCACTTGAAACTCCAGCTATTATTCAAGCACCTTCTCGAATCCCCCCACTCTTCCCCTTTAATCGCAGCACTATCTATCTACTCCTGTCACCAAACTCGCCAGCAGCCACCCGAACGCCAAAATCAGTCATCCTCCGTGGTACCTCATCTCATGGCCCCCTTGAGCTCGAGATTCCAGTGATAGTCGCTTCGGAAAATGAGGGCAAAGGAGAGACTATCCATCAACTTGCCGCGCGCAAGGCTGTTCGCGAACTGGAGGAGGGACGCGGTTGGCTTTCGGAGGCTGTCGACGCCACCGGCTCCCGGTTGAAGGAGAAAATGGAGGGGCGTTGGGACGAAATGATCGAGCGCGAAGCCGTACGCTTGGGCGTAGAGTTCCAGGTCGGCGGCAAGTGGTGCTCCTTCGTCGCGTTGGAGGAAAACCAAGACGAAGAACTGAGCCACGACTGGGAATATTTGGACGTCAGTCCAAATGTCTCAGAAGAAGGTATGCTGCCACACAACAACAGACCCAATCTTTCCCATATCACCGACCCTCGCTGTGACCGGAATCGTGACCACAAACACCACTACATTGCTAACACCTTAATTTCCACAGGGGCCTCGTCCAACACCAACCTCGCCGACTACCAACAGAGCCTCATGATTCTCCGGCAGCAAAACTCACACCCAAGACGCGCCATGGTCTCCTCCGCTCCCGGCGGTCGTGGCGGAGGTATGCCCGGCGCCGTGGTCACAGCGTTTGCCGCGACGTCCGCGGCCCCGGCGGCCCAGGAGTCCGAAGATGAGGACATGGGCTTCGGACTCTTCGACGGCCCTCCTTGTTCTTCTTATTCTCCTACTTCTCCTACTTATTCTCCTGCTTCTGCTTCACACCCCCCTATTTCTCCTTCTTATTCTCCTTCTTCTCCTTCCGGCCCTCAGCCGGCTTACATGCGTTTAAGTACGGCGGCGCCGGCGCCGGCGGCGCTCTCGCCAATGCGCAAGCGGAAGAAGAGGAAGGTGGGATCCGGCTCGGCACAAGCTGTTGAAAGCACGAACGCGTTGTTTAGTATTGAGGCGGAGGAGGATGAAGAGTACGAGGGTCCGGAGGATGAGGCCGACGGCGGCGCTTCGTCTCTTCAGCAGATCATCGCGCTGCAGTCTTTCGACGGATCGTGGCACATTGACGACAAGCTTTTGAAAGTTGTGGGCGTACTGCCTAGTACCGGCAGCACCACCGAGGCCATGAAGGCGTTGGGTTGTGTCGGAGTCTCGTCGGAGGATATTTACAAGGTGGCGGGGACGGTGTTGGTGGTTGCGTTCCTAAGGCTGAAGTTGGCAGACGAGGAGGACTCGTGGGAGTTGATCGTTGAGAAGGCAGAGGATTGGCTTCAAGGATGTTCTGTAGTAGGTGCGAAGGAGCTGGAGGACATGTCAGAGAAAGCGAAGGCCATGGTTTTGGGGAAGCTGGAGTAAAAAGCACGAGTATGATGGAAAAATTCAAAAGGTTGGCTTCCGAAATGGGGAAGATTCCTCATGTCGTTTGGGTAGTTGAAGTAAACATTGAGAAGACAATAAAAAAAGCTCATTTCGTTCAAGAGGTTTCTTATGACTTACCCCAAGCCTTCTTGTTTCAAGTCAATTTTAGTTCTCGAATTTAGTGACACTAAGGCGATCTCCTCACGAGGCTACGTCATTTTGAAATAGCTCATTCTGATTCAGCCCTTCAGTGCCCAGCCTTAGTATATCCATGGAGACTCTCCCGGTTGCGGGCCGGGACAGCCTGGCCGGCATGAAAAAACGTTTGCGTTCTCGGTGACTTTCAAGTAACCGCAAGATGTCCCTTGGGCCTTGACACAAATAATCCTGCGCGTCTTCTTCTTGTGCCCGCAGGCATAGCAGGTAACGATTTGTTGGCACATCACTCTGTGCTGGTAGTGCTGAGGGGATAAAATTAAAATAGCTCTCGTCTTGGAAGGTTTAGTGGGCTTTTCTTTTTTGGTCAGGTCCGTTGAGAGTTCCTGCTTGCTTCTTGTACGTACGCCCTGTGCAGCGCGTGATGTCGAGTTGGGAATGATTTTGGGGAGGAAATGTGTCTGGTGAGTGCATGTTGTTGCTTTTTTCCTGACGCTCGTGGCGTCCAATCTAGATCTCACGCCATGTCTTGGTAGTAAGCAGGGCGCTGATGATGAGATCACTTTGGTGGATCTCCCGCAGATTAGCGGATACGTCCAAGTAAAATACACTGGTATTTTGTGGGTTGGTTCTTATCTTCAAGGCATCGGTTGATGAGTAGACGACTCCAAGAAAGGCATATGCCGTGCCGTATGATAGGTACACTCTAGATTTCCAGCTCTCTGTGGATCGTACTTGGTGATGCTTTTTCGATCAGCATAAGATCCTGGCTTGGTGCGGCTGGCCATTACCGTGTGGCGGCACGTGGCCACCGACAGATCTGTCTGTCAACGCTTGAACAGCGCATTATGTCATTTGAACTACACATTTCTTTGTCCATTTTTTTAGTATAGAAACATGCGTAAGCAAGATCTTATACCCCCATCACCCATGTGATTTAGTCTTACATCATTGTGGCACCTACCCTTTTCTTCCGACACTATTACTGCACGTTTTCCAATAATTTTGAAGAACAATGACTTGATCAATTTATTGATAGTCATGGAAGCAGGATTTCAAGCAAGAACATCGAAGTACTACTGACGTGGTGTGCGCTAAGCCTACGTGGTCTATTAGGTGACTTGTATTATGACCAGAAAGAAGAACAACTAAAAGCCCGTTGAAAGGCAGGTTTGAAAACGCATAAAGCGCATTGACGCCTCTGAATACTTCATGCTGCAGGGTCTTTGTGCCTTCTCTTTGGCACGCTTCTCAAACACAATGGTTTTTACAGCGCAAAAGGGCAGCAGACTCTTAAACACATGATGGATGAACCCAGAGTTTATCGACATTGAACTACTATAAAATGCTGAGATTCGTTGGTGAAGTCCAATATTCGATACACAGCAGCTAAACCACTTCACTCTCGAGAGAGCAGGACAACAGCAGCCAAGCTCAAAGCATAAGGAAACTCATATTCTCATCACAGTCGATCGAGACTCTGGGATCCTTCACAGACGAATTTGTGGTCTTACTCTCGTACAACATGTCTCAGGAGAATTACCGCTCACAGCAAGAAATCAATAGCCTCTGCAAAGAGGCCGAGGAAAAGATGAGGATACCCAAAGTCAAAGTTCCTGGCTGCGAGTGCTCCATGGAGATCATACAATATGAGTGGTGTGGTGACGGCTTGTTGCACGACACAATTAGGTGCAAAAACGACACACACCAGGATCTACCACCCATTGTTAGACTCAAAAAAATGCCGGGACTCCCATGCCCTCAGCCTGCGTGCAAAGAGGCATTCCGCAGGACCGGTGGCCACAAGAATAAGCAGGAGGCTATTTGACACAAAGGGTCGCCGACTAAACTGGGTCCTAGTTCTTCCGAACAGATGTTGCTCCAGCAGATGACGGGGTGTTTTCATAACTTCTCTGATACCCTTTTCTTTTTCTTTCTTTTTTCTCCTACGACTGCTTTTTCCAACTTATGTTCATAATCAAGGGGACCAAAGGTACCAGGCAGATAGGCAGAATTGGATAATGACTGATGACATAAGTGTTTCCCTGACATATAGTCCCCCTCAAAGCTGATGGCTAGCATGGATTTGTTTTTTTGCTCATGTCATGGGTAGTTGATGCTATTATCCAGACAAGAATGTGGAATTAAAAACTCTACATGCACGTCCGGACAATAGCTTCAGCTACCCACATATGTTATTTTTTTTTTGGGACAGAGCTGAGCAATAGCTACGCCTTGGGGCCTTGCTTTTATTCGGCGACGCTTGGCAAATTTGAGTAGGTCACTGAGGCATGAGATTACGGCAAGCATGAATGGAACAAATGTTGGCGGAGGCAAGAATAGGACATACTTTTTGTTGCTAACCAAAGACAATGAAAACTGGCAGGTAGATGACCAATAGAGTCGGAAAAAGGCGAAAGAATATGAAGCAATCAAAGAAGACGCAGAAATTGAACAAGGAGGAAAATAGAGTGAAGAGGAATATCCGAGTAACAGTCGTTCCGTCATATAGAAGGCGAAGAGAAGAAGTGGAGACACGCTTTTAACAGCCAAAAAAAAAAAAAAAAACAGCGCTAAGGGAAAAAAAGGAGCACTAAACTCCACGCTAGGGTATCATACAAAAAAGTTTCCTAAAGAAATAACGGAAACGAGAATGAAAGGGATTCCGTACAATCTAGTGTCATGAGAGGCCAAGATTAAAAAGCAAGTAGGAAAACAAGCAAGGAGGAAAAGAAGCGATAAAGCCGGACCCACAGGTGCCCCTCTTATCGAACCATTTTCAGGCGCATAAGAGCGAAATTGGGCAGCAAGAACCGGGCGAAGGAGCCTGAACCGCACGGAGCCAGTCCGAGTCGAGAAACGAGGATCCGGAGGAGGGATGATAGACTCAATGGCGGCGGAAAAGCCATGGTCTCTCGGTTACTTGGCTAGGGCGGCGACGGCAGTGGCGGCTTTGCCCTCGTGCAGCCAGCCCTCGGCGCGCTGGCAGCTGGGACACTTTTCGCCGACGCGCTCGTAGAATTCGGCGACGCCGGTGCAGAAGCCGCGGCGGGCGCGGATGGGCGCGCACATCTCGAGGCGTTTTGCGCCGTAGTGGCGGCAAGCGTGGATCTGCTCGTATTCTTTGCACATTGTCGTTGTGTTGTTGCCGTGCGGGGCGGTTGTTGAGAATTGGCGAGAGATGTTTTCTGTTGACTCAGAGCGGGGTCTGGTCGTCGAAGGGCACGCTATTCAGGCCGTCCGAGGAAGCACTTGGCGGGAGCGTGACGGAGTGGAGGGATTGGGGGCAGTGGAACAGCTCCAGAGCTTGCCGTCGACGCTGGCTCTTTATGGTCCGGATACAGTGGCAGCCTGTCGATCTCTCCGCTGAACGGGCTGTGCTGGTGTTGAGTCCTGTCAGAGCCATCGTCAGTGGGGCCCGTTTGCCTGCGAAAAGAGGGGCGCGTACCAGGCAGCAAGGGTCCAGAAGGAGGCTTGAGGTGTTCCCGTTGGTGGGCGGAGCGGAGTAATCGCTGCGCTTATGGGTGTTGTCAGGGAAGCGTTTGGGCTCGACCCGCGAGAGCCGTGTCAGGTGGGAGAGATCCGGGGAAGGCTGGCTGCTGCTTCATCACAACGGAGCCCGCGGGAGCGGGCTGGGGCGGCGGGCGCGGGCTTTATGGGCCGCCGCGGTGGTCCATGTCTTAAGATGCGTTTGCTTTTTTGATGAGTTGAGGCCTAGCCGGCGGGCACGAGCGTTGGAAGGCATCCGCGTCGGACCGTTGACGGTCGATCATCCGCTGGCGGATCAGCATTGGCTAGTCGCCCTGGCCCTGCCAGCGTGCTGTTTGCTAATAGTTCCAGAAGAAGCGGAGAATTTTTCCCTTGCCTGGTGCTGTTGCTGGCAAAGGAAGCGCATCGTGGGGTCGCGCGCATCGCCGCGCCCTCCAGAATCCCAACGGGAAAAGAAATGGAAGGGAAGACGCACGAGCTCCGCTGCGGGATTTGATCATCACAGAATAATTAAGCGGCCGTGAGTCGCTTGGGCTGACTGGACTCGGCAACAGAAAATCGAGGCGCATTCAAGACAGTGCGAAACAGTACCATTAGTGGCCGCGCGACTCCGTGTCTCAGGCCGGCTTCTGCTCCTAAGAATATCTCAAACGCAGGAAGGTTTACGCACCGCAATTTGGGTATCGCGATGCCGAGTGTGCACTGTCCCGTTGGGCAGCTCACTGACCATCCCGCCCCTTTGCAAACGGCCGTACCAACCCCCATCGCCCATAATCCAATATTTTTTTTCCATCACAGCTTGGACACCAGCTTACCCGTGTTGGAGCCGTCGAACAGCTTCATCCAGGTCGTCGGGATGTCTTCGAACTGCGTAGCCACAACCGTCTCGCCCTCGTCGCTGATCTTGATCTTGCCCTCCTTGGCCGCAATCACGAGCTCGGTGATGCTCTCCTTCGCCTTGCCCTGCTTGACCCAGTCGAGCACGATGAAGCCCTTCAGCTGGAGCCTCATGGAGATGACGTCGAGCCAATTGTTCAGCTGCAGACCCGAAGTGCCATTGTAAGTGGAAATGGCACCGCACAGGGCAACCCGGCCCTCCTGCGCCATGCGAGATAGCACGAGGTCGAGGATCTCTCCGCCCACGTTATCGAAATAAACGTTCGCGTAGTTAGGGGTTGCGTCGATGAGATCCTGCTTGAAAGTAGGAGACTTGTAGTTGAGGCAGACGTCGGCGCCAAGGCTCTTTACCCACTCGCACTTCGAATCACTGCCCGCAATGCCAATGACCGTCTTGCAGCCAACGAGCTTCTTGGCAATCTGCGATGATTAGCGCCATGCTGTCTCCACAGGCCCAGGGGCTGCTCACCTGCACAACCATGCTCCCGGTAGCACCAGCGGCACCGCTGACGATAAGGACATCCTCGGGCTTTGCAGCCGCGATGATCTTCGTGCCGTAGTATGCCGTCAGACCAGTCATGCCAAGCGCGCCCAAGTAGTGTGTCGGCGAGACACCAGGGATATTTTGGAGAGGCTGCAAAGCGGCAGCATCCTGGACAAGGTATTCCGCCCAACCCGCCTGATATGTTTGCACTAGCGTACCCTTGGGCAGCGACGCGGCCTTGGACTCGATGACTTCAGCGATGGCGCCGGCGCGCATCGTCTCGCCGGGTTGGACGGGCGGAACATAGAGGCGATCGGGCGACTCGATGGGCGAAATCCAGCCGCGCTGGGCGGGGTCGTTGGAGAGGAACTTGGTGCGGAGGAGGACCTGTCCATCCTGAACCGGAGGCAGATCGACCGTCTTCATAGAAAAGGTGGCATCGGGGCCGTTGAGGACGGGTTCACCGACAATCTGGCGGTTGAGCACCCATTGGCGAGTCTGAGTGGGAAGAGACATGGTGTGTGTGTGTGTGACGCGGCAGTGTCAATTGGACGTGAGATGGCGGCAAAAGAGGGGCCATTGAGCCTTATAGCATCTCTTCGAGCGTCGTCCCTGCCTCGGCCGCCATTGGACAGCTGCTTACCAACGCTAGCTAGCTAGCCAGCAGTACTTCGTCGACCGGCTTTAGCCCTCGGGGCCGAGAGGTGAGAGGTAGGCATTGCGGCTGACCAATCTCGAGCGGATCGAACCAGAGGGGAAGTGTTTCCGCAAGAACAGGAGGTCTGGTGGTTAGTTAGGCCGAGAGGGTGCCGTTTGAGGTGATGTCAAGAGAGTGGTGGGCACCGGACCGACAGTTGGCGGGGACGACACGACTCGTGTGCCGAGGTAACTTCCCGGATATAGAGTCAACCCGCGTGTTCTCTATTAGTGAACGATGCGGCTCTCGAGCACTTCGTGCGTATAGTGGTCGCAGCCTCCCATTAGACTTCTGAATAAGCTGCTGACTGTGGAGCCGCCGGCTCGGCTAAGCTCTCCTTCCGCGAGCCTCATCCCGGCCAGATCAAGAGGCCGAGATCCGTAGCCTGAACACCTGCTACTACTGGAATCGAACTGACAAAGCAGACACAGAAGATCTACGCCTATACTAATCGACGGCTTTTGTAGCCTTCTCGCTGTGATGCCGACGAAATGCCTTTGGAGGAAATGGCGACGACGTAAAGGTGGTGTGAGATATCAAGTCGTGGCCGGCGATAGTATCAGCTCAGCTGCCGTTTCTTGAGGTCGTGCAGCAGGACTTGTCTGATGCGACAATGTCTGTAAGGAAGGCCTTGCAGCCTGACCGGTTGTGTGTACGAGTTGCACTGCTTGCTATGGGTGTGGGGGTTGTCTCTAGTTGAAGTCACGTGTCCACGTGATTCGCACATGGCCGCCGCGACAGCAGTCTCTCATTGGAAAGCACCAATGAAGCTGCGGCGGGTTGTTTCAGCTCCATCAGCTGCATGTCGCACGTGGTCGTAACACCATTAGCAGCGGGCTTCATGCGAGGTATAGGACAAAAGCTATTCGTGACACATACTCCCCTGTTCAGGCCGAGAAGCCGTATGCAACAAGATGGCGTCACAGCGGAGATCTATGCAGATGGTATTCTCGGCCCCGTGCGACGCGGCCATGGAGTCCGGGCAGACGCAGGCGGCTCATACGGGATATATCGAGAGTAAGGGTGGCGGGAGGCGACAAAGAGGGCAAGCCGGCGATAGATCGTGGAGCGCTGCGATTGCACAGCAAGCGACATGTGAATCGTTCCACATGGGCCGGGCGATCGGTGCGGAGGATGTGAGCGATGTCGCAAAATCGAGCGCCAAAAGCGGGTCGGCGCGGCGGCCTCACACTGGCTCAGGCGCGACACGTCAACCATGACCGTCACCTCATGGCTCCCCCACGCTGACTTGCGCTGCGCCGATTCGGATGTCGTGATGCAGCGCTGGTCGCGCAGCAGTTGATGGCGGCGCGGTCGGCGGCCCGGCCAGCAGCACCCCAACGCCCACGGCCAGCGCCCCAATGACGGCCGGCGGGCTGCCAGTCGTGCATATGCCCGTAGCTTTGTACGAGGCCGACTGCAGCAAATGCGCTCACTCATCACCCTCAATGGCAGCAGATAGAGCCCGGACAGACGTGGCTCCAGTGGTCCCCCGCCACTCCGAGCCGCCGATTGCTCAACCACAGCAGGCACGAGCGCTCGGCGGCTGCGCGCATCCTGCCGTGCACCACCGCTTCCCCACACTCCTGCGATCCCGTTCATCTCTCTCTCTCCATCTCTCACTGATCAATTCCTCGTTCTTTGATGCCGCGACGACTCGAGCCACGATAGCCCCGCTACGCGCCTCGCGGTGCCTGATGCGCCAATCGAGCCTTCTCTGTCGGCAGCCACTAAAATTGCTTCGCTCGTCGCCCTGCTCCACACCTTCGCCTCAATGCCCAACTAGCGCCAAGAGAACGCATTCCTTATATCCGCCATGGGTAAAGCCCTCTTCACTGAGAAAATGACTTGTGACCATCTAAGACCCTGTCCCACCAGACCATTACGGCGATTGGGAGGAGGACCCTCTCTCCTATCCCCATCCGCATTATCCTCCTCCATCCGCACCAGAGAGCCACTGGGGCCATCCGCCGCCGCACCGGGCCCCGTTCCCCATGGCCGAAGCTCCGCGCGGCCTGGTCCGCTTCCCCTTGAGCCAAGTCTCGTTTTCTCCATGGCGCAATCCTGCCCAAAGCACCCAGTGGCAACATTATGACCACGGCGTGCAGCACCATGCCCTAACCGGCCAGTCCGTCGACAATTACGCCTGGGCTGATGATGAGGAAGACGAGGACTATGGTGACGATGATAATGAATGTGCGTGTCTTCCATCCGCCTCTCCAATGGCCTTCCTACTAACCTCTCCCAGATGCAAGTAGCAGCATTCGCGCCACCCTCGACGGCGCCGACTCCAGCTTCGACGGCTACTCTGCTGACGATTACTCTTCTGCCACTGAACAGGATGACCAATATGAATATGATTATGAGGGCAGACCGCTCGCAGCGCCTGAGCCCCCTGCACCCGCCAGCGGTGAGCCGCCCATAGTCGACGTTCCGCCGCCGCCACCACCACCACCGGCATTTCCTCCACCTGGGGACGATGGCGGCGTGTTTATCGTCCCTCCTCCGCCGCCTCCACCAGCCCCCATGCCTGGTGATGGCCCCATCCCGCCTCCTCCGCCGCCCGTGCCTATGCCTCCGCCGGGTGATGATGCATCTGTTACGGTAGTTCCCACGTCCCCATCGCTCAGCGTCAAGAGCGTGCATTTTCCAGATGACTTACGAGATCCAAAGAGCGGCGGTGCCATGCCGGTGAGAAGCAACAGGCAACGGTTGCTTCCGCCCCCGGTGCAATTGAAGATGGTGACTCCGCAACCGCAGAAGAGATTGCATGAAGGCCCTACGAAACAGGAGAGGATTGAGATGGCCAGGAAAAGGCAAGAGGAGCAGGCTCAGAAACAGAAGGAAAGGGACGAGGCTTTGGCCCAGAAAAGGGCCAAGCAAAAAGAGGTGGCCGAGCAGAAAAAGAAGAAAGAGGCCGAGCAGAAGAAGAAGAGGGCTGAAGCTGCTGCGAAGAGGAAAGAGGAGGAGAAGAAAAAGCTGGAGGCTCGCTTGAAAACGACGGCGAAGAAATCCAAGAAAGGCAAAAAGGAGGAAAAGAAGGCTGATGACGAGCCGAAAGAGGAAGATGCAGTCATAGTGGTGGATGTTGGAGGCGACGGTGCAGTTGACGATGCCGACGTTGTCGTTGTCGATGTGGGGGCCAGTCCTGACCCCCCTGCGGACTCTGAGCCAACCAGCGCTGAGACCCCAGCGCCACCCGAACCTGAGGCTCCGAGCGCTCCAGCAGACCCTGATAGTGGCCCCGTTGAGGCTGAAGTCAGCCAAAGTAACGACGCTTCACCCCCTGCTGCTGATCTTTCAGACCCACCTGGTATGTACGAGTTGCATCTTGTCAGACCATGAGTGAAACTTGTGTCATTTCAACTGAACAAGTAAACCTTATATCGTGCTACTGGTTCCTAACCAAATATAATTCGCAGCGGATCCAGCCCCGAGCGAAGAAGCAGAGGCCGGGCCTCCGGAGGTTGCAGAACCGCCAGAAATCCCCGGTGAGTATAATCCATCCACAAATGAATGACCTCAAGAGATCTTCCGTGTGCCCGCGACTAAAACTCTTTTGTCTGCTAATTATCTGCACATCACAGAACAATCAGCTTCAAACGAGGAGCCAACCGATCCTCCACCACCTCCACCGGCAGAACCAGATCCGCCGCCTCCAAGTGATGATCAGACGGAAGGCAATGATGACAACCCCGCACCCGCTGCTGCCCCTGAACCATCAAGTGAACCGGAAAAGCCAGCTGTTGAGAGTGAAGATAGTTCAGATCAACCTGCTGCGGCTGAAAGTTCAACTGAAACCGGAGACAATGGTGCCGAACCCGAGTCCTCAACAGCTCCAGACCCCTCGGAAAGTCAAGGTATCTACTAGAGTCATTCTATTACCCCATTCATTTTTCTTCATCTGCCATGGTAACCTCCTGTTGCCATCTCCGATCCCTTACTCCATATAACAGTCAAAAATCTGTGCACTAACGATGATTCAAAGAACCTCCCCCCGGGGAGGCAGAACTACCCCCTGAGCCAGCCGCTGCTGAGAACGCCGACCAAAGCGAGAAAGCCGCAGACCCAGATCAAGACCCGCCAACTGGCGATTCTGGTCCTGCAGAACCAAATGTAAATAATGTGCATGTTTTTTACGGAACATACACACGCTGACTCGCTAAATCTAATAGGAGACTGGAGAGCCGAACACGCCGGGAGATTCTAACGAAGGGCAACCACCGGCGGCTGATCCTCTGCCGCCACAATCTGAAGAGGGAGCCATGCCCACCGATAACGCTGAAGATCAAACTGCAGGGGATTCCAGCCCAGCTGAGACGCAACCTGAGGCAGAAGAGACCCCTCCGCCAGCCCCTGACCCGCCTACGGACCCGCCTGTTGATGATAGTAATGCTGCTCAAACCGACGAATCTGCAGAGGCGAATTCGAATCCACCTGCCGAGAATGCTGGAGCTGATGAGTCGACGGTGAGCAGGTCCTCCTGTCTGCTACGGCAATTGTTTGAACTGACATGTATATCCTTCGTGAAGCCGGAAGAGCAAAGCCCGCCAGCGGAAACGAGTGAACCGGGTCCGCCACCCGAGGGTGATAGTACACCACCGTCTGCTCCCGATGCGGAGGGAGATGGAGGTAAGCAGGAACCAAAAACTGACGATGACGGCGATTTCGATCCGGTAGAGCCTGACCCAGAGCAATCCAACGCAAATGACGCTTCCGCGCCTTCTGGAGACGCCGAAGTGCCACAAGATGGTGGCCCACAGAATGAGGTTGACGAGAGCAGCTCGGGCCCGGAGAAGGTCGCAGAGGCTCCTGGTGAAGCGAGTCCAGTGACCGGGGATGCAGCAGAGACGCAGGAGCCGACTGCCGATCCACCGCAGCCAAGCGGGTAAGTTCAAATAGTATTATTTCCGAAATTTGGCGTATAGAAGTTCTCGATGCACTTTGCATTCGCGATCGCTCGAGCGCAGAAAAATGCGATGGAGTGTCTAGAAAAACATCTGGCTCTTTATTGCGCGAGCAACACCCGAAGTTCTTGTGAATGTTCTTGCTAATAGACCTTGTATAGAGACGCGCCTGCCCCTGATGCTGAAGGAAGTGGCGATGGCACCGACAAAGCTAAAGGTGAAGAGGATCAGCGGAAGGAGCCTAGTGGGTGCGTATTCTCAGTATTCGACAACCCTTCGAAAGCACCTCGTGCGTTTTGACTTACCCCCAGACATTTCTTCACATCCGTAATAAGGTTGCGAATAAACTTTACAATGCCTCGTAGCAGATCACCCCTTTCCGTTTTCGCAGATAAATTTGAAATGCTGACTGCGTCCGCACAGCGCGGCACCTCCTGAGGTACCGGATCCACCAGAGAACACCGAGTACGTATTACATCCCTGCTCTGCATTTTAATACCACACGATACAGTATCAAATACTATTCGAACCCGAACTAGCTCTGCTGATAACAATAATGATTCAGTGAGCCACCACCAGTCACGGCGCCCGACGGTGACAACGCGGGTAATGAGGGCGAAAACAATCAGGGCCCTTCTGACGAGGGGTCAAGCGACCCTGCGGCTGACAAGGACACTGCTGCCGATACACCCACGCCCGCTGAAGCCCCTAAGGAAGAAGACGCATCAGCAGATCCCACCCCAAGCAATGATCCCCAGCCCGAAGCACCTGGAGAGGGCGACTCAAGCCCACCAGAGACTGGGGGCAACAATGATGTGCAGCCCAGCAGCGCTGCGGAGGGTTCGGGTGATGAACAGCAAAATGACGCCAACGACGCTCCGGCCCCGCCTGCCGCGACGCAGGCTGAGGGCTCCGAAGGGGGTAGTGAGGCGGCCAAGACATCTGAAGACCCGCCAGCTGACGCTGCGGCGTCTGGAGAACAGTCAAGTGGTGACGGCGAGAGCGCTCCGCCGAGCGACCCCGCCCCGAACGAGACCGTTGAGACCCCTGACGCGCAAGGCGAGCCTGAATCTGGCAGCGGCTCAAATGATGAGACTCAGCAGACTACGGCGCCTGCGGAAAATGACGTCGACCCAGGGCCACCGACGCAGGAGGCCGGGGATGGCGAGGAGGTGAAGGATCCCCCGAAGGACGGCGAAGCACAGGAAAGTCCTGAGGAAGAAACTGCTGCGCAGGAGGATTCTGAGCAGAAAAAGCCCGAAGCAGAGGACTCAACCGATAAAGAATCGAAAGACGAAGCTTCCCCAGCTGAAGGGACAGAAGATCAGAGCCCGAAGAACGCTGAACCCGAGCAACCTGCCGAAAGTTCTTCAGGCGATGGCGATGCGCAACAGGAATCCAGCCCGCCTGAGGGTGGTGAGAACGCAGTGGAGCCTGAGGGCGAGAAGCCCAGCGGTGAGACTGACCCGCCACCTCCTCCACCCCCAGAGGAGCCTGAGATAGCCGAGCCGCCGCCGGTATACACCGAATCCGATCAACGCATCGCGAGGGAGGTCATGCAAGAAGTAGAGGAAGAAAAGAAGCGCAAGGAAGCCGAGGAAGCCGAAGCAGCCGCGAAAGCTAAAGCAGAAGCGGAAGCGGCAGAGCAGGAGCGGGAGAAACAAGAGGCCTCGAAGCAGCAGGAGGAGCCATTGCAGTCCGAGTCTTCGGAGCAAGCGCCAGGCGCAGACGGCGCCAACGCAGTACAAGAAGGTGGCACAAACGGTGAGGATGCGACGCCGCCTGCTGATGATTCCGCTACAACTGAGCAAGGTGATACGAGTGAGACCCAGTCTGGAGAGACCCCTCCTGTTGAACCCCCGGCTCAAGGCGATGAAGAGAGCAAGCCGGACACAAATGATAATTCTGGCGGAGAGTCAACTGAGACGCCCGAAAAGTCTGATAGCAAGGCCGAAGGGGACGATTCGAGTGCTTGCAAAGATGGGCAACCAGACAGCGGAGCCGAGAACCAGGCTGAGGCGCCTGCTGAAGATAAGAAGGACGCCAAGACCGAAGTTGCAGAACCTGAGACCGCGGAAGGTGGAAGTGCTGATGATTCCAATGCCGCCCAGGATCCTCCGCCCGTTGACGAATCCCAAGACAGTCAGGATTCTAACCCAGAACCTCAAGACAACGCCACAGCCGAGGCTCCTGGCTCTGGAGATCAAAACCCTACTGATTCCGGGGACTCTGCTGTGCCGAATGAGGGCAATGGTGAGCCCACGTCTGATGGTGGGACGCAAGATCCGCCTGCTGAACAGGAATCCTCACCACCAGCCGACTCACCTGAAAGCGGTGGTGATAAGCCTAACGCTGATGTGCCATCAGCGGATCCACCGCCTCCTGAGGGCGAGGATTCCGGGGACAAAGGCGACCCGCCCGCTCCTACCGAGTCCAGCGGATCCTCTGAGGAGACAGAGAAGCCTGCGGAAAGTAACGAGCCAGCGCCGAAGGCCGCGGAGGGCGATGGTGGAGATAAACAACCGGAAAGCGACGAGCAAACTCCGCCGGTTGAGAACACTTCCGAGTCCCCAGACGCCCAGCAACCAACGGAAGGTAGCGACCAGCCCACAAAAACTCCCGAAGCTGAGGGCGGCGAAGGTCCTTCAGAAAAAGTCGAGACAGTGCCCAACTCCGACGGCTCCGAAGATGCCCAAAAGGACGCGCAGACCAGCGAAGCGCCCGCGCAAGCCGAAGACACCCAAGATCCCAAGCCTGGCGCGACGACCGAGGAACCCAGCAGCGCTCCTGTTCCAGAGGGTGAAACTGAGAATGCTGCTCCCGCTGAAGGTAATAACAGTAGCGGTGATGTCAATGAGGAGCCCCAAACAAGTGAGAGTCCACCCGAAGATAGTCAGACCTCCGATCCAGCACCTGAACCACAGGCTGCCCCTGAGGTTGCCCCTGAGGCTCCCCCAGAAGCTTCCCCAGAGGTCCCTGCTGAGGCACCTCCTGAGCCTCCGGCTGATTCGGCTGCTGAATCGACGCAAGACAGCACCGATTCGAGCGGCGCCGCCCCGCCAACCGAAGACACCCAACCCACTGATGTTTCACAGCCGGAGCAAGAAGGCAGCAACGAGGCCGAAGGCGAGGCGGCGGCGGCTGCAAAGGCAGCGGAAGGTGGGGAAGAGAAGGTCGAAGAGTCGGCCAATGCTGGCGAGGCTGTCGAGGCTCCGCCGGCTGATGTCGCGCCTCCGGCTGGCGATTCTGCGCCGGCGGACGCAGAGCAGCCTCCTCCACCACCACCTCCTCCGATTGACCCCCCTGCTCAGGAGAGTCAAGGCGTCGAAGAAAGCCCGGCTGCCGCTGAAGAGGTCCCGGCCGCTGCTGAAGAAGCCCCACCTGCCGCTGAAGAAGCCCCGCCTGCTATCGAAGAGGCCCCGCCTGTTGTTGAAGAAACCCCACCCGCTGTTGAAGAAACACCGCCTGCTACTGGAGAGGCGCCACCTATTGCTGAAGAGGCAAAGGCTGTTGTCGAAGAAGCTCCACCTGTCGCTGAAGAGGCTCCGCCCGCTGTTGAGGAATCACCGGCTGTTGCTGAAGAAGCTCCGCCCGCCGTTGAGGAGGCTCCGCCAGTTGTCGAAGAAGCTCCACCGGCTGTCGAGGAAGCTCCGGCTGCTGTCGAGGAACCTCCCGCAACCAGTGAAGAGCCTCCGGCACCACAGGAGGCCCCTGCAGTCGCTAAAGAGCCATCTCCCGTAGAAGAGGAATCCAAGCCCGCGTCCGAGGAACAAGCGCCGCTAGAAGAAGTCCCACCCATGGAACCTCCAGGGACAATAGTCGAATCATCTGCACCAAATGGCGAGCCGCAAGTATCAGCTGAAGCAGATGTTGTTCCACCGCTTGAGACGTCGGATCATAGGCGTCGTGGCTCTGTTTCGTCTCCCACCGGATACGTACGCTCAAGAGGAATGAGCGACGTCAGTGAGAGCAAAGGATCAAGTGGGAAGGACTCCTCCAGCCGAAGCAAAGAAAAGCGCAGCTCTCACGTTTACGGTGAAGTCCGCGAGCACAGAAGCAGGGAGCACAAACTGAAGCGGTCATCAGGCACCGTGTCTGACCGGGACAGGGAGAGGGATCGCAGATTATCCGCCATGGCCACCGATACCGCCGAAGATTCTGATGCAAGAAGGGAGCGGCGCCGGAAGGAGCGGCGTAGACGGGAGCGGGAGAAAGAAAGGGAACAAGAAAGGGAACGGGAGGTCAAAGAGGAAGAAGATCGACAAAAGCGGCACGAAGAACGGAAGGCAGCCAAACAGGCCGAAGACGAACGTCAGAAGCAGAAGGACGAGGAGCGAAGGCGGAAGCGGCGCGCAGAGAAAGAGGCCGAGATCGCCCGTTTGGCAGAAGAAAAGGTCCGGAAACAGGAAGACATGGAGGATGAAGCCCGCCGCCAACGCCGCAAAGAGCGTCGGCATAGGGAGAGGCACTCAACTGCCGTAGAAAGGGACGACTTACCTACCCCTGATGTTTTGCCGTCGCCAACCATGGAGGCTAAGGAACTTCGAGGCGAACTTCCGCCAGCTGCTCCGCGACGCCGCAACACGGAAACCAACGCTCGCGCTACCAGTCCTAAACGCCTGAGTACGGGGTTCATGGGCTTCTTTAGCCGTTCCAATACGACTCCCATCATCCCCAAGGATAGAGACCGTGTCACTCAGCCACGCGACAAAGGTAAGGAACGCGAGCGCGAGTCTGCTCACCGTTCGTCGCGCCGCAATCACGATCGCACCCCAAGCGAAGAAGAGCAGCGCCGCCGTCGCAAGGAACGCCGAGATTATCCTCCGATGCCTCCACCTATACCCTCCGAGGAGCGTATACGACTTGGGGACATTGCAGACGCCGACGAAATCTCCAATTCGAACGAGACCGGAACAGCCACTCCGCCGCAGTTCATCCCCGAGGCCATGCCGTCTCCCGTCAACGAGCTGCCGGAACGCATGATTGATGATAGCATGTTCGAATATCTCCGGGCTACCGAGGATGGCGGCACCGGTGGCAGCATGGACGAGGGCAAGGCGGAGAGTGGCAATGCCGCTGGCGCTGTCAGAGGTGATGGGGAAGGCACCAACAGCAACAGTGGTATGTCGAGTGAGCGCAGGAAGAAACATTCCTCACGGAGGGATTCGCACGTACTTGAGCCTCATCGCCACCACCATCATCGCAGTAGCAGGAGAGATGTCAAGATGCAGAATTCAGTCCCGAGCAGCTACGAGGCTCTACCTCGACCGCCACTCACGACGTCGTCGCCGGTAGATGAGAGGGCAGACAGCGATAGGAGTCGGCGACGTCAAGGGGAGCGGGAGCATCGGAGCGGCAGGACCCGAGAGGAGAAAGACAGGGACAGGGATAGAGACAGAGAGCGAGAGCGGGATCGGGATCGGGACCGGGACCGCAACCGGGAGCGTGAACGTGAACGAGAGCGGAAGGCGAAGGACAGTGATGAGAAGCGCGGTGAGCAGAGAAGAAGGAAGGATAGCGCGGCTGTCGATCCTGCAGCAGCTGCTGCTGCTGGAACGAGAGAGCGCAGGAGGGACGATAGAGAGAGAGGTGAGCAGCGGGAGCGGAGCGAGCGCCATCGACAACACGGAAGTGGCAGCGGTAAGTCGTCCAAGGATAAGGAGCGGCCGAAGGACGATCCAGGGAAAGGTGGGCTGCTTGGGTCCCTGCGAAAGCTGGTGAAGACTTGATGAGAGATTGCTTCTTCTGTGAAATTCTCTGTCCGCAATATCGGTAGTTGTCGGTACCGTCGTTCTTTCGTTATTGGGCTGTTACTCTGGTGAGTTTGGCTTCTTTGTGAGGTAGGCAATTTCCTTCAAGCGCAACAACACTTGTTCTTTTTGGTCGGCTACAGTATTTCGGTCATCTTCTACTTGTTCTCTTATTTTCTAGATGGAAACTGCGAAGATTTGGAAAGGGTGGCTACGTCTTGTGGCACATGTGGGATATTTGTTTTCGGTCGTGCATATTGACAGTACAGATTTGTAGCGGTATCATCTTCTTCCACTCTAGTATTATTATGAATTGATGAAGAATATATTATTCCTATCTTATGATCCAGATGGGATGGGTGGAGTGTGCGATGTGCAAGACCCTGAGCCGGTCCTAACGAGTGTGAACCATGGTTCAGTTGATGCCAAACTGATGAATGAGAGGCCATGGGAATAGCCGACGGGAGTGGGCCGGAACTGTACCGTGGTTCTCTTGGTCGTTCGTTTCTGTCGATGACGTAGGGTTTTGACAGTGCGCGACGTTTATGCTGACCTGTGCCTTTTGCTCATGTCATGGGTAGATGAGGCTATCGTCCGGACGAGAATGTGGAATTAAAAATTCTACATACACGTCCGGACGATAGCCTCAGCTACCCACAAATGTTCTTTTTCTAAGGGGTGTAGTTACGCCATGTTCTAGAACCCTGCTATTCTTCGCGCTAGCCTGCGGTGTGTTGAGGGTTGCAACGGGCAGGCCGTGGGTCGTTGCTTCCCCGCACATCACCCTCGGCAGTGCGCCAATCACCTACATCGGTAACTCGTGATATTCGCCAATACATGCTGCTTATGGAGTCAGCCATCACGCGGTCATCCATTAGCGTCGCACTAGAGTTCTTATTGCTGATATAGAGAGATTGAGCCTTTCGATTGGCTACGGAGGGTGAGACATGGCTTTTTCGTGTAAGTCATCTATACATGCCGTTAGTGCTGCAAGTGAGACAGTAAGCGGACTGGGATGTGACTCCTCAACAGCGCCGAATAGCGGAGAGAGAAACGAACGAATCGGATGTATTACAAAGGGTGGGGTGATTGATAGGAAGTGTTGCATAAGAGCTGCGCCTGCGCGATAAATATAGTATTGTGAAATGACACAAGCCTAATCTCGCATTACAGCTGCAGCGAGGATGTATGATGAGCTAAATCAATGTAGCAGCCTGGAGCAAGGCTGTGTATGTAACCAAAAAAAAAAAAGCATGTTGCATTTGAAAAAAGAGGGGTAAAGGGGGAAGGGGGGAAACGGTAGGAGCGCAAATATCGTTTCTCGCGAGGCTGAATGCTGCACAAGCCTTCATTTCCTAGCCCAGCCTTTTCACTAGATTCGAGCTAAGTCTTCACAGTAAAGAATAACAGCCCGGATACAAGTCTAAGAACGTTTATGCCCGCGGAAAATATTACCAAGGATCACTTAAGATGTTGAAGGAGGCGCCCTTCTTAAAATTTGTGAGAGAAGTGCACTTCATTTTGAATGAATAGACATCCGGTTTCGGACACAATATATACTTATAGAAATCACAGATAAAAATTGGAAAAGAAAATGAAAAGAAAAGAAAAATATATACATCACGTTTTCACTCGTCCATGCCCGACACTTCCACCGAAGCATATACTCACAGGCCGCAAATGCCGGTCCCAACAAGGTTGGCCCGCGGATAGTAAATCCTCGGCAAGCCGTTAGCCATGGGAACTGTAACGGTATTGCTGCTAGTGACGGTGACGGTCGCGCAGGTCAAAATCTCAACGACCTGGGTCCCGCTCGACCAGCCCGTGTTGCCGAGGTTGAGCGTGTAGCCGTCGCCATTGGCGCCCTTGTTGCTGAGCACGGTGATGATCTGGTTGCCGTCGAAGCCCTTGCGCATGGCGATGGTGGTGCCGTCGCTGTAGATGACCCAGTTCTGGTAGGTCAGGTAGTTGGCGTCGTCGGCGATGGCCTGGTTGCGGATCTGGTTGACGGATGCGATGAACTTGTACAGCTCGGCGTCAGTGTTGTAGCCCGAGAGCCAGGTGGCCTCGCGGTTGTCTGGATCCTCGGCGCCGGCGTAGTGCTGCTCCTGCCCGGCGTAGATGATGGGGATGCCGTCGGCGAGGATGTTGAACGCGAGCACGTTCTTCGCCTGCGAGAAGTCGGACGTGATGGCCGCGAAGCGCGTGATGTCGTGGTTCTCGGTGAAGGTGCCGAGCAAGGTGGTATCCTTGCAGCCGGACTTGAGGGTGTTGATCATGTTCACTAGGTCGGAAATGGATCCGCTCGACGAAGTGAAGGCCCGAGTCAGGGGGTAGTAACTGGACTGGAAGTTAGTACCGAAACCTGGAAGATCAGGATGTAACATACATGGGATAGTTGAGAACACTGTCCATGTAGTTTTGGTAGTCGCAGGTGTACGATGGGTTTCCATCAAAGACTTCTCCAGTGGAGAAGACACCGGCAGCATTCTGGAAGCCAGGGTAGAAAGCTTTGTCGACATGCTTGGCAGTGTCGATGCGCAGGCCATCAACTGATTACACATGTGAGTAGGGCATCCGCCATTAAACTTTTAGATAACTCACTGGAGTAGTTTGAAACAAGCTGAGAGATCCATGTCTCATACCCTTGCACCACCCGAGAGTCCTCTGTATTGAGGTCCACGAGTTGAACAGTGTTGTCCCCAAGCCAGCAGTCTTCAACGCTGTCTTGGGAATTGTAGTTCACAGTGCAGTAGGAATGGTAGTAGTCCTGAGAGTTGAACGGATTGAACCGGCTGTAGTCCACAGAGCTTGCTGAGCCCGCCCAGCCATTGTGGTTGACGACCACGTCGACCATCAGGTACTAGGGGTTTGTGTCAACATAATGCGCTAGGGAATTCCGGGTTCAAAAAAAGAAAAAAGAAGGTAAAAGAAAGGAGACTGCAGCAGAATCAGACATACCATTCCACGATCATGCAACTCGGCTGCGAGGTTCTTGAGATCATCGGCAGTCCCGAAATTGGAGTTCAAACTGTACAGGTCCTGCTGCCAGTAGCCATGGTAGGCTTCACCATAGCCGGTGTCTTCGGGCAAGTTCTCGACGACGGGCGAAATCCAAATCTACAAGGGTTAGGTAGTGATTACACAAGGCGACTGAGTAGGCTTACGGCCGTGAAGCCCATGCCCTGGATATAGTCCAGCTTGTTGATGATTCCCTGATAGCTGTACTTTTTGTGAGACGCAAGGCAACACGCAGAGTGCAGGACGCTTACGTTCCACCGCAGTACACCCTGTCCTGGGTGTTGCAGGTGGCAGTGGTGCTGCCATCGGTACGAGCAAACCTGCCAAACCCAGTAAGTCGACCTCGCGTTACACACAGATGGGCCGGGCCGTGGCGAATACGAACCTATCAGTGAGGACCTGGTAGATGGAGTGGGAACGCCATTGGGCGGGAGTAGCCGCACGGACACTACGGCACATGGCCGCAGCAGCGGCGAGGGCGTACAGGGATGCCTTCATCTTGGAGAATATCTTGGAGAATAGAGCAACAAACAGGCAGAGCTCAAGGCTTAAGAGAATGAGGTCTGCAGCGTAAATAGGAGAGAGCTGAGAATAGTGCTGACACCAACACCGGATGACAAGCGAGGGATGGTCCACGCGCAGGATTGAGCAGGCTCAGTGCGCAGATGATGCGTGTTGGTATGTCTCACTGTTGGCATATTTTTCTCTTTTATATTATGAGGTTTTCGTTACACAGCAAATCACGAGGCGGTCACAGCAGTTGCGGTGCAGGCGAAGTCGCTCTGCCATGACGCCCATCAGGCAGCCCGCAATATTGTGTGGAATGAAGTTGACTGCGAGGCCCGACATCCGACCAACCAGCAGGTGGTGAACGAGGTTGACATGGGGGCCGCGCGCGCTTCGTCGGCGGACCCGGCGGGCGGGCGGGTTGTGTTGGAGTTGCTCCTGGGCCATCTCGGTGCCGAGCCCAAAAAGGCAGCTGGCGATGGGTTGTGCCGACAGGATTTTCGTTAAATGGGCAGGCGATGTGGACAGGGTGTTGGTGACGGCGATTGGGTGAGCGTCTTGTGATCGGCCGTTTCAAGTTTAGGCTCGCCCAATCCTGGCGCCACTCCTATAAGCGGCTTCAGGCACTCCTCCAAAACAATCGAGAGACTGCGGGGCTTCTAGAAGTTCTAATTGCATTTCCACCTGCAAGGAACGCCTACCCCGCCGGCACACTACCCTAACGAGCATCGCGGCTCAATACTCGTTTCACCCGGCCTAATCCTGTTTAAATCAGCCGCCGCCCGGCATTTACACAACATATATGCCGTGTTATTGATGGGCCTCAATTTATGCGGGCGCCTCTGGAATCGACTGACTCAAGAACATAGGCTCCGGCCGCCCAAGAAAAGAGAAGAGATCAAAACCGCAGACATGTCAATCGCATGTGACTGGCCCGGCTATCAACCCTGGTCTACCCACCTCCTCTCCTCCCACAATACCGGGACGGGCACACGTAACCGCGAACAGAAGAGACGGAAAAAAGAAACAGCAAGCACGTCACCCGAAAGAAACGACCGCCAGCAATGCCGAGAAAGAAACGCTCCGACATCGAGCCCATCGGAACCATTCCCCACGCCCCTGATCATCACAGCTACCCTCGATTTTGTCCTCTGCCGCCCCTCCTCTTCGGAATGTCCTGCAGATGAAAATTCCTCAGGTGTTCCGTCAGATGATCCTTCCTCGTAAACCCGTTCTCTCCTTTCCTCGGACAACTTCGTTTCACGCAATCGAATTTTCCCTGATCTCCTCGGTGGTGTACAGTGCTCATGTGCCTCATGAGATCTGCGTGCCGCTTGAATCCTCTTCTTTCCGCACACTCGGGCTGTCTGCACCTCCACTTGCGCTCTGGGTCATGGGGCGTGTCTGTTCCCGACGGTGAGGCCGGTTCTTGCCCCTCAGACCGTGAGCCGTCGGAGCTTTCTTCCTCTTCGTCTCCTGCGTCCAGCCCGTAATTCGGGCTCAGCATTGCCGATTCGGTATTTTGGAAAGTATATGCGGAGCCTTCCGAATATCCACTTGCACTTGTCGAGCGCAAAAGGCCTTCCTGTTGGTTATCAAGTGGTGCATGAATCCTCACCAATGGCGCGCGGCTTGGATGGGAAGACTCCCCATACGATCCCTGTGTTTGCTGTGGATATTTCAACGTCGATCCACTTGTATATCTATACCTTGGGTGACCTGAACGACCGGTCATGTCGGGCTGTTGGTAACCAGACACTTCTGTTCCCATGGCCAATTCGGATCCATAATGGCCGCCAGAAGCTTCGGCATCCTGGAACTGGTATCCAGAGACGTCTCCATGCACAGCCTGATCGGTGCCCTCGAAGAACCCCTCTGCCATCCCGGCCATGGGGTATGCGGTGCGGTGCATATTCCATGCATGGTTTTCATCTTGGTAAGTGTTTGTGCCCCGCGACCACTGCCTCGAATCCGTTGCCGGGTCGGCATAAGATGCGTCATAGTACGCGTGCTGTTGCCCCTCTTGTAGGCTTGGAAAAGCAGAGTAGCTACCCGGGCTATATTGGTTGACTTGCCTATAGTGCATGTCCACCAGACTGCTGCTGTTATCGTCCGTCGATGACGGATAGGAGGCGTCTTCATAGCTCTAAAGCAGAAACGTTAGATAAATTTATGTCAAAGAGGGAGGCGTGCTATACCTCTTCTCGCGGTGCATTAAATTGCGACATAGTGGAACGAGAATGTGAGGCTTTTGGTCTCGAAATTCTAGTCTAGCGATTTTGGGGTCTAGATCGGCGGGCGCTTGGGTCTTCATCAGCCTCATATGCAGGGTTGTCGGCGAATAGATACGTACGGATGCTCGAAAGGGCACTCCTGCAGGTAAAGTCTTCGGGAATGGGCGGCCTGACAGTATAAGCTCCAACGGGGATCTTCGCTGTTGGACCTTGCCTGGGCTGGGTGGCAAACACATATATATTAGGACATGCCCTCCTCACAATATATGCCCCCAGCGCCGTGATATCCGAATTTGCGAACTTCTTCCTTGGTTGCCTGATGATTAGAAGTCTTGAGGGTGAGGCAAACGGTGGAGTACACGATGTCGAAGGGCGATGGGAACACAATCTGTCAAATGATTGACGCGGACTGAGGCGGCGGGACGTTGCAGCTGACGATGCCTGTGAAATGGGAGGGCGACACGTAGCTGGAGATGATGGAAGTCTGCACTGCAGAGGGCGCAGCCATGGTGTAAGCGTTCTTTGACGGACTCGCTGGTGAGGCTTGGATTCGGTAGGGCGGGAAATGGTGGAGCTGCATTTGATGACTGGATTCTGGTTAATGGGAGATTTCTGGCTGTGTGACGTCTATCGAAACAGGGCGGGCGAGGCTCAGCCCCATGATCCCGACGCAGCTGAGGCTTGCAATGGGGCGGAGCGTTCCTGGAGGGATGGTGAGCGGGGCCTCTGGAACGGGCGGCAGGATTGGCAGCCGAGAGCCGGAGCAGTGTCAGTCGAATGCGGCTCTTTGTTATCGTTGCTAGGCAGCAGTGATGCACGGGGATGCACGTTGCCGAGAGTGGAAACGACCTTTCTTCAGCAGGCAGTCGCAGCGAGCTAAAAGTCTACGCGAGGCACCCTCAAGCTTGGCTCTTGCCTCGCACTCCGCGTGTTTCACTCTGCCGTCTGATCGATTGAGGACCCCGCCATTGCTTAGAATTGCCGGCGAACCTTGTCGCTCGTCTGTATCAGGCATGTCCTGCAGGCAAGCGTAAGCAGCACGCTGACTGGAGTCCGCTCGTTAGAGGCCTGCCAATACATTTGCCGACGGCTCGGGCCGTGTGGTGGAGCTCGTGTCGTGAAGGCTGAGCTCAAGGCAGAATCCAACGAAGGCGAACCAGCAGGCAAATAGGTCGCGTACAACCGGTGAGCCTTTATAGCCAGACAATGTGCTGGCCCCGCTTTTGTGGGTCGGTCGATCTGCCCCCGCCGTGCAGCCATGATGCCATCGCGGACCCAGCCTTGTCGCCTCGTTGCCTGGCTAGCTGCCAGCGTCTAACATATCAGCCAGCTTTGCCGTCAACGAGACGCTAAACCTGCATACGACCCGTGTAACCGTCGAGTCCCTTGCTTGGTCCGCCAAAGATAGACCGCTTGGTAACGTCGGAGCGCACGACGTACCCGCACTACAGGGCTGTGCATGCTGCCGTACTGCTAGCCATGACAGCGCCCCTGTTGTCGAGCAGTGATGCCGATCCTAAGGCCATGTTTCTTCACTGGCCGCCCTGCCGCTACTTTCTGCCATGTAACAGCTCACATGGCGCTGCCTTTGACTCATAGCATCAGAGAGATATGATGGTGACAACTGGGGATGTGGCTAGCCGGGAGATTGCAATATCAACCTAGTCACACAAACCTTTTGCTTCCTTTGATTGGGAGCCTTGTAGCTAACGCACCCTGTCATGCGAGGACGGTACGTGTCAATTGCGACAGCGAGGCTTACCCAATTGAAATGGGCCCGATGGGTCTTTGCCACTGAAGTGTGGACCTCTGGGTAGACGCGGCACTATGGGACCGCGCCAACATGTTCGGTTTAGCAGAAGTAATGCGTACCCGCTGTTCAGTGAAGTCAGGAGTGTATCCTGAACATGACCTGCAGGAATTGGCCACGACTCTTCCCGTCTGAACAGCAATGCCACCAACGCTGGACCGGTTCGCATGGTGCGTCGTCAGGCTGGCGGGCACGGGCCGCTCAGCCCAATGGCCAATCACATCGGCAGTGGTACGACGCAGCAACCAAAGATTGGATGGAGGCATGCAGCCCTCAATCTCATTTTCCTCAATAGTTTCGGAGACTACTACAGCAAGCATAACTTCTCGGACCGTGGTGTTGCACGGGCTCGGCCATATCAACTGCCGTTCATTGCCAGTGCCAAAGAAAAACGCAGAAAATCGCCCACGCTATCCCGTCGGAGGCGAACAAGGGCTCGAAAAAAGAGGCCGCCCGACGGGGTTCTGGTAGGACTATCCCGGAAAACAGCCATTGATAGTCGATACAATCATAAAGTGCCTCAGAGGTCATCCTCCAAGAACTTGTACGCGAACTTGAAGTCCGCTTTCCTCCGGTTCATCCTGCCACCTATTAGTATGCGATTGCCAAAGACGGACGGAAAGCTTACCAAGTGCTCTCGTAGTCGAAGAACCGGTACGTTCCTTGCTCGTAGTCTTCAGTAATGGACTTGGGCTCCTCGTGGCGCTGGAACCAGGTCTGGTATTGCTTGTGGAAGCGCCAGCTTTGAGACTTCAGAGCCTTGGCCGCCAGGTATTGCTCGTAAGTGCCTTGGCGGTAGTAGAATGCATAGAACAAGGAATCCGTATCAACACGAGAATACAACCTAGGATCATCGAAAATGGACAGCGGCTCCTGCGGGTAGTGGGCGGGCGTGTAAGGATAAGGATTCTGCGGGCGGTAATGGCGTGGCTTATCGGCATCAACAGACTCGGGATGCGAGCTGTGAGATGTCACCAGGAGACGCTCGTCAGCATGCGAGCTTAATGCGTCTTCCTTGGTGGCCTCGAACGACTCGAGAAGATCCTGCAGACTGGATGGTAGGTGATACACCGACTCCTCCTCGGCCGGTTGTGCGGGCTTGTCTCCGTTCGTCAACGGCTGCTCGACGGCTTCGGACGGCTTGGATGTCTTCGCTGGTGTCACACTACGCTTCTCCTGCGCCGGAGTCGGTGGTATGCTACTTGCTTCTGTGCTCGCCGGTGCAGCGCTGGAATGGCTGAGCGCGGGAGACTTGGCAGTGATCGGAGTTGCGCCATCCTGGCTTGCGGCTGATGTGGCGGACGGCCTTTGATTGGCTGCATGCGATGTAGCAAGTTGAGCGTGCGAGACGGCGGGGGATGATGCAGCGCTTGAGCGCAGAGCATGGTTGACATGGATGGCACCAGGTGGCGGCGGCAAAGGTGCAATGCCGACGTTGTTCCTATCGCTCGCGGCGGCGGCGGCAGCGGCTGATGCGTACTTCAAAGGCTCTCCTGGAGCTCTTGTGGGCAATGGCGCCGGCTTCATGGTACTGCCGCTGGTGCCATTTGTCGCCGCCTGTGCAGGAGTATGTAACGTCGATAGGGTTGGCAAGGGGGACTTGAGTTGGGTGGACGGTCTTCGGGCTGCGGCGGTCGATGCCTCTGGCGCCTTTGCCTTAGCAGCAGACGGGCCGGCAGTCCGTACGGGTTCTTCGTGAATGTCGTCCTGTATCGATTGTGTGTCTTGCGACGAAACCTTGTCCATGTCCTGGGTCATGCCGTACAGGTCCTCGCCTTCTGCGAGGTTCAGGTCGTCGTAAAGCGAGTCGTCCTCCATAAAGTCCACCTCTTGGTTGTTTTCCACGTAATAACGGATGCTCTCCTCCAGGTCCTTGACCTGTTCAACCTCGACGCCGTCGTTCTCCAACGAACGCCGCACCAATTCAAGCTTGCTTATATGCCATTGGTGTCGTTCGGCCATGCGCTCGAGCTCGGCTATTCTTTCTGCCTTGGCGTTGTCCTTCTTGCCCTTCTTCAGACCGGCTTGTAGGGTGGCGGCCTCCGCTTCGGTCGTCTCGACTTGGCGCTCCAGCTCCTCGACCATATTCGATAGGAAGTCGCAGACCTCGACCTTCTCCTTCTCCTTCGGATCGAGCTTAGATGCGGCAGAGAGGCCTTCTTTGGAGTATGCCTTCGTCTTCATCTCCTTCTCCACTGCCTTGAACTTCTCCATTTGCTGTGTGCACGTTAGCAGCGCTGCGTGTTGCTCAGCCGGCGGCGGGGATCGGGCGACCGGCGTGCCGAACACATACCGTCTCGATCAGCTTGCGCTGGTCGAGCAGCGGCTTCTTATCCTTGATTTCATTGGATGCTGCCCAGGCCTTGATCTGGTCTCGCGAGCGTTGCAGCTTCTTGATCTCCTTCTTGAGTGCATCCTCAAGCTTCTCCTTCTGTGCGGGGTTGGTGGATTGTTGCAGCTTCTCGTAGATGCCCTCAAATGCGGCGACGCCTTCCGCGACCTTCTTAAAGCATCGGTCGATCTCTTGGGCGAGTTTGCGCGCAGCCATGGTGTCTCGTAGATAGCCTCGCCGGGGCGGGTGCGGTGCGGTGCGGGCGGCGCGGTGCGAGGGAGTGCCGGGGGGTGGAGCCTCGAGCGGACGGGGAAGGATGTGGAGAAGTCGGGGAGCGTGCGCGCGAAAGCGGAGGGCGCGAGGCTGCGAGATGGTGTCTGGAGCTGGGAGCAAACGACCGGGCGTAGCTGGTCGGGTCGGCGTTGTAGCGGCCCCCACGTGACCGGGCGCTTTCCGCCCGCCGCCCTTGAGAACCCCGGCCCCGGCGCGCAGCCCAGACCATCCACGCCTCACGCCCTCTCTGCTGCGCGCCCTCCTGCGCCCTTTGCGACGCCTGCTACTGGTCCCACTGCGCGCTTGTCTGGCGGCTCGCCCGCTGCATTGCTTTGCAGCCTCGGCTTGCGACCTGTCACACGCCGTACAAACCAACACAATGAAAGGTAGCCTTCCGAGCGGCAAACTCACGAGAATCCGTGCTGAAATGGCGTAGCCGTGCTGCAACGCGTCAAGTCGGCGTCGGTGACGGTCGACGGCAACCTCATCTCCAGCATCGGCAAGGGCGTCCTCGTCTTCGTGGGCGTCGGCAAAGAAGACACGCCGACTGAAGCCGAAAAGATGGCTGGCAAAGTGCTCTCCATGCAGCTGTGGGACGACGACCAGGGCGGCAAGGTATCCCTCGCCCCGGCCCGCGCCAAGTTTCACTTTTTTGATGACCCGCGCAGTGGAAACGGAACGTGAAGGACGTCGGGGGCGAAGTCCTGTGTGGTGAGCCCGCTAGCCCCCTGAGCCTTTGGCGAGCGGCTCGCTAAGTACCACTCGTGCAGTCTCACAGTTCACCCTGCTCGCATCCACCAAAAAGGGAAAGAAACCAAGTTTCCACAGATCGGCCCCCGAGCAGCTGGCTCGCGATCTGTACTCTTCCTTCTTCAAGAAAACCAAAGAGCTCTACCAAGAAGACAGAGTCAAAGACGGCATCTTCCAGGCCATGATGGACGTTGCGCTTGTGAATGATGGTCCGGTAGGTTTGGATTACCGTTGCGAAGATGAAGCGGTAAATCTTCCGCCGTTCTTATTGCTCCTGTCCCGCGCGCCTGACAAGCCGTGGCTGATTCCTCTGGTTTAGGTGACCATTGAGATTGACATGGACCCCCCGAAGATGGATATCCCTGGCGTTTCTGGCATGGATGCCGATAAGGTCAAGCTCGAGGATCTCATGACGAAGATTGGCCGCATCCAAAAGGAGTTCAATATCCCAGCTGAACTGCTTCAGTAGTGCACTCCCAGCTGTCCAACCCGCGCGCCTGCACCTCAGGTGACCACGAATTACGTACACTATTATTGCAAGCTGTTAGCCCAGCACAAGGCCTTTCGGTATGCAACACAATTCTCATAAACTCGTAGAAACTGCAAACCATCTACTCTTCGCCACGATGCCGGCTTGTGCAAAATCCTGAAGGAAAACGAGAAGGCCGTTCGCAGAAGATCAGCGGCAGATCAACGGAATGCATGGCTACTGCATCCCTGCATCGTTAGCCTCCTTCTGCTGAAAATGGTGCGTCTGCGGCTGCAAGCATCAAAGAAATAGTCCACGGCCAGGCTCCGAGACCGATTCTCAGGCACATCTTGGACCACGTGGCGCAGCTATCTCCCTCACCTGATCTCTAAAGTGGTGCCCAAAGACAACCATGCAGGCAGCCGCCGAGTCCTCCATCAATGAAGGACAGTAGCCACTGTATCACGTCTTGTGGCTCATGCAACACTTACCAGAAGGCGTGGCGTCGTATGCAGCCAGAGGCCTTGAACAGCAATACAGCACGTACATATCAGCCGAAAACTTCAGCATGTACGTACAAGATCCTTCACTTGTCAACCTTATGATACGGTACTTTCCCTGGAATATGTACCAGTTGTGTCGCACTTCACATCACAGCTTGAGACGATTTATGTGATGTACCCATCGCCGTCGTAATTGCATTAGTCTATCACAATGTTTGTGGTTGGTCGTAGACGCAACATCATCTTCTTGGAGCTGACCACACGGCGCTGCCAAGACAAGAGGCTAGAGGATGTCGGGATGGACGAACCGGCCGAAGATGCCTAGGCAGGAAACGAAGACCATTCGCGCTGTTACACCGGGTTCTTGAATAGGCTAGCGCAGGGTTTCAGCCTAGGTTGAACCTCTGTCCGTTGACATGCTTTAGGATCATTGAGAAAGCGGTGAACTATCCAGAGCATAGCACAATGCTCTGGCGCGATTGATATCGCAACTTCTGCGGCGTTTGTCCCCCCCGGCTTGTGCTGTCTGTAGCGCCAATAGGGTTGTACGAACCAACTCAACAATGGTGCACGGCGGTAAAGGCTCTTCAGATTTGCATCGAGCAACTGCAAAGCAGGCCACGTGTTAACAATACATGCGTACGTTGAATTAAAAGAGACCACACCCTGTTATTCCATGCATCCGATTACCACAGCATAAGCAAATTTCGTCCCCCCTACCAAGGCCAGAGAGTACCTGGAAAACGCACTGTACACCGGCCTTTCCCCGCGCAGTATATGACCATGGTCTTGCAAACGGCCTTAAAGTCAACGATTCCACTGCGCACTGGTTTGGCAAGTTTGAGCGGCTTACTGCTGTGGCCCGGTCTGTTCGAGACTTCCAGCATTCCAGTGTCCCGGGTTCTGTCCGGCTGACTCCCCGTGGCTGATCCGACGAGAAACCTTGATTGGATGCCGATCTAGCGGATGTTCAGCTCGATCATCGAGGCTTCCATTTCCCGCCAGTCGGCAAAGGTTGTGTCCCAGTACGCTGTCGCCCTAATTCTGACTGGTCCGCAAGCCCCAGAGGGTAATTCCAGGTCCATACTACGCTCCTCTGCTATAAGAAGTCAAATGTTCGCCTCGTGCCCAACTGTCAATCATCGAATAGGTTTCTTTATGCCTTGAGGCCTTGCTTCCCTTTTCGCACTCTAACTGTCCGACGCACCTGACCTAAATACACCTCGCTTGGAAGCAGCGGTCACAATGTCAAGTTCTTGGCCAACCGCAGCACGCTCCACGGAATCAGCGCCGCCTCCGGCCCAGCATGTTTGTATTGGTGGCTTGGCCATCTCGACATGTCCCAGGTGTGCCGGGCATCCACAAGGGTGAGTGATGCCATTAAATGTCGAAATCAGCTCACCAAACTCTCTTCAGGTATCGCAACCCAATCTGCCAACAGTGCAAAGGCTGCGGTGTCGTTACTGAGACTTGTCGCCAGTGCCTCCTGAACAATGCAGGTACTTCGTCGACAAGTACATCTCAAATGACGTCACCGGCAACGTCCTGCAGCGGGCCAGGCTATGGAGGCGGGTTCTCCAACTTCTACGGACAGAGTGTAGACGAGGAAGATCAGCCCGAGGACCAGGGTCGTCGGAGGAGCGACGCCGACGGCAAGGATCAGGCGTCCTGACACAATTGTGTCACAGTGGAAGTCACTTTCCTATTCGGTGTTCTTCAGTGTTTTTCGGCGCAATGTTGGGAGAAGACAAGATTGATACCCAGAAGGCTTCCCACATAATCACTGATATGACGCTGTCGCCTATGGAAAGTGCTGATTGTGTGTTGACGCTGGTTACGAAAGCACTCCAGAGGACGGAGACGGCCGTCAGCCTCTGTGCTACGGGCCCCAACTAACGGCCACGCCGGACCAGCAACCAGAGCCAATGGCTCAGCTGTACACACCGCTTCATTCGCCAGTCTTTGCTTTGCAGCCTCAGCATCCCCCGCATCTCACTGGATGTCGATAACCGAACAAGAACCCGACGCCGATATAAGCGTGACTTTTCCTCTAAGCGCCCCTTCAAAACGTCTCACGTACCAGGATGCGCGCACCGGGGGTGTAACTCGACCAAGTCCGTTCGTCCCAACGCCACAGCCTGCTGCACGCGAGTTCCACGCATAAGCCCAGCCATGCGGATAAGCCGGTGAGCCACGCCCGGGCTCACCAAGCTGCGCAGGTCCACGCGTACTGCTTCAATACATGAAGCAAGGAGTGGATATTCGTGCATCTGCAGGAACCCGAATGGGGTAACTGGGGTTGGAAGACAGCGCCACTAGAACAAGCGAAAGAATGCACGCGCTTCAGAACGAATTCGCAGACATCGGCCCAGCATCAGCAAAGACGAAAAGTCACTCAGTCGCACGCAACAACGCACGTACGCAAAGGCCCAGTGCATGCTGGTCCTCATGCATACTACCTCACCCATCGCACAGCATAAGGGAAAGTTCAAGAGCAAGAGTCCAACGCCTTGGCCTTGAACCTTAAAGCGCGCACATGACGACAGCCCGTACAACGCGGCCCCTCCCAGAGATGGAGCACAATTACCGGTACCAGACCGAGGACCTTTCCATTCCGCCGTAGCAATGCCCTTGAACCTCTCACGACAGCGACATGCATCCGCGCCGCACTATCGGGGCAGAGGGACGCCGGCGGTTGCGGCCCTGTGCCATGACTTGTGCCTCACTCGTGCCTCTGCATGTCCTTCAACCTGTGCAGCTATCGTGAGAGTTGTGCTGCCATGGTGCTTCGGTGGCGAACCGCCGGAGCGGCTTTCACCATCGCCCAGCGCCGGGAAAGGTGTTCGCTCGCCGTTACACGACGATGGCTACGCTCTCGGTAGGAAGACCCGCATTAGGGTTGGTCAGCAGCAGGACAAGCTTGCTCCATCTCCTTCTCTTTCTCTGCCTTCTAGTCCCGAGTACTGCCACGCAACGTCCGCGGGCTCCTGCGCGGTTCCCCCTCCCCATCCCACACCGCATTCCCACTGCTACCCACCACCCCGCCCTCTTCCACTCTTCTGCAACGCTAACTTCCCGCATGTCCTCGTCTTCCCCTGCATCATACAGCAGCTCCCTGCGTTCAGCTCGGAGATCAACAAGAGGTAAGCCTGCCAAGTCCTGTCACAGGCGCACTTAAGCATCGAAAATCCAAAGAGGAAGTAGCTAACGAACACCGCCGCCGCGGCGATCGGGAACTCTCCCCTCACATGCTCCACCTCGCTAATCGTCATCTTCCACCACAAATCAATGGTCAGCATAACTCTTAGCCTCGACACCCCGTCGGTGCAAAACAGCCAATGTGACTTCCTCCGTGCGTCATCGAGCATAAAAGGTAGCTGAAAGGCTCCCTACAAAAGCCATTCACGCTAACATTGCTTACCACTAGTAGCACCACGTCACTCCAGCGATCGCCGTCGCCATCTTCTCTTCCCGCGTGCATGGCCTCGTGTGCAGATCGATGTCCACGGCAGCAGCGGGAAGCGTGATCTTCTCCCCGTTTCTGCGTAACCCTAAGTTCGCTCAGCCTTGCAGCAGGCAGCAAGCACAGCAGGCTGGCCAGCTAGGGGATGGGGAGGCTGGCCCGACCAGGGCATCCGACTGGGGTGGAGAGCAATCGGAAGCAAGCAGGAAAAGGCAAGACGAAAATAGGTTTCACGGATGGGTGGTAAGTAGCCTTCCGCAGTCAGTCTGCTACCGTAATGGGGGAAAGATTTGCACGGCATGCTACCGAAAAGTACGACTCGCTGGGATCGCATATGCGAGCGAAACCCTTTTATCATGTCCCGGGAGGCAGGGAGGACGGAAGAGTTGTGAACGTCTTCAAAATCAACATTTGGTATTTCCGCGCTTCTTACTACTGTGGAGAAAAATAGAATGCCTTCGGTCATTCGACCCATCAAACGCGTTTTTAGCTCCTGCACCTAAAATGCAAGTTGGAGGTAAGCTGAACTGCACCTTGTTCAGAAGAGGAATCTGCCAATGAAACGCCGCCGCAATGCAAGCCAAAATCAGTAAACTTAGCCTCCGAATCCCCACCGCATGACTCCGTTGTCGCCACCACCACCCTTTCATCTACCAGCTGTAGAGTCCCTCGAACGCGTCGCCCTTCCTTCCCACATCCTCTTGGGCCAGGTTCAGCTTCCGGACGACCTTGAAGCTACCCGTGCCGATGCCCATGCTTTGGCCGAGGATAATGCATTCCGACACACCTTGCACACCGTCACTCTTGCCACGATAACCGGCCTCAAAGAGATGGTCGGGTGTCTTCTCGAACGAGGCAAGCTGCAAGACAGAATCGCGCATCTTGGCCAGACCGAAACGCGTGATACCCAGAATGTCGCCCTTGTAGGTCATGACATCGGCGAGCAGCTGCATGTGTCGCGGATCGATGTCCATGGAACCCATGACGGACGCGATTTCCTTGATGATGGTCGAGCGTGCAGCCTCGATACCTAGGACAGCGAAACACTCGAGCACCGAGTTGGTGTAGGTGTGCGTGCCCTTCACACCAGGAGTTGCCATGATGAGTCTCAGGCCGTAACCTTCAACCAGAAGTGATACGTCCTCTTGCTCATTGTCCTCCTTCTTAATGATGGCACGGGTGGCCTCCGGATAACCCTTGATAGCGATTTCCGGAATAGCGCGCTTCAAGAGTTGGATGCGGGCGAAGTAGGCATCATCTGTCGCATTCTTGGCCTTTGAGGCTGCCGAGCGGGTTGCGGCAGCCTTCTTTTGCTTATCGCTTTGAGGATCGCTCAGATCAGGGACGTAAATGCGCAGATGGTTGTTGAAGAACTCGACCCTGCCACCATCCGCGCCGATCTTGAGCTTTGGTGCCTTGAGAATGGCAAGCTCCAAGTCGTTTCGGGTGAGCTCCAAACCAAGAGAATTGACAGTATCCCAGTCGATGCGCATGTTGAGGTAGTTACCATCGTCGTACCAGACATCTTCGATGTATCGAGTGATGTCTTTCAGGTACGTCTTCTCGATACGGGCCTTGACCAGACGAGCCGCACGCACGTCGTGCTTATTTTCCAACTCGCATGTGATAATAGGAGTACTGATGACCTTGGAAGCGTTGATAATTTCCTTGATACGCGGGACACCCTGTGTGATACTCATACCAGCGACACCAGCAAAGTGGAAAGTCTTGAGCGTCATCTGCGTTCCAGGTTCACCAATAGACTGGGCACCAACGGCACCAACAGCGTGGCCAGGCTGGACATGCGACTGAGCATGCTTGGTGAGGCAAAGGTCCAGGAAGTAGTCCAAGCAGCGACCTGAGATCTTAGAAACTCCATCGACAATGTTGGAAAATCCCACATCATCTGCAACGGCCTCTCCTTTTTGCCTGTTGTCTTCTTGTACCTCAACGAAGCGAGTCGTTAGTCTTTCCAGATCGTTCGCTTTGCCAAAAATGAAACCTTGAACTTCATCGTAGAAGTTACGCTTCGACTCCTTTTGGTCAACGAACTCGAGGTTATCTTCAATGAACTGCAACTCTTTGCCTGTTTCAGAGTATCGCTGGATCTCCCTTCGCTTGGCGTCAAGACGTGCTTTGGCGATATCGCGAATCTCCTCAGGCAGCAACCCACGCTCCTCATTATCCCAGGTGGTGGTTCTGGCATGGTCGAAAGAGCGAACGAAATTCACAGGCTTAGCCTTACCCTCCATGTCCACGGGGTCCAAGTTATCATCACCGTACCGGAATTGCACAATTTGCGAGGCGGAGTTCCTGACCGTATCGTCATACTGGGCGGAAAGATCTTCCAAGGACTTCATGAGACGACGTGACATGTATCCGGTTTCTGCAGTCTTGACTGCAGTATCAACCAGACCTTCACGACCAGACATGGCGTGGAAGATGAACTCGTAGGGAGTCAGACCCGAGTAGAAGCTGTTCGCCACAAAACCTTTGGCATCGGGCAGGCGGCCGCCTTTTGCGAAATGTGGAAGGGTACGATCCTGGAAACCATCTTGCACACGTGCACCGCCGATAATTTGCTGTCCGACACAAGCAACCATCTGGGCGACGTTGATGTTGGAGCCTTTGGAACCACACTTTGCCATGATAAGAGGCGAATTCCACTGGGTGAGTTCCGAAAAGCAAATGTCACCTGCTTCGCCACGGACTTTATTGAGGACACCGGAAATTTTGTTCTCCATTGTCAGTTCCTCGTCGCAGCCGGCGTCGCGCTCCAATTTTCCAGTATTGTACAGGTCGACGATCTTCTTGGCCTCAACGTAAGCGTCCTGGATGAGTTTTGTCTTTCTTTCAACGAGCTTCCTGCCAGGCGTGACATCGCTAACGCCAATGGAGAAACCGCGATTCGTCAACCAACGTGCCGATAGCTTCGCCAGACGGTTCATAGCCTGGACAGCATAGTCGGGACCGAAGTCACGCATCATGACATAGAACACAGAGTCTTTCTTGCCGTCACCAACCGTTGACTTGTCCATGACACCACACATGACCTCTGAGTTCCGGACAACGAGCCACGCGTCATCTTCGTTAAGGTCCTTCATCTTGCCCTTGTATTGCTTGCATGCAGCGTCGAGGTTTACAAGCACCTTGGACTCCTTGTATGGGCGCATGAGAACATTCCAAACTTGCTTTCCAGTCCAGAGCATTTGAGGCTTGAGGATCACGGGAGGAGGAAGATCGATTTTATGGTACTTGCCCGTTTCCGGATCCCTTACGGAGTCACCGTTGAACATGTAGCTGCACATCAGGGCGAATGTCTTCCGGTCCAAGAACAAATCCTTTCTCGTAGTCAGGAAAGCGCAGGTGATGAAATCCTGAATGGCTGCGATGATGGGGGTTCCGTTCTTCGGTGTGGCCAAATTGTTCTTTACACCCATCAGCTCGATGGCTTCTGTGCGGGCTTCTTCGGTCTGTGGAACGTGCAAGTTCATTTCGTCTCCGTCGAAATCGGCATTGTACGGGTTGCAGACACACTCGTTCAGACGGAATGTTCTCCAAGGTCGAACTTTGGCTTTGTGGCTGAGAATACTGAGCTTGTGAAGCGAGGGCTGTCGGTTGAACAGGACAATGTCGCCGTCTTCAATGTGTCTCTCAACCACATCGCCGATCTGAAGCTGTTCTGCGGTCTGGTCCAGTTTATTCAGCTTTTGAAGGATTTCGAGAACAAGCCTGCGGCCATCCTGTTTCAGGACGAAGTTAGCACCAGGGTGCTTGAACTTTCCTCGTCTTACACAGCCGCGCAGCTTCTCAATATTGTATCTCGAAACTTTCTCTGGGTAGGTCATGTTTTTAGCAACTCTCTCCGGGACTGCGACTTCCTCGATAGACAGGTTCGGATCTGGTCCAATGACGGTACGACCAGAGAAATCTACACGCTTGCCGGAAAGATTTCCACGGAATCGTCCTTGCTTTCCCTTCAAACGCTGGCAGAATCCTCGGATGTGCTTTCCAACCCCCTGTGCCTGTAGACCTGGGACGTCGCTGTTGACATAGAGGGCAATCTGAAGTTGCAAGAAATCCCACTGCTCCATTATCGTCTGTACAGGAAGGCCCTTGGCCAATCCTGCGCGGATTAGCGAGCTGATTTGCACAATATCTCCGAGCTTATTGGTGATGTCGTCCTCGGTGGTGGCAGCCTCCTGTGCGACAGACGGGCGGATGGTCACTGGAGGTGCAGGAACGTATTGCCAAATGAACATTTCGGGCCTTCCCTTGGTCATTCCGAGAAGCGGACAGTCAGTCGTCTTGATGCGCTTGAAAAGGTTCAACACCCTCAAGGGATTCATATCATCCACCGCTTTTCGGATATGCTTGTCGAGCTCCGCGTTTCCCTGCTTTGCGGTCTCGAACGACTTGTCGAACTCCGGCTTTCCACGGGGCATTTCTTTCCTCTTCGCATTGGACTTGTTGTATGCATCAAATTTGAGGTGGACAATCTTGAGCGGGTGGCCAGCAACTTTCCTGACGGGGCCATTGGTTGCGCCACAGTGAGGGCACTTCTTCACCTTCCGGCATTCGGCGGAAATCTTCTTGCAGACTGCAGTGCGCTGCAGACTGTCAAGGTCGGGACGACGCAAGCTCTTGACGTACTTCTGCCGCGACATCTCGTCCAGAAGAATGTTGGAGCATTCCTTGCAGATGCAGTGTAGAACCTCGATGATCATCTTTAGGTAACCGATATGGAAGGCCGGCAGGGCGAGTTTGACGTGTCCGAAATGGCCGTTGCATGATTTCAAATCTTCGCCGCAGGTCTCACAGCTGGCGCTCTTGCTGGAGATACCCATGCGGCCGTCCATAGGTCCATGCTTGGTGACTGCGCGATTGGGTCCGTTGGCGACGGCATCGTACACATGACGATCGGAGACTTCGATGACGGCTTGATTGACAATGTCCTGGTTGGAGCTGCCACACAGTCAGACCAGGCGCAAAGCTGCAGGGTGGGCGCGCTTACAGAATGCCGAACTGGAGCTCTGTGATGCGCTTGGGAATGCGATCAACCACCTGCTCTTTAACCTCCCCTTGCGTCGCCATTATGGTTGTATGTGCTACCGACGGTCGGGCATGAGTGAGTGCTGGCGAAGTGTCTGGAGGCAGGGGCGCAAAGCTAGGTAGTGGAGAGGCAGCAAAAGTCGACTCACGGCCAGAAATTGTCGCGCAGGCCCCGGTAGCCGGGTGGGGTACCGCCGAGCTTTTGCCGGCTATCTTATCGGCTCCCGTCCCCCGTACATGCCAGGCAGCTAAGGCGCAGCTCCCCCGCGGTCGCCTTGAGCGGCTCCGAAGCTCCCTGCCTCCCTCCTTCCGCTGTTCACACCGACGGCCTTCCGCAAGTGCTGGTTCTCTCGACTTATGAGAGCCTTTTCTTCACTGCGCTTCTTTGTCTGCAACCGCTTTCAACCCGGCCAAAGTCGCCTTTCCCGGCTGCGCCAGCTCCCGTGACGCCTGGGCCGCTGTCGGACACTGCTCGATAAGGCACCCGTAGCGTCACCACCTCTCACTTGACTCACCCACTTACTCCTGGCTCTCCACCACCGCACCCTCGCCGTAATGTCTGACCGCAAAGGTGTGTAGACGGGCGAGCTATTCACTGCGAGCCTTGTCTTGAAGCTGACTTCTTTCAGTTCTCGAAGTCAGGCTAGTCGCCCTTGACGATAGCGACAGCATTCCGCAGCGCCGGGTCCTGCTCGCTGCTGGCCAGGATGTAATCGTCGGTCGCGCCTCGTCGAACCGTGGTGTTGCTGCGTCTGCCGACAACACCAAGATCAGCAACCCGGTCATTTCCAAGGAGCATGCCGCCTTCACCCTCGACCCCGCCGGAACAGTATGCCTTCCCCTGTCCGCCCGTCCGCCGGGCGACACCATGAAACGCTAACAGTGCGCTGTGCAGACTGTCCTTATCAAGGACCTCAGGAGCATGCATGGAACCCGTGTCGACGACCGAGAGCTCCCGCAGGGCGAGGAACGCGCCATCTGCTCCGGTTCCACGCTGCAGTTTGGTTCCTCTGTGATTCGCGGAAACGGTACGCTTAGCCCGCCCTGTTTGCTCCTTCGCACTTTGAGATATTAAATCTCCACGCATTCTACACAGCCACCTAGTAGCTCACACTGACTTCTTGATGTATTATCCAGCCACGTACAAGCCGGCCCGCTTCATCTTCCGCGTGGAGCCTGTCAACCCTACGAACGCCTCGCCCATTGCCATGCCCGTTTCCGCCACGATGCCCCAGTCGATGGCCTTTTCAGACACCAAGAAGGGATACGGTGACGATTCGTCCCTTTACAGCGAAGATTACGACTCTGAAGACGACTACATGTCGGACCATGAGGCGGTCGACGTAACATTGATTCCAGACACATACTCTTCTGAGCATGATTCTGAGGCTTCGCAAGACGACTCGTTTCAGACTTCCAGCGATGACTCGCTTGACGAGCTTGAGGGGTACGATGGTATGTCGATGGACAACTGCTGCTCCACGGATTCTGCATGCCTTTCTACCGAGGCCGCTGCCGAGACGGGTTCCAGCTCTGCTGCCAAGGACCAGTCCTCGTTCTGTTCTTCTTACCTAGGAGAGAGTTCCGTGCTCCCGCCTGGTACTGATATCGATACGGGAATGTCGGGTGGAGAGTGGCCGGATTACTCCGAGGCGGATCAGTCTACCTTCTTCTCGTCGACCTCGGCTGCTTGGACGTCTGAGCCCACGGATCACTTCAATTTCAATATGGAGACGGATGAGCACACGTCCTCAAAGAGACTCAAGGCTCGTCCGTTCAGCAACTCTATCAACGATCTCTGCGAACCTGCCCCTAAGACCGAGGCCAATCCTAGTGAAGTCACCGCCGATGATGCCCCTCAAGAAGCCGCTGTTGTGGGCAGTCTTCTCGAGGACCCCCCTTGCAACATTTCTCCTGCTTCTGTCGACGACCAGAACATGGCAGACATCCAACCCTTGGTTGACGATACCGTGATCTCCGCAGAGCCAGCTGAAGGAAGTAAGGTCGAGCCAACCTGCGTGAAACGTTCTGCAGGTGAGGCCGAACTCGATGCTGAGCCCACTGATGAGCCCAGCACCGGCGTTAAGGCCAACCAGATCGCCACGCCAGAGCAAATGTCCAGTCGCCGCCTAGCCACCTTCACACGCCGTGCTCGCGACATTGGCATCGGGGCTGTTGTTGGTGGTGTTGCCATGTTCACGCTGCTGGTTGGCAGCGGCGATCCTGCGTAATATGCAGGCAGATCGCCCACCCGGGTAGAACATGGGACGTTTTGCGGTACACTTCATTCACCTTTTCCTATTACAAGCACACGGGCGTACATGGACGGCATAACCTTTTTTTTTTTTTCATGCAGATTTCGATTTCATCCCCAACACTGAGTTTACCCACGGTTGATGGCAGGGTAGGACTTGGCGTTCGATTATATTCGGTGCGGGTTCAGGTGGCGCTACATGCAGATGAGCTGCTGGAAACGATGGAAGCATGATGGACGGTCAAGGTTGGAACGGAGGTGGGTGTCTTGATCGGATTTTCTGCGACTCTAGTCATGGGCTTCTGGCTTTTCTGGTTTTCAATGCGTTAAGGAAGTTACACTGGTATTCCCGTTGAGCAATGACACGTACAATGATTAATCCCCATGAGGTGTACGACTTTTGAATGAATTACGTCCCTTTGAGTCTTATATGTTATTGACAAACAGCCCGCCGGACATGCTTTGCCATGAGGCCAACGGCCTGCCAATTGCTTGTTCTGTGCCTGGTTTGCTCCTTTGTTGCCACCACGGTATTGTTCTTTCTTGATTAGGGTTAACTTAGCTCGTTTAACAGTGACATATCACCAACACTCGCTGCATCTACTAATCGACATCCTTTCGCGTTATAAAGGGGCATAAAGGCTGCGTAGGTAGTTGAAGCTATCGTCCGGACGTGTATGTAGAATTTTTAATTTCACATTCTCGTCTAGACAATAGCTTCAATTACCCACATATGTTGGTCTTTTTAAAAAAAAGAAAAGGCTAATACATGAGAACGTATCATCCAATTACGTGCTACTGAACAAACCACCAGAGCCCGGTTCTAATAGTATCTTTGACTTTCTTGTCATATTTTGATCCCATTGGTTCCACCGGCTTGCCCTCATGCCTTGCCAGCGCTACCAAGCATATCTATACAGCTTTCAACTGCCTTTTGCATCGCCAAGGTCCCCTCTTCGATGACGGACGTTAACGGCTTCTTAGCGGCACCTTCTTTCCACGCATCCACGTAAGGGTTGTTCAGCACCTTGTTGATATTAATTTTAGAAACGCCGTGGCCTATACATGTTTGGAAGATTTCCTGGGTGAAAGGATCGGCGCCATGCAGCACGAGTTTGACCCTGTCTCCAACGCGCTTGTTGATGGCGTCCAGGCGGTCGTACTCGAGCTGGATGCCGCGGGGGCCGTAGTTGCCGTGGACGTTGCCGAAGGCCGGGGCGAGCCAGTCGATGCCGGTGTCGACGAAGAGCTCGGCCTCGTCGGGCGTGGTCAGCAGGCCCTCGAGGTCGGCCGTGTCGCCCACGCCGTCCTCGCCGCCCTCGATGCGGCCGGGCTCGGCCTCGGTGGCGATGCCGCGCTCGCGGCAGTAGGCGACCAGCTCGCGCGTCAGGCGCAGGTTCTCGTCGCGCTCGTAGTGCGACATGTCGATCATGATGGAGTCGAAGCCGCCCAGGTCGGCCGCGCGCCGCACGATCTCGGGCGTCTGCGCGTGGTCTAGGTGCACCGTCACCGGCACCGAGGCGTCGCGCGCGGCTTCGGCCGCCAGGTGGACGAGCAGGCCGCCGGCGTAGTGGATCGCCCACGGGAAGAGGAGGATCATGGCTGGCGAGCGCTTCGCTTCGGCGGCGCGGACGGTGGCGATGATGCCTTCGGTATTGTAACAGCACATGGCTGGTATGCCGTACCGGCCTGCTGAGGCGGCAGCCAGGATGGGAAGGGCGCGGTTGGAGGCCATTTTCGTGGAGGCGGCCATGGTGGCTCAGTGAGGTGGAGGAAGGCTTCGCGAATTCGGTGGCGTTGTTTTGTTGGGGTCTCGTGCGGATTCTCTACGAGTTTCTTCCCAGATTGTGGTGGGGGAAGCGGGGTACCAGGTGAGTGGAGTGACCGATAGGCGATTGGAGAAGGATCGGAAACGCAATGGGTCGGATTATGTATCGGAAAATGGTGGAGGTGGAGGTGGACGGGTATGGCTGCCGCAGTTCGGAAACGCGGGACGAATGCTACGATCCCGAATTTGGTACCCCGGAGTAACCGCAGATCTTTGCGCCAATGCCCTTCATCAGAGGCGTACGGCAAGCAGTTCGGTTTGCCGTTTTCGAGTTCCGGTGGATCTTTTCAATTGCCGACGGCCGATTCGCAAACGCCGTAGAAAAACATGACGAGAACATTTGCTGTGCAGAGACCGGGACAAATCGTGATTTCGGAGAGAGTAGGAGCAAAAGAGGGTCAATGGCGACGTGCAGACTGGGTTTGAGGCTCACGATGCGGCGAATTGATGGAGCTGGTGGACAATTATCTGATGAGGACCCCTGCACGGAGAGAACACCGAGCGGGAGCCCCGCAGACGTCATTCGGCACGGCAGTTTTTGGTGCGGGGAGCTCGGTCTACGCTCCGCCGACAACCACCTACATATATTCCACAGCGCCGTTATTATTGATATGCTGCATTAGATCGCTTCGATTGTCCCTGTTGATCCTTGTCTGTTTTCCCTGATCTCCAACCATGTCTGAGAAGCCAATTGTGGGGTTTGTTGGCCTGGGAGCCATGGGCTTCGGCATGGCGGCCAACCTAGTCAAGCAAGGCTACCAGGTCAAGGGCTTTGACGTCTTCCCCAAGAGCGTCGAGCGCTTCCAACAACAGGGCGGCATTGCTGCCACCTCGCTCGCCGACTCCGCCGCCAATGCGGCCTTCCATGTTCTGATGGTCGCTTCAGCCGACCAGGCGCAGTCAGCACTGTTTGGTGAAGGCGACTCCATCGTAAAGGGTAAGTGGAAATGTGCTGCGCGCCACTGACTCGGGCCGCAACATTACCCGATTTGGAGAATTGATCGGCTAACTTAATTATTTTGGCTCCATCAGCCCTGCCGCAGGGCGCTACCCTGCTTCTGTGCTCAACCGTGCCGTCTGCTTATGCGCAGTCGGTCGAGAAGCAGCTGGCTGACATTGGCCGCTCCGACATCTTCTTCGTTGACGCCCCGGTATCTGGCGGCGCCAAACGCGCGGCTGACGGCACCCTGACCATCATGGTCGGCGCTTCGGATGCTGCTACCGAGAAGGCCCGATGGCTCTTGGAGGAGATGTCGGATCCAAAGGGTCTGTACATTGTCCCCGGCGGCGTCGGCCAGGGCAGCAACATGAAGATGGTGCATCAGGTGCTCGCTGCAATCCAGATTCTGCTTGCAAGCGAGGCCCACGGCTTTGCGGCGCGCTTGGGCCTCGACGCAAAAGAGGTCTACGATGCCGTCTGCAAGAGTCCTGAATGGTTCTGGATGTATGAGAACCGAGTTCCCAGGACGCTGGCTGAAGACTACACTCCTCCTGTCAGCGCCTTGACCATCATCCTTAAGGACGCTGTACGTGAATCTTGACTTCGAAAAATCACGCAAATGTACTGACTGACGAAGGGAATCATCACCTCTATCGCCCGCCTCGTCAACTTCCCTACTCCTCTGTCCTCCGCCGCCGAACAGGTCTATCTGATCGGCCTGAACGAAGGCCGCGGATCCCTTGACGATGCTGCCATGGTCCGCACCTACTTCCCCGATCCCGTCAGCACCGTCAAGCCCGAGAGTAACGGCGCGTCGTCTCCGTCCAACTCCGAGAAGCTCGATCTGGTCTTCAAGCTCCTGCGCGGCGTCCTTCTGCTCGCCGCTGCCGAAGCCATCAGCTTTGCCCACTACCTCAAGCTCGACCTGCACCAGTTCTACGACCTCGCGTCCGGTGCGGCCGGCGCGAGTATCGCCTTCCGCGAGCGTGGAGCCGAGATGATTGAATTACTTACGGGCAAGAAGGTGGCCGGCGCCCGGGAGGGTCTGCAGCCGCTCGACGTTAAGCAGATTCGGGAAGACCTGGCCGAGGCCATTAATGCTGGCAGGAAACTCTACTGCCCTGTCCCGCTGGCGGGCGCGGCGCTGAACCTTCTGGCGACAGCGCAGAGAGTCGCCGGTGATCAGAAAGAGAAGTCCTACTTCGGACTGCTGCAGTGAAGTTTGGATACCCAATATCTTCGCCGCCGACTGGATGCCTTTCCTTGATTCTTCGATTCTGATGTTGGATGTATAGATTTATACCTCAGGATAATCTCGGTCTGGACGACGCATTCTGATACCAAAGTAATAAAAAGTATTTTTTTCAACTTCACAGATGAATAGTAACTGCAACCCTTCGATGAGACTATATGGAGTTTTTGCAGCACTGCAACAACAGACATGAACTTGGCATTGGGCTTTTCTTCCATGCAGGCCATCAATACACATGCAGCCCTGAATCAAATCGCCCCTTTTGGCGGGGAGAGATTTATGATTCGAAGCAGCCTCCAGATCATGTATTTGTGCCTCACTGCGGGATGTAGAGGCTCGGAAATTTGAGGCTTGGGTCAGGGGTGTGAAAGGAATGAGAATAGAAACTGAGCAATCGCGAGACGATGCGTGAAAGACAAGAGCGGAAGTCGCTCCGACAGAAAGGAGGTGTTGTGGGCACGCACTTCCAGTCAAACGGCAATTGCCGGATTAGGGTGCTTCAGGCACGTTCGTTGTGGTGGGCCCTATTTCACTCCTTATTTCGTTTAGAAACAGCAGCTGCACAACACCGGCTCTTCTCGTATCGAACATCTATAATTCATTTACATCATTCGTTGAAGCGGCCTGTACTTACAATTCTCATCTACCGGGGCCTTTCAGATCTTCGACTCTCGGACCGAAGATGATGAGGGTTTCTCCGATGCAATGCTGTCGCAGATGAAGTTCACCGCACGCTCAGCCATCGCAGGCGTCGTCTCATGCCCAACACCATTGAAGATGAGATCCTCTAGTTCCAATCCTAAAGCAGGCGCTTCTTCTTTGACGAATTTCTTCAAAAATTTCAAGAACTTTTCGCCACAAGCGTAAGGAACGAGCTTATCGGCACCGCCGGAAAGGTTCAGTATCCGCTTCCCCCTAAGTCGGCTATTCAATTTTGATCCGAGCTCTTGCTTCTCGGCAGCAGTCAAGGCATCTGGATTCGCGATGCCGCCCATCAGTAAGCCTGCAGGGTCGTACAGGGCGACAGCTTCTACAAGCGCCCGAGGGAAGTCGGCCGAGCCAATGAAACGCGAGCCCGGAGGCTCACTGGAAGTCCAGGTCTGCAGCTTTGACTTTTCTGCCCTCTGAACCATCAGAGATGTGTAGTCCGGGCACCCAATGATAGACACGGCTGTGGTGATGCGAGGGTCGTGGAGAGCGACCAGCCAGGTGGCATGGCCGCCCAACGAGATGCCGAGAACGAGATTTTGAGTTATTTCAGGTTCGATGTAAGCAGCAAGGTAGGTCAAAAGCAGGGAAGTGTCGTTAGCCGTGCCATCTGCAGGGCCGACATGTTAGCCTGACACGGCATATGCACTGCGGGAGCACGCACGATAGATGGAGAACATATCCTGGGCATGACGCGGGTTGCCGCTGCGCCAAGCCTCGTTTGAAAGGGCGTCGACCTTTCTGGTACCGTGGTTGCGCTGGTCGAAGCTCACGGCTATCAGGCCTTTGGCCTGCCCCGCACCACCCCCTCCGCTCTGCAGACGCTTGTTCCAGGCCGTGATTGCCTGTGCGGCAATTGGCGCCATGCATTCTTGTGTCTGAAGGCGTGGATTCAGCAGCCACAGACAGGCGACGGGCTGCGAGGGCGATGACAGCTCATCAAGCCCGTGGACGGTTGTGAGGATTCCCGCAATGTGGAAAGTCTTCTGCGAGACGCGGGGCGGCGGGGTGGCGCGGTGGGTGCCCTCGAGCGGGTTCGGCGTGGCCATTGCTGAAACGTTTACGGCCGGCTATCGCGATTGGCCGTCAGGAGCTGGTGTTGACGCGTGTGTTCGGGAGAGAGGGCAGCGGTGTGGTGCGGGCAGGGACGTAGACGGGCACGCTCCACCTGCACAAGGCCGCTTGGCGTCATCCCGTAGATCTCTACAATCTCCGTGTGCCAGCAGAGATTACGCCAATCCCCCTCTCCTGCAACTCCTGCACCGTCCTCGCCGCTCTCTCACGGCAGGGGCACTCCTGCAAACACTCCCTTCACTCCTGTCGCCCCCCAGACAGCTTTCCGCAAACCTCCGCACCTCCGCAACATCGCACCTTGGCCGACCGCGTCTCCGGGAGAGCACGTCTCCACCGCCAACACCGTAACCACCTCACCCGACACGAGGATCTGCACTTTTCGATCTCCAGGGTCTAGATCGCTGCTGGACAAGCTTCCGCTCGTTTGCACCTCCGCCGTTCCTTTACATCGCCCGCACGTTGCGCGCCGACACGTCGGGTGGGTTAGGGGCCCAACACAACAATATGGCCGAGACGCGGGATTCGAGCGTTTCGCCGCGGACCTCTCCTCCGCCCGAAAAACAGGCCCAGACTTTTTCGCCATTGCGCCAAGAGCAGCGCGCTCACGGCTCTGCCGACGAGGGGGTTCTTCACGCCGACGATGCTAACAGGCCGGAAACTGCGGGCTCCGTGAAATTCGAGCAGGGCGTCGCTGAGCCCAAGTCAGCAGCGGGCTTCCCCTTCCCCGCCGCAAACGGCACTTCTGGAGACGCCGCCGCCCAGAATGCTACTGCCAAAGCCCCGCATCCCCTCGAGCCGTCCCCGAGCTTTGGTCAGATCGCTGACCCGACCGATTTCAACTCGCACGGCCAACTATCGAGAAAACCCACAAGTGAAGCCGGCACATCAACGCCCGGCGGACGTCGCAGCGTGCAGTTCGCTCGCTCTCAAGCGCAGGAAGGAGCGGCTGGTGGACACTCGAGACAACACTCCCTGGATGATGAAGAGGAGCTGGAACGACATGGCAGGGATAAAGCCTCTCTTATTGCCCGGCTCAGGGCCCTGAACCCGCTGCAGGGGCACAGCAGAAGTATAAGTGGCTTCACCATTGGCGATGGGCCAATTGGATCGATTGGTGAATTCACACCAACCGGCCCCTTGTCTCCGGAATCTGAGCGATCGCAACCACGATACATTGCAGAAGAAGGAAGTGAAGGAGAGGCAGATGACGAGAGCGCAGGAGAAGGCCCAGCGCGTCCTCCGCGTCAGAGAAGAAAGATCCGCCGCCAAAAACATGGAACGAGCACTGCTCCAGCTACCCCGAAGACTATCAATGATCCCTCCTTCCCGCGAGATTCGCCCTCCGAAAACCCCTTTGGATTCAAGCCACCTTTTGCACGGCGAGGCACCATGTCGGACATCCCTGAAAATCAAAGGATGGGGTTGTCTGAGGATGAAGGGCGGGACATGCTTGCGAAAGAGAGCGCTTGGAGGAGAGGAATGCACGCACGGCGGCGGCTCAGCTTCTCGAGTCGTAGGATGGAGATTACAGGAGAAGAAACTCCGGACGCTCGTCGACCGAGTAACTTCCGGCGTTTCACCAATATTGCTAACCGATTCGATGGCTCTGCCGAGTCTCCCTCATGGAGACAGCGCGGTGAGCGCACCACTAGCATCAGCGCACAAAAGTGGCGCCAGTTGAAGTCCGGCTTGAAGATGCTTGGGAAGCAGCGGAAGGAGCAAAACAGAATCGACCACGCAAAATCCGCAGAGCTGGTTGCCGAACTCCTCGCGGGCGCCCCCGCAGCCCTCTTCCTGGCCAGTATGTTCCAAAGAGACGAGCACGACAGACGTAGAGTGCCGATTCTTATGGAGCAACTCAAAGTCCAAATCACCGACAGCCAAAAGATCAGCGACAAAAACAACGACCGCCACGTCAACTTCAGGATCGAGCTTGAATACGGCAGTGGTATGACCCGCATGAAATGGGTCGTTCATCGGACTATCCGTGATTTTGGCAATCTCCACCTCAAGTACAAGACTGCCACCGCCAAGGAAAAATACGTACGATTTAGGGGCGAGGATACCAACAAGAGTCAACTTCCGCGGTTTCCCAGAAGCGCTCTACCCTACGTGCGTGGAATGCGTGGTCTCTTGGATGATCAGGAGGAGGACGACGACGAGGAAGCGCCCGGGGCGATTACAGATGGTGATGCAAGTGGAACTGACAGGCCTGGAAAGAACGGCAAGAGACGGCGATCCTCATTGAAGCAGCATGCCGCAGGACGCAACTCAAGCGTTGGAAGCCCTGAACAGACACCCGGGATCGTTGGTGAGATGACGGCTCGCACCGGCAGCTTCTTTGGCCAAGTCCCTGGCGCTCCTGGAACCAACGCGCCACGCAAGGATACGTATCAGGACAAGCAACGAAAGAAGTTGGAGCAGTATCTTCAGCAGCTGATCACCTTCGTCATTTTCCGGCCCGATAGCAACCGACTCTGCAAATTCCTGGAGCTCTCTGCATTAGGCGTCCGCCTCGCACAAGAAGGCGGGTACCACGGAAAAGAGGGTTTCATGATGATCCAGTCCAACAAGGCGGCCAATCAGACGGGCTGGAACCCTCATTGGTTCAAGCAACAAGCTCACATGCCGAAATGGTTCCTCGTGCGCCACAGCTACGTTTGCTGTGTTGATTCGCCTGAAGAAATGAACATCTACGACGTCTTCCTCGTAGACATGGATTTCCGTATCGACGAGAAGAAGGGTGCGCGCGAGATGGCTAGCAAGGCGAAGACATCTGCCGCTCACCCCAACGCACACATGCTTCGTCTAGTCAACTCCGAGCGCAAGCTCAAATTGCTGGCCAAGAACGAAAGGCAGATGGGCCAATTCCAGGAGTCCATTAAGTTCATGATGTCGCAAACGGAATGGTCAAAGTCGCATCGTTTCGACAGCTTCGCGCCCGTAAGACACAATGTCTGGGCCCAGTGGCTCGTGGATGCGCGGGACTATATGTGGAACGTCTCTCGCGCTATCAGCATGGCCAGGGATGTCATCTACATCCATGATTGGTGGCTCAGCCCTGAGCTTTACCTGCGTAGACCTCCTGCCATCAGCCAGAAATGGAGGCTAGATCGTCTCTTGCAGCGCAAGGCTCAAGAGGGTGTCAAGATCTTCGTGATCATGTACCGTAACATCAACTCCGCCATCCCGATCGATTCCGAATACAGCAAGCTGTCGCTGCTCGATCTTCATCCCAACGTATTTGTCCAGCGGTCTCCCCACCAAATCAAGAAGAACCAATTCTTCTGGGCTCATCACGAAAAGATCTGCATTGTTGACCATACGGTTGCTTTCTGTGGCGGTGTCGACCTGTGCTTTGGACGATGGGATACACCAAGCCATGTTCTGAACGATGACAAGTTGACAGGCTTTGAGCTGGATAACGATCTTCCGAAGGATTCCGAACACTGCCAAATGTGGCCCGGAAAGGACTACTCTAACCCTAGAGTGCACGACTTTTACGCTCTTGACAAGCCTTATGAAGAAATGTATGACAGAGAAAAGGTTCCCCGCATGCCGTGGCATGATATTGGCATGCAGATAGTTGGCCAACCAGCTCGAGACTTGACAAGACATTTCGTCCAGCGTTGGAACTATCTCCGTCGGGGAAAGACTCCTACCCGCCCTACTCCTTACCTTCTCCCTCCACCGGATTTCAACCAGGCCGACCTTCGGGCCCTTGGACTTGACGGCACCTGTGAGATCCAGATGCTTCGCTCTGCATGCAAGTGGTCCCTTGGTACCCCCGATCGGACTGAGCACAGCATCATGAATGCGTATGTCAAGAGTATTCAAGCAAGTGACCACTTCGTCTACATTGAGAACCAGTTCTATATCAGTTCTTGCCAGGTTGAGGGAACGAAGATTCTCAACAAGATCAACGATGCGCTTGTGGAGCGTATCAAGCGCGCTCATAAGAACGGAGAGTCGTGGCGAGCTATTCTCGTTATTCCGCTGATGCCAGGTTTCCAGAGTACTGTTGACAGCCAGGATGGAACCAGCGTCCGTCTGATCATGCAGTGCCAGTACCGGAGTATTTGCCGCGGCGAGACCTCTCTGTTCGGAAGACTTCGTGCCGCCGGCATTGAACCCGAAGACTATGTCCAGTTTTACTCTCTCCGGTCCTGGGGACGTATTGGGCCGAAGAAGTCGCTCGTCACGGAGCAGCTATACATCCACGCCAAGTGCATGATTGTGGACGATCGCATTGTCATCATTGGATCAGCTAACATCAACGAGCGTTCCCTGCTTGGATCTCGTGATTCCGAAGTGGCAGCTATCGTCAGAGATACTGACATGATCCCTTCATTCATGGCGGGCAAGCCCTACAAGGTTTCCAAATTCGCACATACCTTGCGTGTCAGGCTCATGCGTGAGCACCTTGGTATTGACGTTGACGAACTGCTGGAGGAAGAGCAATCTGAGGTATACAGCAGCGATGTTTCTAGACCCTCAAGTGCAGAGACCAACTCGACGATTGAACAGCAGCTCATCGACAACAAGAACCGCGCCGAGGAGGACTTGATCAGAAAGGCCGAAGCGATGAGCTACAACCACGATGCCGTGGACAATGCACTTCAGCCGAATCCCGAAACTCCTGATTTCACGACCGACCCCAATGCTGATGAAGACGCCGCGGCGGCTGCTCAATTGAACCGAGACCGTGATGTCCGCGGTGAAGGTGCCGACCACTTCCTGGAGGCTTCAGCTCGCGGCTACAGCCGCGGAAGAGATTCGACCATCGACATCCATGGTCATGAGGTCCTAGTTACTCCGCAAGCACCTGAGGGAAAGAACACTCTTGAAGTTCCCAAGCAGGGCAGCCCGAAGAAGGGACGCAACCGCAGCAACACGGCCCGCTCTCAAGTGAGCCAAATCAGTGAGGTGCTCCAGGATCTTGGCAACGAGAAGATGCCTCCTCCGTCACTACCTAGGATGAACACCAGGGAACTCGGGCTCACGCAGCTCAGCCAGCTTCCTGCTCTGCCCGCTGTGGACGATACTGATATCGGTGGCCCGCCCTTGCTGAGAACGACTTCGGCCACTGCCAACACGCTCATTAGCGCACTTGTCTCCAACATGAAGCGTCCGCTCGTCACCGAAGACTGCATGCTCGACCCTATCAATGACGCCTTTTTCCTGGACACTTGGCACACTGTCGCAGAAAACAACACCAAAATCTACCGCCAGGTGTTCCGCTGCATGCCCGATAACGAGGTACGCACATGGAAGGAGTACCGCGAGTATGCGGCATTCGGAGAACGCTTTGCCAAGTCTCAGGGTCAGGGTAAGAGCGAGACACGTATGGCCCAAGAGACCCCAGGAAAGACTGGCCCTCCCGGTACTGGAACTACTCTTGCAGACGGTGCTGGAAAGGCCTTCGACGAGAAGCTTGCTCCTGGCAACTCCAGAGATAGCCACCCATCTGGTAACGTGGAGCAGTGGGCGGAGGACCAGGAAAGGCGTGATCACAGCAAGCCCTCGACAGCAACTTCAAACGCCAACGGCAGCGCTGGGTCAGGGGCCGACTTTAGCGAAAAGCCCAACGGTATGCTCACCACTCCAATGAGCCCGATGCATTACGGCAACGAGTCTTTTGTCTCGTCAGACGCGCCGCCGTCGCGTGGCGCAAACGACGACAACAACGGCAGGTCACGCACCATTACGATCACCACTCCTACCGGTCCATCTGGTAGCACCGGCAATCTCAACGTTACGGAAACCAATACCAGTCTCAAGCCAGCAGGCAGCCAGCGTCGCCGCAAGCGGGCGGCCACACGTGGCAGCATCAAGGCATTCCAAGCTGATGACGACACCGCTCTGCTGGGCAAGCAAGATGCAGAGGAACTCCTGGGTCTGGTTCAAGGACACCTCGTTCAGTGGCCGTACGACTGGCTCGAGAAAGAAGAAGCAGGTGGTGGCTGGCTATACCCTGTCGATCAGATTGCACCCCTGGAGATCTATGCTTAAGCGGTTGGCTGTTACAGTACATATGTACATTGTGGAAACCCCAGCGCCGGTGCACATAAGGAGGCGCTTCTCACCAAAGCATTGGTCCCAAGTACAAATCCTTCTTTCTTCCTATCAGTTGGTCCTCTCTTCTGCGCCTTGGTATTCCGCGCGCAATTCCTCTTTTGTTTGCTTTCTTCATGTTGGCCCTTTTTCGTGCTGCTTCTTCTTATCATCCGAGCGTGGCGTTAAAGCGGGAAGGAAACAAATTAGCTGAACAAAGCAACACTGCACTCAACCATTTCCAGCATTCCTTTCTCCTCCTTCTCTTTTTCTTTATCTTGTTTTAATAGAGTGCATAAGCGACGAATGGAAAGAGAAAAGAAAAAAAAAAGCATATGTGGCAGGTCGGAAAAAAACGGAGGCAGAGGGGCATAACCGAAGCCTGGGGGGAAAAAAATTCCACTTACTAGTGGAAGCTATGGAACTTTTAACAGAGTAGGCCTGGAGGTGTACAGGTTTCGTTTGGGGTCTCTCTGCTTGTAATAATAGGTACCGTCGTTTTGGACTTTCGCCTCTTCATTTCTTCACGGTTAATGCAATTTCCTATAAAGTTTTCTTGACTTAGACCTTTGTCCTGCCAAAAGAAATGATTTTCTGCAACTATCTTCGCGAGCAACAGCACTCGACTTACGTGGGTATTTGAAGCTACCGTCCAGACGCAGATGTCGAATTATTAAATGAACATCTGCGTCCGGACGGTAGCTTCAAATACCTACGTAACGACTAATTTAAGTCCTTCTGAGGTATTCCTGGTTGGTATTTCTTCTACTTGACTCAAATTTTTGAAGCTATCGCTTGTTAATAGTTGCTCTCCCATTTATTTACCAGTGTTGCAATAGGACACCACCTCCATCCTCGCCGCTGGCTCCGTCATCTTCATCAGTCTCATCGCCGTCGTCATCAGCTGCCTCGTTTTCAACCGGTTCCGCCATATAAGCCACCAACGGCGGCACTTCGACCCCCTCCAACCGCATCATCTCTCTCATGCGTCGGGCTGCGCGTCTATCCGCCTCTGCGCTGGGATCCAGGAACGTGTAGACCCGGCTCCGCTCGTCACCCGCCGAACCCGCGAAGCCGGCAACGGCATGCCATAATTCCGCGACATCGCCCTCCTGCGATCCATTGTCCTTCTTCTTCGACTCCACCACCGTTTCCTGGTCATCTCCATCTACTCCTAGTTCCGTCTTCTCCTCGGCAATCTCCTTCTCCTCAGGAACGGGCATCTCGGCGAAAACGATGACGGGGTTGAGAGGCAGTATCTCCTTCTCGCACCGCAGCAATGCCGCCGGGCTGCAGCTGAGAACCGGGGTCTCGCCAGTGACCCAGGTGCGAGCAGGAACCAGGCGAGTGGAATAGGTACCGGCCAAGAGTGTGCTAGTGAAGAGGCCGCGCATGATGCTGCGCGAGCGCAGGGTGCGCGATGTGTTGGCCCAGATAACGAGGACGCGTAGGGCATGCGGTGTGTTGATGAGAGCGAGGGAGGAGCGAGGGAGGAGCTGCTGCGTCACGAGGGCGTGTACGTGCGAGGCGCGCGCTGCGACGGTGCTGTTCGAGGTCGTGGCGGGCAGAGCAACGTAGCGGCGGTGCCCGAGTGTGGCTGCGCGCTGAGCAATGGACCAGACGTCGGTCGGGAAGAGGTCGATGGAACTGATTTCGGAATCGGACTCGTCGTCCGAGGGTAGCTGTAGGCACGGTTATTTCGGTGTGCGACGCGTCTATGGGGAACGGAGGCGTACGGAAGCAGGGCTGTCGAACCCGAACATGTCGTCGTCGCTGAGGTTACTACCCTGAAGCGCAGTGAAGAAGCTGGCTGATGTTGCGACCTGGGTGCTGGATGGGCTTAAGCTCGAGGGTGAATCGTTGTCGTTGAAAGCTGGCAGAGTGGTTGCGAACGTCGTATTGATGGGCGCTCTGGGTGGGTTTGGCAATTGACCAAGCGATCTGCGACGGTGAGCTAAGGAGAGCGGCATGGTGGTGGATTGGTGAAGAGGTTGAAGGTCCGGGCTGGAAGTAAGTGGTCAAGTGTCGATGATGCCAGTCGTGCCTTCCGCATTTGGCAGTCATGTTTGCCTAACGCGTGAGCAGCCGCGCGTGGCAGCGAAGGCTCTAGCTCCAACCAAGCGAAGTAAGCTCTCCTGGCGAACAAGAGGTATTGCACCGACTATGGCAGTAGTAAGAGTTGGTTAGAGGATCTCAGGATTGAAAGAGTAAACCAGCACCCAGGACTTCCAGCGTGTCTTTTTTCTTTTTTTTCGACGAAAAGAGACATAAACGGGTAGTTGAAGCTATCATCCGGATGTAAATGTGGAATTAATAATTATACATTCACGTCCGGACAATAGCTTCAAGTACCTGTACGTGTTCTTTTTCATTGAAAAAAAAAAAAAAAAGCGGCACACTTAGGCTATGCTCTTCTTCACGCTAGTCATGGGCTGCAGTACCCCTCTGTACGTCATTCCGGCATCCAGGTGCCTGGCAGCCGCCACCGGGAAAGAAGAAAAGGTCCAAGCTCACCCCCGCTCTTATCTTCCCCACTTTCCGCGCTGTTATCTGGCTGCGTACGCATGTTACCCGGATCGGCTCCTGAGAGTTTTCTGCTCGATGCTACTCTGTGTAGCATTTCGCTTAAAATGATACTTTACGATGTCACGGGTCAAGAGTCACGGTAGCACTTAAATGCCGAAGCCGGAGAAGCCGCAAGGCTATAACATATCAACGAGCACCGCCCCTAGTTTCTAAGTACGCACATTCTCTCTATTATTCTAGTGGTTGAGGCTCTGCAATTCCGACATGTTTGGCGTGGCCTCGAAGTTGCTGGTCTTTGCTGCTGCTTGGAAGCAAAGCCAGGCTCAATTCAATAACCCACCAGGGGTCGACATTTGGTGCGGGAAGGCGTATCGTGCAACGTATGGCTATCAATACCTTATTTATGCTGATCGTAGTACTGACAAAAGTGGAATAGCAATGCATCCTTTAATCCTGGGGGCTGGTTCGAAGAGCCAGAGAAGTCCAGCGTGCCCTTGCTCAATTTCAAGATTCAACCACGCATGAATTTATACCTCGATGGCGAAGATACCGGGGCTTTGCTCATCGATGCCACTATCTCCGACCTGGTCGGCCAACCTTTCCCGTCAACCAATGGCTCGTTTTCGTCAAACGGCGGAGCAGAGCTTCGAGTTGATGTCTCTATAGATGGAAACTCTTCTGTCTTGGTTGAAAAATCCACCGTCAAGATCGGCGACAGTGTAGAAATACCCTTCGATCTGTCCGGGTTTGCTGCTCGTTTTGAGCCTTACAACATTACAGCGGTAGCCACTTTAGAGCACAACGAAACCACCTCCTTCACGGCCCACACCCAGGTCACGAAGCTCCCTCTCCGAACAGACAACGGCACGGTGACACGCATCGACAACCTGTACGGTGGCCTCTCGGTCCGACGCGGATCCTCCCCGGACTGGCAGCCCATCTTCCCCTACACGTACTACGTGCAGTGGTCGCTATACTGGCACTCCAACGTCTCCACTCTCGACGAATTCTCAGCACTGGGCTACAACCTCATCCACATCGTCCCCACGGGCGACCTCGGCCTCACGCCCTTCCCCTGGGACCTATTCCAGCCCTACCTCGACCGCGCCGCCGAGCTGGGCCTCTACCTGCAATACGACGTGCGCTGGGAGCCATCCAACCTCACCACGATGCTCGACCAAGTCGCACACCTGCACTCCCACCCATCCCTCCTCCTCTGGTACACGGGCGACGAGCCGGACGGCAAGTCGAACCCGCTGGGCAGCACGGCGGCGGCGCGCGCCGCCATCCGCGCGCTCGACCCCTACCACCCGGTGTCGCTGGCGCTCAACTGCTACGACTTCCACTACGCCGACTACGCCGCCGGCGCCGAGATCATCCTGTCCGACGTGTACCCCGTCTCGACCAACACGTCGTGGTCGACCGTGTACGAGACGCCGTGCAACGCGACGTACGGCTGCTGCGGCTGCGACGACTGCACCGGCGCCTTCGAGGACGTGTCGAACCGCCTCGACGTTTTCGCGCGCCGCGACGAAATCCTGGGATTGAGCAGCGCCAGGGTGCACTGGGGCGCGCCGCAGGCGTTTGGTAATGAGACGTTCTGGACCCGCTACCCGTCGGCGGCGGAGGAGGTGGTGATGAACGTCCTCAGCGTCAACCACGGCGCTAAGGGCATCGTCATGTGGAACTTTCCCGTGACCGAGGACATCCTCGAGGTTACGAACAGGCTGGCCGCGGTGTTGACGGGCGAGGCGGTGGCCGATTACCTGATCGGTCGGCCGCTGACGAAAGGGTTGGAGGTGAGCGGAGCGAGCAGGATTGATGCTGCGGCGTGGGTGGATGAGGAGGCGGTGTTGGTGAGCGTGGTGAACCTGAATTATGGGAATGTTGCGGGTGACGTCAAGGTCAAACTACCCGAGGGGGTGGAAGTGGAGGCTGTGCAGGAGAGCGTGTGGGGAGATGCGACGTGGAGCACCGATGGCAACTCGCTCTCCATCCCGGCGCTGAAGGGCTTGGAGGTTTCAATGCTAGTATTGAAGCGCGTTATTTGAGATGAGGACCAGGTTTGCGAACTCTCGGCTGCAGTGTCGCAGAAGCCCATTTGCAATTGGAAGTAAAAGCGAAGGTTATTTTTTTTCGTATATGCTATGGGTAGTTGAAGCCATCGTCCGGACTTGAATGTACAATTACTAACTCTACACTTACATCCGGACGATAGCTTCAACCACCCCCCATAAGTCGATTTAAGTTTCCCGTGAACAAGATTAAAAAATTAATAGCACTAATTGTCAATGTGCTCACGCGATAAATTTACACATTTCCGTTCGAACAGTAGATAAATGGATTATCAATCCTCGTGAGAACATTACTGCATACACAAGCTAAACGGAAAGTCATCGAAGGGAAATATAAAGTGACATGATCCAAAAGTGGAACGTGAAATTACTAATCTGATTATATCGTGGAGTGTCGTTCCTGGTATGATCAGTGACATGTGTAGCCATCCCAATCCCAAACCAATTGCGCCGTGCTCTCTAATTCAAAGTCTAACCCGCGAAACCCATCATTTGCCGTAAAATTTTGCCGCTCTCAGCAGTGCTTCCACATCTTGACGCTGTCGACAATCATCTCGCCGTTCTTCTCCCAGGTAGGATACCACTGGTTTCTGGCATTCCAGAAGTCCTTCTTGGCCGAGGAACTGCTGTCGATCCAAGGCTTGGAGTACTTTCCATCGGTGAACCAGCCGTTGGTGCCGCCTAAAGAAGACATGTCAGTGATGAGGGTTGAGGCATGGGGTTTCGATAGACTTACCAACTGCGACGTTGAGGATCAGGTAGAACTCCTGGTCAAAGGGAGCGTTGGTGGCGCCATCAGCCCAGGGGTTCGTCAGGCGGGTGCCGTTGGCAGTCGAGGTAGGGAAGTTGCCGATGCTCCAAAGGTTCTTCTTGAAGGGAATGTAGAGAACCTGCAGCAGCTGGCTGTCGATGTACGTGTAGATGTACTTGTCGGTCCACTCGAGGCCATACGTGTGGAAGCCGTCGCCCCACATCGAGTGCAGGGCCTGCTTCCTGTTGGTCGTCTGGTAGTAGCCGTCATTGTCCGAGTCGGGGCCCCAGTGGAGAGTGCCGATGGCGAAGTCGTTGCCACCGCCGTTAGTGTTGTACGTGTAGTTGTTGCCGCGCGACTCCAGAATGTCAATCTCGCCGCTGCGGGGCCAGTCGCCGTAGACGCTCTCGGTGGGAAGCATCCAGATGGCGGGCCAGAGCCAGTCACCCTTGGGCAGCTTGGCCTTGACTTCGACACGGCCGTACTTGATGCTGGCACCCAGCTTGGTGGTAAGACGGGCCGACTTGGCTGGCGGAAGGACGGTGCCGTTGGTGGTGTTGGTCGAGCCAACACAGTCGGACCAGACAGTCGAGGTGCAGGTGCCGAGGGCAGTCAGGTTGATGACATTGTTGGTCTCCATGAGGGTTGCATCCTGGAGGGTGGGCTTGATGTAAAGCTGGCCGTCCTTGATGAAGACATTCTCCTCGTCGGCAGTGGTCTGGTCGAATTCTCCGTTTCTGAGTTGGGGTTAGCCTGAGAAGGGTCCAGACAGTGCGGATAAGCTTACCCAAAGCCGTTGAGGCGGATTTCCTTGGTCCAAACGGAAGAGTCGAGGGAGCCCGAGGAGAAGTCTTCCATGAGCACGGGGCAGTAGTTGTAGGGAGAAGTGTTGGCATTGATGCCGAGCCAGATGAGCAAGCCACTAACGGCAAAGCCCACCAGGGCGCCGATCATGGGGATCACCCATAGCCACGGGTCGTTGCGCTTCTTGCCCTGCAGAGCCTTGGGGGTTTGGACGGTGCCCTTTGGCACGCGGCGCGACTTGAAGTAAGGCGCGGCGCCGGGGGAGGGGAGAGGAAACTCGCGATAAGAGACGGGACGGGTGCTGGGCTGCGAGCCGTGGGGAGTGGCGAAGGGGTCAATGGCAGCCTGTATGCTCTGAGGCCGGCTGTCTTTGACGCTGTAGCCGCTCTGTGGCGAGATGCGGCCGTCGCCGGCGTGGTCCGACTTCTCTGAGAGGGTGGGTCTCTGCATTGTTGCGGAGAGATGGGGAAGAGTGAGACAGGTGGATGGTGGTGTTGCGGACGGGCTCAAACCACACTTTTCTATCCGCGCTGGCAGGGGCGACGGCTCTGCCCGCTAGAGCACTGAGGCTGACGGGCGCCACGCTGCGAAAAAAGCCATCTCTGGCCCTGCAAATCCCACGGTCCAGAGCCCCGTGGAGGTCGAGCATCGTGGACTCGGCAGGTCGGGCGTTGCGGCAGTTAGCGCGCCGGGGGGTCGCGATGTGGCTGGCTCAGGCATGCGTAAGGCTCTGCTCGCGTGGTGCGGTAAAGGCCGTAGCCAGCGCAGCTAGCGCGCGCGTCTGGACTGGGTGGCCACTGCCCTTTAGAGTGCTGTTAGCCGTTCCGGGCGCTGCCGCTCGGTCCCAGCCCGCCCAAAAGGGGCACCTGGCGCATATCATCTTGCCTGTTCCTGTCATGGCGCCACGCGACGACAGCGCTCATCTCCACTAGCATCGCCCTCAGCTCGACGACGATTCTGCCATGCACGCACGAGTCACCCTGCGCGCCCGCCCGCAGAGATAACCTTATGGGAGCTTCCAGCCCCTCGGCGCTGCCGGCGACACGGCTCTTCGCTTGGCCAGCTCCATGCCCGCAGCGATCTAGTTCAGATCGCTTGACACTGATGGCGTCTTGCACCCTGCGGCTCAAACCGCGCGCCAGTCGCCTGTGAGCCTCCTTCGGGACTGGCACTGCCGTCGCAGAAGTCCAGCCCCATCTCCTCCAAACTGCCGGCCGCCAGCCAGATCTCAGCCACATGTCCCACTTTCGGGCTCGAGCACATCCGGCATGCTCCAGGCGCTTTTTTTGGCCGGCCGAGGCGTCGCTATACAGAAGCCTAGTCTGGGCTCTGTGGGCTCTCATCGTTAAAGTCTCTCGTGTCGCAGCGTCAAAGTGTCTCTTCTCGTCTTCAGTCCTCACCATCTCCACCACAAGTCGCCCTCTGTTGGCGCACCCTCCGCACAGTCTCTGCTGCGTTTCTCCACACAATGGGTTTCCTTCGCAACAAGTCTGCCCCCGCCGAGGCTCAGTCCCCGGCGGACATCACTCCCGCCGAGACCACTCCGGCCCAGACTCCTGGCGGTCTCACTCCTGCCTACCAGAGTCGCCAAGGTTCCTCCACCAACCTGTCCATCTACTCTCAGACAAAGAGGGACACTCAATTCATCCACGAAATCAGACACGACATCATCATCAACCACCTGTACGAGAAGCAGGTCGGCTCGAGATGGATTCAGGACTTCAGCGGTGAGGTCGAGGGTGTCATGCTCAAGAAGGCTCGTGGAGAGTACATCACCTTCCCCGAGCCTCTCGTCGAGAGCAACCTGGCCCAGTCCATTGCCACTCTGAATGTTCAGGTACGTCTACTATTCCCATCCGCACTTCATGCATACTCACTCGGCTCCAGTCTGCCATGACGGTCAAGACCAAGGTCGTTTCCACTTTCATCGCCCGTGCACAGGACGCCGAGATCCCCATCCGCAAGGGTCTCCGCATCCAGATCATCCCCACCATCGAAGAACTCGTCTACGCCCGCAAGCATCAGTATGCCGCCTTTGTGGCCAGCGAGTCGCTCCTGGTCGTGTGGGATGACAACCCGGAGAACCTTGCCACCAGGGCCGAGAGCATCCAGGAAGACCTCCTGAAGTCTGCCATGTCCTCGTACGAGGCCGGCTTCGGTGAGAAGGGTGCCGTTGTCGACGAGGCTGAGGTCGATGTCGAGGCTGCCGCCGAGAAGGAGCGCCCTACCGTCTACTACAACTCCATGTGTACCGCCGTTTCGCTCGCAATCCTGGTCACCCTGTCCGGCCTTGGTTGGCAGCAAATCGCACGAGAGGTGTCGCTGCTCAAGAGCTACATGTCCATTCTCCTGGTTCTCATGACGCCCATCAACTGGTTCTTCGCCTTGTTCTTCACAAACGTCATTGTCTCCATCTTCGGTCGTCTCTTCGGTCCTGTGTCCTACCTCGAGCAGAACTCCAAGTTCTACTCGGCCAAGTGCAGCCCGAGGATCGAGAAGTCTTTCAACGGCAGCCTTCCTCACGTCACCATTCAGTGCCCCGTCTACAAGGAGGGTCTCGACTCCGTCATTGCCCCCACTGTCCGCTCCATCAAGAAGGCTATTTCGACCTACGAGCTTCAGGGTGGAACTGCCAACATCCTCATCCACGACGACGGTATCCAGCTCATTGACGAGGACGCGAGGCAAGCCCGCATCGACTTCTACACGGACCACAACATCGGTTGGACTGCCCGCCCCAAGCATGGTGAGGATGGCTTCGTTCGTCGCGGAAAGTTCAAGAAGGCCTCCAACATGAACTTCGGACTTCGCCTTTCCAACCTCGTCGAGACCAAGCTCCAGGCTATTTCCCGTGGCGACGGCTGGACCTCGAGGGAGGAGAACGAGGCCTACGACCTCTGCCTTGCTCAGGTCCTGGAAGAGGAAAAAGTTGCGTGGGCCGCCGGTAACATTCGCGTTGGTGACTACATCATCATCATCGATTCCGACACCGAGGTTCCTGAGGACTGTATTCTCGATGCTGTTTCCGAGATGGAGCACTCTCCCGACGTCGCCATCATCCAGTTCGCCTCCGGTGTCATGCAGGTCTCCTGGGATTTCTTCGAGAACGGTATCACGTTCTTCACCAACCTCATCTACTCGGCCATCTGCTTCGGTGTTGCTTCCGGAGATGTCGCTCCCTTCGTCGGTCACAACGCCATTCTTCGCTGGTCCGCTGTCCAACAGGTCTCGTTCATCGACGACCAGGGCGAGGAACGCTTCTGGTCTGAGACGTCCGTCTCTGAGGATTTCGACATGGCTCTGCGTCTGCAGATTGAGGGTTACGTTGTTCGCCTGGCTGCCTGGGCTAACGGTGGCTTCAAGGAGGGTGTCTCTCTGACTGTCTACGACGAGCTTGCTCGCTGGGAGAAGTACGCCTACGGTTGCAACGAGCTCATGTTCAACCCCTTCTACCAGTGGATCTACAGGGGCCCCTTCACTCCCCTGTTCCGCACCTTCATCGGTTCCTCGATGCCTCTCGCGTCCAAGCTTAACATCATCTCCTACATCGGTACCTACTACGCCATTGGCGCCGCCTGGATCTTCACCTGCGCAAACTACATCGTCGTCGGCGAGTTCAACGGTTACTACGACAAGTACTACCTCGAGTCCTGGAAGGTCTGGACCTCGGTCATCTTCGTCTTCACCATCTGCGGAAACGTCGCCCTGGCTGTTGAGCGCTACCGTCTTGCCCAGAAGAGCCTGATCGGATCTCGTAAGTTCCCCAACATTTTGGATTGCATTGGGTGCATTGCTAACAAAAGCAACAGTGATCGAGAACTTCAAGTGGTGCTTCATGTTCGTCATCTTCTTCGGCGGCATCTCGTTCCACGTCTCGCAGGCCCTTCTCAGCCACATGTTCTGCATCGACATGCAGTGGGGTGCCACGGCCAAGGAAGTCGAGCGTTCCAACTTCTTCCTTGAGGTTCCCAAGATCGCCAAGAAGTTCAAGTTCAGCATGCTCTTCTGCTTTGCGCTGATCGCTGGTATGGTCATCATGGCGAGGGGCCCGTTCATCCCTTGGAGCTGGGAGATCACTGAGTTCGTCGCCATCTTCCCCATGGCGGTCATGGTGGCATGCCACATCCTGCTCCCCATCGTGCTCAACCCGAGCTTGATGGCCTTTACTTTCTAATACCCCTCCTTTATTTGGTTATTGTTACGACACGGCGGCGAAGTTACGGTCATTTATGCTATATTAGATGGGAAGCATGGAGTTGGTTGTTTTGGTTCACTTCTTGACGCCCCCTCACGACAAAGATAGTGCAGGCTTCCCCAAGAGGCCTGGCAACTAATTTGTAATTCACACACGGCCAAGTCCACACTTTGGCATTAGTCTTAGAGCAGATGCAAAAAGCTTGTTAGAGATACAGAGAATCGATATCAACATCACTTCAGCGGCGCACCTCATTTGCACTTCCCCCTTTACCTAACGGTGGCTGAGGCGTTGGTGCGGCGGTTGGCACCAATGCACGTTTCTTAGAAACACCGAAGGGGAGGTTCATGAAATTAGGGCGGCGCCCGTGGCGCAGGCGTTTTCTGGTACAATGCCCCACACCTATTTGGATTAGCCTTGTTCTCCTGCGTCAAGGAAGCTATCTACCACTACAAACCCCCAAAATCCTCGTATACCAAGACGCCAGGCCCCACTCTTCAAACTCGCCATCACAAGCGTACCTGGTACCCGTATCGCTAGCGCAACAGGAAACCTCTTGACCTCTCCATGACACTTCTAAACTGAGGCGGAGATGCAGAAGCTGCCAGTCTGTTCCAAGCCTAGCGGTGGCGGCAACGAGTTTTCAGTCTTGCTAGCGCCGCGGCTGCGGCCGTTAGCTGCCTTGCCCCCTCGTCCCCACCTCGCCAGCACCAATCACTCACCGGCCTTTTGCAGCCAAAGCCTTCGAGAAAGGGAGAGTCGCCGAAAAGCCCATGCTTAAGCTCTACACCAAAACGCACAGACTCACCTAAGGGCGACGCGTCCTCAGACCACCAGATGTTCAGCTTGCAGCCAGAGGCGCCAGGATGCAAATTGACAGCGACGGATGGACCCGTTCAGCAACGGGGCTCAGCGGACGGGCCGCCAATAAATGCCATATCGTTCAGCGGCTACCTATCGCTCCAAAGCTCGGGGCGTTGACAACAAATTACGGCAGATGCTCCCGCTTATTGCCCAAGGCGGTAACCGAATCCCACTACCCGAGAGCAAAAGCGAGTGCCCGCACGGTCGTACCATTAACCCTTTGCGCTCTAATGCTGCATCGCGCCACTCTCCCGCCGCTTTTTTTGTCACTTTTCTTTCCTATCGTCCGAAAATCGACCCAGCCATGATCGCCCTCAGCCGCCGGCCAGCTCCGCTCAACGTTTGGAATCGGCCCATTTGCTCCAATGGACCGCGTCTCCAATAAATATAACTTTGTGACGAAATGACGGCCCGTGAATATTGTATCTGCGGTGCCGCCCTCGGCTGCTTCGCTTCCGGCTGCGTGGTACCTCAGCGCTTCGCGTGCGGGCCGCTCTGCAAGCATGTATTTGTCAACCGTGCCAGATGCATGCGAAAGATAGGAGCCCTCCCCTGCACTGCCGAAGGAGCTACTGACTATTGAAATCTTAGCACGCTTGTAATGGTTGGCGACACTTAGTGATGGAGCGATAGAAGTTTCTTTGACTCATCATCCACCACAGAGTTTCACTCGGCAGCTGAATGATGGAACTTTTTCTACGTACTTAAGACTACTTACTTCACACATTGAAGAAGATTTGCTTCTAATCTCCCTACGTATTCTTTTCTTCTGTCCTATGCAACTTGAAATCCGACAAGTAATGTAATGAATATGCGTTCCCGACATGGTTTATTAACTGACCACGCCTGAATGATCGCTAGTTGCGTTCATTCCAGTACCTCTTTTGCCCTCGGGACGGCCCCACTGATAGCGTGGTGTGGTAGGTTAGACCAACTCTTAGCAAGTGAATTCCTAGAGATTTAATACACAATGTCCCACAGTGAAGCACGGAGAGATGGAACTTCGAAATTCTCGTAGTAAAAGTAGATTACGGTACCGGGACTATCTTTTAGTCACATGAGTCAGGACCCGCCACTTTTTTATTAAAGTTTGATACTAAGCCTATGGCTATGAAGCTAAGAAGAGCTATCGAAGCGGTGTCGGATCACACAATATAGTTTCTGGCTAGTTATTGAAGACGGTGTAGAAGATATATATGAGCTTTTTGCTATCTAGTGGTGGCTTTTTTTTTAGTGTGTATGCGTAGTAGGTGTCTTCAATATGGTTGATTCTACTCTGTATATCTTTTAGAAGGACTTGACTACTTAAAAGTGATGTTGAGGTATGACATGCCGATAGATAGCTAATGGACTTAAAGAGTAGGTAATAGAGTAATTTAATGCGTTAAGAGAATCGTAGTAACCTACTGTGTATAGTTACGGAGGTAGGGAACTTTGAAGAACATTGACGATGTAGATAAAAAAAAATGGAGGATACATTTATAGACATAAGGGCGTCAGTAAAATTATGGAACTAATTAAGATTTCCAGTCTTGAGTTCACGTAACTCTCAATAAATATATCGTTCAAGGCAATCTACACTGATATTGGCTTTCTATTACTTCTTCAGTCTATCTAAAAGTCATCCTAAAATGAATACAATTGACGCTTTTGTCATCTTCAACTTTGAAAAAAAAAAAAAAAAAGGCTCGCCAGACAAAGCTGCAGTGGTTGGTAAACAAAAATGTCGTTCTAGGTTCTCAGTCTACTAATAGCTTGATTGCAATCCTTCCTACTCCCCTCGAGACACAAGAGAGCATGTTATCGCGCTTTTCATTTTCCTCCAACGCAGTGCCCCTATGATCCACCCTCCCGCTGACCAACCTCACTTTGCATGTTGCGCAATTGCCCACCTCGCAACTCGATGGAACGTCAAAGCCCGACTCTCGCAGCACATCCAACAACGTGTCGTTTGACGGGACCTCCAAACACTTCCCTCTGTCGACCAGCTCCACCGAGAAAGGATCGCCGGTCAGGTTTGCGGTAAAGGCCTCGAAGTGTACGTTTTGCTTTGGGAAATTCAGGCTGTCTGCAGCCATCGCCATGGACTCCATCATGCGCTCCGGGCCGCAGCAGTAGATGTGCGTTGCCACCGTTTGGGATGCAACGAGTTTTCTGATATCCAAGCGGTTTCCGTCTGCCTTGCTGTAAATGATCAGGCGGTGGCCAAGAATCTCCAAGTATCGGCGGAATGGAATGTCGTTTTCTGAGTTGACACACAGATGAAGTTCCCATGGGATACACTGGGAGGCCAGTGTTCGAGCTGCTGGGATGAAGGCAGTAATGCCTATTCCTCCAGCAATCAGAACGTGTTTCTGCGCTTGTGGTTGGAGCGGGAAGCTCTCGTTGACGGCGCTGATTTCCAGAGTGTCTCCGGCGGATATGCAGTCGTGCAAGTACTTCGAGCCGCCTCGGCTGTTGTCGTTCAGAGCAACGCCGATCTCCAGAATGTTGCTGTCACCACCAACCACTGAATAGGAGCGGATGAGCTTCTGCAGCTTTATCCGGATGTGAGCCCCCGGCTTCACCATCTGCGGATTGGGCACCGGCTCCAAGGCCTCGAACACGAACGACGCAATTTTAGCAGTCTCCCTTCTCTTTGCCGCAACCTTGAACTTCCTCCACACCTCCATTCTCTCCTGCTCACTTCCCCACAACCTTCCCTCCTCATTCTCAGCCCCCATGTTTCCAAACTTCCTCTTCAACCTGTTCTGGAACAGCAGCCTGAAATCTTCCCCCAGCTCCGGCAAGTTCGCCAGCTCCCTCACCGCCTCCTCGTTCTTCTTGTCCTTATGCAGGATCTCCTGCACCCTCCTCACCGTCCACTTGGGATTCTTCCGCTCCACCAACCTAATCTCATCGCCCACCTTCACCGTCCCCTCCCTCAGCACCCTATAGTACCACCCCGTCCGCCCCGTCTCCTGGCTCAACCGCGCCATCCCATCCACCTGAAACCGATGGTTCAACTTGTAGCAAGGCGCGCGGGGCAAGCTGACCTGCAGCCTCGCCCCACCATCGCCTCCAACCTCAACAACATCCCCTATACAAACATTCCACTCGCTCATCCGGCCAGCCGTGACGAAGTTCTCGCCGAAGCCGCCAGGCCGCAGCGCGGCAGCAGCATGGGGCGGTAATTCGGCCTGCCAGGCGGCGTAGTGGGCGGCGCAGTACTGCAGGACCGCCTTGTCTGGCCCGCCGTGCTTGAAGAAGGTCTGCTGGTCGCCCGCCAGCCCCAGCGCCGTCAGCCGGACCCCGTCAGGGTCCAGCCGCGGCCGCTTCGCGATGGCCGACGGGATCGACGTCCCCGGGACCGTGCGCGTCTTGCCCGTGCGGACTTGGAGGAGGGTGTCGGTCGTCCAGGGGGCGGTGAAGTCGATGGAGGCGGGAGCGGCGGTAGCGGTAGTGGTAGCGGTAGCGGAGGGGTTTGTGGTGGTGGTGGAGGATGAGGAGGATGAGGAGGAGGACGACGGCTGCGGCGGAGGCGGCGGGGTGAAGCGGGAGAAGGTGGTGTCTATGGAGCCCATAGTGGCGGATGACTTTTTTTTTTGTTCTCCCCCCCTTTTTTTCTTTCTTTCTGGTCCGATCGGTGGCGGTATAGCCGGGATGGTGTTGGTCCCTGCGATTGGGATTCGACTTGATGCTTGCCTTGGTGTATGGCGGATACGGTTGGGGGTGGCGAGCTTATAATTCAGGAACTGGCCCTGTGCTTCGACCCCCGTATTATCTTCCCCGGCGCAGCCACAAAAGAAAAAGATGAAGACGCCGTTATAGCCGCGTGGCGAATATTCGGATAGCGTAAACGGCAGATTCGGTAGTAAAGGGTCACGGCGTTTGTTCCGGGTGGGATCTACGTTCGAGGCTCGGGCTTCAAAATACCTAGTGTGGGAATCTCGTGTCGTTGTTTTCCCGAGTGGCAGAAAAGTCAGACATGGGATGACATCAATCCTTCCTGTCGAGAGAAAAAGAAAAGGATCTGGCTCATCAATCTCAACGGTTCCGCCATTACCTAGTGTCCGGGCACAGAAGTATGGTTGTGGAGTGCAAAGCTTATCTCAACCAAGTGTGGGGATAACCGGTGTCCATCCCGCACCAATCAGACCCTCTCGCCGTAAGCGAATCCTACGGCCCGCGGCGAACAGCGGATGGAAAGGTCCGTGAATGCGGCACAGAGACAATCATCGGGGCGTCCCGACGGCAGAAAGCTGTTCCAGTGTTTAGGCCTGATGGAGCTTAGTTATGGCTTTTCTGGTCCACTAATGCTGCAAGCTTTAAGCAGAGAAGCATAATCAAAGTTCATAGGAATAGGTGGCTGCATACAGCTCGGGAAGAGCACTCTGGAGTCGATTAGCGTCACTCAGGATTGCGTCAGTGCAGGGCACTTCTTCGGACGAAGTTCGCTCGAGTCGATATTGTCGGGCCAGACGGGCGGAGCCTTCCATTGCTATCGCTACTCTGGGATAGGATCCCAGCTTTGATGAAAGTGCCTTTCCTATGCAGAGACTGCTATGTCCTCTCCACTCCTTCGGATGGTGGATTCAATAGAAGTCATTCTCATCACAGCCAAACACTTTCAGAGACGTTGGTTCGCCTTCGCCATCACGGGCAACCGCCCAAGCTACCCAAAAGGTACAATTGCAGACGTCCCAAAGGAGCACTGGCGTAGTATCGATATTCGATGACCATTACCATGATTAATCGGGCCAGGACGTAATGATGTCCAGCCCTAGCCCCCTGCCCAAGGCAACGGGAGAGGTTACACGCCATGTCAGGCTGATATATGCGAAACAGGCACCCGAAGCATTGGACACAAAGGGCCCACGCATCACTTTCAGGCAACTGGCTTTTCCTGGTGGAGTGCAGGTGGAGCTGAGATTGCCTTGCATCTGAAGTGGTCGCCAGCTGCACGGGCAACGTACAGTGTCGACGCACAGACGACGAGGGCGAGCAGGCAGCAACATATTGTCCTATTGAAAGGGCGTTTTCGACGAGAGCTGAGGGCAGTCCAGTTGACCTGTCAGCTGTGACGTCGTCTTGTTCAAGTTCGATTGGAGGGCAGTAAGAAGTTGGTGTGGAGATCGACCGGTGAGGTCCAGTTGAACGTTTCGAGAGCAAGCCATCGTGTCGCTTGATCGGCGTCTCCGTGGTTGCCTTCTTTTCCAAGCTTTCCGGAAGCGGTGACAAGGCGACTTGTGGGGAGCGTGTGAGAGGCCAGTAGTGGTATCAGAGGTGAGCCACAGGGCAGTAGCGCGGCAAGGCAACCCGGATGTCGTCGTCAGCACGACTGGCTGCCGGGCCTGGAAATAGTGCCGAGCAATGGAATCTTGGACCGAAGACATATGGTGATTTGCTTACTCGGACACGGAGCACGCGCACAACCTGACGGCTAACGGGCCGCATGATTTTCTTTTTCTCGCCTGCCACACATTCTTGACCGGTCAAAGTCAACGACAGGCGGAAAAATGAGGCGGCTCCTTGCACGCATGTGTGTGGCCGGTAAGGGGGCAAAATTTGCCTCTGGAGCGGTGATGTGCAGGTCACAGCCACACTCCTCAGCTTGGACCTTCTGAAACTGTCAGCGAGCAAAACGACGTGCGGCGAGGAATACGACATGCAGCTTGAGCCCTAATAACACGCATGCACGCTACCCTCCATCCGCGTTCTTTTTAGCAGTCCCAAGATGCGATCTCTCAGGCTTTCCCAAAATAGAAGCATGGTTAGCGACGGTGCGACAGTGGAACCGCGGGCGAAGCGAACACCATTACCGACGCTATCACGGATCCTCGGGACCGACACTACTGCAAGGAAGCCGAAGAATAATATAAGGGCCGCTGTGAGACGCAGAAGGAAACGTTACTGGTTGCACGCGTGATCAGCTCCGCTACCGGAGCTCTCCGGAGTAATAAGAGTCATTGCTGGCAGAGAAGAGGGATGAAGTCGGTAGCAGGCGCATGTGACGACAACAAAGAATGGCACCTAGTCCAAAGCGCGAGACGCAGGGTGGGTGGCCAGCGCCGTGGTTTCGACGTGCCGGTCGCGGGTTGCGGCGTGTCGGTGCCCTTGCGGTGCGGAACACGCAGAGCATTCATCCAAGGCGCAGTGTGCCCAAGCGGCAGACGAGCAGAGACATGTTCGGACCGACAGGCGATGGTGTTGAGGACGTGGGGAGTGTGGAGAAGAGGCTTGCGAGGCTCTGCGGCAGCGGGCGAGTCAGGGCCGGGGCGTCAATCATGCAGGGACCACCGGTGGCCTGTGAATGCAACGTCGTCACTAGACGCGCAATTGACAGTTGACACGTCCACGCCTGCGTACTCGAACTTTGCAGTGTCGGGCGAGACGGCCTGCAGACTACGTTCGCTATCGCGCCCGCTGGGACCTAAATCCCTAGACCGCGTCCCTGACTGTCCCGCGCCGCCGATCAATGGGCTCTCAGCCCGCCCGCTCAGTGCTCCTTGTACTCTTCACTCTCAAATGGCTGCCCTCCTCGAGTCCTTCAGCGCCGAGCTGACTTCGCTCGGCGAAGAGTTCCAAGAGCTGTACCTGCACGTCCAGCATGCCCCAATCTCCTTTATACTGATCCTTATCCTCACCACCGTTGTGGGGTTCGCCGGCCTGGTAAGCTCGCATTCCGCTTCCATGCCAATTCCAGAGCGCAATTGTTGACGCCCCTGGCGCGCTGCAGTTCTACACCTTCCTTCTCATTGTCGCGCCCACGCCGCGCCTGCCCCTTCCCTCGGAGAAGACGTACCGCACCATCCTCCCGGACGGCACCATCAGCGACCCCAAGCAGCTCCCCTGCTGGCTGGACCAATGGGCCGCGCGCAACAAGCTGGCCAAGCGCCAGGGCGCATCCACCGAGGAGGCCCACAAGATTGAGGAGCCCGAGGTCTTCATGTCGGTCGTGGTTCCGGCGTACAATGAGGAGCAGCGCCTGGGCGGCATGCTGGAGGAGGCCGTCGAGTTCCTGCAGCGCGAGTACGGCGACGCGCACGGCGCCGAGGTCGAGGCCCGCGCCCCGTCCGTCACGGCCAAGTCGCTGAATGGCGATGCCGGCGCCGCCAGAGAGACTTCGTCGCGGCGCGTCGGCTCCGGCTGGGAGATTCTCATCGTGTCGGACGGTTCCTCGGACCATACCGAGGAGTACGCGCTCAACTTCGCCCGCGACCACCAGCTCTCGCAGTACCCAACCCCCGTTCCCGGTCCTTGGAAGGCCAAGCCTGGCCCCACGCACATCCCGCACGGCTCCATCAGGGTCATCAGGCTGGAAAAGAACAGGGGCAAGGGAGGCGCAGTCACCCATGGCATGCGCCATGCGCGAGGCCAATACGTCGTGTTCGCAGATGCCGACGGCGCGAGCGAGTTCACCGATCTCAAGAAGCTTGTCGCAGGATGCCAGGAGATTGAGGATTCGCAGGGACGGGGTGTGGGTATCGGCTCGCGCTCGCACTTGGTGGGGAGTGAGGCGGTTGTCAAGGTAAGAAGATGGGCCAGAAAGACGTTCAAGCGCTCGCCTGCTGACTGCGGATACAGCGCTCGAGACTCCGCAACTTCCTCATGCATTCGTTCCATTTGCTGCTCTGGGTTATGACGCCGCCTGCCACGTCCAGGATCAAGGACACTCAATGCGGTTTCAAGCTCTTTTCTCGCGCTGCCCTGCCTTATATCATCCCGTACATGCACAGCGAGGGCTGGATCTTCGATGTTGAAATGCTCATGCTCGCCGAGAGTGCGAATGTCCCCATGGCCGAAGTCGCCGTCGGCTGGAAGGAAGTCATGGGTAGTAAGCTGAATGTGGTTTGGGACAGCCTAGGAATGGCCTGGGGACTGGCCGTGCTACGCGCCAGTTGGATGTTCGGAGTTTATTCGCGTGCGTAAAGTACGTTTTCTTCTCGTAAATATTTGTCCAGGGACACTTCAAAAGCAATGTACTGGTATTCTGCCATTGAGTATCGACGTTCCAAGTACATGTCGTGAGTAACATCGATCCTGAGTGACTGGCACGCTACAAGGATTACACGGAATCGGGACGGACAACCAACCAGGGCATGAGAAAGGTAGTACTGATGCGTAATTGCCGGGAATCTATTCCGTCTACTATTTACAGCTCGTTTAGCGTCGCACTGTCCCCAATAGCTCCCCGCTTCTATAACTTGAACTTCTCCGGCCTGGATGCTCCCTCCCACAGCTCGGCAGGCAGACTCCCTTCCCTCACCCACACACTCACACTCCTCGGAGCACATGCAAATGTTCCACATCCTCGCTCGTCTAACACCACCTTCTCTTCCACTTTCCCTAGCGCATCGATGAAGGTCTGCCCTGCAGCCCATTTGCCCACATACATGCCCTTCTTCGTCGCCCCCATCACGCTCATCACCACGACACAGCCGTCCGGGCGGTCCCACGTGCCGTGCCGCACCCAACCGGCGCTCGTGCGAGCGTCAAAGTAGTCAGTCTGCTCTCCGTAGGCGAAGAAGCGGCGCAGCAGCAGCAGGAGGGGCAGCTTGCCGGCGCAGGCGGGCGGGGCCGGGAAGGGGCCCATCATGCCGTGCAAGTCGCCGTAGAAGACGCAGGGCAGGCCGTCGCGGCGCAGCAGGATCAGGGCGTAGGCGAGCGGCTTGAACCACGGGGTGACGGGTGTCTCCAGCATCTGGCCCTTGGCCGTGTCGTGCGAGGCCACCATGGTGACGGTGTTGGCGGGGCGCGCGGCCACGAGCGTGTTCTTGTAGATCTGGGTGCGCATGTCGATGACCGGGGCCGGCGTCAGGGTCGAGGGCCGCTTGCTGGCGGCGAGCGAGAGGGCCGAGAAGTTGTTGAGCAGCGGGGCGTCGTAGGCGTGGGCGTTGTTGCCGACGCGGTCGACCCACTTGATCAGCTTGTCGACGTCGCCCGTCCAGTACTCGCCCAGCACGAAGACGTCCTTGTTGGCGGCGGCGGCGGCGGCCTTGACGTGGGCGGTCCAGTCGCGCGCAAAGTGCCAGGACACGTGCTTGAAGGCGTCAAGGCGGAAACCGTTGACTCCGACGTCCGTCACCATCCACGCACCCCAGTCCAGCACGTCCTGCCGCGCCTCGGCGTTGGAGTAGTCGATGTTGGTGAACATGAGGTAGTCGTAGTTTCCCAGCTCGTCGTCGACGTCTGGCGCCCAGTCCTTGCGGTGCTGCTTCGACGGCCGCCTCCCCTTCGCGTCGGGCGGGTCGATGATCTTGTAGATGGCGTGCCGCTCCGCTCGCTGGTCCCAATCCGTGCCATTGAAGTGCTGCCAGTGCCATTTCAGGCTGCTGTACTTGTCACCTCGCCCTGGGAATGAGTAGTGGATCCAGGGTTCGATCTTCCTGGGTTTGGTGGTTTCGACGCGGCGGTCTGGAGGGGAAAGTTAGTGGATAGGAAAAAATGAAGAAATAAAAGAAATCACCTTCTGGATCAACCTCGACCGCCCAGCACTCCTCGGTGCTATCTCCGGCAGTTTTGTGACTGAGCACGGCGTCCCAGACGATGGCGATCCCCAGGCTCTTGGCCTTGTCCATGAGATCGCGCAACTCCTCGCGCGAGCCCCATTTCGTGGACCGGGCACCCTTCTGGTCGAATTCGCCGAGGTCCCAGAGGTCATAGCAGTCGTAGCCGTTACCGTCGGGCTGGTTGGCTTTGCAGCCGGGCGGCAGCCATATTGAGGTTATGCCCAGATCGGCATAAGTCTGCAGCGCTGCAGATAGGCGGGTCCAGTGCCCACCCGGCGTGTACCACTGGAAACCCTGGAACAGGATCGCATTCACGGGCGTCGGGCTGCCGGGTTCCTGCCTCTCAGGTCCTTTATTTTAGTTGAGCATCAGCGGCTGCACACGCGAGGGTTCGGCTAGAAGTTTACCCCTGAGCTGGATCTGTTGCGACGACTCCTTGCGGCTTCTGTGAGCCTTGGAGAAACGGTTGCGCAGCCAAGACATGAGATCTCCAGCACTCGTCGATCTCCCTTGTGCAGCACAGAGAGAGCTTTCAAGATATATATATATTCAGCAACCAATGCGCCAGTTCTTTAAAAAGGCAACGAGCCGTATTCAGACACGAGGTTGTCAGGCACCCGTCTAAGCCCAGCGCCGCGCGACCACGTGCTGCCAAGAGCAGCTCTGCTGTACGTAGGGGTATTGCAGCCGAAGGCTAGTGCGAAGAATAGCAGGATCCTCGATCCTAAGATAACCATGCCTCGGCTTTTTTTTTTTAGAAAATAAAAATAAAAATAAAACAATACATGGGTGGTAGAAGCTATCGTCCGGATAAGAAGGTCGAATTAAGCATTCTACACACACGTCCGGACGATAGCTTCAACTGCCCATGACATGAGTAAGGAATAAATAGCGCTAGCCTTCACTCGTCTGTAATGCGACGATGCTGGTTGGCGCCCGATTCCGGCCCGCTAGCACCCGCCATGACGATCGGAAAGCTGAGGAGAGCTTCCAGCAACACAGCTCGAGACCACCTCTCTTAATCAGCCCAGCACACCCCTCTCACCACCACCCGCCACCTGTCCGGATCATGCAGAGGTAGCAATTGCTTTCGCCCACTCTCAACACCCCCATCGCCGCCTACGATGTCGCTCCGCGCCCCCGTCGCACGCCTCTCGCAGCGGGCATCGCCTGCTCACATTTCCAAATTCACCGCCACGCCGGCCTCTTCGCTCTGGCAGCGAACCCAGCAGACATCGCAGAGGACCCTCGCAACTGTGCCGCCCGTCACCCAGGATGCGACAAGCTCCAAGGGCCCCACGGCCATGGTCTTCATGAACATGGGCGGCCCCTCCACTACCGCCGAAGTTGGGGACTTCCTCAGCAGATTATTCGTACGTCTCTCTCATGCACCCCGCGCGTGCCCTGCTAATGACGTTTTTCCACGCAGTCCGACGGTGACCTCATCCCCCTCGGCCGCCTACAGAACTACCTCGGACCCTTCATCTCGAAGCGCCGCACGCCCAAGATTGAGAAGCAGTACGCCGACATTGGAGGTGGCTCGCCAATTCGCATGTGGTCCGAGTACCAGGCCGCCGAGATGTGCAAGATTCTAGACAAAATATCACCCGCCACAGCCCCGCACAAGCCATACGTTGCCTTTCGCTACGCCAATCCCCTGACCGAGGAGATGTACAATCAGCTGTTCGAAGACGGGTTTGGAAAGGGCCGGGGTGGCCGTGCTGTCGCCTTCACCCAGTACCCGCAGTACTCGTGCAGCACCACTGGTTCGTCGCTGAATGAGCTGTGGAAGTGGCGGAGTAGACTCGAGGGCAGGAGGGCCGGTGATGGCGTCAATGAGCCCGCAGGTTCGATCACATGGAGTGTTATTGATCGCTGGCCGGTACATCCGGGGCTTGTGGAAGCGTTTGCTCAGAACATCGAGGCCACTCTGAAGGAGTTCCCTGAGGAAATCAGGGACCAGGTCATTATTCTCTTCTCGGCGCACAGTCTGCCAATGAGCGTCGTCAACAGGGGTAAGCTTAATCCAGTGTGCAAACGATGCCGCGGGCTTTACTGATGTGTGAATCTGCAGGCGACCCGTACCCTGCCGAAGTCGCTGCAACTGTCTACGCAGTCATGCAGCGTCTCAAAATGAAGAACCCTTACCGTCTTGTTTGGCAGTCTCAGGTCGGACCGTCGGCCTGGCTGGGGGCCCAGACTTCGGACACAGTCTCCAACTTCATCAAGCAGGGACAGAAGGATATGCTTCTTGTGCCAATTGCGTTCACGTCGGACCATATCGAGACTCTGTTCGAACTGGACAAGGAGATTATTCACGACGCTACCGAGGAGGGTGGCAACGTCAAGAGGGCGGAGAGCTTGAATGGCTCACCAGTGTTCATCCAGGCGCTGGCAGACATTGCCAAGGCGCATCTAGAGAGCGGGCAGGCGTGCAGTCAGCAGATGGGGCTGAGATGCCCTGGCTGCGTCAGCGAGCGCTGCGCCGAGAGCAAGCGCTTCTTTGCGAGCATGCAAGAGAGGATTTAGACGACACTCATGTTCACATTTGTTCGGATATCATGACAAAATGGGTCGGATTGTAATATCGGGGGTCGGGACTATACCTGGGGCGTCCACGCCTGTCTGTAACAATAGTACTACTGGGAAATTTCAGCTGCTCAAAATAGGCGCATGCTACTACAATCTTACAAGTCAACTTGCTCAGGCATACGAAGCTTATCGGAGGCTGAGTTCTCGGCGTCCGAAGCACAGACACCATCGTGACCAGGAAAGCCAACGGCGTCGAATCAGAAGCATCCGCCAACAGAAACACGGTCGGACTCGCATTGCGCTCCCAACAGAAGATCGTGCCGTTTTTCGACAGGCTCACATCGTGGGCCCGTCGAGACTTTGGAGAATGTATGTAGGGTTCGCGGTACGGCGGGGCCGCTTTGCTGGCATGGACCTGAGCGGGCGGAGCAACTGTCAGCCCGACTAATGGGAGCGTTTCAAGCTAGGCCGCGGAAGGCATCGACGTCACGACTTTGGGGGTCCATGCCAGCTCATAACACCGGCATCTCGGGGAACAGCGTGCCGACACCAGACGCGCATTATCAATCCAGCAATCACCTCGGCGTCATACATGAAGGAAGCGAAACATGATAGCGCCCGCCCGTCGACCGTCCCGCTCTCCACACTTCCGCCAGCACTCATTCGTTCTGTGCCCCACCGTGCTTCGTGGGAGCTTGAGTTTCGCGTCACGGAGTTTAACGCTGCTCCATCCGATCCTATCGCGCACCATCCAGCACCACTTTCCCCCCAGCCCGCCAATCTTCGCGCGTCTGGACCTGCCGCCCTGACAAGACCCACGCAACTCCAGATACCTAACCGAATGAGAGGCATGGCTGCGCTTATTTGATCCGCTTGCCCACATTCCGCGCGCCACTTGTGCACCACCCAGTACAGCTGCCGCCTGCTGCTCTTGCCCAGGTGCACCCCTCATCCAGAAATCCAAGAAACGACCATGGAGAACAACGCCATATACACCCCAGACACTGGGGTTGCGCGAACTGGTCCGATAAGACAGGTCGACAGAGAACATGCCGGAGAAGACCAGATGCTAGTCGAGGTGGGAGGCGTGGACACAGGACTCCGGTATCGAAGCGCCGAGGAGACTCCTCTGCTTGCTGGGGACAGCAGGAGAAGCAGCGCAAGCAGCAGGCCTTCTGCGTACGAGGACTTCTCTGCGATCCCATGGTATAAACGGCCGTCGGTCAGTGATTTGCGTGTGCCAGTTGTTCCGAAGCAGTTGCTGACATCCATCAGATCTACTGGATGCTTCCCATGTTTTTCTTGATGGCAATCGCGAATGCTGGCATTCTAGTGCCTAAGATGAATCTCATCATCACGCTGCTCTGCCGCGAATACTTCTCCGATAAGGCAATGCAGGACCCAAACTTTACAACTCTTCCCGTCGTCTTCGGAGACGAGAACCCGCAGTGTCGGAGCCCTGAGGTGTCGGCTTATGTCGCCGAGTTCACCTTGATAGGAAATCTGCTCTCGGGCATCCTCTGCGCCATCACTTCGCCCAAGCTTGGAGCTCTCTCGGACCGATATGGCCGTTTGCGTATCATCATCATTTCGAGCATCGGCATGTTGCTTGGAGAAGTCATCGTCCTGTGCGCAGCTTCTTATCCTGACACGATCCCGGTTGGCTGGATCCTCGTGTCATACGGCGTCGAGGGGCTGTTTGGGTCCTTTATTGCTGCCATGGCCATCGCCAATTCGTATGCTACCGACTGCATCCCAATCGATAGACGCAACGTCGTCTTTGGATACTTTCACGCCGCTCTCTTCACTGGTATTGCCCTCGGCCCTATTGTGTCGGCGTACATCATCGAGGCTGTTGGCTCCATTGTGTCCATCTTTTACATTGCCGCCGGAATCCATGTCACCTTCATCCTGTTCGCTGGCTTGCTCATTCCCGAGTCCCTCACGAAGGACCGGCAGATGGCGGCGCGGGAGAAGCATGCTCTCGAACGCGCAGCCCGGGCGCCCTCGGCAGACTGGATCAATCGCATGCGGCACCTCAACCTCCTCGAGCCGCTCAAGATTCTGTATCCCACCGGCGAAGGCAGCAGTCCGGCAGTTCGCCGCAACCTCCTGGTACTGGCTGGTGTCGACACGACCGTGTTTGGCGTCCACATGGGTGCTATGACAGTTGTCATCATTTACACGAACTTCCAGTTTGGCTGGACGACGGTCGAGACCAGCCGGCTCGTCTCTCTCGTCAGCGGCAGCCGCGTGTTCTGCCTGCTGGTGCTGCTCCCCATCATCACCCGCCTGTACAAGGGCCGCAGCGCGTCAGCAAGCCGCCGCCGCCGCCCTGGCACTGCCGCCGTCCACGAAAAGCCCAGCGGCGCCGAGCCCTTCGACCTCGCACTGATCCGCTTCGCCATCGCGCTTGACACGCTGGGGTACCTGGGCTACACGCTCGCGTCGTCGGGCGGCCTGTTCATGGCGTCGGGCGCGCTGGCGGCGGCGGGCGGCATGGGCTCCCCCACGCTACAGAGCAGCCTGACCAAGCACGTGCCGGCCGACCGCACCGGGCAGCTGCTCGGCGCCATGGGCCTGCTGCACGCCCTCGCGCGTGTCGTCGCGCCCACCGTCTTCAACGCCATCTACGCCGCCACCGTGGGCACCTTCACGCAGCTGGTCTTTGTGTGCTTGACGAGCGTGTTCGGCATCGCCTTCGTGGCGGCCTTCTTCGTCAGGCCGGGCGTCGGGTTGGAAGAGCCGTCGGCGGAGGAGGTGGTGGCTGGTGTTGGTGTTGGTGTTGGTCGTCCCTTTGGCGGCGAGGGTGATGAGGAGGTTGAGGTTGGGCGGGGGGTGTAGTAGGTGTTTCTGTACATATGGTAAGTCGGGTTACGCTGTGTCCGCATATGAAACTGTTTTTTATTGGTTCGATTGAATAGACTATTGTTATTCTCGTTCATCAGCCTTGGTGAAACAAGAGGAGGAATAGCTCCTCTTTTTTTCCTACTTTCCTCTTGTTTGGTTGGAAGTAGACAATGATCGGAACGACTGGATATGAAGCAAAGCGTTTATTTTTCTTTCCTCTTTTCCACTTGGGGGAGGGGTGCTGTCGCGCTTATTGTACGTGGCTTTCCGGCCACGGCGGGGGTGGTGGGCAAGCTTATTTTGGTTTCTGACCGGTCGTTTGCAGCGGCTGGGTGTGCGTGCTGCCTGGGGGGAGGGAATGTTGTGCTTATGACTGGTTTCTTATTTGACTCGTTAGGGTTTTGGTTGGTCGATGGACGGGACTCTCTGAATGGTCGGATGTGTGGTTGGAGGGCGGGGGGTTAGGTTTCACGCATAGACGCGATTAAGTCGCGCAAAGCTGTGTGTGTGCGCTTCATTGGGTATGCATGCATGTGTACTGAGTTGATTTTCTTTTTTTCTTTTTCCTCTCTCTGTTTGTATCACGCGATGGTCATGGCGAGCAAACGTATGTACATCAACGCCCGAGGTGTTGCAACTGAGTCCAATTGCCACATTTTCTCTCTTATGCCGCAATGGATATTTATCTTGGTTCTTTTCCATCTGTTACCTACTTTGCTATCGCGATTGGTTTCCTGCGCTATTTTTGGTTTACTATGTAGTAGAGTGACGACGATGAATCTTGGTTTAGTCTGAAGGCTAATGGGAATTTTATTTCTGGGTCATGTGGACCAGTGCGACTAGCCTGGTGTCTTATTTGTCGCGCTCCGTACCTCGGGTCAGAGACGAAGGAACATGCAGCAGTTGTCTAGTGAATTGAACTGGAAGGAATCAGAGATTGCGAGTTAGTAACCGCTCGGCTTTACCTGCGTGCTTTCTTTCTTTCTTTTCTGTATGGTGGGGGAGGAGTTAAAGATGAGGGCCGCTCGGGAAAAAGAGTGACTTGAATTCTCATAGACCAGAAGCGATTTTTGTAGTCAATTTAGAGCCTACTCCTACGCCGACACACGTTCCTTTTTTTAACTAGTAAAAACAAAAAAGAAACGGCTGTGGGGTATGGAGTGGGGTTCCTCCAAAGAGATGTCAGGGCCGGCTGGGCGTAGGCTTTTGTTGAGTGTGGGGTGTTGATTGGGGGGCGTTACGTGCGACCGGAGCTGCGGACCTGGGGAACTCATCCTTCCACTAATACCTCGGAAAGAATCGGAGGCACGGGACAAATTTTAAGGCGTTTATAACGGGAGGATGTACCACGGCTTCTCCACTGGTTTTAGTGGTTCAGCGAAACTCCCACGCGACATCAGAGACCGGCAGTTTGTTTAAATTGTTTATTGGATTGTATTCAGTTACACGATAAAAGTAAGTGTTGAAGCGAAACGAATGAAGATGGATGTGGCAAAGTCTTCTGTCCGCGGAGACCAAAACACGCTCATCTACTCTAGGTATGATGGAGACATGCAAAAGAAGCTGCACAATGGATATGGATATGAAATACTCAATGGAAATATGCGATAAGGCTCCTACTACACAAACGCCATTCAAATACAAAAAAGGACGAAGAACGGATTACCTCAAACACCGACAACAAGATTCATAGGGGTGGTTGTGGTAAGGAATGGATGTCGGCAGGTGATTGTTGTCGCGCAAGAAGTAAGATGGGGCCCAAAGGTGGCTTGGTCCTGCTTATTCCCCCATGGGTCCACGACTGCGAGGGGCAAGACAGTCCGTTCAGAGTATCAGACCGTCAGTGTCTCTCCGTCTCGTTATTCGTCTCGCTCACGTCGTCAAACTCGTCGATCTCTCACGTCATCATCTCCTATCAAGTCCCAGTCAGTATCGCTATCACTTAGTCGTCTGACAGCAGAAAGAGGTGGATCAAGGCAAGGGGCAGGCAGGGCGAAAGAGAAAGGGAAGGGCATACCTGAGCAGTCTCGATGCTTGCTTAGCTCCTCCAGCTGCCACCACCACGGCCCCTGGTGCCGAGCCTGAACAGAGCCCTCGCGCTTCCGATCCAGCCGTGATGACCAGAGCCGATCTGGCTGCCAGCAGCGGCACCGGCGACAGCAGCGGTACCAGCACCGACGGCGACGGCGTTCGAGTGGGCAAGCGCACGCTGCTCAGCGCGGACCTGGGCCCTCGCTGCGCGGCGGGGGAACACCATGGGGCCGAAGTAGCGGCACGGGAGATAGGTGGCGACGCCAAAGGCAGCGGCGTTGAGGCCGAGGGCCACCATCTCGGAGGAGGTCTGAAGTGCGAGACGCATGGTGTTGTTGTTGGTTGAGTGGAGAGTGGAGGTGTTTGCTCAGAGGGACGAAGCCTGCTGCCGTGCAACGGTCGGATCAGGCTTAAGAGGGGTAAGAGCAGGAAAGTACTAGGTACTTGGACGAGGATAGGGTGACGGAAGCAAGGTTGATGAGGCTGCCTTGCTTGCAGACAGATGAAGTGTGGAGGGAGGACAAAGGCAGCAAGAGGTGGAAGAGTGGTAGGTGTCACTTGGTCTTCCCCTCCTTCCTCTCCCTCTTATAAGGTTGGCTAAAGCAGCCAGGCCCGGGCTTACCGGCACAGGTACGTACCTCGACGTCTGCGACACTACATTGGATGGAGCGGAGCTGAGTCGCTCGAGGAGCCAACCAGCAGCCCAGTCCACCTCGCTATGGTAGTGTGGCAGTGGCGTGAACCACGCAGCACCCATTCCCAGGGCCAGCCATGTCACAAGGGAGTGCTGTGAGTGGTCGGATGGCGCTCTGGCTAGGCTTCCCCGCATTTTTGGTCGCGCGTCCCCGCTTCCCAGCCGTCTGGGGCCGCCCGCAGCCCCCTGCCGTGTGGCCACAAGAGGAAGGCCAGCGGCTGGCGATTGGCTGACCGACTGCTGATCCAAGTCCGCTGTGACGCCCAGCTCCCTGACCAATCTGCGAGAGCGAGCGATGCGGTGGTTGTTGTCCGTGTTCTGTCAGGGATCGTTTGGCATCCTGGAAAGACGCTGCTTTAACGATCGCTTCGTGATTGGGTGGCACCCATGCACTGTCGCCCCTGATTGGCTCTTCGCCGACGCGAGTACAGCTGCACGCTTGCGGACGGCCTTCCTGATGGTGGTGTGACCGGTAGGTGCAGAAATGCAATGCCGTGCTCGGTGTAACACATATAGCCTCGAAGTGCCGTCGGCGTCATCAGTGTCGCGCGCTGGTGGTGTGCTCTTCGAACGACCCCTACAGATGTCCTATCTGCTGTTTCATAGCCCCTTGCTCTTCTCGGTGGTGCAGCAGTACATAAGAGACGGTGCGCCCCCGCTTTGTGAGGTACTTTCTTCGACGGAGCCTGGCGGCACCCGTTTCGGCCCAACTGCCTTGCACACTCGGCTGTTTCAAGGAGGAGTCGCACCGCTTGGACGAATGATAGCTAGAGGCGATAGTGCAGGTCGCTGCTGCCATGCAAAGCGCCGAGTGTACACCCGGGCATTAGGCCGTCGCGACTACGTGGCGTGAGCCACACTTGATCGTCTGGAGTCCATTTTCGAGCGAACGCCTCAGCGGGTATACGTGAGGGGTAAAACTGGACCATGAGTAACCGGCCTACTACGCTTTTGGCTCGTGCGATGAGATGAAATGAGATCCGCTCTCCTTTGAACATGTCGGCCATCGCGCTTCCCCTCTGGTTCGGGAACGAGACGCTCGTTTCTTCGGGCTTTGCGACACTCGCGCCGTCTTCTAGGACCTTGCTGCTGGCCATGGGGCATTTTGCAGCGCTGGAGACGGAATGCGGGACCAACGGTGAATGCACGTGATGACGTCGGTGCGTACCTCGCTGTCTATCGACCATGCGCGGTAGCGACCAGCGCATGGCTTACCGTCAAACGCTAGTCAGCCAACACGGTTCTTCAACCTACCAAGAAGGGGATCAGCCTATGCCAAAAAAGGATGGTTCAGTGTGGGAGTTGAGGCTGGTGACTAGACGGGGAGTTTTCACTTCGTAGTTAAAAGACGGTTTGGGGTTTATCGGATCAAAGCTTACCAGAGGGACGGAACGCAGACGCAGAAGTCTCGAACTCATGCAGGTACCCCCTCGAGCGTCATGCTGGGTAATGCCCAGCCTCTCGACATGGCAGCGGGGTGAGATGTAGTCGATGTAGCTCGGTCCTTCTGCGGCCAGGCCTTAGGCACTTGTCTGCCTGAGGCACCAACAGGCTCACGTCTGCACCTTCCGGCTCTCCCGCACTTGACTGTCGACAACGTCATTGCACTGACTTTAATCGAAAAAGAAGCTTTTCTCACCTCGTTCTAATCCTTGCAAGCTCATTTCATAACCTTAGCGTGCATCCAGGGGAGCTTCTTCGCGAAGATACGATTCCTGTCCACGACGGTGCGTTGCACCGTACTGGCCTTCGTCTTGCCCTCTTCTTCTCATTCTTTCCTTTCTCATTCTTCTCTTCTCACGTGGCGCGCCGTTTCACTCGATCTCCTCACTCAACGCCCGAGCAGGGTTGTTGGAGGCCGCCCGTCAGCGCCGTTGGCGATTAACTTTCCATCGAGCAGGCATCGAGGCACAGTGCAATAATGAAGACGCCGCTTGTGCCGCTCTCGCTTACTTTGCCGCGCGCATACATCCAGATCTCATGGCCTGGTGTTGGCGGGCGGCCTCTTGTCATGCGCGTATCGCGTGTGAAGGGATTTCGGTTGCCTTGTTTTGCTGCCTGACGCATGGCTGTGGGCCTGGTGGTACGGCGTGAGACATCAGTGCGATCGAGCCGGCCAACACGGTCATCAAACGCGCGAAATGCAAGCCTCTGGGACGGCCGGAGCTATCAATTACCCCATCTGTGTCAGTTGCGGCGTTCACGACGGCTGCCTTGTGGGGACCGCAAGCAGAGATCGAAGAGGCGCAGCTTGGGGGCCAAAAAAGGATCCAAATTTTCCCACTGAACATCCGGCAAGGCAAGCCGGTGCCGCGTGCACCGAGGGGGAGAGACCAAAGAGAGTATGTAAGCAAAGCGACGAGCCTACTGATCCTGCGACGCGTGAATGTTTGCAGTCATGGCACCGGGCGGTTTCCTGAAAGGTCTTCGGCGCGCTTTCCGTGCGACAGTTTCACCCACGAGCCGCCAGGAACATAAAGCAACCGGCCTCCTCGCATCTCCTCCCTGCTTTGAGCCACGGCACTGACGCCCCGCCAAGCACCGCAACGCGTTTGCCTTCTTGCCCTTGCGACAGCGAGCCACGCGTGCCGGCAGCGCGTGCGCGGGACTCGGCCAGCACAGCACTTACGTGCCCGGAATATGCCTGAATGCAGCAGTTCATCATCAGGATGGCGCTCCCTGCCTCTCCCCCAGCTTATCGCACTTTGGCCCGAGGTTCATTCGCTCTCTTGCCGTCTGCATTCGTCGCCTTGCTTTTGCGAACGCCTGTTCTACCGTTGGCCTTTTCATGTCTTTCTTTGTTGTCGCTGCAGCGCTTCCCTTCGTTACCAGGCCCGCGGTCTCTGGCTTGCATATTGATTCGCCCTCCACCTTTTAAGGCAAATGGTCTGCTCCGCACGCTCGGCTCCAAATTTCCGTCTATCAAAGTGCCATGAATCTTTTTGCCTTCTTTCTTCCCCCACCCCAGCTTTTGCATGCCCGGCGAATCACACTGTGCCATCTAAGCTAAGCTATTTCTGTTGGTCCCGAAGGGTGGTAAGCCACATGTTATCTCATCCATCAAGAGTAGGGGCCTTATTCACTGCCTGCCAATGAGACCTGGGTCCATCAGCACGCAATTTTGCGGCCTATCATCCCCACTACGCGACTGTGGTCACCCGCTCTCGACCAGTTCCACTGCATCTGATTTTCAGGCAGCCTCAGGACGCCGTGGTGCCAGTGACACCCCGGAAACAGCCGTTTTCTCATACAATCAATCGACCGCTGTACCGACTGACCACAGCAGACCCTACCCGTCACCTTCCAACCACGCGTGCACACGCGCCCTTCTTCCAGCCTTGCCAGACGAAGATGACAGGCAAGCAGTAAGGCTGATGAGACAGAGTGTGAGTCATGTCGTCATTCAACGCTTCTCCCCGCTCACAAACCCCGCTATCCATCGGCTGTGGCTCCGCAAACGAGATTTTCGAATGAAGGTAGAAAATTTTGGTTGGAGCTTGTGATACTCGATCTCCTCCCTTCTTCAGATATGGGCTGACGATTACTCCCAAATAACGCCCCGTTCTGCATCGAGCCGAACACGGCAGCCAAACTGCAGTCATCTACCACACGTCTGGAGAGATGAGAGGGTGGTGCAGCCTCTCGATTGTTGGGCTTCTCATCATGTGGTTGCGTAGAAGGCATGCTGTGCTCGTTGCCTACTTTCTCCCCTGCCACTCTTGCTCTCCTGCCTCCGATAGTCGCGTGGTCTCTCCTGATTATGCGCCTCCTCTAATGATGTGTAAGACTGTTAAATTAACATATTACCCTGTTGGTCGTCCACAAAAGAAATTAGGGGCCTGGTAATCTGACTGGCTGTCATGTTGGGTGGCTGTTGATGTTATAGTCGTGCGAGCTGCCATAAGACATTCATTTGCTACCACGACGCACAGAGATGCCATCATCCAGCCCATAACCGCAGCCAACCCCGCTCCACTACGTGCAGCCGGGCCTCCCGTCCTCCCTTCCTTTGTCCGACCCGGGAAAGGATTCGGCCCCAGGATTGCTTGTTTCTCGCGTTGCGTTACGAGCCGATCGTTTGCACGGAGCACGTTCCGACAAAAGGAAAAAAAGGCAAACTATAATCATCGTGATTTGCGCATGAAACGAATAAACAAATGCAGGCTATGTCAAACTGGTGGATACGGTTGCATCCGTCATTTCTGGATGCGTGTGCTGCTGCTGCTAGCTGAGATCCTCTGGATGCCTGAGGTTCGCCTTTTTTGTTAGTGTACGACAAAGTTCGCACGCCTGCTGAACTGCTTCTCCCCTTGCGAACTCGGCCGATTTTCTAGGTACGTCCGCTTGCATATCATGTTCTAGAACGTGAATACCATGCTTTGGATGTGATTGATAGGTAACTTGTCTTTGATTCAAGAGAAGTCCTAATGCAAGCCGAGTTTCGTCACTGATACACACGTATGTCTGCAACAGGAGATAGACGATTGATCATACCGAGAGGAGTAATTCGGTCGCAGATGGATGTCTGATTATCCTGCTGCTGAAGGATTGAAGCTCGTCTCATAAACGTAAAACCAGCCGCGATTGCCGCCTGGGCTGCCCTGCTGCATGCAGGAGCAGAAGGATCGAAACTTAGTCAGATCCAAGGGCTATTCTCACATGCTATGGATATGAGATGATCGGTGAATCGAATGGAACCTGCTTTGCCACATCGTCTGGCCGACAGTGACGAAACCTAGTTGTCTGTACGGGCCGGGTAATAGAGCCGAAGGAGGTCGGTTTCAAGGCGAACTCGAAGCCGTAGCAGTGATATTCATGAAGACAAACCAATTTGAATCGGCAGCTCCGAAACATACCACGAGCATATTGAGGCATTGCTCGGTATAGCGACTAAATGGGTAGCAAAAGCGAACGAGACAAAAAATAGAGCATTGCAGGAAAAAAAATACGAAAATAAAAAGGGGCACAGATCTGAAGGGCAGAATTCCTGTCTAGTCCAACAGGTTATTGGATTTGCATTCCAGCTCCTGGATTCTGCTGCGGTTCGTCCATTGTGGATCTGGAAGAGCTGCGTTGTCATCAAGTCTGCTCGTGATTAGTCGTGCTGGAATGGCGCTTTTGAACACGAAAGCGAGCTCTGCCTGGGCCGGCGAACGCCCCGTGTTGGTAGCATTTTGAAGACGGTGAGGAGTGCGGTGTGGAGCCAAAACTTGGTTGTGCTCGGCGGGTGCCACGCATGTGTTGGGGGAAAGAGCGCTTCGGCCGACTTTTTGCACGGCGCGATCATGAGAGAGTTTGCCTGCTAGTTCGGGCCTTCCCGAGTCAGGATCGCGGCGCCGTGTCAGCGCAGTCGTCACTCATCGAGGCTGGAGTCTGAAGAAGTTGTGAAGTCGACGGGAATAGAAGGAGGCGCAAGAGCGAGGTCCCGCTTCGGCGCGGCGAGGTCCACAAAGCGGGAAAGGGCAATGTCAGAAAATTCCTCCAGGAGAGGCCGGTGGGAAGAGGAGCAATTGAGCAGTCAGCTGAGCTCAGTGGTGATGACAGCTCATCCACCGCTCGAGCAAAGGATGCATCGTGAGGGCAGACTTAAGCTGAAACAAGGAAACGAAGCAATCCTGTTGTTGAGCATCGCGGGCGTGCTCGCGGGACTGCCTGTTGCGGCTAGGGGCAGGAGGAAGTGCGGAGGCGCGCGGATTAGTCGATGGCTTGCGTTGGTTTAGGCAGCAGCGGAATAACACGAAGCTGATAAGCCAGTGCGCAGGGCTGAAGGCGCGCCATGTCGCCAGGCACGCTGCTGACAGCAGGCCGGCGTGCAGGCCGCACAGCGTGTCTTCGTTTTCGCCCGAAGCTTTCACCGGTGAGTGAAGATTGGGCGGGCGGTGGTGGCGCGCGTGTGTGTGAGGCTCAGGCGGCTGGGGCGATCGCGGAGAATTGGGCGTGGGGGCGGTTTCTATTCCTGCGCCCGCGGGCCAGGCAGCGGCCTGCTTTGCCTCGATTTTATACGCAGCGTAGAGAATGCGGCTGAACGTTTTCGTGCGCCGCGCGTGGCCAGGGGGCGGCTGCAAGAGCCGCAGGCAGGCAGCAATAATGCGAACCGTCAGCAGGCAACCGCGTGTGCATCCAGGTTCCAGCCCCCAAAACGCCGGGCCAGTGGCACGGAGGCCGCGCACCCTGCTCAGCGTTGCCTGCCGCCCGCCCAAGATTGTATATAGCCACACCGCAAGCTACGCACAGCGAGCAGCAGACCTTCTAGACGTCGTCGTCGGGCTCTTATCCGCCCACGCCCCCTCGCTCCCCCCGGCCCCGACTAGGCGGATCCTCGGCCCCGTCCGCCCAGCCGCGCCAACGTCACCACGCAGCCGCGACCCTCCGCCCCCGAGGCCTATTCTCTCAAAACCCTACGCCCACCCAAAGCGCCGATGCGTTGTTGTGCCTGCCCCAGTGCTGCTTCCGACGCGCCCTCGACACCCGGCCTTCCGACCGGCCCGTGCTGACTGGCGCCCCCGCATGCGACCAACCGATCTCCGCCGCCTGCGACTGCTGAAACTGGCCTCTTAACATGAACACGGATTACTTCGACTTGCACGAAGGCCTAGCAACCACTCAGCGAGCCCAGGCCAAGTCCGCTGCCCTGGTGCAGCCGCTCGGCGACGCCCTAGCCTGCCCCTACTGCGAGTGCGAGCTCTTCGACCGCGATGACGCCCTTTTGCACCATGTCCGCACGAGCCACGCCGCCCAAATCCAGGGCTCCGGTGTGAAGGAAGGCACCCCCCTATTTAGGAAGCTACTACGCGACGAGGCTCTTCACAAAGCGTGAGTCCGCGCCTGCCCGCCTGCGCCCGCCCGCGCCCTCCTAACCCGTCGAGCAGGAAGCAGATAGCCACCGCTCAGCACCAGCGCCGCCTCGAGGAGCAGCGCCGCCAAAAGCATTCCCGCCGCCACGATGCCGGCAAGACGCCGGATCTGAACCGGCTTACCCTGCAGAGTAAGACCCCATGGGCCGAGGGCGACCTTCTCCGCCCCACGCGTAAGCGTGCTGGATCTGACATTCCTGCGTCAGAGTCGCCTAACCGCTCCCCCGTCCGCCAGGATGCAAAGTCCCGGAAGGCTCGCGGCATGGACCCCGCAGTGGAGCCCCAGATTGCCGACGTGGAGATGGCCGAGGAATATGCAAGACTGCATCGGCCAGAGCCACGTGCCCAGTCTTACTCCACCCTGCCCTTCCACCCCCAGGCAGGTGTAACCCACCGCGATCACGGGTCCGCCTCGCCCTCATCGGTGTCCCACCATGGCACCCCAGTACCTCCCTCGGTGCCAAGTCCGTCGGCGGCCGTCTTGCCTATGCCGACGAACGAACAGTGGCCTGACCTAGTGCTGCAACCAGACTCACGCCCAATCTCTCAGGAGCAGCTCGCCGCTGAAGTAAAATCAATCTATGCCGGCCTCACCATGGTCGAGTCCAAGTGCATTCATGTCGATAAGGCTCAGGCCACCGCCGAGAGAGACCCCGTCTCCGGTCAACACCCAAGGCTGGCCCCAGATCACTGGCAAGCCCTCATCGCATTACATAGGACTTTACTTCACGAACATCACGATTTCTTTTTGGCGTCACAGCATCCCTCGGCGAGCCCGGCCCTGCGCCGTCTTGCCGCTAAGTATTCCATGCCGGCCCGAATGTGGAAGCATGGCATTCATTCCTTTCTGGAGCTTCTTCGTCATCGTCTGCCGGAATCCTTGGAGTACATGCTTACATTCATATATCTGGCGTACCAAATGATGGCGCTTCTTTATGAAACAGTACCTGCTTTCGAAGATACTTGGATCGAATGTCTCGGAGATCTTGGACGGTACCGGATGGCAATTGAAGACGAGGACCTCCGGGACCGCGAAACGTGGGCAGGTGTTGCCCGTTTTTGGTACAGCAAAGCCGCCGATAAGAGCCCCGCCGTGGGCCGGCTCTACCACCACCTGGCCATCCTGGCCAGGCCTAATGCTCTGCAGCAGCTCTACTTTTACAGTCGTTCTCTCACCTGCGTTCAGCCATTCATGAGCGCACGCGAGTCCATTCTTACCCTTTTCGACCCCATTCTCGGCCGCTCATCTACGTCTTATTCTCATTCACTTCCCGTCGAAACCAGCTTTATACGTGCCCATGGATTACTTTTCGAAAAAGATCAAGCATTTCAGCAACATACGTTTGACCACAACCTCAGCGACTTTATCCGACAGTTGGACACCAGCATTGGACGTGTCACTTCGAAATGGAAGGAACAGGGAGCGTACATGGCTATTGCGAACATTGCCAGCCTGTTTGATTACGGAAGCGAGGACAACTTCCTGCGTCTCGCTTTTGCGGCGCAGCTGCAACAAATTATATTTGAGAGGAATGACGATCCGGATCGGCAGCCTCCCCCCGTCCTGCCTCCCACACATCCCGCGCCTGACGACATGAAAATTGACCACCAGACTGCCAACACTTTTCCTAGCGCTTGCCGTCTTACCTTCGATACATTACACGTCGTCCTTCGGCGCTTCGGGGACAAGAATGTCCTGACTCATTTTCACATTCTACTCGCTTTCCTGAATCAACTTGCAACGCTTCCTTACGATACCACCTACATTTTCGAATACGTTCAATGGGAGGATCTCGCCTTCTTCCTCAATACCCTGGCCAAGTCTGAGACTGTCACGCCGGCAATTGAATCCCCCGCTTTCCTTCATGAAGGGGAAGAAGACTTCCGACCGTTGCCTGAGGACTACCTCATCCGGGGTCAGCTGTGGGCTCACTCGTATTATCCGGCAACATGGTTTAGCGGTGTTGTGGATGAGGAGGAGCGGATGCTGGAGCTGGCATCGACAATTAGATCTCGGACCGAGAGGATCCTGTGGCTTGGGATCCGCCTCGCGTCGGTAAGTGTTTGTCCTGGATCAATCGATCCAACGTAAAGGGGCTAACGTGCTGGCAGAAAAACATTGGTCTGATCTACGACAGCGCTAGTCACAGCTGGAGTACCCATCGCTCAGGTAACGCGATGGATGTGGATGAATGAATATGCCCGTGCAAGCAGTGCCCGTCGCACAGATGACATGAACCTTTGAAATCGGGCGCGTGGCTTCCGCGCCCGAAATAATAGCAATGCTGTCGCCAAGCGCCACATGCACCGATTCACGTCGGTCAGCGTGCCGCCCAAGCTACGAGGTTTTAGCCTCAGCTGAACTGCCCTGAAAGGGCACGTGTAATAAGCGGCACGCAAACACATGTCAACGGGAAACAAACAAAAACGCGGCGCAACTTGAGTGACCCTGGTGTCTCAAGGGCCATGCCGTCGCGCAGTAGATGAAACAAATAACAATACAAGAACAATTATCGGGTATCGTACTGACCATATTCTGAGCACCCGAGTGGAAAGTCGGGAATATGGAGTGCCCTCCTTCGCTTTAGAAGGGGGCGATTCACCTCCTCAACTACACGTCATTTTGCGTCATCCTTATTTCTTAAGCTACGTACAGAGGGGTATTGTAGCCGAAAGCTACCGTGAATTTTTTGCTCATGACATGGATCGTTGAGGCTATCATCAGGATGTAGACGTGGCATTGACAATTACACGTTCACATCCGGACGATAGCTTCCACTTCCCACATATGTCGTTCCTCGAACAAAAAAAAACGGATGCATTTTTACCCCATCCTCTGGGGCCTTCTATTCTTCACGCCAACCTTCAGCTGGAATACCCCTCTGTATCCTCTCGGAGCAGATCAAATCGCCACAGTATCGGTAATGGAGATCCAGGCTGGATTTTCTGCAGGAGCGCGGGCCGAGCCCATGAAGAATGCTTGGGAGTCACACCAAAGCACCCTGGCAGCAGACATGCAAGGGGAGAGCGATGAATAACCTTATTTCTTCGGTTGATCATGATTGATGAGGTGCGAGACCCATGTTTGAAATAACTTTCTTCTCCACATGTCATCCCTCTCTTGTCGATGTCTTGGAAAAGGGGACGAAATTGCTCTTGTGATACGCATCTGTTTCCTCGAGGGGTTCCCCATACCGTTTCTTCATCGAACAAGCGGAAAAAGCCGATAAGGTAATTTGTGCCGACTGGATGATTGAGGGACATGCTGGTGGTCTAGAAATTGTAAGAGTGGCTTCATCTTCGACGCTCTCAGAACACGCAGTCCTCTTTCCCCATCTCCCTGTTCATTTCCTCTCCACCAAAATCTCTCCACTTGTACGCATCATGGCCCCCTTCGCTCTACCTCCGCTCATTCACCATCATAACGTCCTTCTCCTACAACGCGGTATCCCTAGTGAGATCAAAAACACACTCATCAGCATCTCATTGGCGCTTCTAGCCGTGGTTGTCATTCTGTTCATCATCATTGCGATCATGTGTTGTCGTCGCCGGTAAACAAAGAGGCTATCCGGAAGAGAAAAGACTGCTCAGACAACTTTCTGGTGAGTTTTTGCATGGCGAAATTAGTATATCAAATGCAACAGGCTCACCAGATCCACTCTCAGCTATAATCAAAACCTACTCACATAACAACAACTACCGCCAGGCTCCGGTTATGCTTTGGTTGGTCTCTTGAGGCTCATGGCGGAATTGAGAACTCAATAATCGCTCCGATAATTTTGATGTACCGAAGCATATAAAGTTCTCACCACTTCGTGCACCGCATTGCCCGACAGATGTTTCGTGGAGAAGAACATGGCAATTTGGATTTTGCATACCCCTTTGCACCTTTGCATCACTAGTAAGCCAGAACCCGAAGCACACAAACCTCATACTTTGCTGATTGACATTTACTTTCTTTGGTTCTCCTCTAGAACAAAACGTGGCTACACTCTGTTCAGAATGCCTTTGCAAGCGTGCGGTCACAACAAAATTTCCGGTCGTGCGAGGGATGTGTGGCAAGCATCGAAGATAACAAGTCATGATCGAGATGATCGCCAAGTTAGCAAAAATGTTCCTTGTGGAAGAGAAGCCCATTCATTGAAAAACCCACATCATATGTCTTGAGGAAGACGTCAAGAGGCCTTGAGCTTAATCTAAACGAATGTTCATTACTCTAGTTGACATCAGCTCTTCGAATTTGCACACACGAATGCAGCAGCGGCCGGATCAGTCAAGCCCTTACTATTTCGATATTCACCTCAAAATCCACCAAATCCTTATCCTTCATTGTCTTTGCATCGGTGCAGCCTGGACCGTGGATGTCTGGTCCGCGTGGCCGTGTCTGAGCGGTACTGGATCGGGTGCCTTGATCATCTTCTGCTGCTTCATGATCGCACATTTCGAGACAATATGTTACCGCATTAGTGTCTATGGTGAGCATTAAATCTCCTGTCCTTCTTTCTATTTTGAGGAAAAAATTATCTCATCGCGATGTCTAGCTAACTGTTGCGTAGAGCGAATTTACCACGATGATCAAACGTAAACGATCATTGTCGTCTGTTGCAGCTACATGAGTGTGGGAAGGGTCGCTATGTTTTGCTTGGTTGATTGGTTTATATTTCTATGGGACTACGAGGCTGGCGTATCGCACTGTGTAGCTCTTTGAAATTAAGTAGGATGCTCGGAAAACATATAGCTAATGAAGTCTTCATAAAACTGTGGAATCGTAGCCTCTCCGTTTCGGCCTCCTCATACAACGAATGACAGTTTGGCTGTGGGCATGATATTCGTATTTGCTTTTAAGTTACTGTTGACCCCATTTCTGTTAACACCAAGGATCGCTATTGTAGAATTATATTGTGGGAACAATCAAAGTATGACTGATTACCAGCCACAAATACCTGACATTGGATGTCACTCCACGTTGATTGTAGAATTCTACCCGCCACCTCTATAAGGAACATATCTTTAATGTTGATCATTTCAGTCCGGTATGGCCAAGAGCTTGAATTCCCTTGCCATCACTACCGCCAAGCACCACCCTGTCTTGACCCTACAGGCTGCCAGATCACCTGCGAGCCCTTAATAAAGATGCAACTGTACAGTTTATCGGATTTCCAGCACCAGAACTCCAATTGTATTCCTCTCCAACCATGGCACGGCCCAGCGAATCCCGTCGTCTCCGCATCGCCTACCTCCTCACCCTTGCGACGTCAATCAGCCTCGTCATAACCAGTACTATGATCATAGTGAACGTCGGACCGCTACTGCCTCAACCCCAGAGGGACGCGAATATCCGTTTAGGGGTCATCCTGGCGCTCGCGTGCTCGGCCACGCTTTCGTCGGCGCTGCTCGTCACCACCGAGGTCATGAACTACCGGTACCACGGCGAACATTTCTTGTGTGTCCCCAACAGCGGTATGTACTTCTTACTGTTCCACTTCTCGGCGGTGAAGAGTACTGAAGTTCGTCGCAGAAGCTCATCTGATCCGCCCCGGGCCCGGCTCGACGGATGCCACGAGCGGCAGAAACGGCTCGCGGGCGCAGCAGCGACGAGGGAATACGGCTGCGCCTTCGAGCGCGCGGTCTCACTCGTCTGAAACGATTCAGGCAGCTCTCTCGAACACAGGCTCAGAGCCGAACGCCAAGTCAGGGGGGACGTCAACTGAAGCAAAAGGTCAGAATGCCGAAAAGGTGTCGGGCGTAGCAACTCAAACGGACCGGCCAGGTGAGCACCCAACAAAGCCTTATAACATCATGATAGGAATGCTAATACAACTCTTAGGCACATTCTGATGCGATGCAGTCTGGAGAGACTCTTGTCAGAGTATGGCTACCTGTCACGGACGTGGTATATGAGTTGGCTACGCTATAATGACTTATTGAGTTCATCTTAGTACTTGCTTTGCTCTCGAGAGGTGGCGTGGCGTATTGGGTAATTTCTTGGTTTGGAGCGGGCCCGACTTCGTTATGACTGGCGTCAAATTATCATTTTCTGTCTACTAAGTTGTTTAATGACTGGCTGTGGTCAATGTCTCCACCTCATGATCCCATCAAGCACTCCTCTCCTCCAACACAGCCAACCCAACCAGATCCGGTGCCGGATCCGGGCCGGGCGCGCCCACGACCACAACATTCCCATCCCCCTGATCGAGACCCTCGACCTCGACCTCCAACCTGCCCGTCTCGAACCAATCGCCGCCGCTGATAGGCAAGGCCCAGCGCTTGGGGCCGCCACCGTTGACGCTGAGGGTCAAGTTGCGCGTGTTGGAGCCGGTGGACCAGGCCGACTGCAGAGCGACGTCGTAGTTGATGTAGTCGATGGCGAGCAGCGCCCCTGACGACACGTTCGAGAAGGTGACGGTCGCGCCGGGGTACAAGTTCACCGCCTTGGAGCCGACGGGGAGACACTCGTCGGCGCCGCTGCCGCACTGTGTGATCGTCGCGGTGCCGCCCTCGACCACGGCGTCGGTGACGGGATAGTACTGCGCTTCGACGAGCTCGGTGTTGGTGCGCGTGATGTCGGACAGGACGAGCAGCTTCGCCTCGTGGCCGGCGAGTTCTAGCGTTAGCTCTTCACTGCCATCTGCGGCACCGAGATCCCGGGCGCCCCAGACGTCACGCACGGCGCCGGCAGCGGCGATGCCGAGAGCGGGGCTGCTGAGGTTGAGGGCGACGGTCTGGCTGGCGTTGCGCCAGTTGGCGACGGCGACGACGAGGCGGTCGTCGGTCAGGTTGCCGGCCCAGATGTCGTACTCTTCTTCCGTGTAGCGCCGCACCAGGCGCGCCTGCTCGCCCAGCGCGTCCTGGTTGATGGCGAGGGCCTCTTCGTTGCCGAGGATGTCCAGGGATGCCTGCGGCGTGAGCGTGGCGGACATGGGCGCGCCGATGGTCAGGGGCGATTTGTTGATGGCCCACATGGTGAAGTGGAAGCGCTCTTCTTCAAGGCTGAGGACGTTGAGGCCGATGCTGCGGATTTGAGTGAGCGGATGTCGGGCTTTTGGGGTTGATGGAATAATACGCACACCAGCATATCCATGTCGGCGTACTTGCCAACACCGGTGTGCTTCCAAAATGGGACGACTTGGTTCGTGATGCGCCAGATGGACGACCAGCTGTTGTAGATGTCGTTGGAGATGCGCCACGAGTTGCCCCATTTGGGTGCCCAGACACCGAGGTCGGTGCCCACGCCCCATTGACAGATCTGATAGAGAATGGGCCTGTCTACCGCGTCGAGTGCTTGCGACATCTTGGCAAAACGGGTAGACGGATCGGATTCGCTAGGCTCGTAGACTACAAAGCGTGATGGGGAGGTTAGCTTGGAGAGATGGAATTGAGCAAGGGGTGCGTATCTTCGGTCTCATTGGCCCAGCAGTTGTCGTACTTCAACGCATCGCCGCCCCATTCGGCGAAGGACTGTGCGTCCTCGGTCTCGTAGCCTGAATCCTGTTAGATCCCGATTTTTTGATGCCTCGCCGTGGGGGCTTACCCAAAGACGCCACCAGGAAGATGTGCTCGGGATCAGTATTGCATTGCCAGCGGCCGGCTCCTGAATACAGGCCGAATTGCAGACCCAGGTCGTGGATGTACTCGCCCAAGGCTGGGAAGCCTGAAGGGAACAGAGTAGAATTCCAAGTGATCCTGCCATCGGCGGTTCTATTTGTCGAGGGCCATCCGCAGTCGGTAGTGACGATGTCATAGCCCTTTTCGGCGAGGCCAAGATCCACGAGGCCTTGGGCGTTTTCCTTGATTATCTGCGGAGAGGTCAGACGAGATGTCGGTCAATGGCAGAGAAAACGCACGGTCTCGTTGGGGAAACAGCTATAGTAATTATAGCTATTCCAGCCTAGCTGGGGGGTAGAGGTCCGAACCACGGCTGCCGCATGTCGGCACAGGGCAATGAGGCCCGCGAGCACTGCTTGTTTCGCAACCATTGCGCTGCCGGTCTTGTAACTTCTACTTTGCCATCGCTCTCACACGCCAATTGTCACTTTATATGGCCTTATATCCCAGGGGAACGTCATTAGAGCATTTGTCGCCCACTTTTACCCCGACCAGGCCACTCCGGCGTGATGCCTCAAAACTCCCACCGGAACTCGTCGCCGTTGGAGCGGAGCGGTGGGGCTGAGCTTCGGCCATGCGGGGGAGATTGCGGGGAGGCAAGCCGAGTACGCCGGCACCTTCCATCTGTGGAGGTAGTGCCACCCTGTGTCTCCGGCGGAGCCAAGTGACCTGAAATCATCATGACTTCCACTATTTTCAAGAGCTTCGTCGCCGATATCGCCAGGAGCTATCCGGATGCCTGGGTTCGTGACATGTCCCCCTGGCCAACGCGCGAGGCTGTGCGTATTCTGTGAGAGAAAATAGAAAATGAAACAAGTCTATTTCTTGACCGAGGGGACCTGCACTTTAAGTACGAGGGTGGTACGCCACAACCAAGCCAGGCCACGTGCCGAAGACAACCAGTCGGACTAATCATGAACCGACCTTGTTCACCGACTTGACATCTTCAGCTCGCTTCCAAAGGGCCAAGGCCGCACCATCCGTCGTCACGAAATATTACCGACTCATGATCCCAACAGCCTTTAACTGCTCTGGGTCCAGTCATGCCCTGTTTTGATGCAAAACATATCTGGCCCGAGAGGCTTGGCAATATCAGACCGTGCAACTGCTCGCCTTCGTTGTTATTCATGGCCGAACCGAAGGATTGCGGAGGGTTCGCCATAGGCGGAAAAACCGACGACATTAATTTACCCCGCATGCTCATGTCGTGGGCAATTGAAACCTGTATAATTGTTAATCCCACATAAGTGCCGTTTTCGCAATGGAGCTGGGCAGAGTTTCCGCTGTTCGCACATCATGGCCGGCTTCGGTAAGAGGAGCATCGTCCTCCTTCTACCCCTTCTCTGCTCCCTGTTCGGAGTCTCCGTAGCAGCTCAAGATGACCCGGTTGTCGAGCTCGACTACGGCACCTTCCAAGGCCGCTACAATGCCCAGTACAACATCTCCTACTTCCGCAAAATCCCCTTCGGCGCCTCGACCGCGGGCGAGAACCGCTTCCGAGCACCGCAACCGCCTCCAACAATAACCAATGGCACGTACAACACCGACCAGTCCTTCGACATGTGCCCGCAGCGGACCGTCAACGGCTCAGAAGACTGCCTCTACCTGGGCCTGTACTCGCGGCCCTGGACCGCCGACTCGCCGCTCCGCCCGGTTCTCGTCGTCTTCTACGGCGGCGGCTTCATCCAGGGCTCGGCCAGCTTTTCGATCCCGCCACCCATGTACCCGGTGCTCAACGCCACCTCGGCCAACGACTTCGTCGTCGTCTACCCGAACTACCGCACCAACGCCTTCGGCTTCCTCCCCGGCCGCGCCGTCAAGGACTCGCCCACGGCCGACCTCAACGCCGGCCTGCTCGACCAGCGCGCCGCCCTGCGCTGGGTGCAAGCCAACATCGCGGCCTTTGGCGGCGACCCGACCGCCGTGACCATCCAGGGCCAGTCGGCCGGCGGCGGCTCCGTCATCGCCCAGGCCATCGCCGCCCATGACAGCGACGAGAAGCTGTTTTCCCGCGCCCTGCCCGGCTCGCCCTTCTGGCCCAAGACGTACGCCTACGACGCCCCCGAGGCCGAGGCCCTCTACGCCGAGCTCGTCGAGCGCGTGGGGTGCGCGGACCAGGCCGACCCGCTGGCGTGCCTGAAGGCCGCCGACGCGCAGGCCATCAGGGACGCCAGCCTGGCCATCAGCGCCCTCAACACCTACACCACCTCTTCCTTCAACTGGGGCCCCGTCATCGACGGCGACTTCCTCCGCACCCCGCTGTCCGCCGTTGACTCATTGAACGCCGACGCGGTGGCGTGGTCGACGTTCAACACGCACGAGGGCGAGAACTTCGTCCCGGGCGGCCTGGGCCAGCCGAGCGGCTCCAACGGCTTCAACAACTCCGAGGCCGGCTTCGACTTCTGGCTCAGGGGCTACCTGCCGCGCTTCTCGGACGCCCAGATCGCAGAGGCGAAGCGCCTGTACCCGGCCCAGGGCGATGCGGAAGAGGCGGCGTGGAATACGACGACCGTCAGGGCCGGCATGGTGTTTAGGGATTCCGTCCTGGCCTGCCCGGGCCTGTGGCTCGCTGAGGCTGCTGCTGGGGAGAAGAAGGGGTATTTGAGCGAGTACACCATCAGCCCCGCCAAGCACGGGAGTGATACGCAATTCGTGAGTGATTTTCCCTTCTTCTGCCATTTTTCGCTTACTGATATCTTCCCTTCTCGGTATACAGTGGAATCAAGTGAACGCGGTCCAGAAGTCGCAGCCCGTCACCTACAACGGATTGGCGGGTGCAATGGCCAGCTTCTTCCAGACAGGTGATCCCAATGCTCATAAGCTGACTGACGATTCACAAGCCGCTGTTCCCGAGCTCGACGAGGGGAAGGAATGGGTGGTGAAAACCGAAACTTTTGAAAAGACGGACATTGACAGACTGAAGACTCGGTGTGCCTTCTGGAGAGAGAATGCCCAGGACATACCACTATAAACGAGATACACTCGGTGTACGAGATAGAATAAATTCCTAATAGTTGCAAAAGAATAGATTTGGCACAAAGGCCGTTCGAGAAAAGATCTAACTTCGGGTATCATGAAATGGGCCATTAATGCATGCGGGAGCGTATAGAGGGGTACTGCAGCCGAAGGCGAGCGTGAAGAACAGCGCTAAGTCTGCGTCAGTACCTTTGTTACGAAGAGTAATGTACATGGGCAGTAGAAGCTATTGTTCGGACGTAAATGTGAATTCCACATTTACGTCCAGTTAGTTCCTTCAGCTGCCCATGACATAAGTGAAAAACAGCTTCACGCTAGCCATCGGCTGCAATACCCATCTGAACATACTTTTCCGACAATTTCTCGTCCTTACCATACAATTCTTGGAGTTGTGCGCTACGTTCCCTCCATCTTGACATCTTGGCCATTCGGCTGCTCTTCTTGCACCGCCTCAGCCGTCTTCTCCGGCTCCACTTCTTTCTTCTTGCCTGTAAACCTCTCGGGTACGCCTTTCGCCACAGCGAATCTCCCCTCACTTCGTGGGCCAACAAAACACCCTAAGAGATTGCTCCATCTCGCCGTGCCCATCCCTCCTCCAAGCCCACTAACGAACCTGCGGATGCTTCTAAATGCGAATGCATCCGCATACGGCAGTCCAGTGAGAGGATCGCGGTAGCGCGCAGGCTGAGCTGTGATGCAGCAAAGCTCGCGGTGAGGCAGATGAGCGTTCCGAGCACCACGGCCAGGGGGAGGACGTGTGGGAAGAGCGATGGGCATGCCGGCCGGCCACTTGAAAAGAGCGCGAGAAAGCGCATCTTTGTCTCGCGGGCGAAGGGAGTCGAAATTTTGGAGCGTTATGAGATTGCGGACTGCCCGCAGAACGACCCGTGGTGGTGGTGGCGGGACAGGAACGGCTGATTGCACCTGCTGCGACGTTTCTGCATGGCCATCCGCATTGATAGGCTTCGATGATTCTTGGGCTGACACAGGACCTGTGGCCGCCAGAGGCAATTGAGATTGCGCAGAGGGCGGGCGCTGGGCGGGAGCACCATTCGTCTGATGGGCGTCCATAGATGCCCAGTCAAAGATGCCGTCGAGGAAACCTCCAGCTGACTGTGGCGGAGCAAACATAATGCTGTGGCCTTGCCCAGGTGCCATCTCCGCTGATGCCGCCGTGGGATTGGCTGGCTGGGTTTCAGACGGTTGTGTTTGAGAAAGGTGGGGCTGAGAAGCCTGGGTCGCTGTTGGTTGGGCTGGTGCAGGTTGCAATGAATCTTGCTGCGACCGAATTTGTTGCGTTTCTGCCGGCTCTGTTTGGGAGCCATCTAACCCGGAAGCCTGGGGCTCGCTCGGCTGCGGTTGCGAGGTTTGACCAACCTCGCTTGGCAAGCTTTGAGTTTGTTCCAAGCTGCCAGCAGGCTTCTCGGCTCGCTCGACTTGTTCGGCGTTAGTTGCAGACACTTCAGGTTTGACATCCACAGCAGACTGCATTTGTGATGCACCGCTTGCCTGTTGTCCACCCTGTTCGGCCGAGGCGCTGGGCTGGGCATCTACGATGCTCGTTTCGGTGTCGTTTGCCAGGGGCGGCTCATCATCAAGCTCCTCGATCTTGCAGCTGTCCTTCCCCACGTGCTTTAGCTTGTCGTTGACCCATAGCGACGGGCCGCTGTAGTAGCGGACGAAAGGTCCATCCAGCTTCCGGTTTTTCAGAGCCTCCAGGCGAGCCTTGTTTTCCTCGGCCTTCAGTCTCTCTGACTCCTCCCACCGGCTTAGCGTCTTACTGTTACGCTTCTCGACCCGTGCCGCCTCGACTAGCCGTTCCTGTTGTGTCATGGGCTTGGGTTGATCCTTCTCCTTTCGCCGCTCCGCTCTCTTCATCACCTCGAGGACATGCAGGCGATGGCGTTCCTTCTCCTCCAGCCCTTGTGTGAGAACCTGCTTGTTCTGAACCGTGAGGCGTCGCGACGAGGATCGAACAGGCCCCTCGGTGGCCTCGGGCAACCAGGAGACGCGCTCGGATTTCTTCTTCGGGCGTGGAGGTGGAGGCATCGATTCGGTTGGGGTCGTCGTCTTCGCCTTCTTCTGGCGCAAAGCGGCTTGCGCGAAGGGGTCTTTTCGTTTGCGCTTCTGCAGCAGCTTCTGCTGGCGCTCCTCTTTGCGTAGGACCTTCTCGCCGGCGTCATCGTCGTCCTGCTCGCCTTCGTCCTCGTCCTCGTCGCCAGACGACTCCAGGGCGACGTCTTCGGGCGCGACGGCGTCGGCGCCGCCGAACTCGTCGTCGTCGGCATCCTCGGCCCAGTGCTCGTTGTTGTAGAAGTCCTGTGCGTCCTGGTGCTCGTCTGGGCGCTCCTCTTGGTCGAGCAGCTTCCGCATCCAGTTGCCGGCATTGGAGCGACGGGAGCGGGTGACCACCATGGCGGGCTCGGCATCGGAGGAGCTGCTGCCGCTGCCATTGGCGGCTCCGGGCGACGCGCGCTCCATCTCGTCCTGAGACATGGGCTGGAGGTGGTGGGTGACGTCGAAAGTTATGCCGGGCGCGCCTGGCAGGAAACGGTCGCGGCGGCGGCTAAACAAATGGCACCATGCGCGTCATGCGACGGAGCTTTGCAGGAGCGCGGGGAGGGGCAGGCCTCGGCTCGCGGCAGCCTTCAATTTGGGCGGACTGGAGCGGACTGAGTCGTTGTTGAGCGCGAAGGCGAAACAGGCCCTGGCGGTGCTAGCGGCGTGGAACTTGAAACAATGATTGGCTTCACAGAGGCCAAATCAACAGCGGCTGCCCTGGGGCCATTGCTCGCTCAGATCGCCGGCAGCACGGCCGGGTGCTGGCCCGTTCAGTTGGAGAAGCGGCCGCCCGCGCTTCTCCAGGCCCTTGAGCGCTGGAGATCGCGTGTGTGCTGCTGCTCGCGGGCGCGGGCACTGCATGCAGGGGAAACAGGCTGGCGGGCACTCGAGCGTCGAAGGATGCAGCATAACGAGGGGCGCCCGCACCGCTCTGGACGCGCCATACCACGTACCTATGTAGATAGTTCGTTTCAGAAATGGGATTGCGCCCCGCGGCGGCCAGTGGGCTGGCTTCTGTCTCTCGCGCTGAAGCCACGACGCCTCTGGCAGCCCACGCGTGCACCCTTGCGCCCGCTGTCCTGTGCTCTGTTTCTGCTCTGTCTAGTCGGGGCGCATCTTCGTCAGGCACAGGGCACTTCGCCTCCATTTGTTCCGCCGAAACTACAACCAACCTCGCACCCTCCACCACACCACCACCTTCTCCCTCTCCCTTCGTCCCGTCCCGAGCGTTGCGGCCGTCATTTTAATCAGCCCTGTCGTAATTCGTACCTCCCTTCTCCAGGCCCGAGCCCGGCCTGTCTATTGCACCGGCTGCGTCTGTGTATAATCCGCGCCTTCGTCCAACCGCCGCCGTACGCAGTCCTGTCCGCTCGCACACAGGCCCCTCTGCCGCGCTCGCGCTCGCTGCATCACCGCCCGTCGCTCCTTGACCGCGCCGCTGTGCATTCTGGCGGCCCGTCGCCCGGAAAGACCCCTACCCTGTCACCTGGGCCTCCAGAGCCCGTCACTGTGGCCACAAGAGCTTCCCCTTGACGTTGGCACCGAGACCCTGCCGCCCTAATTGCCCCCGTCTGCGACAGTCCTCGACGCGCGCGACTCCTCGGCTCCGCTGCATCTCGTCCGCGCCGCGCTCCGCACTCGCCGTCTTCTGCCCGACACCGCTGCTCCCTACGTCAGCCGGCCTGCGAGCTCAGGGCGCGATTTGTACAGTGGCCGCGAGACAGCAAACGTCGAGCGCCAATCCTTCGACTCGGTCCACCACGGTGACTCCAGTCGCCGCTACATTCCTTTGGCCGGCACCAAGCACGTTTTCGCCTCAGCCCTGGTTTTGGTAATTGAGCGCGCCCGCTTTTCGTCCTTTCGAAGCTTTGAAAAATCTCAAGGGCCATACAGGATTCGCTTTAATTCATAATGGCTCCTCCGACCTCGAGGCCCGAGCATCACATCAACCTCAACTACCTCCCCCAGCTCACCCCGAACCAGCCGCGCTCCGGTTCCTCGACCGCCGCCACTTCGCCCATCGAGCCGCCCACTGCGGCCAACAATGTGAGGTATCCGCTGGGTAATGGGAGCAGCATGGCTGCGATTGGCAACGCGACCGCAACCGCTCGCATGGGTGCTGGCTCCCCGTCGCACGACTACGGCGGCAGGCTCTTTTCAAAGAGGTATGTGCATCCCCACGCCATTTTGGCGCGTCACCGTCTGACCGAAATCCATCACTAGGGCCAGAGAAATCCAGGCGCAAGAGGGTCTCAACCCTCAAGTTTGGGGTCCTCCCACCAGCGGCAACTCGACGCCTCTGCGAGAGACGATCCCCGAGTCGCCAAACGGCGAGAGCTTCCCCGACTTCAACGCCGCCACCGGCATGGAGCAGGCTGCACAGCAGACCGCGTCGACCCGGAGGACTAGGGCTGGAACTCTGCCCTCCAGGTTTTCGACCGCAGGCGTCCTCAACAGCCTCAAGCCTCAGGCATCTCTTCTCCCGCAGACTTCCCGGCCGACTCCATCTACTAGCCCCTTCAAGCCAGGCTCACACACTCCGACTGATCTGGGAGGATTTGGCTCGGGCGGCTCCACCACAAAGTCGTCCGCCATGCTTTCGCGCATGAGGGCCGGCTCGATGCCCCAGCGCCCAGGCTACCTCTCCAATTCCAATCCCTTTGGTTCGTCGGTTTTCTCGTCGAACTGGGCGAGCGGCCGCGAGCGTGGTAACACGCTCGCCAGCATCCGCTCCTCCGAGGGCCCCTCGTCTCCTGCGCAGTCCCACTTTTCGAGCCAGTCGCTCGCCGACAACGACGTCAAGACCCTGGATTACCTCGGGCTCGTCGATACGCCGCAGCAGTCACGTGCGACGTTGGCTCCTTCCGACATTGAGATCATGCTAGAAAACCAAAGGAACGCGCTTCAGCCGAACATGATTGCCAATCTTGCCGCCATGAACAAGCAGAACGCCGCGAACCGCTTCAGATCATACTCTGTCAATGCGAAGGAGAAATACGCTGACGAGGAAGAGGAGGAGATGGAGCACATGGGCCAGTACGGTCAATACAGCGGAACTCTGACGCCCACGCCTGAGGCCAGCGCTGCCGCCTATGCCAACATTCACGAAGCCGTTCGCCAGCACAATCTAGAAGTGCAGGCTTTCGCCAACTTCGCCAGCGCGAGCCGTCCGAGAGCCCGGACTGCAGGTGTTCTCGAGTCTCCGTCCACTCGTCTCCTCCGCAACTATCTTCCCACCGCTTCCAGGCTGGACAGCAGCATCAGCGCCGCTGACCTCCAGCTGAGCGAGGAAGCCGAGTACAGCGGTCTGACCGAAGCAGTTCAGAGCTTGAATCTTAATGGCAAGCCGATGCCCGATTCAACGGGTGAGGAAGGCGCTCTCGAGGGTCCCACCAGAGCCCTATGGCTTGGCAACATTCCCTCCTCCACCACCGTCTCTTCTTTGAACGTTATCTTCAACGTCTTCGGCCCAATTCATTCCACCAGGGTACTAACTCATAAGAACTGCGGGTTTGTTAACTTTGAAAACTTGGAGAGCGCTGTTCGTGCCAAACAGCAGTTGAACGGCAAAGAAATTTTTCCGGGCGCCGGCCCAGTCCGCATCGGTTACGCTAAGGTCCCTAGTGCTTCTGGTACTCCGGGCCACAACGGACTGTACCCATCGCCGAGCCCTGACCCGAACTCGAAGACCCAGGGAGATGGATCGTCCCAGGCAGCTGGTAATGCTGCTGGCCGCCAGGCCAAGGACGTGCGTGTTGACACCACCTCCGCCCCTCCGGCCATTCCCAATCTCCGGGAAATGCAAGGCGAAATCATCCAGATTGTGAAGGATCTAGGTGCGACCGACGAAGAAGCAATGAACATCGCAGCGAACGTTAAGTACGCGTTTGAAAACGACCATTACGAGCCTGAAATTCCGTCGATTCCGGAGCCATCGCACAACAGGGTGCACGATGCTCCGAGGCTCCGTGAGATACGCAAGAGGATCGACAACAACTCTTGCACTCAATCGGAGATTGAGGATGTCGCCATGGCCATGCTTCCCGAAGTTGCGGAATTGTCCTCGGACTACCTTGGTAACACCGTGGTGCAGAAGCTGTTTGAATACTGCTCTGAGAGTGTCAAGGAAGCCATGCTCAACGAAATCGCCCCCCACCTCTCTGAAATTGGCATCCACAAAAATGGCACCTGGGCCGCACAGAAGATCATCGATGTAGCCAGGACGCCTGTGCTCATGAAGATGGTTGTTGACAGCCTTCGCCCGTACTCGATGGCCCTGTTCCTTGATCAATTCGGCAACTATGTCATGCAGGGCTGCTTGCGCTACCAGTGCCCCCTCAACAACTTCATTTTCGAGGTCATGCTGGCCCGCCTCTGGGATCTCGCTCAGGGCAGGTTCGGCGCCAGGGCCATGAGGGCTTGCCTGGAAAGTCACTTCGCTACCAAAGACCAGCAGAGAATGGTCGCCGCTGCGATTGCGCTGCACAGCGTTCACCTCGCCACAAACGCCAACGGAGCTCTTCTCCTGACCTGGTTTTTGGACACCTGCACTTTCCCTCGCCGCCGCACTGTTCTTGCGCCACGTCTTGTGCCTCACCTGATAGCCCTTTCCTCGCACAAGCTTGCCTATCTCACGGTCCTCAAGATTATCAACCAGCGGAATGAGCCCGAGGCCCGCGACACTATCCTGAAGGCACTATTCTTCTCTCAAAATGACGAAACCTTGGAAGCTATCCTGCGCGATCAGTCCTGCGGTGCTACGCTCATCTTCAAGGTTCTGACTACTCCGTTCTTCGACGAGAAGATCCGCCCCGAGGTCGTGCAGAATGTTCGCAACGTCCTGATCCGCATCAAAGCCCAACCTGCCCAGGGCTACAAGCGTTTGATGGACGAAGTCGGTCTCTCTACGCGCAGCGGCGGTCCCAATGCGCGCGACAACCACGTGCGGGACATGTCGCCTGCTTCGCGCCCTGGCTCCAAGCAGGCCAACTTGTCCAATGGCGGCATGCACCAGCAATCAGCTGGCACTCCCGATAGTCAGATGAACCGGCCCTTCTTCCCACCCGGGATGCCGCAGCCACAGTTCGACCCTACCCTAAGCCTTCAGCGCACCGCTAGCATGGACAGCCAAGGCTTCGACCAACCGGCCTTCCTTCCTAATGGCCTCGGGGGCTACGGTGCCAACCCTAATCTCGCCCTTGCTGCACAGTACCAGCAAGCGATGCTAGCTGCTGCTCAGCAGCAATCGCGTGGCGGTCCGGCTGCTTTCGGCTACCCGCCTATGAACGGTATGGGTGGATTGCCTGGCATGAATGGTTTCCCGGCAGCCACCGGTAGCCCTGCAGATGCGTTCCGCAGCAGCCCTCTCGGCGGTGCGCCAGGGCTTGGTATGGCACCTGGCTTCGGCCAGCCGGGTCCCGCTCCAATGATGGGTTTCCAGGGATCACCCGTGGTTGCGCCGCAGGCTCCTTTCGGTTACCCACCAATGGGCTACGGCGTTCCCCCGATGGGTCAGCAAGGGGTACAGCAGCAACAAGCCGCAGCAGGCGGTCGCAGGAACAGGGTAAGTGCATAAACCTTTCCGCCGGAGGATTCGATTGATTTTAACAAAAGTCTAGAGATGAGTTCCGCCTGCCTCACCAGTGTGGGTTAACTGGGCCCAATCCCTGTATCAGTAGAACGCGTGCCGCGTTACGGACATGCGCGGAATCACGGTCTTACGACGATCGCCCTTCTTTTGAGAGCTGACGCCGAATCAAAAGCTGTTGGGATGCACTGGATGTTCTCTCAATATGCACACTCTACTTGGGCCTTGACTACGGGGCTCTTCTACGGAATTCGTCGCTCGTTTACGACTGTCGGAGGAATGCGGAGCTACGGTGTTCATTCGGTGCTGTGGAGTTGGATATATTTCCTTCCCACTTTTTTTCCTATTGTTTTATTTCTGCTCTTTTCTCCTTCATGTATCAAACTTCACTTCATGACCGGGGCCGGATGAATTCGGAATACGGTGGGGGATGAAGTTACGAGTGATGCAGGAAAGATGGGACATGATTGTGGACTATGACTCGACTTTGGAGTGCCTGGTCCGAGCGCCGTCTCGATGTACTGCCTTACTCCTTTCAGAAATTCCCCCTCTCTTCAAATCTGCTTCATACAACTGCACAATCCTAGATCACCATCCATTTGCGTGGTGGCAAGCTTTTTGTTCTTTGATCTTTTCTCTTTTCCTTTCATGAACATCAAGGAGGAGAGAAATGGGCATGTAGATCACACATCACCTTCTGGCTTTGCTCACACCCAAGAAAATCTCACAAAAAGGCAATGTTTTTGATTTCGAAATGGCTCTTCTATATTTCGTTGCACATGAGGCACTCTGTATACGTTGCTTTCGGGAAGCTGCTCATCATGTGTGCTGCTTTCTCACGAAGTTCGGGCTTGGAGTCTTTTGGCTGCTCTTCTATCCATGTACGCATCCTTTACGGTCGGAAAGAAAAGATGAGCGAGAAAAAAAATTGAGTTGGATCTGCTTCTTAGCTTTTGACACGGCCGTTGCTACTGAATCTGCCGCCAATGCACTCTTTACGTGTTGATGATGTTGAAATATCGCCATCATGATTGTTTTCAGCCATCGAGTGGTCTTTCGTAGACCTTGCTGTTGTTTACTTCACGCAGTTCACTTGCTTGTGTTCGGTTTGATTTTACAGTAAGATTGATACAATCTATAAGACGCTATCTCCTATCTACTAATACGAAGCCCGTCTGCTCACTCTTCTTCACACTTGCCCATATGCAGCTCTGTATCCTGAGCTGCGAGTTTAAAGGAGTACACCCATCGTTCATTTGTTCCCTTGGGTTGTGCTGGTGGATGGGGAGGTGCTTGACTCTGTGTTGGTCTTCTCGTGGTGTGGTAGATTGACATCTGATCCTGTTGATCGAGATAACCCGGTCGGACTGTATAGTCCCTTGAAGTGCCCCCGGACAGGTTGGCATCAAATTTCTAAATCAGCTGTGGTTGGTCAAGTACTATTTTTGTCGGTAACGGGGAAAAACTTTGCCATGACACAAGTGTAGAGACCGAGATGATCGTATCGATAGCGACAGAAGTATCACTGTTCCGCTCAAATGCAATGGAGGTGGCGGCTCCTGCAACGACAAATATCTTTTTTTGTACTATAATTAGGTGGGTCTATTTGACAACAGCAAATGCCCATTCTTTTGTGTACATGAGGCTGGTGCAGTTTGGAACAAAGTACTGCAGCGGCGTGTGGTCCGAGGGTGATGGCGGCGATGCTGTCCATTGATGTGGCATTGGCGGAGGCACGATGTGGCGAGTTGCTTGGGGTGGACATGAGAGTGAGCGCGGCCCTTGCAGAATGTGAGAATCCAGAGTAGACATCGAACCATCTGCGCGGCATACATTACCAGCGGTTGCATCGGACTGTTCCTTCGGAGTGCGGATGGCGTCGACCGAATCGCGACCGAAAAAGTTGGGGTTTCTCAAAGTCAGACGGCCCATAGTTGGACCACCATCTTCGGCTGAGAGTTGATTGATGTGGAATGTCCTCCACCAGCACTAGACATGCTTCCCGAAGGGGTGTTAGTCAATTCCTAGCCAGATCCAGCCGATGACTGCTGACGAAAGCCACTCACAAATCCGCATCTCGAAAGCAAGCGGAATGCCGGGAACTTGCTGTGTTGCAGGTTGCTGCACTTCAAGCGTAATTCTTTGGCCCCTTTCGCGAGCGTCTTGGATTCCTCAAGGCTGTTGTGCTGTAGGCCTGACGCAATTTGATTGTCACGCAGTGCCATTTCCTTTTCCGTCTCCAGCTTCTTCTCTTTTTGAACATAGCCCAGGATTGCTTCCTGGTGTTCCTTCTCCTTTTTCTGAATATCGTCCATCAAGTCCACGACAACCTGAAGATTGTCGATACGAGCCAACGTGATTTGATGATCGTTTTCTGCCTCAATCTTGTTGACCTCGGCTTTGTGTTCAGCTTTCAGCTGCCGGATGATCGCAAGGACGTCGTCTTTTATCGCCTGCGGGTCATTATGCGGGACTTCGTTCTAAAGCTTGTCAAGAAGGCAGCCTCTTGGTTGGTGTTAGTCGTGTCTATAGGTGCCTCCTGTTTCTGAGGTCCTTTGTCGGTGGACATGGTTGCGGGGTGAGTTCCTAGCATGCTAAGAATCTTCGTAAAGCCGCACTAAAGGCAATGGATGTAAGACAAGCGTAGAATAGATTTCGGCGCTATCTTACGAGTCAGCAAAGCGTATAATACAGATGTGGTAAGGAAGGAAATAATCACCCAAGAGCCTACTACAAAATGCGCGAGCGGATGCGTTAACACAGCGAGGCGAGGTAAAATAGATGCGTAGAATGAGCTGATGAACCTAATCGTCTCCGTAGACTCGAATGGCATTGAGATTGGCGATATGATTGTGCCTTTGCACCAGCTGAAGTCCACGGTCGGGGTATCATCCCCCTCTCGGAGTTGCTTGCCTTCGTGGACGAGGTTACGGGCAAGGGGTACAGGGTGGACCTACTCTTGTACGGGTCAGTGCAGCTGTTCGTAAACAACAAAAAAGAAAAAAAAACACTAACTCGGCCGTAGAGCCCAATCCTTAAGCTATTGCCATGGTTATCCAGGAACACCAGTAGGTGTTTATGGATGATAAGCCTGGTTTCTGCCGGGAGCTCAAGGAAAGGAAAATGGGTGAGATCTTGCGGGAACGCACGCGTAGGCGTGCGTGGATCACCGTGGCCGGTGTCATCGATGACGTTAGCGACTTTGTCGCTAAGCACCCCGGTGACCGCGCCCTCGTCCGCGGAAGGCGTGGCCATGTTGACACTCGGAGTTCTCGTTGAGGTTGTCGCGAGGTCGAGGACGATGAGTTTCACCCGTAGTGGGCTGGCATTCTAGCAGCAGGCTTTAAAACAGCTTGCTTAACAGGTGGCTTGGCCGGCGCCTTGGCTGCGGGACTCGATCTTGTGATTGGATTCGCCATGTATGCTGAGAAACCGATAAACATGGTGAGGTCAACCGTACTGGAGAGTGAGTTGCAGATAAAAGGTTTTGCGATGGTGTCATGTGTTAAAGTAAGAGTTTCTTACCTATATGGCGGGCCGGTGGTAGCAGAACTGCTCTAATCCGGATGCGAGTAGCCGTCAGCAAATGTGCGCAAACCTTGGGGATAATCTTTGTTATGGCCTCAGCTCAACTTCCAGCATATCTTCAGGTACGATGCCTGAGGTATTTCGCGTCGGCATGCGGGAGGTCGTGGTTGCTGCGGCGTGAGAGCGGTGGCTCCGACACGACAGATCGCAAGGAGTCGTGTAGTGGCTCGTCGATCGAGATGTGCTCCAGTGTGCAGCAGGTGATGCCCGCATGCTTGACGGGGTGGCATGCCATTAGGCTGGGGCCGAAGGCGCATGTTTCGGCTTGCAGCTGGGGTCGGTCGCATTAGCTCGTGCCGAAGGTCCCGTCAACGCAGCTCCTCCCCGACAGGGCTAGCGCATGTTGACACCTGCCTATTCCTACACCAACCCTCCATCCCTCAAACACATCCATCAGTACTAGGACTCGCACGACTGCACATCTGCAACCATACCGAGCAATTGGCGTCCGCATCGCTTGTGTTCATCCTCCGCGAAATCCACACCTCCGAATGCGTTTCCAACGGTGGTGGCGTGGAAACATCGTCGTTGGCTGCTCCGATGGATGGCTGCACGCACAGGCCTGCTCTGCAGGATGTCTGCCAGAGGTCCGACGGTCTCAGGTATATACGAAGTGGGTGTGTATGCTATGAATCGGACTTTCTGTTGGTCGACGTCATGGTCATGTCCTTCCAGGTCGGATCGTACGCATGCTGGCTGGCACAAACAAAGGCATCGATCCTCGCCATGAACATGGTCAAGATCGCGATGCCAACTTGTGGTCGATGGTGGGCGAGACAGAAGCGAGATCATGGGGAGAGCCCATTATGTCCGGGTGGAGTACCTCATCGACATCCTCGAATCCGGGCTGTTCATCATGACAACCGCGTCCAAAATTACCGCGATGTACCTGACCTGGGTCATCATCGGGTTCGGCCTCGGTTCTGCACAATCGCGAGATTACAATCCGCTGCAGACTGAGCACGTCTACGATGCGCATGTCGGAGCTGATCAGCACGGCCCTCTCGCACGAGGTCAAGTCCCACGTCAAGATCGAGAACCGGCGCGGCTTCACGAAGATGCCTAGCATGTCAGGAACTCACCCCGCGACCATACACCGGCAAAGTACCCCCACACCAGGAGGCACCTACAGGCACCACCAACACCGACCACGAGGCTGCCCTTCTCGATGAGCCCTGGAATGAAGTCCCTCACAACGCCCCGCAGACGCTGAAGGCCGGTGTCGGCAGCTAAAAGCTAAGCACAAAGCTGAGGTCAACAAGATTGAGGCAGAACACGATCATCAAACCACGTTGGCTCGTATCGACCATCTTGAGCTGGTGATTGGCTTGAAAGGAGACGTTTAGAAAAAGGAAGCTGCCATCGCAGAGGCGCAGCTGGGACGCTTCGCGATTACGAGATTAAAACCCCGAAGAAAGATTACCAGGAAGGGATTCAAGACTACATTCGAAGAGAGAGGAAGTTAGAGGCGGACAAGGCAGCGGCGCTACAATGCAAGGAGATGGCTTCAAACCTACAGCAGAACAGCATTGCGGAATCCAAGAGTTACGCTCGAAGTGCAACGACCTGCAACAAGCTCTTAGAGATGCGAACCAAAAGGTTGAAAGGCAGAAGGCCCATATCGCCAACATTGAACAAAAGCGTGGCGAGGAAAAGGAGCAGCTACATGACGCTGAGAGCGAGTTGGAGAAGCTCGAGGTGATGGGAAGATTTCTCGAAGGGGACAATTTCTTGGACGACGACAAGATCTTGAAAAGATGTTGCCATCTCGAAGGTCCAGCTGGAGAAAAAGAGCCCAGTGACGGTTTGCGAGGAGCCTGACTGAAAGAAGCCGCCCTCCAGAACCCTGAACGTCGACCTACCTGCATTTGAACAGCTTGTTCTTACATCTGTGGCGCATGTCCAGAAACCCGCTGCACGTCCTGAAATTGGTACCCGCCAAATGATGAACACGGCCATCCGCAGAAGTAGTTTGGTGTGTTTGTAGTCTGGCTAGGTCCCACAAGATCCCGTTTTTCTTGGCGATGCGGCTCAAGCAGTATGTCACCATGTAGTCTACTTCCTTCTCCGAGAGGTTGAGCGCGGCTGCCTCTGGTACTGCTGCTACTACGCGGAAGGCGTACCTGGCCTGAAGGTGGGAGCAGGCGGACGTCCCGTGCGGCTTCTATCCCTGGACACGTCCCGAACCACCGAGTGCGATCTATGCGACGACCGCCTGCACCATGACGCCTGTGCTGCACCTGCCAGGCGCCAGGCCCCTCATACGCCACCTGTGCTGCAGAATCGTTGCTTCTTGGTGTTGAACCCAGCTTCCCTCATTACCACGACGGCAACAGCAATGGTGACAGCGGCTCAACGCCAACCTGGGGCGAGCTCCAGCCGCACCGTGACGAGGGACAGGAGGTTCTAAACGTAGGTTGGTCCTTTGTCTACTGTCCCAAGGGTATTGCTGGTCCCTCACGCATCCAGGTGCCCTGGCTCTGGCCGCGTCCCTCAGCATCTGTCCTCATCCGACTGTAGCAGCTCATAGATATCAGGCGGGTGGTGCAGTTGGCAACTGCCATCCTCGATGAAGGGTGGGAGGCCGCTGCTCCAGCACAGCCGCGCCGCTGCTTTGGAGCAGCGGTCAGCTACTACCTCCCTCGATGCACTCGGACTTGGCCGATACGCCCTAAGGATGGTAGCTGCCAGCCGGTGGCCGGGCGATAGTATAAGAGAGGTACGTTTCCATCCTTTTCTCCTTTTCCTCTTCTTCACGCAGTCCTCCTCCGCCGCCGCAGCAGCAACAGCAACAGCAGCCGCAACAACAGCAACAGCAGCACCGCCGCCTCCACCACCGCCCACCGCCACAAGTAAGTTTTCAAACCCATTACCCAGCTGTTCAAATTCCTGCGAGCTTCACTGAGCACACCATGACCCCTACCATGCCTCTTCACATTCTTCACTCGCATCCTGCTTCTTTGATTTGACCTTGTCGATTTCTGCTTTTTGACCGTGGCTTGTCGTGTCATTCACCTGCACACTACCTCCGTTGATCCCCATCGAGCGATTACCCAATTAGGAAAGTAATAGTAGCTAACATATATATAGTGCCCAAAGTAGAGACCAGGCGTGACGGCACCGTCGTCGTTTATGGCTCCGTAAGTCATCTCTGACTTTACTTCCTTTTCTCTGATGGCAAAACACACAATACCCCCCTCCCCGAAAGATGTCACATCGGTACAATCTTGTAATTGTGGCTCCCAAGACCCTTACGAGAACCACGTTCATCTTGTCTCCTTTTTACAAACCTTTTGTTTTCTTTTTACAACCCTTTTATTTCCTTCCCACATACCTTCCACAATCCCATGTCACTATTCATACATCTTGTCTTGTCGTGTTGCGATTTATTCGCTGCTTTTGGGAAATCCAAATGTGGTAATATGGAACGCTAATAATCTTGTAGAATGCGCTCATCCTGCAGACCGTGCAGCAGGCTCTGCAGGCCGCCGGTGCCGGCGGCGGCGGCGACAAGCCGCCGAACAAGAAGCGGCCTTTGGGCCACCAAGACGATGAGGAGCTCGCTCCCCCCCCCCCCGGGGTAAGTCACATGATCATTCAAGTCATACCCCACCCCAAAACGTCCCATTTTCGCTCGATTTGATCTTTCCCAAACTGGATGTCAATGATGACTGACTGTCTATTTAGAAAAAGACCAAGGAGGAGAAGGAGGCCGAGAAGGCCAAGAACAAGGGCCGCCAAGCCCGCCAAGGAGGGCAAGAAGGGCAAGAAGAACAAGAAGGGCGAGAAGCCCGCCGAGCCCGCCGCCGACGCCGCCAAGGTTCCCCTCCCCCCTTCGGAGGATGACATGGAGGTGGACAAGGGCCTGTAAATAGCTGAGAAATCCAGACTGTCTTCTTCGTGCAATCATCCCTCATTTCGTCTTCTATCTGTCCACCGGGCGGCAGTTGTGTGTCCGTGACGCCGCAGGGAGCGGGGACCTAGTGCTTGTTGTGTGCTTAGCGCCTAGGGGTGCATACGTTTTTTTTATGTAGAACGCAGAAGTGACGGCGGGGGCGAGGCGCCCCCCAGATGTTTTCTAGTTTTTGGTTTGGCAGTGATGGAGGGCGCCGAGAAGCTAAAGGCGGCGGGTGAAGCATGCTTCTCGAGTTTCGAAAGGTTGAGTCTGCGAAATGTCCAGACGTCCGCCGAGCGATCTGGAAGAGGCATCTGACAAATAACCAACACAGCGATCCGCGGAAGTGGCTCGGGGTACTTCTCGAACTTCGAAAGGTCAAGCGTTTGCGAATTTCTTACGATGACTTGGGGCAACCTTACGACCGCGGTTGGGACTATTCCGAAGAGTACATCAGTACAGCAGTGGCTTTCGTTAGCTACCTACGAGCTCATCTTCTCAAAAACGCCGATGGGCTAGGAAAACAGAACATTCAGATTCACCAACGCCACTGAGCCACGTTTACGCAGGAACGTTGGAAGAGGGAAAAAATACAAAACCAATTTCTCATATGTGGGTGCCCACGTCTATGCCTTCAAAACCAGAGCGGGGCGGTGTCAGCGATCAGGGCGGCGGGAGCCAGCAGCGTTCTTTTATTGCGTGATTGGATGTTATCTTGTATTATTTTGTTTCGTCTTAGTCTGGCGCCCCGGAATATTTACCAGATCCTGATACAGAGAGCGTCTAGAGTTTCTCAAAGCGGCTTTCCAGGCGACGCGTATGGATACGTAGTACAGCTAAATTACCTGCGTTTAGTCATGACCGCGGTTGAGTCCCGACTCTGACATAACTAAAATCAAAGCTCCCTGATATTCATCGCCATCAAGCCTGACTTCCTACACTGGGTCGCCCGGAACAGCAAATAATTTGACGCAGGTAACCTTTACGCCTATAGTGCTTAAATTCGTCTTCGACCTGTGCGGTACTGATGAGAGAATTTCGAGCTTCAGCATCGCGAGCTGTATCAGCTATTTCTGCATAGCTTATGATGCCTGTTAATTGTGCACTTTTCAATCACATTTGAAGTCGTGCCTTTGTGGAACTCTCTCCGTTCCTGCACGATGTCGTTGTGCTCGCCGTCGTGGTCAATCAATTGCGTCCTTACTTCTTCTCAAAGTATTCCTCGATTTTCTCCACGATATCAGCCTTCTTTCCTGCGACAGAAATGTGTTTACTATGCGCCCAGTCTTTCAAGACAGACACCGTAAGCTGCCAGTTTATTAGCGTGTCGTTCAACGTTCATCCATCGAGAATACGTACCTTCGCGATCGTTCCCTTCTCATACCGTGACTTCATCTCGCCATCATCAATCGCATCCGAAGTCTTCGCCGGTACAGCTCCGGTGCTCGTTTTTTGCTTCTTAACAGTTGGCTTCGAGTCTTCTTCCGGCTGGCGCTTTCGAGACGATTGGGCCCAGTTACGGAATTCCTCTTCCAAGGTCTGACCCCACTCGACGACTTTGTCGCCGACCCGCTTGTCGATCTGCCGGTACTTCGGGACGGTCTTATCATCAGGCTTTTCCGGGAGCTCATCTTCCAAAGCTATGGCTTGAAGGATTCGGTAGAACCATTGGAGCGCTGGGTTCGGATATCTGCTGGGGTCATACTCGCCCTTGGGAAGAGTCAGGTTCTGGACAATGTCGCGCATGACGTCCGTCAGATTGTCAGAGGCCCGGACTAGTGGTGTTTCTGGGTTCTGACGAATGTCGTCTACATAGGGCAGTGGGATAACCCACAATCCGGGCGGTCTGATCTGTTCGTTGCGTTCACCGAGCCTCTCCTTGCCGGGAATAATAGCCGCGAGGGTAGGAACTGCATTCCGACGTGGTACAAACCAAGCAATCGCCATCTTCTCTTTCTTCAGCAAGTTCTGCTGCAATGCCGAGAAGACGCGTGTGGAGCCGATGAAATCAGCCTCGGTGGGGTAAATGAACATCGGGCAGCGCATATTGGCCCACTCGGGAAGCATTGATAGAGGTTTGAAGCCAATGATGCGGACGACAGGGTCGCCAAAGTAGCGGATAGCCTTGGTCTCGTCCTCGGAGAAGGAGACGGTCTCCCCACCGAATTTGTATGCCTTTCTTATTTCCGTCTTTTGCACCTCCCGAGCTGTGTCTTCAGCAATCTTGGTCGAGGAACCGATAGCAATCTGAGGCTTTTCTCCATTCATCCAGACATAGCAGCTTCGGACCTTCTCCTGGCGCTTGATCAGAATGTATCCCTTGATGCCAATCTTCAATCCCGGGCCAATCTCGAAGGGCAATGAAAACAGGGCGCGACGTGGAGCAGCTTTGGAATTGATGTTCGAGATGAGCGATTGAAGGAGGCTGATTCCGTCGCCCCGTTCAGCGGTCTGAGCGACTTCAGTGATTGGTGCGGGGGCTTCGGGGTCGGTAAGAGAAGGGCGGTAGACAATGTCCTACAACGCGTCAGGATTGGCACACTCTGAACCAATTGGAATTGCCTACATCGAAGAATTTCGCGCGGTCGAAGCCATGGTCGGGATGCGCGATAGGAAAGAGCTCGATTAGAACTCCTAGGTCGTACAAGTCCTTTGCGCGCACAGCTGCAGCTTGTCTGAGGCTCTTGTCATTGGCATGCGGATTGTCGTTATCCGTGACCAGGAACAGTCGTCTTGACGTGAAGTTGGGCGCCTTGGTAGTGAAGATCTGGTTCGCGCAGAACAGCACGTTGGCCATGGATACGGGCTCCTCGGACGGCACAAGCAGCTTCTTGGCCTCTTCCTCGTCCTCGACGAGGCCGCGCAAGCGTTTCACATCGCCAGCGGCGGGGACATCCAGATCGGTCAGGAGATAACAGTGTGGATATTGCAGTGCTCCGCGCGCGCCTGGCGTTCCGTCCTGAAACTTTGACTGCTCAGTGCCGAAAAGCAAGACGCCCATCATGTCATTGGGGTGCGAGATGATGCGCTGCTGCATGAGCTGGTAGGCGCATTTGAGGGCGGCAGATGTGGGCGAATCGCGGTCGGCTTTCTTCGAGTCTGAGGGCGGCGGCCTCTTCAGCATCGAGTGGCTCACGTCGATGGCGAAGAGCACCGCGTCTTTGACGGTCTTGTAGCCCTTCACTGGCTGTCAGCGCGCATTCGATGCTGTGGAAATCAGTGGAACGCACGGTCTCATCGAGCGCCTCTTCTTCATCGTCCTCTGCCTCTTCCTCGCGATTGTAGCGCTCTGCCGGGTTGGCCATTTTGATGTTGTTGCAGAGTGCGGAGTAGCTTGACGCCCGGTGCACGTCACTCACGCAGCGCGCGCCAGGCAGCAGCGCGTGCGCACGTGACCTCAACTTGTCTTTCAGCTTCCATGAATCAATTTTTGATCTGATCGATGACTCTGTGAGCGGTCTGTACTCCGTGGCAGTGTGTGAACTGGCCACTGATCGGCGGGGACTGCAGCCCTGGCGTGCGGGTAGACATGATTGGTCAGAAGTCAATGCTGCATTCGTATTGGCTGCTTTCACCCATCTTTTCTGTCGCTCTTGTCCTCTTGTCTTTGTTTCCTTCTGCTAGGCTCTTTTACGTCTCTGTGCCGTGTTCTCGCTCTCCACAAGAGGGTCATGCGGGACTTGAAAGTGATGCGGTGGAGATCAGGCGGCCTCGTTGTTGTACATACAGTAGTCTTCGCCTTGCTTCACCGACTTCAGCCAGTCTCGGCTGAAGCAAATACCCCGCATCTCACATTTCCATGCTGGAGAAGCGTGCGTTGGTCAGAAGCCCAGCCGCTGCTACGTGGTCCTCGATCCACCCGGGCATCCCGCCAGGCGCAGCCCCAGCGTACCAGCCAAAAGAGCGTCACCCACCAGAGTCTTTGGTGGCACTAGCACGCTGCTGGAACCGCAGTTCGCATTTCTACTTGTCCTGGCGGCTGGCGTCGGCCTCTTGGCGTGCACCGGCCAGCGTCTCCACGCCCCCCTGGGCAAAACAAATACCCTTAATTAGCTCTCCAACGCAAGCAAAAAGAAGTAGGTCCTACCCGGGATCGAACCGGGGTTGCAGGAATGTTCTGATTGATCAGAATCCTGAGTGCTAGCCACTACACTATAGAACCGAATCGAAGTGGTGACTGTTATGTCTAGTACCTGAAAGGAGAAGACATTGCACAACTTATATACTGCAATTTCGTGGCCTTGCACGAGTTGCACAGTCCTTCGCATCCGTAGAATGACGGCGGTCGAGTAGGATGGGAGGGAGGTGAGCATCCGGCTCTCCCGCGCTGACGCGCGGCTTGTCGCACGTATACGCGACACTATCCGCGCCACGCTCATCTTCTCATTAACGACAAAGCGACCGTCGCTATCCTTCTCCCTCTCAACGGTTTCTCTCAGCCGCCCTCGCTTACCAACTCTCAACTCAGTAAAGCGCATTTTTGATCCAGGTTGCGGGAATGTTCTAATAGATTTACGATCACTAGCTGCCACATTATAGAACCGATAGTTCGGCTTCTGGTGCTTGAGATCTGAGATGAGGTTTGAATAAGATGGCTTGTGTAGTGCGTTTCTTTGGTCCTGCGCCAGCCCCCCTCCCCCTAGACACCCTTCCGACCCTCCAGCCTCAGGACCAGTCCAGATAGTCGTCTTTCGAATATCGAAAGTACATGGTGTGAGGGTCCTTATCTCTCTGCGCTTCAGATCCCTGGTGGTTCTCGCTTTGCAGCGGAAGGGTTCAAAGGCCGAGTTTCGGGCTTGGACTGTCCAACTGCGTGACACAACCTTATCGACAACCCTGGCGTCAGTAAATATATTGGGCCCTCTCATTCGCCAATGCCTGTTTTTGTGGCGCGCAATCGAGCCATTCAGAAGTCGTTCTGAAGATGCGATCTGACCTCAAACGGAAGTGTCGCAAAGGATTAGACGTGCATTGACACGCAACACCATATTATCTAATGGATATCACATTGACGTGCTCGCTCCCTATTGCGGAAGGCGCCCTTGCTGCTGCTGGAGATGACATAATTATTCCTGCGGTGTGCGGGACGCGCCCGCGTGAGGCTTGCCAAAGAGATTACCACCATCTTAGCCAACGAGGGCGCAGCCTTCAGGAGGGGCATCCTCCCGAAGCATCACATGAATTACTCCTTGGGGCAAGCCACGACGGCAACTGGCCCGCGGCGCCGCGCAAGGGGCTGCCATGACATTCAATAATGGTGTGGCTTGGCCGGAGCACGTCTACGTGCGCCAACATTTGCACGTTAAGCCGAGGCCAACGTGACCTCGCCCGAGCAGCAGCTGGACCGCCGCAGAACGGATCGTGTAATCGATGACTGGCAGGGGCTGGCCGCGGTCAAGGCGTGCTGCGGACTCGGCGGAGGGAGTAGAGGCAAATCTTCGCGTGAGCAGGCGGCGCCGGCCAACGACGGCGCAATTTGGAGCCAAACCCCACATTCGGCCGAATATCTGACATTCAGAAACTGGTAGATTGGCAGGGCAGGCGCGTGGTGTTGACGGCGGGGTGGAGAAGCAGAGGGCGCCGACACCGGCAACCTTAATTGCAGCCGTGGCGAGGCACATCCGCGGGTAGCCGAGCCGGGGTGCGGGCGGCTGGGGCATGCGCTCAGGGCCCGTGGGCGAGCCGCATCTGAACCAGACAAGCTACCATCTTCCCTATAAATCAGCTACACATCTACTTCCCAACACCATGCAACGACCCGCTGTGCAACTTTCCCGCCGTCCAACTGCCGCGTTGTACCCGCCCAGACACATAATTCGCCAGCTTCCGCCTCCCTGCCCGCCGTAGCTTTCCGAAAGCGTCCATTTCCCAAAACGACATGCTCACCACCCTCCGCCACACCCGCCCTCTGCTGCTCAAGTCTCCGCTCCTCACCCAGCGCGCCGCGCTGGTGTCAGTCCGGACAGTCCACCACAATGCTGCCTTTTCGACAAAGTCGCCTTCGCGCACAGCGAGCCTGGCCATGAAGCCCGGCGCATCCGTGCGGGAATCAGTTCAACAGCTGTCCGCCGTCGCCGTCTCGCCCACTTCGGCCGCACCAGCATCGCCCTCGCGGACCCTCGATGATGCCCAAAATGCCATCGCGAAGCTCCCGACCGCCTCGCTCCTCCGCAACTTGTTGATTCAGAACATCTCCGCATATCCCGTCATCCTCTCCTTTTTCCTCACCATCCTCAAACGCCACTCCGACTTCTTTGTCAAGGCCCCCATCTTCCGCCATGTCATCCAATACTTTTTCTACGCCCACTACTGTGCCGGTGCTACCGGCCCTGAGATCTCGCGCACTGTTCAGAGCCTGAGGCAAATCGGCATTAAGGGCGTCATCTTGAACTACGCCAAGGAGGTTGACACACCCGGTGTTGCCGGCGAGGGCCAGGAGAAGGCTGCCGAGGTACAGCAACTCCACGAGCAACAAGTGGACCAGTGGCTCGATGGCACCCTGAAGACCATCGAATACGCGCCCGCTGGTGACTACGTTGCCATCAAGTTCTCCGGTGCTGGCTCCAAGGTCGTCGAGATGCTCGAGCACAACCAGGAGAAGCCCGACGAGCTCTTCGGCTCCGCGCTCGCCAAGGTCTGCGATTTGGCGCGCGACAAGGGCGTCAAGATCCTCGTCGACGCCGAGCACCAGTGCCAGCAGGCCGCCATCGACCGCTGGACCATGGACCTGATGCAGCGCTACAACGGCGGCGACAACATGGTCATCTACAACACCTACCAGATGTACCTCAAGGCCTCGACCGCCGTCCTCGACGGTCACCTCACCCGCGCCGCCTCCGAAGGCTTCAACTTCGGCGCCAAGCTCGTGCGCGGCGCGTACCTAGGCAGCGACCCGCGCCACCTCATCCACGACACCAAGGCTGCAACCGATGCTGCCTACGACGCCGCAACCGAGAAGCTGGCAACGTACCACTTGGCGCAGCCGCGCCCCACCATCAAGGTCGGCATCGTCTTGGGCTCGCACAACGCCGTCTCGCTGCGCAAGATCCGCGCCATCCGCCACCAGCAGGCCCTTGCCGGCCAGCCTGTGGCCGACGTCGTCTACAGCCAGCTCATGGGCATGGCTGATGAGCTTTCCCTCTCGCTGACCACGGCCGACAAGGAGAACGGTCTCAAGGAGGGCGACTGCGACGTCTACAAGTACGTCACCTGGGGTACCATGCAGGAGTGCATCCTGTACCTGGTGCGCCGCGCCGAAGAGAACCGTGACGCCGTCGCTAGCGCTAGGGATTCGAGGGGTATCTTCTGGAATGAGCTGAAGAGGCGTATGGGCCTTGCCGGCTGAACAACGCTGAAAGAAAGTCATCCTTTCATTTGTTCAGAACGGAACCCAGAAAGAAGCCTCCAAGATCCATGCTCTCCTATCAGGAGTGCGCGCCGAGGTGTGAAAGGTCGATTTTTGGCACAAGAGCATTCTCCAGAATGCCAGAAGCCGCGCTAAAGACAGTTAGCGAGATTTTCCTCAGGCGTTAGGACAGGCTCAGGGTGAAGGAATAGAGTGGGCAAATACCCAAGAAGATTCCCACGAACGACGACACGGCCGTCTGTACAACAGGTAGATGAATAAAGAAATAGAAGCCAATACTGCAACATGCTTTCGGATCAAGAATTTGTGACGTTTTGCCAAAGCCTGTATCGCGTAGCCTATCACAGAGGGGTACTGCAACCGATGGTTAGCGTGAATTTATTCTCTCGTGCCATAGGTAGTTGAAGCTATCATCCTGATGCAAATGTAGAAATAATAATTAAACATTTACGTCCTGACGATAGCTTCAACTACCCGTAAATATTTTTTTTTTAAAAAAAACCTGAGGCATGCTTACACTATGTTTTAAGGCCCTGCCATTCTTCGCACGAGCCATCGGCTGCAGCACCCACCTCTCTGTAATAGCACCTTTTGCAGATATTCGTCGAATAGGATATCAAAGGGAACCCTGTGTATTGATCAATTATCCCCGATGCACCCATCGATTTATTGGTGTTTGAAATGGATATATTCATCGTAGCAAATAAGCACCGTTCGCCCAATTCGAAGCCCATATACAAGCTCTCGCGAGCCTCCCATGATTTTGTATTCCTTGTTCCTCCAATCCATCCGTGTCCCAGCTTCTCTTCTCTACGCCAGCATCTTGTAGCCATCCCAGCCAGCCATGCCCATCAGAACCAACTGGATCAACGAGGCCCAGCTGCCGATAAGCCTTCCCATGCCATTCTTCTTGTCGGGGCGAGTGTAGCCGATGGCGTACATGATGCGGCCGACGGACCAGGCGGCGCCCATGACGGCGGCGGGGACGGGCCTGCGCAGGCCGGCGACCAGCAGGGCGAAGAGGAAGTTGGTGTGGTTCTCGAGGAAGTTGTAGTGGCCGCGCTGGGCGCAGTTGAACAGGTGCAGCGCCTGCTGCTTCTTCTCGTCGCCGCTGGCGGCGGCAATCTGCTCCTGCGACGCGTACTGGTGCGGGTACGGCACGCCGGCCGCCTTGCGGAACGAGCCAATCCGTATGCCCAGCCAGGTCGAGACGAAGAGCGAACCGGTCGCGGCGAGGACGACGAAGCTGTTGTACAGTGACGTTACTGGTCAGCAGTGGGGTCGAACTGGCCGTCAATGCCTGAACAATGAGGCGGACTGGGGGATGCCCGAGGAGGAGTGGACTCGGGTCGCAGGAGGATGACGATACCGAGCGGCATCGTCGTAATCGAGGCAGACTTACCCGTACTCCTGAGGAACCTGAAGAGTGGCGAAAGACATGATGTCGTGATAGATGATTCGTAGAGAAGGACGTTGATTGATGGGTTGGATGATCCGTGGGCTTGTTGTTGTTTGTAGAGATTCAGTGTCTCCGAGAGGCGGTCCTGGCGCGCTTTTAAAGTTTCAGCGAACCCCTTTCCTCGTCATTCTAAATATTTCCCTGTAGAGCTGGGGGCGTTGTGGTAGGCTGCTACACGACGCGTTGCTGATCAAGCAAGCTCGGTCGGCGGAACTGATCTATCCGGTTGGCTTGGCCCTTGCGGGCGGGATCTCAAGATCCCCGCATGCTGGATGCATGGTCGAACCTTTTCGCCCAACTCTCAGAGGGAAACAATTTGAGGCAGCAAAGAAGTTTGCCAAAGCAGTTACGAGAGTTAAAAATGGAGTGTCGAACAAAATAAATATAAGCTTTGCGGATCGGATCGGGTCCGCCGCCAATTGCATGCCCCCATTGGCTGAAGCCATCTCGCGCCATTTAACCCTCCGATGATTCGTGCGGAGGGGGGACTTTGTCAGCGACCGTCCGCAGAAAATAAAGGCCTCTCAGCATCGCTTACAGCTGGAGGCAAAAATAACTGACATTGCACTTTAATTACGCCCGTCGTTGAATTCTATGCCCCAAGTAGTCCTTGAAATTAAAGAGTGCAGCATCCTGTGTAGGACGCAAAAGAACAAAGTCTTGTGCAGTCCGCTGTAAGCTGTATGTGAGATAAGATGGAGCATCCGGGCTGAAGCCCCCTAACTTCGGATACGAATGCTGTTTCGAATTGATGACGACGTGGTTGCTGACGAACTTTACATACGTCGTCTCCAAAGCCTCCATGGATCATAATGTCTGTATGACTGCGCATGCAAGCAGAGAGGCTACATCATTTTTTGGCAGGTCCAAGAATTGTTTCACAATCACGCTGTCTGGACTTTCGGCGTTCGTATCAGATGGTCACTCTATGTCTTGGCTTTCCTCAAAAAGCTTCTCACCGCATGGCTCGTTCCCGCCATAGTAGCACAGTCGAGTCGCACGGCTGCATGGCCGGGAAAGTGACGATTACCTACAGTCTAAGTAAATCCTATCTCATATCCGGAAGTCTACGTGTCAGAGTCTACAGCTCATATCCTACAAAGCGTTTGCAGGACCTGAGACGTGCTTTCTTTCGTCTCTTTGACCAGCTTCGCCATCTCCTTGAATCTGAAGCCGCCATAAGCAAGACACGTCAACAAAAGAGCAAGGGGCACGTACTCTGGGATAGCAGCATCATTCATCAGCTCATAGAGCATGCTTTCACTGGTAGTGACGACGACGCCTTCGTGCCTGAGGCGGGCCAGTGCAATGGGGACTTCTTCCTTGTTGCAGCTGGACACGCCGTCGGCCAGGACATAGACCTTGTGGCCATCGCGCAACAAGTCGAGCGCCGTCTGGGTGACGCAGATGTGCGACTCGATACCGACGATGATGCACTCGTGCTTCTGGGTGAGGGCGGCGCGCACCTCGGGCGTGATCATGGAGAACAGCGTCTTGTCGGCATGCACCTTGGTCTGGATTCCGCCAGGGGCATCGAGGCCAAGCTCCGGGCATGTTTCTCCCAGGCGAGCGCGGTTTTGGGTGGTGGCGAGGACGGGAAATTTCATGATCTGGCCTAGACGCGATTCAGCTCGAGATGCGCGGATTCTTCGCAACAAAGGGGTAGGAGAGCATCGGAAGCTAGGAGATGGCCACAGTTTCACGAGGGCAAATCAAAAAGCCACAGGCGACAAAGGAAAATGAGGGGTAGCGGCGCACCCCGTGCAGCAAGCGCAGAGAGCGGGCGGCTTCGACCTCGAGTGCTAACTATAGAACAGAGTGGGCATGAGGGTCAAGGCGGGCGTGAAGAATGCAGATGCTGGCGGGCGCGCAGCACGCAGGCCCGCCTGTTCTGATGCACGATCGCACGGGATCGGCCCAGCTGCAGCCATCTCACTCCCCAGGACGCCTTGTTCCTGGAGCGCGATGGTCCACAGCGTGCGCCAGGAATTGACGCCAAGACGGGGCACGGGCTGACGGAGGTCGTACTGGCTCTGAGCATCTTCTGGCTGGTCTGGATGACCTTCGAGAACTCCCAGATGGCCGGGCGGAACTTCTCTTGCAGGTCGCAAATGCTGCGGTGCTCGTCAGCTCGCGGCGCAACAGCGGTGGCAGGCGGCGTACAAGAGCGCGGGGCTCGCTGCGGCGGGTCAGCACGTGGCGCGCCGGGGCTGTCTGGTCTACTCACTGAGTCTGCGGGCGGCGGCGGCAGCCATGATGGCGGAATTGAGGCCAATGAAGGCTGGGAAATTTACAGGCACGGCGAGGGCAGCACTGTGGTGTCGGGCAGGGCTGTGGGTGGACGTGCGGTCATGCAGGAGGCGCGCGCGCCAGCAGCCTCGGGCGGAGCAAAGATGACGCAGTGGGGGGACCGGCCGTTGGGTCCGCCGTACCTTGCCGTTACGCGGGCCCAACACAATACATAACGCACCCTAAGTCTGCTGCGTCGCTGCCCTCACGTGCGGTCGGGTGCGGAGGCGGCTGCGGAAAGACGGGAGTGCAGGGCGTCGTGGTGGTCGGCTTCCGTAAACTGCTGGTGAAACGCAGCGCCCGCTCCGTGCTCTTCTCGATCGGGCATGCGCGGGGACCAAGGCATCGGCCCACCCAGCTGCAGCCCAGCGTCGTCGTCGAGCACCCTCCGCACCGTCAGCCTGAGTAAGGCATTCAGCTGCGACGGTGGGCCGTGAGCGTCCGTCAGCCGCTTGCTATTTCCACTCCTCTTTGTGCCACGGGTACAATGGCCGTCAGCCTCGGGTGCCTTGGCGGGCCCCCAGGGCCTTTGACGGGCGTGACAGCCGTCCTCATTGGCTGTGCCGCCGGCGCTGCGTACTGAGGTTTATAGCAGCCGGAACAAATGCGCGCGCGCCTGGCCTCTGCGTGATTTGTTTGATGAGCGGTGACGGAGCGTATTATTCTGTAACTGCTGCTCCTCCGTAATTCCGCCTTGCAATAGCACTGGAGCGCAACTTAGCGAGCAGCGAGCGCAACCTGCTATCAAGCACATCCCTCACCACACAACCTTCCTTTTTCCCATTCCCACCACAGCCCGCCGCACGCCCGCTGCGATCCCGCCCATCCCATCCGCCAACCCTCCTCGCCGTGCCGCCTGCCCGCGCCCCTCTCCAGCCGTGGCGTAGCTGTTGGTCCTGCCCTGTCTCCAGCACCGCCGTCTAGCAGGGGCAACCGCTTCGACGCCTCTCCCAGCGCGTGTCCGCGCCGGTCTTCGCAGCTCCATTCACGCTCGCCCGCGCCCTCGCGCCTACTTATTGCTCGTCGTGCCTCGCTCCGCCGCGCTTCGCGACCGGTACGCAATTCCCTCGCCCTCGCCGCCGCCGACTCCACCGCTCCCCGGAAGTCCCTCGACACCCCCGCCCGCCGCAGTTGATGGGCGAATACAGCAGTACTGAAGCACACGCAGGCTGTCTCAATCGCGCCCTGGATTCCCCAGACACCCTCTTCTCGCGCCGCGTCTCGGCAGCACGCCCGCTGGCCCTCGACCAGTACACCTCCGCTCCCCATCCGCTCCTCGTTACACCCCACGCGGCGCAACAGCCGCTCCTGAGCTATCACCCGCTCCTCCGATCCGTGCACATCAACAACCTGCTGCAGAAAAACATCCTCGCGCAGTCGCCCCCCGCCACCACCGTGTCTCAGGAACAGCACCCGAGGCCCTTGGCGTCGAGGCCGGCACAAGAGACCACAAAGAAAGCGCAACCCAAGCCGCACCCTGCGCCACAGCACATCGATGGGAATAACGGCGTGCCGACTAGAGCTACGAGCGGCAAATCGCAGGTGACGGACTCTGCAACCATGTCGGGTAGGGGGTCGGAGGGGGTCAAGCATTCCCTTCCCGCACGCCCGCCAATGACTTCCCATCACTCAAACTCCGTCCCATCGACACCCCACCAGCATGCTCGGGACGTTGCGTTTCGCTCGAGGACGCCGTCGCCCAACGGCGCGCTTGGCAACCATTCTCCGAGATCCGTCTCCTCCGAGGCAAATGGGACGCTGCCGTCGCTGCGGAAGCAGCCGTACAAGTGCAAATACGAGTCGGGAATTGCTTTTGGTAGGCGTCGGATGGGTTACGACAACGCCGACATGTTGGAGAAGGCGGCCGTGCCGCCAAAGGCATCCCTAAACCCCGAAGAAGAGAAGAAGCTCAGTGGCGACATGAGAGAACTGTACGACCGGTTATTGCCGTCCGAGGAGAGCCAGAAGAGAAGAACGCTCTTGGTAGAGAAGCTGGGCCGGATCCTGCGTACCGAGTGGCCCGGGAACGATTTCAAAGTCCACGTCTTTGGGTCGTCGGGCAACATGCTCTGCACCGCCGAGTCTGATGGTATGTGCCGACCGCTTACTGCTGCACTTGGACCGCATTAACCCTCTTGGCAGTCGACGTGTGCATTCAGACCCCAATGAGGAAGCTGGAAAGCGTGCATATGCTGGCTGAAGCACTGGCAAAACGTACGTTTAAAAGTCCACAACGTTGAAACATTTTCGCTGAAACAGGCGCAGACGGCATGAGCAAGGTCGTGTGCGTGGCCTCGGCAAAGGTCCCCATTGTCAAGGTCTGGGACCCCGAGCTCGAGCTCGCTTGCGACATGAACGTGAACAACACCCTTGCGCTGGAGAACACGAGGATGATCAAGACGTATGTCCAGATAGATCCTCGCGTACGGCCCTTAACGATGATCGTCAAGCACTGGACGAAACAGCGGATCCTGAACGATGCTGGTACGTTTCACGTTTCGAATTGCATTGTAGGCACTGACGTGTGTAGCAATGGGTGGGACGCTGAGCTCCTATACCTGGATTTGCATGGTCTTGAACTTCTTGCAAACTAGATCTCCGCCGGTATTACCTGCGTTGCATCAGATGCCCTTCGAGAAACATCTAACCGACACCGGAGAGGAGTCAAGTTTCTTTGATGACTTGGAGCAGATTCGTGATTTTGGGAAGGACAACAAGGAGTCCTTAGGGCAGCTGCTCTTTCAGTTCTTTCGATTATATGGCCACGATTTTGATTACGAACGTGATGTTGTCTCCGTCCGGAACGGCAGGTTTTTGACCCGGAAAGAGAAGGGATGGGAGGTTGACAGCGGCAACAAGGAGGGTCGGTTCCGTTTATGTGTGGAGGAGCCTTTCAACGTTTCTCGGAACCTGGGTAATTCCGCTGATGATTACGCTTTCCGTGGGATACATTTGGAAGTCCGGCAGGCTTTCGATTTTCTAGCGGATGGCGGGCAGCTGGGCAAGGTGTGCGAACAATTTGTCTTCCCCAAGGAGGAGCGGCCCACTTTCCAGAAACCACCGCCCGCTCCGAAACCGACCCTGACTCACAGCACCTCGCCATCCCGGCGAGGTGGGCGTGGCGGCAACCGTGGAGGCAGAAGCCATTACAACCAGAGGAACAACCAAGGCGACCGCAGTAGGTCCTCGAGTGGTGCAAACTACCCAAATGGGCTCCCGTTCTTGAGTCCTCCTCTTGCGGGAGCTGGGCCCGATTACTTCGCCGCTACCACCGGAGCGTCCTTACACGAACAACTGTACAAACAGTATCAGATGCTAGAGATGCAGCAACACAGCCTGAAAGCGCAACTCTTCGCCCAGGCCCAAGCTCGTGCAGCACAAGCGCAAGCTATTGCTCAGGCTCAGGCTCAAGCCAGAAACGGTTCGAACCATGGGTCTCCACCAAAGACGCAGTATGCGACGGCCCAATCGGTATCAAGAGATCCAAACGAGCCGCCCGCCACTGCACCACTAATGCCGCACTACCTGTATCCGTATGCTGGGTTTGAGCAGCCTCAGCCGATGTCTCAGTCCCACTCTCAGGACGGAGTTCGGACAAATCCTAGCTCGCCATCATTACCCTTGAGTATACCAACGCAGAGGCGCGGCGCTCACCGGGCTACAGTGGCTGAAGGTCAGGCAAATAGCTCCGTTAGGTCTCATTCCCAGCCAGCGAGAGCTGACCAGAATGCTCTTTTTCTTCCGGGTTATCCGCCGATTCCCAGCTACCCTCCCAACCTTATGGCCTACCCCATCGCGCGATCGGCACAGGACACTCAGACGCCCCAGCAGCAACCAGTGGATGTTCCCCAGCACCATGCCCAGGGCCTTCAGATTGTTCGTGAGAACGGCTCACCAAAGGAGTATCTCGGCTACTTCATCGAATCCCCACAGCAATTCCGTTCACATCTCCAAGATTACACCGTGCAGCAGATTCCTTCTTTCCAGGAGCTGGCTTCAAGACGTAGAAGGGTTTCGCCGGATTTGGCACCTCCTCAACAAAGTCAAGCACAGCAGCATGTTTCGCGGTCCCCATCTCCGCTCGGACAGAGCCACAATAGGAGTTATTCCACCGGGGTTCACACCACATCCGTGACTTCTGCACCACTACAAGTATCTGAGAGGCCGACACAACCAGTACCGCCGGCTGAGTCAGGTCCTGTGATTGTGAATGGCTCTTACCGTGCGCCGCAAACGAGGGAACAAAAAAGCGTAACTGAAAATGCCGATGTAAATGGGTATGCCGACAGAGATTCCGTCTCATCGATCCCCGGTCCAACGCGATCAGATGAGCCGTTCCCTATGGAAATGCCGGAGCAACAGCAACAACATCAGTTGTACGCGAACGAGGTGTTGCGTCGCCATTTCGCTTCATCTGAGCCTGAGAAATCAAATGGCATTGACGTGTACGGTACGACATCTCAAATGGCCATGCCAAATTACACAGCGGCTGGAACCGGCGTTGTGAACGGCTATGCTGTCAACAATGATGTTGATTACGCCACATCAAGTGCCGCTACCTCGAAGACTCAAAATATCCCGCCATGGCGCGTCAAGTCGGCTCCTAACGGCATGTCGCATCTTGACATATCAAGAACATCTGCCGCGCCTGCGCAGACGGTTAAGTCGGCAGTCTTGCCTATACTTTCCCCGGTCCAGGAGACTAGGACTCCTTCACCAACAGCTAGTCGTGGTGCACTATCTGCTGGCCTCCAGCCAACGAATGGTACCTTGTCCAGCGGTGTCGGCTTGTCAGAGAAGGAGAGCCATGTAACTCCGTCGCGACCTGGCAATGCGCAGAATGCGAAGCAAACTCCTCAGCCGAAGAAGGAGAGTCCAATCGTGCACGAAAAGACCGGCAGCAAGGGAGCTGGATGTGGGAACTCACCCTCGAATGGCGGCTGGCAGAAATCCGGTGGGGGCAAAAAGGGCGGCCGCAAGCGCGCCAAGTCCAACTCCAGCAAGAACGGCGAGCACAAGGGAGGCGAGCCTCTTCCAGCCAACGAAGCTGACCGCAAAGGAGGTTAGCCCGTCAGGACGGGCAGTACCCGACTGATCTGCCGCATTCAGCCAATTAAACCTCACTTTTACCAACAGACTGCATCACTTGGAGATGGCGCACGGAGGAGTGTCAGAACAAACAAGGCCATGTGCTATCGACCGACGACTGTCGTTCGTACGGTCTTGCAAAAGAAGAAAATTCTGCCTTGGACTGCAACCCTTTCCTTCCAGAATGTGGCCATGGAAAGGCTCATAGGTGCTTCGCGGGATCGGTTCCAGGAGCTTGGGGGTGCTTGATCCCTGGAAAAGCATATCGACTTGTCCTGTTCGAAGTCATCCGGCCAGGCAACAGGCGTTGGAAATTATATGATGAGAATGACAAAGATGCAGCAATAGGTGAGGTCACGAAATGGATTGGAAGTACTTGAACGTTATGGCAACGAAAAAAGAAGCTCTTTTGGAAGTCAGCAGAAAGCAGAAATGAAGACATCGAATTTCGAAGACGCGCATACCGGCAACCATGGCACCTCTCGGGCTGATGGACGGGAACGAGAAGCTCGCTTCTTCCGCTTGTTTGCCTTGCTTCTTCATAAGCAGTTGGGAGTCTTACTGGTCAGCCATGGAGAAGTCACGATCACCCCTCCGAGTGCGTCATAACCGCTCCAGCATTTCAAGAGCGAAATAAAACAGCAGAAACCATGAAAAGACTGATACCAGGGTTATTTGGTTTCTTCCACTTCTTTATCGTAGTTTCTCCTGCTTCTTTTCCTATCCTGGATGCATGCATTACTCCTGCATAATATTAGGGCGCGATCTTCATTGTTTCAACACGGTATGGGAAACAGGAACTGTGGGCAAGGAGAAAGGAGATTGAATTTACCACTACCATCATCGGCAGGGGCAGCACAAGCTACGCATAACCGTACAGCACATAGCGATCGGGGTTTTTGGTCTTGTTTTGTCATATCAGACTCAGGTCTTTCTTCGGGTGGGTTCGAGAGTTTCTGATCTTGTCGTTTTCGGTTTTTCTTCCGTCATCATGGGTGGGCTCTTTCTTGGATTTCATGTTTTGCGTTGAATTGGAAGCATGGCATACATTGTACAGATAGACCGGTCGGACATTCTCCCGGGACGCAGCGGAGCGACAGATAGGAAAGACGAAATGAGGGATGAATACACGAAAAAGAGATCCTCGCCTTCTTGGGCCAACTGGAGCAACACGACCAGCAAATCCTTTCCGTCACCGACATCATTGATCGGAAAAGGGCGAGACTTATGCGGGAAGAGAGAGCAAGAATGACTCCAGACGGAATGTCAGGTTGGAACGTGTACGAAAATGAGAATGTGACATCTTGGGTGCCGTTATTCTCTTTCTGGTGCTCATGCGGTATCTTTGGGATGTGCACGCAGATCTTGCAAAGCATTGGATCGAACTGTGAACAAGGGCGGGATTGTGTTATCTCTTGTGGGTTCATTCCGGATTTCGGGATGTATGGACTTGTTTTTCTTCAGAAAGGGCTTTCTTTTTTTCCTCCCCAAAATGGTCGACTATAATCAAAAATAATATAGATGAAATACAGTCCCCTCTCGCAGCCGATGGCTAGCGTGGATTTGTTTTTTGCTCATGTCATGGGTAAATGAAGCTATCATCCGGACGTGTATGTAGAGTTTTTAATTCCACCTTCTTATCCGGATGATAGCTTCATCTACCCACATATGTTATTTTTTTTCAGGAAGAGTTGAGACATAGCTACACCTTGGGGCTTTACTATTCTTCATGCTAGGCGTCGGCTGCGATACCCCCTGTATGACCGTGAAACAAGTCAAAAGTATGTTATCTTGACTACGCTCACGCCCTCATTCCATGTGAAGCTTCGTATATCTTTCATCCAGGGCGTTGTGTCCTGGAATAATCTAAATAAAGTTAGCTTATATTCTATTTGTTAAAAAGAGAGAGGAGGAGGAAGAGAGGCATATACACATGTGACGATATCGTTTCTACTCCCCTCGTTCTTAACCGGCTTTTTACTCCCGGAAACGCAGCCCCTGTAGTCATCAGGGAACTCGGCCAGCTTCTGCGGCGTCCGTATTGCTGCGCCTTGGTGCTCACACTTAGCCTTAGTGCGCATCGCCTCACCCGGCTACGACTCGGGCACGCCGTCGGCCCGCGTGCCGACGACACCGGCGAGCATGGGGCTGAATTTGTGTGGCGCACCCGGCTCAATGTTGTGGCAGTGTCCGCAGATTGTATTGCACAGCTGTGCGCCGCAGGAGTAGTCACCTAGAAATCGATGATTGCACCAGGTGAAATGGAGAATAAACGTCCTGAAAGAATGATAGTGAAATTCTAAATCACAGCAAGACCAGCGGGAGGTTGGAGATTGGTTAAACGGATCTACGGGAAGCTGGTGACGCTTCATTAAAAACAGATATTCAGGCTATAAGATCCCCCCTCCCCGACACGTGGTCACTCTTGGCTCGAAAGCGACGGAGCCATTGAGGAGTGGGAAAATTGCAAAAAACGAGGCGGCTCAAGCCTAGCAGATTAGAAACAGGAATTCTCGCACGTTTAGTGGATGTTCTTCACCGGCATTGATATACAGGGGTATTGCAGCCGACGGCTAGCGTGAATTTATTTTTCTCTCATATGTACCATGGGTAGTTAAAGTTATTATCCGGATATAAATGTACAAATAATAATTATACATTCACATCCGGACGATAGCTTCAACTGCCTACGTATGTTCTTTTCATTGTGGAAAGAGCTGAGGCATAATCACGTAGATATCGCTGGCATTTCGGCAACTTATACGGGAGAGGATTTTAACAGTCTATTACGAAAAAAAATTCGGACCTTACAGAACCTCCAGGAGATTATTGGTCGCGATTCTCGTATTTTTGGTTACAAGCTTGCGTCGGTCAAAGCCAAATGATGAATTTTATGAGAATGAAAAGTCAAAAAAGTCAGAAACACCCGGGGACCCTAATTGAACGGATCTATAGGAACAGACGAAGCGAAGAGAGTACAAGAACATAAGAAAGGTGGGAACGACTAGCTCCACAGCTGTGGCTTGCTTACAGTGCCATACTTGGCTTGCCAGGCGAAAAAGTACAGCAGAGCGGCGAGAGGCTGTCCGACAAGACAGAAACTAATCCAAAAGATCATGTTGCCAATCACCTTGCTCTGCAGACCCTTCATGCGATTGATTGGGTCTGTGATCAGGATGAGGGGTATTTGGAAGATCATTCCAGCAAATGCGACACCTGTTGCTGAGTCAATGGCCGCACAGGCAGATGAGCAGAAGCAAAGATCAACATACCAATGATGTTATGGGTTGGCACGCCGACGGCGAGCTCATGCAGGGCACCAGAGAACAAGAAAACCAAGATCTGCGCAATGACAGGGGGAATGCCGCGTCCGCACAAAGGGCTGTAAATGTGCCTGCGCATAAAGCTAGCGACAGGCTTGTTCCATGTAACCCAGTAGATACGGATGCTTGGGGCGTTCCACCATTCGGTGTAGAACTCGCGGTCTCCGAAGCGCATGACTTCAGCAAGGGCATTCAAGAAGGAGTGGAAGAAAGCCATAAAGCCGGCCAGCCAGCAAAAGAGGGAAATGGTGGAGAGTTTCAACATGCGCTCGACAATGGAGACGAAGTCAAGCGTCGCGATCTTGTCCAGCGAGTTCTTCAACAACGGCGAGGCGTACTGAGCGGAAGCAATCCAGATGACGATGCCGAGACCGAGCATTTCGCCGCAGCGTTTGAAGACAAAAGGCCAGCGGATCTTATCAGTGCGGGGGTAGATGGGCTGATAGACCAGCGTAGGAGCCCACCAGAAATACGTCAAATTTTTGAGTGAAATGTTCTTCGGGTACGGGCAGTCCCTGTAGATATCCGGAAGCGGAGCAGCACCGAAGTCGTCGAGCAGGGCATGGCGGAGATCACGGTTGGTAAAGGCATAGGAGCACGTTTTCAGCCAGACAATAATGGCGTGCAGCTCACAGAGGGTGCCGATGCCGGGGTGATGGATCCAGTAATAGACGACGGTCGAGGCCACCAGGAGATTCAGAGTAGCATTAACGCCGTGAGCAAAGGCAATGAGGCCCCACGTGCCGCGGAACTCGTCGCGTCTCGCCTGCACGTCTGCCGGCGACTCGGCTTTCTTGATCCGTGCGACGGCACCCTTGGCCTGTTGAGCTGCGGCAAGCTCGATGACGTATGCGACGAAGAGATGGCATGGGACCAGGAAGTAGAGGATGGAGCCGTAGACGACGTCCTGGCGGCGATAGTCGTGGCAGCGGATGCATATCAGGACTCCGTACTGTCACGGTCAGCGGAGAATGATGGAGGCGAGACATCAGCAAGTACCTTCCGGAAGTTCTCAATCATCAGACGCAGGTTCGAGACGACTTCAAAGCGAGGTGGTTAGCCACGGACTGCCTCCTGAAGCCCAGGGGGAAGGCATACTCAGCACCAGGATCATGAGGTTCCTGAAGCCCACGAAGCTCGGCGGCTTCTCCGCATCTTGGCTCAGGCACGATGGGCGCGTCTGGTGGTGGACGGCAACAACGTGTCTGTATTTCCCAACTGACTTCGCGCCAGAGCCGGAGCTGGAGCCCTTCGCGGCGCCATTGGCAGCAGGGGGCGGGCTTGGGTCGGGCGGGGGCGTGGCAGGAGCAGTGTACTGCTTCTCCGGGCGCGCGATGGGTATGTCGGTGCTCGTCGACACGGCGGTCTCAACGCTGGAGGCCATTGGGGCAGGTGGGCGGACGCGGAGAAGGACGGGCGGAGTGGGGTGAGGGCTCAGGGACAGCGAAGAAGGCCAGCGCGGCGCATTGGTCGTCGGGTCACGGAGGAAGTCGTGGAGACGGCCGGACAGCGCTGGGCGTGGCTATCGCGAGCAGCATTCCAGCAGCGGGCCCCAATCAGCGGCTATGCGGAGTGCTCGTTGAGCTTTTTTGGCGTGCTGCAGCCCAGGATCCGCCGCCCCTCCGCGTCTGCCCGCCGTGGCGCAGGCGTGGCTGGTGCCGAAGTTCCACTGTCGCGTCAACTCGAGCTCTCCGCAACCGCGACCGCGACCATCCTGCGCCAGCTCCATGCCGCCCCCTGCTCTCCGCCCGGTGACAGCCTGACCCCCGCTGAACCATGGACCGCGAGTTCCACTACCAGACCGGCGGCCACGACGGCATCCCGCGCACCAGAGCTCGCCGTATGCTGTTCTTGCCTCGAGCTGCGACACCTCCGCTGACATGCACCAGGCGCTGCCACCGATTATGGCTCGACAATGGTCCAGTGGGCGCGTGTGCGCCGCCCGCGCTACAAAGGCCTGCCGCCTGTTGAGGCCGAGCGGCCCAGCATCAGCTACATGGTCGACGTACGTCCGGAAACCCAGCTACCTGCACAAAGCTGACCGTTGTAGATGATCCCGCCGCTCGCCCGCCTGGGCTCCGCCGCCGAGACAATCCCTGCAAAGCACCTCCACGCGTCGCTGAACAAGGTCAAGCATCCTATTAACGTTGTGCGATGGACCCCAGAGGGCCGGCGTCTGCTCACAGGCTCGACAAGTGGAGAGTTTACGTTATGGAATGGTATGGGCTTCAATTTCGAGACCATCATGCAGGCCCACGACTCCGCCATCCGTGCTGCCCAGTACTCGCATAGCGATGACTGGCTGGTGTCGGCGGACCAGGATGGCGTGGTGAAATACTGGCAAACCAACTTCAACAACGTCAAAGCCCTCCAAGCCCACAACGAGCCCATCCGTGATCTGGCTTTTTCCCCTACCGATTCAAAATTCGTGACTGCCTCCGACGATGCGACTTTGAAAATCTTCGACTTTGCTGGTGGAATTGAAGAATCGACGCTGACCGGCCACGGCTGGGAGGCCAAGACTGTTGACTGGCACCCCACCAAAGGCTTGCTGGTCTCAGGCTCCAAGGACCACCAAATAAAGCTGTGGGATCCTCGAACCGGTCGATCGCTCACTACACTCAGAGGCCACAAGAACACCATCTCCAAGACTTCCTTCGAGCGCACTCAAGGCCAGCTCCTTGCTACGTGCGCAAGAGACCACACTGCACGGGTATTCGATCTGCGCATGATGCGTGACGTCCTCCTTCTCCGTGGCCACGAGAAGGACATCACCACCTTAGCATGGCATCCAATCCATCGCAACCTTCTGTCTACAGGAGGAGTTGACGGAAGCCTTTTCCATTATCTTCTTGACGAACAGAACGCCCCGCCGGGCGTCGAGGCGACCATGTCTCCGTATGATAGCCCGGATCCCTCGAATGCCCCTGCACAGACTATCTACCCCGCACACCGCGTGCCACAAGCCCACGACTTTGCCATTTGGACTCTGGACTGGCATCCTCTCGGACACATCCTCGCCTCTGGCTCCAACGATCGAATCACTCGCTTCTGGACACGAGCCCGCCCTGGAGAGACCATCCCATTCAACGATCGTTATCACATCGGCCAAGCTGCCGCTGAGGCACAAGGTATTTACGATAGACGTGACGCTCGGAGAAGACAGCAGGAGGAGGAAGAACAGGAAGCCGAGGACGAAGCCGAAGGCCTTGTGGATCAGAAGATGCCCGCGAAACAGCCCACACTGCCCGGTCTTCCTGGCCTGGGCTTCGCCGACGGCTCAAGTACCGGCGGCGCCCAGCTCCCCGGTCTCGGTGGGCCCGTCACAAACGGTCCGGTGGTCCCCATCAACATTCCTCCACCTCCTCCACCCGGATCGGGTGCTCCACCATTCCCTGGCCCGGGTGGCATCCCAGCTCTGCCTCCTGGCATGGATCCGACCAAGCTCGCCGAGATGATTCGCAGCGGCCAGATCCCATTACCTCCCGTTCCGCCGCCGAACGGTGGCCAGGCCGGCGCGTTCCCCCCGCCGCCTCCTGGGTTTCCAGGATTTCCGCCGCCGCCTTTTCCTCCGGGCTTTGCAGGCTTTCCCCCGCCCCCGATGCAGCCGGGACAGGCTCCGCAAGGTGTCCCCGGTGCTGGTGGGGATGGCAATGGGGCATTCGGAAATAATGGTGTGAGGAAGAGAGAACCTCTACCTAGTCAGAAGGAGAGCTTGAATGAGCAGATGAGACAAGGGAGGTATAGGAAGCCTAGGTGATCTATGAGAATCATAGGTATTAGGCCGCTTGATGGGCAGATGAAGGATATGAAGGATGACTTCTCATCGAGCTGTATACCATGGAAAGTTTTCGTTGTCAATGGCGTTCAGAGTATGGATTTTGCTTTCCGTGGGAGGGGAGAAAATCAAAAAGAAACACGGCGTCTCTCCTGGCAGTAATTCGACGTCAACGGTAGCACTACTTCTCACTTGGTGACGTACGGGCGGCGGCATTTGTACGAGGCGAGTTCTTTTGAAATAACATTCGAAAATTTGCTCTCAGAATCACCTAGGTAGCTTTTGCACAATGGAACCTCGATGTTTTACGGGGGGAAATGGAGATGGTTCACTTATGTGGATACCCCGGGCAGCTATCAGAGAGAGTGCAACATCGTTCTGTGGAGTTTATTAGCCGTCCGCCTGTTTATCACTGCTGAAGTAAAACATGTCCAACAGTTTTTGCGCTGCTAGACGACTTGGTAGGTGTTATTCCCTGCGGATCATCGAGCAATCCAAACGACTAGAAATTGGTGGCCATCTGGGGAATGGTAATAGATTAGCGGATGAGAGTGACCTATAAGGGGGTATTTCAGCCGACGGCTAGCATGAATTTATTTTTCGCTCATAGCATAGGTACTTGAAGCTATCGTCCAAACATAAATGTATAATTATCAATTCCACATCAACATCCGGATAATAGCTTGGAGTACCCACAAATGTTTCTCTTCTTTTTTTTTTTCTTAAAATAAAAAGAACTAAAGCATACTTACCCTATGTTCTATAGTCCTGCTTTTCTTCGTGCTAGCTATCCGCTACAGTATCTCTCTATATTTGCCGCTGCTCGAGAGCTTTTTGCTGACCGCCTCCGGTAATGATCGTAGGTTTGGATGTGAATCAAAAAGCAAGGGGGATGGGTAGGCGATATATTTCATTACTTTTTTTTTGTTCTTGGATGCATCACCCGATTGATCCAGCAGTACGATTTTACGTGGATGCTTATCTTAAACGCATGTCGGAATTTGGGGGCGTTGAAACGAAGTGTAGCATACAGGTTGACGATCGCACTTGATCTTGGAGAAAAGTAACAAGTCTGCGTTACGGACGTTCGGCTGGATTCGCTTGGTATAAAGCTAAGGTATTGATGAGTTCTGCAAAATTGATGACAGTGAAAGATCGCCTATTTAAAACACGTCGAGCCCAACTCTTCCGGTTATAGCAACCGGCAGTAGTGGCTACACTATAAAGGGTCTCGACTTGGGGAAAAGAAAGAGGGAAGTCTGCTACCTGTATATTAAAGGATGTTGAGGAAGTCACGGTAAGCGACGGGAGGGAAGAGTTAGTTCTCGATGGGCGGGGGTAAAAGGCAACTATGGTAAGACTTGGCCCGCCCGCATTGCTAGTTGCGAAGTGAAGAGCGGGGTCGTCCCGTTGAACGTGTGACGTTTGAGATAAGAAACCTAGCGGCTTTACAGTCCCTCTCGTAGCCGATGACTAGCGTGAATTCGTTTTTTTTTTTTTTTTTGCTCATGTCATGGGCAGATGAAGCTATCGTCCGGACAAGAATGTGGAATTAACAGCTCTACATACACGTCCAGACAATAGCCTCAGCTACCCAGATATGTTATTTTTCTGAGAACGAGCTGAGGCATAGTTACGCTCAGAGCCTTGCAATTCTTCACGCTAGCCATCGGTTACGAGGAGGGACGGTAGAATGAAAGGATTTTGTCATGCAACTGGATTTAGACAAGCTTATACTCGAAAGAGACAGCGACGAAGACGGAAAAAGTAAATGCGGCAAGCGGGCATAGGCTGGCCAGAGGCACCTCCGGAGCGACTCCGGCAGGAAGCAATTCAGCGTCTGGACCGAAATAGCTCTATTCGGCAATGGTAGTGAGACGTCGGCGGCGACGATCCGGAGAACAGACGCACGGGGTACGAGTCGTGTATTGCAAGCGAAAGGACGCAACGTGAGTCGATGAGTGCTCTGGGTCTCTATGCGCAACGATGGCAGTCAGGAGAGGCAGAGCGGCAGAGGCAATGATGGCCGCGGCATGGCGAGAGGTTGATTGGGGCTCGTATCCTGGGCACCCTGGCACGAGGGTCCAAGACGCGCTATCCCGAAGCGGACGACAGCTGTCGATCCGCGCCTTCTTGCGGCTGCGATCTGCGCCACCTTCTTCCTCGCGCCTCGCCGCAAGATCGTCAATTATGAATTACGCCGGAGAATTCGCGCACTCGGGCAATTGCTGCAGGCCTTGCTGCCTCACTACCCCACGCTCGGTAAACGGCGTCCAAACGACTGATCGCTCCCGTCGAGTCAACTGTCCTCGAACCGGAGGACGTCCCGCGCGCCTCAGCTGAGCTGCCCGCCCGCCCGTCGAAAAACAACATTGGACGTCATCGGGCTGGAACACCCAACACCTCTTGCCGACCCGCTGCGCAGGCTTGGCAACGGGCGATGGTGCGACCGAACCTGACGTTCTGGCTTCTCTCCACGCCCGCACCGGGCCTAAGTGCCGCCGTCGCTGGGCTAGCCGGGCTCCTCCCCGTCGCTGGCCACGGCGAGGGCATGAAACGCCTGGTGGAGCGCTCCCTCTTGGCCTGTGGCAGCGTCGGCTACAGGGTTGCCCTGAGCTCGCAGCGCGGAACTGCGGAAGCGGCGTCGTCGACCCTCTCCGCTCTGCAATTGGCCATTGGTTTCTTTTTTTCATCTCGCCTCTACTTCAGTGCCCCGCAGCATCCATGCTCGCATTATGAATGAAGAACGTCTCACCCAGATGCACCGTTCCTGCAGCCTGCGCCCAATGCGGACCACTGTCAGATCCTTTGCTGCAGTCGCAGCCATGGCGTCGGACTCGCACTGCAAGGTCATCTCCCTGCCGTGGGCCCGACCACCAGAACGACCAACCAGCTGCCCTGGTCATGCCTGCATGCACAATCCCGGCTCTTATCGCTGTGATGGACTGTGACAAGCCCGCTCCGATCCGGTGTATCGGGTTTCCTCCCAGGAACGTGAAGATCCTCTGCCTGCTGTGGAGGATATCCTCGCCGTTAATGCGCCCGGCTACCTTCACTTCACTCTCGTGATTCTTCTTTTGTCCTTTCTATTGCTGCAACCCGGGTCACTGTACGCTACTGGCATAGTGAAAAGAGACTGGTCTCTCCTTCAACAACACCCTGTCACTCTCTCATAAATACCCTGGCACTGTCTCTTCCACTCTTTGAAGCCCCAGCCCCGTTCTTTGGAAGCTCTCCCTCTAGGCCACATCCGTCGCATCCCATCCAGCCTGCTTGAACCCTTCGTTGGGTTGCTCCATCTTTCACCATGGCTGAGTCCCAAGGCCCGACGGTCGTGACCATCTCGGTCATCTTTGCCGTCATAACTTTCATAATCATGTCCCTACGTCTTTGGGCACGCATCTTCATCGTTCAGAAGGTTGGATACGATGACATGTTGATATCAGTCGGAGCCGTAAGTTCCTGTGGACCAGGATCAGGCGAACTGCTCTAACGTGTGCTGCAGCTTCTGGCTTGGGCTTTCGTCGCAGCAACCATCCTCTCTGTTCAGCACGGCCTTGGAGACCACTATGTGGATGTCGAGCCTCGCGGCCTGCAGAACATGATCACCTACTCTCAGGTACGTTCGACACGACCACCGTCACTGATCATCGCTAACTGAACTCAGATCGTGTGGCTCTCTTCCATCTTCTACAACGCATGCCTGGGTTTCATCAAGACTTCAGTGCTCGCCTTGTACATGCGTCTTGGAGACCGCTTGCTTAGGAGACTAGCAATCATCATGACCTGCGTCGTTGCTGCTCAGGCCAGCGCCCACGTCATTGTCTGCATCTTCCAGTGTTCTCCGGTCTCCGCAGCCTACGACCTCGCCATCACGGATAAGAAATGCGTCGACATCAACGCCTTCTATCTCGCAAATGCCGCCGTCAACATCTCCACGGATCTCCTGACATACACTCTGCCTATAAAGACCGTCCTGCACTTGCAAGTCCCTAAGAACCAGAAGATCGGCCTCGGCGTCATGCTCAGCCTGGGTCTATTGTAAGTGGCTTTTGGGAGCGCCGTATCAAGAGCTCTATCTAACATTGTTCCAGTGCTTGCATCTCCTCCATCATCCGCATTACCTACATCCCGCAGATGCTCACGTCCACCGACCCGACCTGGGCCATTTCGGGCGCCATGTACTGGTCCGTCATTGAGACCAACGTGGGCATCGCCGCCGCTTCCATCCCGTCATTCAAGGTCATCGCCAAGAAGTACGCCCCGCGCCTGCTCGGCAGCTACTACGAGTCGCAGCGCTACCCGTCCGGCGCCAAGCACGGCTCCAAGGCCTCGCACGGTGCCTTTCACAAAATGAGCGCTGCCAGCGGCGGCGGGACCAGCAACAACACCTCGGTCCACTTGCGCAGCCTCAACCGCGACGACCTTGGCCCCAAGGAGAAGAGCAACGTGATCCAGACGCGCATCGAGCAGGACGCTGCGTCCAACAGCTCCGAGGAGGCTCTCACCCTGCCGGACGGCCGCATCGGCGTCCGCACCCAGATCGTCACCCAGTACGAGAACGGCTCCGCCACCCGGGCAAGCAGCCATGATAGTCTGTACGAGACGGCGCCGGTTCAGGGTCAGGGACGAGTGTGAGCATTGTCATTTTATATCTGGAATAGTTCAAAGGGGCAGTAGGAGGTGGGGATTTGTGGCGCATTTCAATAAGCGAAGGGAAAGGGCCAGGCAGTCCGAAGGAATTGGATTACGGACAAGGGTTGGTTATTTTTATCTGCTTCTTCATTCTCTCTTTTGTATGATTCCCCTTTGCGTTCTCTCTCTCTCTCTTTTCCAAATGCCAAAAATTTACAAGATACCACGGGTTTATCTGCTGGTGGTGGAAAAGTCTCTCTTCCTCTCCTTGTCTCTTCTTATTTTCCAAGTCTCGTTTCTCTCACTCTTTCCTCGAACACTTCATTTCGGAGTGCGCGGACAAAAACCTAAGGTTTGCCTTCCAGGCCTTGCACGGCGTCAAGGGCGCGACGGAACAGTATTCTAAGAAAAAGGGCTCCTAATAATCAAGGGCAAAGCATAGCATAAACACATAGTAATAGCAAGCAGCGAATAGGCTGTGCTGCTACTCCTGATACACTTAATGCACACCGTGCGAGAATTCTAACTATTGAGAAAGAAAAAACGCTGGCTGTCTCGTGCTAGTCAGAGATTAGTCCCCTATTCTGACTACCTGCACCAGTAAGGCGCCCAGCAGCACCGCCGCAGCCGCCATGGACACCGAGAATCACGCGACGAAGAAGCACCGGGTGGCTGGCGGGGGTACGCGGGAGGGAAGGGGATGACGAGCGAGGGCGATGGCGTTCGGCGGCAACGGATCGGACACCGGGAGGGCCTCAGGCAGAGAGCGAGACTTTGCAGAGTAGGTAAAGCTTTCGCGTTGGATTACGTATGGTGAAGACAAGGGTCACCATCCTTCGGAAAGAAAAAGAAAGGAAGGGCCCACGCGAGTGACAGGCAATGGTCTCGGGGGTTTCCTTGATTTGCCTGCCTCGAAAAGTGAAAGGAACGAGTGGGCGCGTAATGAAGTGATGGGACGGACCGACGACGGACGTTTCTCTGTGATCCTCCCCCTGTTCCCCGCAGATTCTCCGCGGGGCAGGTAAACGGGCGGCTACAAAGTGTTTGTGTTCCTTTTTGCCATCCGTTGCCTTTTTTTTTTCTACTTCTATCCTTCACGATAGCCGTTTCGCAGTCACTCATCATAATTAAGCGAGCGATCCTGTCTCAGTGCGATGATGGGCCTTCTGCTAGGTGGCTTAGAGTAATAGCGGAGTCTGAAGGCACCAGCAACTCCCGGAGTGTAGCTGGTAGGCCCCCAACTTCGGATCGGACGTTTCTTTGCCTTTCCTTGACTCTTCTTAATCCGTGCGGACACAACTCCGCACTCCTGTAGTCATACATAAGTCCGACAACACCGTTGCTTTGTCACGTCCGACTAGCCACAACGAAGTCGCGTGGCGGGAAGGGGTGAGAAACGGGAAGGAAGACGCGATGGAAGGGTGGAAGCAAAAATAACAGAGCATTTTCACGCTATACTGTACATCGCAAACGCAAAGAGTGACTCGGCGCCTTTACCTTCCTTTCGGCCTTGTCGATCGATTGGCCGGGCAGGATCTAGGTAGGCTTCAATCGGATCCTACGGGCGCAGTCCTCGAGGAGCATCATTGTCGTCGAGGAACGAAGGAAGAGGGGGCAGAGGATTGAGCGAGGCGCAAGATGTGGCCACCGGGATTCCTCCTGCCAAGGGAAAGATGTCGAAATTGTGTTCCTGTTTACCAATCCGGCTGGTGTCGGCCGCAATGGTCACTGATCGTCTGAACGTTTCTGACGGTCTGCCGGCGGGCGGGTGACGCGTGTTTAACCGTGTCGTGCTGTAGATCACGGCTTGCCCTATTGCGGGAGGTGATTGTTTTGGATTGATTGATGTCCCCACTGATCTCTTCTCTTAATCCGACTTGCACGTCTTTACTGTATCGTGCTGCTGGTCCGCCGCTTGGACCGAAGAGGACCGACGTCAACATTGGCAGAAGGTTGGCACAGACGCTCGGCTAAGCGATGGCGAAAGCGAGGATGCGCGGCGGAGGGGCAAGGGAGAGAACCACTGCTGAGCAGAAGGCGTGTGCGCTGCGGGTTGAGGGGGCGGGAGCTTGGGCGGGCGGCGGCGGAAGAGGCTCGGAGTGAGGCTCGAGCAAAGGAGAGGGCGTGCGGCCTGTGCGCGGGCGGTTTCCATGCCCTTCGGCAGAAAAATGGTCCATGGCATGGGCCAGGCGTTGTTGGTGCGTGAATCGCCGGCCTGCAGGCAGTTGGCAAAGGCGCTGTCTTATGGGATCTGCAATTGAATTGCAGGCCGCGTGGTTGTGCCTGCGTCGAGTCGCACTTGTGATCGGCCCAGGAGCAGATGTGTTTCAACGGCGGGCGGGTGGCTTGTTCTGGGGTTGACTTGACTCGCACTGCCGCTCCCTCGGGCGGCGGTGGCGCTATGGATTTGCGGATGATTGAGCTTGTACACCCTCCACGCCGACTATTTTAAGCGAACAGAGCAAGTCGCGCCGACCTTCATGATGATCGCAGTCCATTGATGTGCAAGCCGGGCAATGCGTGTGATGATGCCCCGACTCGCGCGCGCGCCCCTGGTCGTCGGCCAGCTGTGAACTGTTCCCCATTGCGGCGCAGAACTGTGCCGTTCGGCAATCGGCAGGTGGAATCACAGTGCTGCGCCGTTCAGGGGGCCACGCTCAGAAGGCAAAAAGCAAATCTCAAACGGTGGGGTGCCAACGGCCGAGTCAGTCGTGGTTGCAAAAACTGTCGCTCGTCCCTCGGCTGGACGAAGCCCCCCCACCAGCCATCAGTGCGCGAAATATGTACATGTCCCATTCAGCCTGCAGATTCTGTGGGGCTTCTTCGGCATGAATTCCACCTGCATTGACATTGCGAGCTTCATCGGTCTCATCTGAAGCTGTCATGCAACTCGTGTCAAGATACATACGCCCCGTCTGGACCCAGCCTTCCGGAGAGATTATTCAACCTTGGCAGATTCGCGAGCAATCGGCATGCATGTCTCAGCTGACATGCTGGCCAGCGCTGAGGCCAAGAAGCCGACTATATAGAACCTCTGTTGTATAGGAGCTCGGGCTCTATTGGATTTTAGAGCCTGCCTGCACCTGCCTCTTTGGCACCCTCTCCTGACTCTTCCACTCCAGCTTGAGCAACATCATGGTGAAATGTCCGTGTCAACACCATACACCAACGGCCTGACGAAACACATGTGCAGCACAATCGGCCCGCGAAGGCACACCTATTGAACCGAATAGAACAAGATCTGGTATTGGCTTAATAAAACAGTTACAATATGTATATCAGAAGAAGTCAATCTCTCAAACAACCGGTGCCCTCCGGTCAATTGTGATCCACATGTCGCTGAAGAAGCTGACACCGCCCTTGACCAGGTACTTGCCCGGCTCCTTTGGGTTGAGGATGTTCGGCTTAAACGTACGGAAGAACTGCAGCGGCGCCTTGAACAGCTCCATGTTCGCAATCTCCCTGCCGAGGCACACGCGCGCACCATATCCGAAAGCCATGTTGTACTTGTTGAACTCCTTCGCCTTCTCTTCGCTCTCCAACCACCGCTCCGGCCGGAACACGTCCGCATCCTCGCCGTAGATCTTCGGGTCGCGGTGGACGAGCCACGGGTTGCACGTAACCTCCGTGCCCTCTGGAACGTACTTGCCGTAAAGCTCCATTCCGCCCTTGGGTGCGAGGCGCGGGAAGATGTTCGGTGCCGACGGGTTGAGACGCATGCTTTCCTTGACGCACGCAACGTAGTACGGGCAGTGCTCGAGAACCTCCATGTACTGAGGCATCTCCGACAGCTTTCCAGCACGCGTGACAGAGTCCAGCTCAGCCATGAGCTTGTCGTACACCTCCGGGTTCGACATAATGTGCACCATCATGGCCTGGAAAGCAGTCCCCGTCGTATCCGCACCCGCAAGAAGAACCAGGAGAATCTCGGCCTTGATGTAGTCGAGGTCCAGCGGCTTGCCTTCGTCGTCGCGAGCGTCGATGAAACTAAAATCCGTCAGAAAGAGTACCAATCCAACACCAACGAGGGGCACTCACGTCTGAAGCAGATCGATCCTACCGCTAGTGTTTCCTGCCTCAATGTCCTTGAAGCGCTGGGCAATGAGCTTGTCGCGGAACCTCATCAACGTGCCAATACCAGAGTCCTGCTCGGGCCTCGCAACCAAGTACTTGTCGCCAAACCACGTGCTCTTGACCCAGTTGGTAAAGGGATAGCAGCGCGCCATGATGCCGAAAGGAACAAGACCGTCGTGGAAGCCTTGAATCAGGCCCTCGACGTCCTTGCCTTGCTCGATGAAACCAAAGGGAGCACCAAAGCCGACCTCGGAAATGATGTCGTACGCCATGTAGACAGCCCAGGGCGCGAAGTCGAACTTATCGCCCGTCCTAGCAAAGCTGTGGTCAATCTTCTTCACCCACTCCTTCATGCGCGCATCGATTAGCGGCTCCATCTTCTTGATGTTGCTGAAGCTGTACGGGGACGCGGCAATCTTGCGGAAGTACGAGTGCTGCTTGTGGTCCTGCATGTTGAACAGAGATTCGGTCTTGCCGAAGCTGCCGGTGATGTAGTGCTGCGACTTGTTTGCATTGCGGTGGTAGATCTCGGGGAGCTTGGTGGCATCGCTCACGAGGAGCATGGTGGGGGTGATGCGAATGACGGGTCCTGGGGTCAAGCCGTTAGCTTTGGCTGGGAATTCAACTGGAAGAGCTTACCGTGCTCCTTGTGGAGCTCTCTGAATGTCTGGCACTCATCCTCCTTGACGTTGTGGTAGGTGATCCATAGGCGGGTAACACTTCCCCAGAAGTTGCCGGGGAACTTGGCGAGAGGGTGCAAAAAGCGATAGTAGACTATCTGGTACAGCACCTTGAAGGTGATGTACGCAATGGCAGCGAGAATCAACTTCGAGAGGATCGCCATTGTGAAGCCTTCGTTGTGGCACGGCACGAGTCCTGGGCGCCGCAGCACATAAAAAGAGCGCGGAACCCAGGTAGAGAGCCCTCCTGGCGAATGACGATGCTCGGTTTAGCAAGATAAAACTGGAGCTTATCCACGCCAGTGTCGGGCGACTGAAGCCCATAGCTCCGAGGCCATGCCACGCGGCATTGGAGCGGCGGCCAAGAGAGATGCGGATTGCGAAGGATGCAGAAACGGGGCCTGAAGAAGAAGTGGATCGCTGGCGCACGATTCAGGCGGCAGATGGGGGCGTGCATGGCGTGGAATTGCTGTGCCGCAGGATCTCCGCGGCGGGCAGCCCGCGAAGAGTAGTCGGCGCCGGCTGCGTCCCGAGGAGCAGGAGCCGGGCAGGGCATGGGCGGGCAGCAGCGATCGGCGCTGCCTACTTCAGACGGCCAAGGCTCGCTTGTCCCGACCACCACCACCATCACCATGCATCCCCGGCCGGGCCAACGGGGAGCTGCGGCTCCCTTCCGCCCCCGTGTGCCCTCCAGGAGACTCGACCCGCCACACCACACTGCCCGCCCATCGCGATTCCGAACGACAAATGGCGATTGGCGTCATGCAGCCACCGTGGGCTGATCTGGAATCCACTGCATGCCGCCCGCCAGGGTCTAGCACGCGGCTTGCTTCGTGGGCATGCAAAGCTTGGCCCACGCTTTGTTCCGCGGCGAGCACTGCTGCATCCAGATTTTGTGATAGAGCTAGCCTGCCTCTATTCGTCCTCCCTGGCAGGAACGCCGGGGATCAGTGAATAGAATAGCGGGATACATGTGTGAAGTGGAAAATTCCTCATGATGCCTGCTGCCGCTCGCCTCTTCGAGCCTAGCCATGCATTTCCGTAGCTGATATCTAGATCCCTCGCTCTCCCTGCTGCTCAATTCTGTGTTCGCTCTTCCTTGCCTTTGCTTTCTCTCTCCAGACTCGTCGTCATGGTGCTGCAAGGCAATTCTCTCTACCGGACTGCCGTCGCTGCCGGCAGTCTCGGCTTCATCACCTTCGGATGGGACGCTGGTGTTCTTGGAGGTGTCCTTCTCACGCCAGACTTTCAGGCCGCCATTGGCGTATGTCTCCTCTTGCAGCCAATTGCGCTTCGCTGACAGAGAACAGTACCCCAACACGACCATCATCTCCATGGTCACATCCGTATTCCTCCTAGCATCATGGCTGGGATGTGTCATTATTTCCATCTTCGGAATGCGCATGGGTAGACGAAGCTGGGTCCTTGCCGGCGAAGTCGTACAGATCATCGGCTCAATCATCAGTGCAACCAGCTACAGCTACGGCCAGCTGATTGCTGGTCGTGTATTGATTGTTAGTATACAGCCATCCAGACATCGTAGCGTGAGCTCACACCATCCTAGGGAGTTGGAAATGGATTCTGCACGTCTATGATCCCCGTCTATGTTGCGGAAATGGCAGTCAATGTCAAAGTTCGCGGAGCGTCCGTCAACTTCATGATCTGCTCGGCAGCTGCTGGCATCGCGCTTGCTTATTGGGTGTAAGCCTCTTTAATACTCGCTTAAAATTGATTCAGCGGGATCTGACATGACTGTAGTGATTTCGGCATGACATTCACCACCGGTCAGGTCGTCTGGAGGTTCCCCGTTGCCCTCCAAATTATGTGGTCCCTCCTGACAATGGCGTTCCTCTATCCCACGCCAGACACACCTCGTTACTACTACGCCAGAGGCCGTAACGAGCAGGGTGATAGCACCCTCGAGCGTCTGTACGGAAAGACTTTGACCGATCCTGAGGTTGAGCAATCCAGGAAAGACATTCTGGCCTCTATCGAGCTCGAGAAGGTTGCCACTGCCTCTCTGCGCCTCAAAGACTTCTTCTGGGACACTTCGGATCTGCAGGCTGCACGCCGTATCCGCACCGGCGTCATCCTCGTCGGCATTGGCTACTTGATCGGTACTGACATGGTCTACTACTACATGACAACTATCTTCCAAACGTAAGTCTAGTTATCTTGTTCCAATAAGGCTGGTGTCCTAACATCCTACAGTTACATTGGTCTCCCCGCCGTGACCGCGTCCGCACTTTCCGCCGTCGCCACCACTGTTCTCACCATCACCAACTTCATGGGCGTGACATTCATGGAGAAGCTGGGCCGCCGCACATGGCTCATCGCCGGAGCGATTGGACAGACGATTTTCTTTGCTACATTCACGGGCTTAATGTCGAGCCCCGGTGCAAAGACGGGAGCTGCTGCAGCGGCCATGCTGTTCTGCTGGATCGCCGTCTTCGGACCCACCTGGGGTAAGCAATGAATGCACCTGCATAGAGTCTTTCAGATCTCAACAAGCTGACTCGTAACGTCCAGGTCCCGTTCCGTACGTGTACAGTTCAGAGATCATGCCGCTTCGCTACCGCCACATCGGTTTCTCTTTGTCTGTCAGTGCGCAATGGCTCTCGGCATTTCTGACCACATTCGCCGGGCCCATTGCCATTGCCGACGTGAACGTGGGTTGGAAGACGTGGATCTGGTTTTTGGTGTTCAATGCCATCGCTGGTCCCTACGGTAAGCCTTGCATCCCACAACCCTCCTTCTTCCCTTTTCGAACACTCGCATGAGTCCGTTCAGCCTCATGCTGATAATATGGTGTGTTAGTCTATTTCTGCTGCCCCGAGACCCGCGGACGCACGCTCGAGGAGGTCGATTTGATCTTCATGTCCGAGAGGCTGGAGAATACCGCCGCCGCCAAGCAACTCCACCATGCCGGCTCCGTCTCCGGTAGTAGCACGACCGAGGGTGCTGCTGAGCAGGGCTCCGTCACCCCGACCAAGGAGGGTTAAAAAAAAAAGGTAATCAACATATCCGTAATCAACGAAGGCTTCATGGAAGTCTTTTGAATCACCACCACATGTATAAGATATGCCCTCAGCCGGTCGGGATGAAACGCTGTATGGCCAAATGGCTACCATTCGCCAAAAAGTACCATTTTTGCATGCGATTAGAGTAGACGATATGTACATGTCAGTCTTTAATGATAATGTTCTGAACATCCAAGATTGCCATTGCCTGTACCTTTGGTATAACCTCTCTTCAGCCAACGATACATCCAGTGAAGAAGTCAACTTGAAGCGAAACCTCAATGTTTACACGTAGCAAGTTTCTCATTCCAGGTGATCCCAGACGTCACAAATTTTATACATGATTGGAAGCAGGAGTACACAGGGGGACGTACGCAGTTTGGAGGATATCTGGAAGGAATTCACACGAACATAGGGTCACGTCTGGCAGTCGCAGAAATGGGTTGTATTTCTAAAGCAGGATCGACCAGCCTGGCATAGGTAGGCGCGGGGTTTGTGCTATTGGTTGCATTGCTCTGCTATAGCTTCGCTCTAGAGACGCGCAAACTTTGATAGGATGCTTCGAGTCTCTATGCTACATTAGTTTCTTTTGTTTTCTCGTTTCATCCAATTCTTAACCAGCCGCCTCTAATTTTTGTACATTGGATCTTACGTAATCTTCTCCATTTACTCATCGCCGCCGCCACCAATGGGGCCACCCGGCATCTTCGCGGCCTTGGCAGCAACAATGTCATCTACACGGAGCAAGAGGCAAGCGCTCTCAATGGCAGTCTTGATGCTCTGCTCCTTGACAGCCATGGGCTCCCAGACGCCATACTCCTTCATGTCGACCAGCTTACCGGCATCGCCATCAATACCCCAACTGCTACCGGTGGCAGCGTCAGCGTGCTTAGCACGCAGCTGGGTGAGAACCCTGATCGGAGAGGAGCCAGAGTTCTGAATGAGCGTGCGGGGAATGACTTCCATGGCCTCGGCAACGGCGCGGTACGGCCACTGAGCAACACCCTCAATGGACTTGGCCTTCTTGTCAAGTCCAACGGCAATCGCCATTTCCGTAGCACCACCGCCAGGGCAGAGACGAGGGTTCCAGATGACGTTACGTGCGACACCCATAGCATCCTGGAGGTTTCTCTCAATCTCGTTCAGGATATCCTTCGACGGGCCGCGAAGCAGAACAGTGCAGGCCTTGGGGTCCTCGCATTGAGTGAGGAAGGTGAAATATTCATCACCAATCTTAGAGATCTCAAAGAGACCGCACTTGGTGCCAACATCCGCCTCGGTGAGAGCCTGGGGGGAGTTGACAATGGTAGCTCCGGTAGCGCGAGCAATACGGTTGTTGTCCGTCTTACGGACGCGGCGCAGAGCGGTGACGTTGGCCTTGACAAGGTAGTGCTGGGCAAGGTCTGGGAAAGTTAGAATTAATCACTGAGAGCATTACTCGGCAATGCTTACCAGAAACACCCTTCTCGGTGATGACCAAGTCAGGCTTGAGAGCGACGATGGCATCGCACATGGCCTTGACCTGCTCCTCCTCGATCTGCAGTATCCTGTTCCAGTCCTCCTCCTTGCTGATTTCGATGTTGGTTTGGGACTCGCCCTTCTTGTACTCGAGAGAGCAGTCGAGCAGAATGACCCTGGGCTTCTCGATGCGCCTCCTCATCTTGGGGTGGGTGATGTCCTTGTTGAGCATGACACCGTCCAGAACCTTGCAATCCTCGATTTCTCCACCGGGTATTTTCTCCACTCTGGCGTACCGCTTGATATCAACCTCCCTCTTGCCGCCTCCGACCTCAAGAGAAACCGTCCGCACCGCCTTCAGGGCAAGGTTGCACATCAACTCAGACCACCGCGAGACGAACTTGGTGCCGATCGAGGAGGAGATCAGGGAGTACATAGCCTTGTCATCGTTGATGTCGACGGGTATCGAGATTTCTTCGATGATGGAGATGGCATCCGTAAGGGCGCGCTTGAAAGCGGATATTATGGTGACAGGGTGGATGTTGCGCTCGAGCTGGGGCAGGGATTGAGCCAGCATCTCGCCCGCTGCACTACATGTCAATCACAGCTCCGCAGCTTAGCTGGCGTGGGACGAACCAAGAATGATGACGCTGGTGGTACCGTCGCCGACCTCCTCGTCTTGTGTTCTGCTGAGCTCGATCATGCTCTTCGCGGCAGGGTGAGCGACCTCAATCTCTCTCAGGATAGCGTGGCCGTCGTTGGTCAGGACAATACCGCCCATGGGGTCGAGCAGCATCTTGAGCATGGCCTTGGGGCCCAGACATGACCGAATGATGTCGGCAACACTGAGTGGTGGTAAGCGGAGAGCATCGGTGCATGGACTGGCGCGTACTCACGTCTTTGCGGCCGTGATGTTGGAGAGCTGTGCCTTGCGGCCAAACTGCCTCTCTCCCCCGGTCTGGGTATCTGGGGAAGCGGGGGATTAGCTGCAGTCAAGGGGGATTTGGGGAGCAAACGTACTCATAACCACCACGGGAGCCTGCATCTTGAAGTGCTGTGTCGAGGCTGTTTGGGTTGTGGATGCGTCCGGCGGAGAATGAGGGGCTACAGCGCGCTGCTGCTGGCTTTCGCGGGCCTTCCACCAAAATGCCCAAAGCGCGTCCTGGCGCGACGATTTTCCTTTCCGACAGCTACGCGTCAAACTGCGGCAAACACGCCAAGGAAAGGCGGCGGCACAAGGCCGATGTTCCGAGCGGAGAGACGGGCGCTCAGACCGCTTTTCTCGCCGAATGCGCACGTGAGCGGATCAATGTCGGATCCTTGCAGCAGCGACCCTGGTCCAGCACTGAGACACAGCTAGGCCGCAATCGGCGCCTGCGCAAGGGCCCTCCGACCGGCGCCGCCGGATGCATAACGCAAATTTCGAGACGCTGAACCTGTTTTGAAAGTGGCCCCTTTACCGGACGCCCCACCCTTTGCGTCAGCCGTAAACCAGGCACGTAACGCTGTGCCGTCGCTCCTGGCTGCGTCGCCCTCGGGCCGCCCACGAAAATATGCACTGCTGGACCGTTTCCCCTGGCCCGGATATGCATCCGCATGAGCGCCAGGCCCCGCATGAGGCCTTTCCGGCAACTCTGACCACCGATCCCAGGACAAAAGCCCGCCCGTATTGTATGTTTTGATGCGTTTCATTGGCGCGCCCTCGGTAACGGCGCAAGCGCCGACGTTACAGAAACGGTATAGCCCACCTAATGCGGCTAGGAAAAAGAGCTCCTCTTGGCAAAAACGGCTCGCCTGATTTGCTGCTCCCCACGGAAGCCCTCTCGGCATTTCACGTGACGCCAGCCTCCTCTCTCCATGCATTCTGATTCGCGATCATCTGGTTGCTCTTGCTGCATGTTCAAAAGGCACTCTGGTCCCCGTCTCAGTCCATTTCTTTCGCATCTCACTCCTCAGCTTGCACGCCCACGACGCGCTCCTCATATTCGCGCGCTCTTCGTCTTTCTTCCTCATACCACCTACCCTCTCCCTCCTCTACTCCATCCTCCATCCTCCATCATCACCCCCATCGCGCCGAGCTTAGCTAGCTCATCGTCGCCGCCTACAACCATCATCCCGCGCGCCCACGCTATCGCGTCACCCGCTCTGCGCGCGCCAGGCTGACGTCGCGTGTCTGAACACTCGTCATCTATCGTATCTCAATTTCTCTTCTCTCTTGCTTGTCCTACTAAACAAACAGCATCATGGGTCTCAACTACTACGCCTCGTCGCCTACCGTTGTGCTGCCGCCCCAGCAGTACAACTTCGAGCAGCGCCTCAACGCGCCGCGCTACTCTGCCCACGCACCCACTTCATCCGCTATGCCCGGACGGGTTCCAAAGTACCCCACGCCGCCGTCGCTGAACTACCAAGCCGCTCCCTCAAACGCCATTGCGGGCCGCAAGCGCTCGTTGGATGATGCCGACGTTGATGAAGCACCCGCGGACGGCTCGAAGATCATCACGAAGCCGAAGCCTGAGCCCATCATGGGTCCTGGCATGACTCTCATCTATCCCGGCGAGCCGGGCTTCGCCATCGCTGCCGAATCCCAGACCGGCACCTGGGCTGAGACCAAGCACGAGGTTGAGGAAGCCAACAAGCCGAAGGAGAAACCAATCGCTGTGTCGCGCAAGTCGCAGCGTACCGCTCATGTGGACCGTGCCTCTGGCAGCCCTCCTGCTGCGGTCAAGCCCGTCGTCCCTTCGTCTACCATGGGCGTGGATTCGTCCTCCCTTGCCTACAAGGCCACCACGATGCCCATCGACGACTTCGGCCACACCATCCAAGACCTGACCATGGCTCTCGGAATTGGTTGGAAGGAGATTGTGTTCAACCCGGAGAAGAAGGACGGCGCGCGCGGTTGGGCCAAGTTCATCAGCAGGCACTACCCTCTCGCATGCCCGCAGGTCCTCCACGAGAGCGAGGCCCACGACGCCTTCCTCGTGCACGCGCGCGACGTTGCCGACGACAAGGAGAAGTTCTTCATGTTCAGCCAAGATCTGCGCACCTGCAGGTTGGTCAGCACGACGCTCGACGGTGTCGTCCGCAACCTTACTCAACATCCAATCGCCTACGAGAGCGACGTGGTCCAAGCGCGCGACACGTCTCCAGTCGCGATGCCGGCAAGCAACGACACCGAGATGAGCATCGACGCGCCTACGCTCCAAGCGGCCGACACCGCCATGGAGATGTAACCCACCGTGCTGACGGTCGGCATCATTTCCTCGTTTGCACACCTCTCCAACCCGATTCCGAATTTCTTGCATGGGTCTTCTTTCCGCTGGCATCTCTCTTCGAAGGTGCTTTTCCTGCTTTGTCCCCACGGCGTTTCTGCGGTTGGCTAAAGCGAATGGTGGTGGGGGCGTACTTTGGATCCGTTCTTGATTTTGCTCGATGCTTCCCTTGATTCTCTTTTGGTGCCCTTTTTCCCAAAACATTGACTACGCGCATGCATGTACTTTTAGATCCTCGCGCATCCCTATGGCGCAACTTCCGGCGTTGCAGTGGCCTTCGTCCAGTGGGTTGACTCCGCCATGGCTCCTTGGAAAAAAAACAGTAAGCGACAAAGCACAGCCAGCACCAGCAGCCGACGTAGGTGCGATATGAATGAAAAAAAAGATTTATTGCTGCTTTGACATGCGTCACCGTATTGGACAATTTCATCAGATTGATTGCGAGGAGTGAGACAGGAGTCGATCACGACGGACAATCAAGCACGACCTGATACCCACGGCACAGGCCGACAGTGGAGATTCCAAAGGTGCTATTTTGGACGAACCGCCTGTGCGGCTTACGGCCTCAACGCTCCGCGTAATGCGTGGGCGCTTCGTATAGTCGTGTCCGCCTACAGTTGTATTTCCGTCACGAGGCGCGAAGCTCCAATCTCCTGATCCTTTGGCGGCGTGCGAAGAGGTCGAAATACACACTCGTACATCGGAATCCCCTGGCGGCGTCGTGTGAGCACTGCAGGATCCCTGCGGCGCAGCGATCGTTGGGAGGAGATTAGAGAGCGCGTCAGCGTCACATTGTCGTGGGCTGTTCTGGGAGAGGAGGTTTCTGTCGGTCTGTCTAGGGCGTGAGTGCTGCGGCGGGCACCTGTTCTTCCAGGCGCGCTTGCTGCATGCCGGCATCGTCCGACTGAACGGCTCTGCGGGATGCGGACCGCCCTTTTGTCGCCGCACGTGGTGGCTTCTGGTGCTGGCGGTACTCTTATCGGGGTTGATCAGCAGGCGCAAAATGCAGACTCAGCTTGGCCATTTGAGCAGACGGGCGCTTATCATGAGAGCTGCGAATGCACCGTTCACGCTAGATAAGGTGAGTCGCGGTCTGGCTTATCTCGAGCGTGACTGTGGCGGGCGGAGAAGACGCATTTGAGCACTGCGGCTCGGTGAGGGCGACCCGTGGGGAAGAAAACCGGTGAGGAGGTGCCTATCCTCAACCAGACCGCCATGCGCCAGTGCCAGGCGGGACTGGGCATCGATGGCTCTTTTCCAACGTAACGCCGGCGGCGATTGGACAAGAGGGCGCTCAGATGCACTCGATCTACAGCGCAAAGCAGGAAATGCAACAGCGGGAGGGATTCTAGAAAGCGCGCGATGTGGGCATGCGCAACAAGGTTGCGGTCCAGACTCGTACTCGACGTCTCTTTTCGCCCGGCACCCGCGAGGTCGGGCAGCCTCCGGGGCGCGCTGTTGACGCGCAGCCGCGCAGGGCAGTCTCCCCGCGGCGCCCGCAAGCGGTGGGCAGGCGCGAGGAGATCACCCGCGCCCCTTACAAGGCGAGTCAAGGTCCAGGTGGCCGACCGCAATTCGCCCGGGCTGGTGGCTTGCTGAGCGCAGCGCTGGCGGAGCTGTCCGCCGTGCCTGGGGCTGGAAGGAGCCCCTGGGCATCGAGTTGGCTTCCGCGTGCGCGCCCCTCCTGGCCCCTCCCCTGCACGCTACCTGGTGGCCCTGCGCTATTTAAGGCCCCGATGACGAAATGAGAGGAGCAACCGTGATAATTTCACGCCAGACAAAACCACAGGCCGCCGTGCCTGGACTGCTCCAATCCGCCCTGCCCTCGCTGAGCTGCGCAGATATATCGCCCGTTTAGTCGCCCTCGCTGTTGTTCAATGCTCTGGTCGCCCGCGCCTGACTCGGATGCCCGCTTCTCCATCCACACGCTGACCTCGCACAATGTCGACTGCCGACCAATCCCCCTTCTCCATCCGCCCTGAGGATGTGCAGCGCCTGGAATCCTCTCAGCCCTTCAACGTCCTCCGCAGCTATCTTGCCGTCAATGCCACCAACGAGTAAGCATGCCCCGCCCGTTGCGACTTCACCACTGACCGCATGTGATTCTAGAATGTGCCCTGAGCATGCATGCTGCTCCCCCGAGCCATGGTTGCTCCACCGCGACATCCTGCATGCCCTGATCATGCCCGTGGTCCAGCTCTTCCACCGTGCCTCTCGCCTGGCCGAGGCGGCTCTGTGCAGCTCCAAGGCCGAGGACCTCGAGATGGCCTTCACTGGCGATGCGCGCAGCGGTTTCCTCTGGCTGCAATGCTTCCTTGCTGACGAGGAAGACTGGTGCCAGTCAATTGGCTGTCCTGGTATGCTCCACCCTGTTCTGCCAATCAATGCCCGTCTAACAAACCCACAGCTTGCATTGTCACCTCTACTCTCTCAACCGAACAGCACCTGCGGATAACCTTTACCGCCCTCAACCTTGCCGAGGAGTCCAGCTATGCCAGCGGCCCCTCACAGAGCCTCCCTTCGCTTCCCTTCTTCGCCGATGCTCTCCGCTACGCCATCGACACCGACCCCTTCTGGGAATCCTACCCTGGCGCCTCCTCCACCTTTGAAGCTTCTGCTCAGAAACTCACTGCCCACATCCATGCTCTCATGGACCAGTGCGGCGAGATCGAAGCCCTTGTTTCAGACTACGATGCTACGCCCACCGATTCTCAGACGTCCAGCCAGCTTGTCAAGTTTCAGCAACGCGCCCAGCCGGTGCGCGCGCCCTCCGGATTCCTCAGGATTGGTGCCGAAAGCAAATGCCCCGCTGTTAAGCCCAGCCGCATGGCCAGGCGTCAGCAACGTATGCGTCAAGAGGAGCAAATGTTGCTGCAGCAGTTGGTGGCACAGTGCTGGGGCCAAGTTGCGCTCGCCGGTGCAGTCCCGGGCGCGCGGGATCGCGCTCACGTCAAGGCGCTGATGCGAGGCGCAGACAGTGTGACCAGCTTCTTGCTTGGCACTGGCAGCTCGACGAGCTTCGGCGAGAAGAGAAGGCGGAGTTTGACTTGTCCTTGATCACCCTTGCATGCAGAAACCTAAGAGACAGAGCTTGCACCTTCTTCTACATACATTAGGGGGTTTGGAAAGAAAATGGGCTGGGTAATTGGCATGGGATTGGGAAAAAGGATACATTTTCACGGCGTTTACTGAGGCCCGGCGTTCTGGCTTCACTGGCACTGGTTGATACCTCAAAGACCTTCCTTCGTCTTTTTAGATTGCGGAGAAGAAATATACTTGGCGTTCCTAACGCTTTTCTTCAAGACCTCGTATTTCCGTTCCTACAGCATGCAAATCCGTGAACCCCACAGCCAATATTTTGCATGAATTTGTTTGCTAGATTCGGTAATGATTCAAACACCAACACGCGTTCCAGTGGCTAAATTTCCCCACAGCCCTTTTCTGCTTTGTTTCGGTTGTATGCTGAAACTTGTTGCAGGTGGCCTAAATGAAGTGTTCTCTGACGTAAGTCATCCTTCGCGAGGGCTTGCTCCAGCACGCAGTCGGAAAGTAACGGAGGACTTTCGCGAACCTTCGTGCTGACTGATTCACGCACGTTCCCACCATTTGGACATTTCGGCAAACCGGGCGGAACAAGCTAAGTTCGAGCCAGTTCTGTACGCCATGTTCTCGAAGACTCCATATCAAACACGTGGCGCGCAAATGAACTGAAATATAGAGGGGTACTGCAGCCGATGGCTAGCGCGAAGAATAGCAGGATTCTAGAGTATAGCGTAAGTCAGTTCTTTTGTCTTTTAATAATAAAAAAAAAAGAACATGTACGGGTAGTTGAAGCTATCATCCGGATGTAAATGTGGAATTAATGATTATACATTCACGTCCAGATTGTAGCTTCAACTACCCATGGTGTGAGCGAAAAGTAAATTCACGCTAGCTATCGGCTGGAATCCCCCCTCTAGATACCCGCAATGTTCAGCTTCACCGAGGTCGCAATGGCGTTTTTGCGTTTCGCCACCGGCACATGGGATTATTTTGCCGGGGTCTGGGCTCCGGAGTCCTAGACACCGGCGCTATCTAAGTATCGTGGCTTTACTGTTTGGCGGCTAGCTCCCGTGGCGAAAAGCAGATAAATCCCCCGACACAAAACGTCGCCGTTTGACCGACCAGCTCCGGTACCAGGGCGTCCAGTCGTATGCATGCGCTGTACAGCCATGCGGCAACGAAACCACCGCCAATACGAGAGGAACAGCCGCTCAGGGTCCAGACGCGTGGAGTGAGGTGGGGGCTCGGCAGACGCGTAAGGGCCTCCAGTCAGCTTACTCATTTCACTTCGCCAGAAAAAGCGTTACTACTATCATTCGCTCAGACGACGGTATGTCAAACGTCTTTCCGGACATGAATGCAACACACACGTGTACAAAAAGATCCTCAAGCATGCAGAGCTTGTTGAAGTATTGAGTAGAATGACCTCGGAACAGTTAAGAAGCGTTAGTACGAGTTTTACCCGATAAATAGTCTACCCTGCAGTTGCGCCTTCCGAACTACCATTCGGAAGACGAGCAAAAGAAGAATTGGCTGCGAAACGCTTTCAGCTTGACGGATTTGTGGTAATTGAGTGGCTGCAGTGAGCAGAAGAGGTACGTAGAATTGTGTACCACGCGCTTAGCTAGCGTTCAGCGTGGCGGATGGCCATTGAGACTATTGAAAAAAAAAAAAAAAAAGCGCCCCGAAAACGGCGGCTAGGGGATTTTGTTCGACGATTCCTGGAGACGCTACGACTAATGCTGCTTTGGCGCCTGTTGAGACGCTCGTTTGCAGTGCTTTGCTTCGGCTGTTGCGGGAAGTGGTAGAAAATTTAGGTGCTGGCTTCAGTACAGAGGCTGCGTGCAGATAAAGACCTCTCAACGATTACTAACCGGCCTACTTGCATAGAGCAGAAACTGTCACCCATCGTGACTTCTGCGCTCTTCCGCCTCGCCTCGGCTATTTTCCACGTGCTTTCGTTGGGGAGAAACTCTTGGATTGCATTCTTGCACATACTAACCAGTCCATTGCGAGTTGCCAGTCGACAGCCTGGCGACTGTCTGGTAACTGGGGAACATAATTGTAATACGCAACCATCACTCTCACGTACGACCATAGGTCGCAGAATGCAGGGCTTCCCGTCCGCTCAGCCGTACTTAAGCTGCGAACCGGCCGATTAGTACTCAAGTGGGTGACCATTGGGGAATCCCGGCTGTTGTACGTTTTGCTTTTTGCCGACTGGACCTTCGGTTGCGTTTCAAACTCAGCCAGAGCCTCCGCCCGTCTTGACTTTTTGTTTTTTTAATGGTCAGATAAGGCAAATTTTTCTAATTCGTGGCTTTATTGCTGCCCAGGGCCTGTGTGCACGCATTTGCCACCGGATGTGCGTCCTAAAGGGTAGTTTTGGGGAAGCACTGCAAAATGAAACCACGGTACGATGATGAAGATCCTGAGACCCTGTCCGGAGCGAAATAAAAGGCGGCTTCTTCGACGTGAATGACCATCCGCCGCTCTGAAAGTTATAACAAGGTTTACTATTATCATCATTGGGAATGGGGACGGGTTATGAAAAACGCACCGCTTTGCAAATGTGGGGTTTCGCAGCAGAGCACCAGATCGATGATGAGAATGTTGTCCCTCGAAGTAATGGCATCTTGTTCTGAGGCGTGGTCGCTTTCTTTTCGTATGAACGAAGGAAATGGGAGCATGGCCGATGATGACAAGGCACCGAGAGGTTCTGAGGTCTGCGTTTCTAGGACATTTCAGAGATACAAGGTTGATTGACGACGATGGGAAGGGGAGAATGGCATGAGAGAAATGACGGCGGTGCGGGGTATTGTTGAGTTCCTCATACCTTTCTCATGAATGAAACACCGCCATGTCAAGGTTCCACCATGTTTTCCAGCTGTCCTTGTTGCAAACCTTTTCTATGCAGTTGCTGGATTCTTGATGGAGGGCGGACTCTGATGGCGTGGCGAATGAAGGCTTCTTCCAGGCATGCCGAAGGAGGATGGCTTGATTGGTGGGACAGAGATGGTACAGCTCGAGGAAGGGGGTGTTGTGGCTGCATGCTGGCAAGATCCGTGGAACATTGATAAATGGGGCACAGGGGGTGAAAAAGACGCAATGACATGGATATCGAACTTCAACATATAGTTTCAAAATACATCTTGATGCGTCTAGGTACGAAAATAAGCTCTACACATTTCCAGGCCATTGGCGGTTGCCGCATCACAAATCGCGGAAGCTATACACTACTGTGCCTGACTTACGTAGCGACCATAGTTAAATAAGGTATAGCAACTTTCTTTCCGAGCTAGGAAAAGCGAGCGGAAGGCGCTGGCCGAACCGCACCAGGCAAATACGGGTCAAGCTACCGCAAGCGCATATGAGCGGCTTTTGTCCCCGAGTGCCTTCCACCTACCATCACTTCGAGCGGAAACCACAGATTTGCACACCTATGATACCCACCAGTGCTCCTGGCCCCGGCCTGTACGTTAGTTACTACCCAGCGTTATCAGGCAGGCGGCACAGTCATTACATAACGTGTCATGCTTCTTTGAGAGGATGTCACAGTTGGCATCTTCGTTCATTTCACGCACGTTATCGTCACTATCGTATGATGCAGTTGAAATACTTTTTTGTGCGGCCATTGATCACGCGTATCCTAGCCAATGCTATGCACAGTGGACGTGTGGGGATGAGAAAGCAAAAAATCCCTACGCCAAAAAAGACTATCTCGACGTCCGCCAACCTCACGTGCGCCCATACTTTACAATCCCAAACCCCAAGAACGCCTGACAGACTCGAATGTCGGTAACCCCCTCGAGGGAACGCGAGACTGGAAAAACAGAAACCATTAAGTCTTTCAGAAGATGTGTCGTCGAGTCGTCGCTTCGGACCCAGAAGAGAAGACGCTTGTTGACTTTTTGCGGTAGAAAACAGAGGAAAGGGCGAAACGCTTAATCCTTGCTCTTCTTCTTCTTCTTTTTCTCCGACTTCTCTCCTTCATCGTCACGCTTCCTCTTCTTGGGGTCGGTTGCGCCTTCAGTGGCGTCCTTGGACGCCTTCTTCGCCTCCTTGGCAGCCTTCTTCGCTTCCTTCGCCTCACGCTTCGCGGCACGCTCAGCCTTTCTTGCTTTCTTCGCCTCCTTCTCCGCCTTCTTCGCGGCCTTGTCACCACCCTTCGACTTCTTGGGCGCGTCGTCCTCAGATTCACTCTCCGACTCCGATGCGCCGTCAACCTCCTCAATGCCGTTGGACTTGTCGTTTGCGGCCGGCTCATTGCCAGTGAGGCCATCGGCGTCGGCGTTGTACTTCTTAGCCTCCTTGATGTCGAACTTGGGTGCCTTGTTCTGGCCGGAGGGGGCAATCGCAGTGCCCTTGGACTGAATGGGCTTGCCTTCAAGGGCGCGCAGCCTGCGCTCGATGGCAAGACGAGCGGTGTTACCGAGGGCAGCCTTCTCCTCCTCAGTGGGCTCCTCTTCAGTGCCCTCGCTGTTGGCACCCCAGTCGGCCAGAGAGTCCACACGCAGACCAAGGGCAGCCTTGGAGGCGAGCATGCGGGCAATCTTGCCCTTGTTCTTGCCGGATGCCTGGCCAATGAGAGAGGCGTGGTAGATCAGACCGTACTTGGGAGTGTCGTGCTTGGTCTTCAGAGCTCTGAAAAGAGCCTTCTCGGCACCGAGGATCTGAATGGTGGAACCGGGCGACTTGGCCAGGCTTATCAAGCTACCGGCATGGGCAATCAGACGAGCACCGACGAGGTCACCGACCAAGGCAGTGAGGTTGGGGGCGATAGCCTGCATGCGAGTAGAAAGGTAGTTGGAGAGGGTCTGGCGATACTCGGTGAAGCCAACAACCTGCTCAGCCAGAGCCTTGATGTTTTCGAGATCCTCATCCGTGATCTCGGTACCCATGGAAACCTCGGCGGCAACCTTCAGCGAGGCTTCGATCTCCTCGGGCAGTACGTCTGACAGATCGGTGTTGACGCAGTTTGATCTCATCCCCATGGCCAGAATAACACGCGAATATGCCACATTGTCGTTGATGATCTTGGCCATCTCAGGGAAATGCCAGCCATACCACTCCTTCACTCTCATGGCGTAGATGTTGAGCTCCTTGTCTAGGTCGTCGAGAAGAGAGATGGCCTGAATGATCATAGTGTCGACCTTGTCCGTAGAGAACTTGAGCTTGTGACGAGACAGCGAATGAGAGAGACCAAGTGACATGGTCGAAACATCATCGGGCTTGAGTGCGGGGATCAAAGACGTAAGGTGGAGGCGAATGGCGCGGAAAACGTCCTGGGTTGAAGAGTCCGAGATGGGCGTGATAGACAGGCCAGGGAGCTTGTTGATAGCGTTGCCCAGCTTAGGGTCGGCAACGGCGAGAGAGGCCTTCTTCTCGTCCTTGATCTCATCGAGGAGGCTGCTGAGCATGGGCGTGACCTTGCCGTCGGTCAAGGCAGCGGCCTCGTTGAGAGCGGTGGCAGCGCTGTCGAACTTCTCGAACTTCTTCAGCTTGAGCCTGTGCGCAAAAGTGTTAGCACAGAACATCTCTAGGCAGTCCAAGGCCAATTGGCAGAGAGAGCGTATGGAGTACTGACAGTCCGCAGACGCCCTCGGCCGTCTCAGTCTCAGTTACGAGATCATCGCGCTTCAGCAGCTTCTTGTCCTTGGCCTTGAGGAGAGCATAGCCGGCGCTCGTTTCGGTGAGGATGAAGAGTGTCATAGCGGATAGCGCGGGGGAGTAAATAGCCCGTCGTAGGCGCAAGGTCGGAGGCGGGTGCTGCTGGTCGCGTCGCAGCTTTTTCTCTGGCGGGCGCTGCAGTTTTCGACGGCAGCTCGCACTTTTTCTCGCGCTAACGGGCGCGGCCCATCGTTGTTCCGGCGCCTTGTCCGCCCGCGCCAAGCCCTACCTACCGCCAGCGCGTCTCCCAGCGCGCGTGCCCGCTACCCAAATGTTTGTTTCTTGCCCCAGCATCAACCTCACATCTTTCGCGCTGTCCCGCCCGTTCTCGCGCGGCACAACGCCACGGGGTTGAAGAAAGCCAAATTTCGGTATTCGACCGCCCCGACCTGCCTTGACCACGGCAAACCAGCAGATCCGGCCGTGTCAATATGAGCTCCCAGGATTTTCTCAACCCGAAGCTTTCTGCCGGACGTTCGCGGCCCCAGTCATTGCAGTTTGATACAGGCCGGAAGCTCTCACCAACCACTCCTTCTGCGCGAGCGCTGTCAGGCATCTATGGCTCCTCGACGGCAGCAAGTTTTCGCTCCGATGAGGAGCATTTGATTTTCGAATTTGGCTCTCGTTTCCTTCGTGCTGGATTTGCTGGGGAGAGCAAACCGCGATGCACCAGAGCCTTCGGCCCTGATGAGCAGCGCCGGGTTGGCGATTTTCGCCGTTGGATGCCCGGCTACGAGAACGTGCGTCGGAAGCGAAAGCGAGGCCAGGATTGGGGAGAGGAGTATGAGCTGTGGAAAATGGACCTACGCACTGCAGACCTCGGGTTGGTTGAAGACAAGATCGAGCGAGCCGTCAGAGAAATTGTAGCCCAGTATCTACTCCTCGACCACCGGCCACGCCGTGCTACCGTGGCGGTCCCTCCTCAACTTCCCCGCCCCTTGATGACCGCTCTGTTATCCTCAGTCTTCACCACGCTTCAGGCCGTCAGCATCACGGTCCTCTCTATTCCCGTCTTGAACATCGTCTCGGCGGGGCTCAGATCGGGCCTGGTCATCGATCTCGGATGGGCTGAGACGACAGTTACTGCAGTGTACGAGTACCGTGAAATCCACCACCGAAACAGCATAAGAGCCGGAAAGTACCTCACGGAGGAAATTGCCAAAGTCTTGAACGAGGAATGCCACAAATCCAAAAAGGATCCCCCACCGGAAATCCAAGAGGACATCACATTTGAGGAAGCGGAAGAAGTATTGACGCGGATGGCCTGGTGCTTGAACCGCGAAGAAGCCCTAAAAAGGAAGAATGGCGCGAACCCAGACAGCTCCGCGAGCGATCCTTCCGTTACAGTGCCATTCCCCGCTGCAGACCCGCCTATCACGGTATCCGTTCCTTTCAGTCGGTTTGCTGAGCCGTCTGAAAACGCCTTATTCGCCAGCAACTGTTCCGCACACGATATCGACGACCATGACCTTCCAATTCCACTGCTTGCTTACAACGTTCTCCTTTCGATACCCATTGATGCACGGAAGCTCTGTATGCCGCGGATAATCGTTACCGGTGGTGCCTCAAAGCTGCCCGGAGTAAAGCGGCGTATCCTCTCAGAGATCGAACACTTGGTCAAGAAGCGCGGTTGGGACCCTGTGCGTAGCTACGGTAGTGCGACTCAGAAACGGGAAGAGCTGAAGATGCGGAGCCATCACGTTCGCAGTAACACTGTCGACACGCTCTCGCCGCTTCCGCTGCAACCCTCGGGTGATGGCAGCATTTCCGAAACGATGGCGCAGCAGGAAGAGGACGAAGATCACAGCGCGCAACAGACTCCTGGATCACAAACGCCTACTTCGCAACGCGCCTCTTCACGCTCCTCTGGCACCGTCACACCATTCCCCGCGTCAGAATTGCCACAGGAAATCGACCCTATCACGGCCAAGCTGCAAGAATTGGGAATGAAGCATCGCCAACCAGGACCCGAAGGCGTTGTGCGTGGGGTTGAGACGCTAGGTGCATGGGCAGGTGCTAGCATCGTGGCGCAAATGCGTATACGCGGAATTGTGGAGGTCGACAAGGATCGGTTCATGCAGCATGGCCTTGCCGGCGCAACCAAGGATGCAGGGCATACAACCGTAGTCGAGCAGAAGAGACAGAGTACCCTGGGTAGTGGAGGAAGGGCTGCCGGTGATAGAGGTAGCTGGACACTCGGCGTTTGGGCCTAGTGGTATCGATACGATGTACGATGAACATGTTTTTGTTATGTGCTACGCGTCAGTTATGTATATACGATTGTCATTCCTAGACATCAAGCCTTCTATACGTGAGCATAGCCCATGTTAGTATGGGGAGAGGTAGTTAGAGACTTGCAGGGCAAGCTCTGGTTCCCATCCTAGCGCATCAAGCAGCTGAGTTACATTGTCCGAAGTTGTCCCGAGGAGAGATTTTTAGGTTACTCCAACCTGAGCTAGAACAATCCCTGCACACATATGTACGTTTCTAAATCCACATTCCTGAGGAGTGACCGATGGGCCGGAGATTCTAAAGTAAGCAAACGGGATGTGCGAGTTGTGGATGGGTTGCGAGGGAGACTTCATTGCCATCCCCATGATCCCCATCGGACACATTTTTCTAGCTTTCGCACGTATTTCATATGACCGCTCTCTCTTCACCATTTCATATTTTAGCGCTCTTTCCAGCTCTAATGGCGGATGTACCCCCGTCGTCCTTTCCATTTCATTCAAGTCATACAGTCACATGTTTTCCTGCTACTTCATCTTCACGCTTTGCATATCCATCACGGGCTGAGCAAGCGCACTAACCTAGCCGTCTCAAAGCTATATCCTCCTTTGATCACCACCCCCACGACCGTCGCCTGACTTCACGGCCCCAAAGGCTGTCGCTATAGGAAACCTGCAAGGCTGCAAACCTTCGTTGTAGTGAATAGCCGCCCACCGCTGCCATCATGAAGGTCCTCGAGAAGCAATCGTCCGTCCTCACCAACTGGGAAGTTCTCAACATCGTCCGCGAGCAAAAAGCGGAGTATGAAGGCAGCGACGGCGCCGGCCGCACACGGCCCATGCCCAGCAATCTGAACCGCATCCTCACCGACGTCCGTCTTCTTCCTTTTCTAACAATGCTCATTTGACTAAACTTCGATGCTCAGGTTGAGGCACAGCTCATCGAGGCTTCCTCCCCGCTCGCAGGCAGCCACAAGTACCGCGAAAGCGCCATCCGCACGCTCTTTGTCAAAACCAAGGAGGCAGGCTTCGAGATCGAGAAGGCCGAGATGCTCATGATCTTCAACCTGCGGCCCAAATCGCTCGCCGAGCTTGACACGATCATGGAGGAGCTCGACGGCCGTTACGACGAGACGAAGCAGGAGGAGCTGCTGGCTATCGTCAGGGAGTGCCTGGGTCCGCTGGACGACGGAGAAGCGGAGCCGGCGCAGGATGCGAAGAGCACGGACTGGAGGCACGACACGCACCGCCGGGGCGGCGCGGAGGTCGGACTGAAGGGGGAGAAGCTTGATAAGCCGATGGCGGATATGAGCTTGGGAGAAAATGGCGCGTAGGGCATGATGGGCTGTGCTTGCATAAGAAGGCGTTTATTGAGTTTGGTCAATTAATATGTTTCATATTTATGGCAGTATGCAGCGACGGTTTCTCAACTCGAAGCAGTGGCCGTCCTGCCTGCGCCAACACCGCTTGCAAGCAGTTCCAGCCTGCTAGCTTGAATACGATGCTTCCTCATTACCTCCACCCATTCTTCTTCACCGTCTTCATCATCCTCGCCTAGCTCGTCTTCCAGCAATGCAAGTAGCATGCCAAAATCTCCACCTAACCGACCGAGACTTCCTGCGCAATACAGCACCTGTGTCAACAGACTGTCTCTCGAGGCGCGATCCTGTACGTTTGGAAGATATTTTCGTAATGTCTCGGCCAGGAGCTCCACGAGATGCTGAGGGAACGTAGCCAACGCAGAGGGTAACGGCTGTAGGCTATCATCTTCTCCTATACGGGTAGGAGATTTGAGACCTTGGCCGAGCTCAGCATTGTCGTCGCCAGCCGAACCCGGCCCTGGCAGTGCTGACGGGAATATGCTCTTGTACATAGAAATGATGGCAAAGCTCTGTTCGCGGAATATTTCAATGTACCGCTTCAAGTAGCGCTCCGTCTGCTGCCCCCCAGCCCAGCTATCCCTGGCCTTCTCACCATCTGACCGCCGAGCCGCCTCCTGGTCTGCCAATTCCCGTAGCGGGTCCAGTGCCTCGAGGGTGCTGAGGAGATTGGCTAACCGGCAGACGAGGAACAGCGCGCCCAGGGCTCCCTCATTGCTGCCTATGCCGGTGCTTTTCTGACTATAGGCCCACGCCTGATCAAGCTCGGGGGCTATACGCCTTAGCCAGCCAATTGTCCGCATCGCTCCAGCAAGCTTGATGCCGTGGCCCTGTAGGCTGGTGATCAGGTTGGTCGCCATGCCCTTCATCTCCTGCTCCGCCTGCGTCGAGATCTCGGTCACCAAGCCGACATTGGGATAGAGGGCGTGTAGCCGCTTGATGTGGGCATGGAGGTCTAGCGCAGATGCGTAATTGGCATTGCTCAGCCCCGATGCAGCGGCACTGCCGGCGCCTTGAGCAGCACCGCCAGAAGACGATATAGCGGACGACAACAGAGTAGGCAGCTCCAGGACGTCGGCCACGCGATCTACATTGCGGGCCAGGAGCATGGCCTTACGCCGCCGATCGAGAATTGCATTCTCGCCGGAGCGACTGTACGTCTTCTCGAAGTTTGCGCTGGCGGATTCGAGCTCGGGCAGAGCATCTTGGAGCTGGGCGGCCTGCTTGGCGAGCTCGGGAAGGGACGACGAGAGGCTGCTGAGACTGGCAGAAGAGGCGATGATGGACTTGTGGGAGCGTTTGGAGAGGGCCTGAAGGCTGCGGACGGTCGAGGCGGACGACGAGGCGAGCGACTGCGGCTCGGAGGAGCTCAGCGAGGACAGGGAGAGGGTGGCCAGACGGTTCAGGTAGGCCTGGGCGGCTGGATCGGTCGGCGACGGAACGGGCCTCGCGGGGGCATCTTGGGCGTCGAAGTACGGCGCGAGCAGATCATAGAGCGGATCAGCCATGGTAGCCGGCGAATGCAGTGGTGAGGTGGTTCGCGATTGGGGGTGCCGGAGCGCGGAGCGGCCAGATCTACATGTGATTGGAATTTGTGCTGCAGGCTCAAAGCACTGCACTTTTGCCCAGTGCCTCACCTCGCCGTCGCCGCTCCCTTTGCGCTCCGCGTCAACTTCGCCAGTCGCGCCCACGTCCGACGCCGCTATCGTCCCTTGTGCTCGGGCGCGCTGGACTCGCCTCCGGATACCCCACCATCCTCGCCGTTTGCCGCAGCCCACCAGATCCCATAGGCCCGCGCCGCGCGCCTGCCTCCCAACATGCCGGCTCACACGGTAAACGACGTTGCGCACCCAGCACGCGACGCAGGCATGGCTGAGAAGAGACAGATCTGCGTCGAGGACACTGTGCACCTGAAAGCCAAGCAGTGGCTGATCGGGGTGGTCGATGTGAGTTCTCACTCCCGGGCAGTCCCTCTTGCGCCGGCTAGCTGACAGCAAACAGAGAACAAACCACGATGTATGTTTGCGCCTGCGACTCGACCCCGCCTCTGCGCATGCGCACGCGCCCCTTTGGCCGCAGCCTCTCCGCGTGCTTGCCCCCATGCTAACGCTTCGCAGGTCGACACCCACGAGCCTGATCCCCAGCGCGACTACAACCTGCAGATCGTAAAGCACCGCGCCGTGCCTTCGGGAAAATTCGAGGCATTCTTGAGGAATGGAATTGTAAGGCTGGCCGCCAAGGAGCACGGGAGAACGGTGTGCTGACATTTGGACAGCCTCCGCGCGGAACGGTCCTGGTCTCGTGGCAAACCGATTTCACCACCGAGCTGGTTCCTGAATCAGAACTGGAGCTTGTGGACCGGAACTTCTTTGTGGGAGACGTGGTGAAGCGGGACGCGAACAGCCCCATGAGCGGCACGGTCATCGGGACGAAGCTTGCGGTCACCATAGCACCCATTCGCATGTGGCCCGAAGTCGACGTTATCCGGGCTCACAGCTACGAGAAACTCATTGGCGATGATACCACCCATGCTCCCCGTTCCATGATCCCCGCCGAAGAACTCGAGACCATTCGGCAGTATCCAGAGGGAGCTCTCATTATCTACGACAACTGGGTTGGAAGAATAGACGATGCATATGACGAGATCGCGCTTCGACTTAGCAACGGCACTGTTGTGGTGCCTGAGAATAGCGATGAACTTACCCCGGTAGACCCAAGGCTGGAGCGGCATGAAGTCGGCGATTACGTGAAGACCAAAAAGGGCAATTTGCGCAGGGGTCGGTGGATTTTTGGAGCCTTTAATGCCAATGTTGAGCCCGGCGGCGTCGTCATCGATGTGCGGACCACTTCTGTCACTGTTCAGTGGCTTAGCCGGAGACTAGGCGGCCCTCCGACAATGCCCGGTTCCTTCCCATCGGAGCCTCCGATCGAGCTAGGCCTGGACGACCTTGAGAGCGGAAAGGTGGTCATCTACGACAACATGAAAAAGCCGCCGACGCCAACGACTGCCTCGTCGACCACCGTCGCCATCAGAGCATCGCCGGAACTGACCCCTGGCCAACGGGTTCGATTCAAGGATCTTACCGGTGCCTGCGTAAAGTACGCACCGTACGTCAAGAAACGACCGAGGACAGAGACTCTAGGCTATGATACAAACATTTACACAGTACAGACGACCAAGACGACAGTCGTCACCCAGTGGCAGGATTTGTCGATTACGGAAGACGAGTCTATCGGGCTACTTCCTGACCCTAACGTCGATGACGAGGATGAGGTCTGGCCTGGAGAGGTCGTCTGCACCAACGAAAGAAAACCGAAAGAATCCTCGACCGCTTCTTCGGAGGAACAGGGTGAATGGTACATAGAACCTGCAAAGGTTGGTGTAGTCCAGGCGGTCGAGGGCAAGGATCGCATGGCAATGGTGAAGTGGTTCCCACATGCGACCGTCAAGTTCGTGGAAAACGATCTTCTCCCCGGGTCGAAGACCGGTACTGCGGCGGGCCCAGAGGAGAAGGTCAGCTTGTACGACATACGGACAACGGCATCTCTGAACCGGAGGCGAGGTGACTATGTCATCGTTGTCGAGAGCTCATTAGCAGGAGGGCAGAGTCTATCGGATGATGTTGACTGGTTTGGAGAGGTTGTCGACCTCGGTCTTGATGGGCAGCTCACCGTGCGGCTTGGTGCTGCAACCCCAGTGCGGGACATCAAAGTTCCGGTCGAGGGTGTCATTCTCGCATATAGTACCGACCTCGATGCCGATAACGGCCCCCATGACCATCTAGGGGACAGTATGTCCGAGGACGAGGCGTACGACGATGATATGGACGACGAAAGCATCCTCGATGATGCGGATAACTACCTCAACATGTGGTACGAATACACCGGTCCGGATGGGCGAAGAATAAGGGTTGAGGATGACAATGACGACGACGAGGAGGGATGGGCAACTGAGGACGAGGACGATGTCGATGAGTCGTCGGCAGAAGACAACGACGTATCCATGGAGGACGCGGCAGCCGTTGATACCTCGAAAACGACACCCGAAGCCCAACCGTCAGCTGTTCCCATTGAAAAGGCCGCTTCAAGCCAGCAAGAGCAATCGACCGTTGCAGTGGACGGTACATCAGACAGCAAGACTTCAGAGCCATTCTCGTTTTCCAACTATCCAGACGCGCCTGCAGCGTTTGAGATCCTGGAGGATGCGCCACCGCAAGACCACCACTTCATTAGGGCTGCTCAGGGCGAGCCAACGCAGCAACGGCTTCGCCGGATCCAGAAGGAGCACAAGATCCTTGGGTCGTCTCTCCCACCCGGGATTTTGGTGCGAACTTGGGAGTCTAGACTCGATCTCCTGCGCGTGCTGATTGTGGGACCGGAAGACACGCCTTACGAGTATGCGCCGTTCCTTGTGGATTTCCATCTCGGCCCAAATTTTCCTTCATCGCCCCCAGAAGCGTTCTTCCACAGCTGGACCGGTGGCATGGGGCCTGTAAACCCCAACTTGTACGAGGATGGCAAGATCTGCTTGAGCCTGCTGGGAACGTGGCACGCGGACGAAAGGAACGAGAACTGGAGCCAGGCCAAGAGCACGATTCTGCAGGTGCTGGTTTCGTTGATGGGCTTGGTCCTAGTGAGGGAGCCCTACTACAGTAAGTTTGCCTGCGGAACTGTCTTGGAAGGAATCGGAAGCTGACTGCAAGCTTTAGACGAAGCTGGATACGAAGTGCGTCAAGGGACTGAGGAGACGAGCCTGTCGTCAGCATTGTACTCCGAGAAGGCGTATTTCAGGGCCCGCGGATTTATCATGCATGGCCTCACACACCCCCCGGCGCCGTTTGAAGAGGATGTGCAATGGCTCTATCGTAAGGACAGCGGTCCGAAGCTGCTGGAGAAGGCAATCGAAGCTGCCACGGGCATCATTGAGAGGAGTGAAGGAGGCAATGGAGAGAAAAGGGACGGGCTGAGAAACATCAGCGCCGGAGCCATAATACCTCTCAAGCGCCAGCTGGCAGGGCTGGAGAGACTGAAGCAGAAGGACGCGAAAGCCTAAAAGTGTTTGGGATGTTCGTGGTTGGAGTTCAGGTACAAAGGCATTGGGCCCCGGCAGCGCGGAATCATTTAGCGGGAGCTGGGTTTCGTTTGTATATCAATAGAGAAGAGAGAATGCTTGCACACGTTTGGACCCTTGCTGCGGATCGAGCGGGTGTGGCAGGGCGATTGACAGCTGCAAGTGATCCGCGGATCGAGAATGGCGGGCTCCCCTGGTCATCCGCCAGCTGAGTGGGGCAGCTAGCGGCGGGCGCACCCGCCAGCCGCTGGCGCTGAAGCGTGATCGGCGTGCGAGAGGGCGCCCGACCTGGACCGCCGGCTGTGTGAACAAAGCTCACCTGCGTTTCTCACCCTGCACACCCGCCCTGCCGCCTGGGCCTGCCCTCAAAACTTCTGCCGATCACCTCGCCGCCTTCGGTCCTCAACCTCGACGCCTCCAAACCGGCTCGTCCTGCGGTAGCCTGAGCTCCCCCGCCGCTCTCAGCTGCACCGCTCGCTCCGGGACCCCGTTATGGCCTCGCCCCATCCCGCCGAGGCGCCTGTCGCCATCAATCCGCACCAGAACGCCCGATACACGCTGAAGCTGAGCGAGCGCATCACAAACCCGTCCCAGGACCAGTCCCGCTTCAGGACCGTCAAATTCAACCACAAGCCGACGCAAGCCGCCGGCACTGCACGCACGACGACCCTCAAGCCCGCCTCGACGGGCGACGACCAGTTCACGCTGTGCATTCGCGACAAAGATAAAGAGGCCTCTGCGAAGGCGAGCACCTATGAATACGCCGGCCAGCGCAAGGAACTCAAGAAGACGTACGTGGTGGTCTTCGACAAGGATACCCAGACGGCGACGCTCGAGCCGCTCGACGAGACGTACGCCTTCAACCTGACGAGCGCACCGTGGGAGCAGGATCCAGCAAAGTTGGCCGACCAATACCAACAGGTAAGGCCGCGCAATGAGAAGCCGGACCGCGGCGCCGCGGCGAACGACGATGCCGACGACCTCTTCTCCGACGGCTCCGCTACGCCTAGGAGCATGGCCGAGAGCATGTTCGGAGGCGGGAGCTTGAGCGAGGACGACGAGCCCGACGAGAGCAACCCCTTCGACTTCAGGCATTTCCTGAAAGACGCCGAGCAGACCGAGGGCTTCGCGTCGCCATACAGCCAGTCGGGAACCCCGCTTCGCACCACCACGAATGCTCCGACGGCATCTACCACCGCTACTACAGCCGCACCGGCTCGCTCCACGCCACTCCCACAGACGGAGCGCTCTAAGACGAAACCGGCGCCAAAGGCAGCACCAAAGAATGCAAATGCTAAGCAGACCAATGCCGCATTGTCGCGCAAGCGCAAGAGCCCGGAGCCCGAACAGCCCGCCGCCAAGCCCAAAGCCACCTCCCCGGCCGCTACAACGAAGACGAAACAGCAGCCCACTCCGTCTATCCGTCTGGATCGCCGCGCATCGACGCGCCCGACCGACTCGACGGCGGCGGCAACAACAGCAGCAAGTCTCTCGGCCTCAGCAACCATCCCGTCACAACAATCGTCCGCCTCGTCCACCAAATCGTCGAGCCGCACGTCTCGCGAACCAACGCCCGACGAAGATGATGACGACGACGACGACGATGACCAATTTGGCGGCCTTGAGATTGACTGGGGCGGGTCGGGCGGCAAGTCGGGGTCGCGCCACGGCGGCCGGCACCCGGCCCGTCGCAGTATCGCACTCGCTTTCGAGCAAGGCGTCACAGGAGACGGGCCCGTATCGCTGCGCAGCGCCGCCGACAGCGCATCGCCTAACAGCCGTTTGCACACGCCTAATATGCGCGCCACCACCGCCATCACCAGCAAAAATGCGCCTGATATCATCGACTTCGGCGGCAGCGGCGACGAGGACGAGAATGAGGATGATGACGAGGCGGGTGGTCGTCATCACCAGCGTGAGGCGGACCAAGAGCAGGAAGAGGAACAGGAAGACGACGACGATGACGACGGCTACGCTGAGGACGACGAGGACGCAGATGGCGACGTCGATCCTCTGACCTTGGGGAGTCCTGCGGCGGACACGTTGCAGCAACAGCAACGGGATCACCATGAAGTGGACCTCGACGACGAACAGCAACATCAAATGGTCGATGGTGATGACGATGACGGTGCCGGCGACTTCGAAGATGACTTCGAGGCTGAGATGGCACAGGCGCTGGCAAGCGCGGCAGAGGAAGGGGAGGAGGACGGTGGACGCGTGGTGCATGAGGAAAGCGAGGAGGAGAGTGAGGAAGAGTAAGTAGCTCAGACGTGTTTTTGCTAAGGAGGGGCTTTTCATCTTCTGTTTTTCCACTCTTCTCCCTCGTCGTCTCTTAGGAGTAGGATAGACAAAATGCGGCGTTTTTTCAGGATGTTCAGAGCACGGGACCAGCAACTCGTAGCAACAGCAGCAGCAGCTGCTGCTGCCACCGCTGCCGTAGAACATGAGTAGATCTTGCATAGAACTGGTTGACGGAAATACTCCAGTGGTTCAAATATAGCGAAACGTCCACACACATGACACGAGGACTGTCGGATTTCACCATGAATAAATTTTACCCTTTGAAATTTGTCCCGTGATATACGCTGTTACTTGCGGGAATAGTTGAATCCTAATTCCGTCCGTATGTTTATTGCTCAGAAATCGTTCTCTAAGTCGAGATGTAGACGTCAACCACCCGGATAGGGAGAAAGCAAATAACCCGAATGCTGTAATTTTGCTTGCGACGTGTTGAGAAACGCGGGCATCTTATTTGGTAACTAAATGGCATGGCACTTCAAACTCAACAGGACAACCATTTTCCTTATAGCGTGCGGTGACCAGGTCAGGCGTTGGCAAATGATCCTGGTCTAAGGACGAAAAGGCACATGGATGGGCACAACAGTCACGGGTGCAATGAACACATCAGAGAGAAGGGCAACGAGGTGAAGGCACACAAGGTTCGGCATGAAATGGATATCGGATTTCTTTTTCCTTTATGCAGAGGAAGTGGGCAACGTTCAAGTACATCCCAAAATCGCCAGCACAGGGCTTTCCCCCAACGCATAGAACACACGTTGGATATCTTTCCCTCATAAGCACCGGACGACTGTTCTTCCCTGCATTGAACAAAGAAAAGAAAACGTGAAGTCGAAGATGCCAAACCAGCCGCGATGACAAGGGTTCCATGCGATGGCCTTTGTGAGGAAATACTTTTGTTTGTTCGACTCAGGGACCATTCTTTGAATTTTTTTGAATACACACTCCACCGAGGCGCAAGTTGACTGACTCCTGTTTATCTTTTTGTCCTCATCCCTTCCTGGTATCGCGCTTTTCCTCCTCAACCGCTTACCACTGACCCTCAGTGTTGGGGGCAGCGGCGGCGTCAGCGGACCAGCCAGCGGCGGCGCCCTCAGGGGCGGCGGTGGAGGCAGCCCAGTCAGCACCATCCTGGTCCCAGGAGGCACCGGCAGCGACGCCAGCGGTGCCGGAAGCGGCGGCGAAGGCGCCGGCACCAGCGCCAGAGACCTCCCACTCGTTGGTGAAGCCACCCTCAACGGGGGCAGTGCCGACCTCGTCAGCGCCGGGGACCTTGGCCTCCTCAACGCCGGCAGAGTCCTTGTTCTCCTCGGCCTCAGGGTCGCGGTAGAAGTACAGGTCGGTCATGACGTCCCACTCGGTCTCACGGCTGGCGAGGGTGCCACGGAGGCGGAGGACCTCACGGGCAAGGAGCCACCAGACAAGACCAATGGCGTGACGGCCCTTGTTGTTGGTGGGGATAGCAACGTCGACGAACTCGGTGGGAGAGTCGGTGTCGCAGAGGGCGATGACGGGGATGTTGACGTACGAGGCCTCCTTGATGGCCTGGGCATCGGTGCGGGGGTCGGTGACGATGATCAGGCGGGGCTCCTTGAAGGAGCGGGTGATGTAGTTGGTGAAGTTACCGGGGGTGAAGCGGCCAGCAATGGCGACAGCACCGGTGTGGGCGGCGAACTTCAGGACGGCACGCTGGCCATAGGGACGAGCGGAGATGACGCAAATGTCGGCCGGGTTGTCAATGGCGACGATGATGCGGGCAGCGAGGACGATCTTCTCCCTGCAGCGCGCGTTAGACACAAAGTTTTCGCGCGTGGAGCGGCTTCCTGCGCGCCCGTGGGCGGAAAATTTGGAGCTTTCAGAGGAATATCGCGGGCAAATTGCCACATCCTTTTCATAGCCACAAATGCCGCGAACAAAGCTCACACAGCATCGGTTTCGAGGCTTACCAGGTCTTGCCAATGTTGAGGACGTTGATACCATCCGGGCGGGTCTTCCAGAGGTAAGGCTCCATGTGAACCTGGAGGTTCTTGGAGCCGAGGTGGCACTGAGCAGCCAGAAGCATCTCAATGTCCTGGCTGGTGGGCGCGAAGGCCGCGGGGAGGTTGTTGGGAGCCATCCTGATTGATTTGAGGTTGCGCGAGAGGCGGCGGGTGAGGTCGTGAGTCGAACGGCGGTCGCTGGCGGTCGAACAAATGTGTTGCGGTTCGAAATGGTGGTGGGCATATCACCTTTCGCTAAACCGCCTTCTTCTGGTATGGCGCTTCGTGCCGCGGGCTGCGTGTCTTGGCGCGTCGGCCGATCGTTTGGCCGTTTGGCCGGCGACGCTCGCGGGCTCTGGACGGCCGACCTCCGCTGCAAAGTTGCGGACGGCACGACACCACCACCGCATCGCCACCATGCCGCCCCGGATATCGCTGCCCGTGCGCCTGCGCGCCCAATCTGGTATGTGCTGCTTGGAAATTTCGATTATGTCTGATTTTCGCCTGACAATGGCTCGTAACAGCTCCGTCTAGCGCGTGTTCTGCTCTGCGCGCTTTTAGCACGACGCCCGCCAATTATGCAACCACGAAGGAGCAACGACGCAGACAGCAGGACCCATACGCGCAGGCCCAGGCACGGGCGCGGAAAGATGCCAACATTTCTCGCCAGGCCGTCTTGCGGGAGCAGCGCAAGCAAGAGCTGGGCGATCCCGTTCGCGGCATCACGACGCCGTTCGTAAAGTCATTCGACACCGGCCTTCCCGAGCAGGCCAAGACAACCGATGCCGACCTATCGAAGAAGACTGCCGGCCCCAAGAAGACCCCCGACGGTCCGGCGGCCACCTCTGAGAGCTACTTGAACCATTTTCTCAAGCGCGACGAAGTGATGGAACAGCTGGGGGTTTCGGAAAGGATGGCTGCTCCATCGCAGGTCGCCGATGATCTGTCACCAGACGCGCGTGACCAGACAAGCCATAAGCGACTCAAGACGAAGGCCGAAGTTGATCAACAGAGCGCGAACGCCGCGATTGCGATTCAGCGCATCGTAAGCTTGTCAAACGCCAACTCAAAGGACCGGACTCGCGTGAACATCCAAAGGTGTATCGACACGTTCGGTCGCCACCAAACAGATAAGGCTCTGCCGCCAAGAGCGACGGCGGCGGGTGTGACGGCGGCGGCCAGGGCGCCACAGGCAGACTCTCGCGGTGGCCCTGATACTGGCAGCAGCGAAGTTCAAGCGGCCATCCTGACGGCCAGGATCCGCACCCTGGCCGACTTCCTCGAAACTCGGGGCAAGAACGACAAGGTCAATAAGCGGAACTTGAGGTTGCTAGTGCACAAGCGACAGAAGCTGCTTAAATACCTGAGGAAGAAGGAGAGAGGCGGACCTAGGTGGCAAAACCTGATTGAGAAGTTGGGTTTGACCGAGGGTACGTGGAAGGGCGAGATCAGCTTGTAAGGCGAGCGAATAGCATGGGGGAAAAGCAGGAATGCGCAATACGGGCTGCATGATGTGATCAATTGTAAAATCTGTACGAACACTTCAAACTTCCGTAGGGACACCATCCACTTACGTCGATAAGTTTGGAATACCAGCTAGTCGGTTTTTCGGGACGAAGAAAGTCGAAGCTTGCTTACCATTTTCCGAATTCCAAGGTATGCGCAAGTGGCGCCCTGCGGGTCGACGACTTGGTAGATGAGGCAACGGCGTGTTCATCAATCAGAGCAAAGGCTTTTATCTGCGGATCACCCAAACGTAACAAGGCTGAGACGAGGGATGTTCAGAATGCTTAATGAACTTCCCGAAGACAACTAAGCGCAGATCAGCGTTTCACTACTAATGCTTGTTGCTTCTCGCGTCCAGTACAATCGTCTTTGTGGCGGTGTGATCAAATAGCGACTTTTGGGGACTTGGCGATGGCGTTCTTCTTCACAGTGAAGCAGAGATACCCATGACGATCAGGCTTAGTAGAAAAAAAGGTAATATCTTAATTAATCAAATTTGTAAAGTAGGGAGAAGATCAAACTATTCTCGCAAAATTCAGGCTAAGTATGCAATAATCGTAGTCACGTTTACTCATTATGAGTAATCTTGCTTTGTCCTTCCTCGGATGCAGCCACAGAAAGGCTGATATCTCATCCGCAGCTCTCAGCCGAAAACCAAAGCCCTCACCTCGATGCTCTCCCTGCCGGGGGCACCCTCGGGGGTCCTAGGGTCGACAAAGGCAGTGTGGGGAACACGGCCGTCGGCGCGGAAGCTGTCAGAACACTTGAGCAGCAGGCGCTCGTCGTTGCGCATGCCGGACAGGTAATACCACTGCTGGTCGGGGTTGTACTTGATGGCGGCGGTGTAGCCGGTGCGGTGCGGGTAGCGGTGCTCGACAGGCACGAGGTCCTCGTCGCGGAAGGTGCTGCCGTCGGCGAAGGCCAGCGGGTGGGCGACGACGGGCCCGTTCAGCGGCCGCCACACGTTGATGATGCGATAGCGCCCCTGGACCAGCTTCTCGGCCTCGTCCGGCAGGTGGTACTCGACGCGCATCTTGGCCGAGACGGGCGTCTGGTCGATGTGCGTGCGCGTGACGGGAGCGCGGTTGGCGTTGGGCCCCGCACGGCGGATGGTGTGGTCGAAGATGAGGACGCGGTTCGCACCGGGCACGTTGTCGAGAATGATCTTCTCGACCTCCGGGTAGTACTTTTGCTTGATGGAGTCGTCGTCGACGAAGTCCTTCTCTTCCGACTCGACGCCCTGGATGAAGGCGAAGGAGTTCTTGTCGAGATCAAAATCTTGCTCCCGGCCGCGGGCATCCTGGATGGTTACGTCGTGTGGCGTGGCGCCGAAGTTGCTTTGAGGCACGCCTTCGGGCTGCTTCTCGACGAAGTTGTATGGGGCAGAGCCATCGGAAGGAGGGTTGAAGAAATTGAGCTCAGTGGTGACGGGGCCGCGAGGGACGGCAAATCCCTTGTTCTTGATGCTGGTGTCAAGCGAGGAGGAGTTGATGGGCGCAGAGTGCAGCTGGTGCGCTGGCGTTGGCTGGGTGGCAGTGGTCGTCATTCTGGCGGTTTTTGGGTGATTCAAATGTCTCAGTCTGAGTGCTGGCTTTCTGGCAATGGAGAATGCTCTACTGGAAATCGTCTTCTGGGAAGTTGAGTAAACAAAAGCCGAGGCAATTGGAGCTGGCTGTAGATCAGTGTCTTGAGATGTGATAGTGATGCTAAAGGCGCTCTATCTGGACGTTTATATAGGCTCAGCGGAGTCGGCAGCTAGCGGCCTGGATTGCTAATCGAGGTGGTATAAAGTCATCGCCAGCATGATGCGATCCCCGCAAAACAGCGGTTCCGTGGCGATGATGCCATCCCAGGCACAGTTTGTCAGCAGCGCCAGCGAATGGGCACGCGTGTGCTTACCCAAACACCTCGATTGCGTGCTCTTGCGGCAGATCAGCTGAGCGCGTGTCGCTGTCCTAAACTCCGCTTCTTGAGCGAAAGTCAAAAGGGCGTGTTCTGCGGCGTGCCGATAGGCTGTGCGCTTACTACCTGCGGCTTCCCGAAAATTCCTTGCCGGACCCTGGCGCCACGGCAGTGCGGGGGACGGGGGGCGTCTGGAGATGGCTCGGCGCAGTCGCTGATCCGAGATACGCCACGGCTTCAACACTGAACGTCACTGTCCGCTGCAGTGCAGGTTCCACTCGTTGCTGGACCCCGTTTCAGGTCTGTGCCTCGCGTGCCAGGAGCGCGACCGCTGCCTTTACCTGCATCTCAGATCTACGCGCAAGCCCTTAAACTCTCCGAAACATCTCGCTTTGCATGGCCCGCTTGAAGAGCAGAACGCAAAATGGACGGACCCTCGCTGCGGGTCGCCGGCAGTGAGCATGGGCGAGTTGTGCGATACGTCGCACAGTCTCCCTGTAAGCTGAGCCGAAATTGGCCATGCCAGACCCTCCCCCAACTCCAGCCGCGCGAGCAAGCGTTGGCCCGCTCTCCTGGGAGCCAGCCATCAGCCCATTTTTGCAGCTGTCCCCCGGCCGCGAATCCTCTCTTTACGGATAGATCTACCCGGGCGTGCGGCTCTCCTCGAATCTCATTCGAGGCCACACTGCGCCGCCGGATCCGTTTCCGCAGCTTGCCTTCTGCCTCCGCGAGCGCCCCGGCAAGAAGGCTGGCTATAATCGTCCCAAGGATACATGCGTTGGACCTGGCGTGAAGAGGCGCTCCGTTCAGCCGTCGTGCTCCGCCGATCTTCCGTCGCGACGTCTGTAATCCACGTGTGGCGTGACTGGGTACGGGCGGATCTCCCCTCCACCCTGGACTGCGCCAAAGATGAAAATCCTAGATTAGTCTCCGCAAAACCAAAGTGTAAAATCGAGGTTGGCAAACCATTGCAAGGGTATTTTCTCTACCGTCGCGCAATCCCACGAATAAAAGTAGTTCGCTCCTAAACACCGTTCCCATGGCCCTTCTTGAAAACAGTCGGGGGAAGTGTGTCGAGCCAGCAGCCCTGTGGTCGCCCACTTCCCCTTATCCTGCTCCAAAATGCACGTCAAGGCCTCCAAGCAAACTGTTCCTTGAGTAGACATCAAACCGGCTTTCAGTCCATCCCGTCCCTAACCTCATTCCTTCTGCGGGGGAAACTGCCTGCGGCCTGCCTCGTGGATTCGTGCATTGTACCTCCGTCATGGATGACCGTCAATCGTCATTACCGACTTCTTCATCCGCAAAACACCGGCGGCGTCGAGCTGCGCTATGCCCAGGCGACGGCCAGCCTCCAAGGCTCCGCGAGTGCTCCGAGTCATTTCCTTACCCATCACCCCTCAAGTGCTTGCGCGTGTTACCTTGACCTCCTGATTACGAAGACTCCGACTTCAACTCCTTTCTTTGGCTCCCCGAATTCGTAGGGCTTCGCCGCAACGCCGTCCAGAAGCTCTTGGATCAAAGCCGTGGGCATCACCCGGTCTTCCGGTGGTAGCTTGTGGGCAAGACGGAAATATTTGCTCACAGCGTCCCGAACTCTGGGCTTTTCCTGCTTGATCCACCAATCGCTTGCCCACACCTCTCTTGAAAGACGCGCCTCTTGTTTTTTCGCGTATACGATGGAAAAGTGGGACCCAGCCAGCTTGAAGCGGTCTGACGTTCTCCCGTTGTTCAGGTGATGCAAAAAGGTCCCCAGTCGCCGATACATGTCCTCGAATTCGTGAAGGTGCTCCACCGCGGCCATGTGGCCCAATGACGAGCCCAGATCGGCAGACAGATCATGAACGACGTGCATGGAGCGGAGAATGGGGTCCAAGACGGGCCCCAGGTAGCTGTTCATGAAAGCGCGGCCGCCGGTTCTGGTTGGATAGATGAACAGCAAGTGGCCATGATCGATTGATATTTCGGCTAGCCGGTCCAGCAGTAGCGATCGCGACCCGCTCGTCGAGTAGAGTCCGGCGAATTCCGAGGGGCTCGTTGGCGGGATGTAGCGCTCGACGATGGAGACATCGACCGAGCCCGGCGGAACGACGGGTCGCGGCGATCGCGCAGCTTTCACCTCGCCCTCGTAGTCCGTGACCTGGACAGCGCTATCGAACACTTTGGTGGTGAAGTAGTCCTCCCCTCCTACCGGCGGGCCTGGCGTGCTTGGTGGTGAGGTGGGCAGATCGGCCATGCTGAAGCGGCCGGGGACGGCGTGGAAGACGTTGATCCATACTGTCGAGGCGGGGGGTATTGCTTGGTGCAGGGCTTGGATTATTTGCGGGAAAGCCTGCCCTTTGGGCGAGGGGCAGGGCAGAGCATGTGAGAGGATTCTGACGAAATTGCTGGATCCAGTGACGGCGCCCAGATCAGCGACTGTGAACATGTCAGCGCCTCGTCGAACAGGTGGTCGTCCGTCTTACTGATGGTCTGCAGGCCGTCGTCGAGCCAGCCAAAGGCGCGGTCGCTCTCCCGCGGAGCGGTCTCGGCGGGTGGATGTTGCGGTGCAGGCACGACGACGGGCTGGGGAACAATGCCAGGGGACGTCCTCTCCGGGTCCGACCTCGCTGGAGATTCCATGGCGGTAGTGCGGACATGGGAAATGTTGCCCCAATAATTGGCGCCCAGGTCGGGTGGCGGCGTGGGCAGCGTCGTCGCGGGCTGGTCTTTTTTCGCCAGGCGCGGACTAGGCAGCGGGAGCTTGTCGACTATCTCCGAGCTCCGCGTGGCCGTAGGGCTCCGTGCATGAAGCGGATCGTCTGGCTTGGAGAGAGGGCCGGCGCCTACGGGCTCGAAGAAGCGGGCGGCGTCGGGCTGGAAGCGGTCGGGATGCGGGGCGGCAATTCCCAGCAGGTCAAATGAGGGCAGGCGCAGGCTGGGGGCCGACTTGAGCAGGCGCGGCGACGAGGGCAGAGACACACTGGAGCATGGAAGGGCTCCAGCGATGGCCAAGTCGGGCCGGGGCTGGTCGTGAGTCGGCGTCGGCGTGGCTGTTGCGAAGCCGGGCACGGGAGCAGGGTCGGGAAGCAAGGCGGGCAAGAGAGATGGAGATGGGGCAGGCAGCTCGCCCGAGGACCCAGCTAGGTCGACGCGCCCATGGGCGGGCGGAGGTGAGGGTGAGGTGAAGCGGCGCTTGTGGTCGAAGTCACTCGGTAAGGTTTGGCGCAGATCCAACAGATCAGAAAGGCCAGCCGGCCGATGGTGGTCCATGGGACGGATTACCTAAGAGGGAACGAAGGTGTGAGGCCTGAGCGGCCAAGAGCGGAGCGAAACAAGAGCGGTGGTGCTGAGAGCGGGTGCAACCACGGCGCTGAGGGAGCGCGAAAGAGCGGCTGGCGGCCTGGCGGCACGGCGGAAAGACAGCGACTTTGGGCAGGGACGGCGGCAAAGAATGGGGTGAGACGGGTGTGCTGGAGGGCGTTGGACGCAGTTGACAAGCAGCACAGGAGGTCTCGGCCCCGAAAGACCAGCTGTGGCTCTTTGGATGCACATGCGGCCTTAGCCGCTGCTGGGGTCCGCTGGCCGCCTGAGAGCCCGACTCACAAAACGGCCGCCGCGCGCCGTTTGCTGCCGCGCCGGCGGGGCAGCAACGCCTGCACCGCGCCGCTTTGAGGCTCGTATTGCGCGCTTTCTCGCCTAGGGCCCAGACTGCCCGTGACTTTGACTCACCCGCCTGCAGAAAGCGGCGTCGTCCCTGCCGCCTCTGCCCGCCATGCAGCTAACATCCGGAAAGGCAGTGACGTTTGTGTCTCTGCAAAGCAACCGCGCGTGACACAAGCTCAACAGCACATATACCTGCCTGCTCCGCAAGACAGCTTCGTCGAGTGCAACCTGCTCCAGGAACACCAATCTCACAGCAATCTAATGTGACACAGAACCTTAGACACACAGCACAGCAGCACGGCTCGCAATTCTACTATACCCATTTGCCCAAACATCCAGCAACCAGTCCGCCTTCTGCCGTCCCGCTCATGCGGCGTGCGGACATGGATTTCCGGCTCGAAGAGCGCGCACACAACTTTTCGATCACAATTGAGTAATCAGATGTAGCGAGAAAGCTGTAGCCAAAGAGCTGGACCAAGCGAGATGCGACCACAAGAAGCAACCAAGCGCTACACCAGCCACACATGTGAGGATAGCTGGAGGGAGCCATTGCCGGACTCTGGAAGCACGTTCCAGCTACCGCTTCGTGGCCCTGGGAAGACGCTTCACTTAATATCAGCATGCCCACCGACTGGCGTTGGTGTTTTGGACAAACAAACTGGTCACAACGCACCATGGATTGCACTAATCGCTAGCCCGTCTGTCGTGCAACTTAAAAATAGAAACATCTGCTTGTTGTTTCATGACCTCCTCAGACATTTTCTCGGGTTACCTCTTCAGTCTTCAGGTCCCACAAGTCTTGACGTTAGCGGTCATGGTGGTCCTGATGGATGATCGGATCAAACATGGCAATCGCCGCAGCACACATCCTGCTGCTGTGTTGATCAGATGCCATGCAAGTAACATCCGCATGCCCAACACTCCACCTACGGGTTTCCGGCTGGCCTGACAAGAGGCTGGCGGTCAACATGATTCGTGTTTTGAGCTACTTTCCCACCAATCTTGCGCTCCAGATTCGTTGCAAAAATAGCCTACCATCCCATACAGCACCGTTGCCGAGGCGTCGGTTTCCAAGCTAGTTCGTTCTTGACTATGGTGCATCTTGCCATCAGCTTCCGAGCGTGGCTGTCCCAACCTTCTTTTTCTTTCTCCTACGTGTCTAGCGCCTCCTTCTCGTATGTACGAGCCTAGCTTCCTCGCCATGGTTTTCCGCTGCAATGAAACACTGCCATGTGAGAACCCCGAGAGTGAAAAGGTCTCAGCAAGTCAGCCACTCCCATACTACCTTCCGAACCTGGCTCGTTGTAAGCAATCCATCTCGGGCCGAGTCGCGTTATGCATCAGAGCATAAAACCCAGCCGCAGAGTATCTACCGAATAAGCTCTCTTCCGACAAAACACTGAGCATAATTCCTGCATATCAGCATGACATACAGGATAGCCCCATCTGGCCGTCGTCTTACATGTTCCTATCGCGAGAAAACTTCTCTTCTCCTAGACGCAGATCAGATCTGTGATAAGGCCTCCCACACAACGACGACTTGCAATTCGATCGCTCCAACCTACTCGATTTTGTGAATTAAGGAATGTGTGTGCCGCACGAACATGCGTTCCTCTTCGCCACGTGCGATGAAATGTGTGACTCGCATACGCATCCACACTATCGAGCGGCCGTTTCCTGATTCGGTTTGCTTCCGCGTGTGTGCGTGTGCGTGGAATGGGCGGTGAGCAGCGACGGTGACTTCTCCGGTGACCGGCAATTCATGGAGCCGAGCAGCGAATTGAAGCCAAGCCCTCCGGTGTGCCCGTCACTCGTCTCTTGGGAGCAGGGCGGAAGGAGGGGGGATTGAGGCTGAAGAAAGAAAAAAAGAGGGGGGGACGGGGATTTAGATTGAAAGACCAGCCAATCAGCTTGAGACGGGAACGATAATGAAAAAAAAATGAATACGGAGATGTTCTCTGTCGCATGTTCGGCATTCCTTTCGAGCCATTTTGTCCTCCCTTACCCTAAATAGCAACAAATGTCGGTGCATACGATGTACCCAGAATACGAGCAGCTTGGAAGCTGCAAACTAGAGGTGGAACAGTCGGGCTTCGAGGCTCTATTTTTAACAAAAAGAGCAAACATGACTTTGCCGCCCAGAGACACCTCTTGATAGAGGGAGAGGAAGGCGGTTGTTAACGATGTCGACCGTGGCGTGACCAGAAGCTAAAACCATGTGGGACACAGACCGAAGTAAAAAGATGTAGATTGAAACTTCAAATCCTTGGTTGAACAAGGCGACGGAACGAAGCACACTTTTCTGAAGTACTTTTCAGTCCCTCCACCAACAAGAAAGAAATAGAAGATCTAATGAACAAGTGAAAACTGAGCCCTTACGCGCGTCTAGATATCGGCATTCATCACAGCGTCCTGGATTGCAAAATTAGTCTGGTACTCTAGTGAAGGGTGTCTTCGAGGAAATCCTACCCTGGCGACGTTGTAAAGCGGCTCGATGCCGGTCCAGTTCTTGAACTACATCTTGATTTAGTCTTCGAACGCTCGGAAAGAATGGTCAGATTTTCAAATGCTTACCTGGTAGACGCCCTGCCCAACCAGAACCTCAAGACCGTTGACTGTCTTCCATCCAGCATCTGTTGCCAGCTGCATGAGTGCTGTAACGGAAGGCTTGTAGGCCATCTCCAGCAATGTCCTCTTCGGCTCCTCCATGCCACCGCTCGCGCCAGGAATGCTGTCGGCGCCGCTCTTCTCAAAGACCTTGCAGAGCACCTCGCGCATGTTGCTTTCTATGGGCTCGGTCGCGGGAATCGTGCCGATCGCGACATGGGGGATGCCCTTCTCGGCGTCGAGCGCCTCGACTTCTTCGACAGAAGACAAAATACGCAAGTTGAACTCCGCCGGGAAGGATGCCTTCAGCGCTTCCATCTTGTAAGACGTACGGCCGAGTAGATAGATAGGGCTGTAGTGCATTGAGGCGAGTGCGTAAATGGCGGCGCGAGCTGTGCCACCTCCACCGATGACGAGACCGCTCTGCTTGTTGCTCCCCCCCATTGAGCCGGAGTTGCGCAGAACCAAAACCATGCCCTGCCAATCCGTGTTGCGACCGATCAGGCGGACCTGGGAGTTGCCAGCTTCATCAGTGACCTCCTCGGGCACGATGGTGTTGATAGCACCGATGACCTCGACCTCAGGGCCAACGCCATCAATGTAAGGGCGTATCTCCTGCTTTAGAGGAATGGTGACGGAAGCACCGCCAAAGTTGGGCTGGCGGATGATGTCCTTGAGGTCATGGGCACTTGTGGTCTCAATGCGGTCGTAGTAGTGAGGGAGGCCAGTCTCCTTGAACAGGGTGTTGTGCATAGGAGGAGAGCGGGACTGTGAGACAGGGCTGCCGGCAACGAAAAACCTCTTCGGTTCAATCTGTCCCATCAGGGAAAGACCACGGCGGATGTCCGCCGCCGAAAGCTGACCGGGCGCCGCAGCCCCAGGAAGTTCAGGGTGGCTAACGGGCGTCATGAAGCCGTTGATGATGCGGCTTAGTTTGCCGACCGTGCCCATGTTGATGCCAATGACAGGAGTAGGGTGGGTCTGCTCAGCCCACGACTTGAACTCCGCGAGCTCAAAGTTGTCCTGGAGCGTCTTAGCAACACCAACGAGCTTGATCACATCGCCAAACTGCAGTGCCCTATTGTAAAACGGAATCCAGGAGCCATTACTCCAAGAGAGCTCTGCCTTCGGGTCATGATGCGAGGCAATAATTTTGCTGCATCCCTTATTCGAGGAAATCTCCTGGAGGAGCTCCTCGGGATAAGTGATCTCGAGATCGATGAACTCGAAACCCATGCGGACAGCTAGCTTGTACAAGCGCAGCGCCGCTTCATTAGCGCCATCGGGGAATTTCCCTCCTTGGCTCTTGCTGCGGATAGTAAAGATCAAAGGATGAGAGACTTTTGACCGCAGCAGGGTAATCTGATCAATGAGGAAGTCTGCGGTCGGAATGCCATTCTCCGCATTAGGGTCCTCGAGAAGATCCACGCGGACCTCGACCGCATCAGAGCCTACGACGACATGCTCCAATTTGTCGGAGAGGAAATTGATCTGAGGAGCAGTCAAACAAACGAAGAACGATTGCTTCTTGCGCTTCAAATCCTCCAGGGCAGAATTCTTTCCGGTGATAAGAGAAAGGAAGCGAGCAAAATCATCCAGAGTCCTGGCAAGGCCACTGTCCTCGACGGTCTGACTGTGGAATTGGTAGTTGCTGCACTCCTGGTACCAATCTTTTCTACGCTCCCAGACGCTCATCATCGGATCGACGTACGCGGGGCGCGTCTTGTCGAGGTTGAGGAATTCCATGACCTTTGAAATATCCCGAGTGATGAGGAGGACATGGGCATCCTTTGCCCAGTTCTTGAGGAGCTCCCGAGCCTCGGGGATTTCTACGACACCACCCCCACAAGCGAGAATGTGACCGGTAGGCTTTTCCTTCAATATACGCTTGACAAGCTTGAGTTCTTCTTCGCGGAAGTATTCCCAGCCGTGGTTTCTCACAATGTCTGGAATTGGAAGGCCGACTTGCTCTTCAAGAGCATTGTCGAGGTCAATCAAAGGCCAGCCGAGGATCTTGGATGCCCAACCACCCATAGTCGTCTTGCCAGCACCCCTCATGCCGATGATGAACATCGACTTGGTTGGCTTCTTGGAGGCACTATGGTGAACAGATGGGTCCGGCTCATGACCCTCCAAACTAGCACCAAAAAGCTGATGGAGAATGTCCCAGAAACCTGGCCAGGTCTTGGCTGTGCAGTCCTTCTCGAGGATAATAACGGGATCAGGAGCAACAAGGGAAAGAACGCCGAAGCTCATGGCCACGCGGTGATCATCATAGCAATCAATGCCCTCCTGTGGCGTGTCGAGCTCGTAGGTACAACCATCAATCTCGAGGCCATCGTCATGCTCGCGGCAGACAACACCATATTTCGCCAGTTGGTCCTTCATGGCTGCAATGCGGTTGCATTCTTTCACACGCTGGTTGGCAATGCCGTTGATGCGGGTGGTAGCGGTAGTGCCATTGTTGGTCGCAACGGCAGCTAGAACGGAAGCGGTCAAGAAAGCGTCTGTCATAGGCTCCATATCGACCTCGGTCAGAGCCTTCAGTTGACCTCTAGGAGGACCGGTGACCGTGGTAGATGTCTCGGTCTGCTCCACAGTGCAGCCCATTGGCCGGAGAACATCGACCGCAAAGCGGGCGTCCCCCTGAAGAGACTTGGAGCCGATGTTAGGAACGGTGCAAGTGGTTCCGGTGATCGCAGCAATGGCAAGAGGGTAAGTAGCCGAGCTTGCGTCACTCTCGACCTCGTAGTTGCCCGGGTTAACGTAGCTCTGGCGAGGGATGTGGTAGGTGTTCTCCTCAGTTGCAGAGCGCTCGACCTGAACACCGAAAGAGGCCATCATTGCGATCGTCATATCAATGTAAGGCTGCGAGATAACCTTGCCGCCCACCAGACGAAGAGTGACCGGGTTCTTGGCGTACGGGGCGGCCATCAGGATGGAAGAAACGTATTGAGAGGAGACATTAGCGGTCAGCTCGATGTCTCCGCCTTCGAAACCGCCAGATGCACCAATGCGCAGGGGCAGGCATCCCTCCTTCTCAAGATACTCGACTTGCGCACCGTTGGCCCTCAGAGAAGTCACAAGCGGTCCAATGGGTCTCTCCTTCATTCTAGCGTTTCCAGTCAAGACAGTAGACGCAACAGATGACTGCTTGGCAAGAGTGACGACCGAAGTCAGGAAACGAGAAGCAGTGCCGGCATTTCCGATGTAGATCTCATCAGGGCTAGCGGAGAGCGCGCCGCCGTTTCCATTGACGACCAGGACACGGCCGTCGTCTTCCCACGAGAACGAGGCACCACCGAGCTTGGAGACAGCAGTGAGCATGAACTGCGTATCGTCCGAGTGAAGCAGGTTGGTGATACGGCAGGTACCCGAGCCGAGGGCAGCCAGCACCAAAACTCTGTTGGAGACACTCTTGGACCCAGGAGGAGTGCAGGAGACGTTCAAGCCGGAGGCTACGCCAGGGTGGACAACGACGCTAGGAGACAGAATGATGCGGATGTCGCGGTCAGCAACAACACTGGCCTTCTTCTCGTAGGTCCTGCCAATACCCGCCAGCAAGACAATTTTCTTCTTCTGGCCATCGTTCTTCTTGTCCACGGCCATGATGGAGATTAGCTCATCCACTGCGCAATGCTTGTTGGCGGTGCGCTTGCGCACGAGCTTGTCGTTGAGAGAGGTGGGCAAGTCGTAGCTTGCAATGCACTTGGTCAAGCGGGCGACTGCGCCCGGTGCGAGCACACCCAGATAGCGGGCAAGCTCAGCCTCCTTGACCATTCCAATGGCAACGCACTCGCCGTGCAGAATTTGCGGGGTGAGGATGGCCTCCATAGCATGGCCGATCGAGTGACCGAAGTTGAGGAGGTTGCGCAAACCGCCCTCCCTCTCGTCGGCAGACACCACGTGGGCCTTCACGCGGACAGAGCCCAAGACTATCCGCTTGAGTATGGGGGCAATATCAGCCAGGCGGCGCTGGCCCTGGACTGGCTTGCGGTTGATGGTCTTCATGATCAGGGAGGCATTGTCCTCCAGAGCGGCGAATTCTTCCTCGTTCCAGATGGCAGCAGTCTTGTGCAACTGTCAGCCGCAGTTGCGCGAGATGCGGAAGTTGGGACACACTCACCTTGACAACCTCAGCCATGCCGTTAATGACCTCTCTCCTCGGCAGCGTCTCGAGGAACTGCAAGTCAATGTAGATGCGCTCGGGCTGCCAGAAGGCGCCGACAAGGTTCTTACCAGCGGGCGTGTCGATGGCCGTCTTGCCGCCAATGGACGAGTCGACCATGGCCAGGAGCGTCGTGGGCACCTGGACGAAGCGCACGCCTCTCATGTAGGTGGCAGCAACAAAGCCAATCATGTCACCAATCACACCACCGCCCAGAGCAATTATGACAGTATCGCGGGTGCATCCTTGGCGCAGCAGCCAGTCCTCGACGGTGGCCTTGGTGGAGCGCGACTTGGACGTCTCGCCGGGAGGGATGGTGTAGGAGAGCAGGCGGGCGGAGGGCGCATGCTGGGCGGCGTGTTCCTTGAAGCTCTTCTCGAATGCGGGGGTGTAGATGTCGCCGATGTTGGTGTCGGTGATCAGGACATAGGTCGAGGAGCGGATGTTTTGAAGCAGGTCCTGAGCAACATAACTGTTCCACAGGCCGTACTCGACCACGATTGAGTCCTTGCCCAGAATGGGGACGGTCGTGGGGCCAGTGGCCGCGTCAAGTGAGCCGCTCATGGCGGGGGTAAAGTCGCCGACAGAAGGGCGAGGGCGACGGATCTGCGGCGCGCAGCCGGACGGAACAGGGTCAATGGCTCAGTCACAGCAGAGAGAGGCGTGGAGAGTTGCTGCGACGGAGGAGAGGGTGAGCGCTGAGGCAATCTGCGGGAGTGCGCCGCGGGGTTGTGAGTCAACTTAGCTGTCTAGAAAAGTGGTCAAACAATTTCGGGGCCGCATTCGGAGACCGACTGCCCGGATCTGCGCCGGGGCGATCTCCTTGGCACCTGCCCGCCGCTGCCACACTCCACTCCGCCAACGCCCGCCCTTGCATTATCCAACTTTCCGTACGACTGTTTCTCTCACGTTCAAGGTCGTCTCGGCTCTTCGCTGACAGCACGCGTGTTGTCGGACCTTGGACCCGCAGGAAACCATCCGCCGCGATCATCTTTGCGAGAAACAGTAGTCGAATTATGCGGCCAGTGGGATATGTCGTCTGGACCTTTTCCCTCCCTTCTACATTTACGTCCGGACAGTGATCCAACGCGCTTGTGATGGCTCGAATCTTCAGCACCCACTGTCGCTGCACTCCGCGGATCCTGGATGCGCAGAGTCAGCGTTGTCCACTTAGGCTCGACAACGCGAGCGTGTCTGGCGCTTAGCTCAACTGGCAGGCTGGTTCACCTAACTAGCCTTCCTGAGTTTCGTTGTGGCCCCGGCGGTTACTGCTGGTAGGCCTGCAGTGGAAGATGCCGTTCCAGCCTCGGCACTTTGTCATGCAACGAAGACTCTTGCGTAGTCTTGATGGGCTTAAGCCTTTCCTTCTCGGCCTGGACGCAGCCACAGGACACCCGAATTGCCTTATCTGGCTATATTTCCGTATCGCCGGGCTTTTAGGCCGCCCCATTTCCGCCATCTGCGGGGTTGGAAAGCTGGGGCGGCGTGCAGATTGTGGGGTTTCGGTTGTCGACGCGATCCGTACACGCGCATTTGCCATTGCGACGGAGCTTGCACAACCCAAGCTCGTCGTCCGACGTCTGACCGCCTCGTGGCTGGTCGTACACAAGGCGCCTGCGGGGTAACAACGACGCACTTCAGCTGCCCTGACATGTACATAAGTAGACGCCGCTCATCGACTTATCGCCAGCAGCCTTCTTTCAACAGTCTCCCTGACCATGGATAACAAAGATACACCCGAGAAGAACGACACGTGCTATTTTGAAGATGTTGCCAAGGTAGAGAGCGCATCGCCACCACTCGATTCCGATGATGATCCCAAGGTTGGTCCCAGCATTGGTGCTTTGGCCCGTCGAACTAAGTCCCAGAGCAGATGACGGTTCGTCGCTTCATGCCGTTGGTTGCCATGGCCTTCCTCTGGACTGGCTCGCAGATTCCACTTTACCTCTATGGTGCCATTCCGCCTTACATATATGGCGACATTGGTGGTGTTGATAGGTGGATCTGGTTCGTCCTGGCAAATTTGCTGGCATTGGCCTCCGTTTGCCCTTTCGTTGGATCCCTCTCCGACCTATTCGGACGACGATACACCGCTATCATGGGAGCTATCTTCCTGATCATCGGCAACATTATCACATCGACATCCCACACCATGAACATTTTTATTTGCGGCATGGCATTAGCTGGAATTGGAGCTGGTATCCTGGAACTGACTGCTCTTGCTGTGACCTCCGAAATTGCTCCAACCAGGAAACGAGGCAAATACAACGCTTGGATGATTTTGTAAGTGGCTTCGCTCGATGCTGGTGTTGCAGGGCGCCTGACTGTGTTAGTACCATTGTGCCCTTTTGCCCATCTGTGCTTTGGGCACAGTGGGTGGCTCACTATGGTAGCTGGCGCTACATAGGCCTCTGGTGCGCCGTATGGGCCTTCATCGGCTTGGCTCTGACTTTCGTCTTCTACCATCCTCCTCCGCGTTCGAACACATCTGGGCTCTCCCGGAGAGAGGTTCTGAAGCGAATTGACTACGTTGGCGGTTTCCTGTCTATTTCCGGGCTTTTACTATTCATGGCTGGCTTGCAATGGGGAGGTTACAACTACCCTTGGACTTCGGCTCATACCTTGGCGCCTCTACTCATAGGTGCTGCACTTGTCGCTGCATTCGTTGTGTGGGAGGCCAAGTTCGCGGCTTATCCGATGTTTCCATCAAGTATCAAGCGAGAGCCGAGAATCCTGTTGTTGACCCTGAGTAAGTTCACGGACAAATTCGTCGTGTTTTCTTACTGACATTTCCAGTCATTACGTTCATCTCCGGCGCGAACTTCTTCTCCGTCCTGCTATTCTGGCCCACGCAATCTTACAATGAGTATGGGCATGAGCCAACCGCCGTTGGGGTCCGCAACATCACCCTCGGGTTCTCAATCTTGGCTGGCGCGTGCATCGTTCTCGCCCTACTTACCTACACGCGCGGCCACATCCGCCTCCTGATGCTCGGATCCTGCATCTTCATGACGGCGGGCGGCGGTGCTATGGCTGCTCTGCGCACCGACAACATCTGGCTCGTCTACGTTGTCCTCACCATCGCCGGCCTGGGAATCGGAGGAATCGTTGTTCCAGCAAGCATCATTACCAACATCATCTGTCCGGATGAGTTGATCGCAACAGTGACGGCCTTGACTTTGGCCATCCGCGTGCTTGGAGGTGCCATTGGTTACTGCATATACTATAACGTCTTTGCCCAGAAGTTTGCACACGCCGCGGCAGATCTCATCCTCGTTCCAACCGCAGCTGTAACACTACAGACCAAGGATCCGGAGGTTTTGAAGAAGGTCGTCGAGATTACGGTTGCCGGGTTACTGGACTTGTTCTACGAGTTCCCCAACATTACGGACGCGCAGGTTCAAACTTTGGTTCATGCTGGGCAAGAGACGTATGCTTACGCGGTACGTAATATCGACTATTCTCTTTTGATATCCACTCAAACTGACCACCTTAGTATCCGTATGTGTACTATGTTTCCATAGCGTTTGGCGGTATTTCAATCATCTGCAGCCTTTTCCTTGGCAACATCAAGAAATACATGACAGACAAGGTTGCGGTCAGCATGTAGAAAGAGCAGAGACATCGGGGTCTGTCGTCGAGACTACTGAATACATCGGAGTAATGCGACCCGCAAGGCTTGCAATTGTTGCAGGCAAAAGCGCAGAAGGCTGCTAATTTTCTAGTCAAATAGCTCAACATCCTTCGTATTCCAAAGGTTCAAATACTCCGCTAGTCGCTGTGATAAGAGCAAGTCCGAACAGTGACGTCCAAACAAAAGCCTCGTCCCTTCCGTCCATAATGCTATCCTATGCACACCGTCGTCATTAGCTACGTGGGGGCGAACTTTCATTTGCATGCACGCCAAGAGAAAATATTGAAAGGAACAGGCTCCAAGACGCCAAACGCAACTGCTTGCAGCCTTCGGCGGTCGTATCGGTATTGTGGTGTGAGGCTCTGTAGCGATTGGCCCCTGCGCCACTGAGAAACAGGCTTGACATACAGTCCCCTCTTGCAGCCGATTGCTAGCGTGGATTTGTTTTTTGCTCATGTCATGGGTAGTTAAAGCTATCGTCCGGACGAGAATGTCGAATTTTTAATTCTACATATACCTCCGGACGATAGCTTTAGCTACCCCCATATGTTATTTTTCTAAGGCAGAGCTGGGGCACAGTTACACTATGTTCTAAAGCCCTGCTATTCTTCGCGCTAGCCATCGGCTGCGAGAGGGGGCTGTACATGGCTGCCTGTCTCTTGGCGCAAGTACATCGCCACATGACTGTCTCGCACCTGGCCATTTCACTTGCCAAGTCGGGTAAAGCGGCTCAGCAAGTCATGTGAGCTCCTCATTCAAGCAAAGGTCAAGCTCTACCAAAGCCTCAGAGAAGACACCACCTTCTTTTGACCTGCATATCTCGCCGCACAATATTGCTCACATCACACATTCTGGTAAAAGCAGCCAAGGACACTTAGAACAGCAACTGCCAAGTCCGATGCGTAGACCAACCGGATGAAGGCACACTGGATGGATAATATTGGGACACCACCCGTACTGTGCATGGGCAGCAATCCTGCCCATCCGGTAAGCGGCATGTACGGCAAGGCTGTTTATCGCCTCCCAAGATCAGGAATACGGGGAAGGATTGACATGCCTGTCCCACGAGGCTGAAAGTCCACCATAGAACACAACTTAAAAGAACCGGTACCCCCATAAACATTGACATTCGCACCCGAGTCAGCTTTACACCAACCAACCTCTCTATGGACTACGGATAATTGGCTTACAGCCATTTCAAATTTCTCCAGCTCACTAGTAGTTCCACGATGCAGTTGCAAGCGCCCACTCAGATAGCACTTTTGGCCCCCGCGGTTGCCGCATATACCAGTGTTGGTGAGTCACAATTGATCCGACCCTGTGTCGCAAAGTAATGCAGTAGGTGTGAGGGGGAAAGGGGGGTGTGCCATTTTATAAGGAAAGCTCTGTTTAGTAGCTGTATTCGAAGCAAGACGTCTATCTCACGTATTCGTCTTAACTAAAGTTAAAGCTCTGACATTCGCATAGGCCCTTGTAGCTGGACCACGACCTCGACGATCGCAGCGACAGCGGCTACCTATACTTCAGCGCCATGCCCTACCGTCACCGGCCACTTCGCCGTGGCAGAAGACATGGAAGGCACCTTCCAACTAAACGGTATCGAAGAGATACAAGGTAGCCTCACGATCAACGGTGCCGAAAAGCTCGATCGTATCGACCTGGGCGACTTGAAGAAGCTCGACGGGCTCTTCATCAGCTCCAGCTCAGTTGAGTGGGATGGGATAAGCTGGCCAAACCTGCACACGGTCAAAGAGGTCCACTGGGCCCATGTCCTCTTCAATAGTAGTGGCAGCAATCCCAAGCTCAAGGGCGTGGAAGACCTCTATCTGTACGACACCAAAATCAACGACCCCAGTGATGTCTTCGAGGTTGAGGCGGGCAAGTACATCTACATCGGCGACAACGCTAATATGAAGAACATTACCTTACCGGACCTGAAGAGCGTCAGCATCGCGCTCGAGATCTTCGGCAACGCCCCATCGGTCGCGATATCCTTCCCGGAGCTCAAGTGGGTGAATGACCTTCTGGTCAGTGGGGTCGGAAAACGCCCTGGTTGGGGTGGGGCTACGATCTTGCCGTCCTCTCTGGACCTGCCCAAGCTGGTTGAGGTCAAGGGGGACTTGATCATCAGCGACAGCCACGGCCTCGATTCCGTTATTGCGCCGTCGCTCATGCGTGTCCATGGTAACCTCAAGGTCGTGAACAATGCCGGGTTACAGACGATGCCGTTCGAAAATCTCTATAGCGTGGACGGTGATTTAGTATACAACGGGAGCTTTTCCGCGTAAGTCTTTTCCGAATCTTACCCATGAAGGACCCAGCATCGTCCTTAGGTGGGTGGCCGAATCAAATGTCTGGATGTATTTGTGTATTCTTGAAACTCACATTTACGTCTGGGTATTTGCTTTTACTGGCCACGTAAGAATAGTGTAGCGTTTTTCGTGCAAACTTCATATGTACTGCTCCATTCCATCGCTAACAAATGTCTCACCACCAACAGACTGTCCGGTCAGGTCCGGCACACCATCGGCATGGTCAGCTACGAGACTGATAATGATTTCAGCTGTTGCCGCCACTACGGGTCGACAATCGACTACCAAGGCGGCTACTACTGCAAATCTGCGTCTGAGTCCTGCAGCACGGCCAAAATCGCTCTTTCCTGGACCACGCCCACTCCTACTCCCACTCCGACGCCGCGCGGCCGTTCCAACGACCGTTTGGAATGGTGGGCGCTCCTGATCATCTGCATGATCGTTGGCGCAATCCTCGTCGCCATCTTTGTATTCGAATACCGGCGAAGGAGTAGGTTGAAGGTGGCGCTGGCATCAGCGAGGAAGCACAGCAGGGTGAGACTCCCAACGGTCAATACCAGCACAGTGCGTGCCCCCTCGCCAAATGCTTTGCCGCCGCCACCGGTCTATCGGCCCCGGGCCGATGATGCTGACGCGATACTGCCACCTCCGGTCACTGCGATGGCGCCGCCTCCAAAGTACTCTGAGGCAGTCGGTTCAGAAGCAGAGAAGGCAACATTGGAGATGGAATATCGGAACCGGGACTGAATTCCGACGGGAAGGCTCACATCTGATGGTGCTTGAAAGACTGGACGCTGTCGGGAGGAGACATGGGGTTCGTGAGAGTATATATTTACTAGACAACGCGGTGTGGAAATGTTGAAGTGAAAACTAGCAATGCAATCCAGGTGAAGTTGACAGGCTTGTGTTGATGAGTGAATACAAACACCTCGATCTAATTGAAGCAGCCCCAGCCAAGAGAGAAAACCCACGCTCAATATCGAGCAAGAAGGAAAAAAAAATAGAACTCATGAAGCGGGTCGTCTGACGCTCGTGTACGGTATAGTTGTCTTTCGATCTTTGGACAAGGTCTCACCAAACAACCTTTCCTGTAATTTGATGTGTGCACTCTGATGTTTCGGTCAGTCATCTTTCGTTTGCTCCGAATATGAAAAACTGCGCCCATGATGAGAGATCCCTTCAGAAGATATGTGAAGTTGTCCGCAAAGATTATTAGGACAAACCATGAATTACCTTGACGGTAGGTGATAATCACAGGGAAATTGGGCAGATGCAGTCATGACTTACCGCGATGCATGGCGGATGGCGGCGTGCGGAGGTGATGTAATGCAGTCGAAGCAGACAAAGCTGAAGGTTTCGTGGATGAATCATCCGCTAGACTGGTGCAGAAAACATATTTGTAGCGTTGAACTACAGGGCGGAAAGGTCATAAGGGGTTTCGCTTGCTGATCGGGCGCACCCAGAATACCGCTGAAGTCCTCATGGTCAATGGTCGAGTGACGTTTCGAAATGAGCTCCCACGGACGAAAAGCTTAATAAGTACACCAACTCCAGCAGACAGGCACCTGGAAGATTTCGGCTCTTCACGGTTGCTCCGTTGCGACATCTGCACCCCCCTTTGGAGAGCCGATGATCAAAGATGAAGCATGAAGCTCGGATGAACCACGAATGGCTCGCGTTTATCGAGTGGGCGACTGTTGTGTGGTCGAGAGTGGGCGTAAGATAAGGGCGACGTTAAAGTTGGTGACGTGGAGACATCTTTGCTCAAATCGTGAAGAAATGCCGAGGCACCCAGGACTGACGTGCCTGCACAGTATGTAGTCCAAAATGCCCGGGCATGCCTGTCGTTCCGAGAAGTATTGAGAAATAACCTAGGAACGCCTCTAACGATGGAAGACATTTTTAGGATGAAGGAAGCAAAAGCAATGCGCAATCAAAATTTATTGTGCGTAAACGTGGAAGAAAAACGACAGCACCGAGGAATCTGGGGGTGTGACGAGGGGAGGAGCGGTTGTTGGGGAAAGGGGAGTCAGTGATAGTCCGGACCTCCTACCGGAACGGAACGCTGGCGGGGAACCGAGCCTGGGGCGTGGCTGAGGGGGAAGCTACCGCTGACACCTCAGAGGCAGGAGAAACGGAGGAGCAGTCAACAACGGTACACCCTTGCGCACCGCAGGGGGTGGAAAAAGCACGCGCCACAAAAGTCTGACGAAAAGAGCACGTGACCCAATACAGGCCTAGTAACACTAAAAGGGCGGGATGGGGGAGAATGGAAAAAGAGCAGTGCGAGAAATGGAGATGCTTTTCGTTGCCAGTTGGGGCCGCCTATTCTGCGCCCCAAATTCCGAGTACTGTACATGCCAAAATAGTGATCAATGAGAAATACACTGACTGAGCTTAGTCAAGAAGAGTAATAAGAGAAGCCCGATTTGCCTGAGCGCCGACGCTGAAAATCAACTCCTGTCCATGGGCCCCTTTTCCGGTTTTTCTTTTATACACGTTATGAACGATCGTTGACGTCGTTGGCGTTGCGTCCCATGAGGATCTTCTCGCGGTCCTGGCGCATGCCCTCCAACACGGCGACGAGTCCGCCTTGGCGCATCCGCTGCAACACAATCTTCATGCCTTCTTTGGCATTCGGCTGGCTCTTTTCGGCACGCTTGAGCCCAATGAGCTCGATGGACCGCTGGATTGAGGCGGTGGACCAAGACTTGAAGAAGCCAACCTTGGGCGGTTGCTCTTCGTCGAGCTCGGCAGCCTTTGCATCGGCAGCAGCCTTGGCGGCACGCCTCTTCCGGATGTTCTCGCCGATCTTCGAGTGCAGAGTGACGGATGTTTTGACTTCCGTGGTCTCATTGAGACCAGAGTCCAGCAGGCCATGGGCAGCGGCACTCTTCTCGCACTTGTTGCTGCGGAAGATGTCGGTTGGGCGGCGGAAGAGCTGTCGCTCGACGACACTGAGCACCCCAGTCCACTCAAGATTCTGGCTGACAGTGTCCATCCACCCCTCCCGGATGTTGACAACGCTGTGCTCGAGGATGTAGCTCTGGGTGTCGCCGGCGCTGGAGGCGCCCAGCAGCGACCGCGGCAGGATTTTCAGCACGGCGGCCGGCAGCTTGGAACGCTTCAGATGCAGGCGCACCGTGTGCAGCTCCTGGGTGTCGGGATCGAAGCGGCGCTCGATGACATCGGTGGAGAGCACATGGGTCGAGTAAGGGTTCGGGTAGCGGAGGAAGTAGGCGAGGGTGACGGCGGGAAAAGAGTAGTCGTAGCTGTAGGAGCTGTCGTAGAACTTCACCATCGTGAACGTCTTCGCATTCTCGGGCTGGGGTGGGATTGAGATGGAGAGGGACGCGCAGCGGGATAAAAGGCGATGGATGGAGCGCGGGGACCAGGCGGCAAAGGGCTGGCGCTCGCTTTCCAATGGCTCGTCACGCTCTGGTGATGGTCTCCAGACACGGGCAGATCACGCCGAACCTCCGAGCGGGGAACGCACCAGCCACATGTGGCGCCCGACGTGGTGGCTTTCGAAAACAGAACACCCCGCGGCGGCTGTGACTCTTCCGCGCCCAAATCTGCCGCTTTCTCCCCACCGTGCCCACCTCCCCATCTTCAATCGCAGCCATGGCCGAAAAGCAGCCCACCAACGAGCCCGGCGAGCCTCCGTCCGTTGCCGCCCTCTCGCTCGCCGAGACGGCCACCGAGCCTGTTAAGAAGGCCGCCGAGCAGGAAATCAACCCTTGGGACGTCTCTGCCGCCGTCGACGAGCAGGGCAACACTCTGGCCTTCGACTATGAGGCAATCTCGCGGTACTGCCCTCCTTCCTTGTCTTTTCCGACTGCCTCGCGCTGACATTGCCCCAGCAAGTGGAACACCAAGCTGATCGACGAGGCGCTGCTCGAGCGCTTCGAGCGCGTCACCGGCAAGAAGCCTCACCGCTGGCTGAGGCGCGGCCTCTTCTTCTCGCACCGCGACTTCGACCTGATCCTCAACTACTACGAGCAAGGCCGTCCCTTCTTCCTCTACACCGGCCGCGGTCCCTCGTCGGACAGCATGCACATTGGCCACACGATCCCCTTCGAGTTCACCAGATGGTTGCAGGAGGCTTTCGACTGCCCGCTCGTCATCATGTTGACGGACGACGAGAAAGCCTTGTTCAAGGATAACCTGACCTTTGAGGAGACCATGCAGTGCGCCCGCGACAATGCCAAGGATATCATTGCCCTCGGCTTCGACCAGAAGAAGACTTTCATTTACAGCGATCTGAAGCACATCGGATACGCTGGTGGCCACATGATGATCAATGCCTGGGAGTTCTCCAAGCTTGTTACCTTCAACCAGGTCCGCGGCGCTTTCGGCTTTGACGGCAGGTAAGCCCTTGACACTTCTGCATTTTTACCGCGTATGCATACCAATCTACTTACCCCTCAGCACCAACACCGGCCGCATATTCTTCCCCATGTTCCAGTGCGTCGCCGCCTTTGCTACCTCCTACCCCGAAATCTGGGGCGATGACCCGAACTCCGACTTCCGGAGCAAGAAGACCGCTCAAATCCCTTGCCTGATCCCCTGCGGCATTGATCAGGATCCTTACTTCCGTCTCGTGCGCGAAAACTCACACCGCATGAAGCACCCCGTTCCGAAGCCGGCGCTTATCCACTCCAAGTTCCTGACTGCCCTTCAGGGCGCTGGCGGCAAGATGAGCGCCAGCAACCCCAACAGTGCTATTTTCATGTCGGATACCCCCAAGCAAATCCAGAAGAAGATCAACAGCCACGCCTTCTCCGGTGGCCAGGAAACCCTTGAGCTTCACCGTGAGCTGGGTGGTAACCCGGACATCGATGTTGCGTATCAATACATCACGTACTTCGAGGATGACGATGAGAAGTTGAAGACACTCTACGACGGATACAAGAAGGGAGAGATTCTAACGGGTGAGATGAAGAAGGAGTGCGTCAAGCTCATGCAGGAGTACGTCAAGGGCTTCCAGGAACGCAGATCGAAGGTCACGGACGAGGTCATGCAGAGTTTCATGAAGCCAAGGAAGCTAGAATGGGGCCTCAACCCGAACCCTAAGAAGCCCGCGAAGAAGGAGGCTGAGAAGAAGTGACTATCTTATGACCAGGGTCCAGTAGATGATGTGGTAAAAGAGAGCGAAGAGAGAGACATATCAGGGACTGCGCTTAGATCAGGTGCGACTCAACCGCGCGTAGACAAAAGTTTTTCCTCTCCCTGGATGCTGTAAGCTTGAATTCATGTGAAGGCTCCTGTCTAGTAAACATGCGAACACGCTAGGGTTCGTTCCTTGGCGTCACTATCAGCTCGCCCCGCTGCCCTTAGAACCTGTGACGGAGTACTTCTCCTTTGTGCGTTAGCATGGATAATGCATGCAGGTTATGGAATGGGTGGCAAATCATCCCAGTCATGCCTCTTATTGATAGTATCGTGGAACAAAGAACCTGTTAAGTACCATAAACGGATGCGCTCTCAAAGAGACAAAGAAGCATGCAGCCACCCCACACGGCTACGTTCGTAGTGGCTAAAATCTTGCCGGAGATGGTTGCACAGGCGGCAGTGTCTTTTACCTTTCACTAGGCCACCACACAACGTTAGGTGCTACACCAAACTTGATCGTGCAGTCGCACTGGGCTCTGGCGATATAATGTGTCTCCCCGGGGCTATTGCGCCCGCCGAGTTTGTAAAGCGGGTTTTCGAAGACGATAATGCCGGTGCCGGCGCCGGCTAGGTTTCCTTCCATATCTGAGCCGCTCTGTATCATCACGATATCATAATCCTCGTCAACGACGGCGCCCCAGAGACCGCAACCGGCGCACATGGGAATGAGGCCGTTACGTGTGTTTTTGACAGGATTATTCGACTGGTTCCTGGCATTAATGTCCTGGCGCGTAAACTGGCACGACGCGGGAGGAAAGAAAGGTTGGAAGTTTCCTGGATCGTTGAAAGTCCAAAGACCGTTGTTAGGGTACACACTGGGACGTAGGCGGGCAAGCGCGGTTGTCATTGGGCCGCCATCATAGTAGGGCTGGCCTTTGGCTGTGCACGTTACGGTGTGGCCCGTGAAAAACGGCCACCAGTCATACCCAAGTGCGCGGGCGAAATACCCTTTGGGGTTGAAATCGCTCCAATAACTATTTTTGCGGCCCGAAGTATTGTTGTTCCTGCTGCGACCGTCTTCTCTGTTGTCGGCCAGAAGAACGGTTTGCTTTCCGCATCTTGGATTGGTGCAGTGGACGATCATGTTGTCTTGATGACCTCCGAGATTTATCACCTTAGGGAGCACGGTGTGGCATAGTTGGCATTTCCTCTCCACCAAGGGCCTCATGGGATTTTGGCCAAACTTGTCGTAGTTATCAGAACCGAGAACCTTGCCAAAACGAGCCAACAGAAAACTCTGCTTGTCTTCTTGATATTCCTTGACTGATTCGGTGCAGGTCGCGGTATTGTGGTCGCAGAAGCTTTCACAGTAGCCGCAAAACGATACGTTTTGCAGCGAGGAATCTGTATTAACAGGAGAACGTACTAGCCAATTTGTCAGCACCGCTGTGGCCTGGTTGCGAAATTCCGTCACGCGCCGCCCTTTACTGCTGTAGTTGCACTTTTTCCACTCGTGCGCGTTGCCACATAAAAGGCAGTACGGGGCCGCATCCAATGCAGCTTCAATCATCTGGTCGGCTCGTTCGGTCCATTTTCTCACTTCTGGGCAGTCTGCAAGTTCGTGGTTCGTCTTCTTCTTACAGAATCCACAAGACAAGCCTCCAGTATTGTTCCTGTTGTTGTTCTGACGTTTGAAACAGCTGGAAGGCAGATGGCTGCCTTGTTTGCCACAGTGAATGCAAATGCCATGCTGCCCTGACATCTTATAGGTACCATATGCTTGCTTCTCTTCTCCGGTAGCGATGCATTGATTCTGATGATGACGGGTTGAGCCACAAAGCATGCACTCCTGCCTCGTGTTATTTGTGTTTCTGTTGTTGTTTCTGTTGCTTCTACCGTTGCCGTTGCCGTTGTTGTTGTTGTTATTGTTGCTGTTGTTGTTGTTATTGTTGTTGTTGTTTCTATTGTTGTTGTGGTGGCCACCATTGCGATGGTTCTGGCCCCTGGATCTTGCCATATCGAATATTATCTTGTCTATTGGTAACAGACACTACAAGGGACCTGCCCTAGCGCTCTTAAGAAGGTAGATGTAGGGATAAATAGAAAGAGAATAATGTGGTGGAAGCAAGAGAAGTCCGCCTGCGGAGTGGTAAGCCTATGAAAAAGGTAATGAAAGTACTCGCAGCGAACAGTCTGGAGGTACGAGTGGGGCGTGAAGGTCTATTATAATTTCCTTGGACGCCAAGTCTTTGTCTAATAAGTGACAATGTCTTTGATGAGACGGCGGCGCCTTTCAAAAATAGAAGCATGGGTGATCTGCATTGATGTGAAAGAACGATTGTCTGGCGCTAAATTTGGCAAGACTTGGAGGGGACGATCCGTGATCGACGGCTCAACGCTGTGTTCCTTGTTGAGCAGACCCTGAAAGATGGAGGAAGTCCACGTGACCGACATGGCGGTCTGGTCTGGTCGAAGGCGAGGAGGAATAATTGGGGAGGCTGGAAGGTTAAAATCATGCTTAACCGCAACGGGATGCATCAGGGACGGACGGCGAATGAGACGAGGCTTCGAGGGATAGTCGCCGTCAAGGGCATTAGTTCCCGTTCCATAGCCGTTTCCGGAGGGTTCATTGCAGGTGACCAGGATGCGGTCCAAAAGCGGCGAGGTTGGAGGCTGCAGTTGGGAGGCGGCGTCGGGTTGAGACATGCAGCGCTGACTGCGCATGCGTCACGCCGGCGTTGGGGTTTGGATGTTGTTTTCAAGGCACCCGGCTTCGCCGCGACGAGTGACGTGATCGGGCTGGCAGGTGACAGAATGACCTTCTGGAAACCTCGGCGACACGAGGTGGGTGGAGCACGAGGGCGGCGGGCGGGCGCTACGTCAAGGGCGAGACTGCGGGTTTGGGGCCTGAAGCCTGCCACAGCCGCATTCCTCGAGCCCAGCCGGGAGGCGGGCAGGCGCGTGGGCAAAAAGTAGGGCGACGACCGGGCCGACGCGGGCGAGTCAGCGGCATCCGGGCGCGGTGACGTTATGCAGCGCTGCAGGAGTCGCTGCTGAGCATCGTACCATTCGCAGCTCCGACGCTCAACGGTCCGGCAAATCGTGGTCGAAGGCAGAGCGGCAGAGGCTTTTCCAGCGGGGATGACGCGCAGCGCCGGGTGACCCGCGCAGGCTCGACGGGCCACCCGGAGATCATGACGCGCAGTCAGAGACCGCGGGCGGCCCCTCGCGCGCAGGCTCCGCAGCAACGCGTTCGCCAGCACAGCTCCCCATAGCACCTTGGGCCCTAGCGGCTGCTCGGCTCTGCCGCCTTTCACGCTTTTGCAGCGGTCGGGTTTCAGGCGCGCGCCAGTTCGAAGGGCGCCGGGGTGCGGGCAATCACCAGCCTCCTGCTTTACCGCAGCCACAAATACCCGCCCGCCGCGAGGCCCACATCAAAAACACTGACCTGCTGCACCTGCAGAAGATTGCCCAAAACTCCACCCTGCCAGCAGTGTCGCTCATTCGAGAGTGCCCCCCGCAACACAGCCCGGAGGACGGTCTATGACGAGCTCGCCCGCCCCAGGTTCAACCCCCATTTGCCAGCACTGCCAGCACTGGCCCGGCCGACCCGCCCACGCTCTCTTTTCGCTCTCTCCTGCCTGCGACCCCAAGCACGCCTGACTCGCTGTGCTGAGAGCCGCCATTGATAAAAATCCCCCGCCAGAGCCTGTCCTTCGTTGAGCACCCGACACCATGGCGGCCTCGCTTGCTCAGCTCACCAGCACGCCGCACACCAATGGCATCTACTCGGACATGACCGTCGACGGCCCGGAGATCGGCACCCTCGTGGCCGTCGTCGACCGCGCCAAGAACCTGCCCAACCGCAAGACCATGGGCAAGCAGGACCCCTACTGCGCCGCCCGCCTCGGCAAGGAAGCGAAGAAGACGGAGACGGACAAGCGCGGCGGCCAGACGCCCAGATGGTAAGCCAGCCACGCCTCTGATCCTCCACCCGGCCTAACTTGAGCAAAGGGACCAGGAGCTGCGCTTCACCGTCCGCGACTCGCCCGACTACTACCAGATGAAGGTCTCCGTCTTCAACGACGACAAGAAGACGGAGCTCATTGGCGAGACCTTCATCCGCCTCGACGAAGTCATCGTGCCCGGCGGCGGCCAGAGCGACACCTGGCACGGCTTGCTGTGCAAGGGCAAGTACGCCGGCGAGGTCAGACTCGAGCTCACCTACTACGACACTCGCCTGCCCGTCGAGCGTCCCGTTGCCGAAAAGAGGAGAGAGCACGCGCCCGTCAAGCGCAGGCCACTCCCCACCAACCCAGCGGCCGAGTCGCCCATTGTCGCTGCTGAGATCCCACCGCCTTCGAAGAACACCCGCGTCTTCCACACCCCTCCGTACCAGCAGCACACGCTGCGCCCCAGCAGGTCGACCGACAGCGCCCAGTCCGGCTTGCCCTTCTCGCCCGACGACTACGACGTCTTCCACCACCGCCCGGCCGACGCTGCGCAGCCCGACGAACTGTACGCACAGCATTATCCCGTCCAGCCTATAGCTCCACCTCAGCAGACGTCCACCCATGCACGCCATCTGTCAATGGTCCCGCAGCGGGGCCCTGGACACGACTCGCGGGCCAGACCACTGAGCTACATGGATGTGCCCCACTCTCACTCCGCTCCTGTCGTTCCCACCTCCCACGGTTCTCCTGAAGCACTGCTCGACAGGCGCACTCAGTACCCTCCTGAAATCCCGCCCTTGAACGATTATCACCCGGATTCGAGCCTTGGCGACTTTTATCCAGAGCAAGATCAGCAGAGCTACCCGGCGTATGGAGCTGCTTATCGCATGTCACGGAGCGCTATGCAGCCTACCGTCGAGGATGAAGACGACGCAGCTCCGCCGCCCCCGCCTATGCACAGGAGCAGTGCTCCGGCCAGCGTGCCTCAGGTCCCAGAGTACTCTGACATGACCCCTCCGCCGCTTAACGTTGGAGAGCGCCGACACACCCATCCCCACGCCCCCAGCTCTCCGGCTGCCCCCCCGTATTCTGGCGAGGCCTCCGCCCGCCCGTCCAGCCATGATGACCCTTTCGCCGTTCCCTCAGCGCTTGTGCCAGGGGGAGCTTCGGCAGACCCGCGCATGTCAATCCACCAGCATCGCATGAGCGTCAGCGCCTATCCTCCCTCAGCTAATGGGTACGGAGCACAGCAGGCATATCCCACAACTTATGGGACGCCCCCGAGGCAGCAGTACCAGCTTGAGTACCACACTCCGCCTCGCGGGTCGCCGACGTCTCACCCCCAGTCCTACAGCGGCACCCCGCAGGACAGTGTTGCTCTCGTGAAGCCCCATGCCGTGAGCCCTGTTTCGTCACACTACGATGTTCGCCAGTCGCGCATGGCCAACCGCAGTACACCTGGCCGTAAGTCCGTGTCACCTCGCCCGCCAACGTCGGACGGGTCCCGGGCACCATATGGCCCTGACAGTTTCGAATCGTACAATCCACGTGCGAGCCCGCGGAACCCAACCCAAGCCCGCGACATGGACATCAACGGCCGTGATGAGCACGGCAACATTGTGACTCCTGATGGTCGCAAGATTGATCCATCGGATCACCTCCCAATTGATTCGTGGGCCCCGGAGCCAGAACCCAAGGGTAGGGATCGCGACAGGAAGCCTCCAACCCGTGAGCGTGACCGCCTCAACGGTGCTCGTGAGATTGGCAGTCGCCACGCGGATCGCGCCATCAGGGATGCCGTGGCAGGCACCTTTGGCGGTGGAATGGAAAACTCGCCATCCCCTACCTCCGGTACTCGCCGCCTCCAGAAGCGCAACATGCAGCCTCTGCGTGAGCGCGAGAATTTCGGCGGGTACGGTAGCTCACCGGGTGGGTATGCTGCCCACAGCGGACCACCGATTCCGGCAAAGGTCCCGTTGAACGACGGCATGGGTGCCGAGGACTTGTCCGCTTTGAGCGAAGAGCTGAAAGGCATCGACATCGGCGCTACGCCTGCAAGCACGAGGGGACGGTGGCGGAGACGTGGCTGACTCCTGGAGCTGAGAGACGATGAGGGGAGGATAAGGTGGGCATGGTTGCTACCGCCTGTGTTTCGCAGAAAGCTAGGCATGACTCCTTCCTCTTCCTACTCTCGGCGGAATGAGGACGAGAAAGAAAATATGATGGAAGAAGCTGGCTACGGGAACAGCAACAATGGCGTTATGGTTCGTTATGATGGCGGTATACCCTCCCCTCGGCCGGAAGACCCTGATCTCGTCTGCTTAATGTAAATATTGGTGCAGTTTGAATTATTGGAGAGAGATCATCGGAAGGTCGGAGGGGCAAATTTTTTCTTTCTTCCCCAGCTGGTACGGAATAAATCCAGCTAATCAAAATACAAGAGAAGAGCCGAGTTGTATACAGGTTTGATAATATCTATTATACTTTCTTGCATTTCCCCCCCTCAGGAGTCGGAGTGTGTGCAATCGTCCTATTGCTTTTTCTTGATTATTGGTGCTTTAGTTTCTACGCCTTCCTAGTATGTAATCGTGTAGTTGGGTGTTGTCATTACACTAGAGATTGACCAAAAATGCAACACAGCATCAAGCACATCTATCCCAGTAAGACGAGTCATAGGACAAATGCTCTTGCAAAGAATCCTGTTGGCTGCGAAGCTACACTAACAGTCATTACGACAACACAAATAAAGACAGACCATCGATCCAACATCTCGACGAGTGTAAAAAAAAAAAAGTGAAGTATCTAGCATCCATCTATTATCAAACATCGATGCATCATCGCATTTGAAGCTTTCGGAGGCAAAGTGTAAAATGTTGCAATGCTGCAATCTGCTGACTGGAGGACGCAGGAAATCGGATTACAAAACACCCAGTGTTCATGTGCGATGAAGTGACTCTCTCGCGCTTGACTCAGCGGTTCAGCTGGAATTCTCCTTCCCTAGAAAGCAATTCGAAATCCAGTCTGCACAATAATAAAAGGAAAGGGGGTGGGGGTGTCATAAAAGCTAGATCTCGTGCAGCAGCATTGCGCTGCGCTTTGCATCCCAGTCCTTGCCATCCTGCGAACGCCACGTTTCATTTCAATTTTCCATGTCCAATTATCCAGCCAGACGGACATCCAGTTAGACGTCCTGTTTGAAGAGTCTTGTGTGAGGATCTTCAAATATCGTACAAAGCTGAGAAGTTCAGCATCAGGTGCATGCATGCGAAGCCAATCAGTCGGCAAGCCTGTCATGTATGTCAGCAACGTCTACGGCCCTTGCAAAATTGTAGATGACAGAGGCGGCTCACCTGTAGCTGACTAAGGTATCGACACGGTGATTGCTTGTCGAAAAACTTCTCAGCTGGACCTTCTCGCCGTTCTCGATTTCCTTGGCATCGGAATCGCCCCACTCGACGGGGACGTCGGAATCGGCATCGGCATACACCAGAACGTTGAAGGTGCAATTCCCGTCCAGCATGGGCAAAAAGGTTACGGACGCGGTGATCTGGCGGAACAGCGATTGGATCTCGGACTGGATCTCAGCTTCGGTTTTCTCTGGGGTTTCCTTGGATGGTGGCTGCGGCTCTGCGGCGGCATTCTCGCTGTCTGCTTCGCCCGCCGCAGGTGCTTCGGAGGCGGTACGCTTGGCGTTCTTGTTGAAGATTTGCACGTCGAACTGCCAGCGCTCGACGTGCTCGCCCGTCTCGCGGCTAGTGATGACGATGACGAGCTTGTTGATTTTGGAGCCGAGCATCCACTTGCTCAACTGGGACATGATCTTCTTGATGTAGGCTTTCACCTGGTCATCGGACGACACCATCATGGTCAGACCGTACTTCTTGACAGCCGTGAAGTCTTCGGCAGGATAGACGCCCCGCTGAAAGAGAATGGTGTGGATCGAGTATTCGAACTGGGCCGGGTTAGCACAGGGTATGTGGCATCACGGCGGCAGATCTTACGAATTCGGAAATGACCTTGGAAGAGCCCTTCAGAGCCAGCTTGTGCGTCTTGGCTCCGGCGTCATCTTTCGACGACGAGCTCTTCTTAACCTTCTTCTTTTCGCCGGCGGTGGTCTTGGAGGTGGACTTTGATGCAGACTTGGTCGACGACTTGGTCTTTGGCTTCTCCTCTTCGGCCGACATGATTGCACGTGGTCGGTGGCGGGGCGATGGAGCTGCAGGTGAGAAAGCTTTGACGGATTGGCTCAGATCAGGAGCAGTCGATTCAGTCGGCAGTGGGTCTTTGCGCAGAGCGTCCTTTGATATCCGCTTGCCCTGGCTAGCGCGGTGCGATGGTGCAGGGGATGGGACCGAGTGATGCGTTGTGTGCTCGAGCGAGGTCGTTGGAGACGGAGATCGGGTCAGAGCCGCCGCCAAGACTGTGTACGCTAGTTGGCGCGGCAACCACTATGCCGGGAATCCAAACGAAGCCCGGCAGGAGAATATTTTAGGGTACCTAGATGGCAGCAGGCTGAAGAACACAGGAGGTGGATCTCGCACCGATTGATTGCCCGTGTTTGCTGTTCGGGCTAGGCGGTGGATAGGTAAGTTGCGGGCGGGTTTCTGGGGCTCCGCGCCGACCTCCGACGTTCGCCGCAATTTTCGAGCGCCCGCATCATCACGACCGCAGCTTCGCTGATGCCACCGTTCATTTGACACTCATGCGACCATGCTTCCGAGCCGCTGAGCGCCTGGGGCGGCCATTGCAGGGCTCGTTCACTCGCTGTCCCTCCAAGTTCTTGCCCGCGAAGCCTACGACATGGCTGCGCCAGTTTCGCACCACCGCCGCCCGCTACGCCGTGCCCTATAGAGCCGCGTCCGACCTCGAGAAGCGCGTCGCCGCCATCCCAATTGACCGCTTCCGCAACTTCTGCATCGTCGCCCACGTGGACCATGGCAAAAGCACCCTTAGCGATCGCCTGCTCGAGCTCACCGGCACCATCGAACCTGGCGGCAACAAGCAAATCCTGGACAAGCTAGACGTCGAGCGCGAACGTGGCATCACCGTCAAGGCGCAGACGTGCAGCATGATTTACAATCACAAGGGGGAAGACTATCTGCTGCATTTGGTTGACACGCCCGGTCATGTCGACTTCCGCGCCGAGGTGTCACGCAGTTATGCTAGTTGCGGAGGCGGTACGTCGTGTCCCAGTGCTGCCGTGTGTTTGTGCTCACTGTGTGCCAGCTCTCCTTTTGGTCGATGCCAGTCAAGGCGTGCAAGCCCAGACTGTCGCGAACTTCTATCTTGCTTTCGCCCAGGGCCTGACGCTACTACCCGTCGTCAATAAGATTGACCTCCCTTCCGCGGATACCGAGCGCGCGCTGGATCAGCTGGAGGAGTCTTTTGAGCTGGACTCCAGCAAAGCTGTGCTGGTTTCCGCGAAGACGGGCTTGAACGTGCAAGAGATCCTTCCGAAAGTCATCGAGCAGATCCCGGCTCCCGTTGGCGACAATACAAAGCCGCTTCGCCTTCTTCTCGTGGATTCCTGGTACAACCATTACAAAGGTGTCATCCTCCTGGTGCGTATCTTCGATGGGGAGGTCAAAGCTGGCGATGTCATCACCTCGTTTGCCACCGGGCTCAAGTACACGGTCGGCGAGGTTGGAATGATGTATCCCGACCAGACACCCATGACGAAGCTGCGTGCCGGTCAGGTTGGTTATATCTATTTCAACCCCGGCATGAAGCGCTCGCAGGAAGCCAAGGTTGGCGACACGTACACGACGGTTGGTTCGGAAAAATTGGTCGAGCCTTATCCAGGCTTTGAAGAGCCCAAGTCCATGGTCTTCGTCGCTGCATTTCCCGTGGACCAGGGGAGCTATGAGCATCTCGAAGAAAGCATCAACCAGATTGTTCTAAACGATCGTGCCGTTACTGTCAGCAAGGAATCTTCCGAGGCTCTAGGGGCTGGCTGGCGTCTTGGTTTCCTCGGTACTCTCCACTGCTCTGTCTTCGAGGACCGTCTCCGCCAGGAGCACGGCGCGAGCATTATCATCACCCCTCCATCGGTTCCTACCAAGCTCATTTACAAAGACGGCACCGAAACAGTCCTCTCTAACCCCAACGCATTCCCCGACGAGCAGGACCGTCATACCAAAGTGGCAGAAGTGCAGGAGCCCTACGTCGAGGCAACCATCACGCTCCCCGAGGAGTACATCGGCCGTGTTGTCGAGCTTTGTGAGGCAAATCGTGGCGAGCAGAAATCACTTACCTTCTTTACGGCTACCCAAGTAATCCTGAAATACGACCTGCCGCTGGCACAACTGGTCGATGACTTCTTCGGAAAGCTCAAGGGTGCAACCAAGGGATACGCTACGCTGGACTATGAAGATGCTGGCTTCCGCCGCTCCAACATTCAGAAGCTTCAGCTGCTCGTCAACAAAGTGCCCGTCGATGCCGTTGCACGCATCGTCCATAGCTCTCAGGCCGAGCGCATCGGAAGGGACTGGGTCAAACGCTTCAAGGAGCATGTTGATCGTCAGATGTTTGAGGTCGTCATCCAGGCTGCTGTCGGCAAGCGCGTCGTGGCAAGAGAGACAATCAAGCCGTTCAGGAAAGATGTCCTGGCTAAGCTGCATGCCAGCGACATCACAAGGAGGAAGAAACTGCTCGAGAAGCAGAAGGAGGGAAAGAAGAAGATGCGGGCTGTTGGAAACGTCATCATTGACCAGAAAGCTTTCCAGGGCTTTTTGGCCAAGTGAGATTATGTTCCGGAAGGACTGTGCCATGTTGTATATAGCAATGAATCGAACCTTACTTTGTTCAAAGTCTTTTTCGTCGCAAGGTCTATCAGGTGTACGCGTTATCAATCTATTTTCATGCACATCCGTGCGAGACAAGTGTCAAATGGAAGACAAGGGGGATGGCATCGTAACACCGCGGCTGTTAGGTGCAGAACAAGTGTGCACAACATGCAGCCTGCTGTACGGTCAACCTAAGATTAGAGAGGAGCAGGAGAGTACATGTGATATTATTATTAGGCTTCTGTTGACGAAGTGACACCGACTGGCAATAGTGATGTTTGTTCAGTGAGTGCGTCTCTGCTGCTGAAGTCCTTACGGTGAGTGCATATTTGCACGGCGGACCAGACGTGCGCTACTGCTCCCTTGCATCCACACGGTTTGTACACGTAGTAGTAGTCAGTAATGCTTCCATAAGTGATCTGCACGTGCTGAGAATGAGATGTCAGCATCAAAATAACGAACATACAAAGATCGCTTCCACTTTCGCCACTACTTGTGATCTACATTCAAGAGCCTATTCCTATTCTAAGCTTACACCGCCGAAGAAGATCATGCCTATCACTTACCTAAAGCATGTAAACACAGTCCGCCGTTCAGCCTTTTCGTGAACCAAATTTCATTCCTACATGCTTGAGGCGAAATTTTTTTTTGAGGTCCTATGCTGCGCGGCAGCGCCTCCTTCGGTCCCACACACAATCAATCACCCGCACATGAAACGAGGCTGACACCGCCGCTAGGAATCCCGCCTCAAACACCCGCACGGATTGCGCCATCGACTCTTAGCGGCAGCAAAGACAAAGACAGCGTCCCAGCGCGCCCGGCCCCGGTGTAAAATTAGAAACTGGACAGGCAGACCGTTGACGCAGGAGTGTGGTGGTTTGCCGCGCGTCTAGCGAGCAGAAGTATGCAGAATGTCATCACCGTTACCGTCGCCGGTCGGAGCGAATGGGCGTTTGCGATGTCTTTCTGCATGCAGCCCACTCCGCCTTGCTTATGGCAGACAGAGCCACTTGCCCTCCTCCGGCGCCAAGGCGGATTCTCATTGGCTGCGGCCGTTGCGTCGTCCCAGCGTCGCACTCCTGACCCGTTGTGCATCGTGTGCAGATGGCCTTCTCTCAATCCTGACAGGCGCGCTAGAAGAAAATTATTGGAATGGCGTAAAATAGGACCGGGGTCACGCCCTCCGCTGCAGGAGTGCGATACTTGCATCTCCCCGCCTGCACAGCTGGTTGGATGATTGGTGGCAAGGGCGGTTGAACGTTGCGCCGCTGGCTGGATAGAGTTGGTTTAGCCTCATTTCGGCCGAAGGGGCAATCTCATTCGGAGACTATCGCGGAGAGTTTTTGGTCATTTCGACCTCCGTCCCTTTTCGTGCGCGGGATCAACGGAGACGATCAATGGCGGTAAAGGCTTGCAAAGGGGCGGCAAACAGAGTGTAGCAGTGTGGTGGTGGTGGTGGCGGCGGGATGGGAGAAGGAGCGGTGATACAGTAGTGGTTTGCCATCTGCATTGCCCTGCGATAACATAAGCCGGAACACGGGGAAGGCGGTGTCACTCGGCCTTCTGGAAGCTTTGCGGTTGCCGGAGGGATGACACATCAAGCCGTACCCAAAGGCGGGGGGCGAGAAGGATCAAGAAGCTACGATAGATGCTGACATCAAGGTAAAGGGGTAGGCGCAAGAAGCAGCGGGGAGGCTGACGGCCATGTGCACACGTTGTGCGGTTTCCGGCGCGAGGATGAAAAAGGATCTGACGTTGGGCGTGGAGTGGCAGGGATTGCGGCGGAGCAGTTGCACACCTGTGCTGCGTTGCGCTTGGGTTCGCCACTCATGCTTCTTACTGTGTCTGGAGCATAGGAGAGCGGGAGTGAGAATTTCGTTCAGACGACGGGCATTCAAAGTCTGTGCGAGCAATGTAGGGGAGACCTTGTATAATCTCGATTGTGTTGTTTGCGGTTGAGGTTGGATGCAGAGAGTTGAGCGCTGATCAGCGACGTCTGAGCGTTCATTGGTTCGTATAACGCGCGTCTTTCAGCTCCAATACTGGAATGTCTCAGGGCTTGTGAATCCGGGGCTTTCAAGCAAAGTGGGTCTACAGGTTGTATCTCGGAGCTATCTTAGGTCGGTGAAGTGACGTTGGTTGGGTGCCGATGTAGGAGAGCAACAGAAGAAGAAAATACAGGTTAAGGCTCCATGTTCTCGAACGTTTGCAACTTGTGGGCTCAACAAAGCCGGGCCGATGCGGTGTAGAAGCAAAATTAGTTGATAGAAAGTGGGGTTCATGTGCAAGCTGTTCCCGGCAAACGTTAGCCACGGCAGTCGCCAAAAACAAAAAAGAAAAAAAAAAACATCACGTCACGCGGTTTTCCGGTGATGGAGACACTCAATAGAGGGGGGCTGGTGGAGTTCGACTGGGCATCAACAGTGGCTTTGTGTGAAACCGGCATGGCTGGACACAATCATCTCGGGCCCGGTGTTTTCTGCACGCATCAATCATACGATCCAAAAAGGAAATTCAGGGAGAAGACGGCCAAACACGGGTAGTGCTGGGAGTAGTGCTGCATGGTGCGGATTCTGCAACAAAGTTTCGGTGGCGTTCTCCACGGGGTGCCTGGCGAAATGAGTCGCGTGTGGTGAAGGCGAGAAAGCGATTGCGAAGACGCGCGCATGAGGTCGAGACGAGATCTGATTGCGCTCGCGAATTTCCGGGGCATAGTCTGGACCTTAACTCCGGGAATGAGGGTCCTAGTGCGCGCTCGAAATGAGGGCAAAGGGTCGGGTCTGGGGAGCGAGCTGCACGTGCCGGCGTGACGCAACAGGCTAAGTTCCCGAGATGGCCTGCGCGGGCCACACGCTTCTCTCGACCTCGCCTGCTGCTCTTCTTCATATCTTCTGAGCGCCGAGCGCCCGCCTCAGACCCGTCATTGCTTTTTACGCGGATCTGGTTCCGCCGCTGTTGCCTATTTTTGGCCGCAGCAGCCATCATGCGCCCACGGCGGTTCCAACGCCTTTCCCGAATCCGTCGCCGAAGGATGCGAATCCCTGCACCTCGCGCCAAGCCGTCGTTGGTGAGCTCTGCGGCCTCCAAGACCCTCGCACAAGGACTTCTCCGCGCGGTTCTGTGTCGCCGTCACACCGGCCGTCGTCGGCCGCCCGCAGCGCGCCCTCCGCCGGGCAGCGCGCAGGAGGCAGGCGCGAGGAGGCCGGCCGGCGATGCGCACGCGCAGGCCAACGCCCGGGTCCGTGGGTAGCGAACGATCCGCGACGTGTTGCCTGCAACGGCTAGATTGCGGTTGATGAGTAGGGGACGGGAGGACGAGCTGCGACAGCAGCGTTGAGTTGGTAGGGCCGAAGTGCGAAAGCGATTGCGAAGATGCTGCTCTACTTTATTATTGCCCCGGCGGACGTGCCTTGTCGCCGCGACTCAGTGCGACATTGCGGCTCAAACCGAGCAGCAGCGCACATTGGCCAGGCGGCCGGTCGCGTCATGCTGCTCGGCCGGGGGGCGCTTCCAACGCGCCGGGAATGGGAATGCGCTCGCAGGCAGGCAGGCCGGGGAGCTGGCGCGGTCGGGTCGCGCGCGGCCGTGGCCGAGATTGGGATTGACGAGTCGGGAGCGTGCAGGCGGAGGGGTGGAGGGGACAGTGAGGGGATGGCGATATCCGCGCAGGGTTGTTTTTGAGAATTGGCAGGGCGGCTGGGGGGAGCTCGCGCGATCTAACTCTGTGGGCGCGTGGACTGCGGCAGCCGGCGGCGATCAGGAGCAACGCAGCAGCGTCGGGTCCATCAACACCAACGCCCGCGAAATTGGAAGTTGCGATACCCGTATCGAGTCAGTGCTCCACCCGCTAGACGGGGAGCCCGGCTTCCCCACCGTCTGCGTGGTTCTCGAGATCTCACCTGGCACGGCGCCTCCACGTGTGCGCTGTGTGCCGCGGCGACGGAGCTTGCCACGCCCGACATGCCAACCAGCGCGCGCAGCTACGCGCGCCCTCAACACCACGCGCATGCGTTTCATGAGACGGCCGGCACCCCCAGGAGGCGGCGGGCGGGATGTGCGCGCTCCAAGCTTTCCGCTAGTACCGGCGCGCCGGCCAATGGGTGTGGAGACGCAGGCAGTCGAGCGCTGAAAGCCCACGCCCGCGGCGCGAATGGCAAGAGCCGGGCCGCCGCAGGCTTAACGGCACGCTGGGCCCTGGCGCCGAAAATAGCTGGGGCAGGGCAGACGTTGCCCCGAGGCTGACGGCCGGGGTGGTGCTGCGGTAAGCTCTGCCCGCCGCGCTGCTCGCTGCCCTTCTCGCGCCGGTGGTGTATTGGAGCAGCGCGCGCATAGCCCGTTGCGGCGCCCTAGGGCCAGCAGCCAGCAGGCGGTCGGTGCCAAAACGGCAGGGCGCACACGTTTTTTTGATATCGCGGGCCACGGGGCACCGGTGGCAGCAGCTGCCAGCCCTGAGCAATGCCCGAAAACAGCATGTGCACACCCCGGTCGCTGCCGCGCTAAGCCCGCTAGCTGATCCTTCACGCATCCGCCGCCGATGTCAACGATGTCGACGTTTGGCCCTGGGTGACCGCCACGGGGCAGCGGTGTCGCAGCCTTGTCCTGCCGTGCGGTGGAGCTGCGACACGGCGCGGAGGGTCCTTGAGGGCGCAGCGGAGGGCTGGGAGAGACGCAGCATGTGTGTGCCGAAAATAGCGGCATGTGCTCTCACCACTCACGTCCAAGCCTCGACGCCTTCCAACATCCTGAATTTGGGCGTCGCCGTCGCACGGGAACGGTCCGCGCGCACCAATGGAGCGCCGGTTCCTCACGCTGCGACGCCCCATGCGCTCCGCCATTGGAGTACCTGCGTCTATCTGACGGAGCCAGAGGTCCCACACACGCTCGGCAGGGACCAACAGGGCTGCTGCCAATCGCTCTATAATAATCTTCCCGGCATGAGCACAGCCGAACTGTGTCTTTAGGGACCCACCGCTCTGGACCCGTACATCCTCGCCGAAAGCACAGCGCCATCCTTATATGCCTGCCGCAGCAGGATGATGATGTGACGCGCCAGCCCTCCGCTCCAGGACCAAGGTTAGCACACACCACCCGTCCGCTCAGTCTTCTATGCCCTCAGACTAAGGCTCGCTTGAACCTCTGGCTGCTACTATTCTCGATCCCCCCTCGACCTTCCCCAAGCGGCACCCGGTGCTAAAAATTTCCCGCCTCCAGTGCCCGTACCACTTGTGATCTCCAGATCTGGGCCCCTCCCCTAGGGCCAACCTTTAATTATCTCCCGGCGTGCAGTTGGGCCGCTCACAGCCTACCGCAGCCCTGCTTTGGCGACCTGGCACAAGCTTCGTCCATCTCATCTGCCTTACAGGGCCCCGCCAATCCACCAGCACCTGAGGTGGGCCTGGCGATCTCCGCGAGTAATATCCCTCTTCCGCATATATATCCTTCTGGACCACCACCGCGGCCCATGGCAGACCACAGCAGACCTCAGCCATCGTCATCGTCGGCGTCGACCTCCAGCCAACCTCTCCACCACAGCTACGCCTCGCCCGCCGCCCCGCCCCAGCACCAGCCACCCAGCCGCCGCCGCGCCTCGCAATCGTCGGATGAAGGCCGCCGTTCCCTGAAGTCGTCGTCTAGCATCTCTGGCCCCCGCCGTTCCAGCATCAAGGCTCCCAGCCCCCACCGCGACGGCTCGTCCCGCGACAACGTTGAAGCTTCCTCGTCCACTGCCGCCGCCATGCAACGCTCAGCCAGCCCGTCGGAGCTGCCGACCAAGTACACCAAGACTGGTCGCATCTCCAAAGCAAAGAAGGGCCTCAAGGTCCACCTGTGTGAATCGTGCGGAAAGGTAAGTTGATCCCTGCCCTCCCGAGTCATGTGCCCCTCCGCCTGCTGAGGCAGCATCACGCTTTCTGCCTGCGCAGTCTAGGCGCGGTGCGCTTTGCTGGTTCTGGCACGTTGAGTTCTGCGACTGACGATCTTTTTCCCACAGTCGTACACTCGGGCCGAGCACTTGAGGTTAGTGCCCCACCCGCGTTGCTGCCTGCGGCTGCCTAGATGCTGACTGCCTGCCCAGGAGACACCAGCAGAACCACAGCGAGTCCACCCTGCAGTGCGACTGGCCCGGCTGCGGAAAGACATTCCACAGAACCGACCTGCTCGAGCGCCACCGCGAGCGACAGTAAGTCAATGCAGCCCCTGCCGCCGCGCCCTTGCTGATGCGAATGCGAACCACAGCCAGGATCCGACCCAGGATGACGAAACCCGCCGCAGCTCCGTCACGAGCCACAACTCGACCGCCTCTGCCGGCATCGTCGCCGCGAACCCGTCTGCACCGCAGTCCGTCGCTCGCGTCGAGGCGCCCATCTACCCGGTGGCCTCGGACTCGGCTGTGCCCCCTTCAACTTCAAGGTATTCTCAATTTCGATTTCGTCGTAATACGGTTCCGTCAGGCGGTTTTCTTAGACAGGTCTTTAAGTATGTTTTGGGGGATTTTGGGTCGACCGCGTCTTTTTTGTTTTTCTATCATTTTCCTTTTCCTTTTCTTTCCTCTCTCTCTCTATCTCTCTCTTCCTTTTCCGCTGTTCGTTTCCGTCTTGTTCCGACCAGACGTGCTGACGACTCCACAGTGCGCAAAACATGAAGCAGTTCCACCACAATGCTCCCTACGCGAGAGCCCCCATCGGCGTCGAGGACGTGATTGGCACAGGCTCCATGTTCGACAACTACAGGTGGAGCCCCCCTCCGGAGTATCCTGTGCCCAGCAGTGACTACGCTTCTCCCGGCCACATCACCACCCAATATCCTGCCGACTTCGGATACGTCCCACACCCGTACCCCGCCTATCGCCCTCGCACGCTCTCGAACGCATCTTTCATCGACTCTTGGGCGCAGCCAACGGCGCCGCGCTCTCCGGCGTCTACCGCGTCGACGCAGCCCTTTTACTGGCTTGACGTGGACCGTGCCGACCAGCAGCACACGTCTTTCTCGGGCAGTTCTGGCGTCGCTTCTTATGCCACCTCCGATACGTCCATCTACAACTACGCAGCCGACCACCACCAAATGCATCCGTCATACTTCTCCACGAGCACAACCGCGTCTTACCGGTCTTTTGACGACCTCGACAGCGAAGAGTACCGTCTGTTGTTCCCACCACAACCGCTCGGTATTCCGTCTATTGACCGTCAGCAGATGACTGAACACCTCGACAATTACTGGCAGGCTTTCCACCCGCACTTCCCGATAAAGCACCGCCCGACCTTTGACCTCGCCACGGAAAAACCGCTGTGTCTGGCTGCCATGATCGCGGTTGGCGCCCAGTATTCCAGTGTCGTTGGCGCAAGGGCGGAGAGCAGGGCGTTGCACGAGAAATGCCTGAAAGCCTTGGCGAAGGTAGCATCCACTCCAAATGTAACATCAGGCGACCAAAAGCTGACCGCAACAGCGCGAACACGTACGTCTGCCAACAGACGCTCGCATTTGCGACATGCAAGCCGTGTTCCTTGTCGAGCTGCTTTCTCAGTTCCGCGGCAAACGCGCATCGAACAGCCTCTCCGCTACTTTCCAAGGCATGTTCCGCAAGGTGAGTAATCTCGGCCCCCACCTCCCATACACCCAGAAAATCCCACCAATGGACCTCGCTTCGCTGCTTTGTAAGGCTCGTGCTTATCAATTTTCAGCTTGCTGCCGATCACGCTTCTCACCCGACCGCCTCAGTCGATAGCCTCGTGCCGCTTCCACCGCATTCAGACGACTTGACCCTGTCCCGCCAATGGACCGCCTGGATCGGCGCTTCAGAAAAGACGCGCCTGCTGACAGCATGCGCCATCCTCGAAGCACAAGCGGCAACCCTGCTCATTCGCCAAGTCGCCGACTCCACGGTGCCGGGCCTCCGACTTCCTACTCCAGCACCCCTGTCCGCTTGGGACGCCACTCAGTGGGCTTGGCGAAAGATGCTGCCGCAACTTAGCAGCTTATTTCCTAAAAAGGCAGGCGCACCGTCTGCCGCCGGCCCTACTGACGGAAAATGCCATGACGAGTTCCAGGCCGCTCAAGCGGTTTGGACACACACCAGCCGTGATGGCGCACTCGGGCGCTTGGACTCTTGCAACACGTGCAGCATGGCAGTACGTTTGAGCATCCACGGTATTCGTATCGCATCATCAACCCCTCTTCGCGCCCTCCTTGCCGTCGCAGGTGAAACATGGGTATTCAGCGAAAAGGTCCGGAGCGACGAGCATGCTGCAGCTAAGGATACGGTCAAGCAATGGACCAGTAGCCTCGACAATTCCCCAGTTGTCGACCGCCCGCAGCAAGCGCGCAATGCCTTGCGGGAAGCGCTTATGGCTCTTCGCCTTGCCGCCGATACTAGCATCGTCGACGCAAGTTCAGCCCTGTCATTTGGCGCCGAGCTTGTCCTCTTCTATGCCTCACTGGTCCTTTGGGCCGCTGTGGCTGCAGCGTCTGCCCCACGCATTCCTTTCAGCCTTACTTCTCCCATCCCTTCCAACCACCAGCACCAAGATGCCCACGACGCCGTGCGTGCTGCCCAGGCCTTCCTCTCCAATGAGGCGGCGTGCTTTGCCGATACAATCGACAAGTCGCTGTTGCAAACTTGGTGCAAAGGCGCCGAGTCTGTCCTTCATTGGGTCTGCGAGGCTCTGAGTGGCTCCGAGGCGCCCGGTGAGCTGGTTGGTGGGTGTGTCCGGGTGATTGAAGGTTTGAAGCGGAAGGGGTGGGCAGTCGCTTGGTTCTGAGTGTAAAGAAGAGCCCCGTCTCTTCTTTGCTTCTCAATTGTCTCTTTTTCCGTTTCTGCTAACGCTCGCTCCACACTCATGGAGTCGAGTCTTTTGGTGGTAGGGGGTTATTTCCTTTGTTTCATTTACGACTCAATTTTTCACGAAGTTTCATGCGCAGTTGGACAGAGCAAAGCGTTCATAACAGCATTTTGTTCTCGATTTTTGTTTCGCCTGCATAGCCTCATGTTCACTGTCGCTTTTGCACGGTTTTGGTGTTTTTTCTTTTATAACGATACCCCTCACGTTCGCTCTTCGCAAATACTATATACCTTGACACATAGCATTGCATGGTCGATGGGTTGCATTACTGGGACGGGGCTGTAGAGATGAGACAGAAAGAGCGCCCCGGTCTTCTGTTTGGCATGCAGAGTATGAGATCACGGTAGCATATGGAAACTATACTATAACTCAACAAAAAAAATATTATACGCATATAATAAATCTCCATCTGCACAAGCGTGGGCAATGACTTCCATGATTTGAAATACTCAGTATGGTGCTGGATCTGTCTACAATATCGTAGCCGCTCTGCTGAAATTGTTGCAACCTTCGGAACGACCAGGGTGCAGACGCGCTGCTGCATCTAAGCGCCTCATTCTGAAAACCCGAGAATCACAATGCTGCTCTTTTTCGGTCTCACTCCCTTCCCCGCAGCGATAGAGGCGGAGATGTTGTATCACAGTTGCACGCATGCGAGCAATCACACGCGCATGCACGGGTGCTTGCTCTTCCTCGACCTTTCCTTTGTTCTGCGCGTGCAGATCGCCCACCGGACCTGTGGCCCAATCAGATGGTTGATGGAAGCAGTGGTATTGCAGGCATATCAACGAAGAAAAAGCACGAAAAGGGAAATTGCATATTCGGTCTTCTACGACAGCATGAGTCGATGCTGTAGCTAGTCAGTGCCATGGCCTAGCCCGATCAGGGATGATGGGTCCACCAAAGCCTTTGCATGCTTTCAGGCGCAATGCATACAGGAAGTGATCCGCAGGCGGAAAAGAGGTGGATAGTTCAATGATGTACGGGCAAGGTCTGAGTTCGGGCGGGAAAAGACGCAGCAACCAGCCTGCTTGATTCAGTCGCACGCACATTACGTCCGTACGTGCCCCAGAAATCTCGATCCCCCCTCACTATCTCTCATATCTCGTTTGCTCCAAAGCCGTGGCACTGGGTCCGTCGAAGGAACGGCGAGCTGAGCCCACAGCCATGGTGCCGGGTACATTGCGATGACGGTTAGTTCGGGAAGGGCTTGTGCATGTGGTATGTTTGTCTCGGTCGTAGGCGGGAGAGTTGATAGCTCTCATTTTGCGATACCTTGCATGACTGCTGGTTATGGTGAGACGACGGTTTGGAAGAACAAAGCATGATCTCTGCTCGATGTAGACGCTGAATTGTTTTTTCTTCCGCGGGGAAGCGACAAAGTGTTGAAGAAAAGCGGTGTGCCTTTGTGCACGACCCGGTGGTTGGGACACTCGATTTTTGTGGCGGTTGACACTGATCATGACTCCCGTTGCTATGTGCCGCTGTAAACCAGAGGCACAAGGCTGCAAAAAGGGCGTTCAGTGCGACTGGTCGTATTTGCTGACTCGTTCATGGTGTATGAGCCTCGTAGGTGTCTTTCGCGCGCGCGATGAGGTGGTTGATCATTGGCGATCTGTGATTTTCAGCAAGGCTTTCCAGTGCATCAGCGGTAAATGGTTGGATATGCCGGCGTCTCCGATGGAAGCCTAGAGATAATGGCCAATGCAAGTGTGGGCATGACTTGCAAGTCGGAGGAGAAAGAGGGGCGCGGACTAGGTGCATCACAGCTACGCATCCATGAGTTGGTGCCCTACTAGATCATGCCACTATAGGAGCCCGACATGTGTTTGGAGGGGCGGCGGAAAAAGCATGGCGTTGTGTGCATAATGCAGCTGCTTCAGTCCGCGGCCGCGGGCCTGGGTACCTTGCAGAGCAGCATGTCTCACAGCGAGGCCATGGTTGATCGGGTGAAAAGGGGGGTCCAACGTGACGAGAGCCGCATGCATCGGCAAAATGGCGAGGACGCGTTCCACAACGGACAGGGGGTTGAAAAAGCAAACAAAGAGTGGTGTGAAACAGTTCGTCCCATATCAATCCCGATGGAAAGTGGAGACCCCGCTTGAGCCGGACGGAAATAAAAGAGCATGGACAATGCGAGGTCTGGACTGTGTGCGGCGCAGTCAGTTTAGTGCCCGTCGCAGAAAGGCAGCGATACGAGTGGTTTCTTCCCCAGACCCGGACCCGGCTTCATGGGTAGGCCCGGGCGCCAGTGCGGCGGATAAGGCAGGACGACGACGTCAGTGCCCGCGCGCGCGGGAACTCGCCGGCCGGCACCATAGGTGGAGGAATAATGCGAGCAGGCGTTGTGACGAGCGTGCAGAAGACGGGTCCATGTTGCGGGCCCAGGCCAGACGCAGACAGGAGAAGCAGGGAAAACGTTTGGCGGGGCAGCCTGTGCTTCGGCATGGGCGAACCGTCGCGCAAGCCCGTCGACGATCCCATTTGAGACTCGGTTTGCGTCGTCATATCGAACGGGCGATCCGGCAAGGGGCCCCTGCAGCGCAGCTGAGTGGCCGGCGATTCTGGCCCCCAAGGCAGAAGCGAGAGGTACCCACCGCTCCAAAAATACATCGATCGGTGACGAGATTGAGTGTACCTAGAAGCTGCTGACGTCTGCTGTCTGGGAGCTGCAGCTGCGTACAACAGTTGGCTTCCAAAAATTCCTGCGCAGGAGCTTCTAGCGTCTGAGGTCAGCCGCCGCAGCGCTTCCAGGAAAAGGTCATTCGACGCTGGAATTAAGGTACCGCCCCGATTGCGCAGCCAATCTGGCCGATCATGCGCTCGATGCGATCTTTTCCTTCACTCCTTCAGCCTTGTTCCGCTGCGGCGGTGCCAGATCCCTGGCCCCCCAGGCCGCGCATACCGCGAGCCTGCATCACGGTGATGCCGAAAGGGTCGGCGTGCGTTTACCGGCGTGTCCGGGGCGCATCTCTCTGGATGCGGGAACGGCTCGGCTCCCACGTGGAATGTCAGCTTTTAGCACTGCGGTAAAGCCGAGTGGCACCGCACCCGGTTACCCTGAAACGGTGCTGCTCGAGCGTCCGTGCTGTTGGGGGCGGTTGTCCATCGCTCGGGCGATGAGGCTCGTTGGAGATATTTTGGGCGGTCCCTGGTGGTGTATAGCACAGTTCCCGGACCCTTTCTCTTATCAGACATGGGATGCTGCCAGATTCGCCAAAAACAAGGTGCTAGTTGCATGTATGATATCTTAAAACACCCCCGCAGGAGACTCTTGTTTTCAGAGGACGGGAGGGCCGAGAGAACTGCCTTTTACTTGATAAAATCCCATTAGGGCTTGCGCCCTTTTCTTTTTCCTGGTGATCGGTCTTCTTAGCAATCTTGCTCAGCTCCGACCGTCTTCAAACCAACCACAAGTGTCGTGTTCAGTGAGTACTGGAATTCCTGGAAAGAGAACGAGCACTCATTGCCTTCAGCAGAAACTTCAAGCGCATCGCAATCGACATGGTCTCGGACTGCTCGTCAAGGTCGAGGGCAGTCAAGTCAAACCGTGACGCGGCAAGGCTGTCGCAAGAGAACCTGCGGGCGCTGGAGGCGTCGCATTACGAGGTAGGCCAGCAGATGTATTGGACAGAGGCCATTGCTGATAGACGTGCAGTCGGACACGCACTATGCTGAGAATGTCGTTAGCGCTGAAGGGCAGATGATGGCCTACCAGGAGATGTGGCGGAACCAAGAGCAGGCGCGGAAAAGGGACAGCGGGCTCGCGTTCAGTGCGGACGACACAGTGCAGAATCACGAGAGCGGGATCGAGGAATTCAAGATACCAAAGCGGCCACGGGTTTCGGTTGAAACACCGTTCCGTCGATACGTAACCATCGGCCCAGGAGAAGACCCGTTCCCGCTGTACGGAAAGCAGGCAATGGAAGACATGCCGGTCAAGTACGGCAGCTTGGAGGACGTCGAAGCACGACGGGACGCAGCAATGCTCCTCGAGCAGAGCGTGAAGAGGCAGCGTGGCGACAGGCACACAATTTGAAACAGCTGCGCATGAGACACGAAGTCATGTATGTACGGAATATTGTACTTTTAGGGAGGAGGTGAGTTGAGAGTGCCACTGTGCTCTGGGCGATCCAAGCTCGCTGACATCACGTGTCGATGACCTCATCCATCCCGAACACCACCGGCGACGCGGGACGCGGCGGCGTGGGCGCTGCGAGTTGTCTGTGGCAGAGGAGAGCGCGTCCAGCGCTGCAGTCGGACGATGCCGGAAGGCGCAGTTGCGGAGGCCGGCGTCCAATCGCTAGACGCACGAATAAGCGCTGGGGTCGAGAGCACCTGCCTGCGCGCGGTCAGCTGCAGCTCCCAGCGAATATTCGCGCCTCACCTTCGCCTTTTGCCCACTGCCTGCTCTCTCCAGACGCCCGACGCCCGCCTCAACCCGACCCACCCTTCCATATGGCCCACCGCGCATCCCACAGATCCCACGAGTTCCACTTTCACCCGCACAGGCAGTCAAATCTCCATCTGCCCCCGACGTCATTAAACAGTTAGCAGCCTGCACCACGACGGACTCGCCCCTCGCATAACGCCACTCCCAACTCCCTCATCTTTGCCAGCCACCGCTCCCGCATTCCGCAGCTACTGCTCCCAACCCGCCCACCATGCCAGACAAGGACCTCCGTCGCCAGGTCCTCGGCAGCACCAAGACCATATCGCGCAAAGCCCGCTCGCGCGTCGCCTCGGGCGCCAGCTCCAAGGCCGCCTCCGCCGCCAACTCGCGCGCAGAGTCCAGGAATGCCAGTCGCACAGTCAGTAGAAGCGCTTCTGACGACGAAGAGGGCAACTTGAGCGACGATACTAACTGGAGGTGAGTCGTCCCGGTCGCAAACTTTTGCGCGCTCGCGCACCCAACGTGCGACGGCTGACGGTGCATTGCATAGCACCAACTCTATCGACGATATCCTCTCTTCCGAAGACATCGATGCGCCCCCTGACGTCTGGAAGGCCCATCTGGGCGACCGTATGGCCGAAATCATCGACCGCAAGCGCAGCAGCGCCGAAGGCCGTGCCGATGCTCTCGCTGCATACGCCTACCAGCTGAAGGCACACTATGCAGCAGAGGATGTTGAGAGAAAACTCGGCGAGCTCATCCCCGCCATTACCAAGAGCATCAGATCTGGCTCCAGCGAGCGCGAGACCGTCATGGCCCTTAAGGGTAAGTATCTTGATTGCACATCCTTCTCGCTCGCTAACCCTTCTTCATAGCCATCGAGCTGACCGTAATAACCTGCCCCTCTGACCATATCTACGACGCCGTGGTTCGCCCGGTCAAGGCCATCATAAGCGACTCCGAATCTCTCATCTGCAAGGTCGCCGCAATCCATGCCCTCGGCACCGCCACTTTCTATGGCGGTGCATCGCTTGAAGAAACCCAAGAGACCATGGACTACTTCTTGGAGATTGTCGAATCAGACGGCCATTCCATTGATGCGGGAGACCAAGCCGCACCTGTAGTTGCCGCTCTTACAGAATGGGGCTTCCTCGCCACTCAGATGGACGATCTCGAAGACAGCACCGAACCAGCTATGGAGGCTTTCGTGGACCAGTTGGACTCGGCAGATGTCAGTGTCCAAATTGCTGCAGGCGAAAATATCGCTTTGCTGTATGAGAAGTCTTGCACCGAAATAGAAGAGGATGAGGAGCCTTCTTCCGAAGATGAAGCCGACGATCCGCACGCCGCCCCTGGTTCCACGAGAATGATCAAGCGTTACACTGTATATCGCCGCGAAGACCAACTCAAGCACAAGCTCTCGGCACTTGCATCGCTGAGGCCAGAGTCAGGCCGCGTTTCTAAGAAGGACCGCAGTCGCATGCGCTCCAATTTCAGCGACATCCTGAACAGCGTCGAGCACCCTACCCGCGGCCCGCACTACAGCACAGCCATAGACTTAGACAACCGAATCTATGGCAGCAGGATGTTTGTCAAGATCAGCCAGTACGGCGAGATGAAGATTGACAAGTGGTGGAAGCTGTTCAGGCTGAATGCGTTGCGCAGAAGCCTTCAGGGTGGCTTTGCTACGCACTACGAGAAGAACGAGGTGGTGTTTGATAGTTTGCCGTAAGTTGCGCTGCGTGACAGAAGATTATCATGGCCCACGCTAACCTCGATTTGCAGTATCATGATACAACGTCGCAAGCCCAAAGACAGGAAATGAGATGTACACGGCAGTTGTATGTCCTTTTGCCGCATGCAATCATGGGCCATCCTTGAATTGATCGAGCATGCAAGATGAGATGAAAGAGGGCGGCAGAAGAAGTTCAGTGAGTAAAGACAGTTGGCGAGGCAACATGTGGATATCTCCTTTTTTGGCTTGCACTTGTTGGAGTTTCTCACGTTAGGTGACGGGGCTGCTTTCATTCCATACTATATCCTGAGTAGTCTGCGTCTTATTGTTATTTTCTATTCATTGGCTTCCAGTTCTCCAATAATACCAAATTCCCATAGTAGTAGCAACCTTGTTTTATGCCCTGCATGTTTCGTTAAAGGGGGGTCGCAGATAGACGAAAAAAGAAAAAGAAGTTCTTCGGTTCCTACACAACTGAACTGACGATGAAAAACAGGCAGCTCGCGACCAGTGCCTCTAGATGAACCTTTGTCCTTGTAGCTACGTGGCTTTGGATATTTAATATTGAAAATACGGCCGTACGAACGCACAACTAAAGATAACCGCTATGCTGGCTTGTGTTGCTCATGCCGCCAAATGCATTCAAGCACAAAATGGAAGATAAAATCAAATGCAATGTATACACCATAGACATGCTGTTGCTTCTGTATTCATGTCTCCGATACCCCAGTAGTGACGAGTTTCTCTTCGCGTGTGCAAATTGCCGCATTTACGGGGAGGAAAAGCAAGAACCGAGGAATAAAGAGGAGTTAGGAACGTTTACGAACGGATACTAAGGGGAACAACTTACTTAAAGCATGCGGCCGGCCCACTGATTTTTCAACCTAGGACTTCTCTACCCCCCGGTTCACATAACCTTCCCCTTCGTTAAGCCTACTGGCTATTCGCCCCGTCCCTCTCCCTTCTGCTCTTCACCCTTCGGCTCTTCACCCTTCTGGTCCTCCTCCTCTTCCTCTTTCTCTTCCACCTCATCTTCCTCTCTCAACTGCTCCGCCATCCTTCTCAGCAAAGAATCCATCTGCGGCAAGAGCTCTGGGATGCGGAAGGGCTTGGTGATAACAAGGTCCATGCCGGCGTCCATGGCTGCACTGATCTGCTCGCTGCGGGCATTGGCAGTGACGGCGATTACGGGCACGTGTTGGGCGAGCGTCCCCTCGGCCTCGAGCGTGCGGATGCGCTTGACGCAGCTAAGCCCATCCATTATGGGCATCTCGAGGTCCTATTTTGGATAGGGTGGAGGTAAGAAAAAGGACGTAGAATTACAGAGGTAATTATTCGATCGGTAGAGGCAGTGTTGAATAGTGTGGACTGGTGGTGATGCAGGGAAGAGAAGGAGTGAGGGGGGAGAAGAAAGCAACAAACCATGAGGCAGACGGAAATGTCTACAAGCGTCTCCGATGTGGGCGATGCTGCGAAGGTGCTGCGAGCGAGTATATCGAGCGCTTCCAGGCCGTGGTTGGCAAGGTGCGTTGTGCAGCCTGCATGGCGAAGTTGCTTGGAAAGAACCTTTTGGTTGATAAGATTGTCCTGAATCAAGCATATCAGTAATGATGTTCCGTATTCGTGCACACTATATTATGCGTTGAGAACGGAGAAACAAAGGGGGGAGGGGGTTGAGAATCACCTCGACGATAAGTACTCTCAGGTGAGGGAAGCGAGTCTTCGAATTAGCTTCTATAGGCTGTGAAGGTGCAACGTCCTTCATTTCAACTTGACTATAGCTCCAGCTTGGATCCGAGGGACTTGTTAGTGGCATCATTTCAGGTTGATTGCTGGCATCTGACGCTGCTCGCTTGGATGAACTCGGCCGGCGGAGAGGCGGGATGCGTAGTGCATCGATAGATGAGGGTGTCGTTATCTCCGGGCTTGATTCCGATGGACCCCTTCTCGCCTTGATATAGAATGCAAAAGTACTTCCTTTTCCAGCCTGAGAAGCAACGCCAATCTGTCCATCTTGGAGTTCTGTGAGCTCTCGAGAGATGAAAAGGCCCAAGCCGGAGCCACCGTACTCTCCATATGTCTTAGGAGATGCCTGCGAGAATCTGTGGAAGAGAAGTTTCATCTCGTCCTCACTGAGACCCTTTCCTGTATCCTCAACGGCCAGCTGCAGAAAAATGTCTTCCCCCTGCCCTCCATCATCTGAGTGGGTGTGCTCAGATCTCGACGAGCGGCGAGGTATGTAGGCAAGATTCTCATGGCCAGAGGAAGGTTGTCTGAGTGAAGCCGACAAGAAAATTGTAATCGCCCTTTTATCCCGGTCCCGAGTGAATTTGATGGCGTTGGTTAGAAGGTTGATAAGGACTTGGAGGAAACGTGAGGGGTCGAGGAATACCATATCAATAGCCAAATCGTCGTAAGATTGGTGTATTGAGAGGCTGAGTCTGATTTCGGCATTGGTAAGCTCTGCCTCATACATCTTAATTGCTCTTTCAACAAGAGTCACTGGTTGGACAATGTCGGGGCATATGACAAGGAGCTTTGAATCGAGTTTGGACAGAGTCTGCAATACGTGTCAGCCAATAGTCCCCTGTTCCCCACGGTTGGCCCATGTAAAAAGGAAAGCTGTGATGTTTGATATTGTACACGGCATGCATTTGCGCCTGGGTTTCAAAAATTTCACTGACCAGCTAGATATTTGTCAGTGTACGATCATTTACTGGATACCACAAAAACATACGATATCATCTACAATTCGTTTTTGATGCTGTGCGCACAGCACAACGGTTTGGGCGCTGTCAATAATGATTTCCTGGGTATCAGCATCCAACAGGAGGGGGTCGCGAATCTGTTGCAGGGACCTAACATCTAGGTTGTGTCAGCCTCACGAACTACCCAGGCTTCCGGGAAGTGTGACTCGATACCGGTTTTCTCATATCCCAAGGCGCCAAGGATGCCATCTGCTGACTGGAGTATCGCAGAAAGTGGGTTCCGCATCTCGTGTGACGTCTGCAAAATAGTCAGTATTCTCGGAATCAGACCAGATATGGTACGTGTAATTTCTCTCTCTGTCCCGCTTGAAGTACAGTGTCCCCCAGTAGAGTTCGCGAGACGTTAGAAGAAAGAGTGCGAAAGTAAGATAGGAAAATGGGATTGAAAGGACGCTTACCATGTCGATGAAGTTTTCGCTCTGTCGTTTGGTTTCCAAGACGTCTTCTAATCTCTGGGCCTGCAACTGTTGGCTCCACTTCTGATGAGAAATGTCGGTGAGCCAGGCTAAGATCCGCTGGGGATCACCCGCTTCATTGTACTTCAAGAATGCGTTTGCAAGCACCCAAGAAGACTCCATTCGATCACTCTCGTCCGTTGAGCCCTGAAGATGCCACGCTTTCCTAACGCGGAACTCGAATGGTTGGATATCATGGCCCTGGACAAGTTTTTCCCACTGTTCCTCAACATATTTGCGATCCTCAGGGATCACAGTACTTGACCATAGATGAGGGTCTCCACCAAAATCCTCGCGCTTCAGACCGCTCAAGTCGAGATAAGCCTGGTTCATCCACCGCGGCTGCCCATTGAGCTGGAAGACAACACACCCGACAGGAGCGCATTCGGCCAGCGCTGTGAAAGTTGCTTCTGCAGATTCGGCTTCCTGCCTCCGACGCTCAAGCTCTCTGGAAAATTTGTCATGGCGAGAGTTGGTTTCCTCTATAATCTGGCGACTGCGCCGTTGTTCTTCTGGGAGGAATATTGACGCGACTGCTTTGACGAGACGGTCATTCAAAAGGCGGATGAAAACCTGATAATCTTCGTCGTAGTTTCGACGCGGATTAAGTCCCATTATAAGAAATCCGCGAATGCTAGTGCCACTGAGCGGAGGTATTGGTAGAACGATAGCTGTCGTGCTTGGTTGGTCGAATCCGCGACCCTCAACACATAAGTCGGATATGGGATCAGTGAGGGATCCGTCGTCAGTACGAAGAAGAGCAGGTTGAGATGATGTCCATGCTCGCCTGAAATGAACTGAGAAGCCCTCATTGCCTTCAGTCAGGACGAAAGATGGTATAGCAGCAGGGTGATCTTTAGGGATCCCGATTGTGCCTTCCAGGAAACAGCTTTTGGGCTTCGAAGTGTCGGGCTCCTCATCAACTCTTACGCCATCCTCGCTGACCGAATAGAGAAGCGCATAAGTCACGTCATGCGAGTTGGGCTCAAGGCTCGTGAGTATCAAGCTCCAAAGCTCCTCGATGCCTTTTGCAGAGCTGGCCTTCTCGCCAAGAGTAATAAGGGTGTTCATGCGCCTCTCTCCGATCACTTGGTTTGTGGTCTCGACGAACTCCTCCAAGGCGCCAATTGCTGCCCCGTCTGAATCAATGATTGGCAACATAGTAAAGCTCCCTGCATGGGTGGTTAATCAAGTACACGCCGCATCACTTGACGGAGCATTCGAGAATGTGCGGTGACAGTTGCGCTACGGGGCTGTGTAAGGCGGCCCCGTGATCAAGTGGCACTGGCCGAAGAAACAGAAAAGGCTAGATCAACAACAGGTGGGAAGAGACCACGGTGGTTTGGAGCGCCAGGACATCTGACGTGAGGGGATTGCGACCATGGGATGAGCAAGTGAGGGGATTGAAGGAAAGCACGATACTTACAGTACGTCTCCTCTAGCTCGAGACTCTTGTTTCTGTTGATGCTCAACTGCAGGTCCTGAACACGAGTGGCCTTTCCTTGGTGCATTGCGAGCTCGACGATACTTTTGAGTGGCCTCCAAAGTTCGGAGAAGACATGGGCTGGGCCCCGTCCCAGAGCGTCTGGATGCTTGTGGCCAATCAGGGCAAGGCAAGCTTCGTTGTAAAGTAGACACATGTCGTGGCCCCAGAGCAGCAAGCGTGGATCTGGACTCGACAGGATAGTCACGGCGGTCTGTCTGAGGAGATCAGGCCAGTCGGTGATGGGACCAAGAGGGGTCGAAGCCCAGTCATGATGGAGCAGAAAGTGATGGTAAGGCGGAAGGTCATTTGGCGGGTCCTTGATCCAGTCCAGACGACGTAGCGACGAGGGACTGAAGGAGTCTCGTGCACTTAAGCCAGCTTTCTCCTTCAGCTCTTCGGCGGAGGTGCCTGGAAAAACCGAGGCGGATTCACGGCCCAAATTGCCGGCGCCGTCGTGCGAGCGGTCCCGCTTGGTGGCATGGCTGGACTCGTCGTCAATGGCGACGGCGGAGATGACCCTCCAGCGGCAGCGCAGCAGGCGGCTGGTCCAGTTGCGGCTGCCGAAGCTAATGTTGGCGGCAGCGCCAGTGCGGTCAGCAGGCTCGGCGGTGGCATCAAAGCTGGAGGCCCAGTCACGAAAGTGCTCGCCAATATCCTGGGTGGTGTCGGCAGATGAGAGACGGCCAAGAAAATCGCGCAGGGCCTTGTTCTGGTAGAAAATCTCGGAGCGGGAATGATTGTGGGCGTCGAGAATCAAGGTCGGGCGGTCGTCGTGGTCCAGGAAGGATGTCAGCAGGCACAAGCCGTCGCAGGCCTCGTCGGGGCAGCTCGAGGGCCTCATCTCCGGGAGGCATTCACGCAGCGGCCGGAGCTGGCAGCGGTGCGGGAGGAATGGCCAAGAGCTGGCGACAAAGAATGCATCCCGGAGCTGTTGGTGACATAGCGGCGAGACATGTGCGCGAACGGGAGCACTGGCGCGGCGCTAGGAAGGCGCGGCGAGCGGGAGGGCAGGTGCGTCTGGAGCGGGAAGCGCGCCGAGTTGGCTGGAGGTGGTTCTGCGCGCAATCATCCTGGGCGTCGATCTCCTGGCGGTACAGCTGCAGCCACTCCCAAGCAGCGTGAGGTGGCGCGGAGTGTGCCTGGTCGCCACTGGCAGACCCTGCGTTCTCGCCCGGCCGCAGACGACCCTGCAGCCAGCACGCGACAGGGAGGGTCCTGGCCAAGGTGCAAGCAGCTGGTTGTGGCTGACGTCAAAGCGGGGCGCGACGGCCTTCTCTCGCAGCAACGATCCGCTGCACGATCGACTTCCAGCCGCCTGGGCTGTTCGCTCGAATCCCGCGAGCGCGAGCCGCGCGAATCAGCGCCGGCCAGCCCTTCAGTATAATCGCGTGCACGCCCGCCCCAAGAGCTGGCCTCCCCTTCGTCTCCACCTCAGCCCAGGCACGCCCACGCCGCCCAACGAGCGGAGCCCCCGCCATGTCATTGCGCGCCCTCCCGCTCTCGACTCCGCTCGCTTAAGCGCTGCTTCGTTCGTTCGCCTCCTCTCCTGCCCAAGCTCCCGCCATGGCTGCTGAGCTGAGCGGCATCCTCCATCGCATCCGCCTGCACGACTACCTGCCTGTTCTGCAGCAGAATGGCTTCGACACTGTCCGTTTCCCCGCAACCCCCCGGACGAAGCTAACCCGCGTTCTAGTGGGACATAGTGTGCGACATCTCCGAGGACGACATGGCCCATCTTGGCTTCAAACTCGGCCATCGCCGCATTCTGCAGCGCGAGATCGCCGCTTCCCGCGGTGCCCAGTCCCGCGCCTCTCTGGCCTCCGACAGTACTGACCGCAGCCCGCACACCACCACCACCACCACCACCACCCCGGAAGACGCATCCACCAGCCCTCCGCAGGCCGAGGAGAGGAAGAAGCGACGATACCGCCGCAAGCCTCGCCCCGACATCAACGCCCCAAAGAAGCCCAAGACCGCCTACGTCAACTTCGCCGACACTCTGCGCACCGACCCCGCCATTAATTCCCAGTCTTTCGTTGAGATCGCTCGCGAGGTCGGACGCCGCTGGCAGGCCTTGCCCCCCGAGCAGAAGCATGTGTGGGAATGCCAGGCCGCCCGCGACATGCAAGAGTACGAGGCCCAGATGGACGAATACAAGACCACCGAGAACTACCGCCGCTACCAGAACTATCTCAAGTCCTTTAATCACGCCCAGTCGCAGCCAAAGCGCCCGTCCCTCGACCACGACCGCAAATCCAGGAGCAATTCGTCCGAGACCCTGTCCAACGGTACCGGCGAAGCTGCCCCGCGGCCTGAGCTGGGCCCGCGCAAGTATGACGAGTGTCACGTCGCCTTCGAGCTGGCCATGCAGGAGCTCTCGGTGCGGAGGGACGAGGTCATGGCCGAGGGTGTTCCGAGGTTTGACGTTCACCACCTTCCGCCCCAGGACAGGCTCCGCAAAGCCGCAATGTCGTGTAGGGTAGGCACGGGCTCCTTCTTTTTTCTCGTTAGAGAGGAGCACCTGCAACAGATGCTAGATCATGTCTACAGCCACGAAACCATTGAGCCTTTTCCCCTGATGGTCGTCCTCCTGTTGGCTGCCATCGGCGCCCATTATGATGTCGATTGCATGACCGACACTGAGCGCCATGGCCTGTTTGTCTCTGCTGCATTCATCTTTGAGTCTGAACTCGCTGGCGTCATCGACTACAGGTCCCTGTGGATCTTCACCATGCTTTCCATTCATTCTATCCTCGAAAAACACATGGTTGCGCGGCATGTTGTCGGTAAGTCGCCCGATGCTTCAACACTTGACGTCCGCTAACTGATGGCGCTGTAGCTGCTGGCCTTCAGATCTCTCGTTACAAGGAGCCCGAGGAAGCCGACGAATCTGGGGCGATCACCGTGCAAGATGCCCATAGACTCATATGCACTTTGATATTTGTAGAATGGTTTGTGCTCGCCCCGCTGTCGAAGCATTATACTGATGAGGGCAGCTGGTTGTCCACGACCTTGGGCTACAAGGCCGACGTGAGGGCAGACGATATCACGGTATGTTGCTAAGGCCAGCCCTGATCCCTGTCAACCGCTAATCCACCCAGCGTGCATGGCCTCGTTTGATGCAGTCGACCTCGATATCCGACGCAATTTACATCCAAGGATGTAAGATCGGGCTTGTGTCCAGAGAGATTGCCGAGGTAACTATCCACAAAGCCGCCAGCGCCGTCAGGACCGAGCACATTGAGCTGCTCACCGAGCAGCTCGATACATGGCACAGATCACTGCCTGCCACGATGCATCTTGCTGCGCTTGCAGACGAGCAGCAATCCTCGTGTTTGACCCCCTATCAACGAAGAGCCATTCTGATGATACACATGTTCTACCTGGGTGCCATCATCTCGCTCTACCGGCAACTGCTGCTCCAAGCATGCGAAGCCAGAATCCACTCGAAATGGAATCTGGACATGCCTTACTCACAAATCCAGAGCTATCGAACACGTTGCTCGATTGCCGCACAGCAGATGACACGCATGATGCAGCTCATAAGCTGGAACGGCGCTATGACGAAGCGCTGCTGGGTCATGATGTGAGTGAGCCCCTGCGCTTCAACCTGCAAGCTTGGCAACTGAAACCTTGCGTAGTCACTGGGCCTTCCAAACCTGCACGGTAATCCTTTTCGGTATCGGCCTACAAATGATGGACCAGCACCCTGCTACGATCGAAGAGGATTTTGCCTACGCCAAAGTCTGCGCCGAGACTCTCGGTGCCTGCAGCACAGCTGAGCCTGTAGCTGCGAAATACCTCGCCGTCATCAAACCCCTCTATGAAGCCCTTGTAGACAAACAACAGCGCTTGCAACATGAAAAAGCCGACGAAGAATTCCGAAGGTCATCAGCTCCTCTCTCAACTGCTCAGTCACATGTCGAGTTGCCAGGGGTATCCTCTCAGCCCCACCTAGCCGCAGAGCCTCGCGACGAGGAGATCATTTCCATCGTTAAGAAGCTGTCCGAGTTGCTTGCAGACCCGTTCTCGTTGGGACTGAAGGCAAAAATCCAGGGCGTGCGCGAAACGAGCAATGGCGTCGGAACATATTCCGTCCTTTGGTGGAAGTGAGGGCAATTGGAAGCGGTCATTCCATCTTTCAGCTGTGCAACCTCATCTAGATATTCCGAACCATTTGCTCGGAATATTGATACCGCAACGGCCGCAGACGGAAGGACAGATCCAAGGAGTTGGCGTCTGGACTTCTGGAGCACGCTCTTTGAAAAGTCATCGCTTTTGCACCACGTGCCCTACGGTGCGTCCAAGCTAGTCTTCAATCTGACGGTGCTTGCCAGCTACAGTGACTTAAGCTGGCACGTCCCTTCTCGTTGCTCGGCGGGGCATGCACAAAAATGTGTCTAGCGGATGTTTGTGTTGATTGCCCTGGCTGCCTTCTACTGACCTGCCGTCGGAACAGTCTCCGAAGTACACGCCCGACGAGCAACAGCTGGGGAAGCAGCAGGACAGGACCAGCCCTGATGAGCAACGCAGCCTCCCCTGTGGATTATGGTATGAACACATCAGAGCTCTGTACGAACCGCCTCGCCGGGAAGGATCCACCGGCCTCCAGCCAGTTCAACGTGGGCAACTTATTCATGATCCATGCTGGGAAAACAGCCCAGCCCCGGAATACGCCACGTAACGGGCCGCTGGTGATAAGCGCGCTGGTTCTGACTCGGTCACAGCAACGACTTCGCCGCGCTGACGGACGAAGTGCTCCGTGACTGTTGGGGTAAAGGATGATGTAATAGGAGTATCTGGCTCATGGATTAGACAGTAAGAATCCAAGCGCAAAATGAGTCTCCGTGTCGCAGGGGAAAGAGAACGCATTGTTGCCGGCCCTATAGGTGGGGACATAGGGACCGACCGCTCGCCGAGTCAACAGTGCTGGCGATGCTCGCCACTGCACTTGATCACTGGACAGAACGTGCGGCGCTATACCTGCCGCTACCGGGCCGGTCCCGTCGCTTAGCCGTTGGGCAGCAATTCCGGCCTAGAGTTCCAGAGATGCACGCTTCTCCATGCCACGAGTGGAGACGCAAGCATGGTTTCAGGGGAGCGCTCTCCACACCGAACTGTCTAGGTCGACGTCATCTCCTTGATGCTCTCCTAATTTCCCTTGGCCTGGGATCATGACGCTCACGGTCTAGTCTCACAGCCTGGCGCCAAGAGACCATGATCCAGACTCACTGATTCATGAATTAGGCGGCGTAAAGCGCCCTTCGGTTCTGATCGGCACAGTTTCGGGAGTAGTTGCGCGAGGTGGAGAGAAGAGGTTTGATGATGAGGTCATGCAGCTGTTACGCTCCACAGCCAGCTCGTGTTCTACAAGTTCACTCAACAGCCACGTCTAGCCACAAGAAGGTTCACGGCATGCTTTGCCTGTCATTAGCAAAGATTGCTGCTAGGTCTTAGCTTACTCCACAACTTACTCAGCCGAACTTTTCCTTCCACTGCCAGACTCACAAGCGCTATACTTCCTTCATTGCACCCTCCCTTTTGGTCTCTAGCTTTGACTTTATTCACGCTTTGTAGGGCCTGCTTCCTGGAATTACTTCTGCTTGCCTACTTGTTTGCAGCGAGTTACCGTGCTTTGGAAGAACAAAGCTTATTGTAATGTCCTTTTTAAAAAAAAAAAAAGAAACTGGCAGGATTCTGTCCACTCATCCTTCGGGCTTCGTACCCATAGACCTGGGTCTATTAGTGCCAAAGGTCACTATCCGAACCTTTGTCCAAGCTCACTAAAGTACACTACGGAGTTACAATCTGTCAGCATGATACTAATATAGCATTCGATACTCGCGGAAGCTCTTTGAGAGTCGGTGCAGAAAAACCAAAGGGGTTGAGGTGCGCCTTGCTATAGCGCATCGCGTTTCGAGAGGACCCCTGCTTGGACTTTGGATCAGGACTCCATACGTCGGCTGAAAACATGGCATTTACTATTAATTTGTTCAGAATGTCATGAAGAGAGGCTGCGCAGACGCCAAACTTAGGCCAGGTGGTTGGTATAAAGCCAGACCTGTCTGGGTGTTGCCTAAATTCGACCGAGTCTGGGCACCGGATCACCATTGCAGTGGCGCGTGTCAATGTTATAAAACGGGATGGGGAAACATACCACTAAGATGTATTAACAGGTCCGCCGAACTCTTGAAAATAACGCCGTCAGCTTGCGGCCCTCCTGGCACGACTATTTATCGATCACCTACCAAACGAGCTCTTCGACCGGATTTTTCGTAGTTTCGCTACAACCCGACTGTATGGTCTGAATTCGGGACAACTAACATAACCAGCATCTCCCTGATCGAGTTCCTTGTCACGGCTGATTGGGTGGGAGCGCCACGGCCACCCTGCTCCTCTACGTCTACGAGAGATTGAAATCGGCGATTAAACGTCGAGCTCTTTCGATAAGGAATGCAGTATGAAGGCATCGGAGACAAGAGACACTGGATGAACGTTCTTACTTTGGTACTTTTTAATACTGGGGAAGAGGCCCAATTACATTATTTGTGCGCACTGTACAGACAGCAGGCAAGTATATATATCTACAACGTCATGACCAAGGATGGCATCAACGCGAACCCAAAAAAAAAAAAAAAAAAAACTTTTGCCAACGCCATTTGCCATCTGTCCAAACTCCGTCCCTAGATCCCATTCTTCCAAACGCCCGCTCAATTTAAACCGTCGACGGCATTACTTGAAATCATTAAAGGCATCTTCTTCTTCTTCTTCATCTTCTTCATCTCAACAACATACTGCTCCTCAGCTCGTCCTTCAAAGCCTTGTACTCCTCCTCCTCGACCACAGCCAGCGCCGGCGCACCAAAGAAGTACCGCGGGGTGCCGACGTTCCCCACATCGACGCTACGGCGGACCCTGATCTTTTCGAAGGGCTCGAGCAGCTGGCGGGCCATCTGGGGCGTGGGGTGGGTGACGGGGAAATTGGTGGTGCCGTTGTGCCACTCGACGCTGATGCGCAGGTCCAGCAGCACCGGCGTAGCGCCGCCAGCAGCCTCGACGAGCCTGTCGACAAAGTGGCGCACGTACTCGCGCACGTGGTCGAAGATGCTGTACTGCACCCACGCCACGATCTTGACGTCGAGGCGGCGGGCGTGGGCCAGCACGGCGTCCCAGCCGACGACGGGATGCACCTTGCGCGGGCCGCCGCGCTTGCCGAAGTCGAAGTCCGGGTAGGTCAGCGGGCGGCCGCCGCAGAGGGCGATGCCGCCCGGGTGGATGCGCACCTCGAAGGGGGCCTTGGAGTAGAGCACGGCCTGGGCCTCGGCGTGGATGGCGCGGTTCAGGCGCAGGACGGTCGTCGACGCCGGCTGGCCGTCCCGCCGGAAGGAGCCGGCGTCGCAGGGGTGCGCCGGGATGGGCTTGTCGGGGAAGAGGAGGTCGTAGATTTGGAGGCGGAGTTCGGTGGGCAGGCGGTCGAAGAGGGAGGTGGATGAGGCGGGTGCTGCCCGCGGTTGTGGTGATTGAGTGGTGTCCGTCATGGCTGCTTTATTTTTTTTTCTTCTCCTCTGGTGGTCTGCAGAAGCGCGAATTTATATATGCTTGGGATGGATACGAGGACGGGTGGTGCAAGAATGTTCTTGTGTGACCAAATTCAAATCAAAGTCTGACGTTAGCTTTGCAGGCCAGATATTAGGGTTTTATCCTCTGCTGCTGTCAGTCCACTGACCGGTGATTTCAGTGGGTCTTGTCCTCGGCCGACGCTGGTGTGTTGTAGTGCTACGAGATGGCATTGCTGTGGTGTGGGCAAGCAGGGGATTGTGCGTTTTTTTGAGACACTAGACAGCTGATGCAATGTCCGGAGAATTCTCGTCTGATCTCGGTCGTCGAAAAAAAGAGCGCAGTTCAAAAGCATTGCCGCGCTTCCTATCCGGTCCAGGGAAGATCCTCTTGTATTAACTTGTCTCTAGATCTTGTTTCCATCACGATAGCCGCTTCCTTCCCGACCCAAAGTGCCGGGCTGCCGTCGCCGAACCCGGCCGCCAGCAGCCCAAACACGCCCGCCGAGACCGGTTGTGCTTCGTAGCAGACATCTTCGTAGCAGGCATGCGTCACCGACAGGACGGAGAGTCGAGACGGGCGGCGGCGCCGTTGGACGGGCTTTGGGCGGATGCGGCGTGCGATGCGTGGTTTAGCAGCAGCAGGGGCGTCGTTAGGAGCCCCGGTTATCGGGGCTCCTGTTGGCGGCGACGATAAGGAGAGAGCATCATGATCGCACGATGCTCTGCTGGGAGACTGTGGGTCCGCGCATGGGGGAGCGCTGAGGAGCGAACAGGAAGAAGGATAGGTAAGCAGGAGCTGCAAAGCTGTATGTGCTTTTGCTACGAGTCGGAAAGTATGGAAGCTTTGCGTTCCCGCCTCTTCCTTCGTTGGCGCTTTGCCGAGGTCAAACGGTCCCCTTTGGGCTACACCCATCTCACGAGACATTTGCTTGTGTCACCCTCTCCGCAGTGGGTCTGCTTTGGGTACCAGATCGATAAGTCTCTTTATTCCCGCGGTGTTAACGTCTTCCCCGGACATCCCTTGTTGCCAGCTCGTACGACACGCGGCCAAGAGCTCGTACGAGACTGTCTGTTCTTTCTCAAAAATCGATGATGTCGTCTCTCTCTCTGCCAAGAGATGCTACTATTTGACACAATAACGCGTACCGCAAACCGGATTACAGAACACCACCAAATCGGTTCCGAATCGCAGCACTCTATTGCACTCCCTATTTTTGTTTTTATTTCGATCTTGACTCTACGATGGAACAGCTACAACGCATAACAATTTTTCCAGTGCCCATTAATTTTTTTTTAAATCGGTATCTTCATAGATTAAAATCTACATCTACTTCCAGATATGTACTCCAAGTACCTATGTAGCGAGAACGTAATGTCTCCTGCAGAACCTGAGAGGCTGACATCTTTCATATGCCGCCATGACTACCAATAGCCGTCTACGCGGCTAATTACAAACTAGTTTTCCTGCAATAATGAAATCGCTTAAAGACTTGTGTTGCGCCCGGGAATCACGCCTGTTCTATCTGGTACCCTTAATTCTCGTTATCGTTATCGAAGAAATGAACCACGCTAGGTGGATTGTCGTCATCTCCAAGCACGTTGCCGCCGTACACCAGGTATCCTTCGACCATGGGCAGCGGCAGCGTAAGGATGTCCGAGGAGTTGCCAAACACCCACGCCGTTTGCATACCTGTTTGCAGAGATTGTCGTCAGCGACCGCAACTACTCCTTGCATTTGCCGTATTCGGCCGACTAGGGGCAACTTACCCATGATCATATGCTGCAGGATGTGGCAATGCAGCATCCACACACCCGGTTGCTCCACCCTGATCCTCCACGCTACCCAGCTGTGATCCTTCTTCGGCTCCTCCTTCTCGCTGTACCGGTACAGCATCGTCGTGTCCCTCGTCACCGGCGTGCGGCCGGCCAGCCTGGCCTCGTTGGCCGCTCTGTCGTACGTGCCGGGCCCGCTGCCCAGGTAAAAATAGTGGGCGCCGTGGAAGTGCATTGGATGGCTGTCGACGCCACCCGAGTAGCTGCCCGTGTTCTGGATGACGATCTCGAGCACCTCGCCCATCTTGGCCGGCCACGCCGCCACCCGCGCGTCGCGTCCCGTGCCGCTGGCCACGGCCGTCTCGTAGTCGGGCAGCCATTGGCTGCTGTTGGTGTAGAGCGCGACGAGGTAGGGCACCCGCGGAGTTTCCTCGTACCACGAGATGTCGTTCTGCGTCCACTGGATCCGCCCGCCGTTGTTGAGCTGGTAGATGTCCATGACCACCGTCCGCGTCACTTCGTCCGCCGTGGGGAAGTCCGGCCGCGGCGTCAGGGGATGGAGCTCGTCGTCCAGCCAGCCTTGGACCGTCGGTGGCAGCTGCATTGGAGGCGTCTTCGGCGGCGTCTTTGTCGAGAGCGGGCCGAAGTTGTTGCTGCTGTTGGTGCTTCCGTAGTTGTTGCCGCCGTCGCCGCCGCCACCGCCGCCACCGCCGTACTTGTTGCTGTTGCCATGCCAGTTGCCACCAATCTGGCGGGACGCATAGGACGGGGGGCCTCCACAGGCAGTACCATAATCCAGGACGGCATAGGTCGTCAGGCTGCTCGGACGGTCGCGCGTCTCGAGCTGAAGATAGAATTGGTGGCGGCCGCGGGCAGCATTTCCGGCGAGCTGGTCGCAAGTCCACGTCTTGAGGAGTGCCGAATAGCGCTGGCCATTGCCAACTTGGACAAAGGACACGTCTACAGGCTCCGTGTAGGCGCCGTCGGCCTCGATGATGGTTAGGTTGTGGTCCTCAATGGCCATGGTAAAGAAAGAGAGAGCGGTCGCGCCAATGAGCCGTAGGCGGTACGTCTTTCCCGGATCGACCGAAATCCGCGCCAGGCTGCAGCTGTCGTCGTCGTTGGTCGAGGTGTACGACGAGATGCCGTGGCCGTTGATGAGAACGCCGCCGACCTCGCCGGTCCACTTGAATGGGTTCGCGCCAAGCCCACCTTCCATATCATGGTCCGTGGTGTTGTACAGGTCGGTGAATACAAGGTCTCGCTCGTCGTCGTATTCATAAGGCGGTGACTCGCCCGGCTTGTCGGTGATGATCAAAGACCCCGTGGCAGTGATGGCTTGGAAGCCGACGTGGGAATGGTAGAAGTACGTTCCCGGCTTGATGTCGGCCAGGTTGATTTCGTAGTCGAAGAACTTCAGAGGCGCAATGGCCCACTGACTCGCAGCTGGGCTCCCGTCGGAAAATGGGGCAGTTGCCATGGTCAGACCGTGCCAATGCTAACACCTGTCAGTCACCCTTCAACACGCATTGTCCATGCTGCTTACCATTGTGAGATTCTCATTGGGCATGTCATTGTAGACACGGATCCACACGACACTGCCCGAGACGAATGATAGCTGCGGGCCCGGTACCGTCCCGTTGACGACGACCGAGTCTCTTTGGATACATCCTATGCTTGTGGGGCCCTCGGTCACTCGTAGGACGGCATCTGGAATGAAGGTATCGTCGTGAACCTGGAGTGAAGGCGCCTTGGCCCAGGCTGCTGCGGCCAGCAGCAGCGAGGGCAATATCGACCGTAACATGTCGATGTCGAAACGAAGGGAACAGAAGTGAGGGGATGCGGCTCTGTGGGTTTGTTTCAATTGTGACAGACCACAAGATTAAAAAGGAGGAAGGCCGATGATCTCGACATGGGCAGCTGCAGCGATTGGAGTTATAAAGAAGCACGGCTTCAATTTAACACGACCGGGTTGCCGGGCCTACAATTGGCGCCCAGCAACGTGAGATGCTTTAATTAGGAAGTATCAAGATGCGGCACATGGATGCAAGAGTTCATGGCGCGCTGCACCTGTTCCAACGCGGCTGCTCCACGCGCCGATCAGGGAGCATCCCTGTCGCCCGCCCGGCCTCCATTGCGGTCGCCACGGATAGACTCTGTGTTTCAAGTGCTGGCCTCGAGGGAGTCGACGTGATTGGTCCGACATGTTTCTGAATCAATTCGGGGCGTGTTCCAGCAAATAAAGTTTGAGCTTAATCGATCCTGTGCTGCGCCGGGTCAGATTTTAGCATCTGACAACCCACAGTATCTATACACCGAGCATTTGCAGTCAGCCGCGCATGAATGCCTTGACGATCTCCATCAGCCACGACGATCAGTAAGACGGCGCAGTCCTTCGAAAACGCCGACGTAGTCAGATCATAGATACCAAGAACGCAGCCTCGACGCTCCGCAGCATCTGACGCATCCTGAGTAAGACGCTGCTGGCCGTTTTGGCGGGGCGCGTCTCCGGCCTTGGCGGCTCCTCTGATCTCGGCCCTCCATGTACCGCACTCAAGTCCATTCGCCACGACCGAATCCGCCATCCGCCAAGCTATCAAGTCCGCCAGTAGCTGTGTATTTCACATGACTTTCACATATCGACTCTGATACAGACCGCTAAACCCACCGGTACCGCCCCGGTTGTGTCCGAGTGCAATACGAGGTCCTTAGGTCGATCTGTAATCTCGTCGTCCAGCCATTGTAGCTGCTTTCTGTGGTTCTTTCGTTTCTGAAGTCTTGTTTGAGCGGTTCATTACCTGGCCGACCGATCAATAGTCCGCATTGGGTGCACGCTTGGAAACCAATCCAGATGGCGTCTCCGGTAGTCGGTCCATGATTGTTGCTTGACTCGCTCACATCCCTGATCTGCAACTGCAGTCTAGACACCGCCAATCGCTGTGCAACATTTCTGGGTTTGCTGGCCGTTCCGTCCGGGAATATGTCTGTGCAATTGCGCAGGGGCCTCGAGGCAAAGTCAAAGGCCAAACGACGTGATGCGTCTCAAACTCAATGCAAGGCATAGGAGATTAAATCAATGCCGTGCATGCGAAGCATACCCAGTCGTTTGTTGACTGAGGCCAAGCATGTGTCCGCTGGGCGAGGTAAGCAATTGTGTGGTTCCGGATCTGTAGGACCGCTAACTAATGTCACTGCCCGCGGACCTAGGCACCATTCCTTCGCATAGCGTAGGAACATAGGACTCCTTCAGATCCAGTGGAAGAAAATTAAGGGAGAACTCCATGACAAAGTAAGTACCAATATGCTCAAGCGCGTCTTATGATGGTCGTCGATTGAGGGTCTGGACTGTAAAGGTTCGGAGGGCATGCGTTCGGACATTCGATCTTTCAATTATGGAACCTTTTTTGGAAAGCAACGTCGGGGTCCACCGGCATGTCGCAAACAGTGTGTGAAACTTTCTAGAAATAGCCATGAGGATCAGATTCCGCATCCCGGTATAAGCTCGTTTCCCTGCGAGACACTCAATCACTGGTCAAGTCAATGCATTCGATTGCATTTGCTGTAGGTTTTGGGATTCGAGATACGCCTATACTAGAGGGTTCCTGCGTCTTGCCATCGCGGCTGGAGGCCGTTGGATTGAAACGTGACCAATGGGCACGCACTGCATCACGCACGGAAACTGGCTCGGCCACCACCTGTTGCCGGGGAGCAGATGCCGTACCAGAGACCAGTGGCTGTGTTAAACATGGCGCAGACCGATGTGTTGCCGCGGTAATTGCCGGCGCTGCCAACGACTCCGCGTCATAGCTAGGTTGCGGGTTGGGCGCTAGTCGGGACCCCTTAGCGGGCCCAGCTGACACGAGCGTTGGACTACCGGTATGATGTAGTCGATATTGCCGTCTCTGGTCAGATGCGGATGGCTGAGTTCTGGCTGGCGAGAGAAGTCTGGAGGGTGAAGGAAGCTCGTCCTCGCTTTCGGATCCAAGGTCAACAATGTCAGTAGTAGTGCGATGTTGTATGACGTCTGGCAAATCGGGTAGCGTTTGAAGGACAGGGCGCGGACGCGCAGTGGCGTTGGAGCTTGGGTTGAGGGTATGACCGGCATTGCTGTTGCCCACGGTCTGACGTCGACGAACACCCATCATCCTCTCAACTACTCTGTCAACTTCACTGCGTCCAGCGGTATGACTGCCTGTGTTTTTTGTCTTCGTTCGTTTTCTTGGTTCATGTGCGCTGTCCAGCTCGACTCTGGACGTCAGTGAGCCACTTGAAACGTTAGCAGACTCCACATCAGCGCTGTCATGTCCGGTGGCCCTCCTTTTTCGCCTTCCAGAGGGTGTCCCTGGGGTAGGCGCTTCAAAAAGCGACGCAGGGAGAGAAGTCCGAAGAACAATTTCCAAAATCTCGCAGTCTATTTTAGATCCGGGGTCAAATTCGCCGTCAGACTTCGTTGCCAGCTTCGACCAGTCCTCGTCTTCTGGGGACACTGTCAAATTGAAGTCGACCAGATTATGCGGTAAGAATTTGATCTTCCTAGTGAGCGTGTCCTCGCACTCGGTAGCAGATTGTTGCTTCCTTGAGCGAACGAGTTCGACCGAGTAAGGGTTCGAATTCATGGGAGAAAGCACGTTTTTGGACAGAGCTCGAACGAGCAGAACAGGCAAAATGTGCTTCATGTAGCCCTTGGTCCAAATTTGAAAGCGTTCGCGAAGAAAGGTGCGCAGTTTAGACTGATCGGTTTCACGATCCCAGCCGTTGTTTCTGAGGGCGTTCAAATCGTGCAGCTCTTCGTGGCTGGATACCTTTGGGTTCCGGTAGTTGTTCAAATGTCTTTACTTGGGCCAGCCAGGGGGGATCTCGACGTCTTTGCCACGGAAAAGGGGGTGTAAGTGGTCGCGGAAGTAGAACAATTCCCTGTCCGGGGTCTGGCACAGGGTGTTTCCCAGGCCACGCTTTGCGGCTTTGTAGGCCAGATTCGCACCACATCCCCTGACGCCAACAGGGTCGTAGTCGCCACCAGCCAGCATGGCAATCAGAACGAGGCCATTGCGATCCAGCTGTTTCTTGTCCCATAGGTCGGTCGCGCGGTAGACTCTAACATGGGTGTCACTCTTCTTGTCCTTGTCACGTACGTTGCGAATGAGCAAAGTGCATCCGAACATAAGACTGTCGCTGTCCTCGGACCACACGGCATCCACGATGCCCTCCTGTTGTAGTCGAACGCACTCTGCTTCAGCTTCGGCGGGGGCGCGATGGTGTGGAACGCGAAGGAGGTCAAGGAGGCGACGCAGAGTGGCGATGTCCTGGTACTTGATCATGCCAGCAGTCTTACCCTTTTTCCAGGGTCTTCTCGGGCCGTCAAAGACAAAGAGGAGCTGGATGTTGAGTTTCAACAGCTTGAGGATTCGGTACAGGATGGCTTTCTCGACGGGGTTGGCGGCCGGTTCCTCTGTCATGATGGCGGATCAGCATGGAGATGGAGAAGGGAGCGTTTGGGATACGGTCGTACTGTCGCGGATCGCCTTCACCTGGTGAGGGTTAAGATTGCAGAACCGCCAGCCGGCCTCGTCAACGGCAATGCGCAGCGGGCGGCCGGTTCGTTGGAAGTGGTCGGAAGCAAGCCGGGCAATGGGCGTTATCTCGCCATCGCCCAGAATGTCCCAGATTCTGAAGGTTGTTTTTCGTTAGAATAGAGAGCGTCGATGGGGAAAATGGAAACTTGCCCGTTGATCCCCATGGCGCGCGAGAAGGTGTGGGGAGGAATGGGAGGAATGGAGTGGCTGGTGGACGCGTCAAGCTTCGGTCGCGTCGCGTCGAGTCGCGTCATCGCCGGCCAACCTTCGGCACGGACCCAACCATCTCCACACACACTCACAACTCATCCTGGAAATAGACATGATGCAGTCTGGGGATGGCCGGCTTGTTGGGCACTTGCAGCCAGACCGTTATCTGCATCTGCGCCTGGGATCGCTTAACCGTATTCGTCAAGCTCTAGCCGGACCATCTATAAGACCAAGCGCCACGGAATGTACGCAGCACCTCAAGGCCACGTCTTCCCTCCAACATGGCTCCTGATCTTCCCAGAACCTTGCCTGCATCGTGGTACACGAGCCAAGAGCTCTACGACCTGGAACGCCGCGCCGTCTTCTTCAAGGTAGCAACGCTCGACTGCATATTGCATCCAGCCATGGCTGAATCCAGTAGTCATGGTACCTGTTAGGCCCTGTCACTCGCTTCCACGAAGACAATGTCGTCTACGAGGTCGCCCAGGTTCCAGTCTACGTGACTCGCACCGAGAACGGGGACTTGAAAGTCCTGTTGCAGGAAACGGTCTGCCCACACGTCGACCAACCTGAAATCCGCTGACCCGTCAAATGATCAAGAATCAAGAAGTGCGCAGCCGGACCACGTCGACGGGGCTCCTCTTTGCTACCATCTCGGCCGACGCTCCCGACTTCGATGACTTCTTCCCAGATCTTGAGCCCCTGCTCTCTCGTGTTGACTTCACCAAGCTTCCGCACCGCCGTAGTCTCAAGTACGAGGGCCGTTTCAACTGGAAAACCATGGTCGATGGCTACCAGGAGTGTCTGCATTGCCAGTACACTCACCCCTCCTTTTCCGTCTACTATCCTCCCACCTTCTACTCGGTCAAGAACTTCAAGAACTTCTCCCAGCACATTGCTGACCCCAAGAAGCCCGACGATGGCCTGTTCCTCTACTTCTTTCCGAACTGCACCCTCAACGTCTATGGCGGTGGAATGAGCTCCTTCCGCGTCTGCCCTACTGAAGACCCAAATGTCACGCGCATGGAGTTCGACTACTACCACATGGAGTCGGGCGAAAAATTCGAGGAGTACTTCAAATTTGTGCGACAAGTTGCCCTCGAGGATTATGAGCTCTGCGAGAAAGCTCAGGCCAATCTGGAGAAAGGTGTCTACGCTGAGGGTATTTTGAACCCCAACAAAGAAAATGGCGTGGCCTGTACGTCCTCCGCCCTACAATCATGCGTGTTTATTGACCTTTTCCCAGACTACCAAGGTCGGGTTCTAGAGATGGTTTTCGAACAGCATAATCTCGACCAGCAGGCCGTCGAGGTTTGTTAGGAACTTGTGAGGTGGCCCTAAGCTACCCGAATCGTGCTAGTGTGATCAGCACAACAATGAATCAAAGCTCACTTTCTCTGGCACTGTCGGGACCGTTATGTTGCACGAGCCGGGCTAAAGATAAGCATCCGACAGCTGTCCTGCCCATCATCCCAACGTGGCTTCCTTCTAAGGTATCTGTTGCATAAGCGCACAGTATGATTGGCCGGTACCCACCATGCGGGATCTAAACGCTGTTCCCAAACGGGAAGCGCAATCCAATCCCCGCATCATCTGCCCATCAACGACTCAACCTCTGCTTGACGTGCTCCTGACAGCTCTTGGGAAGGGATTTCGTGACCAAATTGGGATACTAGCTCGCACGGTTTATCATGCGAACCTTCGGTCGCCTGGCCATGTGAAACTTGTATATCCACGGCTGTTGCTGTCACTACCAAAGTCAGCTTTCGGGAGCTACGGATTTCATCATGACTCTTTTTTTCTCTGTGCTCTTGGCGATTTTGCCGGCAATCCTTGCCATCTTAGCGTATAGGTACTTCGTCAGTGACAAGAACGGTGGCGCGGTTTCACCGACTACGCCTATTCCTCAGGATAGTGCAAAGCTTGAAGCATATCGAGCATCTGACTTTCCAGATGATTGGTGGTCCAGTAGCGAACTATTCGAGTTGGAGCGTCGTGCAATCTTCAGCAAGGTAAGCCATCTGGACGGGGAATCCATCCAATCAAAGGCCATCTGACAATGCCTATAAGCAATGGCTATTCCTTAGCCATCGAAGCCATTTTTCCAAGCCAGGAGACTACCACACATTCCAGCTGGCCCAATATCCAATCTTTCTGATACTTGGCAAAGACCACATCATCCGAGCTTTCCATAATGTCTGTCGACACCGCGCATATACCGTCGCCAGGAAGAAGTCTGGGTCCTCTGCTGTTCTAGGATGCCGGTACCATGGATGGAGCTACGATACCAGAGGGCGCCTTGTCAAGGCCCCTGCATTCGAGGATATCGAGAGCTTTGACAAGAGCCAGAACGGACTTTTCGAAATCCATACTCACACTACTCGTCAAGGTTTTGTATTCGTGAACTTGAGCTGCGAGGCAGTTTCAACGCCGAATTTCAAAGTCGTTGACGTCTTGGCTAAGAGTTGGGGCATTTCCGAGAGGTCCGCTCCCCTGGCCCAGCTCGACTTCGACGAAGACATCAACTGGAAGCAAGCGAGTACATCACCTAACACCTACACGCCTAATCGATACTGAAAAGTCATTTTGCCTTGTAGTACATCACATGGAGAGCTCTGGCTTCGCCGCCAACATCGTCCCCAGTGCATGGTTGGGCATTACTTCCAAGATGCCCTTCCTCTCCACCATCGCTGCCCAAGGCGCGCACTCGATCCTCGACCCCTACGGTATGAGCTCCCTTCATGTCGCTTCGAGCGGGCGCTTCTGGTACACCTTGTCCGCCTCGCCCACATCCGCCGCCCGGACCGCCTTTACGTGCCATATCTATCTGAACTGGCCCGGCGACAACGCGCAGGCTGATGTTGCCATCCAGGCCATTCAGGATGAAGTCCAAGCGCTGCTAGGTGCTGCCAGATCTCCGGCACCAATGAAGCCGCTTGATGCTGCGGCCGGACGTGGACTTCAGGAGGGAATCTTGGACGAGATGACGAAGCACTTGAAGGAGGAAAGAAGAGAAGGCAAGGAAGTGTGGCCGGCGAGCAGAGAATCATCTGTCAGTGAGAAGTATAGTCAGGCTGATCTTCGTAAGTCTCACATAATACATCTCCTGCGAAGACGAGAGGAGGAGGCCAAATATGGGAGAGCTTGTTTTCGATCTGTGCTAACAAGGTTTCTTACCGTAGTGTGCAAGCAATTGAGCTGCCTGAAAACTACGACGCGCCCAGACTTGGGCCTGTGGGAAAAACTAGGGCCGCGCAGCGAGCTCGATTGGTAGAATACTCTCACTCGGGCCTGGCTATAAATAGTCAGGTCATCTACCGGCTCGAACACATGTGCGACAGGTTTTATGATCAGTTTCAATAGTGGTCTAATTGTGAGAATGATAGAATGGTTCTAGGAATGAATGGTGCGGGATGCGGATGCCTCTCCATCACTTTCGTATTGTCTGGGGGCGAGCAGTTAGCTACGTGTTGACGTAGTGCTGCATTAACCTTTCCAGAGGCGTGAGAAGAGGAAATACAACACCTTAGAGCGATATGTGTGCTTGCATTGCAAAGACCGTCCAAATTGTCAAGCTTTCTCTAGAAGTTTAAAGAAGGTCGCCTCGTCGCGGATTGATTGACGCAACTTTTGCCTCAAGCGCCGCACAGCCACCGTATCCACACATCCCAAACCCACACGCCGGCTGTGCTTTTTTCGCCCCCAGGATTATCCATGTCAACATCTCGCATCCTCAATGCGTAGTTTTCAGCCTCATCCCTGCGATCTGCGTAGCCGCGAGAACGAGGGCGATCCCAACCTTGTGGCTATTTGCTCCTGTCAGAAGTATATTGAGGCTACGACAACCTTTCCCGTAAACCAGGAACCCCCAGAGTCTACGTACAAGGCACTTGCCCGTTATATGCAATGATCGGCGTTTCCCCACGGATTCTCCAACGTCGCCATGCAACCAATTCTCTCCACTTGTTCCGCGAAGGATACCGAACAAGAAGCAGACATGTTCTAACAGCATGCATATCAAACCACCTCGAACCACCATAGTCGTACAGCACACGAAAAAAAAAATCGTGATACAAAGTTTCGGGAGGAAAGCGGCGCTGCCTACCAGGTAGATACTTGTCGCGGTGAGGCTAGACTGTGCAGCATAACGTTTCGAGGAGCTTGAGACTGTGGGACAGCTGCGGTCGCCGCTGTTGGTATCGCATTTTTATGCCTTTTATGCCTTTTATAGCATACTAGCATGTTCCGTCTGTAGCACCAAAAGCTTGGTCCAAGTCGCCGTTACCTGTGTATGCTTTTTGCTTCGAGACCGTTTCGGGTGAGGCGCAGTCTCGGGCAAAAGGAGCAAGACCTTGGGCCTTTAGGCGTTCCATTTTTCCTTTCAGTTTACCTTTCTTTCTCTCTTGGACTAAGGGTTGATGATCGGCCTGTGGCAGATGATATACAGTAGCAGTTCACGTGCTAAGGCTGGACACGACAAATTCCAAATGAAGGAGGTATCCGAATTCACCCGGCCATGGTACGAGGTGAGTGATCGAGGCTGGGCACCAGTCGGGTTTACGCAGTGTTCAATGCTGCGGCAAGAGACATGAAAACCGGGGCACATCAAAGACAAAAAACAAGAAATCGGCACTCATTTAATAAGCTATGCCCATACACGTGTCAACTCACAAGCATGCGAGTCATTATACTTACCAAAAAACTAACCACAAGGCATCACTCGGGGAATCGGGATGGTGCGTCCTTCTCTAGCAGGAGCTCTCATGTTGTACCACCCCTCGGGACTGATCCCTAGCATCCGTAATGAGACATAAGCACACACGATTGTGATGAGGCTGCGCAGATTCAGCCCTCGTGAAAAAGCAACAAATTATGCGAGAAAAAGAAAAGAAATCAAGCAACGTGCGAGCATCACGGTTGCTATCCGTCCGTCCGAGCCGTACCGTCTCACATTCTCCACCGTCACCCTGTTGTCCTCTTGCATACAAATCCCCCAGACATCCAATCACCCCCCTGCCTTCCAAAAAAAAAAAAGAAAAAACTCCACATGTACGCTCATCTTCATCATCCGCTCGCTCTAGATCTACAGGCTTCCTGGGCTTGCCATACCCGGCTAATTCCGCCTACAGGAAAATACTCCACCGCAACGTGTCAAGGGACATCAACAACGACTCAGCTGGAGTAGCAAGGGCGCTCATGGAGATTCAGGCACACCAAGACCCACCCAGCACCCACCCAAGGGCAGGGGACTCACCGAACCGGGATCGACGACGCACGAGCGCCACGACGCGAGCATAACGGCCGATTCGCGAATCCTCGATACAAATAGTATGATGGTGGGTAAGCAAGTGCCGACAGGAGCTAGAGATAAATCTACATAGGCCTAACTTTATGGTTAACAAAGCTATACACCATTAGTGACAGACCGTGGAAGAGAAGAAAAGGAATTGAGGATGCAATCTTACACTCAGCGTCAACAGCGTGAACAGGGCTGAATTAGCGCCCCGGAAAAGCGAATTACATTCCACTGCTCCAGTCAGCCAATGACACAAAGGCAAGTCTTCTCGGAGTTGCGGGCCTGCGGCTCGGGAGTACCCGAGACACCCAAGGATTCCAGGCTTCAAAAGAAAAGAGAGAAGAACGACAGGACGTCAGCGCCTGCACGTTGGTCATCACGCTCACTGACTGGTGTTATGTGATTAGCAGACCAGAATAAGTTTTTTCTCCTCTGCAGGCGTGCCGTGTGCTTCTCTTTATTCCGAGGACATGATTCGCGGACCGCTTCCACAGCCCATGGCCATGCACGTTCGGGTGATGCACGGATCCCCAATTCTTCGGGGCGTGAGGAAAAAAGAGGGGGTAAGACACGGTTGCAACCACAGCTCATTTGTCAACGGGAACAGGCTCGTAGAGCCGAAGTCCTGTAATCGTCCTGCAGAGAGATGTGGTGCGTTTCTCTGCCGTCCCCCCCATTGCCGACGACAACAAGTGGCAAGGCCGGGAAGATTTGCTCCGCCTGTTAGGCTTCGCCGCGCAGGTGTTGCTGAGCCAATTGATGGTAGCGCTTATAACGCGTAATCAGCCTCGCTACGTACCCTGTCGCAGTTCAGCCTGGACCTGGAACTTCATGGCTGTGGTGGAGCTCCCGCCTTCTTTCCCCTGCTCTCGTCGCGTGCAAAAAGTGGAGAAACGGAAGGAATTTGCCTTGAACCTGGTACACAGATACCTACAACGAACTGTGTCCGTCGGATCACCTGCATTGGTGGCCGCTGCAGGGGCTGGCTGGGTAGCTGAGTTAGGTAGGTGACAATCCGCGGCCCCGCTTGTTCGAACAAGGGGGATACTCTGGTTGATTTTCCGATGGACTGGGCTAGATTTCGGCATCTGCTGCAGTGTCTGAAGACTCCCGGGACATCGAAATGAGAGCTTCAAGGGTAAAATCTTTACCTGCTCTAGCTGCTCCTACTGTACAAACGAGATGGGGTATATGATATGTGTGCATATGTTTGGTATCTTGAAAGGAAAAGAAACTCTTTGAGTGTCTGACTGGATCGCAATCCCCAAGCCTTTTTCCCTCCTGGCCAAGGTCTTTTTGTAAAGAAAATAAGCCACCCTAACAATGTTGGTATAACCAGTGTTCGCCAAACCCAAAACCAAGCCAAACCAACCCATGCCCACGTGGCCGGCGTGAAGGATAATCGTCTCTCGTGAAGATATAATGTTAGCGGAGATAATGGGATCTGTAATATTGCGGACGGCCCGTAGAATTTTCTGTCGTTTGCTCCACTGTCAAGCTTTTCATGATGCCCTGGTGTGTCGCGAACGTGGGTTGGGGCTGTTGCAGTCCAGTAGCCCTATCTCCGCTGCCGTCCGATGAGTTCTTTCCGCTCTCAACAACAGCCTCATGGCCGACCGGCTCGTCGAAAAACATTTCTTCGTCGCTGCGTCCGGATTCGAAGCTTCGCGTTGCATTGCCGCCTCTGGTCATTGTCTTTGATGTCCGAGGTTCGCCTGTGGCACTCTTCATGAATGGGAGTGTTTTCAAGCTGATGATGCTGTCCTTTGCGTTCACACCCTTAGTCTTGTCTGCAGAGTTTGCCCCGTAGCTATACTTGAAATAGCGCGCACCGCTGGAGGACCTTCGAGTCGTTGGATGGTCGGAGAAGGTATGCGCGAAAAGGGCCTTCATCGCAGGAAACGAGGCGGAGATGATTGCTGCGTTCAATTCGATCTGGGTCCATATGAGGATGGGACCGCCGGAATACGGAACATCCGTCGACTTGGCCCAAATCGACAGGGTCCACAGCCGTAGGATGGATGCCAGCACTGCGACGAAGCCGACGCTGAAAATGCCGAACAGCGCAATTCGCCTCGATCTAGGCATCTGCAGACGCGCAAGCAAGGGGACCGGTATCAACATGATGACTAGGTCGCTTGCTATGTTGAAGCCTGCCTGCGCAAAGTACATGGAATGCAGGTCCCTGCAGGATCCGAGGCCGGCCATGATAATCTCAACGGTAAAGGCATCCGAGGGATTAGGGCATTCGAATGCGTTGACGAAGGTCATAGCGATAGTGAAGCTTCCAACTATGCCCATCATGGAGTAAATGACGGTGCGAAACCATTTTTGGTCGCAGATTGCGCAGTAGAAGCACAAGATTGAAAGCTTCACGAAGAGGAGGTCGACGAGATAGGCGATTTGGAAAGAATACCCTGCTTCTTGTCAGTAAGAGAAGGCATCTGACTCAGGAGCGCCGTATTACATGACTTCAAAGTGCCTTCGAGAGCGTGCGTCGACTATACACCATCAGTACCGCTACACAGCTATGCTTTGAGAAGGATTGCATACCGATGATAGGTTATAGTAATGTTTCCCTGAACCATACTTGACTTGAAAGTAGTTGATGACGGCTATGGCCCAGGTCATGATCTGCGTTATGTGTAAGACGGAATCCCAAAGGACAGAGCCTGGTCACGCACCATTGCAATGCCCATGAAGACATCGGAGAGACCAGCCCTCTTCAACAGATGAACGTTGCAGTATAGCCTAGTTTCTCAATAAGATTCTGTAGTGAAGCATCGACGCGACGTGGAAGGCATACCTCAGGGAAACGATGGCGGTGGAGAGACTGGTGAGGGTAAAGGCCGTCACCTCGATGGTCGGACCATAGTCGGTTGGAGCCATGATGGTCAGGACGATAAAGCTATGCGACCACTATCGGCGGGTTGATTGATGGAACTCATGGGAGGATCAATTGCTGGTACCGAGGGTGAGGGATATGGAGATCAATTATTCTACCCGCAGGATGGGTGTCGAGCAGCGGGTGCGGAATGCATGGGCGGGAAGCCCATCTATCTTCGACACTGGGTAGGGAACCTCGTGGCATACATAGGGCAGGGTGTCCGCGTGCGCGTTGCCGGGAAGACGGCAGCAGCCGGGGCACAGCCTGCCTGGTCTGACCCCATCATTTGGAGATCGCCGACGAAGCAACGAGGTGGCTCCCAGCCTGATTGGCAGCCGGCGTGTTCGCAATTTGCCCCCTGGTCCTGGTGCACAGAGATGCATGATGCAGGCCAATGCGGAGTGCTAGTCGCTACCCTTCGCAGCCAAAGGCGCAGCCGTTGTCTGCCACAGCATCTCGAAACAGGCTGTCTTCGGCAATCCGAACCCTGGCTCTTTGAGATGGTGGAGCCACGGCCGGGCCTTAGCTCCTCACAGCTCGACTCTGTTTGCTCTCGGTCCGCAGTGGGTCGTGACTGGCGGATGTGGCGCCCATTTGGAAACTAGCCCGCTGCAACGCTGTCGGTCAGCGGAGAGCCTGCACCACCTTTAACCGCGCCCTCTTGATAGGCGTACGCCGTGCTGCAAGCTTCATGTCGTACAGTCTGGGCGACTCGTGCAACTAACGTTTCATGGCTGTGCAGGCATCGGGACGAGCGCTTTGGATGGGCGGGAGAAAGAGGTTGCAACAGGGCCCCGATGCCGACTCATAAAGCTTGTCGTGAACGCGCCGCATCGCGGTGCCGCCCCAGCGGTGCACTGGCCAGGCTGCCGCGGAATCTCTGCGAGCCGCCATCGGATGCCTTCGGCCCCAGCCGCGCTTTTGGGAGTTGTTACTTCCGTGGGTTTAGCACTCGGAAGCTTGTACAATTACGCGAGGCACTGAGTGCGGCACAGGTGATGAGCTCGCTAACATAGATGGCGCGTTGGGGGGCGGCAGGATCTTTTCTCACAGGCGTAGATCTCGGTCGTGTATTAAAGATCAGCTGTTCACAATGTCTCCCTGATCATGGTCTTCCTCTGTCCGAGTAACACCGAAAACCTTCTCGGTCTTAACACTCTCTCGGTCTTTTTCAGCCCTGCAGGTCAGTTGCATTCAGCCGGAAGACCCATTCGATAAAATTTTATAGCCGGTGACTAACCGCCAGAATGCCAGAGAGCCGCGCGCCAACGAGCATAAGCCGAAGATCGAAAGATCGGCGGTTTTGATTCGCAAGCTGTTTCGTCAATCGATCCATGGCGAGGCTTGCAAAGTGTGGCGCTGGCCTCCTTCTAGGAGTTTTGGCCTTAGCTCCAACGACGGACGCCGCTCCGTACGGTAGCAATGCAGCTGTTGCCTGTGAACGTCCCATCGTTCGGAAGGAGTGGTGAGTGCTGTGGAGAGGAGATCTGCAGGGATGGAGGCTGAAGATACCAATGCTTCTCCAGGCGCACGCTCAGGAATGACGAAAAGCTCGAGTACCTCGCCGCGGTGCAATGCTTTCTGACGAAGCCTCCGATCACACCCAAGGCCGCCGCGCCCGGTGTCGGCTCGCGCTTCGAGGATCTCGTAGCTACGCACATCAACCAGGTATGCCTGCCGCCTCTGACGTCGACACTGCAAAACTAACGCCCATATTGACCTTTGATATTCACTACACGGTCAGTCAGTCCCGTGTGACCGTTGAAGCTATTGAGTAGTGCCGAGGTCGGAGGCGCCGATCCATGCAGATCTCCTCAGCTAGCAGAGCAGATTGAATATGCTCAATTCCAAGTGCCGGGCGAGTTCGGCATTCGATTCGGTGTCCAAGCCGGATCGGCACATTTCGATTAAACGGTCATGTGCTAACAGCTCCGCACAGGGCCATTTCCTCGCCTGGCACCGGTGGTTCACGGCGATATATGAGAGAGGCCTCCGCAATGAATGCGGCTACACAGGAGCCCAGCCGTACTGGGACTGGACCTTGGATGTAGCTTCGGAAACAGACTTCCTGGCGTCGCCGGTGTTTGATCCTATACTAGGCTTTGGAGGCAATGGACTGCTCATCCCACTCAACACGTCGGATCCGCTTTCTGTTCCGGGCCGCACCGGCGGAGGCTGCATTCAGGACGGTCCGTTTGCGAACCTGACAGTCAACTTGGGGCCCTTGAGCGACCTCAGCGGCAATCCGCGCTGCCTCGCACGCGACTTCAGTCCGTACTTTGCTGGAAGATATCTTGGGATGAACCAAACCCAAGTGACTCTGAGTCAGCCAGACTTCGGCTGGTTCGACAGGGTCGTCGAGGGTGGCCCATCATTTGACGCGTCTGGCGTTCACGGTGGTGGCCACTACGGTGTTGGTGGAACGTACGGCCAGATGGGCGATCTGTACGCAAGCCCTTCAGATGTAAGTTTTCTTCGAGATGCTCGTGTTGACAAAAGGCTGAGAACCATGCTGCCCATCTTCTACATGCACCACTGCAATCTGGACCGTGTGTGGTGGTCATGGCAGGCGATGGATCTGGAAGCGCGGCTGACAGACATATCCGGACCAATCTATCTCATGGACTACGACAATGCGCAGGGAGGGAACGTCACGTTGGATTTTCCACTGTCGGTGGGCGTGAATGCTGAGAATGTGACCGTTGGAGACGTGATGGACATCAGGGGCGGGGTGCTCTGCTATGAGTACGACCAGCTGTACTCGAGCTGAGGTAGAAGTGTCAGTCTGTGTGCAATACTAGGTTGGAGGTGAAAAGTGAATCGTGCGCTTCCCTGCAGCAGTGCGGCAACGAATTCTGGGCGAGGAGGCGCTGCCAGGACATTCCCTGCTGCAGATCGCGTGTCGTGGTTTTGGGCCCTGGAGTGCGCGAAGGGGCACCAGTCGGCCCGCGCTCGGGCGTCATCGCCGAATGGAATCTTCCTGAAGCCGCGACTCCAGCCTGCTCTCCACGACTTTGCGCGCATATCTTTTGGCTGTGCTTTCATCTACATCTTGCAGGTACACTCCAAACGCGCACCCTGCATCTTTCCTCAGTTCCGGTCTCTGGTCTCCTTCCGCTCACTACGCACCACGCAACAATGGCCGATCAGAGTGAGTGCAACCCCGCGCGAAGCTGCCTGGCCGCGCGCTAACCTTCGATAAACAGAGCGCTCCCGTGTCTTTTTCGACATCCAAATCGGCTCTCAGCCCGCCGGTCGCATTGCCTTTGAGCTTGTGGGTGCCTCCTGTCTTTGCTTGTGCTGCTCTTACTAGAACTGACCATTCGCAGTACAATGATAGTAAGCACCCCGTCGATCCCGCCGTTCCGTAGCCTCGTAATAACCACCGGCCATCGCAGTCGTTCCCAAGACTGCGGATAACTTCCGTGCACTCTGCACCGGTGAGAAGGGTGAGGGCAAGTCGGGCAAGCCGCTGCACTACAAGGGCTCCGGCTTCCACCGTGTCATCAAGCAGTTCATGATCCAGGGTGGAGACTTCACTGCTGGCAACGGCACTGGCGGCGAGAGCATCTATGGCGAGAAGTTCGAGGATGAGAACTTCGAGCTGAAGCACGAGAAGCCCTTCCTGCTGTCCATGGCCAACGCCGGCCCTGGTACCAACGGCTCCCAGTTCTTCATCACCACCGTGCCTACCCCCCACCTTGACGGCAAGCACGTTGTTTTCGGTGAAGTTATCAACGGCAAGTCGATCGTGCGCCAGCTTGAGAACCTGCCCACTGCCGCCCAAGACAGGCCTGTCCAGGAGCAATACCCTATCATTGCTGGTACTACATCCCCTTCCTTGCCTCTGTGTGTCGTGAATTGATCCTAAATTTTTGAACAGACTGCGGCGAACTCACCGGCGAGGACTACGAGAAATGTACCGAACGCATTCCCGACAGCACCGGCGACCCATATGAAGACTTCCCCGAGGACCAATCTGAGGAGCTCACTGCGCCTCAGATTGCCAAGATTGCCGCAGATCTCAAGGATATGGGCAACAAGGCTTTCAAGGCTGGCGACCTCCGCCTCGGTCTCGCCAAGTACCAGAAAGGTCTTCGCTACCTGAACGAGAACCCCGAGGTTGAGGAGAAGGATCCTCCGGAGACCAAGCAGCAACTGTCTTCCCTCCGCTTCCAGCTGCACAACAACAGCGCGCTCCTGCAGAACAAGTTGAAGGATTATGAGGGCGCCGCCAAGAGCGCAACCTACGCGCTCGAGGTCCAGGGTACCTCCGACGCTGACAAGGCAAAGGCGTACTTCCGCAGAGCCCAGGCCCGTGAGGCCCGCAAGAATGATGAGGAGGCTATCCAGGATTACGAGGCAGCCCAGAAGCTTGCGCCCAATGACTCGGCTGTCCTTAACGGTCTGACCAACGCTAAGAAGAAGCTTGCCGAGTTTAAGAAGAAGGAGAAGGCGGCTTATGCCAAGTTTTTCTCTTAAAACACTAAAGGAGGGTAGGGATCAGAGGCAATGATATCCATCACAAGAGTACCTGCTGCCATATGGCTACGAGCTATGTATAATGCTGGCGTTTGAACGAGCGAGGTGTTGAAGGCGTCTACTCAGCGGGAAGAAATAGGCTTGCTGCTAGGCCCGTCATCTTGGGGAACGAAAATACAATTGATCCAGGGCTCGGTGGCGTTTGACCAGATATATTCCCCTTTCTACCCAAGACTTTCAGCAGAATTGCAGCCCCATTTGCACGTCTGTTTACCAGGCGGTTCGGCTCGCTTTTGCTGATCACCTCCGCTTTGAACGATAGATGCTCTACACTAGAATATCGAAACTTTCATAGGAGTGAACAAGGTTGTTTGACTGCGTGAAGACAATAGTAAACATACCTTGTCAATAATAGTAACTGACACCGTACTATCCCGACTACAATAGAGCCTCCGATTGCATCCTACAAGAGTCAATGGGGTCTAGGGTGTTTTCAGCGAAAGCTCACGGTTATTACTCAGGATACGGACATACGCGCGTTTTGCTGCCATTATGACGGGTTGTAAGTTTAGCTTGCCGCAGCCGACGACAAGTGAGTTGAGCTTCCCTAAAACCTTTCTTATTCGACATAGTACCCTACTTATTCTAGTGATTGTGTTCGGCTTTGAAATGTGTTTTGTACTATCCTGAGACTTGCATTCGTCTATTAACGCCCACATCTCCTAGTACAGGAATGCAATTATTACTAGTCATGACCTTCTTCTCTTCGCCACCATTCGGTAATTGCGAGAGATAAACTGCTCTTTAGACGCTGTAGCTATGGTAGTAGCGGGTTATGGGAGATTTGAGCCCTTCGTTTCCTATGAAGAACTTCGCTGCATTACTACTGTGATTACGATATAATAGTTTTACATGACTTCAATACGACACACAGCTTTCCGGGGTATGTTTCTTCTTTGAATTGTAAAATCATTCAATACCTGAAAAAGGAAGTTCTAAATAACTTAATCGCAGCCAGATTGTTTGGAATAACTAAATGCAAGGAAATAAGCATTCATTAATGACATATTTGACAAGCGACAATTGAGAACAGAAAATTTAGAAGTCATATTTCGAAAGACGGCATTATGTATCTAGTTAGCTTATCATTGACTCCCCATGAATGAACTCAAATATCATACGCTTCATCGTTTCAACATTAGACGTTTTATGAAGTTGTTTATTAGGAGACATAGCTGTTCATTTACTTAAAAGACGATGAACAGGACGAGTTAATATGCACGCTGGCGCTGCGATTGATGTTGCCTACAGGTATTGTTGGTGGTTGGTCATTGGATAGGCGGCTTGAGAACTCAATGGCGATAAATCCAATAGACAATCTTTCAATTGAGAGGACGATACTCTGAGGAGAAAAAACATATCCTGTTACATTAAAGCCTTCAATTTGCTTTAATTGCGGAGAGGGGATGGGAGGTGGGTGCATCATTTGTGTATGAAGCCGCAACTGCTCTTGGGAGGTCGGAGCAACCACCGGGACGTGAGGGCGCCTAGTGATACAGCGACTCACCCATCAGCTCGAGCACTTTCATTTCTGCGCATGAGGTGTTGTCATGGTGTCGTCTCAGAAATTTGCTTACGGATCATTCCCCTGTTCGGCCTGCTTCCCGAGGGGGCACGGATACGTTAAATCCGCGCGTTCTTACGGATCGTCCGTTTCATAGTCTCTTGAACGTCTGAGGGGCCCTTGTTTCGACGCTCTCGGTTCCCGATGCACCCTGTGTTTCGGCCCCAACATATTTGAGCAGAGATGGTGCTATTTTGGGCATGTACTGGAGATAAGAGGAACGAATTTTGAGGACGATCCTACAACGAAAACATCAGCGGCGGGATAGATCAAGAATCAAACCACAGTGTCATTGATATAATGCAGATTTCTTTCCGTTTTCGCAAAGATTTCGAAAAAGCTTGAAAACGACTTCCCCTAATAAACCTCCTGCCTCCTATCCTACGAACACCCAAAACTCCACCCCTTCCCGCCACCAGAAGATGCGTAGGCTGATTTCCGGAATTGGACACTGACAGGATATCCTTGAGAAAAGTTGATCGGAGACGGGAGACGGAAAATAAGGGAAATCCCTATGGATGGGGCGCCGATGAATGCTATGAACCCAACGACCTAATCCAACACAACGCGGGAAAAGGAGTCTCCCCAGCACACCAGTGCAAGGATCAATGCCTGAAACACGTCTTATTAATGCGTGTTCGCAGTGCAGCTATTCATCCTTTACTTCCAGTGGCGGCGTGACTTGCATGACACCCTGAGATTCAGTCTCATTAGGATTCTGCACTGTTTCTCGCCCATATGCAGCGCTCAAATTTTCCTCGGCGGCTGCGGAAGCGGGTTGCTTGGCGGGGGTGCTGGCCTGATCGGCAATTGCATGGGCTGACCGCCAGATAGTTGGCCCGCGCTGCTAGTCCTGGCTGGGTACTGTGGTCTCTCTCTACCGTCTCTGGAGTCTTGACTACCGCTAGAGCGTGGGGTATGGCTCGAGGTGGGAGTGTGACGGCCATTGGAAGCAGAAGACGGCGTTGGGCTGTGACTCGGGGATGCGCGGAGTTGTTCACGCATCTTTGCAGATGCAGGTGTCGGCTGCAGATGGGACTTGCGGTTCTGGCGCTCCATCATACTAACCGCCCACGCCTCGAGGTCCACCGGAGTACGCTTAGCAGCAAGGAGGAAGGGGTCCGTTTCCTGTTTGAACAGTTAGCTTAAGGGAAAAGGATAGAGGGGTGACGAGGCACATACATATAGATCCCAAGGCGTTGGCCGCTCATCCGGATTCTTCATCAGACAGCGCGCGATCATCTCCTCCAGAATCGACGGGAAAGCATCGCTCTTGGGAAGCTTGGGGGCGGGCTCGAGCACAATCTGCTGCAAGAGGTCCAGAATGCCCTGCGGTCCACCGGTTTCGTCGTCCGCGTCGCTGTTGAAGGGGAATTTGCCAATGGCAAGCTCCATCAGGGTCAATCCCACACTCCAGACATCCGACTTGACTGTGTATTTTGCGCCCTGGATCCTCTCCGGGGCCATGTAGGTGCCGGTTCCGACGAATGTCTCCGCGACCGAGCCCTCCAGCTCGCTCGAAACACCAAAGTCACAAATCTTGATTTGTCCCCGAGAATTGACCAGGATGTTGGACGGCTTCATATCGCGGTGCATGATCCGGTGCTGCTTGTACAGGTACGAGAGGCCGCCAAGAACTGCTTCTGCGATCTTTCCCAGTACATCGACGCGGACGGGGCCAAAGTTCTTCGAGATGCCGTCGAGCGAGCTGCATTCCTGTTAGACTTCTCCTGGTACTCCCGAGAGCCGTGGGTCACCTTACCCGCAGTCCATATACTCCATGCACATCACAACATCACCCGACTCATTCTGGAAGGCGCCGTAGAACGATACAATGTACGGGCAGGCGCAGTCGTGCATGATGCGCAGCTCGCGCACTATCCGCTTGCGGACTTCGTTCTTCGCCTCGACGTGGATAATCTGCAGGGAGATTGTTAACAATCGGGACAGCTTCGGATTTAAGCAGATAAATCCACGCACCTTGCGGGCCATGATGGCCTTTGTAGCAGCATGCTGGACCTTGCTGACGGTGCCTCCGTTGCCATGGCCGAGCTCTCTTATCACGATGAGGTCCTCCGCTCTGAGGTCCAGCCTGAACTCGACGCCAATCTCCAGCTGGCCGGCGGCCCTGTCGTCGTCGCGGCGCGATCCAGGCAGCTGTGCGTCGGCGCCAGACTGCGCGGCGCGCGGCTGGGGCGCATTCAGCGCCAGGCCCTTGACGTTCTTCCGCTTCATCGTGCGGACTTTGAACTGAGAATCCGCCATGTTGGGCGCGTGGTTGCGTCACTGTGCTCGATGGGCTGTGGGGGGTGTGGTGGGCGGTGGGCGGTGGGCTGGCGGCCGCAGAAGAGGTCAGGAGTTGGAGGGACGTAACGGCGGCAGAGCTGCGAGGGCGTTGCGGCGGCGGAAGCGTGGTGCACCAATCGGGAGTCCGCTGGCGAAAGGAGGTACCGGGTGTGGTGCCCGTCGGGCAGGGCGTCTAACTATTGGATTGCCGCTTTGGGCGCGACGGTGGGTCCGGTTGGAGGGTAGAGTCGCTCAAGGACAGCAGTGCTGGTCGGGTGCGAGCGAACGAGGTGAGCAGACAGGACAACGGCGCGCGGTGGGCTGGAACAGGATTTTGAGCGGCGGTGGTGGTTAGCGGGCGTTTGCAGTCGAGAACGCCGTGACGCGCTGGCTGGGGCGTGGGGCACGGGGCGTGCAGTGGGCGGCGGTTCAATCAGCGTCCGAACAGCAGGCGGGCACTGGTGGTTCCTGCAAGCCGCATCGCGGCAGCTCTGCTATTTGACCAGTGGCACAATGAGACGGAGTCGCAAGTCATGAATATCACGGACTAGCGGCAGCGGGGCTGTTTCACTGCGGAGGCTCCTCTCTGCATGATCCGCAGAAATCATCGCGCGCTGCTCTGAGCGCTCAGGCTTCAACGCGGCCTGGCGGCCACGTTCAGTTTCACATGTGCCTACGGGCGCCGGCGATCTTACAGACGAGATGCGTTGCGTTTTGCCGCTCCTTGCGCGTGCCATCGCCTGGCAAGCGAGGTGATGATGTGAGGCCGTTACGAGCAACTATAGCGGCCGGGTTCATAGGACACGGCGCACAGAGGCGAGCCGCCAGGACAGTGTCCGCTTGTCTCTCGCTGCGCGGAGGGGTCGGGTCGGGTACGGCCCGACCTGCGGTTATGTCAGCGGCCCAATCCGGCGGGCGGTGAGAAAATGCTTGGCACGCCGCCGCCTTGGCGCGCTCAGCTTTCATGTTCACTGCTGGCGTCGCGGTGACCAGCGCTGCTGCGAAGCCGACAACTCCATCCACCAAACGCGCCCGAGCACCTCGGCCAGCCTCGTTGTCGCGCGCCCCCGCCGGCGCACCGCTTTCCCGCCACGTCAGCTACACAAGCCTCGCATCTCGCCGGCCGATCGTAACTTCACAACATGGCGCATCCCCTGCTAGACACCGCCGCCGAGCTAGGCAGCGAGTCTGACGACGGCGACTACGACGAGGAAAATGCCGGCCAGAATGAGGGCAAGCCGGCCCGCAATACACGCGGAATGGACGACTCCAGCGAGGAGGAAGACGAGGACGACGACGAGGAAGCCGCCGCCGCTGTAAGTATCTGCGCCACCCTTCTCCTGCCATTGCGTCAACACGCTCACCTTACGTCCCTTCTAGATTCGCGAAGGCTTCATCGTTGACGAAGATGAAGAGGATGAAGAGGAGCGGCGCGCCCGCAGGCGCGAGAGGAGAAAGAGGCGGCGGGCCGAGCGTGAGGAAGAAGAAGCTGCCTTAGACGAGGAGGACCTTGACCTCATCGGCGAGACAGTCCCTCGGGAGCAGCCCACTCAGGTATGCGTCTGTGTGATCCTGTTGTGCAAACTGGTTCTGACGTGCCATAGTCCAAATTCAAGCGCCTCAAGCGCGGCCACAGGGAAGAGCGTCCGGAACGAGGCCCCCGCGGTGTCGACGATATTTTCTCCGATGAAGACGAGGACCTTGGCGACGGATATGACGAGAGGCCCTCCCGCCGGGAACAGAGGGGCGGCGTCACCGATGAATTCGCCGACTTCATTGAAGAAGACGTCTTCGACGACGAAGAGGGCTTACAAGACGAGGAAGACCGAGAGGTCGCCAGGCCTGGCAAGAGGACCGTTGCCGGTGTGGGTTTCCCGGAGGCTGGATTGGATGAGGCCGAAATGGAGGATTACCGGAATGCATTCGGCGATGGCACAGAATACGACTGGGCCTTGGAGCTTCAAGAACAGAAGGACGAGGAGGAACTGGGAGACGAGAAGCCTTTGGAGCTGAAGGATGTGTTCGAGCCATCCCAGCTCGCAGAGAAGATGATGACGGACGAGGACAACACGATCCGTTTTACTGACGTCCCTGAGCGGTTCCAGCTTGCTAGGAAGCCATTCAAACCACTGGAACTCGACGAAGATGAAATGGCAAACCGTTTGGGTGTAGAGGCCCTCTGGGTATCCAAACTCCTCTGGCCCAAGAAGCGCCTTGGCCAAAGCTGCGAACAACCCTTCCAGAAGGCCGTTCGAAAGGTCTTGGAGCTCATGAATATCGAGGATCTGGAAGTTCCTTTCATCTTCAACCACCGGAAGGACTACTTGATCCACTCCAGCTCCCAGCAAGATCAAGACGACATTGACGGAAATTCCGGGCCCCAGCGACTTCTCACTCAAGCAGACCTATGGGAAATCTTCGAACTGGACTTGAAATTTCGAGCTTTGTCAGAGAAACGAGAGGCCCTCATCAAGACCTACGACACGCTGAGGACCATTTCAAATGTTGAGGATCCTGTGTTCGAGATGCTTCTCACAAAGGCCGAATCGATTGAAGAGATCCAGGACATCCAAGACTACATCCATTTCACGTACTCGGCTCAGCTCAAAGACGTCAATACCATGGAGGCGGAAGCCGGCACTGGTGTCCAGAAACGGACGCGCGGCGGCAACACCGTGTATGAGAGAATCCGAGCAAGCAAGGTCTACAACCTTGTTCGTGCCATTGGCATCACTCCTGACGATTACGCGAAGAACCTGCAGAAGGAAGGCCACCGTTTGTATCCTGAGGATCCCCAAGAAATGCCAGAGGATATGGCCGATCATCTATTGGAGCCTCCGGAGTACCAGACTTCCGCTGCAGTCCTGCGTTCAGCAAAGGCGATGTTTGCGGAAGAGCTTGTCATGAGCCCGAGGATGCGGAGCATTATGCGACGCACCTTCTACACCAGTGGACTTTTCGACATCTACCGAACCGAGAAGGGTCTCCGCAAGATCACTGAGGATCATCCGTACTACGAATTCAAGTATCTGCGCAACCAGGAGTACACAGCCATGGCTAGGAGGCCTGAGTTGTTTTTGCGGATGCTTAAGGCCGAAGATGAAGGCATGGTTGAAGTCAAAGTCCGCTTGCAGAACTACGACAGGATCAAGGAAGAGTTTAGGTCACTGCTCAGCTCGGATGGAACTAGCGATCGTGCCGCGAACTGGAACAAGTTTCGGTCAGAGATCCTGGATATGGCTTTGCCTAAGCTCGAAAGGATCATTGCCAAAGGTGTCAAGGAGACTGTCAAGGCAGAGTGCGAGAATGCTCTGGCCAGACAATGCAAGGACAGATACGCAGAGAAGTTGGATCAGGCGCCGTACAAGCCGAAGGGCATGCAACTTGGTACCATCCCCAGAGTTCTCGCACTGTCCAACGGTAACGGTATTCCTGGCCGCGACGCTGTCTGCTATGCCTGGGTTGATGAGGAAGGCCGTGTGCTCGAGCAAGGAAAGTTCAACGACCTCCGACCTGGAAACAAAGAAAAGTACATTCCTGACGCGAAGGATATCGAGGACCTTGTTGAGTTGATTCAGCGGCGGAGACCCGATGTCATTGGCGTATCCGGCTTCTCCGTGGAGACTCGCAAGCTCTACAAGGATCTCCAACAAATCGTGGATGATCATGATCTCCATTGCGCTGACTACGAAGACGAGGACGGCAACGAAAAGAGCGACAAGCTTGAGGTCGTCATGGTCAACGACGAGATTGCACGACTTTACCATACCAGCGACAGGTCCAATGTGGATCATCCTGGCCAGCCTCCGTTGGTGAAGTACTGTATCGCCCTAGCCCGTTTCCTGCAAAGCCCCTTGAAGGAATACGCTGCTCTCGGCAAAGACATCATCTCAGTTTCCTTCGACCCGAACCAAATCCTTCTCCCGCAAGACAAACTCATGAAGTACCTGGAGATGGCGATGGTGGACATCGTGAACCTTGTCGGCATTGAGATCAACGATGCCATCGCCGACTCTTATCTCGCGAACTTAATCCCGTACGTGTGTGGTCTTGGGCCAAGAAAGGCACAGCAGCTTCTCAAGGTCACCAATCTCAACGGCGGAGTTGTATACACGAGGGACGAGCTTGTAGGCGACCCTGACAAGAAGGTTCTTCCATCCGTTGGCCCCAAAGTCTGGACGAACTGTGCCAGCTTCCTCTACATCAGCTATGACCCGACAGAGCCAGAATCCGACTACCTGGACTCCACTCGTGTGCATCCTGAAGATTATGATCTTGGTCGCAAGATGGCGGCGGATGCACTTGAGATGGACGAGGAAGACATCAAGGCCGAACAAGATGAGAATGGCCCCGGCGCGGTAGTAAAGAGGCTCATCCGTGAGGATGCTCAAGAAAAGGTCAACGACCTGGTCCTGGAAGAATATGCCGAGCAGCTGGAGGCACAATTCCATCAGCGAAAGCGCGCCACCCTCGAGACCATCCGTGCCGAATTGCAGGTGCCATATGAGGAGTTGCGCAACAAGTTTACTTACATGACATCTGACGAGATCTACACCATGCTCACCGGAGAGACTCGTGAGTCGCTATCTGAGGGCATGATTGTTCCCGTGAAGATTCGACGTGTCTTCCCCGACCACATCGAAGGACGCTTGGACTGCGGCATGGAAGCCATCTGCAACGAGCCTGAGTTCCCCAACAATGTGGGTGGGGAGCGTGGTATTGACCCGAGGCAAGTGTTTCAGTCGAACCAGACTGTGCAAGCAAAGGTTACCTTCCTTAATCGGAAGGCATTGTCCTGTCAGGTTTCTTTCAACGAGAAACAACTTAAGGATGGTCACAACCGGCACATCGACCGCCCTCGAGGTGAATGGGCGGATGACCAAGAGAAGGCCGACAAGGACGCAGAAGCCAAGGAAAAGGAAAGCAAGACCGGTCGCGCTCAGCGTGTCATCAAGCATCCTCTCTTCCGCCCTTTCAACGCCGCCCAGGCGGAGGAGTTCCTTGGCTCTCAAGGTCGGGGCGATGTCGTTATCCGGCCTTCTTCCAAGGGATTGGATCACCTTGCTGTTACCTGGAAGGTGTCTGACAACATCTATCAGCACATCGACGTATTGGAGTTGGATAAGGAGAACGAGTTCAGTCTGGGACGTACTCTCAAGATCGGTGGTAAATACACGTACAGTGATCTTGACGAGTTGATCGTACTTCACGTCAAGGCTATGGCCAAGAAGGTCGATGAGATGATGACGGACGAGAAATACCAGAGTGGTAGCAGGGCGCAGACCGGTAGGCATTTCGCATTACGAATCCATGAACCGTAATTCGCTAACAAAAGTCTACAGAGCAATGGCTTACGACTTACACTGAAGCCAACCCCAGACGTAGCATGTACGCGTTCTGCATCAACCCGAAGTTCCCTGGGTACTTCCATCTCTGCTTCAAAGCGGGCCAACAAGCTGAGCTCGCTTCCTGGCCTGTGAAAGTCATCCCGAATGCTTTCGAGCTTCAGAAGAATCACTACCCAGACATGCGTGCGCTGAAGAACGGATTCAAGCTTCTCTTCGCCAATAACGCCGCTAGGAAGCGGTAATCGGGGAATTGGGCTTTGCGCAATTTGGTTTAGTATGAGAGATGGGGTTTAATTTGCTTTTCTTCGGAGCGGTCATCACTGTTCCGTCTGTTCTGGCGTTTTGATTGAAGACCGGCAGCTCACATGCCGATGAGGGTCACTGCAGTCCCGCGTGGGAAGAAGAAAAACAACCCCCAAACCGAACATATCCAGCTTGAGAAGTGGGCGTTTTTGTTTGGTTTGTTCTTTTCGAAAGCTTCGGCCTGCTCACGATGATATCGTTGGTAGCAGAGGCATGCATTACTAGCAGGTGACTGTAGGGGTTGATTGGCGGGAAACAGAAATTTTTCAAAAAGTATGTACTCCGGGTTCAGAGCAGGTTTGAAATCCGGAAATGAAATGGATGACTGAGCAACCTAAACACATCATGAGGACAGGTGTGCTGTGTGATTCGCAAAAGTGATATTGAACTTTCCACTACCCATGCTATTCAACCACACCATCAGCAAAGCTTTTTAAGCATGTGTCGTGATCTTCAATGGTTCACAACTCTGATACCAAATTGGATCTACCAGATTGGTTCGCTTGGTATTCTAGCAAAGCTGGGCCAGACTTTTGTTTTGCAATTATTTACATACATGTTGTCCATTTATGTATGGATGGGCGACTCGACCACGTTGTCTGTTGCAGTACGGAGATTCATACCAAAAGTCCCGTCCGCCGATCGCTGCCAAATTCCGCGCCAGGGCGGACGAGACTTTTGGTATGAACGGTCCATACTAGACCTCACATTCACACCCACATCACTGCATGGTCATGAGACTTGGGAAAGGAAAAAAAAGGAGGTGGCGAAAGCTTAGAATGAAAGGCTTAAAGATAACAACACATCTGGGACAAAGCGGGGGCGGAAAGCATGGGAGACGAACAAGCACGAGACAAAGAAGTGTGATAGAGACAGGGATGCGGCATGGGTGTGGCACCCAGTCACGGACGGAATTCACCTTCGGCCTTCCTTCAGTCATGCGCTGAGGTTTCAGAGCACGCAATGGCTTGTTTTGACCTTGGAAGACTCACGACTCTCTAACGGCTGAGCATGATGCATCGTTCCTAGGCCGATTGCAGAGGCTGGCCGGTGGTGTTCATGTAGAGAGATAGTGTAGATGCAATCAACGCGTCAAAATTTGCGCGCTAAGACAATTGTGGTTCAATGATCAAACCCCAAGTTCTTCACTCTCCCGCAATCCTCGATTGCAAAGTCTAGTAATAAATTGCGATCTGGACGACTAATCTGATACGACTTGGTACGAACCAACTACTTAGGCAAACGGGCCGTGCTGGCATATTTAGCCTCCACAGATCTGTGACGATTCCGAAGTCCATCAGGGTTGATGTCCGTCCCGCAGTCTTCTAGCGCAGCGCAGAAAATAGAGAAGCCTACGGTAATTAATTTCACCCACGTTTAACGGATTGCGTTTCCAGATTGACGGTGCGCGCTCGCGCAACAGAAGAGCACGACCAAAATCCTTACGCACATCGTTCTTTCGGGCGGCTGAATGGAAAATCCTACGAGCCTCGGCAACTTCCTTACCGACATGAACAAACCGCACTGACATTTGCAACTCGGTAATCTCAGAAACGAAAGAGGTAGAGATGCGGGCCTCTGGACGCTCCGTGGAAGGTATCACAAGTCCAAATTTGGCTTCTCTTTATACTAGCTTCGGCAAGTTTAACTGGAAGGGCCATGGTCACGAGTCAAAGGGCTACGCTCGTTTTTGCCAGAAGACAAGGTTTGAGTAGTCTCGTGGTTGTCGAGGTAACTTCGCCGAAGGTTCGTCGTCGATAGGGCAGCAAACGAGTCGGTGAGTACAGGCAGCAGACCCACCACCATGCCTTGGTACTTTCCAAACGTTTTAAATGCTCCTGACCCGGAAGATTGGAAGGGCTTAGATTGGGCAGCACTCGGGTATGACGGGCCATACCGAGATAGCCAGGGGCCAGCATGCGCGCATCCAAGGAGGAGCCGGTGCCGCGGTGCTCTGGTAACGTGGATGCGCGGCAGCCCCAAACAATCGAGTCGAAGGAGATCATGACGGCATATGCGAAGCAGACACAGGCTTACCCGAATAGGCACTGCACGAAGGCGGGCAACACGGCCGAGAGACCGAGCGTTGGGGTCACGCAGCAGCCCCCGAATCATTACCACAGAATGTCAATCTCCGCGCAGGCGATAAGCGGGTGCAGCCGAGAAGCCAGGCTGATACGTATACAGGCTGCGTGGCGGCGAGCGGTGTCGTGTCGCGCGCTGGCTGCGGCGAATTACTCGTGTTACTTGCCATCAAGCCCAAACGTGACGGGTGCCGATCAGCATTACCACCGGCGTCATAGGGATGCTTGGATGCTTGATCGACAGGCGGCGGCGGCTCCTGAATCAGCTGGGAGTGGGCGGTCGGCGCTGGAGTGTCTTGGGCCGGATAGTACGAGCGAGAGTGAGGTGAGAAGGGCAGGCCCGAGGCGCCGCTTGGCGGGGTGGACCCTTTCCAACGGCGCGTTAGCTGCCTGCGGCTGCCGGCGGAGGTGCTGTGCTGCGTGACATCGGGGCGGCGTCGTCATTGGCAGTCGAAACCCACAGTGTAGAGGCCTGCTGGCATCATTGCAAACAGGGGCGTGAAGATGCGAGGCGGCGACGATCGGGCGCGCCGGCCAGCAGGTTTCTGCTGGTCCCCGCCGTATGATCCCCCACTTGCCCTGCTGCCACGAGGGTGCGGCCTGGACTTTCGGCGTGCAGCCTTCCAAGCTTGGACTTTGGCCTTGGGTCATCCGGCACATGACGCGCCTTCGAGGACCGTTGCGCTGAAGCGCCCGTCAAACACTCTCCACGTCGTCCGTCCTCTTCAGACACGCCGCCCTCCAAGAGCCCAGGGACCGGCCAATCCTGCGTGATTCTGCGCATTCGCCCGCTGCCTGCTGTGACGCCTGCTTGACTCCGGCCCTGAAGCCATCGCTCCCAGCGCCGCGCCTCGCCCAATTCCCGCTCCCCAGCGCAACACCACTCTCTTCGCATCGCCTCTCCACCGCCCGCCAAATCTCCTCCCACTCTCGACCCGCCCTCCGAGCGACTCAATGAGCGCCCTGCAGGAGCCACCCAAGGCCATGCCTGTGGGCCCCAGCCCGCGCAATTCCTCCGTCGCCCTGTTGCCAGAGCGCCGCACCACCGGCGACGGCGACGCCGCCAACGACGACGCAGCCGCGACCCCAAAGTCGGCCGGCAAGCGCCGCTTCTTCGGATTGGGGCGAAAGAAGGACAGCGCCGATAAGAAGGAGGACAAGCCCGTCAAGCAGCAGGACCAGGCGCCGCCGCGCACCCCAGCCGGCGTGCCTGCAAACGCGACTGCGCCGCCGTCGCAGTTGCAGACAACGCCTGCGCGCGCTGCCGTGCGTCCTATTTCACCAAGGCATTCGCCGCCCGTCGATGCCCGCCAGGCCTTTGTCTGCACGCCTCAGGGCAGTCCGCGCGTCTATGCTTCGTCCGCCGCGTCCCCTAGCAGGGGTTACAGATCCTCCTCGCCGCGGCTCCACTCGCCGGCTTCATCGCAAATATTCGAGCGCAATGTGCAGGAGAACACCCTCCCGGGCGAACTTTCGCCCGCTATACCCTCGCACATCCAAACCGAGGATCACATCCCGCCGGTGCTGGAAGCTTCGGCCCAGGCCATCACGGACGATCACTTGAACCCGGATGAGGTCGAGATCGTAATGCACGCTGCGCACCAGCCCGCAGCATCCAGCATCGCCGCGAGTTCCGGATCCACCGAGGCTGTGTCGTCGCCGACGATCGACGAGGTGGCCTCTAAGTCGGAAACGGATGACGGGGCCGATGGCTCAAACTACGGCTCCTTTGACAAGGAAGACGTGCGCCGTCTCTCCTTCATCTCCTTCGCAGATGTCGTGCAAGCAGAACACGCCGAGACCAGCCGCGACTCTATCCACCACATGTCTCTCTCATCGACCGCAAATCGTTCGCCGTCTCCTGTCCGGAGCCCCGCTTCTTCTCGCGGCGTCGGCACGAGCCCCCCAACCAGCGGTGCTCCCAGCATGAAAGGAATCGACGCGAAGGTACCACGTATAGGCGGTGCGCCTGCAAGTCCGACTCTTTCTCAGGGTGCTTACAGCCCGCCGCTGAGCGGCGGTGAGCTCATGGTCGAGACAATGCGACAGGCATTGAGGAAGACTGGCAGCGGTGACTTGAGCGGCGCGAGAAGCCCGAGCCAACCCATGAGTGCTGCTAGTCTTGAGCCAGAAGGCTCAGATCGACCGCCATTCAGGTGAAGGAGCCAGGATCATTGTGGTTGGGCACGAGTTACGACGTCGTACTGCTTGGCAGGCTGAACATGCGAAATGTGAATGGTGATGAGAGGGGCTGATGTGTTCAGGCTTGGCCACCGCCATGACGGTGCGAGTACGGGTAATCTGGGTGCTCAGGATGCTCAGCTGGGATGGACCTGTGCAGATGGCTAGGTATGCTTTGGTTCGCGGAGTACCCCTTTTCTGCTTTTTTCTACGAACGCCTTTTCTGCTTCTGCCTGACTTTTTAGGTTGGTTTCTTTTTCCATTCTTTTTTTTTTTTACGGGCAGAAGATTTACCATGGGCGCATGTTGGCGTGGTTTGCTCTTTCAAGCAGGCAGATTCCCCTTCGCGGTGATGGTTGTTTTTCTCTGTTCTTGATTTTTCTGTGGGTGGGGTCTATCTCTCATCTTACACGTTAAATTTTTTTTTTCCGTGCTGGAGCATGATGGAGACGGATTCTTTACCCCTTTTTGGGACGTTTATACCGATTGCGATGGATGACGGTTAGTACACACGTCATGATTGAGATACTTGTTATTGAGATACACCGAGTATGGCAGAGTTGCATTTGCTTACGGATCTGCTTGTAGCAAGCATGTGCACCAGGCGCAGTGGGGGCGACTTGTCGAGAGCTGATTCACCGGCTGTCAGATGGCTGAATGCTGATTCATTGGCAGAGGCCTGATGAACTGACTTCCCACAGTCGGGCTAGAACACGGGACACGTCTCTCCTGTCGCTCGGGCTCTGTGCTTACAAGGAAGGCTTTTTGGGACCAAGAAGCCATGTGCTGATCAGCCTTGTACAATAGACGCGGTCCCGGCAAATGGATTCGGGCGGCTGGTAAGCGACACAAGCGCACGACACTTGTGAAAAGCTCTATAGCTGCATAAGGCAGTCAATTAAAGAATAGATGGGGCACAAGACCCTATTCGGCGCCCGACTGACATTCTGATACAAGGCAATGGGTGCCTGACGGCCTTTTTAACTCCATTGCCCGGCCATTGACGCCGACATCCAGGTGCAGCTTGCTGCAGCAGCGCAGCACAGGTACGTACGGGCCGTTCACCCGGCTTAAAAAAAAAAAAAAGCAATGCAAGACAGGGACAGAACGTCAGGAACCCGCCCTCATTACAGCAGCAGGCCATTGGCGGCTGCACGGCGGGTGTTTCGAGGTCACAGACGGTGCGAAACAACGGCAGCTCAGGACGAAACACGGTTGTGGCGCCACGTATGTGGTGCTCGGAGAGTTAGATACATAGGAGAATTATTGACATGGCTCGTGGCCCTTGTGCAATGCTGGAGCAGCAGGCATTCAAACGGGCAGCCAGCTGTCCGTTCCCAGCGCCACGGTAATGAGAAAGGGCGCAGGGAGCCCCGACGGGTGGCTCGAGTGCTCGCTGCGCTGTTCCAAGCGAAGGGTCTGGGACTTCCAGGGGCGGGAGAGGCAGCACGCAGATGGCGGCGGGTCGCTCCCTTGCAGCGTCGTCGGCGGCGCGCCCAAGACGCTGACGGGCGCTGCTGATGGACGACTAGCAGTGGGCGGGGCGGGCGCCGATTGGGAGGGCAGCGATTCGACGGCTATGGTACGGGGGCGGGCGCGGCAGGCCGGCGGGCGCTGGGCGTGGAGCGGCGGTGCTCAGTGCGCGGCGCTGCATGCGGTGAGCGGCGCCGTTGGGCAGTTGAGCGACGCTGGGCGTGGATGCATGCGTGGAAGCGTCAGATCGAAGGCTTGGCCTCGCAAGGGGAGAAGTGTGTCAGCCAGCGCGGTGCAACGGCGGTGCTCAAGCAGATCGCTGCATGCACCTGGGTGGACTCCAGCGGGCTGCTCGGGGGGGGAGCCGCACCGATGGGCAGGACCGGCAACCCAGCACCAGAGGCGAGTCGAGCATCAGGCCTGCCCGAGCGCCTCTCTTCCCGCTCCGAGCAGGCGCCCTAACCGCTGCGGGCACGCTGCTGGGCTTCCCTGTCGCATTGGCACGAGCGCCCGGCCCTATTCATCGCTCGAGCGAAGGCAGAACCACGAACACCAGGCCCGCCCTGACAAACACCGCTCTCATCACGTCCACCGCCGCCCATTCCCGCTCACCAGAGAGCGCACAGAGCCGCGCCCTCCTCCCACCGACACTGCGGCGCGAGCGAAGGCATCCCCAGCGCGACGCAGCACCCCCGAGCTTACCGAGCCTCTCGCTCGCCTCCTGCTCCTGCGAAGCTGCTCCTGCGCTGCGAACGCCCCGGCCCTGCCCCCGAGCCCCCAGCACGACCGACGCCCGCATGCCTCCCTGACCCGCGGCGCCAGCACGATCGTCCTCCACACCAGCGAACCCTCGCCGACGGCAAACCAATGCGGGCGCTCGCCATCGCTACGGGTCGTGTTCATTGCGTTATCGCCGCGCAGGTCTGCGTCTCGCTCGGGCCTCGCACAGCCGAGTCTGCTCGCCAGTCACGCATACACAACCACACGTTACACGCGGCGGGCGCCAGTGGCAGGCGTCTGCAGACCAGCTGCGGACCGAGTGGTCTCTGCGGACGAGCGCCGTTTGCTTGAGCCCGGAACACCACCACAAGCACCACCCGCACGGCCGCCGACTAGTCCGGCATCATGGACACCGCCCGGCCCTCGCGCCGCAAGAAGACGGCGACTTCTGTCCCGGAAGACGCACCCTACGCTCAGGATGAATCGCCGTTGCCCAGCGCGTCCTTCTCGCAATCTTCTTCCACCATCCGCCCGGTTACCCCCGAGTCGAACCCAGACATCGCCCAGTCCGTCCCCGACGACCACCTGCAAGCCGACTTCAGCACCGCAACCTCTCCCGCGACTTCTCCCAAGACCCTGGCGCGCGACGGCTCTAGGCACATGCACCGCGGCCTGGTCAACCGCACGGCGACGGCGTCAAACGATGGAGAGTATGCGATGAGGAGCTCCCGAGAGCCCTCCAACCGCCCGCGCACCCGGACCATGGAGGAACGGACGTCCAGGGACCGCTCGCCAGCTTCCTTGTTTCAGAAAAACCGTCACCGCATCGGCTCAGTCCACTCGACCGGTCAGGTCCCCTTCCAGGGCCTCGACGATACCGTCACCTCCATCGGACACCCATCCACCATCTCGCCGCCTCCCGTTGCCTCTTCGCGGAACAACTCGGGCTCGCGGGCACGCCTGATCAAGCAGCCGCCGCGGCCCACGTCTCCGCTCCCCCATTCACACTCGGCCCAACCGGATTCGTGGGTCTCGCCGGTCCCTGCCTCAGACGCAAAGAAAATACTCAAACTTATGCGGTCGACGTGTGGACGGATGAAGGGCATGTTGGCTTTCAGAAGAGGGGATACGAGCCCTTGGGCGTTGTCGTACTGTTACATCAACGAAGAGACTGGCAGCTTGGTATACGAGCCCAAGAACGACAACTCCTACCACCGGACTCTGATTCCGGATCTGCGAGGTTGCCGTGTCAAGACTGCGTACGACGCGGAATCCTACACCGCATACATCGATGTTAATCTGCACAATTCTAACCTGGAGGTTCACCTCCGCCCTCCGACCCAGGAGGAATATGATTCGTGGTTTGCAGCTCTCATGTGCTGGCAGCCCATCCGCCCCAAAGGAATCCAGAACAAAATGGCGAAGCCCCAGCAGCCACTTTCAAGCGCAAGCGGCAGGCCGCCGCTCGACAGCCGACGGCATTCCGAGATCTCTCTTTTGAAGGAGGCACCCATAATAAAAGTTGGAAAGATGATATTCTGGGATACAAATGTATCATTTAGCAACAACAATACCGGTACTCCCAAGTCCGGCCAACCCGCCGCGACTGGATCGGCTCGACCTGCTGCCGGAACCCGCGTGCAGAGCTTCGGTGCTCGCAGGTGGCGCCGTGTGTCTTGCACTCTGCGAGAGAACGGTGAGCTGAAGCTGTACTCTGACACTGACGTCACGCTCGTGTCGGTGGTGCAGCTATCGCAGCTTTCACGATGTGCGGTTCAGCGGCTGGATCCGACCGTCCTGGACAGCGATTTCTGCATTGCCATTTACCCTCAGTACACGTCCACCTCCACATCCTTGTCTCTTCTCAGACCAATTTTCCTGTCTTTGGACTCGCGGGTGCAATATGAGGTCTGGCTTGTCCTTCTTCGCGCGTTTACGATACCCCAGTTATACGGCCCGAAACAACCTTCGATCAGTCTTCCAGAAGATTTGCAGTCGCCGGGGTCTCAATCGTCACAACTGGCCCAAGCGCAAAACGCCTTAGACATGTTCCGCATGGAACGATCTCTCAACGTTCGCATCATCGAGGCCCGGCTAAGCCCGCCCTTGAGCCCCAAGTTTGGGGAGGGCCGCGCAATTCATCATGGGCCACGTCCTTCATCAGGGAACAAAGAACTTCAAGGTGGCTATTACGTCGAAGTCCTCTTGGATGGCGAAACTCGCGCAAGGACCATGATCAAAGACGCTTCGGATCCTTTCTGGCGGGAAGAGTTCGATTTCCAGGATTTGCCAGCGGCTTTGTCGACGGCCAGTCTGCTGCTCAAAAAGCGGCCGACGACACCGCCAAATAACGGATCAAAGGCCCGGGACTATGCCAAGGACCTGGCAAGAGATGCCTTCTCTGGCAACGACAGTTCTGGGGGTTACGCGGGCATCTCTTTTGATCAGACCTGTGGAAAAGTCGACGTTTATCTTGATGATATGGAATCTGGCCAAGAGGTGGAAAAGTGGTGGCCCATGGTTAACATGTATGGCAACTCTGTTGGCGAGCTGCTCGTTCGTGTCAAAGCAGAGGAAGGGGTGATTCTGATGGCGCGGGATTATCAGCCAATGTCAGAACTGCTACATCGCTTTTCCAACGGACTAACCCTCCAGATCGCAACGATGATACCGCAGGAGCTCAAGAGATTAAGCGAATGCCTCCTCAACATCTTCCAAGTCTCTGGCCAAGCCGGCGAGTGGATAATGGCCCTTGTTGAAGAGGAAATCGACGGAACAGCCAAGGAAACCTCCGTCAGTCGGCTTCGTTTCAGTCGTCGCTTGGGTTCAGGCGATGCCGGTGACATGACCTACTCCAACGCCGGTGATCGCGAATTGGTCGTCCGTGATTTGGGCAACAATGCCAAACTCGAGGCAAACCTGTTGTTCCGCGGCAACACTCTATTAACCAAGGCTCTCGACTTCCACATGAAGCGTCTCGGCAAGGAGTACCTCGAAGAAACACTTGGAGAAAAGCTGCAGGAGATCGCAGACCGTGATCCTGAATGCGAAGTCGATCCAAACCGTATTGGAGACCCCCACGAGGTGCAGCGCAACTGGAAGCGGCTCATTGGCCTGACCGAGGAGATGTGGGAAGCCATTGCTACTAGCGTTCACAGATGTCCTGCAGAGCTGCGTTTGATCTTCAGGCATATCAGAGCATGCGCAGAAGACCGCTATGGAGACTTCCTGAGGACTGTCACGTACAGTTCCGTCAGTGGCTTCATCTTCTTGCGTTTCTTCTGCCCGGCTGTTCTGAACCCTAAGCTTTTTGGCCTGCTGAAAGGTATGTTTGATTGATTCAAGTCAGGGTTGGACGGGGCACAGCTAATGTTCAACAGATCATCCCAAGATGCGCGCTCGACGCACTTTGACCCTAATCGCAAAGTCGCTCCAAGGTCTTGCCAACATGTCGACTTTTGGCGCCAAAGAACAGTGGATGGAGCCCATGAACTCATTCTTGAATGGCCACCGTCAGGAATTCAAGAAGTTCATTGACGATATCTGCTCGATTTCGCCGAACACCTCGTCCGTCTCGCCGATCCCTCCTTCGTACAGCACGCCGCTCGCAATCTTGCAGCGTTTGCCACCCACCAGCAGGGAAGGTTTCCCAAGCCTGCCGTACCTCATTGACCACGCTCGGAACTTTGCCGAATTGGTCACACTGTGGCTTGACAACACGGGAGAGCTTGCTGAGAATCTAGCGCAAGAGGAGGGTGACCTGGCAAAGTTCCACAACATCTGTGTTGCCCTCAACGCCCGAACACGTGACTGTCTGGAACGGGCCGAACGCGCTGAAAGACCCAGCAGCACCCTCAGCGTCAAGTGGGAAGAACTGGTGGAACAGCTGGAGCATACCTCGATATCTCCGGCGTCCGAGTATCCACCACCGGTACCCACAGAATCACCGCCACTCGGTTTCGAATCAGGTAGCCTGAGGCGGAAGCACAGAGACACGGAGACGAGTACCGGATCGGGCACTTCGGCGCCGTCATCTGCCATTGCTTCAGCCCCCATGTCGCCAACGTCAACAATCGGGACTTTGCCGATTCAAGGCGGGCCGATGTCCCCCATGTCCCCCACCTTGCCAATTCAAGGGGCGACTAGTAATGTGACCTGGCAGCGTGACCCCTGGGATTTTGCCGGGCGTGAGCGCGACGCGCAGCGCGTCTCAGATACGCCGACCACGTCAACAACCGCGGGGACGTTGGGCAGTAACCGCAGTCTCTCGCAGAGGGCCACGCACCATCGAGTCGCGGCGTCTTCCCCTGCCCGTTCAGCAGCATCTACAAACAATACCCCGCGTTCCTCGAGCCGATATGCGCCCAGCACCGAAGGTGGAAATGCAAGCCAGGCCGGTAGTGTGAAAGGCAGCATTGAAGAGACGAGCGACGAGGAGGATGTCGATGACGATGGGGAGAGCAGCATGGGTGCTGACATTGCCAGCCACGGAAGGCACACGCCCCCGGGTTCGTCTCATGGATTCGAAGAACGCATGGGTGTTAGCGAGCAGCAGCTTCTTCACCACAGCGTTGGCCATGGCAGTTACCCGGCCCCTGTGGGAACTCCGCCTCAGTCTGACTGGCCTCGGCCGGCGCCTATTAACGGACCAGGAGGCATGGCAGGCGGTAACTTCACTATGCCGAACAGTGTCTATCCCGCCAACCCGCATTCCTCCTACAACAGCGTATCACGTGTACCTTCTCAGCAAGCTTCATACTCGACGCTCCCGCACGCGCCCGGAGTTCAAAGCATGGAGAGCAGCGTGTACAGCGATCCTGGTCATTCGACGCCGACGTCAATTTCCACGTATCACGTGGGCCCCGTCGTCCCTACGCAGCATTCGCCCGGTGGTCTTCTTGATGAGGATGGCTCAGAAAGTGAGACGACTGCCTTGCCACAGGTGGCCAGGGGAGACCGGAACTACAGCGATGTGCTGGAGAACCTGAGCAGAAGCGAAAGAGAAAGCAGAGGGCTGCGCAGTCTTGTCTTCAAGAAGAGGACCAAGGACGGCAGAGACCGCGGCGAAAAAGAGCGGGAAAGAGAGGAGAAAAAGCAGCGGAAAGCGGAGAAAGAGGCGGCGAAGGAGAAGGAGAGACTGGAGCGAGAGAGGGGGAGAGAAAGAGGTGGCACGCAGAGAGGTCGGGAGAGGATGGGGGACTTGAGCGGCGACCTGCGAGCTGACGACGAATGACTATCGCCGGCCCCGTCCCCATATTTCATGTCTTTTGTCCTGCATCGCGACGCGAGTGATTAATTCTTCGCGAATCCTGGGAGGCGCCAATTTCTTGCATCCTTTTGCTTTTTCTTCGTTGAAGAATGTTTGGAAAAAGGGTGGCATGGTGCTTTTTGGGATGAAAAATGTTCTGTCATTGTTGGGAGAGGGGTCATCATTTCGAGCATCTTCTCTTCGACCCTTGTTTACGAACCTTGTCGTTGTCTTTCTTCACATCACTTGCATAGAGATTCCCCAAAGAGGTGGGCCGAGGTGTCAGGGGGGATTTTGATCCTTTTTTTTTCTTGGTGGACGAAAGCGAGGAAGCACGTTGAGGAAGCGGAACGATCCGTGGGAGATGAAAGTAGCATTTACTGGGTGTCTTGTGTGTTTTTATGCGTTTTTACCTTGTTTTGCTGTTCTTGTTGTCATTTTGCTGTTTCTACATAGCGGACCCTACTGCACTACCTTTTAGTTGATGATGTCTACGATAGGAAGGAGGCCTTTTAACGTAACCTACCACCGCTAGTACCTACACCAGACACACGATACTTTATACTTGGGGCGGTCCTCCACATTTTCTCTTCCCTTGTCCGAGTTTCCTCTTCACCCTTTCCGTCAATCCCGAAATCTCTCCTACACGACATGCCGCGCAGCCCCATAGTTCAGCGTCCTTGAGTCCGTTTCTTTGCTGGGATCAAGGGCACGCTCATGCATGTACGGGCGCACAATACCTCATTTCCTCCTGCGTGGATTTGAGGAAACCGTAAGAAGCTGGGAGTTATAGGATAGGGAGAGAATGTCTTCCCTCCACGGTGGCAGCCCTCTGCCACAGACACAGAGGTGAACCATCTACCCTGTCGCCCTTTCTTCAGAAACGTTTCCCTACCGCCAACAGGATCCATCCGACCACCAACGATGCGCTGCTGCACTACCCGCAGTCTTTTTCTCTCTACATTGCCCCCCTCCCTCTTCGCCGGGAGCAATCATCTCCAGCCACTGGCTGCCAATCGCTCGTTGGCAGCTTTTCCCCTCCCACTCCGCTTTCGAACTACTTCCGTTTACGAAAAGTGCCGCAGCCCTTTTTTTTTTTTTTTTTGCAAGGAAAGAAGAAGAGGTGTGCTTTGATAGCTTCGGTGGCTTCTCTCCTTTCCTGTCGCTCGTTGCATATTTTCCCTTGTCTGATGCCCTCGTTTTGCGTCTATGTAACACTGTGTTGTATTTTTGTCGTTCAAGATGGCATTTGCACCCTCTTTGCATGTGCTTCATTCCCTTCATCTCTTTTTTTTTTTCCATCTTTTCGGGTGGGGTTCGTGTCTGTACAGTGGGAAAGCTCTGCATCGTGCTTTTTCTGAAGGGATAGCAGCGAAGGGTAAGACGTTGGAAGAGTAGGGGAATGAGAAAAGGAGCCACAGGTGGCGATGAGGGGTCGAGGGGCAATGACATGAGAGCTGGGCTTGATGAGACAGGTGGATTACGAGGAAATGTGGATAGGGAGAAGAAAAAAAAGCAGGTGTACGATTTTCTATTTTGTTTTCCTGAGGATGGGGGAGGCCTTTTCCCGAGCATGGGAAGAAGGGAGGAAAGAAGCGGATTAGTCTGTCGACGCTTCTGGGTTGATATATTTGACAGACCTTCCTGTATGTATGTACGTACTTAGCGTATAAGGTATAGAAAAGCCTTTTATGCAAGGAGTTTAAATATATCGGTCAACGTCTCTATGGAATCTTCGTTGGATCACCGATGATACGCACTTCGGTTGACGCCGTTTAGAAGACGAACGTCTCTGAATACTGAGGTGGTGGTGGGAAAGCAGTCATGAATTACTAGGCCTAAGAGCCCTCGACAGTGACCTGAAAATTTATTCACAAACAGAAGGGATATCAAGCAGTTGAAGAAAAGAAAAGGAAATACCTCCAATCCAGGCCTAGGGCGAGAAGCCACTGGTCAGGAAGAGGATGAAGAGAGAGAAGAAAGGAAAAGTACTGGAAGTAGGGAGGCAAGGGGCTCTCCCAACCCGGTTGCGCAGCGAGCGACCCAACTCTTCTGATATTCCTTCTCAGACCAAGAGACATCAACATAAACGGCCAGAAAAGACAGAAGGATGATGGAAATGAAACCCAAGGCGCTAACCAGTCATCAGGGGCCGTAGAACCAATACTCGGCGGCATACTTAACCTCGATCTCCTGCTCCTCAATGCCCTCGCACGTGTCGGGTTGCATGCCGCCGGCAGTGACGACCCTGTAGACGGCGGCGATGCCGTCGTCGGTGGTCGAGGCCTTGGTCAGGTACAGCCAGGGCACGGCGCCCTCGCCGTCGAGGCCGGGGCAGGCGTCGAGCGGGGCGGCGAGGCTGGCCTCCTTCTTGCCCTGGAAGACGATGCTGGCGGCCTCGTCAGGGTACATGGTGAGCGGCGGGAGCAGGTCCCAGGTCGGGGTGCCGGCGAAGGAGAAGAAGTGCTCGCCGAAGGCGGTCGAGGGGAGCGTGTTGGCGTTGGTGGTCGAGGAGGATGTTGTGGGGTTCCAGGGCATCTGGGCGATGACGGCGTCCCACCACGACTCGCCCTCGACCGAGGCCAGGGCGCCGTACATGGCCAGCGCCAGCGGCGGCAGCGCGTTCTCGAAGAGGCGGCCCAGCGGCGACGAGAGGAAGGGCCCGATGTCCCAGAGCGAGGCGAGGGCGCCGGCCGACGAGGGCACGGCCACGGCTTCAGAGGAGCTGCCGCACGTGTAGTTTTGCGTTCCCACGCCCAAGGCTATGTGCTTGAGCTTGTAGCCGGCCGGCGGCGTGGGCAGAGGCGTTGCAGCGCCGGGGATGGTGGGCAGGGTGAGGCAAGACAGGTCGGGGGTGCCTCCGCTACGGTCATGGGTGTTGTGAGAGGAGCGGGTTTGCTTGTCGAGTTGAGTTGGCGAGGAAATAGGGCTGCCGGCGGTGAGTTGGGCAGCCGCCACGAGGAGGGAGAGGATGATGGAGGTGATGGGGTTTGAGGGCGACATGACAGTGATCTGTCCTTTGGCTTCCAAGTTGCTGTTGTTGATATGGGTCGGAGGCCGAGAGTTGCTCCCGCTTGGAGTTTCTCTATCGCCCACGCAACGAGAGCTTTTGGAAGAAGTGCGACGGGATGGTTGTGGTCCAAAAGTCGTAAAGGGGAGTCTTCTTTTCTTCAATGCTCAAAAGAAAAAATTTAAGCGCCGTCCCCAGATTGAGGTTGCACGAGAAACAAGGGCCGATACGTGAGACGAGATTCGAGTAATACGGGCGGCAAACGAAAAGGGAAAGCAGCAAAGACGGAAATTTGTGGGACCGGAAGCCAGCCCACCTCCAATAAGGGAGAGAGCTGTGTATAAGAGGAGAAGAAGTGTGGGTGCACGGAAGGAAACTGCGTGTGTTTGAACTGGGTCAGCAGTGCAGCAAGAAAACAGTCAGCGTCGGATGATTTTATAAAGCGGCTGAGAGGGATGGCAGCAGGACGCCGCAAAGCCCATTTTGCTTTTGTGCAGCGGGAACCATGTCCAGCCGGGCACCACGGCCATGCATATGGGCTGCATCCAGGGCCCATCCCGCAGCCCGTTCTTCCCTCCCGCTAGCGGCAGCCATCAGAGCTAGACCTATTGGGGAATCAAGCCATCTATCGTGTGGAGTGGCAGTGGCGGGAGCCGTTAGCTTTGACAAGTATCGGCTGATGGCAGGGTCGCTGTGCCACCAACATACATACACGGCCTCCCCATAGAAGAAGGCCACGACAACCAGCGGCACGGGCTGAGCGGGCCCGTCAGAGGCCAGCCGTAGGTCAGAGAAGCAAGCATTGGTATTCTCGAAGACGGCGGCGCTTCCGGTGAACTACTGGGGCAGGGATCATGGTGGCTGCAGCACGCTTGGGCCAGATTGTTTCTGGGGACCCTTGTCGAATGCTACATTGTTCAATGTCGAGGCCTTGACGGCGGCTAGCAAGACCAAGACGAGAGCGGAAGCGACGAGAATGCCCGAGCTTGGGGAAGTGGAGAAGCCGTGCTGTTGTGCGACCTGGGAGCCGCTGAGCGCTTAGGCTGTGTAGCGGCCTCAATGACAGAAAGTGTGCACGGCATTCGGCACGAGGTCACCGGCCGGTGGAGCTCACATGAAGGGCGCTCTGCTCGCCTTCTCGGAGGGCGTTCATTAGGCTGCGGACCGCGGAGAAAATGGGAATAAGGCCGGTTGGTGGTTGCATGGCGCGGTGGAGGTTGATGGGGAGTCGTCGGTGGTGGCTTGCCGCTACTGCTGCTTTCTCGGGTTAGCGCCAAACACTGGGCGGTTAATTGCGCGTAAAATCACTCAATGCAGCTCGGTTGCTTAACATAGATTCACCGCAAATTAGCCCCAATTTTTCTCTCGAGCGCCTAATCGCCCGAGATAGCATCCTCTGCATCCCCCATCTTTTCATCTGGAACCGGCTTCTTCTCTCTCCCGTCCACTTTTCCATTATCTGGCTTCAAGAGTTAAAAGCCGCTGCAAATGAACTCCCCGGTCGTCAGCAATATGCGCTGAGGAACGCGATCCCGCTCTTTGCGACGTGATTGGTTCAGAGGACCGGCTCACATGGCGTCTGAAAAAGCAGGTCAACTCTATTCCCTTGTAGCATTGCCTATGTCTCAAGCAACCCCGTCCTTATTTCCGTCCCATCGCTGAACCACAGAGGGGTATCGCAGCTAGTCGTGTGGAATCAATAATCACACATCCTCGTCGACGCGATAGCTGCCACTATTGTTCCTCGTAAAGAAAGTTGGCATAGTCACCCCATGTTCCAGTATTCTTCGCGTTAGCCTTTGCCTGAGAGACTCAAACCTGCGTCAAGCACAACATCTCGGGTGCGCTATACGGTTGCCGTTTAGGAGCTGCAGATTATGCGACGCGCCAAAACGCACCCTACTACTGGTACACCTGTTTTCGATGCCCGGCAGCGCTTGCTGCTGCTTCGTTTGAAACCATCTATGTGCAACACTGACAAAATAGACAGGTCTCAAACATGCCATCTGTGCAGATGCTGGAACCCCTCTGATCCCGTGCGACGCCGTCGGCTGCAACACTTGACGTCGGCGCATCATGCGTCGCTTAGGTGCATAAGGGATCATGGTTCGATTTGATCAACATATTGTACCATGCACGGCTGGTGACAGGAAGCAGTGAACGAAAATACTGACGTGTAAGAGCCATGGCTTGCTGAGTACTGCACCTTCCAAACCTGCGAATAAGTGTTTCCTGGCCTTCCCTCCTGCAGCCTTGCGTAGCAGTGGCATAAGGCAGACGACGGCCTTTGAGTGACTCTTTCGCCGCTCATCAGCTCATGTCCAGTGAGTGTGACGGCGTTCTCGCCAGCAAAGTGCAAAGAAAGCACATGAAGCAGTGACCCAGACATCCTTTCTTCTTCCTCAAGGCCCCACGCCAAGGTGAGTGCGCTCAACGAAAAAGTCGCGAAGATCAAAGCTGATCTTCGCGTCAGCCCGAGGCAGTGAAATACAGGCGACACTGTGGTTGATGACGGTAAGCGGAGCTCAGAGGCCACCAACCCGGTTCCAAAAACTAGTTTAATCAATAGATATGCCCCCGTAGGGACGTTCTAGAGATTAAACTAAAAAGAACAGATACTACACTTGATCTAAGCCAAAAGGCAAAGAGAGCTGGAGAAGAAAAGAAGGCCTCTGGGTGGCAAGGAGGAGGGTTTATATAGGTGGGTGGAGGGGGGTCCGGACAGAGGCACGAGCTCCGCTACCAGGGTGACGACGGAACGAGGTAGGAGCTTCTGGGCCATCGTGACTAATTTGCACGCATGTGAAAGACCCTTTGACGCAGGGTCGTCAGGGTGGGAGTCATCCGTCGGCATGTGCCGTCCTGGTTGGGAAGTCTCAGTGTCATGGTGTTGAGAAGGGAAGCCACCTGGTGGCATGTGGTTCTCCATGGCCTCTGGATACAGCAGGAGCAGGCATTGTACCTCCCACCGAATCGGCGGCTAGTTAGCACGTGTAGCGCACAGAGAGCATGTGAATACCAAGGCCGCTTCCGTTACACATACTCACATGCCTTACGAATGTCTCGTAGAAGCTCCGTGCGTGACATGTGCCAACAAGCCGCAGATTCAGCGGGGAGGTACAATGCCTGCTCCTGCTGTCCTCAACACCCACCTCATGACAGTCACGATGTCAGTTGGACCCTTACTGACGCCATTTTGGAAGTCACCCATACACATTGTGCACCTAACGCATGTGACTGTTTAATGTGGGCAAGAGAAGCAGGTAGGTTCACCTTCAGCACTCAACAACCTCAACTTTGAACCTGATCCGAAATACGGATCAAACAGAATACCTGGAACAACCACCGGGCGTTCAACCCCTCATGATATTGCAAGTGACAGAATGACTACTTTCACTGTGCGGAATGGCGTCAACTTTAAGCCAAATCATGCGAGATCGACGGCGTTGTCATCGTCGACACTTCAGCACTACACAAGAACAACGGCACTACCACTGGTCTCGTGCCCCTGAAAAATCACTTGTTACATTCTGTTGGGAAGATGTGTGATAACGAACGGCATGCAATGATACCGTCTTCTTGCACCTGGATGGACTTGGAAAAGAGCCAGACTCTTCGTGGTCAAATTGACCTCCAATGTTGTAAGAAGACCCAAAATAAAGACACTTCAGCGTGGATAGGGCTGACTATTGATTGACCGGACGGTTGTAAAAGCTCTGTAAATTGCCGCAATCCGTTCCAATGCCATGTTCTTTCCAATCAATGAGTAAAATTGTGAATGAGATAGGAAAACCTGCACTGATCTTGACGTATCGATGGAGATTTAGCGAGGAGAGAGAAGACAAACTTCTGAAAATAGACCTGAAAGTGCCTTCAAGATATGGATAGTTGGTATTCGGGAAAAACATGTCATCTATAAGCCCCTAAAGCCCACGACTCACGCATAACGAAATAGGCACACACCGCACACCACACATACACCACCATTGTTACATCCCATTGATTTGCATCGAAGAGTGTGTATGACTTCCACGCTGTGAAAAACAGCGAGGATGAAAAGATTTCAAAGGGGAAAAAAAACGCATGTACCAGAACTCCGGTGACCGAGCAGTGTAAACGCGATGCAAAGAATAGCCAGTTGGGTTGAACAGGCCAGGCGGGGGATAATAGTGAAGGGCTTAATGCTGCTTCTGTAGGAGCCACACAGAGCGAGCCCATGACTCTGCGCTTGAGATAACCCACTATTACATGGCCATCTCGGCTTGAAGCTTCCGTAGCTCCTCTTCCTCGTCGTCCTCTTCGGCCTGCTTCTTGCCAGGGACTACGAGTCAAGTGTCAGCCAACAAAGGCGCCAAACCAGAAACGAAATTAAGCCACTTACGCGCTCCTTGGGGACCCGTCGGTAATCTCGAAACCGTGTCCGAAACAGGGACCTGGCCAGTCTCCAGCATCTTGTTGTCCAACTCCTCCTGCTGCAGCTCGGCGAGCTCGTCGTCCAGCTCGTCCTCGTCGAGCGTCTGGCCCAGGGGCGCTGCAATGGCCTCGGAGATTTCCTCGCCAATGGCGTGTTGCTCCCGTAGCTCCTCCCTGTTGAAATGACAATGTCAGCGTTGGTGCGCCTGGAACAATCACGAGCCATTTGACGTCACGGGCGACGGCCGCTTGGCACGATGCGACATACATGGTCTGGTCCACCTTGTCGATGGTAAGGCTGCCGTGAATCTGCTTCATAGCGGCACCGGCGTTCCTCATGGCGTCGAGAGTCTCCTTGTTGATATTGGCCGTCTCGATCGAGTAAATCTCGCGCTCCAGCGTCATTATCTGGCTCTGGGTCTGCTCGAGCGAGTGCTCAAACTGCTTCTTACGCCTCAGCGCAGACTTGGCAGCTGGAATTGTGGAATATGGCTGTCAGCATCACGTTCGAAAGCTACAGGCAGGCAGCGATGTCCAGGTCCCAACATCATGAGAGGGAAGCTCACCGGTCTTGTTGGAGCTGACGTGCTTTCGCGCAAGAGCGTCCTGCTCGTCCATCTGGTGCTGCAGGTGCTTCTCCCGCTTGGACAGCATCTCCAGCTGACCGCGCAGCTGCAGGATGGCGTTCTTGGGCGCATCCTTCTTTTTCGCCGCTCCACCGCCAAACCAACCCATCCCCCAGCCAGACATCTTTGCCGACAGTCAAGGGTTTCTTGAACGGGGTCTCGAGCTGAAGCGCACTTGGCGGAAATCGCGGGGGAGCGTGTTGTTGTGGTTGTCTGCTTGCGAGGGCGTGGACCGATCTGCGCGCGGGCGGCGGGGCGCTCTGCGCAACGGAAGAACGTTGGTAAACGTTGGTGGGCGGCGTGCAAGCGGGGATCAGGCCTGGAAGGCTGAAAGTAAGACGAGCGAGGTTAAGACACGCGCGGATAGCCTGCTGCCTGGCGCCGTTCGTCGAGTCGAGGAGGGCGAAATATGGGAGCCTGGTCGGAGCGTGCACGTCCGAGGTGATGATGGGGGGATGGTGAAGCACAAGGAAGCCCGATGATGCAGCGCCCGCCGTGGGCACGTGCGGACCGACCAAGGTCCCGCGCCGCCCACTCAACCACGAACAAGCCGCTGCCTGACCTTGCTCGGCCCACACGACATGACGCTTCTCCCTCGCTGAGATGAACCCTCTGCCGTCTAGTCGGCTGGTCTTCCTTTCCGACCTCAAGCGCACACGCGCGGGCGAGAAGGTGCGCTTCTTGGGCTGGTAAGCTTCGCGCCGTACCGCCTAGCAAGTGCCATGTTCTAACAAGCAGTGTAGTGTTGAATGCTACGACGTCTGTACTGCCACTTTGACCCTCAAGCATGCTTACCCTGCAAATCCGTCCACCATCGCGCACGTCAACATCGAGCATGTCCTCGAGTCCGTGAATCGCGACGACTTGGAAATCGGTGCTTGGCTGAATATCATTGGCACCGTCGCTCCGCCAACTACGTCCGCTAAACAGCGCAGTAAGATGACGCAAAGAGAAACTGCGGCGGACAACGTGCATGTCCTAGCCACCCTGCTCTGGAATGCTGGGGATATTCAACTTGACGCATACGAAAAGGCCGTAGAGGCTCGGAAGGCCGCCGATGCCTTATTCGATCGTGCGTGAGTACAGGATTACAGCGCGTGTCCGGTCAACCTGCTTCATGACAACGCCAAGCAGGCGTCAGATTCCGACTAGTAAATTTCTCGAGAAGATGCGTGTCTGCCATTGAAACGACTGCAGTCTAAGGGATCCCCGCACTGTTTCACTTCCGCATATGCTGTAGTTCTTAAATGTCCTTTTGCTCCCTACCTATGCTGAATTAGGAGTTGTAGAGGAATACGCTGGCTATCCAAGCCCCAGACAGATCCCCAAAAATCTTGCGTGCAGACCACTCCTTTTTCCCAGCCCCATGATCATTGCTCTTAACGCACACATACACACCGATGAAACGACGGGATATCAAGCCTCGGACCCTTCTAAAGGAGCACTTCGAAAGACTGAAAGAGCTTTCTCTCGAGGTAATGGAGAAATTGCTCCGAACTGTCCGCACTCCCGATAGACCCATAGAAAAAGGACCCCACACACATGAACCCGTTAGAATATCGCATCCTCTGCCGAAGAGCGAAGAGAGAAAGGCTGGATGGTAAGTACAAGAGAGAAGAGTGTTATTTCGAGGCGCATCAAAGTTCAGAAGGAGTTTTGGAAAGGGGATGAGGAGATTACAGGTGTGACTATAATTTTATTCGTCCACACGGCATGTTTAGCGAGCCATCGCGGACATGCCAGCGCCCATCGCACCGAGACGGCTTGCAAGCTGCGGGTACTTCTCTTGGACCTCAAGCTGCGTCCTCGTCGCCTCGGCGTAGGAAAGCGCGTTAACAATCTCGCCCTCGGTTCTCGAAAGCTCAGCCGCCCGCTCGAAGAACGTGAGCGCCTCGGGAACCTTGCCCTGCTGGAGGAGAAGCTGGGCCATTGTGGCAACAGCAATATCGCATTCGGGGTCGACTGCAATCTTGGTCAGGCACAAATCTCGAATGACAGTGTTTTGGGTTCTTCTTACTGATAAGAGCCTTCTTGCACAGCTCCTCGGCCTCGGTGAAGTCCTGCTTCCACTGGAACAGAGCAAGGGCCTTGTTGATCAAGGGCAAGACATTCATGCCCAGTGGCTTGGTCGCCTTCTCCATCTCCACAGCAGCGTCGAACTTCTCAATAGCTTCCTGGAACTTCTGCTGGTCGAGCAGGAGCTCACCATAGTAGTTATACACATCAGGCACCTTCTCGAAGTTCTTCATGCAGCGACGGAAGGTGGCCATGGAAGAGGCGATGCTTCCCATCTTGTACTGAGTGACACCGAGCTGGATGTGCGAGAAAATGAAGTCCTTGTCGAGATCAATGGACTTTTGGTAGTCCTTGGCAGCCTCGGCGAACTCTCCAAGGATGAAGTGGAGCTGAGCACGGTGGTAGTAAATGTCAGGATCATCGGGGTTCTGGCCCATGGCTTGCTCGAAGTCGGCGGCGGCAGCGTCTCTCTCGCCTAGAATCAGTTAGCTCGCGCCCCTTGGGTACATTTGCAGTCACTTACCCTGCTCGAGGTGCATGCTCGCCCTCTTGATAAAGCTCTGGGTCAGCGAAGGGTCAAGCTCAACGCTCTTGGTCAGGTCTGCCAGAGCATCCTGGTTGTCACCCTTGAGATACTTGAAGGTTCCACGCATGTTGTAGGCGAAAGCCTCGTGCTCGCCCAAATCGCCGAGCTCCAACGCCCTGTCAAAGGCCTGGGCGGCCTCGGTGTAACCGTCGGCAGTCTTGAGGTTGAGAGCAATCAGACCCTTGCGCAGCTGGCCCTTGCCAGTCTCCTGGTCCAGATCGGCCTCGGGCTCCAGACCGGCTGGCGGCGGCTTGGGCCTGAAGCTCTGGAGGTAGTTCGAAACAAACGTGGGGCTCGGGAGCTTCTTCTCCTTGTCGGCCAGAATTTGCTTGCCCTTTTCCTCAGCGACCTTCTTCAGCAGACGCTCAACGCTCTGGGCGCTCATCTCGTTGCGGAATCCATCAATGATGCAGCTGGCGGTGTAGTCAAGGAGAGCTTCGCTGAAACGGCCAACCTGCTCGTAGGCATTGGCGCGCCTATTCAGGGCCTTCACGTACTCGTTGTCGAGATTGATCGCAGCGGTGGTGTCCTCGATAACCTTCTCCCAGTTCGACATGGCATTCCAGCAGGCGGCGCGGTTCGAGTAGAAAACGGGGTCTTGCTTGCAGAGGATAGCCTTGGTGTACAGGTCAATGGCGCGGTTGTAGTCTTTCGAGCCGTAGGCCTTGTTGCCGGCGGCCTTGAGCTTCGCGGCGAAGTCTTTGCGCTCCTGGACCAATGTCAGAATCAATTGCGTGCGGGGGCTCGTCTCGACTTACATCGGCAGTCAGGCCGGCGGCAATGGCCTCGTCAACAACGGGCAGCTCCTCGTCGCTGGCGTCGGAGACGGAAGCCTTCTTCGCAGCTGCTGACGCAGTTAGCACATGCACGGCTTATGCGGCCAATGGACAGGTACCGGCAGTCTCGGCCTCCTTCGCAGCAGCCTCGTCAGCGGCTTGCTTTGCCCGTTTCCTCTCCTTCTGCTTCCTGTTCTTCTTGGCCTTGGCGGATTCGGGCTTCTTGGAGGCGTCGCCGGAGAAGTAGTAGACGGCGCCGGCACCCGTCACCAAGACGGTCACGCCGGCAATGGTGTAGACAACGGCCTTATGCTCCGCGGCCCAGGAGGATATCCGGTCCCATAGCGAGGCTGAGCCGGCACCGGCGGCGAGGTTGGAGTCGAGGGTGATGGGTTGCGCCGGGCGCGGGATGGGAAGCTCGGGATTGCTCGACATGGCGAACTGTGCAGGCTGGCGATGGGCGAGTCGCAGCTTCTAGGGCACCTCGCGGGAGGGCGGCGAGGCGGGCGATGCTGGGGGGATGGAGAAGATTTGTGTGGACGGTGACGCGACCGAGTTGAAGATTGGAGCACTTTTCCTTGGAGCTCGCACCAGCCGGATCTTCGCTCAAGCCGTCATCGTGCCGCCTCCGTCGAACCACCGCCCACCTATTAACGCCGAAACACCCAGCCAAGCACCGTTCGACCGCGCTTGCATCGGCGCACCTGCCCTCCCGGCCGACCGTTCTGCAGCCATCAACCGCTGCCGGCTGCCGCTCCGATCCTGCACTTCCCCTCTCGGCCTCGCTCACGTGACTGCAAACACCGCTCGGGTTCCGCTGTGACAAGCTTTAGTCACTGCTGCGATATTGCTTGTTTTGGATATTCTTCACTGTTTGTGACGTCCTCGACTAGGTGTTGTGTTTACCCCAGCACGGTCAGTCGTTCTCGCATCTGGAGCTCCACATTACTCATTACCGCTTCTCAAGACAACAACCCAAGTAAAAGCAACAAAATGGAACCAACTTCTTTCTCTCTGTTCACGTCTCTCCGTCATGATCCGGCCCTTCGTTCCAGTCCTGAGAATAGCTCAGATGTTGTGAGCTTCTCGCCCTCCAGTCCTTTCTATATGCTCCGGTACCACCGGGACCGCATGCTCGAAGCATCACAGCATTTCGGGTGGGCCGAGGTCTCAAAGAAGCTCACAAATGGTGAAGAGCTCGAGTCTTTGTTGAACGAACAGGTAGAATCGTGGCGGGGTAAGAGCGGCGACGCAGAATCACCACTAAAGGTAAACACCCGTAATCCAACACGGCCCTAAAGGATTAACCCCATGGCGCCAGGTCCGCGTCCTCTTCAACCGCTCCGGGGAGATGCATACCGACATCATTACCACTCCGGGTATCCCGCTCTCTTCCCTCTACCCGGCCACTTTCACCACCCCACCATCCTCCAATCCACCCAGCAAGCAGTTTATCCCCTCCCCCAAAACCGGCGGCGCCCTCCTCCTCGGTCCGGACGACTCCCTGGCAACCTCCTCTCCCAAGTCTACCTGGATCCTCACCATCGACACCGCCCCGACGCCCACCTCCCCGCACACCCTCCTCAAAACCACCCACCGCGCCCACTACGACGCCGCCCGCGCCCGCTCCGTGCCTGCCGCACCTACTCCGGCCGGCAATTTGCACGAAGTCCTGCTCTGGAACTCTGTCGGCGAAATGACCGAGGGCAGCTTCACGAGCGCGTACTTCTACCGCGGAGGGCGGTGGGTGACGCCGCCGGTGGGGGTGCCCAACAACGTCTCCTCTTCCTCGGAAAAAGCCGGCGGTGAGGATGAGGATGCCGAAGGCGAAAGAGAAGGTACTGTCTCCCAGCGGTCGTCTTGCAGCAAGTTTAGCGATGAAGGGGAGCTAAGGGAACCGTTTCCAGGTCGGTGGGGCCACAGCATCAGGAGCGTGAAGGCCGTGGCGGGCGCGGGCGGGCAGAGAGGCACGACGAGAAGATGGGCTTTGAAGAAGGGTCTGTGCATGGAGGAGCCGGTGGCGAGAGAGACGGTCGAGGTGGGGGAGTGGGTGTGGGTGAGCAATGGGGTTAGGGGCTTTGGGTTGGGGAGAGTGGTAGAGACGAAGAAAGTTGATTGAGAGCGTGCACTTTTCAAAGCCGGGGTTCAGCTTTAGAGCGGCTTCAGATTAGCGGTGGCATGCATATTTCGGCAATCATGTGTCAAGAGCATACGACGATATGATATCAACACAACGTACTCAAATGACCTGAAAACGAGTTCCTGAACGCTGAGATACTATGGTGCAATTCGTGGAAGGACTATGGCAATAGCACCTCTTTTCTTTTTTCTACTTTTGCCAGTTTATCCTGAGATGACCATCGCAAACCTAGAAATCAATGAAGACAGTTCCTCTGTAGCAACAGTATTTTGTGTCGTTAATATCCAAGGTTTTCTTTCGCTAATGTAGGGGCCATTATCACTTCAATCATAAAATCTGGAGACTTACAAGGCTTATTCCATCGGGTATTGTAAAAGAAAGCGATAGTAACGCTTTCCAAGCGCTACACTCAAGTTGGTATGTATGGGGTGGTCGAAGTTCTAAAGACGTTAGGTATATGTCTGCGTCGTACTAATCTTAGTGGCAACATGCATTCCGTAGTGTTCTTCTGAGCTTGCTTTTTCTGCCATGGGTTGTGTTATCCGTGCTCAGAGCAGTGCGCCCCATTTTACCGGAGATGTTTCTTGTTCACTGATCAAGTTATTTCTGTCGGTGGTAAAGCCTCATCATGAGTGTCATTAATTTTTTGTCTATGTCTAGACAAACTCGTTCTATCCCGCAAATGGTCTATGATCCCAATATTTTGACAAGCCTCAAAAAAACAACGCTATGATCGTGAAGGAATATTGTTACAGACATCTCAATATATGAGAGGATATCTCAGAGGGAGAGAAAATTTACAGCCTCTCGGCGGGGACGAGAACACCGCGGTACCTCATCTTGCCCTCGTCGAGGGTCTTCATGGCGTCCTCAATACCCTGGACGGTCATGGGGAACTTGTTGACGAGAGGCTTGATCTGGTGGCGGGCGGCGAACTCGAGCATGCGCTGGTGGGTGGCGCGGTTGGCGACGATGGAGCCCTGGATGCGCAGGCCCGCGAGGAGAAGCGGCATGTAAGGGACGACGAGGTCGCCGGACTCGACGGACAGGGGGAAGATGATGGCGCCGGGAGCAAGAAGAGACATGTACAGGGACCAGTCTATCATGTAAAATGTTAGAAGAAGTAGATATAAAAGAACTAAAGGCGGAAACTTACCGATGTGAGCGCTGGTGCAGACGAGGAGGGCGTCAAGCGGAGAGCCGATGTCAAGCTCCTTCTTGTCCTTGGTGGCGTAGAACTCGTGGGCGCCGAGCTTCATGGCCTCCTCCTTCTTGGAGTCGGTGCCGGAGAAGACAACGGTGTCACAGCCGCGCTTGGCGGAGAACTGAATGGCGAGGTGACCAAGGCCGCCGATGCCGAGAATACCGACGCGAGCGGTGGGCTGGATGTTGTAGTCGTCAAAGCAGGTCCAGACGGTAGCACCACCGCACTGCAGGGGAGCAGCATCCTCATCAGAGAGACCTTCGGGGAGCTTGAAGAGGAAGGCCTCCCTCCAGACGGCGCCGGTAGCGAAGGAGCCCTGGTCGAGATCGGCATAGCCGTACATAGCACGCTCCGGGCAGTAAACGTCCTGGCCGGTCAAGCACTGCTTGCAGTGGCCGCACTCGTCGTGCTGGTAGCCCCAGCCAACGCGGTCGCCAACCTTGAGGTTCTTGACCCTAGGGCCGACCTGCTCGACGATACCAACACCCTCGTGGCCGAGAGCCATATCGGCGTGGCGGTAGTGCAGGTCAGTGCCGCAGAGACCAGAAGCGGTGACCTTGACGTAGACCTGGTCATCGGTGAGATCGGGACGGGTAGTCTGGGCCTCGGTGATGGCGCCAGAGGAAGTGCCCTTGTAGACGGTGAAAGAGTGAGGCATTTTGAAAGGAGGCGGGTTTTGGGTATCAAAAAAGACACAAGGAATTAAATAGCTGGTGAAATGTTTGGATGCGGAGGAGTAGACTGGGCGTCTCTAGGAATGGGGACGGCTTGGTTAAGTAGCCGTGCCAACGATGGTAGAAGACAAAAGACAGTTATCGTTGTGGATGCCGGGTGCTATGACAAACGGACAAAAAATGTTTACTTTTCACCGCAATGACGTCTGCAAGGACCCTCGATGTATCAAAGACCCTAGATCGGGGCGGATAAGAGGCAAGTGAACATCGGCATCGCGGGCCAACCAGGGCGCGGTGTCCGCATCTCTCGGCCGGCGGTACTGGCAACTACACTGGTAGCCAACGAGATCGCTTCGCGCGATTGACCGCCGGAGCAGAGCGCCACGCAGGGAAAGATGTTCGTACTGATAGCAGAATTACAAATGGGCTATCGGGCCTGCTCATCGGCATTGGCCCGATCAAGTCAAGAAGAGTGGCAGAAGGACACCGGGCGTTGTGCGCTCTTTTGCGCGGTTCTGGGGCACAAGTGGACCGCACCTGCGACACGAAGAAGGCCGCGACACCGGCACGATGGCGCAATAGGGGCCGTTATTCGTCGGATGCAGGGCTTGAGACTGCCGATTCTTCGGCATGTGGGCATGTGGTGGAAGAAGTTTGGTGGGATCTCGGACTCGGAGATTCTCAGGCGACACGCGCGCCGTGCGGCCCGCTGCTTGAGATGAGATTGCTGTATGTCTGCGGGCAGGCGGCCGGAGCGCGAAAGGGGGCTCCGATGGGCTTCCAGAATGCCGCTGCGCGCTGTTGACGGCGGCTCCCCCCTCCGGCACCTGGCGAGTAATCATTTCTGACACGGAGATTACGGCGCTCTCGCCTTCCATGCGGCGGCAACTTCCCCAGACGACGATGACATCAGCGGGAGATGGGGGCGTCGTTGGAATGCGAAGGAAAAATCTGCAGAGCTTGGCTGTATGGCTGGACCTTTGGATCGACGTCAGTGTGTCTAAAATTTTCTACTGCTGCACGGCTCGGCGCTATCCGAGCCTCGTCGTCTCTCCCGGCCGATCCTGAGCCTCGGCAACAACCGCACGCTGCCTCCTAAACTCCAGCGCCACGTTTTGCCGTTCAGTAAGCATTTACGGCTTCGGATTTGCAGATTTGCGAACGTTTCACGGACGTATCGTCCGGCTCGGCCGACGGCTGAGTCCATCGTGGGCGCCTTCAAACTCTGGCCCTTTCCGCCCGTCCGCGCTCATTTTTGAGACGCACAACCCACACACTCCAGATGCACACCGAAGAGGCTGCCCGGAGGAGACACCGCGACACGTAGCGTGAAGATCGAAAGCGGGGCCAGACTCCCGTTAATGCCGCTGATGAACTGCTCCAGAGCGGCTACATATCAGGAGGGCAAATCCCTATACGGATCAATCTGCTGATCAGAAAAAGTAGCGCTGCTATTTCGGAGTGAGCTGATGTAGGCGTTTGAGACATTTTTGGCCAAGGTCTGAGAACAGTCAGCCATCAGAAGTGTGTACCACGCTCGCTTGGAAATAGAAGTCATGGTGGAAATCCACTCGGTAGCATTAGTTGCCGAATGGCAACTCGGTAGTTGAGAGCTAATTTAAAAAACAAAATTGCTAGGGTTCACTAGCGCCCTCACCGGGGTTGGGTATATCCGCCGCTGGTTGTACGATAGTGGAAGAATAGAAAGAAAAACACTGGAAAAGTTGTGGCCCTCTCCACGAGGAATTCCCAAACTCCCCGCCGGGTATATGTGATGGTTGGCAACCCCCCACTAAAATCAAAAACGCTCAATAACTTTTTTGTGGTTTCCCTCCAGATGATGCGCCCAATCTCAACTTAGCTCCCTATGATGCTACTAAAACGTTTCCTCGAAATGGCTTGCCTCAATCCAGTGCCTGGAACGAGGGCTTGAATGGTTGAATGATCCCACGGAAAACCGGAGGCGCCGTCGAAATGCTCTTCAAGAAGCGGGAATCAGGACCAGCCCGCTGGAGTCCATGACGGTAAATGGTTGTTGAATCGAGAAAAGATGAACCGAATAAAGCTGCCGAAAGAAAGGAAACAAGCCGAACGCACGTCGGACGGAATGTTTACCGGGCGGACAGGGTGCGGTTCAGCCAGTTCCTCGCGCCCTCGTAGCTGCGGCGGGCCTTGTGCGGCGCCGACTTGACGCTGTCGTCGCTGTCGTTGGAGAAGGTCGAGCTGGCGGAGCCCTTGCGGATGTTCTGGGGCTTGGCCTCGTTGATCAGGTTGCCCGAGCCACCGCGGCCGACGTGGTAGATGGGCGAGGCGGCCTCCTGCAGACGCTGCTGCTGGCGGAGCTCCTCGTCAAAGCTGAAAATGGCGCGCTCGCGGTGCACGTTGCCAGCACCGCCACGTCCGGTGAGGAATTGGCCGTTCGAGGGAGGCGCAGGCAGCTTGATGCGCGAGGCAGGGCCGGTGGCGCTGGGGCCGGGCGTCACCTCCTTGGAGCTGATGCGCGTCACATTGCCGGCACCGCCACGTCCCCAATGGAAGGCAGTAGAGGTGGCCGGCACCGACGGGTGCGGCTCGGTGATGCTGTAGTTGCGGCTGGTGGTCATGGTCGATGTGTTGTTGGGGTGTGTGGTGGGGCTGGTGGTTGCTGTCCGAAAGAGGAAATTGCAAAGAACACTGAGGCGTAGATCTGGAAGCGGGCTTCAGGGACGAGTGCAGAGGTGCTTTGTGGTGGGCTACGGGAAGGCTGCGCCGTCTTATATGGCGGGGGCCCCTTTCCGCGCGAAAAAAATTGCAAGAATGGCGAGAAATCAGGTCACGATGCCATGCGTCACAGCTTTGCAGCGCTTTGCAGCTTGGGGAACGAGCTTTGCAGCTTGGGGAAGCGCCCTCAGAACGTGGGTTCGTCACGGGGCCGGTCTGGGATCCTTGGCGGGCGTCAAAATAGCACGCGCTTTCCAGCTAGCGGCATGGGCGCCAGGAGCAATTTTTGCGCACGCCTTGTCGCGGCTGCGCTTCGGCGCCCGGCCCCGTGCCTGGAAGTCTGGCTGCTGGAATTTTCGTTATGTAAGTTGCAGGCCGCGCTGTGGCGCGTGTGCCAGAGCCGCGTCGCTGACTGGACGCTGGCGCGATGATGCGACCGCCTGACAGCGATGCGCTGCCCGTGCTAGCAGTAAATATGGGGTAATGGCGTCGTAACAGAAATCATCCCGTGAATCGCAAGATCGCATCCCGCCCGCGTGTTCTGCGCAGCGTGGCCCAGACTGCTGCAGATGAGTCTTCCTTGCGTGTGCTTCGCGCAAGATGGCAACATTGGGGTAAGCAGCACGCTGCGCACGCCCGCCCATGACGCCCGCGCTGCCCACACCGCACAACGCCCTGCCGCCCGCCTTGCACCTGCATGCGGACGATCCGGAGGTGGAGGCGGAGGCGCGGTCCCAGGACAGCTCACCTTTGACGCAGCCTTGGCCTGTGCTCCGGGGCACCTAGACTCGCTCTCAAACTTCCACAGTCACGGGGCTCAGGGGAGGCTGAACGAGAACCTACTACTGCCAATGCTCGGCAACACGCTACCTACGTAGTTCTTCCCGCGGCAACGCAGGTATTGCGTTCCTGGCTCGGCCACGTCCTAGCGTCATCCCCAGACTTTGCTTCCCGCCCCTAGTCGATTACCCCAGACCGCCCGCCGCACCTGCGGAAACCGACCGCAATTGCCTCATCCGCCCCGCCCTTGCCGGTCAAAGAGGGGCCATGCGTCTTGTTGGGATCCGGTAATTCGTGCCACTCCGTGAGCCATTGCGTAAGAGAAGTTCGTCAAATCCCTCAATCATCGTGAAAATGCCAAACGCCGGGGTATTGTGTTGCAGTCCAGACAAAACGCCGCACTCATGCAGTGGAAAGTGCGGAGAAAGGAAGCTCGGGATTTGGTAACAGAAACAGCAGGAACGCGGCGGTAAGCGAAAATGCGGGGAAGGCCAACCCTGGCAGGGCTAATGGCTGGCTCCAACCGGAGCCGACATGACACGTAGATCGCTCTCCCGAAGACCTCGGAGTCTCGCCGAAGGCCAGGGGAACAGAGCACCCCCGCGTGATGCGGGAGCCCCTAAGCTGATGCAAGGCGAAATGACGACTCTCCGAAGGGGGCTTGCGCGACACCTCATGCGAACTTCTGGTGGATAATGTCCGGATTTTCCTGCCACTCATCCTTCTCCACCCACATCTGCTGATCATTAGCCCTCTGAACTAGCTCAAGGGGTCGTTGCGTGACTGACCTTTTTGAACGTGCTTAGGCCAGCCAGAATGCTGCCGCCAGTCCACGTGGTGTACTTGCGCTCAGGAGGTGCGTATATTTTGATCCTCATGTCCTTGACGGCAAGGCGCTGGACCTCGTGCAGTAACCTGTCACCGAAGCCCTTCGTCAGAGTGGAGCCGCCCGAGAGCACAATGCTTCCAAACAGGTCCTTGCGCAAGTCCAGATCGGTCCTGTTGATCGCGTTGACGACGAGCTGGTGGACACCTTGGTACTCCGATCCAATGAGCTCCGGGTTGAACAGGATCTCAGGAGCCCGGAAACGTTCGGCGCCGATCTAATCTCACTCGTCAGTAAGGAGGGGGAAAAAAAAGCCGCATTCGAGCTTACCTTTAGCTTCTTTCCATCCGGCAACTTGTACTCAACACTCTTTTCGTTCGCTCTGGCCGTGCTGCCCGACCACTCCTTCTCCTCCTTGACAGGATCCAGGCAGACGTAGGAGTGCGATTCCTTGATGTTGCGCACAATTTCCTTCTCGGCGCTCGTGTGGAAGACGTAGCCGCTTTTTCTCAGCAGCATTTGCAGGTGCTCCGTCACATCGCGCCCGGCAACATCTATTCTCTGGACCGCGTTGTTGATTTGAAAGCCGCCATAGACGGGCACCGCGTGGGAAACGCCATCACCAGCATCGAGCACGACACCGGTAGTGCGGCCAGATGCGTAGAGGGACAGGACGGCTTGTATAGAAGTGTAGAGTGCAGGCACGTTGAACGTCTCAAAGAGGATCTGGGCGGCAGTGTCGCGGTTGGTGCGTGGGTTCAGCGGAGGCTCGGTGAGCAGGACAGGGTGCTGCGTGTTGCCGAGGGTTAGCCATTTGCAGCCGGTGATAGACGTAGCAAACGATCGGAGGAAACGCCAGCTTGCTCGAACAAGCCAGCACACCTTTGGAAACTCACATCCTCGCTCACTGTCTTCAGCTCCTCGGCGTAGACATACTGCCATATCCTCTCCATATCATCCCAGTCCGTGACAATGCCATGCTCCAATGGATAGTTGATTTTTAGCAGACCCCGCAGCTCTTGTGCCCGCGGTCCGATGAAGACATCACCCTCTAGAGCTCCGGCAAGAGCCCTGACGTGCTTCGGACGGCCGACGTAAGATGGAAAGTAGCACTTTGGCAGATCCTGACCAGCAAAGCCAGCCCGAATTGTGCCACTGCCGTTGTCGAGCACAATAGGTGCGTTGAGGAGTCTGGAGCCCATGGTGGAAGGCTAGTCGAAGCTTATCGGTTGACAGCGCTGGTAGATGCAAGGGCGGCGGCGGGAGGGAGAGGCTTGCGCCGCGAAATCGGTGAGCTTCGGGCTGAACGCGGTGTGTCGTCGCGTCAGTAGCGCGGTGTTGGACGTGAGGTTGAGTTGACGCGCCGCTGCCGCTTGCTAGGGTCCACAACACACCGCCAAAAAGTAGAAGCCGCCCACTTGCGCTGTGCGCCACCCAGTTCCGGCCGTGACTAAACCCAAGGCAGCTCCGTGTGCCAAGGCCGACTTATCACGCGTCCACAAAGGTCCTACAGAAGTGTACTAAATCCCGTCTCTTTGCCAGCTCCGACTCACGATCATCGGCGCCGAGGATATTTTGCACACCTGCTGAAGGCATTTTCCAGTTCACTGCCAGTTTCAGTGTACTTTCGTTGTCTGCAGAGTTTTTGTTGGCCGATAGCTGCAACAGGGTCACTGCGAGACCTCCCCGGAATATATTTATCAAGGCCGCTTTTCTACCACCATCTATCGTAAAACTAAAGAAATAGTGGTCTCGTGGCCATCGAACCTATAACCGTCGCAAAATCTTAACCATGTGCCCTATGGGGGAGCTACCTGCGAACGCACAAGTCGCTGCGAATGACCCACTTCTCCCCTTCCAGGACCTCCCTTCCTTCATGCAGCATGCAATCTGCTCCATGCTTATGGAGTAAGGCCATGCCAACCTCCAGACCTACTGCGATTGGGTCTGGCGGCGGGTCTTTCTTGGACGCTTTCTTTGGCGGATCAGGGTAGAAGACCGTCTCACCTCCAATACATCCCGTGGCCGGCGAGGTCAGATAGAGAAGCAGAGTCCAGGTTGTCCTCGCCTGAATGTCTTTCTCTCCGGGAATTACGACGTTGTTGAAATCATCATCTGTGCGTCCTTAGCGCCGTCAAGTGGATGGCAGAATCAAATAGCGGCTTACAGTGTTGATCGAAGAACTGTCCCTTTGAATAGCGATAAATGCGAATGTTGGGGTTTAGTCCCACGACCTCACCACCCCAGAAACTTCTTCTCTCCTCTTCAGTCATCCGCAGCCCATCCTCAGATTCGACGTTGCCGAGCACGATATCCTTGAGCGCCGTTTCTTCCCAGAGCCTCTTAGCGAAGACTGGATCTTGAATCTGAAAGCGGTCATTTACCCGCACTGCTTCTCCTTTCTTTGGCTTCCCTGGAGTAGTAATGAGAGGCAACGAAGAGAGAAAAGACACGTAAGTTTTGCAGAGCGAAGAGGGCCAGAAATTGGGCACTGTTACGATCTGTGCTGGTACGACTTCTTGCAGCGATAGGTCTGAAGGCGGGATGAGAGGTTTGAAGGGAGGCCAGTTTGGCGGCTGTTGCTCTGGTTGGGCAGCGGCTGGCTTCGTAGCAGCCGAGGCAGCGTCTTTCTTCTTGCCCTTTGGTGGCATTGCGGTTGGTGCGGCTCGAGGGTCCAGCGGGAAGATGCGGCTCAAGGGTTTATGGAACGGGATGCTGCCTAGCCCTACAGCTGGTCGGATGACGATGACTCCGGGTCTGAGCTGCCGGGAAGCTGCAGCTGGGAGCACACGTAGACCGCTGAGTTCACTACCTATCTCGCAACACTCTACGTCGAGTAGCCGCGATAGACGAAGACGACGAGCCATTCGCCGCTCACCGCCCGCCGCGTGGACCCGCTCGCAGGCTCGGCGAGACAACAAATCTGACGACCCGCCCTGGATAATCTTCGGCCAGAGCGCGCCAAGCCTGAGATTTCATGATCGCTCCAGCGTCCCTCTCCCGCAGCGACAGCGATTCCGCGGCGCCGACTACCCTCGCCGGACTAGACCTCACTGTCGCTCGGGAGCGCAGTCGCAGACGGCTACTAAGCAGGCGCGCAGCTCCACCCGCCCCGCCCCCGGCTGCTGCTTCCCCGCCGTATGCGCGCTCTTCTCCATTCGCGACGCAAGATGCCGATGCCGAAACCGCCGTCATGATGGAGGAGAAAGAGACAACCCCCAATCCCGGCGCCCTGCCGGACGCGACAATCATGGAAGGCGTAGAGGGACCGCCTGCCGTTCCCAACGCGCACCCCGCCGACCCAGCACCGTCGGACGCACCGGACTCGGCGCTGCCACCGCCTGCGCCTGCCGCGGAAGGCGCCAGTGACGACCTCCCAGCAATCAGCGAGGGAGAAGTGGCGAAGGAAGAAAGCTCAAACGGCGCACAAACGCAAGCACCCGACAAAAAGCAAGCAAGCCAGCCAGACACCACAAAGTCCGACGACGCACCTCTGCCTACAGAGACAACCGCCAACGATCAGCCCACCGAACAAGCCGAACCTCCGCAACCCTCAGAAGAAGCTACTCAGACCAACGACAACATTGTGCCCAATGTTGCAAGCTTGCCTGACCCTTTCGTCTCAGGGCCCCAAGACCTGAACAGTGCAGCAGGACCGGGCGTATTGCTGATGGACGGGTCCAATGGGCAAGACTACCTCGGTAGCATGGATGTTCAACCATCCGATGCCATGGCAATCCCCCCAGACATGCTCGCCCCCACTTATCTATCCTCCAACGCAGGTCTTCAAGTCGAAGACAGCCGTCAGTGTGCTTTCGCCAAGCTCGAGTTCCCCGATGGAGATTTCTACATGACAACGTACGCGGTGGAGTTGGGTCGAGACACTCGTGCGTTCCGGCAAGAGATGCGGAGGCGTAACCAGGAAGAGCTCCAGGAGCAACAGGTGACTGGCAATGGGGGAGAAGGCCCGCAAACACCCATGAGGCCAACTGCCCCTAGTGTAGCAAGTGTCTGCCGCAGCAACCTCAGCGAGTGTGGCGGTATCATGGGAGGAGATGACTACCATGTTAATGTTGCGCCTTTGAAGCGGAAAAGGAGGAAGAAAGAGGCAAAATCGACCAGCTCGTCGTCACAGCGTCACTCCCGAAAGAGCTCCATCGCTGGCAGCAACGCGTTCGAACCGGTCGATTACAACGGGCTTGTCTACCAGTCTCAGCCGGAGTCCTCTTCCTTTCTTCCCGACCCTTACGAAGTTCCTTTGGTACCCATTCATCCACCAACATCGGACAGCGGTCCGGTCGGCCACAAGGGCATCTCCAGAAAACATCTCAAGATCTTCTATAGCTTTGACAACCAGGTTTTCGAAATGAAGGTGCTTGGCAGGAATGGTGCTTTCTTGAACGAGGTTCATTATATGCCGGAAAACGATGCCGTTGAGCTTCACGATGGCGACAAGATCCAAATCGGTGCCGTCACCATGATGTTCCGACTACCGAATGCTCCGGCGGATGATGAAGATGTTCGCTCAGAGAGCTCCGACAGCATCAGCGGAGGCATCAGTCTCAACTTCGAAGATGGACGAGGCCAAAGTATCATTCCTGACGACGAGAGCGACGACGATGGCTTCAGCTATGCCGAGCAATACGACTTTAGCCCGCACGCCTATGGCTGGGACTCTGAAGAAGAAGAGTTTTCTGCTGATGACGATGCAGAGGACGAATATCGCGAGCACGAGCAATTGCCAAAGGTGAAGCTCAAGTTGAAGCTCAAACAGCCAGCTCAGCAAGCGCCAGCTAAGCAATCGAAGGCGGAAGCCCGCCTCAAGAAGAAAAAGAAGAAGGAGAAACAGAAGCTCAAGGCCAAGCAAGAGGCCAAGGCCAAGGTCGCTGGGAAGACAGCACCGAAAGCTCAGGGTGCCGATACCGCCGATGACCTTGGAAAGGACAAGGCCAAAGAGAAAGAAAAGGAGAAGGAGAAGGAGAAAGAAAAGAAGGAGAAAAAGGAGAAGGTCGCGTCCAAAACGACTTCGAAGACGACCTCGAAAGCACCCTCAAAGACGGTTGCTCAACCCAAGGAGAAGAGTGAACCAACATCCCAAGTCAACATTGTTCCCCCTGAAGATGTGCCACAGCCGAGCACGGAGATACCACAACCAGAGATCAAGACCGAAGGGGCCAAGGACAAAGAAGAGAAGAAGTCCGAAGCGCAGCCAAACAAGGACAACAGCGGCAGGCGTGTCTTGACTGCTGAAGAGGCTGAAAAACTTGGCCTGGAGCCTGGCACAGTTATTGAGAGGAAGAAGGGACCAGGCCGACCGCCAAAGGACGGAATCATGTCCAAACGTGAGAAAGCTGAGATCATGCGACGCAAGAAAGAGGCCGAAAAGGCCAGAAAGCTGGGACTTGATCCAGAGTCTATCACGAAGGTTGACCTCACCCGCCCTCGTGAGAAGAAGGATGGAGAGGGTAAAGCAGACAAGAAGCCCAAGGATGGCACTGAGGGCGAGTCTGCAGGACCGGATGGTGAAGGCCAGGGTGCAGAGAAGAAGTCGGTTAAGATCTCGAGGCCACTGCGCACGCCGTCGCCGGAGATGAAAGAGTCCGACTACACAGAAGAACAGCTTCAGCGCCCAGCGGCCAACTACGTCGTCCTCATTCATGAAGCCATCTCGAACTCAAAGGAAGGGAAGCTCAATCTCCAGCAGATTTACAGCGCCATTGAACGTAAGTATCCGTACTACAAGTTCAAGACTGGGACTACAGGCTGGCAGAGCAGTGTCCGGCATAATCTTGGTCAGCACGATGCTTTCCGCAAGGCCGAGAAAGAAGGAAAGGGCTGGCTTTGGGCGATCAATCCCGGGGTCTCCATTGAGAAAGAACGGCGCAAACGCGTGACTCCTCCACCGCAGGCTCCGCCCAGACCCTACTATCCCCCAAGTCATCAGTCCCCTTATGGAATGCCCCACGGCGCACCCGGCTATCAGCACCCTCCTGGCCCATACCCTCCAAGGCCGCCGGCGGCACCTGGCCAACCGTATCCGGCAGCGCAGCAACGCACCTACCAATCTCCGTATGGCTCTCAGCCTCTTGGACAAGCAGCGCAGCCTGTTCAGCACCGGCCGCCATATGGGCCTCCCAATGGTGCTCGGCCGCCTTACCCCAGTCCTTATGGGGCTTCCCCTTACGGCGCTCCGCCGAGTGCACCCGCCATGTCTTATCCTCCGAATTCTTCAGCAGCACTCCCTCCTGGAGGCTCGTATGCAACGGCCAGCCCGTCGCCTTATGCCACTTCGGGTGCGCCCGCTTATTCTCCGCCAGCTCATGCACCTGCTTATCCTCCGCGTCCGCCTCATTCTACGCAATCACAACATAGCCAACCCGGAACGTCACAGCCCTCGCAGCATCATGGACAGCACAACAACACACCAACGCCCGTCTCTGCCAGTCATCCGCCCAATGAACCCATTCCACCAAGAAAACCTAATCTGTATTCGGATACCGCGCCATACGCCCCAATGCTCAACAATTTCCGCGATTACTACATCAGGAACGCTCATGCTATGCTTAAGCGTAAACTGACGCGGGATGAGATTGTCAAACTCACTGATCGTGGCCTGGAGCGCGCTCTCTTTCCGGAGAGATATCCGCCGAAGAAGGAGGAGGATATGGATGAAAGTGCAAAGCTGGATCTGAAAGACGAGAAAGATATTGAAGATGCTGTTAAAGGCATGCTGAAGAAATTCAACTATGGCTATCTCATTGAGGAGGCCGAGAGACGGATTGGCAGATCACCGATGGCTGGACCGGGATCTGCTGGGCACCCGCAGACGAATGGAAGTACTTCAGTTACAGTACAGAGCACTGCCTCAACTCAGGTCCCTGCTGGCCAGACTCCCGTACCGGCTCAGAATGCAACGGTCAGTCAACCTGCTCAGGGATCGTCCGGTGTTTCTGGCCCTGGTACATCAACCCCTGCTCAAAGTCAAGCGCCGCCGCAAGCCCAACAGGTCACCCAACCACCTGTTTCATCCCAAGAGCAGACTGGTGGCCCGGGATCAGCTCCAGTTCCGAATGTCTCTTCAGAGCAGAATCCAGATTGCCAACCGCCTACGGATACTACAAAGCTCTCGATCGGGCAAAGTTCCCAAGACGCCTTGCAGACCGACTCAAACGACGGAGCTCAGTCTCAGTCTACGGCCGCTACCATTCCCGCTACAACCGCCGCCGTAGCGTCGTCCAATGTGCACCAAGCGCAGATTTCCGCGCCATCGCAAGTCTTGCCCCCGCGTACAAACGGCACGAGCACCCCCGTGCCCCCGCCGGTCGAAGCATTGACCCCGCTTGGTGGAAGTCCAAAGCCTGGAACGCCTGTAAATTCAACGCCTCCAGCGCCTGGATCTGGACAGGCTGTGGGGAAACAGCCGCCGCCTGCCCAAACAACTGTTCCTACAACAGGTATCAAGCGGAGCCTGGACAGCGACGGAACGGGAGAGAATGAGGGCGAGGCGAAAAAACCAAAAGTCGAGGGTTGACCCCAGCTAGAATTGCAGGTAATACGCACCACCCTGGATTTGTTCTATCACGATTAACATAAGTTAGGCGTATCGGACTTTGGAGTTCAGGGGTTGGCAGGTAACGCATAATGAGCCATGTCAGAGCGACATTGATATCCGGCTTGAAGGGGTTGTTCCGTTTTTACATGGCGTTTATTGTAGGTTCGATTTGCCTCTGGCTTCAGCATTGCATCGCACATTGCCACTGATGCGACGATTGCTAGCATCTGCATTCGGAAAAGTCACGTCCTTTCGGGTCTCAGCGCACAGCAAGGAGTATCACCACGACCAGGTGTCGGCCAGGCGTTCGTCTCTTTTGCTTTAACCACAGTCAGACCTCCCAACAAGCGGCGCTTTTTCTCATTTCTGGCTACAATTTCGTAGTAGTGTAGCTGGGTTTTTCTTCGTACCGTGTACATATATTTCTCGGCACAATCAATTCAGCAGTCATTTGACCACAGTTTCTAAGCAGCATCACGTACTGAGCAAAAAGCAGGCATGAAGAAGGCAATGTTCTTATTGAAAGGGGGGAGAAGAACGAACGGTAACCCAATGGTAAGGATCTTCTCCCATTTGAGGCGAGCAGGCCGTCGAGTGCTACTCGAGTGGTTTACTCTGGCCGTAAGAATGACAAAGCAGTAAAACATGCACAAGCCCTGCGCCATGATGCGCCAAGGCCGTTGTTCGGCGAGTCATTTTAACGGTGTCAATGCTGGCGGCGAGCTGCGGGGACCGACGGCGGGGTCCGAGTATCAAACAGCTTGACGGTTTTGCTGGGCCATTGACACACCATCTCGCATCTCGCTCACGCATCCTTTAAAATCGCGTCGCGCACCTCACCCTCCGAGCAGCCCGCATCTCCATTTGCGCTCCGCGGATCACACCCGATGCCCAAGCCCAAACCGGAAGCGGTCAATCGCGCAGTCGCACTCGCAGAACAACTAGCGAACCGATCGGCTGCTACAAAAGCTCAACAATCCTCCACCGCCATGTCCCAGAAGCGCCCACCGATCACTTGCCACGTCCTTGACACGACAGCCGGGCGCCCCGCCGCCTCGATCCCCGTCACGCTCACGCTCCTGTCCCCGTACGGCCCGAGCACGCCGCTGTCGGCGACGACCAACAGCGATGGGCGAGTGACCGCATGGGCGGCGGCTGCAGGAGACCCAACCACGCTCGAGGAGATCTTCCACAACAGCAAGGCACGCGAGGAGAGTGGGGAGAGTGCGGAGATGGTGTGGGCTCTGAAGTTCGAGACCAAGGCGTACTGGGAGCAGAGGGGCGTCAAGGCTTTTTTCCCGGAGGTGGAGATCAAGTTTGTGGTGCGCGGGCGCGACGAGCACTACCATGTCCCCTTGCTGTTGGGACCGTTCAACTACACGACGTACCGGGGATCGTGAAGAGGGTTGCGGGGATCGAAGCACGGGGTCGAGGCAGCGCAGGAGAGTGCAGATATCTCGTATGTGCGGCGGTTCCGCATAAGTGGGCTGGGGCCGGTGTGGTGGTGGGAATTGGCACGAACTAGGGACGGGTGATGGACCAGAATGAGGCGGAGATGGCACATCAGACAGTAGCAACAGCGATATTGCGGCTCTTTGTGGCCCCAACCGCACGGTTAAGCACACGCATCCTGAAGACTTCCCATTCCGCTCGTCGCGATCCCCGCGTCGCCCATTGCCGTGCTGCCGTGTCGACGCGGGCGACGGCTGCATGGATCGGTGGAACGAGGCGGTTGCCTTAGCGGGAAGGTAACGTCATCATCGCCCAAGCGGCTGGGAAGAGGGGGCCACCCGTGTGCGGACAGCAGCGGCACGCACGCCGAGAGGACACTGCAGCAGCGACGGGCACGCTCGCGACCTCACATCGCAGCGCTCAGCGCCCACGCAGCGCTTCTTATGCTTATCGCGGACGGCTGCGCGGTGGGCTGACGACGCGCCGGTGCGGGCGCGCCCCAAGGGGTGGCGTGCGCTCGGATGGCTGAATCGCGCGGCCGTGCACGTGACCTGGCCTGATTAACAAGCACCTGGGCAAGCCCGGTGGTATCATAAAAATGCTTCCGTTGCCTCGCTACGTCACCTCTTTCATCATCACCGCCAACTCGCAGAAACCACGCCCGCTTTGGGACGAACAGGCATTGGCAGTTTGGCATCAGCCTCACTCCCGTACCGTCGACGCCCCCCCGAGACACACGCCCCGGCCTGCCAGAAGCGCAGTTGTGCGCCGCCCGACGAGTGCGCCTGCCCCGTCGTCGCTGCCGTTTTGCGATCAGGGGAATTGCGTCACGCCCACCCCCAAGCCCTCGAGATTTTCGCAACACCACGACCGCCCTCGACAACAACGTCGCGCAGCATCTGATCGCGTCAAGCATCTTCACCTGCGCGCCTGCACACTATTCCGTCAGCGGCTCAACGCGTGCACGCAGCGACGCGCCGCCCGGTGCTGGTAAGCCTGATCCGCCGGTGGCAAAAGATAGTGCGCGACTCCTCCCTGCGACCGCGCCAGGAGTTCGCAACGCACACAGCGCACCCCAACGTCGTCAGGACGTCGACGTGCTCGCGCTAGACGCTCGGTGCTGACTGCCGTTCTGCGACACAGACAAAGAAAGTTCTTGCGCCGACCGACCGACGCGTTCTCTCGCCTCCGGAAGTAGTTGGGTTTGGCACGACGCGGTCCTGAGGGCTGGCGAGAGTCCATCCACCCAAACGACGGATCGACACAACACGCCCTTACGTCATTCAAAGAGCGCATCATCCGCCAACAGAAACTCAAACAACTCCCCCCCTTAAGTCATTCCAAGCATGTCCTCCCCGCATGGTTCGAAGCGACACTCGCAAAGCGAAGGTTTGTTGCTCTGCCTCTCCACTTCTTGCTGCCGCCGTTGCTTGCCATGCCTGCCAACCTCCACTCCCCTATCGCCACCCCCCATGCACCGCCCAGCCACCCTGCTGACGGTCTCTGCGTGCTGTAGAAAACCCAAAGTTGGACAATGAGACCAAGCAGCCCTCGCCACCCAGAATAGGTATGTGTGACCGACTCTCGCCTACTCGTGCGTGCACACAGTGCATCGCCGTCGTCTGCCTCGCATCAAGACTGCTTCTAACAATGATGATGCAGAGGCACCAGACAACATCGGCGACGCAAAGACTTCGGCCGCAGCTGCACCCACGACTACTGCCCCTCTTGCCCCTCCTCCCCGCCCCGGACAAAATACAGCTGCCGACGGCTCGGATTATTTCAGCGGTGCACACGGCACTGGTAGCAACCATTTTAACTTGGAACCAAACCCCTTCGAGCAGTCGTTTGGCAATCCCGCCGCGGAAACTCCTGGAAAGGGTTTGCTGCCACCTGTTGCAAGTTTGACATCGCCCTCATCTCTGTTGCCAGGAGGCACGCCTGGTTGGCCTAACTCCCTAAGGTCAGGACCGCTGAGTCCTGCAATGCTAACCGGGCCCACCGGCGGTGGTGACTACTTCGGCGAACCCTGGAAGGGAGGTTTCCCGACCCCTAACGAGTCATCCCTCCGCACTGGATTGACCCCCGGCGGCGGTGGATCCATGTTTCCTGCTCCCAGTCCCAATTCACAGGCTTTGTTCAATTCTCTCCAGAGCGGCGGCGCAACACCAAATACTAGTGAATTCTACCGAGCTGCATTGAAGATGAACAACACCTTCGGCCAGAACGTCAACCCTCCCACCTCTCAGCCGGCTGAACAGGGTAACCAGCCGACCAGCGATAGTAAACCATTCCCGGCTCAGGCACCAAGTAACCAGCAGCCGCCCCAGGGTCAGCCGCAACAAGATCCATTCGGTCAGCATGATGCGAACGTCGTGACGTCATTGTTGGGTCTTTCGCGTGCCGATGCCCAGCAGAACAGCAACAACCAATTTGCAATGCCTGGGCAGCCATCTCATGTCAACACCAACGTCCCTCAGATGGGCACCCAGTCTCAAGAGGCGTCGCCCACGACGAAGCGTGCGGGTAAGAACTCTGTCACCAGCATGTCCGGCTCTGCCGACACTGGCGAGTTTTCAGAAAGCGCCCACAGCGAAGACGCCAAGCCCGCAAGGTCCCGTGGCGGCAAGAAGTCTGCCAACGGTAAGAACCAGGCTTCCAATGGCAGGCGGAAAGCCGACGACGGTGCTGTCAAGGGCCCTGCAAGTAAGAAGGCCAAGACTAATAGTGGCAATGCTGCCCAAAGTAATGATGAGGACGACTCTGAGGACGACAACGTCAAGCAGGAGGGCGGTGAGAATAACAATAATGGCAAGAAGATGACGGACGAGGAGAAGAGAAAGAATTTCTTAGAACGCAACAGGTATGGTCCCACGTTACACCAATTCCGTGAAGAGTCTAACGGCATCCAGGGTTGCGGCGCTCAAGTGTCGTCAAAGAAAGAAGCAATGGCTCGCCAACCTGCAGGCCAAGGTCGAGCTTTTCAGCACGGAGAACGACGCTCTCTCAGCACAGATCACGCAGCTCCGCGAGGAAATTGTCAATCTCAAGACTATGCTCCTCGCACACAAGGACTGCCCGGTGTCGCAGGCTCAAGGCATCAGCGGCATGGCTATGACCAACTTCATTGGCGACATCAATCACCATGCACATCCGTATGGAATGGGAATGCCCCCGAACGGGGTGCCGCCCATGGGCATGGGGATGCAGCAACCACCGCCGCAGGCCATGCAGAGGAGGTGAGACGTAGTTTGCAGAGGCTCTTCTCTGCAACGGCAGTCGGCGCCGGTCGCGTGCGCACAAAGGTGATGCCGGGTCGACGACAGCCACGACATGCAACTCGCTTGTACCCAGGAGGGAACAGGGTTGTTTGCGGACAGAATCTCAGCTGGGATTATTGCGCCGTGTGCTCAATTGCTTCATTTCGAGACGCACGCCGTCGATGCGACAATGTATAGTATGGTTTGGCTTCTTAGCCTTCTTCACTCTTTCTCACGGCTGGCGCAAATTGGACGGTTCCGTGGGTGTTAAGAGTGTAGAGAAAGCACTTTTTCTGTTCTGGGGCGATCTGGGTGGTTTCCTGTTAGTCTGCTTCGTCTTTTTTACTACTTGGCTCAGCAACACATAGGGCGTTTGGAGCGAGCGAGGGCGGGACAGCAAAGGGCGGATGTTAGGGCTGGGATGGGAGGTGCTGGCTCTGTCTTCAGAACAACCACTCTCCGACCTAAGTCTCTTGCGGCTTCAGGCGCGACTTTGGTAAACTAGGGCTCCTTCACGATGCATCCTGGACGGAGTGATGCTCTTTACTGATAATGGGATCATGCATTTGAGAAACGCGACACAGGGTGAGGGCACTGCCCGGTGGGATACTGGCTTGGGAGGGAAGGATCATGGACGGAGTGTCATGGATACGGAAAAGCGATGCAGCCTTCGACATTTCAGTGCTCGCAATATACCTAACTGCAAAATCGTCTCTTAGCCCCTGCATCTGTGCCAATACCACCGGGGGAATGACGTGCTCGGCGAAGTTGCACTGCGGCTTGCATGCTGGAGACTGAAAGCCACGCTACCGTTTGCATCTTGCACGAACAGACGTATGTATGTACAAGCAGCCATTTGAAGCTCGCGAGCCGTGGGTAGGGTAAAGTTTAGCCTGCACCCCGCAGTCAGCGAAGAGACTCCGAAGACCGGAGAGCACGCGACAAAGATTAAAGGCTCGGCACAATAAGCACCCGTTACGAAATCGGCGGTGCATGACTCCGTGTTCGGGGTGCACAGCGCACCTGGTGAGAAAAAAAGAAGCAGGGGGCTGCAGTGGCTTTGCGGGGGCGGTATAAAAGGCGCGGGGACACGGCGGGTTGGAGGGTGGCAGGATCTTATCAGATCAAGATATGGACTCAGCAGGATCAGACAAGGTGAGCTGCCCTTTGTGCCTGGCCTAGGCCGAGTCATGATGCTGCTGCGCACCCAAAACGCCGCCATCCCCCGCAGCTCTTCCTCAGCAACCCCTCCTCGTCGCGTTCAGCCTGCATAGCCGTGCGGGAGCTTCGATGAAGCACTCGACGCAGCTGTTCCGTCACCATGGTGGTGTTTCTTGACTTCGAGGACGACTCGCCCGATCCCTTCCTCGAGCCGTACCGTCCGACTGACGCGTACCCGTCATCGCAGCAGCAGAGCCGTGCTGGCCCGGCGGACGCCAACGATGCGCAGTTCCGGCCGGACGACGAGCGCCCGAATCCCAACATCAACGGCTTCTCAGCCATTCTGAGCTGCTATCCGTAAAGCTCCCCTCTGCTTGCTCCCTCGCCCTTCCATCCCGACCCCCCACTCACCGGTCAACTTGGCGGACTGATCCCCGCTGACGCGCTGTTGCTTCGGCCCCGAGCAGGATCGTCACACAGCTCGCATCGCTGCTCGACCTCAACTCGCTGCACAACCTCTCGCGCACGTGCCGCCAGTTCCGCGCGAATCTGCTCGAGTATCGTAACCAGCTGGTCACCCAGACCCTACGGTGCTGCAACGATGAGGTGCCGTGCGAGCAGCCCTCTCCCTCGGACCCCCACCACGCCCAGCATGACTGGCGCAGTTCGCCCGAAGGAAGGAGACTCTTGAGCGGGAAAGTCGGCAAGTGCGCGAGAGACATGGTTGGCGAGTGTCGGAAGTGCGGCGTTGTGGTTTGTAGGGTAAGTTGATGGCATGCGAGACCAGCTGGGTCCGAGGGGCTACACGTCCCTGCGGCCTCGAAAGAGACCAGAGAGGAAGCCTTCGACAAGTCGGGAGGAATTGGGTTACTCACAACGATCCCAGAATTGCACCAGCAAGCCGCCTCCGCCAATAGCCTTCCCCCACCGTCTTCGCCGCCTCTGCAAGACGTGCGCAAATGCACCTCTGTCTATCCTGACGTCACCTGGCATCACCACGCCGCCTCCTGCTTGCTCGCTGCTATCCTACCGCGCTCGCTCCGTAGGGTCGACGCCAGGCTCGTCACCCCACTCTTCGACCTCCACCCTCAGCACCACCCCTCCTGCGAACTCGCCACCGCTCTTCACGCCGTCCTCGTCGCCGGGCGCCTCCTCCTCGTACGGGCCGCCGTCGCCGGCTGCGAAAGACGCAGACACCCACAACCACAACCACAACGAGGCGGACGAGTGCCCGGCCTTCACGAACCAGGCCTTCATCCGCAGCCCATGTAGCTGCCCAGACGTGGTGTGGCTCTGCCAGCCGTGCGGCCACGGCATCCGCACCAAAGACCAGCAGTACTCGCTCGGCTGGACATGGCGGACGCGCTACAGCACGTACCTGGGCGGCCTGGGCGCCGGCATCGGCGAGGGCCACGAGGGCGTCAAGTGCGGCCTCCAGGCCGCGTGTCGCGGCGGCCACGATGTCGAGCACGAGGAGTGCGGCACCGCCGAGGAGCTGGCCGACATCCAACGCCAGCTCGGCGGCGGCGCCGGGGCATCATTAACTCAGACCAGCCATGGAGTCTCGATTGGCGGCAATGCGTCTCAAAGTAATGGTGGAACAGCGTTCGGCGAAGGCACGGCCGTCGGCAGCCCGCACGATGAGTGGAGCGGGACATCGTTCTTCGCGCAGGAGATCGAAGGTATCGGCGGCCGGCGGGTGATGAAGATCAAACGGCGGGTGCGGGTGGGCGCCGTGGTCAAGGAGTACGAGGACGAGCGCGAAGGGCGCCAGGCGTACCTGACGCGCGAGAAGGAGGCCGTGAACCGGTCGTGGTGCGCTTGGTGCGCTCGCGTCGTACCGTCGAAGCGGGATGTAAGGGAGTTGGAGAAGTGGGGGGTTGAGGGCTTGTATTGCGGGGATGGGAGGACAGCGAGGAATTGAAAAGCGGTTATTTTATCGTCGGGACGTAACGTAAGTAAATGATACGAGTGTGCGTTTGAAGGAACAAACTAAGTAATGGTTATTTTCGGCTCTTCTCTTTTCTTTTTATCCCTTGCGTTGGCTTTTCGTTTGACATCTTTGCACGTGTCTGATTCGCATGAGGAGCGAGTAGGGAGCACTCCTTGCTGCGGTGAGGGTATTGGTGTTTCACGAGTGTCGACAGTTGAGTGAGGAACTATGGCTGCGTGATGTTTGAAAGAAAGGTGCTTTGAAGATAACGATCATTTGAATGCTTGAGGCTGCTGCATGAGTCTAATATTTGTTTCATGATTAGAAAGAGCCATACAGGCATAAGATAGCACACAGTACGGATCTGAAATTACTCGCCTATGTTCGACTTTAGAAAGGATCGACTACAACGTATTTGTAAGAAGTTGCATTGAATAAGGTGGGATGTTGTAGAATTTAAAGGTGATCGTGTTGGAATGACGAGTCAAAGGTGCGGTGGACTGATATCTGCGCGGTACGTCCGGATGAATTGCTTCAGCTGCCTATCATGAAAGATGGCGTTCCTCACGCCACGCGATCCGCATCTTGCTTAGAACATTCTGTTTCTATGTCAGCTGTGAAGTTCTGAAGCTGCATTGAGTTAAGTGTTTGGATCAAGGCAGATGACTTCTCGCGTTTCGCCAAATATAAATACTAGCATAAGCATTGATTACCAAAGACCAACCACTAAACCTCTATATGCTTACCATACTCCGAGTCTCTATTCCCGACTGCTCTTATATATTTGAGGCTACAACGGGGCCGTCAAAGACTGGCAGCCTGTGAAAGCTCCAGCGTTCGTGAGTATGGTCTATCGGACACTGGGGGTAGTCTGTGCTGCTGAACTGCATCATGAGCAATGATCTTGAAGAAAATCATTTTTCGCTGTTGTTCGGCATCAAAACAGTGGGAAGGCGACGAGGGTCAAAACGAGGCTGAAGATGTGAAGTGCTGCCATCAGGAGGAGTTGTCGCGCAAAACGCAGTCACTCTAGCGACGCTAGTTTCAGATCCTGCATCGGATACTCGAAACCTCGCCACTAGGTCTAGTCTTAGCCGTCTTTGCGTTATAGAGTTCCGTGCTTCCTTTGATTATGGTCAAGATACAGTCGTGATCTCGCCTTACAACAGCATCTTCGCCAGCCCTGCTGAGCAAGCTAGACTATTGTTGAGTAGGTAATAGAAGAAATGTGATATGCGACCGCAAACAAATCCCCTGTAGTCCTGGAGCCTTTTTATTCAAGAGTGCTCCTATTCCCCTTGGATTCTCATGTCTTGTCGACCGCCTCACCAGCTCGGTAAAAGACCAGCTAGTGTCCGGATCGCAATTGCACAGTGACATTAGGTGATTCCCTCCAGTACTTCTCCAACTACTTTATATGTCGAGGTTAATTTGCAACCGATCATGTTTTGGAATGGGTGATATTGAGCCGCATCATCATAATTCAATACTGAAAACATGACCGAGTACTAGATTTGGACTTCTAACTACCCTGCGAACTTACATAGCACCATGCTGCTACCGCGAAGTGTAGGAGACTGCAGAACTTGACGAGTAAGCTGCGGTGTAGAATACGTGAAAAAGACACCAATGCTTTCAATGCATAGAATCTTTGAGATATCTCTTGGTTGTATGTACAGCCATCAAATTCTCTATTTTGCTAAACCCCAATGAACGCCTTCTTTATGCTTGCAGGTCGTCTTATCTTCAGGATGCATATCAAATCGCCTCCAATCAGTGATTCCTCACGTCCTTCAACCACACACCACCCCTTCCTTGGGTATCTCAGTCTTCTCGACCCTCACATCTCCATCCTTCACCTTCTTCTCAACCTCCACTTCCTCGACCCTTCCCTCAGGCGCCACGCCTGCCTTCTTCGCTTCCTCGTCTTCCTTCTGCTTCTGCTCCTCCATCTTCTTCTTGTCCTTCTTGCTCAACGAGAGCGCTCCCTTCTCTAGCGCCTCCTTCGGTAGTGGCCGCACGTACGGCTGGCAGATGAACCACGGCCGCTTGCATCTGTTAACCGCTGCGAGGGAGCTCTCGTGCGGATCGAGCTCTTTGGTCTCGACCGTCGGTTCAGCAGCGCCGTTGGTCTCGGGGGCACCCGCCTCCTTTTCGTACTCGATGAGTCCTTCTTTCACGGCAGCCTCCACCATCTGCAGAACATTCTCAAATGCCTCGACGTTGCCAGAACGGCACCTGGCCAGCGCATCGCGGATGTTCGTGTGCTTGGCGACGAGCGGGCGGAGCAAGCGGAAGAGATGAGACTGCATGGCGGTGAGGTTCGGGTCGGTCGATCTCTCAAACTTCTTCGCGTCCTTCTTGTTGCTGTTCGCCAAGCGCTGCTTCTTCTTCGGCGGCTGCCCCTCTTCCTCCTCTTCCGCCGCCTCATTCTCTTCGCCTTTGTCCGCCTCCTGAGCCGGCGGGTCCGATGGCAGGAATAGCGGTTTCCTCTCCGGCGGCGCAACGCCCTGGACGTGCTTGTATATGATGTCCATGTACCGGCGGAACACGGCGTCCATCCTGTACCCGCCCTTGCCATCCTTGCTCCTCCAGTACTCCCTTCCCTCCTGGCCGACCGGAGGCGGACCGGCAAAGATAGTTGGATCGTACAGATTGCCTTCAGCGCTCATGACGCCGTCAGCGCCTGTCGCCTTCAAGCACGCCTCGATGTCTTCGTGCTGCAGGATGTTGCCGTTGGCAAATATGACCGTATTTGGGGGAAGATTGTCGCGCAGGTAGCGGATGGCATCCCAATCTGCTAGTCCCGTCTCGTGGCCCTTCTGGTGGCGTTGGCGACCGTGGACTGTGATGATGCTCGCGCCGGCGTCGAGGAGCATGCGCGCGTACTCCAGGGTGCGCTCGTGCGTCTCCTGTACCCGGAACTTGGCTGTCACCGGTATCGGCAACTCGGCGTGCAGGCGCGAAATCAGGGCCCTGATAGTATCCCAGTCCTCCTGCAAGAATGCGCCGTATCGGCCTTTGCGTGCGATGCCCTGAGGACATCCCAGGTTGAGATCGACGGCGTCGCAAAATGGCGCGACGTGTTGAGCTGCAGCGATGAAATCTTCCGGGTCGTTGGAGCAGAATTGGACGAAGAGGGGACGATCGATGGCGGGGTTGCCGTCGAGGTGTGCGTCGGAGGTGGTATATTGCTTGAGCTGTTCGGGGTCGGGCGGAGAGGGGATGGTATCGCGCAATGGTTGGAACGACTGCTTGCGGTATGGGGGTTTCTCGTGAAAGAGGCGCGAGTGGAACATAGGAGTGTAGGCGAGGAGGTCGTTCTTCTGGTCAGCAGGCATGAATGAGCGGCTCAGCATGCGCCAGGCCTGATTGCGCTGTTAGCGGAGCAAGAGTCGCGGCAGACAATCATGTCGTACAAATTCGGATGCCTCAACCATGGGCGCAAGCACCATCTTCGGGCTACCGAGGGCCTCATAGAAGGCGCGGCCATGAAGCTTTGGTCTCTGGAAGCAGAGAGGCTTCTTCTCTTGGCCGTTCTCCATGACGGAAGGTTGTGTGGCGGTCATGATGGCACGCGCCGAGAAAGTGTGTGGGAAGGAAAGGCGTAGCCCCGTAGGGCGTGTAAGTAAAGCGCGTATGGTGAAGGAAGGCACGTTGGCAGTGCTTGCGAGAGGATGGGAGATGGCAGCAGCGCATCGAAAAAGTTCCCACGCACCCTGCGTCATCACTAGCGCCGCGCTATGTCCGGCGGGCCATTGCTTCCCCGCGGGGACGCCAGATTCATCAATGTTTCAATCTGGCTCACTCTCACTTTTCCACTTTCGCTTTATTTTCACATCAACATTTACGATGATTGCTTTCTTATCTACGACACCAATAACAGAAGGCAGCCGATCTCTCTCTATGCATACTGCAGGCGATCCTCGGACCAACCTGGCTGCAGGTCGCTCCAATCCCTCGAGAAGCCAAAGTCCGTCTGGTACTTGCCATACAGAACAAGATCCAGCTTTTCAAATGCCGCACCCTCTTCCGATTGCGCCCAGACGCTGAGCGACAGAGTGTTTGAGCCTTTGTTGTTGAGCACACCCGGCGGGAACGGGAACCTCGTCTGCGGGCCAATGTGTGGTAGGTACTTGCCATATTGATAACTGGTATTTCGTCAGCATTTTCATCCAACCATCTCCAGGAAGTCCAACTCACCCGTTTACGAAGATTTGCACTCTCGCCACCGTTCCGTCCGGGATGCTCACTTCCAGCCCGATCGGTGCGTCCAGGTCCTCATCGACATCAAGATCAAACTTGGTCGTGTACCACCGGATGCCAGAGCCCGTGAATCCCTCGAGCGGATCGCCTTCGTCCCATGTGGAGACATCGAAACCGGGTAAGTGCCAGCCAAGACGCTCACCGTGCAGCCCGCCTTCGTTGAGCGGGCCGCGGACGGGGTCGACGTAGCCGGCACCGCCACCAGCATTGCCCTGGATCTTCCACTGCTTGAAAGTCGCCGCATTTCCGGTAGCATTGCCCGCGGATAGCAGGCTTGCAGCAATGATGCCGCGCGGGTTGAGCGGGCCGTACGGCCCCTGGCTATCTTGGTCGTGCCCGCTATAGTCCGTCACAACCGTCAGCACGTTATCCTTGTCTACAAGATCCGCGCCGGAGAAGTCGAGCACAGCCGAGGTCGAGATGAGCGACGCGTTACCCGGATGGCCGCCGACGAGTGCGCCGTTCAGCCATGCCGACCAGCCCGCCGCTACGCCGCCTTGAACGGTGATGTTGGCACCAGTAGCTCCCGTGCCGTCGAAGTAGCCGCGGTAGATGAAGATGCCGGTGTAGAAGCCGTAGTCGCTGCCGTAGAGGACGGGCAGCGTGGCCGGCGCGAGAGGGCTGAGCGTCGTCGTCTTGTTCGCGACGGTCCAACGGGAGTCGTCGTAGGAGGGGTCGGCTTCAGGCAGCGCGTTGGCAACCTTCCAGCCGGAGAGGGCCGGTAGCGTGACTTCGCGGTCGACGATACCGGGTAGCTCGGCCTGGAGCGAACCGTACGCGGAGCGCGTGGTCGACAGTTCAGCGCCGTTCCAGCTGATGGTGTCGACCGAGGGGTCACCGACGTACACATCAATGCTGGTCTCATTGAGGTGGTCGCCCGAGATGGAGACTGTGCTGCCAGAGACGGATGCAGAGCGGACGAGGTAAGGACCCAAGACGAAAAGCTGCTCATCAGCCGAGATGTGCGGATTGGACGTGGTTGCCGGGGCGAAGAAGGTGTATGCCGACCACCTCTCGAGGAGGTAGAGAACCGGTCCTTGCGCGAACTTGACGACGGTAGCGCCCTTGGTCTGCGTGTACTTGAAGGCTGCAGACGTTCCGTTTCCGGTGGCGGTGGCAGCGAAGTCAGTCTCGGCGCCGTACGTGGTGAAGTTCGTGTTCTTCAGACCCCCCTTGAAGGCAAGCTCGCCGACTTGGCCCTCATTGAGATAGAAGACCAGGACCGGGACATCGAACAGACCGTAGGTCAAGACTTCGGCGGAAGAGTACAGAAGCGTGTAGTCCCCGACCGGGTAGTCGGTGACCACGATCCTGCTCTGACGACCTCTGAGGTCAAGGCTGGGAATGGTGATCTCGCCTTCGGAGGTGGTGACGTCCAAGGAGAACGGAGTGTTTTCGCGAGAGCGGGAGTTGTCGTGCTGCGTGAAGTAGAAGCCTGCCTCAGTCTCCGGGTTGCGCAGAACCCAGGTAAAGATGGCAGTGCTATTGACTGCGTTGCCCGTGCCATTACTCTCCATATCGGTGTTGAGAAGACCTTCGCTGACGCGGGTGAACAGGCTGATCAGCTTTATGTGCTTGAATTTATCCCAAACCTCACGGGTCTCGCGCAAAGGCGCCCCGTAGTCGTACGAAGTGTAGACGACGGGTGCTGCGAGGTGACCCCAGTTGGTCCCTCCGTATGTCATGTACATGTTCTGGAGCGTCATCCGCTGGGCAATGTTGTTCTTGTAGAAGACGTCAGGGTAGGCAGTGTCGTGCTCCGAAACGCACTCATCGAAGAAGTAGCCGCCCCACGGCTGGAACCAACCGCCCTTGAACTCGGGGGTAAACTCGGGCTGGGTGTACGAGTAGTTCTGGAACCACTGGTAGTATGTACGGACGAGGTTAAACCCGGTATCGATGTTGCTGCAGCTCAGTCCACCAGCGTACGAATCCAGGCCATAGATGTCGACTGCGCCGCCGACGTTCTGGTAGTCGACAGACCAGCTCTGGCCGCGCATGCCCTTCTCATTGGAAGTAAAGGGGACCACGATACCGTTCTCGCGGAAAGCCTTCTTTATCTGCTCCATGTAGAGGACCAGGGGGTCGTCGGCAACATGGCGGGACTGTGTGAGCTCGTTTTCCACCTGGACCAGGATGACGGGACCGCCTTCGGTGATCTGGTTCCGAGCGATGATGGGCATGATGGCGTTGACCCAGGGCAGCCATTGCTCGTAGTACGTCTCGTCGTTGGTTCGGAGGTCGCCGCCGCTGCCGTCGGTGATGTAGAGGCCGTAGCCACCAGCGCTGGTTTCGGCGTTACAGTACGGGCCCGGGCGAGCGATAATGTAAACGCCTTCTTCCTTGGCAATGTCGAAGAGTTTCTGGATGTCCTTGCCAGGAGATTCGAAGTCGAAGACTCCCTTCGAGGGCGAGTGGTAGGACCAAAAGAAGTAGACACTGCGACGATTAGTTGGGGCAAGAATGGATGCAGGAGAGGCAGTGCTCGCCTAAGGGTGTTCAGGCCGTTCGCCTTGAACTTCTGGATAACATCACGCCATAGCTCGGGCACTGGCAAGCGAGCATAGTGGAATTCGCCGGAGTAGATGTAGACGCGCTCGCCGTTGATGAACAAGCTGTTCTCGTCCCACTGGACGACGTCGGTGTAGCCGTTGTCTCGCTGTCCGCTGACGAGCGAGATGACTGCTCCCAGAAGGAACAGAAGGATTGCGGCGGCACGCATGGTGAGGTAGGGGAGCGCCGAGGACTCGAGAAACAGCGCTGGCGGTCAGCCTATATTTCAATCAGACCATAGCATGAAGTCATAGCAAAATACGGTATGCGGGCCATGTCAGGTACAAAGATCCGTCAATGAGAGCAGAGGGATCTGCACTAGGGTCGTAACGAGCAGCGGGACAAGCGGAACCAGGTACGGCCTTGAAACCTAAAATGAGGTGCATGTTTCCCTGCCGTAGGCAATTTCTCCAATAAAAACCCCGGACCGAGCATCCTATTTCAGGCTGTCGCTAGACTTTATGCCGAAGGGGCGGATGGCGTGTGGGGTTCTTCGTGTTGACGAGCGTGACCTGCTTTTGCCCCGCACGCCCATGCAAGCGAGCCTGCATTTTGGCTAACCGCAAATTCACCATGGTGGCGTCAAATTGCACCACGGCTGAATATAAGAACTTGTCGCCTAAGCGAAGGGGGTGACGGACAAAGGGAGCTCGCGTCTTTTTGTAGCGAAACTCCATACAAACAGTGCCTTTTAGAGGCTCTGTGATGGTACACCCCACCTCGCTTGCTCGCACGACCGGAGGGTTGTTACAGCGTGGATTTAATACGTGGGAGAGCAGACTGGAGACCGAAGACCTGATGCAAACCATCAGAAAAGGGCAACTATCGAGCGTTGCCGTGGAACAGGAAAGTCTACGGTGTTAGTAACATGCACCTCCGATAGGAACCGACGTTAGCGAGATAGGACATGGCCCATTCGCGGATCATTCGGATGGCTCTACTATTACTCTTTAGCGTGAAAAGACGGGCTGGCCCTAAGGAAAAGAAGCGAGCGCGATATATGGACCCATAACAGGGGAAGATGATCCAGGAAAGCGCGCTGTAGGAACATATGCAACCTCGCTGTGCTGCTGAAGAAATAGCATCTACCACGAGTTACATTGCTCGAACCATTACTTTTGGGTCTTTGTTCTTCATTCAGCCGATTTCAAGAAGATTCCATAAATTTCTAGACTACAGACCTGAAGTCACTGTCTATGCCCGCGACCATCTTGGTGCATATCCCTCGAAGAAATCTAGCCCTACGAGCTCTTCTAGCGGTCCATAGCGGTGTGACATCCCTGTTCATGTCTCGGAAGGATGACAGACTTCGCTTCGCCAAGCTCAAGGGGTCGGGGCCAGAGCAACAACTGCGCAGGCAGCCTGGCAAGTACCGAAAGCGGCGTTGCAAGCGATGATCGAGGCAGGTGCAGTGGCCCCAAGCGTGGCGCCCCAGGTGAAGCCAGCTGCTGCGTAACACGCCATGACAACTGAAGCACATCCAGCTTGGCAGATGCCATATGCGATGGGTCCAGCCGTGGCCGTACCGGCGAAGATGAGTGAGCCGGCAAAGACGATGGTTTGGAAGCGCATTTTGAATTTGGGTGTGCTTGCTGGTGAGAGATATTCAGTAAATGGGCAGTCTTGCAAAATGCGTACTCGAGGTGTGTACTTACAGCTGTGGGAGGATGTTCGGTTGTTCACTGTGAGGAAGTGTTGATTAAGGTGGGGTTGAGAAGCGAGAAAGTTGGTGGATTTGTAGAAGGATGATGGACAGAAGAAGAGAAGCGACAGAAAGATTAAGCTGGAGCAAACCAGTGACGGGAAAACTACGCTAAAGCAGCCACGCTAAGCCAGGCCTGGAAACCCACCTGGTGGTGAATGAGACATGGGTCGGCTGTGACAGCTGTTACCCGCTCCCGGCATTCTATATTCCCAGGAACACCTAAAATTACCAGCTGATTGAATCTGTACAGATACGAAGATGCGGGTTTTGGTCTTCCACATCGAAGGAAGGCCGAAGAGAAATAGTAAAGGAAAACGGTTCAATCGAAGCCAAGGGACGTGGTAAGATCCAAGTCACCCTCTTCACGTATTTTTCATCACTGCGCTAAACATCAAAAACAAAGGCCTTTGAGCCATGCGGCTAAATAAAGAAGTATTCAAGGGACGCGTCCGATTCTTTGGAAGGAATTTGGAAGAAAGTGAAGAAACTTGTCGCATGAAGGGCGCTTCAGATGACCAGACTATCGATAGAAGGGGGTAATCAGAGAGAGGAGTAGTCGAGAGGCTTTTCCTGCTGTACATGATTGGTAGAACCATGGGCGACTATGGCTGGCGAAGTAGGGTGGAGATCTGCGGGCCGGGCACGCAAACACGCGAGAAATCCTAGAGATTGACCGCGATTGCTAATAACAATAGATGCTTTTGGGAACTATCATAGCTTGAAAGAATGCCACATGTCCGTGGATGCGCCTTATTGATCCTTCGTACGGGTGGATAATTGTGCGATCCTATCTTCTATCTACGGTCATACAGTTGTTTGTGCACGGCAGATACTTTAAAAAATGGAAGATTCTACGAGGAGCTCTCAACGCCAGCCACAGCAGACAAGCGGCAGCACAAGAATTGTCGTGATTCTAGGGAAGCGCTGAATGAAAAGCTTTCCTGGTACATCGAGTGGCACAATCCCTGGCTGCAACTATGATGTAGCGCATAGATGAGCAAGGCGTATCTGCTGGGATGCAGCTTAGGAAGTGTTGATTTGTTGGAACTAAATATCTGATCATGACGGCGAAGGGTTTTAAGGTTGTTTGTGAGTCGGGTTTGGCAGGAGGAAGACGCGTAGGTGGACTAGCCCGAGTTGGCTTAGCGTGACCCTGTGATAGAAAGTTCCCCCTGGTACGCGCAAGCCCCTCCACCGTCACCACCACGCCGCTGCCATCATTAGCCGACCTTACTGCGCCATCGCCTCCCGCTCGTATCCGTGCCATGCTGTATTCTCGCGCCATCAGCCCCCCCGTTCTCAAACCAAATGCTTAATGGGTAACCTTATTTCGAGTTGACCTCTGACCTCAACTACGCGCGTCCTGCTGTAACATGTCGACTTCCTCCGCAAGCTCACCCCTTGCTCATCTCCCGATGACTGCACCTCTTCTTTTACTTCTTACTGTCGCCGTCTTTGTAGCTTAAACCACGGCTCAACTGCGGCTTTCTTTTGCGGATTTACGGATCTCACGATAATGCCGATCCTTGCGTCGTAAGCTTCGTCTACTTCAAGATGCCGTGTTTCCTGAATAGGCACAGTGCTCGTGGCAAAGGCCGCTTCGCTGATAAGCTCCGGCATCGCTCAGCCCAATCGTCCCACAAGGCGATTCAAGCCTCAATTGACGCATGAAAGAACCTTGTTTTATGGTGGCCCGCAACCTTAGAGCCGCATCAGTCTTCGGCACTTGGAAGCAACCGCGAAATTGCCGCCCTCGTTTGATGTTTTTCTCCTTGATGATGACGACTGCTTAGCTGCTGGAATTCGCCGTTCACTGCGCCTGTGTGTTGTTTCAACCGTTTCACCTCTTCCCCAGCCTCCGAATATCTTCCGATCTGCAGGTGAGATGTTCCATTGGCCGATCCCGTGCCACTTTGGCCGCGCGAAAACAGCTGCTGTCTCTTTCAATCAATCGCTAGGAGCAGACATCTCCTGTGGCCCATGCCGGGGACGCGTAATCCGACAAGTGCTCACGATGCCAGCGGATGCCACTTTATAATGTTGTAACTACCACGACTTATCGTTTCTAAAAGCAGCCATCTCTCTTTCCAACCGGGCTCCAGCGCTTCACTGAGCCCAAAATGCGTCCCTCGCTTTCCGTTCTTTCAGCCGTGACCCTCTTGGTCCAGGGCCTTCACGCCTACTCCACTAACTACACCAGTCAGAATCTTGCTTCTGGTACCAGTATGCCTTGCCACGCCGACATTCAAAACTTTGTTCGATGCTGACCCAACCCAGTCCAGCTTGGAGATTGGCAGGATGCCTATGACCGCGCGAAAGCGTTCGTTGATGGGCTCACCACTTCTGAAAAAATTTCTTTGATCACTGGCTCCGATGTCTCCAACTTTACCGCTCTTTACTTCAGAGATTCCGGTAACTCCATTCTTCAATACTACTATGTTACGTCTTGGTATGCTGCCTTTTGCATGACCAGTTGGAACCGAAATCACTGACTCAGTAGGCCTCTTTCCTCGGCCCTTGCTATGACCTGGGACAAGGACCAGATGTACCAGATGTACAAGGCTCTGGGCGATGAATTTTACGCAAAGGGAATCAACGTTGCCAACGGGCCTGTTAGCGAACCTCTGGGCCGCTCGCCTTGGGGTGGACGCAACGGCGAGTCTTTTGGTCCCGACTCTTACCTCAACGGTATCGCCTTTGGTCTTTCCGTGAAAGGCTACGGTGCCGCTGGCGTCATTTCAGGCGCCAAGCATTTCCTTTTGAACGAGCAGGAGAACAACCGTACCCAGGATTCTACTGGTGGCGGTGGCGGCGGTAGCCCTCCCAGCGACGGCGGCAACTTCACCATGCCTAGCGGTGGTGACAACTCCACTTCATCCCCTGGCGGTATGGGCGGTGGCGGTGATTCTTCGAGCACCGAGACCACCGCATACTCCTCTCAGGTTGATGATAAGACTCTGCACGAGACGTATGTTCCCCCCATTTGTTGAAGACCGGTAAGAGACATACTAACATGATCATCACAGATATATGTGGCCTTTCTATGATGGTGTCAAGGCCGGTCTGGGTGCTGTCATGTGTTCTCTCAACCGAGTGAACGAGGTAAGACAATAAACCCACATAATACAGAGAACAACAAGCTGATCTGTCTAAGACCTACGCCTGCGAGAACCAGGACCTTATTGGAGGCATGCTCAAGACCGAGATCGGTTTCCCTGGCTTCGTCTTTGGTGACGTGGGTGGTCAGAAGACTGCCTTTGGGTCTGCCAATGCTGGCATGGACTACGGCAGTGCATCGACTTGGAGCAACTCCACCATCACTACCGGTCTGAACAACGGTTCTCTGACTGATGCGCGCCTCACCGACATGGCCGTCCGCAACGTTTTGCCTTCCTACAAGCTCAACCAGCAGGATGGCACTTACCCTACGACTGCTGGCCTTGAGGACTATGTCGATCCGCGTGCTAACCACAGCAAGATCGCCCGGAACATCGCTGCTTCCTCACTGGTGCTCCTCAAGAACACCAACAACGCCCTGCCCCTGAACAAGCCTAAGTCCATGTCCATCTTCGGTGTCCACGCTGGCGCTCCCATTGCCGGCCCCAACGACCCCATCTCTGTCACCGGCTCGGATGACGTCTACCAAGGCCATGCTGCCAGCCTGGGTGGTAGCGGCACTAACTCATTCCCCTACTTGATCACTCCTCATTATGCCCTGACCACTAAGGTCATCGAGGATGGCACCATGTTCAGATGGATCATGAACGACACTGGTTACTCTTCTTCCGGCTCTGGTCTCTCTGGATATTCCTCCGGTACCGGTGCGGCACACACCTATGCAGGTTATGCCGCTGACACCGAAGTCTGCATCGTCTTCCTGAACGCCTACTCGGGCGAGGGTGCGGACCGCAGCGAGCTCTACAACACCGACCAAGACGCCATGGTCACGGACGTCGCCTCCAACTGCAACAACACCATCGTAGTCATCAACGCCATCGCCACCCGCCTCGTCGACAACTGGATCGAGAACGAGAACGTGACGGCGCTCGTGTACGGCGGCATGTTGGGCCAGGAGTCCGGCCAGGCCATCGTCAACGTGCTCTACGGCGACGTCAACCCCTCGGGCAAGCTGACCTACACCATCGCCAAGAACGAGTCCGACTACAACACCGGCCTCTGCACCGACCTGATCTGCGACTTCTCCGAGGGCAACTACATCGACTACAAGTACTTCGACGCGTACAACGTCACCCCGCGCTACGAGTTCGGCTTCGGCCTCTCCTACACCTCCTTCGAGTACGGCGCCGACCTCACCGTCTCCAAGACGAACGAGACCGCCCTCGCGACCAAGTTCGCCCAGGGCCCCCGCGCCGTCGGCGGCCGCGAGGATCTGTGGGACGTCGTCGCCACGGCCGAGACCGAGGTCACCAACTCTGGAGACCGCGACGGCGCCGAGGTCGTCCAGCTGTACGTCGGCTTCCCCGACGCCGCGGGTCAGCCGCTCAGGCAGCTGCGTGGCTTCGAGAAGGTGCACTTGGCGAAGGGCGAGACGGCCAAGGTCACGTTCGAGCTCAGGAGGAGGGATCTCAGCTACTGGGATGTTGAGGCGCAGAACTGGGCGGTTGCGAGCGGCACGTACACCTTCTGGGTTGGTGCCAGCAGCAGGGACTTGAAGAGTTCTGCTGAGGTGACGATTTAAAAGTTTCTCTCTTCCTCTCCCCTTATCCCAGAGTGGACTAGAAAGGGGACCTTTCTTGTTGAGAAAATCTTTTCTTTTTATCTTTACTTTCTATGTGTAGATGATAGCTATGTTGCAAATACTTTAGATGATTGAGAAGAAGTGTCACTGTCCTGCATTTATTGTGTTTATTCGTATTGCTACAGGATTCTGACGTTTTTCATCCTTTCCTCTCCTTTTTCGTGGCACTTCATGACGACAAGACGCTTACCAAGGCTGCCTCTTTGAACTAGGGTTTGGTGTGCACCGCCCTTGGTATTAGACCTGTTAAATTCAAAGAATCCTAAGCTTCATAATTTTACCGTTGCCCGAGAGTCTTCTTAGCGATTCTCTGCTGGCCAAGGGAAAACCTGAACGTGTGAAGGGGGGAGAAGCTAATCAGATCCTGTGGTTATACTACACACGGTGAAACGCGTCTTGGTGATACGGAATGCCTAGACGCTCTTGTGTTGCTCATGTCTCGCGGCCTCCGAATTTCCAATCTTCCGTATCTCCCTGCGTCGCCCCTTTCTCTAGCTGATGTCTCGCCGTATCCGAGCCAATGTATGATTGAATTGAGCTCCCTGATCTGGGCGGTTCCATCAAGGCCCGTTTGCCTCAATCACTGCAATGCAGTGCGAGCTTGACACAGCATCTCCAAAGGCATTTTGAAGGATCAGCTCAAATAAACTTTTAGGCATGTCAGAGATGCAAAAGGGATGTCTTTCGTTGTGATTGGGTCAGAATGTCAACGGCTCCAAAGTCCTTTCCGAGTGCGGTTAGATTTGGTAGTGCAGCCGTTAGCGAGGTCCACAAAAGAGTTAAGACAAAGAAAACAAAACGTACAACAGCCGGGATTCCCCAATGGTCACCCACTTGAGTACTAATCGGCCGGTTCGCAGCTTAAGTACGGCTGAGCGGACGGGAAGCCCTGCATTCTGCGACCTATGGTCGTACGTGAAAGAGGGTGTTGTAAACTGCGATTATATTCCCCAGTTACCAGTCAGTCTCCGGGCTGTCGACTGGCAATTCTGAACAAGAAGGTAGTTCAAATGCCCCTACATTCTTACGTGATTGACAACGTTACCTCTTAATATCATTCTACAAAAGAAACTCTTCTGCAAGTCTCCGGCAGAGCCATTCCATGCGCGTTGTAGGGTAGTTGAGCTTGGTTTGAAGACCTGGGTTTAATGATTCGTTTTTGTTATGTGGTTGTTTTCTTCTGGGCCAATGATCACTTGACGTTATGTTGGCGGGGCTGTCCCACTTCCTGCAGCAGCGCTTACAGTGGACAACACCTTGTTTATCTCGACTTTTCTCTGTCATCATTCCGCATGCCGTAACACGCAATATCAACTTCATTTACGCAAAAGAGGGGAGAGTTGAATACTTTCGAAATGGAACTTTATCTGGCTCGAATTTGCGAACGCGACGACAAATCTTTATTCGTCGAACGGAAGCAGACGTTAACCACCGAGGAATCTTACGTCGCCATCTCCCACGTGTGGGGAGACCCAGCTACCATCAAGACGGTACACATCGACGGAGTAGGACCTGTCAAGCTCAGCCCGGGTAAGAAGGACTTCTTGCATATTCTTCGCCGCCCGGACATATGCGGCGCTGGGTGGTTCTGGCTCGACCTCTTCTGCATCGATCAGAGCCCCGACTCGCCTATTCCCATCTCGGCCCAGCTTATGGCCATCCCGACAATCTATAGGTCTAGCGCAGTCGTCGTCGTTCTCATAGAATCACCTGTATGCGGCTCCTGGATAGAAGATGCGATTCGCGTTGCCGAATACGGCGTTATCAATAGCGACGTCTTCAACATCGAGGAGGCAGCCCACGCAAGAAAATGCCCCAACCTCGTTTTCATGGATCCGTGGTTCGACCGTGTGTGGACGCGACAAGAAGGCCTCTACGCGATGAAACTAAGAATGATCTTCCTCAACAAGGTTACATGCGCCCGGTTTGCGACCGCGCCGGCTCATGATGGAGACCGTTGGCTCGCCGAGCAGCAGGCTGTCGCCAAACGAGCTGAAGCGGCCACTTTCATCACAGATAAACTGGCCTACCACGGGATCCCCGATGATGGTGGCATCGCCTCCGAATGCTTCTATTTCGACCTGATGTACAAACAACGCGTGGATGTCGCCAACTACAGCGGTGAAGTCGGCCCTGCATCCGGCTACATGCCAATTCGAGATGCCTGGAGAAGCAATCGTACGACAACTAAGCCCCGAGACTACGTCTTAGCCATCTTTCCAGACATTGAGGGTTATCGGGTACCACTGAACGTCCGCAACTTATCCTTCAGCCAGCTATTGGAGGATGCCTATGAGCAGGTCCGGAAAAATGGTCGGGGCCGCAGCTTCATCTTGCCGAAGATACCCAGAAGCATGATCACCACCATGGCTTCGGACTCTGACCGGCCGTGGACAATGGAGGATCCAGCCAACATATCACAAGCCTACGATTCCATTGTGGACGTGAGCAAGGCTGGCCCAGTGGAGGAGCAGCAAACTGGCCTCCGCAAAGTGCTGCTCAGACCGCTCGAGGTCAGAGATCAGACGGCATTAGAGGGTCTCGTGAAGCTATGCGAAAGCAGCGTCGACCTCGTGCAACACATTGTCTTGGCGGCACCTTCTGGTCCTTTCCTCGGGTCTGCCAGAGCATTTCAACATGAAAAAGCCTTGCTCCATCGCTTCTTCGCCCAGAGATTCGGAGAATCGGCGTTGAGGCAGTACTCGACTCGAGAGTCTTCTGGGATTTCTCCAACTATCCTGAAACGACTCGGATCTCACGGAAGTGTGAATCTGGAGAAGCTGAAGTATACGGAGGAAGTGTTTGAAGAAGAACTCAAGAGGTTCTTAGTTTGCTTGATGTGTGGGACTACTATGACTTGCGCAACCAAGCTTCTGGAGTTCTCAGATCTGGCTATGGCGGTTACAGAAGGCTCACCTAGCGGTAGCGGGGAGATGTTGGCACTGGTCAATCGGATGGTTTTAACAGCAGCTGATCGATATGAGCTGACTCTCGGAGGCAGGGATTTTGAGAGCTTCCAGGGCCTTCTACTGCTATCCAGGACAGAAAACCCCGAAGTGGCTAGCATCGTGGTGGGCAGAACCACGATTCCGACGAGTCGCTCCTAGAGTATCCATTGTAGTTAGCCGGAGGTGTTCGATTCTCTGCGTTGAAGGCAGCACTGCTCTTATCATTATGCCATCCCTCTAGCTTCCGTTCCAGACCCCAGCACCCAGTCAATGTGCGGAACCGCAAATGTGAATTGACTTTCCACCAAGTCCGCTGATTACTCTTCCATTGTTGCATGTCTTTCCGTCTTAACAATCGAGATCAAGATCTCGCGCGCGTATGTGGTTCCTGACTCAACGACGCATCCAAGATGATTAAACCTGCTCAAGAATATCAAATCCTCAGATCATCAAGAGAGATACAACCGCCCGCAAAGACAATGATGCATGTCCCCGCATGCCCTATTGTTTTACACAAGCCCGTTTCTCATCAAGGGAAAAAAAAATAAAGACAGCAATATTCACAAGCAAACAGCGCAACTTAAAAAGAAAGGCCGAGACTGCCGGAACCAACGAAGTTCAAGAAAGGAATATATACAAAATACAGTTTTGCTTCCGTAGAAATGCTGACCAAAACCTCACAAGCCGTTCCTCATATCAGATCCGCACGTCTTTAACGCTCGCACACAAGCGACCTAACCCAAGAATGATCCAACTTTACTGCCGCCCATTGCTGTCATACTCCTGTACATTTCTCTCTCTTCACGACAGCTTTTGGAAAACGGCAAATCTAGCCACTAGCATCATGGATCTTTCTCTCAACGGTTAAGGTTCATGTGCATCAACGCCTCCTGCGGCCACTCGTCGCTCTCAACGCTGCTCCTGTTCGCCACCCTCAACCCACCACCCGCTCCGCCGATCCTGCCACTGTCGCCCTCGATGTCAGCCGGCAAACTCAGAAACGGCTTGCTCGCATAACTCGGCTGCGGCGCCTGCTCATTTCCTTCTTCGTTTTGCATGTACCCCTGCTGCTGTTGCTGGAAATGCTGCTGTTGCTGCCAAGCAGGGTCGTACGCCTGCCCGTGCCATTGCTGCTGCTGCTGCATCTGGCCGGGAGGCATGTCAATCATGCTCGGTCTCCGGCTCTGCTGGATCGAGTTTTGACCGCTGTTGGTATAGCTGCCGTTGTCGAAGACGCCCGCCATGTCGACTGGAGAGTAGTCCATCATGCCGCTGCCGGGGCCAGCCATATCAGGAGGCTGCAGGTGCGGATACGCCTGCCGATGGTGCTCTGCCGTCGGAGTGCGTGCGTCATCACCCTCACCTGGGGTAGGGATCTCTTGGATGCCTGGTTGAAGCTCAAAGCCTGCTTGTTGTTGCTGGTGAATTTGCAGCGGGGAAGGCAGACTAGGGTCAGGCAAAGCCGAGGCAGAGGTGACCTTGCGAAGACTGCTGGGTCGCTTGATGCTGCCGTTCCTGCTGCCCTGTGGCTGTTGTTGCATCATGCTCATATGACGCGCAGCGCCCGTGTTTTCTTCAGCCACTTCGGTGAGCTGGCTGTCCGCGCCATCGGGGTCGCGGATGCTGAATTGCGCAATGGTGCGCATCTTGCGTGTCACCCAGGTCGCCAGGATTTTACCACGCTGCTTTTCGCCCAGTCGGGAGCGCGGGAAGTCTCCCTTGGAAACAAACGCAACAATGTCCGTGACGATATGGTGCTCATTCAGCACGGCGTTCACGATGACGGGCACCATCGATGCAAGGAAGTTCTTGCGGAAGATCTCCACAAGAATGACGATCATCCCGCCTGCTTGGAACACGGCGCTATTCGTCTGTTAGCTTTGCACCCTTGCTGATGATGACGCACTGTTTGACCACTTACCAGCCTCCTGGAACGATGTTGCGGTGGCACCGTTCCACCGAGTATTCAATATCCATCGGGAAATGGCTCAATCCGTTGACCTCGAAGGTCTCGCCAATGCTTCCCAGTACAAACAGACACTGCATGTCTACCATGGTGCCTCCGGGGCCAATGGGCCTGGCGACATTGTGCAAGAAACCGAGATCTCCAGTACGCATGTACCTGACATTCGGGTCGCCATCAACGGTCCGGCCGTTGAACCTCTCGACATCGAAGAGGTCCTTCGAGCCGTAGAAGCTGTGGGCATTCGCTTCTGACTGCACCCAAATTTCGCCATACTCTCCATTGAGGCAAAGACGATTGGTTTCTGGGTTAACAATAGAAATCTGCGTGCTAACAGGAACCATGCCTGAGTCTTGGACAAGCAGACTGAATGGCTCGGTATCAGGATCAACAGGGACAATGAGACCCCTACGGAGAGCGTTCATATCAAGCCACAATTCGATTGGCTCAATGCACATGTATGACCGGGAGGCAACCATGGGGTTCAACACATGTGAATAAATGGTGTTGATGGCAGTCCTCTCAAGACCGGCAGCCGCGAAGTGCAGCCGCACTTTCTGGTCTGTGGGAGGGTGAGCAAACGAGCGAGCTCAAAACGGGGACGACAGCAAGGACTTACAAACATCCACACGTGGCCTTCCGTCAGTTGAGATCATAAGATTCTTGAGCTCGTGCAAAGCAGCGCTCTTGCCAGCATTGTGTCCCATGGCAAAATCCAACATTTGACTAGTCGCATATGTATCCTTGATCTTATACCGCGACAAAGTCTGGAAAAGAATGTTGGGGTTCTGTGCGAAGTCCACTGGCGAAACCAGGTACGTCGGGGCAGCTGCAAAGATTGTTAGGGGTGCATGTACAAACAAGGGCTCAAAACTTACCCAAAAAGATGCCCATGAGGCAAGTGTGAATGAAACCTAGACCAATTGTACTTCGTACGCAACCAAGAACAGGTCGAGTGCTCGTCATCTGGCAGGTCTCCTTCTGAACTTTGCAAAGTGCCATCAAAGTATCGTGGCCCAGCTGCACGGCAACTCGCCGTTGGTCAGGCGTCCAGTATGTCCAGATCAGAACCGGATAGCCGGGCTGGACCCATGCAGGCCGGATTGTCAAATTGAGTTCGCGGCAGCCCTGTGACTGCTTGGATGGCTTCGAGGTGTTGTAGGTATGAGGCATGCTGACCTTCAGCGCAGTAGCCGTCTGTTTGAGGTGCTGTGAAACGGCCTTTTGCTTGAGCACATGGTCAACTTCGTTGTTGACAATGATCGCCTTGATCTTGTAATCAGCAACCATGTGCAGTAAGGCGGGCGCATCCTCTCCCAAACGGTTTTGGTCCAAAATTGGCATGGGAATTGCGACCAAGCCAAGTACGAAACAGGCATGGATCGCATACACGAAGTCCTCCGAATGCGTGTACATAAGGACTAGGTGGTCGCCGGGGATGACTTTGACCTTGTTTTTCAGGTAGATGGCAACGGCTGCGACCTTCAAATCAAACTTGCGCCAGTTGATGCCCTTGCCTTCTTTTCCTCTACCGTCTATTGTGCAATAAGCCAGTTCTTCTGCTTGTCTTGATACACGCCATTGCAAAAGGTCGTGAATGTTGCTGAATTGGTTGAGCGGCGTTGATGTGCGGTCATCAATGACGACTTCGCGATAGTCGACTCCAGAGTATTGCTTGTCTTGCATCATGAGCATGTCCTGACGAGCTGCGGTTGAGAGTGCAGACCAGATCCCGCCAGCAGGATCATCTCCGACAGGGAGATTCTGGACAGCCCGTTCAACGCCGAATTTGACATGGACGCAGGGAAGTTCCCCGCTATCGAAAGCTTTCCGGCAGAGCATGTTGCCGATTTCTCTTCGTCCGTTCTTGACCACCCTGGGCAGTGTGTTCGGAGCGGTTGTCATGACGCAATAGACACGGAGGTGATGCTCTTGGTAAAGGACGTCCATGACGCGCTCAGAGAGTGAATCCAAGAAGGCAATATCCAATTGACGTGGGGGACCGCCAGTTGTGGTCGGAGCTGTAGATGCAGCCTGAGTTTCGATCAAAACAATGGGAAGATATTCGCTGTTAACGTGGGAATCGAAAGCGGAGCTATAATACGTTAATAATGTGCGCGCCTGTGGTTTTAAGAATGCCTTACCAGTCATAAATCTTCGGAACGGTCTTCATGATGCTCACGACAAGGTGCTGCACGAAGAAATAGCGATGCTCCGCTTCTTGCACGCCGTGCTCAACCCATTCGACTCGCTGCCGGATTCTATCCTCGTACAGACCCAGAACAAAGATCTTGCCTTCTATGATGCAGCCCAGCAGACCGGTGCGGAGAAATTCAGGCTCAACGAGAACCGGGGTGGGGTTCCCTTCCATGAATCGGTAGGGGCGTGCATGGAAAATACTTTCTGTATGCTTTGGCAGCGCCCAGAACCCACCTGACAGAGATGGTGAGTCCACCCAGATTTCGCCAATCTGGTAAGGGGAGCACAGAAGATTCGTCTCGGGATCAACGAGCGCCAACGTTGCGTCGGGGATAGGATAACCGAAAGCTCCAACTCGGACTGTGCCGGGCTCATTGGATCTCCTCTTCACCTCTTCGCCCATAGCAAGGACAATAACCTCGTTGGTTTTGAGAGCTTCCTTGTCAAGGAGAGCTTCGCTCAGCTCGGTGCGGCTCTTCTGCTTATTCGACTTCTTCGACGTTGCACCGCCACCACCAATCAAGCTGCTATAGCCATTGGCAGCTGACGCCTCGAGCGCCTTGTCCTTTTCGTCCTCGCCCTCTTCTGGTTCAGGGTCCACGCTCAGAGGGCACCCCATTCTTTCTTCGCCACCAAGCCAATCTCTGACTGAAATAATCATGCCTCCGTGCTCTGGCAAGCAAAGTATGGGTGCTACAAGCTCTCGCGCTCTTGGATTCCGCATGGGACGCAGCCATCTGTCCGCTAGGACTTCATGGAATTCGCAGTCGATGGTCAGAGTGTCGATGAGACATATCTTGACAGAGGAAAAGTTGGGCTCGGTATTCTTTTTGAAATTTCTGGTGGCCATGGGGTCCTGTTGATAATTGTATGCTGCCCGCTTCAGACCGGGGTAGTCCGCAACCATAATAGTAGTCCTGTACTTGGAAATGAGGTGTGCGTACAATCCAGGAGTCTCGACAGTCTTTGGCTCCATCCAAACAGTCGTGTGCCCTCCATATACGGCGTGAAGCACGCCTAAAATCATTCCAGGACCGGAACGAGGATCGAGGTAGCTCAAAATCACTTCTCCACCCGTGCTCCTAGGCTGTTGGTTTGGAACAATGAAGTTGCCGTTTCTGTCTCGGAGATTGGGATTGAATGTGTCGGCCTTCTCCTTCTGTTCGCTATTGTTGATGGAAGCAATGATAGCGCTGATGCAAGCCATTTGGTGCATGATGGTGCGGTGGCTGAGGACAACGCCGCGCAGATCTCCAGTAGGAGCACGAGAAAACTCGATGTACGCCAGATCCGGGACCTGTAAAGGAGGGACCTCATCTTTCTTCTTCGGATGATAACTGCCAAACTCATTCGTTTTCCACCACTCAACACCCGTGGGCCACTTCTGGCGTGAGTTGCTGATATCCCTCTGGAAGGCTTTCAGGTTGTTGTCCGTGGTCAGCGCCAGATGAGCCTGGGTAGTCGTGAGAAGTAAACTGAGCCTGTTGTAGTCGTCGACACTGTTCATTGGAACGGCCACGACGCCAGCAATGAAACAGCCCAAAAGAGCAATGGCGAAATCAATGATCTCGCTATCCCGGTAGACCAGCGCAACGCGGTCTCCCCTATACAGATTACTCTTGTCGCGAATGACCTGTGCAACCTTCTCCGCCTTGCTGCACAGCTTTTCCCAAGTGATCGACGCGGTTTCTTTGCCCTTGGAATCAAGGACCCAGAAAGCAGCCTGTCTTGCATTTGTGCGGCCGCGATGGCGCAGAACCGCTCCAATATTATCGAATTTAGACATTGGAACATTCCCGTTGTGTGGGTCGTATACGGCAAAGGGTACCTCGCGGGGCTCCAGCGGCAATTGACACTCGACTACACTTGGAGGAGGCAGTTCATGTTCCCCTAGCATTGGCGGCGGAATGACGGCGGTTGGAGAGAAGGCATCTCCAGACGAATAGCGATTCGGACCTCCATAGCTGTCCCTGGATGGATCCTGCATCTGGGCTCCGGCAAAGTCCGAGAAATAACCTTGTTGGGAATCGAGCATTGTGCTCAGGCGACTGGTGCCGCCGGGCGACTGCTCATTGTATGTCTGGTGTGCGGCAGGGTTGAAGGCGAAATCCGAGTTCATGAGGGTGCTAGATCGCGAGGGGTTGCCATACATTTCCGGAGTCTGCGGTCTAGGGATAAAGGAGTCACTGCTGTACGAAGACTGACGTTGCACCACCGAGTTGCGCATGCCTAGCTCCCTTTCCTGAAACCGGCCCACGGGCGTGGGTGGCGGAATTTGGTTTGGGTCTTGGGCAGGAAAGTATCCGCCGTTTGGGTTGTAGGGCGACTGGGCGCGCGGGGCATCCTGCTGGGGCGGCAGGCTGATGCTGGGAGGATTGTAGGCGGCAAAGGAACTTGCACGATTGTCGCTATACATGGAAAAGGTGCGGCCCTGGTCCAGGCTCGGGGCGCCCGATTGGATCGAGAATGTGCGGGCAGCATTGCCATCGGTGGGACCCTGGCCAAGGTACTGGGAAAGTAAGAGGGTACGGCGCTTGTCGTAGCTGCGCGGGGCGATCAGCAAGAAGAAGTCTTTGCGCAGGGTGGCGTACGTACCCCTTCTGAGTAATGTCTCCCTCCTGCTCGTCGTGGGCGCGCTGCAGTCAGCCTTACGTTCCGAAGTGGCGTTGTCGCAATGCCAGGACGCACCTCTAGCTCGCGATCGAGCTCCGCAAGCTGCGCCTGCAGCTCAGGATTCTGGCTCTCGGCCATGGTGGCATGCGTCACTCGGGCGCGGGCGTCGGGGCAGTGGTGCGAGCGGAGGGCGCGTGTCGGGGGGCATCTACGGGCGGCGCAGGGAGAGGGGCAGGCGCGTCAATCCGATCGGGCGCGAGATGGCAGCAGGCGGAACGTCGCATCCACAGAGCATGCGCGCCTTCGGGGCGGAGGGGATGTTGTTGGGCGGAGGCGGACACGAGACCCTGAGAGCGCGGCTGCGAATGACGTCCGCGTGGGCGTGGACGGCTAGTGCGAAGTCTGAGCACCCGGGCAGCACCAGCGCGATGCGTGAGATCTGAGGAGCGGCAGCTGCAGCAGCTGTGGAGACGGGCGCGCCGGTGCCTCACTAGAACATCAGGGGCGTTCTAGAAATAGAGCAAAACCGTTGGACATTGAGCACACCCCCAGGCACCTCCGCCGCGTCCCATTGTCCGACGCGTCCGCGACCGCCGGCCAGCCAGGCCCCAGACGCTGGGCTTCCGGCATCCGCGCGGCAGCTAAGGTTCCAAGCAATTCAGACGCGGCACGTGACTCCAGCTAGCTTTCTCGGGAGCCGCCCGGGCGGCAGCGGCACTTTGGGCTGCGGTCGCCGCCTGTGCGTCTGAACCTCGGCACGGGAGCCGGTGCGAATCACCGCAACCTTGGCGCTCCGTCAGCCGCCATCACAGGTCAACGCTCGTCGTAGCTAGCCAGCACCATGTGAACGCTCGGCCGTATCGCTGTCCTCATAACCCGCCCGTCCCTCCTCTGTGCTCCGCCGAGTGACGTTTGTGTGCACCCTGTCACCATGTCGACCCTTATCAAGCCGCCGCCCATCGACTCCTCGAAGTCTGCTATCGAGCAGATGCTCGACTTGACCCAGCTCACTCCAATAGACCCCGACTTGTTCACCAATACCCAGCCTCTATGGCATCCGCCCGGCGCCCGTGGCATCTTCGGCGGCGCCATTATCGCCCAGTGTCTTGCTGCCGCCCAGCGCACCATCCCCGTCGACTTTAACATTCACTCGATGCACTGCTACTTTGTCCTGGCCGGCGACTCCGAGATCCCCGTCATATACCACGTTGAGCACGTACGGGAGGGCAGGTCATTTGCGACGCGCACTGTGCAGGCCCGGCAGCGCGGCAAGGTCATATTCACCACGACGTTGTCCTTCGTCAAGATGAACAGCGCAGGCAAGAGGAAGGTCGAGCATGCCTTTGCCATGCCCGAAGTGCCTGGGCCAAGTGAAGAAGAGTCGCGGCGCCATGCGAACGACGACGACCAGCCGTTCGAGAGCCAACGGATTGACATTGGCAACAGTGCGCATCCAAAGACATCCGAGGCTCTTGAACCGTATACTAATCATGGGACAGATGACTCGCCGTACCCGCATGAGAAGAAGTGCAGGCAATGGATCCGGGCGCGCGGGACTATATCGCCCTCAGGCGGCCATCAGGCACATCTCTCTGCCATTGCATACATGTCTGACAGTTTCCTGATAGGTACCGTCGCTCGCGTGCACGGAGTGTGGACGTTCAGGTCGCAGCGGGGCGGACAACCGACCATCGATGAGGAAACGCTCCGGAAAATGCTCCACGAGGACGAAGAGAAGGTGAAGCGCATTCCTGGAATGACCGACCATGTAATCAAGGGTCTGCGCGCCGGTAAAACCCTTGCAGAGGCTGAGGAAGATAGGCCGGAGATTGGCATGATGGTCAGTTTAGACCACACAATATACTTCCATAGTCCACGGGACTTCAGAGCGGACGAGTGGATGTTCACTGAGATGGAGAGCCCCTGGGCGGGCGATGGGAGAGGACTGGCCATCTCCAAAATCTGGAGCAAGGACGGCAAGCTCATCGCTACTTGCGTGCAAGAGGTGAGTCACCTGTGTGTACTACCGAGAGTCCCTGCACTGACATTCCCAGGGCGTTGTCCGCTTGAAGCAGCCAGCCGAGAGCAAGCTGTAGATTTGGCGCGCCTCGGCGCTATTTGAAGCGCCGTCGAAGCTATCTAGAGGTGTCGGTGGTAGATCCGAGAGGCTGTCCCTTTTCTTAAGCCGATGTTTTGATCCCCAGGCGCTTTGCTGCGGAAAGATGTGGAGGCGGACGGAGCTTGGAGTTACGCAATGGTGCCCTGTCTGACTCTACCATCGTCAGAGGGCTTTTATTATACGGATAGACTTCATTTCAAACTCTAGACAGCGTCGCTGGTAAGCACCAACACGGGTGGTGTGATATCGGGCATGCAGGATGTCCAATTGAGGCGACTGCCTCGTGTAGCGCGAAAGTAATGGCATTATTGGACTTTTTTCATTGGGTGTTCCTGAAATCGGCGGCGTTGGTTGGCAGGGGCCCGGTGTCGGCGCGGGGGAATAGCGGGGCTGCAATGCATGCATAGCGGCATTGGCGGGCTTTGAGCCGTAGCGTGGTAGCGCCCCTCGTGAGTCAATCCAACTTTTTGACGTCGCCATGCCAGCACTTCTTTAACTCCTCGTCCCCAGGCAAATTCTGTACCCCAACACAACCGTCACCATGCCTATGCTCAAAGATCCTTCGACAAAATACAAGGCCTTCAAGCCTCTCAACCTCCCCGACCGCCAATGGCCGTCAAAGACCATCCAGAAGCCGCCGCGCTGGCTCTCCACTGATTTGCGCGATGGCAACCAGTCCCTCGTCGACCCCATGGTACGCCCATTCCTAGTTCTGGGCGGGCGCTTTTCCTCTAACATTTCTCTGTAGGACGGCGACCAGAAGTGGGACTACTTCAACATGCTGGTCAAGCTTGGTTACAAGGAGATTGAGGTCTCTTTCCCTTCGGCGTCGCAAACCGACTTCGACTTCACCCAGAAGCTCGTCCGCACTCCCGGTATCGTTCCGGATGATGTTTGGCTCCAGGTCCTGTCACCATGCCGCAAGGAGCTTATTCGCCGCACTGTCGACTCGCTCAAGGGCGCGAAGAAGGCCATCCTTCACCTGTACCTCGCGACCAGCCCATGCTTCCAGCAGATTGTTTTCAACATGAACAACGAGCAGACCAAGGCCCTGGCGGTGGAGTGCACTCAGTACGCGAGGTCCATCACCAAGGACGACCCCGAGCAGGCAGGCACCGAGTGGGCCTACGAGTTCTCCCCGGAGACCTTCTCTGACTCCGACCCCAACTTTGCCCTTGAGGTCTGCGAGGCCGTCAAGGCCGCCTGGGAACCCACCGCCGAGAACCCGATCATCTTCAACCTTCCTGCGACCGTCGAGATGGCTACCCCTAACGTCTACGCCGACCAGATCGAATACTTCTGCCGCAACATCTCCGAGAGGGAGAAGGTCTGTGTCTCCCTCCACCCTCACAACGACCGTGGCTGCGCTGTCGCCGCCGCTGAGCTGGCACAGATGGCCGGCGCAGACAGAGTAGAGGGCACTCTGTTCGGAAACGGCGAGAGAACTGGAAATGTTGATCTCGTCACCCTCGGCCTCAACCTCTACACTCAGGGAATCCACCCCAAGATTGATTTCTCCGACCTTCCCGCCGTCATTGACGTGGTTGAGAAGAGCAACAAGATCCCTGTCCACGCTAGGGCGCCTTATGGCGGCCAGTTGGTCGTGTGCGCTTTCAGCGGTTCTCACCAGGACGCCATCAAGAAGGGCTTCCAGAAGCGCAAGGCCGAGGGCGCGACCGACTCCAGCTACTGGCAGGTTCCGTACCTGCCTCTTGATCCCCAGGATATCGGACGTACGTACGAGGCCATTATCCGCGTCAACTCCCAGTCTGGCAAGGGAGGTGTCGCCTGGATCATCCAGCGCGAGCTCGAGCTCGACCTTCCTCGTGGCCTTCAGATCGCTTTCTCCAAGATCATTCAGAAGCAGACGGATGCTCTCGGACGCGAGCTTCTTCCGACCGAGATCACGAAGCTCTTCAAGGATTCGTATCACCTCGAGAAGAACCCAAGGTTCACCCTCATCGACTACGACATTCTCACCGACCGTTCGGTATCACCTGCTCCGGGTGGGGATGGCAAGATGCCCAGCAGCAAGAATCTCAAGAGGTTGTTCTCTGGTGTCATCGAGATCGACGGCCAGCAGCACAAGATCAAGGGTGTCGGCAACGGTGCCATTTCATCTCTTGCCAACGCCCTGAAGTCTCTCGGCATTGAGCTTGACGTCACCGAGTACAAGGAGCACGCCGTGGGTGAGGGCCGCGAGGGTCAACAGCAGGCCGCCACGTACATTGAGTGCTCTACCCCCTCATCCAACCAGAAGGTGTGGGGTGTCGGTATTCACGAAGATGTGGTCCAGGCTTCCCTCATCGCTTTGTTGTCCGCTGCATCGTCTGTAAGTCCGGCCGAAGAGCCCATATCAAGGAAAAGCTAACAATATGCGCCAGTTCCTCGCATCCCGACCAAGCACACCTATTCCTTTCCGCCCAAAGCAGCACGGAGAAGCGCTCGCCCCTTCGGACATCTCGCCTCTGAGGACATCTTCGAGTGCAAATGGCCCGAGCTCTCTTGTTGCAAATCTTGAAAAGCAAATCAACGGTGATCACTAAACGGTCAGGGTTGGAAAAGCGTGTTGCATCTTTCTGTTCTTATTTTGGTGCGCAGCATTTTATGCCTGCCGGGGAAAAAATCATCATGATCTTGCACATTATCACGAGCATGGGGGCGTTAGTCAACCAAATTGTTTACTGTTAAAAAAGTCATCTAATACATTTCCATGGACTACGGCCTTTGATCTCTGGTTTAGCAGTGCCCCACGTACTGTCTGTGCGCGATTGCCCAACGAGGCTGCGCTAGCAGGGATGATGTTCAGCCGAGGTACGTTGGCGAGCTAGTAATCACCAGATCGTGGGGTAAGACTATTCGCCTCGGGAGTATTATCTCCGTCTTCGTGAGCATCATTCTACCTGTGCCTCGCTGCTCACCTCTCCCCAATCAACAACATCGTCACACGCCAAAAATGGGTTCGGCACAGCAAGACGTCCAATTGAAGGACTTCAACAGCATCTTTCGTCTCGATGGCAAGGTAGCTGTTGTGACGGGCGGTTCTCGTGGCCTGGGTCTACACGCCGCATCTGGGTGAGTGCGCGTCCGCATGGCAGAGAAATGGCATCCAGCTAATTCTGCTTTCGAAGCCTCCTCCAGGCCGGCTGCTCGAAAGTCTTCATCACTTCCCGCAAGGCCAAAGCGTGCGAGGAAGCCTGCGCAGCACTCAACGCGCTCCCGAACAAACACCCTTCCGCTAAGGCTATCTCGGTGCCGGCAGACAGCAGCAAGGTCTCCGAAATCGAGCGGCTGGTGGCCGAGGTTGCGAAGCACACGGACAAGGTCGACATTCTGTTCGCCAATGCGGGCGCAACATGGGGCGCGAAGTTCGATGATCACCCCGATAACGCATTCAGCAAAGTCATGGACTTGAATGTGAAGAGCGTGTTCTTCACGATCCAGAAGTATGTTCAGCTGCCTTCGCATCAATCTTTCCAGCCCATCGTACGATATGGTGTGACTGACAAGATATACTCCAGGTTCGCACCCCTCCTCGAAAAGGCAGCCGGGCCCTCGTCGCCGGCGCGCGTCATCGTAACGGGCTCGACAGCAGGCGTGGGAATTGGAAGCACGGGGGCGAACAGCACACCGGCCTACTCGGCGTCGAAGGCAGCGGTACTGCACCTCGCGCGTAACCTCGCGGTCGAGCTGGGGCCGCGTGGCATCCTCGTCAACGGCATCGCGCCCGGCTTCTTCCCGTCCAAGATGGCTAACGGGCTGATGGAGGCGTCGGGCGGTCAGGAGAGGCTGGCTGCCAGCAACGCGAACGGCCGGCTCGGCCAGCCCGAAGACATCGCAGCTGCGGTCGTGTACTTGAGCAGTAGGGCGTCGGGGCACGTAAATGGGGATACGCTCGTGCTGGATGGAGGCCAAGTGCTGGTTAGACCATCGCTCTGATGGATTACCTAGGAATTTTAGAACCTAAATTTATGCTAATCCAAACTCCCGGAGCTAGTGTCCAAATCCCGCTTGTAGCCGAAACCACGGCCGCCCGACCCCGCATTGCTCGGCGGAACGGCCGGCCACTAATTGATAGCAGCGCTCTGATCGCGTTCAGAAGCCGATCAAATAGTCATCACCTCATAATGAAGAACTCCTCGCGCCAGCGCATCCAGAACCGCCGAACCAGCCACTTTCGGCCTCATCGGCGACTCATTCAGGCTACCGGCAGCGCAATCGGCAACGATCTTGACGTTCCGGAGCTATCAATGGTCCAAAATAAAAATTGTTATAACCACCACCACCCCGCTATCTGTGCTCTACCTCTGGCTCTTTCATCCCCGCAACAACAAGCAGCCCTCAACTGAAGCCTTTCGCTCTGCCAAACACCTACTACCTTCTAACAGCAGTCCGGGAACAACCGCATTTTCCACCATGGCTCTACCGCCCTACAAATCCTCGCCCAACCCTCCCGTCCCGGCCTACCTGCCCGACTCCCCCTCCAGCATCCTGCACCCGCCCACGGAGCTCTACTCGCGCATCGCCGCCACCGCCAGCCCGTCAACGCCAAACCAGCGCGAGCTCGTCAGCACCCTCACGATCCCGCCGCGCAGCGGAGCGGCCTGGCAGGTGCCGGCGGGCAGCGTGTTCCGGCTGAGCACGCCGGCGGGGCCGCAGGTGGGCGACCTGAACGTGTGGAGCGCGGCCAACGCGCGCGAGCGCTTCTGGGCCAGCCGCACGCGCCAGCTGCACGCCAGCCACGTGAGCACCGGCGACCGCCTGTGGAGCTGCCTGCCGTACATGCGCCCGCTGTGCGGCATCGTCGCCGACTCGCTAGGCAGGGAGGGTTTGGGGAGGTGGGGCACAGCTGTGGGTGATGGGGATGGAAAAGATAAGGGGGTGGAATTGGGGGAGAAGGGGAGGAGTAGGTGGGGGGGCAGGTGCCATGATTTGCTGGGGACGAGGTGCGATCCTTATGGTGAGTTTTACATTCTTTTCTCGTTCCCGTTTTTTTTTTTTTTTTCAAATTCTTGCTTTCCTGCGCGTCTGCGTTCTTCCGGCCAGCAAAGGGGTCGACTAGGAAGATTACGATCACTTAGGGCCTGTTCAAAAAGGGCTCTCTCGGAGGGAGAAGAAGAGCTGACTCTGGCATTCGATGTTGATAGTCAACCGCATGCTCACTGGCCGCACCTACAACTACCACTGCCACTCCAACCTCGTCCGTGCCGTGCTCCCCTACGGTCTCAACGAGTCCGACGTCCATGACGTTCTCAACGTCTTCCAGGTCACCGGCCTTGACGAGAAGGGCCGCTATTTCATGGAGGCCTCGCCCTCCCAGCCCGACGACTTCATCGAGTTCTTCGCCGAGCAGGACCTGTTGTGCGCCCTGAGTACCTGTCCTGGCGGTGATCTGAGCGAGTGGGGTTGGGTCGGTGTCCGCGACGGCGAGACGGAGGAGGGAGAGGGCGCCCGCAAGATGAAGGAGACGTGCAGGCCAATCAAGGTCGAGGTCTTCAAGATCGCGGATCATGTGAGGGATCAGGTGCTGGAGGAATGGGTACCGCCAGCTGCCAGCGACTATGCTGGATGCCACGGGCTGGGCGTCCCGCTGGGAGAAAAGAGAGAATAAAGAGTGATCATGACAATCGACAAAGAGGAGGTTCATGACAATTCTCTTGATTTCTTTGTGCCATACCACTGGAATACAAAGAATGGAGAGGAAACTTGAGGCCCGGTAGGAGAGCTAATGCTAGAATTCTACCTCAAACGCCTCGCTGAACAAAAAGAAAGGAGAGTAGCAAGATATGGATACCTAATGACTGTTTGAGAGCAGATGCTTATGGCGGACCGATAAGGAAGATACAGAAAACAATAGAGTCAAGCTTCTGGCCGAAAACACGTTGCCTCTTCTCGACCCAAGATAACTGAAAGAATTCTGCTGGCGGCCTCGGCACCCTTACTGTTCCACTTGATCTACTTACATCGGCTTTGCGCTCGGCGTTTTTTCCGGCTGCGCGATGTAGCTCTGTGGACTGGAATAGCCCGTTTGACGGACTTGTTGAGATCATGGTGCTGCATTGATCCGCAAAATCCGTCGGGATAGTCTCTTGCGTCAATGTAGACGCACCGCAGCAGCTCAAGGCAGGCTTTACGCACATTTAGGAATTCCATCTGATCTCCTTGCAGGGGAAGAAACCCTTCCGGTGTCAGGTATCTCGCTCCGTCGATCGCCAGGCTGCTTGCTGCCTGCTCTTGGCCGACGCCAGAAAGGAATTGGCGCATGTGCTGGATCATCTCAGGATCCATAATCATCAAGAGCATATTCGAGGCCTCTGTCCGGAGCGACTGTTTCCAAAATGCGATGAAACTATCCACCTTGAAAGGGAACAGTGTAATCAGCATCTGCTCCGGAGGCGTGTCTTGGGTCTTTGACGACGACCAGATTGCCGGGATCAACACTGGTTCCAAGTTCAGCAGCCTCCTAAAGTACGATGCCCTCCTGGTGAATGACTGGCCACGACGAGGGCAGTTATCCTTAAGGTTCTGGTGAGTGGTCCATAGCAGCTCCAGGGCTGCCCTATAGCAGTTTTCGAGCCTTTCATGCATATTTCCGTCGTCCATGTCTTCCAAAGCAAACAGTTGGCTTTCGACAACCAGCTTAAGAGCGGTCACCATCCAACAATCTACCCAGGTGAAATCCTTGTTATCAATGAGAGTTTGTGCGCTTATGTTGCCACACAAGTGTTTCGTATGATCTGCGTCATTGCGAAGAAGTAATCTCACGAGGTTCTCTCGTACGAGCTCCCTACAAGTCGAAAGAATTAGTTGATGGGGAAAACGAATGGTCCGATCCAACACTTACCAAGCCGTCGCTTCTGTAACGTCGTGCTCTACCCTGCGTCGCTCTTTGTCTGCAAGAGCCTCCCTCAACCCGAACTGGAACGTCTGGCGATCGTCTGAATAGAAGGCCCAAGCCCAGGAAAGCAAATTCTCCCTGACCGTGGGACTTTCGATCCATGGAATTACATCCTGAGGATGCTGTACCCGTCTCCAGAATTCGATCAGTCCGGACGCCTCGAAAGGGTAAATTTGCTTCAAGGTTGTGTCCCAGAACCCTCCTTCATTTCTTTCGATGTCCCAATGCACCGTCATCAACAGCTCTAGGTAGACCTCTGCACGCCTCTCCAACGCGGACACCTGGCTGCTACCATCTTCATTGTCAACCGGTCTCTTCGATGCCGACGAGCCCACACTGTGGTTTCTTGCCTCCCTTGCAAACATGCACAAGTCCCCCACGGCGCGGATCCACGGCCTCGTCCACTCTACCACATCGTCAAGGTCTCCATCTTCGCCGTCATCGGTCAGCGCAGCCCAACCAATGTCACTGTCAGCCACAATCTCATCCGACTTGCGCGCGAAATCGGCCGCCATCTCGGCGCGGACGTGCGGCTTGAATTTGGAGGCGGCGAAGAGGCGGTCGTGCGCCTCGTCACTCCCGTGTGCAGCGTAGGTGTCAGGGTCGGACCAGTAAGGGTAGTTGCCGATGTTGTTACCGTTATCAGGGCGACCGAGGCCGTGGCCGTAATGACTCTCGTCGTCGAGGGCTCCGAGCGTGACCTTGAAGTCAGCGACGAGTCTCGGCGTCGAAACGGGGGAGAAGGCGGCGCGCCACTCAGACAGGATGCGGTGGACCTCGGGGGAATGGGTCCAGGTGAGGAGGCTCAGGCAGCAGTTCGGGTTGTCGCCCATCTTCGGCGAGGGGAACGTCTCGTGCCACAGGGCGACCAGCGAGCGGCAGTCGAAGTCGGAGAGCGACCTGCGGTCGGTCAAGGCCTCGCCGTCGAGGAAGAAGCGGAATGACTCGAGGCCGAGGAGGTCCTGGAAGTATGTCGGTCTGAGGTGACTGCGCCGCGGCAGGAAACCGCGCATCTCGTCGTGGAAGGCTCGGAGGAGGTCGAGCACGGCCATGTGGCGGGCTTTGCGATTGAAGTCGAGCTCATTAGCCTTGTCTGGATCAGAATGCAGCGCGACGACGTTGCAGCTCGCCGTGGCCCAGACCTCCTGGTAGCTGGTGGCGCTTCTCTCTACCATGGACTGGGGGTGCTCCTGGAGGAGTTTGCGACGCACTTCTCGCGGCTTCTTCTCAAGCGCTACGGCGACGTTGGCAAGAGTCTCATGCATGGTAAGCCTGGGAAGAGAACATCCGAGTAAGCCAGCCAATGTCCGATTCTGGGAGAGGGACCGATAGGATGGGAATCCCAAACTGACCATGTTGTGGCATCCCACATTTTGACATCCGAGCAGACAGCGTAATTTTTCATCATCATATCGAAGTCATCTTGGAAGTCTGGTCGCGCTTGCGAGAAAAAGGTCCACGCCCAGCGCAGCAGCTCCCGCTTGACACCTTTGCGCTCGGCGAGCTTGATTATTTTCTCGGGCGGCATGTTGAAAACGGCGCCGGAAACCCTCTCCAGCTCCGGCGCTTGGAGCGGGAGCCGACACTGGGTGGTGAGGAGCGTGGCGGGTGTCGTCCTCGAGGCTCGCTATTGCTGACCGGTTGGATGATGTGTATGATCAGTAGAAATGCTAAAGAGGGTTTTCCCTGTCGGGTATCGGTTACACAAGATGAAGAACGCAAAGTGCCCCGCATGCAATGGGTGTCGGTTCGGGGGTGGGGCGGAGTTGGCAAGATGGTCAGTGTTGGCTAGCGCGGATAAGCCGAAGCGCCTTCCCTTCATGTTGCCACTTGATGGAACCGTGCAGGAAAGGGCGAACCCGCGATATGGTGTTGGTATTCACTATTCTAGTCACACGACTGACTAGCATTGGCGCACGCTATAGCCGTTAAGATACGGGCACTCAGGAAACGCGGCCCGCCTTTTTTTTTCTATATCGAAGTCCATCTTCAGTGCATCAACTTAGTATCTGGTTTTGTGGTTTGCGTCGCGAGAGGCAACTTCGGGCAAAACACGGGCGCAATCAGGGTAATAACAGACTGAACAGTCTCAGACCTCTAGCCTAGCGTTAGCTATGTAGCTGCGATCCTTTTGAAAGCGAAAAGTTCACCTTCTAATAGTACTTTAGCGGTTCACTATACTTCCTGACTGTCTGATGAGTAGAACCGCTGACTATTTTCAAGTGTTTAATGCAAGTTTTGAATCAATCAGGCAGTAACCTGTGTTGTCCTGGTTGACAGAGGGCTACTAACGCTGCCACACCTTCCTAGCAGACTTGATAAAGATGGTACAAAACATTGAGAGCAACCACAACGTTATAGCTAGACAAACCTATTTTGTCGGTTGCATATGGATGCACTAGCTTGTGCTGCGACCTCATGACACTGATGCACTGTCACTGCGACCGGTGATTAATTCACTTTTCTGAAGAAAGCCCACAATCTATCTGATGAGCGGCTTTAAAATTTGTTATGAGCTATGCGCGCATGAAGAACAGGCGAACAACGACGTCTTGATATTACCAGCTAGTGGACCCGCCTCACCACTACCCTAAGCTATTAGACCGCATGGCGAACATAACCACGACGGAGCGCTCGTGCACATTCCACAGAAAACTAAATATCGGTGCCGAATGTGTTAGAAATCTTCTCCCAATATCCACAATGATGAGCAGGGAGGGTCTGGAGTGCTGACCACTTCTAGACCGACTTCCGTTGTATCCTTCGATATAACCAATGGAGCAAGAGCTTCAATGCGGTTGGAACACGCTTCACCGCTAGCTGAGCGACGAATAGCGTCGCAAGGCTCTAACATAAGCTGTAGTATGATCTTCGAAGCCAGTACCGCATAAAGCGCAGTTAATTCTCATTGGCAGACCGTGTGCCTCATTTAGATGTGCTCAGCGGCCAATCATACCGTGGTCAAATGAGCACATGCCCTGGATGGGGCGCCTGATTTCAGCCCTTCCGTCTCCAAGTGTCTCGACTTCAGCGATCTGGCCAAGACTACTGGCGGAAAATCTTAAACAACAAAGTTTCACCCAACTCTGTGGGATCAAACACTCCACAAAACGGAGCTACCGTCGGGGTTTCACGTGGGGGCCGGCTCTTGTTTGGTTTCTTTGCAGAGCAACTGAATGCTAGAAGCTTGATTCTTTATAGCTGTTTTTAAGGCGAAGTGCGAGGAAAATCCTCGAGCCTTTACCTCTAGAAGGCATCTCTCTTGAGCAGATAGGCTGCTCTGCGCTGTTAAATGGGTATGCTACGCTCTGAAATCCAAAAAAAACAAAAGGAAACAAAAACGCAAGAAAAAAACTGAGGATGCTGTAACGCCGCGCCATGCAATATGAGGTGGGAAGGTGTGTATAAAGTGTATCAAGAAAAACGTACGGAGAAAGTGGGGCCGAGAACCTGGGAGCAAAGCAGAGACGTGCCTGCAACCACTGAGTTCTCAAGAAGAAGTGAAAAGAAGATGAGCAGGAAAATCCCAAGAAGAAAAAAAAGTTATTTACAGACTGTATCAGCACAACGAAGTAATTTTTCTTTCCCGCCTCTATTCTCTCCAAAAATGTCGAGGTCCAAGGTGACCTCTTTCAACATCTTCTCCCAATTATCAACATCCACCATCGAGCGGGCAGGAACGTCCCCAATGCGCGCTCACGTACTCGTTGAAGTGCTGCCTCCACGCTTTTTGCAAAAAGGAAACATCAAATCGTCATTCCTCATCAGCGGGCTGCTAGAAAAGAGCTTTGTCTTCTTTCTTACTCTCTCCCTTAGTACGTAAACGCCTCCTCGATGAAGTCGATACTGCCCTCATCCACCCTCGAGCGCACTGCCGTCCTCACACCGTCGGAGAAAGCACCGGCACCACAAACGGTGACGGCGACGGCGCCGACGCGCTCGGCGATTTCGCGGTCGATGATGGTCTGAACGTCGCAGCGGCCAGGGAACATCTGGACGGACCCCGACGTGCTGTTGATCTCGGCGTGGTTCTTGGGCCTGGTGATGAAAAGGAGGATCTTGAGCACCTCGCGGCGGCCCGGCATGCGCAGGATCTCATCCATCCAGGGGCGCACCCACTCCAGGCACTCGGTGTTGGGGATACTCCACACCAGCACCACCTTGCGCGCCGCAACGGTGCCGCCGTGGTAGCCGGCAACAAGGTGGCGGACAAACGAGGTTTGATGCGTGATGCCGACACCGGCGGCGAAGAGGATACAGGTACCATAGCTGTCGAGCGACTCGTGGCCGCCGTAGGGACCCTCGATCATGCCGTAAGTGGAAAGCACGCCCATTGGCTGCGCCTTGGCGCGGTCGTACATCTTGCGGGTGAAACCTTCACGCGCGCGGCAGACCAGCGAGATGCTGCGCATCCTCTGGTTGGGCCTGGTGAGGTCGAAGGCGGGGTTGGTCGTGGGCAGGCCGAGCTTCTCATCCTCGACGGATGCCGGCATGGAGTGGTGGTGCTGGCTGGCCCAAGCAACAGAGAAGGGATGCGAAGCCCAGCCGGAGAGGGACGGCACGTACAGGTGGACGTGCGAGCCGGGGCGGTGGTTCCAGGTGCGCACAAGGTCGACGGTCACACGGCAGGCGTCGTTGGGGAGAGCCTCGATGGTAACCTTGGACATGCCACGGCGCAAGCTGACGTTGTACTTGGCGCACCTCCACGTACGCCAAAGCCACTCGCAGATCCACATGGCGAGCATGAACTTCATCCAGGGAAGCTGGGGAAGCGCGTGGATGTCAATGTGCACCCAGGCACCGACGAGGCCCAAGGCAACGCCCACGCGATGGAAGTTGATGAAGGTCTCGTAGAAGGCGTGACGCAGGGGCGACCAGGCCTGAATGCCAAGGAAGGTGAAAGCGGCAGTGCCCAGCATTCCCCAAGCATACGAAGGCTCAGTTGCAAGCACGTTGGCCACACCCTCCCATTTTCCGGCGTTGTAGGTGTTGATCATCCAGCACAGCGTGTGGACGATGGTCTCGATGATGACGATACGGGCGGCCCAGCGGTGCAGCAGGTTGAAGGTGTCGTAGCTCACGTGGAGCATCCAGATCAACGGGTTGTTGCGCAGGGCGAACAGGATGGTGGGGATGAGGTTGAGGGCGGCGAGGGTGCCGGATCTGCCACGCAGGGCGGCGACAACCGAGGCGGACTCCTCGCGGGACCACGGAAGGCAGAGGCAGTAGGCGAGGTTGCTGGCGCCGTAGCTGAGGAGAAGCATCATGTGGAAGCGCGAGGGGAGGGTGCCAATGCTGATGGCAGAAGACAGGCGGATTTCCTCATTGTGTCGCTTCTTCCAGAGCGGGGCGTAGATGACGTGCTTCTTGAGCCAGGGAACGATGTTGGTCTGGTTGTGGCGCCAGTAGACCTGCCTGTGGGCGGTGCCCATAGTCGAGACATGGCGCAGGTGGGAATTGTACATGTGGCAGACGCGAAGGATCAGAGTGAGGCCGAGGATACCGCCAAAGGTGCCCAGCAGCACGTCGACCCACAGAAAGTTGCCGGTCTGGTCGACGCCGGTGAGGCCATGGGAGAAGGCGAAGGGGTCCTTGTCGGTGTCGACGACATCGCTGAGGCCGCGCTTGACGGCGGCAGTCCAAGAGTGCATGGCTCCAGGCGATGCTGGTTGTTGCTGGGGAAACTGTTTGCAAAGGGACAAAGGAACCCGGAACTCGTGGCTACGCGTCGGATCGTGTCGCAGTCGTGGTTGTCGAGCTCCTGAGGTTCTGGGTCCGGGAAATGAATGCGTGAATCAGAGCGCACCGGGCGCTGGCTAGCAAAATGAAGGTTTGGGGGGTGGAAAGGCTGGGGGCTTAGAGTTTCGGATGTTGGCGGGGAGGCTATCTATGTCTATTCAAAGGCATAACAATGCTATTGTTGGCGAACAATGGTGTTGTTCAGGTGTCGCGCGTCGTCAGGTGAGAGTGAGCTGTCGGGGTAGTCGGCGTGAAGCTTGGCTTGGCCGGCGGGGATTGACAGCTGAGATATGATCCAAGACGGGGATTGCGATCGTCGAGTGATGTCAAGTCCAGGGGCGGAGCTATTGGAAGCAGGGAGTCACCAGCGGCCGGCGTGTGGTGCGCAAAAGAGCGTGGTGTCGTGACAACGAGGGTGTAAAGTTTCAGAAACGAAGAGAAAACGAGGCACCGGGTCTGGAGGAGAGGCCGAACAGGAGGGGAAAGGAGGGCGGACGTGGATGTTTATGGACGCAGGCTCTGCGCGGAGAAGCCGCAGCCAATCAGCCGGCCAAACCCGCGCGCCTTGACGCCGCGCCACAGCAGCTGCGAGTGTGGGTTTCATGGACTCCCCTTGTCGTACCACCGTCTCCCGACCGTGCGCTGACGGCGGCACTCACGCCATGCGGCTTCTGGAAGAGGACGCTGGCAAAAGAGATCGCCCGCGGCGCCGCCGCGATGGTAGGCCTGGGCGGGCAGCGGCAGCCTATCGCTTCCCGAGCGGGCGTTGCCCTGAAACCGCCGCACGCTGTTCCTGCGCCCGCGAGGAACGCAGCCATTCAGCGCCGCCCCTGCAAGCCCGCGCCCCAGCCACGAGCTTGGTCTTCGCGCCGCCCGACAAAAACACCATGCGCCGCACTTCACCGTCCGCTAGCTGCCTCCGCTGAACCAGTCGCCTGCCCGCCACCCTCCCGACCAGCTGCCGGCCAGACCGCGCGCGCCGGGCACGCGTGCCCGCATGAAACGCGCCGCCGAAAAAACTTCCGTTCCTGGCCCGCCCCCCTGCGTCGATCCAGCGCACCTCAGCTCCAGCATGCCTCCCCGCGCCGCAATGCCACGCCCACCTCCCGTGACAAGCCTTGCTACGAAACAACTCTATCCGCCGTGACAGCGCCGCGACAGCGCCCCCGCCCCGGCCCAGAGCAGCGCAGACCCGGCCTTCCCGCCGTGGCAGGCAGCGCGAGCGTCATCTCTCTTATCGGCAATTGCATTTATGTGCGACGGCTGTACGGCCGGCGCGCTGGATGAGGAAGCGGGCTGTGGACCCGCGTGCACACTCGCCTTCCGAAACGCCGTGCCCTCTCTCCGCCCGCCGTCCGCCAGCCCGTCCGCCCAGCTCGTCGCCTGCTGCTGTTTCCGCTGCACTCGCGGCGCGCCTCGGTCTGATCCCCGTCGCTTGCCAAATGAGACGCAGAGAAGACCCGTCTTGGCTACTCCGAGTGCTTCTTTCGGCGGTTTCCTCGCTCCACCAATCCCCACGCTCTTTTAATCCTCGACATGAGTACGTGCGTAGCGGCTCTTGCCGCCCGCTTTGCTCCAGCAACGCTCATCATGTTGACTTGCAGAAGGCTGGACCCGTGGTTGAGCCTCCCCAGCAACTCCGGCATTCTTCAACCCACCTGTTCATGCTGCAATTTCCCGTCCCACGGTAACCACCCTCCTTCGCGCCCCGCGCGAACCACGCTGCATCTTCAGACGTTCGACCTTGCTCCTCAACTCTGCTCGTGTCTTGACGCTGCACGCCGCCAACGGCGGGCGGAGCGCCCTCCGCCATCCAGCCACCGCTTGGGCCTCGCCTGCGACACCACACCGCTCAGAAACGCCCAAGCCAGAAGCACACCGCCCGCTGTCTCATCGCCACTTGTTTTTGCCTACCTGGGCTATCTGCAGAAATGACGTCCGCGGCATCTCCCCACCTTCTGTCCACCAACGGAGGAGGCACCGTGGCATCCTCAATGATAAGGCAGACATACAAGGCTGCATGAATTGGCAGCTAGGTTTAAAATTAGATGCACTCTCGCTTCGCCGGGCCAAGCCCGTTTCGATCGCCCATGCGGATCGCTTGGGGGCTCTGTGTCTCAGTTTTTCGGGTGCTTCCGAGCCAAACAACTCCAACGATATTGCAATATTGGCGACGTCCTCTGCCAATCCTGGCCCGAAGACAACAGAGCCTGCCAAGCTTCCCTCTCCGTGACAACCGAGGGCACGATTGCCGATGCGCTCAGCACGTCCACGTGGAGGTGGTGTGAAAGTCAGTCAAAAGACTAGATCAGCCCCAGCGATCCTCCCTCGACCGGTTAAGGCTTCCGTTGCTCCCATGCTATCCCTTATCCTCTGTTCTTACGACCATCTGTACTCCGTACGCATGTAGAACCGGTTTTCTGCACACCTTCCCCCCGCTGCGTTGCCTGGCTTATCCTAGCCGCCTCAACCACGTTTCAGACGTTCGGCCGACGCCGGCCTTGCTTCCGAACATTCGGATCTATCGCAGAGCCTTGTTCCGTATGCGAGGCCGTTTACTCATCCGAGAGCCAGCGCCTACCTATCAATACTTACCGCCGGCAAGGACCGCCTGCAGAAACAAGCATCCCCACATCGCCCTGTTTCCGCGGAAATAAGTCGCCAAGTCGTGCCTTTGCATTCAAGTGAAACTCTGCTGTCTCCTTGTGAACCTATCCCTCATGCCAAGTATCCTGATATTGGACCAATGTTCCCTTTTTCCACTCTCATTGCCGACCATAAATAATCGGCGCCCCGAAAAGGTTAACGAGGGGCACGGATGCGCGCTGGTGGACGAGGACGACCGTATCGCGTACTGCGAGATTGATTTGACCCACTCCTGAGAAATAGGTAGACGAGTCCCCAACGACAACAACGCCGACTTACCCGCTTCCTCGCCATGGCTTTTTGATGGGTCAAGAGGTCCATGAACGCTCGCTTCCACGCCAGATACGAGCACATCCCCCGTCCGTGGCGTTGGTGGCATCTGCGACACCAAATTAGTGATTGTATGTACTCGACAACCTCAACGCCACCATTCTTGGGGCAGTCCCACGTCGCTTAAGCTGCTGACCGCGCCACCTCCCTAATGCTGGGCGCCAACACTCAATCGGCAGTCCGGCAACACTGGAGGATAGCTTGCAAACTGCTGTTCTCCACATGACGATGATAGGGGGCATGGCAGACATTGAGCGAACGGGCATCCAAGTGGAGGCACGGCTAATCACTAGGGCTCTAGAACATACCGTAACAATGCCCCAGCTCTGAATTAAAAAAAAAAAATCATATGTGGGTAGTTGAAACTATCGTCCGGACGTGAATGTGGAATTTTTATGACATGTGCCCTTTTCTCTCGTTTTTTTTTAACGAATATCGACATACATGGGTAGTTGAAGCCATCGTCCGGACGTATATGTATAATTATTAATTCGACATTTACGTCCGGACGATAGCTTCAGCTACCCATGACATGTGCGCAATTGCGTGGGATCGTCTAAGCGTTTGGAGACAGGTAAATCAACGAGAAAACGACAGGTAGAACAGCCAAAAGGAAAAAGATCATATTGATACAGTCCCCTCCCGCAGCCGATGGTTAGTGTGGATTTGTTTTTTTTTTTTTTTTGCTCAAGAAAGAGAAGGATCCTCTGATCATCTCATCCTCCCACCGTGTCGTACGCTCCCTCTACCTATTCATACGCCTCGCCGCTATGTACGACCTCAACGGCTTGCCCCAGAAGAAGTGGCCCCTCGCATCTGCGGTCTGCTCCGACCAGCCGTCCATCTCGCACTCCAGCTCATCTAGGTCACTATCGCTCATCGATATGAGAGGCTGGACCGTCGTGCGCACTGCGACGGCCATGGCGTTGGACTTCGGAAGACGCCGCATGCTGTTCCGCTCCTTGCGGATAACGATTCGCTCGAGCTCGGCCTCTACTTCGCCGCAGAAGAAGTCCTTGGGTATCTGGACGAAAAGCATCTTGGCAATATGCTGCGCCTTCTCGTCGATCGTATCGGAATCGTATAGGGGGCGCCTTGCGATGTGAATGAAGTAACGAGTGCTGCAAAACTGTTAGAAGAACAGGTAGGTCATGGTAGTATTATGAAAGCCTTGCTAAAGAGTAAGCTTACAATGTGTCGATGATAACCTCTCCTCCACGCAATGGCAGCGAAAATCCACAGTCATAATGGCCCGGCTGACCAATGCGGTCGAGTAGACGCCAGCCGGAGGGGAAAAGGGCGGCGCCTGCGACACTGGTAGGTTTGATAGCGGTTAGAAAAGTCTCAGTGTGTCATACAAAAGCCTGTTGTAAAGCATAGAAAGGGGGAAGTAAACTCACAGCCTCCATTCCTCACCACCCTCACCAGCACCCTTCATGAACAGACCCACGTCCTCTAGGATCAACTTCGCGACCGCCTCCAGCGGGCCCACACCAAGCTCTCCGCCCACGACGATTTCCTCGCCCACAATCGTATTCTTCACCACTTTGGTCTGCTCCTCCTTGCCACCACCGCGACGAGTCAGCGGCCTCCATCCTCGGCGCTCAGAACCACTCGCGCTGGCTTCTCCATCATCCTCGCCAGCCGTGCCAAAGCAGGTCTTCTCTAACAGGAGCTTACGGACGCTTCTCTTTTTACCTTCATTAGGCAGCTCTTGCCTCCTTAGTTCTGCTAGAACTACATCTAGCAGCTCGTTGCAAGCGGCTTCGGCCTCCGGCGGGCTGAACAGGGCCTCGCAGCGGTACTTGGGAGAAGATAGGGGCAAGGAACGAGCAATGTGGTACATGTGGTAAGACTTGGGGGGGCAGAGAGGGCTGGTGAGCCAAAGACTGGTGGTCTCTTCTTCGCTACCCGCGCCATCGCGGCTGGTCGTACCCATGCCCATGCCCGTACCCATAACGTCCGTCGTCTCCGTCAAGCGGGGTTTGTTCTTGCTCATGAAGAGCCTGCTGCTGCCTACGACGGGCCTGCTGTTGGCTATGCGGCGTAGAGGCGCTTGCTGTGCCGCACGTGACTCGCGCAGGAGCGGAGGAGGTAAGCGGGAGAAGGGTGTGATGCCGAGGTCGTCGTCTTCTTCTTCATCGTCATTCCACGGCATGCGGTACGGGATGACGGATGAAGCTTGGTTGTTCGCCATTGTAGAGTAGGGTAATGGCAGAGGTTCTTGGAGATTGCTTTTATCACTATTAGCTGGCCTGGACGCCTCAGAGTAGCCTTCAAGTGTGGCCCGAGGCAGCTCTTGAAGCTCAATGTCAATGTCCGAATCTGGCTCTTGACGGGGCCTGCGAGAAAATGGCCTGATGAGGTGGGTAAAGCTGGTTGCAAGCTTCTTAAGGACGATCTGCACGGTGCGAAAAGCTATGAAAGCTAGACAGACGAAGGTAAGGCACCAGAGAGAACCGGCGAGGAATAGGGGAATAAAGTTGGCAGCTTTCATTCGCATTAGCGGCTTGCAAGCTTCTTCAGCGACCCTACTCCTGCATTAGTGTCCATGCTGGCCCAGTGTTGTAGAGTTTGGAAGTGTCTTGCGTGGAGATATCGCGGGTGCGGATCAGATAGTTTCCAGATATTCCACACGCCCTTCAACAAACTTACCTGACAGCCCAAGGGGAGGGATAAAGGGGGTTTCAACGGCGTGAAACCGCGTTGTTCTGGGGCGAGACCTCGAGGGAGAAGGGGTTGCTGCGCTGAGTCGATGGAGCAGTGTCGTGTTCAGGACCGTGTGCTCAGTGATGCTGGTACGGCGACGATGCTATGAGCGATAGCACGATAGTACCACAAGGGATTCCGCGCACTGTTGGTACCAGAGGGCTCGGCGCATGTGTAGACGTTCCCTGTCACGTAGTGCTGGTGCAGTCGTGTCCCAGGATTTGCTGAATGCGCACTCGCGGTGGGGGAGTCGCAAGCGGCGGTTCGGGGTTGAATGTCGATTTTTTAAGATGCGCCACGCGCAGTTCAAACGAAGCCGTACTTCGCGCACTATGGAACGTCGATGTTGTTGGGGCTGACGAGGTGCGCTGCGGAGGGCGGAGTGGTCGTGGTTTTTGGAGGCAGCATCAAGATAGTCTACACGTGCGCTACTACAACGCACATGGAATGCCGAATCCCAAAGAAGCGCCACAGCATCGTCACTGGCCGCATGCAACTCTAGTAGCCCAGGTCATCATGGTGGCTCGTGCTTGTCCATTTCACGGCCCGCATTGCAGGCGCAGCACAACGGACCATCGCTTAGTCTCTCGACCATATGATCAGTTTTCCATAAGAACTTGTCATTATAAGAAGAGAAGAGAAGGAGACTCTGCACTCTAGATAGTCCTTGAATGGCAGTTTGAAGTTGTCGCTGTACTGACCAGTCTGTGGGCGTCAGTAGTACGGTGCCAGATTGTGTACCTCAAAGCCCAGAGCTTGGCATCGCTTTCTTGCACCACCGCCAAGGACAACGCCACTTGACTAGGAATAACCTTGGCCATCCTGTTTGCGATTTTGATCGCGTCGGCTCTTTAGATATAGTGTCTTTAGCCGTATTGGAATCCGAGTAAGTGGCGCAGCTCCCTGAACCGAGAGTGACTGAAGAGGCTGCCTCGCTCTGTCGATTATCTATATACCCAGGCGAGTCTTAATCTGGTTGCCGTAGTATGTTGTTTGTTTTGCAGAGACGTAGATCGCCGGCAAATAGGAGTATGCAGGCGCCCGAAGCGACAAGCAACCACATGGTTCGCTGATATTTCACACACAATTGATGTATCTACGACACCGATAGTGTAGCAGTAGCAGGCCACACTCGTCCAGATTAGCGGGTAGGCGTGGAAGCTCCGTCCGTCGTCTGAGATTCTTCCATGCGGGTATCAGGTATTCCAGCAAGAGCTTTCAAAGGGCAAATTCGGCGGATGAACTGTCGCAGACCATTAAGTGTGAATGCCTAATGTGGCTGGAAGATTCTGGCGCGAATGGCATTGTGCGGGCTCTGAGTTGGCCGTACAACAGCTGCGCCGGCATAGACTGCTGTCTTCTTTGGCGCATGGACCACTGTATTTTCGTAGACGACCACCTCTTTCTTTTCTACCTCCTCCTACGCAGCGCAGGTCGAAGAGTTTACTCACTGAGCACTAGCATGATACCTACTCGACGGTTTAGCCCTCGCATATTCTTGACTCGCTTCTCTCTGTCAATCCTCTTCTCCATCTACAACGCTGTCCGTTCACAATGACCGATCCCGACAGCATCAGCTCCTCCCCTACTCCAACCAAGCGTCTGAAGGTCGCCTCTGGCACCGACCGTGGCAAAAAGCGCTCTCGCGCCAGCACTGATACGGGAAAGGAGAACAAGAAGAACAGGAAGCACAAGGACAACGCATCCTCCCCAATTCTCAAGGACGACAGTGAATGGGGAAACTGTCTGAACGAAGTTGGCAACATGGCTGACATCGAAGACAACGACCAGGACTACGACAACGACACCATCTGCGCCGGCGTTGGCAATGACCACGACTTCGACGCTCCCAAGACCCATTTGTCCAATATTAGGAAGGCCGGGAACACTCGCAATGTCGCGCACAACTTCGCAACCATGTCTACTACAAGCTTCAGCGGAACTGCCACGTCCACCTCGTCCACTTCGCCCACCAAGAAGCAGCGCGCTTGTCCGGACAAGGCACAGAAGGAGGTTAAGGATGCTGCTAAGGCAGCCGAGGATGCCGAAGCTGCCGCGGAGGCTAAGTTCATCGCTGACTGCAAGGAAATTACCAGGCGCGCCGCTGCGATTAACGAGGACTCTGAGACCGAGACTGCTGCGACTACTGCTTCTACTTCTAATGGTAATGAGGATACCCAGGTCTACACTGCTGCCGTTGATTCCGAGGAGGGCAATAACCAGGCGAAGGAAGTCAAGGATGGCAACAAGGTTGGGGGCAGCTCTAGACCCACTGTCGAGCTTGTTGCTTTCAGCCCCGAGGATGACAGCGCATCCCAGTCTAGCCGCGAAGGAAGCGTCAGCAACACCAACTTCGTCTTTCGGCCTCGCACTTGAGCCTACGAAATGGACGGGGCCCTACAATGAGAGGGCAAGGCTACTGCTTGGCCTAGGTCGCCACGCCACTGTCATTTTGACGTCGTCAAGTATTGATGTTCACTTCTGTTGTTCCTTCTTTGGCCTGTGGAGACTCGGGGGTACTGATGCTATTTTGACGTTTCAATAGACTAAGACTCAGATACACGGAGGGGAGGCGCTGATATATCGGCCTTGGTGCAGTCTCCTTCTTTCGAAGGGACTATGAGAGTGGCTGCTTTTGCAAAAAGGGCTATCGAGAGTAGAAGAAGGCATCCCGGATGGCCAACTTCTAGACAGCACTTCTAAGAAAAAGAAGAAGAAAAAAGAAAGGGAGAGGGGGTCTTCGAAAGAAGGCTATTACAAGCCAAAGCAAAGCTGTCCGCCGAAAGACTCCGTAGCAAACCTGCTTTCCTATTACTTTCGATAAGCCTTTGTCCATCGATGCTACCCACCCCAAATGTACTCAGAGCAGACCTGCCCCCAACTCCCATAGTTAAAATCAATTATGCACAGAAAGAAATGAAAGGAGCAATCAGGGGGGTCATTCAGTCCAGCGCAGCTTAGAAGAATTCCTCTCTCCTCAATCGTTTCACATACCACACACATCAACAGGTCACTGAAGCACGCAGCTCTTGCGACTTTCCAGGCGGCGCACATACGATGCCTTGAAGACGATTCCTCAAATCCGAAGGGCGATGGGCGTCGCAGCGCAGTGCCCCATGCAGGCTTTCCAGCTCCACTGCGACCTCGAACTTCTTCAAGCCCCTCAAACAGTCAGCCACGGGCATCAGCAGCCCCTCCTCTTCGGCCAGGGCCGCCTCGTCCTCCTCCTCGTCACCGCCATGGCCGCTGCCCACGAAGCGGCTGCCCAGCTCCAGACTCAGCCACACAGCGCGCAGCCCGCTCATGCGACCACCTCCCACGACCTCGCGCCATAGCTGCTCCCACCACAAGTGCGGGGCGCGGGCGTTGGCGCGCTCGCGCAGGCGCCAGCTCCAGCGCACCTGCAGCTCGCGGATGGCGGCGAGGCGGTGGGGCAGCAGGGTGCGGGCGAACAGGACGAGGGTCTGGGGGTGGTTTGCGTCGAAGACGTTGGCGGCGTAGAGGACGTCGACGGCCTCGCGGTAGGCGCGGCGGCAGGTCAGCAGGAAGGCGAGGCCCGACGAGAGGTGCGAGTGGTGGCGGGGGAGCAGGGAGCTGGGCAGGAGGGAGTGGGGGCGGTGCATGCTGCAGGTGGGGTTGGAGAGGAGGCGCGGGTGCGAGTCGTGGGCGCGGTGGTGGGTGCTGTAGACGCGGTAGACCGAGTCGTCGACGAGGAGCGGCGCTGGGCAGCTGTGCGGGCGGTGCGGCAGCTCGGCGACGTTGGCCGCGAGGTTCTGGCGGTCCAGCTGTTGTTGGTGGAGCTGCCTCTCGCGCGGGGCCATGTAGGCCGCGATGCAGCGGCGGTCCGGGTCGCCGGCGGTGCGCACGATGCTGCTGTCGCCGCTGCAGACGACGTGGCCGACGCGCCCTGGTTGGAGTAATAGGTGGATTACTTTCCCCCCGAGAATTTCGTGATAGATGCGCAAACGCAGCTCGGCGGGCAGCTTGGTGAAGAAGGGAGATTGGTCTTGCGGGAGCGCTGCTGAACTCTTCTCCGTCTTCTCATCGCCATCATTCCCGTCGCCACCGCAGCTGGTGAGCGGCCTAGGACGCTCCTCGGCAAGAAGCGGCCGCGGGGTATAGTCCTTCTCCAGCCTTTCGCACAACTCCTCGAACTCGCGCTGCGCTTCCAAAGGTGAGCGGTAATAGGTGCCTCGGTCCCGGGCTGAGGCGCAGCAGCACTCGCGACAGATATCGACGGCAACCAGCACCAGAACCAGCGGGGTCAGCAGGCAGTAGCCCAGAGGCCTTATGACCCCGCGGTACAAGGGCCGGTACAGATAACGCTGTCGCTTCGAGGCCATGTGTGATGGGGGAGCGCAAGAGAGTTCGACATTCGCCCGAGACGCGGAAGCAGACATGCACGGTGAGCTCGAGCAATGTTGAGGTCTATTTACGGAAGGAGTGAGGTTGGCCGCTTAGGCGAGAAGAAACAGCCGTATACATAAGCCCTTGCCGCCGATCGCTGCCCGTTGCGGGGTAGCACAACGGTGAAGAGCTACCACTGCAGCCTAGCCTTGCCTTCCCAATGAGACAGCTATTTCTTGGGAGCCACATTCTCCTCATCCCTGCCATTCTCCGCTCCGCTGCTGTTCCCCGGCTCGATTCCTTCAATCTCTAGTCCTTCCTCTCTCAGTGCCTCCTGCTGCGTCTCCGAGAGCGCGTCAGCATCCAGCGTCATCTTCGGCCCCGTGAACCTATTATCGCAAGAGAAAAATATCCGTTAGCTCCCGCTCGACCTGGACACTGGGCACAGGAACGCAACTTACCACTTCCGCGCATCCACAAAATAATACGCCAAACTGCCCAGCCAGACAATGCTGTTCACCACGACGGTATAGTTCATCTCATCCGCCGTCGGGTGGGGCCCGCCCGTCGGGAACATGGACAAGAAGATGCCAAAGATCAAAAACACGATGGCCAGCCACCCCAGCGGCGCGCTCAGCTTCCCCGTGTAAAAGGGGCCAGGCTTGAACTTCTTCTGGCCCCATACGAGGCGGCAGAAGATGGGCGTGCCCCACGCGAGGTTGTTGGCCGCGACAGCGAGCGAGAAGACGGCCGACGCCGCCGCTGAGCCTATGAGGGTCAGCAAACCCAGCAGCGCCGCCAGCAAAACACAGCCCCAGACGGCGCGCAGCGGAATGTAGCCGAAGGTCTTGCTGATGGGGCGGAAAAAGCTCGAGAAGGGCAGCGCCCCGTCACGCGAGAAGGCCCACGACTGGCGCGACGCGGCGACAGTGATGGACAGGCCCATGAGGAACTGCACAACGAACATGAGCGTCATGAACCCGAGCGCCCCCTTCTTTCCCAGCGCGTCGTAGTAGATTTGCGCCATGGGCTGGCCGAAGGGCGAGCTAACGAGGCTATCGAGATCTTGGCTCATGCACGCGGCGAGCACGATGCAGATGATCCACCCGAAGAGCCAGCAGCTGCCGATGGACATGAGGATGCCGTACGGCACGGCTTTGGTTGCATTGGCCGCCTCCTCGCTCATGTGAACGCACGAGTCGAAGGCGCCGATAGTCCAGATAGGCGAGAGCCAGGACAACATGAAGGCCCACCCCGTCGGCCATGTCGTCAGGTTCGACGTCTCGGTGAAGATGTAGCTCGCGTCGTTGCGCTGGCCGGCACGGCCGATGGGCAGGGCGATGATGGTGGCGAGGATGAGCACAAAGTTGGCGGCAACGAAGACGGTCTGCAGCTTGCCCATGATCTTGGACAGCGTCGAGGCCAGCACGCCGTGGCACAGCACGCAGCCCAGGAAAACGGCATAGATGACGCCATTGGACGGCTCCCAGTTGCCGTCTCGCGCGATGACCACGACCGACAGCAGCATCAGCGAGAAGCCGTAGTCGATCGAACACAGTCCTCCGACGAGCCCGAGCGTGTTGCTGTACCCGACCAGGAAGCTGAGCGCGTTACGCGTCTTGGGCGACGCGAAGTAGTGCGTCCACCAGTACAAACCACCTGACGTCGGCATTGCGCTGCCTAGATCAGCCATGGCCAGCCCGACTACGAAGATGAACATGGAAGCCAGAAACCACCCCCACACGAGGCCTGCTGGCCCGGCGGGGATGCTGTAGGCCAGCGTGCTGGCGATGGACGGCAGCAGGCCCATGATGGAGAAGGCAATGCCAAACACCTCGATGAGCGTGAAGTTACGCCGCAGCTCCTGCTTGTATCCAAGGCTCGCTGTGTCGATCGCATTAGCCGACTTTCTGCAGGCGCAGGAGATTACGTACCCAGGACCGCGGCATCTTCGCTGCTGGCCAGCCCCTCGGCCACGGCCACGGATGACGCCCGTCGTTCCTTATCCGGCATTGAGTCACCCATTGCGTTGGGTCGGAAGCAAAGAAGAGGTGTCAAGTGCAGGTAGGTTGGGCGTATCCCTGGTATAATTTAAGTAGGGACAGGCCGTGTCACCTCCCCACCTTCGGGTTCAGGGCCGCTATCAAACAAACGCGTCCCCGTCCAGCTTTCACGGGCGCACAGGGCTGATGAGACAGAAAACGATAAGCGCTGCTGAGGTCAGATAACGTGCGACCACAGCCGGCAATGGTCGTTTGGCTAGCAGCGCCGCGGCCAATTTGTACCGCAGCCAAGCTTCTTCAAGCTCAAAAAAGGGCAAAGTAGAGAGATTGGCAGCGTGGGCTGTCGCATGCGCATACCACGTCTGGTTGTAGCACCGTGGGCATGCGAATGCAGCTCCGAGCGCCGCACTGTGCCCTGACACATAACCCCAGCCATCTGCTCGGGGACAGCCGGCCCAACGCTCCTGATTGGCCGTCGAGGAGAGCGATGGAGAGATTGAACAAGATAGGGCGGACGTACAGGTGTGTACAGCTTATCAGTAGTACCGCCTTCTCCGCACGAGACCCCGGCCTAGCGTGGTGGCGTCTCCGCCCGCGTCGACCATCTCGCTTCGGTTAGCCACATCTCCTCCCTAGTGCACACCACGTGAAACTTGTCTCGTCTCATTCTATTCTACAACTCGTGAGCCAATAAGTGAATCAATCTTACCATACTCCCTGGACCATGCAAATTAATGCTCGCCGTTTCTATCTGATCCAGACTATCCCAATGGATGCTCTTTTAGCCATGCGTTGTCGTCCCATCATTGCTCAAGTTTTCAAACCTACCGAAACTCATCTCACGTCAGTCCAATTGATCCCCATCCACCCAATTGTTTCCAGAGTCTCTACGAACCCACCCGCTTCTCCTCATCCTCACGCCCAGCCTCCGGCAGCTCTTCATCTAATCCATCCTCCTGCTCCTGCTGCTTCCTTCTTTGCTTCAACTCATTGCAGAACGCGCTGTTCGCCCTGATCTCGTCGCCGAATCGCCAGAACACGAACGGAATGGCACACAGGCCCAGCATGACGAAGCCCAGGAGGCTGCACGCCCAGTCGATGCCCAGCCGCTCGTACATGGGCCGTGCTGCGAACGGCAGCACCGCCCCGAAGATGCTCCTCGACGTGCCAGCCGCTGCCATGGCTGAGGCGGCGAAGATCTCGTAGGCATCTGATGTTCCCTCGTGTGTAAGTATATGTTTTCAGGTCTCGGGTAAAAAGGAGACAAGGCCAAGAGACTGGGAAAGCAGAAGAAGATGGGGAAAACCATGTGCAATATTGATGAAAATAAAAGGGAAAGAGAGATAGGTGTGAAGTACGAAGCAAGAGCATATGAGAAGAAAAAAAGGGGCACACTCACCAACCAAATAATTCAAAATTGCCATGAAGCACAGCAAGTACCCCACGCCGAACGGCACACCCGCAAACACGGGCACCGCCCAGTGCACCTCCGGGCGTGCCGTCCAGCCCACCCAGAAGAACGAGACGACGATGAACGGCCCGGCCACGCACGCCAACGGCAGCCGCCGCGCCTCCTCGCTGCGCGTCCACGCCGCCTTGCGCGCGCGGGCCCGCGCCAGGAATGCGTCGTACCAGAGATACATGGAGGCGGCGATGAGGGCGCCCAGACCGACTTTAGTTTTGTTGAAGTCAGTGGAGAGATCACGGTGAGCATGGTCATGGAGGTTGGGACTTACTCGGAAGGAAAGCCAGTCCGACTTCGCCGGCGTTGAAGCCGTATGTGCCTGCCATGCTGCGTGAGTTTGGTGTCTACTTCGGAAAAGGGGGGGCAGATGGCGCGTAGAAATTTGGAAGAGGAGGAGAAGACTAACCTCCATACATGAGCGGATACGCCTGGAAGAACATGTAAAACACAGCGTAGACGAACGCCAGGTACAAGCACGAAAACAGCACGATCCACTCGAACAGCATCATGCGGATCGGCCTCGTCAGCACCACCGTCGCCACGTGCCGCAGGTCGCGCGGCTCCAGCTCGATGGGCGCGAAGATGTTGGCGTCGCCCGTCTCCTTGCGCAGCCGCTTGGCGCGCTGCTTGAGGATGACGGGCGCGTACGTCTCGGGCGTCGCGAGCAGCGGCACCCACGCCACGCCGGCGATGATCAGGCCGAGCCAGAAGGCCCAGCGCCAGCTGATGACCGAGATGAAGCCCGAGGCGACGGGGCCGATCAGCGGGCCGAAGGTCGTCGTGGCCATGAACAGGGCCATGGCTCGCCCGCGGGAAGTGGGCTCGTTGTAGATGTCGGCGATGATGCTGCAATTCGGGGAGCAGATCGGAACGGTCAGTCAAAACGGTATCCTTCATAAACCCCATAATAATAAAGCATTTTGGTGGCTCCCGTCCTAAGAACTGGACTCCCCACACGGAAGACCAAGACTCGAGGAAGGCATGCAACACACTCACCCTCCAGTGACGCTGATCGCACAACTCCCCGGGATGCCCACCAGCAGCCTGAACACCACCAGTGCGGCAAAGGTATCCGCCAGCGCGCAGGCCATCGAGAAGATGGTGAACATGGCAAAGGCAACTATCATGATGTGCTTGCGGCCGTACCACTCTGACATTGGACCGAAGATGAGCGGCCCGACCACGTAGCCGACCAGGAAAATGGACGTCGGCAGGACGAGCTGCGCTTGGTTGGTAACGTGGAAGTGACTGGAAATCTGCTTCGAGGCTCCGGCAGCGAGGGACGATGATATGGTGCTGTTCATGACGCACGCAATCATGGAGATGAGGGGGAGGGCTTTCTTTCTCTGGAACGTTCGTTAATGGATTGTTCGGGATTGCTGGGAAGGGAGAGTTGAAAATGGTGGCTGAGGTTTCGCTTTCCCCTTGTGTTTTTGTTTGGGGCAAGGGGCTGTTGCATCCTGATGGCCTCTGCTTCTCAAAACATGCACTTGACAGAGTCTTCACATCGACGCTGACACAGCACGGAGTCACGAATACAGACTCGTCGAGGTTGGTTCTGGTAGGCGTACGAGGCGCATCAAGGACCCAACAGCCATCACAAGACACCCCCTCCCATCTTATCATCGCAAAATCCAATCTTCCCGATGCTTCGGGGGAAAAGAAGTTGACAAGGGAGAAGGAAAGCATAGACGAGCGGCAAGCTCGGCTCGATGACTTACCCAAGGCCACTGCGTCGGATCTTCTGGGTCGTTCTTCTCGAAGGAAATTATCCTCCTCTCTATGGAGCCGCCGTCGCTTCCGTCAGCTGGCGTAGAACAGCCAGACTTGTGGTCCATATCCTCGATATCGAGTTGGTCTTGTACATCGCGGGCATCGATTTCGACCTGCCTTGAGGGAGCATGTGGGAGGTGAACTAGTGTACGCTCAGTCGGACGCAGGCGGGAGAAAGAGGAAAAGCATCAAGTCAACGTACGGTGCGGGGAGTGTGAGTGAGCAGTGTGGGCGACGATGCCGTTATCGGCATCACGACTGGGAAGCCGGTTGTGGGGTGCAGGGCTGGACATCTGGGGCAGATCTCTTGAGAAAGCTTCTACTGGTAGGCATCAAGAAGGGAAACTGATAAACGCCTGGGGACAACGAGGGCAAAGAGTTCACAGCAGGAGAATCTGTTGGGGGAACAGGGCTTCGGCTATTTAAGAGGGGGGGTAAAGAGAGGGACTGAAGGGAGGGAGCAGAGCGTCGACATCGGAGCACAAGGTTTGCGTGATAAAAAGGCGAGGCAAAACAATGGATGGCGAAGCGTAGCGTGCTGCTGCAGACGTACGACTGGCGGTCAACCTATGACCCGATCATCCAGCACCTCGGGTTGATGCTCGGCTCTGTTACTGTACGAGCCGGCGGGAGATTAGAGAGGCATGCAGCTGCACTGCCGCATGCACCAGGAGCAAGACAAAGTTCTGGAGGCGGCGGCAGCGGCTCGTTGCAGGGCCTGGGCATGGCTCGTAGGACGCGATGGAGCTTAGAGAGGACGATCTTCTGCAACGCCAGACGCCGACGCGCGAATGGGTGCCGCCCTGATGACACGCGCTCCTGCCTGGATGGGGAAGCGGCGCCGATTGCGGGAGCCGGCTATGACGGCAGCTAACCAAACACCCCGCTGGTCTCGCTGAGTAATTGCCGGCGACAGAGCGGGGGTGCCTGTTCCCCGCGCCTTACGCGGCTGCAGCAACCCGTGAAGCTGATATTATTGCTGCGCTGACGGATATGTTGTGTGAGCCTGGCGGTGCAATGAGGCTCAAGCATTGGCAGCGACATCGGACAAGCGAGACCAGATTTACTTTCGATTTGACTTCTCGCCAAAGGCCGATTTTCCCTTTCCGGCGCTGCAGATACGATCCTTCCGCAGCCGTCCTTGGCAGAAGATGCTAGCTCGTCTACGTCTCGAGGTTGATGCTGCGCCCAAAGCGCGCGTACAGGGCAACCTTCAGCTCCTCCATCTCGTCGCGCACTCCGCTCAGCTGCTCCTCCAGCGCCGTGACGTCCTTGTCGATCCTCTCCGTCGACTCGCTCAGCAGCTCCAGCACTTCGGGCTGCGGCAGCGACATGAACGAGTCGCCGACCTTGTACCTGCAAAGTCACGTGACGAGTGAGCTACCAACCTGGAATGTGTTTTTGACGGAGCAAATAGAGAGAGCAGCACGTACGGCACCTTGTCATCCTCGTCCACGAGCTCCAGTTCCGTCGAAACTTCCTCGAGATCTTCCTTGTCTTTCTGCAACATCCCGCCGCACAGTCAGCCGGATTGACGCCCAAAAAACACGATGTTGGTGACGTACCTGCTTGGCCTTCAGCTCCTCCTCCAGCACCTTCTCGCGCTGGTGCAGCCGACTGAATTTGTTGATCTTGTCCTGGTCCTCGCGCCGCACCTGCACCTCCTCGCCGGCCGTGGCCTCGTCTTCGCGCGAGAGCTGTGATGTTGCGGGCGCGTTAGCGATGTGTGCCCCTCATCGGCTGCCCGCCCCCTAACATGCGGGGGTCACGATAGGAAAAAAACGCACCATGCGGCGGTTCATCTTTGACTGGCTGCGTCTCAAAGTGAGATACGTGGAGGAATATGCGTTGTCAGAAGGAAGAGGTGAGGCGACGTGATTGGTTTCCCGTCTACGTTTGCGTTGGCGGTGCAGCACAGGATTTGCGCGCCTTCTGACCTTTTCGCGCCGTCTGCTCCGGCCGCGACTTTTCTATTCGCATTACCACCCTCCACTCTCGTGAGGCTATATTACGCCTGACCTCACCCCCTAGGAAAGCTTAATAGCCTATTCTAACTCCATGCAAGCTTACTGAAAAGAATCACGGGTACGAGTAGGTATTTATATCCATTACTGCAACACGCTGACGTAACAATCGTATGCGGCACTTCAGCGCGGCAGGAAGTCGTGTCGAAACTTGCAACCTTCAAACCCTCAACGCCCGCGCCGTCTCTAGAAAATGCTTGCGTCGTACTCCAAGTAAACATAACCGCTCACCAGCATTATTGTCGCCATCACCGCAATCCCCCCTCATACTTGATCAAACCTCTGCCACAACCCCCCGAGCTTCCACCACCTCCACCATCCTTCCCAACTCCACGTCCCATCCACATTCGTCCACGCCAATTCCATGTCCACCGCCAGCCGCAAGGCCTCCTCCTTCTTCTCATCCATCATCAGCATCACCCTTCCATCATCCCCCATCTCATCATCAGCACCAGTCATGTACCTCTCTCCGCTCATCGCATCTACCAATTCCTCCGCCGGCACAGGCGCCTTCACGAAATCCCAGTACAGTCTACTCCAAGTGGCACGCATGGCATATAAATCGCCATCGAATGACAACTCGTCACTGCTCGCAGCACGCAGGAAGGACATGTAGCTCTTCAACGCCAGCCTCACGTCATCCAGCCGGCAATCCGCTTCCCACCGGCTTCTCCGGCCCCGCGCCCATGCACCCACCGTCCAGAAGCGCTGTCCAGACGCCAGGTCTGAGCGGTGGCCGGCGACATGTCGGACCTGCCCGAGGCCACTGAGGAGCCATTGATCGCCGCCGCCATCGTCGTCCTTGTCAACAAAGATGTTGGCAGACTTGACGTTGTTGTGGCAGTAGCCCTTTGCATGGAGCTCGGCAAGAGAAGACACGAGGCCGGCGAACACGGGGCGATGCAACGCGTCCAGTTGGGCCGGAGAGAAATTGCCGCCGGATTTTTTGAGGACAGCGGCGAAGTAGTCGAGGCTGCCGGCGCGCCAGGGCGTGACGAGCGTCCAGCGCGGCGTGGTCCAGGACGGAAAGACGGGGCGCAGGAGGAGCGCGAAGAGGGAAGACGAGGAGAAGACGGGCTCCAGGGCGACGAAGTAGTCGAGCGCTGGCACGAGGCCGCCGGGTTGGAACGAGGCGTGCCGGTGGCTTTGGCGCGTGAGGTTGCCGTGGGCGCTGTGGCGGCGGTTACTGCTTACTTTTTCGAGGCCGGCGAGGAGAAGCGTGGCGGGTATTTCCGTGGGCCAGGTGGTCAGCTCGTGGCAGAAGAGGTCCGCCCATGCTGGCTCCATTGGTGCGTTGGCGTGGTGGGAGTACGACTTTACCAACACTTGCGTGCCTGTGTACATGTCTCTGTAAAGCATGGTGCTACCCTCACGGCTTCGGCCGAGGTGGCGCTCAAACTCATAGCGGTTGTCGAATCGGTTCGCCTTTGCGATGCGGATAGGCTCTAGCGGGCGGAGGTGGAGAGGAACGGAGGGTGAAGCGCCCTGGATGTCCAAGAGGTCGGAGGCATCGGAGATTGGGAGCTCGTTCTTGAGGCCTTCAGGCCTCAGGACTTGATGATGGGCATGTCAGCGAGCTGCACGCCATACGATGAACCGATCTTACCTGCGACAATGAAGAAGGCCGTAGTTAAGACAGTGCAGATTATGACGTGAGTCAGCTTTAGGCGTCCCACCAAGACCAAGGTGGACCCTGCAAAAGGATAGACTTTATCCTGAATGGCGGGCGGCCAGAGAATCCTTGCCATGGCCTTGAAAGATGAAGCTTTGTTTTGGACAGAGGAGGTGATTGGGCGCTGCGTTTTGAGCATGGGTGAGCTTGAAGTCAAATGGGAAAGTGCCACCACTCTTCTTGAGAGAAAGAGCGACCATCTCTCAGGTTCGAACTTTGTTCATGCATATCATGGTCCCAGAACCTTCTGCTCGATTGGTAAGACATCACGCAACATCTCGAAGTCCAGTTGAGCAGGATATGGATGGTCTCCTAAAACGGGAAGTAAGCCATGTGTGGGCTTCTAAAGCCTGTTTGGCATGGCGCTCATGATGCTGATCTTCCGGAGCCACGGGAGCCAGCCGGGCGATCTGCCTCGGCTGTCGCATGCGGCGATGTTGCGCAAGCATTGGGGAAATCGCTCAAGAGATAGAGCGACCATGGGGTGTCGGTTGTATGAGTTCAAAGCTGCGACTGCCCCAATATAATTAGTGCCAAGAGAAGCACACGGCTCTTTTTCCAGATAGGTTGAACCAGCATGCATCGGTGAAATGACTCTATCTTTGCCAGAAGTGTGCCTCGGCGCGTGCAAAAAGGGCGTTGCACAGCTTTAAAGCCAGCTTTCACTCTGGGTGGGGGCGGAGGTGAGTGGATCCAGGTGGCTGTGTTCTGTACATATCAGTTGGCGAGTTCCCAACCGACGGGCCGGAAACGACATTTGCTTTCCAGCAATGGCAAAAGCCCGGCGCGTCCTTGGTCGTGCTGGGTGCCAAGTTCCGACCGGGATGATGCTGTTCATAGACGGATGTTGATGCCGAGCATGCCAACACCAGGCTTGGCGGCAGGCGGAGATTTATCAGGGCAGGCAGTTGTTCCAGAAGGATTTGGGAAGAGGGTGGAGAGAGAGGGCTTTTTTAGGTTCCAAGAGGTGGACTGGCGATACGAGACAGAGACTTGCCTGTGTAGCGCGGGCGTCGCGATGGTGAAGAATGGCTTTCCTGATGGAGCCGGGAGTAAGGGAGTACGGGCTCGTGCGATGGCCTCGGTTGGCATGCCGTCATACAAGCTGCACAGAGACGGGAAGGCTCGACAAGCTAGGAAAGTGTTTGGGCGATGATTTGCTGACTGCAGACCGGTGGTGTTTCGAAGGAAGAGAACCGGCCTGTCACGGATAAGCCCTGTGCATGCAACGCCAAAAATAAGAGGCCGGGCGGGGCAGGCGTCAGGCGTGATTCGCCGGCACAGCCCCGTCGAGCGTGTAGCTGAGGGTTGGGGCGGCGCAGGGCGGCCCTGCGCTTACGCTTTAAACACCCAGCGCCGGCGCTCTCTTGTTCTCTCAGGTCTCTTTCGCGACCAGAAACCTTCAGAGGGTGTTGAGCGCGTGTCGTCGTAGAAGCAGAGACGGCAATCGCACCCAGGCAGCGGCGTGGCCCGAGCGCGCAGGCTATCGATAAGCACGATTCTTGGTACTTTTCCCACTCCCGCCCGTTCTTCGGCCCCGCTCTGCCTGGGGTTTCAGTCCGACCACTGCGAAGCGGCCATGACCACCATTATGTATAGCCTCGCTGACGCTCAGCTCAGCCCTCATATGACGCATCCTAGGACCCGCTGGCCTATCCTGTCTTATAATCAGCAATCATGCCCTTCCCTGTGTCTGATGAGATCCGCCGCGCCCGGCACGACGACCCAGAGGACGAGCAAGAAGACTACTGGGAAGAAGTTCGAAAATCCGCCGAGGACGTCTGGGAAGACCTAACCACTCTTCCCACTGTTGTCACCATCATGGGCGCTCCCTTCACCCTCGACAGCACCGGCCTGCCGTCGTGGATGAGTCTGAGCACCGATGACCTTCCCGATGCCCTGAAGAGCCGCCTGCAGTCGACAACGTCGGCGCAACCAACGGCCGTTTCGTCGACCTTGATCCCCATCTCGAAGACGTCTGTTACCGTCACTCCTGCGACTGAACTTGGAAATCCGGGCGCCCACGTAGGCTCTTCGGCCACGCACGGTGCTCCATCCTCAACCTCAGCGCCCGGTCAAGCAGGAAGCTCTGCGAGCGCAGCGAGTACGTCGTCTTGTTCTGAAGGGCATGGACAAACATACGGCCAAGCCGCGCCGTCGCCGGGTCCAACTGGGTTTGATAGCAATGGAGGAGTAACAGTCTCATCAGGTTCCACTTCAGCAGAACAAGACCATGACTCCGGTCCACCCCTGGGCCTCATCTTGGCCGGTGTCATAATCCCCGTTCTGGTCATCTCATTGCTCGCCTTCACTGCCTTTGTTGTCATGCGTCGCCGGAGGCAGAAGAGAGACGCAGAACGTGCCATGGCAGCCGACGAGATGAAGTTCCGCCACAGCGATGACTCCCAACAGCCGCCTTTCGTTCAGCAGCCTCCGGTCCAAGAACCCCCTGCGATTCGAGAGCCCTCTCCGCAAGATTCACCGAGAGCAGTGACGCCTGTACCAGCCCCTCCACCCGTCATCGTTTCGGCCATGAACCCGGCGAACAACTCCTCGTATTTCACCGGCATCGACACATCCGAGGCCCTCTCCGTCCGCACAAACTCGGTACGCAGCGGCCAGAGGCCGGCTGGCTTCATGCTGGACGGAGAGTTCCACGAGGAGCCTCCGCCACCGTATCGCCCACGCAGCGTGCCACCCATCTCTAGGGGCTCGAGCATGCGCACTAACTACCGAGCTGACTATGCAAGTTCTCAGCCCCTCCACGATCACACCCGAGTCGTCAATCCGTTCGCAGATCCGTCGGATGATGACAACGTTTCCATCATGTCAGGGCCGCCCATGAACCCGTTTGCGCGAGAAGCAGACGACCATCTCTCGGTGGTATCCGACATGTCGTATCAACACGAGCCCGCAACGGTGCACCAAAGCGTATGACGTTAGTCCTTTCCGTTAATAATCAGGAATCATTCCTATCCTTCTCTTCTTACTCGTCTTTGGTCAGCCGTGTCGGGCACAGAAAATGGGGGATGCATGATGATGACTACTTTTCTTTCTGGGTGAGAAGGCAAGGCGTTGGCTGGTATCTTTTGTTCCTTTTTCTTTCGCCTGGTGTGGATGTGAGGGGCTTTGTGCCGAGGGCGTTTATTGACGGAGAAGACCCGGTATGCCGGGCATGGATGCATGTCATTGAGACGCCGGAAAAGGGATGGTGATAGCATAAGCATTCCGAACCACTACTTGCCTGCCGTTAATCAATTTATCTTGCCACTGGGTAAGCTTAAATTTGCCGCACGGCGCTAGACTTCCGAGCGCTTCTAGAACTCTTCTGGACGTTAATCCAGTGATCTGCCTGACTGCATGATCTGCCAGCTTGGATAGGAATCAAGACACAGGCAAGTCTCCAACATCTACCACCGTGCATGGCCACTTGCTACACAAGGTGAAGACCGGATGTTCTTTCATCAAAATTAACTTTTTGACACTCCGGCGCAAACGTCACAGGATAATCCAGCGACCATCCGTCTCCACAGCGGCCATTGGGTGACAAGCGGGAGCCAATCATGGTAGTCCAGTGGCACTTTTGCTCACGTCGCACAGCATAGTTGAATGCTTGGCCCCCCTCAGTCTTGCTCCCTGGCATCCCCACCAATATCACAGTGTTGCTTCTCCTGCCCACACACCCCGCTTCGTACGACATGAGTGCCGTCAGTGATACCTACGACTTTGAGAAACGTCTCCCTGCTATCCCTGATGGGCTGTGTGATCTTTGCCGCCACCCGGTCGCTGGCGATAACATTTGCCGGCCCTGTCGCGCTCTGAGATTGAGAGAGGACAGCGCCACAGCCCCACAGCAATTAGTTTTTCCAGCAAACACCAATTTATGTCAATGCTCATCCGTGTCCGTAACTCTACAGAATAAAGTCCCCATCTGCGAGTCATGCGGCAGCGATCTCATCGACATCAGGCATATCTACTACACCATCAGGAGCCAAGGACCAGATGATATCTCAACAATTCCTGTGACACCAGGTTCAACTATCGAGCCATTTCGCAAGTACATGTATGCTCCGATCCAGCAGGATAAGGAAATCCGCTTGGCTGTTTTACATCCAGGCACGATAGCTGAGCCCATCCATTGCACACTCGTCCGCATGAATATTGAGGACCTACCCCCATTCGAGGCTGTCTCTTACACATGGGCGGACTCAAATGGCGATTCTTCACTGTGCAAGAACGTACTCTGTGGGCCAAGCCGTAGACGTCTGGCGGTGACCTCGAGTTGCGAGAATGTCCTTCGCCGTCTTCTTCTGAAAAAACTAAAGCGCCTCATCTGGATTGATTCCGTTTGTATTGATCAATTCAATGTGGGAGAGCGAAGCCACCAGATTCGCTGCATGTCTCGAATCTACTCGAGCGCTTTTCGAGTCCTGGTCTATCTAGGGGAAGGAAGCGAGTCAAGCAAAACCTTGTTTGACTTCTTCAATTTCACCTCTCGAACGGAAAAGTTCCCCATTGGCTACCTTCCTCCAAGTATGTTTCATCACTATCCGGACGATGAGACATTACAGATTCGCGCACAGGTGATAGTAGCAATTCACGAACTTTTCCAAAGGCCGTGGTTCTTCCGGGCCTGGGTCATGCAAGAGGTAGCTCTTGCAAAACAGGTTGTAGCTATGTGTGGGAACGATGTTGTTCCCTGGCATTCGCTCTCGGTACTCAACCTCACCGGCAACCGCTGGAATCTGTACTGGTTGCCTGAGGACCCTGACGTCCAACGGTACAAAGACGCCGCAGACTGGTTTCCTCCTGCGGTCCGGCTTCAAATTGGACACACGGACAAAAGCCGCAATTTATGGAACCTCGTTCGCGATGTCCGAGACGGTCATTGCAGTGACCCTCGCGACAAGATATTCGCCATCCTCGGGCTGGTTAACGACATGGATACCAAACCATTCATTCCCGATTATTCCAAACCCGTGGTCGAAACCTTCCTCGATTTTGCCAAGTATCTCATCTCGGAATCCAAGGCATCCTTGGTTGATATCATACTAGAAAGTCAGAGCAAGACCCATCTCGCGGGATTGCCGTCATGGATTCCAGATTGGTCCGTGGCGCAGACATCACTCGTCGTCAGCGAAGAGCTCATGTCATACCTTCTCCCAGCTCGAAGTGGCCCGGATACGCAGCTCGCCACATTTGTGCCCAACAGCGCGGCACTCGATCTTTTCGGGAAAGCGATCGACACGATTCACTGCGTGGATGTGCAGAAGACCCCTCAAGGCTGCATCATTCGCCCAATAATAGATAAAATACCCAAACAGCCAGCGGCATTTGCCGACTGGCTAGGATGGTGGGAAAGTGCATGCGCCTGGTGGGACGAGAGTGGCGGCGAGAGTGTGTGGAATCGCATTTCTTTTCCAAAGTTGTCGGACATTTCCCCCGGGCTCACGTTTCTGGATGATGTCCCCTACGACCACCGCATCATGCAGCATCTCAACGAGCTGTTCTTTCGTATATCACGGTGTCGTCCTTGTTACCAGTCACAGCGCTCTGGCGACTGTGGGCCTTGTACTTCGTGCATTTCCCCTCTCATGCAATCTTTCGAGTCACTCATTCCTACGTTATGTGCTAGCCGAGGACAGACGCTGTTCCTCGGGGAGCAATCTATCTTTGTCGGGGCTGGACCTCTCGCTATGATGGAAGGAGATGAAGTGTGCCTTCTTTCAGGCATGAGGCTTCCGTGGGTACTTCGTCCCTACCAGGATGGCTACCAGCTTGTCGGCGAATGTGCTTTCTTCGGCCCAGGCGAGCACTGCGACAAGTGTAAGCCGCCGAATCCTCGGGAGTGGAAGCGCATGATTATCTATTGAATAATCCCGGATATATCGGAGAGGTTACGAGGTTGGCCCAGAAAGTATTGGCCAGCTGATCTCTGATAGCTTGTCCGCTCAATCCCTTGTTGCAGAAAGTCCAAAACAGGGTATTCATGTGTAATCTTTCGCCCTGTTTTTTTTTAGTTATTCACGAATCTCGAACCCCAATCACGTATTTTAAACGATTCATTGGTCATTATGTCTATCTGTAACTTCGTTTGTTTCCTTTTATGTTCGTCAGACACCAGTCGTGATGATCTATCGTACCGGTTTTTCTCATTCTTTTTTTTGTTTCCCAACCCGGTCGTATACTCCTGAATCAATGCGAGAATCATTCTGTTTTGCTCCTCTCATGAAAATGCCTTATGCCCATCCATCCCTTTACGCATCCTCTCGCCGAACTTCATCATGGCCCAAATGCAGGTAGAACCCCAGACAAATGAAATGACCGCCAATCCGGTGAACAGCCAGCCATTTCCGATAGCAGAAATGAGGGGCTGCGCGACGACACTGCCGACGCAACTGAAGATGTTGCGAACGAAGTTGTTGAGAGCGATGCCATTGCTCGCCTTCTTGGGCATGAACTCGGTCAGCATGGTGGTGGCCATGGCGAAGATGAGCATGCTGCCGATGCCGAAGAAGAAGTTCGCAATCATCGGGCACAGCCAGAAGACGCCCTTCTGCGCCGTCCACCCGTACCACACCAGCGCCGCGGGGAACAGCGCGGCGCCCAGCCACGCGTTCTCGCGCATGCGGTCCTCGGGCCGGAACTGCAGCTTGCCCGTCACGGGGTCGACGCGGTTCTTGCGCACCGCCTCGCGGCGCATGATGCTGTCGATCCAGCGGCCGCCGAAGATGGACGTGACCATGTAGCCAAGCGAGTTGGGGATGTAGAGCAGGCCGACGATGACGGTGGAGAAGCCGTAGGGCTGGTGCGAGAAGGTCGTCTCAATGCTGATGTTGAGCACATACAGGCAGGCGAAGGCGATGGTGGCGTACGAAACGACAAAGAAGATGGCCGGAAAGCGCAGGTAGAGGATGATGCGGAGCGGGTCGATGAAGCAGCGGCGCACGACGAGGAGCCACTTAGTCGTTGTGCGCTGCACACTCTGCCGGGTTGAGACGCGCTGCAGTGAAGGCTGTGCGGCAGTGTTGGTGGCAGGTTTCTCCAGGCCTCCGGCGGCCGCCTCGACCTCTTCAGCGGTGTTGCTTCCGGCAAGAGGGTCGTCTGTCTTCTTTGCTGCCTCTTTCTCAGCTTCAGCTGCAACGTTCTTCGTACGGCGCAGCGTCTCTGGAAGCATAAAGCATATGCTGAGCCAAACGACAGCGCCATAGATGACCAAGAACCACTGAGTACTTCTCCAACCCAAACCCTGCGCAAGTGCGCCACCGACGATCGGGGCAATCAGGGGCCCGCACAACGGGCCTAGATAGAAGATACCCATGGCGCGGCCACGCTCCTTCACCTCCCAGATGTCAGCGATTGTGCCACCACCGACAGCCTGCACACTGGCCGACGCGCCTCCGCTCAATACCCGCATAACGATCAGCATGGAGATGTTGTTAGCCACGGCAGAGAGGATACCCCAGAGGATAAAGAGGACGAAGGAGCTGAGGTAGATGGTGCGGCGGCCCAGCGTCTCGGAAAAGGAGCTCCACCATAGCGGAAAGATGGCCATAGCCAACATGTAGAAGGCGACACTCATGTTAGTAATCGTGAGGGTAGTATCGAGGTCGGCGGCAATGTCATTGAGGGCGGGAAGGATAATGGCCGAGCCCGTGGGGGCTGCCATGGCCGCCAGCGCGACGAAGAAGGTGATGGTCCATTTGATTTTGCGGCTGTACTCGTACGGATTTGAAACTTCCGGGATCAGGCACAGGTGGGCGAGCAGCCCTCGACGCTCGCGCCGGGGTATGACGGTGGGCGTCCGGGACACGGCTGACGAACGTGATGCTATGGGGTGCAATTGGGGGGCCTGTTGGGTTGCGTCCTGCTCCCGGTGAATCTCATCGTCGTCGGATATTACACTGCTGGTGCCGGTCTTGGGCCTGTCTTCCTCCGGTTCCCTCGCCGATGAAGGCTTGACCTCGAAGCCGACGTCCTTCTCCTCGTCTGACATGAGTGGCTAAAATCTGATTGTCGTGAATGGTTTCTTGGTCGGAGGATTGCCTCGGCACTTTCCTAATGGGGCGGAGGAATAGCCGATGCTGCGCGATATGAGTGCGTCGGGAACGAGCGGGGGCTCCCGAGGGTACCAAGAAGTCAGGAGGGGGAGACTTGGACGGAGAAAGATTGAGAAAACAAAGGTATAAGGCTTCCCCTGTGTCTCACGATATTTGTAGCCATCCGCCGCACGGGGCCGTGTTGCGGGACGGAAGTGTTCCGAGCACCTCTAGAATTTTTGCTGCTCCACCGCACTTGGGCTCTTCCGAACACGAGTCGGATAAGAGAAAGAGGACGGTGGTAGGAGCCGCTGAGCGCAGCGGCACGTTTATCGGGCGGCGCGCCATGATGATAAAGCAGCTGCACGCACCCCGCTTCAAGCAGGCGATTGCCCGAGTCGAGGGATGCGGGAAGAGGCAGGCGATGCCGGCTATCCGCCCCAAAAGCGCGAAGGCCGAGCGGGTCACTTGATTGCGGCGCCGCTGTCAAGCATGGCCAAGCACTCGCTTAGTGATGTGCCCCGCGCTGCCGTTCCTGGCCTGGCGGCGGGTACCTTGGTGGAACCGCATTCGTCATTGGTGGCAGCGAAGCGTCATACTCCAAATCCTAATTCAATCTTGCAGTCAGCAGGGCTCTTGAGTCGTTATGTTTCGCCGCAGTCAGACGTTAAACCAACATTCGTCACGACCTCAAAACCCCTCCACGCCCACCGTCGACTCCCACCACATTTCCTGCCATCAACCAGTGTTCACGCGCGCAGCTCCGACCAGCCCAGTCCCACGCTAGAGTTTACCACCTGCCAACCAACATCCAGGCCTCACACCGCCCTTAAGCTACTCACCTCTAAACAATGCAGCCCGAGCCTTCCGGCCGCGCTAGCCCTCCACCGGGCAAATTCAACCAACATCCCACCGACGCCCGCGAGCGATTGCGCACTCATTTCGGTAGCACCGAAGCCAGGGACCAGGGTGCACGTTGGGACGACCTGTGGAAAGAGGGCGACTTCCTGCCTTGGGACAAAGGCTTCCCCAACCCGGCGTTGCGCGAGCTGTTGACAACCCATGTTTTCCCCAACCCCAAGAAGGACCTCACCAAGGAGGTGCGTCCCATGGTGCCCGCGCCTGTCGATAGAGAAACAAAGAGGCGGAAGCGCGCGCTTGTGCCTGGCTGCGGTAAAGGCTATGACGTCGTCTTGCTTGCCTCGTATGGATACGACGCGTGGGGGCTAGAAGTGAGCACTAATGCCATCGAGGCGGCCAGGAAGTGGGTGAAGGAAACCGAGGACAACGAGTTCCACAAGTATGAGACGATTGACAACGACGTTGGACGCGGCTCTGTCAACTTTCTGCTTGGTGACTTCTTCAAGGACGATTGGTTGAAGGAAGCTGGAGGGGAATTCGACTTGATCTACGATTATACGGTACGCCCTTATCCGTCTTCTATTCTTACTTCTTTGAGCCAATGTGTCTAACCATCTTGACCATAGTTTCTCTCCGCTCTGCCTCCCGAGCTTCGTCCAGCGTGGTCGCTCCGGATGTCGCAGCTCCTATCCCACGATCCGCACGCCGCGCTCGTCTGTATCGAATTTCCTACATATAAAGAGCCGTCCACAGGCGGCCCTCCATTTGGCCTGCAGCCGAGGGTATACGAGCAGCACCTCAGTCGTCCGGGAGAGGAGTTGAAGTACGGCGAGGACGGCCATATCGTTGAGCAGCGAGACGAGAATGGAGTGGTCCCCAGGAACAAGAATGGACTGGTGCGGATTGCGCACTATCAGCCCGAGCAGACCCACGAAATCGGGAAGGGTACCGATTTCGTGAGCATTTGGCGGCACCCGACTGCATGAGCGACGATCTTTGTCAGAGCGCCTCGCCTTTCAGAACGGCCTCCTCAGACGAGGTCCTGTCCCTTCATTAAGGTTCCCTCTTGTAGAAGTCGTGTAAATGTTGTGGAATCAAGCTCCTTTCCTCAGAGAATTGTAATGCTCTCCCAAGCCGAAGCCGTGTTTGTAGTACGCCAGCCATAATTCCTTCTCTTCTCCATTGACCGGGGCCTGGCCTTCCGCACCAGCCTCAATGGTGTCGACCCTCCCATCGGAGTGGAGCACCTTGATGTTGACGCCGTAAGTTCTTGCCAGCGCCAGTAATTCCATGTGTCCACCCCATTCTCCAGAATCCCGGACCTTGACCACGTAGGAGTCAAGCGGCTCTTCCATGAATGGGGCGAAGTCATCCGGGTGCGACGCGATCCAATCGGCGGCTGCCTTTCTCACAGTCTTGTAGCCTTCTTTCTTGCCATCAGCTTCCCCGTTTTCTTGTCCAACGATGTTTGGCGCAATCCGCGGCTTCAAATCAAGGCCCTGATCTGTCATGCCATCGGCAATGGCGCTATACAAGCAGTGTCCATCAGCACGAATGATCTGCTCCTTGAGCCCGCGCTTCTCAAATTGCTCGACCAGAGCAGTGCGCTCGGCCTTGCGCAGGTCGGGCATTGATTGCGCCTCTGCAGCGGCCTCGGCGACCAATGCCTCCTGCTCAGCGGCACGACGAGCCAGGCGAGCCTTTTGCCGGTTGCCCTTGCGCTTCGGTCCCTCAGATTGTTGCGCGTCCGGGGCGGAGGCGGCGGCGGCAGTGGGCTGCTGGCTCGACGATATCGAAAGCTTCTCGGTGGCATCTGCAAGATCGTCCTTGTCACCTCCGTCTTCAACCGTGTACCCATCAGCTTCGGGCTCAACGATCCCATCACCGGCGTTACCGGTGAGCTCTGCAATCTCGCGCTCTTGCCGCTCCTTCAGCTCCTGTTCGAGTCTCGCGCATTCGTCGTTGACACCTTTGCGGGTCTTCTTGGAGGCGGCCTTCTTCTTCTGCGTAACGCGGGCCTGCAGGTCGCGCTGCTCCTTGCGGTGTCTGGCCTGTAGCTCTTCCATGGTCGGCGTGGCGGGGTGTTGAAGAGATGGATGTGAAAAGAAAGTTTGCAGTGCAGAGCTCTCGAAAGTTTGGGGAAAGCAAAGAGCGAGTCAGCCCCGCGGCAAAGCCACCCACTTGTGGCACAGGGCGATCCCCCTCCCGTTTCGGCGGCGCCGACTGCCTCGGCATTGGCATTCTACGTACGTTTCCCCAGATTACTGAGGCGGGAGCTCGCTGGGCAAGCGTACTACTTGAATAACCGCCTGCCGCCATGCCCCAGCTTTGCTTTCCGCCTCCAGTGAGCTGAATCAATCAATTCCCGCCGCAATGGATGTCAACAACCTCTTCAGCGTCAAGGTACAGTAACAGCTGCTGCATCACAGGGCGAAGCTAACACGATGCCGTTCCGCTCGCTCAGGGCAAAGTCGTCCTCGTCACCGGCGGCGCCAAAGGCATCGGCCGCATGATCTCCGAGGGTTTCGTCACCAACGGCGCCAAAGTCTACATCTCCTCGCGCGACGCGAAGGCGTGCGACGCCGCCGTCGCCGAGCTGAACAAGGCGGGCCAGGCCAGCGGCGGCACTGCGCACGCCATCCCGGCCGACTTCTACAAGGAGGAGGAGTGCAAGCGGCTCGCAGCCGAGCTGGGCCGGCGCGAGGAGAAACTGCACGTGCTGGTCAACAACTCGGGCTCCAACTGGGGCGCGCCCTACAACGAGTACCCGGAGTCGGCGTGGATCCGTGTGCTCACGCTCAACCTGCACCGTGTCTTCACCATCACCCAGCTAGTGACGCCGCTGATGGAGAAGGCTGCCAGCGACGGCGATCCGGCGAGGGTTATCAATATTGGTTCGGTGGATGGGCTGAGGGTGCCTGCGCTCGAGACGTTCGCGTATTCGAGCAGCAAGGCCGGCTTGCACCATCTGAGCCGTGTGCTCGCGAACCACCTCGGCAAGAGGAATATCACGTAAGTTTATTATTACAACTCGAAAGGAAACCACCCAAGCTTACGGTGCGATAGCTCCAACACTCTTGCCTGCGGTCCGTTCGAGTCGAAGATGATGGCGGCGACGCTGGAGAAGTATAAGGAAGAGATCGAACGGGGCATTCCACTGCACCGCATTGGCAGCCCTGAGGATGTTGCGGGCGCCTGCCTTTTCTTGTCCAGCAAAGCTGGCAGTTATGTCAACGGAGCGACCATCACTTTGGACGGTGGTAGCGTGATCAGTGCGAAGCTTTAATCTTCATCAGTGCAGTTAGAACAAATTGTATCAAGGAGGTAGCTGAAGTCTGCCTTGCGGATGGTACGGCCGTGGCTCGAGCGCATTTAATTGAAGCGGGCACCAGGCCTCTATAGATCAAAGCTATTACCCGAAGCGACCGGTGAGGAAACGATAAACCGCTAAGGCATTCTATCAATAATCTAGAAGGACCTAAGACCATGTAATCAGATCGCTCCTTTGATCAGACTCCAAGCGTGAACCGCGTTGAACCCGAGAACTTTGGGCCCTGCCGATCCTACATCCTCCGCGCCACGCTCGAGTAATGCCCGCAGATCACTTGGTATCACCAGGAGAACGCCAACAACTAAACAAATTCTGACAATCAAATCCAGCAAATCGATGACCTCAGTGTAGCCGAGGCCGAACCTCTGCGCTAGGAAAAGCTTGAGCAGACACCTCTTATAGAGCCATGCATCGTGACAATTCCGCATGACGTATTCATCGCACGCTGCAAACCCTCTCGGTCTGATGTCTTCGCGGATGAAAGCTGGATCGGGTCCCTGCGGAAAATCAGGGTAACTTGGTGCTGCCGGCGCACAGCGCCATTTGCGGAGAAGCTGCCAACCGATAGCATCTCCTAATCGACCAAGTTTGGGCTGCAACGGCTCCGTGTACCTTGGATGATTCAGAGGCAGAAGCTTTAGCATTTGGGGGTTTGATATCCACGCAGTTCTGTTTTTCTCGTTGGTAAAGAGAGCTTCGCGATCTAGGGCCTCGGATGTGTGGTTGTAGTGCACAAACCGGCTGTAGAAGGCCGGACTAGTCACATTTATGGCCAGAGAGTTCGTAGGACCGCCTTTCTCTCCGCTCGGGGAAAGATATTCTTGGGTCTCACCAAGGCCAGGAGCAGGTGTGTATGAAACCCGAACGGGCTGGTCCGTGTGGCTTACAAGATACTGAAGGTATTGGCGGAAAAAACCTTCCAGGTGCCTGTAATTTCGTGTCAGTAGATGACTTTTGTTTAGGCAATTTATGTTACTGACTTTTCGATTGTTGTGGGATCCCGACCAATACTTGTAGGCGCGACTTCTGGACGAAAGAACACCTCAAGGCTTCGCCAAAAGTAAAGCTTATAGGCTTCCTTCAGGATTCTTGGAAATGTGACGAAGCCCACCCACCACCAGTTTCCAATGAAGCACAAAGCTTGCCAAGTGGACAACGTATTGGGATCCCGCGGCGCACCAACTGAAAACACTCGAGCTACAAGTTTCGCGTGCTCCTCAGATGACCGAAGAACAATATTGTTGTCGATATGGGGAACGCCATCTTGACTTGTTTTGAACGGATCAACTGCAGTGAGAGAATAGGAGCCTTTCCTTGAATTGAATGGAGAAACGTGGAAGTCTTTCGCCCAGGCATCGGTGAATTTTGTAATTTGTCTGGCATGATCAGTAGCGTCATCTCGGTTCGACGTGCCATCGTAGTCAGGGCTGGAGCCCTTTAGAAGGTACATGCGCCTCTCGCCAAAGGTGTTGTTCACCTCTAAAATCATCATGACGAGCTGATGGCTTGCCGAGTAGATGTACCAAAAGGAAACAGGGTTAAAAGAATAACCAAGGAATTTTGCTGCCGTCACAAGGTAGGCATGGTGCCATTCATGGTCGGAGACATTCTGTACCAGTTAGTATTACCCGGTCGATGAACTACTCCACACATACCTGAGATCTGAGATATTGCGTCAACTTTCCCTTGAGATCCATGTTATGACCACGCTCGAGGTAATCAGATCCTTGGATATAGAACCACCCTTTTCTTTTAGAAACTCGGGATGAAGAGCATGGATCGACGGTTAACATTGGCGTGCTAAGGCAGCTGTCGTCCTTCGGGCCAACCGGAACGCCGACAAGAAGGTACGAGTAGGCGAAAGAATGCTTCCTGGGGAACATGCGCGCATGCGTAGTACGGCAAGGGAATAGAAGCGGCCTGCAATGTTTCTCAGGATTTTCGTCATCCGTCCGGATGTCGTCTTGGTTGCCATGGCTCTTAAAAAACAGTTCCGATATCAAGAACGTGACAATCAACAAAGCCAAGGATATAATAGGAAGAGCTGGAAGCGAATATTCAGAGGCGAGCTCAAATAGCTTCCTAATCAATGGGGGACTGCTGGGTAATAGGCCGGCGAAGAGAGCCAGACCATCAAAAACCGCCGTTTTGTCGCCAGAGACAAGCCTGGCAAGCCATAGTGAGACCCAAGTGAAGTAGCAGGCGGCCACGACATTAGATGATGCGTTTCGGAGAAAGGAAGTGGCACTTAGGATTGCCAAGACAACCACGACGAGAGAAAAAGACAGGTTTGGGCGAGCTGGACTCGCGTTGCTGACAGCCGGTGAAGACATACGGGGGAAGTGGAGTGCTGAGATGGACGTGAAGCTGGAGGCGTTAGATCATCACTGCCGGAAATGTACAGGGATACCATGCTTGCACTATGACGTTTCGGGTTAAGCGCCTTAGCAGACGCCGACTTGCCGATCGATTTTCTACATCGCCCGCAGAAAACTTACCTCCGCGTTCAAGCGCAACTGCACTCTGCGCCGAAGAACAATCCACGCCCAGCACCCTTCCGACCGCCATAGGCTTCCACCGCAGACATGGCGCCCATAGACATTACCGATTCCAAGAAGCGCAAGCGCAAGAACAGCAAAAAGGCTGCCGAAGCTCCAGAGACAGCGACTGCCGTCACCGAGGCCGCGCCCGCACCCAAGAAGTCCTCGAAGGAGTCCACCAAGAAGTCTTCAAAGGCGTCGAAGAGAAAGCATGCGGAAAGCGAAGAGGAGAGCGACGTCCCCATGAAAGACGCCGTCCCAGAGGAAAGCGAATCGGAGGAGAACGAGGACGGTGAGGGCGAGCCTCCTGCAGACGGTAGCGACAATGAGGAGGGTGATGCGGAGCTGGACAATGCAGCTACCGAAGCTTTCGAATCGAAGCTGTCTCTTCCCGCTGTAGATGGGACCGACCCGAAGAAGTTTACGGACCTGAACCTGTCGGAGAAGACCCAAAAGGCGATAAAAGAAATGGGCTTCGACACTCTGACCGAGATCCAAGCCAAGGGCATTCCGCCCCTTCTGGCTGGTAAGGATCTTCTTGGTGCAGTAAGTGGACTCTAATATGCGCTGAGCCAGAACACTGCTGACTTTGGCACAGGCAAAAACTGGATCCGGCAAGGTATGCAAAATTACAAACAGCCAGCTTGTTCCCAAAAGCTCACTATGCTCTAGACCCTCGCTTTCCTCATCCCCGTCGTCGAGATGCTGCACAGCCTCCGCTTCAAGCCCCGCAACGGTACTGGTGCTATCGTCATTAGCCCCACCAGAGAGCTGGCATTGCAGATATTTGGTGTCGCACGGGAGCTTATGGAGCACCATACACAAACTTTTGGCATAGGTTTGTTTTTGGCGTAAGAAATCGTATAATAATGGCAGGCTAACTTTCTTCCCGCAGTCATGGGAGGTGCCAACCGGAAGGCCGAGCAGGTCAAGCTGGAGAAGGGTGTAAACCTTCTTATTGGTAAGCTAACCCTGTTCTGCTGCAGTTTGCAGACTTATAGACTTCTCTGTACTAACATCGTTCCAGCTACTCCTGGTAGGCTTCTCGACCATCTGCAGAATACCCCCGGTTTCGTGTTCAAGAACTTGCGCACGCTTGTCCTGGACGAAGCCGACAGAATCCTGGAAACCGGTTTCGAAGACGAAATGCGCCAGATAGTAAAGGTTCGTTGCTGTTCACGAGACGCCACAGTGCATTAGTGAAGCAGGTTGAGACTGACATTGCAATTAGATTCTTGGTAACCCTCAATCGCGCCAAACTGGTAAGTGTGACGAATGTACACCCATTAGCGCACAGCACTGACTCTTGTAGCGCTCTTTTCGGCAACCCAAACCACCAAGGTCGAAGACCTTGCAAGAATCTCGCTCAAGCCAGGCCCGCTCTTCATCTCAGTCGACCATTACAAGGAGCATGCTACTGCTGACGGTCTGGATCTGGGCTTCGTCGTGTGTGAATCGGATCTCCGGTTCAGGTTGCTTTTCACCTTCCTCAAGAAGCACCAAAAGAAGAAGATCATTGTTTTCACAAGCTCTTGCGCATCTGGTAAGCCATCCTACCCTTATGCTGACTAGTCATAATACTCATTGTCTATAGTCGAATACCTCACGAGCTTGCTCAACTACATCGACCTCCCTGTCCTGGGTCTTTCAGGAAAAATGAAGCAGCAGAAACGGACGGCTACCTTCTTTGAATTTGCCAACAGTCAGGCCGGTTGCCTGATTGCAACAGACGTGGCAGGTGAGCGAACCCATTTAATCTATTTCCGTTTCAAGAGGAAGCTAACAAGTGCAGCTCGTGGCCTTGATATCCCTGCCGTGGACTGGGTCATCCAGCTGGACCCCCCTGATGATGCGCGCAGCTTCATTCACCGTGCCGGACGTACGGCAAGAGCCGGCAAGACCGGGCGTTGTCTTCTGGTCCTTAACCCCTCAGAAGTGGGCTTCATCAAAGTGCTCCGGGAAGCGCGAGTCGAGCTTACCGAGTTTGACTTCCCTGAGAAGAAGCTGCTCAACATCCAGAGTCAGCTCGAAAAGCTGATTTCGAGCAACTATTATCTCAACAAGTCTGCCAAGGATGCGTTCCGCTCCTACCTCAACGCCTACGCTAGCCACAGCCTTCGCAGCATCTACTCGGTGGAAAAGCTAGACCTCAAGAAGGTGGCACGCAGTTTTGGGTTCTCTGCCCCTCCACGGGTGGACATTCAGCTTGGCTCAAGCATGAGGGACAAGAAGCAGGAAGGCAGAAGGGCGTATGGCAGTCAGCCTCGCCAGGCGAAGAGGTTCAAGCACTAAGCCGCACGTGCTCTTGAAGCACGATCAAATGAAAGGGTACGTTGTGTGCTTAAGGTGGCACCACGGAAAAAAAGGGAGTAAGGCGTTTGGGTATGTAGATACATCATTTTAATGAGAGCCGGATGCTCTGGCGGATGCCGGTGGCTTGGCGTTGGTGGGAGAAAATGCAGTAGACATTGGAATGCGAGTATGCCTTGCGCACTGCTGAACATGTTGAAAATTCTGCCTGGCCGCGTATGTCGATAGATTCTTCTGCACCGGGACGCCCGGGCCATTCATTCAACGTCCCCCGTGGTGGCTCAGCTACTGCATTCTTATGAGCCAATCTCGTGCAATCTGCGCGCTCGAGGCTGAGCCGCGCTGACGAACCCCACCTATCGATATCGTTTTCTGGTATACGAGCCTAGCGCGGATCAAAGATAGAAATCGATGTTAGTGGTACCTTCGCGGCGAGCCAGACCTACCGGCGCCCAGCCCCCCACCAGATCCGTTAGCTGGTACCTAGTTGGTCCGTTCTGGGATGCAGAAACCGGTATGGGAATTTCCAAGCTTTCCGTGTTACATGTGACATCGCTAGACATATAGGCTGCGGTTTCAGGATGCATTCAGAACAGTGTCTCACATCGTTGTTCCCCGCAATCACAGATATCAAATACTGAGAGCGTGGAGCTCATGGAAATGAGAAGGGCGAGGGCAATTATACAAAACGTGGAGAGTTCGACCCGCACGAGACATCATCGGGCACGCTAGCGAACGTTAACCCTCTCGCAAATATGGTTTGGACGTGAGGCACAGCGAGCTGCGAATACTCGCTTGGGAGGAGCTGCATTGATGCCGTCTGCCTTCACGTGCCAGGACCACACAGATTTTGTATCAGCGTCTCACATTCGCCGCTAGCCGGTGTGCGCAATTCGCAAAGTGGAACTCTTGCAATAAGAGCCGCAACCAGCACAGCGATTGGCCAGGGTGCCGGCAGGGTGGCGCCGGTGCGGCGCGAAGGCGGGCCAGTCGGGGCCGCGGAGGCCGCGCCCGCGCACAAGAAGCAGAATTCGAGTCAGGCAAGGCCGGTGAAGCAGTCCCTTCATCGTGGGCGGTGGAGGGTGCCATGATTTACGTGGTACGCAATCCGACAAGGGCTGGTGGGCTGGCCCAACGATCAGCAGACTGGGTCACGCCGGCGGGCCCGATGCGGTTGCGGCAGGATTGGTGGCCGTCTGGCACCGGGCGGAGGAGACAACCCCGGTGCAGGGCGATCGCTGCGGGATGATCAAGCAGCGACGATGATGATGATGTTGATGAGCTGGCTGCAGCGCGATTTCCAAGAGACAGCGGGACAAATTTAGAAGTGATGGTACGGCTGGGATGGTGGTTACAGGGCGTCTCGTAACTGCAGAGCGCAATCGGCGTGGCGACGGCGATGACGCACGGATGGGGGCCTTGGCCGCTGGGCCGGTTGGCATTGCCGCCGTCGCCGTCGCTGGACGCGCTGGGCTGTCCGGCGCCGCGCTGGTGCTGCGATGCGCGCGCTCGCGGTGCGACGAGGAGTCGCGAGGACGAGAGGGGGACAAGAAGTCGGCCGCGCCTGGTCGCGCGTCCAGGGCGCGCCGGCCCTGGCTGGAATTGGGTGCGGAGAACCGGGCGGGGGCTGCCCCGTGCCTGCAGGGTGTGCAGGGCTGTGGCTATGTTGCGCGCCGCCGCCGATGGCAATCTCTCGCGCAAGGAAGAGGGAGCTGGAACGCGCGCGCGCAGAGCCAGCGCAGGCTCCTGTAACGGTCGGGCGGGCAGCTGCGACGGCGGCGAAGGGGCAATGCGGCCATCCTCCAAAACCCCACAAGAAGATCGCTGCGAAAGGCCGCTAGCGCCGCGTGTCGTGTACCAGCTCGCAATTAATTACGGTAATACGAAAAACCGCGCGCGGCAGAGCACGCCAGAGCACGCCCCTGACTGTCTAGGACGCACCCGTCGCTGGCGCATTCCTCACTTCCGCCGTCCGGAGTGTCAGACACGCCTGCTCAGCCCCAATACGTCCGCCCGACGCCCTCAGGAGCGTCCCAGGCCGCGCACTCGCCAGACCCCGTCCGCTCGTTCACCACCACCAGATTTCCTTTGCCCAGTGCTCGTCTCCTCCTCGTCTTCAACCTCCCAGCGCCGCGAGCGAGCAGCGTCACCTGCGCCAACCACATTTCCCACGGTCGTTACTCGCGCTAGGCTCGATCGAAAGCGTCAGTCGCCTTCGCCCAGCCGCCCTTTCTCCTTCCCGGTTTTGGTCGCTCGGCCTTGTCATCGTCGCAGCAACACCTGCTCCGCGCATTCCACGCAAGCCGCCCGCCAACCGCCCAGCCACCGCTCGTTCAACACTCCACCTGCTTCCCCCGACCCATCTCTCGCTGCCCCCAAACCACCCACGCCCGCCCGCATTCTCCGGATCGACCGCTGCTGGTTTGGCGCATCCGCTTTGATTGTACTCGCCCGAGTACCGGCTCTAGGAGGCGGCGCACCACCGCCTCTGCTCCCTCGCGACCACCCGCTTGATCCCGCGACTCGTTCTCCGCAACATGCGATCCTCACTGTTCGCCGGCGCGCTGTCCGCGCTGGCTGCGCTGCTGCCCACCGCCTCGGCCGAGCGTCTCATTGAGTCCAAGTCTCTGAACCCGTGCATGGCCAACTCCAGCTTCTCGGCAACCCTCTTCAACGTCGTCTTCACCCCCGACAACAAGACGCTGTCTTTCAACATCGTGGGAGTTTCGGATATCTCTGGAAATGTCACTGCCGACCTGGAGGTCTTCGCCTATGGCTTCCGCGCGTTGCAGAAGACCCTAGACCCGTGCGACAGCGCCGATTTGAAGGGTCTCTGCCCGATGAACACCGGCCAGATCAACATCAAGTCGAACCTTCCTCTTGAGGCCGACGCCATCGAGAACGTTCCAAGTAAGTTGCACCGAACTGTGCCGCGTGTCCGAGACACGTAATAGAGTGCTGACACTTCTCAGACATCGCCTACACGGTTCCAGATCTCGACGGCAAGGTCCAGATTTACATCAACGATACTGATACCGGCGTTCCGCTTGCCTGCGTTGAGGCCGAGCTGTCCAACGGAAAGACCGTCTACCAGAAGGGTGTTGGATGGGCCACTGCGGTCATTGCTGGTTCTGGTCTCGCGGCCTCTGCTATCACGTCCGGACTTGGTCACTCCAACACTGCCGCCCATGTCGCTTCCAACGCGCTCTCTCTTTTCGGCTATTTCCAGGCCCAAGCTTACATTGGCATGACCGCCGTCGAGCTTCCCCCTATTGTCGCATCGTGGACTCAGAACTTCCAATGGAGCATGGGTATTATCCACGTTAGCTTCCTGCAAGATATGGCGACCTGGTATCAGCGTGCAACTGGCGGAACTCCCTCGACCGTGCTTTCTAGCCTGGCAACCACTTCGGTCGACGTGCAGAAGCGATCGCTTGATGTTGTCAAGCGCCTTGCCAAGCGTACTCTGCAGGCGAGGAGCAACAACGAGGTCAACCAGGCCGAGACTACTAGCACTGTCACGGTCCACGGTATCGAGAGAGTGGGTTTCCGCGCCAACATCGAGCTGACCAACATCTTCCTCACTGGATATGCTTTCTTCGTCATCTTCGTCATCCTCGTCGTCCTGGGAGTCACCATCTTCAAGGGAATCCTCGAACTTCTGGCCAAGAATGGAAAGATGTCTGGCACGAAGTTCCAGGAGTTCAGGAATGGATGGTTGACTGTCCTGAAGGGAATTCTTTTCCGTATCGTAAGTGCAGCGTTTGCCTTTGCGCTGAATGGCTCGCTAATGTCGCAATAGGTTCTGATTGGTTTCCCGCAAATGGTTGTGCTCTGCTTCTGGGAACTGACGGTCAAGGATTCGGCTGCGGAAATCGTTCTCGCCATTTTCACGATCGTCACCATGGTTTGCATTCTCGGATGGGCGTCCTCCAAGGTCATTCGCATCGCGCAAAGATCGATCCAGATGCACAAGAACCCAGCCTACATTCTGTACTCGGATCCGGTGTCGCTCAACAAATGGGGCTTCCTCTACGTCCAGTTCAAGGCCACGGCTTACTACTTCATCGTGCCTGTCCTGGCTTTCACTCTGGTCAAGGGAATGTTCATTGCCCTGGGACAGGGAAGCGGAACTACCCAGGCGGTCGCACTGGTCCTCCTTGAGGCCGGTATGCTCATTGCCGTCAGCATTCTGCGCCCGTACATGGACAAGAAGACCAACGCGTTCAACATTGCCATTTCGGCCATCAACTTCATCAGTTCTATTTTCCTGCTGGTTTTCACGAGCATTTTCAACCAGCCGGTAAGCATCATGCGATCAATCCCTGAAAGGTCAAAGCGCTAATTTAAAACCAGGGTCTCGTTACTGGTGTCATGGGTGTGATCTTTTTCGTTTACAACGCCGTATTCGCACTCGTTCTCCTCATCATGGTCCTCGGGTCCTCGTATCTCGCGCTTACCTCTAAGAACCCCGACACCCGTTACCAGCCCATGCGCGACGACAGGGGCTCGTTCATCAAGTCTCAAACGCAACTGACGACGGAGCTTGACGCCTTGGGAGCGACTGCGCGCGGTGAAGGAAAGACGGGACCGTACAAGCGCACTGGCATCGACGATGATGAGGAGTCGTTTTCGTCTGGTTCGCACTCGCAGCCGAAGGGCGCTGAGGCGGGTTACTACGGTGCTCCGCGCAGCCCTGTGGACCCATCGGTACCGATGTTCCCCGCCAACGGAGGAGACAACAGGACCGGCCCGCCGCCGTCGTACGCATCGCCGAACGCGCCGGCCCGCACGGGCACCATGGGTAGCGACCGGTTCAGGGCACAGAACAACGCCAGCCCATGGCAGCGCGGTGCCGGATACGACCATTAAAGTGAAGATCGAATCATCGACTCGCGCAGCGGGAAGCGGGGAGTGTGGGGGGCATGAGAAAGAGCCCGCCCTTTAATCGCGACCCAAGCTGACGAGTATGATGATGGATGACGATAATTCAAGCGTGGAGGTTTTCTTTTAACGGACTGCTTTTACTGTTTTGTACAAACGCGATATCACCACGCATTTAGGCGGTGTTTCTTCCTTTCAGGTTTTCCTTGCTTTGTGTGTCACTGCCTCACCATTTCCTTGCTCGTCGTTTTATTTTTCCAAAAAGGGTCACCGCGTACGCGCGAGTGGCGGCCTTTCTTCTTCGATTTTTGTCACGCCCTGGAATACCCAGCCCAGGCTCTGATTCTCGTTGCTGCTGCGCATAACCTCTACTACGAACATACATTTTCACCTCTCTCTTCTACTCTTGCCCACACGGGCACTGGCACGAGTCTACTTGGGTTACTTAGGGCATTCTACAAGCCGCCATCCGTCAGGAGGCGGCCAACTTAGGGGGGCTTTTTCATCGCAGGGTAAACCGGCGCTTTGTATTGGATAAAACGCAAAGCAGTAGGCTCAAAGTCGGCTCAATATCAAATAATACAAAGCCTTCTCTCCCATGCCGCAGGTTCCGCTGATGACTTATCGTGATAGTGACAGCACTAGCTGTACCTGCATGCGGCTTGGGCGCCAGTGGGTGGGGACGGGACGGATAGTGGAGAGCTGAAGGCGCGGGCTCTTGCAGGGCCGGCCGACGGGGCCATGCCAATCACATCTCGACTGTGGACCTGTCATGCCGAATGGGGGCGCCGCGTGCCAAGAAAGTCACGATGGACGTCATTAAAGGCTTTTTTCTCCAAATCTCCGCGACTCGTTCGGGAACAGGGCCCAGAAGCCGGAGGTCGCGGCGGGCTGCTGACTCTCGCGCGCGTGCATCAGCGATGCGATCGGGATGGACGGCGATGCGGGGGAGGGCGGAGACGATGGCAGTGCGTGGTTGTGTGTAGCAGGCGGTGCAATGGCAGCCAATGGCGGCGGCCACGCGTTGGTCGACTGGCGCGCAACCGCAAGGGCTGAGAAGACGAGAACGGCGGCACGTGTGGCTGGCTCTGGCCCTGCGCGCCCGCGGATCTTCGCGCGCAGGGCTTTTGCCATCTCTACAGCGCGATCGTGGGCGCGAGCCGATACCAGCGATAGCGAGGGCGCCGTTTATCTGGCGTATCTCGCCCCGAAATTTCCGTGAGCAGGTCCTCTCCCTCCCTCTCCTGTCAGGCATCGTTGGTTCTGCTCTAATGTCGTCTGACGTGTGAACCACTGCTGCTCCTGCGCCCCTCCGTCATGGCTATATAGGTTAGCTGCACGACCACGGCCGCTCTCCAGCAACGCAAGGTCAAGGTGGGTAATCTGCATGTTTCCCCGGGATTTTGGCGCGACCTCAAATTTTTCCTCTCGCAGCAGGGTTTGACAAGTGACATAGGGGAAATTTAGCTTTCGCATTCCATCCGCTGCGAAGGGAGCTTTTCCGTGGCCTCACCTCACCCTTCCCGCCTGACGGTACTAGTACCACCGTCTTCAGCCGCTCATATCATCATGGATCCGAGTGCTTTCCATTCCTGTCGCATACATAGCCTGTAACCTCCGGCCGCCCTCTGGACATCCCATTGTTACCCACCACCATCAAACCTGCTTTTTACGATCTTCGCCGCGACAGAAAATGGCGCTCTCCAATAATGGCGGCGACTCCACCATGACTCCGCCGGCCACACCCACCAGCCCCCGCTTCACCACTCTGCCAATCCGGAGCAGCCACACCGCGTCATGCGCCAAACACAATGCACTACAGACCATAAATACCACCATGACTATTGGCAACAATCCCAAATCCGCCATGTCCTCTCCTTCATCCTATCTATACACCTCTCCGGACGGAGTCTGGGAAAACTCAACACCCTATGCAATCATGCACGAGGCCCCCATTGGCACAGGACTCTGGAGCTCCGTCTACCTGGCCACGCCGCGGACTGGGGGAATGCAGTCACCAATTGCCTATGCACAACAGTACATCGCATCAGCATCACCAACGTCACCAGAAACACCTCCGGCAACGCCCGTCAGGCGGCGCGGCCAATCCAACTCATCTACGGATTCGTACATGACGCAATTCTCCAGCAGCACCGCCGCCTCCACCGCCACTCAAGCCGGCGTAACCTCCGAACTCACTGCCACTAGCGGGGGGCACCGTCCTTTGTCTTCCCCTCCTCCCCCTCCCGCTCCATCGGCGATATGGGCGATCAAGGCGCCAGCTGACCGCGCCGCATTCAGCGTGATCCGCTCCGAGGCACGCATGCTCACGCACATCTTCTCTTCCACCACCAAGACGACCAATGGCGACGATCAGAAGCCGTCGCCGACAGACTTCATGGTCCCCTTCCTCGGCCTGGACCCACGCAGCGGCGGACTCCTGATGCAAGCGCTGCCGCTGACGCTCGAGGACCTGATCCGCGGCGACCTGGCGTCGTTTGGCGGCGGCGCCGACGGCGAGGCGGCGCGCGCGCGGCTCGTCGCGAGCCTGTTCCCGCGGCTGGCGGCGCGGCTGCTGACGGGGCTGCAGTGGCTGCACGAGGACGCGGGCGTGGTGCATGCGGACGTCAAGCCGTCCAACATCCTGCTGCGGCCGGCGAGGGAGGGCGTGGCCGAGGCCATGATCAGGCGGCGGTTGCGCGGGGCGGCGGCCAGGCTGGCGACGGCGCCGCCGTCGTCGTTGATGGAGGAGGCGGGGAGGCCGTCGTTGTTGGTCCGTCGGGGCAACAGCAGTAGGTGTAGTAGTAGTGACGAGGAGGAGGGAAAAGGAGAAATATTGGAGGAAGACGTCCGGACCATCGACTTCGAGCCACTGTACACCGACTTCAGCGCCGCCATCCCCATCCGCCCTTTTCCTTCCCCTTCGTCGGCGAATGACCCGAGTAACACGACTTCGCCGCCCTCATCACCACCAACGACGGCTACCGCCCCGCCTCCCCACCTCGCCGGCGGCACCTGGGACTTCCTCGCGCCCGAGCTGTGCCGGCTCCACCCGGCCCCGGCGCCGCCGTCACCCGCGACGGACGTGTACGCGCTCGGCGTCACGCTGCTATGCGTCGTCGTCGGCGAGAGCCCGTTCGAGGCGCTGGCGGGCGGCAACGCGTTCAGGAAGAGGGAGATGGTCAAGTGCGGAGACGCGGTGGGGTTCGCGCGGGAAGTGCCGAGGGCGAGGTTCGCGCGGGTGAAGGGTGAGGTGGGCAAGAGGTGGAGGAGAGAAGACGAGGCGTGGGACTGGGAGAGGTGGATGAGAAGGGGCTTGGTGAAGAAGGCGGAGATGAGGGCTGGAGCGAAGGAGTGGAGGAGGGAATTGGAGGGATTGGTTTGAAGATGATGTTGATGATGATGATGATGGAAAGAGGAGTGAGCGACTTGAGGGAGGAAATTGTTTTCTTCGAAGGCGGCGGCGACGACGATTGCGGTATGTTGGGCCCTGGTGTTGTGAATTTGCACCATTCTATTCGACCTTTTTGGTTTTTCCTTCTCTTTTTTTTATCCTTCTTACATCTGCGGAGTTAGCTGTGGGGCTTCAGGAGAGGCTCCGGGATTGTGGGGATGGATTGGCAATAGACGGGGTCTGGAAATTGGACATGACTGGAAAGACTGGAGAGGAGATACCCCGATTTCATTCGCTTTTGCCAATGAATTCTTGATAATGACATAGAAGGAGAGAGAGAGCGCTTGTTGAGACCCAGAGTACCTTGTAATAATCTTGCCATGGAGATATACTATAGACTGTTAGTTCGAGACGCATCATTTCCCGTAATAGGCATTTTCTTATTCCGAATCTATCGTCGACCGCATAGCTGGGAAGGGTGGTCGACACAATTGGAAAGCGGCAGGGCGCGTGCATGCATCTGGCGGGGCGTCTTTGGCTGACAGCATTCTGCAGGTACACACGATTTCCTCCCCGCAGCATTCGGGTGAAGTTGTACCTGTGACTGTTGCGACAGCACGCAAGCATCGACGGAGAGGTATGAGTCAATTGAGAGCTTCGTCTTTTTGGATCGGTTGAACAGCTGGGTATGAGGCGCCGGACTCGGCTTAGCGCATCGACGGGGCTCCGGATAGCCGAGGTGTTAGTTTCCGCTGGAGCGCTGCGAGCAATTGTCACTTCGCCACCAGCTCGCGACCAGCGGCGACACGTGGCGGCGCAGGGGGTGCGAGGGCCGCAGAGGGTGCGCCTGTGACGGCCTGCTCCTCGCGGCGACTGCTGGGCGGGCTGCGAGGCTTTTAGAGGAGCTGGAGCGCCGTCCTTTCACATGTTTGTCGAAGCCGGCGACGAAGCAGCAACAACGTCATGCGTCGTTCTTCAGCTCACCCGCGGCACCGCCCCCAGACCACGCTCTCCACATGCCATGCAGGGATCCGCCCGCCTAGGCCTCGGGCCAAAGGCGCCTGCTTGCCCCAAGCACCACGCATTACTCGATCGAGCGAGCTCCCCCAGATGCCGCCTCGGTCCAATGGTTCACAGCTCTCTTAGTCCTCTCACCCGACCCTACCCGAAGCAGGGCCAGTTATGGCTCATGGCTCGGCCTCCTCTGCGCAGCGCAGAGCTTCCAAGACGTTTATATGACAGCTTAGCCCCCCGCCCTCCTGCCGTGAAGTCATACCTGCCGTGTGCTGCAATCCTCCCTCCAGACCCTCTCTACTCCTCCTCTTCCTCCATTCCCCTTCATACAGCTTGACATCATGGCGAACAGCACCATGCTACCCCAGATGCCCTCCCTCGACGCGGAGGAGCAGGCGTTCCAGCAGGAGGTCAGGGACATCCAGCAATGGTGGTCCGACTCGCGGTGGAGGTACACCAAGCGCCCCTTCACGGCCGACCAGATTGCCACCAAGCGCGGCAACCTCAAGATCCAGTACCCGGGCAACGCGCAGTCCAAGAAGCTGTGGAGGACGGTCGAGGGCAGGTTCAAGGTACGCGGGAGGAACCCCAGGCTTTCACATGCCGGCCCCACTAAAAAAGTCAATGGCGACGTGACTGACAACCCCACAGAACAAGGACGCTAGCTTCACCTATGGCTGCTTGGACCCCGTCATGGTCACGCAGATGGCCAAGTACATTGACACCGTCTACGTCTCCGGCTGGCAGTGCTCGTCGACGGCCTCGTCGTCGGACGAGCCCGGCCCCGATCTTGCTGACTACCCCATGGTACGTTAGCAGCAATACACAACTATACCAATTGGCAGTGGGCTAACGCTCGGCTAGACGACCGTCCCCAACAAGGTCCAGCACCTCTGGTTCGCACAGCTCTTCCATGACCGGAAACAGCGCGAGGAGCGTCTCTCGGCGCCCAAGGAGAAGCGCAGCCAATTGCCCAACATCGACTACCTGCGCCCCATCATTGCCGATGCGGATACCGGCCATGGTGGTCTGACGGCCATCATGAAGCTGACCAAGATGTTCATCGAGAAGGGCGCTGCCGGCATCCACATCGAGGACCAGGCTCCCGGCACGAAGAAGTGCGGCCACATGGCTGGCAAGGTGCTGGTGCCCATCAGCGAGCACATCAACCGTCTGGTCGCTATCCGCGCGCAGGCTGACATCATGGGTGGGTGGAATATTCTTCCTCCTTGGTGGTAAACGAAGACTTACAATTGATCCCAGGCTCCGACCTTCTCGCCATCGCGCGTACCGACTCGGAAGCGGCCACGCTCATCACGTCGACCATCGACCCGCGCGACCACGGCTTCATCCTCGGCTGCACCAACCCGGCGCTGCAGCCGCTCGGCGACCTGATGCGGGCGGCCGAGGAGGCGGGCAAGTCGGGCGACCAGCTGCAGGCCATTGAGGACCAGTGGACTGCGCAGGCCGGACTCAAGCTCTTCCACCAGGCCGTGGCCGACACCATCAACGCCGGCGTGCACGTCAACAAGAAGGAGCTGATCTCCGAGTTCACGCGCCAGAGCAAGGGCAAGAGCCTCCTCGAGCAGCGCGCCATCGCCAAGGGCATCACCGGCGTCGACATCTTCTTCGACTGGGACGCCGCCCGCACCCGCGAGGGCTACTACCGCTACCAGGGCGGCACCCAGTGCGCCGTCAACCGCGCCATCGCCTACGCCCCGTACGCCGACCTCATCTGGATGGAGAGCAAGCTGCCTGATTACAAGCAGGCCAAGGAGTTCGCCGACGGCGTGCACGCCGTGTGGCCGGAGCAGAAGTGAGTTGAACCGTCCTTGACCCCGGAGAATTGGTATGCTGACGATGATGCAGGCTCGCGTACAACCTGTCGCCCTCGTTCAACTGGAAGGCGGCCATGCCGCGCGACGAGCAGGAGACGTACATCAAGCGGCTGGCGGCCCTCGGCTACTGCTGGCAGTTCATCACCCTGGCCGGTCTGCACCAGACGGCCCTCATCGCCGACACCTTCAGCAAGGCCTACGCCAAGCGCGGCATGGCCGCCTACGGCGAGCTGATCCAGGAGCCCGAGATGGACAACAAGGTCGACGTCGTCACCCACCAGAAGTGGAGCGGCGCCAACTACGTCGACAACATGCTGAAGATGGTGAGCGGCGGCGTGAGCTCGACCGCGGCGATGGGCAAGGGTGTGACCGAGGACCAGTTCAAGCATTGAGGAAATTGTGTGATGATGAAGCGCGTCGTACATTCTGAGGGATCTATTGGAAAAGCTGAGGGTGTAAGGATAAGTTAACGTACGTTTTTGTATACCGCATTTTTTTTTATTCGAGGTCAATGAAGCATGAACCTTTCTGAACATAACGTGTGTCTGAATCCAATGGCTTGATCGACATTCTGGCATAACCACGGGATATGACGTGATCCGCTTGCCGCTTATCGTGACCAGTTACTTAAAACGGTTAGCGCCAAGAAATAGTCAAAGGATGGTTGGAAGCGGGCGTTAGATGCCCATTGCGGGCCATGTACGATAGCAGTCTCCACAAAAGGCAGGTGGGCTAGCAGTAAGCACTGCCGCCTAGGATAGCGAATGGTCGAGATTGCAGAGATGGGGAGTACAGCGTGTTCACCGCATGCTTGGAGCGTGTGGAGCGCTTAGTAGCTGGTGCGTCGGACGAATGGAGCTGCGGCGCGGAGGGCCTAGAAGCTGCGGGCTGGCTGGATGGCCGCCGGGATGGAGTGCTGTAGGTAGTCGAGGTTGGCGGCTCTGAATAAGATGCGGCTCTCGAAAGGGTTTTGCGTTTGATAAAGTGGTGGCCGGGGTCGCGACCCGGTATCGCAGATAGCGCAGCGCCAAGCCCGCTACACATTTCTCCATCACCACCGGCTAATCGGCTCGCAGGGAGCTGCCCTCCGCCTCTCCGCAGCAGGACGTTGCCTGGATCTCGCGCCCCGGATTCGCACCAAGATGCAGGCCCCCCCAGAGACGCCGACCTCGCTCGTTTGCTGCCCCCACTGGTCCACCCACCGGCAATGTGATGATCATGCCGACGCCACATCCACCCTCTTCTGCAGCAAAGGCTTAGCCTCGCTCTATTCGCCCACTCGCGCGGAAATCACCCGCGGTGACCAAGGGCAACTCGCAGCGAACTCCGCCTGCTGACCCATGACTTGGTGACCATCACAAGAGGCCGCGTCGCCCACTTCAGTCCCACAGATATGGTGCGAGGTATTTGCTGCAGGGGGGCCGAGTCCACACACGGTGACCGAAGCCACACCGTCAGTATCCGTCTCGTCGGCAATGGCCTGCCCTCTCCACCCAGAACGCCTCCCAATCCACCCACCTCTTTATTTCCCGTGCTCCTCTCTGCATGCTTCCTTCCTCCTACATCACGCCACCGGTCAAATGGTCACCGCCAGGGTTTTTAAATTTTTCCAAACGGCCTCCCTGGTAGTATGCACCATGCCGCTGTGCCCCAGTGATTGACGACGATCCCGTCCCGCCTTTCGCTCTTTCGCCACGGTCTTAAGCACTTGCATCCGAGTCCTTATCACCGCCCAACGCCCATTCCATCCTCCCAGTAGCGTGCTTCTCTTGGACCGATCTCTTGGCCGATTTATAATCTCCTCAATCCCTGCCCCGCAGAAAACCATCCTTTCCCCAGTCCTGCACTCCGCAAGCTCGTTTCTTGCTTGCTGTCCACCTTTGGAACAACCATGGCTCGGGAACGGTCAAAATCAATAGCTTCAGACTCCGGTCTGTCCAAGGAGCTCGCCGAGGAGATCCCGCAACGCGCTTCATCACTCTCGTCCGACTCTTCTGAGTCATCGGTTGGTTCGACGGGCCGTCGCGAGTCTCTGCAGATCACCCAGATTGGCGGCGACTTGGGCTTGAGAGCTACCATTTCGAGGGCCAGCAACAAGAGCGAAGGCGCCCTGAGTCGCATGAGAACAGGCGTCTCCACTGCAACCAATGCGACGTCTGACCCGGCTTTCGAGGTCGATTGGGATCCGGATGGAGATGCAGAAAATCCTAGAGAGTGGCCCATGTGGTATCGAGCCTCCATAATTGCCATGGTGTCTTTTTCTACTACCTCTGTGTAAGTGATACGCCTCGCTGTCCCGTCAGTTGCCAAGGCCTTGCTCTTCGTATCAAAGTCACATGGCCTTACCAGGCGGTATGCAAGTGATCTGTATCTCGAACTAAATCCTTTTCCATCAGACAGCTGACTGTGACAGCGTAATGTATTCCACTTCGTACTCCGCCGGCATTCCAGGTATGATGGAGACCTTCGGCATCACTAATAAGACACTCCTCGTCCTCGGAATTACTACGTACCTTCTGGGCCTCGCTCTTGGATCCGTTGTCCTCGCACCGCTTTCCGAAATGTATGGCAGGCGACCAATTTACCTTATCAGCCTGGCCCTGTTTACTATTCTCGTCATTCCGTGCGCTTTGGCCCAGAACCTCGAGGCCATCTTAATCACCAGGTTCTTCGGTGCTATAGCGGGGTCAGCATTGATCAGTAATGCACCAGGCACAGTTGGTGACATTGTCACGGATGAATACCGCGCCTTGGCTTTTAGTATCTGGAGTATTGGGCCGATGAACGGACCTGTGATAGGTAACGCTAGCCACATTTCACCATCCAGTCCAGTGGATCTACTAACACTCGATTTCAGGTCCCGTAACGGGCGGTTTCGTCTTTCAGTACCTCGGTTGGCGCTGGACCAACTGGGTCGTAATGTGTTGCTCCGGCGCCAGCTTCGTTCTCATGTTCTTCGTCAAAGAGACGTACGCCCCCACAATCCTCCGTAAACGTGCTGCAAAGATGAGGAAGGAGATGAACAACCAACGGTGGTGGTGCCGATACGATGACAAGGCTGAGTTCTGGCCGTTGCTGAAGACGAACCTGTCACGGCCGCTCATGATGGCTGTGACCGAGCCCATATGGTAAGCCACGTTTGGTTGAGGATGAAGTTCTTTTTTTTTTCCGGCCTTTTCCCTATTATATCAGAACTCCCATACCATATTCCCCCCATTGGCTAACCCTCGCCAGCATCTTCTGGAACCTCTACATCGCCATCGTCTACGCCATCCTCTACCTCTGCTTCGTCGCCTACCCCATCATCTTCACCGACCTGCGCGGCTGGGCCCCCGGCCCCACCGGCCTCGCCTACGTCGGCATCGGCATCGGCGGGCTTTTGACCATCTTCAGCGAGCCGCTCCTCCGACGCTACATCATCAACGCGCACCCGCCGGACCCAGCAACAGGCAAGCCAGCCCCCGAAGCAACCGTCGCGGTCGTGTGCCTGGCGTCCTTACTCGTCCCCGCGGGCGAGCTGTGGTTCGCGTGGACGTGCCGCCCGCCGACGCACTTCGTCGCCGCCATCGCCGCGGGCATCCCCTTCGGCGCCGGCAACTGCGCCGTCTTCATCTACGCCACAAACTACCTCGCCGGCGCCTACGGCGTCTTCGCAGCCTCGGCCATCGCGGGAAACAGCGTCCTGCGCTCCGTCATCGGCGGCTGCCTCCCGCTCGCTGGCCCGGCCATGTATGCGAAGCTCGGCCCCCAGTGGGCCGGCACCCTGCTCGGCTGCCTCGAGCTGCTCATCGTGCCTATCCCGTTCGTGTTTTATCGGTACGGCGGCAGGATTAGGGAGAAGAGCCGGTTGATCGGTGAGATGGAGAGGGATCGGGCGCGGTTGGAGGGGAAGAAGAGGAACGCTGAGGAAAGGGCGAGGAGGCGCGATGCGGAAAATGAAAAGGGCAGGGAGACCGAGGATGAAGAGAGGGATTTGGAGAAGGGGGAGGGGTTTGGGGTTAAAGAGGCGGAGGTTTGAGTGCTGCTGCTGCTGATGATGGTGGTGGTAAGTGCCACGCGCCTGACGTTTACTTGGTGCGGTAGGTGAAGAAGTTTGCGATGTGGGGTCTTTCTTCTTCTTCTTCTTGGGAAAGCAAGCACTGGGCGGCGTTTTGCCTCTTGAATTTCCAGCCGAAGACACGAGAGAATATTGTCCGCGGTATCATCACCCAGCTGCCTCTTGTCGTTTGAACAGAGAGCGACAGGCGACTGACATCAAGGGCCTCTCGCTTTTTCGGCTTTCCGGTATATACTTGGCGTACGACTCAAAAGTGGTCTCTCGGTTCACGAAAATCTGGGGAAGAAGGGAGTATCGGGCTGTTTTATTCTTTGAGGACGAGACGAACAGTCTGTCATTTCGGTGGGGAAAACAAAAAGATGGATCTCGGATTCATGAAGATTTGATGTAAATAGGAAGGGGAAAAATAAAGAAAACGTAATGAATTGAATGAATGATCAAAGGCTAAGAGCGGGGCAAGATCGGAAGGGTGCATTGCTGGGCTACATACTCATGATTACACGACGTGGTACCTCAGGTATCATCAGTATGTCCTTCACTTCAACAATACCGTGCTTTGGAAGTCGAAAACTGTCTACTATTCAACAATCCGAGGCTCATAAATTAACTACACCCAAAACCCGCAAATTGAAATGCGAGCTGGGCATGAGGGAAGCCCTCTGAAAGAGTAATATGAAAATACGACAATTTAAACCTGGGGTATCGAATATGAACTCCAATAAATCCACTGCTATCCAATGCGCGTGATGAAGGAAAAAAAAATAAAGATCGTGTACTACAACGCATCCATCGGCTCTCATAAGCCCCAAATATCGCGCCGTCCCCTCTGCATTACCAATATGCCAATCATAGTGCTAACACATTTGGCGCAATTCCACCAGGAGGGAAAAAGAAAAGAAAAAAAATGAGTGAGTGGTTGCGTCGGGCACTCGCGACGCCGATAGCTGGGAGAAATTGCAAAGGCCCAAAAGAACCCGTTGCATAGTTTGGTGGCTGCCGCTGTCGTCGCCGAGACGGCACTTTCCCTCGGAAGCATCCGCGCATTTCGCTTCAGCCCAAGCCGCCGCTCCATTCGGCAGAGCAAAAAAGGGTCCGGAACCCTGTCGCGCGGCGCCGGGCGGTTTGATCGGGCCAAAATCCAGGAGACCGGAACCGCTTTGCGCGCGCACCCTGGCTCGGGATATCAAGCGGACCAAGGGAGCAGGGTCTAGCCTTGTTTCGCCGCAATTTGGAGGGGCGGAGCGGTGGTTTCGCCTTCTACACGTGTTGCTTTCGCTCACATTTCATGCGCACTCGCTAGTTCACCTGTACTGTCACTTGGACATCAGAAGAAATTAGATATTGACAAAAAACGAATGGTGCCATGCGGTTCGTGAAGCTCATGGTTTCAGATTATGTCGGTTATGCAGTGAAGAAAATTGAGAATTCAGCGACCGTGGAGATGCGTCCTCGGAGAAGGGGAATGTTGGTTCCTTGAATTTTAGAAGATGCGTTGAATTTGGGTATTCATCGGGCGACGTTGTGAGACCAGATCAACGTTTGTTTTAGCCAACCGGGTTCGTCATCGAGACTTTGGCGTAATCCGACGAAAAGCGGAAAGGCAACCGAGAGGAGGGTTGACATAGGCGCGCTCTGCCATGCAGCGGGTGCAACAGAAGGGTATTAATGTAACACAACCGGGAATGCTGCATCTGCATCAAGGCAACTCCACGGAAAAGTCGAACTTCAAATTGCCCAAGGCGTCCTACAGGGATGCATCTGCAGTTCGAGAATGGCCTCCATATGCAGTCCAGGATGGATGTCCTGATGGTCCTGTGGAGTGGATGGATGTATGTGATCCTGCTGCAAGTTTCGCGCCGGGCTGACAGTTTCAGGGAAACCTTGGTGGCGAGACTCCTGTGGGCGCCAAATCATCCTTCGAGATGACTGTTTACTGGATGTTTCATTTCCGTTGCTTCCTTGTTTCGCTAGCCGCTTCACGTCGTCATATCCCGGGAGTTTTTCCTGACCCATGGCATGGGCATCTCGTGAATGACAGATGTGATAGACTTTTTTCTGATGCTCAAGGCGCGCATCGAACCGACGGCGGTCGTATCGCTGATCATGGAATCTGCGACGGAATAACGTAGGGTGGCCGCATCAGCGACGGTGCAGGTGTCATCTGCAGCCACCGACTCGTCATCATCGATGCTATTTTCAGGAATAGCGTGCAGATCTGAGCGGGGAGACATGGGTCCTTTGTGGAGGCGTCCCACTGCCAGCTCATGAGGTTCGCAGTGCAGGTTTACCATGGCAGCATGATCGGCCAAGACATCACGAAGGCGACCTGCAACACTGAAAGCTGACGGGCGGGCTTCAGGGACGGGCTGGACCATGTCTTTGATGAGACGGACCAACGGTCTCACGGCCCGGAAGTGTATCTCTTCGTGCTCCATGGCGGCGGCCTCCAGGTGCTCCATCCAGGTATGAAGTTTGTCAATGTTGCTGTGGAAGGATGAATCACTGCGCGAGCCGCTCTTTCCAGACGTTTTGTGCTTCGTGGTCCTGTGCTTGACGAAATCGGATGGTTTCTTCTTGATCATGAAAGTCAAGATATCCAGGAAGACACAGCCAAGGGAGAATATGTCTGCGACATGGCTGGAAGCAAGTGCGGCATTCGGTTTCGAGGGTGTTTTAGCAAAGCCAAAATCGAAAGCAGATAGACTGGCGTTGGCAAAATGGTTCAACCTTCTCGCTGTTTTGGTGCTGGCTTGAGATCCATGAGACGAGGCATTGCTATCCATGGAGGCTCTACGAGATTTGCTCTTGGTCGGGCTGGAGACGGGAGCAAGAAGATTTGCCAAACTCTGTTCATGGGCTTCGGGTGCTGCATAGTTGTAGAACTCTTCCGGGGTTATCTTTTTGTCGCGCTGCAGTGACGACAATGAGCCGATGTCACTAAAGGCAATGTCATTCCGCTCATCGACCAAAATGTTCGAGGGCAGGATGGCACCGTGAGTCATGTCGTGGCCATGCATTGTAGCAACAGCGTCGGCCAGACAGTGCATCCAATTGAGGAGAAGAGTGCGGCGTTCGGAAAGAGGCAACCTCATGTATTGGGGCGGTGTTCTGTGATCGATGAAAGTCTTGAGAGTGTGTTGTCCGACGAAGGAAGAGACAACAAAGCCATGCCCCTTGGCGGTGTAGGAAGCCCACACGGGAGCAATATGCGGATGGTCGATTTCTTGGGCGGCGGCTACGTCCTTTAGAAAGTCGTCCTTCTCGGGCTCACCGTCCTCGCCGAATGAGATGCGCCTCCGAACGAAGACCTTCTCAGGTTTTTGAGGAAAGTGGATTCGTGGCCAGTGCTGTAGGACGGCGGCGGGGGGCAGCTTGTAGACGTGCTCGATGGGGATGACTTCGTTGGGACCATAGTCTACGTGAGTGCGGCGGTCAAGCACGCGCAGCAAGAAAGTGAACTGGGTCTGATAAAATCTCCGGTTGAGCTGGTCGTCTTTCTTGCGAGAAAGAGCGAGGCGTTCGACGTTCTCCAAGGAAATAGGTAGATCCTCGTCGTCCCATGAGTCGTCGATTACTCCGAAGATCTGGTCGGGGACGCCAACTTCGCACAAGATCAAAAACAACCGCCTGGCACGCTCCATGATCCATTCCAGATACGTGTCGTCGGTGAGACCATCGCCGAAAGCCAGCGGTTGGTTGAGCATGTCCCGCTCCTCCTTGCGCAGGCGAGAGGCGACGAAGTCGGCCGTCACTTTGGCATCAATACGCTCCTGGGTCCACCACAGTTGCTGAAGAGGGGCGTGGGGAGTGACCAGCGAGTGGCCGGCATAGCTGGGCGGGTCAATGGGGAGTGGTGTGAGGGCGGGCAGGGGACTTACCCGTAGATGTAGGCATTGAGGGCGATTGAATTCTGAGTGACGACATTGGTGACGCTTTTGGAGCCCATTGTGTCCTGGAGTCGACTCTTCGGCGGGCGAAGGGGCAGATTTAATTGATCATGGCTGTATTGCGAGGAGAGCACGCTGGGGGAGGGCGAGCGGATGGGTGGTCATCTTGGGGGCGGCGGCGGGCTGCAGGGATGGTGGGAGTTTATCTGCTGTGTTGCGCAGCGGAGGTCCGGGAGTCATTGGCGGACAGGGTGCAAATTGGCGGAGGGCGAGTGCCAATGATGGCGTGGGTGACCGGGGCTTAGGCGCCTGCAGGCCGGGCCCACCGAGCCCAGCGAGCCTCAGCCCAGCCCTCCTCAGCTGCCCGCCGTTGATGGCGCACTTGATAAGCCGCCGCGCGCCGTGCCATCACACTGTGTCGCGTGCTGCCGAGCCGCCGCCGTCTGCTGCTCCGAGGCCCGTCGAGTGAGTGAGTGCAGCATCCGAGGAGGTCGGGCGTCGGCGAGCGGCGCAGACGAGGCAGCGGGCCGCGGCCAAGGTGCTGACAGAGTCAGCCAAGGCGCCGTTCAACGCCGCTCTCTCTCGACAAGAAGCGAGCCGGGCACGCTCTGGGTAAAGCGCGCGTGGGCCCTGACAGTGGCCATGGATGCCACATGGCAGCGCACTGGAGTCACGGCATGCCTGTCCGTCGATCGCAGACGGCCGCATTCATGCTTCGCAGGCGAAGGCTGATCCTCATCACTGTACCACCACTGGCGGGCGAGGAGATGAGATTGTCCGAGGGCGTTGAGGGCGCGCGTCCGGATCCTTCTCGCAGGCTTATCAGCACGCGGCACCGCCGCCCGCCCCAGCCCGCACAGCTCCGCCAGCTGCCATGTACCGGTGAGACGTTGCGCAACAAACTCGGAGTGCGCCTTTCTGCCGCGCTGCCGCTGATCAGGACTGCCGCCTTAGGCTAGCCCCGCGCCCAGGTCGCCCCGGATCTTACTCTCTGCTTCTCGTAACAGTCGTCGACGCAATTTGCGCGCTGACTGCTGATCTCACGCCCATACTGCCTCCCTTTTAAGCACACAGCCCCCCGAAACGGAGCCATAGCGAGTCGTTGCTCTATTGAAAACGCGGCCTGTGCGCTCCCACTGCGGGGGAAGCGGCGGGTCACAAGGGAACTGTGGACCCTGTGCTATCTTCACCTCCCTCACCGTTGGTTATCTTCTCGCTTTCGCTGTCTCTCCGCGCCACCCATTCTCTCCTTCCCTTTTGCTTCCAGCGCTGCCTCTTTGATTTGTTCGCTTGCCCTGCGACGCTGATCTAATTATACCCTGCGCTGCCCTATCTTCTAGCTAGTGTAGCCGTTTGCTCTAGTGCGCAATTACCACCGGCAGTCTTAGCTCCCGCCTCGGTTTCTTCGCATCCAATCGTCAATTCCCGAACATTGCCCCTGTCTTCACGGCAATCGTGAAACAAGCCTCACTCTGCACCCAAAACAGCTGCTTTTCGTTTTGGCGTCGCTCAGACCCTTGAGTCAATGCAACTGGTGCATGGCTCGAGCTCACTAGTGACGTCGTCGCCCATCTTGCATACTCTAGCCATCACAAGAAATGATATTGAGCTGACTTCATTCGTCCGGTTCCAGCGCTGGAGAATGCGTAGCACCGCGCCGTGGCGAGTCGTCTTCGTGATCGAATACATCTCTAGGTGCATCAAGGCTACGTCATCAAGCTTTCGGTGTGGTCGTGCAAGGGAAATCGTGGTAATGTATATGCACCACTTTCCTCTATTCTCTTGCTGTGCCTGATTCAAATTACCTTCACCTTTCTACCTGCTGTCATGACCGATGTACAAAATCAAGAGAAGTCCATTGCCGATCAAGGCATTGCTGCTGTTGACAATGCCGATTCGATTGGAAGAGTGAGCGCTGCTCAGAATAGGACAATTCTGCTGAAGACAGATCTGATTGTACTGCCTTTGATGACTCTGACGACTACACTCGCTTCCCTGGACAAGGTTCGTCGAGATCAACCATCTAGGACCTGAAGCGACAGCTGACCATGAACTTCAGAGTAGCATAGCCTTCGCCGCCGTTTGGGGATTTAAGACGGACACCAACCTAAAGGGCCAAGAGTATAGCTGGCTGGGGAGCATTTTCTACTTTGGACACGTAAGAAACATCGCATCTATCGCTTCTTTCTCATGTTGACAACCTTTTCCCTTGAACAGCTTGCTGCCGAATTTCCGACACTTTGGCTGCTGCCAAACGTCCCCATTGGGAAGTACGTCGGCCTAAGTCTTTTTTGCTGGGGCCTGTGCCTTTGCATCATGGCCACCTGCCACAATTTTGCTGGCATCGCAACTGTCCGCTTCTTTCTGGGTGTTTTCGAAGCCGGCTTTCTTCCAGCATTGATGATGATGAATTCCATGTGGTGGCGGAGGAAGGAGCAACCGCTTCGCACAGCGCTGTGGTTCAATACATTCGCAGTCGGTCTAATCCTCAACTTGTGCCGATGCTTCTCTATTGACCGCTCCAGGGTCTCCTCAGCGGCGTCATGAGTCATGCCATTGGTAAAATCAATGGTACCCTCGAAACATGGAAGGTATAGTAGATCCGGAGTAATTGACAATCGGTTGATAATAAGGGATACAGTACATCTTCCTTATTTATGGCGCCTTTACCATGGGCTACGGAATCCTCGTCTTCTTCTCTCTGCCCGACCGCCCTGAGAAGGCATGGTTCTTCTCCTCAGAAGAGAAGAAAGCTGCCGTCATCCGCACTGCTGAGAACCAAACCGAGGCGAAGACGCGCAGGGGGTGGAAGACGGCACAGATCCTCGAAGCAGTGCGTGACTCGAAGTACTGGTGCATCGTAGTCTTCTGCATCGCCCAGTCTATCGCCAACGCTGGAATAACAAATGTGACTTCTTTCAATCTTCTGTCAATAGGAATTTGCTTACCTTGTCAGTTTATCCCAATCATCATCGCCGGCTTCGGTTTCCCGCCGTCCAAGGCGAACCTGATGGTAGCGCCGCATGCAGCCGTCGCACTTGTTGCCCAAGTCTCTTGCACAGCTTTGGCCTTTTTCATCCCTAACATTCGATGCTTACTATGGGTGCTTGCAACGCTACCAGCCTTGGCAGGTACAGTGATGATCCATGGTAGGCAGATCCCAGCTCGGAATAGAAAGACAAACGGTCATATCTGACATTCTAACATCTATTGCCTCCCCCAGTGGCCGACATCGAAACACAGAGCTTGCTCCCCCTCGCAGGCTTGTACCTGACGGGTTTCTGGCACACGCCATTCGTCCTGATGCTGAGTCTTCAGACATCCAACACCGCAGGTGAAACCAAGAAAAGCTTTTGCTCCGTCTCTGTAGCTGCATTCTACGGTAAACAAGAGATTTCTTCTCTTTCTAAAAATCCATCATCTTCCATTCCTGTCAATCACTTGGGAAAGAACTGACATACTGTCCTCAGCCATCGGCAACATCGTCGGTCCACAATTCTTCCTTGAGAGCCAGAGCCCACACTATTCTTTGGGCATCAACGCTATGATGTGCTGTTTCGCCATCATGGTAGCTACCGGTATGCTTTACGCGGTCGTGTGCATCTTCGAGAACCGGAGGCGGGACCGCGTCCACGGCCCACCGATAGCAGCTCTTGAAGATCCTCGTCTGAGCACAGAGGCCGAGGAACAGACAGACTTCAGGAATACAAACTTCAGATATGTTTACTAAGGGAGATACGGGGAAGAAAAGCTGTCTCACTCCAGTCATTACTATTATAGTGAACCCCCTTCAATAATAATCCTCAGAAAGACGAATGTCCAATTTCCCATCCTCTCCCACCCAATCCTCCCACAGTTCCCTCAACTGCTTGGACGGATTCCACGACGGAGGCTCTGCGGAATTACCAGGTACCGTAACCACCTCCACCTTCCTCTTGCCCCCATCCTCGACCCGTCCATCAAAGCACGCCCAATATATCTGTTTCTCTCTATCGGAATCCCAACCACCCGCATCTTCACCCACTTGAATCTCCAACGCCTCCAGCCTCGGCACGTTTCTTTCCGCCATCCCGGCCTCCCCCTTTTTCGCCTCCATCACCATCCTCGACGCAGCCAATATGAATGGCTCGAGCACCGTCGTATCTACCTGACACCTGAAGTACCGGCGCGGGCGCTGGCCGGTTATGAGGCCGTCGTGCCATGGGTGATACGTCTCGGCCCAGTCCGAGTCGTCCGGATCGACGTCCTCCTCGGAAGACCAAGACGTCATGTACGATGACATTGAGTAGTCGCTGTCGAGTTCGCGGTCGACCCAGGCAGCTTGGTCCGCGTCTGTCAGAGGCGGGGTTTTGTATAGCCACGTGCCGGCGGCGGTCGTCCGGCCCATCTGGATCTCCGCTTTGCGAAGTTGCGGCCATCTGACTCCCTGGGAAGAGGGGCCATTTGATGATGATGAGGAGGAGGACACAGAATCGGGACCGAAAATGCTAGGCGAAAGAGTCATGAAGAGCTTGAAATTGAGAAGTTTGGGAGAGGTGGACAGCAAGGTATGGAGAGCTATGCTCAGCTCATCGACACCTGGGTCAGCCGGATTGGTACCACTAGGCATCTGGAAACCATCGTTTTGCGGATCTTCCAGATGAAGGAACAAGCTGAAGTCCGTCAAATGTTGATTGTCGATTGTCAAAAGCGCGTCGGCGAAATCTGCGTTGTAGGTCTTTTCTCAGCTGCCAGTTACTCACCCTGGGGACTTCGTGGAATTCCACACACCTTTTCGATACTTGTGCCGGATCTCATCTTCGGAGAACGCACAATCATTCAGACTCCACCACACCTTCGCCAAATTCGGCAGCTTCGACGCGATCTGGGCGACGGACGCCGCCCTCAACTGCCTCGTGGAGGCGCTGGATCCCGGCGTGTGCAACTCGGTGATCCGGCGGACCTCAGGCACGTTCTCCAGGTCCACCCATCCCAGAACCGACTTCTCGTACCGGTGCTCGCCGAGATCCCGGTACCAATCGAGCGGCCGCGGCGTCGCTACATCCGTCAGAGCGTAGGCGCCCAGATGCAGTGAGATTCCTCGGCAGCCTCCTCCCGGCCGGACGGCGTGGTGTTGTCCGCTTCTTCCTCCGTCCTCCTCTTCCCAGCTCTTCAGCAGTGCGAAAAGTTCGGTGATTGCTTTGTTGAACGCGGCGTTGTTGACTTCGCGCTCCCGCCTCCGCTCGAACTTGGCGCACCGGTCCACCGAATAGGCGGGCAGGATGACCTCGTAGGCGATCTCGCCTAGTGTGGCTCTGCGACGCGGATGTGCCAGTCTTTCGGAGAACAAGGCGAGTTCGCTGCTCTGCACGCGGAGTCTGCGGAAAGTGACGTTCTCGATGGCGACTTGCCATTGGCGAGAGACTGTTGCGTAAGCGCCGACATTCCCCTCGTCCAGGAAGGATACGACCAAGGCCACAATCTCGGGAGGTAATTGATCCATGTTGAGCGGTGCGGACAAATGAAATGTGTATGCGGGAGGTCGCTGTTTATATAACATCTCGAAAAAGGACCGAGCTAGGCAACAGGCCGTAACCAGCTTAGCCGCAAGCCACAAGCCACCCCTGGCCGGATCCATCACCACTCTACAGTTCTTGGACGACGCTTCTTCACAGTTCGGTTTCGCAGAAAAAGAAAACTCATAAATCAAATTGATATCCAGCGCCTCCCAGCCACGGTCATCATGCCAGCTTCAAAAACGTCGAATCCTTGGTCTGCCTCTCCCACGCGCTCCTCTCCACTCTTCCCACACTCTTCCGGTACGCCGTCCCCTTCCTCCTCTCTATCCACAGCACGTTATACCACTCGTATTTCTCCTCGCCCCGAGGCCGTTTCTCATAATCCCATTCCTCAATCGGCTTCCGTTTGTTCGCCTCCCTTGCGGCCCTGCTGCTACTCCGGCCGTCGTCGCCCTCCTCCTCTTCCTCCTCGACATCCTCCCAGCACCACCCCCTCGACAGGGCCACCAGCTCTATCCTCTGCCCATTCGGCTCGATGTCGCAGATGCCTTCGAAGTTCGACTGCAGGATGCCCACCCAGTTGCCCGCGTCGTCGACGACGGAGAAGGGGCCGGGGATCTTGTGCCAGGCGTGCGATTCGGCGTCCTCGACGCTGCGATCAGGGCCTCTCTTGCCCAAGTAGAGCCACGTCCTCTCGGTGCAGCCCGACAGCAGCGGCGTGAAGATCTTGGGCGCAACGAGCTCTTCTTCAGGGGCATCCGACGCCAGCGGGATGGGGAAGGCGAAGTTCTCGTGCAGGGAAAACTCGTCGATGTCGGGCTTCCTGCTCGAGACGTGGCGGTATGCGTACGGGCGGCCGTCCGGGTGGTCGAGCAGGTCGTAGTCGCCGCGCACGAGGTCGCGGAGCGGGATACGGTGCCGCGTCCAGCCCTGCGGCACCGTGTCGCGCGCATACTCTTCGATGGCGGTCCGGTACTTGCACCACGTGCTCTCGACGCGGAGGAGGTCCGTCTCGACGCTCTCGCGCACGAACCACACCACCGTCGGCACCGTGCGTGTCTGGCTCTCTCCCATGGCTTGCAGGAAACAGTCGTTGCCACTCCGCCACGAGTCCGTGTCGATGCGGCCCTCCCATCCCATCCAGCTCCAGCTCGGCAGGATATCAGCCGCCTCGTCCTGCACGTTCGCCGGCACCCGCCGCTTCATGCACGCCTCGTGCGACCCCCAGAGCAGGGCGACGTCGAAGAACATGGCCGGGAGACCGCAGATGATGCCGCCCACGAAGCTTTTGCTCAGCATGGTTGCTGTTCCTGCGAAAGCGTAGGGAAGGTCCTCTGGGTAAGTGAGCTGTTTTGCGTTGAATGCGTACACCAGCTTGCCAAAGTCATTCAAGCTGGGCAACGGCTGCAGAAGCCTCTGCTTGCGGGGCAGCAGCATGGTGCTCATGCCCGATGCTTGCCCCATTCCGTATTCGAGCTTTGGGTATTGAATCTGCGCAATCTCCTCTTCCCACGTAGCACTTTCGCATTTCCAGTGCACCGAATCGTCCTTGAAAATTATTTTCCTCCGGGAGAACAAGTATTCCTGGAAGGTCCACGCTCGATAGGCATATTTTGTGGGCATGAGCCGAGAGAACCACCCGTCTCCGTAACTCAAGATCTGGGTGCCATTACGAAGGGCATGGATCTCATCGCTGAGTTGACGAGGGTTCGAGACACCCTGAATACCGCTTAATCCATAGTCGGCAGTCTCTCCCTGTGCCGCCACAATTGTCACCGTGGCGTTTGCATAGATCGAAGCCATGCCATGGATTTGATCCCAGAGTTCTTCCCCGTCTTCCTGGAGGATGCAGAGTGAGTCGACCCATAGGTATCTCCCACCAAGCAGCGGGACCAGTCCAATTGCATCTCTAATAGTCCGTGGAATTGCGATGTCGTCACGGTCAAGGTAGCCTTCCTGCTGAAGCTGGTCGAGGTCTTCTCGCAGCGTCTTGTATTGGTTAGCAGCTCCCCAAACGTAACTCAGCGCCACGTAAGGCTGCCCCGGCTCCGCTTCAACCAGACATCGGCGCTTTGTGTCAACGAGCCAGCATGGACTTGTAGAAGGTAGTCGTGAGTCAATAACATTGCACCTATCACCATGCTCTTCGTGGCAGTTTCTCATCCACTTCTGAAACAGCTCCGGGTTAATCCAGTCTTTATCGCCAATGCTGTATCTCTTTCCAGGAGGGTGGTCCGCGGTCCTTGCTGCAGCTTGCACGCGGCCTTCCAGTAGGTCCAAACGGTTCTCGGAAACCACCTGGTCGCCGTGGGGGCCAACTCCGACCAGCTGGGCGCTCGAGCCTTCCGAACCCCTCCAAACATGGACATCCTGGATTTGTGTCCTTCCCGGCCAACGGACTCCGCGCACAAGGCCAGAGTGCGACTGACATGACGATGCTTGCGTGACGTCCGTGAACGCACCAAGCTTCAGGTGCACTGACGTCCCGCGAGGACATCTCAGGACCCAATTCAGCCGGTAACAAACATCACATTCCGGAGGCTTCGGCCCGGAAGTTAGCAAGGCCATACATGGTTCCGAGGCGGGGAAAGCCTTACAGACTCGCCATTCGTGATTTGTTCCCGGTATAGCCTCTCCCAGTGGAGGTCCGAAGCATCAAAATTCATGGTCCTCCGTAAGAGATGGTGGTTGCTTGGGCAGTGTGTGATTTAAGGAGGGGGCCGTTCGTGTAAGGAGTGTCACCGCCTTCTCCTGGATGACGTAAGCCAGTGGAACACCACTAATCGCATCCAAGACCATTGAAGTGACGCGAAGTCGTAAAATCTCGAAGGTTTGCGCTATTGGTTTATTGACGTAGGAGCGGAAGACGTTCTTTGTCGATTGAGAGCTTCGACCCTGCTGCCCCTATTGGCCCCTGAAAGAACTGGTCGATGGCTACCAATGGCGTATGAGCAGCTCCGCTAGCCGAGAAAGACTGCTGATCACGCAGGCAGCCGCCGTAAATGTTGTTTGCCAGAAAGCAGGCAGCCAATCATACCTTAATCGACCGAGCCATCTGCCATGTCCGGGTTGAATCCTGTCGAGGACACCTACTGCTCGTTTCGCATTTTCCGGTGTAATATATCTTCATGGAGGCCGAGAGAGCTGACAAGACGAAGGCAGACTTCCAAATGAAGCAGCCTCATGGGCGTGGCATCCGTTGGTTTGGTTCAAGGAATGATATCGACGATAGGGAAGGAAAAAAAAAAAGAAAGAGAGAGAGAGGTATGACATTCGGCGAATGACATGTGTCTTGCGAAGGAGCCCAGGATGTTTTACTTGAAATCCTTCGGCGCCACAGAATCCGTTGTGTGTTCTGCTGGGGGTGAATGCATTGTCTACGATGTGGCGATAGCGCGACGGGTGTAACAGGCGCGACAGGTGGCGCAATAAGGTTTCCTCGTCGCGTTTCCCCAAGGTCTATTCTTGAACAATCGTCAACAACCGGCCTATTTTGGCGAGTCGGTGATGAGATGAAGTTGCGAGTTGTTTGATTATTGAATCTGATAAGCAACGCGTGAGGCGGAGTAGCTCGACTAGCGCGGAGTTTCCGAGCCTCTTTTATTGAGGAACCTGTAGATGTTGTTCCAACTCTGTCCTCTCGGAAAGTATCAAGCTTGCTGCTGTTCGGTGATCTGGATGAGGTAGCGGTGTCGCACGCATCCGACTTGAAGCACGCTGAAATGTACCTATGTCTTGCCAGGCAGCTGGGTGCGGTCCGCTTCTCAAGGAAAGCGCAGAGACGGATTAGTAGTGGTCATTTTCGGATGGATGCTGGGTAGATAGCGTTGTTGAGGGGGTATCGTCACTTGGCGGTTTCGTGGATGCGTGGAGGGAAGGAGGTGATTGTGCTCGGATAGTCAGGGAAGCCGCGGGGCACGTGGTTTTGCATTGTCAGCAATCAAGACAAACCTGTTTTCCAGCGAACGAATGAGCATCATACAGCAAAGACCTGATCCAAGCGAATTGGACTTGACCTATATCGTCATGATCAGTGCATATTAAAATTAATACAAGTCTGTGAACGGCATGCGCTTCGGCCTCCACTACATACATTACCAAAATAAAATATAGTCATCATGCATGAGATGGATCGACTATGATGCGGATGTATGATTTTCTTACGGACCAGATCGCTCTGATCTATTTGATGAATCTAGTCAATGAAGTATATATAGAAGAGAATACAGTCTGGAAATGAAACACACGGGACGACATGATCAATACCCGACCGACCAGCCTTAAATGCGAACCATCATTCTTTTGCAATGTTAGAGGGAGAGTGTGAAATTTTCTCGGGCGCAGCTGCTACGGATATCCGCTCTGCCGCATTTTTGCCTTGAGCTCGCTGGTACCCAGTATATCTCTCTGCCTCCTTGCTCTGAAAACAGGCTTGACAATGTCAGTGTCCGCTTCCACCTCCGGAGGTTCTGGCTCTTCGAGAATAGTTGAGAGATACACAGAATCATCACTATCGGATCCTGAATCCCAAGAGTCTTTGCGGTAGATGGTTGGCTTTGCGTGTGGCGCGAGTCTGTCGGTGCTTAAATTGGGAGGCAGGCTAGAAGAATGCGCGTTGCTGAGGTTGTAGAGCTGAGAACCCGGGCCGATGACTTCGGGGCCGTTGGTGCCTGCGTAGGCGCGAGCGATGGATGCGACTATGGACTGGTTGTCTTCCTTATGCTGCGCTCGATGCGGTGGTGATACGCTGGGTTTAGATGGAACGTGGTCGGTGGAAGACTGCGAGTAGAGATCGAGTACTTCGTCGATGGAAGGAATCGTGTAGACGCTGATATGATTCAAAATGTGCGGGTAGCGCGTTCCTGTGTGGACCCTAGTTAGCATGGCCATTTCCCTGGTGGTGAAGAAGGAAGCAATTACAACGGGAGCGGGGAAACGCAATATGACCGGGTAAGAGCTGCTCGCGGAACTGAGGACGGGTTGGCACATATGTTGATCGTTTGTGTAGACAAAGCAACGCACATGCATACCTCTAATGTCTCCTCTAACCGTCGACACGACGATATCGTCCTCGACGCCCATGGGGCCAGTGCTGCGGATCTCGCCCCAAGAACCGCTGTTTGTTGTCATTTCAAGCAGTTGGTACTGGCTACCGTTGGGAAGCAGCGGGGTAGTTTAGAACCGGTGATTGGTCCGAGTAGCGTGTTAATGCCGTGGAGAATGAGCATGGAGACGGGAAGGAACAGCCCGCTTATAACCCCATGGCCTGGAGGGCGGGGAACCAAAAGCTGACAGTACATAAGCTGAAAACATGTGGAAACTCATCTCACTGCAGCGAAGTTGTGGAGGCACAGTTGGCTCGGTCGACAGTGGACTCCCAACGTTACATTTTTGCTCTGAGGCGTTGCTTTTTTCATGACACTGGGCCCGGTTCCTTTGAGGACCTGGATATCTATATTCAGAGGCAAACGCGTTGTGGCTTGGCGTGGTGCCTGCAGGTACGGATCGTCGTAGCTCCAACGGTAGTAGGAAACGCGTTGGGGGCTGCTCCTCTGACGACAAACGACTTAAAAGCAAACCGGCAGACTCGATCTGAAGTGTGTTGGGCAAAGCGCCTTCACAGCGACATGGAAATTGCAGCTGGCTGGGAATCGCAGCCGACGCCCACTTCGGGTCCGAGGTGCATTCGAGCGGAAAATTTCAGATTCTGCGGTGAACTAAAGTGAGGCTTGAAGTCAACCAAGGATGCACCGGAGCGGACGGAGCGGCGATTGCTGCTATTCTGGAGCCGGAGATGGGGGCATGTTGGAGCGGCTGCGCCACGACGCCACGCGAGGAATAGTGCGCGCGGCACCAGCGTGCGCGGTCTGCTGGTGATGTCGCAGTGGGGAAGACGGCGACGTGTTTGACAGGAGTCAGATGACGCCGGGCGCCGATCGGTTTGGTGCGACGAAGAGCGTTGAGGTCGGCGTGGAGACACGGCGACTCGCTCGCTGATAAGAAGGTTGCGCAGCAGCATGTGAGACTGACGCGATAGGCAAGCAGGCTGGCCCGGAAGCGCGGCCGGACCGGGCGTTGCTGTTGGGACCAGCAGGCTGGGGAGAGGCTGGCAGGCTTGGAGCTCTCAGTCGTCGAGCAGGCAGCGCATCTTCTTCAACCTCCAGCGTCCAGCTCACACACACACTTTCGCGCCGCCGCGCATCGGATTGACACCGCACGCGCCCCAGCTCTAGCGCCTGCCAGCGCGAGCAGTTCCGCGACTCAGTGCGCAATTGACCGTCATTCCTGCCGCCTCGCCCGCATCCAGCGCAGCGCATCTCTCGCCGGTCCGACCCCGCCGCGTGCGCCTTGCCCACAATGGGCTCCTACACGTTCAAGTGGTACGCGAAATTACCCTCGTTTCGCCCGCCCGCGCTGATTTCCCGCGTCTACCTAGGGAGGGCCCGGCCACCGACGTCTATGTCACCGGCACTTTCGATGACTGGGCCAAGACGGTCCAGCTAGACCACAAGGATGGCCGCTTCGAGAAGACGGTGCCGCTCCCCAAGAATGACGAAAAGGTGCTTTATAAGGTGAGGTCCCACCCGCTGCGCCCGAGTCTCACCGCGCCGTGCGCGCAGCAAATCCCCGCTGCATACAAACCGGATTTCGTCACCTGGTCAACGCACACACCGCTTACCGCTCCACCCACAGTTTGTCGTCGACGGCAATTGGACCACCAGCACACAGGCCCCTCAGGAAGACGACGGCCACGGAATCTACAACAACGTCCTCCTCCCCGCCGACTTTCTTTCCTCCCCATCCGCACACATCATGTCTTCCGCCGCCCCCGATTCCACCACCGCCCAGCTCGCCGGCGAACAGCCCAAGGAGACGCCCAAGCTCGACGACGTCCCCGGCGCCTTCATCGAGACCCCCGCCAACGAGCTGCAGTCCTTTTCCGTGAACCCTATTCCTGCCTCCAATGGCGACGCAAACCCCGTGAAGCTTGCTCCCGGCGAGCCCGTCCCCGACCCGAGCACCATCCACGACAACACCGTCGAGTCGACCGTCCAGGACGACGCCGAGCTCAAGGCCCAGCACGAGGAGACGGAGCAGGCCTTCGGCGTGAACCCGCTGCCTGCCTCCAACACTGCCGGCAACCCAATTCAGCTTGCCCCGGGCGAGCCCGTCCCCGAGCCCGAGACCATCTCTGCCAACAACATCAACAGCAATGTCACGCTGGACAAGGAGTCGTATGAGAAGGGCGAGTCGCTTCCGCCGCAGCTTGGCCCCGTCGTCACTCCTGACGCCGAGCGTGGCGCCGCCATGTTCGATATCCCCGGTATCACCTCCACCACCATCCCCGAGTCGAGCCTCCCCATGGGCTCTGGCCCGAGCGCTGCCGCTGCCGATCCTGGTGTGACCGTTCAGTCTGCCCACCCTGAGAGCACCACCGCTGCTCTCGCTGGCGAGGTTCCCAAGGAGCCGCGCGGCGTCCCCGAGGTCGTCTCAGAGAGCCAGGCTGAAGCCGGAGCTGCTCCCGAAGCCTCCGCGAACCCGGTCGCTGTCGAGGAGAAGGCTGAGACGGAGAAGGAGCTTCTTGACAAGGTTCCCGAGCAGCCCGCTACCTCTGAGGACTCAACCGCCGCTAACATCGCCGGCGCTGTCGCTGGTGGTGTCGCAGCTGCCGGTGCCGCCGCGCTGGGCGCTGCCGTCGTTGCGAAGGACAAGGCCTCGGAAGCTGTTGGCGCCGCCACTACGAGCGAGTCGGCCCCTGAAGAAGTACCCCAGGTTGTCAGCGAGTCCATTGAGGCTGCTCACGCCAGCCCCGAGGCCGCCGCAAACCCTGAGGCTGTGGCCGACAAGGCCGATGTCGAAGAGGAACTTCTCAAGAAGGTGCCCGAGTCGGAGGCCACTGGTCAGTCCGCTGAAGAGAAGGACGTGCCCCCTGCGGTTTTCAGCTCCATCGAGAAGTCCGGAGAGAGCCCTGAGGCCGCTGCAAACCCCGAGGCCGTGGCCGAGAAGGCTGAGGTTGAAGAGGAGCTCCTCAAGAAGGTCCCTGAGGCCGAAGCTAACGGAACTGCTTCCGTCCCTGACGTCGTCAAGGAGTCGATTGCCCAGGCCGATGAGAGCCCCGAGGCTGCCGCCAACCCTGAGGCGGTCCAGGCAAAGTCTGCCGTTGAGAGCGAGCTGAAGGAAGAGGTCAAGGCCACGGATGAAGTCGCCGATGTTGCGCCCACTGAGGCCGCAGCTCTCTCCGCGACGGCTCCTGCTGCCACGACTGAAAACGATATTAACCCCAAGGCGCTGTCTCCCGATGAGCCTCTGAAGTCGTCCAGCGAGCCCGAAGTCCCCGCAACCTCTCTCAGCGTGCCTCCGGGATCTGATGCAAAGGTGGACGAGGTTCCCAGCGACCTCAACGCTCCTGCCGACAAGCCTGCGCAGACCGAGGTGAGCAGCGATGTCAGCCCCACGGCAGAACCTGCTGCTCCTACCACCACCGAGCAGACCGAGCCCACCGTCACCACGGGCACTGAGACCACTGCTGTGCCCGCAACTTCGGAGCCCACCGGCGCCGAGAACGACCAGAAGCCCCCGGCCACTCCCGCCAAGTCTGACAAGGACAAGACGCCTGACACGCCTGCTTCCTCCGGCTCTGACAAGAAGGCCAAGAGACGTAGCTTCTGGGGCAAGCTGAAGGACAAGTTCACTGGAGGTGGCCACAAGGAGCCAGCTCCTCAGAAGGAGCAGACCCTTCAACCCCAAACGGAGCAGACTCCTCAGGCCTCTTCCTAAACCGGCATAGATTTCAAATTCCCTCGAGTCTAAAGAGATGACCCGACCTGACGACTGTGTCAGGGGAAAAGAGGGATGAGAGCTGCCATCGTTGAAGCAATTCAATGGATACCTGCGCGTGAGCATGAGCAACTAAGTTGCTGTCTTGATATTGAAATGATGATGAAGTGGTGGTGGGAATTCCCTAGGTTTAATGGCAATGGCAGCTGGGTCGACAGAAGGAATATTTTGGTGGTGATGGGTGGTCTTCTGCATTTCTTGGTTTGCAGCCCGTCTTTTTCCTATTGCGTGTGTAGCATTTTGTCCACGCCTCCTCTCTTAGTTCATTTTCTGTTGGCAGCTTTCTCTTGTGGTCTGTTGATATACCTCGGTCTCGTACGTACTCTAGGGTACCTATAATCAGTTCTTTTTTCTGAGTCAGTCGGCGCTCAAGACCGTCTTCGCGTTGTTTTGATTTTGCTTGAAGTCTCTCTTCGCCTCAAATGGCTTCCCTCGTTGGCTGCTATCATGATCCTTTAGAAGGTTTTGCATGGCAACGCACTGTTTCACTGTCAACTATCTGTTCAGCGTTCCATCTCTGGCCGACCTTTCTTTGGTTTGCTTCTACAGTCATGACGATGTCACGGCAGGACTACGTGTGCATATCTGAGCATCCCCCTTTTGCATCCTGGTCTTTACAAATGATTGCATAGGAACCTACATAGTGGAAATCGAGGTATTAAACTCACGATCTGCAATAATAATTGCAAGGAATATCCACTACTGATCAACGACTCAAGCATCGTTGTGATTATTGCGAATAGAATAAGAGCTGAAGAAGGTCCTAGTCATAGGCTTTCAGCGGATCTTTCGGGAGTAAATATCTGGATGGTATACGCATCATCCATATTATCCCGCGGATTCGCCACCCGTTGGAGCAGGCACCTCCAATTATAAAGCTAAATATAACAACTCCGAAATCTTACTTACTTTGCATTCTACTGTGGACCCTAGTGAATCAGATGCAACCCAGCGGTACTTGGCTCCCTTCCGCGCGGTCTTGACAATTGAAGGCTTACTTTGTCACTTTTGGACACACGCCGAAGTTCTACAGAATTAATCGATCAAACTATTACGGCCCCGCATCTCCACGTGATGATGCTGATGATGACCCATGTATGTAGGAAGTGAACGGAAGTCTTTTTTAATATTGCTTATTAAACTTGCTTCTGTCGGCATATGTGTGATTATATTATAACGCCTTAGAATTTGACAAGGCACAGGCTTATCTCCAGTAAAACAAGTGTCTTTCTGCTAATGATGTGACGCAGCAACTAGAACTTATTCTGAAGCAGCCTTTTACTCTATGCTGTAGAAATCCAGCCTTCTCATATTCTTCCGGTGAATAGTTAGTTAAAACAAGTGGAGGAGAAGCTCACTCGGGCTTTCACGAGCGCCAGAGTGATCGAAGGTGAGGTCTTAAGTCCAATGGGTGTGTGTATGTTGAGCTGGAAGAGTGTTAGAAACAGCAATCGATCATGAGACGCTTTTTCACCTGAACGGATTTTTTTTTTTTTAAAAAAACATGCTCTATCATCTGCATGGCTGGTGGCTCGTAATCGCGCTCGACCAAACACGTCAGACAACACGTCGGCATCATAGAAAAAAAAAACAAAATAGCCGCCTCGTATTCCATCATATCTTCCCCCTGTCTGTATTGAGAGCTTACAAGGTTTCAACCTCGTAGAATGGAAGTACTCTGGCCTCTCTGAGCCTCCTGTTCCTAACTAGATCGTCTTTAGCGCCCCTTCATTGCACTGGATTGATGATGAATATTAACGGCTGCTCATAAAGATAACAAACAGCAAGAAAATCTGGTAAACGGCTTTTTTCTGTCAAGACGCTGCAGATATGGCAGACGAGAATTGTTTATGCTGCAGACGGTGTGACTAGCGGAGGCAACAAAACAGAGTTCACAGTTCGTTCTTGCTGGTAAGACCCCAATTGCATACCACACTTTGTTGACTAAAGTCTCTATGGTGTGGATGATCGGCAAGGCAATGGCTGAAGACTCAAACATCTCTCCCCTATAAATAACAGAGTGCATCGATCAAATACTTGCGCACCTGCTTGACTTCGTGCCCACACCTTCGTCACCCTTGCACATGACATGCACGCATACACCATACCAATCAGCTGCAGCAGGCAGCAATGGTGGCACGGACACTCCGCACATTTGATCAGGCTCGTCGAGCTGCTGACGCACAAGGCACAGGAGGAGGAGAATGCTACACGAATCCCTATAAAAGTCAGAGACGGGATTTATCCCTATTGCAAGGTTAACTGTGTGGGCACCTCGAGGTCTAAGGGATTGACATCGATCCCGCTCTCGGTCACTTCTTGCGGTTGCCTTGTTCAAAATGTTCCTACTCGCGTTGTTTGTTGGTTGAAGTAAGCGTGTCAGTTAATCTCTAAGGCAATCATATGTAGTCCGGCAACCGCAGGGTTTGATGCAGAACTAAAATCATGACGGCTGGTGAACTTCAACAATTTTCACTCATGATGATGGCTACGCTTTAGTGTTAGCGCGGTACTTGCTATCAAATCATTCAACGGAGGGCGGTCACTAGCAGAGAGAGCTAATGGTCCGGTAAGTTTATTGAGGCGCAATCTGAGCCTCTGCGAAATTATCATCTACAGGCACCCTGGATGAGTCTGAATAGTAACCACAAGCAATGAAATTTGTAAAGTGACATGCACAACCTCCACAATAACTATCAAGTACAATTTTTTTTTTTGTACACTTAGAGCATCGCCATGGGGATATCGCAACGACAATACCTACAAAAGAAACTGGTCCAATGAGTGTCCAACATCTTCACTACGCGCACTTACAGCAGCGCCCTCTCGCGGTATTGCTTCATACCGTATGCGACTGCTCACAGAGGAAACCTCAGTGTCAGCTTACACAAATCTCATACTATAAAGACATCGAAATCAGCCAACAAGGTTCACTTACCAATAAGCACGACCAGCCATCTGACGAGGCCACCGCCCTTACCTTTCGCGCCCAAGCCCACAAGAGTAAGGAGCCAGTTGGTCTTTGGGTTTCCTTCGCGGTCGAAGTTGGGCTTAAGCTCGCTCATCTGCTTGTATTGCTTCGTCTTCTTATCCGTGTACGGCGGGTAACGGACGGCGAGGAGAGACTCCATCCATCCAGGGGTCGTCGTCACGGAGCGGCGATGGGTGAAGGCGTCGAAAGAGGCGCGGCCGCGGTAGGCGCCCTGTCCGCTGGTACCGACACCACCGAAAGCAAGGGTAGGGATCGCGGCGTGAAAGAAACCGCTAGAATGACATGTTAGTACAAGATACATGACTTATTGAGGATGGAAACCCACTCATTGACCGAGGCACCGCCAGATCGGGTCTCGTTAAGGACTGTTGTTACACCTGTTAGACTTGTTCACTCCTCTAGGCAGTAATAAACTTACTCCTTTCCGTCTCCTTCTTGGAACCGAAAGGATAGACACCAAGCGGCGTGTCATGGACGTCGTTCGCAATCTTAATAGCCTCGTCCAGGTCCTTAACCGGCAGAACAGGAATAAGAGGACCGAAACTTTCTTCGGCAATCAAGCTATCATTTTGGCTCTCGACCTGCACAACGGTAGGCTCGAAGAACAGATCCGACTCATCCATGGTGCCGCCCATGACGATCTTGCCATTGCTCTCGTCGAGCATCTTCTTTAACCTCCTGAACTGCCTCTCGTTCACGATATGGCTGTAGTCAGGGCTGTTGCGCGCCCCCTGGGGGAAGAACTCATCATACGCGGTGCGCAGCTCAGCAAGCAGCGCAGGCAGGATCTCCTGGTCAACCATGATGTAGTTCTGGCTGACGCAGACCTGGCCGGCATTGTGGAGCTTCGCCCATAGCAACCTGCGCGCAGCCAAGCGGGGGTCGGCATTCTTAGTGACAATGGCTGGGTTCTTGCCGCCCAGCTCCAGCGTCACAGGGGTGAGAGTCTCGGCAGCCTTCTTCGCAATAATAGTGCCAACGCCGACGCCACCAGTATAGAAGATCTTATCCCACTTTTGGTCGAGCAGCGCGGTGGTCTCGGGAACGGCTCCCTGAACTACGGTATAGGCGGTCGAGTCAAGCGACTCGCGGAACACCTTCTCCAAGACGGCAGCGGCGGCGGGAGCGCTCTCGCTGGGCTTGAGGACCACGGTACAGCCGGCAGCGATGGCACCAATGACGGGACCGAGGGAAAGCTGGATGGGGAAGTTGTAGGCGCTGACCCCGCATCAGCATCCGCACCATAATAGTGACAACGTGGGAGAGCTCACCCAATAACAAGAACCGTGCCCAATGGCTCCTTTCTGATGTGCGGCGCGAGGAGCTTGTTTGCGAGAGGGATGTCGGGCGCCTTCTCGTCCTTGACCCATTTCGGTAGGTTGTTCTGGACGAAAACGATGTCGTTCAGGACCCAGCCATACTCGGCCATGTACGTCTCGAAGGAGGACTTGTTCAGGTCCTTCTTGCAGGCCTCGAGGATGAGCTGCTCGTTGTCCTTCAGCCTGCAACGCGTCAGCAACTGACGCAGAAGTCGCGGTGGAGCACGGGCTCACCCCCAATACAGCTTGCGCAGCTGCTTCAACCTGTACTCGACATTGCGGGTCTTCTGGGTGCTGAAGGTCGTGCGCAGAAGGTTGACAGTCGCGGGAATGCCGTCGATGGGCGTGTACACGAGCTCCGGGAGTTTCGACATGGCGGGCGAGGTAGAATTGGCGGGGGTGGTGTCGCGGTCGAAGGGGCGGATAGGCGCCTTTTTGAGGAGATTATGAATTTGTGGCCCCCACCTAGGCTACAGGAGAACAGCGGGATGCGGCGTCGACGTGAAGCATGAGCTTGGCCGTCTGAGCGCGCGCGCCTCGGCCCAGCGAACACCTTCCCCATCCGTGCACCCCTCGGGTCGGCTTCAAGAGTCTCTCCGTCGCGAGGTTTTACCCCAATTAGGCCTCCTTTTCTTCACTCTGCCCAATAGTGCACGTTATGAACACGACAAAGGGGCTCTAGAAAATTTTGATTCCTGCGCCGATTGGTGAGAGAAGAAGTTCGATGTTCCGCTCATTCCTTGAGCTATCTGCCGTGACGCGGTCCCCAATACATCCATAATACAGGAGCTATTGTACAAATCCCAATTGCCAGCCCATGCTAAGAATCCATTCCATGACCGTCATCTATTCCCTTTTCCGTTTTCCTTTTCCTAATTTTTGGCTTCCTCCGTATGCTCAGACTCCGTAGCCGTAAACGGCTCCGATATCTGAGGGCTTTCTTCCGCTACAACCGCCTCCTCTTGCTCGGGGCCACCAAAAGTGATTTGACCACTAGTGAAGTCCGAGATTGTGATTTGCTCCAACCTATTAATTTCCCTCCGCAGGTAGCTCACTACGGCAGCGAGTCCAGTAGCGTTGATCTCCTCTGCCTTCCAGATATTCCTCCACAGCGCCGCCGCCAGCACAGCGTCGCCCTTCACCAGACCCTCATCGTACGCAGCCATGACGCCGCGCCATTGAATGAACAGGTCTTGCAGGTACCTGTTGCGGATGCCTCGCGCCTGCATGTTGTGATATATGACCATACGGTTCTCCGCCTCGTAGAAGAAGTGGTCGAGCAGGTGCTGATGCCACGCCGGCGCGTGCTCCTTTGGGAATTTCCTGATATGCGTCGTCAAAATGTACATGTGAAGGAACGTTATCTGCGCCCAGGTGTTGAAAGTCGGCGTAAGACCCAGTCCTGGATATCCAGCTTCTAATCAGCAAACGGCTCCATATTTTTTTTGGGGGGTCCAGAGGACTGAGGGCATCTTCTACCTTCATACCACCACCCCTCCCCAACGCCCAGATCCTCTCCCTTCGCCGTCTTCGGCGCATCGCCCTCGGCATCCTTCTCGACGCGGTAGTCGGCCTGCCGCGCGCACTCACGGAACAGCATCTCGGTGCCGCCGTACGCGACGTACGTCTCGGTGCTGTCGCCGGCGCGCCCGTGCAGGCCCTGCGCGATGACCTGGCTCATGGTCGCGTGAGACGGCCCGCCCGCCGACGCGCTGGCGTAGGCATTGCCGGGCGCTGTGTGCTGCGCCTGCTGCGCGCCGAGGGGGTAGTCGAGCCTGGCGGGCGACGTGGGTGCTTCGGATTGCGATGGCGACCGTGATTGTTGCGCGGTGCGGGAGGCGAGCGAGAACGGGCGGCGGAGGGATGAGGAGGAGGGCGCGGTGCTTCTGCGTGTGGTTGCCTGTGGGGTTGGGGTTGTTTAGGACGGTGGTTCTTGAAGCAATGGGAGGTTGCGTTTTTTCTCTACCTGAGCGAAGCTGGAGGTGTGCTGTTGCAGTGCCCGCTTGCAGGCTCTGCAGGCGGATGAGGAAGCCATTGGTGCGGCCTTGGAAGAAAGGCAACAAGAAAAACAGTATGAAGATGTAGTAGAGTGGTAGGCAGGCTGCAGGTGGGAGGTACAAGCGTATAGCGCGCCGCTTACTTTTTGATGGCCGCGACTCGTGGATTGGGAAAGCTTGGGCCACAGCCTACGATCAATGACTTCACCATTATGGTAGCTATCAATCATCATGCAAATTTGTGTTCATTTTACGACCTCTTCAAAACCTCGGTCCGCCTTGTTCACATTGGATATTTCCGTCTACTCGTCGATATCCGCAACGCTCAAACTGGTGTACCTGTTCCCTCTTGCACTGGCGTAGTCGAGCGTCTCATCATTCCCCTCCGCATGTTCGGGACTCTTCGCCAGCACGTCGTCAATGCTCCAAGCTATGCGCTCTGCTCCGACACGTGCTCCTGCGAGATTAGGTGCAGCCGGGCCAAGTCGCAGACTGGCCAATCTGCCAGTGACAAACAGGGGCACTTCATCCTTCCACATGAGGTCATCATTCAGACACGGCAGTCCTCCGTGCCCATGGATAGGGTAGTCCCTATTCATTGACTTGAGGAGCGGCAAGGTCGTGAAGTCCGTCTGGATGCCCGTGGCGAAGTAAATGTAATCAATCGGTGGAAGCTCAGGTATTGGAGGTTCAGTGTCGACCGTCCAGGTCTGAGTGGAAGCATTGTACGACTTGCTCTTGATGACCGTGTCCGTGTGAAGCGAAACAGTCCCGCGAGCTATGTGCTTTTTGAGAATCTTTTGGAAGATCGGGGTGATGCTGCCTCCACCACGGGCCGATTTGATCTGCTCAAGACGTTCTAAACCAAGTGTTAGTATGAAGGGCAGCAGTGGCAGCGGTAGAGTTACCTACCCTCGTCCGTGTCGGCAGACCAGAAGGCAGCTTGCTCGATATTCCTAAACTTGCCCAACCAAGCCAGGTCCACATCGAACGGCTTGACCTTGCATGGGCCTCGCATCAAATGCCAGACTTTCGTGATACCCTTTCGAACCGCCATGTCCGAGATCTGGGCAGAGGTCAGACCACCACCGACCACCAACAAGTTGGTCTGCTCTTTAGCCTTGAGCTTTGCCGCGACGACGGGATCAGGGAACTGCTGGATCTGCATGGTGTGACACATCTGTGGGCAACCCTGCTCAGGATTGATGCCCGGGATGCTTGGAGCATTGGCAGGCCCTACTGCAAGGACAACTACCCTAGCATGGTGCACTCCGTTGTTGGTCCGAAGTGTGAAAACCTTATCTATGTCCGAGACGTCGCGAACGTAACCATATTCGATATCCTGGACTTGTTCCTGCTTGATCAAACCATCGCGGAGGCCGTACCGATCGACTATGCATTCGCAATGTTCTGAGAACAAAGGGCGAGAAGGTGTGAAGTAGTCTTTGCGGTCGCGTTCGTCAACGACGACTTCGGAGTGGGCCCTGATTGGTATCAGTCAAAGCAAATACATCTTCCGCTGTGGCTTTGCAATCATACTTGCGAGATTTGGCCCTCTGCTTCCTGAGATGTTTACTGATCTCTTTGCCAACGCACTCCCTGATCTCCACAAGTTCGTTCTCCCGGTGCTGTTCGTGAGCGTATGCCAGCAGACCGTCCCTGTCTCCGGGGTCGACATGGAAGAACATGGGACTCCGCAAGTTTGTGATCTCGAACGTCTTGAACAGCTTGTTCCACCGGCTTAGCCACTGATCGCCGGTTGCGTCAAGCACCAAAGTAGAGTATCGTCGTCCAAGTCGGGGAGCAGCCTGCGAGACTTGGCCGTTCTTCCTGTTCTTGATGCTCATTCTTGCTCCATGCTTGCGAATCCAATGGTAGCGCTGATGCTCTTCGTCAGTGAAGATTGCAGAGGGGGTGTGCTCGCACAGACGAGCAGCAACTGCGAGGCCGCAAGGGCCAGCCCCTACGATGACCACGTCGTGGACGAAGATGTTGCTCTCTCTGGTTGGGCTGTCCATATTCTTGATGAGGAATGAAGAAACTTTGAAGAGAAGAAGAAACAACTGGGTTAAATAAATGAAGCCGAGGGATATTAGTTGCGTGGGTTGGAGTATATGAGGTCAGAGTGGCCATCTGGAGTACCTTGATGGCTGTGTTGCCAGAGATCTCGGAAGCAACAGCACGAATGCAGGCATGGCCACAATCAAGCCAATCGGAGCTCGAAACAACCACTCGGTCGGATTACGAAAAGCTGCGGCTGATCCTGGGGGGTCTTTCTGGGGCGCTATGATTGTGATGCACGGCCTCAACGAAGTCCGTACTGAGCACCTTGATGGCACTCATTAGTCGGCCGAATTTGGGGAAAGTCGGGCCTCCATTTCGACATCCGAAGAGAAAGACAGATAGATCTTCAGGGATGAAGATGGTCGGAGTAGAGGATCCAAGTTGTTCTCTCATTTTGCAGGAAGTTGCCCAGGAAAACACATGTGCTCGACGTGAGCTGAAGTGACTGGTGGCATGATTTTGGGCTCACCACATCTTCAGAGCAGAAAAACACAACTGGACTCGCCGTTTGCGAACCCAAGAGGGTCTTGAGCATGTCTAGAGCTTACATACTGCGTATTAAGAAGCTCATTGAAGGAGCAATAGCGGCGTGAAAAGACACTATCATCGAGCGGCGAAACGGACATGCCACGTGCCCGGCTCCTATTACGGTTGATGAGGCAGTTAGGCCCTAGTTTCAGCGTAAATGAAACGATAGAAGAAGGTTGAGAACGGTCGAGAGGCCGAGAGGGAATGACGGGAAAGTGCGGAATGTGGGCACAAGCGAGAAAAGTCGTTGCCGACAGTCAGCGCGCGTCGGTCCGTCTTTGATCTCCAGCCGCGTCAACTTTCCCGATTCAAGAGCATCTACCGGCCATCAAGACCATGCCATGCGAAGAGTGGTAGTCACCGGTTTAGGCGCGGTCACGCCGCTGGGAGTTGGTGAGAGCTGCAGCCGTGCGGTCGCTCTGCTTGTGAGCTAACACAGCTGCCCTGCAGGCATCCGCAGAACATGGTCGCGCCTCATCGACGGTCACTGTGGCGTTGTCTCCGTCAAGGATCGCGGTCCTCGGTTTGCGGCACTGCCGAGTCAGGTCGCCGCAGTCGTTCCATCCGGGCCTAAGGAGGACGGAGGGTGGACGGCAAAAGAATGGCTCCAACCAGGTGTAAGACGCACCCAAAACCAAGTCACGGAAATGCTTGCTGACCCACGCAGGATGAGCGCAAGATGGCCCTCTTTGCCCAGTATGCCATGGCAGCCTCACACGAGGCGCTTGAGGATGCTGCGTGGCACCCAAAGGCTGAACAGGATTTGGAGGCTACCGTCCGTCTTTGCTTGGTCTAGCGTCAAGACTTCATAGCTGATATGCAATAGGGTGTCTACATCGGATCTGGCATTGGGAGCTTTGATGATGTGTACGAGACATCCATCGCCTACGATAAAGGCGGCTACAAGAAAGTCTCGCCATTATTCGTGCCCCGACTGCTCATTAATCTCGCTGCTGGACATATCTCGATGCGCTTTGGGCTGAAGGTTCGATGAACTCGCTGCCTCAAGCCGAACTCCGCTAACCTGCGTAGGGCCCGAACCACGCAGCAACAACAGCTTGCACAACCGGTGCCCACGCAATTGGCGATGCCGCTCGCTTCATTGCCTATGGTGATGCAGACGTCATGATTGCGGGCGGCGCCGAGTCCTGCATCCACCCTCTGGCAATTGCAGGTTTTGCTCGTGCAAGAAGTCTTGCCACGGACTGGAATGACACGCCTCATCTTGCTTCTAGGCCATTTGACAAGGACAGGGCCGGCTTCGTGATTGGGGAGGGTGCCGGTGTGCTTGTCCTCGAGGTTCGTATAAGAAACCCCACTAGATATGCACGGTGCTAATGTGTCGACAGGAACTTGAGCACGCGAAAGCTCGAGGTGCCCGAATCTATGCAGAGCTTAAAGGCTATGGTCTTTCTGCAGATGCCCACCATATGACTGCTCCTCGAGAAGACGGAGAGGGCCCGTTTCTTGCCATGAAGCGAGCTCTGAAGCATGCAAAACTCCCACCGAGCGCAGTTGATTATGTCAATGCCCACGCAACATCGACAGTCCTGGGCGATGCGGCCGAGAACATGGCCATCAAAACGCTTCTCTTGGGAGACCAAGGGCGGCAGAGAGCGGCAGATGTAAACGTCAGCAGCACGAAGGGAGCTATAGGCCATCTGCTCGGCGCCGCTGGATCCGTCGAGGCAATCTTCACGATTCTTGCCCTTCACCATGTACGTCTGATCTGGTTCCGCGGAGAAAATGCACCATTGACTCACCACACTCGCAGGGCATCCTCCCTCCAACGTTGAATTTGGAAACAGCCGGGGACCCACCGGAAGAATTTGACTGCAACTACGTTCCGAAGCAGGCACAGAAACGGGAAATCACGGTCGCTTTGTCGAATTCGTTCGGATTCGGAGGGACCAATGCAAGCCTGTGCTTTAGCAAATGGCAATAGAATCGAGTACAGCAGGAAAAAAAGAAGACGATGGTCCAATAAGAAGCGCCTGTGACATTCGCGTATGACCTGGCTCTTACCAGGATGGGACTGATAAGGCCGCGTTAGTGGCTTTCTTACCCCACCTTGGCCCAAGCGCCGTGATGAGCACGTTTCCAGCCAGTGATAGCAGACAAAAAACGCTGCCCGCAATCGGTGACGGCCGACGGCGTAAAGGGCCATCACATCTTTTTCTCTTGCCCTCGTACGTACCGCCTCCTTCGTCTTCATTCGCATTCCCTCCCGTTCATCGCCATGGCCGAGCCGCTGCAGAACTACCCTTCCGCGGGGACCGACATCCAAGTCGAAGATAAGGTCTCATTTCTGGGAAATGTTTCAAAGAAGGCTGAGATGTACCACGGCCGCGTGCCATACCTGCGTCGGCTGCCGTTCCCTGCCTTGGCCATTATCATTCTGATAGCCCTGGTTAATGCCGCTGTCTGGGTGGCCGTGGGAATCGTCTTGGTAAGCAGTACCTGTATTGGGAAATAGCAATATGAAAGCAATACTGACGTTGCATATACAGCACTTTCATCCGTCAGTAATCCAACCCATCTGTGTAAAGAAGCATTTGTATCTAATATCTACACTAGCGCTCTTATTTCTACGGCTATTCTCTCCTACACCCTTGGCCTGCGTCATGCTCTGGATGCAGACCATATTTCTGTAAGTCTATCCAAATTTGATATACGGCCTTATTACTGAAGCAAACCACGCAGGCCATCGATCTCATGACACGCCGCCTTATTGCCGCGGGCCAGAGGCCTGTGACTGTCGGCATGTTCTTTTCTCTGGGCCACTCAACGTATATTTCACCCCATTGTATCTCGCCCTAGACAACTTCTCTAATCCCCCTTCCCAGGATTGTCATAGTCACCTCAATCGTTGTTGCAGCCACGGCCTCTGCCGTCTCCGACAAGTTTGACAGATTCTCCCAAGTCGGTGGCATTATCGGCACCTCCGTGTCCGCCGCTTTCTTGATCCTGCTGGGCATCATGAACGTTTACATCCTGTACCGCCTGGTAAAGCAACTCAATGCGCTGCTGGCCGCCCATCCTAGTGAAGAGGAAGATGAAGACTTCAAGATCCACGGTGGGGGATGCCTCTTCAACATCTTCAAGAGCATGTTCAAGATGATTGACCGGTTCGTCCTCTCCGCTAAGCCCTACCACCGCTCCTAATTCCTGCAAACCAACTAATCCACCCAACAGGCCCTGGAAGATGTACCCCCTTGGAGTCCTCTTCGGTCTCGGCTTCGACACCTCGTCAGAGATCGCACTGCTCGGCATCTCTTCCATCCAAGCGGCGCGCGGCACGTCCATCTGGCTGATCCTGCTCTTCCCCTTGCTCTTCACGGCAGGCATGTGCCTGCTCGACACGGCCGACGGCGCGCTGATGATGTCGCTCTACACATCCACCGCCCTGGCCCGCGACCGCATCGCCATCCTCTACTACAGCATCGTCCTCACCGTCATCACCGTCGTCGTCGCCCTCGTCATCGGCGTCATCCAGCTGCTCACCCTCATCCTCAACGTCGCCGAGCCTACCGGCCGCTTCTGGGACGGCGTCGAAAAGGCTGGCGATAGCTATGAGATCATCGGTGCGTTTTCTCCCCTCTTTCTTTTTCCCACTTCTCGTTCCCATTCCTCCCCCTTTTTTCGTTAAATTGTCCCACATCTATGCTCACTATCTCTCAGGTGGCGCCATCTGTGGTTCTTTCATCGTCTTCGGCGCCCTTAGCGTTGTCCTCTACAAGCCCTGGCGTAGGCGCATCGACGAGAGGCGCGAAAGGCGTCAGGCTGCTCTGCTCCAGAACAACCAGCAAGATCCGGCTTCGGGCGACCGGGAGGGCCGCGAGACGCCTATCAGAAGGACCACTCCTTATGGCACGGTCGAGATCACGGACGAGGAGAGCCAGACGGCGCACCAGAGCAAGAGGAAGGGCGACAGGCAGCAAATTTCGGCGCAGGAGATTGGCGAGCACGCCTAAACGCAGGCGGTATCATTACCAGTACGAACATTAGAAGATCGACACTGTGACAAATGTTTCTTATAGCAACGCATCGATAGTTGTTTATAGAAGCGAATCTTCGAAATGCACTAATGGCACTGCCAATTACTTTCTACCTCATACCATACAATAACGCCCCGTCCCGAATCAAAGCTGGTATCGTCACAATCACTCTGTAGGAGCCGCCTGAATGTTTTGAATCTCCGCCTTGGCCTCTTCCCATGAGGCCTGGTTTCTCTTCGCCCACTCGATGTGGCACTTAGCGAAGGCAATCTGAGACCGTCAGCATCACACAGGGCACATGTTCTGAGAAGCAAACTCACCATATAACGTCTGAGATCTTCCTCCTTTTCACCCTGGAATCTCTTGAGATCCTTCAACACACCTATGCTGGCATCCTTGACATCCTTCTCCGCTACTTCCAATGCTTGTTCAAGCTATGTAAAGGTCAGTTGGATCATCAAAAGGGCCGGAGTCGCCGTGATTACCTGAGTTATGCTCTCCCTCGTCTTGCCAATCTGGTCCCTACGCGTTCTCTCCGGGTCTACGTCAACGATACCATGGAAAGCATGGCTGACCCGGCCAAAGATCTTCGAGGTCACAAAGTTCCCGCTTGCAGTCTTTCTGTGAACCGGCGATGATGGCTCGGATCGCTGGGGCTGACCTTGCGCCGCTGAAGGTGGCGAGTGCGATTCGCCATGAGTAGGCGGGAAGTCAGAGTCGATAGATGCCGCATCTTCCTCGGGTCGTGGGGGATCGCTGTTGCTGCGTTGGGAAGCAGTAGAGTTGGATCTCCTCGGCGGTGGACCCCCAGTCTGGTTCAGATACTGCTCTATCCTTTTAGCTTCGGCTTCGCTCTGCTCCAGTGACTGAAGTAGATGTCTCTTCCTGTCCAGCTCGTCCTTGGTCATCTCTTCCTGCACACGTTTGAGAATGCGGTATCTGAGTACGTCCCGGACGATTCCGGCAAACTGAGCGCTCTCCCTCATTGGTTCCGCAAAGCCTGCACTCAACGCAGACGAAAGCTCACAAGTTTGGATGTAAGTGGAATCGACAGCCTGGCCCATCTTTTCAATGGCTTGCGACAGAGTACGTGACTGCTCGTTCAACGCAAAAGCATTGTACCGCGCTCCCAATTCCGCCATATCGCTTCCCCACGAATTAAGGTGAGCGAGCGCCCGACGGTTAACTTTCTCCATGCTTCCTTGCAGTAACTGCTCCAATTCCTTCGAAGATGCTTCGAAATTGACAAAGTAAGGATCGAGCTCTTCCTCGGATAGACTCTGTGACGTGGGAGGGAAGCGACCGAAAACCTGCGGTCCCGGTATCGTGTGTGCTGCAGTAGAAGGCTGCGACTGGTGTTGCGGCGGCGAGTTGGGCGTTCCCGACGTAGAATTTCCGCTCGATCTGAGCCTGGCAGAAGCAGCCGGCACAGGAAGATAATGGTGGCCTGGGGTTGGGTTTGCGGCATCGAGCGGGGGTGCCTTAAGCTTGTTCGAAGGGAGCGACGCCACCGGATGGGAGTGGAGAACCTCGCTCTATTGAGAGTCAGCAACAAGTCGCAAAGGGTTCTGAAGTTCAGCATACCCAGCTAACGTTGGGGTCCAGGAACCTCCACCAAACGCCATCCTCACGGACTTCCTGCATCCGCCTGCACCGGTTCAGGAAGACAGCTAGCATACGTTTGCGCAGCTCTATAATTCCAATGTCTTCCTTTGCCTTCATGGGCTTGGCAACATAGTCGGCGGTGGTGTGCTTTTCTGGAATCGGAGGGATAATAAGAGTCGGGTGGAGGTTGACGAGCGTGTTGCGCAGAGACGCGAACTCAGAGTACCTCCGGCGGACCTCTAGATCCTACACACCCGGGTTCAGTATCGTAAGAGCATGCGCGGAGAGAGGCGCACATACCCCAGTCCTAATGGCGTAGACAATGTATTTGCCCCCGCCTTCTGCACTCTTGCCGGCATCGGTAATGAGAATAGGCAGCTGCGGGTTCTCATAGAGGATTTGTTCAATGCGGCTGTCATAGCCACCCTTCTTGGGCTCGATGCGCTGGGGCTGTTGAGGCTCATCGTCGTACTCAACATCGCTAAGGTCTCTACGGTGGGTAATGTATTCTGGCGAGCCGAAGGGCGGGGACGACGCCTCAGACGGCGGGGTCATCGGCCGAACTGGAGCATCGTGTTAGAGCAAACAGGAACAGGAATCGCTGGGGCAACAGAGCTGGCGTACATCCGCCGGGGGAGCCGAAATGGCCGACCTGCGAGGGCGAAGAATCATGGCGCTCAAACGAGCCGTACGGGTTGTTATCCTCGTCGTCCCACATGGCGAATCGCTGCGCGGGGTTGGGCAGTCGTCAAAGCTGTAGGGTCTTGCGGCGCAGCGGATCGCGACGATGAACAGGCGCGGTGGAGGCTGGTTGTGGAGAGAGTGCGCGATCTGCAAAGCTGCGAGGTTGAGCGAGAGCCTTGGGAATGGGGCTGGAAAGGAAGCGAGAGGTGACGTCTGTTTGGGTGCCAGCTCGCTCTAGCGCTGCCCGCCCATCCGCAATCCGAGAGGTGCCTGCCTATCTCCGCTGCCGCTCCAAATCACCACCCCAGCAAATCTATCGAGCGCGTTTACAAAATACTAATGGCGGCTCCTCTACGAGCCTACACAGGCACGCGCTAGGGATCCAGATGCAGCGCCATGCGCCTCTTCCGACTACTTCCTTCGTACCCGCGCTAGAAGCTTTGACACTCCATTGCATGGTAGGTGCTTTCGTGATGCAGCTACATCATTGTGATTTGACCATAATCCAGCGTGCAGTTCAGGTCCAGAAGCCAAGCAATGCTTCTTCCGAATGCCAGTGAGAGACTAGGAGCAGGGCGAACGCGCGGATTTTCCGGCGATGTTCAGTCCGCCTTACCGATTAGAAGATTTCTATTTAAAGACTTCATAATAATTGATATCCTTGAAAGACGAACACTTCCAGGGCCGAAAACCCGAAGAAGCGATCAGCAGCCGGGCACGTGAAGCTTCGTGCAAGGAACACTTAGTGCTTCAAAGTAAGTGGGATTGGTCAGAGTGTGAGTAAGATTGCTCAGCTGTGGCATGGTCGAGATCGCATTCGGAGTTCAAGCACTTGCCACCAGAGGTTGCTTACTTTCTCCCTGCACGTTTCACGTTTAGCTCAGTCTCAGTTGTTCGTTGGGGCTTGCACGCATGTCCAGAAAATGCATAACCCAGTAAACAAGCATATGCCTCTTTCCTCTGGGACTCTTCCATCTCCCAGATGTAACTCGAGAGGAAGCTCAAAAGGTATTAATTGCTCAAAGGGATTAGATGCTCATAAAATCAAGTGCGCCGATTGGTAGGCAAATGGCCGGAATTCTGGGCTCATCGATAGGTATCTTGCCGCGCAATCATACAGTCGAGACGTGCAAAGCAATTGAAGCATGCAACGAATATGCAAATACTGGGCTTCGCTTGTCTGCACCCCCGATCTTGCAATTTCTTCCAACACTAGATGTTCGATGTGGCGAAACCGCACATTGATTCAAGGCCGGAGACATGGATAGGATTCGTAACCGTGAATGAGAATCCATTGGTATGCTATGCCATGTTGGGTCAGCAGACAAAGCAAACGCCTAGTTTTTTCCCAAGCCGCATGAGGTTCAAGCGTGCAATGATGTACACGAAGCCTCTGACAGCCATCGTCCCGCCATGACCGTGATGCAAATAATCCGTTTTCGCCCACGACCCCGTCAACCGCGATCCGCTTATTTCTTGTCCTTCTTGCCGCCCTTGGTCTTGGCCGTACCCCGGAACTCCTTGGACCTGTTCTTGCGCTGCTTGCCTGTACGCCGAGATCCGTCAGCATGTGTCCTTCCACGATCCGCCAAACCCGTTTGTACGTACGCTGCTGCCTGCTGGCCTTCTCGATCTTGTTGGCCATGCCGACACGGACCAGCCTGTAGTGAGGCTCGAACTTCTTCATGGCCTCGTTGGAGTCGTAGATGAGAGCGAAGCCGGTGCTCTTGCCACCACCGTACTGGGTCCTGAAGCCGAAGCAGTTGACCTGGTCCTTGCTGGCCTTGTAGAGCTGGGCAAGCTTCTCGCGGAGCTCATCCTTGGAGACGTTGGGACGGTTGGGGTGGAGGACATCCCTGGAGGACGCTGTTAGACGTGCTGTGGCGGGTTCGGTCGGTGTGCATCGGAAACTTACACAACCATCTGCTTGCGGCCAAGGAGAGGGTTGCGGATGAACTTGCGCGTGCGCAGAGTAACTTGCGAGTCGGCCATCTTGACGAGAGGATCGAAGGGACCGGGACGGGCTGTGCGGAGAGTTAGACGGGCGCTGGAAATGCGCGACGCGCAAAAAAAAGTGCAGGAGCAGGTGGAGCTGGGCGACGTACTGAGAGGGGCTCAAAGGTCCTGCGGCGAGATCCTGGGGATGTGTGTGGGTTGTCGCAGCAAGTTGCCGGTCGTCGTCGGTGATGCGAAGATTCGCAAAAGATCAAAACTGTGCATCGTCGTGTGCGGTGTCGCGCCAAGACTCGCTAAACGCTAGGTGGCACCCGCCGCCGCACCGCACGAACTTCAACATTTGCACCGCACCTGCACGCTCGCCCTGTCCGGCCCAGTCGACACCATGAAAGTCTCGTCGGGTGAGATGCAGGCCCTGCAGGTCTTCCGCGCGCAATATTTCCAGCTCCTCGATCTGGTGCAAATGCGCTGGCCCGAGGCGCAGCTCCTCAAGAGGCCCGACGTCCAGGCATGGCTCTTTGCGGAAATGTTCGACAGGGACTCTATTCAGTATCCGCCGCCCGAGAGGTACCAGATGCGCGTACTCAAGCGGGTTGTTTCCACCATCGAGCAAGCTATCGACAATCCCGAAGAGGATGTATGCAAGCCCAATTCTTCCCCTTTTTCTTGCAATGTCAAACGTTCCATCTCCCCTTATCTTTCGTCTTTTCTTTTTGTCACCGTGCCACGAGAAGCACTGGCGAGCAATAATGCCCCTTTCTATTGTTCTGCTTCCCCAACAAACAATCATCCCATCGGACGAGCACGATGATCCCGAGCAACCGCGCGCGCACACGGATACCATGGTGCCGTACGACGCTGGGCCGATGCACATGCGGATACCAGTGAACAGCTGTCGCGCCCAGCTCGTTCCCAACGCAGCTTTCCTCGCGATGCCAGTAGACACTTGTTCTTCTTCGTAGATCGTTCTCGAATGTTTTGTACGTACTAATTCACGTGCTTCTCCGGCGGTGCAGGAATTATCAGACGATCTCATGTCTTCTCTATCTCTTCTCCTAGGCTCCAACCTTCCGTCTGAATCCGCATCGGCCCAGACGAAGTCGTACGTAACTTACAACTTTGGCAATGATCGTGCAGTCACGCTGCTTGAGTCTCGCGCTGTCATCTCTTCATCCGGAACCACTGGGCTTCGCACGTGGGAGGCTGCGTTGCATCTAGGGGCCTATCTGGCTAGCGAGTCTGGCCAGCAGTGGGTCCGAGGTAAAAGAGTGCTCGAATTAGGAGCCGGCACCGGTTTACTTTCCATACTATGCACCAAGCACCTGCAAGCCACAAAGGCCACGGCAACCGACGGAGATGAGGGCGTGGTCGATAGTATCAAGACGAACCTGTTTCTCAATGGGCTTGATGCCCAAGGAAGCACAGACTCGATAGTGCTGAGATGGGGTTGGAGCTGGGCACTGGAAGAGAGTCTCTACTACGAGGGCTCGAAAGATCAATATGACGTTGTTCTTGGGGCGGACGTCGTAAGCCGGAAGCCGAACCACAGTTGCGAGAGCACATTACTAACGTCGACACATGCAGACCTACGACAAAGCCGTCATCCCGGTTCTGGTGTCCACCCTTGCTGATTTGTTGCAGCACCAGCCCTCGCTGCAAATTCTGATCGCTGCTACAATTCGTAACGAGCAGACATTTGAGGCATTTGATGTGGCTTGCCGTACGTCTTCCCTGCACCAGCCACCTACGGCAAACGGCATTGGCTCCACCCCCGGACGATGAGCTGACGATGCGGTTCTAGGCCGGAACAAGTTGAGCGTTGAGGACATGGACTTTGCACCGCCACCGGGTGACGACCAGAATGGCCCGTTCTACCCAACGTCGACGCCCATCCGCATCATCCAAGTATCAAAAACTGGAGACACTGACCCCTTTGCCGTCCAATGACGCCCATGAGGCTGTGGCAGCCTTTGAGCGTCGTCATTGCGCCGGAAGCGGGTCCGAAAGGCGTCTAGAAGGCAGGGCTGGCGGGAAAAATAGCAGCAGACGCCGTAGGGCGGGTAGAGTGGCCAATGTGGTGGGAGTTTGGCGCTGACGAGTCCATCGCGGGACCCACCTAATGAGAGTCGCCGTGAGCGGTGGTGAGGGTTCTCGAACAACAACAGCGTCTCGCGGAGTCATCAGCACGTGTGGCTGACCCACGGCGTCTGAAAATTCGAATCGGGCCGCGCTCGCAATCAGGTGCCGGGGGCGCATGAGCGCGCTGTGCGGGTGCAGGCAACAGAATTCTTGTTCTCGGACACCACGGTTCTCAGAAGGTTGTTCCTGGCCGGCATACCCCGCAGCAACCGGTGAGGTTGGCAGACCCTCGATCCCTGACATAAGTGAAACTCCAGATCGAGCGTCTCTTCAGACGTCCCCACCGCTGCAAAGAACAGCAAGGCTCACTGGCGCGATCGGCTAAATTTCCGTTCGCGCGCGCGCAACGTTACGGAAGTTCTAGAGCGCCGCTCATCAGTGTGCCGGGGCCGAGTAGCGGTGCACGCACACCGCGGGATCACAGCACGTTGAGGTGGTGTCCTATCATGTGGGTGTATGCGGACGGCGCATGTTCTCCGTGGAAGGGACGGCGGCGACGATCCGAGTGGGTGTTCAGGGCCTAGGCGGGCGTGATTCGCGGCATGCGCGTCTGAAGCAGCCCACTGGACCACGGGGCAGGGGCGGCGGCAGCGGGACGGGATGCCCGCCATGCACCGCTGGCAGCGTGCGGGCGCTGACAGGCTGGCATGGTCCGGTCAAAGAGGTTTTGGCCTGCGATGTGGAGAATCCGCTCTAAGCGTGGGGTGACAGCTAGTGGATCTGTAGCGGGCGACTCGGCGGGATGATGTGCTTGATGAGGAATATCGCTCTCGACCTTTGTCCACGCCGGTCCGCGCGCTCACCGGTTACATCGGGAAGTATATCAGAAGCGCCTCCCTCGCGCCAGTGCGGTCCCCAGCAGCCCTCAGCAGGCACATCAAGCACCCTTCAGCCCTCAGCCACCGCCTCGCATCTCCCGCCCCTCTAGAACCCGGCGCGCCGCAATCGCACGCCGCACTACCCGCTTCTAGCCGCGCGCACAGAGCTGCCCCTCGGTGGAGCCGCCTAACGACCGCCGCGCTCAGGCCGGATCGACGCGCATCGCCAGCAGTGGTACATCGAACACGCAGTGAGCCTCCCTGCCGAGCGCAGCAATACGGTCGCGGCTGCAGCTACGCATTGCCGCCGCAATGATGGCTGGCCTGCGCGCCGGTGCCCGAGCAATAGAGCTAACAAGTGGCCGCAGGCGTCCGTCCCTGGCTCCGGCTAGCGTCATTGCGCGATAAGCAAACAAAGCCGCCCAAAGATATCCCTATCTCTCCGCCCGCCCTCTATCTTTGTGTCACTGCCCGACGCCGCCCGTAAAGCAGCATTGCTGTGTTCTACTTTTTGCAACAGCCGTGCACGCGACACCTGGCTGCTCGACCAATACGACCGGTCCTGCAAGAGTCCTGAGCTATAAGCACACCACACACCGCCCACATGGCGACCCAACACGCGCACCATCGCAATCCCTCGCACTCTAAAAGGGCCGCGCAGTCCCACCCGCGCGTCTCGAGGCCTGCGCTGCTCAAGCGTTCCAGCAAGTCGGCGAACAAAGTCCCCCAGCTCGCCGCCCAGCGCAAGGACGAAGAGCCCGAAGACGACGCCATGGCCGCCAGCTTTCTGAACTTCTGGTAAGCCTCCCGCCCTTGGCGCCGTGACGCAACGCTGACTCGATCCAGCACTGTGTGCGAGAAGCAGATCATTGTGCCGAACAACTCGATCCTCTACTGCTCCGAAAGGTTAGTCACGGCTCTGGTCCACACTTGGCCGCTCTCCACGCTAACTTGCTCCCTAGTTGCCGGAAGAAGGACAACACCAAGACCATTACCTTTGAGCCGTCGCCGCCTCCGACGCCATACTCTCTCCGCTCCTACGAGGACTTCTCTCCTTCCCGCGACATCGTTCCTCCTCGCTCCCCTACTGCCATTCCCTCAAAACGCCTCTCGTACGGTTACTCCGATGGCTCCGACGACGAAGCACCCGAGTGGTCCCAGGAGAAGTCGAAGGAGTCGGACGCGGCCCGTTACTTGAGGACATTTTCGGCAACCGACATGGCGGCCCAAAGGTCAAAGCGGTCTTCTACCTCGACAGTGGCATCGACAACAAGTACAGCGCCATCGTTGTCACACACGCCGAGCAGTTCTACCAGCATGTCGATACCGTACACACCCGCAAGTCGACCGCTGCCGAGACGGAACCCTCATGGATCCTCTTACGGCACCCGTTCAATCGATCTCGTCAACCCCTTTTCGGCCGCTCACCCGACGACGGCCCCTTCAAGTCTGACCCAATGGTCATTCAAGAGCGGACCGAGCTGCAAGATGTCAACCGGGCTTGCCGAGGGCGAATTGGAGCTGTTTGAGAAGAAGGTTCCCAACGCGGCGTCGCCGAGTCAGGGCAGTCTCAAACAATTGTTTGCCTTCAGTGCTATGCAAGCACCGCCGAGTAGTACGGCATCAACAATGCGACCCTCCTATTCGTGATCACGTCGCGCAGGCCGTCGCTTAGTGTGATTGCGGCCTACCGATGGGGAGGCGGATGGGTTGTCGAGTCATCGATGTGGTAGCACAAAATGCTCCACTTCATTTCCGGGAATTTTCTTGTACCAAAAAGCGTGGGATCTTTGTTTTTTTTTAGACGGCGGCCATACATATCATCATCACATTCAGGAGTTCATTTAATCTAATATCCGGTTCCAGCCTCTGTGGCTGTTGGTTCTCATCTCAAGGTTTCAGCTTAGACGGGCGCAAATGGGTTGGGAAGCGCTGGCGTTTGACCCTTCCATTGCGCTGGCAGACGGGAAAAAAAAGTTTCAATGTTGGATTTTAGACACATCTCACTCCCCGACCTTCCGCTTTTTCGCAGGTTATTGGAGATGGCGCCCGTTACTAGATCGGACCGCGCCCTTGGAAATACATTCACCGGTTTGCAACCGTGCCACTTTTTTTTTCCCACGCGGCTCCGCATCGCTTGCATCTTTGACGCCCACACACGCGTGAACGAAATATGATAAGTCGTCCTGGCTTTTCCTGGTCCCACTTGTTGGGTTTGCTAGATAACGAAGATTTGATGATAGCCGCAGGATCCGCGATGGTCTGAAACGTCTCCGCATCACCGGCCATGGCAATCCGACCAAATGCGCCTCACGCACGGAATGGCAATCACTACAAGGCCGCACGTGGGGACGTTCACTTATGCGTCTTCTGCATATTCCATCCGCTTCCGCGGGCGACTGCGGCAGCGGCGCTACAGCAGTGTGACGTGTTGCTCCCCGCCATGCCTTGGGAGGCCTTGCAGCAAGCAGCAGGAGCCCTGCTTTTCCTGGTCACCGGAGTTGTGGGCGCCTCGCGCGGCCCCCCGCCCCAGACGCCACGGCGGAGGGGGGGGGGGATCCACATCACTTGCGTGTCTCTCCCGCCTTCTGGCGACATTCGAGAATGCCGCTGGTGTGCTTGGCTTTTTCCTTGTTCTTTCGTCTGCTTTTCCCGTTTCTCTTCCTTGCTTTACTTTTCTGTTCCCCTTGCAATTGGACTGTGGTGCGCGATATACATGGGTACTGGTGAAGCTGAACACATGGGGTGCTCGTGTCAGAGTCGCACGCACGTATTCTAGCTTGCTTATACGTGCTTCTTGTTTTCTTAGTGGAAGCTACGGTGTTTACAGGGGGGGTATCGCAGCCGAAGGCCAGCGTGAAGAATAGTAAGGCTCCAGACGTAACTATGCCTCAGCGCCTTTTTTTTATTGAAAAATAATACATGTGGGTAGTTGAAGCTCTCGTCCGGACGAGAATGTGGAATCAAAATTCTACATACACGTCGGGACGATAGCTTCAGCTACCCATGACATGAGCAAAAAGCAAATCTACGCTAGCCATCGGCTACGAGAAGGGACTGTAAGACGATATTTCACGAGAAGATGCCGTGGGTTACCCCTGTCGTCTTACGGCTTCCCTGCGGCACGAATTCTGTTCCAAGGTTGTAGCCTGCTTGGCGTAAACAGCGCGCTTCTTCTGATGAAGCAAAAGACAGGAGAGTGTAAAAAATGTCATAAGAAAAGAAGCGTTTCAGCCTAGGACTCTTCTTATTATTCGACTTTGTCACTATTCCCTTCCATCATCTAGATATGAGACTGGGGAAAATGAAGGAAAAGAAGCCAGAGCAAACAAAACAAAAGCCAACGGGTCGTCGCCGCCGTTTTTGCCACACAGCTGATGGCACCTGCTGCATTACCGCCGTCATCGGATACCTACTCTGCCTCTGGTGGGCACGCTCCGAGCTCTCCGAAGCAAAACGTCAACGGGCCACGGCGACAAGCCAGTAGCAACAGCGAGACGGGATTGTGTGTTTTGTTGGTCATTAGTGGGCTCGGCCGAGTGTGAGAAATGGCTATGGGGAACAAGGTAGCTAAGACATTACCTGTCGATTATGGATATGAGAGAAAGCTGAAGATGCTGCAGTGGAATTCCACCTCAGTGGTTGTCTACAGAGGGTAATTGTAGCCGAAGGCAAGCGCGAAGAATTACCGGATCCTCCAAGGTAACTATGCCTCAGCTTTTTTTTTAAAAAAAAAATAAAACAACATATGGGTAATTGAAGCTATCGTCCAGAGGTGTATGTAGAGTTTTTAATTCGACACTCTCATCCGGACGATAGCTTCAACTGCCTATGACACGGGTGAAAATAAATTAAGGTAGCTTTTGGGAGCAATACCCTTCTGTAAGTTGTACCCAAAAACCTAGTTAATTCGTTATTGATGAGACTACAGATCGATGATGGTAAAAGAGAAGCCCGACTATAAGGGAGTGTAGTCAGTGGTGGTGACTCGCGCTTACACTGCCGAATGCGGTAAGTGGCGGTTTGGATGACAGCATGCGGCAGAAGGGCGGGCTGACTGCAGTCATCAGGGCTTCGGGGTCCGCGCTCTCCAGGCATCCATCGCCTCGACGACAGTTCTCCTGAAAAGGTAAGATGACGCCGTGAAGTTTTGTCCGGTGGCTGCGCACGGTGTGGGGGCGGCGTTAACACGGTCGAGAAGACAACAACGGAGTTTAGCAAGACACAACATAAAACGATCCAATTCCTCGGCCAAGTGCTTACGCCGCAGAAGAACAACTTATTCCGAAAATGCATGTCATCCTCACTGGCGCTACGGGCCTGGTTGGCTCGGGAGCTCTTGCTCAAATCCTAGCCAACATGAACGCCGGTGGACCCATCTCGCGCCTTTCCATCCTTAGCAGGAGTCCCGTGCCCATGGCTGAGGGCAAGAAGAACGTGACCGTCATCCAACACAAGGATTTCGAGAATTATCCGTCCGAGGTGCTGAAGCAGTTAGACGGGGCTGAGGCGTGCATCTGGGCCCAGGGTATCAGCCAAAACCAGGTCGGCAAAGAGTGAGTGCATCGCGAAATTGCACGAATAGTAGTGCTGACGCCAGCACAGCGAGTACATCAAAATCACCCAGGATTACCCGCTCGCGGCAGCAAAGGCCTTTTCCGGCCTCAACGACCCATTCAAGTTTGTCTACATCTCGGGTTCGCTTCTCCCAACCCAATGGCCTCCTACCTTTGTTATCGACTAACACGCCGCCAGGCGAGGGTGCCACTCAAGCGCCCGGATATTTCACCCCACTTTTTGGCCGTATCAAGGGCATCACTGAGACGCAGCTCCTGGCGCTTCAAGGGTCGGGCTACCCGTCTCTCCGGGCGTATTCGGTGCGCCCGGCCTTCGTCGACAAGGCCAACCACCCCGAGGTCATCGAAGCCCAGAAGGGCCGCTTTCCCATGAAGGACTATGCTACCGCTGTCTTTGGCCCCCCCGTCCGCGCCTTCGCCAAGGGCTACGTTTCACCAACCGCGCTGTTGGGCGATTTCTTCATCAAGCTGGCCGTGGGTGACGGCGCGCCGGTAAAGGGCGACGACGTGTTGGAAGGAGGGCGCATCATCCCGAACAAGGCGTTTAGGAGGATCATGGACGAGGATGCCGCCAAATAGTGTTCGGTCGGCTTTATCGAGGTGTTTTGGCGCAGCAACTCTCCGGGGCCATTGAGGCATGATAGATCGAGCGTTGTATTACTCGTAGTAATGATTCTCCTCCAAATGACATTTTGCAGAGTTGAGTGTTTGAATTGCAGTGACGATGCCGGAGAATTTCCGGCGGGGCGTTTGATGACAACCGAGCACGGTCCTAAAACTCTCTTCCTCCATAAACTTTCCCAAAATCCTGCTGGGGGCTCCAGCCGAAGATATGGCTTTCGCTTCAGCTTATATGCACGTCGTATGGTTTGCAGGGCCATATCAACACCTAGGTCTCCGCTCTTATCAGGTCTATCTGAATCATGCATGTACTTGATAGGGCGCGCAATAATGCTGGCATAATGCGTCATACAACATTCTGATAGCTGATACTTTTCCAACTCATCAACTCAACCAATATCCTTTCCCTATCCCTTATCTCTACACCTTATTCTTGCGCAACAATGGAGGTCCCGTCATTCATTCGCCCATCCGTGGCGCGCCAGATCAAAACCATTGACATGCATACGACTGGAGAGCCTACCAGAATCGTATACTCAGGCTACCCAGATATCACGTACATCCCCGCTAGCTGAATCAAACCCCGAAGCATGCACTAAGGCTATTGCTAGCGGGACCCTTCTCGAACAACGGGCAACCGCTCGCGCCGAGCACGACCACATCCGACGCAGCCTCATCTTTGAGCCACGCGGGCACCATGACATGTACGGCGCCGTGCTTCGGCCGTCGACCGAACTCGTCGACACGGGTGCCGCGCACATGGGTGCCCTCTTCCTGACGCATGAGGGCTACAGCACCATGTGCGGCCACGCCACCATCGCCCTCAGCCGCCTCCTCGTCGACTGCGACGACGCCACCATCTTCCCCCGCCGCCACGAGCTCCGCTTCGACCAGGGCACCCGCACCGTCGAGCTACGCCTGCACGTGCCTTGCGGCCTCGTCCGGGTCAACGTGCCCGCCATCCAAACCGGCGACGACACATCTTCCTTCCGCACCGACACCTCCCGCCCCATCACCTACCTCAGCGTCCCCAGCTTCGCCACCGCCATCTCCATCCCCATCCCCGTTCCCCCCTCCCTCCGCTGGCCCGAACTTGCCTCTTCCCCATCCACCACCACCGTCACCGCCTCCGTCGCCTTCGGCGGCGCCTTCTACCTCATCGTCCCCGCCGCACACCTCGGCTTCCCCGCCGACGCCCTCTCCTCCCCCAACCCCCCCATCACGGCGCTCCGCCACGCCGCCATCAACCTCAAAGCCGCCTTCACGCAGTCGGCCGAGCTCTGCGCCGCGCACCTGCGCCACCCGCACTCGCCGGACCTGCAGTTCCTGTACTCGGTCTTCGTCACCGAGGCCGGCCGCGGCGAAGTGCTGGATGGTTGTGATGGCGCCGAGACGGGCTTGTGCGTCTTCGCCGACGGCCAGGTCGACCGCAGTCCCACGGGCAGCGGCGTGCAGGCTCGCGTGGCCCTGGCCGTGGCCAAGGGCGAGCGGGGCGTCGGGAAGGAGCGCTGGGTGTACCACAGCCTGCTGTCCAACGCGTTTGCGGGGAAGGGTGGGTTTGTGGGCAGGGCGGTCGAGGAGGTCGAGATTGGTGGTGACGGGGAGAAGATTAAGGGTGTCAGGGTCGAGGTTAGCGGATGGGCGAATTATACGGGAGTCAATACGTTTGTGGTCGAGGAAGGGGATGAGGTTGGTGCGGGCTTTTCATTCGAGGCATTGGGAAGTTGAAGTAGCTGTAGAGAAGATAGAAAAAGTGCTTAGTAGGCTGGGATATTCCCTTTTTGGGAGTGATTTCGAGTGTATAGGTGGATGAAGGGGTCATGATTTTGTATGTGATAGCCGCATGACAATCTAAACTCCTGTGAGTATTGAAATTGACGAATAAATGGAACCAACGAATGATGCATATCAAACTAGCTGAATCTAAAAGCATAATACGTGGTGCGACAAACCCAGCAATGCAGGGAAAGAAAACAGAATAATCAAAACGTTAAATCTGGTAGTGAACACTTCAACTTTGCAGCAACTCCAACTCTCTTTCCCACCTCGACTTTTTCCCGCTCTTGGCCTTCTTGGGCGGCGGCAGAGGCGACGATTCGCCTGCCTCGTCCCCATCCCTTTTGCTCGATCTTGTGCGCTTCTTACTAGCACTCGATTGCTTTGCTGGTGTAGCCTTGCCCTTTCCAGATTTCTTGGGCTTGGACGATGATTCTAGCTTCACCACATCTCCGCTCTGCTGTACACTTACTGACGCAGGTGAAGGGTCGGACTTCTCTTGCGGAGGCGGCGCGGTCTGCGCCGGTGTGATTGACTCAACAGGCAGAGAGGCGGGTGTAGGTGTACGAGGCGGCGTTTCCGGCATCCGCAGGTCAGGAGTGCTCACAAAGGACTCGCTCGCAAGCCGGTCCCACTCCTCATCCGGAGTCGCTTCGATCAGTGCATCCTCCTCTCCTGTAGTCGTCGTTGAATCCAGCACCCCCAACTCCCGCATCATCTCCACAAACTCCGTCCACGCCCTCCTCCGCTGCCCCTCCCTCATCTCCCTGAACCATCGCGGCACATCCAAATCGTCCGCCACGACCAACTGCTCGCTCCCGGCCACCTCCCGCTCCGAAAACTGCATCACCTTCTTCCCGCCCTTCTTCACCCACTCCCTCACCACGAACTCCATCATCACGTCCCCCCCTTGCTTAGCCCTCATCGACGGGTCACCATCGAACGCAACCCTCCACCTCCCCCTCCAACCACCGCCGTCGCTCTTCGTCTGCTGCAGCAGCACCGCCAGCGCCGCGCTCGAGAACTCGTCAAAGTAGCGCGGCATGCGGATGCGCAGCCGCCGCAGCCGCGTGAACCGCAGCGCCGTGTCGCGCCACCACGCCTGCCACCCGCGCGCCTCGCGCTTCAGCAGCGCCCGGCCGAAGCGGAGCCCCTCTTCGTCATCCTCCTCCTCCTTTTCTTCTTGGCCACCTTCCGCTCCGTCGTCGGCTGTGTTACGGGGTATGAGTAGCTGCCCCATCCAGTCTGGATACCGGATCACCAGCTCGTCCGCGCACGCGGCGATGCTGGCCTGTCCCGTGAAGGGCGTGGCGGCGCCGACGCGGGCGCTGGCGGCGAGGAACGCGAGCTCTTGCTCCCGCTTCGGCAAAGACTCGGCCGCCACATAAGAAGAAGGGTCCCAGGGGTCGTAGTTATCGTCGTCGTGTGAGAAGTCGTTGCCGGCCTCGACGGGAAGTGTGAGCCACGGCGTGTAGTCGTCGTCATGGTCGGCGGGATGCCCGGCGGTGGCATCACCCCAGTACAGTCCCGTGTGGGAGGAGCGGGGCCGGTTGCCGATGAGGAGGCGGACGGGGATGCTGACGTAGCGAAGGGTGCAGAAAGCGCTGAAAATGGGGGCGATGAGGTCGGTGTTTATCCGCGTTCTCCTCCTCTCTTCGTCGGATTCAGCCTCGGGCAACTCGATGCCTACGTTCCACGGAAAGTTGCGGGCGTCTACTAGCGGGTCAATGTCCCAGAGCGGTGCCCAGCCGAAGCGTTGGTGGAGGAGGCAGAACGCCTGCATCGACTCGCCGGTTGGGTCGTCTACGAAGATGCCAGAGGATGACGGTGGCTCGTGGCAATGATGTGGGCTCGGAGAAATGAAGGAGAATGGACTGACTGGGATCTCGTTGATGACTTCTTGATCGTTGCAAGAGAGTTTGTCGCAGTGATTGAAAGCGTCAGCTAACTGAACCAGGAAGTAGTTTAACCCAGGGACTGGACTCTCGTGTCTGTTGGTCACCAGGTATTCCACCAGTAGGGAGTCTTTCTCGCTCAAAATATAGCTAGGCTCCGACTGCCCTTTTGTTCGTTGTGGGCTATTTGCCCACTGACGCAGAAAATCCCTGGTTTCTCTGTCCCGTAGGCGCTGAGATGATTTCTGAGGCGGAAAGATCTCTACATTGAGTGATTCGTGAAGCTGCTTTTTCTCAAATTTTCCTACTGATGTCTCGTACTTGCACGAGTGCTCGTCATATATAGAGAAAGCGTGGATGCTCGTCTCTCCCGCCATGGTAAACTTTGTGTTCTCAACGTCGGCTTCCCGCGCTGGCGCAAATCGACGAAGAATGTCTCCAAAAGATATGGAGACCCTGCTGATGTTTGTCCGTTCTCGCAACATCTTGACGATGCGTGGTGCGAACTCGGCCTGGTAGAATTCGATCGCCCGCAGAGAGTCCGGGGCATTGTCCTCGAGTCCCTTGACGATAGTGCAGAAGTGTGCATGCGAGCCCTCGTCTTTGGAGCACGCTTGACGCGGGCGCCACAGTTGGCTCAGTGCCGGATTGAGAGAGGGACCTCTGATGGCAAGTGTCCGGAGCTGCTTACACTCGGTGATCACCGACGTGACGTCTAAGGAAGTCTGTCCAGATGTTGTCTTGCGACGGCTATGGATTTCCATGTTGTCACGCCTGTCGTATCCAGATCCGCTGCCCGATTCGACATGCCTGTGTTTCCAGTCGTGCAGTGCGTTGCAGCCCCAGTGCCTAACCCAGAGCTTTTCGAGACGATCTAGCAGTGTCTTGTGGTTGCACAACTGCTCATATGCCTCAAAGTCATTTAAGATTGATGATTGCTTGCCCTGGATGTTATGAGCGAAATCGTCGTCGTAGATGATAGTATCTTGCAAGTCGCTTAAGTCAAGCTCTGTCAGTTTTGGGAGGTTCTTTTCGACCCATTCATAATCCTTGAATGTGTGCCAGTGGCTCATGGCCAGCCGACGGATTTGGTTGCGGTTGCTGTCGTTGACTGAATCCTGGAAGGCAACCCATTGTGGTTGGCATTTTTCTTTCCACTCGTGCCATGTCAGGCCGTCAAAATCGTGAAAACGTGGTGCAGGCGTATAGTGATCCATGGCAAGAATCGACTCGGGCTCGTTGAGCGACAGCAGAAAGCCGAACGTCTACAGTAGAGGTGGATGAGAGCGTTCGATGCATGTTGTGGGGTCAGTTGAATAAAATGTCATTGATGTCTTTGTTTGTCTTTTCTCTTATGATTGTCCGGATCGAGCAACTCCAGGTTGCGAGCGTCCATGGAAACAAAGCAGCCTTGGCAGAGGACGTCACAAATGAAAACCGGCATGTAACTGAAAAGATGTGAGGTAGCGGCGACAATTGATGGTTTGTTAGTAAGCAAGCCTGCGTTGATCTGGACATTAGATGGCCAAGGCGGACAGTGAATCCTTCCAATGGCGCCAAGGTAGCAGGCTGAGGCTCCTTAAACGAAGTTTAAACGCTGCGCTCGAGACTCGCTGATGGAAATGCAGGGTGTCTTGGCCACTGATGCCAAGAAGTCTTCGCGCGTGCACTAAAGATCAAGTGGCACGCCAGACGAAGATAGTACGCTGCTACTTGGTGATATCAAAAGATCCATCTACTGTGAATTCTGACTGAGCAAAGCAGAAAGTGCGAACCGATAGTCCCAGACCAAGCACGCATTCGCAAAAAATCACATGCAAGAAGGAGAATCGAACGACCAGTCGGGGAGGATAATAGGATTGAAGGATGTCTGATGGGAACGTGGTCCAAAAGAAAACCGGAGGGGATTCGACGTAGACCGGTGTTCGGCTAAGACAGATTTAGCTCGACGCCGGTCAATCCCCTACTGCCGCCGTACCAAGAGCATCAAGTCGTCGCTCATTCTTGAAACATGACGCTAGCCTGGCGGCTGCGCTTACTTCTGCATCATAAGCTGCACAAACTCGTTGTCTGCAGGGAAAAAGTCAGCCGCACGGTTCAATTTTCAGCAAGGGAGAGGGGTGTTTACAGTCGATCCTGCCGTCGCCGTCCTGGTCCGCCTCGCGGATCATCTCGTCAACCTCGTCATCGGTCAGCTTCTCGCCAATCGAGGTCATGACGTGACGGAGCTCGGCAGCGGAGATGAAGCCGTTGTTGTCACGGTCGAAGACCTTGAATGCCTCGCGGATCTCCTCCTCCGAGTCGGTATCCTTCATCTTGCGGGCCATCATGGTCAGGAACTCTGCAATTCGCCGTCAGCACACGCCTCTTCCATCGCCACCGGCAGAAGATTTCGTACCAGGGAAGTCAATGGTGCCGTTGTTGTCGGCGTCGACCTCGTTGATCATGTCCTGCAGCTCAGACTCGCTGGGGTTCTGGCCCAGAGAGCGCATGACGGTGCCGAGCTCCTTGGTGGTGATTTGTCCTGCATCGCGTCCGGTCAGTCGTTGCGTGTTCCGCGGCCGAAGTGCCAATTGTTCGCGTGAAAAGTCGTGAGTCGTGGAAGCAGCAGGTGGGGCAAGGCTGGCAAGAAGCGGTCGGCAGCCAACGCCGGCACTCAAGGGCGTCGGAGAGGGCAAGAGAGTGCGCAGGGCGCGGGCGATAAGCGCGCGGGGTACGTACCATCACCGTCCTTGTCCTGCAGTGGAGAAAGGCAGCGTTAGTAGGGGGTTCGGCGGGCTGACAGCGGCCAGGAGACCAGGCGGGCAGGCGTGGCGGCCTTGCGGCGTGGAAAAAAGGGGACAGGAGGCTTACAAAGAGGGAGAAGGCCTCCTTGAACTCGGAGACTTGCTCCTCGGTGAGAGAGTCGGCCTGGAGAGCGTGCGTGTCAGCGGGCGTTGGGTCGAACAATGTTTCGCACAAGGCGGGGTATCAGCAGCGACGCACCATTGTTGTTGTTTGTGGTGGTGGGGTGGGGTGTTGCGGGAGGAGGGCACTGGGAAGGCGTGCAGATGGGGGTGCGGTGGGAGTCGGTGCGGGCGGGGCTGCGAGGCGGACGGACGACTATTATAGCAGTCGGCGTGTTGTTGCGGCTGAGGAGACGATCAGGATGAGGATTGCTGCTTGGTGTCTCTTGCCGGGGCGCGCGACAGGGCCAGCAGGCGGAACCAGCGCGCACGCTTGGCCGCCAGCCCTGCGAATGGCGCGCCGCTGAGCCCTAGCAAATTACGTTGCCGGCCCGGAGCAGCAGCCACGACAGCCCAGACAGCGCGCTGCGACCACCACCGGCCGGCATGTGAAGCAGCTCCCGCCCCAGAGCACTACCCAGACTCCCAACAGCGATGCGCTGGACGCGCTGACGACTCAGTCCCTCACGCCTCCCCCACCGCCCAAGCCATGTGGCGCGACCGCACCAACCTGTTCGTTCCGCCCGCTCCCCGGCCCTTCTGTGCTGTGCTGACCCAAGCTCCAGCTTCATCTCCTACCGCCAGTCGTACTCGCACCACCCTGCCAAGCGGAAGCCCCTCTACGCCGGGCCCTCGAATGGCTATGCCGACAATGCCGCCCTCAACGATGAGCGCCGCGGGCTCATGTCCGCCTTCGACGACCCCAACGACGGCGATGCGGTCATCGAGATGGACGTGCTGCCGCCGCGCTGGCTAGACATTCAGGACGAAGTCACGGAAAAGCTGCAGGACATCGCCGTGCAAACGAAGCGCCTCGACCAGCTGCACCAGAAACACGTGTTGCCAGGCTTCGACGATGACGACGTGAAGAAGCGCGAGGAGCGCGAGATAGAGCGCCTTACCCAAGAAATAACACGCGGCTATCAGAGCTGCCAAAATGCGATCAAGCGTGTTGATGCCATGTTGCGCGAGAGTGCTCAGCGCGAGGGCGGGAGTACCAAGGGCGAGGAGGTCATGGCGCGAAATCTCAAAGTCTCTTTGGCCTCGCGCGTTGGAGAGTCCAGCGCAGCTTTCCGCAAGAAGCAGTCGGCTTACTTGAGGAGTGTGTACTCCCTTTTTATTCAGTTTCAATCTGGCATTAGGACAAGACAAGACTGACAAATCCTGCAGAACTTCGCGCTCTCGGCGGCCTATCCTCTCCCTCGCGCACCGGCTCACCCAGCCCTCAAAACCCATACACCGACCCTTCCCTTCAGGAATCTTACGATGATACGTCCTTGTCCCGTGCCACCCTCCAACAAACCGCCCAAGTCCGCTCCCATGTCCGTAAGGACGCCAATGAGGCAATCATTGCGCAGCGCGAACGCGAGATCGATGAGATTGCAAAGGGCATTATCGACCTTGCCTCAATATTCCAAGAGTTACAAACCATGGTCATTGACCAGGGCAGCATGTTGGATCGCATAGACTACAACGTAGAACGAATGGCCACGGACGTCAAAGCTGCGGACAAAGAGCTCACTGTAGCGACGAACTACCAACGGCGCACAGTCAAACGAAAAGCGATGCTCCTTCTCGTTATCTTAATTGTTGGAGCCTTCATCCTTCTAGGATTGAAGCTTGGCAGCCGGAGTAGCAGTTCCAGCATGAGTCCACCGCCTGTCGTTCCGCCTTCACGACCGGAACCACCGGCCGCTCCAGAACCACCATCTGAGCCGGATACTCCTGCGGAACGTCTCGGCGTAATTGATGGGAGGACAGCGCTGAGACGCGCTGTAGGCGCACCCGATGGGAGAAGCAGAGAACGGTTACGCCGGCGGAAGCGCAAAGTACGGCAGGCCGGTGATGATGTCATGGCTTTGTTGTGATTTACCATTTCCCTTTATTTGTTTTTTTCCTCTTCTAGAGCGACGGCACGCGCTGCATCACATCTCCTAGTATCTGTAGTAGTAGAAGAACGAAGACAAGGAAGAATATACCAAAAATTATCCTAAACGATTACCGAACCATAGTTCTCATCCCTGCCGCCCCTGTCAAATTCCACGGGCAACCACTTTCATTCGCTCAGCCCTAACTCAATTCAACACACACCGCTTTGACATCGCCGGCCTCACCGACCCATGGAAGATAGACCAAAAGTTCCCCACGACAACTCGTATCGGACGCCGCGACTGACAGGAAATACTTTTTCGGCGCGATAACTACGTAGCTACCAGTGGTGGCGCAGGACACGCGAATCCGAACACGTAAAGATTCACCGTGCCACCGGCGTGCCGTCTCCGCGGGCGCAGCAGCAGACTTCGGCTTTTCTATACGAGCAACGGTCCCCGGCCCGCCCGTGTGCTATCTTTAGCGATAGACGTTGTGGAGAGGCGAGCTCGAAGCGAAGCTGCGATGTGCTGTCTCTCATTAAACTCGGTTCTTTGTTCTTTCTTTTTCTCTCCCCTATGAATGAACATTAATTTGAAAATTGTCAGGGGCAAGAAGGAGAAAAGGAGTGAAAATTGAATGGCATCTTCCGTTTCATTTTTTCTCTCACCCAAAACGTCATTGTGTCTGCAAGGTAGGCGCAGGGCTGCGCTTGAAACATGCCACGGCAGCAGAAACTGTGGGGATGCCAATGCAGGTCCGAATGTCAGAACCAGGGCGTCGACCATCTACTCGGGTAGACTGGAAATTCCTATCCAATAAGAATGCTGGGTATTAGAATCTACAGTAGCATGAAAGAACTCATCAATTCAAAAGGGAAAAGGAAGGAGACCGAAGCCAACAACATCGCATATCATTCCTAACTCACTGTCGGGATCGTCATCTTCCAGCCGTGGCTGAGTCGACACTAAGCGCCCAGAGAGCACGCCACCACCGCCGCCGCCTACTCCCTTCGTGAAGCCCTGAAACGACGGCGAGTCGTGAATTCCCGGCGAATCCTGACCGCACTCGTAGATGTACTGCTGGATGTCCGTGTGCAGCCGTACGAAGTCTAGCCGCACGTCCCCGTTACGCTGCTCTGCGCCTTCGAGCGCTCTGAGCGCAACGTGGTACTGGGAGACGTCATTGGCAAGCATCATGTTGAAAGGCGCCGTCGTGGTACCCTCCTCGCGGTACGCCTCAATGGTCACACAGCCACTCTGCGGCTGGCTGGAGAGTGAGGCGGCAAGCTCATTGCGGTAGCTATGGTAGTTGAAGTGAATGGGCCTGTCCGGCGTGAAGAGCGCATTAAAGGCTTGCGAGCTGAAACTGTGTAGGTGAGAGCCGTCCAGATTCAAGACCATGAGATTAGTCACGTTCACATCGCGAATGCGGAGTATGAGTGTGATTTCGCGGAGAAGCTCTACAGAGGGGTACTGCAGCCGATGGCTAGTGCGAAGGATATCAGGGCCCTCGAACATAGCGTAAGTATGCCTCAGTTCTTTTTTTTTTTTCAAACAAAAAAAGAACATGTATGGGTGGTTGAGGCTATCATCCGGGTGCAAATGTGGAATTAATAATTATACATTCATGTCCGGACGATAGCTTCAACTGCCCATAACATGAGCGAAAATAAATTCACGCTAGCCGTCAGTTGCAATACCGCCCTGTACTGTGTAGATACCGCCTCCACTACTTTGAATGTGAACTCAACACCGATATCGATGAGAATCATATTGGGATCGCCTCCGGGGTTCGTGCTGCAGAATTTTAATACATCAGTGCCAGCACTGTAGTGGGTTTCGACTTCACCCCGGTCGAGGAAGACGGATGTAGGCTGCTTAGAGTCAACCATTATTGTTCATGTGGCTTTTAGAACGGAGGTAGTGGTTAAGGGTGGAAGACACAGCTGAGCTGCTGCAGGCTTTGGATTCAGCACGGCGCCGTTAAAGGACGGGTTTTAGTGAGATAACCCGTTATACTCCTGTCTTGTCCACGTGGACGTCTCAACATAGTTACTGAAGGCGACATCTCCTCTCCAGTGTCACTCTATGGCCTGGATAGGGGGTTAGCGCTGCTCATTGAAAAGGCTAATTGCTCAAGGACTTACCATATTCGTGAATTTCGCATATTGTGTTTGAAGACTTCATTACTCTTGTTGGTCTTGAGCTCATCTGATGAGAATATCTGTAAGATCCTCGGGTTCTGAACTAAAAATTCATCGAGTAAATCCCCGATGGTCTTCATGTAGCTTGTTTCTCTGCCTTTGTTGACACCGAGCTTCATCCAGCTCGGTATACTGATACCTTCGAGGGTTTATAGGTCTCTTTTGATTGTCTGAGCTTTTTGTAGTTATTCTCTGGGATCATTTTGAATATAGAGTCTTGAGGGGTTTCGTTTGTGCTGAGGTGATTGAGTTGTGTAGGCTCTGCTTCATGTAAGCATATTCTAGATAGAATTTGCCTAGACATAATAAATCAACGAGCAATGGCGTGGGGCTGAGTAGCACCGGGGAGCTATGGCCACATATGACGGCATGATCATGCCGTCTAGCTCACCCGATTCGGGAAACAGCTGTGGTTGGCGTGAGCAACAAAGACGCGACGCATACGCGAGCTGGAGATTGGTAGGCCAGTTATGGCTAGATGCTGCTTCTTCGGCAGCAATATGAGTCTGCCAAATTTGCCGGTCCAGTGGCAGCATAAGGCTGAGTGGAAGGATGCTCGTGATGATTGTGGAGTGCTGGTGACGTCGGCGAGGGGACCAGGCTGGGGCTGGAAGGCGCGGGGAACGGCGGAGCCGGCTTACCGTGTTGGCGAGCTCCGTGCCGTATTGTAGCCTGAGTCGCAGCCTGGATTTAGCCCTGCCATGCCTCGCCCAGTCTCTCCTCCGTGAGGCAGGAGACGTGGAGTGAGCGCCAACCGCCAGTATAAGACGGGTTTTGGAGCAGGCGCTCTCTGCTGGTCGCTTGTCGCCTTCTTGCATTGCGCTGCTTCTCGTTGTGCATTTGTCCCTGCGTGCCTGCGCACCTGTGCCCCGCGCCATTCGGACCCATCGACGATTGAGGGGCCCCACTGCGGCGAAGCTCATTACCAACCCGCCATCCTCCCCAGTACCGAGTCTCTGGTCAGCCACCTCTCCCCCACCATCACTGCAATACCTTCTAATCGCTGCACAGAGACCCGACGATTGCAATCCAACCATTTGCCCACCATGACCAAAATCATCCTCTCCGCGAATGCGGGCTCCTCATCCGTCAAGGTGTCTGTTTACGCCTCCAATGGCAATCCTGATGAATTGAAGCAGCTTGCTGAGGCATCTATTTCTGGCCTGACTGCACCTCCCGCCAAGCTGAGCTACGAACGTGGCAATGAGAAAATCAAGAACAAAGAGCTCGAGGGTGCAATGTCTCAAGAGGACGCCTTCAAGTACATCATCGAGCATCTGCTGAAGGATGAAGGCCTACCCGAGCTGAGGCACAGGGAAGATGTCGAGTTCGTCTGCCATCGTGTCGTCCATGGTGGTGACTATCCCAAGGCTCAAGTTATTGACGACAACATCTACCACCACATTGAGAAGTTGTCCGATCTGGCTCCCTTGTAAGTTGCTTCTCTTCAGCCCCTGTCTTCTCGTATTCTTTTTTTTTTGTTCGTCTACCATCTCCTTGGGCTCCCCCGTGGTAGTGCAGTGTTGACCATGATGACCAGGCACAACGCTGGCGCTCTCACCATCATTCGGACTGTAGGTAAAGAGCTTCCGGCCTCCACCAATGTCGCTTATTTTGATTCGGCATTCCATGCCACAATTCCTGAGGTAAGCGAACTATTGTGGTCATTTTCAGAATTGCACATCTGACCTGAGCCCAATCAGCATATCCGCACCTACCCCATTGACCAGAGCATTGCGAAGCATAACAAGCTTCGCAAGTATGGCTTCCATGGAATCTCCTACCACTTCATCTCGCGCGTTGTCGCGCAGCACCTGTCCAAGCCGCTCTCTTCCCTCAACATCATCGCCCTACACCTGGGCAGCGGCGCCTCGGCTTGCGTCATCAAGAACGGGCAGTCCTGGGACACGACCATGGGGCTGACGCCGCTGGCGGGGCTGCCGGGCGCCACACGCAGCGGCAGCATCGACCCGTCGCTCGTCTTCCACTACACGCACGACGCGGGCATGCCCAGCCGCAGCAGCACCAAGGAGATGCACATCACCCAGGCCGAGGAGATCCTCAACAAGCAGAGCGGCTGGTCCGCCTTGACCGGCACCACCGATTTCGGCAAAATCTCCGCCAGCGATGCCCCCGAGTGCAAGCTCGCCTTCGACATCTTTGCTGATCGCATCCTCGGCTATGTCGGCTCGTACTACTTGAAGCTGGAAGGCGACGTCGATGCCCTTGTATTCGCCGGCGGCATCGGCGAGAAGGGCGCAAAGCTGAGGGACCGAATCGTTCACGGCGCCAAGTGCTTGGGCTTCCAGCTGGACAGCGAGAAGAACGAGAAGGCCGCTAACTCTGAGAGCGTCGTGTCCGACATCGCGTCAGCGGACTCGAGGCACAGGGTGCTGGTCTGCCGCACAGACGAACAGCTGCAAATGGCGAGGAGCTGCACCGAGGACGCAGACAAGTTCCGCAGTCAGAGTAAGAAGTGAGATCTGAAATATGGACTGTCAGTGTTAGGTCTTTTTTTTGTTGTAATTCCGTCATTTTGGTTTTTAGGAGTAATTACACGGGCCTCTACTGGATTGTTCTGTTGTTTCCGTCAGTGCAAGACTTTGTGAGTGATCTTTAGATACTTTTCCCGAGAAAACAAAAGAGTTACTTGATCATATCTTTCGTAGAAATCAGATCGACATCTGAGCGGATGTCGAGTGTTACTGTTCCAACAAATGGATTCCAAGACCCTAAAAGAACAGCCCGTCTCTCTGGGGGATAATAATACAGGTGAAGGTGTAAAGATCCCGCAGCTATTGTCACATGATCATAATGCCGAATGGAGTACCGTTGGTGACTTGATGCCGATCATCCGGTGGAGCTCTCCCACTTTTGATCCTTAGTGGGGGCACTGATAAAGACCTCCGCATTCCGCTATGACCTATTCGTCTGGTTGTTATCCATCAGTGAGAGTTCATGGGACTCGAAATTATTCCAGTTCAGGAATGCAAAAGCAGTCACTGCCCTTGAAGGGTCGCGAGTTAAGACATTTTGAGAGAAGGTTTCCAGCATGCCACACAAAGCTGACTCGAAGCTCCGCATCGCGGTGCTGGTCAATATGCTTGGACACAAACCTGAAACGAGAGATTCGTTCGTTACAACAATCAGGGCGGCCAGACCAGAGTCGGCTATTGACTTCTACGACCCAATAGACGACCAGAACTATCCCGACGTACAGAAGTATGACCTTGTGGTGTTGAGTGGAGGCACGGCTGACATCAATGCACCTGACCCATGGGTGTTGCAAGAGTTGGACTTCATCAGAAAGACGGTTGCGTCTTCGAACATCAAGCTTGTTGGGATATGCTGGGGCCATCAAGCAATCAATGTTGCGCTTGGAGGGAAGTTGGTTGTGATGGAACAAGGTCCTGAGGTAGGTCTGCCCATCTGAGGCCGTATGATAGTGCCACATGCTGATGGAGTCAGCTCGGCGTTACTGCATTGGGCCTGACCGAGGAAGGCGCGGAGTTCTTCGACTTCGCCAGAGAAAAGGGCCAAGTGGTAGGTCCAGCGAGTTCGTGACGCCATGCGGGGTGCTAATGCACCGCAGAGTATCCACGAGTTCCACAGGCGCGAACTTGCCGAGAATGCCGCAGGATTCGTGCCGCTGGCGGAGAACAGGCAGATCTTCAAGTCTCGAGACAACAGAATCTTGACGTTTCAGGGCCATCCAGAGATGAGCGCAAAGCTGGCACAAGCGGCACTGGCGAATGCGCCCGCATACACGCAAACGTTCTCTGCTGAGCAGCTGTCGGCCATCTCGAAGAGAATGGAGAGAGACCAGGATGGGGTGGCTATTTTTGAGCGCGTGCTTCGCTGGGTGGACGAGAAATGAACGCGCGGATCACTGATCGCCCGCATCGTGGCCAGAGCTAACGCGTGGGGTTGCTGAGTTTCGGGCTAATGGAATGAGTTACTGGCAATGCATCCGTGATATCGTGATTGGGTGTGGGGTGGTTGTTGTCGAGGGCGATGTCGGGACGGCGGCCGAAATCAGCGGGACGTCACCCGGGAGAGCTCGGGCGGAGCTCCCGTGCATAGCTCCTCTAAAGCACCACCACCATGTCGTCTGCACAACCCCCTCGAAACCACCGCCGCCCTCCTCTTCGCCAGCTGCAATCGCCATGCCTGTCACACTGTCCGTTCCCACCCTGACGCTCAGCGCCGCCCAGGCCGCCGCGCGCGCCTGCGAAGCCAAGGCCAAAGAAATCGGCGTGCCCATGAACATTGCCGTCGTCGACTCCGGCCTCCACCTCCTCCAGTTCTCTCGCATGGACGGCGCAAAGCTCACCTCAATTGACATCGCTATCAACAAGGCCTTCACCGCATCCGGCCATCGCCTGCCCACCTCGGCCTACAAGGACGCCGTGTGGCCCGGTGGCGTTGCCTTCGGTATCAACAACTCAAACGGCGGAAAGTTCACCACTATCGGCGGAGGTGTACCGGTCAAGACTCCCAATGGAGAAATCCTGGGCGCAATTGGCTGCAGCACTGGCACACCCGCCCAGGACGAGGAGGTTGCGAAGGCGGGAATAGACGCCCTGGAGAAGTTGCTGAAGGAAGAGGGCAAGTTCAAGGCGAAGCTGTAAGCAGCTCGTGGATAAATGGATTACAATCTGGTGTACAAAGTCAAGTTGCTTCCACACCGTGAAGCATGTGCAGCCGCCATTTTGGATAGTGGCCGAGAGGTGGAGCTCATCTACTCCAGCTGGACGCGGATCTCAATCTTGGCTTTCTTGAGCCTTTCCACGTACTCGTCGCCCAGAGTCGCCGGGGTAAGAATGCCTCCGCCCTGCCTCTTTGCCTCTGTCTCGCCTCCGCGCAGAATCACCATAGCTGCCTCGGCCACCGCCAACCCGGTGAAGTAATACATCGAACCATTGAACCTGAACTCGGCGATAGCACGCTCTCCCTTCGAGCTGTCTGCCGTGCCCACCGCTTTGTGATACATGTAGTCGTTTTTCGTCGATCTAATCCATGTCAGTTTACACAGTGAGGATCAGCCGCTGGTCTACTTACTCAATCTCCGGGCCGTCGCCGGGTTGATAGACGAGCTTCTTCGCCACCCATCTGACCGGTGGGAGGGCTAAGAGCATCATGCCGAATACCATGCCAAAGTGCACCAAAGCTCCAGACAGAGTACTCTTCGTAGGCATGTGCTCGCTGAACGAGAATCTGGGGCCATAGAGCTTGCCACCATCGAGCAGGCCCCAGCTACGGTGCACGACGGCACCATCCACCCTAGCTCCAATCCAATCGGTAAGGATGCCAAGGTCCTTGTCCTGACGTACTCCCAATATCCTGGATACAAGGCTCTGGGAAGAAGCACTTGATTGAGGCTGGACGGGTGAGAGCGCGAAAGGCTTCATCGACTTGGCAATCTGTGCTAGGCTGTAGTGGTCGAACAACGACAACCCAGTCAGAAGCGTGCCGCCGGAGGGCTTGGCCTTCAGGTCGGCAGCATCCACGACTTCGGCTGTTCCCAGGCCCAAAGTCTGGCGAATGTGCGTGGCTACGACGTAGGCGATTATGTCGGCCGGGACACTGTCCACGCCAGACTGAGGAATCATCTGCAAGCCAAATTAACCTTCTTCTTCAGCACCATTTCGAACGCCGAGAACCTACGATTGCTCCGTTGGCCTTTGCTATGTCATGATATTTGTTGATCATCTCGTGGACCCAGGGAACCTCGCCGGTGCTGGTGCAATTAGCGATATGCCAGCGGTGGATGTGTAGAATACTCACCAGTCGACGTAATGGGTGCCGCGCTTGGCACACGCCTCAACTACTGGGGTGCCATACTTCATGAACGGCCCGACAGTGCTGATAACGAGGCGAGTACTCTGGACAAGATTATCCAGCTCCTCTCCCTTCAGCTCAAGCACCTTGATATCTTCACATGGACGTTAGAGAGGTGCAGACGGTATGAGGTCAATTGGGACGCTACCAGGTTGAGGCCTGTCGGGGTTCAATTTCTTCAATTCCTCGGCCACGTTGGCGAGCTTCTTCTCGTTACGTCCAGCAATTGCCCACTTCAGATCAGTGGGCAGGCTGGTAGTGATGTGCTCTGCGGTGAGCTTGCCGGTGTAACCCGTAGCTCCAAGGAGCACGAGCTCGTACTGCCGGGAAGTGCTGGACATTCTGAGATTGAGACACGTCAATTGCGTTGGGTATCAGATGGGTTGTTTGTAGAAGGTGTTCGGAAAGATAAATAATTGAGCTCGCCACGAAGACCTGGTCTGTGACCTCGGAGAAGCGCACAGAAGCGGAGAAATTGAGCCGGTTCTGAAGATAAAGTACGAGCGGTCACGCGAGTGGAACTATCAGGAGCACGCAATGAGGGGTCTAGAGCTACAGTCCTATCCGCTCTGGGTTTATGTAGTGCAGCAGCTGTAGAACCAGGCATGGCAGGTCTCTTCGGGGAGGAATTGGAGCCGGTCCGGTAACGTCATAGAAGCAACATCGCGGCGTTCTCCCTTCACGGGCAATGCAGACGGGCCGGAACAACACCAATGCGATTGGTTTCCATCTCTGGGGCGAGGAGACATTCATGGTAATCCTGACGAGAGGCATGGCTGTTTCTGCATGCTGAACAGATGCAGGTGAGATGATGGCAGAGGTGCTGACTGATTGGCGCTAGTCCGTGTTGGGCGCTAGCGGCTCGCGACGGCTTGGCGGCCACAACCGCTCTTGCGAAATGGGCCCTCGGCCAAAATCTCTCGTCAAGGACGACTTGCAGACAACCCACACCTTCGACCTCACCACCCTCACACACCAACCGACAAGATGACGAAGCGCACCAAGAGTATGTTCATTTTCCTAGCCGCTCCCCGATTTTTTCAGTCGCTAATTCTGTCGCAGAGGTCGGCATCACCGGCAAGGTCAGTTCGTCCGCTTCTGAACGCAGGTACCGCAAATGCTGAATTAACCCCAGTACGGCACCCGCTACGGTGCTTCCCTGCGTAAGCAGGTGAAGAAGGTAAGCGCACAACGGCCCTTTTCGCGCCCTGGGCCTGGAGCTGACAGCTTTGCAGATGGAAATCACCCAGCACGCCCGCTACACCTGCACCTTCTGCGGCAAGACCACCGTCAAGCGTAACTCCGTCGGCATCTGGAACTGCAGGGCATGCCACAAGACCATCGCTGGTGGCGCCTACACCGTCTCGTAAGTTTCGGCGGACGACATGCTGCACTGGACACGCGGACGAGGCATGTTCGGAGGACAGAGGCTGACTGTGATGCACCAGGACTCCCGCCGCTGCCGCTACGAGGTCGACGATCCGCCGTCTGAGGGAGATTGCTGAGGTTTAAGGGAGTGGGTTTGCGAAAAATTACGACACGGTGTCTGGGTTTTTTCTCTTTGTCTAGGGTTCCGGTCATCACACGGCATGCGGCGACATCCAAGTCGATAGAACCCCAAAATCACGACCGAATCTCACCACGGATCGGGACGAATACAAAGAATGGAGAACAACCCTGCCACCAAATGTGTAAAGACCGGCTTGCTGTGCTCCCGCCATCGACGAAGCCCTTTGACGGCTGCACCGCGCCTGAATATCCCCCTTTCCGCATTCATGTCCGGTTGTGGCCGAAAAGTCGGTTGGCAGACGCATTGTCTTGGATGCGCCTAGGAGATCCGCGCTGGCGACGATCGTATTGGAGCCATGGCCGCAGTAGTAATGTCGGATCGCTCCTCGAAATGGCCGGGGCGCTAAATGACGCTCGGCGCGCAAGCCAGCAGACCAGGGCGGTAAGGCTGCAAGGCGGTAAAACGTAGGCAGCTGGAACACAGCTATGCACAGTAGTGAAGGGCGACGCGCGCATGTCGTCAGGGTTTTGTCACGCTGTGTTGCAGGTGCGCTTGTGATTGCTGACTCTCGCCCTTTCCCTTTCCACACACCCCCCCGCAAGTCACCTGGTGCAAGTCCGATAAATCATCTCGCAGGCAGCTCCTTGTGCAGCTGGCGTTCGATTGGCCCAACTGCACGTGTTCTTACTGGCCGTCGCGCCCGCCTAATGCGGCTAGGGCCGTCTTAGCGTCATTCATAATCCCCGCTGCGCCGGCTCTGTCATCTCGACCTCTTCCATTTAAACCTCCAGACAACGCCGCCGACCTTGATGCTCGCACGCTGCTTTCCTCCCACCTGCTCCCTTTTGTCTTTCTCCTGCCCTCATGGCCGAGACGTGCATTGTTTGTCTCGGCGACCTGCTTTCTGACCTCTCCGAGCCGCCACCGACCGAGGAACAAGCTCCGCCTGTCGCAGATGGCTCGCTTGAAGCTGCGCACCTGAGCACCGAAGCTACCCTCGACCACGACAAGCCACCACAACCCGCCGCTTCCGACGACGACGAGCTGCCCCCGGATGACGAAATTATCGCGCATCTCCTACCATGTGGTCACAACCTGCACAACGAGTGTTTGAAGCCATGGGTCGAGCGTGCAAACAGCTGCCCCATTTGCCGCGCAAGCTTCAACGAGGTTCAACTTCTGGCTAAACTAGGAGGTGAGTAGTGAACCGTTGCAGGAACACCCCTACCAGTCCGGCTGGACAACGAACTGGTTCGACCGACGGCGACCCATGGGTCAATCTACACACTTTTGCAGTTCATGTCCGTGGGTCTTTCCAGCGTTCTTGTGTCAGCCTCGGTGTATTATTTTCCGCGAAACCTCACGACTAACGCTGCGCCCCACAGGCCGAGTTGTTTCATCTTATGGAGTCGAAGACAAACAGCAAGTCGCTGAGCTGGATCCGACCATGATCGTCGACGAAGACCTGCTCGAGCCTTCCTTCGAACCCTGCATGGTGTGCGACGATTTTGGAGACCAGGAACAGCTGATGCTGTGTGACTCCTGCGACCGTCCTTGCCATGTCTTTTGCGCTGGTCTGGACGAAGTGCCTGCAGGCGACTGGTATTGCCAGCATTGCATGGAAAATCCGTTCGCGCTGGGTGAGCGGGAACGTGAGCGGCAACACAACCGCTCCGCTGTCACCTCTAGGCTGACGCCACGCGAACGCGCAATTCGCTCCAGGAGGAGGAGGGCCGACTCCTGGGCCCGCGTCTGGCAAGAAGTCAACCGTCGTACCGGCATTGACCTCGACTTTCCCTTTGACGATGACATTTCCGGACAGGCACGCATCGAAGCTCAACGACGGGAGATTGACGCCTATCAGGCACGAGTTCGGGCAGCAGAGCGGCAAGGCAATGCTGCCAGGTTCCGGCAACATGCTGCTGCCCTCTTGGCACCTGCACGAGTGCGGCCTGAAGCTCCAGCACCCGAGTCACAGGATGAGCTTCGGGCTTGGAATGCCTTTGAGAAGGCTAGGGAAGTCGCTACCCCAGCCAACAGGAGAAAGCGGCGTTCTCCGTCAGGATCCCCGAGCGAGCCCCAGCCTGAGCCGGAACGAGCTCTCAAGCGCCCTTGCACCCGCCGTGCAACTGCGACGGCGCTGCCGGGCTCCGCCAATAACGGCGAATCATCATCTGCGGCTCGCAGCAGTGTTCCAACTGCCGCTGTCACCGCCTCTACGAGTGCATCTGCGCCTGGCCGCCCCGGGTCCAAGGCTGGCCCGGACAATTCGGGATCCAATTTCCTGCAGTCGCTGTTGAAAGAGGTCGAGACGTCGACGCCCGCGGCTGATCCTGCGCCCACACGACGACAAAATGCAGCAAATCACCCAACTGAGCCGTCGTCACCCCCTCAGATGTCTTCACCTGTTGGCTCGCCTCTCGGCTCGGGGTTAATAACCCCTCGCGCCATGACCCCGCCGCCCCTGACGCTAGCGCGACCGTCTTCTCCCTTGCTGTCTTCGACTATCACACCAATCTTCCCTGCGGCGCCACAATTTGCGCCATATTCGCCTGCTGATGATGACCGCTTCGTACACGAATACAACGAGAATGGTGGTGAAAGGCCGTCCAGAAAGCGGCGAGGCTCTCAGCAGTCGGTTCTTGCAAGCCCTCCTCGTTCCAAAGACGCATCGCCGACGCGTGCCAACATGTCGTATTCTACCAAGGCTGAGATCCAGCGCATGGTGAAGGCAGCTCTGAAGCCGCTTTACTTGAAGAACGAAGTCAACAAAGACGAGTATACGGACATTAATATGAACATATCGAGAAGGATGTACGAGAAGGTTGGCGATGCGGCCAGCCTGGCAGATCAGAGGACTAGGGAGAAGTGGCAGCAGGTGGCTTCCGAGGAGGTAGACAAGGCGGTGAAAGCATTGAAGACGGATGGTCTGTCACCAATGGCGGAAAGTTCTACAAGCGGCGAAGGCGTTTCACTGGTTAACGGATCTTCTTAAGGTGCTTTTACGGTAGAAGTCATAGACGCGGCGTCGTCTTGAGCTTGGCATGTTTACTGGCGTTTTCTTTCACGGCTAAGCATTAGCAGAACATGCACATGTTGGCGCGGCGTATTGGGACTCCTGTCCTTCTGGGTCGGTGGAATTCCAGGGACGGTGACGAACGAATTAGATACCCTACTTTGCTGATCTCCAGAGGAAAGATTTGGAGAATTTGGATGAGGTTATTGTTTTCAGAGCAAGATTGGATTCGCACTGACGAATTCATCATTCCACAAAGGCTGTTTCTCTCACGTGCGAATGTTTTGGGTAAAGTGATGAAACTGACGGGCCCGGTTCCACCCAAATTACTCGACGGTAAGGGGGGAAATATGCGAGACGCGAATAAAGAAATGGGCAGCGCGCCGTGGAAATGTAAGCACGAAAATATTCAATACACATTTCCACGCTCTACCACATACAAACCTTGGGTATTTAAAGCCCTCTTGGTTCTAGTCATTGTCTCCAATCTGCACTAACACTGCGGACTGTGAAATTTCACGTTCTGAAGCCAATTCCATTGGCATCAAAGCTAATATTGCAAGTGACCTATACGGTAGCATCCAGAACAGACTTAAATATAACTTAAGATTCTCTCGCAAGGGACGCTTGATGAGAGATGAAGGGACTCTACAACCGATTCATCTCGCTCACACACTACTTTTTTTTCGCGGCGCCCCCCTTTTTCACTTTCTCGCTACAACACATACCTAAACCCCGCGTCCATCTCGTCGCCCCCAGCCATGGCCCCCCTCCTGCCTTTCCTCCACGCCCGTCTCTCCACCGCGCACCCGGCCGGCCCGTCGCCCTCCCGATCGGCCCTCCGATTGCGCCAGACGTACAAGGCGCGCAGGGCCAGCGCCACGACGACGGCGGCAGCCTCGACGGCCAGGACGGTGACCTTGGCGGGCAGGTAACTGGGGGCGTCGCGGGCCTGGAAGGTCTGGGGGCCAACGACGTTGCCGAGCGAGAAGCTGACGAGCACGACGGCGGCGGCCGTGACTTTTTTGGTGTAGCCGCCGGCGAGGTGGTAGTTGGCGCCGACGAGGGCGTAGACGAGGACCAGCGGCGCCGTCGTGCAGTTGACCAGGTAGATGCCCGCGAGGCTCCCCGGTTTGTTACCGGGCAGGAAAGACATGAGTCCGGCGCCGAGAAGGGCGGGGAGCAGGATGAGGGCGATGGCCGTGGTGCGCTGCCAGCCGCGGACGATGGAGAAGGTGGTTAGGAGGGTGGCGGTGATGGAGATGAGGCCGGAGGGGGTGTTGAGGAGCGCGGATTGCTTGGGCGTGTAGCCGAAGTCTTTGATCAGGATGGAGGAGTACGTCGTTATCACGCCGGAGGGAGTCGTGGTGAGGAGGGCGAGCAGCGCGAGCAGCCACGTCTGCGCGTCCGCGAAGACGGACACGGCGCCGCGACGGGAGAAGACTTTGGCGCCCGTGCCGGCACGGTCGGCGGCGAGGCGGCGCGCGATGAGGGCCCTTTCGGCGGCGGAGAGGAAGGGTGCGGCGGAGGCGGTCGAGGGGAGCAGGGCCAGGCAGAGGATGGCGGCGATGATGTTGGCGGCGCCCACGCAGACGAACATGATGCGCCAGCCCGCGAAGCTCAGGCTGGCGGGCGCGTGCTGCGCGCCGAAGGAGATGATGCCCCCGATGATCTGGCCCGTCCCCAGCCCGCAGTACCAGAGGCCGTAGCGCGGCGTCGACTGGTCCTTGGTGTACCACGTCGACGTGATCATGATCAGCGCGGGGCCGATGACGGCTTCGCACACGCCCAGCGCGATGCGGCAGGCGAGGATCCCCGCGAAGTTGACGCAGGCTGCCGAGCAGCAGAGGATCACGCCCCAGAGGAAGACGTTGGCCGAGAGGACTTTGCTGACCGGGTATCGCTGCACGAGCGCGCCTTGTATTCATGCTCAGCTTGCGTGGAGAGGTGGCAAGAAGACTTGCGTATACCTTGAGGGAATTCGGCAATTCCGAATCCGATGAAGAAGGCTGTGGCCATCCAGGAGAAGTCATTGCCTTTCATGCCCAAGTCTTTTTGGATGCCCATGAGCTAAGCTATGCGTCAGTTGTGGGCGACAGTAGATGGAGACAGAGCGCCGCAACGTACATTGGCATACTACAAAGAAGTCAGCAACTAGACGTTTCATGTGGAGATTGAACATACGTTGACGACAACTTTGTCCAAAAACTGCAGAAAATACACCAAGAAAAGAAGTGGAACGACCCGTCGATCGATCTTTCGATACAGTGCTCTCTCGTTGATCTCATGTTCCGGAGATTCACCATCCAATGAATCTCGACGAGGTCTTAAGGTAGACTGCAATGACTTTTCATCCATGACACCAGTTGTCTTCCAAATTTCCAAGTTCAAGGAGTGAAAATGAAGAAGGAATAGAAAACAGAAATTCAGATTCGAAACAGTCCGCGACTATTCCCAGAAGTGTATCTGCACCACTTATCTAGGAATCAAGGACCTTTATTTGGACTTCAGCCCTACTTTTCAAACGAAGTCCGTACACGGAAGGTGTATAGAAGATCGACGAGCATATGCGATACAAAGTAAGCACTTATCGGAAATCCGTGCCGCGCGGTATCATTGGCTGGTGGAACACATCCAATCCCCCGGTCCTGTAGTCCGTGGCCAACCCGGCAGCTTGCATCGCCAAGTGGACGTGGAGACACGCGCCAAGATCAGATGGCGCTGTATCTTGCCGCGGTAGGGTTAGAAACTTCGCATTAAGCCACTTTTTCTTGTTACTGCGCATACGCGTATTCACGACCCCAGCATGTGTGCCATAATACAAAGCGAAACCCCGCTCGCATAACTGTGCATCACTTGCTTGACTGGATCCACAGCTTGACGCTATGGAATTTTTTTTTCTTGGGGTAAACCCCGCATCGAACAAGCCGAGGCCCTGCATGCAGTGGCATGATGCTCGTGCGGTTTTTGTGAGTTGGCCCCTTGGCCTTAATAACCGCAAAGACCTACCCCTTGCGTGAGCAATTAGCGTGTGTTAACATTCCTCCTTGGCCTCACCGTCTTTCGTCAGTCAGTGCATAAAAAGACGCACAGGAAAACCCTTAAGAAGAAGGCTCCAGAAGAACGTAAGCGGTGTTCCAGAAGAGGTTTGCTTGCTTGAAAAGCGCCACCATTGTTGGAAGACCACCTCATACACAGACCTGTGCTACACCCGCCCAACGCCCGATTGAACGCCGTAAGTTGGCGATTTAGACGCAAGGGCGCATCGCCACCCAGCCGGTAGTCGTGCAATACATGTCTGAGCGCCCAGCTTAGAGTTCGATGTGCGCTATCATGTGCATGAATGGGTGTGGGGTGTGACGCACCTTTAAATTTCTTCACTGTCACTTCGTTGCTATTATTCGGCAACTGTCCTGCAATGCCTATCCTTCCAACGGTAGACATGCTTGAGTGTAACGAAGGTGTCAATGATGCCCATAGGGAAGGGGTGTTTGGGCACAAGTCGGTAGCTGACGGCGACGGTGATAGTGGAGGTCTTACTTTGTATGCGGCTGAGAACCTAGGCATCGGTGTTCATGTCGTTGAGGTTAGGGAAATCTGCCCTACCCTTCGAAGTTCTGACTGCAGGTAGAGAATTCGGCCCTTACGTGGAAGCTGATATGTGACTTCAGCCAATGATAGACAGTTGAACTTCGATATGGCCACAATGGATAAAAGGCTGGACCGGATATAAGCGACCAACAAGAAGAGTGCTGTGTAATGTTGGAATTCTTAATCAGGTTAGCCACAAAAGTCTTGTATCATGACAGCCCTGATAATCTTCATGACAATGATGAGCTTTTGCCTGTGTCTCGAAGTGTCAGCTTTCAGACATGCTGACGCGATGGGAGCTCTTCAATTATGGTCCGTGCGCATAGCGGGGTTTCCCTCCCGCTCACTTCGTATCTTTCCTGCACCTCATCTCTTGGCCTTTGTAGAACCCTTGTTCGCAGGATCGTATCTTGGGGGCCGACGGATAGAAGCGGCAGGAGCCACGGCCGTTGGCCGTTTGCATCAGGCGCCGAAAAAATGACTTCAATGTCAGCAAAAACTTCTGAGTAACGGCTATCTTTTTTTTTGTCTCCTCAACCCCCTTCTTTTTCCGTTCCTCCATTCCAATTACCAAATGGATAGCGAGCAACCGGTCCTCATAATCGGCGCCGGCCTCGTCGGCCTGGCCCTGGGCCAAGCCCTCAAGCGCGCCTCGATCCCCTTCCGCATCTACGAGCGCGACGCCTCGCTCACGACGCGGAGGCAGGGCTGGGCCGTCACGCTGCACTGGGCGCTCTCCTTCCTGCCGGAGCTGCTCCCGGACGACGTGCTGGCCCGCCTCGTGAGCAGCGCGCAGGTCGACCCGGCCAACGGCGCCGGCGGCCACGACGGCGGCAACTTCCTCTTCCTCGACCTGCGCGACTGCTCCGTCAAGTTCAAGATCCCGCCCAACCGGCGCTGGCGCCTGCACCGCGAGAAGGCGCGCGCTGCGCTGCTGTGCGGGCTGGAGGACCGCGTCGTCTGGGGCGCGCGTGTCGTCGATGTCGTCGTGCAGCCTTCAGGTTCTGCTGAACGGCCCACCATCGTCTTCGAAGACGGCACCACTGCTACGGGTAGACTCGTCGTCGGCGTCGACGGCAGCAGGTCGCGCATCAGGCAGGTGCTGGCGCCCGCGACGTTCCGCAACGAGCAGCTGCCGCTGCGCTTCACGGGCGTCGCCGTCGACATGACGGCCGAGGCCATCGCGCCGCTGCGCGCGCTGGACCCGCTGCTCTTCCAGGGCCTGCATCCGCCAACGAGGACGTTCATGTGGTACTCGGTGCTCGAGACGCCGCCCGCGGCGAATGGAACGACGGAGAAGGAGAGCAGCGGCAGCCAGGAACAGGGGAAGACTTACCGCGCGCAGCTGAACATGTCTTGGCCTGTGGAAGGGCCAGAAGACGAGGTTGCAGACACGGACTCAGCGAGGCTGGAGTTCATGAAGCAGAGGGCTCGGCACTTTGATCCGCGGCTCAGGCGGGTGTGGGAGGGGATTCCGGAGGGGACCGTCGTCACGGAAGTGAAGCTTGCTGATTGGCCCTGCTTGGAGTGGGACAATAGGAATGGCCGGGTCACACTTGCCAGTGATGCAGCGCATGCAATGACCATGTATCGGGGTGAGGCAGCGAACCATGGCCTTTTGGACGCCTTGCTGTTGGTCGGAGCGCTGAAGAAGGTTTATAGCGGCGAGGTGGAGCAGCAAGAGGCCATCAATGAGTACGAAAAGGAGATGAGGAAGAGGGCAGGACCGGCCGTTCTGATGAGCCGCCAAGCATGTTATGATGCGCACACGTGGGAGAGTTTGACTGAGGATTGCGCTGTTCTGAAAAGACGGGCCATCGAGAGCCTCCCATAGAATAGACTGTTCGTCTTTATCTTCTGGACATTGTCAGCATCTAGAACTACGAGCTACTTCCAACTCTTATTCATTCAAGAGTACACGGGGGGAGGCTGCAAAAGAATACAGTCTCTCAGGCATGCTAGGCAAGTTTACGCACTACTTGCACGGCTAGCTGATGCCTGCGTTCGAGAAGCTGTGTAGCTGTGAAATTTCGACATACGTCCTGATATCTGCTGCAATTACACGGAACACAGCAACATAAAAAGAACGAATCGTGCAGGATGGAATGTTTTTCTAACCTAGAGGAAAATGTTTAACGACTTGGACTTAGCTGTGGATTCTGCACTTGCCGCTAAAGAACCGTCAAGGCATGAGATGGGCCTCTATTCTCCTTTGATCTCTTTCTTTGCCTCGCCTTCTTCATGCTTCTTCAACATCTCTTCAATCTTCTTATACGGCCAGCCTGAATATAAAGGTAAGTAAGAATCACCGGCGTACCGGCAGAGGAATGACTCACTAAACACCGGATACAAGAACGGTCGCAGATCGAATCTTCGAACATCAAGTTAGCCTGAATCTCATTGATTTGTCGGATGTACGTACCGGTTGTCATCGGGGGAGTAAGCTTCGGCGTGGTACGCAGGGGTGATGGTCGTCATCTTGTGACGGTTGATAGCGTAGAACCTGAACAGAAAATTAGTCCGTAGGAGTATATAAGGAGCGGGTGGTAATCACTGACCAGTAAAACCTCCGCACCTTCTCGTACACCTGCCTTGGGCTCATGCGATCGCTCCAGTCGTGCAGTAACCTCTCAAACATTCCATAAGGTCCAAGCTTGTGCACCTGTAACTAGTTAGCTGACCATCAGGACATTTGCAATGGGCTGCTTGCCTTGCGCAGTCTTCCGAACACCGAGAGCTCGTCATCTAATTCATAGTCAGCGGATCGCCATTTTGGACTGAACATGATACAACAAAACATACAAGTCATTCCCATGTCGGCCTCATCGGACTGGACGTAATCCTTTGTGATGGGCTCGAGCTCTGCAGTAGGGGTGGCATTGATGAAGTCCTCCAAGATCGGGAGCTCGAAAGACTTCCCTGCCCATCTGATGAATGCCTTGAGGTCCGTCTTGGAAATTCCTCCAATAGGGTTGATATCAGCACTGCTGCAATCATACTTGGTGAGATATCCTCTCAAAGATTCGTCGACATTGGCAGAACCGAGAACAAGCAAGCTTCCAGGGGCTTTGCGGCCACGAACTACAGGAAGCAGCTGGGCGAAGAGATAGGCAATGACCATGCGGATCCTAGCCTGGATGTTTTGAAGCGCCAGGTTCTCAGTGTTACTGCCTCCATGGACCCTGAACTGCGGAACAAAGCCAGTGACAGTGGTGAAGAGAGTCTTCAAAGCTGTCGCAACACTGTCGATGTCCAAGTCCGTGTGGTAAGCGCCAATATCCTTGGCAAGATCCTTTGCGCGGTTGCGCGTCTCAGCGGACGAGTTCTCGCTGCCCATGTAGCAGGTATGGAAAATCCTGCCACAGAACTCCTGTGGCGTCGACGGGAGCCAGGTAGACCCTTCAGGCTCACCGCAAACGGACCGGACATCTCTGATGACTTGCTCATCGCCTCTCTCTATAGCCTCAATGACGAGCCTGCACATGGAGAAGACAATGACGGAGGTAGCGCAAGAGTCAATACCACCCGACAAAGGGATCAGGAATCCTGCCTGTCGGCTTCTTCGCACGTAATCCCACAGCCAGCACGCCGGCCCGTAGGCGATTTCGGCCTCGGGCTCGTGGACGAAAGGCTTGAAAGACTTGGAAGGTCTCAACTTGGCATCTAGCGCGCCACCTTCAACGGAGAGGCTGAAGTCAACCTCAATCCTCTGGTACGCGTTCGCTTGAACGGCTTGGAGTCCACGGCTCGGAGCACAGCGGAAGGCCCTGACTTCCTCTAGATCGACAGTTGCGGTAACAACCTCAACATCGTTCAAGCTGAACTGGGAGGCCTGACCGACGATCTCACCATTGATGATAATCATGGCAGATCCGTCATAGTAGAGGCGATCGCCATCACAGCCCTGCTGGTTGGAGTACAAGTAAATGCCACCTGATTTCCGGGTTGCCTCAAGAATGAGGGAGATGCGCGTGTTCAGCTTCCGCAGCTCGTGATGGCTGCCGGAAGAATTGGTGAAGATCTCGACACCATTGAGACCCATGGCGGAATGCGGGGCGCTGGGGGTGAAGAGCTCCTCGCACGTCTCGGCGCCCAAGCATGTATCGCGAGTAGAGATGACAGCGTCACCGATCGGGACCTTGACCTTACCCACGATGTTCTGGATGAGTCTCGGCAGGTAGTACTCTTCAACATGACACGGCCTGCTCCAGGGCGTGAAGTAGCGCATCTCACGGTAGTTACCGTCGTTGGCGAGCCACAGCTTGGGCCTAATGAGCAGGATTTGGCCGTTGAAGCAGATGATGCGGGCATTGTAGCGCACGTTGCGGTGGATGACGGGGGCACCAATATCCAGGATAATGTCGTAGCACGACTTATCAGAGAGGATCTTAGCGATCATCTCCCACGAGTGCAAGAAGATGTCGGACTCAAGGAAATGGTCAAGACAGCCATAGCCTGGGCCAGCGTCAGGCGAAGATCCGCAATGGGATAAAGAGGCATACCGGTTATCTCCAGCTCGGGACCGACGCGGAGAGAAGCGCCAGCAGCCTTGGCTTGCCGGATAGATTCAAGAATCCTCTCCAAATTGCCCTCGAAATCAAGAGCCCATTGGTTGAGCTGTGAGGGCCGTCAGCGTAATTGGCAGTTGGAGACCGGCCGCGGAGCATAGGTACCTGGCACGTAGCCAATGTTGTCAAGTGCCCCATGGCTTGTCTTTGGTGTTGAGAGGTGCTGCACAGACCACGCGTGTCAGAAGACTGGGATGAGAGGAGGATAGGGATGCAATGGAGTACGAAGCGGAGATGATATCAAGGCGATGCCGATCTCGCCCGCACTGGGCAGCGTGTTTTTTTAAGGTTCGGGTTAGATAGGTGCATATGGCAGCCGCGTTGCAGCGGGGGAACCCTTGCAGGGTCCCAGCACCGATTGACCCTGGGGCGCGCGGTTCTGAAGCTGGACTCACCGTTCCCAACACGAGTGGCTCGGTCTGTGAGCGCTGGAATGCGACGTTGTGCAGCACGAGAGTGGGCGCGTGGATTGGTGGAGGGCGGCGGGGTCAGTGCGGGCAGCGGCAAGTCGAGCATGACGTTAGGCCGCTAAAGCTCCAGTTCTTGCCTGCGACCGCCTGCTTTCTGCATCTGCAACCCCCGTCCGCGATGGTCTGTCAGGCTTCGCGAAGCCCATCACGCCGCGCCAATCCGCCTCGCCGCAGGTAGTCCGACCACTGCCAGCCGACCATGGCCTCCAACGCCTCCGAGTCGTCCCCGCTGCTGCCCTCCAAGCCGCCGGCCAAGCCTCAGCGCAGCGTCACCTTCAATCCAAATGTCTCCACCAGCAGTCCCTCCAATGCGCCCCCGCTGCGCCCCTCCACCCATCTTCCCATCTCGCCCGTCGGCAAAAAGCAGAATGGAGGCCAGCCGATGCTCTCCGCCCTGAACAGCAAGCTGCGCCGTCGGAACAGCCAAGGGGCTCCTCTGATTCCCTCCTCTCTGGCCGCCCCGAAAATCGGCCCCCAGAGGACGACGAGGAATGTGCAAAAGCTGAAGCTTCTGCCCAATCCCGAGCAAGCCGAAGACGAGATCGATGAGGAGAGCGGCCGTGATGTATACGCACAGCTCACTCGCATCAAAGAGCCCACTGCTCGCCGCGATGCTGCCCGTCTGGGCAAGGCTGATCGCGAGAGGCTGCCGAGGGTCACAGCATACTGCACGGCCAGCTCTTACCAAATGGATGGTCTGATGAGGTACCTCAAGGGCAAGGCCAAGACGAAGGGTGCTGCCCCCAAGCTCTTTGACGAATGTGTCTATACACCCTATGACTACAATCTGGGAAAGAAAGCGGCCGAGCCGGATAACAGCCAGGGGCCAGAAGGCCTGACCGGCCTGCCCGAGCGAAGACATTCGGACAGTGCTGTTGAGATTGACGGTAACACCGAGCAGCGGCGGGTCGACCTGATCGACTTGCATAACCCTAACAACGACGGCACAGCAGGCAATGCCGAAAGCTCGATCCAGACGGAAAGCGAAGATGCGATTGATTCGTCACGTTCTCGACGAGACTCGATAGACTTTGATACCCACGTGCACACCCCGGAAGTATTCTTATTCAACTACGGCACAGTTGTGATTTGGGGCATGACTTTACTGCAAGAACAACGCTTTCTGAGGGAAATTGCCAAGTTTGAGAATGAAAAGCTTGCAAAAGACGATGTTCAAACCGAGGATTTCAACTTCTATTACACGCATGAGTACCAGGCAAGGATATACAACGACTTCATCAGCCTGCGCGACAAGAAAAACTACATGACTAAACTTGCCATCAGCCACGCATTGGCCCAGAGCGTCAAGGTAAGTGAAGCGCCACATGTCGAGCCCTGTGGAAAGCTAATGGAATCCACATCAGACTTCGCTTTACGAGGACCTGGTTGACAATACTATCGAAACGACAAAAGACATCCCGTCGCAAATTGCGACCACTGGCAAGGTCAATCTTTCCCGGCGCGAGATCAACATGCAAATCGGAGAACTGTTCATCTTGAGAATCAACATCCATCTTCAGGGTTCGGTCCTCGACTCGCCTGAGCTCATGTGGGCCGAGCCGCAACTCGAGCCTATCTATCAGGCTGTGCGCTCCTACCTGGAAATGGATCAGCGTGTTAGCCTGTTGACAGAGCGCCTCGACGTCATTGCGGATCTTCTCGCCGTGCTGAAGGACCAGCTCACGGTGACGCATTCGGAGCTGTTGGAATGGGTTGTTATTGTCCTGATCGCTGCTGAGATTTTGGTGGCGGCTGTGAACATTGTGGTGGACCTCTACGCGGGTGTTGATTGAGGAATCCTCAGCAACGCCCCTACTTTCCTGTACATTTACTGATATTTCGGGCTGTCCTTGGTCTGGTGGTTACGGGCGTATTGGCGTCGGAAGCGACCGAAAGTGTCATGTTAGCGCTGGGTGCTTTCGTTAGCAATGGTACATAGGTGCATGAGGGGTCTGTTTGGGTCAGCGTCTCTTCCGGTGCTCCAAAGGCCCAGGCGTAGGGAATTCACGGTTATCATTAGGAAAATAAATGGAGACGAGACTAAACATCCTTTACGCCTGAGATAGTTGAATACCTGACAGGTCCGAATGTGTGATTGGACATGCGTTCTTCATGTGACAGGTTTCTCGAGGGCTAGCTCCCACGTCAGAGTAGCTCGTTTCATAGCAGAGTTCGGGGCTGTGCTTAAGCATAAAGCGAGGATTCTTGAGAGGAAAGTAGAGCTACTAGGGCCCAATGGTAAGAATCGAGGTTGCTTTTAGCACGCCGAGCGGGGTGGGGCGCGGCGCGGCGGCCGCTGCGCGGAACCCCGGTCGGTTTTTCGCGTGGAGGAGGGCAAGAGCTCAAGTCACTTCGCAGCTGGTCGCCCTCTTCAGCCCGCTTCAACAACCCACAACCAAACACCGCACCGCCCACCTTCCCAACCTCTCCTACACCTACTACTGGGCCGCTTTCCTCGATCGCCATTTCTACCACATAGTACTCTCATAATCGGTCCCGGCCGAACGACACCACCACCATGGTGAGTCCTACCTACTGCCCTCATTTTCTTCCAGCCCGGCCGCGCGCTACTATCTAGCGCGCGTCCCGCAAACGCGCCCGACCCTGCCTTGTTTTCCAAAACATCATGGACAACCCTCCAAAACGCTCTGCGCGCGCACGAACGACGCTGATCATGGCAAAACAACGTAGGCCCGCAATTCGGAGAAGGCGCAATCGATGCTGTTCCGCTTCCGGGCGGCGCAGGCGGCGGACCTGGGCATCCTGGACATCTCGCGCACGCGGCGGCCCAAGCTGATCACGTCCATCGACTCGATCCCGACGTGCGAGAAGTGGCGCGGCCAGGTGCTCAAGGAGATTTCGCGCAAGGTGTCGCGCATCCAGGACGAGAGCTTGTCCGACTACCAGATCCGCGACCTCAACGATGAAATCAACAAGCTCATGCGCGAGAAGCACATGTGGGAGGTGCAGATCAGGAATTTAGGCGGGCCGAATTACATGAGAGGGGGGAGGATGGTAGATGAGGACGGGAAGGAAATACCAGGCGGTGGGAAGGGTTATAGGTATGTGTACTCTTTTCCGGCTGGCATGCGTCGTTGGCTCTTTTTCTCCATGACTGGGCGCGCTGACGGCTGTTTGTTTGCTGTAGGTACTTCGGACGAGCACGTGAACTGCCGGGTGTCAAGGAGCTCTTCGAGGCAGCCAAGGTGCCACCGCAGTCGCAGTCGGTACACGATGGCCCAACACGCGCGGAGTTACGCCGCAACGTTGACGCGTCATACTACGGCTACAACCTGGACGAGGAAGACGGCTCGCTGCTGGCTTACGAAAGGCAGAAGGAGGAAGAGGCGTTCGGAAACCTCATGCAGCAGCCCGACGATCTGGACGTGGACGCGCCGTCAAAGAAGGGCAGGAAGGGTCGTCGTGACGAAGACGAGTGGGTGGAATTACCCGGAGATGCGGGAGATGGCGTAGGCTGGGTACTGCCATCGTTGGATGAGGTGCAGGAAGAGCTGGTCGAGAGGAGGCGCCGCAAGCTGCTGGACAAGCTCGGTGGTTAAAGTTACCAATTTGGGATTGCACTATGGAATCGAAAGAGCAAGACGGCTGGTTGGCATGGGAGGTCATGGCAGCACAGAATGAAAACGGCAGATGATGGGCTCGAATCATCGAGTCGAAGCCGAAATAGGCTTCATGTAATAATATACCCATGAGGCATTATGGAGGGAGAATTCTTCAATGAAGGCCACTGGGCTCTTCAGATAGCATCCATTAGCGTATTAGATTGCACGGTTTCGAGTCAGGCACGTTATCTCGTTGCCAGTTATACAAAGCCTTTCATTGCTGAATGGGCAGCCGTCTCGAAAAGAACATGCCTCCACTATTGTGTCCAAACCCTACAGAGGAAGGGGGTATCAGTCAAAACCATAAACGCCGCATCTTAAACCCCGACCCAGTCCTACCTGTATAATTTTTAGTTTAACCTCCGAAATGCACCGCTTGATCCACGTAAGAACGCCTTTTAACAGTTACGAAATGACCTCAACAGATCACGACTCTGGCTTTATGCGCTTGTCGGCCGGTTCGCCGTTGAACGCGCCCTCGGCACCACCTACTGACTCCCTCTTCCGCTTCTCCTCCCTCATGCGGCGCATGGCCTCCTCCTCCTTCGCTCTCCTTTCACGATCAGCCTGTCGCTTTTTGAAGGCTTCGCGGATCTTCTGCTCGTTCCTAGTCAAATCGTCTTTGGAGACAGCGTCGTCGATACTCTCCAGCACCTTATCGACGGTCGAAATGTGGTTGGCTTCGTGCTTGTCGTCGCGGAAGTGCGGCTTGCCGGCGTCGTCGCGCTTGAAGCGCCAGTTCCCTTCGCTATCCTTGAAGCACTCGATGATGCGGCCGTCCAGCTGCTGGCGGATGGACTTGAGCAGTTCCCATTCCTCATCCGTCACATGTAGCGGAGCGAACACCCGGTAATCGCCTTTGTTGTAGAAGACCATGAGGTCGAAGTTTGGCTTCGCCTCGAAGTCGGGCTCGGGCGGGCCTGCGCCGTTGCCATTGGCGAGGAGCTGCGGGAACTCGCCGAGCCGGAGGCGGAAGTCGACCGTGTTTTCGTGCGCCGGTTTCCATTTGAGGATCTTCTCGTCGGTGCCGAAGATGTAGGGCGTCTCCTTGCAGGTGAATATGAGACCGTCGTTGCCGTGCTTCAGCGACGGGAGCTTGACGTTGAACATCCAGCTCAGAGTATAAGGAAAGGACATTTCCTTGAAGACGAGCTCGAAGGGCAGGAATTGGCGCTCTTCGGGGTGTCTCTTGACGAATAGCTCTTCCCACGGCTTCATCACCATGATTCTGAAATAGCCCAAGCGCTTGTCCAACGGCTTCTCGGTTTGCGATTGGCCATCGATGGCAAGGCAGTCGAAGACCAGGAAGCGCAGCTTCAGGCCGCCGGGCTCTTGGTCATACACCAACTCGCCATCGACAATGGTGCCAGTATGAAAGCTTTGAAAAGATGGATCGTCGTGGCGCGGGAAGTGGAGGTTCGGGACGAAGTAGTAGTCGTTCTTGCGGTCTATGAGGTAATGGATCTCGTTGGGGCCGTCGTTGGTGAAGTACAGCAAGCAGCGGATGCCGTCCGTCTTCTCGCAGAGGTAGTAGTCATGTTCCATGAGCTCGCGCAGGTGCTTGCGCGCGAAGGAGACGGGCTGGGCGCCGGGGAAGTTGGGGTTCTTGCGGCCTAGAAGCTGGGCAACTTCGGCGCGGAACTGTTCGGCGAGGCCTCTGTCGGCTTTGACGCCTGGGATTTCGGGGATGGGCATCGTGAGATGCGCGTCCGATCAGAGCGCGCGTGGTGCGAACAGCGGTACGGGGTATGTGGTTGTGGCTTGATCCTGCGGTAGTGATGGGGTGGTTGCGCCCGCCTCGAGTCAAGCCGGAGCTTCACGTCGACGCGACTCAGAGCCGCGACCAAAGCCGGCGCACGTGACCAGGCGTGTTCATCGTCGCGAAACCGGCGAACGGTTTCCTCCACGGCGCTTCTTTGTCCTCGACGGCACTGATGCAGTTCTCTGCCGGAAAAGGTCACCCGGCCCGCCTCGAGGCGGGAGCGTGGAGTCCCTGAGACCCTGACAGCGCATGCCCTGGGAAAGCCCAACCGGGCAGAACCCGATATGCTGGCAAGAAGAGACGGTGTTCTCCGTCGGAAGGATGTAGCGAATCTAGAAGATAGAACAAAAAAGAAGTCGGAATGCGGCAACATTCCACATTCCATGCGACTGCTTTAGGAAGCATCCATGTAACGCACGGGCCATACGCGGCTGACTGATCAGACAGGCTGACGACCGGTACACAACACCATACGTACTGCAATTCTGAAAATTGCCATCATGTGGGCCTTCCGCTCCGCCCGCGTGGCGGCCGCTTTCCGTCCCGCTGTGGCCGCTCGAAGACCCTCAGCTCTGCCCGCCGTTCGCTATCAGAGCCAGTACTATCGCCGCCGTCCCCAGTACAACAGATTCCAGAAGGTTTGTATGCGAAGTTCGCAGCAAAATGCATCTTCTGACATGAATAGACCGGAAATTTCTTCACTAGATGGGCTGCTCGGCCGACATTCTACTATGAGGTCGGCGGACTCGGTGCTGCCGTCGGTGGCTTCTACGTCTACAATCTCGAGGTCTGAATGTATTTCGAGTTTGTCATACTAAATTGACTAACAGCTTCTAGGTCGTTCCCGTATGTAAAGCCAGAGTGGAAATGAAGCCTGTGAATTCTTTGCGTTAACAGCACTCAGGTTTCCGGCCGCCGGCGGTTCAATGTCGTATCGCCAGAGAGAGAGAAGAGTATGTCTCAGGAAATGTATGCCGAGGTCATGCGGGAGTATCAGGGTAAAATTCTCCCACCTTGGGATCGTCGAGTGCAACTGGTCCAGCGGGTACTTGACCGCCTCATCCCGGCCTCTGGCCTTCACGATGAGAGATGGGAGGTTCATGTCATCGACAGCCCTGAGATGAATGCCTTCGTGATTCCTGGGTAAGTGGATGGTGTGATTCCCCTCTAATGTTCGTCATGCTAAGACTTTTAAAAGTGGGAAAGTGTTTGTCTTCTCGGGAATTCTGCCCATCTGCCGAAACGAAGACGGCCTTGCCGCAGTTCTTGGGCATGAGATTGCCCACAACATTGCCCACCACTCTGCAGAGCGCATGAGTCAAAGCATATTTGTTTTTGCGGCAGCTCTTGCCATCGATATCTTCCTTGGTGGTACTGGCGGCATCACCAGGATGCTCCTTGATCTCACATTCCTGAAGCCGGGCAGTAGGAGCCAAGAGGTGAGGGAAGACATGCACTTCTTTTAACCAGTCTGCTGACTTAGAAATGCGTTAGTCGGAAGCTGATTTCATTGGACTGAGTGAGTATTGGCCTAACCGGATATTTGAAATATGTCTGACACAGGAGCAGTGATGATGGCCCAGAGCTGCTTCAATCCCGAAGAAGCCGCCGCTCTGTGGGCGAGGATGGAGAAAGCTGAGCAAGTTGCTGTTCCTCAATTCATTAGTACACATCCATCGAGCCACAATCGCCAGCAAAAGATTTTGGAATGGTAAGTGTCGTGAAAACAATCTATCGTGCAGCCAAGGCTCATTTCTCTATGCAGGCTCCCGGAGGCTCGAGAGAAGCAAGCTCAGGGCGATTGCGGGGCGATACTCGATTACGGTAAGTCATCTAGATCTAGAGCGGGACGTTTTCTCTAATATGACGTGCAGCGGATGCTTTTCGAAGGAAATTCAGGTCAAGCGCTTGGTAATTCATGCCACATTCAAGGCACAAGATTCCCCGCTCATGGTTTGCTCTCCGACTCTTCGTTCTCATAGATTCTACATATTTTTAAGAAAAGTATTAGTTAATATTTCTAGTACAAGAGCGTTTGCTGTTTTCCGGGGAAGTAATGGAGCATGCCCGGCCCGAGATAACGAGGTCTCCACATCCATAACGGACGAAAATTCGCTGAATAAAAACATGGGAAAGCATTCTGTCAACTTTGCACAACCACCGCCCCGACCGTCAATCCATCTTGTGGGTCATCACTCACCAACGGAGCTTGACTCAACTTCAGCCAACACAGTTTGTCGAAGCTCTGCCTCACCTGCTGGTAATCCCATGCAACAGCAACACACTTTTGCGTTCCGATTTGCTTATTATACGTTGCGCACGCATCCATGCACTCCTCAAAGCTGTCGAGCCGCTGCTTGCTCGCCGACACGATGTCACACGTCTCCGGGCATATGTTGATGCCGCAGAGCTGTAGGAAAGTCAACGAGCCGTTGGTCGTCGTGTAGTATTGCCCTGTTCGCGAAGGACAACCGATCGAGTCTTGATTCGAGGCACTCGGGGAAGCAGAGCCGCTGAGAGTCGTAGTGGAAGAAGATGCATTGGTAGGCGTGGATGCGGTGGAACTATGCGCGAGTATCGAACGGGGCAGGGTCAGTCAAACATCAACATCTTCATCACTGGGAAGTATTCCTTTTGCAACCTCACGGAAGCTTCCTTCCAGAGAGCAAACTTGCGGAATGGCCCCAATATCATCATTCCTGATGGTCCTACGAAGAGAGAAGAGAGAATTGCAACGTACCTTTCTTCTTCCGCCGCTGCCTCACGCGACCCGGACGCCGCTAGCCCTCCCCCAACCCCTCCGCCTATCGCGCCTCCTAGCAGCAACACCAGCAGCAAAATCACAATCCAGAACACGCCAGGCCTCAATCCGCACACCCGCCTCTTCTTCTCTTCCTTCTCCCTCTCCCGCCCCTCCCACTCTCGATACCAACCCGGCTCTTGCGGCGGTGGCGGCCTCTGCTGCTGCTGCTGCTGCTGAAGGAGAGAAGGGGAAGACAGAGAAGCGTGGTAATGCTCCGGCGCCCGCGAGGCCAGCCAATCCGCACGCAGGGAGGATGACTGTGGTGTGTGCGAGCCAGGGGGCGGGAGTGGCGAGTTCGGTGTCGCCCCCGGTTTGGTATCTTCGCCGTTGTCGCCGTCGGTCGCCGTCGAGTTTGTTGGGTAGGGGCCTTCGGGCGGCGTCAGGACTTCGGGATCGGACGAGTGCAGCGTGCGCGGCGTCGCGGGCGGCTGCGGCGTCGTGTGAGGTGTCGTAGGCGGGCCTGATGCTGCCACGAAGGAGGAAGGCGGCGGAGGCGGCGGCGGCGGTGGATAATATGACATTGGGTCGATTTTATTCCGGTATTCTTTTTGTCGTAATCATATATCCCTCGAGGACAAGCGATCTGGAGACGCTTTTGTCTGTGTTGATTGAGCAAGTGGCGGCTGAGGTGTAACGGGGACTCTTTGGGAAAGTGGGAGCGTTGAGCATGCCGGTGATGAATCTCGCTGATGCTGTGTCACCGGAGACCATGCAACGCGATAATTTTCGTAGCTGGGGAGCCGACGTTCTTGTACGCCCTTTTCTTTACTGTTTATCATCCAATTCATACGGCGCCGGGGTAACAGCCAGGCTTATGACAAAGCTATACGCTATGAGTAAGCTTTTTTCTGACTTGGCAATGAATACTCCATCGCTTGGATGAGACACTTGAGTTGGACCGGTCACCAGCAGACGAGACATAGGGATTTTGTATAATGCAAAGATTGATCTGTATAGCCACACGCGTAATATTTACACGCCAGGCGCATTCAGGGCCCTACCAAATTGACTCGCTGGAAGAAAGACGAAACCGCCGACTGCAGCAAGAGTGAAACAAGCATCTGAAACTCCACAGATAAAGCAGGCGCCGTCAAGGCGCGCATGACGTGTGATCCGGAACGCCTGTTCTCCGCTTCGCTGCCCCCGCTATGCAAATCCGACCGTCCGCTGTGGAGGACGAGAGCCCGAGTCCTTCCAAAAGACACACCGCTGTTGCCTAATCAAACAAAATCAATACTTGTCCTTCTTCTTGGAGGATGAAAAGAAGTGATGCTTCTTCTTCTCCTTCTCAGGTCTTCCGCCCGGCGCCGGGCTTCGAGCAGGCGAAGGCGCGCCATTCGGCGGCCTCGAACCACCTGGACCCATATGCATGTTGGCCATCTGTTGGGTTGGGGGCTGGGGTGGGGCCATTTGGCGCAGCTTGTGCAACTGTTCGTGTGGCGGTGGTGCAGGCGGCTTCGGCTCAGGCTCCCTCTCGAACAGATGAGCCGGTGCTTTCGGCGGCGGTTGCTCCATAGGAATGCCGAGACGGCGCTTATCCATAGTCAAGTCACCAACTTGGCGCAGGAAGAGCCCCGGCGTCAGCATGTGCGAGGTGGCGAGGAATATATCGCGTGATGTTGCTTGGCTAAGCTCATAGCAAGAGCGAGATTCGGAGTAGGTCGCACCGCCGGCCATGAAGACAATAATCCGCTGGCGCGGTTCCACAGATGCCATGCGCGACTTCGCCCACGTGGGTTTAGCGGACCGAAGTGAGGAAGCGGCGGCAGCAGCTTCTTGCTGTGCAGCCTGGTCGGCCGCCGCATCCACATGAGGCTTGGTGTAGGGGAAGACATTCTGGTCAAGGGCACCACGCACGTGGTCTTCGAGTAGCCTCTTGAGGTTTGGCTCGAAACGGGACAGTGCGTACTCCTCTTCTGCGCCGGGAGGAGGTTGCTTGGCAGGGAAAAGTGGCGGTGGCGCCGGCTCTTTGTCTTTAAGCGGCTTCTCCACACGGGCGCCGAGAAGGTCAAGGTTCCTCAAGACCTGGGTGTCCTGGGGAGGCAGCGACGCATGTGCTAGTAAAAGATTAAGGTCCGAGGGGAGAAGCCCGTTCTTGTACAAGAGATACAGTGCAATGAGGCGGAGCCTATCGGGAGGGCTAACGTCTTCTTCGTCAAGGATTCGAACAAGTTGATCCGCCATATTCTTCGGTTTACGGTAGTCTTCATCCAGGCCTGTTGCCAAAGACTGCAGGAGAATTAGAATCGTTCATCGGGGTTGATAAGCTTCTACTGACCTGTTCGACCGATGCCACGTCTGGCAACTTGCATTTCTGGAAAAGGTTCATGCACTCCTGTGCCATGCTCAAGTGCAACGAGTAGGCGCCTTTCATCTCCTGGAATTGCGGCAAACCAGCAAGCATGTCTTTGATGGTGTTCAGGTTGGTAGTATCACCATCGTCAGGGTTTGTGAAATGCGGATTGTCGGCCAAGAACCTCCGGAAGTCGTTCATCAATTTCTCGATCGTGTCTTTCATGTGCCTGTGGCGATTTTCGACCCATATTTGGTCCTTTTCTCCTATTTCCATCTCCTTCTCTTCCTCGTCGGCCTCACCCTCGTTGAGAACTGTCTTGTACGTGACCTTGTCGCCATCTTTGATTGGTAGGAGGTCGTGAGCCATGGCCTGATACGTGAATTCGTGAAGCAGAGGCGAGTGAAGGTCCATTGAACGATCCACGATGTACAAGACGCCGCGGGGACGATTCGAGGGCGGAGGCCAGTTCTGGTGGAACTTCTTGTACATGTCTATCTCTTCCTGGACAAATCGTGCCAGGTGCGAGCACAGCACGCTTGCCTCGTGAAGGGGATTCTTCGGCTTGTAGTAGCGGATCGTGGGGTATTCTCCAAGCGACACACACAAAGAAACAATCTACGCGCTGGGTTAGGAGCGGGGAGTTTGGGGTGCTCTTTACTTCAGGATGCGCACCTTCTTAGCCATTTCCTCCAAGTGGCGTCTGACTAGATTGTTGCAAGCGGGGTGGAACAGGATAGGGAAGCTCCATGGATCACGGAACGTGATAAGGTGCGACTCGCGGGGGAAATATTCGATATTAAGGACCCTGAACAGGACGATCTGATCGCGCGCCATTTGCGACTTGTCTATGCGTTCTCGAAGCGGGCCGGGGAGCACTGGGAGGCTGTCAGTCGGGACGTAGGTGGCACAGAGGGGAAAGCGCACGGGAAGTCCAAATCAAGAACGTCTTGCGGTAGCGGTGGCGCTCGAAGTCGGCCATGATGCAGTCGACAATGTGCGGCTGGGGAGAGAGTATGTACACGACATCCATATCCTTGTTCATAGGTCGGCGGTCCGTGATCAACTCGATGTCTGAAGCTCAGTCAGGTGGGGGGTTCGGCGCAGGCGGCGGGGCGAGGGCGGTACTGGTAATGTTCTCGTTCAGAATGTCATCCTCGTTGACAACATTGTCTATGAGCTTGCGGCTCGCCTCGTCCACGACCATCACCTTCCACTGTGTGTTTCATGAGGGGTCAGCCAGAGCAGTGGGCGCGAGGGGCACCGGGACAAACTTCTCCCTTGGCTGTGTTGCGGATCGTGTCGAGAATGACTGCGCGCGAGGGTCAGCAGGGTGCTGGGCAGACAGGTCGCGCGCGGGGCTCTCGCTCACTCTCGCGCTGCGTGTCAATAATGGAGACGCCCATGGCGGGCGACGATGGGCGGAGGCGGCGCTACGACGGGAGCTCACTGGCGGGGCCGGAGCTGTCGCTCGGGGGTGGAGCTCTTGCAGAGGCAGCGGGGGGATGCTGTTCGGCCAGCGGACGCGGCTCTTTGGAGGTCAGGGACGGGGATTGGGCGGCGCTGCTCAGGCACAGGGTAGGTGATTGCGGTGGGCTGGCCAAGATCAAAGGCGGCGGGCCCTGTGGTGCGGCTTTGGGCGCACTGCGGCGGCGGAGCAGCAGCCCGCGGGCCTGCGTCGCAACCAGCCACGGCACCGGCAGCGTTAGCGCCCCGGACGCCGATCGCAACGCCTTCATGACTTCTATCCAAACTTTCTCGCGTCCATCCGGCCGCTCGCTCTCCGCCGCCAGCTTGCTCCTCCCCCGTCCGAGCCTCGCATTGCGCATTGTCATTACAGGACTGCGCCATGCAAGCTCGTTTTCGCCGCCCGGGAGTCTGCGTTTTCTGCTCTTTCGCTCCCAGGCGCATTCCCGTCGCCACACATGCACTTTCACTGCACACCTCAGCGCCGCTATGGCGCCAAAAAGTACACCACACCTAATCTGCAAAGACACCACGCACTGCTAACCCAATTGTCTTCAGACGAGAGTTAAATCTCGACCTGCTGCGGCATTCGAGCCTCTACCGGGCCTGCCAGTCAGACGCGCACCAGGCCACCCATCGAAACGCGGGGATTCGTCAGGCGTTAAACGCGTGGGAGTGGTGGACCGCAGTAACCTACCTCCTACCTACGCCATCAAATTTGCACTCAAGGCCCTCAACGATCTACGCCGCACTGCTACGAAATCTCCAACAATCGCATCCATGGGAGTAGCCGCAGGGGAGGCGCAGGAGCACTGGAGAACCTTCAGTGCGAACATGGCTTCACGCCTTAGGGAGGCTGCGAGAGGAGAGCTGAATCAAGAGGACGAAGAGACGGTAAAACTCGTCTCAAACTTGCAGAAAGCCTTCAAGGATCGTGGCCCGAAAGGCGTAAATCTTCAGCTCGAGAACGCCTTCCTAGGACATCTTGCGTCGACGATATCATTCTCCAAGGACGACTACCAGAACCAGAAAGCTTTGGCCGACCTGCGATACCCTTCCGAGTGGTATCCTGCTACCCGTAAGCTGCAACGGAAAATCATCCTGCACGTTGGTCCTACGAACTCTGGCAAGACATATCATGCGCTGAAGCGCCTGGAGGAGGTGGAATCGGGAACTTATGCAGGACCGCTACGCCTCTTGGCCCATGAGGTATACACTCGTATGAATGCCAAGGGAGTCCCATGCGCGCTTATTACTGGTGAAGAAAGGCGGCGGCCTGGAAGCGAAGAACCCCCAAATCACGTCTCCTGCACCGTTGAGATGATTCCACTCCACATGAAGATGGATGTCTGCGTCATCGATGAAATCCAGATGATTGGTGATCTTGAGCGTGGCTGGGCCTGGACCCAAGCCGTGCTGGGAGTGCGGGCGAAAGAGCTCCATCTCTGCGGTGAAGCAAGGACTGTACCCTTGATCCGCGAACTAGCTGCTTCCATGGGTGATGAAGTCGAAGTTAACCACTACAACCGTTTGACATCTCTGGAAATGGACGACGCGCATGTTGGCCTCGACTTTAAAAAACTCCGCAAGGGGGATTGTATCGTTGCTTTCTCTGTCATGGAAATCCATGCCTTACGCCAACAAATCCAAAAGCAGACAGGCAAGAAGGTTGCTATTGTTTATGGCAGTTTACCTCCTGAGACACGCGCACAACAGGCCAGGCTGTTCAACGATCCTGATAGCGGATATGATGTTCTGGTTGCCAGTGACGCCATCGGCATGGGATTGAATCTGTAAGTTAAGTGTTCTTTTTTTTTTTTTTTTGAAGTAGTAAATAACCTGGCTGACGATGATCAGGAGCATCAAGCGCATCATCTTTGCATCCGTCTATAAATTTAACGGCTTCGAGGAAGTAGCCATTTCGATACCGCATTTGAAGCAGATTGCTGGAAGAGCAGGGCGTTACAAGACGGCACATGAAGCAAATAAAGAGGCCGAGCAGGCTTCGAAGAGCTCCAATACTACCAATATTCCAGTTACTACTCTGGAAGATGTCGCCTCAAAGAATGCTCCCCAGGACCTCGAGAAAGGACAGTTTGAGTTTGCGGAGCCAAAACCCGGGGGCGGCCTGGTAACCACTATTGAAAGATCACACATGACCTTCGTGCGGAAGGCTTTGAACGCAGAACCCGAAGCGATCAAGACAGCAGGTCTATTTCCGCCAGATCCAATCATTGAGCGCTTTGCCAATTATTTCCCCCCGGCAACGCCATTCAGCTACATCCTCCTGCGCCTGCATGACATTTCTCGCATTCACACCCGATTCCACATGTGCGTCTTGAAAGATCAGCTGACCATCGCTGACACTGTCCAGCCCGTTGAAGGCCTTTCAGTCTTGGATAAGGTCACGTTTTGCGCAGCCCCTGCCAATATAAAGACGCGGACGGGCAGAACAGTTCTCTACAATTTGGCAAAGTGTGTGGCAGACCAAAAGAACGGTGACTTGCTGGATATCGAAGGTTTCAATTGGAGCCTTCTAGACCGACCTGTAACCGCCGATCGCAACCATCTTCGGGAACTGGAGGAACTTCACAAATCAATTGTGCTCTACCTTTGGCTGAGTTATCGGTTTAGCGGCGTCTTTTCCACGAGAGCTCTGGCATTCCACGCAAAGAGCGTGGTTGAGGATGCGATAGAAGCGACGCTCAATGAGCTCACGAAGACTCAAATGACGCTCAAGAAGATCCGATCCAGGGAGCGCACGAGAGTGGAGTCAAGGGCAGAGGAGTTCAGCGAAGAATTGCAGAGAGCCGAAGAAGCCGATAAGGAACAACAAGAGAACCAAACGGAGGAAATAGTGGTGCCGGCGGGAAGTCGGTATGAAGAGGCAGACATCCTTGATGGTGCTGAAGATGGTCATGAGGTGGAGCCGACAGATGTCACACACGAGGCGGTGCTCGAAGATGTCGCAGATAAGAGCATGGAGGCTGAACCCGCAATGACACTCAGGAAGGCGGGGCCTCAAGAAGAAGAAGATGACGACGATCGGGACTGGACCCATGATTTGGAGGTCGATGAGGGTAATAGACGGATGAACGAGTCTGTGGATGCAAGAGGAACGGATACGAATACGGCCCCTGGTCCGTAAGGAAGCACCTTTTTTTTTGAACATTCATGGGAAAACTAAAATTTCTGTAAGATATGAAAAGCGATTTTTGAGGTTTAGACGGGCGTAGATGCTGGAAGCAGTGGCGTAGAATCGGACAAGTCTCCACCTTTTCCAACATATTCACGTATGGCATGATCTGCAGCGGTTGATTATTGCATCGCTCAAACACACTTGAGCCCCGAAGGAACGTGTCGTACATTATGAGGGCGAATGGTGATCAGGGCTTGGCAGGGCTGAGTGACGTCGGGCCGGGAGATTGCTGCGCTTCCGGAGGGTGGCTTTGGCCCCAGGGTTTTGTTCGGCCGCGCAGCCGCCATCATCCGCGCCTCGACACACTACCTAGCCAAACCTAATCACCACGCTCAATTCTCGCCCGCCCGCTCTCCAACCTCGACCCTTCGCCTGATAGCAGCGGTCGCATCGGCCGCAAACCCTTTCCATCATGGCCGGCTCCTCGCTGCTGGAGATGCCTCGTCCTTCCGTAAGCGCCCACGCGCGACTACCACCCAGGAGTGACTGACGCCTGCAGACTTTCCTCTACGCCATGTCGCTGCGCACCGGCGTCGAGCTCGTCGTCCTGACGATCCTGGTCAACAAAATCACCGGCTTCTACGGCATCCTGGCTCTCGCGACCGGCTATCACGTTTCGCCGCTACAACTGTCGATGTACATTTACTCCATCATCGCCCTCTTCCTCACCGTTTACTTGGCCCGGTACATCCGCAAGCAGGACCCGCTGCGCTGCCTCGCACTCGCCTGGTTCTACGCCATCGACACTGTGATCAACGCCGCCTACACCGCCGCCTTTGGAATCGCCTGGTTCCTGGTGCTGGCGCAGCACCCACACGGGAGCAAGCCCGATGGGTCGGGCGGCAAGATGATCGGCGACACGTCCGGTTTCACTGACCCGAAGTATAACGTCAGCCAGGTCGACGTCGTGGCCAAACCAGCGGGTGGGCTGACGTCGGGCCAGGAGGCCGTCGCGGTCGGCTCGGGCGACGGCGGCTTCCCGGCGGCTGGCCTAGGTAGCGCTGTATTCCAGAGCGGCAGCGTCATGAGCATCACCATCATTTCTGCGCTCTGGGCTGTCCGCCTCTACTTTGTCGTCATAATGCTCGCATACGCCCGTAACGTCCTGCGCCAGCACATCATGGCGACCTCGGCCTCGCAGTACACGCTGCACACCGGCAACCCGTCCGACGAGCTTGCCGAGAACCCGTTTGCCGAGCACCGCGAAGAGGGCCAGGGCTGGCAGGGCAAGCTGGGCCGCGCCATGGTCTCGGTCGGCCGCGAGTACTGGCTCGGCCGCGACGAGGACGGCGAGTGGATGCGCGGCATGGGCGGCAAGTTCAGGAAGAGCACCAACCTGCAGCCTGCGCCGGGTGTGGGCGAGAGGGAGCGCAGGAGAAGGAGTGGCACCGGTCCGCCAGCCCCTCCGCCTCAGTTGCCTCGCCCGGTTAGCCTCGAGTCGATTCGCGATGCTCATTGAAGAACCCTTCTTCTACTCCTCCAATGCATCTAGATCAAACCGTCTAAGGTCTCCCTTCTGGGGATGATTTTTGAAGAGGGAAAGAGGGGAAAGAGTCGAGAAATGGCGTGTCCGGTTCACGTTTCTGCATCTTGGAAGCATAGCATTGGCATTGGAAATGAAACGGATCACAGCACATAATAATTGTAATGAGGAGGCGAGCATAGACTCTTGATTTCTTGTTTTGGTTACAGCCTCTCGCTTTCTGTCATGATATCCGATGTTCGCTCGTTGCAGTTGTACAGATCGATATACCTATTTTCTGAACAACTCCTTGCCTCGCGCATTCTGCTGTGCTCACATAACGTTGCATCGTATCATGTTCATTCTAACCGCTCAAAATCCCCGCAACGTCGGACAGTGGACCGTCGTTGTCCTTTTCTCTTATTGGACCAGACAATCTCTTCGCCTCGAAGCCATCGACCCTTCTTTCTCCACATTCTTACGCTGTGTTGTCGCCGCCGCCGTCATACCAGTGCTCTTCCAGCGCTCCATCTGAATCCTGATTCACCAGAAGTTATAGTAGTGAAGTTACGCTCTGATCGATATCCGCATGCTAGCCGCCGATCGGGGTCGGGACTCTCTGGTCGAACCGATTTGAGGATCTATCCTAACAGACACCAATCCGGTAGGAATCTCAAGCAGGCAACCCCAGACGTCGACGACGGTTGTTCCTGGTAGCACGCTCAAAACTCCATTTACATCAAACGGTGATCCCAGGGGTACGGTGGCGGTACGACGCTCAATCCTAAGCATCTTCTAGTAACAGTACCGTTCGGGGGGGGATTGCCCCTCTAAAGCAGAGAGTGGCGCGGAAGATCAATCTGTTGCGTGCCGCGAAAGACACTTCATCCAAGCCTAGAATCCAAGTGCCCATGCGAGATTCAGGCGTAATGTCCCCCGGTGAAGCCAAGTCAAGAAAGTGACTTTAAAAAAAAAAGAAAAATAGACCTTTGGTTAACCAGTAGTGGATGGTGGAGCGGGGTTGGAATTACAAGACATCATTGACCGGTTCGCCGCTCTCCGGATCGATGTCGAAGTCGCCGTTGCCGAATAGGCGCATGAGCGCCGGCGGCCACTGCTCAGGTCCGGTCGGTCCATTGGGTCCTCCTGCTGGGGGGATGACTGATGAAGTTCCTTGTACGCTCATGGGATCGACGGGCATCTGCTGCTGGCTGTCCACGGACATGGGCCCGTTGAAATATTGTTGCTTCGGTGCAAATTGCCATGAAGGTGAGTCAAGGCGGATGCTGTCCTGGTTGAAGAGAGCCCACGGGTTTGTTTCTTCGGGATTTTCTGCAGATGCGATGTTGTTTGCGTTCGGGTTGCTTGATGGACTGGTCGGAGGGGTTCGGAGGCGCTGGAGATCTGTTTCGAGGCGAGAGGCTAGTTGATGTCGAAGGCTAGGCGGAGGTTGGCTCGTATTTTTGAGGGTCAAGAGGTGCGATTGGATCAAGCGAAGGTCTAAATTGAGCCGTCAGTTTGTGCTTTCCATAAGTGTGAAGGTTGATGTACCGTCTGATTCACCTGTTCCATCCTCCATTCCTTGGAGGACCAGCAGAGCAGCCCAGGTGATCATCTATAGGAATTTAGCATAAGCCAAATACTCTCAGCGATCAACTTACCACCAGATCCCAGTTGCTCCAGATTCCATGATCGTCGTTGTGCAGTCTGAGTGCAGCACGGGCGGAAAGCAGAAGTTCTTGTCGCTCAGCGGTTGCTACATTCCTAGCAAACATGTTGAAGCCTCTGGCAGGATGATAGATAGATAGCACAAATAGTCGTTGCAGTATATACTGTCGAAACAAGGCAAGATTGGGATTGTCGATTGCAGAAGGACCTATTGCCTATCAGTGGATCAACAGGACACGCAAACCTTCCACACCGCTGGACTTACGCGAAACTCCGCTGTACCTAACAAGCCAGTCATCGAGTTGCCGAGCCCAGTGTTTTATGACGCCAAGATCATTTTCTGTAAATGGCGTGGCTCCTTGCGACGAGCGATCGGCCTCGTTCGAGAAAATGAAAGACCATATCGTTGGGATCCCACGGCCAGTGAAATGAGACAAACCAATGTGCATCATCTGCGTAAGATGGTCGTATGGGTCGCCGCCAGAGGTCTGGAGCTGCAGCAGCGAGGCCAAAGGTGCCTTCCGCGGCAGGATCGGGCAAGACATGTACAGCGAAGCGTGTTCGAGGTCGATAATCTGAAGCCCTCGGAAGAGGCCACACCATTCTCGTGATCTTTCGTCAATATTCATCGGACAATAGTCGAGAAGGATTCTATAGCCAATCGAAATCCAGATGCCAGTCTCTTTGATGTAAGCTTCCGACACCAGTCCGGCGAGGATCAAGCCGAGAACATCCTGGAACCCTCGTTGCTCATCAGTGAGGTTTTCGTCTTTGAATGGTTCATTCTGGCGGGGAGATGGCACAGATAGGTCGGCGATAGCGCTACATGTTAGGACAAAGTAATGCGGTGCCAAGGAAGCAATATCTGAGATGGGGTGATGGAGGGCAGACACGTAGAGCACGGATGCAAGAAGAAGCGGCGTAGGTGATGAGAACGTCTGCTTCTTGGACAGGAAGTGGAGTCCCGGGACATTGTCATGGAATCTATGCGCAGGTTAGACAAAATATGGCAGAGACCGAGCAGAAATGTGACTCACGACGTCCATAGCTGCTTCATGACAGAAGGCGCCCAAATTGTGTCATTCTGGGGCTGCCTAGCCAAGCACCTCAACTGAGCAACGGCCGGTTTAAGTCCGCTAAACTCTGGATCTTCGTCATCCTCAAGAGAAAGGATGCCTGACGGGCCGGCGTCTGTTTGGCTACCCGGTGAAGGGTGGGCTATTTTAGAAGATGGGCGGATGCCGAGAAGAGCCTCGATGACTTCAAGGCGTCCGAGCACCGAGCCGGGATCTGCGCTGGTGGGTCTTTTATTTTGCTCCGACCTCACGTCAACGGGTTCTCTGATGATGGCGGCCTTGCAGGTCTCAGTCTAGAGCACAGTGGACGGGTGGAGGCAGTGGGCGTACATTTGCGCGCGGCTTGAAAATGCAGTCGATTTTCTGAACGCGACAGCGTCTACATACACTTGAGCCTGGTTCGAGCTGGCATTTCATCTAAATATCTGGTCAGACAGGTTGGAGGCACACGGGCGATCAAGGCCGACCTTCTGACGGCGACAGTTGACTGTGGGATGTGCCAGTTAGCACGGGCGCGCACTGGCGGGATGCTCTTGGCTTGTTGTGCCGGCTTACCGCATGCTTTGGTGGGCTTAGGCCCAATGATGATGCTCTCCTGCGGTTTGGAGGCCATATTAACTTACGATTGGAAGGACGAGGGCCATGGTGTCGTGCCACAAGAAGCGCGGTAGACGCGCAGCGCGGGGGCGATCTCGGCAGCCGCACCTTCCCGTCCAGCCCGCGCGCCATTTCCTATTGCCGGCCTGGCCACGACTTTTGTCGCCACCCCTGCCTCAACTCTCAAATCTCGCCCCTTGCGTGAGCTATTGAAGACGAGTCAAGTGTTCTGACTGTCCACCATCATAGCTCACAGGCGGCCACATCTTCTCAATGAGTCTGTAGGTGTACAATGGGCAGAAGCTGCCATATCCGTCCGGCTGAAAAACATCTGGCCGATCTCGCATTTAGAGCTACAAGGGGTTGTGCACAAAGTGGAGAATGCTGGCTGCGGCTTCCCGCATTCTTTGAGCTTAAATTCGGTCCCATTCTCAGTTGCTCTGAGTCGAGTCTCCCCGGAGTTTGTCCACGCGGTGCGGATCCACTGTGCGACAGCCAGCTTGTACAACATGTACACGACAAGATCAACCAACCCTTGTCCGGCTGCTCTCTCCGTCGGATACATTCACCGGGACTCGCTCCCAAAAGAATCAGAATCAATGGCAATATTAATATCTCCAGACTGATGAGTACACGGCGATGAGATGGCACCCCCGGCCTTATCGGGGCCCATCTCCGGGTTGTCCGTACATTGCCGACTCTCACCATCGCGTCTCTCTTCGGTGGAAGTATGTCCGATATGCAGCCACGTTCGCCGTGCCTGGGGGGGATTCTAAGGGTCCCGCGCTACATCTTTTGATTTGCTCTGAGGTCCGACTGTCTTTGGACACTTCCATGACCCCTTTACACTCTTTCTACACTCCGCAGCCATCACGTCGACTTGGCAATGGGGGCCAAGTCTTCGAGGATAGCGAGGAGACCTGCTGTCGTCGAGGCAAGGCGTATTGCTGCCGAGTTCAATGTGTCCGCTGAAGATGTGCGGAAAACGGTAACGCATTTCGTGCAGCAGATGGGTACAAATCAATCCCTTCAATTTCTGACGAATGAGAAGCTGACATTGCCTCAAGAGGATGGACTTGCCAAAGATGGAGACACCATGATACCGTCATTTGTTACCGCCCTGCCCACTGGAACCGAAAAGGTACTCGTGATCCGCTTTCGATCCACCACCTGCCATGCGCATTGCTAAAGACTGGAATCCCATTAGGGCGTTTGTCTGGCTGTGGATATCGGAGGAACCAATTGTCGCGTCTGCAGCGTTGAGCTTCACGGAAACCGCACCTTTTCCATTAAGCAAACGAAGGCCACTATCCCCCAGAATCTAAGGATTGGGAGTACATCTGCAGACCTTTTTTCTTTCATTGCTCGCGAAGTGGAAGCGTTTCTGAAGAAGCACTACAGCAAGAGATATGATGCACACAAAGCGCGGGGGCGCGACAGTCCAGTCGTTGAGAGTGAATCCATGCAGATGGATCACCTTCCTCTTGGCTTCACTTTCAGCTTTACCTTCCAGCAGGTCGCCATTGATAAAGGCATCATGGCCCGATGGGATAAAGGCTTCGACATTCCGGATACCATAGGAAAGGACGTCTGTGCACTTTTGCAGGAACAGATCGACAAGCTAGGTATTCCTGTTCGTGTCACTGCGCTTGCAAATGATACTGTTGGAACGTTGATGGCACGATCTTACACCTCTTTGGGAGACGGATCATCCATACTCGGCGCGGTCTTTGGGACTGGTACCAATGGGGCTTACGTTGAAAAACGGGAGAACGTTACGAGACTTGGTCTTTCAGATGAGCAAGCGAATGACATGATTGTCAACACGGAGTGGGGTTCGTTTGACGAAAGTTTGACGGTCCTGCCGGAGACGCCGTATGACAAGAAGCTTGACGAAGTCGATATCCACCCAGGAGAGCAAATGCTTGAGAAACGCGTCAGTGGAATGTACCTAGGAGAGCTCTTTCGACTTGCTCTCCTTAGCGTCTTGGAGAAGTCAGAACTTGGTTTTCTCAAGAGCTCCTCGAAGGGTCGCCTTTCCAAGGATTCTCCGTTATTCAAGCCCTACGGACTGGACACGAGCATCATGAGCACCATCGAAGCGGACGAAACTACCTTGCTGTCAGTAACCCGACGTTGTCTCGAAAAGGAGTTTGGTCTTGCACGAGCTTCCATAGAGGATGCGGCCGTTGCCAAGATTATCGCTGAGGCCATCGGGCGGCGGGCGGCTCGTTTGAGCGGTGCTGCTATTGCTGCTGTCGTTGTCAAGACTGGCCGGCTCAATGACTCGTCTGGAAAGGCAAATTACCTGGATGTGGGAGTAGAGGGTTCCTTGGTGGAACACTATCCTGGATTCGAAGAAAACATTCGCGATGCACTGCGAGATGTTCCGCAAATTGGGCTCGAGGGTGAGAGACGCATTCGTATTGGCCTTGCCCGGGACGGAAGTGGAGTGGGTGCAGCACTTATCGCCATGGTTGCCGATAAGCAAAGGGCACAGGCAGTAAAGGCTGGTGCGAATGGTGGGCTCGACGCGACGGGAAAGGGCCTTGAGGTTGTGGAAGAGAGGAAATTATCAGCTGCAGACACTGGCCCTGCGTCAGAGCAATTAGTTTCTGCGGTTTGAGGTACTTGACTTGCCCGTCTTCTTCTCTTAACTCGAGTGAAAAGGGATACTTTGAGCGTCTTGGTAAAATCATTCACATGGCGTGCCGTTATGCATATTTCGAGCTTCTCTTCTACATGGGTATTCTTCTGACTTCGTCAATGGTCCAATACTTGCGCATGTTCTCCGCACCCAGTTCCTTGACCTCCTCGTCTAGATGTTGCCACAAGACTTTGCCGAAAGAGTCTAAGATCTCCTTCATCTTATCCATCCTGAGCTCATTCTCGCCGCGTCTGCACTCCTCAAGATACTGTTCCAGCTTCTCCAGCCCCTTGTGGATCTGCTTATGCTGAGTCAAAAGCTCTAGCTCTTTGCGAAAAGCAGGCATCTTTTTGGCCAAGATGGGGAAAATGTGGCGCTCCTCGATATTATGGTGTATGTCCAGGTGGTGGCAGAAGTCGAGACCGAGCCCAATGAACTGTCGAATGGACATGCCCGAGGGACGCTTGTTATTTTCACAAGCCGTATACATGATCGTCCAAGAATTACGGAAGTTGTTGTGCTTGCAAAGTGTCAGTGTGAGGGTCAAGGCTGATCCCCGCATGCATGTATGTACTCACGAACATGTCCATGTGTTCGGCCAAACGATTGTATTGCCTGAACTCGTGCGCGCTCAATTTGGGGAGTTCTGGCTCCGCTGGCTTTGGAGCGTCCGCTGGCGTCGCATTGCCTGCCTGTACGTCTCCCATGGCTGAAGAGTTGGAGGAATGATATGTATGTTTTCTGGAGAGACTAGGAAGGAGACACTGGGGGCGCAGAGCGTGGGGTAGAAAAAGGCGACGCAGGGGCGCGCACCGCAACATGGGAGCCAACGGGGAGAGCCATTACAAAAGCATCGAAGGGTCGGGGCCGGGCTTTGAAATCAGTGGGCTCCTGTGGACTGCCTGTGGCTGCCCCCGAACGGCATCCCGCCCACGCTCGGCAGTGCGAAGCGCCGCAGATCCCGCCACCAGCGAGGGAAGTCGGCGCTTCCTACCTCCGATGCTCAAGCGCCGAGGCCGCAACCGCAGCAGGGCAAATATTATATCGTAGCCGCTTCTCAGTCCAAAAATCCCTGACAAGGGGCCACTACTTTTGCAGAGCCTCGACCCCTCCCACCCCGCGCAGATCGGTCATCCATCTCAGTGCTCTAAATTTTCCAAAATCTCTCCCCTCCATATCTTATCACCACATCACCAGATCTTGAGCCCTGTTTTCTTTTTACCCAGTCTCTTTCCAGCCACTTCCTGATCCCAATCACAAAATTTACACCTATGGCGCCTGCTGCTGTCGATACCACCGCCGTTGGCGACAACGGCGCTCCCGATGCGACCGTCCTTGCGCTGCGCAAGACGCTCGTGAATGAGGCAGAGCCTTTGGCGCGTCGGTTCCGCGCTCTCTTCTCGCTCAAGTACCTGGCGTGCCAGGCCCCGGCAACGGCGCAGACGCTGCAAGCCATCGACGCTATCGCCGCCGGCTTTAGCTCCTCGTCGGCGCTGCTTAAGCACGAGCTGGCCTACTGTCTCGGTCAGTCGCGCAACCCACACGCCGTGTCATACCTGCGCCATGTGCTCGAGGATAAGCAGGAGGACGCCATGTGCCGCCACGAGGCCGCTGAGGCCTTGGGCGCCCTTGGCTACGAGGAGAGCCTGGACCTGCTCCGCCGCCTGAGGGACGCGCCCGATGAGCTCGACGTCATCACCGAGACCTGCGACATTGCCGTCGCTAGGATTGAGTGGGAGCACTCCAAGGAGAGGGAGGCTGAAAAGCTCAAGCAGAGGTATGGTGGTGTTATGTCATGAATGGTCATGCGATCTTTTTTTGAGCTAAACGAGCTTGCTAGCGACTTCACATCCATTGATCCTGCCCCTCCGATGCCGCAGGACTCCCAGCAGCCCTCCATCGAGGAGCTGGAGAAGGCCTACTTGGACACCAAGCTGCCTCTGTTCAAGCGCTACCGCGCCATGTTCGCCCTCCGCGACCTGGCCTCGCCGCCCGACCTCCCCACTGCGGTCCCCGCTGTCAATGCCCTTGCCAAGGGCCTGAGCGACTCTTCTGCCCTGTTCCGTCATGAGGTTGCCTTCGTCTTTGGCCAGCTGTGTCACCCAGCATCGATTCCTGCTTTGACCGCTTGCTTGAGCGACACCAACGAGGCCGGCATGGTCCGCCACGAGGCTGCTGAGGCTCTTGGCAGCCTAGGTGATGAGGAGGGTGTTGAGGATACCTTGAGGAAGTTTGTGAACGACCCCGAGCAGGTCGTTAGGGACAGCATCATTGTCGCGCTCGACATGGCCGAGTTTGAGAAGAGCGGCCAGGTTGAGTACGCCATTGTTCCTGGCAAGGAGGAGGAAGTGGTTGCCTGAGGTAATTTTGAGCCCGAGACTTTGCATTGGCGTTTATGGACAGGCGGTTTAGAGGGAAAAAAAGTGCTCCACGGAGGGGTATATTGTTGGATGATCCGAGTGCAAAACACCGTATATATACGAAGCATGATACCAAAGTATGAGCCAAAAATGGAAAGAGGGTTCGTTTAGTTGTTCGTGTTCCATCTGCAACCACGTCAGCATGCATATTACCACATGAACGTGGACCGGAGAGCCGTACTTGTGACCACACTCGCAGGTGTAGAAGACCGTGCTTCCCTCATCTGCACTACGCAGCTGCTGAGTGTAATATCTGACTTCTTCCCTGCCACACTTCTCGCACGTCTGCCTGATCGTGGCATCCGTCTGCATATCGTCCTCGGTGAGGGTCTGCAGCTCTGAGCGCTTGTCGCGGAGCGAAGATGGAAACGACGACGGCTTCGACTGGGTCACGATTGTCTTCGCGGCGGTGTCTGCAAGCCATGTGAGCTCATGCAATCATGTGCGCGCAAAAGCGCGGCGCATGTAGCGAAGTGAAAGAGCAAGGGAAGAAGCGAATGAGGCTGGCGACGGGCGAGGTGAGGCAAGTCAGAGCTGGCGCGGCGAAAGACGCTGGTGATCTTTCGGCGGCAGAAGTGAGGCGCGGGAAAGCGAGCAAAAAAATGTCGCCCGGGAACTCTCAAGGCATCGAACGGGGTGTGGGGAATCGTACCTTTGCAGGAAGCGCCGCAGACATCGCAGACCAAAGTGACCTTCGAGTCGCCGGAGCTGCCGTCAAGAAGGTTACCGCAGTCGGTGCAAAAGACCAGCGAACCAATTGCCGACATGATGGATCAAGGAGCTTGTGAGAAGAAGAGCAAGAGCCGCGTCCGGAGTATCTGGGAAGAAAGCAAGCTGTTCGAGGGGGCAGCGAAAAAGTCTCGGGCGGCGTTGGAGATGGCCGGCGGAGATCTTGAGGATTTTCCCCGACGACAGGGATTTCACGCGCACGATTTAGTGGTGGCCTGTTTTGCTGCGGCGGGGGAGCGGTCTACCGGCAACGGGCGTGTCTCAGCCCTACGAGCTCTAGTCGCGCGTTCGCGTTGGATGGTTCACCAGGGCCATCTCCATCTAACTCCGCAGCCTACCACGCCTGAGTGCCGGCTCCGGAGACCCTTCGCGCCATCCCGCACACCTCGCTGCTTCTCCGTTCCGCTCTCGCCTTCCAAATGGCCATACCTTGCGAGTCGTAGCCAGCAGCACCCCCCCACCACCTTCGCGCCGCGCCGACCACACCTCCGCCGCACCTCCGATGCATTTGTCTCGCAACGCCCAGCTCCACCGCGAATGAACTACGTTAGCACCGGGCGAGACCTCTCCCCTTCGGCGGCCCACTAGCGACCCCTGATCCGGTGCTGTTTCTTCGATAATCGCGTCGGCCGCCGTACAAGACAGAGATGGATCCCGCGAGTGGTGCCGTGAACGGCGCTGGCGCAAATGGGCCAGCAAATGGACCATGGCCTCCGAGTAATACCATGAGTCTTCCCATGCGGCCTCGGCTGCCCACTGTCGACGACGCTCTGCAGTTCTCCCCTCTGAGCTCCATAACGCCGTTCGATCCCGGTACGTCATTCCACCTGGGTCCAGCTGCCCATCACCAAGTCCGCAGCATTGAGGCTCTGCACCTTCCCAATGTGGGCAATTGCGTATCCTGCTGCACAACGCTGCGCGCAGCCGACAGCCCCCCACGTGCACCAGAAACAGCCTGTTCCTAATCACCTCACAGCTATCATACCCTTCCCGTCTAGCTTCCCTCGCACCAGCCACACCATCTTCGCAAATACCGAGGAGCGGCAGCGAACAAGGAGGGGGTTGGACTCACTCAATGCAGAGGCTGCTTCCAATCCGCAGACGACTTCATACCGGCTGCAACAGTCGCTGCAACAGCTCCAACAGTTGCTGAGACCATCGGAGTTGACCGAGTTGTATGCCAAGATCTTCCACTTCACCACCATTGAAGCTTCCTGCTGACTCCTTTCAAGCAAGTTCAAACGCCCAGCGCAGGGGTCTTCAGTAGCGGACAACTCCGGGAGCGGCTCGCAGAAAGCTCCGGCTCCACGTCTCGGTGCTTTCTCGAACATGGTGCTAAACACCACAAACGTCGCGTTTCGGTATCCCAGTCCTCCTTCGTCTACTACAAAGACCAAACTCCCGTCGAAGCGTCCTGATGCTTCTCGTCCACGACAACAGGAACACACGCCAAGGCGTCCTGCACCTCTTGCGCAATCGCAAACGCCTCAAGCAACGCCTCAGCCTGCCAGGCAGCATGACTCGTTAACTACTCCAATTAAGACCGAGCATCCGACAGCAAGCACCTCTCAGCAGAGCAATCATTCCGCCAGCCAGAATGCTAAAGTTGCGGTCGTCATCCCTCCCAAGAGCTCACAGCAAAAGCCGGCACAACCCAGCGTCGATATCAGACCACAACCTAGGGTAGAGGTACGCCCACAACCGGTCGTCGAAGTCTGCCCGCAACCCAGCGTCCATGTCCAGGTCAAGCAACAGCCGAGCACCGACGACTCGCCGGTGCCTCCCTCGTCACAGGAGAGACGCAACGGTGCCGGAATCGTCGTCCTTAAAATCCCTTCATACTTGCAAAAGGCTGAGTATCAGGCCCATCCGGAGGTCGATGCTCGCATTCTCGCTGGCGAAGATGGCTTCTCGAGAAAGCGCAAACGGGAGGATGATGCGGTACCGACGATGAGCATTGACCAGAGACAAAAGATCGAAGCGGCTGTCGCGCAACTGCAAAACTTAATTGGAGATATCTTCGAAGCTGAGGATCAACTGGAGCCAGACACTTCCGGCAACATTTCTTCTAATGCTGCAAGGTTCTTCATCCCTAGCAATGTAGGTGATAGCGAGCTTCCCGTGCTCTCTTCACATACACAGTTCCGGTTAGATTCAGCTTTGCACAAAGTCATATCTGCCAAGGCTTTCGGAAATATTCCTGCGGACAACCTCAATCGCCTTCAGAAGCTGTGTGAGGGAGCTGTTGGTAATGTTTCCAGTGTTTCGATCACGCTTGGCGAAGATTGGTCGGAGGGTGATATCGAAGAGTGGGTCGGTCGTCTCAACAAGGCAGAGCATGGGTTGCAAGCTGCTAGGATCCTTCTCAGAATCATGACAGCTGGGCGTGAGGAGAAGCAGCTCTACTCCGAGGATATTCTATCGAATATTCTGGATGCTCTGAAGCATGTTCTAGAGACATGCCTGATACCAGTCATCGAGGCACGCAATTCAGAGACCAACAATACCTCTTTCAAGATCCTTTCTGCGCAACGGAAACCCCTCACATCACTTCTCCAGATGGCAGGCAAGGTTCTCAGACTTTTAGCGGAAATGATCGTCAAGGTCGACGTCTCTGACAGCGCAGTTACCTCGGTGGAGTTTGTGTCGACCACACTCATCTTCGTCGAAAACGCTCCAACGGAGAAGGATTCTGCGCTTGGTATTCAGAAGTGTGAAGTCATCCGCCGGATTGCCATGGACGTCTTAGCGAAGATCTTCGCACGCTATCCGGATCAGAGAACATTCATTTTCGATGAGATACTTACGTCCCTATCGAAGCTCCCTGTGACCCGCCAAAGCGCTCGACAATTCAAGTTACTGGACGGAAAACCTATTCAATTGGTCTCTGCGCTATTGATGCGACTCATCCAAACAAGCGCGACGCGTTCGATCACGGATACCCACAAGGATGTGCAAGGCTTGCGGTTGGATGAGCTAGAGGACGATGACAACGCCTCGCACAACGGAACTCGTTCTCCTGCCCCCGACCAGTCTGGGATCATTGCAATGAACGATGCAGCTCAGATGGACCGCGAGGATTTGGTCGGAGAGCTGAACAGTGTCATGAAGCCACTTTTCGAGGATGCGCAGAAAAGCGCTCGCTACTTGGTAAATTTCATGGTGCAACGGGCAATGACCGCTTCGAAGACGGGTGATCAGCCTTACCGTAACCTACTGGACATTTTCACAGAAGACTTCTTGAATGTCCTGGGTTCTTCTGACTGGCCTGCGGCTGAGCTATTGCTAAGAGCCCTGCTATCGAACATGATTGGTCTGGCCGAGAACGACAAGAGCGCAGCACCAGCAAAAAACATGGCTTTGGATCTAATGGGACTGATGGGTTCCGGCATTTTGGATCTGCAACTTCACGTCAAGAGCGCTGTAAGAAGCATCGACACGTCAGAGTCGGAGCTTTCTCGCAAGCTTGCCAATACGGCCGAAGATATCTTGGACGACAAATTTGAGGACGCTGATCTACTTGAATTCGATGGACCGTACCGTGTGGTTCTGGAGTACCTAAAGTCGCGCGACTTGGGTGACCCTCAGCTGCAAAGCGCCCAAGGCTACCACCTAACTCAATGGGCCAAAGAGGTTCACTCTTTCTTAGACAAAGACGAAGATGAGAACATGCGCGGCACACTAGCAATCCAGTTAAGGAACATGATAATGGACCCCGAGTGGCTGGAGCAAGAATTTGAGTATGAGAAAGTCATGACGGCCCAGGGGAATCTCGCTAGCTCCATCGTCGCCCTTCGGCTCCCTTTCTGCAAGGCATTCAAGCGCATGTTCGCCATCCTACTCAATGCTATGACCAGCGATCAGGCGACAGTCAAGAGCAGGAGTCTGAAGAGTGTCGTTCAGCTTCTGGAGAAGGACCCTTCTATCCTAAGGAATGGCAACTACATCATCAATCAGATCTTGCGCTGCGCATCCGACCAGTCTCCTTTGGTTAGAGATTCTGCCCTTGGTCTCCTTGCCAAGTGCCTTCAATTCAAACCGTCGCTGGAAAATGAGGTATTCGACAGAATCATTGCTCGCGCCCACGACGCTGCGGTCGGTGTCCGGAAGAGAGCTATGAAGCTTCTTAAGGATATCTATCTTAGAAACGAGTCCAAGGATGTCAAGACGGCTATTGCTGAAGCCTTCTTGCAGCGCATCAAGGATATTGACGACGGCGTTTCTGAGCTTGCAAGGTCGACGTTTGAAGAGATCTGGTTTACGCCCTTTCATTCGACCAACAAGATGGACCGTGCTCAATCCAAGCTGCTCCTTCAAAATCAAGTCGTACTCATCATCAAGACAGTCCAGCGCGGCGAAACCGTTCTTTCTGTACTGGACGCTCTCCTAGAGAACATACTGTCGCCCGGGTCAAAGAACAGCACCGCTAACTTCAACGTTTGCAAGAGCATGGTAGCTCTCATGTTCGATGGAGTCATTGATAGCACCGAACTTCCAGACAGCCCATCGCAGCAAAACATCTTGCAGACTTTGACCGTGTTCGCGAGAGCGAACCCGAAGCTTTTCACAGGAGATCAGCTACAGCTCCTGCAGCCTTACATACAGAACTTGTCCAACACAGACGATCTGCTGATATATCGCTCAGTCATCGTCATTTTCCGTTATACCTTGCCTTCGCTCTCGTCGCTCCAGCATACTTTCCTAAAGGCAGTTCAGGATGCTCTTCTCTTGAGCGTCTCGAAACTTGGCAAAATGGAACTGAACGAGGTTGCTCAGTGCCTCTGGATCATCGATGGCGTCCTCCAGAATACGGAGCGCCTGGTCCGACTAGCTATTTCAGTCATCGACGGTGTGTCCAAAAGCCAAGAGACTAACTTCACCGATGATACCCCACAGGCAACCCAAGCTCAAAATAGGGTCAAGCGATACATGATGATCGCCGGCTACTTCGGAAAATGCTGCAACTTTGACCCACATGCTGCAGCATTCAAAGGAAAATTCTCCTGGTGGAAAGGTAGTTCAGTCGCCGGCTTGATTGTCGATGTAATCCGGCCCTTCACTCGTCAGAAGCTCCCACATACCCTTCGGGAAATGGCCTTGGAGAGCATCGGCATGATCTGCCAAGCTTGGCCTATGCAATTTCTCCGGGCCGATGTTACGACTGCCTTTGAACTTGTCTTCCACAACCGCGACACAAAGCTGGAACAGATTGTCTTGTCTGCTTTCAAGACGTTTTTTGCCAAGCAAGAACTCAAGTCAGAGTCAGGTGCCCAGATCAAGGTGGGTGAAGGTGCTGCTCGCGGATCTGAACGCCTTGAGGTGTCCTTGATCGCCAGCGACGATGATGGCGCTTGCAGCGGTATTGCTCAGCGTTTCCTGCACCATATCGTCCGCATCGCGCTGGAGCCTGCCGAAGAGCTCGCTATGATAGCGACTCAAGTCATTGCCAGCATCAACCGTCAAGGGTTGGTACACCCTAAGGAATGTGGTCCTGCTCTTGTGGCTCTCGAGACGTCGACCAATCAGTTCATCGCCAATCTCGCATTTCAAGAGCATAAGACGCTGCACCAGAAGCATGAAAGCATGTTTGAAAAAGAGTACATGAAGGCGTGTCATCAAGCCTTCGAATATCAACAAAGCATCTTCAATGATACGCATGGCGCAACTACTCAACCCTTCGCACCTAAGCTTCGTTCGTTGTTTGAAGTTCTTAAGACGGGTAACAACAAAGTCCGCAAGAAGTTCTTGCTAAACCTCGTTTCAAAGGCCGATTTCGACTTTTCTAAGCTCGATACCTCTGAGCATCTCCCATCTCATCTACTCTATGCTCGGTTCTGCTTGGAGAACCTGGCCTTTTTCGACTACGTCCGCGTCGACGAGTTGCTTGCGCTCGTGTCGAGTATGGAGAAAATAGTCTCAAACACTGGTACTCCTGTGGCTCACGCCATCGAGCTGGAGGTGCTAAAGGTCCGTTTGGACGAGCCTGCAGCACCACCTCCAGTTGCCACGTCCATTGAAGCCTTTGGTCCTATGGTGCAGCAGTCGTTTGGGAATCCTATGGAGCAGTTCCCGACACTGCAGCCGCAGCAGCCTATTCAGCAGCCTTTCCTCAACGGCGAGACGCAGAACAACTCTTTAGATGTTACGCCAGAGCGCCTGAAGCATCTCGCTGCTGCGTCCATCATCTTGACCATGATTTGGGAAACTCGGACTTATCTTCGTCGGCTCTGGGGCCTGCAGAAGCAACGCGAGGGAGGCAAGGGCGGCAACAAGCCCACGATCAAGGACCTCAACAAAGCACCCAGTCGCCAGCCCTTCATCGTACCTGACAAATACTGGGAGAAGATGCTTGGGCTCATGGATTCCTTGTCCAGTACTGAGGCCATGGTTGCACAATGTAAAGCGTTTGCGGAGCTGCTCTCGATTGACAACGAGCTCAGAGTCGCCTCGGAAGACGATGAGGAGGCTGAACTGGTAGCCAGGGCAGCGGGTTATGAAACACCAGATGATGATGACGAGAGCCGTGGTGACAGTCAAACACCTGGTGGAACAGGCCCGCGTGGTCGCAAGCGCAAGGGTTCCATGGGCTCATCGGGAACGCCCAAGAAGAAGAGGGGCAGGACTTCAGGCAAGCCCAAGGTTACGAAAGGCAGGCGGGGCTCGAGGGGTTCAAGCGGAAGTCACGATGAAGAGGTTTTGGTTTGGGATTAGGGGTACAAAAAAGGGTGGGTGTGCAGAATTTTTTTCAAAACTTGCATTGGGCCGGGAGAATCGTCATGGCCAGACGGGCGTCATTACCTGCATTTCGGCATGGCTGGTATACTGGCTAGCTATCACGACGCATACACGAAGTTCGGGCATAGTACGGTTTGGGTTTGGCTGCATGGTTGCTTTTTCTTTTTCTGAAGTAAAGCATAGCGAGCGAGACGGGGAAAGCGGACATGGCTGGATTACTTGATATACCCCGTTCGAGATTTGCTCAATTCCGGCCCCATTACCATTAGCTTTGATTTTAATCCTAGAGAGAACATAGTTACATTCATGGACCAAGAGTAAATATTCAAGGGGCGCACGGTAACATTGACCCGTCACTTTGAACTGATTCGTGCTTCTGCATGGGGAGTGAAGTATGGCGTGAGCTGTTAATCAAACGTCTCCACATGGCCTACGGAAACAACATGAAGCTCCAAACAATGGAGAGGGTGATCAACATGTGCAATTGTACCCAGGCCAACTGTTTCAAAGAATATACGATGTTACGCGTCCACGGCGAGGCTGACGGAAACACCGCGTCTTGTAGCAGGCGTACGGATAATATATGCTTCTTGTGTGCACGATCTGCGCCTTAATACAACCTTATTGACTCTCGGTCTACTTATTTTAGGCAGGAGCAGGCCATTACTGGGATGTTGATAAGCGCCTGGAACAACTACTGGCTTGGCATGCCAGGTACCCCATAACCTTGTTGCTCCCGAACAAGCCGAGATCAGCTCCGATGTTTCCCCTTGTAGAGACATAAACAAAGGCTGTATGCGGCTCGGATATGGAGTTTGCTGCGGTTCCAGATGTTAGGGAAGGTGGCACTAGATCTGCATGACTTGCGGCGTCCAATCATCCCCCGGAGGCGCCGGATCGCAGCCACTGTGTACGGCTCCATCTATGAGAGACTCAGCGTTCATTTCTTGCGATATAAGTAGGGTCTGATGGCCTCTGCTTTGATCCTCGTCCCAGGCTGCGCACAGCTAGGCCAACCACTCTTTTCACCCTCGCTACCTCGTCTCTCGTTATAGAAGCATGCACTTCCACTCTCTATTACATCTTGCCACGGTCCAACTGGCCCTTCTGGATGTCGTAGCCGCGTCTCCCGCCGGTGTTTCTCGCGGCTGGCTTTCTGCGAGGCAGGATGATGTTGTCCCCACTCCAGAGGAAAACGAGCGTGCTGCTCAAATCAAAGATGTCTTTACCACGGCCTGGGAGGGGTACTACACTTTTGCTTTCCCGAATGACGAGCTGAGGCCGGTCAATCGGACGTTCATCAGTAGATAGTATGCACCATCTGCCCCTGAATGCTGGCACTGAAGTTGATTGACTGTGCACAGCAACGGATGGGGATTGACGGTGGTGGATGCTCTGAGCACGGCCAGTATCATGGGCCTTCAATCCATCGTTGACAGGTCTTTGGAGTTCATTCCAACAATCGACTACACTCGAGATTCCACAAATCGAAAATGTAGTTTGTTTGAGACAAACGTTTGTGGCGGAACCTTTCTCACCGACAGAACGCTGAAACATCTTCCAGATCCGCCACCTTGCGGGCCTTCTCTCCGCCCACGACCTTCTGACTGGCCCACTGGCGCATCTAGTCAAGAATGTGAGTTTTCTGAAACTTCACAAGTGGCGATGCAACGAAGTTTCACTCAAAACACGTCGAGTTTCTGATTCACCGCAAACATAAAGAAAACTCAAGCCGACGCACTTCTCCCGCAAGCACGCACCTTGGCCGACACTATCAAGTTCGGCTTCGACACACCAACGGGCATTCCGGCCAACAATCTCTACATCAACAACCGCACGACGGACGACAGAACGGACAACAACATCGCCCAAGTCGGCACTCTCGTGCTCGAGTGGACTCGCTTATCCGACCTAACTAACAACTCGGAGTATGGTGAACTGGCGCAGCGGGGCGAATCTTGGCTGGTCAATCCACGAGGACCTTTCGGCGAGCCGTTTCCGGGGCTGATTGGTTTGGAGATCAACATCACGACGGGGAGGTTTACGACTGAAGAAGGAGGGTGGATTGGCGGGGTGGACAGTTTTTACGAGTATTTGATCAAGATGTTTGTGTACGACCCGACGAGGTTTGAGTTTTACAAGGACAGGTGAGTCGGGGCGCGCCACGAAAGAAAAGGGGAGAGGTTGAGAGCTAGATAAAAAGGCGAGGGCAAAAGAATTGCGAGGGGTCGCTAATACTTGAGAACGCAGATGGGTGACAGCCGCCGATTCGAGCATCAAGTATCTCGAGTCGCACCCCAACACCCGACCCGACCTCACTTTCCTAGCCTGGCACAACGGCACCCGCGTAGAAGGATACAGCGAACATCTCGCGTGCTTCGACGGCGGCAATTTCATCCTGGGTGGCCTGGTGCTGCAGGAGCAGCGGTACGTCGACTTCGGGCTGAAGCTGGTGGACGGTTGCGAGGCAATTTACAACCAGACCCTGTGAGTGTTTTCTGGGCCCCCCTTTACCCCAACCCAAAGATCCCTCCTTTCTCCCCTGTACCATAACATTCATCCACCCCACCAATACTCACGTCACCGACGGCGGCAGGACCGGCCTCGGCCCCGACATCTTCCGCTGGGACCCGGTGGGCAGCAACCAGAGCACCGTACCCGCCAACCAGACGGCCTTCTACCAGCGCGCGGGCTTCTACATCGACGCCGGCAGCTACGGCATCGGGCCCGAGGCGCTCGAATCCTTCTACTACGCCTACCGCGCCACCGGCGACCGCAAGTACCAGGACTACATCTGGAACGCCTTCCAGAACCTCAGGCAGTTCGCCGCCGTGGACGACGTGGGCTTCAGCATCCTGCGCGACGTCAACGCCCCCGCCGGCGGCGGCTTCGGGAACTACCAGCCCAGCTTCTTCCTGGCCGAGACGCTCAAGTACGCGTATCTAGCGCATGCGCCGCAGGCGGCCGTCCATGTGAGTGGCGGGCAAACGGCGGATGCGCAGGATTGGGTCTTCAATACTGAGGCGCATCCGATGAAGGTGGTTAGGTAAAGTGGTTGGGATGAGTTCCTTGTTGCAGCAGGGAAATCTGTGGTGGAGTCATCCACAGGGACGTCTGAGTGGGAGCTTTGACTCTCTTTTGATATGCTGAGCGACCCGATATTGTAGCTGACGGCCGTCGTGTTTTGCAGGGAAGTCCCATTTGGTTCCACATTGGCATTTAATTGTCATCATCGACATTGTCACACAAACTAGTTCGCTCGTTGCTCTTTCTATTAGCCTCAACTCATATATTGCTGAAGTAGCACTTTTCAGCTCATTGCTCAACGTCTGGCTTGTTGGGGTTCTTGCGCTCTAACGCATCACCGACAATTATGAAAGTAGCAGGGCAAAGGAAAATTGGATGGAAGGTATTGCGGACATTACCTGCGAGGTGAACACAAGACAAGACGCTAAAGAGAGACAATCGACCAGTAACGATAGAGCGTCGGGCCAAGATCTGAGTAACATTCCAGGGAGCCAAGCTCATTGGTGGTTAGTTCTTCAGCTGTGTCACCTGAAAGACCCCGCATAGTTACCCGTCCTCCCACTCTAGGCCTCGAACTGAGTCGCGCTACAGCTTACATTACCTGTATTAGGGAGCATTCGATAGTGCCGGCAGGTGAGGATCTCCATCCTCGCGTTGCATGTAGACGTCTGCGTTGAGAAAAGGGGAAATAGGCAAGGGAGCAGAAAGCATGCAACCAATCACTCAAAACTAACAGCAACGCTGAAAGACGACCGCACCTACCATGATGACTCCCGGAGTACTGGAGCCGTGCTCCTTACGTCGCATCTTGGAGGATTGAGCTTGGTTGAAGGCACTGCGCAAGGCTCCAGCACAATGCGGCATGGACCTCGAGTGCGTAAGCAAAGGCGGCGATACGGGCGATCCTGGCCGACGTGCGGACGGAGCGTTTCGTGTTGCCGCTGGGCGAGTGGACCGAGCATCGACTGGAGGCGGTCATTGAGGGCTCTTGCTAAAGGAGGATAGAGTCAGGAAGGACGTGGTCGCGGCTGAGTTGTGGGGCAACAGCGCGCATGGCGTGCTAACGGTGACGTGTGGGAGGCGGCCGTAAAAGGCGTTCTTCGCGATGCATTCTTCAAGTGGAGTAGTGCGTAGATCCACGATCGAGGAGATGAATGACATCACTCAGCTCGGCATCGCCCGGCTTTCCGCCCATCGTCTCCCCACACAAACGGCACTTGCAACAGCACAGCCATTCCCGCTTAGGAAATTAGACGTGGCGGGATCAACGGCTCTGACGATTTAGCGGAGATCCACGATCCAAGTTTAGAGTTGCGTAGATCTCAGATAGGCATGCGCAAACTAGTAACGGAGCAGACGGCTGCATTTGGCATCTTGCCACCCATCTCTCGTGCCAAGAATCATCGTTGGCAGCTGACGAGCTGCAGCGTCCGGTTATCATGAATGAAAATGGAGAGGCTGGACGAGCACTTGGCGCATCGCCGGATGGGGAGTGAGAGGCCGGTTTGAGACGCCTTTCGCGAGAAAACGCACATGGCAAAACGCACGACTGCATCTCTTCATTGACAGGCGCATTTCGTTGAAATGCACATGTGCAACGTTCCGCTCTGAATTCTTTAACCGGGCTCCAAGACTGCCACTTTTTAGCAGCTTTCGCATGGCCCTGGTGCTACAAAAGCCACGCCCGTGTATAAGGACGGAGATATAAGTCAGGAAGACCGACCAACGCGTCGCGCATGTGAAACACGCGTGCGGAGCGCGTCTGGAGAGCGCTCCTTCTCATAGGCCAGCATTACGTACAGGGCGTCCCGTCCCGGGTGGAGCCCGCGTTCCCGGCATCCTACCCGTTCTCAGCTTGGTGGTTTGCACCGGGTGGCTGGTTTCTACACAGAAGCAGAAATTCGGAGGCTGGGTGAGGGAAATTTTGTTGGGGTGCGCGTCCTGTTTGCTTCAAAGCTGTGTCACAGATCACGGCAGAACACGAATGGTCGCACCGCGCATGCAGGAACAGGCATTGCGAAACGTGCATCCCAAGGTTTTCCTTGCCGTTGCTATCTGCAGGTCAGACTGCAATCCATCTGGTCGCCGTTGCGGCCGCAGCTGTTGAATGGTAACACGTACAACGCCATATAGCTTCGCTAAACCTACTATTTTCTGGTCGCTTTGAACTTTTCGTGCCACTTGCGCGGCCCTTTGCCGGTGCCTGCTGTCGACGAGACGCTGTGCGCGCCCTTGGGAGCGATTGTGTGGTCTGACGGCAAAGTGTACTCGCCCTGGTCACGGCATCAGCAAAGCTTACGGGGCTGGACGCGCCACTTACTTTGATGGCTTCCAGTTGAGCGTCTTCCCTCCATGCCTCGGGGAGCGTATCTCTCCATAGGTCGAGGAATTCTGCCGTAGGTCTGGCGCTTCTGTGATGCGAGTCGAGTGCGGCAAGAAGGTTGCGCCCAACCCACGGCACACACTTCGCACGATCAACCGCGGCCCCTGAACAACATCAGTCGCGAGTTCGGGCGGGGATAGAGACTGGGCCTACAGTCATCGCCGCCCATCTGATCGTCGGGCAGCAGGCGGTGGAAGATTGCCTCGACCAGCCCAGAGAAGAGTTCTCCTTCCTCCTGCAGCGTCTTCGCTAAGTGGGTGATTTGGAACTGTGCGCCTAGGTCTATGCCTTCGGCGACAGCCGTAGTGAAGATGGTCTTCCAGTACGTCCACAAGGTCGGCAAAGTCGGGAGCACAGGGCCGGCTGCAAACTCGAAGGCGCATAGCTCTACCCAGGCCTGCTCGCATTCGGCGTCGGAAAAGGGAATATCGGCGAAGAAGTCCTCTTTTCTCTTGCGTACGAGCTCGCCGCTGAACTGTGCGATAGAATCGCCGCCCCAGCTTTCATGGTGCCAGATCCTGGTGAGAGCTTCTCTGAGAGCGGAGACGGGCGACTCGTTCACGGGGTGGGCCTCGAGCACCGAGCCGCATTTGGCAATTGCAGAGATGCCAGGGGTCGCAAGGCCATCGGGCCGCGCACTGAGACTGACCGGTTGGGTCAAGTGCACTGAGTTGGACGTGTGGACTTGGCGGAGATGGTACGTCTTGTTGGACGTGCAGAGCACAGCGGATGCTTGCTTCTGCTGGGCCGGTGTTCTGGACTTGATCGACAGCCTACCCCGGGCAGGTTAGAGGGCGCGTCCAAGGCTCGTCTGGTCAGCGCACTCACACCGGCGGGTTCGGCGAGGCCAGGAGCTCCAGCAGGGACTCGGGAAGCTCCAGCAGGCGGAACTGGCGCTGCGCGTGGGCCACGCTGACCGGCACGCCGCGCTGGTCCTGGGTCGACATCTGGAGCAGGATGCGGGTCGGGAGGGAGACAGCAATAACTGAGGTTGACAGCGTGCAGTCGCACGGCGGGCGGCAGCTTAGCCGACGGACGCGAGCGAGCGGTTGTCGCGTCGCGCGGCGCCACAGCGCGCGCCGCAGGGCGGCCCCTGTCACTGCATCCTACATGGCTGCACCAGCTGGGGTTCCTCCGCCGGACAGCAGCCAGCCACTTCGCACCGGAAGCCGGTCGACTATCAGCGTCGCATCTCTTGTTTACGGCCTCCTCCCCCACCCTCTCCTGCGCCGTCCGCGCCCTCCTATGGCCCTCGCTGCAAAGACCCCCGCGCGGTCTCTCTGACGGTCGCCAGCAGCGAAACACCTCAATTGGCGCCCGACATGGTGCTCATCAGCCCGCCGCCGCCGGCCCTGTCGCCCGACCTGCTGGAGCCCTTCTACACCACCGACGACCTGCTGTCCAACGCCCCAGTCCTCGTCTTCTACGGCGCCACCTCCACCCAGACCGTCAACTCGACCGCCGGCCGCGTCCAGGTCCACATTTATTCCCCCGCCGGCCTGCAGTCGTATCCGCGCCTGACTATTTCTCCGAGCTCACCGCTCTACGCCGCAGTCGACTGTCTCGCGCGCGAGGACCAGGGCGACGAAGTCTGTCGCGCCTTGGCCTTCAGCCTCTACAAGTACTTTCTGGAGCTCTCGCCCATCGCAAAGTCGATATGGGAATCCCGGTCCAATTCGCAAGGAAGGCTTCCGTCCGCCCCGCCGCTCTTCGGCGAGGCGCACGCCGCGTTGCTGGCCGCCCGCATGGCCAGGGTGGAAAACGCCGCCGAAGTGGTGCAGGATGTGAGGCAGGCGCTCGCTGAGCAGGCCGTCTCGTGGCTGGACGTCGACGTGGTGCTTCCGCCCGGATCGGTGAAGGAGCTGGACAGCAACCTGCGGGAGTCGATCCTGCCCGAGGAGACGAGCGAGGATGTCTTGTTGGATGCGCGCTACGGCGAGTATGCGCCGCTGGTCAAGGCCTTCGGAGAGCCGACATTTCTGCCAACGTCGAGGTTGCGACGTGCACCCTCGAAACCAACCGGGCTCAGCCGCTCCTCTCAGTTCTCGCGACAGCAGAAGGAGAACCTGCGACGCGAGCTGTGCGAATTCATCGATACCGAGGAGAATTACGTCGGCAAGGTCTACGATCTGCTGCACAGCGTCGCCGAGGATTTCCGGCAGAAGGCGCGCAACAAGGGCACCAGCAGCTCGAGCCCGAGCGAGGAGGCTCTGGAGGGACTCTTCCCTCCGAGTCTTGACGAGATTCTCAACATCAACACCGCCTTCTTGGAGGACATCCGTAGGGTGATAGAGGGGACCGAAAATGACGCCATCCAGGACATTGAAGCGACCACTGGCGAGCCTTTCGTGCCCGAGAAGCCCGATGACTCTCCTGCAGACGTTACTGGAACCCTTGCATTTGCCAAATGTCTTGTTGAGTGGTTTCCAAAATTCTCCGACTGCTATACCGACTACATCCAAGCGCACGCCGAGTTTGGCCAGTATCTTAGGATTTTCCTGAGAGAGACCGGCTCGAGTTTCTCCAAGCGTGTGCAGGAGACTGGCGAACAAAGGCTCATGTCTATGCTCATTGAGCCGGTTCAGCGTCTTCCTCGCTACAGCCTTTACATCGACAACCTCGTGAAACAGCTTCCTGTCCGTCATCCCGCTCTGAAGCCGCTCCTGAAGGCCCGTGACATCATTTCAGAAATTTGCTCTCGAGATTCCCCATCATCACAGCTATCGAAAGTCATCGAACGCCTCCAACACTTGATCCCGTCGTGGCCCCAAGCCTTCCGCCCTGAAGGTCGCCTGATCACCGCCATGGATGTTGTTGAGCTCGCACCGCCTTATCGCAAGGAGCTGAAGGCAAGAGGGGCCAGCCCCGCCATTCTTCTCCTGTTTGCCGACGAGCTTGTGCTCCTGATCAAGTCTGGTCACAAGACAATGTCGGCAAGAGGACTCCTTGCAGAAATCGACAACCCTAGTGTACCCCTCGATGAAACCCCTCAAATCGCGACCCAGTTGATCTTCCTGCAACACATGAGACTCAACAACATCTGGTTCGATGAAGTCGATGACGGTTCACTACTTCAGTTGTACCACTCGGATGGATCATCGCAACCCCCGACAACCTTGCATTCACTCAATGCCTCTTCGCTCTGCATGTTCTATCTCACAGGGTCGTACGAGCTGAAGGCCTCTCGCTGGCTGGAAGAGACTGTAAAGGCGAGAGTCGAATACCGCTTTCCCGAAGTGGAGCGTGAAAGCCACAAGTGGGATGTCAGAAGCCACACGGGTGACTTGAACCTCTTCTCAGCCATTTTCGAGGAAGGTGATGACCCGATACCCGAAGGACGGCAAGAGCCTGCTCGTATTCGCGTAGTCATAGACCCCCAGAAGGGCGCAAAAACGCTTCATGCTGGTGATGAAGGTGTGGAGCTGATCGCTTCCGTCGCTGCGGCGTCTGAGGGGTTCTATTGGCTGGAAATTGAGGGTATGAACAACTATGCATCTCGCGATAAGGTGACAGCAGCAGAATTCTTGCCGGTTCTGTCGAAGCGAGGTGAGTGAATCTTGCCGGCACCACAGATGCTTGTGGAACCTATTCTTGTCTAACGTTATCTAGTGAGCAACTACCTGCAGATGCGCAACCGGATCCAAAACCCTGCGATGACTCCAATCTTCCTTCTACGAAACCAGCAGATCTTGCAGTCATTGAAAGTTCGGACGACGGAAGACACAGCTGCTCAGGATGGTATAATACTCGAACGCGCAGGATCATCCAGCCGCAGATCTCCAACTAAAGTCCTCTCCAAGGTTCTCGGAAGCAGTCATAGGGAAGGCACGCCGCGCAGATTACAACGCCCACCACCAGTACTCGGAGACATCCCCAAATTCGCACCGAACGGCTCTGTCCATAACTCGCCCTACAAATCATCCAGCCGACCTACGTCCAGAGACGACCTGTTAAGCAGCAAAACGGCCAGTAAGTCTTCTCTTGAATTAGAAGACCATTCAAACGACCCTCTCGTCAAGCTGGAAGAGACTCTGGCAACGTATATTCTTTCACTTCACGCACGGAAGGGGAATGTTGTTGGTAGAGTTATTCGGAACAGAGCGAACGCAAATGAACTTGCAGTCAACGAGCTCTATAATTCGTTGCTCGAGGAGCCTACCAATGTCGAGCTTGCTTCACAACAACCAGTGGATGTGCTTTTCAGATCATTTGAGAAGTTCCTCCAGGTCGCCTGGAGAGAAAGGTTGGGACTCGTCGTCCCTATCGATGTCCTAAGCGCTATGCAATCCCATCCGGAAGATTATCCCGGCGACTTTGAGGAGTTCTTCAGGAAGCAGATCAGCGAGCTGATGCCACAAAACCAGCGTGCCTTGCGCGCTTCCATCAAGCTTCTTGCGGATCTGCTAGCGGGGACAGGAAACGATGGCGATCGTGGAATGATCACCGCTGCCTTTGCCGAAGTGCTGGTCCCTGACGGCAACTCTCACGACTTTATCTCACTGTTGGACCGATTCATTGAAGACATCGATACGCTTTTCGGCAGACCATCGTCAAGTGGTAGCTTGACGCCTAGTCAGGGCTCTATGAACTCACGGTACGGATCGAAGACGAACGTGAGCATGCACTCGAATTCCTCTTCGCTCAAGAGGCGCTTCGGTCTGAAGGGATTTAGCGGATTGAGCCGAGAGCATAGCAAATCCGATATCGAGTCTAAGGTCAGCTCAGTCTGGAGGACGCTGAGCAAGGCAGGCCGCAACGCTGATGGACAAGCTTCCAGCTTGTCTAAGGCGACTCCTCTCCTGAGGTCTCACTCGACCGATCAGGATGCGCGTGCGTCGTCGCCAAAGCGCCCGGGATCTCGCGACAGGCCCACAGTCATGGGTGCCTTCTCATTCGAAGAGGGCTCACCTTCGAGGACATTGGCTACGATTGGAGAAGCACGGGAAAGCCCTCGTAGGAAGCGCCGTAGCTCCCTTTCGGATCTTCCAAACCTACAAGAGCAACAAAAGGATCCTCATCCATGGTCAGGGGCACCTCAAACACCGCGCCGTATCAAGCCAACCGCGACCTCAACGGCCAGTCCAAACACGCCTTCTCCACCGAAGCCTTCCGGAATACCTAATCCAACTCGCATCGGGTCTCCAGTCCGTAAGGGTGGCTCGCCTGCCGCCTCGAGTGCTATTCCACGGCCACGTACCAGTGATAAGACGAAGGTCGACTCGCCCGCGCCTCTGAACGTACAGCCTAAGCCAAAGGTCGACTCACCAGCGCCTTTAAGCTTGCAGGCGAAGCCAAAGGTCGACTCTCCTGCGCCCTTGAACGTGCAGATATCACCGAGGAAGCCACGTGCAAGTACCTTGACTGAAAACATTCCGCCTAAGAACATCTCTGCCATTCCCACTCTTCACCGTCCTACTCACAGCGCCAGTAACATACCCACTATTCCCCTTGCGGAGCGTCCTTCTTCGGGCAACCGGCCCAAGACCGTGGTAAACACGAACGTAGACGAGCTCAGCAAGCCGGTGACGGGCTTGGGAGCACCCATTTTGTTCTCTCCCACAAGGAAGCTTCGCATGCAGTCTCCACAAAAGCTCCGCGAGCGGTTGCAAAGGGAGCAAAATGCAATTCAGGGCGCTGAAAACGCGCTCCAGAATGAGCTCAGCAAGATCGGTGATGAGATTACAAACTTGCCAAATGGCACGATCGCCCCACTTCGCCCATTATCAGGCCGCACACAGACTGAAGCGCAGACTCCTGGCCGCCTCCGTCCAACCACGCCGAAGGCAAACTCCAGTGATGGCTTCAGTGCCATTGCTACCCTTGGCCGCAACAGCTCGCCCACCGCTGCTTTAGTTGCCCGACTCGCGTCCCTCGAGGCACGCATCCCGTCGGTATTCTCCTCTCTACAAGAACGTACCACATCCATTGCAGGCGATGTCGCGTCTTCTCTTCAAGTTTCGGAAGCCCGCGCCAAGAGGCTCGACGACTTGTTCCGCGAAGCGACGGCAGAAAACGAGGCTCTTTACGGCCGGTTCAACGACGAGCTTGCAAGAATTCTTCGGGGAGTCAAGGGAGGCGATGGTGTCGAGGAGATGCGCCGCAAACTACGCGAATCACAGGAAGAGACGGAGCGACTGCGCAAGGAGAACTGGAGACTAAAGAGGGAGAACCTGGGCCTCAGGGCGCAGCTCAAGGACGGTTGATCCCGTTCTTTCCCGGAATACCTCGTAGCTTCCTTTCGGATTTTCTTTTACTCCCGGTATCCCCCAGACGTGTGATCTGCTTCGTTTCGAAGCCATGCTCGCGGGCCGCTGCGTGGTGTTGCAATTTCCTCTCTACTTGGACACGACATCGTTGGGTTGGGGCGCCCCTGTTCCTCGCGTCACTTTCTGACTGCTCCTGTTGTTAAACACTGTTCCCTGTTTCTTTCCCTCCATCAAAGCGTTGTTTGCATAGCAGTATATGATACCTTGTCCTTTTCTATTTTCTCTTCTTCCCACTCCTGCTTCGTAGAAGCTCTTGTTCATCTTACATTTTTTTTGCTTGATTTCTCGTTTCTGGCGGGCTTCTTTTCTTAAAAGCTTTTTTATTCCATACACTGGGTTATTGAGGCATCACGCTTAATTGGGCAACGACGGGAATGATCAGAAGGGGGGGAGTCTTTGGTGCAAAGCTCTACTTGGTATCAAGGGAACAAGGGAAAAATATGGTGGTGATGGTAACGATGGGGCGGCGGCAATGGTCTCATGTTTCTTTTTCCTTCTTAAGCGCTACATGGGGTCTATTGTGTATCATAAAGGTCAGGGCGGGAGGGTTGGGTCTTTTCCTTTTCTTCTCCTTAGTGCAGTAGAGAGATCCGAAGTTGTCATCAACTTTGCTTGCTTCATTGCGTGCCTGCATTATTCTAGTCTTTATCATAAAGGACGCCGAAGGGCTCGAATTAAGGGCATACAATATGCATTAGAGAACCTTTCTTCCCCATACAGGTGGCTGCTTGATGCTCTTACCACAGTACCAATTTAGGAGAGGTGTGCTGTAAGAAAGTCGGATAGTCGAATCTCTTGTCTAGCTGCTATTGTTGTCAGATGTGTCATGTAATACTGTCCCAGCGGACGCCTCAAGTACTCTATCTTCAATGCTGCAATACTAAGCACACCAAAATTGTTTCAACTACAACTCCACGATATAGGAGCGGGGAAAGGGCAATGTGACGGAAGCAAGACAATTCACTCGAGACAAGAGACCGGCAAAAATAAAACGAGGATCCATACATACACATGGGGCAGTCATGATGACATTGGTGCGCTGAGACTCATGATCGTATTATCACATCGAGCTTAATACACTCTTTTTTGTTTTTAACTTCCCACCGGCGCCAATGCTTCTATCTCAACGTGACTCCATCTTACAACAAACACGTCGCAAACGGCGCGGGCCCAGCTCATATCCACATTAGTCTCTTCAGTGACCGTGACCGTCATCCTCCTCAGCCCTCTGCTCGGGGTCAAGCTTGATGAGCGTGTCGATACGCATGATGGCGATGCATGCCTCGACGGCCGACTTCAGCTGCTTGACCTTGCTCATGCTGGGCTCGAGCACTCCCTGCTTGATTTGGTCGACGAGCTTGCCGCGGGTGAGGTCCAGACCGTAGTTCTTGTAGTCCTTCTTCTTGGCTGCGTCCTTCTCGGCCGCGGTCGAGGCGTTGGGGTCGTTGGTGGTGCGCTGTGCCACCGCGTGCCGGCTGCGCAGCTGGGCGACGAGCTCGCTGCTGTCCTTGGCCGCGTTGACGGCAAGAGTGGTAGGGATGACGAGGAGGGACTGAGCGAAGGAGCCGATGGCAAGTTGCTCGCGGGAGCCCTGATTTTACGTTAGTCTGGAGTTAGGATATGACTGCGCACAATACGTACCACCGAGGTTGCCCACTCCTCCAAGTAAATGTGTAATGCGGTCTCCACAGCACCACCACCGGGAACAATGCGGCCACTCTCAAGCGTACGCTTGACAGCCATGAGAGAGTCATGCAGCGAACGCTCCATCTCGTCAAGAGAAAGATCGTTGGGACCACGGAGAATGATGGATGCCGAAGAGTGGACCTTGGTGCCCTTCACCAGAATACACTCGTCATCGGAGATGCGCTCCTGAGAAACCTCCTCCGCATGGCCCAGCAGCGAAGGCTCGAACTTCTCGTCGCCATTGAGATCTGACAGCGAGGAAACGAGCGTGGCACCGGTAGCCTTTGCTATTCTCCGCAGGTCCTCCTTCTTGCAGCGACGCACCGCCATAGCACCCTTCTCGACGAACGCCTTCAGGCACAAGTCGTCGATACCCTTGGTGGTCAGGACGACGTTGGCACCGGACTTCAGGATGAGGTCGATGCGCTCGAGGACGATCTGCGACTCGCGTTCCCTAATCTTCTCCAGCTGCTGGGGGTCATCAATGGTAATGTGGACGCCCAGCTTCATGCGCTCCTTCTGCAGGTTGATATCCAAGCAAGCAATCTTCGCGTCGGTGATGTGCGTCTTCATGGCCTGGCTAGCGACGGTGCAGTTGAGAGCATAGCCCTTGACGAACATGGACTCGGTTGCGCTCTTGCCGTGGGCCTTGAGGATGTTGACAGCCTTGACGGGGTACTTGGCCTCGCCCTTTTGGTTGGTGCTCTTCACAGCCTGCATGGCGTCGACAGCCATGTTAGCGAAGAAGTCACCGTCGGCACCGATGATCTTGGAGGACATGGAGGTCCTCGCAATGTTGACCAGCGACTCCCTGCCCAAGTTCTCGACCTTGATAGCGATGTTCTCGTTCATGTACCTCACAGCCTCGCGCAGAGCCAACCTGTAGCCGGTGATGATGGTAGTGGGGTGTATCCGGTTCTTCATCAGCTCGTTTGCGCGGCGAAGAAGCTCGGCGGCAATCAGGACAACGGAGGTAGTACCGTCACCGACCTCCCTGTCCTGCTGCTGTGCCAGGTCGACGAGGATCTTGCCGGCGGGGTGCTGGATTTCGAGGAGCGAGAGAATGGTGGCGCCGTCGTTCGTAACGGTCACATCACCGATGTCGTCGACCATCATCTTGTCCAGGCCGGAGGGGCCAAACGAGGACTTGACGACGGTAGCGATTGCTTGAGTTGCGAGGACATTTTGATCACGGATGTCCTGGCCACTAATTTTCTGACCACCGAGGACTGTAGCCGGAGGTTAGCTGGGGCCAAAAGAGAGTGGTTTCTGCGAAGACAGAGCTGGATGGAGGAATGGCGGGGAAAGGAAGCCGGTGGAAGAGGAGCAGGGACGGAGGTGCTGCGGGCCAGAGGGGTAGCGGGGTGGGAATGAAGGGACGACAGGGGCGGTGGACGTACAAAGGGTGCCGGCGTTGCGCGGCTGCTCGAAGATACCGGCCATGGTGTCGTGGGACGCGTAGAAAGGGGGATGTGGAGAGCTCGACGCGCTGAGCTTCTGCCACAAAAACGGGCCAGGGCCGCCTTCCACCGGCGTCGCGATCCCCAGCGGCGTTTCGATGTTCCGGCGCTGTGCCTTGGCACACCTCTGCTAGTCGCGGCCGCCGCAGCGCAGGGTCCAACTGCTTTCGAGCGGCTACGACTTTCGGCCGGCTTGTTTTCAACCCCACCAGTCAATTAGCTTCGCCCGCGCATCCCATTGAGTCAACGCCGCGCGTATCACCGCCCTCGCTCCGCGCATTCTTTACTCCTCTCCCGCTCAAACGCCGCCGCCCCTCCCGCGCTCACTTCCGCCTGACTCGACGTCGCCCAGGCGTCCCCCACATCTCTTCGCCCGCACCGCTACAGAGCTCAATTTCGCCGCAAGTACCCCGCCATGGCTTCCGAGGCGCCCGAGACTGCGGCTCTGCCCGAGCGCTCCAAGGACGCAAAGCCCAAGAAGGAGCCCAAGCAGAAGAAGGACAAGCCCGCGCAGAAGCCTGCCCAGAAGAAGAAGGTCGAGGGCGCTGCCCTCATTGGTATTGATGTGGCCAAGGAGGACGACCTGGGCGAATGGTACCAGCAGGTCTTGACCAAGGGCGGCATGCTGGCCTACTACGATGTCGCTGGCTGCTACATTCTCAAGCCTTCTTCCTATGCCATCTGGGAGACGATCCAGGGCTGGTTCAACGAGCGCATCAAGAAGATGGGCGTCAAGAACTGCTACTTCCCCATTTTCATTTCTGCCGACAACCTGCAGCGCGAGAAGGAGCACGTTGAGGGTTTCGCTGCTGAGGTCGCCTGGGTCACCAAGGGGTGAGTAAAGTCGATTTGTTCAGAATGACTGTGAAGCTGAACCCTAGACAGTGGCAAGAGTGATTTGGAGAAGCCCGTCGCCGTCCGCCCCACCTCCGAGACTGCCATGTACCCCTACTTTGCCAACGAGATCCGCAGTCACCGTGACCTCCCTCTCAAGCTGAACCAGTGGAACAACGTTGTGCGCTGGGAGTTCAAGCACCCCATGCCTTTCATCCGTTCGCGTGAATTCCTGTGGCAGGAGGGTCACACTGCCCACTTGACCAAGGAGCAGGCGGGCGAGGAAGTTCGCCAGATCCTGGACTACTATGCTGGCGTCTACCAGGACCTGCTGGCATGCCCTGTTGTTCAGGGTGTCAAGACTGAGAACGAGAAGTTCCCTGGTGCTGAGTACACGACCACCATTGAGGGCTACATTCCGGCCACCGGCAGAGGTATCCAGGCTGCCACCTCCCACTGCCTGGGCCAGCACTTCTCCAAGATGTTCGACATCACTGTCGAGGATCCCTCCCCCGTGAAGGAGGGTGAGGGCAAGAAGCCTCCGATTCACGTCTGGCAGAACTCGTGGGGTCTGACGACCCGTTCCATCGGTGTCATGGTTCTGACTCACTCTGACAACAAGGGTCTTGTCATTCCTCCCCGTGTTGCCGACATCCAGGTCGTTCTCATCCCTGTCGGCATCACGGCAAAGACCACTCCCGAGGACAGGGAGGCCCTGTACAAGGAAACCGAGGCCATTGCCGAGGTTCTTCGTGCTGTCAACATCCGTGTCGAGACCGACATGCGTGAGGGCTACTCCCCTGGCTGGAAGTTCAACGACTGGGAGCTCAAGGGCGTTCCGCTCCGCCTCGAGTTCGGCCCCAAGGACCGTGAAAAGCACTCGGTCACCTACTCGCGCCGTGACCGCGAGGGCAAGGGCCAGATCCTCATCTCGGAGCTCGACAATGCCATCCCCACCCTCCTCGAAACCATCCAGACCGACATGTTCGAGAAGGCCAAGAGCCAGTTCGACAACGCCCGCAAGAAGATCACCAGCTGGGACGACTTCGTCCCCACGCTCGACAACAAGGGTGTCTGCCTCATCCCCCACTGTCTCGGCGGCCCCTGCGAGGACGAGATCAAGGATCTCTCGGCGCGCAAGAACGAGAGTGAGGCCGAGGCCCAGGATGCCCGCGCTCCCTCCATGGGCGCCAAGTCGCTCTGTATCCCTTACGAGCAGCCCACTGAGGGTCTCGTCAAGGGCGAGACCAAGTGTCTCAACCCCAACTGCCAGGAGAAGGCTAAGGAGTGGGTCCTGTTCGGCCGTAGCTACTAAGCGTTTGCGGAAGAATGGGTGGATAAAGATGAATGGCGCATGAGGCGGTGTGTGGAGTTGTTAGGGCGGTGCCACGGCAGATGTGTGCATGGTGATGATATATCTCAAAGGGTGACATTGAATCCCCAATTTTCTCTACCAGTGTTGGTGATGTCTTTCCGGCATATGGTTTTCTCGGTTTGAGCGGCTTCCGGAGTAGAAAGGAAAAAGAGACAATAGTTCGGAAGAATCGTAGAAAAAACATTTCCAGATCAATCATCGTCATTGTGTAAGGTTTCTGACTCGTGTATCATTCTTAAAAGTGGTTTGCGGTTTGGTGTTAAAGTGTGATGCTCTCTCTGAAGGCCGTGGAGTCCAAAGGCCTTTGATTGTCTTGACTATCTGATGTAAAGTCGCCGCCCTGGCTACGTTATGACCTTTGACCAGTTGCTGCTGTGGTTTCTTGGGTCGCACGTAAGATGATTGTGCTTTCCATATTGAATTTGAAGAGATGCCAATGAAATCGGGGTAAGTCAGAAACAATGCCCGATCCACGCATGACATACGCGCCTTACGAGCTCTTTCTAGCCAAACAATGCATGTCTCTTACACGCCACAGGAATATTGGTAATGGTGAATGATTTTTGACAATCTCTGATGTTTAAATATCTACGCCCAGTACAACTGCAGGCCCTTCTTCGTTTTATACCGCATGAAATAGCACATAAACGGAAACAGTATGGTATTGACTGCAGCCCAGGCCAACAAGACGCCGAAGTTGAGTCCGATGTTGGAATAAGTATCGAATAGGATGGTACGGGTTGCTTCGACAACTGTGACGGGAATGAAGTAAGTCACTGCTAGCCTATACCATTCTTCTCAAGGTAGAAATGACAAGGACAGGAAATTTGAGCAGGGAAAGCAAAGGGCTTACCATGATGCAGCGGCCACGCGTAACCCCAACGGTAGAAGCCAGGCTCGGTGTCGATTTTGTAAAAGGCAGTGCTGACGTTGGTGATGACCCAGAAGATGAGCCATAGGCCCATCCACGGCTGGCCGATCAACATGGCCACGTTCTCGCACGCCAGTCCCAGCGCCGCCATGCCGCAGAAGTTGAGCATCCAGTAGACCGGGAAGGTGCCTTTGCCGTAGGCGTCCGGGTTGCCGTGACTGATGTTAGTCGACAGGACGTTGCTGGAGACGGGATTGCCGCCGGAGAAGTTGATCTGGAAGGCGAGCGAGATCAGGCTGTAGGCCAGCGAGAGGAAGAGGTAGGCGGCGACGGTGGCGCACCAGCGCCAGATGACCAGCTGCCAGAAGCGCAGCGGCGGGTGGCCCTCGGGCTTGAGGTACTTGAGGTGGATGGGCAGGTAGAAGCTGAAGGAGAAGAAGGAGATGATGATGAGGTAGATGAGGGCGATGGTCACGGTCGGCTCGGCCACATACGGGTAGAATGGCCGCAGATTGTAGCGCGAGAATCCGATGGCGGGCGAGAGGGCTTGCGGCGCGGCGCGGAGGTTGGCGAGCACGGCTGGATCGCTGGCATTTTGGAGCGCGGCGCTGGCCCAGCGCCGGCTGGCGGTGGTGGTCGCCTGGATTATGAACTGATCTAATAGGGGCTGGATGTAATTGTGCCACGTCGTCTCGTCGCGAGCTTCGACGTAAGTAACCTGACATGCTCCTAAGGGGTCGTATGAAGAGTTGCCTGTTTGGACGGTGCTGTAGAGCAGGGCGGTGGCATTTGGGTTTATGACAATCGAGGCCCAGGCTTCTTGCTTGTAGACGGCCAGCCGAACCTGGACCGGATCGTTTTTGAAGGCCTCCCCGGACATTATGCGGTAGCCTAGGGTTACTGACTGCTGCGACATCTGGGTTGCCAGCTTCGTGATGGCCGGCCCAACGATTGGAGCATGGCCGGTGGCAGATGCGGTGTACGGGCCGGTGCCGTCCATGTCAACAACGTAGACGACAAGCTTCTTGATGTTTGCAGGCAGGTGATGGAACGTGGCCCAGTCTGATTCCTATCGATTACTATATTTAATGATGTGGCGGAAATGTAAAGAACTCACAAATTGAAAGAACAGCGAGGATAAAGGCCATTAGAACAATCGTTGTGTAACCCCATTTCCGAAATGCTTCCAGTCGGACGTGCCTCAGACGATGATCCCAGAAGCCTACCGGTAAGGGAGGGCCACCCCTATCTCCCCCGTCCTCTCCCACGTCGGACTTATCTTGGTCCTGCTTCTTCGAATCGTCGGAAAACCGGCTTTCTTGAGGCGGTGAAGGGCGCTGTCTTGCAGACATTGTTAGCTTAGGGAAATGCTGTAAGTATTTTGCGTGCAAGAGATATGCCGGAGCGCGACGGATTCTGTTTGTAGCCTGGAGGGCAAAAGCAGCATGACGTAATTGGCGAAGCAAAAGGGCTGGAAATTATCAATTGTGCTGACAGCTACCTCACGTAAACAAATTGCCGTGTGGACGTTGGAAGAGCATGTCATAATGGCTTTGCCGAACTCAAGCACAAATATACCAGACCACTAGGATCGCAGCGGTCCATGCGTAGTTCGGAGTCTTGATGTCAGAGTCGCCAAGACCGGTTTAGTCCCGCGTACATGTTTTCCGCCATACTTCCCGCGGTCACAACCCAACCGGATTCTAGTGCCGATGCGACCATGAATTTTCATGTTAAGAGACCACATATGTACTTAGCTTCATTGCCAGATACTGCCTTAATCTGATCTTCGCCATCCTGGTTTTTCCCTTTTCAGAGCGTGCTCGAAATCCGTCATCTCCATTAGCAAATCAACCGTGGAGTACAAGGGCTTTGTTTTGCTTCTGCTCTTTCAAGCATCATTTCAAGTTCCTCTTTATTGTTATGGTTGAGAATTCATAACGGTTCTGAAGAACCTTAGCTGCAAGAAAGCTTCTAAACTGTGCCTTTTTACTTCTTTCTGTATTGGGTGAGAGCTTTATGTTCTAGGTATTTCATAGCCCAAGAAGAACGCCTTGAGCCCGGTATTTCCACAGAGATTGTATTAAGTATGATGTATCTTTAGTAAAAGTCTTAGAGTAGAATCTGTTTGAAAGTCATTATCGAGTATGTGAGAAGGAATATTGTATCCGCTGCTTCTGAAATTGAACTGAAAAGTTGGTATAGCTTCGAGCACCTGGCCAAGAAGAGAGATGTTAGAGATGATCTGCGTCATAGAAGACTAAGGAAAAAGCGCTTCGGCTGGGTTTAGGTTTGAAGTGGGGAACCCAGAGCCGATTTTAAGGACCAATATTGAGTGCCACATTGGCCAGCCCACAATCACTTGCTGACATAACTATTGCCGCAACAGAAGTAGACTGGACAATTCAGTTGCATGATGCTCCAAGCCGCGCATAGCATAGTCTCCAATACCTTCACTTCGATTCAGGCTTTTGATTTCAACCGAGTGATGCGTAGAGGTGGGCTAAAGGCAGTCAGTGGATTCTCTCATATCATTGTTTGAGGTAAGGTTTCAAGGGATGGAAAAGTTGTAGGGGTAATTTGTTTGGAGAGAATGTGCCGAAGAGTGGGCCTGAAATGGTGGAGGGTGATGAGTACGATAGAATGAAAAAGATCAACAGATCTCTTTACATTCTTTCTATGGATGTGAGACGACGGGAAGCCTTAAGTGCGGATATGGGCCATACTACTTCAATAGACCCCTTAACTGAACTCAGTAGGGGCGAATGATTGGAACACGGAATGCATACAGCTCCGGTGGCTGTGCGGCGCAGCCTCGTCATTTTGGGCGTACAGCACCCACTTGCACGCAACAACTAATCGGAATGACCGAGCATTCTTAGACAGTAAAGGCGAAACCCGTAGAATCCTACTGTATTGGAAAATAGGCCGGCCACTATGTCGCTACCTGGTTCAATGTGCAGCCACCTCGTGAGTTCTGGGCGTGGCGTTGCAAGAACCCTGCAGGGAGTCGAGTTTTAGATTAGTGCAGGCAAAGTCTCTGCGACAGAAGGGACGGGGTGTCAATGGAGAACGTTCAAAGGTGTAACAAAACTGAGACATCTGGAAAGGATTGGCCACATTCTTCGCTTCTTTACTTCCAAGTCTTACGCAAATCACGGTGGAGCCGACTGGATCAGTCGCCAAGTCTGACAGAGGTGGTAAGGATGAATCTCATGACGGCAAATCGTTACCATCCACGTGGTCAGGACCTGCATTCCTGGTCATCGCAATGGGTGGCAGTACCATATTCGGACAACTTCGTGAGACTTTCTCATTGCTCTGACTAATTCAATGTGTGAACGCCTCCCTTGGCATTGTCGACTGGGGTATCAGCAAGTACGTGGTCACCTGAACCGGTCCAATATGTTGAGAAACAAAGTAGATGGCAAGCTAGTAACCAGGCACAAGGGGTTTACCAAGACCTACCTTGAGCTACACTGTGGTGTGCAAAGGAAGCGTTGCCACTGAGTGCATTATGCACCGGCAATGCGAAGATACATGCATACACGGCGTTGCCTGAATAGGTGAGAGTGTGGTAGGCCAGGTTGCTGGGGGTGAATGCATGTACAACAAGGAATACGTGTCGATCGAGCGAAAAGAGAGCTGGTGCATCGCGATCGGCGAGATCAATGGAATAGCGGCCCGCCACACTACGGGTTGTGGCGGCGTTTGGGGCCGCAAAAAGGACTTGGGTAAGCGTCCGTGGCGTTGGAAGGACTCGGGCCATGAATGATGCCTTGTAAGCCACAGAGAAAAGTAAAAGAAACAAGAGAATCATTGAAAAGATGGTCCAAGTGCGTATAGTGGTTTCGGTAGGCGGTATGAAACAGGAAGTGGACTACTGAATTGGGGGTGGGAAGAAGCACTTCCAAAATGCAATGACTTCTTGAAAAGGAGGCTCAAATGTCCAATAAGAAGTCGAGGGTGCCGCCATGGAAATTGTCTCATTAAAACATGCCGTCGGACTGCACCCGACGCCGAACAGCGTTTGGTTTGGATGTATCTTTGATGTTTGGTGAAGACGCTGTGGTCGGCTGACTGGATAGCACCACAGTGCTCTCATAAAGCTAGCCACCACCTATGCACAAGCAATCTGAAGGATGCATGGTAGAGTAAAATGTTATGTGTCATCAAGCTGTAATTAGGGCGCACAAGTCCATGCATGACAGAGGGGAACACAACAGGGCGGAGATAAGGACAAAAGAGGAAGTCGAAGCTTGATCGTCGGGAAGAGGGGTATGATCTGTATAGAGGCCACGTAAGAAATGTCTGTTAATATGTTTAGCTAGATGGGATAGTATTAACGGCTTTGCCTGCCGACTTTGCAGATGAATACTGCTCTACGATGTGGCTGCAGGTATGCCGCTTGGCATCCCAAAGGACAATGACGTTGGCTGCGATGGGTGCAGATTTTCTGATCCAGCAGAGCCCCACCGCCACATTGGCGCAGAACGGGAACCTCCGTCAGCCATAAGCAGGTACTGGCGCCACTTGAAGCCGTTGTACTGCCGGCTCACGTTTGTCGCGTGCATTGAGAAGTGTTACAGCAGGAGTGAAGCTGAAGTCAAAGCCCCTGGCAGAGGCCAGACGAGGAGAGATTCTCATCGACGCAGACAAAGCGCGAGCTGAGACTGAGCTGCAATTCGAGAAGCCGGCAGGATATAAGACAGGCGCATAGACATCTGCTGGCTGACGGTTGCGGAGTGAGGAAACACGGAATGAGTGGTTTCGACAGCGGCGGCCACGAGACGCCTCGCCGACAGGCGCATGCTGCAGGACCACAGAAGTGTCGTTTCGACCCTCCCGTAGAGGGCAGGGGCCAAGGGGATCAGAGACATTGTTTACAGCGTGCGTCCGGGTTTCCCGCCTGTGCTACGGTGGCTCACGCAGTCGCCGACGACCGGGGTCGAGGCATAGCTTAGCCCGATGCTTGGGCAGTGGACACTATGTAGAAGGATGCCGGCTGTGGCAGCGGTTGTCTAACGTTATAGTGCAACAGCCGGGCGATGGATCAAGGATTGATTGTCGGGCGGGCCAGGCTCGATTTTGTGTTGGCGGGAGATGAGGCAGGCAAAGGCCCGATGTGGTGCAACAACGCCGGCGGCTGCAAGCTGTGCCTGACTTCAGCTCTCATCAGGGACGTGCGGCCACGCTGTTGAATACCCGCTGAGGGCGGATCATGATTTTCGCAGGGCGTGCAAAGGGACCCGGCGCGGCGGAGAGGAGGGCGGCAGCAAGGCTGGATCTGGCGCCAAGAGGCGGGCTGGACGGCGGAGCCAAGCGACGTTAATATCCAGGGCGTTGGTGGCTCTGTATTTTTGCGCGGGTGGCGGCTGCGGGTGGAGGGGTCGGCGGGCGATTCTGTTTCATCAGCCCCGGCGCTTCCCACGCCATTGGCCCGACACCAGCTGGGCGGGAGATCCTCCATCATTTGGCGCGCAAGGGTTCCACTACAAACAAAACGCCCAAAGCCTCCCCAGCTGCCTGCAATTTGCGTCTCCATGCTGGCTGTCTAGGCCTGCAGCTGCGCGCGCGATGAGGCCGGCGGCGCTCCCAGCGTGATCCCGGCGCCACCGAGCTGCTAACACCTGCACCTAAACCACACCCTTTTCTCTCCGCCGCAACACTGTCCGCACTGCCGCCGACCCCACGCTCCTTATAACCGCCCACCTCGCCTTGACGGCCTTCTCCCTCGTCACTCCTTCTTCGCGAAGCAACGCTTCGACCACGTTCTTTTCATTCACCTTCTCCGGCAGTCGACCTGTCCGTTCCTTTCACCTGCTTTGTGCTACTATTGTCAAGTCTCCAAGTCGTCCGTGCACATACTCCATTCGTAGCACATAACCTCCAATTGCAACATGAAGCTCACCACCCTCGCTTTGGCCCTGGCCGCCTCGGCCGCCGTCGAGGCTCACACCATCTTCACCACCCTCTGGGTTGACGGCAAGTCTGCTGGCGATGCTGTCGGCGTCCGCATGCGCACTATCCCCAAGACCGCCAGTTTCCCCATCAGCCTCGGCTCAGACGCCATGGCCTGCGGCTACGATGGCGAGGAGGGCAACCCGCGTGTCGTTTCCGTCAATGACGGTGCTACCTTGTCCTTCGAGTGGCGCGCCTACGGCAGCAACCCCGAGAAGGGTGCCATTGACCCGGGCCACAAGGGTCCCTGTGCCGTTTATCTGAAGAAGGTCGACTCGGCCATCAACGACACTGGTAAGGATTCCCACCCGCTGCGTCTGAACACCTCACTGACACACCACAGGCGTTGGCGACGGTTGGTTCAAGATTTGGGACGAGGGCTATGACGAGGAGCAGGACCTCTGGTGCAACCAGAAGCTTGGTGGAGAGGATGCCAACGGCGTCTACAACCACAAGCTCTCTGTCAACCTCCCTTCCGGCCTCGAGGGCGGCTACTACCTCGCCAGGCCCGAGATCCTTGCCCTGCACTCGGCGGTTGCCAACCCTCCTGACCCGCAGTTCTACACTGGCTGTGCCCAGATCTTCCTTAAGTCTTCTGGCAACAAGCGTCCTCAGAGTACCGTCAGCATCCCTGGCTACATCAAGTCTGATGATCCCGGCGTCACCTTCAACATCTACAAGGAACCTCTGGAGCTGCCCTACCTCACTCCCGGCCCGGCCGTGGCTGCCCTCGTTAGTGGTGGCGCTAGTGGTGATGCTAGCAAGCAGATGACTCAACAAGAGGGTCTGGAGCCGAAGAACTGCATCATGGAGATGGGTGGCTGGTGTGGCTACGAAGTCCCCTCTTACTCGGACGAGACTGGCTGCTGGGCCGTAAGTTTGACATTGCCTTCTCATCTCACGTGTTCATGGCTGACAATCATCCAGTCTGGAGAGGATTGCTGGACGCAGCACAAGGCTTGCTGGGACTACTCGGACAAGCTTGCCACTGGTGGCGACCCTTGGTGCAAGATCTGGGGCGACAAGTGCCAGAAGATCGACGACAACTGCGATGCGAAGAACTTCGAGGGACCGCCCAACAAGGACAAGAACTTGACTCCCTCGCTGCCCACCATGGCCAGCATCCCCATGGCCGAGTCGACCACCAACTTCGCGTCGACTAAGATCGAGGCTACTGCAGCTGCCATGCAAGCCGAGACCGACGCCTCAGCGGACTCTAAGTCTAGCACGACTCTGCTCACCCTGGCCAGCTCTAGCGGTGCTGAGACGGATTCGGAGCCCTCTCCGACCACCTACACGACGGCGGCGCCCGTTGTGAAGACGACTTACGAGACCATGTACGTCACGGATATTGTGTACGTCACTGTTGATGCGCAGAAGAGCAAGCGCTCGAGGCACTACGGCAGGCACCGTATCCAGCAGTCGTAAACGACCACTCCAGGGGTATTAGAGGAACGGCGGTTTCATTTGGTGTTGGAAAGGAAGGCTGATTACTTTCTTGTACTGGATTCGTTCCCGTCTGTGCGCATGTGCAGTTTGAGCGGGATTTTGATCTTCTCTTCTCTTCATTCCATTCTCAGCTCTTGGTGCTGATTCTTCCTTTCTTCACACTCCTTTGCCTTCGGTATTAGGAATTTCCTCCCCGAGCGAGCCTTTACTTTTCACTTCGTTTCTTAGGATGGAGCCACTGCAGCTCCTGATTCCGGCATCTGGGTTTTGGGTGGGGGCGCTTCTAGCTGTAGATAGCTCCAGGGCGGTCAGACATTATGATAACGAACGATATGCATTTTTCGGGGAACATGATTTTTGCCAGTGTACAGTTAAAGTTGAGGCTCGTCAGGTAAGATGTTAGCGCCGATCGAAACGGATGGAACGTCATGCGCTAGTCTCACCGCCCGCGTCGCGGGGGTCCCTGCGCCGCCGCCTGGAACCTCAACTCCATCTCTGCCCAAACTTCTCTCTTCTCACGACAACACACTGTGATACCGCCTGCCTCCATAACCCTTTGCGCTCCGGCTCCGGCACTAGAACCTTCCTTCGGCCGCTCTTGTTTCGCGACAAAACTTCACATTCGAGCCTGCTCCCGCAACTCTCGCAACAGCAGCCACCATGGGTTCCGTCGTTCTGCCGCACTTGGTCACCGGCTGGCACGTCGACCAGGCTATCATGTCTGAAGAAGAGCGTTTGGTCGTCATTCGCTTCGGTCGCGACTGGGGTAAGCTGTTCTCCGCCGCTCGACTTCGTGCCCCTAAGAGAACGCCCAGCACTAACGTTCGCGCAGATCCCGACTGCATGCGCCAAGACGAGGTGCTGTACCGGATCGCCGACAAGGTCAAGAACTTCGCCGTCATCTACGTCTGCGACCTGGACCAGGTGCCCGACTTCAAGCAGATGTACGAGCTGTACGACCCCATGACTATCATGTTCTTCTTCCGCAACAAGCACATGATGTGCGATTTCGGCACTGGCAACAACAACAAGCTCAATTGGGTGCTGGAAGACAAGCAGGAGCTGATCGACATCATCGAGACCATCTACCGCGGCGCTAAGAAAGGTCGTGGTCTCGTTGTCAGCCCCAAGGATTACTCGACTCGCTACCGGTACTAAATCTGTCCTGCATGCCTGGCGGGACTTACGGTGTTCCCCAGGATGACTCACGACGGAGGCTTGCTACAGGTGGCCACGATATGCTAGCATGACAGATCCGGCTGCCGAGCGCGAGCTGCGAAAGATGGAAGGGCTGGAAACTCGGGCGTTCGGGTTGGATTGGTTGGTCTCACTTGCTATTGCACATTTTTGAAAAAACAAGAGTATGCTAATGCGATACATCTCAAAAAGTTCTTTTCCTCCATGACCCTTTTGCACTCAGTAAGTGATATTTTGAAAGTACTGATGCATCCGATTTAGCTGTTCTAAGCGCCTCAGCCTTAAGCAGAAGGTATTGCCTCACAAGGTAGGTCTTGATACAAGCACGCTGCAAGCTTCAACTGTGCCTTATCCAGCCTTTAGCCGATGTGATAAGAGCCAATTGAGAGTTTCATCATTTTCGAATCCACGGAAACGAACAGTAATCAATATATCAAATGATATGTCTCTATTGAGCTTTACCTTCCGTCTTTCCATCATTTCGATACAGTTGCTCTTAGTTTCTATGACAAGTCTACGCACCTACCAACCAATAGGGTCGTTGTATGCAACAGCATGTGCCCTCGCCTTGCATATTACAAGCACCAATTACAAGCCCGCTTCCCCGCAGTCTACGCTCCGCGAGGCTGAAATCAAATCTCGCAATTTTCCCACAACCTTTGGACATTCCGGTTTTCTCAACCCAGCAGCAAGATCTCGTGCCACAATGTCGGCATTCTCGCCATGGGATACCGGTCCACCCGGTTACATGCCACCTGGCAGTTCCCAAATCTTCATGACAGGAGGAACATCTCCACTATGGAGCGCTGCAACATCCGATTTTGCGCCTTCTTTTGACGAGCCTCGACGTTCAAGCCATTTTTTTTACCTATCCAGACCCACACTATCGCACACACGTCGATGAGGTTCGGAGCACAGCTAGGTCAGACTCGGACTTGGACGAACCTCGGGTGAGACCACGACACGCACACGTATATGATGGACATCTCGAGGTTGAGGTTGAAACGGGCCAGACGCGGGTAATCCGGCCCAAGGCTACCACGTCTGCTTCCACCTCCCGGCGTTACTCTTCTGCGAGATCGGCTGTGCTCCCGGAGACAGTTAGCGCTGTGACCTGCAGCACTGCGGACTCAGGATCTCGAGTGACCTATACGACTGCTGTTTCGCATATGTCAAGTAGGCTCACCTATGCGACAGCAAGATCTCGTATCAGCTCTGGTCGATCGAGTTTCGCATCTCAAAGCTCCAGCACAATCAGCTACTACACTGCCTCGTCAACCTCACACCGAACTCCATCATCTGCAACCGCAGACTTCAATGAACCGATCAGGCAATTGTAAGTTAGAAGGCTCGCGTGTTGAATTTATGAGTACCTAATTCCAAACACAGATCGGACTGGAAACGATATCTATTGCAAAAAGGCCTAATTCCGAATGCATACGAGGAACTAAATTGGTCTGGGAAAAATCAACATGCGGAGTATGAAGTTGGGGAAGAAGACAAAATCCCTCTCGCTTCTGGAGGGATAATCGGCCATTCCGCAACGGCTATCGTTGACAAGGTCCAATGCAGGAGGATCCACCTCGCCCGGAAGATCATACACTGCAGCATTCGTATGAAACGAAAGGACGCTGCTGTTGAAGTCGAGCGTCTTCAGAAGCTCAGACATACCCATATCATCAGGATCGTCGGCACCTACGTCGTCGGCCGTGACCTGGCTATTCTGCTCTATCCTGTTGCAGAATGGAATCTCGGGACGTTTCTGGAGCACAAACCTTTGTATAAGGAAAACTATGACGACGGATTAACAAAGGTTTTGACCTGTTTCCCTTGCCTTGCGAACGCTGTGGAGTACATGCATGCCAACACAGTCAAGCACATGGACATCAAACCGCAAAATATTCTCATCAAGTGGAGACAAGGGCATTTGAAAGTCTACCTGGCAGATTTCGGAATAGCGAGGTCTTACACTACTACACCAGAGGCGGAGACGGATTCATTTACGCCTTTTACAAGGAAGTACGCTGCTCCTGAAGTCGTGGCTCAAGAGACACGCGGGCTGAGCGCGGACATATTTTCCCTCGGATGCGTGTTCACGGAGGTCCTCTCGCATTTTCGACAACACACAACCCGGGATTTCTGGAGAGGCAAATTCTTTTTCTCAAACGAAGCGGAGGAAAACGCATTTCACCCGTCCGCAATCCAGAATTTTTCATACTGCTCCAACATCGACACGGTAGTATCCTTCCTATGGGGGCCGATTTACCTTTTTACTCACTCTTGGCTCGATGACGATACGAAAACCCTCCTCACCTTTCTTTGGGACATCCGGTCATTTTTGATCCAAATGCTGTCGCCGAAACCTAGCCTGCGACCATCAGCCCGAGAAGTTGCCGAAAAATTCCAAACACCCAATTCTACATCGAAATGCAGTTGTAGTCATGAGTCGCCTCCATTTGAGACCGCCATACCCGCCCGTATTATCAATAATCGTCCTTCAAGAGCCATTAACCCTCATGGAGAACAAGTGGTTCTTCTTCTTCATCCTCAAACATTCGATCCTACGGTGAGAAGTACTATCTTTTCTGATTTCTATGATGATGACGCACGTTGGATAGGAATGAATTTTCGTGAGAGAGTTATCGCTGTGGGTTTCCCGCCAAATGGGCTTTGGTTTCTCGATCGCGCGCCGGCGTGTCATCAAAGTCGGCCCCTACTTACTCAGTTGGCAAGTCGTAAATGTCAACTCCTGATTGCCCGGCCATTGAGCCGTAAAATTCAACTCCTGCTCACCTGGCCGTCTGGGGGGCCAGTTGTTGAAGAGGGTGAAGAGTCTGAGGATGAGGTGATTTTTGAAGGCAGGCGGTGATGTTTGTTATTTATGGATCATGGAAGAGACGTGAATAAGTACTGCAAAAACAGTTCACTGGGATAAACTTTGAGTTGGAGTTTTCATTATTCGATAGGAGTTGCTGGTTTGCATTTCCAATGGTCGGGTTACTTCGGCCAGCGGGTTGTCTCGCATATGTTCGGAAATTTGCGGTGTCTTCGTCATCGCCAGCACGTTGCAAATATTCGTAATAGTTATTTTTAGGAAAATACAGCTCTCAGTTTAAGTCATTATGCATTCCTTTGGGGACAACATTGCGCTAAATGCGCCTCTGGTCGAGTGTTGGTGGGGATGCGTTCGGCCGAAAACAGCAATAGTTGCGACCCCAAAAACAGGAAACCTTGCGAAGCAGCTGAGGGTATTTGTACAACCCCAATCCCTCAACACTGCTATCTGCCTCACCCGTGCTCATTAGACTTCAACCCACAAAAGAACACCACACGGCATGGTCCATCCTGAGATCCGCCTCTCGACACGCGAGAAGGTCCAGCTTCTCTGGCTCGTCCCATTAGTCCGTGAGTTCAATTCCGCTCAACAAATCACCCCCTACTAATCCCTGCCCACCAGTCTTCAGAACCGTCCTCAGCTCCGTCTTCGGCGTCCTCACCGACAAGAGCGCCGCCAGACACCCAATACGCACCGTCGGCGTTAACCTCCTCCGCCATGTCACGTTGACTCTCAGCTTTCGCCAGAGGCTGGCCGGCGACGTCCTCTCCACCGGCGATGCCGTCGCCGCCTTCTGCGCCTCGCGCAAACTCGCGCATTCCGCCATCCCAGTACCGGTTCCCGCAGCCGGCCGCGGTGACCGCGCATCCACCTTCCACGCCCCGGCCATCCCGGACGCGACCCTGCACCTCATCACCGTTAATTCCTCGCCATCAAATCCCGCTCCATCCGCAGCATCATCATCAGCATCAAACCGCACCCTCCTCTACCTGCACGGCGGCGGCTTCGCCCACCCCATCAACTCCCAAGGCCAGATCCCTCTGGCCCAACGCTGCGCCGAGGCCCTAGCCTCCTCCTCCTCCCACCCAGGCTCCACGACCACCCTCGCCATCCTCGAGTACCACCTCGCGCCCGCCCACCGCTACCCGACCCAGCTCGCCCAGTCCCTCGCCGCGCTGCGCACTCTCGTTACTGGCGGCACTGGCTTCGCACCCGTCCCGCCCGAGCAGATCGTCCTGCTCGGCGACTCGGCCGGCGGCAACCTCCTGCTCGGTGTGCTCGCGGCGCTGAAGGCCGGTCGCGCGCCGCGGGGCGTGGGGGATGAGGTTGTGGCGTGGTGGAGGCAGTCGGCGGAGGGGGGCATCATGCGCCCCTTGGCGGCGGCCGTGGCCGTGTGTCCGTGGTGCGGGTTGGGCGAGTACGGGGGCAGGGGCGCTGGGAGCTCGTACGAGAGGAATGCGAGGTGGGACTTTTTGTATGTGAAGGAGATGGAGGATCTTGAGGAGGCGGTGGGGATGGGCAGGGCGAGGGGGGTGGTTTGGGGGGATATGGTTGGGGCGGCGAAGGCGCGGAAGGTGGAGGAGGAGAATGGGGATGAGGAGTGGGAGGGAGAGGAGCGGGGGGAGTGGGGGGCTGAGTTTTGGAGTGGCGTAGTGAGGGGGGAGGGCAGGGTTGTGGAGAGGATGCTCGTGAGTGTGGGGACGAGGGAGGTCTTTTTGGATGACGTGGTGGAATTTGTGGGACTGATGGGGGCGGGTCAGGAGGACGGGGAGGATGATGGGAAGGTGGTGTTTGTGAAGGGCCCCAATGAGGTGCATGTTGGGCCCGTCGTTGATGTTGCCTTGGGGATTAATGATGACGAGGGATCGCTGCCGGCCATACTGTCGTTTTTCAAGGGGCTGTAAATTGTAAGTAGAGCACTTTTTGCTGCCAGTATAGAGTTTTTAGAACCGGATTTACTCTTCAAGACTTATTTTTGGCAGCTCGGAGATTCTTTGAGTGCGTTGGCTTCCATCATCATTCATGCTTGCTGTTGAAACAAGCAGTTTTTCACATGATTATAAGAACTTACTACACAAAGCAGCTATCGGTATAAAAGGCAACCTAACAGCCCTTTTCAACCCCAACTGATACTCAAGAACCAGTCCATTCAAGCAAAAGCATCCCGAACAGCTACAAAGCGTCAATCAGCAACAGCAAACAACGCAAAATGTGGAAGTGCTGCAAATGCCGGCGTCGCAACGACGCTGCTGATAGCATATGCCAAGGTTTGTACGATCTAGGCTCCGAGCGCCGTCCTAGAGCATGCGAGCATCACCGGTGTCCTAAGTGTCGAGACTTCGACGAGCCTAAGCCTAAGAAGTCCTTTAAGGATCGCCTCCGTGATGCTAAACGGTTTCTTGGGAAGGCTATAGCACCGCCCCAATGCTTGTACAAATAGCACTGTGGATGTGCAAATACCAATAGTCACTGCTGGAAGTCAGTCATCCATGCAGATCTCCAGCTTGCCCAGTCATTGAATAAATTCTGTTTCTTCACCCTTGGCTTTCTCCGTTACTTCCAGCGTGCGCAGCTCAACGAACGCAATTCCATCAGCTGCACGGACATATCTTTTTCCTTTTTTTTTTCTGGTCAACTGTTCCCACTCCACCACGTGCGATACGCACTTTGCCCGGCATTTCGGTATAAATGCTCGCTCGAAACCCATCACTCCTTGCACACTCGCCACAAACGAACGTTTCTTTGCACATCTATTCCACGCAAAAAGCCAAATCGAAACACAACCTCAAGAGACCCAACACTCCGGCTTATAGATTACCAACACCAAAAAAGAGAAGATGTGGAACTGCTGCCTGTGCGGAACGCGCAACACGCACTCCACGGCCACCTGCCAAGGGACCGGAAGCTCCCATCGATGGGATCCTGCTCCTAGCGGTGGCGGAAGTAGAATTTGCGGTCACCGTAGGTGCCCATACTGTCCTGCGCTTACCATTGATAACCCATTTGGCGGCGGTGGCGGCTACGGTGGCTATGGCGGCTATGGCGGATCGCCTTGGGGGGGATATGGTTGGTGATGGCGTACTGTCGGGCCATGAGTAACTGATTCTGAGTGACTAAATGATCACAAACTTTTATGATTGTTTTTCTGCCAGTGCGTAGAATGCATTTCAAATCCAGCAGAGAGTATTTATATAACATACTACGATAGCGTCGCCTCACTTTCAGACCATGGAGTCTACTCGTCAGCGACTGGCATCTGGGACTACAAACGTATGTATATGGGAAGACAAAAGGACACGCAATGCGTGTGTCGCGTGTGGGTAAGGCTGCGACCTGAGATTGGGTGATGCCGAATGAGGTCCCCTTCGCATGGCCGACTGAATATGACACACAAGACCATGGCAACCCTTCAGCTGGAGCATAGACTCACTTGATATACGGACATGAAGTTAATCACACTTTTAAGCAGCTGTTGAATTGATTGTGTACCGTTGCCTCTATCTACGTCAAGGAGCATTGCTCACCCAATCTCCTTGATAGTCGTACCAGAATTGCACAATCCCAGCTCGTGCATGAGAGCACTTCAGAAGGCCGCTTGCCAGCAGATCATACCAATGTGTAGCCCGAGACCCTAAGGGTCTATTCGTTGTGGCTGGTTGGAAAGGAAAGGAAAACAGGAGACGAACCGCCAAAGCAACTAAGAAACTCGCACAAAGCGACCTCGAAGCGCCAATGGAGCAGTTGTTCCGAAAGCAAAGAAAAGTCTGGGTATCGTAGAAGTGTATAGTGAGAATGAAAGCCGTGTCCAAGCTCGGGCAATCCTCCGGCGAGTACCAAGACCGTGAAGATTTGAGGCGAGCTGTTGTTTCCCACAAACAAGAAGTTGAGAACTGATGGTCGTGTGACGAAGGAATACCAATTCAGCATTTCCCGTTGATGACGTTCAGCAATTGTGCGTTGTCCGAGCCCGCCAAAGTGACGTCGCAAAAAAGGCGGGGTCCAATCGTCAAGCCGTCAAAAGGAGAGGAAATTAGATCTTCGCCACGAGAGCGTTCCGGTCTGTAAACAGAGTAGCATCAGAGGCTTCCAACATAGCTCTGGGTATCATAGAATGCTTCCGCTTCCGCTTCCGAAGGCGGAGGAGTGGCTTGCGAGGCGTTAGGCTGTATCATGAAGAGCGGGTCTGGTTGGGGCAGACTTACACTTGTTGCGCGCATGAGCGAGCTTGTTCCTGACAGCGGACACGCCGACGCGCTTGCCGGTGTAGTCGAAGATGCGGCTGGCAACGCGCTGGTAGTAGTTGTCGTAATCCTCATACATGGCACGGGCCATGGCGACGCACTATTGGTGTTAGTTTAGTGTGAGAAGGAATGAGCAATGGATTACTTACGATGTCTTCGGTGAAGACACTGTCGGGGTAGATGACCATGTACTCGCCACTATCAGGGTCGTCGTCCTCGTTGACAGTCTGGAGCTCCCAGTCCTCGCCCTCACCAGTCTTGTGCTGAGGGACGGGGTTCTCGGCAGGCTTGTCGCGGCCGGCCTTCTTAGTCTCTTGCTTCTGAGGACTGGCCTTCTGGTTGTCAGAGCCGATCTCCTTGAAGCGGTTCTTGAGGGCATCCTGAGGCTTCTTCAGCTGCTGGCCAATCTCCTTCCAGGACTTGTTCGCCTTCTTGAGCTCGAGGAGCTTCTCGTCATCCTCGGCAGTGAAGGCGAAGTTCGGCTTGCCGGAACCGCCCTTCTTCTCCTCCGACTTAGGAGGGGCAGCGGCATTCTCAGGAGAAGCAGCAGTGTTTTCAGCAGGAGCAGGGGTGGTAGCGGCAGGAGTCTCCTTCTTGGCGGACTTCTGAACAGCGGCGGCCTTCTGGGCAGCCTTGTTCTCGGCAGCCACCTTGTTAAGAGCCTCCTTAGCACCCTCTTCCTTGGCATTCGCGAGAGCCTCATCGAAGGACATCTTCTCCTGGGCCTGGACGGCCATTTCAGCGAAGCTAGGCCTGTTGCACATCTGGCGAACTTGGTCCTGCAACTCAACGTCAGCTGGTGTCCTTGGAGGATAATTATCCAAGAGTGGGAGCAGCAGTGATCCGCAAAGTGGATTGGTGAGCTATGTGTCAAGCGCGCTTTGCTTTGGTAGCGCGGCCATGTCTCCAGGTGGAGCCGATGGCTCAAGAGTGAGGTGTTGGTTGAGAGATGAGCTGGGGCTTACCTGCGAGAGTCCGGCAGCCCAGAGAGTCCACTTGTGCTTGCGAGCCCAGCCGGGATCAATCTTGTTCAGGTCGATGGAGCTGAAGTTGGCCATAGTTGCGACCAGCGGGGTGGGCGACGAAACGGGGTTTGAGTGAAGTGGTTGTCGGATCGGGCGACGACGGAGCGCGAGTTGAGGATAGCGGTGACAACAAACGTCGAGGTGTGCGGCGACAAGGCTTGAAGCACTTCGCGCGAAGTGCGATGGTGTCGCGAGCTCAAGGTTTGGTTGTGAGGGCGAGAAGAGAGTCGGATGGTAGTCCCTATAAACACACACTTGCGACACTAGTCCGCATTGGGCACACGACTCAAGATCTTCGTGCTTGTTCCGCACCAGGAAGGAAGGCGCGGGTATTTGGAGCCCTTGGGCCGCCTCGCATGGGCCGCACGCGCGCAAGGAATTGAACATCCGGCGCCACGGCGCGCGCCGTACCCTACCGCGGCCGCTTCCAGACATAATAAACCATACTGGAGGAATCGTCTTACCGCATTCCAACAAGCTCTATTTTCCGGGATGGAATAGGGCCTTGGAGCTAGCCGCGCTGGGTGCGACAGTACTATTCTATGCGCTGACGTCGGTCAATTTCTATAGCAGCCCGAGCATTAGCGAAGAGTGACTAATTGCTCAATATAGTGGAGATTTCCACACATATTGAGTTGATGCTGGTAGAATATCGATTGACCATCTCTTTTTGTATCCATCTGTGACGATAGCTGCTATTCGAGCCGCTCAGCAGCTGGGCAGGTGGTTATTTTATGTTAGACCGCGCAGATTAACAGTCTGCAATATCCCTTTCCACTGCACGTCTAATTAATATTCTAAGAATATCCCAATCCAGATCGCGCTGATTTTAACCCCGAGCGCTTTGGAGATCAATTTGGTCGAAGGGCTGCGGACAAATTTGACTGAGACATGGGAGTGTAACGGAAAGCCGAATGCGTCTGCTGACTCCAGTCTGACACCGAATTTCTGCGACACATACGCACCCGGACTGCAGGATTTGGGAGAGGGATGGTCGGCTTTGGAATAAATCGAAAGTGGTGAAGAGGCAATATGTAGAATAATAACACCGCCATGAAAAATGTGCTAGAGACAGAAGAACCTCGATAATTTGCGAAATACGAATATATAGAAGATGAAAAAAAAATAATATAGAGTAAGAAATTCCCCGATGGTTAATGCATGTTCGGCAACGATATTTCGCCCTGCTATGCACAGTATTCGTTTTGGTGAGCCTCGAGCTCTCCTAGAAATAACACTTACGGGGTACTTCGCATTTGCAAAGTGAAAGCTAAATGGACGAAATTTGTTGTAGTTTGCTGGTTGGGATGGGTGGAGTGAAGTTGTTCCTGAGGCGCGAGATCAGCGACCAGGGTCTTTCCCGAACTTTCGCCGTTGCAACCTGGCAGCTCGCGATCAACACTCCTTACGCCGGCGCTCCGAAGCTCCAACAGCCGCCCAGAATATCGCCATTTTGCAATCGCAGCACCCCTCGACTCGCCGCCATGCTGTTCCCCTCCGCCGCCGTCGTTGCCGCCTTCGGCTATCTCGTCAGCCTTGCTTCGGCCCACAACATCCAGCTCAAGGCCCACTCGCGCGAGTGCTTCCACGAGCAGCTCCATGCCGACGATAAGATGACCGTGACCTTCCAGGTCGGCGACCGCGAGTTTGGTGGTAGCGGCAACCTTGAGATCGACTTCTGGGTGCGTCAATACACCAATTGGCTCTGAAGCGGTGCTAATGCGGCCTCTAGATCCAAAACCCGTCGAACAACATGCAGACCCACGAGCGTAGTGTTTCCTCCGGCGACCACTCCTTCGTCGCTCACCAGGACGGGAGGTACACCTACTGCTTCAGCAACGAACACTGGGCCGCGAACACCAAGGAGGTCTCTTTCAACGTCCACGGCATTGTCTATGTTCCCGAGTCCGAGGCGCCGCAGGATCCGTTGGAGAAGGAGGGTGCGTACACGCACATGGCATGATTCGCCGGGCACATCACTGATAGCTTCTAGTCCGCCAACTCTCGGAACTTATCGCTTCGGTCAAGGACGAGCAGGGATACATCGTGGTCAGAGAGAGGACGCACAGGAACACTGCTGAGAGCACCAACGCCAGAGTCAAGTGGTGGAGCATCTTCCAAATTCTTGTGCTGGTCGGTGAGGGCGTCTTCCAGGTTTGGTGGCTGAAGAGGTTCTTCGAGGTAAGTTCGGCCAGGAAAGCTCTGTGAACCAGCTAACAGGACACAGGTCAAGCGCGTTGTATAGATAGACGTGTTCTGGGTTCTTGGCGATGGTTGTTTAGGCCCTGAATTGACGAAGACATGTTTTCACTTCCCAATCTGACCGCTTTCGCTTGATGATCCGGAAGCCGTGCCGTTTGCGGACAACTCGTTCCATAAATAATTGAGCTTCCAGGCGCAGCGGGATGGAGGAAGTTGTAGTCTTTATTTAGATACCCTGGTGTCTCTGTTCCAGGACAATGAAAAAATGATGGTCATTTCTTTGGAAAATTAAGGCCGAAGCAACATGTCAAAGCCTGCCGATTGAGCATTCACCTAGCGCGAGGTGGTGAGCTCTCGGCCCGAGCTCGCCCGCGCGCGTCACGGCAGCCAACGCGCGGGACCCGTACTGCAGCTCTATCGCGACAGCCTCGCGCAGAATTCCCTAGCTTCCTTCTCCCCTCTTCCACCACCCCGCGAAGCTTTCAAGAAGCTACCCAAGACCGCCGGGAGCTAGCCACCACAGCCTCGCTAATTGCCGCCGTTCACCCAATCCATTCGCAACCCTGCAAGCCGTCGCATCTCTGAGAGAGCTCCGACAAGATGTCGCTCCAATCCTACATTAACAGTGCGTCCTAAACCCGACCGCCACGCGCACTTCCGGCTCTACGCTCTTCACAATCTGCCTCCGCTGCCCTTCCGCACACCCCCTGCGATTTGAATGGCGTCGCCCTGCTAACGCCCTCTTGCTTTCTAGAGAAAATCTGCATCATCACGGTCGATAGCCGGACGCTGGTCGGAACACTGCTGTCGTGCGACCAGATGACGAATCTCGTGCTGGCCGATACCTGGGAACGCATCATACGGCCTGCCGACGACCCGGAGCCTTCGAGCGAGGTGCAGCATGGTCTGTACCTCATCCGCGGCGACAACGTCGCGCTGTGCGGTCTGGTAGACGAAGAGCTGGATGCGAGCATCGACTGGTCGAAGGTGCGGGGCGAGGTCATTGGGACAACGAAGCACGTGTGAGGTGACGATTCAGGGTTGTAAGACAATCACTGAGGAAAAGAGTCATGAGAGGATCAAGGGCCGCTTGTGGGGAGGACGAGGGCGCAATGGCGCTGGACGGAGGGACCACTTGGAGCTTGGAAACGGTGTTACTTGCGGCGAGGGCATACGTCTGCGGGGCTTTCGCGCTCGAATACTTTTGTGCTGGGGCACACGCTGCTGGGCTCGTCGCGGCCGGACGCTCCTGGTCAGCCATTCGGGGGACGCGTTGATCAGGCCACGGCTGGGAATTTTTGAGGCCAATTGTCATACGCAGTAGGTCCTCTCAATCGATATCCACGTTTGCTAGGTTAACGGCGTCTTTCATTTCTTTCCAGCATACCATATTTTCAGCGGTAATCCAGGCGTCATACAGGCACTTTGTAGACTATAAGCTGCTCGAAACGACGAAAGACGCATTAGGCCACGAAACCAACATTTCTGGAATATCTATTGATAATCATGCTTTGCAGCAGTTGAAAATTTTATATTTTACTATCATTCCATGCCATGTGCCATGCTAAGTATACAAAATGCCTTCCGGCTGATATCGCTCGTCTTTCTTTTACCCTGGGCCAAGTCACTCCCCTCAAATTCCGCCTCCGCCACCACCCGGTCCGCCGATGCCGCTCCCCATACCCAATGCGCTCGTTCCCTTCACCTTGTGATCCGCTGGGTTGGCGGCGGCCTCGTACAGGAAGTTGACGGGTTCCTTGTTCAACTTCATGAACTCGCCCTTGAAGGCAAGGTAGGAAATGCGAGTGACGTCCTCTTCGCCCTGGCCGAAGTTGTCCTCGAAAAAGAGGGTGAGAGAGCGGGTGGTGTTGAAGAGTGCGCGTTTGACGGGCACCTCTTGGATGTCGTTGGTCTGGGAGAGCTCGAAGGTCTGCGTGGGCTGCAAATCGGATGCAGTGCCGAAGTCAAGGTCGTCACGGTTCAGGAAGACTTTGAGTGTCTTGGGAGCGGAATCGGTCGTGCTGGTACGGACAAGAATGGCGTGCAGGCGGACTTGGCCGGTGAAGCTTTTATGAAAGAGAGCGGCGCGTTAGCAATGCGACACCCCGGCATACATGAGAAAATAGAAAAACAAATATACTTACGGGACGAACATGAGCAGCTGTTCGTCGGCATCGCTGGCTAGCTCCGGTTCTGGGTCTAGGCGCTGCGCCCACGTCTTCTGCAGAATGGCGGCTCCTGCGCGGGGCGTCTCCTCGTTCAGCGTGTTGACGCTGGAGAAGTCGACTTGCTCGTACAGCAGCGACTGCAGCGCTGGTGTGATGTCGTCGCTGTGGTCGTGTACGTGCCCATGGTCGCCATGATCATGGCCTCCGTGGCCAGCGTGCTCGTCGTGGCAGTGATGCGACATTCTTTCAAGCTATTGTATGCGGCGTATTCCTACGTGTCTTGGACCTTGATATTGGCGTGCGTGTATATATGTGCTTTGCGCGCTGTACCTTGAGGGCGGGGAAGGATTCGTAACGTCAAGAGGGCCGTTGCGGCCCGCAGCAGCAAATGGCGGGGGAGGGGCAACGCAAAAGCTGTGACGATGCTCCACGCCGACGGATCGTGCACGAGTCGCAAGAACTTGCTGGCCACAGGCTGGAAATTTCCAGACATCGTGGCGAGGGCAGAGCGATGTCGATGGGCTTTGCGTCATCTTATCGGCGACGAGCAATCGCACCCGCGAGGGAACAATGAGCGTACAGAGGCAAAATGTGTGAGCTAGATCGTCAACGCATATGCATGTCCGCACGTGAGGTACACTCGACCCATCACCAATCAGCCTTCTTCATATGAGCCAAGATTACGTTGCGGATATCTCTATGTGAAACCAGTATGTGCTCCGTCGTTGCCCTTCCCAGAAGATGTTCCCCCAAACGCCTTGCTGAAATGCATGCAGCAAACCGCCAGCCAATGTGCTAACCATCGACACGTCATGCAAGCATCGGTTCTGCGTGCATCGTTGCCTGCTCGCGCCTCCGGGCTTCGGCTCTTTCGCGCGCTGTACCGCGTTCCGGCTGTGTAGCCTCCGGTACCTTAGTCGGAGCATCTGGTAGGTTCTCCGGGAGCTTGGTGCCGTTCATTTCCTTCTCCAGCGCGTCTAGCTCGTCCTCAACCTCGTCCTCGTCTTGATTAGACATTCTGCCAGCAAGCATTTCGCTGATTTCCTGTACATTTGTTAGCACTAGCGCTTCATTCCCATTCGGTCATCGAGTGGCCTAAGCGCAGCTGGTCATGAGGCAACCCTCCGCATGGCCGATGAACACGGTAACGGAAACGGCCATGGGTATGGGTGCCTCCAGCGCAAATGGAGATGCACAATCCCTTCAGGGACCTTTCTGACCGCAGCTGCGACGGCCGGTATGACGTGCTGGTCGGTACTGACTCTTTGGTATGCCTGCGCCTCTTCATTCTCGCCCATAAGCTTCTCCACATTCTCCAGCCCACCCATCTCCTTGTGAATCTCCTTTAGCACGCTCGTGCCTTGTTGTAGGCCGAATAGTACATCTTTCTGTACTAACGCAAATTCAACATCGCTCGTGAGCGTCTCAAGCTGGGCAAGCTGTGAGTCGGTCTTCTGCAGGAGCGACTCTTGGTATTTCTTCCGGCGCAGCGCCAGCAAAGCGCGCCGCTTGTCGCCCCTTTTCAGACATTCTTTCGCAATTTCGGTCTCGCGGTTGGTGATGACGATAATCTTCTTTTGGTATTGGTGTAGCTTGTCTCGTTGGTTCTTCATGTCCAGGATAGCTCTGGGTAGTGGGCGCGCGGCGTTAGCTACGCGCATTCCGAAACGCGTTGGATGAGGACGCGGAGGGATGCAAAGCTACGACTCACTTATCCTGGGCAGATATCTTGGGGGTGCTCCCGGAGTTGCCCATGATTTGTCGACGGCTGCGAGCAAAACTCCCAAAACGTTGCTGTTCTGGCGCGGTCGCAGGACCGCTCCGGCGTCGGGCAGCGCGTATGATGCGCCGCCAAGGCGCTTGAGACCGGGCCTTATCGGCTTATCGCTCACCCCTGCATGTGCGTCAGAGCGTCCGCGCGCCCTGAGAAATTTCCTGGAGCCGCCGCCGGCATTATTCTAACTACCACGCAGGCCTCGAGAGCTGCTCACCACCGCCCCCAGAACGGCCGCCTGGCCCCACGCGATCGAATCTATAGAGCAAAATTTCGACTTCCATATTTCGCCTGTCATACATACACACAAAAATGCCATCAGTGCGGGGCAAAGGCCGACCATCCCTTCGGCAGGGACTTGACAAGGAAGTCTTCCAGGTCATTCGCAAGCTTATCGACGAGCAGCCGGGCGAAAATCCGAACCTTTCGGTTTACACCGTGTCCGACTGGATTAAGCGCTCAAATTCTTCGCTCGCGAGGAGACCACGAAAACAGCTCGAGGACAGCATTGAGCGCGTGCTGGACGTCATGAAGGAGGACGAAGCCAGTGGAGACGATGAGATGGCGCCGATCGATGCCGATCTCGGAGACGAGCAGGAGAAGGAACAACACGTCGCATCGGAAAATGCAATGAATGTAGCGTTGCGCGGGAATCTGGCCAAGCAGACGGCTACTGCCGAGGCGGCTGCGAAGAAGCGGGACGGCCAGCGGCTGCCTGACGGTCAACCGGTCAAGAAGAAGAGGAAGGGTGAATCGAAGACGGAAATCAACACCGCGCCCCCAACGCACATAAAGCTGGAGGATGTTGGCGGTGTTGGACACGTGAAGCGCCAGCTCAAGGAGCTTCTTGTGCTACCATTGCTCCGCCCAGAAGAATACACAGCTGCCAAAATCCCTATCCCTCGTGGCATCCTTCTGCACGGTCCACCTGGATGTGGTAAAACCATGATCTCCAAGGCATTTGCGGCCAAGATGGGTGTACCGCTGATTGAGATCCTGGGTCCATCTGTCGTATCTGGAATGTCCGGAGAGTCCGAGAAGCAAGTGAGAGAGCATTTCGAAGAGGCTCGGAGGAATGCACCGTGTCTGTTGTTCATCGATGAGATCGATGTCATTGCTCCGAAGAGAGATACATCACAAAGCCAGATGGAGAAACGTATCGTTGCACAGCTGCTCATTTCCATGGACAGTCTGGCTATGGAGGGAAATGATGGCAAACCTGTCATTGTTCTTGCTGCCACGAACCGGCCTGACAGTCTTGATCCGGCCCTAAGAAGAGGCGGTAGGTTCGACACGGAAATCAACATGGGTGTTCCGAATGAAAAGATGAGGGAACTCATCCTTCGCGCTCAAACGCGAGAGGTCAAGGTCGCCGACGATGTCGATTTCACACACTTGGCGAAGAGAACTGGTGGATTCGTGGGTGCTGATCTGCGAGATCTTGTCGGCAAGGCCGGTTCATGGGCGATGGATCGTTACAGGGAGGCTCTCGAAAGACAGGGTCGGGAAGCAGAGCAGGAGATGGATATTGACGGTGGCGAAACAATGGAGGGAGATGAGGATGACCAAAGTATCACTCGGCTTGTGCAGGTTGCCAAACGGCGAGATCTACCGCGTCCAGTTGGGTTTGAAACACTTGCCATCACCATGGAGGCATTCAACTCGGTCCTTCCCGGCATCCAGCCTTCTTCCAAGCGTGAGGGCTTCGCTACGGTACCTGACACGACATGGGAAGATATTGGCGCTCTGCAAGACATCCGCGAGGAACTTCAGATGGCCATCGTCGAGCCGATCCAGCACCCCGACAGATACAAGCAGGTTGGTATCACAGCGCCAACAGGCGTGTTGCTCTGGGGGCCTCCAGGATGCGGAAAGACGCTTCTGGCAAAGGCAGTGGCCAACGAATCCAAGGCCAACTTCATCAGCGTCAAAGGACCAGAACTGCTCAACAAATACGTCGGAGAATCCGAGCGCGCTGTTCGTCAGGTCTTCTCTCGTGCACGTTCTTCCGTCCCCTGCGTCATCTTCTTTGACGAGCTTGACGCGCTCGTACCAAAGCGCAACGATTCCCAGTCCGAAGCATCCACTCGGGTTGTCAACACGTTGCTTACTGAGCTCGATGGCTTGAGCGCTCGCGAGGGAATTTACGTCATTGCTGCCACGAACCGTCCTGACATGATCGATGACGCCATGCTGCGACCTGGTCGCCTGGAAACAATGCTCTTCGTTGGCCTGCCCGGCCCCAGCGAGCGCGCAGAGATCCTCAAAGCTCTCATCAAACGCACTCCGATTGATGACAAGTACGCAGAATTTGGAAAGTGTTGCGAGAACTACTCAGGTGCAGATCTTGGCAGCTTGTTGAGACAGGCTGGCCAGAACGCGCTCAGGCGCAAGAGCAGTGTGGTCTTGGAGGAGGACTTCGAGAAGGCTAAGCAGAAGATCGTGCCGAGTGTGGGAGATTTGTTGAGGTATGAAGTGTTGAAGAAGAAGTTGTCTTCGAGGGTATAGCCTACTTTGTGCTTTAGCGTAAGACAGTTGTGTGAGATATCCCGATAGAATATCTATATTTCTGATAATTCCCCACTTCTTGCCTTTCGATATGTGCAACGTTCCAGCGCACGAAACACGTGGAGGGCGATCGAACTGTCTGGGAGAACTCGTGCCATAATACATAAGGGCGGGTACCTCCTTCAAACGCCCGGGGTTTAATCTATACCATTTCTGTTTATTGTGTAGTAGTTCAAACCAAAGAATCCATATCGAGTCTTCATCATGCCTCCCAAGAGGAAACACAGCTTCAAAGGGTACAAAGAGCCGGATGAGGACTACGAGTCAATGTTCCGAGAGTTCGACATCTCTAGGTTCCTCGAAGATGCTGCTACATACAAGAACGACCCTCGCATCCCCTTAGGCACCCCGGATTACCCGCTTCCAAGAAGGGTGGGGACAGAGGAGATCCGCACCGAGGAGTATATTGCCTTGTGCCGGCTCCTCGCTGCATTCCCTGGTTATGTTACTATGGCTGCGACGGGATCGGTGCCGCGTGATCAAGACTGGATCGCTGACAGAGCACGGCTACCTCTGGCGTTAACACAAAGGGCGACGAGGGGGTTTGTCGGGTTCTTGTGTTGTGCAGCTGGGGTCGGAGATGGATGGGCCAGAAAGATATGGCCGATGAAATGTGAGGAGTCGTGGAAGAAAAGCCGATGGAAGGAGGCTGATAGCGTCATACATGAGGTTTGTGATGTTTTGAGGAGATTTTGGAAAGGAAATGAAGGGGAGCGTATCGAGGCTTTGAGTGCTTTGAGGGAAATGGTACAAGAGGTGTTTGGCTTCATGCCTGATATGTGAGAGCGCAGTGGACAAAGGGCAAGTGGTTATGCTGAATTAGCTGGTTGGCAAGTAGGCGTATGCTAAAGCCAGTACTAATAATGTCAAGGACAGATGCAGGAAACCATTACGCTTTTATGTTATTCTTCATCAACCTGGTATAATTATAATCAGCGTAGCACATTAACCTTCATGAATTTTAGTTCAATCGACTGACTTACACCCCCCCCCCCCCCCCCCCCCAAAAAAAAAAAAAAAGAACCAGTCTGGAATGCAAATAGACAAGTGTGCAAGCGATCAAGAGGGTTGCTTAAATAGTAGTAGATAAGATCTTGGAGGCTTCCAAATCCTGCATGAAATGTCGGTGGAGGCATTAAAATAAGGCAGGGTAGCTCAGAAGTTTTGATGTGGAACGTCGGGGACGCAGATGATATGTACAAGTAGCCTTTCTTCCGGAGCACGAAGGAACATTCATCAAATGGAATTCCAGTCTTCCCGAGTTACGTACTCATCAAGCTTCTAAATCAGCAATGTCTGCACGTCGTGAGGCAACCGGCATTTCACCATGTATTTAGGACTATGTCCCTGCCGTGTTCCTTCGCACTTTATCTTAGATCTTTGTTTGCATAGGCCTTCTGTTTGCACTGACAAATGCTTTCTTCATAGTCGGAGATATGATACAGTTGAAAGAACCCATGTTTCAAATCATGCATGTTCCCTTTGGTTTCTGCCTTCAGGAACACGTTTCATGCCGTCGAAACGGTGGAAAGAAACTGTAATGCATCTAGAATATTTGTTCTTTCATCTGTAGGGAGTTTTAATCAGGGCTGGCTCAATTATTATCCATACAGGGCTGTAAAGAGTAGCGATGCAACCGGCAAGTGATGGACTATCCGCTGAACCAAAACGGTGTATGCTGGCGATCCATGAGATCGACATGTTACGCGAAGGGGATGCCCCTCACAGGGACAATATTCAGCGCATCAGGCGCATACCCGAAACGTCCACAGGGGTCGCGACCTCGACGATTGAAGAGTCGGTTGTGCACGCCACGTCGACACAGACCCTGGCCACCACTTTACGGTTGACGACTCTAGTGCTATGGAGCTCTGGTTGAAATAGCTGCCAATGGAGTCCGTGAGCTAGTGAGTCTCGGTAAGGCGGATCCAGTTGACCGGCTTTGGAAAGTCGAGATTATCAGAAAGCTCTTGGTGCTCCAGTTTGTTGAAGGGCAGGGTCCGTGTAGCTCTTGCCGGCTGTGGCCCGAGCGGCATGTGCGCTTTAGCGGGGATGGGCGTGATCGGCAGAATGCGATAGGGTACCGGATTACCTGAGCAATTGATGTGCGGGGTGGAGAAGGAGGACGGCGATGCGAAACGAAGGCAGCAAGGGTTAGCAGCGACCTGAGACAACAGAAATTTCGGGCGAAGCCGACACGGGCATGCGAGTGCAGGGCAACTCAGGCGAGAAGGCGGTGATGGCAGGCGGTGGAGAAGCTTATCCTGCCGGGATCGCAATCTGGTTGGTGCAGGGGTAAGACGTGTCGCCCGCGCGTGCGCTGTATGCAGTGCGCCCGCCGTGGACGTATTTTGTTGCTCCCGTCAACAACCACACCGCACCGCCGCATCCCGCATCCGCCGCTCCCTTCACCTGTCCTTCCCGCGGCATCGCTACCTCCCTCGCCGCCGCGCACCCGCCGTCCGTCGAAACACATGTCTTGATCCGCTTTGATTCCCACACCGAATCACACCATGGAGGACCCCTTGGTCACATCCCCAGGGGCCGCCAACGGCCTCTCCGCGCCCAAGCAGCCCGCACCCACCTCTACCTCGATAGATCCGCAGGTCATAGTCGACCATCTCGTAAAAGTTTTGAGCGTCACCTTGGGCGCCTCGGAAGAGGACCTTGCTGCGCCCGGGAGCTTATTGTCTGAGGCGCTGCTGGCCGACACCCTGCAGCGCTGCACACGCTTCGCTCTCGAGGCGCAGGTTGCGCTCTACGTGCAGAGAATCATCGGCGACCACGAGCAGATTGACGCCGCGAACGGGTCGGAAGGTTCGTCTACGCGCTCGCCTCCACCTCCGATCGTTGCTGATCATTCATTTCGTTTAGTCCCGTCGCTGCGCTACATCTACACGCTGACCTCCGAGCTGTCCGCTTCGAGCTCCTACGATGCCTGCATCGCCATCCTGAAGGGTCCGCAGCCCATCAACCCCGCCGCCCCCATCAGCCAGCAGATCCAGGTCATCAATCTCCCCGGAATTGCGTCCTCGGACACGACCACGACTGGCCAGGGCCCTCTCAGCTCACCATTCGAGGCTTTACACTCTCTCGTTCACTTGGCGCTGGCGCCGTATTTTGATGCGTACACGAAGAGCCAGGCGGCGCTCCACCCGAGCTGGAGCAAAGGAGATGTCGATGCCAGGACTGGCATTCCTGGCGCTAAGAAGAGGATTGCAGAGCTAGAGTTGAGTTTGCTTCAGTTGCAGCAGAACACCGAGATACCCGAGCTTTTGTTGGCTCAACCTGATGTAATTCAAAATGCGTTGGAGGAGGCCCAAGCCAAGGGGGTCAAGCCGACCATCGACCTCATCCCCGCGGCCTTGTTGGACGACAGCAAGTTCCTGAACAACCTGCAGAACATCGTCAATGGATGGATTAGGTCGATACAGACGATTACGAAGACGAACCGCGATCCGGCCAGCGGTACCGCAAATCAAGAAATTAATTTCTGGCTGAACATGGAGTCGGCTTTGGCTGGAATCGAGCAGCAGCTTCGCAGCGATGGCGTGTCCCTCACCATGGACGTGCTCCGACACGCGAAGCGGTTCCAGGCCACGGTCAGTTTCAGCACCGACACAGGTCTGAAAGAGACCATGGAAACTGTGCAGAAGTACAACCTGCTGATGCGCGATTTCCCTCTTGATGAGCTTCTGTCCGCCACCTCGTTGGAGAAGGTGCAGGATTCTATCAACATGATCTTCGGTCATTTGAACAAGAAGCTTCGTGCCTCTCCGTACCCCATCAAGCGCGCTCTTGCATTGGTGGAAGCCATCTCGGGCGATTTGGATGCTCGGATACATTTTCTCCTCAACGGTCGCGAGCTCATGCACCAGGAGTTCCCTGATTTTGATGCCACCATGAAGCTTGCCGAGGGCGTTTGGCGCGCATGGGACGACAACGTCAAGGAGTTTACTAATGTTGCGCGTGAAGTGTCTCGCCGAAGGAACGAGAAGTTCATCCCCATCAAGATCCAGCCTCGGCATGTCCGGACCCAGGATAGGCTCAAGTACATCACGACCTTCCGGAAGAACCACGAGCAGCTCCAACGCACCATCGTCAACGTACTCGGCCCCAGCTCTACGGTCCGGGAGATCTCCGACAACGCAAAGGACGACGCTGTCATCGTGGAGGAGATTGGCGATGTCGATGCTGTGGAGGAAGTTGCCCAGGCTTATGCGGCTTTGAAGGACGTCGATGTCTTGGACGTTACTCCCGAAGGAACCCGAATTTGGGAGCAGGCTGAGATGACGTACAACGAGCGCACATCTCGTGTCGAGAACTCCATTATTGCCAGGCTGAGAGATCGTCTGGCAACGGCGAAGAACGCCAATGAGATGTTCCGCGTCTTTTCCAAGTTCAACGCTCTTTTCGTCAGACCGAAGATCCGGGGCGCCATTTCTGAGTATCAGACTCAGCTAATTGATAATGTCAAGCAAGACATCTCGGCATTGCACGAGCGCTTCAAGCAACAGTACGGACATTCTGAAGCTCATGCAATGGCCCAGCTCCGAGACCTTCCTCCAGTTTCAGGTGCTGTCATCTGGGCGCGTCAGATTGAGCGTCAGCTTGATGGCTACATGGGCAAGGTCGAGAATATTCTCGGCAAAGATTGGAGTCTCCACATGGAAGGTCAAAAGCTCCAAAGCGAGAGCAACATGTTCAGAAAGAAGCTCGACACGCGGCCAATCTACGAAGCCTGGCTGAAGGAGGTCCAGAGGCGCAACTTGTCGATTTCCGGCCGTCTCTTCAGCGTCTCCCGCAACCGTGCCGCTGGTAACTCTTTGGAATTGGGCGTCAACTTTGACCACCAGGTCATCGCCCTATTCAAGGAAGTGCGCAACCTGCTCTGGCTCAATTACCAGGTTCCCCACGCCATCAACAACATCTCGAAGGAGGCAAAGCGCGTCTACCCCTACGCTGTCAGCATGATGGAGAGTGTGCGCACGTACTCGCAGACTACTCGTGCGATCACCGAGATGGTTGAGGTTTCCATACTCCTACACGGCTACCAAAACGATGCTCAAAGCTTGATCACAAAGGGTGTTCCCCTTAAGTGGGAGAGTTTTGTCCACGCTTATGACTTGCACATCAGGCAAGGCCCGCTTGCCGCGGCGGATCACTCCTTGACTCCGGCAAGAGGTGAAAGCAAGCACGTTCAGTTCGTCCGGGAGTTTGCTGCAGCTGTTTCGCTACTTCAAAGCAAGACGGAAACCCTGAAGACCATTCACGCCACCATCCAAAAGGCTCTTTCCGACCTCGAAACTTGCCCTTACAAGTATGACGCTTTCCGCACCAGCTTGGATGTGATCCAGCGCGCTGTCGACCAGCTCAACCTCGAGAATTACGTCAACCTTCATTACTACGTTTCGGAGTTGAACTCCAGGATTGAGCGCACGCTTCTTGTGCGTCTGAGCACCGCCATCCAGGAATGGATTGAGGCCTTCGAGAGTGCAGACGGTTCTGAAATTGATGGTCGGCCTACTACTGCTTCTTCTGAGAGCGCAGAGAAAAACCGTCCTCGCCTGTCCCATCTCATTCACGAAATCACGATGCGTAACCAGGTCATCTACCTCGATCCCCCGCTGGAGTTCGCCCGTGCTAGCTGGCTCGACCAATTGCATGACTGGCTTGGCGTTATCTGCAGGCTCGAGAAGATCAAGTCCTCGAGATACGACATGCGCCTTGAGGCCGTTCAGGATCCAGCCAGCCTCCGTTTTGTGGAACTCCCAAGCCGCTGCACTGAATCTCTCACCCGCGTATACGGTGCCATCGAGGAGAAGATTAGAGAAATCAGCGTTTATGTGGATGATTGGCTCCGTTTCCAGTCTCTTTGGGATCTCAAGTCGGATCAAGTGTACGATATTCTTGGCGATGAGCTCCGCAAATGGCTGCAGCTGCTGCAGGATATCCGCAAGACGCGCTCGACTTTCGATACCTCAGATGTTAGCCGCACCTTCGGCAATGTCACCATCGACTACGAGCAAGTCCAGATGAAGGTCAACGCCAAGTATGACCAGTGGCAGCATGAAATCCTTGTCAAGTTTGCCGCTCGTCTCGGAGCACGCATGGCGGAGGTCTACGCAGAGATCGAAAAGGCACGCAAGGACCTCGAGGGCCAGTCTCTTGAGTCGTCGTCCACTGCTCAAGTCGTTCACTTCATCACTTCCGTTAAGCAGTGCAAGCAGAAGGTCAAGGTCTTGGCTCCCGAGGTTGAAGTTTTCAGACAAGGACAGACTACTCTCACCCGCCAGCGCTACCAGTTCCCTCAAGACTGGCTTGACTGTGATCAGATTGATCACGAGTGGGCGACGCTCAATGAGATTCTCAGCCGGAAGAGCAAGATCGTCAACGACCAGACGGACGCGCTCAGGGCGAGACTTACTGCTCAGGACAAGGTGATGAACGACAAGATCACTGAGCTCGTTGGACAATGGAACGAAGAGAAGCCTGTCTCCGGCACAATTCCTCCCGAGGAGGCATCCGCTACTCTGCAGACCTTCGATCAGAAGCTCACTCAGCTCAGCGAGGAAGCGAGAATGGTCTCGGAAGCCAAGGAGGCTCTCGATCTCCCACCCAGTGGAGAGAGCATTCTGCCTACTCTTCTCGAGGAAGTCCAAGACTTCAAGTCCGTCTGGGCTGCACTCTCCACCATCTGGAGCAGTCTCAACGACCTCAGGGACACTCTCTGGACGAGTATCCAGCCTCGCAAGCTGCGTCAGTCCCTTGACAACTTGATCAAGATGACTAAGGAGATGCCCAGTCGTATGCGCCAGTATGCTGCTTTTGAGCATGTGCAGAACCATCTCAAGGGTCTGCTCAAGGTCAACCCTCTCCTTTCCGATATGCGTTCCGAAGCTGTGCGCGAGCGCCATTGGATCAAGATCTTCCGTGCTCTGAAGCCGAGCAAGAGATATTCGCCGTTGTCCATGACTCTGGGTGATGTGTGGGATCTCCAGCTGGCACAGAGCGAGACCGTCATTCGCGATGTCATCACCCAAGCCATGGGTGAGATGGCTCTCGAGGAGTTCCTGAGGCAAGTCCGTGAGACCTGGCAGAACTATTCCCTGGAACTTGTCTCCTACCAGAACAAGTGTCGCTTGATTCGTGGTTGGGACGACCTCTTCGCTAAGTGCAGTGAGAACTTGAACTCTCTGCAAGCCATGAGACACTCTCCGTACTACAAGGAGTTCGAAGAAGAGGCATCGTCTTGGGAGGAGAAGCTCAACCGCATCCATGTGCTCTTCGATGTTTGGATCGACGTGCAGCGCCAGTGGGTGTACTTGGAGGGTGTTTTCACCGGCAACGCCGATATTAAGCACCTTTTGCCGATGGAATCCTCTCGCTTCCAGAACATCAACTCCGAGTTCCTGAACGTCATGAAGAAGGTCTCTCGTTCGCCCTTCATCCTCGATGTCCTGGCTATTCCCGGTGTGCAGAAGTCGCTCGAGCGTCTCGAGGAGCTGCTCAACAAGATTCAGAAGGCCCTCGGAGAGTATCTTGAGCGCGAGCGTGTTTCCTTCCCTCGTTTCTACTTCGTTGGTGATGAAGACTTGCTCGAGATCATCGGTAACAGCAACGATACGGTCAGAATTGCCAAGCATTTGCGTAAGATGTTTGCCGGTCTGTCTGGCCTGATCACTACTGAGGACAACGTCATCACCGGTTTCACCTCGAAGGAGGACGAGAAGGTCCAGCTGAAGAAGGAAATCTCCCTCATCAAAACTCCCAAGATCAACGAATGGCTTGGTGCGCTTGAGTTGAACATGAAGATGACACTTGCCGAGCTGCTTGCCGAGGCCATTGAACAGTTCAATGGCATTCTGCAGGCTGAGACAATTGACCGGGAAGCATTTGAGGCCTACATTGCTCAGTACCCAGCACAGGTTGTCGTCCTTGCTACACAGGCTTGCTGGACCACCGACGTCGACAATGCCCTGCGCAACGGTGGTTCTACTCTTCAGGCCTTGTATGAGCGCCAAGTCAACATCCTGCAGCTTCTCGCCACCGCTGTTCTGGGAGACCTCGACACCATTCAGCGCAAGAAGTGCGAGCACCTGATTACTGAGTGTGTCCACCAACGCGATGTTATCGACAAGCTGAAGACGATTGGCGCCGACTCTGAGAACCATCACACATGGCTCCTGCAGATGCGCTACGAGTACAAGCCTGAGGGCGACTTCCTCCAGCGTCTCAAGATCAAGATGGCCAACGCCGTTTTGGATTACGGCTACGAGTACCTTGGTGTTGCGGATCGTCTTGTCCGCACTCCTCTTACCGACCGTTGTTTCCTGACCCTCACCCAGGCTCTCTCGCAAAGACTCGGTGGCTCTCCATACGGACCTGCAGGTACTGGCAAGACTGAGTCTGTCAAGGCTCTTGGTGTCCAGCTCGGTCGCTTCACCCTCGTCTTCTGCTGTGACGACACTTTCGACTTCCAGGCCATGGGACGCATCTTCCTTGGTATTTGCCAGGTCGGCGCGTGGGGCTGTTTCGACGAGTTCAACCGTTTGGAAGAGCGTATCTTGTCTGCCGTTTCCCAACAGGTGCAAAACATCCAGCTTGGCCTGCGAAAGGGCGCTACCGACGAGAAGGCCCAGATTGAGTTGATTGGCCGCAACCTTCGTGTCGACCTGAACACTGGTCTTTTCATCACCATGAACCCTGGTTATGCCGGTCGTTCCAACCTCCCTGACAACCTGAAGAAACTTTTCCGCAGTGTTGCCATGTCAAAGCCCGACAAGGAGCTCATTGCCGAAGTCATGCTCTACTCTCAGGGTTTCTCGCACGCAAAGCCAATCTCCAGCCAAATTGTACCCTTCTTCGACAAGTGTTCCAAGTCCCTCTCGAAGCAGGCTCACTACGATTTTGGTCTGCGTGCACTCAAGAGTGTGCTGGTCAGCTCCGGTGGCCTCAAGCGTGACCGCGTGGCCCAGGAAGGAGAAGACTCGGCCGCCGGCGATGAGGTTATGGAATCTCAAATCCTGCTGCAGAGTCTTCGCGAGACAGTCGCCCCCAAGCTTATCCAGTCCGACGTTGAGACTATGAGGGACATCGAGGAAGATTGCTTCCCTGGTGTTGAATACGTGCCTGCACCGCTCGAGGCCCTTCAGCAAGCGATTCGTGACACAGCAGGCGAGAACCGTCTTGTTGTCAGCGACAACTGGATGACCAAGGTCCTTCAACTCTACCAGATCCAAAACCTGCACCACGGTGTGATGATGGTGGGTTCTTCTGGCTCCGGTAAATCCACCGCATGGAAGACGCTTCTGCAGGCTCTTCAGCGCGTTGAGGGCACGGAAGGTGTGTGTCATGTCATTGATCCCAAGGTCATGTCGAAGGAGCACCTTTACGGAAGCTTGGACAGCACGACAAGAGAATGGACCGATGGTCTGTTCACTAGTATTCTGCGTAAGATCGTGGACAACCTTCGTGGAGAGGACACTAAGCGCCATTGGATCATTTTCGATGGTGATGTCGACCCTGAGTGGGTTGAGAACTTGAACAGTGTCCTTGACGACAACAAGCTGCTCACGCTCCCGAACGGTGAGCGTCTGAACTTGCCACCAAACGTCCGAATCATGTTCGAAGTCGAGACCTTGAAGTACGCAACATTGGCCACCGTTTCTCGTTGTGGTATGGTCTGGTTCAGCGACGATACTGTTTCCATCGACATGATGATCGCCAACTACCTTGGCGAGCTGCGCGAGAAGCCTTTCGAGGATTTGGAAGATGACAGCGTCGCTCCTGGTGTCATGTCGCAGAAGGCACTGCAACTGCAACAGTTCGTTGCCGACCTTCTCGAGCATCGTCTGCTTAACGACGGCTTCGTACGCAAGGCTATCGATGGCGCGCGTCCCTTCCGCCACATCATGGAGTACACTGAGATTCGCGTTCTCAACACGCTCTTTTCTCTGCTCAACAAGACTTGCCGTTCCATGCTCGAGTACAATGTCCAGCATCCAGACTTCCCGCTTGAGGACGAACAGATTGAAGCCTTCCTATCCAAGAAGCTGCTTCTTGCACTCACCTGGTCGTTTACCGGTGATTGTCCGCTGTCCGAACGCAAGGAGTTTGGCGACATGGTTGCTGGGCTGAGCACTGTGGACACTCCACCACTCAGCGGAGGCACCTCGCTTATTGATTTCGATGTGGCCCTTCCCCGGGCTGAGTGGACGCTCTGGCAGAACCAAGTGCCTAACGTCGAGGTCAACACCCATTCCATCATTCAGACGGATGTCGTCATCCCCACCATCGACACTGTCCGTCACGAGGATGTCCTGTACTCTTGGCTTGCTGAACATAAGCCCCTGCTTCTTTGCGGTCCCCCCGGTTCCGGTAAGACCATGACGCTTTTCAGCGCTCTTCGCAAGCTTCCCAACATGGAGGTTGTCGGCCTTAACTTTTCGAGTGCCACCACTCCGGATCTCCTAATCAAGACGTTTGAGCAATACTGCGAGTACCGCAAGACGCTCAATGGAGTTATCCTCAGCCCTACCCAGATTGGTCGTTGGCTCGTCATTTTCTGTGATGAGATCAACTTGCCTGCCCCTGACAACTACGGTACTCAGCGCGCTATTTCTTTCATCAGGCAACTGGTTGAACAGAACGGGTTCTGGAGGACTTCTGACAAGAGCTGGGTCACGCTCGACCGCATTCAATTCGTCGGTGCCTGTAACCCGCCCACCGATGCCGGTCGTACCGCTATGGGTCTTCGTTTCCTGCGCCATTCCCCTCTTGTCATGGTCGATTACCCTGGTGAGATCTCTCTCCAGCAGATTTACGGAACGTTCAACAACGCTGTCCTCAAGATCATTCCGTCGTTGCGTGGATACGCAGAACCTCTCACGAAGGCCATGGTCCAAGTCTACTCCGAGTCCCAGAAACGCTTCACGCCCGATATCCAGCCGCATTACGTCTACTCACCTCGTGAGCTCACCAGATGGGTGCGTGGTGTGTACGAGGCTATCCGGCCGCTCGAAAATCTCAGCGTCGAAGGACTGGTTAGGATTTGGGCTCACGAGGCTCTCCGTCTTTTCCAGGATCGTCTTATTGCCGAGGAGGAGCGCAAGTGGACTGATGAAGCTATCCACCGTGTTGCGGTGGAGAACTTCCCGACAATTGACGAGGAGAAGGCCCTCGGTGGCCCCATCCTCTTCTCCAACTGGCTCTCGAAGAACTACGTCCCTGTCGAGCGTGAACAGCTTCGCGACTTTGTCAAGGCTCGTCTCAAGACTTTCTGCGAAGAAGAGGTTGACGTTCCTCTCATCCTGTTCAACGATGTCCTGGACCACGTACTTCGCATTGACCGTGTCTTCCGTCAACCTCAAGGTCACTTGATTCTTATTGGTGTCAGTGGCTCCGGCAAGACTACCCTGTCGCGTTTCGTCGCCTGGATGAACGGTCTCAAGGTGTACCAAATCAAGGTGCACGGCAAGTACTCGGCCGAAGATTTCGACGATGACCTGCGAAACGTCCTGCGCAGGTGCGGTTGTAAGGGTGAGAAGATCTGCTTCATCATGGACGAGTCCAACGTCCTTGATTCCGGTTTCCTGGAGCGCATGAACACCCTACTTGCCAACGCTGAAGTTCCCGGTCTCTTCGAGGGCGACGAGTACGCGTCGCTGATGACGTCTTGCAAGGAAGGCGCGCAGCGCCAGGGATTGCTCCTGGACTCGCAAGAGGAACTGTACAAGTGGTTCACTCAGCAGATTGTCAAGAACCTCCACGTCGTGTTCACCATGAACCCGCCCGAAGAAGGACTGTCCTCCAAGGCTGCCACCTCTCCCGCCTTGTTCAACCGTTGCGTTCTCAATTGGTTTGGTGATTGGTCTGACCAGGCACTCTACCAGGTTGGCACCGAACTCACCCAATCGGTCGATCTGGATCGTGCCAGCTTCAAGTCTCCGGACAGCATCCCGGTTGCGTACAGAGACCTCAATCTGCCGCCCTCTCACCGTGAGACCGTGGTCAACGCGATGGTGTACATCCACTACTCGCTGCACCGTTTCAATGGCCGCCTCCGGAAGCAGCAGAACAAGATCATGCACTTGACTCCACGCCACTTTTTGGACTTTGTTGCGCAGTACGTTAGGCTTTACAACGAGAAGCGCGAGGATCTTGAGGAGCAGCAGCGCCATCTCAACGTTGGTCTCGAGAAGCTGCGCGAGACCGTCGACAAGGTTAGCGATTTGAGGAAGAGTCTTGCTCAGAAGAAGGCCCAGCTTGAACAGAAGGATGCCGAGGCCAATGAGAAGCTGCAACGAATGATTGCGGATCAGCGTGAGGCAGAGCAAAGGAAGACTCACTCGCTCGAAGTGCAGGCTGCGCTCGAGAAACAAGAGAAGGAAGTTGCGGAGAGAAGGGAGATTGTGCTTGGCGACTTGGCCAAGGCCGAACCTGCCGTCGAAGAAGCCCAGAAGAGTGTCAGCAACATCAAGAGGCAACATCTTACCGAAGTCCGTTCCATGCAGAACCCACCTGCTGGTGTCAGGCTTGCGCTGGATTCCGTCTGCACCTTACTGGGACACAAGACGTCAGACTGGAAGTCCATCGTCGCCATTGTGAGAAGGGATGATTTCATCGCCAGCATTGTCAACTACGATAACGAGAAGATGATGACAAGGAATGTTCGCATCAAGATGCGCAACGAATTCTTGAGCAAGGACGAATTCACGTTCGACAAGGTCAACCGCGCATCGAAGGCCTGCGGTCCCCTCGTGCAGTGGGTTGAAGCTCAGGTCAACTACTCGGAGATTTTGGACAGGGTCGGTCCCCTTCGTGAGGAGGTCGGCCAGCTTGAGGAGGCTGCACTGCAGACCAAGGCCGAGGCTCAAGCCATCTCCAAGCAGATTGACACCTTGGAGGAGAGTATTGCAGCTTACAAACAAGAATATGCGGCGCTCATCAGCGAAACCCAGGCCATCAAGGCCGAAATGAGCCGCGTCCAGTCCAAGGTTGACCGTAGTGTGCGTCTACTCGACAGCTTGTCTTCGGAGCGTGGTCGTTGGGAGGAGAGCAGCAAGAGCTTCGAAACGCAGATCGATACCATCGTCGGCGATGTGCTCGTTGCCGCGGCCTTCATCGCTTATGGAGGTTACTACGATCAGCAGTACCGTAAGGCCATGACGGAGGACTGGTTCCACATGATGCACATGTCTGGTATCAGCTTCAAGCAACCCAACCCCGTCACAGAGTACCTGTCGACAGCAGATGAGCGTCTCAAGTGGCAAGAGAACTCACTTCCTGCTGATGACCTCTGCACAGAGAACGCAATCATCCTCAAGAGATTCAACCGCTACCCGCTCATTATCGACCCGTCTGGACGCGTTACGGAATTCTTGGAGAAGGAGTGCCAGGACCGGAAGCTCACTGTCACTAGTTTCTTGGACGACTCTTTCACAAAGCAGCTCGAGTCTGCCCTGCGTTTCGGCAACCCCATTCTCATCCAGGACGCAGAGCACCTCGACCCCGTCCTCAACCATGTGCTCAACAAGGAATACCAGAAGACCGGTGGTCGTGTGCTCATTCAGCTCGGCAAGCAGGAGATCGATTTCTCGCCATCATTCAGACTCTACCTCTCTACCAGAGATCCTTCAGCCATGTTCGCGCCCGATATCTGCAGTAGAACCACGTTCGTCAACTTCACTGTCACCCAGAGCAGTTTGCAGACGCAGTCACTGGCGGAGGTCCTCAAGTCCGAGAGACCCGATGTCGACGAGCGCCGCTCCAACCTTATCAAGATGCAGGGCGAGTTTGCCGTCCATCTTCGGCAGCTCGAAAAGAGGTTGCTGCAGGCTCTCAACGAATCGCGCGGAAACATCCTCGACGACGACAACGTCATCGAGACGCTCGAGACGCTCAAGAAGGAGGCGGCCGAAATTTCAGCCAAGGTGTCGGAGACGGAAGGTGTCATGACCGAGGTCGAGAACATTACGCTGCAGTACACGATCATTGCTCGTTCTTGTTCGGCTATTTTCGCTGTGCTGGAGCAGCTGAGGCACGTCAACTTCTTCTACCAGTTCTCGCTGCAATACTTCACGGACATTTTCGAGGCCGTGTTGCAGGACACGAAGAGGACAGCAAAGGATCTCAGCTATGCGGCACGCATCGACCACATTATCAAGGGTCTTTTCATCGACACCTACCGCCGCACCTCACTTGCTCTGCTGCACAAGGATCGTGTCATGCTGGCGATGCTGCTGGCGCAGGCTGCTCCTTACAAAATGGACAAGAGCCTTATCGATGCCATCTTGGATGAGGATCTAATCCCGGTCGACGTTTCCACTGATCACGACCGCAAGGATGAGGCTATGGAGCGCACAACCAAGCACCGACTCTTCAAGACTGAGATCGAAAAGATCGATTCGGCTGCTTGGGAAACGTTCTATTCCGAGGAACTCGCTGAGAACCATGTGCCGCCGGTCTGGCCTGACAATACTGAGAAGCTGGATCAGCACCTCCGCTCTCTCATGCTCATCAAGTTGTTCCGCGTTGATCGCTTCGTCCCCGCTGTTGAGAAGTTTGTGTACGAGGTCTTCGGCAAGGAATACGCAGAGGTTACAGACGACCTGGGCGCTATCGTCAAGCAGGTGGGCGCGATCACTCCGGTCGCCCTCGCCTCGTCGCCCGGTTTCGACGCTTCTTACAAGGTCGACAACCTCGTCGAGCGCATGCACGTCTCGTGCACGAACATTGCCATGGGTTCCAACGAAGGTGTCTCGTCTGCAGACAAGGCCATCACTGCCGCGGCGGCGACGGGCAACTGGGTCATGGTCAAGAACGTCCACCTTGCGCCCACGTGGTTGCAGAGTCTCGAGAAGCGTATTGACAGTCTCAAGCCGCACGCTGACTTCCGCCTCTTCCTGTCCATGGAGACCAGCCCCAAGATCCCTGTCAACTTGCTCCGCGCTTCTCGTGTTCTAATGTACGAGCAGCCGGCCGGTATCAGGGCCAACATGAAGGACAGTTTGAGCCAGCTGAGCTCTCGCGCCCAGAAGCAGCCCGTCGAGCGTGCCCGTGTGTACTTGTTGCTCTGCTTCTTGCATGCTGTTGTTCAGGAGCGTCTCCGCTATGCGCCCAGCTTGGGTTGGAAGGGCTTCTGGGAGTTCAACGATTCGGACGTAAGTAATCCATACACATATTACCCAAAGTTCGTTTGCTAACACAACCGAAAAAACAGTACGAGTGCTGCAGTAACATCATCGATATCTGGATCGAGACGGTCGCTCACGGACGCACCAACATTGCGCCCAAGAACATCCCTTGGGACATGATCCGGATCTTGATCACGGAGATGTACGGCGGCAAGATCGACTCGGAGCACGACTTCACGATCCTGACGGAGCTGGTGACGAGCATCATGGACCCGGCGGCGTTCGAGGAGGGCCACAAGATCGTCAAGCCGACGGCGGAGAACGACGAAACGAGCCTGGAGGTGCCGAGCGGAACGGCGTTCAAGGCCTTCGTCGACTGGGTCAACGAGCTGCCCGAGCGCGAGCCACCGACGTACCTGGGCTTGCCGGCGAATGCGGAGAAGTTGTTGCTTGTCGGCCAGGCGAAGACGATGGTGGGCAATTTGAAGTTGGTGGCGGACTTGTTGGATGAGGGTGAGCAGGTCATGGCGGAGGCGCAGGAGGGGTCGAATGGCCAGTAAGGTGGTGTCGTGGTTGGTCAGGCGATGAGTAGTGGAGTTCGAAGGTGCAATGGAGTAGGTAGATAGGTTGATGGGTTTGGGTGATGCATCGGGGGGCGAAGAGTGGTGCACTCTTTCATTCTGCTTTGTTCTCTTTAGTCTATTTCTCTTCTGGCTTGTACCTTTTTATTTCTTTCTGGCTTTTTAGCGAATTATCACTTCGGCGTACTGAAAGATCACGGTATGGGAAGGGTATAGAATGTGCTGTGTATACACGGTTCGCCGGAGTCACTTTTCACTCGCTCTGTACAACTTTTTGCTCTGTAGTTCCCGGCGTGGTCTAGATGGCGGTGATTACGGTGTTCGTCTCTGGCGCTTCTGCTCATCGCTATGAAATGCTAAATGTAATATCATATCCAACCTGCTGACATAGTTGAGTGAAATCGGATACAATTATGGTCAGCCTGGCGGGGCAGATTGATTCGTAAGAACCTATTAGTGCACAGGTATTTTTGTTCGTTCTCGTGACTTCAAGGTTTTCAATTGAGTTGGGGGGGGGGGAGGGGTGATGCGATAGCATCAGCTGCGTGACAGCTTGGGCACATCTATGCACAGTATAAAAATCTGATTGATTGTTGATTGCTTTCGTCATCTTTAAGTTAACAAATTCGTTAGCAGGCAGAATAATAAACGCCCAGCAAATGGCGATAAACTGCCTTTGCTCTTTTTTTTTTCTTTTCTGGTTAGCACGTCTCATACATCTTTGGATATTCACTCGCTGCTGATAGTTGACGGAATGAAACGATCAGCTTGAAGCGAGGAAGATACTTTCCATCGATATCGTAGATTGATGCTGGGCAATGAAGATCAATCATGCCATTGTAATCGATCGACGGAATGCTCTCACTTGGGCACGAGTGGGCATCTATGGTTGGCAATAAAACAACGCGGGCAAGTCCGTCGGTGTGTTCTATGATCGGTAGACTAGGGCCAGTTTAAATTCATGAGCTTTAGTTGAAAAGATCGCATGGTGATTGTATTCAGCTAACTAGCCGGTCTTTTATAGACCTGATTGACTGATTGCTAGCATGTTTGCTAGGAATCTACTGGAAGTTTCCTGTGCCCGGCTTGATTTTCCAGTGCTTTCCATGCGTTTTCGCTGGTAAGAACTGCTCACTGTCAATCCATAGAGAGAATTTATGGTAGCTCTATCGAACCGTTCAGCTGGCAAGTTGGTTGAATCCTGGCACGTGAGTGAAGCATAAAGCAGCTGACGGCATATATTCTGGCCATGAAATAACTATAAGATCGGCAGCCCATCCGAAAGATATAAAGCGCTTCATACGAGTCTGCCGCTGTTTCGACGGGATCTTCGGTGTCACGCAGCGAGTAATGCGCATCGACATACCCGCATCACTTTTACTCTTGCGGGGTTTCGCGGTAAAGCAGGCTCTGAGTGAAGTTGCTCAGGAGTCATGGGTATAAATTGTTAATGATGGAGAATCACTCGTCATGAAGTTGGCGAGCATCGTTTCCCAAGAATGCCAATCAGCTTAAATTAGACAAATAGCGGTTCGACCCCAAGTCCTGACAAGGGTGAAATACAAGAACCAAGATTCTTCAGGGAAGCTTTTGATTCTTTATGTAGACTATTACAAAGCATCGTGATGCAACCTCCCAAAGCTTACTTGCCAGAGATATTCCGTTCTACTTACGTGGGTAGTCAAAGTCTGTGTGTAGATCATTTTGCATAATTTTTTATATTCACGGGTCCGTCTTGATCTCCATTTTCACTTATCGCGAAGGAAGAGTACAGGAAATACAAGAATGGAATTCTCTACAGTTTGTTATATCCCTCAACCATACATATTCCATACCGACATGCTGAACGTGGCGAATATGCATATTACACTCCATGAGTAAACGCATGACAATTTTTTCCAAATGCCGCCACAGGCGTCAAACCATAGCCGTGCATAGGAACCAGCGGCGTATGATATGGTGAGCTGTGGGATAACAAACAGAATTCTGCCTCCTCCTGTAGCTGCTACCGAATCAATATTGCCTTTCAGCCAGAAGAAGAAGGTCAGAGCCGAGATAATGACAGCTCCGACGACCAAGCAGGAATTAAGTACGTTTGTCCTGAAATCGGGGGTTTCGGTGGCGGGGAGGAGTACGAGCTTTCCTCCTCTCGTCCTGGCATCTGCATACAGTGCATCTCTTGTGGCTCCGTGTGGCACTTGCTCGCCTATTTCGCAGAACTCTGCAAGCATGCGCGCGCTTTCCTGATCGGCTCGGTTCGAGAATGGCATTACGGGGCCTGTCTCACGTACCCGCCAGAAGCGGGTGGTGAGAACTCGCTTGACTGGGGCAAACGCCTCGGATAACCTTTGCATGGTGGAATGCTGCATGGCGGGCTCAGCCGTGTCCATTGTAACTGAAGTTGGTGGGACTGAGGGTTATACCTTCAAAGCGACTAGCGTATATTTTGATGTTGGAGGCGCGAGCGTTGACGATGACTGAGAAGTGAAAGGCGTGGTTGAAGGTGAGGCGATAGCTTCACTGGAATCTATTGCTTTCTTCACCACCTTTCGGCGAGGTTGAAATGCAAGAATAGATGCTCTCGTTTTTACGGAAAATTTTGCTGCTTAAAAAGCTCTGTTGCGGTTTTGACCGGAACCCTGAGAAGGGTCTACCACTTCTACCATGGAAATACACTGGATCCGAATCATATGATATATGAACGATATTAAAAAAAAAAATCCATGCCTAGTCTTTTCTAATCGCCATAACGCCGTCATAAAAATAGGGCTGATGAGTGGGGCCTGCTTCTTGCTTTGTTGTTGCGGTTGCAATAAAAGGCCATACAGACGGTGCAACACACAGCAACCAGAGAAATAAAAGGCCGGCTATTCTACAGTTGAATAACACAGGAGGTAATTTTATCATTCGGGGTAGATGCTGGTCGATCTCCACGGGTGTTCAACTTACCCCACAGGCTCCCCGCAAATGTACTCCACACTCCATCAGAGTTCAACACTAGCCAAGGGACATCATGGTTAGCTATTTGGCGAGAATTTCGGTTGACAAAATTTAGCCACTGATTATCTCAATACGGATCGAATCCTTGTATAGTCTTGAAGGTTACCAGGAAAGTTACAAGTGCTACGTTGCCAGAGAATCTGGCGCTGTGTTGTGCTTAAGTCATTTCAGACTTACCCCAACTTTCCTGACACCGGGCTGGGAAACTAAAGGATAAATATCAAGTGCACGTCCTTGAAGAAGATAGTTCAGGTGTATGAGTAGCGTGAGTAAATGAGTGTTCTTCGAACTTTATTGTCTGGACAAAGTAAGCGTTGGAGAAAGCGAAGTGTGTGGGGCAACGGTCACAGTCGGCAACAACCTGAGACAGTGTGGGGTATAGTGTGGCACATTACTTGCCATAGATCGGACTCTGTATACCGAAGGCCAACTGGGGTTCTTCCCCGCAGTGTCAGTAGAGAGAAATTTCTGTAACTATTAAATGCCTTTCGAACTTTCGGTTGGAATTTCACGACATCATATTTTTCGAACATGGCACCAACACGATTCCCGGAACGATATCATGACCCGGAATATCAATCAACGCACAGAGCACTACATTCCGAGTCTTTGACGCGCCCGCTCGAAGCCGTGCTTCCGCCTGGAGTGAGCCAGGCCGACTTCGACAGTGCGATCAAGGAGTACGCTGCCATTGTTGGGCACGATGGAGTCTTTACCGGGCAGGCGCTGGAAGACTACATCGATCCCTATGAGCTTTGGGAAGCGGATGGAAAGAGAAGAATGCCGAGCGGCGCAGTCTGGTATGTTCTGGAGACCATCGCTGGCAATATGTTATGCTGACTTCATTGATGTAGCCCGCGTTCGATAGAGGAGCTGAGAGGTGTTCTACGGATTTCCAACAAGTACGGAATCCCAGTGTGGACCTTTTCTCGTGGGAAAAACTTGGGGTAAGTCCACAATGGACGTCAATAGACTTTGCCCTTTTCGAAACCATCTCCTTGGAGATATTGCCCTCTACTTATGTGTGAAGTTGAGGTTACATCCGGGTCCTTCCATTTGACTGTGGGAGCCCGGATATTTGCTTCAATTAGCCATGTAGAAAGTTTGTATCAGTCTTCACAAGGCATGGAAAGATAGACTGTTCTGCGCATCACCTCCGTCTTCAATTTTCAACGCGCTCTCATAGATATCCGCAACTGACCACTTGAGATAGATACGGAGGTCCGGCGCCGCGGTTGAACGGGTCGCTCAGCCTCGACCTGCACCGCATGAACAAGATAATCGAAGTGAACGAAAAGTTCGCCTACGCCGTGGTCGAGCCAGGCGTGACCTTCACCGACCTCTACGAGCACTGCGCGAAGCACAAGCTCAAAGTCTGGCCCAGCGTGCCCTCTCTGGGCTGGGGCAGCGTCATCGGGAACGTAAGTTTTTTTTTTCTCTTTTCCTCTCCTCATCTCCCTCTCCCCCCTCCCTCCTGCAGCAAAACATTTCCTTTCTGACAGCTCTAACCCCTCACAAGACGCTCGACCGCGGCACCGGCTTCACGCCCACAGCAACGCACCACCAGCACATCTGCGGCCTGGAAGCCATGCTCGCCGACGGCACGCTCGTGCGCAGCGGGCAGTACGGCGTCACGCACTCGCCCTCGGCGCACCTCTCCAAGTTCTCCTTCGGGCCCTCCGTCGAAGGGCTCTTCCTCCAGAGCAACCTCGGGGTCGTCACCAAGATGGGCATCTGGCTGACGCCCGCGCCGGCCGCGTACATGGCGTGCGCCTTCGACGCGCCGGACCTCGCGGACATCGAAGCCATCGTCGAGGTTTTTGGAGCGCTGAGGCGGGATGGACTGCTGCCGAGCACGGTGTACGTGTCCGGCCTGGTCGAGTGGGCGGCTATGATGGGCCCGCGGACGGATGTGTGGAAAGGCGCCGGCCCGATCCCGGAGGCGCGGTTGAAGGAGTTGCAGGCGCAGCTGGGTGTTGGGGCGTGGAATGCGCGCTTCGGGCTGTACGGGCGCGCGGCCGTGGTAAGGGCGCAGTTCGACGAGCTGAAGGCCATCGTTGAGGCGAAGATTCCAAGGGGCAGGCTGCAGGGGACGCTGTTCGCGGCGGATCAGCGCAAAGGCGAGACGACGCTCGATCCGACGAGCGTGCCCGAGCCGCATGGTGGATTCTGGGTGGGCGTGCCGAGTCTGTGGAGCTTGCCCATGGTGAAGTTCAGGCTGCCTGAGGACGGAAGGGGCGTCGCGGCGCACATCGACTACTCGCCCATAATCCCGTCGGATGGGAAGACAGTGCTGGACTGGGTCAAGACGGCCAAGGGGATCTGCGAGGCCGAGGGGTTTGATCTGATGTGTGACTTTTTCATGCATGAGAGGCATGTCATCTTCGTCAACATGATGACGTTCGATAAGACGGATGTGGAGCAGCGCAGGGCTGTGGAGGCTATTTTTCAGCGGCTGTTCCAGGAAGGAAAGAAGCGGGGCTTCAGCAAGTATCGGTCGCATGTCAACTACATGGGTAAGTCAGGCAGGCGTGTGCTGTGTGAAAGGATTCGGCTGACTCGGTATACAGATCAAGTAGCTGATCTGTATGACTTCAACAATCACGCGTATCGGCTGTTTGTCGAAAAGATAAAGGTAAGTCATTCTGAATCTTGGTCACTGCTCAAGGGACTAATGTAAAAGCTCCAAGGACACGCTCGACCCGAACGGCATATTGTCACCTGGAAAGCAGGGCATCTGGCCGCGGAAATACCGGGACAAGGAGGCACTGAAATCGCATCTGTGAACAAAACATACGAGGACTTTCAGATCATAAATCACATGCATGGACCACTGTTTTGGCTTCAATCATCTTTGCTTCGAACTACCGCTTCAATCACACCCCAAACACAAACGACATAAGATGAGAAAAGAACCCAGGTCTCCAATCAAAAGCTCTCATGCCTCTGCTGCCCAAGAATCCAAATGCAGCACCGTCTCAAACAGTCCATCAATTTAAGCCACCCCATTGATTGCATAAGTGGTTCATCTCAATAGTTCTGCCCTAATCTCCCCTCTGCGTGGCACCTCCACAAACTCACCGTCTGAGCTGCGCCGCACCATCGGCATGCCCTCGTCATCTCCGAGCTGAAATTCGTATTGAGGTGGAGCTCGAGACCTCGTGCTCCTCTGCCTTGTTGCCCCGTGCCAGTCGTCCTCAGGGCTCCTGCCCCGCCGGCCCCTCTCCCTTTCGTCCGGTTTTTCGATTTTGACTTCTTCGTCATCACTGAAGAACGTGTTCACTCTCCATTCCCTTGACGCTTTTCGTCTAGGGCCGCCGGCGGGGATGGGAGCCGCAGTCTATTCGCCGGCGTCAGTATCAGAGTCGTCGGGAATCATGACAGGCCGCGAGGCTGAGGTGCCCACCGATGAAGACCCTTTAGCCGCCGCCGCCGAAGAATCTCTCTTGTTCTTGCTTCCTTTCGGCCGCCCACGGGGCCTCCTACTTGGGCTGGGGCTTCTGCGAGGGCGTACACGTATGGTGTCGTCGTCGGTCCTTCTCCGTTTGAGAGGGGAGGGCTGAGTTCCCGGGCTCAGATGAAGGGCTCCAGAGCGTTGGTGGAAGAGGATGAGGTTCTTGGCGTAGGAAACCGGGATCATGACCTCTTCAGTCTCTGGGTCTAGCCTGTAGACTGCGCCGAGTGATAGTTCGTCGTCAGGCGCAAAGGCGGCACGACGGGCAGGGCTTGTGATTGCTGCCACCCTCAACGCGCCACTGCGATGGTGCTGAAGTACCATGTTGGCGACATGGCCCGCTGCTATCATGACTTCATTCGTCTCCTCATCGATGCGGTACACTATTCCGAAGGATAGCTCTTCCTCTAGCTGGGAGTCCTTTGTTGTTGTAGAGGGCGTTGGAAGCTGAGCAGAGCGATAGTCTGTACGGCGGGATGGTGTGTGAGGGCTGGCATTTCGGTTACGCCTATTACTTGCCATGATGCCGCTGGCTGTCGCCGAATTCGTGCTGGTGGTAGAATATCCGGGGTCTCTCGGCGTCATCCATGCTTGAGAGAACATTCCATACTTTTTCGGAGCTGGCTTGCTCGGGGTAGAGAGCGAAGATGAACCAAGGACGACATCATCATTATTCTTCCCCTCTGCTGCTTGCCGTTTGTCCTCCTTTTTCCCTCCTTTAGCTTCCTCGAGCTTCTTGAGTCGTTTCTTTTCATCGGCCTCCAGGGCTGAGAACCAGATCAGGTCTTCGGTCGTAGCCGTCCCAGCCAAGACTTTAGCATCGTAGATAACTTTCGCTTTGTTGAAGTTAGTGGCTTTATCTGTGTCGATACCGGCTGTGCTATTCCTCGCCCGACGCGCCGCCCTTCGTGAACCGCTCGACTTTCCACCCAACTTATTGGACCTGTGAGCCGTCGGACTGCTTTGGACCGATTCATCTGAATCCGACTCGGTCTCGCACCGAATGCCTCCTCCCTCAGCATTTTCATTGACGTCAGGATATTTCTTGTACCTGTCCTCCCAGTACCCTGTCTTTGCGACCTTTGGCATGAATCGGCGATTGCTGGGCGACTTCGGACGGCGACGAGCAGGGCGAGTTGGCCGAGTTGAAGGCCCGTCGCTATCACTTGACTCGGGCGGCGGTGTTGATTCATACGCAGCGCCGCCCTTCCTCTCGTTGCGAGGGTATGATGGCGTTGCTTCTTCAGACTCACGCGGTATGAATAGACTCTCGTTGTCCTCTGCGTATGGTTGCTGAAACCCGCGCGTCGCTCGGGAAGAGCTCTCTTGCTGGCCCATGTCAGAGTGAGGTATGGGATTATGCGCCGCGAAATGAACGGCGGCACTGGCTCTCAAAGCAGGTGCTGATGACGGACTGTATCCAAGGCCTGATGAGGAAGCGCCGGCAGTCGTGTCTCGGACCGCCATCCGGGTGACGTGCGGCGTAATTCCTGTAGCTAGATGGCGCCTTGAAGTAGGCGTCGACGGTTGTTGATTATTAGCGGCCATGGTTCGGGTGGCATTCGAAGAACAGTGGGTGAATGTTGAGGTGTAGAGGATGAGGTTGGGGAGAAGAGAGAAAGTGCGCGGTGGCCCTTTTATGTTGGATGCGCAGCGCCGTCAGACGGGGAAGGTACACCTTCAAATGCAGGGAATCGAACAGCTGCTGCAAAGTTGGCAGTAGAAGGTGGACGTCGCAGACGTGGATGCTAACAAACCTAGGCCATGTTATCGGATCAACAGAAAAGCCTCCACCCGTCGAACACTTCACTGTCTTAACGTAAGTCCTAAGTCTTAGACAACAAGAAAGACACTGGCGAGACGACCACGCAGTGCTAAGATTGTCATGTCATTGAGCGGTTAGCTTTTCCGTTAAAAACATATATCTGGATATCGCATCATGATTCTATCCCGTCCCTAGAGCGCCATGCCATGCCGTACTCCGTAGAAAATGCCACTGAAAAAGAACAAAATGTCTACTCAGAATCGTCCTCTGGTAGCACCTCATCAGCTCCGAGGCCCATCTCGCATCCTACCCTCCGCACCACTTCTCTGATCCCCTTACAGGCCGGGCTGTCCGGATAAGCGTCGAGGAAACTCTCTCCATAATCGCACGCCATGCCAATCCTCGGATCCAGCGGTACCGCGCCCAGAAATGGGATGCCCTGCTCCTCGGCCATCTTCCTGGCTCCTCCCGTCGACGGCCTGAAAATCTGGCTTTGGTGCTTGCAATTCGGGCACACGAACCCGCTCATGTTCTCCACGATGCCCAGAATCCTGATGCCCGCCTTCCTGCAGAAATCCACCTCCTTCCTCACGTCAAGCAAACTAACCTCCTGCGGCGTGCTGACCAGCACCGCGCCATCCACGCCCGCCTCCTTGAGGAACGAATTGACGCTTAGATGCTCATCGCTCGTGCCGGGCGGCGTGTCGACGATGAGGAAATCCAACTCGCCCCACTCGACGTCCTTCAAAAACGTCTTGATCAGCCCGTTCTTCTTGGGCCCGCGCCAGATGACGGCGTCGTCGCGGTTGGGCAGCATGAACTGCACGCTCATGACGCCCAGGTTGTCCGCCACCCACACCGGCTCCATGCCCGTGCTCGTCACATGGATCGTCTCGTCCTCGACCCCCATCATCTTCGGGATGCTCGGCCCGCATATGTCCGTGTCCATCAGCCCCACCGCGCTGTCGGCGTTGGCCGCGAACGCGTGCGCCAGCATCACGCTCATCGTGCTCTTGCCCACCCCGCCCTTGCCCGACAGCACCAGGATCTTGTGCTTCACCCCGGCCAGCCGCGATGTGATGATGGGTATGTCCGGGTCCGGTCCCTTGGGCGCCGACGCGCAGATGGCTTGGTTCGGGCATCCCGCGCACGAGTCGGCCTTGCCTGCGTTTTGCGATTCGGGCCCGGGGCAGTGTTCCGGCTCGGGCGCCACGAGCTTGGGTGCCGCTTTGAGGGGTGCGTCGAGCGCAGCGGCGCCTTCGGAGGCGGTCGTGGGCGGTTCTTCGAGGGAAGGCGCCATCTTGGGTGGCGAATGTGGGCGCGAGGGGCTTTTGCGAGGTAAACCGGGTCGTAGCGGGAGTGTGTAGGCGCGTCTTGGCCGTCAAATCTGAGGATACTGGTTTGGAGCGGTGGTTGCGGACGTAGACGACGGAAGTGTTAGTGGAATTCTTGCGGGTGGCGAGCGCGGCGTCATGTCCCACTGCTGCTTGGTAATGCCATCCGATGCCGCTCTCATAGGACCCTTGTGCCCCGCATCACGTGCATTTCGTCGATCATCCAAAAACTTCATCAATCATAGCAGGCTGTTCGCCTTCTTCATCGATAATCTACGCAATGTAGTCTCTATAGACGCCAGAAGCTAAATCAACCCCGTTGTTTTCTGTGACCGCCATGACCTCTCAAGCTACTTGCGCAGCTTCAGCATCACGTACGGGACCTCAACGTCCTCCTCAGTCGCGTCCTCTGCCGTGATCTCGAAGATGACGTTCCTCTGGTGGTCCGGAATCTTCTTCTTCGAAATAGTCTCAACGAGCTCGCTCAACCTGCCGGGAGAAGTTAGCCTGATATGGAATCGGGGGTCAATTTTTTCTTACTTGAGAGGTAGCCTATCCTTCAGCTTGCTCGGCGGGTAGAAGCTGGCATACAGCAAGCTCACGCCTGAGCTGATCATCGTGATGCTAAGACCCTTCTTCTCGAAGTCGGCCAAGAAGTCCTTCAACGGGATGTCCTCAACCTCAAACCTATCCCATAGCTTGTCGATCGTCACATCGCCGTCGGGACCCTTGTAGCTGCCCTTGGGGCTAGCAATCGGCTCGCTGAAGCCGAAGAAAGGAAGCGCCAGGTTGACGAAACCGTTCTTGTACTGCTCAATATCCGTCTTGCCGTCCAGGATCTTGTAAATCTCCAAGTTGACGAGACCCGTCACAAGAGCCGTTGTCGTCGCAATAGCCGGAATAATCTTACCGGCGATGAACTTGGTCTTGTGGCGGTCGGCTGCCTGGATCTTGTAGTTCTCGGCACGCAGGTTGCTTGCTGCCGTGATGAAGTCAATGTGGAAGTTGGTATCATCATCTTTCTCGAACTCGACCGGCTCCAGCTTGAAACCCGCGAGCGACTTGGGAGCCGGTAGCGCGTCGACGATCCTGGAGAGATCGTCGTTGGAAGAGCCGCTGCCGGCGTTCGGGTCGGGATCGCTGTCGTTGGCCTGGATCTTGACGCCAGGATCAGGCTTGAAGTCGGGAACAATCATGTTGTCCAGAACCTTCAAGTACTGCTCCTTTGCGAAGCCCTTGGGGCTGATCTTGTAGTTGAAGGCATGCAGATTGGCAGCAGCCTCGATGAACTTGAAATGAGTGGGGTTGCTCGCATCGAACTTCAGTGGGTCGGGAGCACGCTTCGGTCCCGACCAGAATGGCTGTCCGCTTGACGTCTTCGAATCCTTGGGGAAGTTGTAAAGTAGCTGAGCAATGTTGTTGTTGTACTGCTTTTCGAACTGGTGCCTGGCCCAGATGACGCAATCCTCGAACGTAAGGGGCTTGTCCGTTACCAAAAAGTCACGGAGAGTCTCCAGGGTCTGCTTCTCGTTGCCCGACTGCTTCAGAGCACTACCAAGATAGTTCGGCTGCGTAAGGTACATGTTGACCACCTCTGCCGGCTGAGCAAAGTAGCTGTGGAAGAGATCCTTGGCCCAAGCGATAGTGTGCTCGATCCGGTTGGGGAAACTCTTAAGGGTGCACATGGGGAATGACTGCTCCGGCGGATCCTGAGAGCTGGAGTACGACTCGGTGATGTGTGGAAGAACAACTTGGGTGTTACCCTTGGTTCCGAGGGTGCCGCTGTCCAGCAGTGGCTTGCGGAAGAAGACGCAGCGGCGGTCCACGTAGGTGCGGGCTTCCACGTTGTCGAGAGCATTCGTCACGGCAGTCAGGTTCTCCCAGAAGTCCTCGTTGAAGATGTGCTCCGTATCGGCACCAACCCTGTCCCTCATCGTGACAATGTGACCCTTCAGGTCAGGGTTCATGGCCTGGACAGCCTCTGCTGCGCAGTCGCTCTTCAACTTTCCAACATCCTTGGGCCTGAACAGGAACTGACGGTTGAGGTTGCTCTTTTCAATCTGGTCCATGTCCGTCACCCAGATCTTGCCCTCAGGGCCAGTTGCAACACCCATCATTGCCCAGTTCTTCAGCATCTCGCATCCAATAGCTCCAGCGCCAACCAAGAACTCCTTAACATTAGCAATCTTGTCTTGGAACTCTTTACCGAAAACGGCAATCTGACCATCGTAGCGGGTGCCCAGGGGCTTGCAAGTCTCCTCAGAACGAGTAGAGGATGCAGGCAGTGATTCGAGCGAATCGAAGTGCAACCATTGGACAATTGGGTGGAACTTTCCAGAAACAGACTTAAGGACTTCCTGCGCAGCCAGACCACCGTAGAAAGCGGCGACAGGGCTAATATCGCCACGGGCCTGGTAACTGAGCTCCTTGATGAGCTTCTCGTCCAATTCGACCTGCTCCTCGCCCTGAGCAGCCAGCGTTTGGGCAATCTTCAAAACCTCGGCAGCGTCGGCTTCGTGGTGTGGGCGCGGGAACTCACCGTTGTGCTGCTCTGCAAATGCGTGCAGAGCCTGCACACCGACGTGGAGTTGGGCGGGACGGTCGAACTTGGCAAAGTCAGACATCATCAAGGTAGGCTTCTTCAGCTGCTGGCTTAGAGGCTCAAAGTCCAGGATCTTCGGCATCTTGACCTGGGAGTACAACCCGCCACGCTTGTATTGGCCCAGTCCAGAAACGTCGCCGATGCTGAAGGTATAAGGACCGGTAACCTTGATCTTGCGAGGTGCGGCATCGTTGAGGGCCTCCATACCCTCAATCTCGGAGAAGGTGACGAAATCGCCATCCTCGAGGCCGTGCCTCGTCTCGTCCAGAGCTGAGACGTTGCCCTCATCGTCGATTCCTGCAACAATGCCGCTCAGGACATTTTCACCGTTGGGGTCTCCGACGGTGAAGTTCTTGCCAAAGTCGGTGAAAATAGTTCCAAACAGGCCGTATGTATCGGTGATGACGACATAGATGCCGTTTGCGTGGCAGTAGTCGGCGATGGTGATCTGGTCGGTGAGCGGCGTGTCGGTCAGAACCACACATTGGAACTGCTTTAGCTGAGCGAGATCCGAAGTGAGGTCCTTGCCAAGAAACTCGTTGACGGGCACATAAGGGTTCAGTTCGGATACACGAGGGACGGTCACAGACGCGCGTGGCTTGCCGACATCTTCGGGGTGGAGGAAGAATTGTGCCGACAGGTCCTGGATTGTGGCAGGTTTGGGGTCGTAGAGGGTGAGCGACTTAACGCCGGCAAGAGCGATGTTCTTTGCGATCTCGACACCGAGGCCGCGCAGACCAACGATAAGGATGTTGGAGGAGCCCATGCGCTTCATGGCCTCGTGACCCAGCACGTAGAGCTGCCTGCTGTACAGCGACTCATCGATCTCGCCGGCGGCATCCTTGAGCTGCTCGGCAGCTGCGGCAGGATTATCGATCTGCATTTTGTCCTTGAACAAACGGGTGAGCAGGGAGTTGACATAGCACTGCAGAAGAAGTCAAGTGTAGGCGACTGTGCAAACGGCAGCGGGGTAAGCTGCGCGAGAGGCTGCCGAGGGTGGCTGGCTTACCGTCATGGCTTTCTTGACTGGACTCCCAAGGTCCTCGGATGATGGCTTTCTCTTCCCCAGCTTGGCTGCTCCGTTGGTGTTGGCGTCCAGCGTCGCGGGGTGTGGCGATGAGGACGATGACGTTGTGTCGCGGTGGGGCGGAATTGTGACGGGAGGATCCAGGCGCACGGAGCGGTAGGAAAGGCGGGAGAGGAGTGATGCGCGGACGAGGGGTGGCGGCGTCCGGATGAGAGTTCTGTAGAGAGCGTGGGGAGAGCGTTGGTGTTGAGAGGAAGCAGAGGAGCTGTAGCCGGCGTCACAGCGGCGAGTGACAGGGCTGGGAAGCTGCCGCGATTACACAATCAGCCCCACCTCGCAGTCTGCCTGAGGCATCAACAACGCTGCCGTAAGCATTTGCTAATGCTGTTTTTTACTCCAAGCCATCTCAGGGTCTGCATTTGCGGCACGCTTCCATCACCATGGGTCGTCGCACCGAAGCTGCAATGTATCTAGGCCCTGCAGCACGTTCGGCGCCAAGAAACTACGCTTGTGCCTCAGGCCAACGATCCGTCTGCATCCTGGACGGATTTTCCCATAATCGACTATGCCCTGAAAATCACATGCTGCTAACCGCCGCATCGGCACTTCTCAAGGACCAAGAAACGTCTGAGTCGGAATCCGGGCTCGGAGATGGGCAACCCACAGAAGACTAGCACCGTCTACCCCAGGGCGAGCAGGTCACGCGTCCACGCTTACTTTACTTACGTGCGCAGCATTGCTCGGCAGCCATCTCACGACGTGACAGTGCGCGAGCAAGTCTGAGGCTGCTGCAACGCGACATCTGACGCTACCCTCTGCCGTGCTAGCTCCTGAAATCTTAGAGTACCGAAGATGGCCGCGCTAGCTGCAAATTTCTGGCATTCAGAGTTGGTGATGTAAGACATTTGAGCATGTGGCTCGACGAATCTGTTGTTATCATAAGATGGTGCCTCGCGAGACCGGCCCGCATCGCCTTAGGTCGAGAGCCACTCGTGCCATTCGTGCGTCTCAACAGATCGGACCTAAAGCGAGGAATGAGGCTCCTCACGGACAGCTGGCGCCCGCGCGGACTTGAGACACGGTGGCCCGGCCCCGAACAACGCACTTGCCAACTATGCATACGAGGGCAGTCCACCCCATGTTGGAGAATTTGGGAGTGGAATGGGCGGACGCACGCGCAGAGGGGCCAATGACGCCATCAGGAATCCCGTCTGGCGGCATTATTGCCGCGGCGCGGAGAACGTGGTCGCGAAAAAGTGCGCTGAGCAGGCGGACCGGGAGGGGTGCCAGCCAAGGATCGGCAAGGCGACGCCGGGCGGGAAGCAGCACAGACGCCGCGCCGCTCCCCAAAGCGGCAGGGCTGGATGCGGACATAGGCCCCGCCTATCTCCTTCTGACGCCTCGACCCGCTCCGAGTTGTGATCTCACCTCTATATCCAGCCTGTGTCTCGCCCGGCGCTGAGCCTTCTCCGGATCGCCCGAACCACCTCCCGGCCGCCGCTGCCATTTTCGCCGCCAGTTTCGCCGCCCTTGTGCGCACGGCCCGCCGCCGACCGTGCCATCTGAGCCCCTCTTGCACATTCCTCCTTATACGCTGCTCCGCTCAGCTGCTCGTTCGTTATTGCAACCTGAATCCCCTCGCTGCTGCCGCGCCGCCCTCAAGTATGTGTCCAGTCCTTTTCCCCCAGTTTTTCCGCCATTCGCTCCATCCCGGAACTTCCTTGAGCTTCGTAGAAGCCTCAGAGTAGCTGCCAATCACAGCCACCTGCTTCGCTTGCAGCTCCCCCGCCAGCTGGAATTGGCTGACCCCGGATCTAGACGATGCCTTCCTTACTTGATTTGTCAAACGAGCTCCTCCATGAAATTCTTCTGGAGGTTGATCCCAGAGACTTGGCCCGCGTGGCCCAATGCTGCCGCTCATTACACACTTTCATAAATGACAGTGAACTCCTTTGGAAGGACCTCTATCTCCAGCATTTTGTGAGCCCTGGATCTACCCGTTCACGCAATTCTTTCTGACCTCTCTTTAGGATGATCCACGCCTGCAGCGGCCAGACGTCAAGCTTTCTTGGCAGGCTGAGTTGTCTCGGATGTGGAAGCTGAACTTGCTTCTTTCGTCAGAAAATATGGAATTCAAAGTCAGTGCTGTCAGGCCAATCCACTTGGCATTGCTAACGGTCCCAAGAAAGCAAATTTCCCCTTCATTTCCTCGGCCATAGACGATCTCATCGCCGTATCTTCATCCGCCCAGCCTTCCTTGACCTGTGGCTTTTTGTCCCGCCATTTTGATGATTTCAGCACGCTTAATAGGGATGCCATATTATGTGGCTCTTCCCTTTTTGGTCAGGCTGGAAGCGAAGACCAGCAGCCTTTTGACGACGAGTGTGACCGCCAGATGAGTGCGAAATTGCACGTCCTCAATGGTGTGCCCATGGAGCCTTCCAAGAGAGGAGCGAACCCCGTCCACAGTTATGCAAGATCCAGAGTGTACGATCTCCGCCGTTACACGGATGACACTTTATGGGGCCCGTTCATGGACGACGGCTCTCAACGAGTCGACTGGGAGAAGTTGGAGAGCATTCTGATTGTCTTGTCCCACAACATTAACCGCTTTTGCGAACGAACCTACGGACGGTTTCGTCCCATTTGGAATGTTCCCTTTACCGGCGTCTCCACAAACAGTTTTCGCAGCAAGCCACCATTTAGGTTCGAGGACAACGATGAAGACGACGATTCCGGTATGTCGGAGGCGATGCATATCATTACCCCGGCAACGTCAACAGATGCACCAAACTTCCAACGCGTGGATTCACTCCTGAACAATGCGGGCTCGTTTCTCGAGGAACAGGATCCGTACGGTGTTACTGGAACCTGGGCAAGGGTAAGTGAAGGGTAATCCAACCAAATGAAGCAAAGCTGATGAGCCGTGATAGATTGTCTGCTTTCTTGGTTAGTGGCCATAGCTGGTCCACGGCAAACGTGCGTTCGTGCTGACGTCTCCAGACTATACTGATCTGTACCACTTCAACTTTGAAAATGATCCGGTTCCGGACGATCAACCAAGGGAGCCAATTTCAACACAAGAAGCCATTCGCTTCATCACACTCAATCTCCGCGTCAGAAGAATCGAGCCTCCCGGCCCTGGTGATGGGCAAGAGCTCCCAGTTGTTCATTTCACAGGCACTTCCCGTTCCATGCATGCTTCGTGGGACCCCAACGCCAATTCGAAGATCAGAGGTATATTTTGCAGCCTTCACTCAGCCGAATCGATGTTGATGATTGCGGCAGGCACCGTGCGGCAGACCCCCGAGGGTCACGTTCGATGGACATCATTCTCGATTTTCCACGGGTAAAGATCTCCAATCGCAGACGGAGTTCGTCGAGTTGGCTAACCGATTTGCTACAGCGAAGAGCGGTGGCGCAGTGAGTGCGTGCAAGTAGGAGGGCTACGATCCGCGCGCGGAATGCTGGGGACGTGGTTTGACAAGTGGGTGACCTGAATCTTGCGTCAATCTTCGATGCTGATGGATAAGCAGGGACTATAGCCCCGAAGGGCCGGCGGGGCCGACGGCATTCTGGAAGATCTCGGACAGCCTCATTAAGAGCGATCAAAATCCTCCGCTCCTCCCGTTGTCCTGAACAGCGTCGCAGTAAGTCTAGTGTCAGTTTCCGCTCCTGGTTCAACGCTTGAACTGGTGCGAGAGCGAAGTTTTCGTTCCCCGATGGTCGGCGCCCTGGTGAAAGGGTGGGTCTCTAGTCGCAAAGACAATGCAGCAGAACTCGATCGGGGTAGAGGCGCACGTATCGGTCAATGGATTCTCGAGATGTTGCCGGTGCTGATCTGTTGGCGACAAATCGACGGTGGGTTGGGTTCAGCGAGGTCCTGGCGGAGATTGGGACGTTTTCGACTCATGCAGAACGATGGTAGAGACAGCAACACGTCTACACCAACAATAAGCATGAAGATCCTGCGACTGAACTGTTGGCTTGAAGCTTGCGAAGGAACGATACGAACTGTGCACCCCTAGCCTTGAGTCCAAGATCGTCTAGCGCCGCCACCAACTCAAAGTAGTATGGTCCAGGTTGCAGCAGCCGGCCGGCGTCCCGAAAGCCGCACATCGTCACAGGCCCTATCCTAATATGGCAATCCGGGTAGCTCTACTAAAGACAGCGTTTTCAAGCACCTAAGATAGTCGCCCCGTCGCACGCCCTTGCCGGACTGTCGCCGACTTGCGGACACGCCAAAGTCGTTTAATATGGCCAGCCCCAAATCTGCGCCGCCCAGGCGGACGCGTATCAGCGCAGCCAAAGCCCGCACGGCCTGTGTCACCTGCAGGTAAGAAACCTCTGTACTCTTCATTAGCGAACCTGGATCATGCCTGATGAAGCGACTGATCATGGCCAAGAAATCGGCGCGTCAAGTGCGACGAGCAGCGGCCAGAATGTGAAAGGTAAGGCTCATTATCCTCGGCTGCTGTGTGGACGGCGGAACAACAAAAGCCTCAGTGGAGCCCCGAAAATGCTCCTGCGCCTCCTGTTCCCCCAGTCCTAGATCGGCCGCCTGACAGTTCGATCTGCTTTCTCTCCAGGTGCATCAGCAACGGTCGGATATGCTTTGGCTATGCGACTCCCTCAAGCGAGGGCCTGGTTGCCTCCCCTGTGCGGTCGGCTAGCGCAACTTTCGAGCCCATCTCACGGCAGCTCTTTGACTCTGGCGCCGCTCCCCAAGAGCGGCGAGCTCTGGACTTCTTCCTTTCACGCACGGCACCCCAGCTCTCAGGATACTTTGATGCGACCTTCTGGAGCCGGCTTGTGCTGCAGTTCGGGAGGTGCGAGCCCGCCATCCAGCATGCAGTCATAGCCATCAGCTCTGCTCACGAGCAGTGGGACGTAGAGGCCCGAGGCCTGGAGGTTTCGGATGGCTCTCGCGGGCGCTTTACGCTACGGCAGTATAACAAAGCCATTGCTCGCCTATCCGAGCAAGCATCTGGCGCCCCCCAGCCGAGCCGCACGCTACTGCTGACGTGCGTCCTTTTCGTGTGTCTAGAATTCCTCCGCGGCGACACCAACATGGCCATGACGCATACGCTCAATGGTCTCAACATCCTTCGGGCCTGGCAGGCGGACGTCGCGAAACAGAAGCTGAAGGGTTTCTCGGACTACCAGAAAAAGGAAGAAGAGTTTGTTAACGAGAACTTGACCCCCATCTTCTGCAGGCTGAGCGTCATCTCGACCCTTTTGGGAAAACCAACCCCCATCGTCCGCTCGAAACCTCCCTCGATGGACGGCAGCGAACCGCTTCCAGGCGGCTTTTCTTTCAGCACGCTGAACGAGGCGAGAGACGCACTCATCGACATTCAGAATTCGGGGCTGCGTTTCATGTGGGCCACCATGGAGAAGAAGTACCAGGGGACCATTGCAATGACCGAGATACTTGAGCAAGTCCGCTTGGAGATGAGGCTGGCAGAGTGGCATCGTGCACTTGATGAGTTCGAGGGGCAGGCTGTGCGGCGACCGAAAAGCCAGATCACCGAACAAGCAAGGACCGCCGAAGAAGACAGCCTGATCATCTTGCGCCTGCTCTACTACGTCGCGCACATATGGCTGTCCAGCTGCCTCTCCCTAAAGGAGACGGCCTACGACGCCTTCATCTCCGAGTTCCAGCAGATTAACGCTCTCTCAGCCAGGCTTCTGTCGCGCCGTAGACCGAACGTGTCGTCATCCTCAGCCTCCTACTCCACCTCGTCTTCATCTCTCTTCGGGGCTTCCTCCGGAACTTTCTCCTTTGACACAGAGCTGGTCGGCCCTTTGTACTTCACCGCCATCAAATGCCGCGACCCACCCACCCGCCGCCAGACTCTTGCCCTGCTGGAGCAGTGCAACAAGCGCGAGGGCGCAATTGACTCACGCCGTGCCAGTCAGCTCGCAACGGCCATCATGCAGATCGAGGAGGCAGGCATGCAGCTCGCAGCCCAATGCCGCGTCACCCCAACCGACGCACCAGCGTCCCAACCATCCCACGATACCGGTTCGCCCTCGTCCTCGCGCCTCGATACCGCCGCCATGTTCTCTTCCTCCTCGCTGCCGGCAGCAGGAGAAAATACAACCGCCCACCGCCATCACCACCAACAACACCACCCCCACCGCTACCCCAAACCACAACAACAACAACATCATCACCACCACAATCACCTACCACCAGAGCACACCCGCGTCGCCCACGTCGTCGGTCTCCCTACAACCCTAACCGGCGACGCTGCCGCCGCAGCCGCTTCCGCTTCCGCCGCCGCCGGTGGTGGTGGAGTCATGCCGCCATCCGTCAGCCGCCGCCCGCACGAGGCCTTCAACGCCGCCCGCCTTCCGCCCGAGGGCAACCGCGTCCTGGCCTACTACGAGCCCGTCATGCTGCCGTCGGACCGCGCGCTGCCGCCGGGCGTGCAGGCGGCCACGGCCGCGGCGGCGCAGGGCCAGGGCGTGGGTGATGGCGGTAGCTTGGCGTACAGGACCATGGCGGGCGTGTTTAGGTGGGACGGTGTGTTTAGTGGTGGTGGTGGTAATGGTGCTGCTGTTGACGGCGGTGGTCGGGGTCGTGGTGGGATGCCGATGGCTGTTGGTGGTGCGAGTGCTGGTGTTGGGATGGGTGGGGGGCACGGGGCTGCTGGGGGTGGGAGTCGTGGCGGCGGCGGTGGTGGTCATGCGCAGAGAGGACGTGGGCAGGGGCATCATGGACAAGGACAAGGCCAGGCGCAGGGGTACGCACCAGGGCAAGGTGAGTGGTGGCTGCAGCAAGGGCGTTATCCTCCTCATCATCATAATCAGCATTTTTATGAGTAGGCGAGGTGGGAGATCCCTCGCCATGCCTACAAGGCGGTGGTTATTACATGTTTGGGTTTTCATTGCGCCGGGATCCTTTATCTTGGCCGTGTGGATATGGCTTCTCGTTAGCGAGGGACAGCGTAGGTGTGCGGGAGTAAGAAGAGTTGGGCGGCGCGTACTTGTTGATGCTTTCGGTACCATCATACGGCTAATTGGGGTTTGCTGGTTCATACGTTCCCAATTCCGGATGAAGTGGATGGATAATGTATGCGTTGAAGTTTCTGCCTGTGATCAGAGTGCAACATGTGAATCATAGCTCCAGCTTCGTAGTGCAGCTTGTTTTGCCACACATGATCCTCAAGCATGATGAGTGAGTATCTACAAAGCCTAGCATGCTGCTGTTTAGTTGATGAACACGCACTAATAGCGACTTACGTTAGTCGTAGCGGCGACAAGTTAAGATCCCAGCATATGATGATGGTCAATATACATTCTCATGGCTATGGGCTCATGCAGCATAGGTTCATTGAGCTTTACTACAAGAAACGCCATACTAGTCCCAAACATAGCGATGTCCTTACCAAATTAATCTTCGTATTGCAAATTTACGGTCACCTTGTCAGCGCTTATCGAAGCAGAGCTATCACTAAGATTCTGCGATCTTGGGACGATGAGACTACCAGAAAAAAGAGACGGGAATAAGATAGGCTAATAAAGATAGAAGAAGGGGAATCAAAGAATCTCATCCCGCTTTGACGCGATTATTTGACCTACCAATCCCCATCACAAAAGTCAGACCCCCCTTCGTAAGTCCATCCACTCGGCGATACCACCTCAATTTCCTGGAGTCTAGCTTACGCTCAACTTCTTCAGAAGAACATCCTTTGAGGTGAAGTCGAGGACGTGCACCGTACTCATCGAAAAGCTCAAGTATTTTGCGACGATCTTCTCTCAATCTCTCGTTCCTAGAGGGAATACCCCCGTCAATAAAATCAAGTGCGATCGCCGTCCACGGCGACGATCGCGCTGAATTGTAGGAATTTGGGTCGACGCCAAGTTGCAGTAGCGTTTCAACAGCCTCTACACAGCATCTTTTCACGGCAGCGCGAAGTGCAAGGCGCCCGTAAAAGGGATACTTGAGGTTGCGGTGAGACACTGTGTACCGGACACACGAGCCAAGCTTGTAAGAAATAGCCCATATCAAGAAGTCTGGGTAGGGCCCAGATCGTAGTGTATCCCAACTGAGAAGTTCGAGATCTAAGGCCGAGGGAAATTCGTCAGATACGTGTTTGTACTCGTAAATCATCTCGAAAAGCCTTTCAAGTTCAACTGCGACTCTTTCTCTGCCTAGCGCTTCTTCCGCACCGAGCTTCTCAACAATCTTTGCAGCCACTAAAAATTCGGTCATGACCGTATCCCGTCTTGCTGGACGGCGCTCGCCTGTTCGTTCAACGGACTTTAGGTAGAGAATGGAGGAAGCACCAATCGCTCGGAGCGGGTCAAAATTGTTCTCGACGCGTCGAAAATATTCTTGAATGTCTAAACGAGAAACAAAATCCCGAACGGTCCGGTGTAAGAATTCGACCGTGGCTTCTGAACCTTTTGTGGAATATGATGGGACTTCTATAAGGCCTTTGCAACGACTATTGGGGCGACGTCTGGCTGATTCTGCTTGGTAACGTAAGCTGTCTGCATCTAGTGACTGGAATTTAGCAGAAATAGCTTCATCCAGGTTGTAATCGACGAATGACATGACCAGTAACTTCATCGAGAAACGCAATTCTAAAAATCCAAGCAAGACTCGAATCATACGGCAAGCTTGCTGACGGTAGTGTGAAGATTTATGGTCATCGAGGATCTTCTGGAACAGATTCTCAAGATCAGGTGGAATTTCCCGTAGCCTTTTGTGCAAGTCTGCCAGCGTGCAACCGTCGCGGAGGCCCTCCATCAACGATTGGACGACGAGTCTGTCCCAAAGAAACACGCCAGCTGCTTTCTCCAGTATTTCCGAGATGAGTTCTTCAGCGCTGCTTGGATGAACATTCCGAAACTCGATGAACATGCTGCTTTCTTGCAACTTCTCGGCAGTAAAGATTCTGATATCATGTGATGTGAGTGTCTCGACTCGGAGGTATGGCAGTGACTTGAACGCATCCTCAAATGCGAGCCAAGGTCTGCTGGCCACACAGAGCTTGACATTCGGCCTTCTTGACACATGTATGATCCATTCCGCGAGTTCTTTGCTGTTACCGTCAAATTCATCAAGACCGTCGATCATGAAAAAGAACCTGGCGGAGTCCATGGATACAAGGCTTTCGAAAGCTTTTTGCAGTTCGGACGTGGACCAGGGGCGGAGATCGGTACCGAATAGTTCACAATATCTCCAACGGTCCAGGAAATGTCGCGGAACATCAGATGGATTATCTTGTAGAGCATCGTAGAGAAGCGTCCGAAAAAGGCCATCTCTAGACATCTGCATTGCCGTTCCTGAGTTCCAGAAGAAGAACCCGGCCCTAGTAAGATTTCCAGGCCTTCTCCATTTTTGCAGGTGCTCAATGGTTCGGGGGTCGTCGTACAGGTATTTCACCAAGGTGGACTTTCCTGAACCCGGTTTTCCTGTGATCCAGAAGAGATTTCCGTCGCCCTGTAGCCAGTCTACAAATCCGATTTGAGACCGCCTTGAGTCATCCTGGGAGCTCGATGATGAAGACTGTGCGCAAGGATCCCTGTGCTCTACCTGATCCTTGAAGATCCATTCGAATGTTTTCTTGTGCGCTTCTTCGATCTGCTCATATCGACTTGCGAAATTGGAGAACCGGAGATGTTCGAGGATTCGGCGTTGTTGGAGCTGGTCACGATGTTTCGCGGTAGAGTCCGAGAAGTATGTAGAGAAGCTTTCCAAGTCTTGCTCAGTCTTGAACTGCCAGTTCCTCTTGTGGAGTTCTTCGATGAATTCACGTCGGAAGTTGTCGTCTGGGTTCCAACGTGTATTGTAAAGCAAAATTGCGCTGGATTCCCCTTTCAGATTGGCAAACTGTGATCCAGCCGATTCGATGCGCTGTCGGAGAGCGACCAAAAGAGCAGTGTCGATTTGGCTTCGATATCTTTCCAACCGGTCAACCAGAGCCCGAACTTCCTTCTCTTTCCAAACTGTGAGGACTGCCTGTCTGAAGGAACTCCATCTCGCTTTAGAACCTGACCCCTTAAACCTCTGCACAACCCCTAAGAGCTCATCCGCTACCTCTTGACATCCGGCACAAAGATCTTTCAGTTGCTTATCTGCTTTCGTGAGGTGATATTTGCCGTCTTTAACCTCGCGGCTGAGTTCCAGAAGGCTCATCGAGATAGCCTCGAGTTCCACAATCTCAACCGCCACCCCATCTGCAGAGCTGTGGATTTCGCGAGTCTTAGACAACAGGTCGCTCGAAAAAGTAATGAGCTGGACGATGCTTGAAGCGAGACCGATGGCACTGGCAGGATCCATCTTAACTGAGCGTGTTTAGTGCAAGCGAAGAGACGAACACAAAGCAAATCGAGCGGGTCAGGCTGAGAGATCTCGTGCATTAGCCGCGTCAGCACAGCCTATTTTCTTTTACGTGGTTAGTATACACGAATCGGATTGCAGCTGCATGCAGCTGCAGCTTTTGTAGCACCGTGGCGTTTTAGCGCTGTGACACCCTTGACCTTCATAGAGGGGTATCGTAGCCGAAGTTTGGCATGAACTTATATTTCGCTCATCATGGCTAGTCGAAGCTATCATCCAGATGTAAATGTGAAATTAATAATTATACATTTTCGTTCGGACGACAGCTTCTGGTACCCACGTGCTGTTCCTTGCGAAGGAAACTGTTGAGGCATGATTAACCTAGGGTCTGGGTACCTTGTGTTCTTCGTGCTAGCCTTCGGTTGCAATTCCCCTCTGTTGGGGGATGAATACGCTGAGATGCAATCACACAAGGGCTACCCGTTCATCAACGGATTTTCATTGACATGCAGGGGCCAGTGCAGATACTGAAGGACGTAACGACTCTTTCCCCTTCTTCCCTGCACAGAAACACCCCCAATAGCCAGTTTACAGAGCTTCCAATATTCTGCCGGCCATACCGAGCACTTTCTCTTCTTCTAACCTTCTCGCCACGATCTGTAGGCTGATTGGCTGGCCATGCACCGCTTCTGCATCATCTAATTTCGCGTCAGAACAAAGTAACACGGCATTTCACGCAACACAAACTTACAATCCTCTCTAGTGACCTTATCGAATTCGCTAAAAGGTTCGCGGGACTTCTCCTCTGGCGACAGCCCATCCACCGCCTTGTCGACGGCCATGCCGGTCGGAAACGACACAGCAGCATAGTCCATGCAGTTGTACACGCACGTATATCCCACGTACTTGAACTTGCTGTGCTCGACCGTGGCATACGGCGCTGTTGGGCAGATGATACCGTCAAGGTCCGCAGCGTTCCAACGGTCGAGATAGCGCTTCTGCAGGTCCGTCCGCTCAAGATGGATCTGCCACATGTCGTAGACACCAGTTTCCGTCGCTGTCTCGTATGCAGCCATTTCAGGGCGGAAAGGTTCGTTGGTCGAACCTAGGAGCTTGCGGACGGATTTTCCACCGTCTGCGAGGAACATGCGTTGCTTTTCAATCGGTCAGTCTTGCGTGCGGGTATGAGATTTCCATTGCGGGGATGCTTACAATCAAGCTTCCCGCTTGTGCGTGCATTCCCTGACTTTCCCACTCGATTATTTCATGCCCCGCCTTCTTGAGTTTTTCTACAGTCTCTTTCAACGCCCTCTTCACAGGTGGCGTCGGCATGACAACATCGTCATGCCACAAGACAGCCAACTTCAGTTTCTTCGGAACCTCAACCTCACGCCATGGAATGGGCACACACTTCGGGTCTTGCAACCACGGCTGGAGGCCCACGACCGTCTTCGAGTACAGCAACACACTCTCCAACGACGGCGCAAGCGGGCCATTGACGCTAGCCACTGCTTCCTGGCCGGCCAGGCCAGACTGGGTTTTCAGGGTCGGGAACCTGCCCAAGCTAGGCCTCAGCGTCCAGATGCCGGTGCAGGCAGCGGGGATGCGCAGAGAGCCGCCAATGTCGCTGCCGACGCCCAGCGGACTGCCGCCGAGGACGATCAGGGCGCTCTCGCCTCCGCTGCTGCCGCCCGGGGTCAGGGCGCGGTTGCGCGGGTTCGTGGTGCGGCCGAAGACGTTGTTGACCGACTCGGCGATCATCATGGCGGTCGGCACGTTCGTCTTGACGTACAGCACGGCGCCAGCGGCGAGCAGCATGTCGACGAGGGTGCTGTTGTAGGCGGCGGGCTTGCCGACCAGCGACGCGAAGCCGAGGGTGGCATCCTTGCCGACGACGTGGAAGTTGTCCTTGATGGATATGGGGAGGCCGTGGAAGGGACCGACGAGCTGACCGGTCTTCTCGAGATGCTCGTCTCGGGAACGGGCGGTGGAGATGGCGAGGTCGAAGAGGGTTTCGGAGAGACAGTTCGTCTGGGAGGGCTCAGGTCAGCATGTCTTCCAAAAAGTAATGCGCCGAAGCAATTCGCAAGCTCGTTCGGAGCTCCGGAGAAGTTTACCAGCTGATGGGCAGCTGCGGCCCTCTTGCAAAAAGCGCGGGTGACTTTTTCAGAGGTCCATTGGCGAGTCTTGAGCTTCTCGAGCAATTGCGCAGCAGGAGTGTTGGTAATTTCGAGCTCCTCAGAGGTAAACCAGCCAGACTGTTCCGGGAAGCTGGTTACGTCAAGCTGGGTATCCGGCGGCAGCTTGTCTGCGGGAATGCGCCATTCTTGCGGGATGGAGTCGGATAGCTCCTGGCGCTTTTTGGCGGCGATGTCCTCCCAGGCTGACATTGCGTTAGGAATACTGAGTGCAGGTCGAATGCAGCAGCGAAGAGAGGACTCACAGTGGTTCTTGTGCAGTGGATGTAGTGGAGGACCGGTGCGGGCAGCTGTCCCACCTTTGGCGCGCCGTCGGCTTCCTTCGGTCTACTCCCGAGCCGACTGGCGGATGAGCCCCCGACGTCATCCATTGTTACACAGGGGACTAGAAGAAACAACCGAGACTGTGTCGTCGTCGGATAGAGTGAGGAGCGTGTGGGTGGCAATGGAATAGTGTCGGTCTTGGTTTGCTCCCTCCGTCTCTTTCTCATACTTTTCTCCCGCCTTGGTAAGTCTGCTGCCCCTTTCTCTTTTTCCGGGCAAGCGGTCTGCCAGCGATGCTTCGGCAGTGTTATCGTGACGCGACGGCCTTGGAAGTCGATCAGCCGACGGTGGACGATATTGCCTTCCCCGCAACGGATACTGCCTCCGCACGCACGGCAGCATGCGCTGGGCGGGGTCACGGCGGGGGCCGCTGGTCGGAGACACCATTGAGCAACCAAACCACAGCCATAGAACGATGAAGTTGATCAATCTTCCTAACGCGGCACAGCAAGCAACCATACCATCGGCGCGAGCTGCAGCGTCAGGGAGCATCCGTGCGCGTCGACCCGCTGACTCGCCTGCATCGCCGCTCTATCTTCCCACCTATTTGCGACTACACCCCGGTCTCTTATCGCCCTATCAGATCTGATCGGTCTCGCTCTGCCGGCAATCTTCGCCCTTTTCCGTTCGAGCTCTCTGCTATCGCCGCCGCCGTCGTCTGCTCATTTATTGGCCTCGAGCCGGCCCCAATATTTGCGGATGCTGATGCCGAGTTTTTGATTTTTTCCTGCCGACATCGCCGCCGCCGAGTCACGGGGATTTTTTCCGATTGAACTGCTGCCAAAACGAAGTGGCATCTGGAGAAGAATTATGGCGGCAATGGAAAGAATACGGGCTTATTTTGGCCCTTCTCAGGCCACCAAACAAGAACGCAAATTGGTTCAGAAGATTGATTTTTTCATTCTCACCTTTTGTTGCCTGAGCTATTTCTGCAACTATGTATGTTTGTCCCTTCACTTACAGAACACAACGCTAATTGGATGGCAAGCTCGACCGCTCAAACCTTACAAATGCCTACGTCTCGGGTATGGAAGAAGACCTTCACTTCGTGGGGAATCAACTCACTCAAATCAACACCATCTTCACCTGTGGTTACATTATCGGCCAGATCCCCTCTAATCTGGCCTTGTACTATGTTTCGCCTCGCATCTTCTTCCCGTCGATGATGCTTGTATGGGCCTCCCTGACCATGGTCACGGCATCTGTCCAGAAACCCGAGCATATAATGGCCATCCGTTTTTTCCAAGGCATTGCTGAATCTACCACCTTTGTCGGAACGCACTACATCCTTGGCTCATGGTACACTTCCAAAGAGCTTGGCAAGCGTAGCGGCATCTTCACAGCCTCTGGACTTGCCGGCACCATGTTCGGCGGTTTCATTCAGACCGGGATTCAGAAGTCTTTACACCACAAGGGTGGCCTGACCGGCTGGCGCTGGCTCTTCATCATCGACGGACTCATAACCCTCCCCGTCGCCATCTACGGCTTCCTCCTCTTCCCCGACACACCCAGCACCACGAAAGCGCCCTACCTCTCCGCCAGCGAGCGCGCCCTCGCCATCTCCCGCGTGCCCGAAGTCCCCGAACGTGCCCCATTGAGCTTCGCCTTCGTGAAGCGCGTCCTCACCTCCTTCTACTTCTACGCCTTCGTCATCCTCTGGATCATCGCCGGCGAGACCGAGTCCTTCTCGACCAACACGCTCCTCGCCCTCTACCTCAAGGCGCACCCGACCAACACGTACACGGTCGCCCAGCTCAACGACTACCCCACAGGCGTGCCGGCCGTCGGCATCATCTCGACGCTCTTCTGGGCGACGCTGACCGACTTCCTCGGCGGCAAGCGCTACCTGGTCGGCTACTGGATCGGCATCACGGGCGTCGTCACGTCGGCCATGATCCTCGGCGCCTTCGGCAGCACCGCCACCGTCATGGGCGCCTACTACTGGGCCGGCAGCGTCTACGCCTGCCAGGCCACCTTCTTCGCCTGGGCCAACGACGCCCTGCGCTACGAGGAGGACATGCTGCGCGCCGTCGTCGTCGCCTCGATGAACATGGGCAGCAACGTCTTCAACGCCTGGTGGTCCATCGTCTTTTACTCGGCAGACTTTGCGCCCAAGTTTACGGTAAGCCGGCTTCCTTTTTCCCCCATCAGCCTTTTTTGTTCTTGAGGGATGTGTCGTCGCTGACTGTTTGACAGAGAGGTATGTGGGCCATGATCGGCTGTTCGATCGCACTCGCCGTGTGGACGACCGTCTTGCTTCTGTGGACCGTGCGTGTGGACAAGAACCGCGTCGTCGATGGCACTGGCAGCGAGCCCGGGCAGAGGGGAGAGGGTAGCATCGAGGAGAAAGACGACGTGGTGGCAGGTGAGAAGGTGTGACGTCCGTCTGGTGGTGGCTCAAAGCCATGAAGTGGTTGATCTGCGCATGTACTACAATTAATAACACTGAATGTTTGCTGCATTGAAGATAAGCTCATCTGCGGTGGGCGATATCACCGCGCCAGGTGTGTTGAAATTCAGCTGAGCAACAGATGCCGACGAGGCACTGCCGCATTATTCGTGATTGAGTGGACGCCCAGACGAACGGATACTAAGCTGACATTTCAAGAGCTGGTAGAGAGGCGGGAATATGGCGTCGACGCGATAGAGCAAAGGCGCTCAGCGTTGGCAATATCTCGCGGCATGAGGAGTCGAAGGCTCGGATACCGACCTCACTGTTCGCTGTACAATGCCACTGGGACGAACAGCAAGACCACGGCCGACATGGAAAGCCCCAGAACCCGTTCCATCACCTTCAGCCTGCCCCATTACCTGGGCAACAGCATCACCGGGGCAGAAGGGTGTGAACGTGATGGAACCGCGCGCACAGACCACCTTGGGGTATATAACCAGCTCTTCTGTCGACCACCCTCCCCTCTTTTCTTCCTTAGCTCTCTTTGCCTTTTGGCTTAGATCAAGTGGCAAAAACAAAAAACGCACTTGAACGTATTCTTTTGGGGGGTGGGTGGGATACCAGAAAAAAAACAGAAAAAAAACTTTGGGAGGAGGGTGGGAATCAGAAAGAAAAGAGCCCGTGGGAAAGAAATGAAGATCCGGGATAAAAGAAAAGAAAAAAAAAGAAACCAAAAGCCAAACTCGAGGTAACGGACGCTACCCTCGTAAAATATTGCGTGGTCAGTGGTCCTTTCAGCCGATGGGAAACCGGGTTTGCTGGAGGGAGCTCGGCTTCGGCTGAGTGGGTGAAAGAAGGCTTTGAGCTTTAGTTCAGAGATAGTTTAGAGATAGTTTGATGATCCAAATGACTTGTCTTTTCTAGATCGCCAGTGATCAACCGTCTTCGTCGTGACCCTGCCATATTGTTGACTGTCTTGTCCCAGTGTTTTTGCTCTTCTTATTTCCCCATGTCTCCTTCACTGCAAGTTGGGACAGGAGCAGTGGGGCTGGATGGAAGACCGGCGGCAGCGGTGTTGGTTTCAGCGAGCTCGTTACTCAACGCGTCCGACGCGTCATGCGCGCCTTCGCTTCGACGAAGGTCGTGATAGCGTCCTCGATTACTTCGGGGTCCGACATGCACACGACGCCGCCGGGCTGGCTCGTAACTCACTCTGGTGTTCTGACAACTTTAGCCTCGCATTCCAGGACTGCTTGTATTGTTATCTACATACGGGAGCTCCAAGCTCTGTTCATCTTGTCGTCAAACCCAGACGCCTCGCTGTAAGCGTAATGCCTTTTTGGAACACTCCGCACATGAACGCCATGTTTCCATCCATCTTCATTCACCCGTTCCACATAAACGTTCCTTCCAATCTCCTTACGGCTCACGACCTCAACCCTGCGCTCCGTTCCCCGCATTTCCTGTGTTGACTTCCCATAGTCTCATCGTCTGTCCGTCCCTCGCGCGCTTCTTGCTCGGCTCCTTCTTTCCGCTAGTACCCTCTGTCAATCTGACCATCGCCAAGCTGGAGTGCGCAAATGCCGTGACGAGCTCCTGCATGCGGCCCGTCTCCAAGAAGACGTTAGTCAATTCGGCGTTGTCTGGCGCCGCGAGAGCTGTGGCGAGGTCCATGCATCGGGTGATGTTGTCGCGACCAACCATATGCGCTGCGCTGTGGAGCACGCTGTGGTAGCCGAGAATCACCTCCGGAAGATACGCGCGGCGGAGGTGGATCAGTTGCTCGGCTTCGCCGTCTGTGCAAATAGTCAGCCTCACCATATCTAAAGAAAGGAAGATATAATCCTAGGATATAGTTTACCATCACAGGCGAGTGTGAGAGTGTCGCCAAGGAGGGGGTTAGCGGCTTCGCAGACGCTCTCAAGCAGATTGCGAATTTTGTTCTTGGGAGGCATGGCTCCACCGGTCGATTTCAGGCTGAAGAAGTCGTCAATACTGTCGTAATCCAAGAGAGATAATGGTTGGAGTTCATACTTGATAAGTTCGGCTTCTTCGATTCGCCACTCGTCGAGCATCTTGATTGCTTGTACGAGTTGCTGAAGCTCAAAGTAGAGTCTGCTGTCGTCCTTCAATTCCGCCTTGATTCTCCTTGTGATTTCGATCGTCTCTGGCGAGAGCGAGCGGCGTTGCTGGACTGTGGGACGCATACTGCGCGACGAACGGCGATGGTTCCCGTCCCCTTCCACAGTAACAAACGTATCGTCCTCGTCTTCCATTACGTCGATGCCGCGACCGAGGATCGGCATTTCAGCCGTCTTCAGTTTCGAGACATGTCGATACGGCAACCGCTCGATAAGCCTAACGGCAGCACCCATGTGACCATAGAGCAAGAACGACTTGAGGGACTCCGTCAAGGCAACAAACGTCTTGTGCCACCTCTCCGGGAGATGCATCCACCACTCACAGCTGCGGATGAGCATTTCGTCTTCTGGCCTGACAGCGTCTGGCAGGAATGCTTTGCGAATACGCTGACCAGGCCATTGCTGGTGCTTTGCAGGCTCGAGGAATTCGTATTTACGGATATAGTCCTCGCTGATCTCCCGGAAGTTTGCCGCCAACATTGCGTATTCAAATTGGTGCTCAAGGACTTCATTGAGATTGATGTTGTAGCTTTCCATGAGTCGGACTTGAAGCTTCTGCTCCTCGAAATTGCGGATGTCTGTAGAAGCAACTCCGAGGACGACCCACGAGCGTTTTTCGGAGAGCTGCGAAGCGTAAAGCGGTACAAGCTCGATCTTGCCTGCCATTCGCAGGAAGTCGATGTAGCTGACCAAGACGTTTTCGTAGATGTGACGATCGGGCGACTCGTCGATATCGAAACCAAAGGCCTTGTTTATGAGGAGCATGTGGGAAACAACTCGGATGGCGTCGTAGTTGTCGGCAAGACGAAGGAACTTGTCATTTGTCTCCTGGTTCACCACGGGGAGCAACGCTGACCGAGATGCCTCATTGGCTTTCCTTGATAAAGCGATTCCCATGTTGTACGCGAGATCTTGGAACGACTTTCCAATCAAAGCTCCTTGAATCATTTTCATAGGCTCCTTGCTCTCGTGTCGGGTAGGGCCAAACTCCGCGAGATAGTCGACGACGAATCGGTTTGCGTTGGGCGAAGCACCCACCAACTGAAGGGTGTTGGGTGGGGGAGCGAGTCGTGACGGGAGCTGGGGGACGGCAGAAGGGAGCCTCTGGTGCAGGAACTGGTCCCACTGAGCTAACAAGACATTGTTAAGTCGCACGTAGAGGAAATCGTCCCAGTTCTTGCAAATTGGCTCGACTGATGCGATGTCTCCAGCAAGGAGACCATAGACGGCGCTCTCGAACTCGTTCTGTCCAGCCTGCGCAGCGGCGTAGCACACACGGCGCCAGAGAGCGCCCAGATTGGACCCACGCAACGAGGTTCGGCGGTCCTGGTTATCATAGGACTTGCCCAATGCGACTGCCCGCCATTGCTCGTTGTGCTCGTTGCACCAGTCCCTGATCTCTTGCCAAGGCTTGCCGCGTCTCATCATCTCCCACATGGCCATCCAGACAGCCTTCTCGTAGTCCTCATCTGACTTCTCCAGAACACGGGCCTGGCGCGTGGGGGCATCCGGATCCAGGTGGTACGCAATCGGCTCGCCCGTGTCATCACGTCGGACGTTGGCGAAAGCCTTTTCCGCGGACTTCTCGAACGGGCGAAGTCGTTTCTCATGCTTGAGCTTCAATTTCGTATCAAGCCAGCCCTGTGACCAAGTTCCACTGCCGCGGCCCGACTTCTCCTCCATTATAGTAGCAATATCCTCTCCTGCCTCATCCGCCGTCTCTTCGAGCCAACGGAGGATGAGCTCCCTCTCCCGAGCGCTATCATCCTCGAAGATGAAACGATCCCAGACGTCAGACTCGGGGGTGAATTTGTGGAGCGCAGGCATTCCTGCCAACGCCTTCCGCTTGTTACCATGCCGATCCGTCCCCGGTTCTTGCTGGTCATGCTCCAGAAGGGTCCGAAGCAGTTCCCAAGTAGCAACTTCCGACTGCCATTGCTTCAACGCGCCCTGAGTGCCCGTAGCAGGGACAGGGTCCTCGTCTTCAATGGACTGGAAGATCTCAGAGTCGCGCACGCGGTCAAGACGCTTGTTAGGCGCTCCACGGTTCTCCTGGGTCAATTTCCTCCGCAGCGTGCGCACGTTGGTATCGGCTTCCTTCTTGAGCCTCTGCACGAGGTTCAGGGTTGCATGGTGCTTCTGGACCGGGGTGACGTTCTTGTCGTTGATGTCTTTCAGCCAGCTGTCAACGTTCTCAGCAAACTTCTCCACCTCCTTTCCAACACGCTCGGCCATTGATCGCAGCGGATGGAGGTCTTCGTCGTGCGCGCGGTAGGTCAAACGGAGGGCGGTGTGGTCTGAAGCAGCACTAGAGTGCGACCCGCGTCGCGACCTCCGCCGGGGCGCGGACGATGGGCGTGGAATCGGAGCCATTGTGGATGTCGTTTGCGCCGTCAAGGAAGCGAGTGGGAGGATGAAAACGGGACGCGGAGGGCGGCGCGGGTGCGAAGGGCGCGGAAGATGGCCCGGCGATGGTGACGCTCAGCAGCAAAACATGCGCAGCCAGAGCGACAACCTTAGCTGCGAAACGCGACGACGTGAGCTACGTGCGCTAGCGCCGGATTAGGGCTAGCGCGAACCGCGTCCAACCCGCTTAAATTCTCTGCGGCCGCTCAAAATTTTGAAGCCCATCAATGTCTTTTAACAAAGGAGATCATTAGAGTTGCGGTGCAAGACGGCTCAGTGTCAGTACCGTGCTTCAGATCTTCTGAGAGTAACGCCCCTTGTCCGCCTATTGCTCTCCCCTCCTTGTGGGGGTATGGGAGTGGATTTAGGAATTACGGCGCGACATGTCTAATTGCTCTATCTCTTGGGCTCTGTCTACCTGCCTTCGCTACGTTGCTTCATCTTCAACCTTGGAGTCGTCAGCCGAAGGGATCCTCGTGATCGGCGAGCGCGCGGCGCATACCTTAGAAGAGAAGCTTTCGGGCAGCTCACGCAGCTTGCGTCATCGCCGTTTCTCTGGTAGAACGCGTTGCAGCACTCGTACAGCGCGTCAATCTGCAAGCACGATCAGTAGATCTGTACACGAGAGTGTCACGGGACCGTGTACCTGTTGCTGGCACTTCTCTTCCTTGTAGCCCGACTTCTGCAGGCAATCTGTTCCTGCATCAGCGACGGACCATTGCTACGTGAGGCTTGGCGATGCACCTTGTATGGCGCATGCTCGGGGATGGCACGGCGGATTCGTCTTGAGGTCCTTTTCTAGGTTGGCCTGCCAGCACTTCAGCAAAGGCGTTGAGTCGGTCAATATGCCAGCGTACCATTGTCTTGAATGTGTCGGGTACGGGCCAAGGGCGGTGCGCGGGAGGACGGGACGTGATTGCAGATAGTCTAGGCACAATGAGGCTCAGTAAATGGAGGACGCTGGAGCCGCTGGTAGCTGGACTGTGAGCTGCCGCCTTTGCCTCTTGCCCTACGTGACGCAAGACGAGGCTTCCACGACTTCTTTGCGCCATCGGCTCGGCTTTCCAGAAGCAACCCCACCAAACCCTACACCTTCATCTTCCTCTTCCGACAGCCCTTCCTCCCTTTCCACCAGACAGCCTCTGCCTGCTCCCCACTGCGTCGCTCTTGCGCACCCAACACCCGGTGAGTTTGGGCCCAAACAATCACCGTCGCTTATGCAGCCACTCCGCTTGCCTCACCGCCGCCGGCGATGTGTCTTGCGCTCAATCGCCTCGTCCGCTGAACCAAGATCTTCTCCTCACCTGCGCGCCTCACGCCACCGCTCTATTACAACCATACGCAGCCTGCTAACGCACGCGACTCAGACTCTGCAACTCCTTTATACGCGTCTATTAGCGGTTCCCGATCTCGATAGTCAAAATGTCGGACAACGGCTCTCCGAAGCAGGATAATCCCCAGTCTGAGCACCTGAACATCAAGGTGACAGACAACAACAACGAGGTCTTCTTCAAGATCAAGAGGACGACCCAGCTCAAGAAGCTCATGGACGCTTTCTGCGAGCGCCAGGGAAAGTCGCCGGCCAGCGTCCGCTTCCTCTTCGATGGTCAGCGCGTCAGCGCGACGGACAACCCGGACACGGTGAGTGGCGGCCGATTTGACACATGACCCGCCGCCCGGCGGAAGTGGTGTGGCGCGATTACAGAAGTACACACGGCCACGCCGGCTCCGAGCTTCTGTTGCGCGTCCACACAACACTCCACCACCAATGGCGGCGCAATTTGTAGACGCTCTTCACGCTAACTCCCATTCTCTCTGTACAGCTCGAGATGCAAGATGGTGACACTCTCGAGGTGCACCAAGAGCAGATCGGAGGTGCCTGCTGATCGACACTCCACGGCACGGACGTTGTGGGACGACAGCTCAACATCTCACTTTTACGCGTCCTTTACGACAACCAAAGCGGTGTTCACGAGTACATGACGCGAAGCGATGGGCGGAAACGATGGATACCACACAAACTTTCGGCGAGTTTCAGGCAAGGACAAGAGCATCTCTTGGGCGCGCTGGGCGTCAAACCGGGTTTTCCTCTTCTTTTTCCTTATTCAATGCTTGGAGAGTTCTCGTGTATCATAGATGGCGACCCTTTGCTCGGCCGACAGCTACAGATACGACCATGCAAGATCCTCTCTAATTGCAAGTTCACTCTGAAACCCCTTTTGCCGCTCCATTGACTATTCTGGCAGTACACCCGCTACCGTGTTCCCTCCTGCACATATACACTAGACAGTCAATGGTAATTAGGCGATCAATCTGAGGCACAGCTTGGCTGGGCACATCACAGATGGTGTGTCACGTGTGTGAAGACTAACTTCGGGCATCGTTTGCAGCCAGTTCACCTGAATTATGGGTGACCAGGACTTTGGTGTTTCCAAAATTCAACAATTCTGATTCTCGCTATCTTTACTAAATGCGACACGTTTAGAAGCATGTCCAAGGGTTCATCGACGACGTAATTCACGGGCAGACCGACAATTTCGAGCACCTTCGCGACAGCCTCAGCTCCTCTCCCTCGCCAACTCAACGCACTTGGCCGCGGCCTCATCGAAACCATCGTACGCATAGACCTTCAGCCCGCTCTCGGCCACAATCTTCTGGCCCTCGGCCTCGTTCGTGCCGCGCAGGCGCACGACGACGGGGATGCCCTTCTCCTCGAGGCCGAGCTCGCGGAAGGCCAGCAGGATGCCCTCGGCGATCATGTCGCAGAGGGTCAGGCCGCCGAAGATGTTGACGAAGATGACGCGGACGCGGTCGTCGGCGAGCAGCAGCTCGAAGCTGCGCTTGACGGTGGCGGACGTGGCCTTGCCGCCCGTATCGAGGAAGTTTGCGGCGCGGCCGTGGTGCGGCGGCAGCGCCAGGGCGTCGACCGTGTTCATGGCCAGCCCCGCGCCGTTGACCAGCGTGCCGATGTTGTGGCTGGACGGGTCGTCCGCGGACGACGACGACAGGCCCAGCTTGACGTACACGATGCCGTCGCTCTCGGCGCTGAGCTCGGATGGATCGATGGCCGAGGGGGTGGTGTCACGTTGGGCGTGCAGCGCGGCGTGGCGCTTGCAGGAGCGGAAGGCGGCGTCGTCGAAGGTGAAGTCCGGGTTGTATACCAGGAGGGAGTCGGCGTCGGCGGCGACGGCGAGGTGCGTGGAGAGACTGACGCCTTCGTAGGTGTGGAAGAGCGTCCAGAGCGTCTTCAGGAGCTGGTGCGTAGCGGCTTTCGCGCCGGGTGGCGCCGCATCCATGTGGAGCTGCTCCAGGGCGCGAGTGAGGGTTTCTTGTGTAGGACCCGCCCGGTAGTCGAAGGGGATGTAGCGTGCGCGGGCGTAGATGTCTCGAGGGTGGGTTGAGGGAGAGACGACAAAGGCGGGGGAGCGTGTGGAGCGGTCGATGGTTATGCTGACGTAGCGGGAGTCTTCATTGGAGTTCGGCTCGCGAGTGGTTTTGATGCCATGTTCAGAGAGGAGGGAGGAAGCTTGGGGTGCGTTGAGATGGAGACTGCGTCTCTGAGACTTGCCAGAGGCAAAAGGTTGAGTGGTTGATGGCAGGTGTGGGCGGTGGGAGGTGTGGTACCCGCGGCGTTGACTGGCTGCGCTGGATGCTGAAGATTGCTGCGATGACCTGTAAGTATGTTTTGGATCCGGCTATTCTCCTTCATTTGAGGTCTTACAATTTTTCCATTCCTGTTGCTCTCGGCGAGAAGTCCCTTCATCACATTACCGAATTTGGCTGGATGATCTACCAGCACCGCACCAGCATTCTCAAGAAGTCGAGCCTTGACCTCCGCTAGATTCTCACCGGGAGCGGGCCAGGCACCTGCATGTCCCATCACCCGATCAACCGGAGCAAGCTTGCCGCCAACGAGGGCAGCGATTGGCCTAGCTTCATGTTAGCAAATATTACGATGTTGCAGGATGCAGTTGGTCTACTTTGGCTTGGCGGTGCGTTTTCTGTACTCTCTAATCCACTCTGCCGCCTCCTCTTCGGCACGGCCACCAACTTCGCCGACCACGATGATGCCCTCGGTATCCGAGTCATGCTCGAATACTTTGAGCGCGTCAACGAAATTGGTGCCGGCGATGACGTCACCGCCCATGGAAATGCAGAGACTCTGGCCAAGTCCGGCACGCGTGAGAGAGGCAACCGTCTCGTAGCTCAGAGTCCCTGATTTGGCAACTACACCGACATTACCAGGAGAAAAGCAGGGCAGTGGCTGGAATCCAATTCGGCACCGCCCGATGGCTGAAATGATGCCTGGAGCATTGGCACCTACAAGTCGAGATTTCGACTGAGTGTTGAGCATGGAGTGTATCTGGGATCGTCAGTGACTTCTCAGGGGTTTCAACACAACCCGTATCCATACTCTCAAGATGTCATGCAAAGGGATATGCTCGGCAACAGCAACGATCAGAGGAATCTCAGCCTCAATGGCCTCTTCAATGGCCGGCGCTGCCTGGTGCGCCGCGACATAGATGCCGGTGGCATCCGGCTTCAACTTCTCCTGCGCTGCCCGTACGCTTGGGAAAACCGGGAGCCCCAAGTGCTCCCCTTCGCTTCCTGGCTTAACACCACCCACGATATTAGTACCCCACGTGAGCGACTCTTTTGCGTTGGCCGTGGCCTGGCGGCCGGTAAAACCCTGGAAGATGACTCGCGTGTGCCGGCCAATTTTCAAGTTTTGGATCGTATCTTCGTAAGAGTGCCTCGATGGAGTAGTTGAGAACGGAGCGCGCAGGGAAGAGCTGCGCGGCAGACGTGCGGCCCGCGAAGTCGTGGAGGCACACGACGTCATGGACGAGAGGCGATGAGACAGCATTGTGGACTTCTCCGGGGTCTTGTGGTCCCTGCTCTTCTAGTTCTAACGACGCCAAAAAACGAAGAATTAGAAACAACGAAACGCGGGGGCACTCTCTTGTGGGGAAGCGGAGAAACGAAGTCTATGATCTATAAGACGTGAAGCCAGACGGGAATACGGCGTGGGAATAAGCTGGAGAGCCGCCCACAGCGACATCGGGCCTCGGGTCTCACGCAATGCAGGAGCAGCAAGAAGGTACCCCGCCAGCCATGAGAAGTGGTGGCCGGTGCCCCCTTTTGTTGCGCAATGGCGGGCCTCGGCCCTGCATGTGCCTTGCTGCTGGTGGGCATGCGACAGGGCTCCCCCACGCGGAGAAATCGCGGTGATCGCCGCGTGGTCGCGGAAGCTGCGCAAGCTGCTGGACTCACCGGGAAGTGACATCTTTCAGTAGCGCTCGCCGCCTTAAAGTCTGGAAGCTCGCCTTACCGGTTCACCTTCTTCTGCTTTCAGAAGTCACTGATTAAAGCTTTCTCCTGTACAAATTCACCCGCCAGCTTCCGTTCATTCAGCCTTTGCTACGCTCGCTTTTCCCCGCTCAACACGTCTTCTGCTGTACTACTTTCTCAGGCCACCAACACTACAAGGCGCTTCCGATCCTCCTCCTATCCCAGTCGTCAGAATGTCGTCAGCCATCCCATCCGCAGGTATGCTGCATCCTCTCCAATGGCTGCATCACCATCAGCAGCACGATTGACACCCACCTCCGCAGAGCTCGAAGCTTCCCTCAACAACCTCAAGATCTCCACCTCCTCAGCCAGCCCATCTCCTTCGCAATCGCCCGCTCCCAGGACCACAAAGCCATCAAAGAAGCCCGTGACGAAGGCCGTCGCTGACTCGTGGGAGGACGACGCGTCCGACTCGGACGGGTCGGGGACCGAGACGGAGCTCGACAGCACCACCTCCCCTGTCAACGTCCTGCACAAACACACCTCTGAAGGGCCGCTGGCGCCGCCACCGACGCCTGCGTCGCCGCAGTTCGACGGCGGGCACGACAGCACCATCGACGCTCGCTTCGCCGCGGCGCAACAGAGGCAGCATCAGCAGGCGACGGCAGCGGCAGGCTCAGGTGGCCCGGCGCGCAGGCCGGAGAAAACAACGTCTGCGGCATCGCGCATGATTGCGGCTGGGCTGGGGATGAGGGCGCCGAAGCGAACCGAGGAGGAGAGAGAGTACGACCGCGTCATGCGGGAGAAGGAGCGAAAGAGGCGAGAGAAGGAGAGGGAGGAGGCGGCATCTGCGAAGCAGAAGGAAGAAGAGGCAAAGAAGGCAATTTGGGACGACTAGGGGGACTGCCAGCATTGTTTTAGCCGCCTGGAGCTCACCGTGATTGTTTGCATGTTATATGGTATTGGTTTTAGTGCACGTAGTACAAAAGGATATTTGGAGGGGTGGCCAATGTTTAGGTTCTGTGGAAAGCATTCCGTTGGAGTCTGCGGAGGGAATGGGAACGGTATAAAAAGCAACGCATATCATGTTATGAAAGTATCAACTTGAAAGAGGCATATGGTATCAATGAAAGGCCCCTCGACAGATTGTTTATCAGACAGACACAAAGTCTTGGCTTCCAGTCAATCCAGTACATTATGAAACTGTTTGCGAATTATTTCTCGGCTACAAGTGGATAGGAGTCTATTAGCACTGTATTTCAGAAAGAGGAGCTCGTCTTAAAGTGAGTGATTAAAAGAGAACCTCGTGATAGATGGGCAGGCCGGTTTGGGAAAGGTTTACGTCGCTAGCTTGCCGTCAACCGAGCAGGCCCGACTGCTGTCACTGAACAGTGTCCAACCGAACACTCTCAGTCCAGCCACAGTTACAAATTTGATCGTCTGTAAATTGTAGTGCTTCTCGAGCCACAATAAGACGGGGCGTTGCAGCGGTGCCGAAACAGCGACGCCGAAGCTGAGTTTGGTTGTGCAGCGTTGTGCACATTTTATGCACGGGTTGTGCCTCGCCCTCGGCCTCTTCGTCCTCCTTCGCGCCCCGGGATCCAAGGCAACGACAAACAACGGCGCCGTGCCGCCACAAAATACGCAATCGTTCTTCATATGCTCCAGTAAAAATGCCCGGCCGACTAGCTAAATTTAGGCAACAAGAAAAATCAAGCTTTGTCCGGCTATCATCGATCCTCTTGCCCCAGTAGGATGACGAGGCTTATTCCCATGCATGCCTACATCCGATGGTAGGCTTTCGGGAAATGGCTGCGAGCATCCTTCCTACTGCTCCGGTGAGGGCGTCCATAAATAAGCTTGCAACTCCCCTTTCCATGAGCAGCATCGAACAGCAATATCTCCTTCACCTCAAATACCTTCTCAACACTTACAACTTTCTCTTCCAGAAATCACTTACTTTAATCCAATTCGCGGCCACATTATGTCTTCGCCCAAGATTGCCATTATCGGTGCTGGTCCCGGTGGCCTCACTCTGGCACGTATTCTTCACGTCAATGGCATTCCCACAACAATATTCGAGAAGGACCCTGATCGCAAATTCCGCCACACGGCAGGAGGTTGCCTCGACCTCCATGAGCACTCGGGCCAAAAGGCCCTCCGTGAAGCGAACCTGTTCGAAGAGTTCCAAAAGCACGCTCGCTACGACGGCGAGGCTCTCATCCTGACGGACAGGTTCGGCAAAGAGCACGTCAACGTCAAAGGCATCGACACGGGCCGCCCCGAGATCGACCGCCCCGTCCTCAGGCAAATGCTGCTCGACTCGCTGCCAGAAGACTACGTCCGCTGGGGCCACAGCCTCAAGCGCGTCGAGGCCGACGGCACGCTGCACTTCGAGCACACGACGGAGCGCGGCTTCGACCTCGTGGTGGGCGCCGACGGCGCGTGGTCCAAGGTGCGGCAGCTGCTCAGCACCATCCCGCCCTTCTACTCGGGCATCACGGGGCTGGAGTGGTGGCTGCACGAGCCGGACCGCACGCACCCGCAGCTGTCGGCCGCGCTGGGCGACGGGTCGTACTTTGCCTTCGGCGACGAGGAGGGCCGGTGCCTGGGCAGCCAGCGCCAGGGCGACCGCAGCGTGCGCACCTACGCCTTCCTGCGCAAGCCCGAGTCGTGGATCCGCGACTGCGGCGTCGATTGGCAGGACCGCGACGCGGCGAAGAAGTTCCTCCTGGAAAGCGAGTTCGCGACGTGGCCGCAGAAGCTGACAGACGTCATCGGCGCGTGGGAGGAGGGCGCCATCATCCCCCGTCCGCTGTACATGCTGCCCGTCGGCCTCAGGTGGCCGCACCAGAAGGGCTTCACGCTGCTGGGCGACTCGGCCCACTTGATGACGCCCTTTGCCGGCGAGGGCGTCAACGCCGCCATGTGGGATGCGATGGACCTGGCCGAGGCCATCATTGCAAGCCGCTCGGATCTGGACGCCGCGGCTTGGTCGTACGAGAAGAAGATGTTCCCCCGCGCGGAGAAGATCCAGCAGATGACGTGGGATAGCTTGCGCAGCCGCTTCGACCGCGGAGGCGTGGCACACTTGAAACAGCGGTTTACGTTCTTGATGGAAATGAGGAAGAATGGAGAGAGGGTGAAGGACGGCGGTATCGGTTCAGAGGTGAGCGCTGAGTGAAGAGTGACGGGAAATTGAGAACGTGGAGAGTTGAAGTCAGATGGAATGATTGGTTTACTGACATGGCGATGTTTATTCCTTGGTAATGCTGCCTGATAAAGCTACCTTTTTATTCTTTTCTTTGTGTTTTGGAATAGCGCCTTATTCTCCTCTCTTCCTTAGTTGTATCTTGTAAACCATACCACTCAGTTGAATAATAACATGTATGTACAAACAAGCTGTATTAGAGACCTAAGGGAAAAAAAAAACTATGAGGTCTACATACTATTCGATGAATCACAGCTACTTGTGAAATGTGGCTGTTGTATAGGGACTCTATTATCTGGAAGGCTCTCGGAGCTAAGCCAGTCGGGGAGACCATCTCTCCGTATCGGCCTTAACGAACATGATCCCAGGCGCATATCAGAGCAAGCGGCAATCGGCCCATTCATTTCTTTGTAATGGAGCCTACTTTGACTCACAATCGACTGGAATGATACAGCTAATAACGCATCGGGGCGGCAAGAATAAACGACTGGTTACCATATCCGGAATGCATCCGGTCTGGCGGTCTCTCTACCGTCGGAAGCGAGCGGCGTGTCTTTCGGCCGTCAGCACCACGCCCAACACTCATCCTTCGCCAGACTAAAATCTCACTCGGCCACGATTCGTGATTTGCTCCGTGCAACTCGCGTATCAGAACGCGCTTCCTCCCGCTGTTGCCAGCCACGCGGCGCAGCAGCGGCGAATAACGTTGCACCGCGCGCGCATCTTGTATCTGTTTTAGGATCATGGTGAAGCCTCACCACCTTCCCCGTTTTCCGCAATCTGGCTAATGCCACAACCGCAAGTGGGCCATAGGCGCAATGCTGCGGAAGCCACGGCGCGAATCAGCGACCGCCTGATCTAAGCTGGCGCACCGCCAACAATACAGCGGAGCAATTGTAACGGCACAAATTCCACCGTTGCTCTCTTACCCCGGTGAAGGATCGCTCAGGCTTCAGCATAGGCTCCAGCATTCTTGTCCTTATAAGACGCCATGCCGTAGAGTTGGCTGAAAGTTGTATCGAATATTTAAACTTTGCGGGGCTCCTTGTTCCACATTCAACAACAGCAGCGTTCTGTTGACTGTCTCTTTCCCAAAACTTGCCATCAGACCGTGTGAAAACGAAAATGGCCCAATACGTCCCACTAAGGAAACCGCTGCGTCAGAGGCCGGAGTCATCGCATGTCTCTGGTACCAAGAGAACAGAATGGGGTTTGCCGGTTGGCTTGATTGGGGTATGATTTCTCCTTGTCTTGTATCCGTTGCCGCCGAAAAGCATTCTTCTGTTCCAAAAATGTATTTCTAACAATGCAACTGCAGTTGATCCGCAACCAACTTACGATTTCCTCATGGCTTGCTCTGGGCGGCTGTCTCCAGTGCCTGCTTTTCCTTGTCGGTGGTCGCATCGCGTTTGTGCCCGCTTTTCTACTCATCTTTTATCGTATCGTCGACGCTGCCCTGATGACCAAGGGCCTGAAGCCGAATCCGGCTTTGAATGATGTGATCTTCAACAAGTTTGCTGTGCACTACCCTGACTCCGAGGGCAAGTTCGGAGGCAAACCTGCCAACAAGGACATTGTCGTTTTCCACATTGGTGCCAGAAATAATCAGTGAGTATTTGCAGGACAGTCAACACGAGACATCGGCCGGCTAACCATGAGAAGTCCTCTCGGCATGTTTGCGCCCGGTTTTAAGGAGCTTGGCGATTATTTCGATAATATGGCCAAAGATATTGAGAGTAAGCCAATAGTTGACTTTGTTTGGCTTAGGCTCTGTTATTAACACCTCCACCAGAACGTTCCGAGGAGTACGGACTTATGGGGATTACCTCCTATACGGCTGCCAATGAGACAGCAACTAATAATGAGATTATGACGGTCATGTTCTTCGAGAACTTTGAGTAAGCCAGCTTCGGACCGCGATTGAGTGCTTATGCTGACTCCTGTTCCAGGGGACTCCAAAAGTTTGCCCACGATCCTTTGCACCGCGAAGCCTGGAACTGGTGGAACCGTAAAGTGAACAGCTTGAAGCATATCAGCATCTGGCATGAGGTTTTCCGCTGCCCGGCCGGCAACTGGGAGGGCATCTATGTCAACTCGCACCCTCGCGGTCTTGGTGGGTTTATTGCAGCTATTGGCTCTTGACTTCAGACATGCTGACACTCTGGACAGCCGCAACAACGGTCCCGCTTACGCTTGAGAAGGACAACGAAGAGCTGGGCGTCAAGGCCGGCGAGAAAGCGCATTACTACCCCATCGTGGATGCCCGCAAGGGTCTTCTGAAGACCAGTGCAGGCCGCATGTCAGCCACTGGATCAGACGCCAAGGAGCATGAGAAGTACAACGATGACCCATACGAGAACTACGGTCGTCTGAATGCCGTCTGAGCGTGAACTGTTGGAGCTGATTTTAGCGAGGTTTGGCCGTGGGCATGGATCGGCGAAGTGGGAAATTGTTAGTTCTATCGATACGCGAATATGTACGGTCCGTAGTTTAAACTTAAGATGTGAAATTCCGAGTCCTTGTATTCTGCCTGAGGCGTAATCGTTACATGTTGAAGTGTTGGTGGCCCTTGCAACATTTCCTGGAATTTTGGGTGTTCTGTGGACTGCCTAGCGAAGAACGTTCGGACGTGGATGCACTTCAACGTGAGCTGCAGCACAAAAGCCAAGATCAACCGTGAACAAGGCGGGTGGCAACATCGTGACGGACGCGCAAGTGGCAGAATTGAAATTGTGCATCACGTGTGCAGGGCGGGCGCGAGCGGAAACGGCGCGGAAAAACAGGTCGGCTCGCTTATGGTGGATCGGCCTCACCCACCAGAAATTCCACGAAAGATCGTGACGGGCAGGTAGCGACGACGACCGACGACGACGACCCCCAGTACAGGCCGCCAATCGACTCAAAATGAAGTACATCCACAGCTCCGAGTCGCTGACCATCCCCGAGGGTGGTGAGTACCCACGACCACTTTCGCGCGCGAGCGACAACCCGAAAGGCATGACGCCGGGCTAACGAACTGTCGCGAATCGCAGTGAAGGTCTCCATCAAGACGAGGGTTGTCACCGTTGAGGGTCCCCGCGGTACGCACCATCCGCGCCCAGTAGCGACTCGAGCAAAGAAGATTGACGATGGCCTCCAGGCAAGCTCACCAAGGACCTCGGCCACCTCGCGGTTTCCTTCACCCACCCGAAGAAGGACCTCATCAACATTGAGCTCCACCATGGCAGCCGCAAGAGCGTCGCCACTCTCCGCACCGTCCGCACCATCATCAACAACCTGATCATCGGTGTTACCAAGGGCTTCAAGTACAAGATGCGCTACGTCTACGCCCATTTCCCCATCAACGTCAACATCGAGAAGAACAAGGAGACTGGCCTGTTCGAGGTTGAGATCCGGTATGTTGGAACCAAGCGGCTGAAGGCGCAAGATGCGGGACAAATTGGGCATGGGCTGTGTGGGCTGACATGGGCTGCAGCAACTTCTTGGGCGAGAAGTACGTCCGCAGGGTCGTTATGCACCCTGGTGTCGACGTCGAGGCGTCGAAGAACGTCAAGGATGAGCTCCAGCTCACCGGCAGCGACCTCGAGAACGTTTCCCAGAGCGCCGCAGACATCCAGCAGATCTGCCGTGTGAGGAACAAGGATATCCGTAAGGTAAGTAGCGGCCCGCCCGCGGTCTTGGGTGGTCGCACCGCTGACGTGTGGTGTAGTTCTTGGATGGTCTGTACGTCTCAGAGAAGGGCAACATCATTGAGGAGTAAACTCGATTTGACGAGCGGGGTTCTTCATGGGGGTTGGCGCCATTTTTCAGCGAAAACGGCATCACGGCATTATGAGGGGAAAATAGGTCCAAGAAACCTAATAGCACTTCAAGAAATGCTGAAAAATTTCTTCTTTTCTCTGACCCCCTGTGCATTGGGCGGATAGGTATTTAGGGAGTATAGGGGTGTTTATTCGATACTGACTGACCAGCGTCCTTTCGCATTGACTCTTGTTCGAGGTTAGTTGAACTAACAAATAGTCGTTTTCTTGCACCACGGAGCCTTTTTTTACCACAATCGTACAGGAACCATGAAGGCGCGACGTCGATATCCGAGCATATGGACCAACGAACGACTTCGGCAACCGGACGCGAGCAATCTTCGAAGAAGCGCCATCTCGCCTTCAGATCGGAAAGCATTACCGGCCGCCAACAGCCTCAAAAGTGGCGCAATGCGCGGGCAACGGGATCTCTCGGAGCATTCAGGGAGGGAAAGAGGGGCATCGCCCAGAGCGCGGTGGCATGATATCAGAGCGAATCAAGGGCACCGAGTGACTTGGGAACAAGTCGGGCAGCGAAGTCTTGATCTCCTCAAACTGAAAGGTAAGCTTAACCTGTTCCTATCATCTCGAATCTCTTCCCCGCATCAACCTAAAACTTCTATGATGAAGCATTTCGGATGTAAATCTATCAGTATACCACCGAGAGCGCAAAACCGTGTGGATATTTCCGTTGCCTTCCTTCTGATCTATACAACTCTTCTTCGCAAGAACATACATACTCGAGTGTTCAGAGCATATTTGCTAACTCGTATCACTCGTAGACAGATTACGGACGTTTCTGGGGAGAAAATTGGCATTCGCGCTCTTCAGAGTCCGACTATCTCCACTCTTCACGACAAAAGGTAAGCGACCAATAGATCCCCTGTTCACCATCCCCTAATGTTGTGTTACCTGATGAGACACGCGCTGGCACCAGTCCGAGAAAGACTTGTACTCTTTTTGCTGCGGATTAGCATGCCGCAAGGTTTCTTTATACGATATCCTTGCCTGATTCAAACACACTCTTCGCACTTTCGCATTCCCAGTTATCAGTCTGGCCGTATGCTAATTTCGTGCAGATTAGGTTCCCCGAGTACGCGAGAACTCGATCGATCTGGGTGGATATTTGACCTCGCGCTTTGGTCAGTGGTGTCGCTCCTCTGCGGAGGGAAATGGACGATATTTCTTGAGATTCCAGGACGAGATTTGCGTCTTCATTAGCAGCCCAGCAATGAATCGATTTCGTTTCCAGCATTGAGATTTTCGTGCACCAAATGTATGCGTCGTCGCGTAACGTGCTCCCTGTGCATCGTCGTTCATCAGCGGTCAGTCCTCATTTTCTCGCGTCGTTTGCGAGATTAGCGCCCCCTAAACTCCTTGTTCGATGAAGAAATGCTGAGTTCTGCGAAGACTTCGAGAAAGCGTTGTTGATCAAATGTGGTCAGTGTGCGCAAAGAAGGATGAACGGTGCCGTGACCAGAAAAAAGCTTGGCGTCAGCCGGGACGGGGAGGAAGGACGCGATGTGGGTCTCGAGCAAGGGTTGAGAGCTAAAGGGAAGACATCACACCACGAACACTCCACACGGACAACACGACAACGAAGAAGAGAAGCATGAGTAGAATAATGAATGGAAGATTGTGCTGACCGTGGTCAGAGAAGTCTCGTAGCCAGCGTCCTTCATTCCCGTTTCCCGTCCGTCAAACCCGATTCCATCACGCCTTTGAGCAATTGCGAATGAGCGAAAATTATCCGAAGTAATACAGTAATAGTGTCTCCCCTCCCCTTTCATCGATCCGACGACAGGTGTATACGTAGGAGAAGCGGGGGGATGTTCGCTTTCCCTTAGGCGGCTTCGCCGGCCTTGTCCTTCTTCTTGGACTTCTTGGGCGGCGGGGCGCCTTCCTTCTTCTGGTGCACGATGAAGCGCGTGTAGCACTCTTCGCGATCCCACTCGAAGCCAGCGAGGATGGGGTTGTCGAGTTCGTCGTCAGCCTGGGTGGGTGGAAGGCTAACGTTAGCTCTGATGCCTTATCCGCAGTGGGCCGAATGTGGGGTTGAGATGGGCTTACCTTCTTCTTGAACTGCTTGTAGATTGCATCTAACGCGTCCTTGATCGTCACGCCCTTCAGGTTCCGTGCGGTGACCTCAAGGCCAAGCGGGAAGTGCAGGTCGATCTTCTTGACCATTGGGACGACGAGCGGCTTCTTCAACGCATCTTTCCACTCTTCTAGGGTTGCGGGTGACGTGTTGAGCTTCCTGTTTCAATGCGTCAGTATCTCGTGCGGGGTCGGATGGCTGCGGATTGCTCTTCTCGGCATACCAGTTCAGCTTCTGTGTCTCGGGTGCTATTTGCAGCTCTGCTCCTTCCTTCTCTGCGGTAGGCTGTGAGCGCTGCGCTCGTTTGTTCGAAGATGGTCGGCGGAACTTACCAAGATCGAGGATGTTGTAAACGCCGGGTGCTGAGGAGCTCTTTCTCCTGTGCTTGGGCTTGGTGTCGTCGAGAGTGCCGCCCTCTTCGACGGCCGAGTCGACCTTGTGGAGTGGTGCGGTATCGGCAGACATGGTTGGTGATGATCTGAACCGGATTGGTGGTTGCAGAGGAAGGCAAGTCAATGATGATGGCAGTCGAGTACACAAAGGGAGTTGTGTGATGAGAGAAGGAGGCAGAAGGCAGGGCGAGGCAGGCTCAATATAGGCGCGGCGCGGGGTCTGGCAGGCTGCGGGCTTTCTTTGGTGCAACAAGGTCTTGGGATGAGGAGACGAGCACCTGACCCGCGTTGTCCATCCATGCCACTCTCGAGATCAGCTCCTCTCCCCATGGCGCTGGTGCCGCCCCCGGGCTCACCCCAGGGCGGTGCCCCGACGCGGGCAGGCTGGGGCGGGCGTTCGACGTGATGCTCACGCTGCCGCTCACACCACACAACGCAACGGCGCCAGTGCGCAACATCCAGCGAATCAGCGTCGATCGTGTAGGCGAAGCTTGGGCCACGGGCAGCGCGCCATGCCCAGCCGTCATTGGCCGGGTGCCGGCGTTCTTTGTTGCCAGAAAAGCTGGGGTGGCGCTGTGGTCGCGAGTCCGGAATGCGGGGAAAGCTCTTGGGCTGCTCCTGCCAGCGCTCGTTGGCTCTGCCGTTTCCCCTGCGCTGCGCCCTGCCGTCACGGCCTATGCTGTCACGGCCTATGCTGTCATCCGTCAACTCTATGCAACCTGCCGACCTGCTCTCTGCCCATTGGCCGTTTTTCGACACGCTGCTCGTGCTGTTCGACCTCCATGGTGTACATGCTTTGGCGGGCCGGACGCACGCATTCAGACAGCGGAAATGTGGCACCCGAACGCTCGCCATGCACGCTACAGCATACTGACTACGCAACCAGCGGAAGTAAGGGGCGCTAATGCAGCATCAACCCCCGCAATCTTTCTCTTCCAGCACCTCTTTCGACCGATTGTCGTTGCTAGGGGCCTAGCTAACTACATGCTGATCGAATAGCCCCTCACACGAGCTTTCCCTGCCCGCGTGCCGAAACTTGCATGGTCCCGTATGATGCGTCACTGGGACCCGGGCGGGCAATGGAAGCAGACGGGGGCCGCCGTTGCGGAGCTCTCACACGACACCTCTCGCGCGGCTGCTTCATCAGGCACCGGCTGCATTACGGCGCCTAGCTGTTCTGGGGCGTGCATGGTGTCGTGTTAATGGTCTACCGTTCCCCATGGTGCGGCTATTCGGCCCTCGCGGAAGGAGGGGGCTGAGGCCGATGACGACAGTGGTGAACAGCTCTGCGTAGGAATCCAAGTGGTACCGTGATGGCCCGCCCGGTCCCGATTCGGGGAGTGAGTTTAGGACATGCGACTCTGCGGCCGCTCTTTTCTCGGTCAATTGGAGCTAATTGAGTGACGATAGCTGAGCTGAGGTGGCATTCCGCGAAGCTGGATTGCCGGTGTCGGCTGCATGCCGGAGCTGTGGGCGACAAGGGGCGCGCAGATGTCACGACTTGAAGATGAAGCAAGCCACCGCGTGTTCTGCCTCATCAGGCCCCCACATTGTCTCTGTAGAGCGAGATGCGATGGCTGATGGGCACGGATGTGGTGAGATGCCGATCTCGCGTGTTGTGGCCTGCCTCCCCCCTCCCAGAAAATGCCGCCTGCGAGAACATGGGGCCACGCAGTCATGTGTCCAGCCCCGATCGTTTATTTGCGCAGGTCTAGAGCAGCCGTTCGCGCGCATACGCAATATATGTGTCGATATCGGCCGAAATGCTCGCGTTCAATATGGCCTTTGCTTCACCTCCGCAATGCTGTCACTGTACGTCACTCGAAGAGGAAGTCTCATGCTGTCGCCGCTGTCCGCCTGTCTCTCATTCCGCCATCATTAATTCCTCGCGATCAAGAGCATTGGAGCTGGAACGCGACTGAGCGACATTCTGATCACCAGCAGTGTTCGGCACATAAATCCCATCAGAAATATTTCTACATTCGTTGGTTGCCATCTCGGTCTCCCTTGTGCACACTCATCGAAAACTACTTATCTATTCCACGAACCTCTGGGTACTTGCGGTCGAAGTTCGACACGAACCCTGTCCAATTCTACACAACTTTATAATCAGAGCCCGATATCGCAACACACTAGAAAGACACTCTCCTTTGTCCGCCCACGGCATTAGCGATTCCACAAATGTGCTAGAGATTGAAGACTGTTGCGTTCTCCTTAGGGAGATGCAACAATTGGAGCTGGGTCGTAATTGGAAGAGCATGCACTCAAGTCAAGGCGGTCTATCTTACGATGCAACAAGAAACCTTTCTCAACCACGGTTCCGTGAAGCTGAGCTGAGCTGACTATGGTTGTGTGTTGTAGCAGACCGGTGTCGACGGCAGAGCGGGCGCAAGGCGGAAAGGCCTCCCGCCGTTGCCCCACGTAGGTACGAAGTGGGGCTGTCTGTCCCCCAATCCATGCGGAGGATAGCCATCGCGCAGTGCTTTTCGACGCGCTCATCTGCTCTCATTGGATCAATGTCGGATCGAGCAGCTCAAGTCGTCCAGTCAGGACATGGCCACCTATGGCAGCGCATCGTTGTGTGAAGAAGGTTTTGCGGACCGTAAAGGACGGCAGCGCTTCGATGACCTCATACCCGGTCGCCTAGCTGCATGAGCTGTTAACCGGTGGAGACGTTGCGCAACCTTCGTCTTGACACGTTCGAAAAATCATCTGCGCAGATCAGGGTACTCGACCCCTCCATAGCAACAGTCTGCTGTCAGAACTCCCCTCTTCTTGCAACCGTCTGATCGCTCCCCCCGCGCGCAGCCGGCCGACTCCCTGCCTTCTCAATTCCAGATTTGAGAATCGGAAGCTTCCGCACAACTCTGTATCAAGATGGCTGCCGGAACGGATAAGCATGCCTGGTGGAAGGAGGCCGTAATCTATCAAGTACGTTTCCTCAAAAAGACTCACCCCTCTTCAATACTAATGAAGCAAGATCTACCCGGCTTCATTCTACGATCTGAACGGCGATGGCTGGGGCGACATCAAGGGAATCACTGCGAAGCTCGACTACTTGAAGGATTTGGGAGGTTGGATAACAAAGATTACCCTTTTTGATGAGAACAAAGCTGATTGAATCTGGCATCCAGTTGACATTGTCTGGTCATCTCCATGTGTGTAACGAGCTTCCAGTAGACTATGGCTTGTGCAACAGCTAATTCGTTTTAGTCTTCAAATCCCCCCAGGCCGATATGGGATATGGTGTGTAGCCCTTTTTTGATTGGATTGAATTGTAATTCCAGAGCCCTATACTGATTTTAGAATCTTAGATATTGTAAATTTGACCCGAAAACTACAGTATATTCCGCTTGAAACTGACAGATTTGTTAGTCCGACTATAAGGACATTGATCCCAGCTACGGCACTTTGGGTGATGTTGATGAACTCATTGCTGAGCTGAAAAAGCGCGACATGAAGCTCATGGTTGACTTGGTTGTCAACCATACTTCTGATCAGGTAAGTTGATTTCGAATAAATTTTTGAAGTAGACTTTGGCACGTTGCTTTCTCTTTTCCAGTTCGCCATATCCAAAGAGTCCAGCACAACTGCTAATCATCCTATCAGCACCCCTGGTTTTTGAAGTCTCGCTCTTCTAAAACTGACCCATACCGTGACTGGTACATCTGGAAGGCCCCGAGGTTCGATGAGAATGGTAACCGGCAGCCTCCTAACAACTGGGCTCAACTTCTTGGTGAGGGTAACTCCGCATGGACCTGGGACGAGAAGACCCAGGAGTACTATCTCTCTCTTTTCACCCCTGAGCAGCCAGATCTCAACTGGGAATGTGAGGCTGTTCGTGAGGCTGTGCATGACGTGCTTCGCTTTTGGCTGGACAAGGGGGCTTGCGGCTTCCGGATGGATGTCATCAACCACATTTCCAAAGTACAGACATTTCCGGATGCCCCCTACAAGACGCCAGGTCATCAGTTTCAGCCAGGAGACCAATTCTTTGCCAACGGCCCGCGCATGCATGAGTTTTTGAAGGAGATTCACCAGAAGGTTCTCTCGCACTACGACACCATCACCGTTGGTGAGATGCCCTTCGTGCGGGACGAAGATGAAATTATCAGGGGCGTAGGCGCAAAGGAGAATGAACTGAGAATGATCTTCTCCTTCGACATCGTCGACATTGACAACGTCCCCAATCTTGGCTTCAAACTGGCCCTCCACCCGTGGGACGCCCGCGATCTCCGCCGCATCGTGAACCGTCTCCAGCGGCTCATGATCGAGCGGGATGGGTGGAACTCTGTTTTCATCGAGAACCACGACCAGCCCCGCAGTGTTTCACGCTACACTGACGACAGCGACCAATGGAGAGACTACGGCGCGAAGTTGCTCTGCTTGATGCAGACGACACTCTCCGGCACTCTCTACGTCTATCAGGGCGAGGAACTCGGCATGAGGAACGTGCCGCCGGAGTGGGAGCCGGCCGAGTACAAGGACATCGAGACAATCAACTACTGGAAAAAGTGAGTTTCCCCCCTCCCATCCATCCTCCTCTACGGTCTCCCTTGGAGTCCATTCGTCCACAGTCGCTGACACGCGTCAACCAGGATGAACACCATGTACCCCAACGACGCAGCCAAGCTCAAAGAAGCGCGGCACGTCATGCAGCGCAAAGCACGCGACCACGCACGCACGCCGGTGCAGTGGACTGGCGGGCCAAACGGCGGCTTCTCGCCGAACCTGAAGGCGGGCGCGCAGCCGTGGATGCGCGTCAACGACGACTACGCCACCGTCAACGCCGAGCGCCAGCTCGCGCACGACCCGGCCTCGGACGGGCAGCTGTCGGTGCACCAGTTCTGGCGCCGCGCCCTCGAGAACCGCAAGCGCCACAAGGACGTCTTCGTGTACGGCGACTTCAAGGCCCTGGGCGACCCGCACCCGGCCGTCTTCGCCTACAAGCGCTGGAGCGACAAGGAGGCGTTCGTCACCATCCTGAACTTCTCTGGCGATGAGGTCGAGTGGGAGATTCCGCACGAGGCCAAGGTGAAGAGCTGGGCCGCTTGGAACTATGACAAGGAGAAGCCCGAGGGTCTGGCGACCGAAGGGAAGATCAAGTTGAAGCCGTGGGTGGGGTTGTTGGCTGTGGCTGATGTGTAAATGATCAGGGGCTGCTAGAGGTACTTGAGTAGGTCGATGGGCTCTTTCCCTCAACCAAACTCTGCTCTGATGGGTCAAGGGTCCGTGAGTGAGTGGTAGACGTACAGATGGACAATCAATGAAGATTCCGTGCACTGCCGCTGTGATGATACAGATGGACCCTCAACTAGCTCTCATCCGAACCACAAGACCTCTCTTGATATATCAAAAAAAAAAAAAAAGATCACCTTTCCATCAACTGGTGACAGCTGGTAGAATAACTAGAAAGTGGGTGGTTATAGACAGTGGTCATGTCCGTCCAGTCTCACCTAAGGCCGCACTTCTGATTAATGCCTTATTTCTATGGCTCTTTCGGATTGGAAATTCAAATTATTTGCTCAAAGTATAGAGGGGTGCTGCAGCCGATGGCTAGCGTAAAGAATAACAGGGCTCTAGAATATAGTGTAATTGTGCCCCAGCTCTGTTTTAGAAAAATTAACATACTTGGGTAGTTGAGGCTATCGTCCGGACGTGTATGTAGAATTTTTAATCCGACATTCTCGTCCGGACGAGAGCTCCAGCTGCCCATGACATGAGCAAAAAATAAAGCCACGCTAGCCATCGGCTGCGAGAGGGGACTGTAGGTATACTCAAGCCACCGGGAAACTGACCCTTTTAATTCCCGATTCCCGTCCTGCTACTACTTTAGGTCGCAGTCTCAGTTGACCGGCGGCAAGGCGGACCAGCCAATGACACAGCTTGTTCTCAACCACAAAGTGGTAGAGTATCCGTGCACAGTTCCATACTTTCACAGGGGTCAGTACGATTTCTTTCTTTCCCCTCTTTCTCCCTTACCGCATTTGCGCCCCCGACGTCATCTGTGCGATTCAACCCCCCTGCCACGTGTTGTTGCGACTCATGGCCCTTTCGCTTTTCCTTCCCCACACCAAGACCGGCGCCCAAGACCCTATCATGGGGATCACTGGGGCCGCCGATAGTGGGGGGCCTGACGAATCTAACAGCACCAGAGCCAAAACGAACGAACACACAAAGACCACTGCTGGATCGCGCTTCAGATTTGTGCAATACCGAGCCTTCTTATTCAGAGAAATGCAGAAATTAGGAAAATGAGGAGCGGTGGAGGCGATAGCGCTATACTCAGCGCATATCAGCACATGGCGCGATTCTATCGTCCGATTTAGGACATGAGAATCCATAGAATAACTCGTGACATCCCCTCCTTTCCTCGGCTGACATGAAGAGGCCAAACGTATGACTGTCCTCAACGAACTTCTTTGGGGTCCAGTGACTCATTCAACAGGTGAAAGAGACGGCGTTGAGGAAATGGATTGCCCGGAGCCAAAGGATTGTCCAGCTAGTGGCTGGATTGGCACTGCCCGTGTCCAGTTGATGCCAAGTCATGGCGAAGCTCGGCATAAGACGCTGAGGGCACTTCTTAGTCACAGGATACGAGTATGCTTGGAGTGGTCAGCGACTCTGGAACCGGGGGAACTTGGGAACAGCAAGCTTGTGTTAAGGGTCATTTCCATTCATGAATGCTGGTAAGCTCACAGCAAGCGTGCCGCTTCGTACGAATCTAATCGATTAAATATGATATGCTTGTGCCTTCCACGGCACTAATCCAACCGAGAGGGATATGCAAGGAGCGAGTGAGTATGCAACAGTCACACGCGTCTAGTGTACCCTGTCCTTTCCAACTTCGGAAAATGAACTGAAAGATGAATGAGTGGAGTTCATCGTCAAGCCGCCTCCAGAGACATTAGTAGAGGGGCAAGGCGCCACACTGAAACATCGAGCGCTCCTCAGGTAGCTCACGAAATGAAGGTGGCCTCGGTGAACAGAAGACCCTCCTCCGTCTTCTCCTCATCACCGACCTTGACCTTGATCGTCAGCTTGGGCGTGTACTGGTAGATGTAAGGCTTGGTGCCGGCGGCGCTGGCAACAATAGCCTTGACGAATCCCGGGACTTCGGCCATGACGTCAACACGATCCACACGCGGGCCAAGGGAACCGGTCAGGTCCGCGTGCACATCCTTTCCGTCCGCAGTCTTGCCGTTCCAGACATACGATGCAGAGACAGGCTCGGGCCAGTCGTTGTCCGTGTCCTGCTTCTTCTCCGTGTGCTTTGCAGTGTTGTGTGCTCCGGCAAAAATAAGCGCGCCCTCGGTTGCGATGCCGCCAACGCTGACCACGGTCGAGCCGTACGAGGGAGGGGTGACGTACTCCATCATAACGGCGGAGTAGGTGGGTGACTGGAAGTTGACGAAGTTCCAGCTAGCGGCTGTAGTTTGGGTTGGTTAGTCTTGAGACGGCCGAAGGTGCGCCGATGCGGGATATTCTCTCACCTGCGTGATGTGGCTTCATGCCCTGGAGAGCGTGCACGAAGAAGCCTCTGCCGGCGAAATCAATCTCGCCAGCCTTGGTCAGGATGCTGCCTTCGACCTTGCACCGGGGCCAGAAAGCGTGTCTCATCGAGCCCCAAGGGTTGGCGGGGTCGGTACCGAAGTAGCTTGTGCCATTCTTGCCAACGACGAAACCGGGGGCGGTCCTGGTGAACTTCAACGTCACAATGCTCTGCTTGTTGGTCGAGGACTTGATCGTGTACGAGGAGCCATCGGCGGCGAGCTCGACGGAGCAGTTGTCGGCGTAGAAGCTGTGCTTGGCCTCGTCAAAGCGGTGGTTGCTCAGCGGGTCCGACGACCACAGGTGCGGCGTCTTACCGCCGTCCTGGTAGAAGACCTTGCAGTTAAACTGGCACGTGGTGCGGATGCCTCTGGGAAGCAGGGTCATTAGGTCATTGCTAATTGCAGGTGGGCAGGAAGTTGCTCACGCTACATTGCTGTAGATGACCTGGACCATGGCGAGGTGGCCGCTGTCGGCAGTGAGGTAGAACGTCTGCGTCTCGACGCAGGTCGATTCCATGGCAACCCACTTCAAGTCATCTTTCTGGAGCTCGGTGTAGGGCGTCTCGGCGGCCTGCTTGGTGACTGGCTGGATGGCTTCGGGGCCATAGATGGGCTCCTGGGTGCCGGCGACGTTGGCGAGCCTGCGCGGTGAGCATCTGGGGCGCAGGTGCGCGGGGAAAGGTAACTGACTGCTGCTTGGCCCAGTTGAACATGGTGGATGGAAGTGCGGTTTGCTTGGCTGGGTTGTACGGATGTATCGGGGTGGGGGTGACGGTTCGGGCGGCAAGGCGGCAGGCTGCGAAAGTTCGGCGCGTCTAGAAGGCAGGAAAGGCGAGGCACGCGCGCGGCGCGCGGAAGGTGTCACTGGGCGGAAGCGGCGGGCGTGCCTTGGCGGGTCTTGTGCCGAATCGGGGCAAGCCGAGGCCGGCAGTGATTGGTGGCCTGGCTGGTGTCACGGCTTCTGCGCTCCAGGGCCGCGGTGGGCGATGCGCTATGACGGCGAGGTCGCTCAGAGTCTGCTGGCTAGAATCCTCATCCACCCGGGCCCCGCTGACAAGGCCGCCGCCGCACATCGCACGTCTCCAGCAATTTCGTCCCTCTCCCTTCTCCTCACCACGCAGGTCCACTTGCGCGCAGACGATCGCCGCCCCCAGCGCTTCCGCTGCAGCCCGCACCCCAGTCTCGCCGCCGAGACTACCAGCGCGCGCCCAGCCGGCTTTTGCTCGCCCTCTGCCTCGGCCAATTCCCGGCCGCGCCCAGCCCTCTCCCCTCGCGCGCCCTATGACGCGGGCGCCATCTCAATCGCTGTGACGACTCTTCAATCCACGCCCGGTTGCGCTGCATCGAACCCTGGTTCTCAGGAACAGGCAGACCCGCCCGCGTGTTCCCCGCCATTGGTCCACCTGCGCGCCTTTCACCCGTCGGCACTCCCGCTCGCGCACCGCGGATGCTCCCTCGCTGCCCTTGTCTCTGTCCACACCAGCACTCACCACAGCACACGCTGCCCTGATTCCAGCTTGAGATCGATAGCCTCCCGCGCCCACGACAAAGTAAGCTTAAAAATTGCCCGTGCGTCAGTGCACCCCTCTGCGGCGTAGTCCGTGGCGCCCGCTTCGATGCAGCAGCCGCCCAGGATCCTCTGACTGAGACTTTACTAGGCTCTTTCCGAATATGTCTAAATTTGAGCAGGGCGACGAAGCCCTCCAACAGGGTGTGCGCTTCGCCTCGCACAACGAAGAGATCGAGCCCGACCAGGTGCTCCAGCAAGTCGAAACGATGACGGGAGCGGAAGAAAGGCCAAGAGGAGATCTTGGCCCGGAAACGCAACAAGAACTCCGCAACCTTGCCTCGACGCTGCAGCACTCGCGCCTCCAGTCAAAGAGATTAGAGAACTTCTCCTACGAGCCCGTGTCGTTGCCGGCCTCTAGAGTAAGCGACTTGGCCACTGACTCGGTCTTCGTTCCGCATGTTGATCCGTACTTGTAGGCGCCCTCTCCTTCGTCGGGTTCGCGAACGCCCATGGCATTTTCTGGCGCGCCGTCGCCCAGACCCTCTCCGCCGACCTCCACGATGCACTCCCCTCCACTCACCCCCGCCGCAACCCAGTCCAGGGACAGCAAGCAGAGCTCCGCGCCTGCGAGCCGGCTCTCGCAGGACTCGACCATCATGACCCCCGAGGTGTCTCCACCCCACGATACTCCGCCCACGTCGTTGTCGGCCTCGGAAGAGGAGAGGAAAAAGCCGCCACACATAAACGTTCCCGCCGCGCCATATGCCAAGCATGGCTCCGACACTACCGGTATCACCAGCCATCCCAGGGAGCCTCCCAGGTTCACAGTTGGGCCCTCCGGTGATTCTCTGCCTGGATCAAAGGATGTTAGCCCCTCTGCTTCGGGCACAAGTACTCCTGGGGATGCCGGGACTGGCCCCAGCACCCCTGCCCCACAGTCGCCATACATGCGCCCGACCTTGTCGCCAAGAGGCGAAATCGATGATCCCTACTCGCGCGCCAAACGGATGCCGCAGAACCGCGACAGGACCTCGCTAGATCCTAGGTTTATATTCGGCCGCGACCGCGACGCGAAAGCCAAGTCTGCGACCACACCGCTCCCCCGCTCCAGAGGCAACGGCTCGGAAAAGGAAGGGAAACGCCACACGCTCTTCCACGGCCACCACCATCACCACAAGAAGCATGACAAGCACGAGTACGATGACCATCGTGAGGAAACTGCTGATCATTTGAAGGAAAAGCACGGGTCAATGTCGGAACTGAAGAGGTTCTTTAAGATTGGGGGCCACAAGCGGGACAAGAGCAAGAGCAGACCTGTGTCTCCATCCGAGTCATCCGGCGTCCTGTCGGCGAAGAACAGCAAATCCGGCACGCGTACTCCTCCTTCCAGAAGTAACACTGTCGCAATACCATTCGCTGATGATCACGGGCTCGAGGCCAGGTATGGCAAGTTTGGAAAAGTGCTCGGTTCGGGTGCGGGAGGTTCAGTTCGCATTGTAAAAAGAGCGAGTGATGGCACGGTGTTCGCTGTCAAGCAATTCCGAGCCAAGCACTCGTACGAGAGCGACAAGGAGTACACCAAGAAGCTCACTGGCGAGTTCTGCATTGGCTCGACGTTGCATCACGGCAACATCATTGAAACCATGGACCTGGTCCAAGAGAAGAGTAATTGGTATGTCGTGATGGAATACGCACCCTTCGATCTATTTGCGATCGTCATGACGGGCAAGATGAGCAGAGAAGAAGTCGCTTGCTGCACGCTCCAGATTTTGAACGGAGTCTCGTATCTGCACAGCATGGGATTGGCACATCGGGATCTGAAGTTGGACAACGTGGTCGTCAACGAGCACGGGATCATGAAGATCATCGATTTTGGCAGTGCTGCTGTCTTCAGATATCCCTTTGAGAACGACATCGTCCTCGCTAGTGGTAAGTTATCGTCTGTCGATTGAGAGTGGACACGCCGCGATCAGACTAACACGAAGTCTGTTGCAGGTATCGTTGGATCCGATCCGTATCTCGCTCCTGAGGTTTATGACTTGCAGAAGTATGATCCGCAGCCCACTGATATCTGGTCGATTGCCATCATCTTCTGCTGTATGACTCTGCGTCGATTCCCTTGGAAAGCACCCCGCACATCGGATAATTCCTTCAAGCTGTTTGTTTCGCCTCCAAACACCAATGATTGGCCGCAGCACACGTCAAGAAAATCTTCCGAAATGCATGGACCGTCTCACAGCGCGCTTGATGTCAAGGAGCATGGCCACGATCATGGATCTAGGCGTGCTATCGAAAGTGCGCCAGCAAGTCGGATGCCCAGCCAGGTTGATCCCAAAGACACAAGTCAGAACAACCACCACCATGCCAACGGCGATGGCCAGGGTGATCGCCCTACCACGGCTGGCGGGAATGCACAGAACGCACCGCCCTCAAGGAACGGCAAGGATACGTCGACGGCGCCGCAAGCACAGCAGACGATCAAGGGGCCGTGGCGTCTGCTTCGCCTGCTCCCGCGCGAGAGCCGTCACATCATCGGACGCATGCTGGAGATCGACCCGAAGAAGCGGGCGACACTGGAGGAGATCATGGACGATAAGTGGGTCAAGGCGACTCCGGTGTGCCAGCAGCTTGAAGGCGGCAAAATCGTCGCCGCGGACAACCACACGCACACGCTCGAGCCAGGCAGCGCGACGGCCGTCGCGGCCACGCCCGCCCCGAGCCACAAGAAGTGAGCAAGCGTACTACTAATCTACACTATCTTTTCACCTTTTTGCAGTTTGACAGTTTTTTTACTTCTTCAACACCTCGGCGCAAGAGCTGGATTTGATGTTTTGAGCGTGGAGAGACAGTTCGATTTCATTTCCATAGAAGGCGGTTTAATTCACGAGAAAAGCCTTTGCGGGCGTGGGGGTTTTTTTTTTTACAGTTATTGGTTGTTGTACAGAGCATTGTTGTTAGCGGCGCAGGTTGGATGGGGGTGGGGACTGCATGCGGGCTTTTTACACAGCGTAGAAGGGGACTCTCAGAAGGCTTTTTTTCAGGCGGGAGCGATACTAGAGGCAGTAATCGCTCGTCCTTCCATTCGCAGTAAGCAGCAGGCAAAATTCGACAGATTTCGTCTCCGCAGCGGCGGAAATTACTATGGACTGCCAAGGTCGCAGCGGAGCGTTGCGTGCAATTGCGCCCGGGCGGGTAAAACGGGCGACGTCACGGGCTTCATTAAACAGCGCGCGGTGCCCGAGTTCCTGCGCTGCGCCAGACCGCCCCAACAACCCGCGCCTTTCACGCCGCAAATCTGCAAATCCTTCAGAGTTTTCGTCGCGGGCGGCGCACGCGGCCATGGCCAGGCCGGTCACGCGAGCGCCCCGGGCGCGCCAGACCTTCTGCTGCGCCGTCTTGGCTTATCAGCAAAACGTGCGGCGATAATTGGCTTGCGACTACTCTTCAACATGCCCTCCCCGCCGTCCTCCAGCACTACCGCTCTCCCAAGCGAACACTTTCTGTAATTAATTTTCAGCTCCGAAGGGAAAATATATTGCCATCATGGTCCGCCATGTAGTGCCCATCAACACCATCAAGAACTCCATCCACCACGCCCACGCCGCCCCGCCGACCTCGAATCCCTCTTTCCCTCAACCGCCAGCTTTTGGCGAACACCGGCGAGGCTCCTCGATTCCAGGCTCCAGAACCGCAGCTGGTGAGTGAATCTGGCCCCTCAATGGCCGCGAGGAGACGCTCCAGCTCGCTGCCCAAAATGCCCTCTTCTTGCGCTTGCTCGCTACCTCGAAGCATAAAATCACACCGCTCATATGTTTCTTATCGCAGCGTTTCTGACCTCTCTCTCCGCGAACTTGACGCTTCCCGACGTCGACTCGCCGTTCCCGTCGCCAATCTCGACGCCGTCTTCCATGCGCGCCGGCAACGAGGCGTACGCCTCGCACCTCCCGCCGCCCTCGCCGCTCGCGTCGGCCGTGCCCATGTCCGCAGACGAGTACGGCAGCGATGCGGCGGGTCCGACGGATCTTCTCTCGCCTGCGCTGGGGTCGAAACAGCAGCAACAACAAAACGCGTCTCAGGTTCGGCAGCGTCGTCATCAGGAGGTCCGTGGGCAACAGCTGCTGCAACCGCAACAACAGCAATCGCTGCCGGCCCCGGTGGCCCCCGCCGCCACCGCAGACCCACTGGCAGGCGTGCCGGAACTGGTGACGGCGGCAGCGGCCGACGACGAGGACAAGGTAGCGGCGCTTAAGCTGGTCGCCGACAGCGTGGCCCAGCAGCGCCAGGCGGCTTCGTGGGCGCTGCTCTCGCATCCGGCAGTGATCGGCGGTTACGTGCTCGTCCTCGCGCTGCTGTACAAGTACATGTACAAGCAGCCCGGCGACGTGCCGCTGCTGTTCACCACCGGCGCCGGCGTGACCATGGCCTGCCTGGTGGCCGTCCGGCTCTTGACGAGCGGCTACATCCGCCAGGCCGAATCGATCAATTGGGGCTTCTTGGATGAGGGCGCCGACAGCGTTATCGTCACGCGCTTCGGTGGGCAGGTCATTGGCGCATTGGTGCTTGGTTGGGCTGGCCCCAGCAGCACTGGGAACAAGGCCGCGAGGCGGCGCAAGGGTAGAGGCGTAATCAAGGCTTGGACGGTGAAGCTCCGCTACAGAGGCAAGGGTGTTGGCACCGGACTGCTCGAAGAAGCCGTAAAGGAGACTGTCAAGCGCGGTGGTGAGGGCGTGGAGTTTGCGGAGGATCACGCAAGTGAGTACTGCTACATCCATTGAGGTTGGACCTTTGTTGCTAACTAGTTCCAGACTCCCGCCGTTTCCTCCCCCATTACTTCAATGGCTTCCTCGACCGCTCTGAAGACAATGCTTACGAAGCTTTAAAGGACGTGATCACCACCAGCGGCGCGTTCAGCGGGCGGAGGAGGAAGTCATCCGTCTACTAGAGCATTTCTCGCGCGAATTGCAGATGCAATTCGTCATCGATAAGCTACCATTGCCCACCTACGGCCCGTACTAAGCCAGCGTAGACAACGCAAAGAGGAGGAGATGATTAGTTGAAAGAGAAAAGATTGAATTTGGAAGCAAGTGATTGATTGCCTAGGCCGTTACTCAAAGATCGGATTGCTCGGACCCTCACGGGTGACTGTCTCAAAGATTTCTGGTTGACCCCACAATTCCTGCTTACGGCTTCCCGTCGTCTTTTTGCCACCACAAAGCGCGTATTCGTTTGTCCACTTTTCCTGCAAGGTGTTTCAGGTGCGAGGCGTTTGGGGCGGACGGGTGGTCAAGCGTCCTTCTCCCGCGCAAGGGTTCAGCCAACAGCCGCTCGTTTGGAGGATTTAGAGTGCTTATCCGGTGTGTCAGTCCACTGCCGCTTACGCACTTGTGCAAGGGGGGAAGGAGATTCCAGAACCATAGAGGTGCGGGATTCCATTGACACAAGAGTTTCTCTTACCTTTCCTCCTGTTCACGCTCGAAGAAACGTCGAGCGAGTGGCTCATGGCGTGCTTAGAATGAGGAGCGCCGCTGGCGCTTCTGCTGTCATCTTCGCACGAGGTTATTGGTGGGAGGGAAGGAATGCCTGAGGATTGGCTGAGACGCCGAGAAATCTTCTTGCGTTCACCCTCGTTCAGCCTTTCCACTCCCTCGGATGCTGCCGGGATTGCTCATAGGTGTAGATAGGGTTTGCAGGGTTCGCAGCAGGACCCGTAGTATGTGACGGATGGGGCCGGTGAGGGGGTGCCGTTGTACATACAGGGTGAGAAAGGCGTTGCGATAAGATCAGCTGGGTGGACTGCGTCGTACATTAGAGATACCATGATTGTCGTTCGTTGTTGCAGTTGGGCTGCAAAACTCTGTTTTGCTATGTTTGATTGGTCGTGGAATGCCTAATGTTTCTGTTGAATACAAGTGGTTCACTTTTTAGCTACTGCTGTAGCGTCTGTACGGTACTGTGCATGCGGAGACGCGCGTTGTTTGGCTCTGGCTCTCGTCCTCCGTTCCACCGGTGTTCATACATCATGGGTTCCGTGGGGGTGGGGCACGAATGCTCGTGTTGCTACACGTGTATGGCCCGGGCTGGCGCGGTCTAGGCCCAATTGGCGATGACGAAGGAGAAATGGGGTGGTTTTGTGGGGTCACCTTGGGTCATTCGTTTGGTGACGTTGATGCAAGACCCCGCGACCGGCACTCCTTCTGGCGCGCGATCGGGAGAGTGGTGTGTGTGATGTGAGCATGGATGTACGAATGGGCTGGCGTGGCATGGGGGCCGGATGATACGAGAGAGCACGCGTGAACTAACTTGCTTTTCTTTTTTCCCTTTCTACGTCTACGACCCGTCTTCCGTGCTCGTTTCGTTGTTGACCGTCGAGTTCTTCATTCCGTTTATACTTTCAGCTACATATGGCTTGATTCGGCTGGCTTGGTGGCTGCTTATTTTCCCAAAAAAAGAGAACATACAGTTTATCGTTCCGCTTCACGTCCGCTTCACGTCCCCAATTCAGATTCTCCGACATTCCCACCGCCCGTCTTCCGTGCCGACAACAGCTGCATACGTCATTTCCACCCTATGCTGATTGGATGAGGAAGTTGCATGTGGTTGAGTGCCGTATTATCGCGACACTCTCTCACAGCCAACAAGTTGCACGAACATCTGTTGGGGTGTAGGATCAGGCATGACGATGGGGATAAGGAAAGGGTGTGTGGTTTGCTGTAGGGAACCAATAGATAACAAAGTTTCTTTTATTGGTGAACTTCGCATGCACGTGAGCCACCACTGGAATTCTTTCGAGGCCTTATCTTTTGCACCTTTTCCTTTTTCTCTTTTTTTGGGATTGGTTTGGTGCCGTGCATCGAGAAATGCCGGTCTGCACATGGCAATCCGCTGACATATATCGATTGGTGGCTTACGCATGACGGCTGTTGCTTTAGCACCACCGCGGACCCTAGGTTCAAGAGGATCCCCCTCTCGTGCTTTGAGTCGGACTACCAGCTTTATTGTTTATTGCAGAATCATTGAGCTGCATTAAATATCGATTTGTTCTGCAAGCTCGGTTGCACAGGAAATCTCATTTTCGTTTTCCCGATGCTCTTTCTCGTTCCTTTACCTTATCAGCGAGGATGGTCACACAAAAATATGGAGGGACCATGCTTACATCAGGCGTTACTACGTCTGTGTGTCTATACTTTGTGACCGGGTTGTCGGATAGTTCCGGTAGTGGCAGGGGAGAAGCGTAATTCACTCCGAAAATAGCGGGTTCGAGGTGTTCTTGAGTTCGTGTTACATGTTTATTGATATGCATGCATGTGAGGCGGTTCGGAACGGCACGGGCGGGGCGGCTGTGCACTTAAGATCATCCGCGTGGGGCGTGGGGGTCATGAGCATGGGGAAGAGAAAGGGCTGTGGGAGGTGACTTGAGCAGATTGTTTCGTTAGAGATGTACTATAAAATGGTCAAGATAGTAGCCTAGGAGCATGGAATACTATAGAGAATCCTCCTTTGAAAAGGCAAGGTAGCGAGCACGGGGCTGCAAGACACGATTATGCCTGCTTTTCCATACAACCAAAACTATCAGCGTTAAGAGGGATTATCGACCATATCCAAGAACCTTTTCCCATTGCCTAAGATGTTTATCTTCTGAAACCAGACTTGCAGAGGACAATAACCCGTACTGTCGAACACTCACACCTTCAATCCCCTAGTCAACAATTTGTAATAGTGTATGTACCAAAAAACGCCGGATCTAAAAACCAAGAACTATTTCTGAACATTTCCATGACAACTCAGCCTCAGCATAATCGAGAATGCTTATTCTAAAGAGGAGAGCGAGAACCATTTGGGCGTTTAAAGTTGACTTCCTGTGGCCGTATGAGGGTTCGTAGTGTGCACCTGCACAAGCGCGTCCTTGTACATTTTCTAGGCCCGTGGTGTGGCTGCGAAGAGGCACACTAGTATCGTAGGTTTGTGACGGCGCAACAGATCGACCCAACTTTGTTCAAATGTACATTGTTCCAGTGTCGGTGCCGTCGTTCCAGCCAGCTCCGTCGGATGGGGAAGGAGGTTCGGGAAGCTAAGATTTCTTGATCCACGAGGGAGGCTTCCAGTGAAGGATCCAGTAACGGCAGCTTTGGTTGTCGCATTGCCAGATCTTGACGCGCCTCCCGTAGATCGTCGTCCTCCACTCGCACATGATGCTTGTAGGGTCTGTATCCGATTAACTTCTATGTCTGAAGCTAATATTTGGTAATTCTAAGTGGCTCACTGTTTGTCTTTGGTCTAGATTGTTGCGTGTATAGTACCGCAGGTATCAGAGCTGATGCTGAAAGCCAAGGTAAGAGTGAGATCGATTGAGAACAAGAGTAGTGGTGACAGTTCTGCTGCTGCTTCTGCGAAGAACGAAGGGTCCTTTTTGTAGCCCCACTACCTTTGAGTCTCCTCCACAGACAGGAGAAGCAGAAAGATGTCTCAGGTTCTCAGTGTGTCTTGCTTGAAACATTGTCTTTGATCAACACAAAGCGGTGTTGAGACTTTTGTGGTGGATATGTTTGCTAAGTAAGTGAATCAAGAGAAATAAAAGGCATCCATCTACTACAACCACCTAGAATCTGCTGGGACACCCGCCTGGTGCTGGGAAGTAAAAAGGTGAAGGCATCTTAAGAGTGATCGTAAGAGAACTATCTGTTGAAGTACGAAGAGCCGCACGTAGTATTTACCCAGAATAGATGGCCTGTTTAGGTTTAGTCCCACCTCTGAACTGTACATAGTCTCCGCTAGTCGCGTGCCCCTTAGAAGGTCAATCCATTATGGTTTCAACACTATCAACAAGACACTTGGAATAATATTGTGTAGCGTCCAAGCAGGGTGTAGTTTGGCGCACACGTTATCAAAGCAATGTCTGGTTGGGTGAGTACGCTGGCGCTGAGTGAGACAAGTGAGAGACTGGGAGGACTGTAGGAACCCGTGGCCTCACGTAGCCTCAGGAAAGTTCATTGGAGCTGAAGAAAATGTGCGGTGGTAGTTTCTACCTATGTCTCTATTGTTTTGTTTATTTTCTTTCTCGTCACTGCTCTACTGTCCACTATACTACTCCACTGAAAGACTCGCTCCGTGACGCCAGCATGCAGCCAAAGTGCCCGTGGTCGCTTATTCTCGTCTGTCCAGGAGCATCGCTCGGCAGTGGCCGTGATTGGCGGTTGAACGTAGGCAAGAAAGAGATTTGCCTATTGGAGAAATTCTCGAACCCGGAAGCACGACTCATCTCGCCGGAGGGTACGAGATTGTGTACGGATTCGTACTTGGCACACGAGAAGAGGCGCTGAGATTGTGCCGATGTCGGCGGCAATGTCTTCCCGATTTGGTGTGGCCAATCAAATGTAATGCACATGAGAGGGACGTTCGTCAAGCAAAGCAGAGCAAAAAACCACTTGTTGAGCCATGTGTGGACATCTGCTGGACGTATGAGGTCGCGGTTGGATAAGAAAGCGACCATTGCTCGAGAGAGTGCTTGGCAAAGTGGTAGGTTGACCATCCGAGCCTACAATCATCGTGGAGGTGGACGCGTCGCCGCTTCGTCGACACGACGCTTCATGTTAAAAGATGGGCAGCTGGCTCGAGGATAGGTTCAGTTTGAGGGGTGTTCAAAATTGGTAAATGGCCCGGCTCGCAACCGGATGACGCGGCTGCGGTCAACGCGGTTAAATACAATTCCGTTGTGCCGTACGAAGATAAAACGAGGACCACACACAGCCTCTGGATTAAAAAAGGCAGCGCGAGACGTCATGTTGTTCTTGGCTATCGTGACGGGGAATTGATGTAGGTGCAAAGCAGAAGGGATTGGAAGGCTTCCAGAAGCAGAGGGCTTGACCGGTGAATCTGGTCGGTGTGGACACGAGCCACCAGCTACTCCACAGTCCTTCCAGACCCATGTACAATACAATGGAGAATAGGAGCATATTGCGCAAGGCGGCATGTTCCAGAAGCTGGACGGAGAGGGTCTGGATGGAGGCTATTCAGCAGTTTGATGCTATTTGTAGGCCCAGGCCAACCAACGATGGCCAGCCGATCTCACATCGTGCATGCTTTAGATCAGCTAAGGCAATGGTGAGGCCTGACGCCTTCTTCGTTGCGGGAGACCGCTTCTTCGACAGTGGGCCTGGGGCCGAAAGAGGGCAGATGTCTTGGATTTTCGCAGGGCTCATGCTGGCTTCAAAGCACCTGGGCTAACCCAAAGCAGAGGGCAAAGGCCGGCGCGGGCCAGAGCTTGACTCTGCAGCGGCAACGGATGATGCTCATTACGGAGATGATTAGGCCGTCATATATCCAAGACAGCAGGCTGACCTTAGCCCCGGAAAGGGGGAAAAGTTCTAGACGGAGAATTTGCCAAGGAAGGCGGGGAGCAGGTAAGCGTAGGAAGAAGAGTTGGATTTGAGTTGGTGGCGATACGATAATCGAAGACGAGCTGGGACACAGGCGTGAACAGGTTCGCAATCTAAAGGCACAATGATCGGCCCTCGTAAGGTTTAGGGCTGAGCGGAACGTTGTGGCGCCAAGGTTCCGCTCAGCGGACAAGCCTCCGTGTTGGCCGTGTCTTGGTTTGAATGGCGGCGGTCAGGTGTTGTTCACCGCTGGATGGCCCCCGCGCCGGCGCAAGCGTTTCATGATCCGAAGGCAGAAGGGAAGCCGCCCAAGTCAATACATGCTGAGAAAGATTTTGCAATGGCAATACAATAAGCGCGGGCGGCTATAGGGGAGCTAGGGACGGTGTGCAGCACGCGAGTGGGAGCATAAGATGTAGATGGGCAAGGCTGAAACGCTTGCCGTTGTGCGGGGCTCAGTGATGAGCGTCGTGAGCAGCAACAGACGCCGGTGCAACACGAGGCAGCGCGGGGATGCGTGGGCGGCGAGCTGGACCAAGGCGATGCCAATACCGAGAGCGAGACCTCAGCAAGGCGGGAAGATGACGGTTGGTGGAAGGCTCAGGAGGAACCCGACAGGCTGGCGCACGAGCCGCTTATCTCAGGCGGCTGAGATCGCAATGTCCTGGCCGCTGGCTTGCGCGGTGCCTGGCGCGCCGCCTGTCACGCCCACTAGCCACGCATCACTCGCAGCGGCGCCTAACGGCAGCGGCAGCGCCTCGCTGCTTCACCATGGCTACCGAAACCCACGCCGTCGCGGCTGCCTCAGGCTCTGGCGCCAAGATTGACAGCGCCGGCGCGCGCCACCGCTCGGCGCCCGCAACCGCCTGCACCGGCCACGGCTTCTCAGGCCCCCGAGCGGCCCCTCAATCAACGCACAAATCTCCCGGCCGCCGGCCGTCCAACGGCAGCCCGCCGGCGTGCAGTGCGCGGATGCAGCCGCCCTCTCCCGACCGCGAGAAATTAGGCCGCCGAGCCCAGGCCGCGTTGTCGCCCGAATTGCTGGCCAGCCACGCGTATGATCGACGCCGGGGTGCGAGATGATCCCCCTGCCAGTGCCTGCATCGCTGCTCTGCCAACGCCCAGTTGCGCTGCCATGGCGTCCAGACCGGCCAGCTCCCGCTGCAGAGCCTCATGACGGCACTGCCATGGTCTGCGAATTGCGATCTCCGGAGCGCTGCCCATGCCGGCGCCCGGCGCGCGGACGCACCACTTCTTAATTGCACTGGGCCCACCGACGAATTAAACATACGTAGTAGGACAGGGTGGAGATCCCTTCTCATTTGTGCTCCAAGCTCTCCGCATGTTTATGAAACAGCCAGTCCGGTAGCGCCCCGTCTGTGGCTGTCCACTCTCCGCCGTACATATTCCCTGCCTCCGCCCGCTCACCACTCTTTTGGTTTTGCTCTCAACTCGCTTTCAAGTCGGGTCGATTCAGCACGCTCTTTTGGCTCTCTCGCAGGCCACGCCATTCTTTACAGTCCCCTTCGGACCCCACGCTCTTTTCCGCTCCCCGTACGCTTCGGTCGTATCCAGGTCTTGAAGATCTCTCTCGCGCTTGCCCGGTCCAAGTCTACCATTCGAAACCATGCGTTCCTCTGCTCTTATCGCGGCCTCGCTGGCCTCCAACGCTCTGGCCGTTCCCATGCTTAACAAACGCGGCGTCGTTGTCACTGATCTCGACATCGTGACCGTCACCAAGTATGTTACGGCTACTGGTCCCTGCCCCACCACCGGCGTGACCAACACCATTGCCGTCACCCAAGAAGCTGTCACGAGCTCCATGGTTGAAGTCACTTCGTACACCAGTGTCGCCGAGACCCCGGCCGTCGTCGTCCCTGCCCCCGTCAGCTCCGTCGTTGCTGGCTTCACTTCCGTCGTCGAGAGCATCAGCTCTGCCGTCGAGAGCGTTGCCACCAGCATCTACGTTGCTCCCTCGTCCGCCCCGGTCACCACCACGGCCTCGCCCACCTACGCCGCTGAGTCCTCGAGCACTCCCTCGCCGTCGACCACTGAGGCTGCCACCACCTCTTCCGTTGCTGGCGGCTTCAGCTCTTACTCCTTCTGCCCGACCACCTCGGTCGTGTCGACGGCCTCCCTGACTGCCCAGCCCACCGGCACCGTCCAGAGGAAGTGGTTGGCCTACCACAACGCTCACCGTGCTAACCACACCGACGGCTGCTCCATGTACTGGGACTACGACCTCGAGGCCAAGGCTCAGGAGTCTGCCAACACTTGCGTCTACGAGCACACCGTCTCCTCGTAAGTCTCTTTATGCCATGCGCCTGATGATTGGCCATACTGACCTCCCTGATAGCACCGACAACTTCGGCCAGAACATGGGCCAGTTCCAGTACACCACCAGCGTCGGCACCGTCAACGACACCACCATGGACAACTCGCCTGCCTTCTTCAGCAACATGTACTACGAGGAGTACAACGACTTCGGCCCGTACTGGGGTTCGGCCAGCGTTCCTACCGAGGGCCCCAACATTCTCCACTTCACCCAGATGGTCTGGAAGAACTCGTTCTCGGTTGGTTGCGCTACCGCCAAGTGCAGCAACGACCAGCAGATGATCACCTTCTGCAACTACCGCTCTAGGGGTATGTCAGCTTCCTTGCGTCCATTCTGATAAACTTACTGACAAGCTCGCCAGGTAACATCCTTGACGAGTACGGCACCAACGTCCCTCTCTTCATTGACAGCCCCCACAAGCCGCTCTGCGCTGAGATTAGCTCCGACGCCACCGATGGCAGCTGCATCACCGATGCTGAGCTGGGCATCTAAATGACGAAGCGCCCGGGAGGGTGAAAAAAGAAAAAAGAAGCCCCTCCACTGCCACGTTCGGCACGTTCAAATATGTACGACTTTGCGGAGGGATGCCGGTGTTCTTCCACGATACAAATACTTTTCTTGTTCATGTACATTGTTCTGGATATCGCCCCAGCTCTGGCTCTTTAATCTTTTCCTATGGGAATGGTTGAGGTTAGCTGGTGTCTGCTGTCCTGTAGAAGAATTGTCTAGCACGCGCATTGAATGGCGTGCATGATGTTACGTACCCTTGCTCCCTCACACACACACAACCGCACCGTGTTTGCCGTCATCAACCTCTCCGCTAGGGCACGTCTGAAAACAGTCAGCACTCCTTTTTAATTTTTCATAGGGTTGTCCAGTCTTTCCAAATCAATGTACATGCTTGATTGGTCAACTGTCAGGGATTCAATGTGAACATGATGATCAACTAGTGATTGTAGTGAGCCAGCTAAAGCAAATTGCCAGAGAGACCGATGTTGGGTCACGACTCTCTTGGTTGTACTGCGCGGGGCAGCTTTGGTGTTGTGCCCGTGCCTGTCGGAAAGTCGGGATCCCAAAATGGTAAAGTGACACTGGACTTTTGGAAGGCCGTGTCGAGATATCGGGTACTCAATCGGTAGAGAGTGGTAGCGTGACGTTGCGCGACTTAGATGAGAGTGAATATGATTTTTTTTTCCCCGGGCTAGATCACAAGGTGTCTAGAATTGACAAGGTTGAAGGCGGAGAAAGTCGCTGTAGAGGAAGGAGCATTACGTCGTAAAATCCGAAGAGACAGGATTAGACGAGAAAAGCGAGGATCGTAAAATACGGAGAGAGCCCAGAGTTGGTATACTGGAGTCCGTTGATCCGCGTTATTGAAAAGCAGTGGAGAAATAGCGACAATCACTCCGCTGCGGAGTCGCGGCGCGGGAGCCGAACCGAATTTTCAGAGACAAAAAAAAATTCAGGCCAGGAAGAGGAGGTCGAGAGCGAGGACGAGTGCGGCTGTTAACCTTGTCGGCGTGCGGCGTAGTTGCGGCGTAGACAATGATGGTTCGATCTTAGAAGGATTCAGACTAACGCGATTCTTACGCGCCCGGTTACCCTTTTTGGAAGCCCGTCACATTGCTCTGATTGGCTGCACTGTGCGGCGCAGCAGACGAACTCCCACTACCCACCCCACGCGCGCGCTTCTTTTCCTCGCACTTTTCCTATCTTTAAATCTTCATCGCTCGGCAGGAACGCTCCGATCGCTCCTATTGGCAGAAACGGTACACCGCAAGGCCGCTTGCCTGTATAAGCAAGATGCATGAAGAGCTTGAGATCCACAACGGCTCCGGCCCGCAAGCGAAGTCAGTACCTCACTCCGATGTCTATATTGTTCTGAGCATTGAGGAGTTGAAGTCGACATAAAAGTACCGGGAAGCCGCCCGATATGCAGGGTCCCGTAGTAAGTGGCGGCTGCTCTCCGAAACTTCTCTCATTGGCAATCTTGAGCTTGCAGTGCAGTTCGGCTTGCCTTTTTTCGTATTTGCGGCCAGATACTTCTTATACTCTCTCCTGGTGAAAAGTTAGCATAATGGTCGCTACTTCATTCATCCCCCTCCTACTCGCGACATGCGCGCATGCCAATGTTATCCCCCGAAGTACGTTCAAAAAAGCATGCCACTATTTTATGATGATACTAACCTCATACAGCAATTAGTTCAACGTACAAGAATGCCACTCACTCGAGTGCTGCATCATCGCAGTCCTCTGAAGGTCTTTCTTTCGTTTTCGCTGGCGAGAATCCCACTTCAAGCGCTGCATCATCGCAGTCCTCTGAAGGTCTTTCTTTCGTTTTCGCTGGCGAGGATCCCACTTCAAGCGCTGCGCCGTCAAAGACGTCTGCAGCCCTCTCCTTCGCATTCCCGAGTAAAGATTCCGCTTCGTCCGGTGCTGCATCACCCGAGACGTCTGTGGGAATCTCTTTCGCATTTCCCAGCAGCAGCAGCAGCAGCAGCAGTAGCAGCAGCAGCAAAGATGTCTTGGTCGGAATCGACATGGGCTTCACCAGGTCCACGAGATCTGCGCCTCTGACGATCGGCATCGACCTCGGCCCTCCAACAGCAACAAGCTCGAGGATAGGGACGCCAGTCGGGACTCCGGTTGGGACCCCAGCCGCAGGCAATGTGTCTGTAAGCGAGCAGGGTTTCGATTTCGGCTTCGGGGGGCCGACAGGCGCCCCAAGTCTCGTCCTCACTATGATCGATGGATCGTTCGTGCTGGCGACTGTCGGAGCAAGCTCTACCAAACCCGCAACCACTGTCCCAGCAGGTGCGACGACGTCTTCGAAGATCAGCCTACCCGTGGTGACGACAGCCGCGCCTCAGGAACCCACATCACGAACACCGTTCGAGGTCGGCGGCATCACCGTGTCCCAGAACTCGGACACGCAGCTCGTCGTCGGGAGCCAGACGCTGGCAGTCGGCTCGTCGGTCATCGTCGGGTCCGGTTCCTCGACGACCGCCATCGTCCTCCAGACGGATGGCAGTTCGACGCGCATCGTCGTCGGCACGGCCACCGCCGCCGTTCCAGCAGCCGAGCCTACGTCCGGGGGTTCAGGGGAGGCAGCAGCCCCCTTTGAAGTTGGTGGCATCACCGTGTCTCGCAACTCCGCCTCCCAGATCGTCATTGGCACGCAAACGCTCGGTGGCGCCGCTGGCTCCTCCATTGTCGTCGGCTCCGGCTCGTTCACGACCGCAGTCGTCCTGCAAACCGATGCTAGTGGCGCGACGCAGGTGGTCGTCGGCGGCACCACAACGGCCGCTATTCCCACGGCCGCACCCATATCCGGGGTTGAGGGCGACCCGGACGCCATCGTCTTCGGCAGCCAAACACTGCACCCGGGCTCGACGCTAACGCTGGGCTCGGGCAGTTCGACGACCAAGCTCGTCCTGCAGACATACTCGGCGGGGGGCAGCGCCATCGTCGTCGCCGACGCCAGCACGACCTACACCGTCGCTGCGCCGACGAGGGCATCTGCGTTGCCCACCCTCGCGGGAGGAGGCGTGCAGCTCATCACTACCGGCCTGACGACGGAGCTCGTTGTTGGCGGAACGCAGACGTACACATTCAAGACGGGCGGACCGAGTATCGGGCTGGTGACTGAGGGCGGTACGACCATCGTCGTTGCTGGCGGCACCGGGAGCGGTGGCACGCGGATTCCAATTCCGACCGGGCTGGGCAAGGAGACGAGTGGCGCCTCTGCCTCTGCTTCCGGTAGTTCCGGTCGTTCGAGCCGGTCGACTTTGGGCTCGGCGACGGGGAGTTCGAGGACCACGACGGCAGCGGCGGAAAGCAGTGCGGCGGCGTCAGGCCTATCGAGTGGATTGGGAGGAGACGTGGACTGGGCGACGGCGAGCGCCAGTGCCAGCGCGAGTGCAAGCGGTAGTGTGGGTGCGGCAGCGAGGATGGTGGACGGGGCTGTGGTTGGGACGGGGCTCGTCAGTGCTGTGTGTGCTGTGTTGGCACTGATTCTGTGATGATTTTACTGGGAGGTTTCGTGTTTGCTTTGCTCAACGTTAAAATACCCAAGGGTAACGAGGGAGTTCATCGGAGGAGGCTTGTAGATAATGTTTTGAATGCTTTGAGATAATGATTAGTACAGCGAATTAGCTGGAGATCGAGAAAATCAGTTCAGGAGAAGAGTTCGGCTTTCATGTGTGCTGTTTGGGTTGAGTTCAGAAATCATTTAACTTTGAGCCTGAGCTAAGGAGCTTGCAGGCAACTATAAATAGAACAGGTAGGTGCTCGAAGACAGAGACTGACGCATTTACACTTCCAAGGCGGGGTGCGAAAAGGAAAGAAGGGAGAAGGTTGAAGTAACAGGTGGAAAGAGCTAACGTGGCTGTAGATGAGAAAATCGTGACCGGCCCCGCCCACGCGACCTCTGCGCACTCACCTGCCTCATCCCGCCCTCCATGTCGCGCTTTGTGGCTCCCATTCTGTCATTACTGACACATATTCTCAAGTGCTTTTGAATCCCTTGGCTTACATTGTCCCGGTCGCACGCCAGGTTCTCCTCCTGCGATCGTCACTAACGTTTTGCGATTCTGTCCAGGGTGCTCTCGCTCCAGGGGACCACGATTGTATCACAATTGCCGCCGCCGCTTTCTGGAGCTCAGTAATTCGAAGAAAACGGCTGCGCCGACTTGTTTTCGACCCGTGGAGAGCTAACGGAACTTGCTATAGGCACACCAGAAGCTCATTGGTTTTTATCAAAAAAGTTTTCATTGGATAACGGAAGATTCATAATGCTGCGTGCCCAAAGTTCGCATCAGTCCACGAAGAGACCACCATTGGCAAACAGGTGCTCCCCGTTGATCCACCTTGCCTTCTCCTCGCACAGGAATGCAACCGCGTACGCAATCTCGCTGGGATCAGCCATGCGCTTGGCCACAGGCGTGGCGTCAATCGTTGGCTGCAGCACCTTCATTGCCTCCTCACCAGCAGCTAGAAAGCCCTCCGTTACAGTTGGACCGGGGCTGACGGCGTTGACGGTCAGACCCGGGTACTTTGGTGGCAGCTCCTTGGCCCAGCAGCGCGTAAAGGAGTCGACCATGCCTTTGGTGCCCGCATAGATGGTCTGGAGCGGCGGCGCTGCGCGTGCTGAGACGGAAACGACATTGACGATGCGACTGTATGCGGGCGATGATCCTTTTCCGGACATGTGCTTCAGCGCTGCTTGCGTCAGAAGGAAGGTGCCGCGCGCGTTGAGATTAACCAGCGAGTCCCAATGGGCTAAGGTCTGCTCCTCGAACGGCAGGTTGATGGCTAGGGCTGCGTTGTTGACAACGATGTCCACACGCCCAAAGGCAGCAACAGCTGCTTCGACCAGCGTGCCTGGCCCCGTTGTCGTCGAGATGTCGGCTTCCACAGCGATGGCGCGGTCCGATAGGGCCAGGCTGGAGACGACGCCCTGTGCTTCATTGGAGAGCGAGGGAAAAGGGTAGTTGATGACAATGGTTGCGCCACGAGCGGAGAGCTCGCGTGCGATTGCGGCGCCGATGCCTGAGCTGGAGCCTGAGATGATGGCGACCTTGCCGTCCAGTGTTTGCTCGACCATTGTGGGAGGTTGAAAAAGGCGCAGATATGGTAAGCTTGTTGATGCCCCTGTTCCTTTCTGGTCTTCTTTTGCAGCTCTTGCGGGAATATTGATTCAATTGCCTTAAGTCTTGTTTTATTGGTCCCGAATGCTTCCACTTCAGTGCTTCGGCTCAGTCGCTTGCACCGAAGGATGACGCGGACGTGCTCCGGATAGTGGGCCGCGGCCCGCACTATCCCCTCCTTTAACCTTTAGGTCGCGGGCGCATCCGCATCGGCTGTAGCAACCCCGCACCCGCTCTTTGCGTAGCCGAATGCCCGCCGAAGACACCCTTGCGACTTCCCGAAGCACCAGGGTCTCCTCTTACAGCAAATTCAGGGGCATCAGCCAATCGCCTCACAGCGGATCGATGGGGTTCAATGATTGGACCGAATCCATTACTATGAGCTACGCATCTACAGCTTAGGAGACCATTCGTGCACATTTTCCAGGCCATTCTGCCTCGACCTGTCCCCCTGGTCGAGGTACCCGCATATCCTGCCTTCTGGATCCCACTTCTTGCGCAGTTGCATAAGCTTGGTGCCTTGCTCCTTGCCCCAGAACCTCGTCCTCCGCACCTGGAAGTCTGAGTCGCCGAGATATGCGCCTTCAGAGTGTTTCTCGACGCCTGCCATGACGCTCTTGACCCAGTTACTTGCCTTCTCGTCTTCTTTGGAATCTTCGTAGATGGCGTAGGTTGCGAAGTAGTGATCCGTCTGCATACTCAGCGCCATGTCCTTCAGCGGCCGCCGCGTGCCTGGTGCCATGGAGTACCACAGCGAGAATGTCTTCTTCGTCGGAAGCGTGGTGAAGGCCTCCTCCAGAACCGTAGCGACGTCGGCGCCGTTGGATATGTAGGCATTGTCAACCCGGTAGCGGTGGCCTTCTGGATTGGCTGCACCTTGATCTTTGTACTGGTCGGGCAGATCAGTCGCTTTGTTGAACCATTCGTTGACTGTGCCGGATGGGTGGCTGTCGTGGGCCGGCTGCAGCGCTTGTCTAGCTTCCTCAGGGTCGTTCTTGAAGGTGACGAAGAGGACAGTGTGGACAATGACGTCAGAGCCAGGCGGATAACTTGCAACAAGGACCACCTCAGTATCGGGATCATAAGCCTCATGAATCTGGAATGCAGTTAGCAGCCATCCGAAGGGGTGGAGTTCGAGGGCTTGCAACTCACGCTGAGGATCCAGTTCATCGCCTTCTTGAAGTCGGCATTTGCGTAGCTGTACGCTGACGACCGCATACAGCTGTATGAAGGCCGCGTCTGGAGATGGAATTTCGTAACAACGGCTGGAAATCCTGGGCCTGCACCGCGGGCTGCCCAGAGCAGTTCGCTGTTCTCAGTCTCGGTGCAGTGAAGCTGCTGGCCATCGGCTGTTACAACATCGACCCCAACAACCTGCTCGCAGGCCCAACCCCAGTTCTAGTCGGAATGAGCAAATGCACTGGGCAGATTGGTTTAGGATGACTTGCCTTGCAGTTCCAACCCATTCCTCCCTGAAGCAAGAATCCGCCAAGACCGACGTCAGGGCAATGGCCCCCAGCAAAGAGGAGGCCTTTGGTCGAGAGGAAGCCATTGAGAATACGGCCAGTTGTACTTGGGGAAACTTTGACGATTCCAGTCGTCTCGTCGAGGTCGATATGCTTGTACTGGCCAAGATCAAGGAGAATGGCATCGTCTCTGACACTCCACGCAGCCCAGGAATGGCCACCCGATCGAACCGAGAGCCTGCAATTCTTTTCCTTGGCGAGACGGACCGCCTGGGCGATATGCGACTCTTCCGTGGCTTCCACGACAGCGATCGGGTATCTGTTGGGCCTGCGATGGTTGAAAACCCGCCCGATCCGGGCCTTCTCGTAGGTGTGGGCGTCACTGCCGTCTTTCCACGTGACTGAGAGAGCCGCCATGTCTATCGTGGTCCGGATCTGGTCAAATCAGCGAAGCGATGCAATTGGGAGGCTTTGGAGCTCTTTCTCTGATTGCCTAGGCAAGCTAAAGCACGGGGTCTGGCTTTTAGGCTTTTAGGCGAATTGTATGCGGTACATGCGTCGGCTATCCCGATGGTGACAAGCGAGGCTACTAACGCTGCAAGGTCGAAAGTGCTTAGTCTCGGGACCACGTCCTCACCAAGGAAGGCGGCACCACAAGCATCAGCGGCAAACACCTCCGGCCCCCACGACCGGCAATCCCATCTTCACCGTTGTTTGTTGCACATCCGAGCATCCTAGTGGAGCAAGTTGTAGGTAGTACACGAGGGTCTGGGGCCCCGCATTGTGGCTTGATGAATTTGGGAGGCTAAGCTGGATTACCAGGATCTAGACTGGACGCGTAGACCTCCTTTCCTCTCACCTCTGAATCGTCGCAAATATTGAAGTGGGCCCGATTCACACCCGGATCATACCGCTGGTGCCCCGTGAGGTACGTCTGGGGGACAAGCCGTGCAGGGATTCATCGTCCAATGACACAACTACAGTTTCGCGTCTGCATGCAGGGCTGTATATTGCGCTGCATCACAAACACCCTTTTATCGCCACTCTGAGGTGCACGACAGACCTCAACACGCTTGTCCCAGCTCTTGCTTCTAGGACGAGATCCATCGCTGCTAGCCATGGCTATCAAGACGGTCGAGACAGCAGACGGGGTGAAGAAGCAGCAGACACTTGGCAGTCTCCGTCTTCGCCATCATGAAACGAACGAAATCATCCTCATCCCAACTCCATCGGACGAGTAAGTCGAATAATCCTGGGATGAGCGCTGGAAACTACGAACTGACTCTCAACTTTGCAGTCCCAATGACCCTCTCAACTGGTACGTCTCTGCAACGCCAGCTCTGCCGTTGGAACGGCATCTAATGCATCGACAGGTCACGCTCATACAGATACTATCTCGCCATCCTCCTCTCGCTTGCCATCTTTTTCAGCAACTTCCTGGCTGCCGGCCCGACAGTCTCCATGGTGGCCATCACGACGGACTTCTTTGGACCGCCAGGCCCGACATTCGAGGCTCACATCGCGAAAGCGTCGTATTTCTTCACAACCACGGCTCTTTTGCAGGGTATGAGCAACTTGATCTGGATGCCCCTTATCGTGAAGTTCGGTCGTCGCCCCATCTATGTCATCTCGTTCGTCCTTTACACGGCGTGCGCAGCGTGGGCGGGCGGTGCCACATCATACGGCAGCGAACTCACCGCGCGCATCCTCATGGGTGCGGGAGCTGGTGCATCCGAAACGCTCGCTCCGCTGACTATTTCTGATATCTTCTTCTTGCACGAGCGTGGCACTGTCATGGCGTAAGTGGAACCGCTGTGATCCCCCCTATTTCCATGTGTTGACATCATCACCAGCATCTATACCTGCTTCCTGGGAGCCGGAGTCGGCGGAGGCATCTTGGTCTGCGGTCTTGTCAGCATCAGCCTCGACTGGCGCTATGGCTACTGGATCGCTGTCGCGCTCATCGGTGTAGCAACCGTTCTCATCATTCTCACTTTCCCCGAGACCGAGTATGAGCGGCAACCAGCGTCAGCCTCTGATTCAGACTCATTCAAAGAACTGGAGTACCGCAAGGGTTCCGGTGGCACCGGCATTTCGGTTGAGGCGCGCATCGAGACCGTCAGCCCAGCGCACACCCAGACGCCAGCACCGAAGCGCTCGTTCGTCAAAAGCCTCCGCTTATTCAGTGGAATCCACACCAGGGAGACGCTGTGGAAGCTGTTCTGGCGACCGTGCGTGATGCTGGTGCTGCCGCCGATCCTGTGGGCGACGCTGGTCATGTCCGTGACCATCGGCTTCTTGGTCGCCATCACTTCCAACTTCGCCTCTGCTTTTAGTACCGCCTACGGCTTCGAGCCCTACCAGGCCGGCCTCTGCTTCATCTCCAGCATCCTCGGCTCGCTCATTGGTATCTTCTTCGGTGGCCACTTCTCCGATTGGATTGCCGACTACTTCACTCGCCGCAATGGGGGCGTGCGCGAGCCTGAGATGCGTCTGCCCGCCATCATGGTCAGCGTCGTCACTGCACCACTGGCACTGATACTCTATGGCGAGGGTATTGGGCTGAGACTGCATTGGATGTGTGCTACCGTCGGCTTGGGTCTGCGTAAGTATCCTCCAATGTACTGAAGTGTACAAAGAGTAGGAATGCTAATCATTTTCCTTTATGCAGTCAACTTCTCCATCGTGCAGGCTACGAACGTCACCCTCGTCTACACTATTGACGCCTACCGTCCAGTAGCCGGCGAAGTTACCGTCACACAGCTCGCCTTCAAGTGTACGTTTTCATTCCCTCCCTTGTCCATAAGACCCCTCACCACAATCCCTTCTCCTCAACTATCTTTATTGGTCCATCATTCTGACATTAAATCCCCTTTTTAGCTGCGTTCGGCTTCCTCCTCTCCTTCTACACCAACCCATGGATCGCCCAGTCGGGGTACGAGCGCGCATTTGGCGCCATGGCCGGCATCTCAGGCGCCGTTATGCTTGGTTGGATCCCCTTCTACCTGTTCGGCAAGCGCATCCGACACGCAACGTGGCAATGGGGTTTCGTGAAGAAGATGGCTCACTGGGATCAGGATCGCGAGGTTGGTGAGTAGGGGATGACTCCTCTCATGACTGAAGGGGGGAGACGGGGAGGTGTCTGTTGAGAGGCGGGAATGAAGGGGAATTGTGAGAACGCGTCTTTTATGAGTTGACGTCCAATGACTTTTGTTTTGATCGTACGAGCAGCTTTGTATGTACAGGTGGTGCTGATGTCTCCTGATACTCTCCTTTTTCTTTTCCGGGCCGGAAGCCTGCATATCGGGGCGGAAAAGAGAGCCTGGAAGGATCTGAGATGATTGAAAATTGTCTTCGAACTGGGAGAAGTCAATATTTACTTTCCTTTGCCACAAAACCCAATCTGCTCAGTTGCTTCTGCGATGACGTGCATCACAGTTGTATTAATCTCATCAGAAGTGCAAGCGTCCAACAATAACCTTCCAGTAGCAGAGGTAGAGCTGCGGAAAGGGAAAGCGAAAGGGACTGCAGCCATTCCCAGTTCGGATTCATCTCCAGCCTGCTCCCGCCCACAACTCCCGACACTTGCCAGCCACTCTGAATCATGTCCAGCGCTAAAATCTTGCTGGACCCCTGTTTTCCCCAATGCGCCACAACCTTGATGCCTCCGCAAACCGATGTGTTTCCCCACACGCAAGCGAGCGCAAGGCCCGTGCCTCTCTGTCTGCCGGGGCCGCCACCTCTCGGGACCACCACAACACTTCTGCCTCCTGGGCCAACGCCTCCCCCATGTGGTCCCGAAATGCGATTTCTCATCTCCGCCAAGGCCAAAGTTCCGTGTCGGACATTTTTTTCCTGCTTCTTAGGCATCCCATAGGACGGCCGCACGGCGCCGACGAAGAATCCGACGACGGGCGGAAGTGGGCGTCTGCCCACGCGCGTGCTGTGTGCCGGGGGTTACGCTCGGGCAAAGTGCTGGAGCAGTCTCGCATCCGAATCCGAACGAGAACGGCACTTGTGACCATGACACGCTGACACGTTGTTGGCATCATCTGGACGAAACGCTAAAAAGAAAAACATGGCCGAAAAACAGTAATACAGCTCAATGAAGTGACCCGCGCGCTCCCGCTCTTTGCGAAAGGAGCGTAGAGTCCTGTTTAGGCGTGATCATCAGTCGTTTCCAGAAAGGAGAATGTGGTCCGAAGCGCACGGGAACGCCTCGGTGGTAAGGGCTGGCCTAACGCGTAGGCTTGACGTGTGGGCAGGCGGCGCGGGCTGGGAGATGTGGCGGCCCCGCGATGTGGAGGGAGGGGAGGGCTGCACCAGGTGCACGTAAAGTGCCGTCTTGCAGATACTACTGCCGGCTTGTGCTCCCCAATTCCAGTTTTCTTTTCTCAGGAAAGCAGAGCGTCCTTGACCTCGACACTTGATTTTATTTTTGCGTACCATCTCTCACGCTGAAGACTTGTCGCTGCTCTATCATACTATTCTTATCTGCAACGCCTCATATTGCCACTTTCTGTGGGCTCATCTGACAGCCTTGTTCCCCCCAATCCTACTTGTTACGGACGACTTCGTGCAACTGCAATACAGATAACTTACACAAGATGGCCGTCACTAACGGCAACGGCCTGAACGGCCAACACACCAACGGTACCAACGGTACCAATGGATCGCACCACCATGCAGATACCGGTGACGCCCCTTTGAATGCCATCATCATCGGCGCTGGCATCGGCGGCTTGACCGCTGCCATCTACCTACGGCAACAAGGGCACAGAGTTACCGTGAGTTTTCACACTAATCCCCTGTAGTCACGGCATGAAAGCAGGCGGGTATGCTGATACCGATACAGGTTCTGGAACAATCCCGCTTTGCATGCGAGTTGGGCGCGGCGGTGCATCTAGCGCCCAATAGCAACGGCGTGCTCAAGCGTATCGGCATCGACGCAGAGACATTCGGCGCCGTTGAGACCGAGTTCCTGTCCGAGTACGAGATGGATGGCAAGGTCATCCATTCATTGCCTACGGGCGAGATGGGCAAGATGTTCCAGCATGTACGTTTCTTTTCCTTTCTCTCCTCCTTGTTCCTATCTCGTCTTTGACGTTTTGGATCGAGAATGTAAAGTTTTTGATCCATGGCTTATTCGTCCTCATTGCAGAAATGGCTCTTGGTGTACCGCGTACATCTGCACGAGGCTCTCAAGAAGCGCGCCACCGAAGCCGAGGGGCAAGGCGTTCCTGTCGAGCTGCGCACATCAAGCCGAGTTGTCGACGTCGACCCGGCGACCGCTACCGTAACGCTAGAGAACGGGGAGACGGTGCAGGGAGACCTAGTCATTGGCGCAGACGGCGTTCACGTAAGTTTACTGACTCTTCCCCATCTTACACTCTCTCCCCATATTGCAAAAAGCCCTCGCTGACATACTTGCCTGTTTTTTCCCCCATCAGTCCAAGGCCCGCCCCAAGGTTCCCGGCGGCGACGTCACCGCCTCGCCGTCTAGCAAGAGCGCGTTCCGCTTCCTAGTCCCACGTGAGGCGGCGCTGGCAGATCCACGCTCAGCAAAGTACGCTGCCAGGGACGGTGAGATGCACATCATTTACGGTTCGGATCGACGCGTCGTCATTTACCCATGTGTGAACAACACGATGCTCAACTTTGTCTGCATCCATCCCAAGGAGGAGAGCGATGCTTCTTCTGATGGTGAGTAGCTCTTTTACCGTATAGGAGGAAGCTGGATGCCCTGAAAATACTACTACTTTCTTGGGAGAGTGGGGAGGATGGGTTGATTGATGAGATTCACTGACTCCATTTTTAGATTGGAACAAGACGGGCAAGAAGAGCAAACTGCTTGAGGTCTACAGCAAGTTCGACCCAGATGTTGTGGCCCTACTGGACAAGGTCGATGAGGAAACGCTCAAGGTCTGGGAGCTGCTTGATATGGAACCGCTGCCGACCTGGGTCAACGAGAAGCTCGCGCTGCTGGGTGACGCCGCACACCCTTACCTACCGCGTAAGTCATCGTATTCTGATTTGCGGTATCTGAGGGATCGGCAACTGATGATACATGTTCATAGACCAGGGCCAGGGTGCCGGTCAAGCCATGGAAGATGCAGCAGCTCTTGCTGTTGTCCTGCCCAAGGGGACCAAGCCGGAAGATGTTCCGCAGCGCCTTAAGCTCTACTTTGACTTCCGCTATGAGCGCTGCACAAAGATCCAGCGCTTCTCGCAGCAGGCCGGAAGGGATATCCAGGACGAACCTCTCGACAGTAAGAAACTTCGATTGGTCCTTACTGTGGCCATGCTAACTTTGAGGCAGTGAACGGCAACTCGACTTACAACTTCAGTCACGACGAATGGGACAGCGCGTCGGACAAGTTTAGGCGATGGCAATGGGCGCAGAACCCACACTTGTACTGGCGACAGCCCGTGGTCTTCGGGCCCATGCCGGGTCCGCGGCAGGACTTCTTCGGCCGCCCGCGCAAGGCAACGCACAGCACGGCGACGACGGCGTCGATCAAGTTCAAGACGTCGGCGACGGTGCTGCAGGGCCTGTTCCCCAACTCGCAATACCGGTTCGCGAAGCCCGGGACCGTAGCGTACGCCAGCTTCTCGCAGACAACGCTGAACAAGATGGACTGGCTGGGCGGCGGAGGATACCGTCACTTCGGCCTGTATATCCATGGGGTGCAGTATACAAAGACCAACGGCGAGACGGTGTCGGGGACGTACATGCCCATTCTGTTTGAGAGCTTGGCGGATCCGATCGTCAGCGGGCGCGAGGAGCTCGGCATGCCCAAGCTCTACTGCACCATCGACATCCACCGCAGGCACCGCAGCTACCGGCTCCAAACGGGCTGGGAGGGGGCCACCTTTGGCGAGATCGCGCTCGAAGGGCTCGAGGAGGTGGACCCGGCCGAGGAGAAGGGAACTATCGGCGGCGAGGCGGACGACGGCATCATCGTGTACAGGTACATGCCTGAGGTTTACCACCGCGGTAAGGCAGCGTCGGAGCACACCGTGTTCGTTCCGCATGCCGAGGAGGCGAAGGTGGTACCGACGACGGTGAAGCGTATGTGGAGGGGAAAGACGGGCAGCGTTAAGTTTGATGCCCTGGATTGGGACGCGCTGCCCACGCTCCATCACATCATCTCCAGGTTGGCGGAGGTACCCGTGTTTGAGATCGTGGGCGCGAAAGTGGTTGAATCCGAGGGCGTTCCCGATGTGTCAAGCGCGAAGCCCATGGAGGAGCTGGTCCAGAAGGTTTAGCTTACAGATAGATCGATTCGTGAAGTGTAATCAAGCGTTGAAATTCCTAAATCGGATTGGTGAAGCTGCACGGAGATAATTGACAGGATGCCCGCAGTTCCGCAGCAACTACGTAGCTGTTGCCCCACCATCCACATTTGGTAAGCGGGGGACTAGTCGAATCAAAGGGTGGCAGGTCTGGCTTCCTCCACATCGGAACGTGTCGGCAGTGCCTGGATGCATATCCGAACGAGCGCAATATGTCAAATATAAGCCGATGTAGCTTCGAAATCAGCAGAATATATCGTTTCACAGTCTCACACACTCTGGGCAGACGTCCATACCACAATCGCGATCCCATTGACCATGTCGACCGGCAAGAACATCCGCGCGACCAAGCGCTTCATCACCGGCCACGACAAGGACGGCCGAGAAATCTTCCACGACGAGGTGCCCGATGATGCGCCCATGTACTCGCTCCCTGGAGATGCCGACTTCGCGCTCTGCTATGCGACCAAGGGCTACCCAATCGACATGTCGGACAACAAGGACATCGCCACGTACCAAAACTACCTGACGAATCTGCCGGGCATCACGATATCGGGCGGGTCGGTGCTGCGCATGGTTGATATGCATCCTGGGGCGACGTCGCCCATGCACCGCACCGTCAGCTTGGACTACGGCGTCGTGCTCGAGGGCGAAATCGAGCTGATTCTGGACTCGGGCGAGAAGAGAGTCATGAAGAGGGGCGACATCAGCATCCAGCGCGGCACGAACCACGCGTGGCGGAACATGAGCGAGACGGAGTGGGCGCGCATGCTTTACATTCTGCTGCCGGTGCAGCCTATTAAGATTGGCGACAAGGTGCTGGGCGAGGACAGCAACATTCCGGGCGTCAGGGCGTCGGACTAGGAAGGTGCAGTGTTTGAGAAGCTCCAGTCGCAGATCAATAGACTTTTAAACGTAACGCGTGTTCTCGTGTGTGTGTGTGTGTGATGCAAAACACAAGGGTGTGTCCTTCGCGACGCGTCCTGCGGCGGGGAGGGTGTTCATGTTGCGCGGCCTCGGGCTATGTAGGCGGGGAAACAGGCGCCTGTGCAGGGCCTGTGAGCGCCGGACAAGGGCCGACCGGTTGTCGCACCCGGAGGCTGCGTAGCCATTTCTCATCACTGCATCCTAGCCTTCCGGGCCAGAGCGGCGCCTCATTGCGGGGGAGCTGCACATCGACACCCAGCTTTGCTTTAAGCTTGTGAGAGGCCCCCGTCTTCTCCATGCACACGATTCGCCCATCGCCGCGGCCTCTCCTCGCCCACCTTCCCGCCGCACACCATGGACTCAACGTCGGCCGAGAGCGACAAACCGCGCGGTCTTTTCCAGTGCACTGAGTGCAAACGTTCATATACCCGCGTCGACCACCTGGCCCGCCATGTCCGCTCGCGTTCGTGCCCCTGCGTGCCACGCTCCCACCCCTTGCTGACTGCGTCCACAGACCTGCAGGAGAAGCCCTTTCAGTGCGACGTGTGTCACAAAGGCTTTGGCAGACCGTACGTTGTCTCTTCCCGTCGCCGTCTCAGCAGCTCATGACTCGCCACACTAGTGACTTGCTGAAGCGCCATGCAACCTGTCACGACACCGACGCCAACGCCAAAAGGCAGAAGCGGACCCTGACCCAGTCCTCAAGGGTTTCGCAAGCCTGCAAGTCGTGCGCCTACGCCAAGCTAAAGTGCGAGGATGAGAAGCCGTGCAAGCGCTGCCAGAACAAGGGCATCACTTGCGAATCCAACTCTGACAGCCGCACCTCCGCCTCCGCATCAACCCAGCTACCAGGTGAGAGCAGCCTCGAAGAGTCGGTGCCGCCAGCTTATCTTTCGGTAGCACCCTCTCCCATCCGTCCCGTAGACCAGAGCCAACCTACTCCCGTCGCACCCGTTCCCGTGATGGCCGAGCCTGATCAGGTGAATAACCAAATACCTACCCCAAATACTTTGCTCAATGGCTTCGAGATCAGTGGAGATGAGGCTTCAATCTCCGGAACCACCTTCACCCCTTCCATCGCCCCGGACCCCAGTGCTCTATCATCGTCTTTAACCGTGCATGAGAACAACTTCTACGACTTTCTGCGGAACGTCCTCACTCCTAACAACCCAGGATCGCTCAGCCCAACACATTGGGACTTCGAGCCCCGAAACATTCTGGATTTCAATGTTGAAGATGACCTCTCGTTCGATGCAAACGACTTCGGCCTTCTGGATGCCTTCAACGGAAAACCCTTCAATACCAGCGAGGACTTTGGCATATTTCCGCCCACAATCAACCCTCCAAGCGTCAATGCCCCAGCCGCCTCTACTCCTTCAGACTCTGCCCCCCCGAGTGACCGCCGACGAGCCGGAATTGGAGCAGAAGCGTATCGAAGATCATCCTTTGTTCGCTGGCAGCCTGCACATGAAGGAGCCCATCTCGAAGTGGGCACCATATCCACACCCCACGAGGAGGTCGCTTCCCCGGATGCACGATACAAGCCTGACCAGCGCATATTAAGCGAGCGGCTTGAACAAAGCTCTCGAGACAAATTGCTGGCAATAATCCTTAATACTTGTGATTCGACAAACCTAGGCCGCGTGGTTTCGTCCTTTCCCTCTACCGATCTCCTCGACGATTTTCTTCAGTGCTTCTTTGCTCGAGAAGGCCCTAGATTCGATTCGTTCATCCATATACCTACCTTCAACCCAAACACTATCAAATCGGAACTACTTGGGGCCGTAGTTGCTGCAGGAGCTGTCTCTACAGATATGAAAGCCTTGCAAAAGCTTGGACACGCGATTCAGGAGGCTGTGCGCATTGCCATCGTGGACGTCATTGAAAGGCGCAACGCCATCACGAGAGAACTCTGGGCCATACAATCGTTTCTACTGATCATCGATGTATTCCTATGGTCTGGCAACAAGCGGAAGATGGAAATTGCAGAGAGCCAACAACAACCTTTATGGACGGTGAGGTCCCTAAGGAATCCGATATACCCGGTACTGACAAATAATTAGATGCTTCGGCGGGCGGGGAGGTTTAAGAAACCCAGGGGCCCGCCAATTGCGCCTCTGCCTGAAGACACGGGTGATGTGCTGCATCAAAAATGGCTCCACTGGGTCGAACAAGAATCTAGCCGACGGCTGGTCTTTCGCGGTTTTTGCTATGATGCGCAATCTTCTATGTCTCTCCTAGTAAACCCAATCATCTCGTATGGCGAGCTATGCCTTCCATTTCCCGCCGCGAGAGACCTTTGGACAGCCGAGACTGCTGAGCAATGGAAGGCCGCATACCTTTCCCATCAAGCCGACTCTCCAGCAAGCTCGCTCTGCTTACTCGACTGCCTGAAGGATCCCAAGCTTGCTGCAGCATTCCCAGGAACAATCGACCATGATTTTTCTGCTCTTATCGTGCTCCATGGCATCTGGGGCATGGTTTGGGAGTTCAACCAACTTCAACTCACACTGAAGGCGAACTCAGGGGAATACAACAGCTCGTTGGTTATGAAGCATCGCCACCAGGAGCTCTGTCAAACGGTTCATCACCTTCGCATCAGTGTTAATTCCTGGCGCGTAACACCGGCTCCAGAGATCACGCTCCTGCTCGAGCTTCAACTACTCTACCTTCACCTCTCTATCGAAGACGTGCAACTATTTGCGGGAAAAGAGGATCAGGATGACGCTCGTAGAGTACTCCCCGCACTGCAACAATGGATGCACGACACATACGCTCGCACAGCCGTTTGGCAAGCGGCGCGCGTACTTAGAGCGGCCAAGACATTCCCACGCAAGCAACTGCGCAACTTTTGGGCCATCGCCTTGTACCACGCGTCTCTGGGGCTTTGGACGTACGGCATCATCAAACAGGCCACCGCTAGCGCCTCGGTTTCGGCGACCTGCACGTGCGTATCCATGCCTGGAGGCTTATCAGATGAATTTCATGCTCAAACGGACAATAGTGCACTCCCACCAGCTGCGAGCAGCAGCTCAGCCAGCACACTGGATCCTAACCTCGGCAGTACGGTCTGGCTCGAAGGCCCGGAGACGCCGGATGTTCAACGGTTTGTTACACTAGGTCGCGGAAGGCCCGTCATCAGTAGCAGCACGCGAGGCATCGGTGCATCATCCGGGGATCAGCGCCTCGTCCCTCTATCCGACCCGGAAGCGACGATGAATGTGGTCTTGGACACGCTGCGGAAGAACTTTAGCGCGACCACGAAGGGCCCGCGTGGGGATGTGATGGAGGACCAGCAGGAAGCGGGCGCGACGGGCCTGTTGCCGCCTTTGGTTGAGAACTTGGTGCAGTTGATGCGAGATTTGGGCAAAGCGGCTGGAGCTGTGGGGTCTTGATGTTTCAATTTTTGTTGCGCATTATGCATAGCTTTGGGTTGGCGCACGTAGATGGATGCGGCATTGGAGTTTAGGAAGGTCGGTCTGCATGTGGCCGAATTGGGAAAGTGATTACGACTAGCTTCTTGGAGGGACCCATATCTTGGGGGGCCGTGGCTCTTCGACGTTTGAAGGTGAGCTAGCCCATACTAAATCGGCTATGAAAGAAATAATTCAGTATTTCGACGAGTATTAACGATCCAGTCGATTGGAACATGGTCAGACAAGTCGCGCATCGTGGTTCGTGCTACACAATTGCATCTCGTACTCCGGCAGTCATCGTTCCGTCAAACCGTACCATCGCTGAACTCTTGGTATAGGTCAGTAAGCAAGTTATTCATTACTTTCTCGAGCTAGTTGTCCTATGAAATCACCTTGCTTTGTCAGAGTGCAGATGAATTCTACCAGCACGCGCTACCTTGTTAGCAGAACACTTTAGTCTTTCCGCTTTTGGAATTTATTCGGCCAGTCCATTCCAACCCCTCTTACTACAACAAGCAACTATTGTCCTGATCATCATGATCATCATTGTGAATGGATACAGGGGGACGCACGACCTCGGTAAGCGATGCGGACCACATCCCGAAGGCGCCCCTCTCTTTGTCGTACCCCGCTTTTTAGGAGTCTTCTAAAGCCACATGTAGGAATGTGGTCTAAGTGTGTACGTGCTTTAACGAATAGAGCCACAAATGGCGTTTAGATGTCTCACTTGGCTTCTTCTTGTTTTTTGTCGGTAAGTGATTACGGGCCCAGCGGCACATAGGCTGAGAGCGGATTGAGGGTGCGGCAGTTGTTTGAGTGGAGGTCGGCTTAGCAAATTGGGTGATAGGAGTATGGGTGTAAAAGGAAGTAGAGGGTTTGTGTTGGGGTGGTAGGCTGTGTAACGGTTCACCTCATACTAGTTCACCAACACTCAGTATCACTCAATGAGAACCCGTTGACCCTAGAAGACCTTGTTGAGGGCTTATTTCACTGCCATGTGCTCACTATTATCCCTTGATCTCTCATCATTACAGGCTGATGATCTGCATGCGTGGTGTTTGTTGTTGCGGGATGCGGCGGCCGATTGTGAAGAAATTGACTCAATTTTTACTTGATTCTATCCGTGTTATGCATATTCGAAACATCGTAGTCTTGATTGGGCAGCCTACAGCGCCCCTACAAATACGATGTAGGGAAGCGGTTTCGTGCACGTTAGAGCCTGCAATTTTCTTCCACGGCGGCGCGCAGGCCAAGATATTCTGCATCTATGACCTCACAACAAGTCTTTCTTGTCACTGTAGCTCAAGATGAAGATCTTCTGTGTCTGTTCAACACCGCGCCCGCAGCCCAGTCTAAGATATACAACGTCCTCGATCCCAGCCCAGGAAGCGAATCTCGCCGCGGCGACGCGCACGTGGCCCAGTAAGCACTTCTTCCCAGATTAAAACTGTCTACCTCTGCACTGCCCCCAAGAATCCAACACAGTGGCAGAACCACTAGCTTCTTCATGTGTGATATCACCCAGCTCAGTTGCATGCCTTGTACAACTTTCCGCTCGTGCAGACAACTCGCATAATCCTGGCTCATTTCTGGCAGAGTAAATCTACCATAGGCCCAAGCCAGGCTCACTTTTCGCGGTCATTACTCAACCCTATCTCACGTTTTTACACCTGAGCCACTCAAACCCTGGATGTCAGCCCTTGTTGATTTCTCAAAATTTGTTCTTTCAACAGTTTTATTTCCTTCACCTTCACCTCAAGGTTTGCTACAAACGACAGAGGTGAATAAAGTTGCACAATTCGTTTTGTCAGTAGATTGAAACATGGATTCCACTAGAGAGGTTTGTGTATTTGTTGAGCTTCAGGAAAAAGAACCATTAATCTATGGCGTTTGTGGAGAACAGTGAACCGTTTTTAGCCCGTTTCCCTGACGCCCGGCTCGACGGTCTTTCTGGCGTGACTTCCGCATTTGACGGGTGCGTTTCTTTTCGCGCCTGCCTGCCTCAACTTCTTGGCACAAACGCGGATACAAAAGCATACCTTCGCGAACCCTTCACCGTCCCTCCTCTTCCTCAAACTCTCTTTCCGACAACTCACCTCCCAGCATCGTGCGTAGCTTTAGAGCAGCCGATCCCGCAATGACGGCAGGAACAAAGCGGCCCGCTTCTGATGATGGCGCTCAGCCGCCCTTGCCACCGCCTGCCCAAAGGCCATTACATTGCGATATTGGCTGTGGAAGATGCGCTGGTACTCTCTTTTTCAACGGAGAAGGCCGTCTGGAAATCTCTTTCAAGCGGACACTGAGAGTATCTGACAACGACGCGGTCTCTAACCTTCCGCCCGGCTTCGATGAATTTCCCTTACACCGTGTCGAGGACTATCCCGAGAGCTTCTCAACTGAGGAAGGGTTCTTTTTTCCGATGTATCGTGAGTCACACAACTTCCCTCGAACATGGCCCATGGAAAACCAGTGGCTAACACTTAGAAGAACGCGAGGCGATGTGGATCAAGTTCAAATCAAGCCGAGCCTTCGCCATCAAAATTTTCGTTGGAGGCATAAATGCCGTCTCTGGAGAGCCCCAGCATGAAGACGAAGCATGCCAGCGTCGACTTCTAGAGAAGTACGAGAGCGGACAATGCGTCCAGGACTACGTCGTCTCCCCCCAGCAGCCTTGGCTGGACGGAATCGCCGACAGGAATGGTACCGTGAGGCAATTTGTTGCTATGCCTCTTGGTAGTGGATATTCCGTGGAGGCGCAGATCACTGGCGAGGAGATGAAGGGTGGTATCCAAATCCAAGTGACGCCACAGCACCGACCTTCGATACTTTCAGGCATGCGTGAAGCCGATCTCCCCGAGGTGTTTGTCAAAACGCTCGCCAGCGGCATGTGTACGATCCGTACACCATTGGATACTACTACAATACAGGATCTGAAGAGCCTCATTGAGGACAAGACGGCGATTCCTCCAGATCAACAACGCTTGATCTATAGCGGCAGGCAACTTGGGGGCTGTAGAACCATGTCTGAAAACGGTATAATCAAGGTAGGATAGCCCTTTGCCTAGCTTTTCACAAGCGTGGGGTTCAGAGAAGGTCACTGACTGAGCCAACTTCAGGGCAGCAGTCTGCACTTGGTGCTCCGGTTGCGAGGAGGAGGCGGAGGAGAGCTAACCCTTAGAGATCAAGAGAAGATGGGCCTTGCAGCCGGCGGTCGCATCAAGCAATCTATCGTCCGCGACACCACAGTCCCAACATTTTGGGATGGCGCTCGCACCACTACAGCCAATATCCATATCGTCAACTCCACTGTGTTCAAGCAGATCACTGGCATCGATCCTCCCGAAACGCCTATCACGGCCAAGACATATGAGGAAGCCGGTCTTCCATACTTCGACATTTGGAACGAGAAGCCTTCGGGGATCAAAGGCGGCTTCGAGGGTGTCAGGTCTGTCAACCAGATTGACAAAGAGAGCGAGCAGAACGGCGCTACCAGAGCCGCAATCCAAGAGGTGGAAAATTCGACAAGCCATCCGATTGTGAAGCTAGACCGCTGCGGCAAAAGGCAGAGATTCCGTCACGTGAAGGATCTGGAGGAAGAACTGGAGGAGTTGCTCAATATTTCGGACACTTGATCCATCTGGAAGGGGTCGGGGCCAACTCTGCAGAGCATACTGTGGTGACGTCTGCTTCGAGGACAACGAGCAAGGAATTTCTTGGAGACTCTCATAACGGAAAGGTAATGGTGGGATTTTCCTTATGCTCCTTTTCTTTCTTTTGAGTTTCTGGTTACCTACGGGGTCGGATCGGACCCTTGGACCTTGGTGAGATTTTTGATCTCTCCTCTTTTTCACAATTGGTCCTCCATCGAGTTATTTGGATGGCCTCAGTTTAGCATTCGAAGGATTCTCACACCTGGCTTGATAGATGGATTTCGGCTACAATACAAAGTGCTTTCTCAATATCAACATGAATGTGTAGGGCGTACATACAGAAAGTTACCCATTCGGGTCTTACATCACCAAAGTTCGTGCCAAGGTTGGTAGCATGTACGTCCACCGCTCCTCGCCCGCAATCGACCAAATCCTCTGCAGTTCCTGGATAGCGCTCAGCGCGTTCGCGAAGCCTGTATCATTGAAAAGCTCCCTCAATTTGCCCACAAAGAAGCGCCGATGCCGGGGGTCGGAGCTCTCGGCGGCAACAATGAAGTAAGCCCACACGAGGCTGTGGCCTCCAGGTGACGCTACAGGGATGTCGCCGGCGGTGTCAAGGAAGCGCTCGACAAGCGCGTTCATGGCTTGAGGGGGAAGGTCGCCCAGGGCGCGATGGATGTAGATGTCATGAGCCTGCTCGATGAGCGCGATCAACCGGGCGAAGACGGGAGCATGCTCCGGGTTGTTGCGGCTCTGGGCGGTGAAAGACTCGACGGCGCCGGCGAAGCCAGTGACGACTAGGGAGGTCTCAGTGGCTTCGCGGAGGAAGGGTTGGCCGTAGAAGGATAGCCTAGCGCTCCCGTTAGAAACTGTTTTTTTCCCCTCTTCTTAGTACTTACTTCTTCACTTGTTGGATTAGGAAGACGTTGTTTAGGTCGCCATCAGCGCACAGGGCGTCGCTGCCACCAGACATTTCAACCAGGCGGGTAAGCATCCTGAACAGGATTTGAAAGTCGCTGCCCGCAGCGACCATGTCACAAACGAGGAGCAGGAGGATGGTGCCGATGGTCTCGACTGCTGTGTGGCGACTTGGGACCAGCGCTTCTTCCCCTCCGATCAGCGACTGCTGTTGCTGTAGGCGCAGGCCGCGTATGGCAGCGGTGTAATAAGAGGCGGCGGACTGGCGGTAGGTGGGCTGGTGAACGACGGCCAGATGGTGGGAGGCTGCGGCGAGGGCGGCGTTGAGCATGGTCGGGCACGTCTCAGTCATAGGCAGGATCACGTCCCGATAGCCATTGAAGGGCTTGTTGATTGGGACCATGATGGGAGCGACCTTTTCTGCATCTTTTCAAGTGTTAAGAGGTGATATTGGCGTGCCTGGCGTGCAGCTCTTACAGTAATGAAGAAGAGATCTTTCGCAGCCACTCATGTGATCGAGGGGGTAGTATATGGTCAATTGAGGCCTCCAAGGCGCAAGGACCACGAGCTGCGATTCTGGATTACACTGTGTTTGGCTAGGGCGGGGCTCTTCCCTGCTCTCAGGCTGGGGATCAACGGGAGGATCGTCTGGAATGCCGGCAGCTAAAGGCGCGGGCTTGTTCTTGAACTTGCCGCGCGAGGCAATGCCGTGCACGAACCTGATGCGCGGGCCGAGCCCGGGGCACGGCAGGCCGGCGTTGACGCACTTCTGGCATTGCGGGGTTGCCCTGTCACAGCTCACGCGGCGCTGGGAGCAATTGTAGCATCCTGTGCTCAACAACGTCAGCCAGAGGATCGATGATGTAAAGTGGAGGAGGAGCAGACCGCGTATCTTTGGGCGTGTTGGCTGTTTCTTCCTCTTCCGCCTCTCCGATTCCGACATCATGCGCGGAGAGCGGTCATGGTCTTACAAACATGGTTCAGACTGGCAGAGTTGAAGGCCGATGAGTCGGAGATGGTGGTGGGGTCAAAGCGGCAGCTGCGCGCCGAGCTAAGCCTGATTCGGGCAATAGAATGAGAAGCAACCGCCCTCGCCCGCCCAACTTACTCGACTCTTTCTCCACGTTCCTGTCCGGCCCGTGAACAGCCTTGTGACTCTCGGCGCTATTCCTCAGCGGGGCAACACAATGAGAAGCATTACACATTTCGCTTACTCCAATTGGTGGACCCATTCACTCATCCTGCATGTCGATAGTGGCGACGCCCTCAAAACCTCACTGATATATAACGCCTCTGGTGCGTGGCGCTGATAATGGCCACCTCCCCACCATCAACTGCTTCTTTTTCCAGAAATGCGCGGCGTCAAGAAGTCCAGGACCGGTTGCCTCACTTGCAAGGAGAAGAAGGTTCGGCTTCCGCATGGCTGTCTAGATCACCACTGACCCGTTATCAGCGCAAGTGTGATGAGAAGAAACCAGCCTGTTCTCGCTGCGTCAATAGCAACCTGGTGTGCCCAGGCTATGCCCAGAAAATCCGATGGAGAACCGTGCACACACCAAAAACCCCATCATCCATCGACTCACTCAAGTCCGAGCGCAACGATGCTCGTTACAAATTCATGCGCACACACTCTTCACCTCTCCAATCAGATGCTGGTCTAGACGAAGCCTGGCGAGCTGAGCCATTTCTTGAGGACTCGGTCCTGCAGCCCGATGGTGCATCAACCCTCGACGATTTCCCTTTCTTCAATTTATACCCCCGTGATGCCGACCTTGGTCCGCTGTGGGATCACGCATACCACGAATTCATACCCTTTGAACTTTCCGATTCATTGCCCATGGTGAACGATCCCGTGGAGCTACCACTTTCACCTGTTTCGGCCGAGAACTCTTCCACTCCGGAATACACCAGGCACTGTTCCGAAGAAACCACTCTAAAGGAGCTGGAATTCATCTCGGAAGCAAGCATTGAGCTTCCTGTCCCAGAATACACACGTAAGGCCTTGATTGACTTCTATCTTGACGAAGTCGCCGGCACGCTCTCGTGTTTCGACGGGCCGCTCAATCCTTTTCGGAGCAGCATCCTAGGCCTCTCGGATACCAGCCAGCCTTTGGCATGTACGGCTCAAAGCATGGCTGCCGCGTGCTTGGCCCAGACCTCTCACCAGCACAGATCCTTGGCGAAGCAGCTGCAACAGGAGGCTGAGTTGGGCGTCTGGGATATTATTGAGCGCGGGGAGCCGAATTCCACGACTGTTCTCATTCTGATCATGCTCGGCTGTTCGGCCGAATGGCATGATCCAAATGACCACGGCGAGCGGTATTGGGCACAAGCACTGGAGCTCCTACAAGCTCTCTCTGCATGCATGGAGATCTCGGCTGAGGACCATCACTTTTTCCGCAACGCTCTGGCATACTGGCGGCTCTCAAACTCCTTGTGCACCAAAGACGAGTTTCTGGATGAAATACCAAATGCTGGACAGCACGCACATTCTATGGTTACCTGGAACACCCCTCATCCGTGGACTGGTGTGTCCGAAGCTCCGATCCGTCTCCTGGGCCGCGTCTCCAACCTGGTCAAGTCCTCAGGAAGCCACGGTATACCCATCTCGACTGGAAAGGCATTGCAAGAACACCTGCAGGAGGCAGCACAACTGGAGTGCGAACTCCTGCGCCTGCGGCTTCCTGATCAAGACCTGATTTTGCATCCCCGTGATGAGCGAACGCCCACGTCACACCTGGTCCAGGTTGGAGAGGTGTACCGGATCTGTGGACTTGTTCGGCTGTACCGCGGCTTCCCACATCTTCTGTGCCGCTCTGATCACAGCGTGAAAGCCTCCAGCCCATCTTCAATATCTACCGTCTTATTGCGGATCCCGGGCCGTGGACCTAGCTTTGATGTAGACAAGAGCCTACGAGATCTGGCCAAGTGTGCTCTTGGTATTCTGGAGTCCATTCCGCTTGAGTCCGGCGTACGATTTGCGCAGCCCTTCCTTTTGACCACACTGGCGAACGAGCTGCGAGTCTTCGACCATCGGGGCTCAGTCTTCGGGCTATCAAGCACAGATATGGAAGTCCTACGAGCAAGGCGACTCGTCACCAGCCGACTGAGTGCTCTGGATGCCCATGTCCCGCCATACCGGATGAATGCCATGATCGACTATGTGAAGAAGCTGTGGGAGGAAATGGATGCTGATGATGGTTGACTGGCTGGTTTGGACTGGTTGAATTTAATCCAGAAACAATGTCTTATTCGTAAAGCGGGGACACGTGCGTCCATTCAGCTGCGGAGATATCCCTTCACTGCCTCACCCCACACAGGAGCTTTCTTGTACCAGTGAAACTGCGGCACAGTTCCAAGCTTCAACCCGTCGATTGCCGTTGCCAGCTCCTCTCCCAAGCCCTCCGCCTTGATATCCTTGATGGGGTACAAATACGTCTTGAAGGAAAATACGATCGCGCCGGATTTCGGAAGCCTGTGAACGACTTGGCGTTCGCTGCGGAGGTGGACCTGCGGATAGAGTGTCAAAGACGGCCCCTACTACCTCCACCCAAGCGAAGACTTACCTGGTCTATATCGATTTCCATTTCGGGCTGCTCATCACCCTCGTAGAGCTTCGTGCCCCCCGGCGTGAAGGGATCATCGTTCATGTTCATCGCCCACTATTAACCAGACGCACAAAACAGATCAGCCCTCCCAATTCAAAGCAAACAGAAGCAGTACAAACGAGGGCAACTTACATTCACCCTCTTCACAACCGTCCCCACCTCCAACCTGTCGAAAAACCGATCCATGCTCATCTCCAGCTTCTGCTTGTACCCGGGCACCCCGGTGTGGATGTCTCTCAGCTTCAGGCCCAGCTTCTTGCTCATGTCGAACCCGCTGGGGCAGCATGTCACGAAGCCGCGCATCGCATAGCCATCGCCATCCTCCTCGCGCGTGAGGATCTGCACGTCGTCGTCGACCAGCCTCCCGATGACCTTGAGCGCCTCGACCGGGTCCGCGGGCGGCGGCTCAACGCCGAACTCCTCGCCCGTGACCAGACTGCGCATGATCCGAACTGTCGCTGTCGAACCACTACCACCCTTCTCCGCGGTGGCTGGAGACGGAGGCGACGGGTACACCAGCTCGAACATGCGCGGGAACCGCGTCGGGAGATACGTGCCCAGCAGCCAGACGTAGAACTCGTGGATGGCGGGCCCCGCTGCGGCGCTGTGGGCGCCGACGACGGTCGCGGCGTGGTCGCGGATGATGCGCTGGCGCCAGGTGATGCGGTCGAGGTAGTTGCGGTCCATCTCGATCAGCTCCGAGATCGAGGATCGCTCGACGGCTAAATAATTAAAACGGCGGTTCGTTCTCCGGTTAGCATTTTTCTTGGGTATGGGAAAGGGTGGATATGTTCGGAACCAAAGCTGTGGTGAGGATATGGGGAAGGCTTCTTTACCCATCGTGAGGTGGTACTTCGGCTTGAACGGCCGGAATTGGACGGGCTGTTTTGTTCGCCAGTCAAAGTCGGGGAGCGGTTCGATTTTCCCTTGTGTTGGCGTCGGCTTTGCTTTGACATGCTGTGGAGACGAACGCTTGAATGGCGAGGACTGGGAAGTCAGATGCTGTTTTCTCATGGGGGATCTTAAATGGGGTGGGGGATCCGAACTCACTGGTCTCTTGTCTAGTATTTTCTTCAACAACACGGACGCGCATAGCAGGATAGCAAGCGAAATAGCCCAAAAGGGATCCATAATGCTTTGAGGAATTCGAATCGCTGACAGGGTGATATACTGAAGGGAACTCGGAAAGTGCAACTGGAATATGAAATGCCACGACTCCTCAAGTTTGGGAGCGCTCAATGTAGGAAATGCTGTAATATATGTTCTGACGCCTCAAAGATGGGGGCGCATTGCATTTCCTATAATGGAAAAACGCTAAAATAGGTAAGCTGATGCGCCTTGAGTGATCGGCTGTGATGAAAAGTGCCATGGAAGCTCGGTCTGAAGGTGTATGACGATCCTGGCGCGGGGGAAACAACCTCAGAAGTAGGATTTGCCGCACAGAACACCGGTCGAAAGGAACTTAGTTGCCGAGAAACTTCGCTCATGATCGTATCTTTCACACGTGGCTGTTGGAAGCACTACTCTCCAAAGAGTATCAGAATCAGAGTCCGCCAACCAGCAAACTATGGACTTCCCTATTCTCGTTGAGAATAAGCCTACAAAGGCCGCGCTAATACGCACATGTACTAAGAATGTGGTTTGAGTTCTTACTCACTAGAGAACGAAAAATGCTTTCGTCGCGGAAGAGCGTGGAAGCGCAGCAGTGTTTGTTATGGTTACCGCATTCGGCAGTCACGCGCATCGCGACTCTCGTTTGAGACTTGCCCAGGCACCACACACACTCACTACGCCGCCAAAAAACCGGTCTGATCATCCAAATTCTTGGGCAAGAGATACCTTGAGGAGGGACAGAAAAAAAGACAAAAAACTATGCCTGGCGGCACAGAAACAGGCTCTTCGAGGACCGCCTGTTTTTTCCCGTTACACCCTCCGACCGTACCCCACCCTCGCGTGTGGCGGCCAAGTCACAGCTTAAGCAGGGAGGGCGTCTGCGTCAACTCCCCACTCGTTACTGATATTCTTGGCCGGGTCTATGAAGTGAGGGTCGAAGGCCGGAATATATAAACAGAGAGCCTTTGGACATCACCCACCGCTTGCTAATCTTGGCTTTTGGTCCGAAGTAACGCACCACTGGCTCCCAGCTTTCTGAAAGCTATCGCCGTTTTCTTTGTTCTGTGCAAACATTGTTGTGTGGCAAATATCACAAGGCACCAATAGTCAATCTTGCCTTAAGCCAATACCCAATTAACATTTCGCTATCCCGGTATCAGTAGGCTCTAGAGTAGCGAAAACGTCAAGTTCATGGGTGCATATGATACATCCTATCAATCTAGTCTTCCTGAATCCTTACTGAGGATACGCTCGAGGCTTCGCAGTTCCAACCAGCCCCGACATGGACTTCGTCAATCCCACTCAGGATTCCAAGGGAAACATCTGAAGCTCGTCTTCCAGCCGCCAATATTTGTCATCATCAGGCTCCTCGGCTATTGTAGAGAGGGAAGTGCGTTGATTATATCCACTCCACGCACCGGGGTGTGGATCTCGCGTTGCCTGGCCTTGGGTCGCCTGATCCTGCTGTGCTTGACCCTGGTACGTCTGGTTTTGGTGTGCTTGGGTTTGATGCGCTGGATCATCTTGCGCTGGCACGAGGCTTTCTGTTCCGGATGACCTTGAATCTTTCCAGAAACCAAGAATATCGAGGCAGCCGACCGCAAGACACATGCTGAACGCAATTTTGCTTTGTCGCTTATCAAAGAAAATCTGACCACGCGCGTAAAGAACTAGGTGCCAGCCGTGGAGATGCAGTTGCTGAGGCAGGCCGACGAAAATAGGGAGTACTTGAAACAAGGAATGGGAAGGAGACGTTTTCTAGCCAGTTGTTGATATTGATGGGGGCGGAACGGGTGAAATTCCCTTTTTTGAGCAGCGGCGAAAGCGGTCGAACGGGAGTTCTTGGAATGATGACTGGGACAGAGACCCGCTGGTCGTCTTCGAGCCAGTCCTCGATTGAGGTGGGGGCGGGTTGTGTGCAGCTCCTTTCTTCGCGTGGTGGCGAAGTTTCTGAAAGATCCTCGTCGGTAATTTCAATATAGAGGCAACCTTCTGATGCGTATTCGCTGCTGGTATAATCGAGAACCTGGGTGAGGAAGAGATGTGTGCTATGGCTCGGAGTCGGTCTTCCAATCGCGTATCTGTAGTTTGGCGGCGTATGTCGAGGGATCAACGCAGCTTTCCATAGACGGGTAAGTTCGCTGTAAAGCATATGATTCGATGAAAGTGGGTGGAAGGCGCAGCGTGCGAGCTCAGTGCTTGATTGCAGCTGGGCGTGGTGAAAATGATGAATGTATCGGTGTGTTTAGTAGCAATGTGAGTAGATTTGAGTGCGATGAGCCGAAGTAAGTGAGCACGGCGGTGATGTTGCGAAAGCGATACTTGGGTCCATTGTGAGTGGAAAGCTCCTTCCTATGAAGAGAAAATTCCAAACTAGTATTACGCCACCCACCTGCCGAGATGGCCATCTGCACCTACTGCATTGATAACGTCCACATCGCCTTACTCATCCGAGCGTTTCTTCCCACTGGCGCCACCTTTTTCCGCTTCATCGTCACTATCCTCTTTCTTCGGTATCCCTCCCTGCGCCCACTCCTCCCATAGAGTTGCATCCCTGTACCCGGCGTCTTCCTCCTCCAAGATTCTATCCAACTCTCCCACCGTCATACTCCTGCCCTTCTTCCTTCCCTTCCCTTCCTCCCTCCACTTCTTCCCTTCCTTTTCTCGCTCTTGGCACTGCCACTGCCGCCACTATTGCCGGTCTCACTCTTACTGCTACTGGCTTCACTGCCCCTTTCTGCCTCATCGCTATCCCAGCCGCCACCCCTCATCCTCACGTGCTCCCAGCCCCACCCGCCCACCACCCTCCCTTCATCATCATCGTCTTCCTCTTCATGGCCGTGTCGCCTGTGCCCATGCCCGCCGCGTCTCTCGACCACGTCGTCCGGCCATGGCCCAAAGCCTCCACCGCCCATACCCATGCGCAGCTGTCGCGGAACACCCCCCTCGAAGCGTAGGTGCTCAAAGCCCATACCCTCTATTCGTGCGCCCCGTCGCGGCGGGACGAAGCCATGACGAGGGAACTGAGGATGATGGGGAGGATGGGCAAGAGCAGGGTGGTGATGCGGAGGGTGAGGCGGGCGATGAAAGCGATGACCATGGTGAGGGGGAGGAAGAGGACCTCTTGGTAAGCCCATGAGTCGTGGAGGAGGATGAGCGAGGCGAGGATGGCGATCGAAAGGAGGAGGGAGAAAACCGGGATCGAAGTAGTCGTCGTCGTCGGGATAGAAGATACCGGGAGGATGTGGTGGGGGCGGCCCACCGAATGGACGATGGAAACGGTCAGGCATGAGGGGTGGTTGTAGAGGCGAAGGCCTTTTAAAAGTAGCAAACTGATGCGTTGTCGTCCGGTGTGAAAGCTAGGAAAGTCACTTTGACAATGGCAAGTATTTACTTCGGATAGAGTTTAGTAGCTCAAGACCTCTTTTTATATGAGGGGTGGAGTGACGCAAAAGGGCCGCGGAACAAACAAAAACGGTGCATGGAGAGATTTGTAGGAATTATTACTGAATATAGATCGATCAATGACGCTAATGCCTCTTCTGAATGCCCCTGATGCCAATGCAAAGTCATGTCGCGTTACCCAATTATTATCCACGTCCTTCGCCGAAAGACTCTCTACCCAACTCGCCACACGTATAGATCTTTGGTCCTTCAGACTAGATCAAACCCCTCATCGTCGTCATCCGCTTCCTCATTCGCACTCGCGCCAAAGTCTAGCTTCATCAACAAACGATCCACCCCACCACCTCTCCATGGTTCGAAACCGCCGATCGATTCCCCATCGCCAAATAAACCGGTGCCAACACGCTCTTTGTCCAACTCTCGTAATCTGGTGACCAAGCTGCGAAGATCGCTGTCGACTCGCTTCCTAGCGCGATCAAGTTCCAGGAGCACGTCCTTTTCTTCTTGCTCATAGTTGGCAAGAGCATCTACCACGCCCTCGTCACGCTCCAGGTCGAGGTTTCTTTGGACGGTGCGCAGGCGGTCAATGAAGGCGATGAGCTCGTCTACATGGGTTAAGAAGGAGCGAAGGGCGTGCGTGTACGGTAGATCCGTCAACAAAAGCGCATAGGACAGCGAACGGAGGAAGAGACGGTGTGCGGACGCAAGCACTTCCGGATCATGTGGGGTACGGCGAGGTTCGCGTGTAGACGCTACGGTTGCGGGTCGACTGATTTGCTGGCTTTGCCTTAGGCTTTGCTGAGTTGGTGGTCTTGACAGTTCCGCTGGGTCCTCGTTGTCGGCATCGGTTGGAGAGGATGGCCGTTCGTTGTCTGATTCTGCTCCGACGATCCAATGGCGAAAGTGTTTCCAGGACTCTTGCACCACTTCACCCTCAAAGTAGCCAACGAACTCTGACAGCAAAAAGACGGCTGCGCCACTTGTCGCCCATACCTTGCGCATGCTAACGGTGCGAGCGTTTGCCCTCTGTCTCCTCTTTCTCAACTCGCTTGCTCCCCATGGAGAATTGCTTACCGGGGGCCCGAAGGGTGTGGGATGCTCTCTTCTAATACTACTCTGTCTCCATAGGTCCGTAAGGCGTAGATGGGCGCGGCGTACAGCGAGAAGATAGGCATGAATGGTGGAATAGCAGTCGACTTCGGAAGACGTCAGGAATAAGTCCAGAGGTGATGAGACATCAAGTTTTAACGAAGTGGGTATCGAAAGGAGAAGGTCGTTGAAGACAACATTAGATAATTTGGGAAGAGCGTCGACGCCCTCTTTGGCCCTTCCAGGAGTCGATGGTCGCGTTGAAGTAGGATTAGACATGGAGAGGTGCACCAAGCTACGTGCCAAATCCAAGTTTTCGTCGCTCATTTCTTCATCATTGATCAAGGCTGCAAGACGAGCCCAGCTGCGTGAGAGAACGGCTGTGACTTCTCCCTCTTTGACTAGCATAGTCTGAAAACCTCGACTCGGTTTGCTCTGGCCGGGTCTTCGGTGCCGTGAGCGTATGCGTTCGTCCGATTCCTCAATGAGCGCAACAGCGAATTCGCCACGTCCAAGCAGGAAGAATTCCTGCAGCAACGATAGAATCTGCAAAATTTTTGGTAGTGGCAGAAGTTGCTGCAGAGTGTTTCTCGACAAAGATAATCGAATTGCGGAGATTGCTTCCGAAAGAGAAGCAGTGGAAATGGGTACCTGTAAGCTGGACAGGTAGCGAAGGTGTACAGGCAGAAGCTCAAGCTCGGAGGTCTTGGGAGCGATTGACGATATCCCTGCTGCCCCTCGATTGCGGATCTGGTCAAGAGATCTGCCAATAAATAGGATGGAAGATGCTGTGCGAGAGGAGACAAACTTCGGCAGAAGTGTGCTGGTTGAGACATAATCCACAGGCTCATCATCGCCTTTGACTCGGGTAATGAAGAAGTCATTTGTTCCGTGTGTCGGCAATCTGCCATAAAGCACCCAAGTCGAGAGCTGCCGCAGCCACGCCGTCTCGGCGACTTTACTCAAATCCAAAGCAGCTGCTTCCACGTCAGGGTATCCTGTCTGTGCCTCTTGCCTAAGCCTATCAATCAATCCAGCACCCGTGCAGGCTCCGGCGTCTCCGTTTTCCTTGGGCAGCATGAAGCACGCCATGTCCCAATACCATTCCATGCGTCTTGTCCACTCGTCAAACTCGGCAACAACACCCGCGAGCGGGACGATGTTGTATGCGCCCACGATGCTCGCATCTTGCTTCAGGATTCGCGCCTCAACGTCCAGAATCTTCTGCTGGAATTTGGCCAAATGCGACGATGTGATGGCGGTAGCGACGGCGCGGCATACTGTCGAAGGGTGCGACGAAGCGATGGTCTGGGCATGGTTCCGGAGTTCGCGGTGCAGCTGTGACAGGCGCGCGACGGAAGAGAGCAGCTCAGCCTCCGGAGGCGACAGCAGAGGGAACGAGGCCGGGGTTATCTGGGCGCCGGGGTCCTGTTTCTCGGCATCGAAGAGCGAGGATGGATGACCCGAGAGAGAAAGGAGGATTTCGTGGAGCATGGTCGGGCGGGGGGAAGCTCGGTGTTCTGCTCACTGCGTGGAACGGGCGTGTTAGCAGCAGGAATGTGCGACAGGCGGAGCGAAGACAAGTCGGGTAGCACGGTCATGAGACGGGAATGTGTCTTACTAGAAGTCGAAGTGGATGGGTGGGTTGAAGAAGCGGTTGTTGATGTAGGCGATCAGGGTGTTGAGGAGCTCATAGCGACACATCGAATCGCCGGGTCGTGTCCTCGCGCATTGAAGCTCGATCGACTGTGCAGCGCTGGTGTTGAACTTTGGGCGACGCGCCGATGGGCACGCGGGGAAAGTGCAGCCGGGGTTATTCCGCCAATCTGCACTGTTCCTGAATAGGCAAGTTGCTTCCAACATTGGACATCTATCCAAGATCGCACGTAGTGTTGGAAGAATAGTCACGGCGGGTTGGGTGACCCGCACGTCCCTAAGGCCCTCGATACTACTCTCCTCAAATCAGACCTGTCCAATATTGCGCCACCAGCTTGCCTCCACCTCGATCCGTGCAACCTCCGCGGCCGCCATCCTAGCAAGTCGTCTGGGCAACTACCAGCGAGTCTCTCATTGGAAGGATGGCCTGCATGGTCACGGAAGAGGCAGGCTTCCGTCCGTCCGGAAGGCCAACTTCAAACATAGCAGAACAGACTGTAAGACGGTCCTGGCCACCTGGCCATCCCAATAAGCCTCGCCCTAGGGCTTCACTCGAGCCACTAGCATGATAGACATGCTCGCAAACCCCAATACTGGCAGTGAATTCCAACTAGATTTACATGTATCGATTTTCTCACCCTCGGAAACAACGCCGTCATCAACCTTTCCAAGAACTCAGCACATGCTTTTGTGATAAAGACAGTGTCCGCCCAGGGTTGGAAACTCCAAATAAAATACATCCATAAGCCATGAATCAGATCTCAAGGATCGCCTTGGAGGTTTCCTCCACGACCTTGTCCTTGTTTTTGCCCTTTCGGTATACCCTCTCATCCTCGGGATTGAATCCGCCATTACCCCAGAGAGCCCATTCCGGAGTCGGCTCACCCATGTAATCCTCCGGCTTAAAGTCCTCCCCGCTCTCAAGCAGCTGGAAGAAGCGGTCGTAGTCGATGAGCGTGCACCACTTCCACTCCCCGTTGACCTGCCTCCGGAACCGTGTGCTCGCCAACAGCACGCAACAGCTGTGCGCATGCTCGGCCGCGATTCCGTACTCCAGACCACGATCATTGAGCTCCTTGTTGAGAGCCTCGACGAACTCCTGCACTTCCGCGTAGAACGGAACGTTCTGCATCGTCAGTCCCGCGGCTGCCGAGGTCGCCGTACCACAGTAGGTGACACCCTTGATCTCGACGAAGCAAGGCAGACCGCGCTCTACCAGATCAGCGTATCCGGCAATCTCATCTGCCATGTTGAAGCCCTTGACCAGAGTCAGACGGAACACCGTTCGCTGTTGGAAGCGCTTCTCGCGTAGAATATCCAAGCATGCGCAGAAGCGCTCCCAGAAGTCGCGGTTGAGCGGGCGATCGACCTTGCGGAGAGACTCCTTGTTGGAGGCATCGATCGACACGTACAGCTGTGTAACCTGCTTCAGAGTGGCCAACTGTGCGGGGTGTTGAGCATTGCAAACTAGGAAGGAAGAAATGTGCTCTTTGTGAAGCATCCCCGTGAACTCGTTGATGTGAGGATAAAAGATGGGTTCGCCGACCAGGCTGAGAGCACAATGTCTGATGCGCATAGCTTCTGCAAAGCGTTCGGCACGGACGCCAGGGACACCGCGCATCATCTTGATCTTCTTGTAATGGCCTTCCTTGACGCCCTCAAAAATCTTCTCCGGTGGATCCACAACCCATCGCCAGGTCGTTCCCACAGGATTGGTCCCGTGGCGCCAACAGAAGACGCATTTGTTGCTGCAAGACAACGAGGGAGTTGTCTCCATGCAAAGGTGAGACCTGATGCCGTAGAAAGAAAATTTGTAACAGGATCCACGGCCACGGAGAGCTGATTTGGTCCAACGACAGATCTTAACTCCAGAGTGAGATCCGACGATGGTGTATCCTTGCTTGGTCAGGGAGGAGTATGTGGGCGATGTTTTGGGGACCATCTCTTTCGGTGCCGCAGGAGCAGCATTCTTGACGGGGCTTTTGTAAGTAGTGAAATCCACCTCCATGGGCTCGTCAGGATCCACCTCGCTCTTGACCATTTTCCCCAGATCTTCCACATCATCTAGACTGGATTTAGCCTTGGTCTTCCTTGGCTTCAGAGGCTGGGTGGTTTCCGAATCGACCTCATCATCATCAATGTCTTCCTCGTCACTCTCCATTGCATCTCCACTTCCAGGTACGCCATCTCCGAGACCTTTGCCGGCGCAGATGTCGAGGAGAATATCCTGCACACCTAAACGCCACTCTTTGAGGCGTTCCTGCGCATCGCTCTTGACATCGCCGATGCCCAGGGGATACGCCCTCTTCTTGCCAGTGAGCTTGGCCATCCATTTGTCCACGTCCTTCCCTTGCGAGCAGAATCCCTCATCCTCGGTAGGCCAGCCTTCCTGATCGCCAAATCCAAACACCGAGTATCCCAAGATTCCAGAGAGAGGCGCGGTATCGATGCGGAAATCGTGGTGCGTCTCTTGCAGATGCTCCAAAAAGTTATCCAGCATAGTATCGATATTGTATGTAGGCAAGAGGACCAAATAAACATATTTGACGTTTTTCTCCCCCTTGGGGGCAGAGATGAAATAATCGTCGTAGTCGATCTCAGCAAGGTCGAGGACCTGCGGGTTTAGAGGTCGCGGTATCGAGTCGGAATCCAGAGCGTATATCCATTGGTTCAGCTCCTCCGCTACCTTCTTCGCCGCAGCCTCAGTGGTACCGCCAAGCGACGAGAAGAAGACCAACGGTTGGACCTGATCGCGTGCTGCATCGAAGCTGCAGGTACGCTTGGCCTGGCGCGGGACCTTGCTTCCAGTAACCTTTTTGGGGCCTGGCTTTGGGCGCACCAATGGCCGCTCCGCTATTGTAATCTCCTCTACGTCCACAAGTTCCGCGGCTTTCTCATCGACGGGTGGGATTTCCTCGATTTTTGCCCATGGAGCGGCGATCTGGTCTACCTTAGAAGTCGGCGACCCGGGGATGGGGGAGGCGGAAAGCTTCTGGCGAGGCTGGCGCAGGTGCTGGAAGAGACGAGTGAGCGCTATCACCGCGCAGACCGTTAACAGGACCGGCACGCGCGAACTGTGCCATAGCGAAAGCAAATCTAGTAATAATTAGCGCAGAACGGTTTGTTCAAGGGTCAAGGCGTGCCAACCAGTCAAGATAGGCTGGGGCGAGTCGTTGGAGGCCATTGTGAGCGTGCAGGTTGGACGAGGCCAGACGCTGTCAAATTCGAAATGCAGCGGCCGCGGTTCGCGGAGTTTCGCAGTTCCCCCGCGGCGCTTTGAGTCAGGTTTGAGGGAATGACGTGCTGCACGAATCATGCAGCGCCACGCGCGTACCTGCGGCCGGGGCAGCTTGAGCTCGGACATGGCAGTCACCTGGACCGCTAACAACCTGTCCCTACGCAATGCCATCCGTCGAGGACCCCGGCTAACTCTTCTCCAACTCCACCACAAGCCATGGACGCACTGAGTGAGCGCTGCGAGCAGCTTGCCAAGCCTGACATCGGCAACTTCTCCATCTCAATGTACGCGCCGCTTCCCGCTCGCCCCGCCTCCGGCTATTGCTAACAGCTCCCCAAGTTTCATCCTCGTTGGGATTCTTGTTTCCTACCTCCCGCAGCATGCAAAAATCGTACTCCGACGCTCATCCGAGGGCCTTTCGCCGTGGTTTGTTCTCCTAGGAACAACGTCGGGCACCTGCGCCATCGCCAACATTCTCGTACTACCTCGGAGCCGTGAAGACATTGGCTGCTGCAACGAAATCGATGGCTTCGCTTGTGGAGCTGCACTCCTCGGCATTGCTCAGGTAGGAGTGCAATGGAGCTGTTTCTTCTTGATGTTGGTCCCCTAAGAAACGTTGTGAGAATGTAGGTTGCTAACCGTCAGTAGCATGCTGCTCTTTCTCGTCTTCTTTCCACGCGAAGACATCACTCCTCCGGAGGGTCAAGGCGAAGAACACCATAGCCGATACACTTTCCAGCAGGCGCTTTTGGTCGTTGGCCTTTCCATCATCCACTTCTTTGTCGTCTTCCTTGTGTCTGTCGTCCTCCTTGCCCGCTATCCGCACAGCCTCCAGCTGTGGGCCAATATCCTGGGCATTACTGCCACTTGCCTCGCCTCGATACAATACGTCCCACAGATCTACACGACTTGGAAATTGCAGCATGTCTACAGTCTGAGCATTCCGATGATGCTTATACAAACTCCTGGTAGCTTTGTGTTCGCTGCCAGTCTGGCAGTGCGGCTTGGAGCTTCTGGCTGGAGCGCGTGGGGGGTTTATATTGTGACGGGCTGTCTACAGGGTATTCTCCTCGCTATGGGTATCTACTTTTGGCTCAGGGACAGGAAGGAACAGAAGGCGCAGTCTTCCGGCTTGCAGAGTCAAGTAAGTCTCCATCTATCGGCTACCCCCAAGGGTTCACCACTAACACTATTCGTAAAGGCAAACGGTGCCAGTGAACGTACACCCTTGCTTCACGAAAATGGAGAGAGGGGTAGGGAATGAGCTTTTGCGGAGTAGCTTGACCACCATAATCAATACTTTTTCGCCATTTATCCAATCCGTTGATCTGGTTCTAGACACCTCCAAAATAGAAAACAAGTTAAAATTGGGCGACTTGAGTGATCCTGTGGTACCACGTCATAAAAGCGTATTCGCTACAGGAAATTTTGTTATTCACTGGCTAGCAAATGGCCTGGCATAAATATGCATAGGGATACTAATCTGCTCAGGCTTCTCCCCTCAATCGCACCACAGCAATAACGAGTTTTGTACCAAAGCTCAACAATGAGTTATTCGTTGTTCGTTAGGCGTCGCGAGTAGTGTGATGTTTTCAGAAAACCCATTTGTTCGGTTGTTGTGTCTTGGACTTGGGTTGACGACGTATGGCAACACTTCCAAGACAAATGAGATTTTGCGGGATATACGGTGGTAGCAAATGCACTCTATCAACAAATACCCAGCCCATGCAGTCCTCAAGCACCAGACGCCTGCTCTCCCAGTGATAGAACCATACTCAAACAACCACCCTTCTCAAACCCTCTGTTCCACCCAAGACCCTTCTACCTGTCACCGCATCTCTTCCCTTCCCATTCTCCCACCGACCTTCCCTACTCCCTTCTTCCTCCACCCACGCGCCATCGTCCTGCCCTACGACTCCCACCTCCTCACCATCACTATTCGTGAATGCCTTGTTGCCCTCCATGAAGGCTGCTTGCCGTTCGTGCGTCCCTTCAACCCATCGGTGTATGCAGGCGTAACAATACACCAAACCGTAGGGGCTCGCTGTCGGCGTCTGGATGGGCGATACGCAAATGGGGCAGAGTGCGGAATTTTCCGGGGCAGGGACGGTGAGTATGGGCAGTAGGGTGGTGGAAGAAATGGGCGGTGACGGCTTCGGCGGCGGCTTCTCCTGCTTCAGCGCCGAGGGCTTGGACGGCGTAGCCGGAGGCGTCTTAGAAGAAGCTTGGGGTTTGGGGAGCACGGGAAGCCCGCCGACAATTGGTGGCGGTAGCTCGAGGTCCGCAGCCGTCTGGCGGGACAGTTGGCGCGCGAAGTCGGAGGCGTGCCACCACTCGAGGAACTTGAGGGCGAAGATGGAGGTAGGGAGAAGGATGCGGAGGGAGCTCAGCGCGCGTTGGGAAACGGTCTGTGCGAGAGTCCGCGGGTTGAGGATGCTGTTTTGCTGGCCGGGCCTTGCGCCGGGGGTGGGCGTACGGGCGGGTGGGTTCGTGGCGAGCTCGATGGCGCGGTGGTCGGCGGCGTTGAGACGGCGGATGCGCGTACCCACCAGCCACATGAATGGGCTGTGGTACTTGGATCCGTCAAAAAGGTAGGCCAAGTTCCAGGCCAGCAGCGCGAAATAGTAGGCCGCATTGACGCTCGGATACACTTTCCGTAAAAACCATTTGTAGTAAAAGATGATGCGCTGCTTTAGGGTTGCGCCCTCGGGCAACCCGTCCCGCTCTCGTCCGAAGCCAGGCGCGCCCTGCAGCACGCTTTGATGCGCGGCGTGGATGTCCCAGCCCTCGTCCAGCTTTCGCTTTAGCCACGGTAGGCCGACCATGACCGCCAGGTTGCGCCAGACATCGGCATTGCGCAGCTTCAGCGTCTCGCGTACCTGGTCGGCGGCGCCCAGCTGCGCACGATGCACCTCTCCGCCCTTGACGCGTAACACGCGCTCCCTTTTCAGGCCGTAGAAGTTCTCGGTGAACCCACCGCCGTATGTGCGCAGGAAATGCCGCTCGACCAGCAGCGACAGCAGCGCGTACACTTCATCGAACGAATTGAGGATAGGCAGCAGGTATCGTGGGTGCCTATGTGTTGCGACGGCGAGTAGGTATCGGAGAGAGGGCGGGAGCAAGGCGGACAGTTGCTGTTCGGAGAGGAGCTCTGTTGCGCCGTTAGAAGTCAATGCTTCATGAACTGTAAAGCAGGAGAGCAGCTGGAACTGGGTCATACGTACCGAACAGCGACGGCTTCAGCTCATCGAAGCCATCTTGTTGGCTCGACAGATACTCCATCGTGCCTGATGCTCATCGCTATCTGAAGCGGGTTGCGACAGCTCATTGACAGAGGATGACTATGCGGCCGTCGGCGGACGACAGATGCTAAGCCGAGGTGCCCTGACGTCGGCTCCCGCGCCTGAGGCCCGTGCGAGCGGTCAAACTTGAGCACGTGAGCGGCGACTACTTTTCCAGCAGCATCCAGCTACGAACAGCTAATAACCAATCACAGTGGAAGAGTATCCCTGGACCCTGACGAAATAGCGTCATGAACCAACGTTCTTGAGTAGGTATCTTAGCTCATGATTGCTGGGACGGAAGTCAGAAACACCAACACTTGATTTATAAAATTGGGATCAGATAGAGGCATGAAGCGACTCGATGGGAGTATTGCACCAGTTCAGTCGCCGCATTGCCGTAGCAAACAATGACTCTAGACATGGGTGAAGTGGAAAAGACGAAATTGATTTTAGAATTGCAGCCTGCCCCTCTACTGAGCTTTGGGCAACTCCATTTTGTGCATCCAGAACGCCTAGAAATTCGCCGCCCATGCTTCCCGAGAGAATATAGCACCCTTAAGCTTCATCACCATCGTCCATGTTGAGATCCTCCATTTCCTCCAGCAGCTGGTCCATGGGAATCTGCAGACCCTCGTCATCCTCATCGTCGTCCTCCTCCATCTCCTCTGGATCTGATGGCTTCGGTGCATGTTGGCTCTTGTACAGCGCAATACCTGCACGGTACTCCTCATCCTCTTCAACGTCCCGCAAGAACATTTCAAAGTCGCGCTCGAGGCGTTCCTGATCTTGCTTGCGAGGAAGCATCTCGCTCTCTTCCTTGGCCATGCGCTTGACCTTCCAGGTGCGCCTGCGCCTGTGCCTGCGGCTGTACTGCTTCTTCACCAGCAACACGTCCGGGATGGTCGAGGAGTACTGCTTATTGTTCTCAAGCTCGTCCAACAGGTCGTTGTTGAAGTTGGTGCCCTGCAGATGGTAGCCCAGAACAGAATCACCCACGTTCAAAATACCGCCCAAATGGGTCCTTGTGTAGAAAGTCTGATCGTTCGATCCTAGGTCCGATGCGCGAGCCACGGTCGCCTCCGCCAGAACATAGCGACCCTTCACCGGGCCAAGAGGCTCAATATCGAGGACCATGAACTCGACCAGCTCGGTAACGTCCGCGAGAGGCGTGAAGGGGGTACGCCAAAAGACTTCGGGGCTAATATCTGCCGTTTGGAGCGTCTGTGGATCCAGTACTTGGACGGCAGTTCCGATACGGTTGCACAGAGTCATGGGTGGGATGTTGCCAAGCTGCTTTGCCAGCTTGATAGGTAGGACAACTAGGTCATCCTTACAGATCGGAACAATCTCCACCGAGTAGGTAAACTTGTAGGATTTGACAGACGTGTGGATATCCATGGAAATGAGTTCCTGGGACTTCTTGCTGAAGACGGGCACGACAGACTTCAGGAAATCGACAAACTTCTCGGCCTGGTTTCGGTGGGCAAAGAAAAAGTCGATACCTTCATGGGTCTCCTTGATATTGATCGTGTCTCTATGGGCCATGTGCTTCAAAATGAGCTGTTCGAGGTAAAGGAAGGTGCGCTTGTGGGTGACCTTCTGGCGCACCTGAACGCTAGCCCTCCAGGTGTTGTGGGTGTAACTCTTGGCGCAGTCCGGGCATTGTTGGTTGGCAAGAACATATTCGACCTCAAACGATTGTTGCAGAATGGTGTTCTGGAAAGCCTCCTGCTGGATCGTGATCTTGACCTTAATTCTTCTCGAATGAGGCTCGGTCCAGATGAAGCTAGCGTCGATGATGCGCACTTTGTTCAAGCCGCGCAGCTTCCGGAGACACAGGGCAAGCAGTTCGCGAGACTCGGGCTGGGCAACGATCCACTGGCTGGGTGGCGACATCCATCTACTCGCGAGGTTAGAAGATTTGACGTATGATGTAACACCTGGGGACTTGCCTGTCGCAGTCTCTGCACGAGTGCAGAACAGCCTCACGCTGGATCCCCTCGCTGATATCGACCGTGAGCTTTATACAGTCGTAGCAGAGCGCACCAGCGGAAGTGGTGCCGTCGATCGGGGCGCCGCAGTTGCAGCACAGAATAGTTGCCGCATTGTGCGCCGCGGGCTGGAAAGACACAGCGCCGTTGTCCAGATCCATGGACATGGTGGGCGCAAGGAAGGGGTATCTCGAGTGTTGAAGAATGGATAGAAGCGGACGAGGAGAGAAGAAGAGGGCGTAGGGCGGTCGCAAGATTTGCCCCACGAGCTCTGGCAATAGTTTGGGAATTGTCAGCAGCGGGCGGTCGGTGGTAAAAAGATGCGCCTTATCGATAGCGCAATTGCCGTTGCCTCCGCGCCTCACGCGGCCTTAGCGCCAGGACGCTTCATGCACCTGTCCTTCTCGCCTCCACCTCTCATTTCTCACTGAACAGCGCCATGGCTGCCTCCAGGGTGATCGCGTCTGGCGTCCGATGCGGCGCCTGTCGCTCACGTTTTCTTAGGACCTTTGTTCCGCTCGCTGGCTTCGACTCCGCGCCCGCCTTGGGAAGAGCTCGCGCGACAACCAGGGCTTTCACATCCGCACCATTGCGCCTCTCGGATAATCTTACGAAGAACGAGCCGAGCCTGGATAGTGCCGAATCCAATACTGAATCGGCTCCTGCATCTGCAGATTCCCAGGAGGCATCGGTGCCCTGGTACCTCCAAGTCGATGCGCCTCAACAGCCGCTCGACGGCTCCGCGCACCCGTTAGCCGACAGACAGCGCATCCCCGCACTCCCTGAACATCCCCCGCCAATCCTCGAGCATCTCCTTCGCTACGTATCTGTGGATCTCGGCATCGACGACGTGTCTCTCCTCGACCTTCGGGAACTCGATCCGCCACCGGCACTCGGCGCAAACCTGCTGATGCTTTTTGGAACTACGCGCAGTGAAAAACATCTTCACGTCTCCGCCGACAGGCTCTGCCGGTGGCTTCGGAGCGAATACAAGCTGAGCCCTTATGCTGATGGTCTGCTGGGCAGAAATGAGTTGAAACTGAAATTGAGGCGGAAGGCGCGAAAAGCGAGGATGCTTTCAAATGCCGGTGGGTCCGAAAGCAGTCTTGCTGCTGATGACGGTATTCAATCAAGTTGGATCTGCGTCAATGTTGGCTCCGTCAAGGCCGCCGAGTCTACGCCAACAGACGGACCCAAGATACAAAACTTCGTTGGGTTTGGTGGAGTATCAAAGGGTGTGAACATTGTCCTGCAATTGTTCACGGAGGAAAAGAGGACTGAACTTGATCTCGAGACCATGTGGAACGGAGTGTTGAAGACTGATAGGAGGAGGAAAGAAGCATCGACTACGAATGATGCACCTGTGGATGAAATGTACAACCCTAACGGCGCTGTATTCGCTGGGTCCAATGTCCCCAAGAGCTCGAGCGCGTTCCAGCACACCAACCCCCAGGCCCCGCTACAGACTCGGGCTTTGTATACTACAAGGATGAAAGAAATTGGTACGAGACTGGTATCTGAAAGAGCTGGGAAACAGACTTTGGCTAACAATTTGACAAGGCCTTGGAGAGCGTCAATGAGCACCGCTTCGGACGCAGGGCGCTCTTCTTTCAAAAGTTTTACCCCTTCCAGCTTCCAAGAGCCAGCCGGGCCAAGCCAACATGGGGAAGCTCTGGGGCTCGCCAAAAAGTTGGAGCAATTGCGTCAGATGTCTAAAGAGGAGAAAAAAGCAGCTTTGGGAACCGGGTTTAACTCCAGGATGAATGGTGTTTCAACGCCTTTTCTCAAAGAATTCAACAGCTACATCCCCGAGTTCCCAGATGTCGTGCATTATGAAGCAATCATGCAGCTCTACCTTGTTGCTCGATCGATCAATCATCCAGGCTACCCGGTCTTCCTCATCAATGATCTCCTTTGGGAAATGATAAGTGCAGGGATCCGTGTTCCGGAACGTATGTTTCTTGACACTCTTCGTTCCAATCTGTCGGTCGAGCACCCGGAGGAGTTCGAGGAAAGCACTGCACAGCGACGAAATCAGATTGTCTTTGCTTTTCTTCAGGCTATGCAAGGCCAGTCCTATTCCGTCCTAACAGACGAAATCATCTTGATGCTTCACAACTCCGTCTCGACACTCACTGAGGACCTGGAAGCCCAACATCCAGAGCAAAGCACCGTTATCAAACGAGCAGAATACAACCGATCCGTACGCCACAAACTCCTCCACCAAATAGATGTCCTTGGCATACCGTTGAAGCACGAAACCTTTGCACATCTGCTGCAAAGTTATGCTCGTCTGGGGGACATGGAGGGCATGTGGCACGTTTGGAGCTCCACGGCTTTGTCCATGTACTCAAGATCGGCGTACATGTACGCGGTGGCTTTGAATGGCGTAGCCTTCTCCGGCAGCCAAAAAGGCTGTATAGAGGCTTTGCGCAACTGTCTCGCCACCATGAAGCAAGAAATCCCGGAAGTGGAATTGAAAGGTGACGTGAGAGATGCTGTGATGCGATGCCTCTTGGTAATCAGCCCGGAGATCGATAAAGCTTGGGAACGTGGGAATAAGAAGGGCGAGTGGCTGAGCATCTGGAACCGTTGCATGCGAGAACTAGGAAAAGAGGAGGAGAGGAGGAGAATGTCCAGAAGGAAAGGTGTTCCTCAAAGATCTTTGTCGGGAAGACATGCGTTTGGACAACTCTGAGCAAATTATTCTTGTACAAACAGCGTACACTAGATGTCTGCAATCTAGGGTGTAGACAAATCGGCAAACGAGTCGGAATGCGTGAGAGCGTTCATCTTTTCCATTAAACTTGAGTTGATCAGAGTGGCGAGATAGAATGCGGCATTGACGATCTATTTCCTGATTGGGTGTCCTTATCGATAACTCTAAATAATGTCGTCCCCGGCAATTTTCTATTCCGCATCGTCTCCCCCGAAGCTCTTCCCAGCATTCAACCAGACATCGCCTACCATGTCCACCCGCAAAAGAAACGAATGGCTCGAAGCCGATGATGTCAGCGACGACGATGACGCTGGCTACAACTCCGAAGCCGAGGAGCAAGGTCGGAGCCGCGCAGCAGCACTCGCTGGCCGCGCTTCCAAGCGGCGCAAGGTCGACGAGTCGGACGACGAATCTATCGAAGACGAGGACGATGACGACTTCGACCCCTCCCTACTACGGAAAGCAGACGCCAAGAGTGTCCCCAAACCAACCGGACTCGCGGACGAAGAGGACAATGCGCCCAACGACCGCAAAGACGAAGAAGCGGATTTCGACAAAGATGACGACGATGGCAACGACGACCCCCTGAAACCTGCGCCGGCATCCAAGAAACCACTCAGTGCGAAGAAGCTTGAGAAGGCTCAGAAGGCGGTCAAGAAAACGGGCGTCGTGTACCTGTCGCGCATCCCGCCGTTCATGAAGCCGGCCACGGTCAAGTCGCTGCTGAGCCAGCACGGCAAGATTGGTCGCGTCTTCCTGACGCCCGAAGACTCGGCCGTGTACCGTCGCCGTAAGGCCGCCGGTGGCAACAAGAAGAAGTCGTACGTCGACGGTTGGGTTGAGTTCATGGACAAGAAGGATGCCAAGACCTGCGTCCAGCTGCTCAATGCCAAGATCGTAGGTGGCAAGAAGGGTGGCTATTACTACGATGATGTATGGAATATGCGGTACTTGACCGGTTTCAAATGGCACCATTTGACGGAGCAGATTGCAAACGAGAACGCAGAACGCGCGAGCAGGATGAGAGCGGAGATCTCGAGGAGTACAAGGGAGAACAAGGAGTTTATCCAGAACGTTGAGAGGGCGAAAATGCTGGAGGGCATGGCGGCAAAGAAGAAGAGTAAAAGCGCAGGAAATGAGAGTGCAGCGACGCCTGCGCCTGATGCAAAGGAGGTCAGGAGGCAGTTCAAGCAGGCGGAGGTCAAGTCGAAGAAAACAAGGAATGTGCCCGAGCAGCCAGAAGAGGTCAAGAGGGTGTTGTCAAAGATCTTCTAAAATGTTCTGCATGCTGTGGAGTTTTAATAAGCATAGGCGCAACAAAAGGTCAAGCGTATTTCATCATGCAAACTATAAGATATCCAAGTTATTGTAGGCCATCGCCTTCTCGAGGACGAAGAGTAGTTTCGTGACTGAGTCTTCACAATTGCGCCCAAAACTCTGCCAATCTTTCGGCGCCTTCTTCCCAACCAACATCGTTCTGGAGGTGATGCGCTGCGTCCAACTCAGCATATCTCACGCCTTGCCCAGTGGTCCCTTCGCCCTTAGTAAGTGCTTGCACTTCATCCTCGACACCATCTATCTTCTTCTTGCTCACTAGTCCCCTATATGCCGCCCGATATTCGTCTGCCATCTCATTCATGAGCCTCGTCCCCATCAACTTATCCCCTTTCCCCGCCACCACCAGCACCCTCTGCCCATTGCTTCCCCATCCAACAAGATTGAGCAAAACATTTCTCGGGTAGACCAACCGCCGCATCATTTGGTTCGGCCAGATCATGCTCTCGTACCCCATCATGCAGGTCCTCCGAAACTCCGCCACGGCGGAGTTCGACACGGCAGGGCTGAAGAAAGCGCCCTTAACGAGCTCCAAAGTTGACAATGGCGAGAGCGGGTGGTACAAATGGAAGAGAACACGGATTGGAAAAAATAGGTCGTGCTTGAGCCAATTCCAGTAAACTCCGATCCTGTGAATATCGTCAGAGGCAACCGTTCTCAGATCACTCCCCTGGCTTGATATTTCTCCGACGCTCCAATCTTTGAACATCATACCTGATATTGTGAAAGCCAACAGACGCCACTTAAGAAGCAAAGGAGCTCGGGAGGGAGTATAAAGGAAAGAGGCAATACTCACTGCCCAAAACACGGCGTCCCCGCCAATAATCCTAGGCCCCTCACCATTCCCTTCAACCTCCCCTTGCCGCCGTCACCACAGCCACCCCCCTCTGTCTCAATGACCCACTGCGCCAAACCCCCACCGCTCGAGTGCCCCACCAGCACCACCTCCAACCCTTCCCCAAACACCTTCAACCCTTCCACCACCACCGCAACCACGTCTTCCGTCATCGCCGCCATCCCCGTGCCCCACACCATCCGCAGGTAGCCCGGCTGCCAGCTCGCTCCGTGGCCACGCAGCGACAGCGCGTGGCAGGGGATGCCATGGTTGGTGGAAAGGTAGGTGAGGTAGGGCAGCCAGACGGCGGCCGAGCCGAAGCCGCCGTGGAGGAAGAGGATGTGCGGGACTGGAGACGGCGTGGAGAGAGTGCTGGATGTGGTTGGCGAGAGGAAGGAGGAGGGAGGCACGGCGGAGAGGAGCTCGAGGTCGCCTTGCGGCGTGGGGATGTAAGTGCGGGTGACACCGGGCGGGAGGGGAGGTGGTGTGGGTTTGCTGGATGAGGCCGTCCAGGGAAGACGCCAGAAGGGTGTCCAGAGCATTGTATGTCGGAGCTCTTATGCGTGTAAATATGGGGGGGGCTGTTAGTGAGCGACGATGCTATATCTGGAGGCTTGGAATGAGAGATAGAGTTTTGTGCGAAAGTAGTGATTCACATTGTTTTTAGCTGAAAAGACATGGCACTCTCTTAAATCGGTAGAAGGATTGAGACAGCGTTTAGCCTGCGTCTTCTTCCCCGCTTGTCGTTCCATCTTATGCAGGCCGGCGCATTTCCGCGAATGCGACGCGCCTACATCTCAGCCGCAGCTTGGCGTGACCGATCTTTCGTACCTGAGACTCTCGGAGCTCTCCGTGAGTTATGTCTGGAAAGTTCCAACTTTCTTCTTCCCTCAAAGTCGTCCTGCCAGGCTCCTTTTGAAGTTTCGATATCGTTGAGGTCGGATCCAAGATGGCTGTCCAAAGCATCTTCCGTTTACCGATCATCCTTTGTGTCATACCATTGAGAACCAAATTCGTCTCAAATAGATAGCGGCCAGGCGGAGAATTTAGAACCGAGTGTTCCACTGGAACCGCTGCTGATGCAAAAGCGGGCGGCCTGACAGCAGCATGTGAGGCATCGAGATCCCGCCATCACGGGCGCCAGAGTCGGAGCATTCTGCACGCTCGAAGCCATCGTGGCCACAAGAGCTACAAAAAGCACTGCATACTCTCAACCACGAGCCGCTGAAGCCACGCGTCACAAATCACCCCGCCAGCGCCTTCTTCACCAACTCCAGCGGCCTCTCTCCCATCGGGATCTGCAGCGCGAGCTCGTGGCCCCTCTCGCTCATCTTCCCCCACGTCTTCCGCAGAATCGCTATGATCTTATCCTCGTCGTAGCCCCTCTCAAACTCCTCGAACTGGTCGTCCAGGAAGACCAGGCACGCGACGTCCTCCAGCACCTGCGTCTCGCCGTCGCTCTTGAGGTCCTCCTTGCGCACCAGCGCCGCGACGCGCTCCGCGTCGGCCTCGGCGTAGCCCGCGTCCAGGCACATGGCCTTGACCAGCTCCGCCTGCCGCTTCTTCGCCGCGTTGCGCCAGCTGTGGTACCCGACCTTGGTCATCGGGTAGCTGTCGCGCGGCACCTCCCAGCGGCGCAGGTGCTGCGCGCGCACCGCCAGCCGGAGCGTCTCCGAGGCCGCGGCGGGGGCGGCCGCGGTGTGCTTGTCGAGATACGCTGTCATCTTGTTGGCGTAGTGCAGCTCGTAGGGCACTTCGTTGCCGTCAACCGTGATCTTCTTCGGATCGAGCGCGTGCGCGGCGTCGATGGCGGCGAGGGCTTTTTCGTAAGGCGTAGACATAGTTCAGGATTGGCGGTGATGTCTCAATGAGAGGTTGAGACAAGTAGAGAAAATTATTAGATGCAAATGTGAGAGCTGAAGAGGGGCTGCTGAGTGCTGAGACGAAAGGCTTGGGAGGACACGAGGGGTACGTGGGGCAGTCGCGTTATCTCAGTTCATTTAGCTAGCTACTTTTATTCTTTTTTTCATTCGGTTTTCGACGCCGAGCATAACACTATTTTGAACGCATCCGATTGGCAGGAACCAGGGTCTTTGCCGCGGCAGCTGCCGAAGTTGCCGCTTAGGATCATCTAGTCATGTCCATGATCAAGCTTCAATAGCGCTCTTTTAGAAAGCGATCGTGACTTGCTTCTCTATATGCTCGCTCCGAGGACGAACAGCCACTTTATAAAACTAATAGAAGCTCGAAGCCATGGAACGATCGGAACGTGACATTGCGGCATAGCTCGGGTAGATAGAAACCGTAGCTAATTCAACCTGAGGCGCCGCTTGCGTTCATATGACTCGCGCTGGTTCATGGCCACGGCGCTGCGCCTCCAAAATTAAACAGCCCCGTGCTAAAAGAGATTAAGACTTGTGATAGCCAAGAATATAGAGCGAGGTAGAGAGAAGGAGAGTGGCGAACAGTGGAGATATCGCACCACATGTTAGAACCCAACTCTAGATCGAGATACCGCAGTAATAATGACCGTAAAAGCGCCGTTGCAAACCATGTCGTGATCTCGTATCATATAGAAATATCCGACTACCGTTGAAGAACATCCAATAATCCGGAGCCGCATCCAAGAAGGTGCTGGTCCAACGGTGGAAGAAGGATTAAATTAGACGTCTAGCATGCTGCGGACCCTTTGCGGAGGATAATTCTCCGCAAGGGTTTCACCGGTCATGCCAGTGCGCTCGGTTGTGCCGGTCGCAGTGCTTATGTTATCGTCACTGTCCGTCCTTTGAAACTCTCGTCTGTCATCTTCCTGGGCAGGATGGGGGTCGCGGAATGGGTTTTCCGGTTCGTTTTCCGCTCTCTGGCGGCTTCGGTTGCGTATCTGACCGCCACCTGGGGCGTCGTAGTACGAGGGAGGATTCCGACTCATATCATCGAGTTCCACATTTGCACTCGGAAGCGATTGGTCGCGTGGCTGCCGGCCTGCTCCGGGACCTTCGGTTGCGAGAGCACGCAAGCGTTGTTCCGATGTCAAGTGTAAGTCTCCATGAGCCTTTCTCCACCATGATGGCTTTTTCGTGATGCCGAGTTCGGCGTCTGCTGCCTGTCCGCGCTGTCGCCTCTGCTCGATGATAATTGTATCCTCATTGGCATCGATATATCCAAAAACGTTGAACAAGATCAGCAACAGCACCGTAGTTCCATAGCCGAGGCCATAGGGCCATCCGGGATGCACATCATACTTCATCAGGTTGATGTCCCAAACCCAAGCCGAAGCCAGAGCGTACGCGAGACGAATGGCCAGTATAATTAGGGCGAGGAAAAGCTTGGTCGGACAGTAAGCACAGAAACTGTCAATCCTGGCTATCATACCACCACTGTCAGGCTTCGGACGATAGTGGTGTAGTGAATGATGAAGTGACACGATTGTGACAATCCATGCTATCACTGAGAGGATAGCAGCTGCTTTGAAACGCGAATCGGTTGCGACAGGCTCCGCGTAGTGGGTTTGTTGCCAGGGTGAGCGTTGAAATTGAATGTACGTCCAGGAACGAGGGATCTCCATGAAGAAGCTCTGGTTACGTCAGTAAATATTACACGGTAGCCTTAGGCTTCAACCTACCAGCCAGGCAAAGAGATAGAAGACCAAGGGAAGATAGAATTCAACCTTGCTGCGCCGGTCATCCTGGGGCAGATGGAACGGGTCTCGGTCGTATATTTGTCTCTCTTGCCAGGAGCCCCTACTATCGTCAGCAACGGTATATTGCGGGGGGTTAGTTCGCACTGACCAGTGTCTCACGGCTTCCCAGACGATGGCCAATGTTCCGGGAAGCATCAGGGTGTAAAAGAAGCTCTGAAGGATGATTGGGAGGCTTTGCAGATAGTAGCGATCGACGTCAACGCCCGCAATGGTGCTGATCATGCCGCACGCAGCCACAAAGCACATCCAATACCACTGCCATCGTCTTCCTATCACCCTGAACCTTTTGTCTTCACGCAAGAACAACTTCCCATGCTTTCGGAGATTGATGAGGGTGAACATGATGCTTGCTCCAAAGAGACAAGCGTACCCGATGCCAATGCCGCCTCGTGTGTGAATGCGGTAGTAGGGCAAATAACAGGACGTGCCGTTGACCCAGCTGCCGTTGGACATCATGACAGGCTGATACTTGTTGAAGATGAGGTAGCATCGCGACGAGTTCGATATAGTCCCATTATCGTACATGGTATAGTTGAAGTACTCAAGAGCACTGAGGTTGAAGTGTACACCATTGATTACGGTATCCGTTGCGTTGTCGCCGTCCGGGAACGGGAGCAATTCGCGCAGGTTGAGGAGTGGCATGGCGGGCAACAGAGCTCGCGCCAGGTGACGGTGAAGGAAGTGAGCGTTGATCGTCCACAGCGGGGTCGTAGACGGCGATGCGCCGCCAAGTGTGGAGAAGCTGAAGACGCGATGGAGGCGGTTCCCCGGAAGCCCGGAAGCTGCCGCGCCTTCCCGGCCGCCCTGTGGCGGGGTAACGGGAGCGCTGAACCGGTGCTCAGGCCTCAAAAGCGACGCCCGGGATGAGTGGAGCGACGACCTGTCGGTGCGCGGTGTTGGCCAAGTTGCGTGGAGCTATGTGACGTCTCTCGCGGGACGCCACGGCGAGTCGCAGCAGTGATTGCAGTCGGGCAAGCCAAGAGGCAACCCCAGGCGATGACGCAGATCCGCGGCTGGGCACTGAGCGGCAGGCGGTGCGCTGCGACCCCTGCAAAACACCAGACATTGCTCGGCATAACAACGTATCCACTGCAAATTTTTCGACAGCACCCCAATTGGCGCGGCCCGCGCCGTCATTACTGTAGGGCTTCCAGGATGCAATGTACACGGAGGTAGCTCCTGAATTGGTGGCATGACAGCAATAGCTCTGCACTCCTCGCGAGTAAGTCTCGAAACAGCCGAACGCAGCAGGCGTTACCGCGGCGGCGGCGATGCGCGCGGTTGATCAACGTTTCCTTGTCATCTTGAGTCAACTAGCTGCCAATCAGCCATGAATAGCGTTTCGGGACGTGGGATCGCCCAGCAGGAGACTTGCTCCCGACGAGCATGCCAGCACTGCAGCCGACAGCTCAGGGGCAATTACTTGTCGACTCGCGGGCGGAAGGGTGCCAAGAAGGGTCTGTAGTTCTCGCAGATTGACAGACCCGTAGCGCCGGATGCTGAGATGGATCAGCCAAGCCATCTGCTATACGAGGCGGCAGGCAGCGCAGCGCAGCTGGTGAAGCGTACCCACGATCTCCCGGCCCTGCAGATCTTGACCGGGACGGTGGACACGCCGGCAATTTGAGCGTCGTTTGACGCGCACACTTGGCACTGCCGCCTCTGACGCGCCGCAGTCGGGCCTTCGGGAGCGGCGGAAGGAGGCAGGTATTTTTGGCGCTGCCTGCGACGGGCTGTCACGGGCAGCGCTCGGGGCGTGCCAGCCCAGCAGGGCAGAGGCAAAGGCCGAAGACCCTTCGCAGCGCCAAGCCCGTGCGCATGGGTGGGGAGTCGCACGCTGCTGTCGAGTCTTACAGTCCGACTCAGCCCTGCCAGCCCTCCATCATCACATGCATAAAACCTTGTTCGCGTGGTCTTGTTCGCGCCCGCCGTCGAGAAGCTCTCCAAGCTCCAGCAGTCCAAACGCACCGGTGTGCAGCCGCATCCGCGCGACACCTCCGGAACTCGCTCGCGCAGGCTCGGACCGCCACGTCGAACGCGCCCGCTCGCGCGCTGCCTTCTCGCCGCCCACCGCGTGAAAGGGGGTCGCAGGCCTCGTCGCGCCTGCAGCAAGAGCTTGGGGTCTTTTTTGGCTTTATAGACGATCGATCGCCCACCGTCCGCCGACTCGAGAGCACCTGACGTGCCAACCGCCTTGCTACGGACGTAAGGCGGGCCCCTGCCGCCCAGCGGAACTGCATCAATGGCTTCTCCAGATTCGTACAACCAGCGCGCCCAGCGCGACGCTTCCTCCCAGCCGGACAGGCAGTCCTCCGCCGGCTCGAGCAAGTCGCACGCCGGCTCGCAGCACCATGCTGTGCCGCCCAAGATCCGACGCCGCAATCGCTTAATCACCTCGTGCCTCGAATGCAGGTGAGTGCTCCCAACGACTCAGCATATCCAAAAGTCCCCACCACTGAAACGCGCATCCAGACGGCGTAAGCTCAAATGCGACAAGCTGCATCCATGCACCAATTGCACGCGCTTCTCGCGCGACTGCGTCTTCTTGGCTCCCGCGCTGGATGCCGCCTCGCAGCTGAGGCTTGCCGAGATCAAGGAGAAAATGGGATCCCTAGAGCGCACGCTGGAAGAAGACATTGCCAGGAAGAATGAATCCCGCGCGCGTTCTAGCTCCCGGCCTGGCTCTAAGCTGCCCGGCCTGGAGGATGTTTCAGGCGAAGAGGATGCAAGCGAGCTGGAAGAGGAGCGAGGTCTCGAGCCCACTCCACTCGCCATTGAAGATGCCCCGTATGATGACAACATGTGCGATGACAACCTTGTCGATCTCGGCGTGCAGTTTGGACGAATGAGGATCACAGAGCGCATTGGAGGATTCGTACGGCCGAAGCTCGCCCAGGAGGTCAGTTGTTCCCCGCATGGTCGCTTGTTGCTACAAACAATTAATTGCTAACTACCACCATGTAGCTTACCGAAGCCTTAAAGGAAGTCCCAGAACTCTTTCCAGATCCTAACGAGCCTCATCCATCATCCCGTCAAATTCATCCAAGCTCGTATCTGATGCCTGGGCCCGACTATCTTGCTCCATCTGCGAACTTTTTCTTCGCGCCCTCAAGCCGGAAGCATGGCTTATTGCACTCGCTTCCGGCCAAATCCATGGCTGACACGCTGCTCAAGCAGTATTGGCTCGCTGTGCATCCTGTTGCCACAGCGGTTCATCGCCCGTCATTCGAAAGACAGTATGCCTCCTTTTGGAAAGATATCTCTAATGGCCTGGAGCCTCGCGCTTCTTTGCAGGCTCTTGTTCTTGCAGCAATGCTCTCAGCAGCAGTCAGTCTGTCCGAAGACACGGTGACAACCGAGTATGGCACAACGAAAGCCGAGTTGGTCGAGAATTTCAAGGAAGCCACCGAAGCAGCACTTTCGCGAGCCAATGTCGTGAGGACAACAAAGCTTGAGACTTTACAAGCGTTTGTCATGTATCTGGTTGGTTTCTATTTTCTTTTTTTTTTCTTGGCCCATCCTCGTCCATATATCTGACTTTTCTAGATACCTCTTTGCCGTACTGAAGTCTCGCGGGCTCATTCGGCGCTCACTGCTATGGCGATAAGGCTCGCAGAGTGCATGGGTCTACACCGCGATGGTGCCCGCTATGGTATACCCGCAGTGGAAACCCATGTTCGGCGACTGGTGTGGTATCAATTATGTTTCCTCGACATCCGGGTTTGTGAAGCGAGCGGGCCTCGACCACAAATTCGAGAAGATGATTTTGATACCAAGTTCCCCCTCAACGTGGACGATGCCGATTTCGAATCCAGCAATCCGCCAACGAAAGACGCTGATCATTTTACGGATATGACCATTGTACGGATGCGATTCGAATGTACTGAGATGGCCCGATTGGTCTGGTTCGAACGCCCAAGAATCGAAAAGAAGCAGACCACGCTCACAGCTGTTCTCGGCAAAATCCAAAATTTCCGTAGTGCCATGGAGAAACGCTATGGCCCCATGCTTGATGTTAAGAATCCGCTACACCATATGTGGCAGTTGGTGTACAACATCTTGAGTTTGCGCCTCATCTTGATGGTTATGCATCGCTATGCCAGTAACATGCACCGAGTCATGCCGGACCGCTTGAGGACCCAAATGTTGAATTCCGCCACCCTCTTGATCGAGAATGCGATAGCACTTGACACGCATCCAAATCTGAAACCTTGGGTCTGGTACGGTGGTGAGTAATATTTTTTCCCTTTTAAACCCATCTTTCAAGGGTATTCTCGGATACTTCTCTTACTCATTATGCCTTAAACTTCACCCCGTGATTGGGAAGATACTAACGCGTTTCGCTAGGTGCTCACCAGCAATGGCACACTGGACTCCTTTTGATGGCGGAGGTGTACGCGAAAGAGCCTCATCCGAGCTACGAGGAACGTGTCTGGCGTTGCCTCGACTATGTGTTTGAGCTCCCTCCTTCCATGTCCATCATCGACAAGGCGAAGTACATTATCAGCGGTATTAGAGACCGCACACTGGTCTATCAAAGTATACGGCGAATGCGCGCACCAACAGACATGGATCAGCCGATGGGGCCGCGTCCATATACGACGGCCATCAACCATGCAGCACGATTCTGGTATCCTACCATGGCAAAGAGTCAAAGAGCTCGAACAGGCAGTCCGAGCACTAGTGACCCATCCGCAAGTGCTGCTACAACTCCAGCGATGCAAGCAGCCTACGTACAAATGGGCAACCAAGGGATCTCTCCCAACACCCAAGCTGGCTCCGCTTCAAGCAGTGCGCATGTCAGCCCCAACATCCAGCATACCCCACACCCTCACGCAGATGCGACAACACCACCGTCCAGATACGACATGGGCGCTGCTGACGATCATTCGCGTCATCAAGCTTACGGTCAGCAAGCTACACACTCAATGGCTCCGCCGACACTATATGGCATGCCTAATCCTTTCAACATGAGCCCAGGGGACACGGGCAGCATGGGTTCAGGTGGTGTTGGAGGTAGTCCTGGAGACGAGGCCATGCTTGAGATTGACTGGGTACGTCATATTCCTTCTGACTCCTCTGTTATGGCCAGAAGGCATTATGAAACTTGCACTAACCTCAACCCTCTTAGAACGAATGGGACAAACTTTTCCCGCACCAACTCGGGCACGGCAACCCTGCTGACATGTATATCCCGGACTTCAGCTATCCGCCAGTGAGCGACCAAACAGGCCATGGCGTACCGACGGCGTCTGCGCCTAGTAACTCCATGGGCGGCTTACCTTGGGGCCATGTGGGCTCGGCAACACGACCACAGTGATCATTTTTAAATATCACAGTCGCCATTTAGTTTTTCTGGCGCAAGCACTCTACGGGATATTGGTGATCGTCATGGAGCTTTATATACCTTGTCGTTGATGTGTTCATGTAAGATCATCTAGATTCCCTATTTTATATGTCACTTTTTTCCCCTCTATTCAAGATGCCCACGCTTTATGAATGTTTCTGAACTTTTCTTCTCTGGTTGGGTATTCCTTTTAGTGGGCTATCGCCCCGTGCTTCTATGAACTGAACGATATTCACCTCGCCCCTATAGCCCCCCATTAAGGTAGATTTGTGGGAAGTGGCCGATCTTCCGGCGATGTTGTGTAGGTCAGGCAAGAGCCAATTAGACCCTTAGGTTCCTTGTCGAAAATCTTCTACCTTGCTAGCCAGAGGTCGGAGTGCCATAACAGCCTCAAGTCAGTGGTAGACCCCCCGGCTACTCTTGTTACCAAGTAATAATACAAGGCGTTGCTGCCTCAGATGTACTTTCTGTCTGGGTCGAGCCTGTCCATCGCTTCCATGCTCTTCTCATACCTGCTCAGACGTCAGCGTTTTCGGCCATCATGTGCGGATGGTACCTGGACCATGGGGTTACTCACATGGTAAAAACAATACCACCGCTCAGAATCAGGCGTGCCAGACGCGGCACAGCACCAGACCAGAAAGTTAGAAAACCTTCCTCCTTGAAGATGCGGGCGGCGCAGACGAAGCTGTTCCTATACTCTGATCTCGCTTCTATCGATTGCATACTACAAACATCACTCCTCATTAGCGAAGACAAGGAGAAAATAGAACGGCGTTACTTACCGGGTTTTAACAGTGTCCAGCGGCATGGTCACATAGACGGTGATGATTCCGGCCAGGGCACCGATGCCGAAGGTGCTGACAGTGCCGAGCTTCTCGCCCGGCGCTACGTACGACTGGGCCAGCTGCCTGAGGGTGGTGTACGCGCCGAAGCGCGTGGCTGAGTTGGCGGCCTGGCGGGCAGTAGTGGGAACGAAGCCCTGGAAAAAGCCGCGGATGCCCCTCTCGCGCGCAATCACGGCCGTCCCGTGTAGAAAGCCGCGCATGCGCGGCTTGCCGGATTTGCGGTCGTCAATGCTGGAACGGGAAGTGATGATTAGCGGTTTAATCTTGTGTAAAGAGAGGAGCGGGAGGTGCTAAGAAAGGCCTGGTGTGATGGGCGAAACCCCCCGAAGGCCGTGTATAGGTCTACCGCCGGGGATCGGGCAGGTCTGGGAGATGATAGAGCATGCTCGGAGGACAGCTGAAGGGATTCTGAGGCCCTCAATTCCGTTCAAAGTCTCCGAGCATACCTTATCACCCTCACGCAGCCTGCCACCTCCCTCCCAGTCCTCCAGGACCAGTCTTTCCCACCAGGCCCGGAAATTGTCAACGCTACTCACAGTTGCGTCTTGATGCTCTCAAATGGAGTGACAGCCAGCGCACTCTCAGTCACACCGGCACCGAAGCCAGCGATGACATTGGCCGGGCCAGAGACCTTGCCGTTGGAGTCGGCCAGCATACTCTTGTACTGATCGAAGGCGACGAAGCGGATACCGGCCTTGAGCGAGTTGCCGATAATGAGGGTGGTGCAGCCCGCGTACCACTGAGGACCGAACGGCGGCCAGGGCAGCTTCTTGCCCTCGGCCAGCCGCCGGTTCAGCTGTGAGCGGGTCTTCGCGAACTCGGCCGGGTAGGTGATGGCGATCTCGACGGCGCCGGCGGTGCTACCAGCGATGATGGAGCGCAGGGCGCTGGGCTGATGGCGGGCGGAGGCATGTTAGCTCTGCAATGTTATCGGATGCGAGCGGTTGGGATGTTGTGTTCGTGGCTCGTAAGAGGTGTGCTGATGTCGGGTGGGCTGTGGGATATTTTTTTGGTGGTGAGCGAGCGAAGTGACGGGAATGATTTACCTTGGCCTTCTTCTGCTCGTCGGAAGCCATTGCGAAAAATGCGCGTCGCGGGAGGGTTTCAGCTGAGGTATGTCAAAGGCGTCAAGAGCACTCCGGCGGCTGCGCGCATACAATATATGCCTATGACACACCGCAGGGCGAACGTTGGTCGGAGGAGCGCGGTGGTGGAGACTCTCCGGCCGCGGAGCTGTCGTGCTTGCGCTGGACGGGGCGCATGGGTGCCTGTCTCTGCCTGGCGGGGAGCAGATCCCTGCACGCCCGTGCTGACTTCATCGCAACGAAACCTTTCGCAGCGCGAAGTTCCAGAAGCTCGCGAACCTCTCACCACAGCAAAAGTTCGCCTCCCGCCCTACAACCCGCCCTTCATCTTGTGCGCCTCCACACTCGCGTGCATTAACCACCCAAAATGCTGTCTTTCAGGTCCATTGCCCGCTCGGCGCCCCGCTCGTTCGCGCGCCTGAGCACCAAGGCCGCTCGCCCAGTTCTGTTCAAGCCGACCACCCTGCAAGCAGCATGGAGACCCGCACTCGCACCGAGGCTCACGTCCGCTTTTCACACCTCTGCTCCTAGATTTGAGGGTATGTTCCCATTGGATTGTCTCCAATCGTGTTCTCAGACATTATGCTGAATATAAATGCAGTCCAGGACACACTCGTTGCAAAGCTCGAAAGCGAACTGAATTTGGAGGGCGATGTCGGCGAGGCTGAATCTTACTCGCAAAACATCAAGGACTACCTTGAGAACAGCCCATTCGAAGTCACGGACGTCACGGGCGAGGAAGAGGTTGTCCTCACCCGCAAGTACAACAACGAGACGTATGTGCAGTCCCGCAATAATCCATGTACTTTCCCCGACTAAGAGCCATCTAGCATCCGCGTCACATTTACCATTTCCGACATCAACGAGCCCCAGCTTCCTGAGGAGGAGTTGGATGATCCCGCCTTTGCCGATGAGGACGTTGAAATCGATGGCCAGTCCGGTGGCGCCAACACCAAGGGCTCCGTGAACCAGGGTCGCACCCCTGGCGGCAACATCAAGGTCGCGCCCGAGGATAATGTGTCGGCCGCCGATCGCGAGGAGCTGGACGACGAGTTCTCCGAGGAGGAGCAGAGCAGCTTCCCCGCTCGCGCGTCTATCGTCATCACCAAGGATGGCCAGAAGGGCGCCATGTCCATTGATGCCATTGCTCAGGACAGCGCTTTCCAGATCAGCAACGTCCACTACTATGCCGACGCTGCGCACGCCGACCCCAAGACTGCAGAGCATGAGTGGGCAACTCGGAAGACATACCCCGGCCCGCTTTTCGGCCAGTTGGATGAGGACCTCCAGATTCTGCTGGAGGAGTACCTTGATGAGAGGGGCATCGACACCAGGATGGCCCTGTTCATCCCTGACTACATTGACTACAAGGAGCAGAAGGAGTACCTGAAGTGGCTGGAGAGTAAGTGGAATCCCCACCGTTGAATCATTCGCACATATCACTAACTTCTTGCTAGACCTTAAGAACTTTGTGTCTGCTTAAGTGTGACTACCAGCATGAAATGCTCAGGGGGGCATTGGCCGTTTCATTTTCTCGTTTCTTCTCTACTCTTACAATATCCGGCGCTCGGTATGGAGAACCCGGAGAGCTGCAGGTCTGCAAGCTGTGTAGTATAAAACTCTGCAATAAGGAAAAGCGCAAATCAGATACCTCTGTTTCATTCGCCCCCTTGCGCCAAGGTTGTGCTTTTTGGCTCTGTTACTCTTCTCCGGTGGTGAGCTCGTCGTGTGTAGCGAGCATTAGATTTCTTTGCGTTGGGTGCGAATTGAGCTCGCGTTCCGCCTGCAACACTCAGTAACGCGAAATCCGAGGTGGCTTGCCCATCTTGACATGATTTCGATGCCTGAGGTTATGAAAATACCCTCGTACTTCAAAATCACCCCATTGTCACACCAAGTCTCTTGAAGCCAGGCTCCCACTTTCACGTTACTCATTCTTCAGCTCAACCCTTTCGGCGGCCACACACTATCCCTCACCTCGCCGGCCTTGATCACGCGCACAAACTTCATAGCGTTGCAGCTCACCCACTCGCCGTCCCAACTACGCAGCTTATCGACCGTCGCCGCGTCCCGCATATCAGGGCAATAGAAGCCGCTGAGCTCGAACTCCTTCGTTTCGGTCGCGATGCGCTGCTCGAGAAGCTGCTCGCGCGTTGCCGGCGGGCGGCCCGGTCGCCGTGCGGCCTTGAGCTCAGCAAGCTCCTCATCGTCGCGGTGGACGTAGGCGAGAATGGCGGACTGCAAGGATGAGGCATCGAACGTGTCGGGGGCTTCGGGAGATTGCGCGATGAGCTGGAAATGGTGGACACGCTGGACTGTTTGGTGTTGCCGTCAGTGCTTGGATTTACACAGTAGGAAAAAGGATGTTCGGTGCGTACGGTGGGGCTGGTTCTGCTTGCCGCGCTCAGTCGCTAGCCGGAGAAGCTTCTCGTCGCGCAGACCAGCGCGCTGGAGACGTCGCGAGTCGCGCGAGTACTCGTGCAGGGCGGTGGATTTGGTACCGCGCTTTTTGGAGATTTGCTTGGAGACTTTGGAGAGGGATTTCGGCATGATGGGCAACGGTCGCGAGGTTTGAGGCGATCTGGCTGCGGAGTCTGGGACGCAGATGAATTGCGACTCGGAAAATGCGATTTTCAGAGACCCACGGCGGTATAGCGTGTAAGAGCGGTGGGAACGTAGAGGGCTGCCGCGGCGGAGAAAGATGGCATAATTTTTGGAGGGTGCCAGGGCGGTGACAAGGGTCCGGAAAGCTTGGCTTGCAAGCAGCTCGTCCCGTGGCGACCGCAGTCAGACCCGACGCGTCTATCGTTCAAGCAGGCGCGTCGAGAACGGGATCTCCAATCTCTGACGCCGCTGCATTCCTTTTCTCCGACCGCGTCACTACACGCGTCCCACCAACGCCCGCACTCCCTCCTGTTGTCCATACATTCGAGGGACTTCAGCATGTTCAGCAGCGCCGGCCAGTAGCTGATATAGAAGCTAGTCGCGCACGCTTGCCCGCTTGCTCGAATCACGATGGGCATCTCCGGTACGAGGTTTTCTGCGACACGCACTCTCATTGTTTGCAGATCTTAACCGTCTCCAGGCCTACTTCCTCTGCTCAAGTCAATTCACAAGCAATGTCATCTCCGGCAGTTCGCCGGCCAGACCCTGGGCGTCGACGCCTATGGCTGGTTGCACCGCGGCACGGTTGCTTGCGCCATTGATTTGGCTCTTGATAAGCCGACCAGGAAGCATATCGACTATTGCATGCACCGCGTTCGTATGCTCATTCATTTCGGCATTAAGCCGTACCTTGTGTTCGATGGTGACCATCTTCCGGGTAAAGAGGTCACCAACAAGGAAAGAGCTGCCAAGCGCAAGGAGAGCAAGAGGGCCGGAACGGAATTGTTGAAGCTCGGGAAGACCTCGCAAGCCCATTTGGAACTGCAAAAGGCCGTCGATGTTACCCCGGAAATGGCACGCATGCTCATTGAGGAGCTGAAGCTGCATGGTGTCGACTATGTTGTTGCGCCGTACGAAGCCGACTCGCAGATGGTGTATCTCGAGAAGAAGGGTATCATCTCGGGAATCGTTTCTGAGGACTCGGATCTCCTCGTCTTTGGTGCCAAATGCTTGATCACTAAGCTTGACAATTACGGAGAATGTGTCGTCATCAACCGCGCGGACTTCACGGCCTGTAAGGATGTCAGCCTCGTTGGCTGGACAGATGCGCAGTTCAGGCAGATGGCGATTCTTAGTGGCTGTGATTACCTGCCGAGCATCAACAAGATGGGTCTCATAACTGCCTATCGTCTTCTTCGCAAACACAAGACGGCCGAGAGGGTCCTGCGGCAGATCCAATTCGACGGAAAATTCAAAATGCCTGCTACTTATCCAGAGGCATATGCTCAAGCCGAGCTGACATTTCTATACCAATGGGTCTTCTGTCCTTCAGCGAAGCGGTTGGTGCACTTTACACAGCCCGGGCCGGACGTCGAAATCGAGCAGCTTCTGCACATTGGCCGTTATGTCGAGCCGAAGATAGCGACGGGTGTTGCGCTAGGAGAGCTGCACCCCAGTACCAAGAGGCCTATCGAGTTGCCGCAGTCGTTCCGCCCAGTCAAGCTTCCCGCTCCAGTTTCTCGGAGGGTCTCAGCCATGCAGACGCCCGACTTGAAGAAGAGCAAGTCTATCGATTCGTTCTTCAAGCCAAAGCGTATCCCCCTTGCAGAGCTCGACCCGAACCTATTTACTCCTTCTCCGAGTCAGCAGCAGGCTTTCCAAGAAAATCAGAACCGCGGCAGCTGGAGCGCTTCGCCTATCCCGGCTCAGCCTGCTCGACCTACTGCAGCCCCCACCTCCGTACCTCCTCAAGGATCCCGCAGAATCGCTTCAGAGCCTTGGATCACAAGGCGAGCTTCAACAACGCGCCCGTCCAAACGACAAAGACTCTGCTCAGACACGATGCTCCTGCCGAACGCCGACGGCGGCTTCAAGGTCGAAAGTGGGAGCAGCCGTTTCTTCGCAACCGCCGTCGAGCCAAGCCCGTCTACTCGTCGTTCAAAGTCGAAAAAGACAGACGCCCAGGACTTCGACCTCTGGTCAGATGACTCTATTGAGGAAGCTATGAAAGAGCTGCCTGATCCGAGCCAGACCACAACTGGGTCCAAAGCGTCTCAAAGTAGCAAGTCATCTTCACTGAAGCGCAGCCTTTCCACGTCACTAAGACAAGAGTCTCAAGATGCAACCAGCTCTTCTACTCCTGTCACTTCATGCGATAGCCAGAGTACTCCTTATGAGAGCCAAGCCTCAGTGTCTGGAACCCAGGATATGAGCGACTTCAAGGATCTGGCCAAAACCTTCGAGCACAAGCCTGACTCCCAGAAGCAGTCTCAATCATTGAAGCTGACCGAAGAATTCTCCTGGGGTAGGAAGGCCTCTCAATCTACAGGCTCGATTTCCACCACATCAAAGTTCTCCAAGGCGGAATCGGGTATTGTGGCCACATCGGACCAGGTTTTCGATGACGATGACTGGACTGCCAACGATGCTGAGGTTGTCATTCCCCGGAGCAGTCAGGCTGAGCCGGCGGATGACTTGACACCAAAAGCCTCCAAGCACTCGTCTTCTGACATGCCTCTCACTGCGACCAAGGGCAGCGAGGATCTTGACATCGTTCCCGATAGCGAAAGTGAGGCGACGTTATCAGATACCGAGGATCGGGTGAAAGCCATGAAGCAGAGGCTTGACCTTGAGCGCTTCAGGTTCGGCGCCAAATAAGACATAAACGTGACGATTTACCGCACCTCCGAGCTAACGAAATGAGCGTGAGAGCTCTCCGTAGTGTAAATATTCTCTGGCTTGTGCTTTGTTGCTACATTGCTTGTCGCTGTTGGACGTGCTTAGCGCGAGGAGGGGATAGTATGTTCTCGCACGAATGACGGAGAAGAAATGGCGTTACTGGGTTTCCTTATTGGTTCTATCTTATTCGGTTTGGTTTCTCAGGAATCGGAAAAGGGACGAAAAGACGTCGGACGATGATGGAGTCAACTGCATTATATAAAGGGAGGAATTAATTCAAGCTTTCCCACATTTTCAACCTTTCCATGGTTCAAGCCTCTTTGACAGGAGCTTGATGTGCAGTCATGTGATGACAGTCGCCTGCGGGCTAATCATAAGCGAAAATCCTCGGTAAGTCCTGCCCCGGTTGCCGATATCGTCATAGTCCTTGCATCGCGGGGGCGTCGGCTTCGATTTCTCAATGCGCCTGACGTTTGCCAGCCCTGGACAACCTCGCGCCCAGCGGCAAACTCACAGCGCATGATACCCGTCATGGCGACGGAACCACCCTTCCTACTGGCGTTGCCAGACGAGATTCTTACGCACATCCTCTCCTACCTGGACCCCTACGATCTCAATGCGGTCCAGCTCACAACAAAACGCCTACATTCCCTCGCCCAAGAGCCTCTCCTCTGGCGCCACCTCTGCCGCGTCCACTTTCGCTTCTGGAACCCGACGCACCGCTTTTCCGCCAAGCTCCGCCAGCCGATCGCCGACGTACCATGGAGGCGATTGTTCCTCAACAGGAAACAGCTAGACCATGAAGTCGACAAACGCATGGACATGATAATCGCGACCCAGCAGAACCGCGCAAATCACATCGAATGGATAGCAGAGCGGGGGTACGACGTCAAGTCGGTGCTGCTGAAGCACAAGAACGCGGACGAGGGGAAGGAGGACGTGCTGGCGCGGAGGTTCTGGAGCAGCGCGATCCTGAGCACGATCCACCGCAGCATCGCCATGGAGGAGTGGTGCAAGCTACGCAAGGGCGAATCGCGATCGCTAGAGCGCGCGCTGGGCGCGTACGACATGTTCGTGCTGGACAGCGACGAGGGGCTGGGCGACCTCGACATGATCGGTGAGCAACTGGACGAGCTGGCGGAGCGGTTCAAGACGGCGCATCCGGAGTGGAGGGAGCTGTCGACGAGGCGGAGGGCATGCTGGTTGGTGACGTTCCTGCGAAGAGCGGGATACCGGGGGGTGCCGGGTGAGAGGTACGGGCAGATCGCACAGAACTTCATTGGTCTGGCGCTGTCGGAGAAGGACCACGAGGCGTTGCCTTTGATCACGAATGTGATCTTCTGCTCGGTGGCTTCCAGGCTCGAGATTGACGCCAATCCATGCGGATATCCATACCATATCTACTCAATTGTGCAGGCCCCTCCTCAGACAACGCTGGAAGGGGCTCCTGCCCCAAACCTCGAGACCCCTGACACTATGTACCTCGATCCCTTCCGGACGGCCGAACCAGTGTCACGCTCGGAACTCGAAGGACAATTGCGGACAATGGGGGCAACAGCCGCGAGCTTTGCTACCTATCTTGAGCCTGCCAACCCAATCGAAATGGTCATTCGAACGGCCCGAAACATCCGCCGTGCTGTGGAAAGTGGAAATGGTCTCGTAGACCCTGCTGCATCGACGATAGGGATTCAATTCACGCACACGCATCTGAACCTCCACAGCGCCCTCCATGCGGCATTGTGGGCATGGCTATATCTTGAACGTGGCGATCCCATTCGCGGTGGCGAGGAAGCTGGTGGCATCGCCCTCCACCGACGCCGGATCCTGATTAGCAAGGTGGTGCAGCAGTGCCTGGAGTTCTACCCGTGGGAGATCTGGCTGGTCGAGCGGTACATGGCATCGCTCTTCCACGACCTGCCAGAGGAGGGTGACTTCTTGTACATCATCCAGCGCGAGCACACGGCGGACCGGAACAAAAAGGCGCTAAAGAAGCGCGGCGATCACACCAAGAACGTCAAGTTCCGTGTTGGGGATTGCTTCAAGCACAAGCGGTACCACTACTATGGCGTCATCGTCGGCTGGGATCCCTACTGCAATGCTGGGGATGATTGGATGCATGCTATGAACATCGATGGCCTGCCAAATGGAAGAAACCAGGCCTTCTATAATGTTTTGTACGTGACTTTTCTTACTGGCAACAATTGCAAATTCAAGGCTGACTTCTATTTCAATAGGTGCGAAGATTCCAGCTCGAGATACGTCGCGGAGGAGAACATCCAAGTCACATCGGATCCGCCTCCGGATTTCTTGTCGAACAAGCTAGCCGGTCGCTACTTCAGACGTTGGGATCCGCTTCAGTCGAAGTTCGTGAGCAACATCCGGGACGAGTACCCTGATGATTAGATCTGGATGCAGTGCACTTTCTTCTCGGGGTTGAAGAACAATAATTCGATAGGTTGCTTTAGGAGTTTCATGGATCGGACATAGGACCAGGTGACAAAAAAAAGATCAGTCTATTGCGGGCAAGGATGATCGGTCGTATATAGGGCTCTAGTGGGAAGCATCGGTGGTGTTTGGGGGTTCGGTTGAAATTTATTCATAATACATCGGAGAAACACGATACTAGTGTTTAGCACACAGCCCCTGGGCGCTTAAAGAATGTCCCGGTGTAGCCAGCCCGAAATAGGCATAGGCAATACGGTTGAGGATATAGCCATTGGGACTAACACAAGCACCGGACTGGCGGTACGTTATGCCTTGAGGGTGTGAGTTCGATTACTAGGTTCTATTCTAGGTTCGACTCCCATGTTATTCAGACTTTTCTCCCCTTGGAAGGCGGGCTGACAGGCATTTTTGTGACAGAAACGTCTTTACCAGCCTTGCCATCTGGCACGTTTACTCGACATTGCTCGAAGAACGATCACACAATCACCTACCGGCCAGTTACAGCCATTCTACCCCTGTTCCTTCGATCTACGAAGCCCGAGGTGCTCAATGAAAATGCTTGTGATCGTCGTAAGAAGATCAAGTTCACGAATCAAAGCGAGCAAAAAAAAGTCGAGCTATTCACCTCCCAGGTGCAATGAGGTTGTAAGAGAAGTTGGTCAGGACGCGATCAAAAGTCCGATGGCTGATGCTTATCTCTACCACGCTGTGGAGATAACGAGTGTGCGCGCCGGGGGAAGCGCCCATCGCGGCAAGGATCTGCAGCTCCAGGATGATGGTTGAGGGGATAACATCAGCTCGACACTCCACCTTTGACCACTGCGACCCTTGCACCCCGCGGAAGATTAGCACGGCCCATGATGATGCCTGCGGCGCGCGCTCCTTATCAAGCTTCTGGCTTTCGGCCTAGACTGATAAACTCCCTATCGCTCCATCGACCCAAAGACGATGATGCCATTGGCTTTCCCGTGGAGCGGTTCCTTGAGCCAGATTCATGCAGCAGAAGCTGTCGATGAATGAGATCGGAAAGATTCGCCGTGCGTTATCGGGGCCAAGGTTATGTTTTTGGTTGTCTGTTTCACATATTTGAAGGTCCAGACAGCTCGGACGGTTGTCGTCGTTGAGTTTCTTTCCCGGCCATCATGTCGTCTCACTCAGCAGCAACAACCTTGCCCGAAGCGGCCGGATATGGAGTCGTCATCGGGGTTGGGTTTTTCTTCGCCTTCGTCATGATGGGCATCTCGTACATGCAGAACCGCTACACGAGATTCTCTACCAAACAGAGCGAAGAGTTCAACACGGCCAGCCGGAGCGTCAAGCCAGGCCTGATTGCGAGTGGTATCGTGTCGGCATGGACGTGGGCGGCGACGCTGCTCCAAAGCAGCACCGTGGCATACACATACGGCGTCGCAGGGCCCTTTTGGTATGCAGCCGGGGCTACGGTGCAGATTCTGATGTTTTCGATTCTTGCATGTAAAGGTAAGCATCGTTTTGATGATGTTGGTGTAATATCATACTGATCCTCTTGCAGTCAAGCAGAATGCTCCGCGCTGCCACACGTTTCTCGAAATCATCTACACGCGCTACGGCAGAGTCACTCACATGATTTTCGTCTTCTTTGCTCTGGTCACCAACATCCTGGTTGGCAGCCAACTGTTGCTTGGCGGCAGTGCGGTCGTAACGAACCTGACAGGGATGAATGTGTACGCGGCCATCTTCCTGATTCCGACGGGAGTGTGTGCTTATGTCGTCCTCGGAGGATTGAGAGCTACCTTTCTCTGTGAGTTTGACAAGTCTTCAGGAGACTCTAAATACTGATTTGCGGTGCAGGCGATTACTCGCACACGTTGATTTTGATGATCATCATTCTCTTCTTCATGTTCCATGCGTACGCTACGAGCGACCTCATCGGATCGCCCTCTCAGATGTATGACCTGCTCAAGCAAGCAGCAATCGAGAGACCGGTAGACGGCAACAAGAACGGCAGTTATCTCACCCTAAAATCCAACTTTGCTCTGGTCTTTGGTGTAATCCAGCTCTGCAGCGGCTCCGGTACCGTCTTCCTCGACCAAGGTGAGCAGCCAATTACCCAGTCAAACCAAAGATTCCCTTGACTGAAAAATGAACCAAAGCCTACTGGCAACGCGCCATCGCGTCCCGGCCATCGACGGCAGTGCGAGCCTACATCCTCGGCGGCCTCGCGTGGTTCGCCATCCCCTTCGGCTTCTCAACGACGCTCGGCCTCGCCGCCGTCGCACTAACCTCGAACCCGCACTTCCCCACCTACCCAGACGTGCCCAGCGAATCGCAAATCTCCGCCGGGCTCGCAGCGGCCTTCTCCGCGTCAGCACTACTAGGAAAGAGCGGCGCGGCGGCGCTGCTGGTCGTGCTCTTCATGGCCGTGACGTCGTGCGCGTCGGCCGAGCTCATCGCCGTGTCGTCCATCCTCACCTTCGACGTGTACAAGACGTACATTTCCCCCAAGGCTTCCCCGGAGCGCCTTATCGCCGTCTCGCACGCCATGATCTGCGTCTTCGGCGCGACAATGGCCGTCTTCGCGTGCGTGTGGAACGCTGCGGGTATCGATCTTGGTTGGCTGTTCCTCGTCATGGGGTTGCTGATCGGCGGCGCCGTTTTCCCGGCCGCCTTTGCTGTTACCTGGCGCGGGCAGACGCGGAATGGGGCTGTGGCGGGCGCGCTAGGCGGGTTGGCCGTCGGGTTGGCGGCGTGGTTGGGTACGGCGAAGGGCTTGTATGGTGGGCTGAGCGTCGAGGCGACGGGGAGGGAGTATCCGACGTTGGCGGGGAACTTGGGCGCGGTGGGCATGGGGCTGGTCCTGAGCGTGGGCGTGAGTCTGCTGTGGCCGGATGAGAGGCCGTTCGACTGGGAGGCGACGAGGGGGATCAATGCTGCGGCTGCCGCTATCGACGGCGGTGTCAGCGCTGCTGAGACGACGAATACGGTGGAGGGAGACTCTGGCACTACAACGCCCATGACGACGGCGGCGGCGAAAGAAGAGAAGGAGGGGAACGAGAAGGACGTCGACACGAAGCAGGCCGCCACCGCCGCCGACGACGCGCCTGCCGTGGACACTGACACGGGCAAGGTCGACGACGTGCACATCATCGGCGAGCCGCCCGCGCCGGTGGACGACGACGACCCGAAGTCGCTGCGAGGCGCCTTCCGCATCGCCTGCGTGGCGTCGTTCGTGCTCACCTTCATCATGGACTTCCTCGTGCCCATGCCCATGTTCTTCGCCGAGTACGAGTTCTCCAAGCCTTTCTTCACGGCCTGGGTCGTCATCAGCTTCATCTGGGTCTTCGCCAGCACCGCCATCTCGTGCGTGCTGCCCATTGTTGAGACTGCGGGATTTTTCGGCGAATTGTGGAGGAGCGTCGTGGCCGATTTTAGGGGAAAGGCTGCAAGTTGATGGGAGAGCTGGCGAGCTGGTCAGGGATTGGTTGGTGGAGGGGTGGATTTCAAATCAGGCTTGGTCATCCGGGAAAGGCCGCAGGTATATCAAGTGCTCCTTCTAAAAGTGTCATGATATTGTTATATTTGGTCTGCTAGTTGTCACAAGAGTATACACACGCAGCTCGTACGTCGATTAGAGTCACTTTACCGATCTATATTATGAGATGCTGAGTTCAGCCCCTCGTTTTTCAGCAGAGAATTATTTTCCATTCACTGAACGGGTTGTTGATGTTTTTGGACTTTCACGTCTTGTGTACCCAGTTTCTGCTGTGTATAGCCCTTTGCTTGCCATGCACGGTTATCCAGTCAGTTGACAAAAGCTTGCATTTATATATACCGATGAGCACGCCTAAGGCAGTTTTGGGCCCGAAGTCAGCCTGGCACTCTGCCTAGTGGCATGCCTAGCCGCCGCTTTGTCCGTTTTAAATCTTGCTCAATCACAGTTACTTGACTGGGCTTAGCATGGTCTATTCTTGGCAGCCAACAAGCATTCTTCATCCACCGCTTCTCGGCCATCCTTTCGCACTTTCACCGAATGCCCGTGCCTTTTGCCGGAGAAGGCACACGTTGAGCTCGTCGTTTCGAACGGGCCAGGGTATCAAGCATGTGATGATTACGCTTACTTTGTTTTCTGTCTCGTGGACAGATATTGGAGACTGAGTGCTGCACACCTCTTTTTTGAAGTGCACCCCCTCTCACGTAAAAACACAGCTTTCAAACTTGTTTTGGCACAGAAGTCATTCAAGCAACAGGGAAAGAGTTTTTGCAATGAAGCAGATTATGCATTATCGAGTGCTACTCATTACAACAAGGGGTGTCCTTCAATACGTCCCATCGTCTAGTTAAGGGTGATGTCGGTGTCAGCGAGGTCGCAGACGTTGTCGTCGGGGCCGTTGCCGCCAGCGTGGCAGCTGGTGGGCTGGACCTCCTTGGTGCCAGAGACACCGGCGCTGTTGGTTCCCCCAGTCAGTAACTCGCTAGCCCCACATTCTCCTTGTTCCGACTTACCCAGGAGCGGTCTGCTTGTGGACAGTCAGGGCCCAGAAGCCGTTGCTGCCGTTCTTGAGCTCGAAGCGGTAGGCCGACTCGCCGCAGACGACGGCCGTGTCGGCGGACAGCTCCTCAACCGAGGTGGCCGAGCAGGAGACGTTGTCGGGCTGCACCTTGAAGGAGGCAGCGGCGGGGTCGTTGCCGGTGACGCGGACGGTGAAGTCCTTGAGCTGGACAGTCTCGGCGGCGAGAGCAGTGACGCCGAAGACGGCGGTGGCGGCAGAGACGGCGGCGAAGAAGCGCATGTTGATGGTTTTGGTGTCGTGAAACGAGTGGTTTGGATTGGATCGTAAGGATTGTTTGCTTGCTGGTGGATGGAGACTCTGTGGAAGTCACCTCTGGATACTTATATAGCTGTTGATGAGGCCGAGCGCCTCACAGCTGTCATCCTGCGCTCATGCGTAGAGAGAGACTTGGTCGTATCGAGTCCAGTGCTGGAGGCATATGCTCGGGGACATGTTGCTGCCGCTGCACAGCGCAGTTTCTACGGCGGGGACGGCAACTAGAAAGGAGTGTTCCCATTTGCCGAATAGCCCGAGAGGTAGTGATCGACTGTCACCGGTGTTCTCGAAACGCTTGAGCACACATACACGAATCGACCGGCACTGCTGGCCTTGCAGCGGCGCGGAGAAAATACGAAGGCTAATTTGGCTCAGATGGCGTGGTTGTAGGGCTGACTTGGACGTCGTTGACCAGCACTTGCAGAACCGGAGAGCTGTCGGACAATTCGCTATCTCAGGATGAAGGTATAAACGCAATGCAGGCTTCCTCGTCCAAACGCACCTCATCATTCTTTCAGTTTGAGGGTGGAGAGCGAAGAGTAGCGGCGGGGCGACAGAGCAGTGAGTCTGCCTCGGCGTCCTACGAAGTGAGCCTTACCAGCGGGGCAGCCACGGTTTCATGCGACAACGCGGGGTGCTAGGCCTGCCGCTGTCCCGAACAGAAGCACTTCCCCTAGATTAGTATCCACATCAGGGGCTCGTTGTGAGCCCGGCGTCACGCACGCCGCGTTCAGCGGGTATGGCAACTTATTCCGGCACTTGCTCTTTTAGTCGCCCGCCTGGTCAAAGCTTCCACACCATCTCCCACCACACCTCGAGCATTTTCAATTACGTGATACTCTGCTCCGTTCGTGGCTGTGGCCTTCCAGAGTGGTCGTTTGCTTTGCTTAGATCACGCCTTCCAAGAACTTACGGGACACGTTAATGAACCAACGCCTATATGATGCGAAGGCGAAGAAAGGCTGAGTCTATGCTTTGATCGAACCATACCTTAGCTGTCTCTACTTCACGCCGTCCCTTGCCACTGTGACGCTATCTCTCATCCAGAGTCATCAATGAACTCAATTAATTTTTGTACGTACTTTGGGGGGAAATGGATAGAAAAATTGACAAAGTAACTAAAAAGAAAAGGCGTGCAGAGTGGGTCTCAAGGCTAAATCCGGGGCCCACAGGTGTGACAACAATGTAGAAAAGGAGAAAGCGCCCTGTCGGCATCGCTAGTTGTTCCTCCTCACGATCACTTCCACAACCATCTCAATCTGGTCCTCCACAACTTCCAAGATCTTTCTGATCCTGCTAACTACACCGCTAAAGCTGGGTTCATGATCTCTAGGGACGTCCATTTCCGGGCGACAGCGCTCCGGAACGAACATGTCAGCATAGAAGATCAGCTTTCTCAGAACATCTCCGGGGCCCAACTCGTCCTCGACTCGTTCAGCCACCTTCTCGAACAGATCTTGCACCGTGTCGCAGCCGTGGAACCTCATTCCGTACTCTCTACTATTCCCATCCGCTACAACAAGCTTGAAGAGCGCTCGGTTGACATCGAACCCGACACCACTCTGCGGTGAAACACTCGGAATCATCGGGGCTACTGATGGAGAAGTGCGGATTGGGAGTGGGGGATTCTCAGGCGCTACGTTGGCTTGCATCTCTCCACGTAGCTGCTCTCCGCTTTCGTAGAACGCTGTGGCCTCTGATGGGGAACGTTGCATCGGTGAATCTTGTCGTTGGTGTGACGAACGTGCAGGCGACACTTCTTTGGATGCCTGCTGATCCTGCATCGCCTTGGTGCTCCGAGCACCCGAATCTGAGACCGTGAACCGTACTAAGCCTGGACGGTCTTTTGGCGAACGTATGCGAGACGACGAAGCCTGCAGCGCTTCTGTTGTAATTCTGTCTGGCAGAGCTGGTGCATTGTCCGAAGACCTTTCTCTGCTTGGGCGGCATTGCATGCTCTCTCTAGGCGATGCGTCTACACCACAGCCCTGAAATCGAGTCGTTTTGGGCTGCTTTGGTGGAGGAGGTGGTGGCATCGTTTGGGCATCGTAGGCGCTGTCGTCACCATTCTCTCTCCTGCGCTTCTGGTTGTTTATGGACCGTTCGCCACTGGGAACCACCCGACCGTTCTGAGATCGCTCGCCATTAGGCCGTGCTGAGCTAGTATGTGGCTGGAACTTGTCCAGAAGAGCTGCTGCGGTTGACATGCTCTCTTCCTCTTGATCAATTGATGGTACAGGAGGGTATGCAGGAGAGTGATTATTCATAACCGGGGCATTTTGGAGTGTACTGTCTGGTCGTAGCGTTTCAGACCTTTGTCGTGGAATATATGACCCACGGGGGATGTTGCATTCCCGTGCTTTTGAGGTGATACCTGCGTCGATTGGAGAGTTACACTCCAGCTCTTGTACAGGCATACATCCGAGGTCATCGGCCATCTCTTCCAAGTCTGCATCATCGGATGTCTGGCCGGCGTGGTCATTTTGGGGAACGTTGAATGCTGGCCCATGTGGGCTCTGAGCATGCACTGTGTAGCCGTCAGATGTAATTTTGAGCTGCGTACAAAACAGACTGACCTTCACCTGTGCGACCCGGAGGCGTCTTTCCCCCAGCGCTCGTGTTCCTTAGCACAGGGTTATTGGTATTGATGAAAAGAAAATCTTTTTCCGAGTAACCTTTGTGACCCGGCACCTCGTGGCGTAAGAGGTACGAGTACCTCTCATGGAAGTAGTTCATGAGCTTCACTTTGCCTTTTTCCCGAGAGATCAGGGCAAACAGCTCCTTTTCCTGCTCATTCACCTTTCCTGTAAATCTGTATGCCCAGCACTGGTGGCCAGATCAGCAAGGTCATGACGGAAGCAAAAAAGGTACTTACCCAGAGATTTTCCTGAAAGGGGACTGGAATCAACGTCGCCTTTTCGAGTTCGTCGGGGTTGGTGGTTTTCATATATTTGGGCTTCCAAAACGCTTCCTTGGCACTGGGTGTTTCGCCTTCTTTGCTCTCAAATGTCCTCACACGGTCGTGTCGTGTTGCTTTAAGCTTGTCATAGGACGGCATTTTTTCATCAAATGCTTTACAGATCGGAATTTCGATGGAACGTGACTCAGGCCTAGGCAGGTCCCAGTATGTATTCCATTCTTGATCCCAATACCCTATCCAGGCATTGTCAAGCAGTGCTTGTTTAAAAGTTTGATATTCTCGCTTTTTTGCATGCGCGGAATAGAACGGAGGATCTGCTTTTCTTTTTGGAGGCATGGTTGGTACGATAAACGACTGTCCCAAGAGGGGCTGTAAACCAGCACAAATCGATAGCCACTGGGAATGGAGGACTGACTGGATAAAGATTCTGGGCCAGCTTGTCTTTGGTGAAAGAATGCTATGTGACAGGAGGGAGATGTAGCAGTATTTATACCTTTTTCCAAACCATTAGCCGCGAATAATCCGCCAAGACGTAGATGATCGATCATCTACGTATTCTTGGCATGAAATCTACCACCAGCCCCCTGTCGTCATCATTGCGGCACAGTCGAGAGAGTGACTGGGGTTACTCACCTGACTAGATTGCGTTGTCATTTTGTGGAGAAGCGAGGTCCGAAAATGGAAATTCTTAACGAATATTAACTATAAACCTTTTAAAATCTCTTTAAGAATAGGTTTAGCTCTGAATTGTTCGCTGTTGCCTAGATACGTGTGGCAGAAGAGCACAGTCCTCTTCATGCAGGCTTTTCTCAGAACATGGCGGGATCGTCTATCCGTGGACGTGCAACCGGAATGTGTAATTGGATTGGAAAAGTCGGCGAAATCAATTGAAATGATATGAAACGCCTTAAGGGAAAGTGGACGCGCCTGGGCAAGAAATCGAGCGGCGTAGGCATGTTTCGTTGTGCTTTCACAGCGGAGCCGGGAACTCATCCAATTGGACAATGGCTGAAGCAGCCACACAAATCCTGCGTGAGGTTCCTCGCTTGCACAGGTAGATTCGATGGTTTTGAGGGCTAGACAGGCTAGATTCAATCTTCGCATAGATGAAGCCGATTATCTTTGCCAAAGTAGAGGATATACTGTAAATACATCAACGTACATGGCTTAGGATCCATGCATTTAGAAGCACGAAGATAAGTCTCCTTTCGCGTTGGCGCTTAGCGCGAATATCTGAACATAGATGTTATCGCTTACATCCTAGTCTAGATGATGACTTTGAGCACAACTCCGACTAGAGTTTCTCAACATAAAAATTAAAATCTGTATAATGATATTAATAATATTAAATATTTTAATAATGATGTTGATAATGTTAAATATGTTGGCAGTGATGTTGATAATGTTAAATATTTTAGTGGTGATGTTGATGAAAATAATAATGATGATAGTGGGAACCCGAGGAAACACAGCGCGATTGGATGTGACTGGTGGAGACACGACATTCGATTTTGACCCAGCTTGAGGAGATTTGTCAAAAGATAGCACTAAGCTGTAGCTGTACCCATTGTTCAGACACGATTACTCTGTGGAGCGCACGTTATTTCCAAATAGCATGCCGATTTCAGCGTTAACTTCCAAGCACACCAGTTACAAGGATTATTCCACCTTGTGTCTTCGGAGGAGAGCGAAGGATGACTGAATTCCGGCACTGTGGGACAGTGGGGTCATGACAGAGTGTTCACCGCATCTACGGCCGAGTCGTCCAACGAGAATAGAGGAGCCACGGTCGGAAAATGCGGGTATGGGGAAAAGCAAAGACGGAGATGGCGCTTAAAGTTGCTATCTAGTGGGAGGGCAGTTCGCGGAGTTCCGCGATAGACGCGATCTATTGCTACCTGGCTTGTGGGGCGGAGCGCTTAATCGGATGGCTTCCTCCAATGCAACCCATGTCTTGACGTGATCTGCACCGCCATGACTTCCCATTCGCTTATACAGCTGAATGCTGGTTGTGTCCTTAAGCGAGGACATTGCCCTCTTGACGGAGATTCTCATATTCCTAGAAAATTGCCAGAGCGTTTGGAGGAGAGCCGACGAGGCAGGGAATACGAAGCGGGACAGAGGTCAGCATGAAGCTATACCGGCCCGTCTTCCTGCAATGCGCGGCGAGGGCCTTGAGATCCCACATCTCCCCGATCGACAAGCCAAACATGCTGAGAAAATATTGGTGCAGAACTGAGAGCTCAACGTCAGCTTTTTTTCAAGCATCATCTGCCACCGCGGACAACTCACCCATATCATCCCTCAAGCTCCACGGCTTCCCCGTCTCCTTCTCGGGATCCGCGCCCACGCCCTCAAACGCCATGCTGTCGCTCGCAACAGCCGCAAAGTGCCTGTCCCACACCCACCTCGCCACCTCGACCGAGTTCTCGACGCCGCTCAGCGCGCCGCGCGCCAGCATGGCCATCTGCTCCTCGGCCGTCTCGCAGCCGTCCATCTCCTCGGTGAAGCCCGTCCGCACGACCAGCACATCGCCGCGCCTGAATTCCACGCCCTGGTGCGCAGCCACGGCCTCGAGCTCGTCGACGCTGATGCGGCGCCCGCTGCAGGCCGAGGCCAGCACCGCCGGCACGCCTTTCACCTCGTCGAGGTAGGCGCGCACGTCGAGCAGCACGCCGCGCGCGACGAGGCCGCCGCGGGAGTGCCAGTGGTCGAGCGTCGGGAGGAGGAGCTGCTGTTGTTGGTCAGAGGCGGCGGCGGCAGCCAGCGAGTCCTTGGTGCAGCGCGCGCCGTTGTACGAGAGGCGGCTGGGCTGGTGCGAGTAGTGGCACAGGCTGTCCCACTGGCTGCTGCACTGCGTGTTGAACTCGACGATGTCGTCCCAGGCGTCCACTGCTGCTGCTGCTGCGTGCTCGTCGGAGCTCTCGCTCGCCAGGCCTGATTCCCGTATGTGTTGGTGCTTGTGCACGGGGCGGAGCCGGCCAGGCAGCGGGAATTTGAGGCTGTCGAGCGGCCAGCTGTTTTTTCGGAGATAGGTTGTCAGATGGGGGGAGTACTGCCTCATAAGAGACTGACTTACTTCAAGGATATCGAAACGCCTTCCTTTACCTCGGCGGCTGCTGCTTTGATGACGTCGGGCGTGAGCAGATTCAGTGTTCCGTGGACGTCCTTCTTCCCGTCTTTGTCGAAGACGCCCCAGGCACAGCCCTGCGGCATGCCCTTAACCTCGGGTAGGTCATCGAAGTTCGGGATATCCAATTCAGCGTTACTGCCCATTGCTTCCTGTTGCTCGTTGCAACTCTCTCGTGTGTGTGAGGGGGGACTGTCACCATTTTGCTCATTTACCCCACTCCACCCGCCGCATTGGAAAGTTATGCAAGGATTAGTACTACGGAAAAAAGAGGGGGGTCGAGGACTTGCTTCACAAATACCGTCCCGACAGATTAAACCATCTTCGTGGCGATAACGTACACAGCATGCACTTGTTTTTCTGTGTTTCAGAGAGCTGCCGGCTGCCCAATAGATAACTTGACCTGTCAACACTTGTTCCGAGCCCCATCCGTCGCGAGAAAAGAGTTTAGTCAGTACCTCCATGAATGTGGTAGATCAATAGTCATGTGCCTCGTTGGAAACTCTACGAGTGTGTATTCCTCTCCATACTAGCTTAGAACAGACAGTGCTGGATTGGTTCGCATTGATATCTTTTCTTATCTAGCAAAGACGTGATTCTTTACAATAATTGCTTACTCAATGCGCCAGAAATCAGAACTTATGTATACTTATGATACCAGAGCATGAAAACGAGTGTCATGAGTTGGAAGATGCAGGCCTCGGACAGAAAGAACTTCCAATCTACTCTGGAGTAAGTATGAAAAATTTATGGAGGTGATATTGCCCATCATATGGTTCGTCATCTCCCGAGTCGGTGCTCTCTTCTTGAACATAAGTGTCTTCGGTATAAGTCGCGGTTCCAGAGTCACTGCTGTCGTCTGTAGAATTGTCATAATCTCCATCATCGTCGTAGCCTTGGCCATGCTTGTCATTGTCCTCTTCCGCGTAATCTCCGTGAGTGTCGTCGCCTGCCGAAGAGGTGTTGTTGCCATCGATGATGGTACCATTCGCAAGCTGGTAGCTGACAGATGTGACGGGTACTTTGAAAGGAGCACCAGAGCACGTGCCGCCACCGACTGCGTTGGTGGTGCAGTTGCCTCCGTACAGGGACAGAGAAGCATTTCCCTTCAGTAGGACGATGGCACTTCGCTGGTACAGCTTCTGAAATATCCAGATATCTGCAATGAGATTCAATCAGCCACAGTGCTTTGGGCGCCAGTCAATCAAGATTGCTTACTGCCGATTGACAAATCCGAAGTAAACGATACCGCCTCGTCATCGCACGGAGTGTAGGATTGGTTGGGTCCGATGCCCTGTGCTGTTCCCGGGAAGTAGGCGCTGCAGTGAACGCTATCCGCCTGGGATTCGTATTGAATGAGGAAGTCAAGAGATTTGTGGCTCCCAGACGGAGGGTAGCTGGAGCTGAGGTTGCTAACGATCCAGGATCCCCATTGCTCCGTGACGTTTGCCTGCTTGGTATGAGCGTGTGGGTAGGCTAAAGCGGAAACTGCAAATGCTGCAGTGGCAGCAAGGAAAGTAGCGCGCATGTTCTGAACTGAAGAGAATTGAACGAAGGATGTGCAGAGCGAATGTCTTGGTGCTGGGAGGAATCTAAATTTGTACAGATAGCTATGAATATTCAGCCTTCCGCCTCTTTATTTTCAGACGCTGAAGCCGCAGAGGCCATCCTTGTCGTCAATAGTTCGATGGAGAGCTGAAAGAGCCGCCACTACGTTAATCTGAGGCCGTGCTGTGCGCCTTCCCCCGTCAGACCCAAGAGGTGAATGGTGTGGCGCAAGAAGCACCCGGCTTCTATGTAGTGGCTTGTAGGGTACCGACGACGGCACGGTTGTGGCTGCCGATCTACTCCGTGTTTCTATTTTAAGCCCGTCCGTCAACGAGAGAGACACACATGAGTCCATACTGGGCGAGAAAAATTGAACTGTATGACGTTAGTGACAGCGCAGATAGCTCGAATTGGATAGGAGTAAAAAGGATATGAGATAGGCACGTTTGGTATTGCGTAGTGTGTCTATTGAGAGGCTCGCGGGAGGGCTGAAACATGCTGATGGCTTCGACCATGGCTAACAAAAGCTGCGTCCCGAACATCACGACTGTGGCTTGATGGCGTTCGCGAAAAATGACTTAGCGTCGGCACTGCCAACGGGTCTCCTCGTACGTTGATCCCCCGCTTCAGCTCGGCCGGGACTTATTGAAAGCTGACAAAATGATTTGGTTCGGCCTACTGTGTCTTGCATGCACTTAGTCTGTAGTGCTCTACCGCAGATTCAGCAGCAGTAGTTCGAGCTTCTCAACAAAATTTTCACCGTTTCCCTCCGCCCACCCTACTACTTCCCTTTGACCCGAGAGCATCCTGAAGTTTTCGATATTGACCTTGCAATTTAGCTAGCTGTATCTAGGAGTCGAAAGAATCACTTCGCTCCTTATACTTTGCTTCTGCAGAGCGCTCTATCGTCGATTAATTGCTTTTATCGCATTCTCGCAACGCTATTCGCCATGTTATGGCCCCCATTGTCCTCCACATGAGACTAAATGTGGTCTCTCAACTTTGCGCATGTATTTTACCAACTCTGCGTTGCCTCTATCGGCCGTAGCTATTTCATACTCGTAACTCTCTCTATGTTTCTCTCCGCCGTTTCTCTGCGAACCCAGACACGCAAGTGTAGAGATCAGAGCTGAAGTTATCGTCTCAGAGAGAAAATTGACCAAGTTTCGAATCTATACTTAGACCTGAATTGTTGCTGGAGAATTCTTCTGGGGCTCGAAAAAACTCACATCCTCCAAGTATCATAAGAGTATAGTGGACCAAACTATTCTCATGAGCGTTATTAAGGAAAAGCACCGCTTCAAAGCTCATTGGTTGGACGGCTGCACTGCGTTGAAGCCGCGTGATTCGCCGCTCAAGGCGGGGCCTCAACGTCGCTTAGATTGAGGCAGTGCTGTTGTTAGCGCCCTCGATTGGCTCCCATGGCAGCATAGCCCCAATGCCACGGTTCAGCAACGTTTCCACTGGGCTATATAGCGTCCACTTCGGCGCTAGACTACTCTTGGAACGCGACCATTCCCTTTCCATCTCCTCGCAACGTGTAAGCCCACTACTTCCGACGTCCATGTAAATAGACACTAAACTGTTAGTAATTCTCCGATCTCCGACACAAGCTTATCGGAGAAAATGGCACCGGCGGTCTTGTTTCGCCGGTCTGACCCATCGGACAATTCATCTCTCAGCAATGAGGAAATCATTGCACTCGTCGCGCTGGTCATGATGGTAATCGTGCCGTGCACGGGCTACGTCTTACGCACACAGATCAGAGGGATCCTGGTTCGGGTTCGTCGGCGTTGCAAACGGCGAGGTACGCACGCTTGGGCCCCACGACAGCATTCCCAAGCTAACCGCATGCAGCTTCGGGCAATGCAACGGGCGACGTTTGTCTACCAGCAACATCGTCAGGTATTTCCATCAGCACTGCTTCGGCCGAATGGAGGGAGATTGCTCTTCAGTGGAGAGAGCTTGCGCTTGTCAATGCGGAACAGCGATGGGCTCGGTGATGGATCCTTGACTGCCCATTGTTCGTCCACCTCTGTGGAATATAAAAAATGCAAGCAAGTCCTCATGTGTCCTTCTCATCCGAGCAGACCGTTCATTACAACTTCTTCAATCATCGGCAACTTGGTGATGGCAAAGCTGTTGAGGAAGTCTTGTAGCGTCGTGGTCGATTTGGGCACTCAGATGCCGATAATGGCCTCGAGTCAGCAGGCGCAGCCAAAACAGCCTCCCTGGACTCGACAGTCACGGGCTTTCGGTGAGCTGAAGGGTTCGAGCGTTAGAGCGGTCGATGGAGAGGGGCGACAGGCTGATGGCGTGAGATGTGGTGAAGGCGACGAGGCTGAAATGGAGGTGAGGGGTGAGCGAGTCGGTGATGTGTCGGGGCTAGGGAAGCGGGCGGGCCGTGGCCCTAGCGTGCAGGGCGGCCGAATTGCCGGGACTGTACCTGGAAATTCCCTTCTGGAACGCTATTTTTGATCCACCGCCCACGGATCAGCTTTTCATCGCGACGTCATGCAAGGTACATGATATCATCACCAGCGCGCCGACGGCCCCCGAGTCTGCGCAACACCGCCTTTTGGATCGGCTGCAGGGCTTATCAGTCCCGTTGCCGAGCGCCTGACCCCCTGGCCGGTGGCTTGAACCCTGCTTTTAAGCTCAACATCGACCTCTCCCCGCCTCCAAGCCGCAATAGGAAGCCCTAGCAAGATGCGAACCCAGTTTTTTGCTTCCAGACTGCGCAGCTCCGCGCGCATCACGTGAGGGCGCGGCTTCTCCACCGCCCTAGCTGGAGCGCGAGAGTGGAGCTGCGCCGGAGGCCAAGCCGTTCAGTGTCGCAGCGGCTGGCGACAGCGACGCGACCAGCGGCGCAGAGCAGCCCAGGCGGAGCTGGCGGCTTGGCGGGCGGCCCCGACGCTGTCAAACTGCAACGATTAGCGCGGGCTGGCGAGCAACAACAGGCCGCTGCAGCGGATGCGGAGGCGGTGCGGAGAGAGCGGCAGGTTGGCCTGGCCCGCTCCCCACCCTACCACGGTGAGCAATAATCGCGCATTCCTGGGGCACGGATTGCGCCAGCCGAGGCGCAGTCTTGTGTACGCAATTCGCTTACTCCCCGGAAGCACGCGACACGATGGATCGCTGCTGCTGCTGCTCTCTCACCTCTGCGCGCACCGCCACTTTTCCCAACCGCAAGAAGGGGGGCTCTCCTCGAGGCACGCCACGCCAGGACAAGCCCGCCACGAACACCATTCCTCCATCCATGCCACATGGGTCGGCCCGGTCCCGTCGGATGGCCCTGGACGGCAAAGCTCTCTCTGTCGCGCCTCCCGGACGAGGTGCTGATTCTCATTATTGAGCGCTGCGACATCGACGCCCTGCTGCAGCTGCGCCTGACAAGCCGCGCCTTTCGCTCCCTGATCGCCACCTACGAGAGCACCATTGTCCAGCAGGTCGCCCGCACCACATTCCCCGGCTGCAAGCTCATTCTGCGTCCGCCCGAAGACCATGATCTGCTGAGTGCGTAACCCCGCCACCCCGCCATTCCACCCTCCCTGCCGCACATCACTCTGACGCCCGCGTAGAATCCCCCTACAACCTGAACTGGCTCACCGGTCTGATCCCGAAACACCTGGCTGCCATCGTCGTAGACCGCCACCGCTTCTGCGGCACCCCGCTGCCCGCCCTGGACGGCGTCCCCGCCGATGACGAGATTGGCGACGAAATCCGCTCCCACATCGCCCACGGCTTCAGCATCCTCGAGACGCTGTCGCTAATCGCCCAGGATGTCGAGGACACGCCCGATTCCAAGATCGAATCCAAGTTGCCGCCGTAAGTAGCCGATCTCCCGCCGCATCTTTTTTCGCGCTTTTCCTGTTCCTGACTCAATTCCTCAAGAGAACTCGTGTCACGCGGCCCGCCCGCTCCGCGCTGGCGCAAGTATACGCCCAACCGCGTCTACCGTCAGACCAAGCGCGCTCTGTGGTCGTGGCGCCGCCCGCAGGAGAGCGCTGAGAAGAAGCGCCGTGCCGTCATGCAGCGTCGCCAGGACCTGATTACCGCCCTGCAGTGCAACTTCATCGACAAGCGCCTGACGCCTGACGAAGCTGCCGATTTTGATGCAATGTGGACGGTGCTGCGCATGGCTTTCCAGCACCACCGCTATTTCAACATCGGTGTGCCGCTGTTCGACTGGGGCAAGCCCGACCGCCGCGACGTCTTCTGGGGCAACTCGTGGGTTAACTGGTACATCCTGCGCGCCGGCTCGTCTTTCTGGTGGCGCAACTACTGGCTCAAGAGCATTCGCGCCGCCGCCGCTGGCGGATCCAACACCGACGGCCAGCTACTCCTCGAAGACTTCACCAAGCCCGGAAACAGCAGTAAGAGAAAGCGATCGAAGGCCAGCAAGAAGGATTCGCGCCCCACCGGCTGGGCCGAGATCAATCTCGCCTGGCACATCCGGACTCGGGAACAGATCGAAATTGAGCGAGCTGGCGCCGAGGAGGTTTTCGCGACAATTCGCCAACGGATGAAGGGCGCACATACCGTGCGCCTGCCCACCTTTGATGAGTACCGTGCCATGGTGCGCAGCTTGAGAGGCGAAGGAAGCACCACCGGCCACGACCAGGACGACCCTCTCAAACGTTACTGCGCCACCATGACCATATTCTGAGTTCTTGTTTTCTTCTTCCTTTCTGCACTTTCTGCACATCAATCTACCGGGAACACCTAATTTGCTAATGTTAGTGAAAGGCCGCTCTCCGTTCGTGTTGTTGTTGTCGGGGGGTTGAGGATCTTATGTGTATGTTTGGCGGTATGCCTTCGTCGACTGTAAATAAGCTTCCTGTTCTTGCTTTTTTTTTTTCTCTTTCCTTTTTCTTCCATTCACAATTACGGCCGCTCGGATAAGGTATGATCATAGACGATAGACATGCTCTTTTTTTCACCGAAATTGACGGGTTCGGAATTTTGTTCGACAATTAGCAGGCTCCCGCGCTGGGAAGGAAAGTTTGAAATGCGTCGTGGTTTAGGGACTGGAGCGCTCGGAAGGTCAATGCCAGGAAGGTTGCCGGCTGAGTTGAGACGTCGCAGGAGCAAGATTGGGAAAAAGGATCGACAAATTGGCGGCCCGATCGAGACACTGTTCGCGGGGGCAGGGATGCGAAAACCGAGCATGGGTGAAAAGGCCCTGGAAGGCTGAGCACAGACTGGAACAGATTGCGGGGGAGGTGCTCTGGTCACAGACTGTCAACATGATGGGAGGGGATTAATCACGCTTTATATGTGACACTGGCGCGAACGCTGGATCAGTTTATCGTAGGTAAAACCTTCGGCGAGACCCCTGCTCCAATGGTCGCATTCGTGCATCATCGCTTGTGCAATCCGCCAAAATCCCCTAAGCGTCGTTCGATAAATGGCCCGAAGCTCGCGATAAACCTTATTTGTCGGAAGATCAGTCTTCGTGGATCATGCCATTAACGCCCTGCGTTATACCATGCCAACCCCAGCAAAGGGAAAAGTGGACTTCCCTGCGCACCACTCCCCACGCCCTCTGGGCGACTCCACCAACATCTCCACTACCATGCGTATCGCGCCACACCGGGCCGTAGATCCCCAGAGTCTCCACTCACAACAATCCCATCGATCATTTGACGCCTCTGGATTTCGAAAATGATTTCCGCCTTCCAAAGAGAGCGAGTGCAAATGCAAGTTTTCCATCCGAGTTGCCTTCCCGACATCCCGACCGGGGTAGAGACTGGCTGGAAAGCAGCCAGTTGCTGAAGTTGTAGCACCGACTACAGGGACACTAGTAAGCGACTTTCGATAAGAATGAAACAAATGAGGGGGAAGTTGTGCTATGATGACGGTGTCAGTACGACAAAGAACATTCCATCCTCTCCAGGTTTGGTGTGTGCGCATCTTGGCCTCATACAACTTGAGCCTTATTACCGCTATTCTCATCTCTTTCTCCCTACCTCCCAATACGGGCCGTGTGGGCGGCAATACATTGAGGAGATGCTTGCAGGTGAATTGATACTAACCTCTAAACAACGAGCTGGGACACAGTATATTCACATCAGTTTAATTGTCGGAGACGCAAAGTTTACAACCCGGACTCTACAAGTTGCATCCAATTCTTCTACATAAAACCTCAACATGTCATATGTAGACATTTGCAGGACTGCATCATATATAGCGCGAAAGCAAATGTCCCAGAATACCAGCGTTTGGTGTAGGCAGCCTCATGACTCACCCCGCACCCAACTTGCGAGGCCTTATGATCTGTCGGATACTTGAAAACATTCGGATCAGTGCACCGATTCAAGCCTCGTTTGATTATCGTATTTCGGTTTCTGCACTTGAGCGGGATGAGGGGTTGGTAGATTGCGGACGGTGTCGTAACTCTCAGACTACCTTTCCCCCCTTCCTTTTCTTCCTCTTCTGCTCTCACCATCCTATCTTTTTAACCTCTGGAATCTCTTTCTATTTCGGTCACTCTTGTGTCCGTTTAGGGTGCACCACTGGGCCATGGCCTCTCTCACCCAACACTTTTCTCCTTAGAATCGGACCGTGGGGTCCTTTGGGAGGTTCCTGATCTGCAGCCGCATCTTCGGGCTTTGAGACGGTTTGCTGCGTTGACGAATCGTCATTACGACGCTCGTAATTTCCATCTATGCCAGACTCGTTCGATGCTGGCGCTTCTTGATTCTCGTTCTTGGCTGACATCGCGTCTTCAAGAGCTTTCCGTTAACTTTGGTAATTCGTCGTTGATCTGGGTCCCGAGCGACGCACCTCGTCGTGCTTTGGAATGCTATATTGCAACTTTGATAATTTCCGAAGGGCTGTGCAGGGAACTGAAAGAAGCGCTCCTTTGGAGGGCAGCTCAGGAGGAAGTAGGTTTACGGAGTGACGCGGCCTCGAGTGCATGCAGGCGGCATGACGTCATGCTCGGGGCTGTGCATGTGGGTAGCATTCGAGTTCCTTTGCTCTCCGTCTTCCGGTCCAAATAAAGTAAAGAGGCCAGTTATATTTATCGTCCATCATACGCCCTAGCCTGTGCAATCCGCTCGTAACAATGCGGCAGGACCTAAGATAAAATTCTAAGTGACCCTTTTTTTCTGGATCAAAATTGAAAGCCACTCCAAAATCTCGCATTTCTGAAACGAGCTAACATGTATTGCTTTTATACTGTCTTTTCCCCTTTCACTGACTGTTTCGGTCTCCTGTGGTGAGTCGTCTGATGTGAAAACAAAAAAAGGTTGAGGCGATGTTTCGTCAATGAATCATAAATTCGTAAAGCTTGGGTGCCTTGAAGGTCCGCTCTGGATCCAAGTACAATTCATGTCCAGCCAACGAACAAAATCATCTACACTCGATGTGATACAAGAAGCAAATCAAACATGAGAAAATGAAGCCCCTCTCTCCACCAGAACAAGTTATACAAAGAATGCAATCAAGCTGAAGTTCCAAGTATAAGCGAACAAAAAAAACCTTTTCTCTGAATTACATTCGCAACGCTATGCAAGCACTCTCGAGAAGCAAGGAGGGTAAAATCAAAGCGCAAGGAAAAAGAAGAAACAAAGCGTCCCAAAAATCGAAGAAGCCATCAAGAAGTAGTGTCCCCATTCTCCAAGAATCCTTTGAGTAGTGTGTGGTATCAATGCAGCAGTGTATGATGGATTTTTGCGGTTTCAATATCTACATGACGATCTGCGGCGTCATTAGCATGTCAACTATGTAAAGAAGCGAAAAGGGAAACTTACGCAGTCCTGGTCCTTATTGACCTTCGGCACACCCATTTCATCGAACGTCTTCGGACCCTTGCCGGGTGGCGGCGCCGTTGCTGCCGGCTTAGGCGTGGCTTCTTTGGGAGGCTGCGGCTGCTGACTCTGCCTCGGCGGCGCAGAGTCGCTCTTCTGCGGAGCTGGTTTGCCCGAGCTGCCTGGCCTACTACCACTGACAGGCCGGGGAGCGGCGGCGGCGGGGATGATCGGAGGCCCAGCCGCAGGAACTGTAGATGCCGTGGAAGCACGCTCGTAGCCAGCAGGCAGTTGCATAGGTTTCTTCTGCTCAAGAGGCGCCTGAAATCCGATGTCTTGCACCGTAGGCTGCTTTTGCAGCTTATTGGGCCCGGGTCCGGGTCCGTAGGAAGGTGGGCGACCAGAGGATGGGGGTGGAGACATGTAATGCTGTTCGGGATGGTCGACACTCGGGCCGCCAGGCTGACGGTAGCCGCCGGGCCCAGGAGGACCGGAAGAGACACGTGTGCCGGGTCCGCCAACAGGTTTCCGTCCTGGGTGTGGTCCAGTAGGACTCATAGCGTCGACGCTAGTGTGAGGACGAGGAGGTCCGTAGTTGGGGCCTTGGGGCGGAAGTCTACCCGCAGGGGCACCGGGAGCACCAGGTCCGGGCGGGATCATATTGAAAGCGGAGGTTGGACGTGCAGCATTGGGCATACTTGGTCCAAAGTTTGGAGGGCCGTTGTCCATTGGATAAGGCGCAGCAGAGGATGGCCGGTCGTAAGGAGCCACGGTTGGCGGCCTGTCTTCGAGAGGATAAGGAGCGGTAGAAGAGGAACGGATCGGTGGGCGGCCGTTAGTGGGTGATTGGATAGGCGACTGAGGTACCGAGTCGGAGATGGTGGGCATAGGAGCCGCCTGCGATTGCCTGAACCTGTCCGGTCTTTGACCCTTCTTTGAACCATACTGGGACCTGATCTTGTTAATAGCGACCTTCTCATGGTCCTTCTTCGAGAGAGTCCTGTTGACTTGGATGTTCTCCAGGCGAGAAATCGCGTCTTTGTTGCCGGATTTGGCGGCTTTCTCATACCACTCCATAGCCTTCTCAAGGTTGACAGGCGCATGGACACCGATCTCGTTGAAATACCCGAGAGCAAATTCAGCGGTCGCGAGACCGGATTGTGCGGCGCGTTCGGCATAGGTGTATGCCAACTCCTCGTTCTTTTGGAAAACACCGTCATAACCGCAGAGGAACCACTTGCTAATGGCCATGTCTGCCTCTGGCTCACCTTGCCTCGCTGCTAGTGCGTTGTAGTGCAGTGAAAGCGCGGGGTTGAAGTCACAGCCTAGGGTGCACAGTTCATACGCCGACCCCATCTTCAGCTGTGCCTTCGCGAAGCCGAGGAAAGCGGCCTTCTCGATGTTGATCTTCGCCGATTTTTCGTCATAGGGGAGATAGATCTCCGGAACTGAGATCTGCGGGAGCTCGCGAGCCTGGAGCATTCCGAGAACCTACCGAAGGTTAGCTTGCAGACTTTAACCCCACGTCTGTGACACCTACGTAAGCGCCCTGCGGCGCGTTTTCATCAGCGGTGCTGGCTGCATGCTTGATGAGCTGCAGACCCTTTGCGTAATCCTGCGGCTGACCGTTCTGGCCAAGCAAGGTCATCATGCCTAGTCTCTACACGGCCGTTAGCGATACGAGACGCTGCCCCACCTGCGCAAAGGGACATACGTAGTTCGAGGCTGAATCCCCCGCATCGGCACCCCGCTTGTAGTGTACGAGCGCCTTGACCGGGTCGTTGGACTGCTCGAAGAGCATGCCTATCCGGTACTCTGCACGCCAGTAACCCTTGTCGGCAGAGCGCGAGTAGCAGCGGAAAGCCTCCTTCTTGTCAACGCGCATGCCAAACTTGCCGAACTCGAGCCACATGCCGCGCATGAACTCAGCGCGCGGGTGGTGCTGGTCGGCCAGGAATTGGACGATGTTCATGGCATCCACGCGCAGCTGATGCTCGACAGCGGGCGTGGTCGGGCGCGCCTGGTCGACGAAGATGCGCTCGGCGTGCACCATGGAGGCATCGACCCAGGTAAGCGCATCCTGGGCCCACGCCAGCTGCATCTCCGGATCGTTGGAGTTGAGCACGCCCATCCGCGCATTTTCCAATATTTGTTCCTTCTCATCGTCGGTCGGCGGGATGTTGGGCGACGGGTTCACGAGCTTAGGAAAGGGCGAGAAGTTGGGGAGGTCTGCGGTCGGCTTTCCATACTGCGAATAGTCGCCTTGCCGGTGGTGCGAGCCGTTGGAGCCGTTCGAAAGAACGCTGCTGCCGCGGGGCGGGAAGGCGCTGCCGTTCGCTTCGAGTTCCATGTGGGCGACCTGGTTCTGGATCTGGTCGACGTCCTCTTGCATGATACGCTGCGGGGCAGGCGAGACGACTTCGGGCTGCGGAGGGAGGTAGTAGTCGTCGGTGCCACCGGGGACGAAGGTGGCAGCGAGGCCGAAGTTACTGGGGTGGGGATGTTGCTGGTAGCTCATGCTGGCTTATACGCGGGCGGCAGCTGGGGGGGCGCAATGCTCCGGAAGTGGAGGGAAACGGCGCTTGGAGGTGCTTGGTACTCAGCCCGGCGCAAAATCCTGGTTCGGGTTGCAGTCAGCCTCTGTCGCGGGTATGTGGCGGTAGCCCGTGCGGTCCGGCCTTGCGCGTGGGAAGAACTGCAGTGGTGAAAAAGGCATGAAGATGCGGAGATAGGAAGAGGGTGAGAAAAGCGCGGGCGTGAGGTCGACTGGCCGGCGACTCTAGCGCGGGCAGCCCCTCCAAACTTACCACGAGCAAGGCAACGACGAGAGCGCTGCGGCTGCCTCTGCGCGACAAAAATGGCACGCTGTGCAGAACAACTCAATAATATGGAGCGCGCCGCTGACTGTCTCTGCCTGCGCGCACGTCCGCCGACGCGGGCGGCGGCGATATATTAGCAAACGTCAGCTGCCCGGTAGGGAGCTGATCGTTCCGCGCGCGGCTGAGCAGCACAAAGCGCCGCCCATTCGCCGCAGTCAAGCTCTCTGTTTCACGCTTAGTTCCCGGCTCAGGTAAGACTGCACATGGTCGCAGCCGCCTGTTTCCTGTTTCTCCCGCAGCGAGCCGCAGCACAATTGGGCCGCCAGAGCAGGCCACCGTCGGCGTGCCCGCAAGACACGCGCAGAGCTAGCCGCCGTCACTGGTCCGCGCGCCGGCGACGTCGACGATCCAGCTGCAGAGCTTCGAGAAGTGCAGTGCTACAAGGTGGCCCCGGCAAGCACCGCTGCCCAAGCTGCCTGCGACGCCGATGAGGCTGTGTACCCTGAACCCGAGCACAACACGAGTGCGATAACCTGGCTTGGGGCTGCGCGAACTGACTCCGCATATTCGAGTCCAATATCCTGCACCGGCGAAAATTTTCATTGGCAAATTATTGTAATATTGGGAGGCGCCTGAGGTAAAGGGGCTTCATCACCAACACCAACACCACAACGGCGCGTAGCTAGCCTACGCTGCCGAACACCCGCGCGTGAACGCCGCAGCAAGGCAGCTCAGGCACCCTGTGCCGCCCAACAAAGCATTTCGTACACCTGCGCCTCCCGATCTACACCCGTCCCGCGTCCGATAGCAAAACTGGATCCCGCTGCACTGCCGCCTTCTCCACCGGCAGTAATCGGCTTTCGGCTAGGTATGCTGTCATATCGTCAACTTAATATAACCCTACGCCACCTGGCGCCATCTGAGTACTTGCTCCCACCCGACTGCTATTATCAACCACTTTTGCCCTCCGCGCAGTATAGATCTGCGGACTTGGGCCGGGCCGCTGCCAATACATCTTTTAGGCGCAATAACAATAGTTATTCCAAAGTCAAGCCTAAGTCGAGAAAATTGCGGCAGCAGGGCGACATTTCAGTCGCAACAATGCATGATGTATCCATATTTAAGCAGCCAAATTTCCAATGAACATGCCACAGATCTGGCTCCTGTGCCGTGAGCAAACGAAAGAGGAAGGTGGTCAATGCTTTCAGCACGCAAGGATGTGGATATTCTGGTCTTGCGAGCTCGAAATGTGTTCGCCGGCTGGCCATCTCCTACACACCTGTTATAAAATAATTATGCTGTGCACCGATAATAGTGCTGTCGTGTCACGATCATCTGAGCGCCTTCCACTAGGTACTCGTAACCGAGCGTGGTGAGATAAGATAATGGGGCTGCTGTGTTTTGATGGTAGTTGATTTACCGTGTGCAGAAGGGACAAGGGAAAGAAGGAAAAAAGAAACTATCGCCTGGCTATTCTTGGTTCATTACAAAGACAGGGTATGCGACTGTCTGGACAAGACGAACGATAGCGGCAGCGGGGTGCTGCTACGTCCTGACGTGGGCCCTTCTCGGTACTATGAAAATAGTGGGCACGACATCTCCGAAGGTCAGCTTGGGTGACTGCATGTTTATCTCGGTAGGTACTATGTAGTTGGCATGCCCCACTTTAAAAGGTACGGTGCGGCGCCACAACTCGAGGCCGAAAGCAGGCACGAGCGAACCAAGAGTGCTAAATCAATAGGCTGGAATGCTTGAAATGCGTCCCAACTAGCATAGTGGCGCCCAGTTCTTTGGGATCCTTCGAAAGAGACTTCATTTCATACAAATAGCGTGTATTTGCGAGAGAAATAGAGTAGCTTGGCTATGAGCGAGGCTCGACGCATGGACTTGGATTGATCCCGCTTTGACCATGAAGTCACGTGGGATTATTTTCAAGATATTGTCCTGGGGAATGTGTGTTTCGAGCTTCAATTGGTCGTTGATCAGAACGAAAATTATTTCCGCCTGCTTCGTCGTCGCGGTATCTTCTCTTGCAGGCCGGCGAGAGATTGCAAGCTGGAGCAATTAATTGCCGCGGCGCGTGATTACACGAGTAGACGCGACCAGCTCAGAGACGCGTCGCGCCCAGAATAGCCAGGATCGCTCCGTCCACCACCAGTGCCGCCGCCAGCTCTTCGGCCATAAACATTCGCGCGCTTCGTCCTCCACGTCCTCCTCCTCACCCGACAACACTGCATTCCACCGCATCCGCATCCACAACATATTCAAGCCCAGCAGCTCCTACAATCCTCAAACCCATTTCTTTCTGCTCCAAGTTTCACATCCGTCAAGATGTCTGTTGTGTCGTTGCTGAACGTCGACGTCCGCAACAATCCCGCGCCTTTCACTGCGCCCTACGAATTCGAAATCACCTTTGAGTGCGTCGAGCAGCTGAAGTCCGGTATGCGCATACCCAAAGCCCTTCAACATACGCTCGCGCTCACATTTTGGCAGACCTGGAGTGGAAGCTCACCTATGTCGGCTCCGCGACTTCGTATGTTGCCTGCCCCTCCTGCTCCGGAGTGCGACCGCTAATTTGACGGCTCATAGCTCCGAACATGACCAAGAGCTTGACTCCCTCCTCGTCGGCCCCATTCCTGTCGGCGTGAACAAGTTTGTTTTCGAAGCCGACCCACCGAACCTCTCGCGCATCCCGAACAACGAAATCCTCGGCGTTACCGTCATTCTCCTCACCTGCAGCTACGACGGCAGAGAGTTCGTGCGCGTGGGATACTATGTCAATAACGAGTACACGGACGAGGCTTTGATCGCCGAGCCACCGGCTAAGCCCGTCATTGAGAAGGTCCGCCGCAACATCCTGGCCGAGAAGCCTAGGGTCACGCGCTTTGCTATCAAGTGGTGCGTTATGTCTGCTTGCCGCCTGAATGGATTCGCATTGCTAACATCTCCCCAGGGACTCGGAGGAGAGTGCTCCAGCGGAATTCCCGCCCGACCAGCCTGACGCTGACCTGGCCAACGATGACGAGGATGCCTACGCTGCGGACGAAGCCGGAGAGGACCTCGAGGAAGAAGAGGAGGTTAAGGCCGACGGCGAGGATGAGGAGATGGGCGGAGCCGACGACACTGCTGGCCCCGCCAAGGACGACGATGATGCCTCTGATGCTGGCTCTGAGGATATTGAGGGCGAGAGCAGCGAGGATGACGAGGACGACGAGATGGAGGGAGGCGGCGACGACGACATGGAGATGGACGACGATTCGAAGGCCAAGCAACAACACATGCCCGCACACAACGCCGATGTCATGGTCCACTAGATCTGGAGTGTCCAAGGGCTTGGCTAGCAGCGGTATGATTTGGGTTAAGAAGTAAAAAGGACGAACGGTTAGCGTGTGCAGCCTTGCATGGCGCTTTGAAGGTTGATGTTCTGCATGAAATACCTCGACCATGGAGTACGAATTAGCACTGATAGATTATGAAGTTCAATACGCAAAAGGTCGTCTGCGGCGGTGATTCAGCTAAGTATAGCGAATGGGGACAAAATCAAAGATATGAAATTTTACAGAGGTATACACGGTTGCATAAGATACTAATTTGTGCAATGACCCGACGCGCTGCGAAAATGCACGATGTTTTTGGCCGTGTTTTCCGGCATGCCGATCAACCGCCTGGGCGACGCGAGGGCATGACGTTTCCTGTGTCAGGGACCCCGCGCCGCCCTGCGCCCCGCCAAGTGCACCTTGCACGCGCCATGGGCTCCAGCTCTTGTCTCCAGCGCGCCAGACTTCGCAACCCAAACTTCCTGCACTACTCCATGCTCTGCCGCCCACCATGGCTCACCTCCTGCGCGGAAAGCAGGCGGGCATCCAGAACGACCTCTCCGCCGGTCTCACCCCCGACCACTTCCAGATAGACGACGTGCGCTGCCTCTTCCTGGTTGCGTACCTATGTGCCTGACTGACGCCTCATGCAGATCCGCCGCTACGGCATCAACTCGCAAGTCGCAAAGCTCGCATTCGACCCCGTTCAGTCGCTTCTCGCCGTCGGAACGAAAGACACGCAATTCGGCCGCGGGCAGATTTATGTTTTCGGCGAAGGTCGTGTGAGCGTCGTGTTCCAGCTGTCCACCAAGGCGTCCGTCGTCCAGCTCCAGTTCTGCGCCGACAAGCTCGTTTGCTTGGATTCCAAACATGATCTCTCCATATTCTCGCTGGAGACCAAGAAGCTGGTCCGTTGCTTTTCGCCGCCTGGCACCGTCACTGCCTTGCATACCGATCCGGCCATCGACTATGCAATGTTGGGAATGCAAAACGGTTAGTCGCTTGCGTTGATGCGACCTTTGCGGAATGCTAATCGTTATTTAGGTGACGTCCTTGCCTACGACCTCGACCGCGAATGCCTTGCACCTTTCAGGATACCGTATTTCTGGAAGGAATACGACTCTCGTGCTCGCATCTCGCCTGTCATCACGCTGTCATTCCACCCTCGTGATATCGGGAAGCTGTTGATTGGATATAACGATGGCGCAGTCGTATACTCGTTCAAGCAGAACATGCCTCAGAAGTTCTTCCACTATCATCTCCCACAGGGTGCTCCCGGCGGAGACTCGGACCCAAGCTCCGTCAGCATGGCGCGGAGCCCCAGGCTGACCCAAGCTGTGTGGCATCCCACTGGAACCTTCATCTTGACCGGCCATGAGGACAGCAGTCTTGTCATATGGGACCCGAAAGATGGCAAGGATCCTAAAGAGAGCCGCATCATCATGGCCAGGACCCTTCACGACACGAACGTCAACCTACCGGGGGGTGGTGCTACTACTGTCGGTGTCACTCCTGGCTCCTTTGCTGTAAAAGAGCCAATTTTCCGTATTGCTTGGTGTGCAAACCAGGATCCGGACGACACTGGAATCCTGGTCGCAGGTGGTGCTCCTACAACTCTGCCCACGAAGGGTCTGAACTTCTTTGAGCTAGGCAGAACACCCGTTTATCAGACATCGTCTTGGCCAGTCCTTGCCGCCCACTTTGAAAACCCTAAGCGCCAGCGCATCCTCCCAACGCCCCCCAATGCCGAAGTTATTGATTTTTGTTTGATACCCCGCAGCTCGCCTCACTTTGCAGGCGCACAAGACCCGATTGCCGTTCTTGCTCTGCTCTCTTCAGGAGAGATTATCACTCTAAGCTTCCCTAGTGGTTTGCCTATCACGCCGACGAACCAGCTTCACCCTTCTTTAACCTTCATCCACCCTTTCATCAATAACTTCGCTCTTGCTCCCATCGAGCGGACGAGGTGGCTTGGTATGACCGAGAGTCGCTCACACGGCCCGGCAATAGTGCAAGGTGGTGTGGCAGCTAAGCATCCCCTCAAACGTTTCGAGAACCGCAACGTCGTCCAGACCGCACATGCGGATGGTACCATTCGGCTATGGGATGCCGGCCACGGAGATGAAATCGAAAACGAGGCCGCCCTCCAGGCTGATTGCGCTCGGGCTGTTGGAAAGCAAGGGGGTACTGAGGTCACAAAGATGTCCTTGGCTGGTGCTACCGGTGAATTAGCCGTCGGTCTCCGCAGTGGCGAAGTTGTTGTGTTCCGCTGGGGTACAAATCCAAAGGTTGGCACAGAGCCAACTCCCCCGGAGCCCAACACGCCGAAGGCACTTACCAATATCATTTCACGACGTGATCCTGCCCTAAAGGAGGGTCTTCTTCCTCTTACTCTTCTGGATGAGCAAAACGGACCTGTCACTTCGCTGAAACTAGCGGATATCGGATTTGTTGCTGCTGGTTTCGAGGGTGGAAGCCTAGCCGTGATAGATTTGAGGGGTCCTGCGCTCATTTACCAAGCAAACATGCAGGATTTTATCAAAGCAGACAAACGGTCGAGCTTCCGGAGAAGTAGTGCGACAACCACACCGAAGCCAGAGTATCCTACGTCCATCGAGTTCAGTGTAAGTCACGATCATCACCCGAGGTTGAAACTTTGCTAACCAGCGCAGGTCATGACGCTTGAAGGCGAAGAGTTCTCCAGCGCGCTACTACATGTTGGTACCAACTTGGGCCACCTCGCAACGTTCAAGATGCTCCCCGATGCCGAGGGGCGCTATAAGTGCGAATTCATGGGCTCGGTGACGCTCGATGATAAGGTTGTTCGAATTGCTCCCATTTCAGCAGAATCCGGTGCACCTGCTCTTGCCACGCAGCGAGCTTTCGCTGGTTTGCGTGAAGGCTTCAAAGTCAACGGCGTACTTGTCGCCGTCACTCAGTCTGGTGCTCGCGTCTTCAAGCCAGCAACAAACAAGGGCGCACACAAGTCATGGGATGAGTTCCTCTGCGACAACGCCGCTGTCACCCGCTACGAAGACCAAGGCTACGCACTTGTCGGCCTCTTTGGAGACGGCTGCGCTAGATCCTACAGTCTCCCAGCTCTCAAGGAGATTGGTTCGGCCAATATCTCGCACATCATGGATGTGCGTCGCTTCGCGGATGCAACCATCACACCCTCTGGTGATATCCTTGGCTGGGTTGGTCCTGCAGAGATTGCCCTCATCAACGTTTGGGGCATCGGCCAAAACCTTGTTCATAGGAATGAGGACGCACTCTTCAATCCCAACATGGTGATTCCGCCCCGTCCGACTATCAGCAACATGCAGTGGATTAGCGGCTCGCAGCACGTCACGCCCGAAGACATCGACTTGCTCATTAGCGGACCCGATCGGCCCCCGTCAAAACGCGAGATCGCGGCCGCCCGCGACGAGGAGCGCGCGCGTCTGGAGCAGGAGCGTGCCGCTAAAAGGCAGGCGACAGAATCGTCAGCGGCAGCGGCGGCAGGCGGTGCAGTAGAAGGCGCCAGCGACGAAGGCTACTGGGCGTATTTGCAGCGGCAGATGAACGAGCGCACAGAAAGGCTAAATATCATGGGGGACAATATGGAGAGGTTGCAAGGCAATTCGGCGGGCTTCGCGTCGGATGTGCAGAAATTTGTGGCGAAGCAGAAGAGAGGAATGGTGATGGGTGCAGTGAAGAGCAAGTTTGGCTTCTAATAGCCTCTCTGCAAAAGGATGATTGCTTAGGAGACTACGGTCTTCTGATGGCTTCTCATTTGATTTTCTTCTTCAGTTATACCTTCAAGCCTCTGTAACTGGTTATATTATTAGAGGCATAAACGAAATTGATACGTCACTTTGATCTAGAGTACTGTTCCTCTTATGTGTGAAAGTAGCCGAGTGCAGTAGTTACGCTGCCCTCAACAGACGATGTACCTGACCTATCTTGGACTGAAGGTCAGTGCAGTTGGCGGGGCTGGATCCGGCCTAAGTGCTGCTGAAACGGAGTTGTGTGATTCTTCGACCGAGTACTATCGTGTATGTATATCTCAGACGGTCAAGTCGAGGCCGCTGGCAATGAATGCGATGCCAAAGTAGAAGCACGGCTGCCGCTGTAGGCAGAGATGTCTTGACAAAAATTCCGATTAGCTTGCAAGCGGAACGACTGTAGACAAGCTTACTGTATCGCGACACCGCCGACTCTGGCATTCAGTCCTTGGGTGAGTCACAATGGATTGTGGCAGAGCGCGGACAAGCCAGGCACTCAGGCTCCAAGTCGGCCACTTCTTTGTGACCGGCCACTTCTTTGCCAGCAGGCAACCTCTTTTCCCGCGCTAGTTGGCTGCTAGTGTCTTGGCAGTCCCCAGGGTACTTAAGCTCTCCGTCCCCATCTCCCTCTCCTCTTTTTTCTCTTCAGCTCTCTTTGCCTTTTTGGCTTAGATCAAGTGTAGTATCTGTTCTTTTCAGTTTAATCTCTGAAACGTCCCTACGGGGGCTTCAAGATTAATCTTGTTTTTGGATTCAGGGTGGTGGCCGCTGAGCTTGCTCATGTCACTTCCCACAGTGTCGCCCGTATCGCACTGTTTCGGGCTGACGCGACACCTTGATCTTTTCGTTGAGTTTCTTGCCTTGAGCAGGATCTTGAGGAAGAGAATCTGGTGGTCTTGCACGGTACAGTGTGCTTGCATCAGCATAAGTCCCGACTGACTTGAGTGCCAGGTTGCGGTCTGAGGCCTCAGGTAGGCATTATCGCTGGCCGCTCACCGAAACCGTTAAGGCGCTCTCGCCGTGAGAGACTCGCTGCATGATGGACCATCTTGCCGGCGACGCGAGGATGTTGGCGCTGGTGCTTGTTGGGCTCGTGAGCGGCGAGAATTTCAGCACCTTGGAGGCAACAGCCACCGAAGACGGCAATACCAGACGCGGGAATTTGGTGAGCGCAAAGTCGCGCAGAAGCCTCAAGCATTTCCGAGGATTCCGAGACTGAAGTGATGCACCAACTACGTAGGCGTCGCCTGTCCTCAATTCTGCAGCTGCTGGTGGAGGGCCAACGCAAAGGTAGTCAAGCCTGGGCGACTAGCTGCACTAACGCAGTGCTGTCGCTCCCATCAAGGTGGCTTCTGGTCCACTGGCTGACGAACGGAGGTAGTCACGTCCACTGGTGCTGTATGCACTCGGCGTTGGGTTTTAGGCAGACGCGTTTGCCACATCGCGTCTGCCTGGACCTACTTTCCTATCTCGCCAACTTTCCACACGGCACGCCAGAAGTCTCCTTCGCTCCTGGAGAAATCAAGCCTCAGTAACAGGCCAGTCAATGCTTTCCCTCATTAGAAACTCCGAGAAGCTGGACGGCGAATTTACGCCACTGTGACGCACCGGCTTGGATATTGAGAGCGGGTGCTTGGAGGTTGCTCAGTAACAAACAGACCTGTGGCCACAGCATTAACTCAGAAACCACAGCTTTGCCCTTATCCATCATTGATCGCCGGCTCCACTTACTCGTCCTACCAGCAAAATTCGGCGTGTAGATTTCCAGCTTCCGTCGACTCAGACGTACTTTCCCCAACGAACACCGAACGCTTCGAGGTGGCGGACAACCAACGAATATACTAGACCCCCAAAATACATGCACGCACGAGGGGGTGGGAGCATGGTCAATCAAGTGCTGGGCTGGAATCTGGAGGTTTGAATAGGTCGATAAAATCGCCATTTGGGCCCGGCCATGAGATGATGAGGCTCGGATGAGCATGATCCGGACTCAGAGTGCTCATGTTTGCGGTAAACACCCGACAGCATTGCTAGTTTCTTGTGTAAGAAATGCATGTTATGTCACTCGTAGTGGCTTCAGATGTACAAGTGGGGATCTTACTGGTCAAGCGTAGACGACTCGACCACAATGGACGTTCTTGACTTTATTGGGACGCCTTTTGGAATTTTACACAGCCGTCCGAGCACTTATTCGTTTGGCATCGAAAGAAATACTCAATCCAAATAATACGGTGAAGAGATCGAAGGGATTAAATGCGCTTTGGAGCCTTCCTGAATTAACTTGCGGCGTTTTAGACTCGCTTGAACCGTACTTATATTCGATGCATGGTGGCTCATCCACCATTCTATGAACCTTGTATCATTAGAGGATGGCGAAGTGATATGTGGAGCACCCGGTGACGTTGTGCATTGTTTCTCAGACCTGTTGCGACACTCCATTTTTAGGTGCGGGGTCGTGCGAATCCACCGACTGTACGTCTCCTTCCACAACTGAACCTAAACCTCAGATTCCTCGAACCAACGGCCACAGAAGATACTTGACGCTATAGGCATAATGACGAAGATCTTTGCGTGAGTTCTCCCGCAACGCGAATCCGTCCTCCAGCTCAAGTTCCCGCACATTACATCATACCTCCATCCACAAGTGTACATCTCCAAACTGACGAGAACAACAGTCTCGGCGCAACGGGCTACATCGGCGGTGACGCCCTGCATGCAATTTCTAAAGCTCATCCAGAGTACGAATGGACATGCTTGGTCCGCAATTCCGACAAGGGTGCATTGGTCGCGAAGCAGTACCCGAAAGTTAGGCTTGTCTATGGAGACCTCGACAGCTCCGAGCTAATCGCAGAAGAAGCTACGAAGGCGGACATTGTGTGCAGTAAGTCCTGCTCGTTACCTTGTTTTACTGATGGACTCTATCCGTCATCCGCTTCACAATTCCCAAATATTTCAAAGCACGTTAGAAGAGGGTATACGCGGAAAATTTATGAAATGAGCGCCCTACTTTCATCCCAATTGAGCCGGACTACAAATATTGAGCCTCCAAATGCACGAGATATTCAACTAACCATCATCCAATCCCGCCAGACTGGGCAAACTGCGACCACGGCGGCGCCGCCAACGCCATCGTTTCCGGACTCTCGCAGCGTAGCTCCCAAGGGCTTCCTAGCTACTATGTGCACACCTCGGGCACCGCCATCCTCATGATCCAAGACCAACAGCTGCAAGTCTCGGGCCAGCCCAGCACCAAGATCTATGACGACATCGCCTCCATCGGCGAGCTCACCAGCCTGCCGGACCCGGCCTGGCACCGCGACGTCGACAAGATCGTGCTCGCCGCGGCGAACGCGCCGGCGCACCCGCTCAAGACGGCCATCGTCTGCCCGCCCTGCATCTACGGCGTCGGCCGCGGGCCCGGCAACACGCGCAGCGTGCAGATCCCCGAGCTGACGCGGCACACGCTGTCGCGCGGCAAGGGATTCACCATTGGCGAGGGCCAGGCGCGGTGGTGCTCGGTGCACGTGCAGGACCTGTCGGCCGTCTTCCTTGCCCTCGTCGCCGATGCCGCTGCGGCCGTCGAGGCGGCGTCTTCGTCGACAACAACGACAACGACCAAGGCGACCTGGGGCCCGCAGGGCTACTACTTCGCCGAGAACGGCGAGTTCGAGTGGGGTGCCATTGCGGCCCTGATCGCGGCCGAGTGCGCGAAGAAGGGGCTCGTCAAGAGCGCTGAGATCGACCACCTTACCCTGGACGACGTGGAGAAGATGGTCGGCAACTACCTCATGGGCCCGCATTGGGGCCAGAACAGTAGGTGCAGGGCTAACAGGGCGAGGCGGGAGTTGGGCTGGCGGCCGGTGATGTTGCCACTAGAGGAAGACATTGCTAGGAATGTCGATGTTGAGGCGGCGGCGCTGGGGTTGAAGAAAAGTCACGCAGAAGTAGCAGCTGGGGATGCTTGAGCGTTAGGGTCAAACATGAGGAAAAAGCAGAGACTGGCGTGAGCAGCAGAGGTGGCAGGAGCAAGAATAAAAGCTAGATGGAATCTTCCGTGGGTATCTTTGGAATGGAACTACTCACACCAAGCTTACTTGGGGCTCGTGTCGATCTGAAATAAAGGGGCTTCCTCTGTCAATGATGCCGAGACGCTAAACGCCTTTCGCTAATGCCAGTCGAAGTGATACTGAACAGGTTCAATGCCCCGGTCTCAAGTCCACAACCTGAAAGTCCAGCCCCGGTGCCTCAAATACATGACCAGGCCTCTTTGCGTCGGTGTAAATGTTCGTTTCCGCGTGAGGATGGAAGATGCCGGGTGCGTTGCAGTTCAGAATAGCCTTCAGACCCGGTGGATCCGTAAGACGGAATATACCCCATCTAACATATATGTCAGGTGGCACTCCAAAAGGGACGAGTGGATGACTTACGAAGGATCTTTGCTAGGCGCACAGACGATAGCTATGCTTTCAGGCAACATAACTTGGTAGCCACAATGGGTATGCAGGTCTCTACTACTCATGAAACAAGTCTGAGTTGGGTGAGTGTGTATCCAGCCGAGAACCATAAGGTCCTCGGAGTCGCAGTAGTCAAATATTGCCGACTCATTTATCGTTTCACAGGTATCTGATGTGCTTTCCTGGTCCGGAATAAGAAGCCTCGAGATGAAGAGGGCGTTCGAAATCAGGGTACCGCAGAGTATTCCGCAAGTTTCCAGATTCTTCCTGGTGTTCGGCGACGCCACGCGTAAAAATTCCGTACGGAGTGTTGGCGGAATGAAAACGGTCCGCAAAGGGGTGCCATTCTCAAGAAAGGCCGTCGGCTTGAAAGTGTAGTCTCCCGAGTCCAGTTCTTGGGGCGGTGGTGGGGTCGCAGATGCGGAACGAGACGGCGCACTGGACACGTCGGAGTCCAGATACTTTCCTGGGAGTGGGGGAGGCGCAACACCTTCCTGGTCTATCGCAATCTTGCGTGGGATGCTCGGGGGCGACACGGGAGAGCGCAGAGGGGCCTTTTCTGGTAGTGGTGGAGCGCGCACAGAAGTTGGCGTCAAAGGTCGCATGCCTGAGTCGGCGTAAGGCTCGTAATTGCTTTTCTGTGGCACGTGAGGATAGTGGTATGCGGCGGTATGGGGCGACGAGGGCTCTGGGTCAACAGAGCCTCTTCGCCGTGCGACGGCCTCTTGTCCACGGCGACCGACTTGGGTGATCAATTGACTGAGGTCGTCGGGCTCTTCTTTAGCGCCATCGCTGGCCAAGTCATCCTCCCAGTTGTTCCACATGCCACCTGTGCGGCGCTCTGCCTCCTCCTCGTCGGACACGCCGGCCTGGCGGACCTTCCTCTTAGCCAGGTCTCTCCGGCGGATCTCCTTTTGGGCAATTTTGACAGCAAGGTCGCGGTTCTCTCCAGCATCGAGAGCCTGCTTGCGTCCAAACAAAGCAGGGTCTGACGATTTTCTCGAGTGCAGGACGAGGTGGTCCAAATCACGGGCCATCTGCGTGGGGCTAGCCACAGTCTGTCTCTGAGCAGCGGCCCTTTTCCTTTCGGCATCTTTCTTGATCTCCTGGAATCTTTGGTGGCGCTTGTTTATCCTTGGCTTCAGCTCCTCCAGCTTGGGTAGATTCCGATTGACTATCTTTCTCGCCTCCTGTAGAGCTTGCTTGTTGGCGGGGTCTTTAGCTTCAGGGTGCTTCTGAAGCTTCTCCAGGATGAGCGTGGCATGGCGAAAGAGGAGGAGGTAGGCCTGTTGGTCATTGCCTTCGCGCTCGTAGATGCGGGCCTGCAGCGAGTCGTGAGCGGAGCAAAGGGCTAAGACGGGGACAGCAAACCTCTTTCTGGATGGTGTCGGCGCTGCGCAGCCAGTAGCGGAGCGGGACCATTTGGTTGTAGTCGAAGTTGCCAGCTTGATGGACAATCTCTTCGACGCTCAGTGGCTCAGAGATCCTGAAAGAAGCCATGTTGATGAGTGGTGCTGTGCTGTGGGGTGACGTGCTCGCGCGGGGGGGTGTGGGTGAAGCAAGGACAAGCGCGCGCCGAAGTCTAGCGGGAAATGGAGCGCGTGGGTTGCGGGTGCGGTCGGGGGTGAAACTCAGCAGACCTCATGGTAATGAGCGCAGCGTATTCTTCGGTGCCTGAAGGCGTGCGTCACTGACGGCGCATCAGAAGCCGTGGGCGGGCGGCGGGGCGGGCGGTGAGGATCCGAGCTTGGCCCTGCCGTCGATCTGCCGCCGCGGCCATCTACTCTTCTGCGTCGCCACTTCACTCGGCCTGCTTGCTGGTATGAGCACGACTCGCGCCATCTCGAAAGCTCAAAGTGCTTCGCGCGCGGCTATTCTGCCCCTCGCTCGCCAGCTGGCCCAGCGCGACCGCCGCAAAGGCGCAACTGCAACGCGCGCTGACATCGTGAGCCCAGCTCTCTGCGGTACGTATGGGTGGTGCGCGTCTGGGTGTGCACCAATTGACAGTCTGCCAGATGATATCCTCTCATACATCGGTCCGTCGCTTGAAAAGTACAAGAACTGTGACATCGTCGATGTGAATCCCGGCGCTGGCCTTTGGTCCTCCAAGATTCACGATTTTCTCAAACCGAGACGCCATCTGTTGCTCGAAGTCGACGATTTTTACACGCCTTGTCTGCAACCTCTACTCGATGCGCCTGGCTCCAAGTACATCCGTGGCCCTGCCACTGACAGTGTACTGTCGACCCTAGGTAACGTTGTAAACCAGGGTCTACTGCCGGACCAGCACCCGCTCCCCAAAGGCGATTCCCGTCTGAACGAACCGAATACCTCGTTGCTCCTGCTCCTAAACCTCAGTCGCATGAGAACGGCCACTTCACGCACTGCCTATTTTTTTACCCGCGATATACTGAATCTCCTCTCCGCCAGCGCTTGGATGCACACCGGCCTCAATCAATACGGACATGTGCGGACCTTACTATGGGTTCCAGAATACTTTAAGGATCGGATTGTGCCAAGGGAGTTGAACCAATTAGATTCCTATGGCTTTACACATCAAGTTCGCACACGGACGCACACAATAGCAGGACACCCCAGCCCAAAGTTGCCGCGGGAAGATACAACGATAGAGCTAGCCAGTGCCGTCCGCGTTGCTGACAAGATGCGATCAGCTGGCTTTGAGCTACCACTCCATCGCCAAGACCGCATGCACCAGGTCGCATTGTCATTATTGAAAGAAAGGGACGTCGAGGACGTTCAAGCCAAGTTGAGAGCAGACATCCTTCCCGCACAGTCCCCTCTCGAAGAAATGGCAGAGCTTGAGACTCGTCTGAAGTCCAAAGCTCCGCCAGTACCGAATCGTGCCGTATGGCTACAGCGGCTGAAGCATTTGCAGAGCAACACAGAAAGAAACCTGAAGACCCTCCGGTGGAAACACGTCAGACTCAAAGAGCTGTGGGCCACGGCCGACGAGATGCGCCAATTGGAAATGATTGTTGTAGATGAGAGTCGCCCCGCACAAGAGCGCCTAGCAGCGAAAGAGCACTGGGAAAAGCTCAATGCCGAATCTAAAGGAGCTGGACGCCGGGGTCCTACTTACATACAACAAGCCTTATTCAACGTCATCGATTCTCGCAGAGGTTTTTACCAGGACCCACCACTTCTGGCGTGGGATGATCGGCCTTTCGAACCCCTCACTACCGAGCCGCACGAGTTTTATCCCCAACAGAGTTTATGTCTTTTAGATAGCAACCCCCAGCCTGCACCACAAGAATTTTCTGAGGAGTATATTGAGTATTGGCAGCGCTTTGTCAACAAGCTATTCGAGCGCAGTTCTAGGCCAATTGGAAAAGCTTTGGATCATCTGCGCATTGGTTCAGCTGAAGTCATCCTTCCCCAGGTAGGAGCGATCCACGATCCACGGCGCGGAGGCTCGCTCGATGTTGAAGATGTAAGAGTCCGCTCCATGACGCCGGAAATGAGCTACGAAATTGTACACGCATGGAAAAACTGGACCTTCCGGCCGCAGGACTTGGAGGAAACTCTCACCCAAGACAGACTTAATTGGGAGGAACTCATGGACAGCAACGAAGAAAAAAGACTGTCAGGTGACTTGTTTCATTCGAAAATTACCGGTCCAGTATCTCGCCCTTGATGCAGCGTTTACTCAGTCCCAAGCTTCATAGCTTTAAAATACCCACAGATTCAAAGATAAAGATTTTGCTTCCTTGAAAAATGTGCTTTTCTGTTGTAGAAATAGCAAATGCTCTCTGAAATTGGAGAACATAAGCCGCGTGTTTGGTGCTCCAGATTCCCGAAGCGCCGAGGTGCATCTTCTAGATATAGTCACACCTATCCGTCGAGTGTCGTGTTCCACAAAATTTGCGGAGATAGTACCTCGAAGTCCTCTCCATGCCCGCTGCCTGATGCGTCATTTTGAATTGACGTCCCACATTTATTTCGAGCCTTTCTTATTCTTCCCGCTTACAGGCTTTCCTTGTTCGCCTGCGGCACTTGTTTTGCTGTATCCGCTGATCAAATCTAACAGACTCTCTTCGGACCGTTCACGAGATAGTTTCTCGCCTTCGCCCGGCTATGTGATGAAAAGGCCCGTCAGCTTTCATGTCCGATAATCCGCGAGCACCTGCCAAAGGAACCCGGGGCCGCCCGTGAATGTCTCAAAAATAACCAGAGTATGATTGCATACCTGCTCAAGATCCTCAGTAACCTCAGCATCCCAACCGCGCCCGAATTTGGCTCTGAAAGCACGTAGCCGCCCGGCCTCGTCTTCCTCGACGTTCAGCAATTTCTGGCTGCTGGGATTCCAGAGCGGGTGGTTGCGGATGTCCTTGGTGCTGCGGTAGACGGGGGCGGGCGAGGTCGTGCGGTGCATGTAGGTGCTGCCGTCGGAGAGGGTGATGAGCTGGGTGAAGGTGTACGGCCGCTTCGGCCGCCGCAGCAGCGTCGCGTGTCGGCATTGGGTCTTCGGGAGGAGGGCGGAGGCATTGCTGCCTAGACGGTGCGCTGTAAGCGCTGGCGATGTGAGCGCGGGCGGCATGGTGTGGGTTGCGTAGTGTTGCGGTGGTGCTGCGGTACTTTTTGATTGGAAGTAGCGGATCGCCGACGACTAGCCCGCCAGGACGATTTTCGTCGGCGAAGCTCCGCGCGCATCTTCAACCTCCGCACGCTGCCTCTCACCACTCCTTGCCCGGTCGCTGCGCTTCAAGCATGCTATAGCGTCTATCCACTGTCTTTGCTGAGAATCTACCCGGCATCATGTTTGCTTCAAACGTCGAGAGGCGCTTCTATCGGGCTTTTTTCCGTTGGAACAGTAGGCAACCATGCTCTTTCTCTATATGACCATTGACTTTATTAACATACGAAATAGAAATCATAGTCCCTTCAAATCACGTCGCACGCAACTCTCGACGTCTGTTCTCTTCGTCTACTATGAGAAGAACCACCGTCGATGACGAAACCACACCGTCCCACCAGCCCATCTCTACCGCGCAACAACCAATCTCCACCCAAGAAACCCTTCAAGAGCCCATCGCCGACGACGATAAGGATTTAGAGGAGTTTGCAGGAGATCATTCGGATCCGCGCCACATAGTGCGCGTCTGCTCCCTCGTCCGCAGCATCTTCCGCTCCGTCGCGCACCCGGTTGCGATAGTGACGGCCCTCGCTCCCGAAACCGCGGATGACAGCATCGGCGTGTCGGATGGCTCGTTCGGCGGAACCCAGGTGGGGGACGAGTGGGAAGATGCCCTCAAGTCGATGCGGGCCATGACCATATCGTCGCTCAATACTGTCTCGCTCGACCCGACGCCCGTCATCAGCTTCAACGTGCGAGTTCCATCGTCAACCTGGGACGCGATCCGCGCAAGGCGCCACTTCCGCGTAGCACTGCTAAAAGCTACGGAGCGAGGGAGCGAGATCGCCAAGCTCTTCTCCAAGGGCGACGCCATGGAGGGCTACCGCCTCGTGTTGGCGGGTGGTAGCTCCGTCACCTTGCACCAGCCCGGCAGCCTGCTACGGGTGACAGAATCAGCCGTACAACGCAAGGTTACTGCGAAGAATATCGATCCGAACCCTGCGCCTTACATCAAGAGTCGTGCCTTCCTGTGCTTTTTCGACGCCGAGTTGCGGCCAGAACAGTGCGTGCAAGTCAACGACCACATTATTGTTGTCGCGGACGTGAGGCGCGTAATTAAGAGTTCGACAGCTCTGAGTAGAGACCATGATAAACCTGCCCCCACGCTGAGCTACTTCAATCACAAGTTTGTAAGACCAGACCGGCCATTGGTGGCGTCTTCGATTACGGACGAAGAGAGTTCGGCTGTTGTGGGCCACAAGGGTACTGCTCCCTTTAAAAGGTTGCGACTCGGTAATTCTAAAGGGCAGAATAACACAGGTGGCCTTGTTAAGGACAAGCCTAGTAGTGAGCAGAATAGCGCGATGGATTCGTCTACTGTTAACAGAGTTCAAGTTGATAAGGAACGACAACTGCTTGAAAGTTTACGCATTAGAAGACTTTCAGTCTGAAGGGAGAAAAAAAAAGGGATGTGCGGAGGATAAATTCCCCCCCCCCCCCCCCCCCCACCCCC